ACACCCAACCACCCTAACACCCAACACCCAACACCTCAACCAAACACCCAAACACCCTAACACCCATCACCCTAACACCCACACCCTAACACCCTCACACCCTAACAACACCCTAACACCCTAACACCCTAACACCCAAACACCCCTAACACCCTAACACCCTAACACCCTAACACCCTAACACCCTAACACCCTAACCCCTAACACCCTAACACCCTAACACCCTAACACCCTAACACCCTAACACCCTAATCACCCTAACACCCTAACACCCTAACACCCTAACACCCTAACACCCTAACACCCTAACACCCTAACACCCTAACACCCTAACACCCCTAACACCCTAACACCCTAACACCCTAACACCCTAACACCCTAACACCCTAACACCCTAACACCCTAACACCCTAACACCCTAACACCCTAACACCCTAACACCCTAACACCCTAAACCCTAACACCCTAACACCCTAACACCCTAACACCCCTAACACCCTAACACCCTAACACCCTAACACCCTAACACCCTAACACCCTAACACCCTAACACCCTAACACCCTAACACCCTAACACCCTAACACCCTAACACCCTAACACCCTAACACCCTACACCCTAACACCCTAACCACCCTAACACCCTAACACCCTAACACCCTAACACCCTAACACCCTAACACCCTAACACCCTAACACCCTAACCAACACCCTAACACCCTAACACCCTAACACCCTAACACCCTAACACCCTAACACCCTAACACCCTAACACCACCCTAACACCCTAACACCCTAACACCCTAACACCCTAACACCCTAACACCCTAACACCCTAACACCCTAACACCCTAACACCCTAACACCCTAACACCCTAACACCCTAACACCCTAACACCCTAACACCCTAACACCCTAACACCCTAACACCCTAACACCCTACACCTAACACCCTAACACCCTAACACCCTAACACCCTAACACCCTAACACCCTAACACCCTAACACCCTAACACCCTAACACCCTAACACCCTAACACCCTAACACCCACCCTAACACCCTAACACCCTAACACCCTAACACCCTAACACCCTAACACCCCTAACACCCTAACACCCTAACACCCTAACACCCTAACACCCTAACACCCTAACACCCTAACACCCTAACACCCTAACACCCTAACACCCTAACACCCTAACACCCTAACACCCTAACACCCTAACACCCTAACACCCTAACACCCTAACACCCTAACACCCTAACACCCTAACACCTAACACCCTAACACCCTAACACCTAACACCCTAACACCCTAACACCCTAACACCCTAACACCCTAACACCCTAACACCCTAACACCCTAACACCCTAACACCCTAACACCCTAACACCCTAACACCCTAACACCCTAACACCCTAACACCCTAACACCCTAACACCCTAACACCCTAACACCCTAACACCCTAACACCCTAACACCCACACCCTAACACCCTAACACCCTAACACCCTAACACCCTAACACCCTAACACCCTAACACCCTAACACCCTAACACCCTAACACCCTAACACCCTAACACCCTAACACCCTAACACCCTAACACCCTAACACCCTAACACCCTAACACCCTAACACCCTAACACCCTAACACCCTAACACCCTAACACCCTAACACCCTAACACCCTAACACCCTAACACCCTAACACCCTAACACCCTAACACCCTAACACCCTAACACCCTAACACCCTAACACCCTAACACCCCTAACACCCTAACACCCCTAACACCCTAACACCCTAACACCCTAACACCCTAACACCCTAACACCCTAACACCCTAACACCCTAACACCCTAACACCCTAACACCCTAACACCCTAACACCCTAACACCCTAACACCCTAACACCCTAACACCCTAACACCCTAACACCCTAACACCCTAACACCCTAACACCCTAACACCCTAACACCCTAACACCCTAACACCCTAACACCCTAACACCCTAACACCCTAACACCCTAACACCCTAACACCCTAACACCCTAACACCCTAACACCCTAACACCCTAACACCCTAACACCCTAACACCCTAACACCCTAACACCCTAACACCCTAACACCCTAACACCCTAACACCCTAACACCCTAACACCCTAACACCCTAACACCTAACACCCTAACACCCTAACACCCTAACACCCTAACACCCTAACACCCTAACACCCTAACACCCTAACACCCTAACACCCTAACACCCTAACACCCTAACACCCTAACACCCTAACACCCTAACACCCTAACACCCTAACACCCTAACACCCTAACACCTAACACCCTAACACCCTAACACCACCCTAACACCCTAACACCCTAACACCCTAACACCCTAACACCCTAACACCCTAACACCCTAACACCCTAACACCCTAACACCCTAACACCCTAACACCCTAACACCCTAACACCCTAACACCCTAACACCCTAACACCCTAACACCCTAACACCCTAACACCCTAACACCCTAACACCCTAACACCCTAACACCCTAACACCCTAACACCCTAACACCCTAACACCCCTAACACCCTAACACCCTAACACCCTAACACCCTAACACCCTAACACCCTAACACCCTAACACCCTAACACCCTAACACCCTAACACCCTAACACCCTAACACCCCTAACACCCTAACACCCTAACACCCTAACACCCTAACACCCTAACACCCTAACACCCTAACACCCTAACCCCTAACACCCTAACACCCTAACACCCTAACACCCTAACACCCTAACACCCTAACACCCTAACACCCTAACACCCTACCCCTAACACCCTAACACCCTAACACCCTAACACCCTAACACCCTAACACCCTAACACCCTAACACCCTAACACCCTAACACCCTAACACCCCTAACACCCTAACACCCTAACACCCTAACACCCTAACACCCTAACACCCTAACACCCTAACACCCTAACACCCTAACACCCTAACACCCTAACACCCTAACACCCTAACACCCTAACACCCTAACACCCTAACACCCTAACACCCTAACACCCTAACACCCTAACACCCTAACACCCTAACACCCTAACACCCTAACACCCTAACACCCTAACACCCTAACACCCTAACACCCTAACACCCTAACACCCTAACACCCTAACACCCTAACACCCTAACACCCTAACACCCTAACACCCTAACACCCTAACACCCTAACACCCTAACACCCTAACACCCTAACACCCTAACACCCTAACACCTAACACCCTAACACCCTAACACCCTAACACCCTAACACCCTAACACCCTAACACCCTAACACCCTAACACCCCTAACACCCTAACACCCTAACACCCTAACACCCTAACACCCTAACACCCTAACACCCTAACACCCTAACACCCTAACACCCTAACACCCTAACACCCTAACACCCTAACACCCTAACACCCTAACACCCTAACACCCTAACACCCTAACACCCTAACACCCTAACACCCTAACACCTAACCTAACACCCTAACACCCTAACACCCTAACACCCTAACACCCTAACACCCTAACACCCTAACACCCTAACACCCTAACACCCTAACACCCTAACACCCTAACACCCTAACCCTAACACCCTAACACCCTAACACCCTAACACCCTAACACCCTAACACCCAACTCGAAAATGAATGAAAAATTTAATTGAATTCTATTTATAAAAAATTGCTATCGCAAAATAGAAATAGCGGTACAAATTAATTAATATACTAAATAAATCTTAAATAATTATTAATTTTTTATATAAGCTCTTATTTTGCTAAACTAGGTATTCGATTAAAAATTTGAATAATCATATAAACTAAATTTTCAAGCGTTTAATAATAATAATAATTTGAAGTATAAGAAGCGATTTTTTAAATGCTATGAAGATTTTCTTTGCAATTATAACTAAAATGATTCTTAAAGCAATTTCTTATCAAAGTTCTATTAATGGCACTGCAGTGTTATAATGAATTTAATAAGAGGATTAGCTGCTCTGTAGTTAGACTTGATTGAAATTTAAGTTAAGAGTCACTAGAGTTTATTTTAGCAAAATCGGTTGCTCATAAAGGTGTCGTCTGAACAGCCAGAGCGAAGCTTATCTTAATAGTTAGGGCTGTTAAATAGCAGAAGAAGAATACAATTAAAAATCCAATAAGGATTATATTTCTTAATCTATTTACAAGATAAATAAAATATATCTTTTAGAATATATATTACTCCCCCCCCCCCCTCCGTGAGCGAACAAAAAAATTTTGTTCGCTCACGGAGGGGGGTTAATTTTTTTTTTTAAAAAAAATTTATATATAAATTTTAGAAAAAATATTTTTTTCGAAATTTAAAAAAATCCTAATTTGCAAAAATTGGGAAGCAAATATTAATTTAATTTGCAAAATTTATGTTTAAAACGCAATTTGTTTAAAATTAAACAGAATTAGCTCTAGATTTCATTATACTAATTATCACTTATATATCAAAATTTTTTTTCCATTAAAATTTTTTCTATTAAAAAAATTTTTGTTCACTCACGGAGGGTGGGTTTTTGGTCAAAAAATGGCGATTTTTCTAATAATGTTTTGTTCGCTCACGGAGGGGGGGGGGAGTTAGGAAATTATGCAGAACCTTATAGAAAATCCTGATTTATATGATTATCTCTCTTTTTCAAAAAATTTACATAAGAAATATTGAGGATTATTGATCTGCTCATTTGAAAGTTATATTGTCGTTTAACTTGACTTTCAAAGTTTAGCACAGAATATATCTAATAATTTAACAGAATATTAATAAATTGTAAATGGTTATTCCTAATTACTCTTTCTTATCTTCTATTTCGAATAAGGACAGGACTTATAAGCTTCCAAATATTCAAATACACAAGCGGGAAAATAAATTTCAAACTAAACAAATACAACTCAGCAATATAATAATAAGGTTTCCCATTTTTAGTAAAAATAAAATCACCTAGATATAATTTCATAAAGGATCCGCTGGAGACCTTCTGCTTCGTTTGGAAAAACCAAAACATTTAAATGGCCCTGACTGTAGAAATAACTATAGAAAATTGCCCCACACGGGAATCGAACCCACGTGTGGGGCCATTTTTGGTACGTGTAAGTCGATGTTTTTACACATACCAAAAAATGGCCCCACACGTGGGTTCAATTCCCGTGTGGGGCCGGTTTTTTTGAATTGCCCGAGGATGGCGCAAGATAGCGCCATCCTCGGGCAATTTCTATATCATGCATTGGCATCTGACATCTGGAAAAACGCTCAACACTATCAAGCTAGATTGCCAAAACTTAAGCCTAGACTACGACTATGAATGAAGGTGCTTCGCTGTCAGCTGTTATGATAAAGATTTATGACAAGTCTACTAAAAACGTCATCTCTAATTTAGTCTCATGAATAGGCGAACTGCTTGGCCATGTGAACCATATTCATTCGGTGAAGTTTCTCGTGGTAATATGATAGTCAGTGGAGGGTAGGATAATAATATTTTACTATGGGATATCCGAAGTCCACTTTAGCAAGACAAATGTATGGCCCTCAGATACCTGGAGACTCAATAGACTTGACCTCAAACTTGATATTGGCTGGCAGGTATTAGCAGCTTTGGAGGGTTTATGATGCGTACTTGATTTAGAATATCTATTGCTTTCTAATCAATTCAATGCGAAATCACTTGAGGCAGCCTAGAGCTTCCCTAAGTTACAAATACTTAATTCCTTATTTTTAAGTTGAATTTCCATACATATCATCAAGGCTATTGAATAAGTATACGTTTTATTATCATATATTTTAGGCTTCTTATATATAAACTGACTTTACTTGAAAAATGATTTTGAATATAAAACAAAATATTAGAACATAAAGATAATTTTTTAGAATTTTTACATAAAAAATAATGACTGCAAATTCGTCTAACTATGCATGCAAATTTTTTAACCTGTATAGCTTCTTTCGTGTTTTTCAGTATTATTATGGATGATCTATCTTTGAGGGCAGGGCTAGCTTCTTCTATATTTTTTATTGTCTTGGACTGTTTAGATAAGCAAAGACCTTTTAACAATCAATTAATTTAATTTCAAAGCTTTTTAAAACCAAGAAAAAGTATTTAATTCGTTAAGAGAAGGTTAGTTTTCGGCGAAGCGTCTGCTACGCTCACAGCCGCATCAACCCTTGCAGGCACAATCTATGTTTCTTGCACTGATGAGACATCAACTTACAATACTTATGCATGTCAAGTAATTGATGGACTCAACGCAAACTCAAACCCTGGTTATGCTGCATACGCAAATAGCACAGCAAGCACAAGTTCCACTTTAACTGTGTCAGGTCTAACTCAAGGAACTCAATACCAATGCTATTTCACTGCTTGCAACAACTACCCACTTTGGCCTTCTTGCATTGATTATTCAACTAGCAGCTCATTGGTCTCAGTATCTATCAAAACTTTAACTACTGACGATGACGCTGCAATGCTAGGCTTATTGGCAGCTTTCCTCTTAATCTTTAAGTGAATTCTTTTCTTTCTAAAACACCTCTTATTATTAGTAATCAAATTATATTATTAGTACCATTAGATAGAACTAAATTCAGCTCGGCTCAGGTTTGCATTTAAATTATTAAGTCTTTACTATTGATATTAAATTGAATAAACCTAAAAATGCAGGCTCAACAATTCGTATTTTTTCCTTTTACTTTGCATATTTTTATTAGGTGCTTTTTATTAAGCTTCTAATTTTACTCGGGTCTGATTATTGCCTTAAAACTTTTTAATTTAATATTAAATATATTGCCAGAAGAGATCCTACAGAGTATCAACTTTTTTGGATTTATAAATTTAAATTTTTTTATTTGAAGTGAGAGAGAGAGAAATCTTCATTACTTAAAGGCCTTTATTTCAGGGCCATGTCCCGATTAAAAATTTTTTAACTTTCTTCTTTTCCTAAAATCTTTGGATAAAATTTTAGTAAAATTTTCTGAACCCACGTAATCCGCGATTTTTTCGATTTCTGAGTCTGATATGAATTTTCTATTTCTGATAAAATTTGAATCTGATCTAAATTTTATTTTCCTGATAATGTTTGATTCTGATATCAATTTTATTTTTTCTAATAAAATTTGAATCTGATCTAATTTTTATTTTTCTGGTGTTCAGGATTTTCTTATCGATTGTCTTCTTATCATCAATGATCACCTCAGTCTTCCTATATTTGAAGGGTTTCCTGAATAGGATCTATTTCATCTAGTATTTTTCCATCTAAACGACTTTAAAAACTCCAATATTTTGTCATCTGTATCAACATTTTCTGTATCACTATCATTTCATTCATACTCTGATTCAGAATTATCAAGTAAATCCTGTATCAATAAGTTCATTTAATAGTAAAAGTTCGAAAAATTCATCCTGTAAAGCTCCGTTTTCTTCACAAAAGGAAGAAGAATAGGAAACATTACTTTCCGAATCTTCCATTAAAATAAAAGTATTTGAAGTGAAGAACATTAAACTAAATTAACTATGCAATTTATTAGACTATATTTTTAATCATTTTAATATGAACAAAAATTTCAATAATAATTTGCATAGACAAATAGGGCATTTAATTTTATTAGGAATTTATACTAACACTCCCATTTCAAATGGACAAAATATCAGTAAATTTTCAAATTTATCGGTGCATTAACCCCTTTAATTTGAACAAGCGTTTTTGATCCAATTTATAGGGGGAAAGAAAATACTTTTCTCTCTCCTAATATTTATTAATATCTTAATAGTTGACCAGACCGTTCGGAGTATTATGAAGTCAATTGATAATTTTATTAATAAATTAAAAATTAAAATTCCACTAAATTAAATTAATTCTGAGTAAAACTTTAATTTGCGACGAAAAAGCAAATTTGTAATAATAAATATCAAGTAAGTTATTCTAATTTACATTACTAACTTTAAAATCACTTTTAAATTAAAAAATAATCCATATAGTCAATGCTCGCATTAATTTCAACTTACCTAACAATAAATTATATAAAATCTTCAATTTTTACAGACTATATTCTAATTGCAGAATTGGAGATTAATTCTTTCACATATTAATCTATCTTGATGCTAATCTCTCTTTCATTTTCCAAAGCATTGTCAAAAAACTCATATTTTTAACAAATATCTCTTATAAAAAAATATATAGCGGATAATATGATTCAAAACCTTTAAATATGACTTGGCTCTGATTTCTCATTAAAAATTTTAAAGAAATGCGTGGAATAGTTGTTCGAAAAACCCTAATTGTGGCTTACTCCCCCCATCCTTGATCGAACGATTCACTGTAAAAATTCCTAAAAATTGGGGGAAATTAACCCCCATCCTTGATCGAATGATTTTCATATCATGCAAATTTTTATATATATAAAAATATATTAGTTATCAAAAGCTTGGGAAGATGTACCTAATGAAGTTGTTTTCAGAGCTTTGAGACGTCATAAAGCTGCGAAATCAACCATCCGAAGTGATTTAGCCATCAAGCTAGGCTTAAAAACTCAATAATCTAAAAAATAGAGATTCTTTAAATTTTTAAAAAAAAATTTAATTCAATAAGGAACAAATTAAAATTTATATACAGTTTAAAAGGGTAACTAATAAATCAAATATTAAAATTGGTATTTTATGAAATTAATTCAATTTTTTGCTGTAAAAATAATTATTAAATACTCTTAAACCTTCTTATTTAAAAGTAAATAAAAAAAAACTATATATATAAATTTTTTTTTCCCAAAAAAAAATTTTTTTTTTAACCCCCATCCTTGATCGATGGCGAGTCGTTCGATCAAGGATGGGGGGGAGTTAGTCATATTTTATTTATTTATTAACTTTTACCGTTTCCTAATTAAGCATTTCTCTATTTATTATTCAAAATAACTCCATAAAACTCCAAAAAACTTTCACTTCAAATCTCAATAAAAACTTGAAATCATAACAACCAAAAACAACAACAATTATCCATCTTCAACAGAAAATCTTCCAGCAATAGTCCTCTCCATCAACAGAAGCTATTTCTCTAGAATTTTTGATGTAAAAACCGATTCGCACATTCCTCAGCCGAGATCGTCTACCAAGAAAATTCCTGTATTGCTTTATGTACCTAGAATCCTCCACATTCCTCCCACAAAGTTTTCTAAGCTTCCCGCCTCTATGAGATGCTTAACTATTAGGTGCGAAAATGCGCCTTAAAAATTAATTGTTTTAATTATTAAAGGCTGCAAGAATCATATAATTTTTACAACATGGCCAAATAAAATTCTGATGCTATGATCTGGTAATTCAGAAAACAATTAGTGCATCATTTTTGTGAAAATTTTATTAGTTTCCTTTCATGAGTGGATGAATCCCTCAATGAATCATCGAATACATCAATTTCACTCCCTCCTTTAAATTCTCAATCAAGCAATAGCAATCTATCAATCTCTGAGTTTGAAAAATAATTAATTCGAGAATCAAGCCAACTCTAATTCTTATATTAATTAAAGAAGTGAGATTATTAAATTAATTATCAAAGATATAATTTTACAAATCATTTTATCATTCATATAAATATAAAATGGTGCTTTTGTAAAGATAACAATCCATATATGTGCTTTGCTTAGTAAAAATATCAAAGTTTATATTTTTAAATTCTGATCGATAGAAATAAAAATAGTAATTTATTTAAAATGTCCTAATTTTAGTAATTCACCATTTCCATATTACTTATTTTAAAACTCCAGCCATTAATAAAATGGAAGGAGCCAATAAAAGAATCGACAGAGCAATGATTAGTCTAGATCGCTTAGAAGAGAACTATAAACGAACTTCAGTTGGCTGTCTAGTGGATTATCTTTACAGTAATGGACATACTCCAATAGAGGAATTAATTGAGTATGTGAAATCCAAACGTGATGGAATGGCTACAACCAGAGGCAAAAAATTCACCAAAAATGCCTTTGAAATCGTTGACTTCGCTCTGAGTTGGTACCCAAAAATATTTAGATTAGACGATCATTATCACTATTTTTTAAATGTGACGGTTACATAGGAAGAAGAAGCTTTAAAGCACTGGGAGCATTTCAAAGAAGGAAGCAAGCAAAAGGCAAAAATTTCGAAGCAGAAATATCGAGCCCGAATTTTGGAGAAGACCCTTAAGAAGGAAGAAGATAAGAAAAGGTTTAGAAAAATTAAAAATCAAATTGAGAGCGACATAAAAGGTTCTCTCAAGGACTATTCTGTGATTACTAAAGCCTACATGATTCTTCTGTCTGATGATAAAGAGAAGGTCGATAGCTTGAAAAAATGCATAAGAGATGCCTATATATCTCTAATAAGGCCTAGATCTTAATTTCTGATTAAAAAGGGACTTGAAATAAATGTTATTGCTTCGTTTATTTAGCTGTAGACATGGAGGTATTCATTTCAATTGTGCAGGTAGGTAGTACTTTACTTAATTGTTCTGCTTTTTACAATTTTACACTTCTAAAAATTTAACTTTTGTCGTATGTTGAGGGTTAAAAATTGGCTTATCTAAATATGCGCCATTTATAAGCCCAAAGAGACGTTCTGATTGAAAATTAAATTTTAAATTTCTTGAATCTTTTGAATTTTGACTGCATTTTAGGCATCTATAGCTTAGTCTTGTTTTAAATAAGTGATTTCCCTCTAATTTACCTTTGCACTCGACTTTATGTTGATAAATTTTTTTTTGGTTCTTGAAGAGGAGACTACTGGAAAGGAACCTCCCTTCAAGGTCCTAAGATTTTTTCCAGCTCAGAAGATGCTTTTGGAATACTCTAGAGTGCTTTTTCAATAATTCCATCACCCTTTTACTTATAATATATAAATGAAAGGCAAGCTGCTTTGAAGTATATTTAAAAACACTTTACTCAATTTTACAAATAATTTTAGTTCTTAATTTATCTAATTTCTTTTAATCATGCTCTTATTGTCTATGCGAGCCTATAAGCCTAAAAATCCTCATGCCATTTATACAGTTTTCTGGCCAGTTCTTATAAATTTTAGACAGAATTTCTTCACTTCTTCAATTTCTCGATGAATAAGCCTTCAGAATTAAACTCCTGCTTAAACTAATGCACATTTGGCTTAGCCTTTCTTTTGATATCAATTATATCGACCTACAAGTTCTTCTTAAAAACTTATGATTTTGTGATGATTTTTAGCCCAGCTCAGATGCTCGATTTTTCAAATTTTTTTTAACCGATGATGTTGCTTTTGCTAATAGATTCTTACTTATGCCACTTATGCTCTTCTGTCTTGGATCTGCTCGATGAATTTGAACTTGGATAGCTTTTCTTGTAATTTTCTACTAGTAATTGCTTGATAACTCTTCATCATTTCCTGTTTTATTGACGAAATTTCATCAAAAGACTTTCAATACGATTAGCTTCTTATCAAACTCGCCGCCGGGCTCAGGAGCTAAGTTTTTGGACCCGTCATCTTTATTATTATAATTCTGCTCCCGACCCCTGTAATACTCCATTTTAACTAGAAGAAGTCACTTTGCGGCGAAAAATCGATTTTTTTAAAATTTTTTTTTTAAAAGTTTCCCTCGTTTATTTGAGGTATTCTTGCATAAAAAGCTCACTATGAAAAGTCTTATAAGCTTTATTGCTCTTATTGGACTGGCTTCTTGTGTTTCAATAGGATCCAAGGACAGTACGCTTGATCCTGGTAGAATTGTTTGGCCAAAAGAAACTTGGGTAAGTTCACCAATTGAGTTGGGCAGAGCTAATTCAGGTCTGACAGCTACTATTACTTTTAACTTCAGACCATCAACAGCTCTGACCAGCGGCTACGTTGAAATCATTCTCCCAAGTGGATTATCTGGCACTCTTACAGCAACAAAGACACTTTCAGCAAACACTGATACCAGTGCTTCTTTCCCTCTTGTTTTACCTTCAGGAGCTGCCGTATATGGCCCATTTGGCATTCTTACTAGAACATCTTCATCAGGTCAAATTATTGATGCAAACTACGTTTTCGGTTGCATTGCTACTACGGCCTCTGTGACAAGTTCATCTACTCTTACAGTCACAACAGTTTCAGGAGCTACAAGTCCAGTTATTTCAACTACTGATGGCATTTACTTCGCATTTTCTCTTACTCAAAGTTTCTGGAGACATGATCTAATTGAAATCATCCCAGATTCAGACTGGTCTTTTGCTTCAAGCTCAGTTTCTTGCTCCTCTTCAGATGTCACTAGTGTGACCAACCAGCTCTACGGATATGATGGCACTCATAACCTTCCTTGTGCATTGGCAACTTCCAGCTCTGACACAACTGGGCCCATAATTAAAATATGGCAACATTCAAATTTTCTAGTCTCTCAACAAAATATTTTTTCTCTTTCATGTTTTTTTATTATGATGTTTGGGTCCACCTAGTGAAGCTATCATAGAGCCGTCAGTCGGCAACATTGCTTGGAGGCAGGCCCTGGTGCAATAAAGCAGATTGGCCCAGAAGTCTGTGGGCCGGTGTGATGAAACCGTAGCGGGAAGCTCTGGCTTTGGGCAAATCTGTAAAGGACGTTAAACTTATAAATCTTAATGTAATGAAGTTATCAGAGAAGTTAGGGCTAATTTTTTTTCCTCTCAAACTCTTGACTCTAGGGAATTGCATTTTGCCACTGTACCTCCTATCCTAGGAGGCAAGGTTGGGACCTTGAGGGAGCTTGATGGACCCAAAACGGTCATGTGAGCTTAAAAGAGGTAGTCGAGGCCCAAACTCCATATGTGAGTAAATTCAAGGCCTCCAAAATTTGGAAAAATTCTCTTAACACCATCCCATTACATTTTTGGAACATCTTGGCAGCAGACAACTTGACTGTGTTTTTAAACGTAATAATTGATCATGCATACAATTGGCCCTCAATATACAAGCACAGGCTCAAAGAGTGTTTATATATACGGAGTTGATAAAGATGTTATCATAGCAAGCTCCCTTTCTGGTTCATCTAGAAATTTAACTCTTTTTGTTAATTTTAAATAATTATTCGGCCCTGGGAAAACAATTTTTGTATTTATGTTTTAAGCTTAAATAACTTTCTTCCTTTCCATCAAGCTTAAAGTCTCAACATTCACTCTTCCTGGCTTCGTGAAATCTTCCTCAGCTAATACATGGACTGTCAAGATTTGGAGGTTTGGCACTAATAATTTACTTGCCAAATACTCTGGAAGCGGTCCAGTTACAACAGCAGTAGGCGCCGTAACTGTTAGTTCATGGAAATCTAAAAGCGGTATTGACGAGAGCATTGTTCCAGCTTCCACAACCCTATTCTCCACTGTCACATTCACCAACGCTCACGCAATTCCTAATGGTGGATCTGCTGTCATTACTTTTACCAGTGTCGATATTTCAAAAGACTGGTGGGCAGATGTAGATGCCACCGATACTTCAGGTGCCAAATGCTTCATGTCGTCCTCAATTTCTGCTACCTGTGCAAATACTGATTCAACCAAGGTAACAATTTCTTTCACTGCTGCTCTTGCGGCATCTTCATCAGTATCTGTGACTTTGTTGACTGCTTTATCATCAGGTGCAAAGATTTCCTCAATTGTTACTTACTACACAGGAACAACCCAAATTGACGCTCTTGCAAGCTCATACTCATGGCCTCTCAGCTCTACTAATAAAGCACTTGGCCACTTCTCATATCATGCATATGCAGATGCTTCAAATAACTACCCAGATATTGGCGACGCATCTCCAACTGTGACAGCTGGATATTTACTCGGAGCTGACAAAACCAGTGATCTCTACTGGGAAATTTTGCCTAATGCAAATGTTAACTGGGCTATAGGCACAAGCATTTCAGTGAACCTTCCAATATCTTCATCTCTTTCATACACTTCTTCTTATATAGCTGGGGATGCCACTGTCTACGATTTGGTAGATCCTTTTACAAGCGCTGCAGCTCTTTCAACGACAACAACTGGAAGAACCTACTCACAGAGTGGAAATGTTATCACTGTTTCATTTACAGCAGCCCCAACTGCATCTAATTACCTCGTTTTTGGATATTCAGGAAACTCAGCTTTACCTTATGTTCGCTCAAACTTGGCCACTTTTTACGAATGTTGGGCCAAGGCAACAACCAGCACAACTATTGAAGTTGGAAACTCTGTTTTCTCTGTCCTAGATACTGACTATGCAAATGCAGGCATCCTCACAGCACCATTATGTCTTAGTACCGTTGGCGCTATACCACTTATGACCACTTTTATCGCGAAGTTGATGGCTATGGATTTCTCGTCTTCAACTAATGTTTTCACCCTTGAAGTGACCATTGCTGGCGGTGCAGACTTAGGAACTGGCTTAGCTGATAAAAGCGATCTTCCTTGTGATGCAACAGTTGACGGAGTAACTTGCACTTTGACTAAAATTAACAGTGGAGCAGACAGTCTCATCACAATTAAAGGACTCGGTACTTTGGCAAAGGATGATTCAGTCTCAATCTATATCGCAAAAGGAGCAATAGCTGCTTCAACATCCTTAACACCTACCACTGCAGTTTATTACCAAACATCAGCAGACTCTAACATTAAAAATTACCTATTCACAAGTAAAAAGGCATCTGCTTATACCACAGCAGCAGCTGTAGCATTGACTGCTGCAACCTCAACAACTACTTGGACCATCGGTAGTAGTCAAACTCTTGCAATCACTGGCGCAGATGTGAATGCTAACACAGCCACTGGCACTTATATTGGAATTGGCTTACCTGCAGGTTTCACCTTATCTGGATCTGCAATTACAGCTGCTACCAAAGCTCCTACAAAGACTTATATGGCAACTATGAGCGATAAATACTCAGTTGGAGGGTTCATTATGGGTATTGATGATGGAGACTACGGTCTTTCAACAGGTGGATCTGCTATGTCAATAACGAATATTGTAGCACCAGGATATGCTGGAGCTACTAACGGAAGCAACAGCATTCATTTCAACGTATTTGTTGCAGCCAATGTTGGAGCTGCTTGCACAGCATCTGATATATCGAAAATTACTGGCAATACAATTAGTGTCGGAGCGATTACTGATGTTTCATGCAGCTCATCAGCCTCTTCATTAAGAGGGCCTGACTCTGTTGACTCAACTATGACTGTAATAGTTACAGTTCCAGATGCTGTACCTAAGAATGGCATAGTAACTCTTACTATGGATACCAACTGGTCATATTCTTCTGCAAGTTGTACAGTCACAGGAATGACAGGAACTTGCGTAGCTGGCACCTCTACTGTAATAACTGCATCAGCAGATTTTTCAGCTGGAGCTATCACTGTCCTATTCTCGCACGTACTCCCACCTACTTCAGGCTCAACTGCAACCTGTGTTAGCGCAGTGACAACTCAAGATGCTAACAGTAACTACATTGACTCTGGATCATCACTCACTCCTCCAGCGATAAACAATTTCTTGCTTATTCATAGGCTTTTTTTGCAAAAATTTTTAAATAGAAAATTTAATATGAATAGATCGATAATTGCTTATTATTGGGTGCTTTCAGATAAAAGCCCAATAATAAGCAATTTTCGATATATATTAAATTAAATTTACTTTAAAAAACCCTCACGAATAAGAAAGAAATTGCTTATTACTGGAGGAAAGTCACCCAAACTATTAATCTTGCAGCTGCTGGAAGTGCAGGCACCTCTACAATCACTGCAACCGCATTTCCAAACTTTGTTGGAGCTGCTAGTGTTGACATGTATCTTTCATTCACTCTTTCTAAGCAACTCCCAGCTGGCAGTGTTATAAGTATTTCACATGAATAAAATATGGCGTCTTCGTCTGGGCATGGCCGGGAGGCCATGCATACTCGACTTATATTTTATTTATATCCGGTAAGGTTTTACTACTTCAGAAATGGACGGCAATGCTAGGTAAGCAATTCTGGTTGTGTTCAGAGCCTAGCCCAAGTCTAAATTCAGAGGTGGTTTTTTCCTCGTGGGGAAGATGAGCACGGAGGTTGGAAAGGGGAAGCCCAGCAGAGTCCACACGACCAATCGGGCAACTCCCTAGCGTGAAACTGGGCGTTACGTCCCAGGCTTTCGAGTTCTACCTTCTACCGACAGTCGACCAGAAAATCCATTTTTTATGGATTTTCGGAAAGACAACCCACGTTGGTGTGAATCCCTTGTTTGAGGCAACAAGGAGGGTGTCCGCCGAGGCCTCACCATAGGCGAAGAGCGTGAAGGGGTGCAAATCCCCGGCCCTGCAAGTGCGAACGGCTAATCTTAATCTTAATCTTAAATAAGTATTTCACCTGGCGGTGTCGGTTCATGGCTCAAATCTGGAGACATCAAGGACTACTGCTGGTCGAATCTTGCATACTCAGCATGCACTGTTACAAGCTCAAATGTCCAAGTCACCCTAGTAAACAGCTTATCATCTGGATCAGCAGTCCAACTCTATTTGGACAGCGCCATTACTCTCCCAAGCAGTTCTGGTGCAACTTCAACTGGCTTCCAAATCTCAGCTACGTGGAGCGACGTGAGTATTATTTCAGACAGCAGTCCAGGAACCGTTTTTACAGTCAATGCAGCTCCAGCAGGTGCAGTAACACTCACCTCTGTGAAAATTAACAATGTTAATAACGCTGGCGAGGCAGCGAACTATCTCTTCAGCTTCACAAGCAACCAAGCTGTTGCCAGTGGAGACTACTTCATCATCCAATTCCCAAGAGACTTTGACGCTTACCTTGGAGACGCAGATAACACTTATCCAGACTGCTTCCCTAATGATTGGTATCTTACCTGCAGCTCTACTGCTCTTGGAAGTGTTGCATGTGCTGCTGACCATTGGTATCTTAAAGTCTCTGGTGTGTCTAAAACAGCAACTGCTTCAAGTAGCTTAGATCTCACAGTCAATGGAATCAGAAACCCAGATTCTGGAACCACAGGATACTTCAACATTTGGCATTATGGTTCAACTGGAACTGTTAAGGCCTATGTTAACTCAGCTATTAGCGTGACCACCTTAGACCCAGTAGCAAACTCAGTAACACTTAAACCTGTAACCGTCAGTGGACAATTATTATCTGGATCATCCACCTATTCATTCGACTTCTACAGCGCTGGCACCTTCAGCAGTAGTTATTCCTTCGAAATTCGCTTCCCACCACAATTTAACCTTAAACTCGCCAACTCAGGAACCACAGCTTGCACAACCAAATACTACGACGACTCAGGAGCTGCAAACACTGACTCAACTGTTGCCGTTGATTGGAGCTCAGGAACTACTTCTTGCACCGCAGATGTTGTCACTGGAAGAGTGACTCTTGCCATTCCTTCAACTGTCACTAAGACATTTGCATCAACTGACAGAATAAGAATCAATTTAACTGCTATTAGTAATGCCCAATGGGGACTCAGCAGGTCTGACTCTATGTGGGACAACAAGGACACCTCAGCCTTCGGATCTTTCTCCCAATGGACTAACAGATTTAGTGTAGCCGCAATCAAAACTACTGACTCCACAATCAGTGCTAAAAGCTATGACATCCTCAATGCAGCTTATCTCGGTCTTAACCCTGTTGCCACTGCTGTTGCCGTCAACTCATACAACCCAGCAAACGGAAATAACAAGATTCAGCTGACCCCAGGTACCCAAAGCCAAGATATCCAAATCGTAGTAGATCCTTCATGGCCAATGAAGTCCAAATCATTGAAATTGACTGCAGCTTCAAACTCAAATTATCCTGACAGCGGAAACCTCGAGTTCACTTCAGTTCACCATGGCTACATTGTTTACCAAATGACCAAGACAATAACTTTCAGAGTTTCAGCAAAAACAGGCACTTCACAAGGACTTTATTATATCAATTGGTCTCCTTCAGAAAGCAGACAGCCAGGCGTTTCAAGTGACCTGTACTGTGCCCCATTAAGTGTTTTGGTTGAGGTATGCACACCTTCATCCACCATTACTCCAACAGTTGCAGTAATTCCAACTCTTTACAAGTCACATAAGAGCATCCCAATTGCAGTAACCCTTGCTAGATCCCCTGCCACAGACATTACTATCACCCCATCTACCACTTCAACTGGAATCTCGTTTAACCCAACTTCCCTTAAGTTTACTAAGGATTCTGATGTCAAATACTTTGAAATCACTGCCCTATTTTTATATATAAGTATAAAAGCCATTTATAGAAGAATTGCAAAACGTTAATTTTTTTAAAACTTTACTGCTTATAGCGATTCTTCAAAAAGACTTTTATGTCATTATAAATTATAAGCCAAATCACTGTTTCATCAACCTATGATTCCACTCAAGCATCTCCAGTAATTGCATTCTCCATTTCAGGAACTGATGCAGGCGCTTATGGAGCGATTGCTTCAAGAACAGTTACTGTTTCATCCACAGACTCAACAGCCACACAGCCGACTATCACCATTCAGCAAGGCACTATCACTGGAAACTCAATTACTCTGACTGTCACTTCTCCACAAAACGGAGTTCTATATTGGGGATTCTCCTGCAAAGGAACAAGTACTCCTACATTCGCTGAGCTCGTTGCAATGGCTGCAGATCTCGTTTCTCCTACAAATGCAACTTATTCTTACCAGGAATTGAAAGATATGGACTACGAAGACACTGAGACAGATATTGACTCGACTAAAGGTGACACTGATATCAACTCTTTCTTCAGAAGAATGCACGCTAAGCATTGTGCTACTTATTACACCAATGCCCAGGTCATCTACACTGGCACTTCAGCTCAAGTAGTGCTCGATAACCTTATGGGAGGAACAGACTATGTTTTCACTGCTTATGTTGATAACAGACTTATTGAAAGCACTTCAAGCTACACTGCAGTGACCAGCTCATTCAGTACCTCTGCACTCCCAAGTATTACAACTACAAGTGTTTCCTTCTCTGGATCTGTCGCCCAAAGCAGCAGTGACAACATTAGAAATGTGCTGGCTAAAAACATGGGAGTCAACCCATCATGGCTAACTTTAGCTACTTACACCCCTCCTACTTCAACAAGATACCTTCAAGATTCAACTGGAACCTCTACTTTCATATACAATGTGCTTTACGACAGAGCCCTCTCAGCAAGCTACCCATCCAATACAATTGCTAATAACCTTGCTGGAACCCAAGCTACATCTGAGTTCGCCAGCTTGTACAGTTACACTACTTCAGCCTATGCCACAGCAACTGCATCAACTGGAACCACTCCTTCATGGACTGTAGCTCCAGCCTCTTCTACAGTTGGAGAAACATCTGCTGCTTTCACTGCAACCTCATCCCAAGCAGGCACAATCTATGTTTCTTGCACTGACGAGACATCAACTTACAACACTTATGCATGGCAAGTAATTGACGGACTCAATGCAAACTCCAACCCTGGCTATGCTACATACGCAAACAGCACAGCAGCCACAAGTGCCACTTTAACTGTATCAGGTTTAACTCAAGGAACTCAATATCAATGCTACTTCACTGCTTGCAACAACTACCCACTTTGGCCTTCTTGCATTGATTATTCAACAAGCAGCTCATTGGTGTCAGTAACAATCAAAACTTTAACTACTGACGATGGCGCAGCAATGCTAAGCTTGTTGGCAGCTTTCTTCTTACTCCCCCCCTCCGTGAGTGAACAAAAAAATTGTGTTCACTCAAGGAGGGGGGTTAATTTTGTTTTTTTTAAAAAAAATTTATATATAAATCTTATAAAAAATATTGTTTTTCGAAATTTAAAAAAATCCTAATTCGCAAAAATTGGAAAGCAAATATTAATTTAATTTATAAAATGTTTTAAAAAGCAATTCGTTTAAAATTAAACAGAATTAGCTTTAGATTTCATTATACTAATTATCATTTTATATATAAAAACTTTTTTCCATAAACAATTTTTCTATTAAAAAATTTTTGTTCACTCACGGAGGGTGGGTTTTTGGGCAAAAAATAGGGATTTTTCCAATGGTTTTGCTCACTCACAGAGGGGGGAGTTACTACTTTACTCTTAAACACAAAATATACGAAAATAAATGGAGAAGTAATAAAATTAAATCAAAAAATTTTGTTAAAGTTTTTATGATGAGTTAAATCTTTAACTAAGCCCTTTTCTTTAAAATTTCTTATTTAAAATAGCATTTTTACTCAATATTTAAATAAAGTATTCGTTTTTTTTGACGAGCAACTAACTTCTTATTTTATTTTCTTAATCCTCCAGTCTTAATTGGAAAAAAAATCGGTAACATTTCTATTTTTGATTAAATAGTTTTACTTTAAATTGAAATAATTTATTTAAATATTTTAAAAATAATACCTGCTATCTAAATTGTTTTGAAACCTAATTAATGCTCCAAAATTGAATAGCACCCTTTAAATAAGTTAGTATTATATTAATAAATTTTTTATACTTTTTAAAAAAATTAACTCCCATTTAAATTAGAAAAGATTTTTGTTCCTATATAAAGAAGGAGGTTTAAAGTATTTTATAGGATATTGATGAGTCTAAGTCTCGAATGCCAATTTTGTATGAGTCAAAATTTTTGAATTTATTTGTTTTTTAATTCGAATTATTGCTTGCGCTTTATTCTTGATTTAATATTTTGAAGTGCTTTAATACTTTTTAGAATCATATGGGCATTATTTTATAGCATCTTGGCATTTAGCAAGTTGTTCATAATGGCTTCCACAATCAATCGCAAGTGTCCGAAAATAGTCTAAGAGCATTTATTTCTAAATATTCAATCTATTACAGCATATTAATTAACTACTTCTTAAATTACTGAAAAATGGTTTAAGTAAAGGATGAGCATATTGAAGATGCAAATGAGCATAGCAGCGCTTAGAAAATTTCAAGCCACACAATCTGCACCTTTTTTCAAATCTATTAATTACATTCAGGAGCTTATTTGATACAATTATTTCTTCTATGTGCTTTACTAAATTATGCAAATAATACTCCTCTCTGTGCAAGAATCTCACCGAGCAATATGAGCACCTTGGGTGGTCCGTTCTAAGATGATAGGAAAGCCTTTTAGTGGATTTCTCAGTTTTTGAGCAAATCGGGCAGACTGGAGTGAAATTGTGGAACTTCGCCATGTGGGCTCTTGCTTGCTTGAACCCTTCGAAGTGAAAGTTGCATTGTGGGCAGTTCCCTTCATAATTCTCATCAATTGACTGTGGGCCGTCCATATATTTATAGCCCCTTTAGCTATTTCAATGCATTTTTAAATTAAACAAATTACAATAAAAATTCAGCTAATGTTATCATATTAAAATCCTTGAATAATTGCTTTCTTCAAGGGATATAAAAGTCCTTTAGCTTTCATCTTGATCAAGCGTGCCCTTTTCAGATGTTTGCATTCCCCTATGCATTTTCTGTTATCATGCCCAGCCATGGCCCGAATATATTCCATTCTCAAGTGTGGCGGAATTGACTCTAAATCTGGGTATTTTTTTAACACTCATACAGCAATGTTTCCGTCCTTATCAAAATACTCTTGTTCGTTTTCTTCCAAAAGGTTCTTTTTATTGGAAATTCTTTGAGATTTATTCTTCCCTCCTAGAGGAATTGCGGATTGTTTTTCAGTTGATTTTTCGTTTTCAAAACCGTTTGAAAAAGAGCTGTTGCAATGGTCATGGTCATTATTGTTGCTTGGGCTCAAAAAGGATGATAAGAAGCTTTTGCGTCGCTTTTGGTCTGATGAGTTGGCTATATCTAAAGCAGACTTTAAGTTAGGATCTATAGAAATTGCCCGAGGATGGCGCTATATTGCGCCATCCTCGGGCAATTGGAGACACGGCTCCACACGGGAATTGTGTTTCCACGTGTGGAGCCATTTTTCCACGTGGGAAAATGTGGATTCCACACGTGGAAAAATGGCTCCACACGTGGAATACGGTTCCCGTGTGGAGCCAATTTTCGCTTGCCCTAGGATGGCGCCATATAGCGCCATCCTAGGGCAAATCCTATAGCATGGCTTGCTGATTAGTTTGTCCTGGAATTTGTAGTGTGTTCCCATCATGAGGATTTTTCATTTTTGATGATCCATTTCACCCATATGATGGCGTGTCTTCTGGACTTCTCCTTCTCGAGCTTGTTCCAGAGGGGATTTTTTTGAGTATTGATTTATTTGGCTCCATCAGCTCAACTGTATAATCGATTTTTTTTAGATTATATTTCCTTATAAGAGACTCTTCATCAATATTTTTATATTCAAAACTGGCCCCACCATGCTCCTGTCTTCACTGCTGCTCTATCTGTGACAGCTTTTCTTGAGCAACAATTCCGCTTAGCTTAGCTAAATATAGCTCATTTCCTAACTCCCCCCCCCCCTCCGTGAGCGAACAAAAAAAATTTTGTTCGCTCACGGAGGGGGGTTAATTTTTTTTTTTAAAAAAAATTTATATATAAATTTTTATAAAAAAATATTTTTTTCGAAATTTAAAAAAATCCTAATTTGCAAAAATTGGGAAGCAAATATTAATTTAATTTGCAAAATTTATGTTTTAAAACGCAATTTGTTTAAAATTAAACAGAATTAGCTCTAGATTTCATTATACTAATTATCACTTATATATCAAAATTTTTTTCCATTAAAATTTTTTCTATTAAAAAAATTTTTGTTCACTCACGGAGGGTGGGTTTTTGGTCAAAAAATGGCGATTTTTCTAATGGTTTTGTTCGCTCACGGAGGGGGGGGGGGGGGAGTAAGGCTTTCAATTTTTCATTTGCTTGCTCAAATCCCTGTTTAAACTTTTCACTTTCTTCAAGTTTCCTATACAAGTTTCCCAGCTCAGCTTTATTTTTCCTTTCTTTGTCTTCAATTTCCACAATTTCGGCTTATGTCGTTAGATTTAAGCGCTTTAGTAGGGGAATATTTCAGGGGGAATTTGGTCGAGTTTTTGATAATAAGACATTTATTAGGAAAAACTGTCATAATCGATCAAATATCTTAAGAGGTAAAAACTCGACCAAATTTATCAAAACAATTGGATTAAAAAAATGAGCCACAATTTTCTCCTTATATTTGGCTATTGAAGCTTTGGATTGCTCCAACTGGAGCTGCAAGTCTTCCGTATTCGCTTTAAACAAGTTTATCTGCTGCTTATAATTTAAAATTTTGAGCTCTTTTTCTTTCAATAAATTTGTCAATGCATCATACTCATTTAAATCCACGAATTTTATATCTTACTTAACTTAATTATCTGGTGTTTAAGGTGTCTAGTGCCGCAGCCCAAAAGGGCCTATGGCAAAACTGATGACGTAGGCGAGCCATCTTGGCACGGGTCAGCCCCGTCCAAGCCTTCTATCAACTCCTGCTTCACCGGCCTTGCTGCACGTCTCACCCGGCGCGTTTGCCGTCGCCCTTGTCGCTCGACTCAGCTCCTGCGCGTGTTCCGCCTAAGGGTCATCCTCCCGTGGGGATGTGCTGAGAGGTAAAAGCCCGAAATCTTGAGTGGACTGAGGAGTGGTTCCTTTGGTTATCCCCCAGAGTTAAACCACTATTGCTGTCCAGAAGTTCTCGAGTGAAAACCTAACCCTATAAATAAAATTCCATGAGGGAGAGAAAATTAGCAAAGCTAATTTCTCTCGAACCGAATGCCATTTTATTTATCATGAATTTTTATATCAGTCTGCAAAAACTTATCGATCTTTGACCTATTAAAATTTACTTTTCGATTCAGATGTGTGCTGATTTCGTTTTGGATGACTTTTAGGCTCAATTTTAATGATCTCTATGAGAAATTTGTTTGGAATTTTTGATAGTGAGACATTTTACCAAAAAGTCCTTCAATACACCTTACAAAAGTGCACGATCATTGGACCTGCACCCGACTTTTATGCCCTGCTCAATGTCTTGTACGTAGTGAACAATATTTATATCCAAAATATCAGGGGTTTCGGAAGGACTTGGAACATCAGTCAGCATCAAGCATAACGAGTCATGCAAATCATTGAGTTTCTGTGATAAAACCCCTTGAGAAATTTTCTGGAATCGGTTAGCAAGTCGCTTAAACACTTCAAGCTCCAAACTTGGCTCTTCTTTAACTGGAAGAATGATACTTGGGGTTCTCTCTATTGCTAATTCATATGTTTGGGTCAGCTGCTCCCTGGTTCGCTTTTTAGGAATAATTTCTGGCTTAGGGGCTTCAGACCTATTGATGATTTTTTTATAAGCCCTTGTCAGCCCAACTAAACCTCGGACCAGGGTGTTTCCAATTCTAGCGTCCTGTTGTTTAAGTAAAATTGACAATCCTTCTAGGTAGTTTTTATAAGCTGAGAATTCTTTTAGGCCGGTTTCTGGGTCATTTCGATCCAGAAAGTTATAAGTTTTGAGTTCGATTTCTTGCTTATCCAGCTCTTCTTCAAGCCTTTTTAATTCGTCTCTTTGGAAAGATGGGTTTTGAGGTTTCTGGAGATTGAATGAAAAAGAATGGGACGCTGAATTTTCAAGAGAATTTTCAAAGCTGTCTTTTGAAATATGGTTTATTCTGAATTTAATCTTACATTGAGCTTTTATGGCTGCTGCTTTGTCGGGTAGATCTAGCTGTTAGCGAGTGATTTATTGCTTTTGGGGGAGAAATGCTTGTTCTTATGTTTATACTTGGAAGTGCTTTTTTCATAATAATAAAATTTAATTATGAAAAACAGAGTCTGCTTCATTTGCTTAAATAATATAAAGTAAATTTAACTTTAAATATATAATAAGAATGGGAATACTAATATAAAAAGGTCAATAAACTTTTAAAATAATTTAGATTTGGATAATTTTTATTTTTACTTTGCCAAAGAATATTTTGAATACCACCAAATAAATAGACTTTTGTGAATAACTATTTCGCAAGCTGCTTATTTAATTTTAATCTAAAAACTTTAATGATCACTATTAATGTTTAAATCATATAATATCACCATAATATGAGTTGCTTGACAAAAAGTCTCTCAAGATTCCAGGTTCTTTTTATAGCTCTACTTTCGTTAACCATACTATTTTGGCTTCTTGTTGCTTATGTTGACATACAGAGCTTTTTAACTCTAGAAGCCGATGATACCGAAATGTTGGGTGAGCTTAACAAGCCTAATTCGTTTCTGAATAAGACAGAAAGAGAACATAATTATAAGCCTAATTTCAAAGAAAAACAAGGAGATGAAAAAAATTACACCAGTCCAGATGAGAAAAATCACCTTAGTGATAGCAATTTCAAAAGGGACTCTGACACAATTTATGATCAGAAATCCGAAGCAAACTTAAACGAAACAGCAGTAATAGATTCAGATTTAAGCCAAATTGACTCTAAAAACAAAAATCTTGGCCCAAATAATGATAAAGTCAGTCAATCCAATTATGAAGGAAATCCTCTTATTGGCCAACTTAATAATTCAGGGTTATCAGATATTCCAAAAAATTATTCTGCTGGGTCAGGGGAAGAGCAAAATCCTATTCTTGATAAAGATAATTTTTTAAATTCTGACCTTAACTTAACTTAACTTATTAACCATCACGTTTAACGTCTCCTACGGGGTTGCTCTTCCAGGACTATCACCACGCTCTCGTCGCTCGGGGCCCACTAGTTGCTGGGACAACTAGCTCTGATCTCCAACGTGCGCCTCCTGCGCAATGTTCCGGCTTCGACGGCTCATGAATGAGCTACTTTCTCTGTAACAAGGGTTGTCTGCTGGGAAATTCCAAAAAATGGGATTTCTGGCCGACTTTCGGCAAAAGGGGAAAACTTGTAGCCCGGGGGCGAAACTCCCGGTTTCTCGCTAGAGATTTGCCCGAATGACCTAGGAATTACTTGTAGGCGTTGCTGGGCTTCTCCTTTCCAATTCCAAGCCTCCTCTTCCCTCGAGGTAAAATCCTAACCCGAGAACGGACTGGGATCAGGCTCTGTACACTGCCAGAATTGCTTACCTGATATTGCTGTCCCATCTCTAGCTAGGCAAAACCTTGCCGGATATAATTAAATAGGGCTCGAAACTGTCTGGCCGAGAGGCCAGACCCAAGTTGAGACGCCATATTTTAAATTATATTTTTAAATTCTGACCAATTTATTGCAAGTGAAACTGAAAATTTTGACCCTCTTAGTGCTCATAAAAAAGATTCTAGCAATAAAAATATTTCTTTAGAAATCGACTATGAAATCATTAATAAAGAGCCTGATAACACTATTTCTGATGGACTATCAGAAATGAATCATTCGGACTCCAATGTTACTCAAAAAGAAAAAGACTTACTCCCTCTGTGAGCGAAAAAAAACTATTAGAAAATCCCTGTTTTTTGGTAAAAGCCTACGTTTGATTTTTAAAAAGCTTGCATTTAAAGCTTAAATTTTACAAATTAAGTTAATTTTTGCTTTAAAATAATTTCGAATTAGAATTTTTTATATTTTGAGGATGGGCGATTAAAAGATTTAAAAAGCTATTCTGTTGAAATTTCATCAGAATATTTAACACCTAGCCTTAAAATCAAAAATCCAAATATCCAATGCGTTCCATCTATTTATGGCTACACAAGAGATCAAGCAAAATCTAGATTCCCATATGGTAGTAAAAGATCGTTTGGCTGCGGAGAAAATTTCAGCACTTTTACGCTGAAAGACAATTTCCTCTATTTCAACTGCAGCCCAGGACAATACAATCTAGGGAATGCTCCTGAAAATGAGCTTCTTGGAAATGTCCCATTTATTCAAACGTGAGTCCACTACACAACTCCTGTGAACTTAGGAAAGATCGAATTTGGCTTTACAAAATGCCAGGAAACCAAAAAACAAGCATTTCTCCACAACAAATTATCAGATTATGCTTCAAATAGGGCTCAAGAAAAGCGAAAATCCATAGAAAATAGCTTAAATCTAACATCGTCAAAGCCTTTAACAGTCTTAACAGTGGTATTTGACTCAGTATCCAGGCAGCACTTCTATCGCATACTAACCAAAACAGTAGATTTTATGAATCAAAATATAGCAAAGGGGAATTTTTCAGAAAAATTCGCTATATATGATTTTCAAATTGAGCATGCCAGCGGGGAAAACACTTTGCCAAACATTGTCCCTTTGCTTCTTGGAAATTCATATGATGATCATAAGGCAAAAGTGAAGGGTTTTACCTTGACAACTCAAGCTCAAGAGAGTTGGCTAAGAGTTCAAGAAGAAGATGCGCTTTGAAAACACTATGAAAGACAAGGCTTTGTGACTATGTTTGGTTGGGAAACCAAATGGGATTATTTATCATTTATGGTCGGTAGAAAAGTTTTTGCTGACCACGTTGTAAGTAGCCTTTATAACGCTGCATGGACCCAAGTCGGCTTTTGTGACGTCTGCGATGGAGCCCGGTGCATCGGTAACCAATATTCCCATCAGTTTCTATTTAACTATACCAAAGAATTTATTAGAAACTACAAAGACCATAACAAATATTCATACATACATTTTTCACATGGCCACGAATGGACTGGCTCTGTAATTCGGTCAATTGATGAGGACTTTGTAGCTTTTATTAAGGATGTGCTAGAATATTACGCAAATAATCACGAGGACTTAGTGTTAGTTCTGGCGTCCGACCATGGGATCCACTTACTCCCCCTCCATGAGCAAAAAAACAATGCAAAATTCCTACTTTTTGGGTAAAAGCCCTACCCTCATGAGAGAACAAAAAATTTTTTATTGTAAAATTGTTTCGATGTATAAATGATAATTATATAATAAAATCTCTAGCTAATTCTGTTTAATTTTAAACAGCTTGCATTTTAAAACATAAATTTCTATAAATTAAATTAACTTTTGCTTTCCAATTTTGTAAATTGAAAAAATTAACCCCCTTCTCGCTCACAGAGAGGGGAGCTAGGATCGTGAGACTCTATTGAAGAAGGAAGGATTGAGAATTTGCTGCCTTACTCTTTTGTGATAACCAATAAAGAAATTTTGGAAAAAATAGGAAAAGATACCCATGAAATTTTGAGTCACAATACCCAGCATATTACAAGTAAATTCGATATGCATTTGACGTTAAAATATATGGCGAATGTCCCATATGAGATTATTGAAAAGGACTCGCCGAAATATATCGAACTGAAAAACAATAAGCCTAAGCTGAAAACAGCTGTCTCCTTATTTGTGGAGAAAATTGATGATAATCGTAATTGCGAAGATATAGGAAATCCTGTTTATTGGTGTACGTGCTTGAAATATGAGGAAAAGAAAGTTGATGGGCTGGAAGATCTAATTATTCATATAGGAAATCAAGCTGCTTATGAGATTAATGGACGAATTAAAAGAGAATACATGCAAAAATATTGCATCTCTCCAATGGAATTCGAAAAGGCCATTTCTGTTGAGCATACTCCTATAAAAGGAGTTTCTGAGCCTGATACTGGACTCTATAAAATAAAATACCCTGTGAAAGACCATCCAGACTACTTTTTTTCTGTGCAGGCTGTCGCAGTCCCTGAAAAAGTATTTTATAAATTCGAAAAGATTAGATTAGATTAGATTAGATTAGATAAAATTATAGCGGGTCGTCGGGGTTTATTTCAGCCCCTCTCCGTCCAACGGATAGCTTCGCGTTGGCGCTAAGCGCTATCCTCACACACACCTTTTCCCTACTGATGTCCACAAAAAATGGTGACATCAGAGGTCTGTCGGGGAGAAAACCTACCGTTCGGCTGAGCCTTTCTTGGTCCCAAGATTCAGCCAAAGACTCCCTCAACCTCTGACAGGGCTCAGAGTATGGGTGAACCGTCTTTTGCCTACTCCATGGCCCTGTCGGGACCTTATTGCAGGTCCAAGATTGCTCCCCATGGAGTAGCCTCGGGACTTTGCGCCGGTAGGGGCTTCTGTAGGTAGGGAAAAAAAGAGATCTAAGGTTATCCCTTAGACCAAAAACCCACCCCGGAGAACTATTGCATGTGGCTCGCCTTTCCTGGCCCAAATCAACTCACGGGTTGTCAGGAGTCCACGTCAGATCACGCCATTTTAATAATTTATTCGAAAAGAAGAATGTAGAAAATGACTGATTTCCTATCTCCTTTATCTCTACAAATGGACAACAATATAAAGTCCAAGTGCAATATATAGCCAGAATTAACGAGAAAAACGACATCTGCATGGAAATGGAAGCGTCAATTGGCGGAAAAATTTCTTTTTGTGTTTGTCAGAAGCCAAAAGACTATAAATTTACCCCAGATCTGGAGGAAAGCCAAACCAAATTGTATGAAAAACTTGTTGATTCAGTTTCAGTTGTGGTTGGAAAAAACAAAGCCTCCTGCACAGAAGCATGCAGAGATGAGAATAAGTTGTGCCTTGAATGGGGGTTACAAATTGTAAATCAGTATCTGTTGCTAATGCAGCCATGGAAAGACAAAAACACTTTTAATGTTGTGATAGAGAAAAGGTCTATTGATTTCAAAAGTATAAAAATTGAGAAGTTTGAACATGGAGAAGTCCCAGGGCTGAAGCACCAAAATAATACTTTTACCTTTGTCCAAGCTGATTGAAATATATTGAGATGTGATTCTAGAGCGGAAGATGTTCAGCCAATATGTTCATGCTTGAAGTATCCTATAGAAATAGATTAGTAATCGCTTTAAAAAGTTTTATTCATTTGATATTTAGTTTTCGCGCTTTCTTTTTATTAAGCCACGCAAGTAATTTTAGCCCGTTAGAAAATATTATGTGAAATTATTTGGCATAATAAATGCAAGTATGTAAATGGGTGAATATAATAATGCTTATTTTTAGTGATTTAAGCATTACTAACTCCCCCCCCCCCCTCCGTGAGCGAACAAAAAAATTTTGTTCGCTCACGGAGGGGGGTTAATTTTTTTTTTTAAAAAAAATTTATATATAAATTTTATAAAAAATATATTTTTTTCGAAATTTTAAAAAAAATCCTAATTTGCAAAAATTGGAAGCAAATATTAATTTAATTTGCAAAATTTATGTTTTAAAACGCAATTTGTTTAAAATTAAACAGAATTAGCTCTAGATTTCATTATACTAATTATCACTTATATATCAAAATTTTTTTCCATTAAAATTTTTTCTATTAAAAAAATTTTTGTTCACTCACGGAGGGTGGGTTTTTGGTCCAAAAAATGGCGATTTTTCTATGGTTTTGTTCGCTCACGGTGAGCGGGGGGGGAGTTAGAAAAATCGCCATTTTTTGGCCAAAAACCCACCCTCCGTGAGTGAACAAAAATTTTTTTAATAGAAAAAAATTTTAATGGAAAAAAATTTTGATATATAAGTGATAATTAGTATAATGAAATCTAGAGCTAATTCTGTTTAATTTTAAACAAATTGCGTTTTAAAACATAAATTTTGCAAATTAAATTAATATTTGCTTCCCAATTTTTGCAAATTAGGATTTTTTTAAATTTCGAAAAAAATATTTTTTATAAAATTTATATATAAATTTTTTTTAAAAAAAAAAAATTAACCCCCCTCCGTGAGCGAACAAAATTTTTTTGTTCGCTCACGGAGGGGGGGGGGGGAGTAATGGTTTTGTTCGCTCACGGAGGGGGGAGGGGGAGTAAGCATTTAATTTTTGTCATAATATCAGCTGGATTGCCAGGTATCTAAAGGATTTTTATAATTGTTTTCAATTGCAAATTTCTTTATAAAAATACTGTTTATTTATATTATCAGAATCCTAAAAAATAGTTCATTAATTTTGGAGATTTTCAGAACTATGGTAATTAATTATGCTCTATTCATGGAAAAAAGCCTTAAAGCTGCAAGCTTCCTTTTTAGCCTTCTTTGTAGCAATCATTCTCTTTTGGATGCTCGCTATTTATGTTGATGTGCAATCAATTTCAGATACTGAAGAAAATGCTGCCGAAGAGCCAGTTTCTTCTGAGTTCTTACAATTCTCGAATCCAGACCGGCGCGAAAAGACTTCTCCAGAAATTTCTTTTGATGGAAATCAAAACAAAACTGAAAATTCTGACTCCCCCTCCATGAGCGAAAAAAACCATTAGAAAATTTCTATTTTATTAGTAAAAAACACCCTCCGTGACATTTTTTATGAGTAAATATTTGATATATAAGTGATAATTATTATAAAAAAAATCTCTATCTAACTCTGTTTAATTTTAAACAAGTTGTATTTTAAAACATAAATTTTTGTAATATTTGCTTTAAAGTTGGGATTTTTAAAAAAAACTTTTCCGCCTGGGAGGAGTGAAAATGTTTATGCCGAACTCATTCAAAATTTCAACTCCACTTTTAATAAAACCTCACAGGAAATCGAGTCATCAAGTCCAAATATGCAAGAGCATAGCCAAAATAATATAGAAGAAAACAGAGAAAAGGAAGCATCTAAAGGTAACGATTTTTTAAGCAATAAGCTTATGAACATATCTTCCAGTCAAATGATAAATAAAAGTTCATCTACTGAGGAAGAGAATATGAAAAGCCAAAATACCGAGACTAACAAATCATCAGAATTCGATTATTCAGGGCTTGCTGAAGCTGCTGAAAAAAATGAAACGCAAAGTTTGAGCAATTTTAATACTTCAGACCATTTTAATTTTCAAAACAATTCTGCAGTTATAGGCATAGAAGATAATGAAGAAAAAAAATTATTGAATAAAACAAAAAATAATGCTGGGATAGCTGACAGCAAAGACAATAATGCTACATCTTTAAGTGTCCTGGCAGATATAGCTGAAGTTAATAGTATGACTTCTTTTAATTTCGGTCTTCATATACTTAAAATGGCGATAGAGTGTATAACCTCTCAAGTGATGTTTCTCATGAATATACAGTGCATTTTTTTTGAGTCAGAAGTTGGCCAGCGATATCTATCGTCCCGAAGCGAGAGACTTAAGCAGAAATCCACTGTATTGTAACCTGATCTGAATAGCAGTTACCCGTGATCTCTTGCCGGCAGCACCAGAAACAGTGGGCGCCTGAAATAGAGTAAAGTGAATGACCTCAAGTTGCTATGGTGGCATGCCCAAAATTTAGGAAGCGGTTGAGCATTTTCTTAGAAACGATCTGGGAGAAGAGAAGGCAAATTAGGCCATACAAGTGGTCTCTCTAGTTTAAACGGCTCTAAAAAAGGAGCGATACTGGCCAAGATGATGGGCAGGGATAAGCGACTAGACTGTCGAAGGGACCAAATTGGATATGATGATGCCTTCAACAAACAGGGCCTACCCTACCAAGAGGCCATGGATTTCGGGAAGGGCTTGCTGGAGTTACCAGAGGTGGAAGCCACCCCCAATTTGATTGCACTGCATAGATTCCATCCATGTGAAGCGGGAAATTAAACACCTATCGCTTATCTTAACTTAATTCCAGTCTTCCTTTGAAAAATGAATTCTCAGAAATTCAAAAGGATACGAGCCCTTATAGCATTTCGCAGCCAGATGCATCTTTGAGTGAAAATAAGCAAGAAGAGCCAGATGAAACGCACATTGAAATTACATCAGAGCAGCTTTCACCAGGTGCTATCATCAAAAACCCAGAAATTAAGTGTAAGCCACATATTCTTGGACTCACAAAAAAGCAGGCTTCAACTATTTTTAGGTTTAATAAAAGAAAATTTTCCTGCGGAGATGACTATGATATTTTCTCTTACAAAGATAATGCAATAAGAATGGACTGCGCTTTTCATGGAAAAGCAGAATTTAGCTTGGGAAGCCTTCCAGAAGTAGAAACCATTGGATCTGCTCCAAGCAGCCAAAGTTGACATGAATACAGCTCTCCTACGGATACAGGAGGCTCTGAGTTTGGATTTGCAAAATGCGGGGAATCCAAAAAACAAGCTTTTCTCCATAACAAGTTTTCTGAGAGTGCCTCACGCAGGGCTCAAGAAAAGAGAAAATCCATAGAAAGCAGCTTAAATCTCACGTCTTCTAAGCCTTTGACAGTCTTAACTGTTGTCTTTGATTCAGTGTCTAGACAACACTTCTATCGCATTCTAACAAAAACGGTAGATTATATGAACCAAAACATTGCCAAAGGCAAATTTTCTAAAGAATTTGCTATATATGATTTCAAAATTGAGCACGCAAGCGGCGAAAACACATTGCCTAATGTCGTTCCTCTTCTCCTTGGAGAATCATATGACAACCACAAAGATAAGGTAAGAGGTAGCTCCCTATCAAATTCCGAAAGATTCAAAAGCATTCAGCAAGAGCACTCTATATGAAAGCACTTTGAAGATCAAGGCTTTGTGACCATGTTCGGATGGGAAACCAAATGGGATTATTTATCCAAAATGGTAGGCAGAAAGGTTTGAACTGATCACGTGGTTAGTCGGCTTTATTTTGCCGCTGCCAATCTATTTGGGTTTGCTGAAGAGAGCGACAGAGAGCGGTGCATTGGCAATCATTTCCAGCATCAATACCTCTTGAACTACACCAAAGAGTTCATTAGGAATTACAAAGATCACAACAAGTATGCATATACACATTTTAGCTCTGGGCATGAAAAGACTGGGTCTGTTATCAGAACTATGGATTCTGACTTAGCAAGCTATATAAATGATATTTTAGAGTATTATTCACAAAATGAGGAAGATTTAGTTTTAATTTTGACTTCTGATCATGGATTGCATGTAGGCCCTTGGGATACATATGAAGGAGGCAAAATTGAAAATTTGTTGCCCTACTCATTTTACATATTAAATAAAGAGCTTATAAAAAAACTTGGGAAAAATACTCATGAGACTCTTACCCATAACGCTGAGCATATAACTAGTAAATATGACATGCACGTCTCATTAAAATATCTTGCATACACTCCATATCAGAAACACATCAAAGACACTCCTCTCTATAACAGCCTTAAAAGCAAGCCGCTGCTTAAAAAAGCAGTTTCAGTGTTTATTGAAAAAATTCCTGACAATAGGACATGTGGTGACATAGGAAACCCTAACTATTGGTGTGCCTGTCGTAATTTTGAAGATAAAAGCGTCACAGACTATGAAGAATTGGCAGAGAGTGTTGGGCAGCTTGGGATCTCGCAAATCAATGAGAGAGTCGCAAGAGATAAAATGCAGTATTCTTGTGCCTCGCTAGAGCTTGGCAAGGTCATTGGCATAAAGCATGAGCCAATACCTGGACTCTCATATTTATACAGTGGGATCTACAGCCTTAACGTTACGATAAAAGAGCACCTAGGCTATATTTTTACTATTCAAGCCATCGCAGTCCCTGAATGGGAATATGGGAAATATTCTAGGAGCCCATTTGAAGGCGAAATTTTTAAGATGTCTGATATAAAATTTAAAGACCAACAATTGAGGATACAAGTGCAAAGTATAGTAAGGGCTGATGAAAATAATGATTATTGCATAGAGCTTGGGAAAGGGCTTATAGGGGGGAAAATTTCCTACTGTGTATGCAAAACACCTAAAGACTATGAAATTGCTCCAAAAACAGGACATTCTGAGAAGAAATTTTATGAAAACGTTATGAAATTGGTTTATCCAACTATAGGAAAGGAAGGGACCTCATGTGATGAGACCTGCAAAACAAAAGACCGAGACTGCCAAGAGTGGGGGTTACAAATTATGAATAATTTTGATCTTTTAAGTCAACAGTGAAATGGTGGAGTAAGTACATATTCAATTGCTATGGACGGCGGATTTAAAGACTTCAAGAAATTACAAATAATGGGGGTGGACAGAGGAGAAATGCCTGGGTTGAGAAAAATAAATAAAGAAACTAGGTTTGTACAAGGAAACTGGACTGATCTTTATTGCGATTCTAAAATTTCAGACATAAGACCAATTTGCTCGTGCTCACGCCATCAAGTTGAATTGACTCCCCCCGCCTCGAAGTTCGACCAAGTTTTTTTTGGTCGAACTTCGAGGGGGTTAAGAAAAATTTTTTAAAAAAAAATTATATAGAATTTTTTTTATATAATTATTAGTTAAAAACAAAAATATTTATCATATTCGGTAAGGTTAGAAAAAACAGTGCAAGATAGTTTTGTAACTCTTTTTTAGAACTTGAATACAAAAATCGCAAGCTCACCCCCACATAGTTTTTAAATTTTTGAAAAATTGCTTATTTTCCTAGTAAATTTATATAGGTCTTGGTCGAACTTTGAGGGGGGTTAATTTTTCCAAAAAAATAGGAATTTTCCCTATATCTTGGTCGAACTTCGAGGAGGGGGGGAGTGAGGTAAAATAATATATAAACTTTTTTGCAAAGGAAACATAAATGATAAGATAAATTCTTTATTTTTTGTAATATAACTATCTATGCTTGATTAGTCAGCAACTCACACAAGACTAACAATTTTTTTATAAAAGATTATAATTACTAATTTTCTTAAATGGTTTTATGAAAAAGTATGAATTTACATAAATAATTACTGAGTTTTTAATAGTTCATCAACAAAAACCAACTTATTAAGATAACTAAATGGAAGGGAGGAGTGAATACGACTACCTTTTCAAATTAGTAATTGCTGGTGACTCTGGGGTTGGGAAATCATGCTTATTGATTCGTTTTTCATATGACTCTTTCACAGAGAGCTACATCACAACAGTTGTGTCGATTTCAAAGTCAGAACTTTAGACTTAGGAGAGACCTCAGTTAAATTAAAGATTTGGGATACAGCAGGGCAAGAGCGATTTCGCAATATTGCAACTACCTATTATAGAGACGCTGATGGATTCATGATAGTTTTTGACAAAACAGACCGTGATTCCTTTCAAAATACAGATGGGTGGATGGATGAAGTTAATCGTCACGCAAATGAGCACGCCATCAAGATGCTGGTGGAAACAAATCAGATCTGTGCAATCGTGATCAGATTACTATAGAAGAAGCTGAAGAGAAAGCCAAGAGATATGGCATCCCATACATTGAAAAAAGTTCAAAGATCTCGTACCATGTCGATTTAGCTTTCACGACGATTGCTAGAGAATTAATAAAGCAAAGACAAGCGTTTGGAACCCCTCTCGTCTCTGAGCCTGCTCAAAAGGTCAGTTTGGCAACAGAGATAGAAATGCAATAAACCATAACTGATACTGATAATTCTTATAGTTCTTTTAAATTATACTTTTAGAGCTCTTTTTGATACCTCTCTACTCTGCCGCTCCTTTTCAAAATAAGGCTCTTGCTCAGGTTGTCTAATTTCTTTCATCCTTTTCAGATCATCTTTAAAATTTCATTAGAGCTTGCTTCTGAAAATTCTATTGTGAGGGCAACCTTATTTCCGCATATAACACAAGAATTCGCTTAAAGGCTTTTTATAGTTGTCTTTCTCTTATTTTAATATTAATGGTATTTTTATAAATTATTTAGTCTTCTTTTTACAATTATTTAAGCTTTACAAATAATTTTTTTTAAAGTTTAATTAACTTATTTTTGAATATTCTACGTAGCCTACTCCCGCTCTTTTTTTCCTATTGCTTTTTTATTTTTTTAAGCTTAGTAATTGGATAACATAAGCAGCGAAAATTGTTAATTAGTTTGAATTATTTTTCATCAAAAGTTTCACTATAAGCAGCTCCTTCTAGAGACAGAAGCTTATCAATGAATTCTTTTGTAAATTGCTCATATTTTTCATCTCATCCGTGCAGTTCATTAAACTTCACAGTTTTCAAAGCACCTTTCTCTTGCTTTTCTGTTTTATCAAGAATCATGCCAAATTCTTTATCGTTCTCATAATATTTTTCTTCTTCTAGCTCGGCTTCTGATTCATTTTTATGATATCTTAAAGTGTGTTGGGATGAATTAAGTGGCATTATTGAATTGTTTTTCGAAATTTCATCAATACTTTCATCAAAATTGCAATTTTCTAAATCTATTTCATCATTTATTGTCAGTATTTTTTCTTTTAGGGTGGGATAATTATCTGTGTTTAGTTCTTTGCTTTCGGGTTCTAACTCAATTTTTTGGCACTGTAAATGCTCAAATAGAGATTTTGGTATTTTTCTTGCTTTAAAGATCGGTCTATCCACAATTTCTTCTTCTCTATTAAGAAGTCTGATGCAGCTTCTAATTTCAGTCATAAAGAAAAAGGGTTCAGGGATTGTAGCTTTCTTTGAATGAGATTTAAAAATATTGCCATTTGGAGCAGCTTTAAGCATTTTATTTCTATTAGTTTCTTCGAAATCATTGATAATTGGCGCAGAAGACTTTCGCTTGTGGAAAAATTGAGAAAAGTCTTTTTGCATGTTTATTTAATTTATCTAAAATCTTAATTGAATTTTGTTTTCAATTTTATTTCAAATATTTATATATTATTCGCATAGATTCAAAACCTAATAATTTTGATTGTTATAATCAAGAGAAGTGTTGATCGGCAAAATTTAAAATAAATCAGCCACTATAAAAATGGTATTGCGAATTCCAATACAATTTATGCGCTATTTTAAAACCATAATAGATTAAAATCAAACCTTTAAACATATAATATAGCCAATAGGATCTGATGCCAGAAACGCAAAGCAATTGAGCAAAACTGCTACTGCATCAGTATAATAATTCATGGCTAGAATATTACATTTAGCCAAATTTTTTTATAAAAGTTAAAACCTTTGAATATTTTCAAACATAAAAAAGAGCGAATTTCACGTTTTTAGAACTTCGTAATTATTTAGTTAAACCTTTCTATCTGTTGATTTCTCAACAGAATATGGCGAATTTAATAAAATGAAGCTTTTCTTACTTACAGCTTTAGTTGCTCTTGCTTTGTCAGGGCCAGCTATTGTCCGTGACCCATCATCTCCTATTTTAACTCAAGAAGACATCGACTTCATCAACCAAAACCAAGATTCATGGACAGCCTCACTCGATTGGGTTGGCTCAATGACCTACGAAGAAGCCCAAAAATACGCTTCCACTGAAATCAAGCCAAGAGAGTTTCCAGAATACAACTGGGGAGCCATCCTCGATAACTTCCAAGCCCCAGCAAGCTTCGACTCAAGGAATCAGTGGCCATCTTGCATTCATCCAATTCTTAACCAAGAACAATGCGGCTCATGCTGGGCTTTTGGAGCCACTGAAGCCCTTTCAGACAGACTTTGCATCGGTTCTAAAGGATCAATTAACGTCGTCCTTTCTCCTCAATATTTAGTTGACTGCGACCATCTGAACTTAGGATGCAATGGAGGCAACCCAGACCTTGCTTGGAGCTTCATGAAATCCAAAGGAGTGCCTGCATATTCTTGTGTTTCATACACAGGCGCTAATGGAAAATGCCCATCCACTTGTGATGACGGATCTGAATTCCAATTCTACAAAGCTGCAAGTGTTAATACTTACAGTGGACCATCTTCAATCCAAGCTGCTATTCTGGCTGGAGGTCCAGTAGAAACAGGATTTTCCGTTTATCAAGATTTTATGTCTTACAGTGGTGGTATTTATAAGCATACGACTGGAGACTATCTTGGAGGGCATGCTGTAAAAATTATTGGATGGGGTAACCAAAATGGAACAAATTACTGGATTTGCGCAAACTCGTGGGGAACTAGCTGGGGTCTACAAGGATTCTTCTGGATTGCCTTTGGACAATGTGGAATTGATAGTCAAGCTGTTGCAGGAAGCCCTTCAGTTTAAGATAACAAATATTCATTTTTATATGTTCAAGTTAATTTAAATTCTATTTAAAATAATTAGTTTTTAGATCTTAGTCTTAGTCTTAATTAAATTTATAGAGTAGCTCCCGGCCAGGACCGAAGGTCCTTTTCTTCCGCCTTTTGGACGCCTCGCTTGCTTTCCTTGCCCTGCTCCCAGTGTGCACCTAAGTGCCACAGGCTACCACTCAGCTCCTTCCGGTCATGGGACTTGGTCATGCTATCCCGGAAGTAGGCGGACTGGGTCACCGTGCTTCACGTCGCCAGACTAGGGTTAGAGCTAAGGATTAACTCCTTAGCTCTTGTCGGCTCCTGCCATGCCCTCCAAATTGGCACTAGCGGTCCCTAGAGGAAAAACCATTTTTGCCCCGTGTCCTATAGGGACGACCCTAGGATCGTCGTTGCTGGACTGGGAGGGAAACCTAGCCGGACACAAACTACCAGTACCCATTCCAGACCTTTCCCTGGGGGCGGATTGGCTTCAGGCCGCAGCAAGGTCCCCAATCTCGCCACAGTTCCGGGAGAGGACGGGTCGGTGTCGTCGCTATTTTATTTGTGTAATTAGTTTTTAGATATCGTAACAGGTAATATCAATTGCAAAAGTTATTAAATAGGCTTTATACAAAGCAAATGGTCAGATGTATCTGTTACCATATTTATAGTTCAAGCCAGAATTTTAACTTATTAAATCAGTATGAGATTCATATTCATAAAACGGCATCAATATACTAATGGAATGTGCTCAAAAATTAATAATAAAACAAAGAATAATAAAAATTATATAATTTAAGATGAATATTCTTAATTAAAAGATACAAATACAGATAAAAGCTAATGCATTATGTAATTTTAATATAAGTTGAATTATAGTTTTCAGAATCTGTTATATGGCAAAACAGTTCTTTGTAATAGATATAAATATTATTACTCTCAAGACGAGATTGAAATTTGCATAGGTTATTACCTTGTGAATAATTATTACTACTAGTCTTTTAGCACTGTGAACCTGCATTCAGCTCTTTCGTAAAATGCTGTATGTGAATAGCCAGTTAATTTTTAAGGACCTATCAATCTCAATTTAATGCTAAGCTCAGCACTATTAATTTTAGCACAGCTTTCCTATTGTTTTGTAATACTTATTTTGATAGAAAAGGAAACGGAATTATTTAAAAATGCAGGCTTAAATTCGAAATTTAAAAGAATAAGCGAAGATTTATAATAGCCTGAAAAAGTCTTTCTTAAAAGAAATATCGAAAACACCCGTTTTAAGAAAAATTAATAAAATAAAAACTAAAATCCTTTTAAACTTTAAAGCATAAAATTGATGCATAAATCTAAAAGGAAGAGAGTTATTATATATTCTATAATAAATAACTAAATGATAAAATACATAATTTTGTTTTGTTTGCGACTCATTCAAATCCACATGTTATTTGATATAAAAAGGATGGTTTTCCAATAATATATTTTTTAACTATGGAGACCAAGAATTGCTTTAAGCAGAGCTGTAAGCATGAAGCTGAATATGTATGCAAATCCAATACTCCTGAATCTTATTTATGCAAAAGACACTTCGAGGAGTATGCTTCGAGCAATAGAGATCATAATTTTGAGCCCCTTTACTTACAGCCAGCTGAAGGGACAAGAGAGGCAATCATTAATATTCTTGAGAAAACAAAGCACAAGCAAGAAAGTTAAAGAAAAAGTATATAGATTCCTTCAGTAATTCAAAAAAAAATTTAAAAGATATCTTGGAAGCATTGGATTGCGATTCATTAAAAATAAGCAACTGCATCGAGCTGATTTCTCAGGCTCGAAAAATATCAAAATTGGAGAAAGACCCAATTTTAAAGCTGCTGACCTTACGCCCTGAAAAAGCTATTAGAAAAGCGAAAAAGATATTTTCAGCTGAATCAGAGCCATTTAGCAGCATAAAATTATTTGCTGGAATGAGCAAAGAAATTGAGAAAATTATTGAAAGCTTCATCCAAGACAAAATCGAAACTTTTCTAGACCAAAGACTCCTAAAAATAGAAAAAAGTTTAGAAGAGCATGATAAAATTATCAATTTGGAGAATGATCGGTTTGAAAAGGTAAAAGATTCTTTGTCAAGCCTGAAAAAGGAGCATAAAAAGAGTATAAGAAAATTGAAAACTGGAGACAAGAGACAGAACTTAAAACGGAAAACGAAATGAGTTCATTTATGACTCAATTTCGTAGTATTACTGAAGATCTTGATAAAAAAATATCGAGTATCAAATTATCAATGCAAGCCACCAATAATATTACTCCAAATATAGAAAATAGCTTATTAAATACTCAAGAAATAATGGATAAAAACAAAATTTATTCGATAAAGGAAATACCATTGAAGTAGAGCAAGATTTCAGAAGAATTTGCTCAATATATGAAAACCGCCCTTCAGATCCCTCACTAGTTCAAGCTTATCAAGATTATAGCACTGCTCATGCGAGATTGACTTATCTTTATTATTACGGCTCTTCTACAGAAGAAGAGCCTTTTAGCAGCGATACTGCTTTATACATTTATGATACTGAAAACGAAAGAGAATTTAAGACAGAATTACTTCTTCACTCATGAGAGAGCAAAATGTTTTCTAGTCACAAAAGACTTATTTTTTCAAATATTAAAAAATGTTTTAAATTTGATAGTATAGATGCGATTTAACTATAAAATTAACGTTTATAAAACTCAATCTTCAAAATTATAAATTAGCAAGAGATTTAAAGAGATTAGTTTGAATTTTTTTTAATATATTAATTCGTTCACGGATGGTCAAGCTTAAAATACCACACCCTTGACTACAGCCCTACCTCATCTGCATTCTGCCTATCATTGGATGTATTAAATATTAAATATCTGTTGCTTATATGTAAATTTAAGGTCGAACCATGATTTGCAGTAGATTTATTATATGTCTTATACTTATAAGTATCGCTTTAATAGCTTATATATCTCTAGTACATTTTAATTGGCTTGCTTAATGTAAGAAGATAAGATATTTTTAGTTCAATCAAAAAATCAGTTTAATAATCCCAAAAGGAACTTTACGTAATAATAGATTAGCAAATAGCATAAATGGCTGTATGAGAGATGAGAAATGAGAAATGAGGATGAGAGAGATAGGACACGACTTCGTTTAAAAATTGCATATTTAATTAATAATAATTTCTGCCTTTGATAATATTTTTACTAATTACTGCTATACGATCTATACTTATTAATTTTCTAAATTTTTTTTATTAATATATAAATGGCGTTATGCGTTTATTAATCAACTTATTTTTATTATAAATTTCTAATTGCATGACAAATTATGTAATAAATACAATAATTTAATTCATTAGTTCTATATTAATATTAATTACCTAAGTTCAATGACTAAATACATATATGTGGGTGGGGTGGATTTTATGTTTGACGAAACGGAGAACGAAGAAGTTAAGAACACCCCTGTCAAGTGATATCTGCATAGTTCCGATTCCAAATTGTGGGTTATTTTGTTATGACAATTCAAAATCCTCCCCTGTTTCATTTCTAATTCTTGGCGATTGAACGGTTCGTAGACTGCCACAAGGAACTTCTTCTAATTATTCATCAGCTGTCTTTTTAATTGGAGTGTTTATTGCTTTGGAGGAAAAATTAAAGATAATCCCATAGCTGTATCAGAAAGGTATGATATGGAAAAAAATATATGGGCTGAATTAAAGCCTATGCCATGGTCTGATGATTCCTGCCATGCTGTGATGTATAATGGAGGTATTTTTATTTCTGGATATGAGAAACAAAATCTTTTGCGATACTCAATTGATACCGAAACTTTAAGGGTAATTCCTTTCCAATTTGGGGAAAAGAAAAGAAAGATCTTGATAAATTTAGATAGGTTGTACGTAATTGAAAGTTTTAATGGATTTATCTACGAAAGCCAAATTGGAGATGAGTTTATGTGGAAAAAGATAGGTAGATCGATACTCGGGCGCTTTTGCAGACAAGTTTATTGATCGTATAACAAAGGTGCGATATACATAAAAACATCTTCAAAGGCGAACTATAGATTTATATTGAATCAAAACACTATGTCTCAGCTTTTGTAGGAAAAATAGAAAGTAGATATAATAATATTTCTTAGAATAATTAGGTTACATTTATAATGCTTATTTATTTTATTTTTCATCAGACGAATATATAAAAATACTGATTTGGATTATTAATAAGTCCATTTTGATTTAAACTTTGAGATTCATAGGGTATCTAATTTTATTTGGTATAAAGTGAATTTATTAGCCAAGTGATTAAATTGCCTAGATCCTGGAGAGCATGGTTTCCTTAATTGTAAAACAAGCAGCACTTAAAAATATTATTGAAGAAAATAATGAATTAATTATATGTCAAAATAGCCATACAAATCATCCTCCAGGTGAGCGATTCAAGTGTGGCCTTAGAATGAAGAAGGGCTTAAATGAGGCTTAATTCATTGCGATATTAGAATAAAAAAATATAAAAGAGAATGATATAATTTACTCAGACACGTTCTATCAAGAAACCATTAGTAACTTTTCATTAATAACAAAAAGGAAAATATCAATTAAATTTTTTGAAGTTTTAATTAAAAGCAGTTCTATTTATCACAACTGCACAAACAGCAACTTATAAAGTTAATCTGGGAAGATTATTTACTCCCCTCATTCTTGATCAAAAATCAATTTAATCAATAGTAGATTAAAAATTCTGGAAAATTAATTATTATTTACTGCTAAATTTATATTAAAATTGTTTCTAATAAAATAATCATTCGCTAGTAACAAGATAACATGCACCATATTATAAATTGCTTATAATTGCATAAATGATTTTAAACTAATATCTACAAGATTCATTATTATTAAATATATGCAGTTTGATTTGAGCGCATGCAGAAGAGTTTAAAATATGAAATTCATTTCAATAAAGCATGAAGAGCAGGACTATATCATTTTTAAGGTTTTCATATAGCCATTTTGTAAACTATTTTATAGAAACAACTTTGTTTTGAAATATGGCTAGTGATTTTATTTAAGGTTAATACTTAAAATATCTAATGATGTATTAAGAAAATTAGAAATCATTGTTTTGTGGCCAAATAGCTATATAGTGTCTGCATTCGCTGCCTCCCTTGCTATAAAGACTGCTCAAGATGGTGACATCAATAGATTAATGGCTTTAGTGGATAATGATTAAGATCTTAATATTAGCAGTATCTCTCAATTAAAGGTAAAATCTAAATAAGTAAGGGAAAAATCTATAAATAAGTGCTTATTCTGCAAGCAAGGCATTTTTAAAGTAACCGAATCCATTTAAAGATATCTATATTTTTTAAGAAAGGTTATCAAATTGCCCGAGGATGGCGCTATTTTGCTCCATCCTCGGGCAATTTGTATATTTTCCATTTCTGTAGAATTATATAAATTTATTAGGAGATGTCTAATATAGACCAAAGCGTTGAATTTCAAACTGAGCCCTTTTCAAGTATGGATGAAAAGCTATCCCAAACCTGCATAATAAATTTTGAAGAGTCAATTGAATACTCACCAAAAAATATTAATAAAACAAAAGGTTCTATCAGAAATTATCTTTTAGAGCTCAGAAATGAAAGCATAAAATTCAAAGAAATGCTTATAATAAAACCAGAAAATATTGAAATTTGTTCGATTGAAGAATTCTCTGTTAAAGGTGATTCTTTATATTTTCCGATGAAAATTATTAAATTTTCGGGTGAGTTTTATTTTCTTAAGCCTATAAGAAGTGAAAAAAAAATATATGGAGTTCATTTAGAAGTTTATTATAGATCTAGACTTAGATATAGCAGCATCGCTAAATGCATCGGATATGTGAAATGAGAAAAATCAAAGTTTATAATTATTCAATACTTTTCGAAAACTCTTGACCAGTTCTTATCTGAGAACTTATCTATTTGCGATAAAATCACATTAATTATCAGTTTAACAAAAGGTTTGCTATTTTTGCATATGAAAAATTGTGTCAACATGAATATTACGCCATGAAGCATTTTTGTCGATGAAGATAGAAATGCGTATTTTTTTGATTTAGAGTGTGTTATGAACCTCAATATGGAGCCTCAGAGCAGCTTGGTTTATAAAGAGCCAGAATTCTCTGCACCTGAAGCTTTGGATGGGAAGCGCAGTTTTGCATGTGATATTTATTCATTAGGATTACTATTTTATTATATATTGACAGGAGGACCATACAGTGAATATATCGGAATGGAGAATTTGCCAAATGGATTCGAGGATTTAATAAAAATTATGATAAATTCGAATCCAAATAAAAGGCCTGATGCTTATTATATTATTGAAGAATTAGACAGAATTCTGATAGATATTAAGTCAAGCAGCTAATCTATAATTTCCCATAAGCTTTAAGCTAAATAATTAAAAATGGCTTTTATTTATTAATTCTTTATTTTTTATAAAATTTTATAGAATCTTAATTTTAAAATTATTTAATTGAACAAAACATGATAATTAATTATTAAAAGGAGTTTCTGTGCAATGTTTTACTGTAATAATGACTATTAATACTCTATGATTTTTGGATCAGCACAAAGCTGGATAAATATTTAGATTGCTAAAACGTAGAAATAAGTTTTTGAGGTTGCTATATTGACAAACGATTGAAATAATTTAAAATAATTCCTTTCTTTGCTGGCATTAAAGATACAATGGCAGCGAGTTGCATTTAAATTACTTGATTGGTCGTTAATGCAAGAAATTTTTAAATTTTTTTGAAAAATGCTAACACCCCCTCCATGAATGAACAAAACCATTGGAAAAATCCCACCAACCCTCAGTGAGCTAAAAAAATTTTTATAAAAAAATAATTTGATATATAAATGATAATTAGAATAATGACATCTCTATCTAATTCTGTTTAATTTGCATTTTAAAACATAAATTTTATAAATCAAATTAATTTTCACTTCTCAATTTTTACAAATGGAATGTTTTTAAGTTTTTTTAAAAATTTTTTCCTATAAATTTATATATAAAATTTTTAAAAAAAAAATTAACAAACCACATTTTTTTGTTCGTTCACGGAAGAGGGAGTAAGTTAGGCATCATTTGCTCTAGAGATAACCAACAGAGTTGATTTTTTTGATTACTTATCATAAAGGAGATGAGCAAGTCATACTTGTTTTAAACCTGAACCAGAAAATCCAGAAAACTTTTCATAAAATATAAGCAGAATTATGAGGCTTAAACACAACTAGCTTCCCCGCCCTTTAAACTGGAAACAAAAATCCTGTTCCAATTTTTTTAAAAAAATATAAATTAAGTTTATTTTTAGAAAAATGATTAAATAATTAATCGATTCAGCGTGAAAAATGTTTTTGTTTAAATAACCTTCTGCTTTCGCTTTTTCCATTAAATTAGGTTTAAAAATTAATGTTTTCATCGATAAATTTTCCTATTGAAAATTCAACTCAAAAAGCATAAAGTACCAAAAAATGAAAAATTTTGCAGTCGTTCGTTCCCATTTACAGGGGGTTGGGAATGAACTAAAGCCATATGAAATCAACTGGAGAATATTCCTCACAGTCTGAATTATCTTTCGCAAACTCGGAAACCAAAATTTCAGAAATATATTGATATTATATTTTATAGAAACACAAACAATGATTTGAAAAAAAGGAAATAAAGAAGCTAAAAGTAGTGAGGATGATTTTACAAGCGCCAATGCTAGAGCTAATTCCACCCTTCCGTGAGCGAACAAAAAAATCTTGTTCGCTTACGGAGGGGGGTTAAATTGTTTTATTTTTAAAATTTATATATAAATTTTAGAGAGAAATTTTTTTTTTTCGAAATTAAAGAAAATCTCACATCGCAAAAAATTTATCCAAGTATTAATTTAATTTGCAAAATTTATGTTTTAAAACGCAATTGTTTTAAAATATAATAATAATATATATAAATTAACTCGAGATTTCATTATACTAATTACCACTTATATATCAAAAATTTTTTCTATAAAAATTTTTTGTTCTTTCACAGATGAGAAGAGGAGGGATTTTGGGCAAAAAATAGCGATTTTTCTAATGGTTTTGTTCGCTCACGGAGGGGTGGAGTAAGATGATTAAGCCTAAGAATTTCATAAGGAGAAAACAAATTGAGGATATTTGGTCCATAAGAAACTGGCAGAAATAATTAAAAGGAAGTTCCTCTTTGATAAGAGATATCTTGATGAGTCTAAGAATGAAAAAGAGATGATAAAAATAGTTTGACAGAAGATTATCACTTCCAGAGTTGCTGTTGAAAGAACCAAAACTACTAGAATCTCCAAAAGCTGAAAATTGATGGCTCAATGATGGTAAAGCCAACACTCTCACGATAAATTCCGAAAGAAAAATAGCTATAAAAGCAAATTAAAGTTTTCATTCATGAAATCCAATATTCTTACTCCACCCCCTCTGTGAACGAACAAAAAAATCTTATTCGCTTACGGAGGGGGTTAATTTTGTTTTTAAAACAAATTATATAAAATTTTAAAAAAAAAAATCCCACTTCGCAAAAATTGGAAAGCAAATACTAATTTAATTTGAAAAAAAATATTTTAAAACCCAATTTATTTAAATTAAACAGAATTAGTTTGAGATTTCATTATACTAATTATCACTTATATATCAAAATTTTTTTCATAAAAAATTTTTTGTTCGCTCATGAGGAAGTGTTTTGAGCAAAAAATAGGGATTTTTTTTAATGGTTTTGTTCGTTCACAGAGGGAGGGGATTACATAAATTTCTTAAAGTAATATGCCAAAATCAGACTAAAATTTTGTATTTTCCATCTCTTTTATTTGGTAAATTTATACAAAAACTCTTCAATTTAAAATATGTATTCCAGAGAGGACGGTAAATATTTTGAAAAACTCCATTCAAAGCCATGGTTTTTCGCAGGAAAAGTCCCAGAACTCCGCTACTCCTACTCAGCTTCAGGCCTAACTCCTTCATTATACCCAGTTCACCCCCGATCTGTAGTTCCAGGCTCAACCGAGAGATTAGCCAGGCTGCAATTCAAGCCTTTTCCAAATGTGGACCTGCCAAGTATTCCAATCACATTTCAAGAATTTCGTGAATACCAATTCTTAAGAGACAATGAAACCTTGGTAACCGTTGAGCACTGTGATTCCTGTGAAACCCACTCAGGCACAACCCATCATGACCCTCAGCAGTACTCCTCTTTAGCCCATACTTTGGCTAATACAATTCTAGCGAGGTATCCAGGGGTAAAAGTCCTTCTCAAGCCGCGCTCGAAGCTTGGCTTTAACAGTCAAAGAATCGGAGCATTTGAGGTACAAGTTTGCAGTAAATCCAATGGTTTGCTTACTAAAAACACGCTACATTCAAAATTACAGACCAAAAAGTGGCCAGAAGTCCAAGAAATCGTAATGAAATTGGCCAATTTTTTGCCGAGATGCAAGCTTTGTGTGACTGTTTATGACTGTGAAAATGGGGAAAATAGACTAAAAGATATAAAAATTTCTTTAAGACCAAAAGATATTTCTCTACAAATGTCTCAGACTATGAGACCCAAAAGTGCTAGCTACACTACATTTAGGCCTACAAGTGCAATTTCAACTATGTCTCTGAGGACAATAAAATTCTCAGCAAGAAGAAATGCGAAAACTAATATGAAAAGCCCCAGAAAAGACAATGGGAAATGCATTGAAGAAATAAGTAATAAAGACGGGGTATGCCAATTTTTAAATATCCCTAATAATATATACGAAATTGAGGTCATTGAAAATAATGAATATAACTCTGCGGCGAGGATTATCAATACTTTTGAAGAAGCAATGCAAAATTCAAGCATAAATATATATATTGGTCTGAAACCCAGAAATCTATGCAAGTTAACAGTAACTCTTCGCGACCAGGAGCTAAAAAGTGACGTGCCATATGCTAAAGTCAGAATTTTTAAAGAAAATGGGGAAAGTTATAACCTCTATGAGGTATCCAGAGGAAAATACGAAAACTCAGTGCCTAAAGGAAATTATACTTTAAGCGCATCTTTAGAGGAATTTCAAGAAATTTCTAAGCCGATTCAAACTAATAAAACAGAAATGACTATTATTGAGACTATGAAATTGAAGGAACAAAGAAATGTCCAGATCATGACTTTTAATGCAATTACAGGAGAAGCATTAGGAGGGGTGCTACTAAAGCTAAAAACAAGCAAAAATAGGCCTTCTATTGAAGGCCTCACCAAAACAGGCAGTTTTACCTACTCCTTAAACGAAACCGGGATATTTAATATTTCTACCAACAAGCTCGGCTACCTTGATGCCAGTATTATTACACATATATCAAATAAAGGCAACGTCTCTATATCAATTGGCCTTGTCCCCGCCTCATACGCTAGTAAAACAGCAGTCGTTTTTTCATGGGCTCTATGCAGCGACGACTTAGAAATCCAAGCTTTTAACGAAGAATGCTCATTATCATATAAAAGCTCAAGAGGCAAAGGCTGCGAATTTTTCGACTATTTAAAATCCAATGGAATAGCTACGATAATTATTGATAACGATTGCAAGAATTTGAGAATTTTAGCGCAAGCTTTGACTAATGAACTTATTGGAGGAAATGATGCACCGATACTGAATTCAGGGCTGTCTGTTAATGTTTATCAGAAAAAGGAGCAGATCAAAATAATCCCAAGCCCAGCGAAGGGGCAGTGGTGGGATATTGGGATTGTTACAGAAAATGATTTTATAGAGACAAATATTTTTTCAGACGTAAAAATTTCATATTGAAATCAATATCTTGACGATTTTTCAGCATTAATTGACTTAGTTAAAGCTGCTGGGACTATTTCTTCATGCTTTAATTATACGAAATATGGGATTGAAAAAAGAAATAGGAATTTGGAAGATAAATTTATATCACCAATTGAATTTAATAAAATTTTGTCAAATATAATATCTGAAGATGCTTTAGAATATATTGCTCCAAGTTTCGTCACCTCGCAAGGCATCAGCTTAAACCAGCTTAAGCTACGATACAGCCGCTATAAAGGTATAGCCTCTCCTAGGCTTCAAATAAGCCAAACCTCAATTGAAGAATACGCAGAAATAATCGGAATGAGCACTGCTGATAGTGATTTATTATGAATCGCAGAGGATGCTGTAAATGCTTCAATTCCTGATGAATGAATCCCAATCCATGACCATAAATGAAACATTAAATATAGAAACCGTGAAAATGGCGACATTTTAGACGAAAACCCTAATAACGAGTATTACAGAAATCTCTATTCTGAGTACAAAATCCGCATGGCACGAGAAAAAGCCCAGCGCGAACAAGAAGAAGCAGAAAGGCTTCTAGAAAAGGAGCGACAAATGAAAGAGCTCGAAGAACAAAAACAAAGAGACTTGCAAGCTCTAAAAGAAAGGCTAGGAATTGCTGAATGGGACCAATTTATTGAAGAATTTAAAAAAGAATGCAAAGAGCTGTATGAGCTTGCAGAACAAAAAGTAATTTATAAGTAGATTTCTAGCAGCCCTGAGGAGAAAGAAAGCATTGAGAAAGAGATTAATGATGAAATTATAGAAAAAGCAAAAGGGTATATGGGGAAGCTGAATGAGATTAGAGATGTTGTTAGTGATGAGAGCACTTTGGAAACAATTAATAGAAGCATTGAGGTAATTAGTCAGATGCATCAGGAGTTCTTGAGGAGCTGCTTACCAGAAAGAGAAGAGACAGAGAATCAAAATGAAGGGATTTCTGAAGAGTATCCCATTGAAGATGCAGGTCATAAGAAGACAAAGAGCTCAAGCAGCAGCTCAAGCGACAAGCACAAGAAATACGATAAGTAAATATATAAAATTGAACTCAAGAAAATTTAAATGATCATTTAATATAGTAATTGCCCGAGGATGGCGCTATCTTGCACCATCCTCGGACAATTCAAAAATGGCAACACCGGGAATTGAACCCACGTGTGGGGCCATTTTTGGTATGTGGAGAACATCGACTTCCACGCACCAAAAATGGCCCGAGGATGGTGCAAGATAGCGCCATCCTCGGGCAATTACAGTATTTAATTTTACACAAGATAAAAAGTATTTAACCTGCCCTGATATATGAACAGTTTTGGGCTTACTGCTTCTTTCTTTAAATTAATTTTCATGCTAATTTAATTTTTTATGAGGGTCAAACTAATTTTTTATGAAATAAATCGATAATAAAATCTGCTAGAAACATTATTGCAATGTTAGATTTAAATAATTAATTTCATAAGAATATATATATGTATCAAAAAAATAATGCCTGAGCTTTGCTAAGGTCGGGCTGATTTATACCAAAATGTGCGAAATAATTTTAATTTATTCGAACCAATTTATTATGAAACCATATTAAATAAGTTTTTAATTTTGATTATAATTTAAAAAATAAGCCCCCCTTTAAACTGGAGCAGATTGTTTTGTTCTAATTTATGGGGTGGAGTCAACCTTCTAATTTATCAAAAATAAAAAGCCAATTATCTATAAACATCATGGAGGCTATTAGTTTACACTTTTAACCCCTCCTTGTTTAGTGAGTAAACTATCAGAAAATTCATATTTTAGGAAAATTAACTATCTAAGGTGCAGAGTGAAAAAAATTATTTAATTCAGAAATTTTTTATACAAATGAAAATATAATAGCTATTTCTATTAAATCTTAAACAGCTTACGTCCTTAACCACAAAAAAATGTTTGTTAGAATTTTAATTGAATCCCCTTGACTAGCAAGCAAGATTTTTTTGCTGGATAACTAGGGGGCGGTAGGGGCGTTAAGATAAGATATAATTTCTTCCCACCATGCGCTGTTATTTTTTTCACGAATCTGAGGAATTGCTACTAAAATCGCTCTCTTCAATCCTTCCCTCTCTGTCCCTGTTTCTGCTTCCAGAGCAGCAGTCCTCAGCACATAGCAGCCATAAGGATTCTCCAGCACTGTTTGCATACTCCCTCCTCTTATCAATTCATTAATAATCGCACACCTCATTCTTTCTTCTTTCATGCACTTATTCATCACATTTGACGAATATTCCTGTATACAAAGCTCTAAGGCCTTCCCTTTTATACAATTTATGATTGATAAGGAGCATTCTTCTTGCATATTATCAATCATATGCTGAATCACATAATTTCCATATTTGTCTTCTATTAGCATAATAGCTTGTTCTAGCAATTCATTGAAAATCTGAGAGTCTTTGACGCATTTCTTCATGATAACGTAGCCAAACTTGTTAGTTGCCAATTCTCTGGCATGTCCTATAATCTCAGTAATAATAAAATGATGATTTTCTCGTTCACAAAGCACTTTAATCACAAGAGATGAATTTTTAGTCATAGAAAGTTCCAATATATGGCCTTTAAATGCTTCCTCATATATGGCTACTTCTTCAGGCAAGCTTGCAAGTCTAAGTATCCTCTGCAAAGGAAAGCATCCTTGTAGATTATTAGAGATTGAGATAAAATCGTCTTTCATTGCATAGAAAAGAATTAATCTTTGCCATGGGGAACAGCATTGAAAAAGGGTCTGACACATACTGTTCCCATGCTGGACTATCATAAGTTCTCCTAAATATGGAGAAACGACATCAATGATCAATCAATTTGTTCAGGCAGGCTATTTACAATGAGTTTCTGTGCCCATTTGCTTCCTGATTTGGACCTGCATAAAAAAGGAATATTAGGGATCGTGAACTCGATATTAGGGTTTTCGGGCTCAATATTTTTGCCATAAGATTGAGGAGGTTTTTCGTAGACAATCTGGATTAAGCCCTGAGAAATAGGGGCATGCATAAACTCTGGATGAGAACTGCTAAAGTTAGGATTAGGATTGTTATTGCCGTTACAGCTTTGGTTTATGAAATCATATGGAAAGTATCCACTATTTTTAGCTGTGATGTCTAGTCTAATTTTATGTTCCATTAATTTATAGATTATAGAAATGTAGCTATATAAAAAATATTTAGAACAATTAGGTTTAAGATGAATTTGAAGACTGATAAATTTGACTTATAGCCGAGCGATTATAGGCAATTCTTTGAGCGCCAGCTGATAGATTGGGCATAAAATAATTAGCTTTTAATCTTATTTTTTATTTCAAGAGTTTGGCCTCTTAATGAATTCCGCATGAATCATTTGAAAAATTATATATTTTTCAGAGTTTATTTAGGAACATTAATTAGCATACTTAGCGAAGATAAGATAAAATTTCATTTCATCGTGGCTTATAATTTTTCTGCTCAGTCAGAGGAATTGCTGCCAAAACCGCTCTCTTTAATCCTTCCTTCTGATCTAGCTCTATTTCCAGCGCAGCAGTCCTCAAAAAATAGCATCCATAAGGATTATCCAGCAATACTTGCATTCTCTCTACACTTTTCAGCTCATTAATAATCGCACGTCTCATTCTTTTTTCTTTCACGCACTTATCCATCACATTTGACGAATATTTCTGTATACAAAGGCCTAAGGCATGACCTTTTATACAATTTATGATTGGCAGCGAGCATTCTTCTCCCCAGTAATCAAGCATATGCTGAAATGCGCAATTGCCATATTTGTCTTGCATTAGCGCAATAGTATTATCTAACAATTCATTGAAAACCCGAGGTTCATCGATAATTTTTTTTATTACCATTACACCTAATTTGTCAGATGCCAACTCTCTGACATGTCCGAGAATTTCACGGATAAAAAATTCACGATTTTGTCACTCAGAAAACACTTGAATCGCATGAGATCCATTATTAATCATAGAAAGCTCAAATATACGACCCTTGAAAGCTTGCTGGAATACAGCTTCTTCTTCTGGGAATCTTACAACCCTTATTATATGTTGCATAGAGCGGGTCCCTTTACCAATTTTAGAGATTGAAACCATCTCGTCTCTAATTGTATTAAAAAGAAACAATCTCTGCTCGAAGGAACATCTATCGAAAAGAGTTCTGCACATGTAGGACCCATAGTGGTCTGACATAAGTTCTCCTAAGTGTGGAGAAACGACCCTAATAATCTGATCAATTTGTTCAGGCCGGCAACTTGCAACAAAATGCTGTGCAGTCTTGCTACCGGATTCAGATCGGCATAGGAAAGGGATATTTTCAATCGTGGTTTCAAAGTCAGGGCTGTTCGGGTTGGATTTTTCGCTATAAGAATGAAGTAGATTTTGGTAAAACTGCATTTTATAATAAGAAATATACCTTATTTTACAATTATGAATTGCAAACGCATAATCGAGATTTATTGCACTAAATTAATGCGAAACAAATTTAACTGTTTACAGTAATATGGGCCAAACTTACTAATCATAGTTAATTTTTCTAAGCGATCCAAAGGTTTTTGGAAAATAAGCGCAATAAGCAATAATTGGAATTGGATAGATTTTTCCTTATGCAAATATAATTTTAGGTAGTCATCTTAGATTTATTTTGAATAGAATAAATCAAAAATTTCTTTGCCCTAAGTTCAATTTCAAATAATATATTAGGCCTCTTCATAGCATACTAGGGTGTATTATGTTCATATTATCATAGCCTTGCCTCCTTATTTTTCATTAAATTCTTAATAAAAAGCATATAAGACTTTTTTAGCGCTCTTCAAGTAAATCCTGTAAAGTATCTGATATTTAATTATTACTTTATCCTTCCACTCTTACTTTCGCATTCCCAGCAATGCCGAAATCATGATATATCTTTATCTAAATCCCTTATATTTTTAACATATTAAAATGCAATTAAAATCTTTTTTACCTCGCATTCTAATTCCTCCTTCTCCTTTTAAATTTGGAAAAAAAATTCTGTTCCAAATTAAAAAGGGATTATTTTTTTGAAAAAACTAGGTTTCATAATTTTTAATAAATAAAAAACTTGACTAAATGCAATATTTCCATATTTAATTGATTTTTTATTAAGAATTCAGTCAGAAATTAATCGATTTGGGTGCAAAATGTTTATATAACATTTTTCTTGGACTAACTTCATTAAATTAGGTCAAGGCTATTTATATAAAAAATAAGCTTTTTCACTTATTTAATTTATATTGAAAAATTAAAATTTTTCCAATTTAAATGGAGGCTAGTTTACCCCCAAAAAATGGAAATTTTACCGATAACTTGTCCCAATTTATAGGGAAATGGGTATTAAGTGGTTATTCTAATAATATCAATATAAAAGTATTAATTTTCAAATAAGCCAAATATAATTTTGCTTCCCTAACCCCCAATTAGAGACTAAGCAATTGGCTTATATATTTTTATGTTAAATAATTTGCTCACTCAAGCAAAGAATCTTGTTCCAGACAAATCTATCCTTATACATGAGCCAAAAAACTAATCATTTAACCATAATTTCTATTAAAATTAATCTAGGCGAGCGTAGATTGCTTCTAACTGTGTGATTTCTTGAGGACTTCCCATAAAGCATGGAGATCTCTGATGAATGTGCTCTGGAACTGTGTCTAACAACCTTCTTCTTCCATCAGTAGCTTTTCCACCTGCAAGCTCCATAATAAAGCTCATAGGCAAAACCTCATACAAAAGTCTTAATTTACCTTTAGGAGACTTACTATCGGCAGGGTACATGAAAATACCTCCGTATAGTAACGTTCTATGGACATCTGAAACCATGGACCCCACGTATCTCAAAGAATACGGGCTTCCATCTTCAGGGTTTTTGACTGAATTTACAAATTCCGTGACAGCTGAATCCCAGTACAGTGAATTTCCTTCATTAACTGAATAAATGTGCCCTCTCTCTGGAATCTTCATATTTGAATGTGTTAAAATGAAGTCACCAATGGAATTGTCCAGGGTAAAGCAGTCCACTTTGCCGTTTTTCACAGCCAAAACGAGCTGAGTCGAGCTTCCATAAATGCAATACCCAGCAGCCTCAATTTCGACACCACTTCTCAAGAAGTCTCTTGCTGAAACTGGAGCATCGATATTTGGCCTTTTCCAGATGGCAAAAATGGATCCAATGGAGACATTGACGTCAATATTGGAAGACCCGTCCAGAGGGTCGAAGGCAATAATGTACTTTCCTGAGTCCACGTCGTCCATGATGTAAATTTTGTCTTCTTCTTCACTGACCAAGGCTGCGATTTTGTTTGAAAATCTCAATGAGTTGATGAAGATGTCGTTGGCGATGATATCGATGGGCTTTTGCTGCTCTCCTTGGACGTTTGAGGAACCAGCGAGGCCATAGAGGGAGACAATGCCGGCTTTCCTTACTGCATTGCTGACGAACTTGCAAGCGAGCATGATTGAGTTGAGGATCTGTGTAAGGTCACCTTTGGCCTCTGGGTGACGTCTCTGGTCAGTCATAATGGACCGAGTCAAGGTGATTGGGTTTGTGTCGATACTTAAACTTAAGCGATTAAACGGCCATAAGCGGGCAAACATACTAGTCTTTGCCTTGTCTTGGCTACAAAATAGCCTCCTCCCTTAACTAACAAAACAAAAGAGGGAAAGAAGGCTGTCATTTTGGATTTCCGATCTGAATCACCTTAGGTAAGACCATGTGGTAGGTAAAATTTGTCTAGCCCATCTGGCAGGAAAAGGAGAGTAACAAAACTTCTGTCTTCGATAAGGCATCCCCAAACCTGAAGGCCTGCTTCCAAAAAGAAAGAGGCCCTATGTTCAGCTTCATCAGGATTGGTCCTAGCTACTCCATAAAGAGTGCGCCACAGAGTTTAATTTCCGTCAGCGTCACCATTTTATTTCTTGTGTCGATAGGAATATGTATCTCCTTTGTCTCAGCCATTATTTTTATAAAGACTATCCATCTTATTTGATTTTATCATTAAAGTGTTAAGACTTCTAGAAATTCCTTTTCAGTGAACATTTGCCTGGATTAGATCAGAATATCAATATAATTTTATTAAGGTTACCTTACTCCCCAAGTTTGTTAAAGATCAAAAAAGCTATTGCATCCTCCTACCTAAATAGAAAGAAAATATAATTTGAATTATAAAATTATGTCTAAAATATAAGTTTTCTTATAAAATTTAATAAATTATTCATTATATAAATTTTTTTTATTTTCTGATAGTTTACAGCTAACCAAGGGAAGTTAGTTTTTGAATTAAAAGTAAAAATTATATTGTATTTTTTGGAACACCTTTAAGTCAGCTTGATAAATATATAAGCAAATTAGCGATTCCTTGGATTAATAGCTTTTAAATGGGCTATAGTTCAAAATTTAATATAATCCACTAAAGCATTTACTGGGTTTACTTAATTCATAATTGTTCATTAAGAGGAAAGAAAATCTTATAAGATGATATTTTATTATGTAATTAGATTAGGATTATTATATGAGTTCTATGTCAAATGATTAAGGTTTATCTTGCTTCTAAAGTTTAATAGGGCTTTAGTTTATAAATTTGCAGTAAGACAAATTTTATTTACTCCCCCCGCCTCGTGAGCGAACAAAATTTTTATCGTTAAAGTAGGGGCTCAATTTGTTTTTTAAATTTATATAGAAATTTTATAGCAAAATTTTGTCTTGGAATTTAAAAAAATCCCAATTCGCAAAAATTGGGAAATGAAATAATAATTTAATTTCTAAAATTTCTGTTTTTTTTTTAAAATTAAACAGAAATTTTGTTATACTAATTATCACTTATATATCATTTTTTTTTCCTCACAGAGATAGATTTTGGGCAAAAAAATAGGGACTTTTTCAATTGTTTTGCTCACTCAGGAGGGAGTTAAGTAATTTTTATTATTCCTATCAGAATACTAATGAAATCAGAAAAATTGATAGTCTATAAGACTCTGGAAAATTCAATAAGCTTAACTAAGCATAGCGCACGCTTGGTTAAATTTTAGGCAAGGAAATATTTGAAAAAGGGGAAACTTTAATATAAATTATAATTAAGTGAAATTATGGCTTTATATTCTTCCTTGTAAATGGTGAATATAATAAAGATTCCAAGTAAATTTATAATTAAATATTAAAATGCAGTGATTTTATCTTAGATTTATATACATAAAAATGGTGACGACAGACCACCCGACCTCTCGACCCTATTTCTTCAACAGCAGCAGGCAACGGCCCAGTGTCGGAGATTTAGGTGGAAAGGGGCCGGTAATCCTTTATGTATGTTCGGGCTGGGTTTTCTTCGAGCCCGAGGAGCTAATTCTCTCGGACTTGGAGTTTTTCCTCCAGGACAACCATTGGAAAGGGCAAGGTCGGCCAATGTCTGAGGGCAATATGACCCTCAGACCCTGAAGACGGTATTTGCCCAACGAGAAACTGGGAGTTTCGACCCAGGTGGTTGGCCCTTAGACTCCAGAAGCCATGGAAGTCAAGACTGGTCGCGCGAATCCCTTGTTTGAGGCAACAAGGAGGGTGTCCGCCGAGGCTCCTCAGGGGCGATGAGCGTGTAGGGGTGCGAATCCCCGGCCCTGCAAGGCAAACGGCTTAATCTAATCTAATCTAATCTAATCTTAGATTTATAGGAATTTGCTAGGGAATTCGCATAAAGAATATTTAAAAGAAAAAAATTCTCCTCATCATCAACTTTTTATCGATATTTAAAAATTAAAAGCTAAACATCTAAATATCAGGGACATTAATTAGTATACTTAACTAACTCCTTCCTTCTTTTGCGGTCAAATCATTAGAAAAATCCCTATTTTTAGAAAATTAACCCCTTTGGCCTAGCAATATAAAAAAATACGATATATAATTAATTACTCTCGCTAATTCTCTTGAATTTTTAACAGCTTCATATATATCAATTAAATTATTTTTTAATTTCAATTAGTATATATCTTAAAATTCCATATTTTAAATATAAAATTTTAAAAAATTTCTCCCTTTGACTAACGTACAAAAATTTTTTGCTCACTTACAAAGAGACTATTAGGAGTAAGATAAGATAAAATTTCATCCCATCGCGGCTTCAATTTTTTCTGATGAATCTGAGGAATTGCTGCCAAAATCGCTCTCTTCAATCCTTCCCTCAGCTCTACCTCCGCTTCCAGCGCAGCAGTTCTCAGAACATAGCAGCCATAAGGGCACCCCAGCAGCACTTGCATTTTCCCTCCACTTATCAGCTCATTAATAATCTCACGCCTCATTCTTTCTTCTTTCAGACACTTTTCCATCACATTTGACGAATATTTCTGTATACAAAGCTGGACGACCTTTCCTTTTATACAATTTATGATCTGGAATGAGCATTCTTCTTGCCAAGTATCAATCATATGCTGAAGTGCATAATTTCCATATGGGTCTTGCATTAGCACAATAGCTTGTCCTAGCAATTCATTGAAAACCTGAGGGTCATTGACACATTTTTTTATGACGCATAAGCCAAGTTTGTCAAGTGCCAGCTCTCTAACATGTCCTACAATTTCGCGAATAATAAAATGACGATTTTTTAGTGTACCGAGTAACCCTTGGACCACGTGAGATGCATTTGTCTCCATAGAAAGCCTCACGATATGGCCTTGGAACGCTTTTTGATATACAGCTTCTTCTTCAGGTAAGCTTGCAAGCCTAATTACAGTCTGCAAAGAATGGGTTCCTCGAGGATTTTTAGAGACCGAGATAAGGTCGTCTTTCATTGCATTTAAAAGGGCCAATCTTTGTCCGGAGGAACAGCTTTGGAAAAGGGTCTGGCACATGTAGTTCCCATAGAGGTCTGACATAAGTTCCCCTAACTCATCACTTTAAATTAGAACAAATATCCTTTTTTTGGGTAGTTAACCTGGGGCAATTTTTTTTATAGGTGACTTTGACCTAATAATCTAGGAATGCAAGCAGAATTCTATGTTCCTTGCTAAATCGCCTATTCTGAAAACTGATTGGAATTATTGCATTGGTTTGCTAGTCCCAAAAAGGTCAAACTCATAGAATTTAAACAGCACTGGGAATCAATTAATTTTATGAATTAATTCAAAATGAAATAAAATTAATAAAAAAAATTATTCACAAAATTAAATGAGAACAGAAATTTAGCTCAAATTTAAAAGAAGAGAGTAAGTATGGAGAAACGACTTCAACAATTTGCTCGATTTCTTCAGGTCGGCTTTTTGCGATGAACTGCTGTGCCCTTTTGCTTCCTGATTTGGATCGGCATAAGAAAGGGACATTTGCGATCGTGAACTCAAAGTCAGGGTTATTTGGGTCAAATTCTTCACTATAAGATAGAGATGGCTCTTCGTCAAGGATTCCACTTAGACATTGAGAAACTGAGGCATGCATAAGCTCTGAGCGTGAACTGCTGCGGGTAGGGTTGTTAGTGCCGTCTCAGCTTCGACCTAGAAAATCATCTGGAAAGGATCCACTATTATTATTAGTTGGAATGTCCAGTCTATTTTTTCTATGTTCCATTAATTTATTAGATAATAGAAAAGAGACTATATATGATAACAAGAATGGTTAGGCTGAAGATCAGTTTTGGAGATTGGATAATTTTTATCTGATTAATAAGCAATCCTTTAAGTGTCAGCTGATTATAGGGCATAAAACAGGCATATTTTGATAAAAAGTTAGCTAATTGCATGGACTACTCTTACAAAATCCTATCAATAATAATATTGTTTTGTGAAAGATAAATATTTGCATCACGCTTGAATTACAATATGCAACTTTTAAAATCTAAAGACACTTAATCATCATAATTGGTCACTTCTTCCATAGATGATTTTTCCTCAAGTGTATTCAATCCATCTCTATAAAACTACAAAATACTTTATTTTAATTATTAACAGAACTTCATTAATCATATACCAAAATTCTATCCATAATTTTAGTCAACTTATACATAGATTTTCTGCCTTATCTCTTTTCTTTTCTTTAAATTTCTCTTATTAAGTAGAGTCTGCTCTCCATAATTCTTGTTGAAAGAATAATGAATACTTCTGATGGAAATGGTGATAATGAACTTTTAAGGGAAAACGCACCACTTAAAAATACATTTTTTCTCGTTATACTTACCATAACTGCAGCAATCGGAGGCTTTCTATTTGGCTACGACACAGGGATTATCGGCGGCGCAAATCTTTATATTTATGACGATCTAGGCTATGACACTCCTATTGTATTAGAAACAGTTGTCAGCTTAACAGTAGTCGGCGCTGTCTTTGGAGCTGTAGCTGCAGGTCCTTTTTCTGACAAAAAAGGAAGGAAACCTACAATTATTGTAGCGGATGGTGCTTTTATAGTAGGAGCTGTGCTAATGGCCTGCGCTCCTAGTGTCTGGGTACTTATGGTAGGCCGATTTATTGTAGGATTAGGCGTGGGGTCTGCAGCTATGGTAATTCCTGTCTATTTAGCTGAGTCAGCTCCTAGAGAACTGAGAGGGACCATTGTAAGTGTTAACGTCTTGTTTATAACTTCAGGACAATTAATTGCATACTGCATCTGTCTAGCATTAGGCGACCATTGAAGGTGAATGCTGGGTCTTGCTGCTTTCCCTGCTGCAATACAAGTCGGTGGAATGCTCTTTTTGCCTGAAAGTCCAAGGTTTTTATACAAAATTGGGAAAACTGAAGAAGGACTTAACACTTTGCTAAAAATAAGGCTGAACTGGCGGCATAGGAAATATGAATTTATAGAAGACGAGGTCAGAGGTATAGTCGAGTCCTTAAAAGAAGAAGGGAATTATTCCTATAAAGATCAATATAGGCTATTATTTAAAAACTGCAAAAGGTCAGCAATGGTAGGAATTGGGCTGCAGTGCTTACAGCAGCTTTGTGGAATTAATACAGCCATGTATTATGGTCCTCAAATTATGCAGGTCGCAGGGTTTGACTCCTCAGGAAGAGCAGCTATTGTGGCTAGCCTGCCTATAGCCTTTGCGAATATGGTCGGAACTTTTATATCGGTCGGGTATATAGATAAGCTGGGGAGAAGATCCACGCTACTTTATACGATTCCGCCGATGGTCTTTTTCTTGCTGTGTCTGGGGACGAGCTTTGTATTTATCACCTTTATGGACGCGGGGGAAGTTGTGCAGTATTTAGCTGTTTTTTCGCTGCTGGTATATATTTTGTCGTTTTCTGTGGGAATGGGAACGTGCCCTTGGATTGTGAATTCGGAAATTTTTCCGTTAAATTTAAGAAGTGCAGCCACAAGTGCGTCAACGACTGCAAATTGGGTTTCGAACTTTATTGTTTCGATGACTTTTGCGTCTGCTATTTCTTTTTCTGCTGGGAGAGTAGGAGTTTGGGTCGTTCTGGCTGGATTCGGAGTTCTCAGCTGGTTCTGGGTGTATAGGCTGCTTCCTGAAACCAAAGGGAAATCCTTGGAAGAGATTTTGACGATGTTTCAAACAAGAAAAGAAGTCGACTAACTCCTTCCCTTGAGTAGCTGAAAAGCCATTAAAAAATCCCCTTTATTGTGTTAATTAATATTCTTCAGAGCAATAAAAACGTTAATATAAATTTTTTTTACAAATAATAATCTGATATATGATTAATAATTATGCTGCTGAGATCCCCAGCAATTATATTTAGATTTTAACCAGCTTGCATCTTTTAAATGCAGATTTCATAAATTAAATAGATTTTTCTTGCTAAAAACAGTTTTTTTTTAGATCCAGAAAAATTGTTTTATATAATATAATTTTAATATATATTTGTTGAAAAACCGACTAAAAAAAATAAAATAATTATATTGAATAGCCCTTATTCTAGTTTATATCTAAAAATTAGAGTAATGATTATCAGCATGTAAACTTTTATTCATTATAATTAGGGATAAGGTTAGCAAGCATAAAAATTGCCCAATATCCAAGGTGAGGGAGTAAGTGAACTGGATATATTTTACGTTATCGAAAATAACTTATAAATGGATAATTTATTAAGTATTTCTGACTGCTATAAAGCGTGCAATGAAGAGTTCTCGGTCGCTAACCCTAACCGACTCTTCTGCAAGAAAGGATGCGATAGTGACGAAAAATTCTTAATCTATCTATTTTAATAACGAAATCATTTTTCTTTAATTGGAGTCGCTTAAGTATTTTTCTTATATAATTTATTAAAATGCAGAGTTTTAGAGCTTTATTTAAATTGAGAAAATAAAGAAAGCATTTATAAGTACTAAAAGATGTTTTAAACTATTGAAATTATAATAAATATTAAAAAATTAAAGAGTATAAAATCAAAGCAATTTTTTTCTTCTTATTATTTGAAAGTTCTTTGAAAAAATCTATTATAATTAATAGAGGAGAGCTGGAATGCAAATCAGAATTCTGTCCTGGACTATGCATAAAAAGTGAACTAGGAGAAGAAGACAATAAACATGGAGGCTGGTCCAAGCTCTTTTCAAGAGCTCCTGGTTCCCGCCCTGATGACTGCCTGAATGCTTGCTTTTACGGCTGCACTCATAAAGATGAAGAAGAAAATGATGATTAAATTTAATGTTAAAAACGCATTATTAGGGGCAAAACCTTGACATTTCTTATTTTTTTTGTAAGTAAATAAATTTATAACTGATTATTTTTTGGCAATGAGGCCAGCTTTAGGCGACTTTCATTTAAAATAAAAGAGTGCTCGTGATATGAAAATGAAGAATTTGTATAAAAATATGCTATTAATAAAAGATAATTAAAGTCGAATTAATAGGAGTTAGTTAATTGCAAAAGCATGTATAACATAGTCTCTAAGAAAACCTAGAAACACTATAAATTCTAAATCCGGACTGGCTTGATAGCCTCTCAACCTATTCTATTGTTCTTGCCTTGGAATTTGTGTAAGCTACCATATGAACATCGAACCACCTGTCCTGCTGGCATTGAGAATCCCCTAACCAAAATTGGGTCAATAATTTTTTAAATTTTTTTAGGCTCCAATGCTTTTCTATAATATCGAAAATCTGTTTTCTTTCATCGTCGTTTTAGTCTATAAGAGTGTGCTTAATTGTAATGGAATCAATGCCTTCAGGAATTTGCTCTAAGAAACTCCTGAAATTACGACTACTCTTTCTTGTAAACTATTTTTCTCGGTATTCTTTTCGGCCTTTTCAGTTACTTCTTTAAGATCAAAAATGGCTCCAGCAATAAAGGATGAATTTTGCAGAGCTCTATTATAAATGAGCCATCCTCTGCACCTATGTCTAAAATCGGAATATTTATATTAATCGTAAATAGTATAAAATCTTACTCCCCCCATCCTTGATCGAACGATTGACTGTAAAAATTCCTAAAAATTGGAAGATTAACCCCCATCCTTGATCTTTCGATTTTTTCATATATGCAAATTTTTATATATATGAAAATATATTAGCTATTCAAAAGATTGGGAAGATGTACCTAATGAAGTTGTTTTCAGAGCTTTGAGACCACAGAAAGCTGCGAAATCAACCACCCGAAGTGGTTTAGCCATCAACCTAGGCTTAAAAACTCAATAATCTAATAAAATAGAGATTCTTTAAAATTAAAAAAACAAAATTTTAATTCAATAAGGAACAAATTAAAATTTATACAGTTTTAAAGGGGCAACTAATAAATCAAAATATTAAAAATTGGTATTTTATGAAATTAATTAATTCAATTTTTTTGCTGTAAAAATAATTATAAATACTCTTAACCCTCTTATTTAAAAGTAAATAGAAAAAATATATATATATTTTTTATTTTATATATAAATTGTTTTTAACCCCCATCCTTGATCGAACGATGGCGAGTCGTTCGATCAAGGATGGGGGGGGAGAGTTATGGACATTCCTGATTCAATTCTCCTAAAAGTGGAAATATCCCTTGCCCCTCCGCTTAAACAGCGAACATCCATTGACATATTTTTGAGAAAATACGCTTCAAAAGCGAACACAAAATTTTATAATATAGAAACTATTTTCTATAGATTAATAATTGATATAATGGAAATTATAGCTAATTCTATAAAATTTTAAATGATTGTACCTTTTTAAAAATAAATTTTATAAATTAATTAGATTTTTTCAAATACTTGCAAATTTGGATTATTTAAGAAAAATAACACTCCTTGTTAGCACCAGAGAAATCGCTCTAAAGGAGCTAATTTCAAAATGGTCATGAAGTCTTGAAATAATACTAAAATCCTAGGATTTCCTTTGATATATTCAAAACATCGGGATCCAAAGTGAAGCTCATGTGCTGACTTGCTTTCTATTAAAGAATCAGTGAGAGAGCAGATCATTTCATGATCTTATGGGGGCTGCTAAGCCATTTAATCATAGGAGTTATAGAGCTATTACTAGAGTTGAGGAAAGCTCAATATTCTACCATTCGTGAGTTTCAAGTCTATAAGTGAAAAATCTAAAGGCTCCAAGACCTAATAAGAGCCTTTTCAGCTTTTCTATGAGAATCGGCGTTTGGGATGCTAGTTCAATGTGCTTTGGGGTTGGCAGAAGACTAGCAATTTTTAGCTCTGTTGCTGAATAAAGCATTATTAATAGTAGATTTCATAAAATAGTTTAGAAACTTTGTTTAGGTCTTTGCCCTATTTTTTAATTGTTCAAAAAGGACATTCACAATTTTATAGGAAATTAACAATTTTACCTATTTATTTTTTTAAATTGTTAATAAATAACTCAAAGCCTTTCCTTAAACTTTAGTAAATATGTAGGATATCAAATGATAAAATCAAATAATCGTAAAGAACTAAAGGCAACCTCACTTTCAGTCAATATCCTGCAAAGATTTTGCCCTGAGATTGATTGATATGCTGTGAGATCATGATGATATTGGACTTCTTAAGATGAAAGACAAGAATCCAATGGTCAAATTCTTGCAAGAAGCAATAGATCTGAGGCACGAAGTTGACTATAAGCTGTGTATGCCCATTTTTAAAAATGAAAATGGACCAAAAAATTCATTATTAGACTTTTACTGTGCTTTATTAACAGCATTTTGCATATGAGAGTAATTAACTTGTCCAAAGAAAAATTGAAAACTTTAGCCATATCATTACGCAAGCTATAAAGCTTTTTGTGGAAAAAGAGGTAGTAGTGCAAACATTAGAATTTTTCTCTCTTGATAGCTAATTTTATAGCAAATCAGTAATTATACCCTTTATTACAAGCTATTTTAATTTTCAATTACTCCTTTTATGTCTTATAAGCTATAATTTTTTGTAAAATAACTAAAATATTAATAAATTAGTAAATATGCTGGATATAGGGAGGCAAGATCTAAATAGCCGGAAATTATTCATAGGCGGCCTCGCTCCACACACAACAAAAGAGGACTTGCAAGCCCACTTCTCTCAGTTCGGGTCTGTCCAGGATTGTGTCTTAATGATTGATAGATCAACAGGGAGATCACGATGCTTTGGATTTGTCACTATGAAGGACAACGAATCCACTGACCGAATCCTTGCAGAAGACCAAGAAATCGGAGGGAAAAAAGTCGACTGCAAGCTCGCTGTCCCACGAGACCAAAATACCAGTGTTCCCACTACCACCTCTTTTCGTACGAAAAAGGTTTTTGTCGGTGGTCTGCCTCCAGACGTGACCCAAGAGATTTTCAATTGTTTTTTTGAGCAATTTGGAGAAATAGAAGACAGTGTTGTAATGTTTGATAGAGAAACAGGAAGACCGAGAGGGTTTGGATTCATCACTTTTACTAATGAAGAGAGTGTTGAAAAGGTTATACAGAACAGTGAAAGCAACTATATTAATGGGAAATGGGTCGAGTGCAAAAAGGCTATGCCTAGCTCTCCCTTCCTCTGTGAACAAATAAAATTGTTTTGCATTAAAAAAATTTTTGCAAGATCAAAAATTTTATAATTCAGACCATTAAAATTTAATAGAGCTAAAGGTTCTATTATAATCAGAGGGAAGTAAGCATAATCAGCCTGATGAACGTTATGCTAATTACCAGTATACAAACCAGAATTATTATAACCCACAGTATACAACCCAGCCCTACACAAACCAAATGTACTCTAACCAAATGTATCAAGGCTATATGATGTATCCTTATTATAACATGGCTGGCTATCAGCAGGGGTCTGCATATGACCCCTATTGGCAAATAAATCAAGGCTATGGGCAGCAAAACTATAATGAGGGACATGAAGAACAAAGCAAACAGAAATTTGTGGACGATTTATTGGATGAAGGAAGAAACGAAATCAACCAGCAGCAAAGGTAGATTTTATATAGTGAGAATCACAGGAAAAAGACAATTAACTAGAGGGAAGTTCATTAACAGACTAAAAGGTCTTTAATAAATGTAGCTATAAGCTGATATATGGGTTGATTTTATTAGCAACCACAATTTAGTTATTTGGCAATCTCTAATTATCTAGGAATATTATTTTGATGACGCTTGTGTCATCGTGGCATTTAGGTCTTATTTTTTCTTTTTTCCAGCATTTTTATCAGATTTCTAGTTATTTATCTTTCTCACCTATTCCTATATCTTCCACTTCCATTCAGCGTAAAATCAAAAATTTATAAAATTATGAAAAGAGGGGCATCTCTTTCCAATGTTGATATCAATTACTTCAAATTTTTAGTTATTCCTAATTTCTCTTTACTTGTAATTTATCCAAAAAAATCCATCATTTTTCATATTATTCTTTTTTATATGCTATATGTTTTAGCATATTTGCGATATATTCTATTTAAATACAGTGCTATTTATAAAGACTTGCCGTTCATCCATACTCCTTCTTTCTTTTCGCCTGTGGGCAAAACCATAGTTCCTGACTCTTCAAGCCTCCCATCTTTCCATTTCCCATAAAACTTCCTCCCATCTGCCCACTCCAAAACTCCTGGGCCATCTTTCTTATCGTCTTTATACACCCCATGAAACACCTTCCCATCAGGCCATGTAAATTTTCCTTCCCCATTCATTTTATTGTCCTTCCACATCCCCGCATAGCTTTTTCCATCAGGCCAATGGTAAGTCCCTACTCCATGTATATTATTTTTCCAAAACTCCCCTTCATATCTCGACCCATCAGCCCAAAAAAATTTTCCATGGCCTTGTTTATTTCCTTCTCTGTACTCTCCTTCATATTTCGCGCCATCAGGCCACATTTCGATGCCATTTCCATCCTGTTTGTCGTTTTTTCAATTTCCATCATATTTTGCTCCATCTAAATGCATATAAACTCCTTTTCCATGGGCTTTATTATTAAGCCATTCACCTTCATAAACATCTCCATCGCTATGAATTAGCCTTCCATAGCCGTTGGGTTTGTCGTCTTTTCAGTAGCCTTCATATTTTGCGCCGTTTTTTGTATAGTGAATTCCTCGGCCTTCTCGCTGGCTGAGGGATAAATTTCACTCCCCAATGTAGATAGAACAGTCAGGAAGCTTGACTGGCGGCTTTTTGGTTACATTTTCTGTTTGTTGGGAGCCATAATTAAAAGGCTCAAGCATAGACTCAGCTTTACGGGAAAATTCGTTCATAAGATCGGAAGATTCTTGGATTAAAGATTTTCGTAAAGAGTAGCCTCTTCAAGCGGCTTGGATTTTTATTACATACGGCAGTGTTTTGCGGGAGCTCAGGTTTTTCTTGACGGATTCTATGTCGAGCTCTTTGAATTCGCCTGCCAGTTTATAGTCTCTGATGCATGCTGTACAGACTCCTCCCATTTAAATAAAACTCAAGAATGAATCTTTTAAACGCCAATGTTTGATATAATATAGATGGATATTGAGATATTATTATTTTGTAAAAATATTTTACCAGAATAATCCCTATCATAATTATCTTTAAAAATTCTTTATATTTTGATAGAAAATTGGAGAGCATTCATGATAATCGTGTGTCTAGACTAATTTGCAGTTAATTATTCTTTAGCCAAAAAATTATAATAAAGAGATTAGAACATTTTTGGGGAAAAAATATCATCAGAGAGCCGATTAACATCTTAAAGGCTCGTAGTACAAAGGAAGTGGGAGCATGCTTTAATTAATACTCTAAATAAAAACAAATCTGCGGCCTGTCATTTGAATGACGAAATCTTATTTCAGTGCTTTTTTATCTGTTGTTATTTTGGAACTTACTCTTTTATTTTATTTTTCGATAATTTTCCATAATAAGTTCACTAAAACTAGTTGAATAAATAATAATGGGATATCTGACTGAGGAATCAATAAATACCTTAAAGAACCATAAGTATAAGGGAAGTCCAACCACTCCACTGATGAAGCTTTTAGATAAAATACTGTGGAGTCCCCTTTCTAAGTTTATTCCAAATTCCATAGCTCCGAACATGATCACACTTCTCTCGACCATTTCCATTATGCTCGGTGCCATTCTCTCCCTATTCTATAACGATATGCAATTTGGGAAGAACTCTCCTCTTTGGGTATGGCCAGTTGCTGGTCTATGCCTATGGCTGTATGACACCCTCGATAATTTAGATGGATTACATGCTAGAAGGACAGGACAAGGGTCTCCATTAGGGCAGCTAATGGACCATGGTAACTATTATATAGGACTTGATAGCAGCTTCAATACTTTTGCAGTATCATTCTTGATTTTCCAATGTGTAGGCCTGCATGGTACAAGTGTATGGATTCCTGTGATAAATATTTCAGTTCAGTCCATCTTTTTCTACGCAGCCTGGGAAGAAAACTACGTAGGCTCTTTAAGAATAAACCTTGGGTCTGTTGGAGTTGACGAATTCGCGTATATTCATATTTTGCTGTTTGTTATTACCTATTTTGTGGGCTATGACTTCTTTGAGACTGAATTATTCTCTGGATTCCCTATAAAAAATTTTTGCGGACTATACATTTGCTTTATGTATTTTTTATTTAGATTTCTCTACAGTGCTATCTGCTACACCGCTAAAACCCTGAAATTTACCAAGTCTTTAGCTCCATTACTTAAATGGATCCCTATGTTCCAAGTTTATATTGGGACCGCTTTGATTTACCAGACTGTGGCTTATAGTAAATATACATTATTATTTATTATTGACCAGTCTACACTATTTGGAGTTCTCAGCGTATGGATGATCATTTGCAATGTGTCCAAAGTGAATTTTAGCTCATTCCGTATCGATACTTCGCTATATCTGCTGTATGCTATTTTAGTATACTCCGGGATTGATTTCTTTAACCAATTTGAGGTCCATTTAGTAGTTACATTTGCTTTCGTTATTTATATCTGCTATTTCTTTTCTTCATTGGTTTTAGAAATTGCGAATTATTTAGATATTCCAGTTTTCACAGTTAAACAGAAAAAATCTTAACTTAAAATAAGGATCTTTAGGCTAACTCTGAGTAGAGTGTGTCATGTTTTTAATAATTAGTGTAGTCATTTTTTTAATAATTAATGCAAATTTTTCCATATCATGACATTAATATTTATGATATTTTAGCTTCTGAACATAAGCTTTAATTGCAATTCAAATGTAAGCTTTTTAAATAAATTTAAGAAGCACTAAACTATTATAGCTTATATTATTTATTTCCTTTCGGCTGTGGCTTTAGAAATCGCTAACTATTATGAGATCTCTATATTACAGCTAATAAAAAATCAGCTTAATTTAAGGTTCATTAAAATTCATTTCTAATCAACAAATCTTCTATTATTATTTTTCTCTCCTATATATCAGAATTCGACAGATTTTTTCTAAATTTTCGTTTCCTAAGCATATCTTCAATGATAAGCATTCCCTTAAAGTCTTTAATCTAATGCACTCAAATTTTCAGCTTGGTCTGTATTTACTAAGAGCTGGCTTCCTAATCAAAATTATTTAGATATCGAAATGAATGTATAAATTAATAGGAAAAGAGAGATCAGAAGAAATTCCTTTGAATTTCAGCAGTCTATTTTTTTAAGTGCCATAGTAATTTATTATTTCCCAAATTAATAAGTTTGAAATAATAATAGATTTTATATGAGCCAAAAAAAGTAATTTTCGCTTAAATCTTAAAGTGCTTTTAGTCAAATAAAACTTCGACTATTTTCAGTTTATTGATGCTTTTAAATTAATCATGTATAGAAAGAATCTATTTCTCTGAGCAATTCGCCAATGTACGAGAGTGAATTAATATCTCATAATAGCTGGTTGCTTATTAGCTTAAGGAAATTTGTTTATTATGGATTTATATTCTCCTTTAATTTGTTGAAATTTGCCATAATAAATTCCTGAAAATTAGTCGAATAAATAAAAATGGGATATCTGACTGAAGAATCAATTAACACCTTAAAGAACCACAAGTACAGAGGAAGTCCAACCACTCCGCTGATGAAGCTTTTAGACAAAATACTATGGACTCCGCTCTCTAAATTTATTCCAAATTCCATAGCTCCAAACATGGTTACTCTTTTTTCAACAATTTTTATTATGATTGGCGTCATCCTCACGCTGGTCTATAATGACCTGCAATTTGGGAAAAATCCTCCCCTCTGGGTATGGCCAGTCGCTGGATTGTGCTTATGGCTATATGATACTCTTGATAACTTAGATGGCAAGCATGCAAGAAAAACTGGGCAAAGTTCACCATTAGGGCAACTAATGGACCATGGTAACTATGTCTCCATATCAAATGGCTGTTTATTTTTGATAGAGGCATTTCATAAGGCAAATTTCCTTTTTGATATTGAGACTTTTGACCCAAAAACCGTTAATTTCGACCAAATTTTTCGATGAAATGCACACTATTAAAATTACGCAATCATTGGGCCTGAACCTGGTAACTATTATATAGGACTTGATAGCAGCTTTAACACCTTTGCAGTGTCCTTCCTAAATTTCCAATCAGTAGGGCTGCATGGCACAAGTATATGGATTCCTTTGATAAATATTTCAGTCCAGTCCATATTTTTTTACGCAGCATGGGAAGAAAATTACGTAGGCTCAGTAAGGACAACCCTTGGATGGCTTGGGGTTGAGGAATTCGCTTACATCCACGCTATACAGTTTGTTTTCACTTTCTTTGTGGGCTATGAATTCTATAATACTGAACTAGTAGCCGGATTTGCTATTAAGGATGCTTATGGATTATATCTTTGCTTCATGTATTTTATATTTAGATTTATTTATATCGTATCCAGGTATATTAATAAGACATTAAGATTTGCCAAATCTTATGCTCCATTGCTAAAATGGATTCCTATGATCCAAGTTTATATTGGGACCGCTTTGATTTATCAGACAAGTGTCTATAGTAAGTATGCCTTACTATTTATGATAGACCAGTCTGTGCTCTTTGGGGCTCTCAGTGTGTGGATGATCATTTGCAATGTGTCTAAGGTGAGCTTTAGTCCATTACGTATAGATACTTCTCTCTATCTATTGTATGCTATTTTAGTATATTCTGGGATTGATCTCTTTAACCAATTTGAGATCCATTTAGCAGTCACATCTGCGTACGTAATTTACATGTGCTATTTCTTTTCTGCGTTAGCTTTAGAAATTGCCAATTATTTAGACATCCCAATATTCACAGTCAAAAAGAAAGTAACTTAACTAAAAATAAGGTTTATTAGCTTAATTATTATTGTGCCGTGGAAAATTAATCATAGAGCAATAAAGAGAAAAGAAAATATATAATTATATAGCCTAGGCATTATGAGCATATAAGTGATTTCTATAAGTTAGCTCTTTGAGCTTCAAAAAACTTGGCAAGCTTTTTAAATTGTAAAATCAGCCTTAAATTTAAATTACTATTCAAATGCAAGAGTTGAAAAAAAATGAGTAACAACTGTATCTCGTTTTTAATTTTAATTAAAAAATATTGTTTAGGTATATAGCCGGGAACAGGCTATAGACTTGCTAGCTATCTTTAAAAAAATATTGAAAAATATAATTTTAATAGTATTTGCTGGTAACAGAAAAATTAAAAACTCTAATTACATGTATCAACAAATTTTATCGCCTAAATTATTTTACTCTAAAATAGGATTAAGTTAAAATTTCCTATCAAAATATCTGAATCTTTCTAACTCCTTCAATTGTGCCTGATAATCTCCTATTGCAGCTTTTAATATTTTTTCTATTTGTAAATTTGTTTGAAAAATTTCAATTATATTTTGGTTAAGCTTTCCAAATTCATTAGCTTTTTCTTCTAATAGGTCTAGCTGATTTTTCATAGAATTTAAATGGTCTTTGAATGGTTTCATGAGTTTTTCTAATCGAAAAGCAGTTTTTGTGTACATTTTTTCTATCACAAGTTCTTGGTTTGGTCTAGATAGACTTTACATGAAGATTTCAAGCTCTTTATACCTAAAGGGTAGAAATTTTAAAGTATTGGAAATAGATTCTGAGTATTCTTTAGCTTTTCTGAGACTTTCTTCAAATCTGACATAAGATCCTTGGACTGCTGAGTAGATTTTATTTGCGTTTTGTGGTAAAATAAAATCCATGTGCTTTCCTTATTTGTTTATTTGATAAGAGTAGGCATAGTAATTACTAATAATTATTGCTTTTGTAAAATATATTTTAAGTTATAAAAGCTTTAAAATCAAGAGCTTCTATAACAATTAATATTTTTCAATAAATCTTAAGCTAAGCCTTATTAGCAAAGTATTATCCTTATAAGCAATATTTCTAGTTGCATATCCCTACCAGCACATAAAATCTCATCCTAATCCAAAGACATCCTTCAATGCTAATACTCCTATAATTAATTATTACAATCATTTTAAAGAATATGGGCGTGCTATTCGTTGCGTACTGCATATTTGGTACTCTTATGCTCCTTATTCTCTTTTTCAACTACACAATAGTCAAATACTACACTGACACAAGTGAACACTATCATTTAGCCACCGTCGTCACAGTCCTATCTCTATCAATCACTTTATTTTGTGTCCTCCTAGTTCCAATAGATATTCTGATTGCATCAGGACGAGTAAAAGATATAAGTGATATAGACATCCCTAAAGAAACAGTCAGAAACATATTTTTATCTTTATTTTCTATCATGCTCTTACTAGCTTTTATGCTGATACCTTTTGCGTATTTTTATGGGGAAGAACAGTTTGATGAAATTGATTCTGATGGAAACGCGTTATGTGAAAAAATCTGTGAAAGCATGAAATATACAGCCAGCTTTATGCTTATTTGTGCTGTGCTGGTTATTGTAGGACTCATTTTTAGGCCAGAAAAAGATGAATGGGGGCAGGGAAAAGAATGAATCAGGCAGCTTTTTGATGTGGAACATGTAGGAGAGGCTGCTATTTCCTTTACAGTGGCATGCTTAACACTAGTAGGACTTTTGCTTTGGTGTTTTTATACTGCGTTTGGCATGGCTGCTATGCCGTTTACATTAATTAAAGGCAAAAAGAGCCTTGAAGAGGCTAAAAATGAGCTTGAAATGGATATTGGCGACGTCAGAGACAAAATCAGAGAAATTGAGCTGAGATCAGCCAAAAGTAACACAAGAATGACAAGAAAAGAAAAACGCGACAAAGCAAAACTCGAAAAAATGCAAAAAAAACTAATGGCAAGATCCTCAAAAATCTCTGAAAAACAAAAAGACAGCTCCCAGCTCCTATCTAGATTACTGAAATTTTTAACGCCTTTCCGAGTCATGCTGGGCGTTTTTGCTTTGATTTTCTCCTTGATTTTCTTTTTTTCCTTATTTTTTGGGGCAATTGACAGACTTATAAATTCTGACTGTGGATTTTCCTGTGGATTTATTACGTCTTCCTCATCTATTTTTAATCCTCTTGATTCTCTCCTTGTCTATTTATCTACAATGTTCCCTCTAGACTATCTGATTTTTGGCTTATTAATCCTTTATATATTTATTGCAAGCATTTATGGAATTGTTCGCTGGGGTATCCGTTTTCTATGTGTATCAGTAGCTCCTATATAGGTTTTCACAATAAAAAAGAAAAGAACAATGCCCCAAGCTCTGCTTGTAGCATCAATTATAATGATGCTTGTGGTGCTTGGCATTTCTGTAGCCATTTTAACAGTCGTCCCAGCTTATACTACATTTGGCTCCCAAAAATTTGTATCAGACGGCAAAACTGTGGAGTGCTCCTTAGAAAATTTCAACGAAAACGAGTGCGTGATGTCCAATATTTCCAGCTTTTTTAATAGGTATTTTATAGTCAGAATTTCTCTGTCCATCCCGCTGTTTTCAGCAGTCGTTTATTTGATGAACTGGCTATTTATGGCAGTTTTCATCGTATGTGGGATCTCAGCAGCCATGCAAAAGCCTTCTTCGTCCTTTGAAGAAGAGCTGGAGATCGAGGAGGAAGAAGAAGAGACATTTATATAATAATTCATATAAATTTAAATAAAATGACCTCAAACCAGGATGTTGTAGCAACCACTTTTGCCATTTCCCAAAAAGAAAAAGAGCTTAAACAGAGGTTTTTCAATAACCAAAGGACAGTCACCCAAAAAACTGAGCCAAAAATAGTCCAAGCGCCCGACCCAAAACTCCACAATTTTCTAGATGACATGCAAAATGTCCTGCAGCAGCAAACCAAAGGGACAATGGCTGGGGATCTGCTAAAAAAACAAGCTGCGATTATGCAAGAGCAAGTCGATATTATTAAAGAAGACAGAAAAAACTTGCAAGAAGTAATACAACATCTTGCAATTAATAATACAAAAGAAAGCCAAGACCCTAGGAAAATGATGGCAGAGCTCCTAGCACCTCTAAGCAAGCAGATTTTAGAGGTAAAAAATTACTATGAAGAGACCAAAATTGCAGCCAAAGGCATCACTGAACAAGTCACAAATTTAAAATCTGCAATAAGCGAAAAAAGAAATACAGGGAAACTGCAGAGATCAGTGGAATTAAGCATTAATAAGTATAATAATCAGAAGAGCCAGTTTCAGAATAAGGTAAAAGAAGCTGAAATGATGGTAAATGAAGTAGAAGAGGCCGCACAAGAGAATTCGTTAATAAATAAGTGCCAGGATGGGATTAGATACTTGAGAGAACAGATAAAGGCAGTTAAAGATGATACTTTGACAGTAGAAAAAGAGTTGCAGGGGAGGTATAAGAGGATAATGGAGCAATGCCAGACAATAAAAAATTTGCCGACTGAAATGTTTTTGCAGGAAAAAGATTATAGAGGAGCTGTAATGAGGATTCAGGAAAGACTGGGAGGGGAGTTTAATTATGATGAAATTTTGGAGGAAATTGAAAATTCAGTTGCGGTTAAAAATACGCTGATGCTGGAATATAGACAAGGCACGCCGACTTATCCCAAGCTGAAAAAGGTGAATATTTCGCCGGAAAGAGAAAAAAGTGGGTATCAGGGGCAGCAGACCTTGAAAAAGAAGCAGACTGAGCTACATCCTGCACCTTTTGGAGGCAAAAGAACATTTACTATCAAGCCAAACAACTTAACAAATCTGCCAACAGTGCCTCTTAAACCGCCTTCTCCTGTTCCTATAAAAACAAAACCGCCCTCCTTTATAAAAACAGCTCCAAAAATGCCTGAAACCCAAAAATCAAAAGAAATTGAGCCAGTCAAAAAATTCGAATTGCCTTCATTTGCCTCAAAAATCCCTACCGAGGTTCAAACCGAAGAAGTAAAGCCAGACCCCAAGCCAGTTCCAGCTGCTTCTAAATTAAACCAAACTAAAATCGCTGGCCCAGAAGCCTTAGAAAATGATTTATACTCAGGGCTAAAAAGCCAAGAAACCCAAAACCCTCCTTTACAGTCCTTAGAAAGCCAAACGACAGACGCTGTCACAAAATTCGTCCTAAACCAATTACTGTCAAAAGAAAAGCTTCATCTGGAAAAACCCCAAGGAAACAAAGCAAAATGGCTGGGGGTTGATGGAATCAGCGACCTCGTAAAGCAAAATTTATTAATAGACTCCTTTACAATCGAAAAAGTCGGCCAGCAAGTACTAGAAGAAGAAATAGAAAAAATGGGGCAATCATAAAAAAACTAGATGGGTAAATTAGAGTAAATTTGAAATCTATAAAATGACTGTAAATTTTAAAATTGCATGAAAAATCCCAAACGGAAAATTTTTTTAAAGCCATACTGTAAAATCTCCTAATTATTTTTTGTTATGAAAAAGCCCCTAAAATTTGTAAATTAAAAAAAATTCTGGATAAGATGCGATAAAGCTCCTTTATTTATTTTGTCTCAATTATGCAGATTAATAGCTATGAATCATATGATATAGATTCTCTATTTATACGATCGGACAACTTCTAATAGTATTAATTCACAATATCATTTTGTTTTCGAAGGGTTTTTTCATGTGAAAAATGAAAAAAAAAAACTACTGTGGAGGTTTTTTTACAGTATGGTTTTAATTTTTTTCCTATGGGTATTTTCATGAGATTTTAAAAATAAAATTTACAGTCATTTATAGGTTTAAAATTTACTGTAATTTACCCATCAGTTTTTTTTCATGGACCCCCAAAAAAATGCGAACGAAAAATACTAAAAAAGAAGACTCAAAAAGAGACGAGTCCTATGCAGACGATTTTGAAGAATATAATGAGGATTCTAAAGACCCAGCCAAAGAACAGAAAGTTGAAATTCCAAAAATACCAATAAAGAAACCGGAGGAAAATAAAAACAATACGCCAGTTTTAGAGCCTCCAGAAAGTGGTGATATTGAGTCATTATTAAACCCGCGGCTGCTTGGTATGATGAGTGCAGCGGCTGTGCAGCATTATATAACTGCTTTAATTGAGTCTGGCCACCTTGGTCGTGCCCATTCTATTTCTCCACCAAGTTTATTTGATAGAAATTCCACCCCTCCTACACAGATTTTTAATCCTCCAGTGCAGACCCCTATGACGAACCAAAATCAGTCAGATTTTACGATTTTGCCTCCACAAATTCAGACAAGAATAGAAATCCCTGAAGAGCTGAAAGGATTTTTTAATACACCTATAGGAGAACAGTTATTAAGAATAATTAAAGAAAATAAAAGCCAGACTCCTCAGCAGATTTTAGAAGAATGGGTCAAGCGCTATATGGCGAGTCCGAGAGACCCTTTTACCCCTTTGAATTTGCAGTACCCACCGAGGCAAGAATTTAATCATGATAATAGGGAAAAAAGCATTTTTGGGGATATTTTTGCAAGCCAAATGCCAAAGCCTCAGTTTAATGCAGAAAAAGAAGAGAATGTGATTAAAAAAGAGTCCATGGCGCCTAGGAGGGTTTTTGATATCCCGATTTTGAACTTGCAAAAAGCTGTGCCAAGCAGCCCTGGAACTCTTGCATTTTTGCTATCAGAATCTGAGTCGTCGTCTGGGATTTCTTCAGGATCTGTAGGTTCTGAGCTCTTTTTTTCAGAAAATCCAGGGTTTTTGAGTGGGTTTATTGACTTTGTGAAAAAATCAAGGGAAATTGAAGAAGGGCAAGTTCCTGGGAGTTATGAGACTTCTGAAGGAGAAGTCAAACACCCAGAAATAGAAGGACTGTCATCAGGAGAAATTCCTTCTGAGGTGCTTTTGCCTAGCCCTCTTGGAATTGATAGAAATTGGGATAGAGTAAGAATTTCCACTTCAGATTTATTGTCAAATGAAGAAACCTTTGAGAAAAGTGAAGGGGAATTTGACCCTGCAGCAATTTTCAGCATTTAAATAATTTTTATAATTAGAAAATTTAAATCTTAATTATTCTGATTTTCGAGATTATAAATGGCTTAAATAATTATGTCTAAGTGTAGATTTTCGCTTATAAAATTGCCAGTATGGTTACGAACTGGCCATATAGGCTGATTATTAAAATTATTTTTATTCATTTATATATATAAATAATATTGATCGGCATGGGCAGATAGAATGCTTAGACTCCCTAGCTGGTTTTCCAACTCAAGGTGACAAACCAACTCGTGGAGAGTTGAGTATAAGGCATTTTTTAACTCCTGAGTTGACTCCTCAACTTAAGTGGGGGAACCGACTCGATGGGCCTAGGCATTCTTTTAGCCCAGGCTGATTAATCTCGGTTCCTGGGCTATAATAAACTATTGTTCAATATAATAATACCTATAAGATGAATTTCTAGATTCCCTAATTAATAGTGGACGCTTTCTCTTTTTTCGCTTTAAGTACGTTGGCCATTTTAAGCCATAATTAAACATGAAGTCTTGGCTTAGAGCTGGTCTTCTGGCAGAAACACATGAATTATTCTTAATTTGTCAATGCAAACTACTAATTTTAATAAATTATAATAAATATTAATTAATCTATTGATTTATTGTATATAAAAATATGCAATATATGAAATTGGTTCGATTAAAACGGGATTAATTTTCCCAAATTTTTCAATGGAATCGTTCGATAAAGGATGAGGATCAATTTTCACAATATTTAGGAATTTTCAATGGAATCGTTCGATCAAGGATGGGGGATAAGAATTAAAATAATTTTTAAAATTTTCTATCGGTTTTGCTTGCTATAAATTATTACAACAAGCACTTTTGCATGGTAATTTATTTCTCGTATACAAATTAGCTTGAATAATTAAAGTTTATTAATATAGAATAATATCAGCAACTTCTCAGCACTCCAATTAACTGACTCCTCCTTTGGTTCAAGTTTTTTTATAATTAGGGGATTATATTTCTTAAAATATTAATTAAAAATATTATATTCAATTAAAATATAATACCTTATTAAACAAATACTTAAAATTTAATACAATTCGTGGATTTTTTATTATTCTTATATTTATTAATTATTTATCAAAATATTATATAACAAAAAAATTTAGATAAAATATTATGAAAGAGAATAATTTATCCAAAATCAGGAATTTTTCCAATGTTTTGCTAACTAACAAAGAGGAAAGGTAATATTTTGCTTATTTAAGGTGGCGTAAATATTTCGATGATTTAATTAATATTATAAACTTGGAAATTGAATTTTTATAACAAAAAATTTTTACACCCGCAATTATTTTTGAATCAAGCTTTGAAAAATTTTATATTAACTCCACCCCCTTTTAAATTTAGAACAAAATATAGGTAAAATTTCCATTTTGGAGTACTTTAACACTTCTTTAATTTGGATAAACATTTTTCAATAGGAAAGTTTTATAGTTAAAATACTAATTTGTATAAAATTAATTTTAGCCTAATTTAAACATATTTTTTAATTTTTAAAAATTTTCAATAAAATTTACTGAAACAGGAATTTTAAAAAATGGGAGTAAAAAAAAATGTTAAAAAATAAGTTTTTCAAGACAAAAATGTTCGCTTACGTCATCTCTTCATCTTTTAAATATTTCAACTTATATCTTTACATTAAAGATTTTATGGTGTGTGTTCATTATATATATAATTTTTTTTATCAGCATTATGGGAAACTGTTGCAGTAACCAAAGCGGAGACATGATGGACTCTCAATTACAGATTTCGCCCTCGCACTTCCAATTTAACTACATTATCGGCCGAGGAGGCTTAGCAAAAGTCTGAAAAGCCATGCGCTGTAACTCCAAAAAAGAATTTGCTATAAAAGTTATGCCAAAAGTAAAAGTTTTGGCACGAAGTTCTATAAATAGCATCCTCAACGAGATGTCTTTCTTAAGCACATTGAGGAGTCCAAGCATTGTAAACATGCATTATGCCTTTTATGACAGCGAAAATTTATATTTAGTCCTTGATCTTATGCCTTGCGGAGATCTTAGATTCCATTTGTCTCACAGAAAAAAAAAATTTTCAGAAAATCAATCGAAATTTTTAATTGCCAATATTGTGAGGAGCTTGGTATTTATCCATGGGGCTCATGTAATTCATAGAGATTTAAAGCCAGAAAATTTATTATTTGATGAAAAAGGGTATCTTCACTTAACAGATTTTGGAACGGCAATTAATTATGATGAGAAAAATGGAAACTGGATGGGCGGGACTCCACAATATGCAGCCCCAGAAATGTTGTTGAGAGAAGAACAAACGATAGCAATTGATTATTATGCCTTAGGTGTTATATTATATGAGCTGATGACAGGCAAAAGGCCTTATGAAGGAAAAAACTGAAAAGAAATGAATGAGCTTATGAAAAATGAATTTACAGTAAAAGAAAGCGACCTACCTGCGGGATGGTCAAGTGATGTATTGGATTTAGTGAACAATGTAAGAATTACTTACTCCCCCCCCCCCTCCGTGAGCGAACAAAACCATTAGAAAAATCGCCATTTTTTGACCAAAAAACCCACCCTCCGTGAGTGAACAAAAATTTTTTTAATAGAAAAAATTTTAATGGAAAAAAATTTTGATATATAAGTGATAATTAGTATGATGAAATCTAGAGCTAATTCTGTTTAATTTTAAACAAATTGCGTTTTAAAACATAAATTTTGCAAATTAAATTAATATTTGATTCCCAATTTTTTGCAAATTAGGATTTTTTTAAATTTCGAAAAAAATAATTTTTTATAAAATTTATATATAAATTTTTTTTAAAAAAAAAAAAAATTAACCCCCCTCCGTGAGCGAACAAAATTTTTTTGTTCGCTCACGGAGGGGGGGGGGGGAGTTAGCCCTTTCAAAGGATATAAGTAAAAATCGATTTATTGAAAATTAATTGTAAAAGGATGAATTCTATATATTTAAAATCAAATGAAAAACCAAATTGTTAATGGGATGTTAGTTACTGAGAAAACAGCCAGAGATGAGATTAGGATTTAATGGTCCGGAAGAAGTAAAAAGTCACCCATGGCTAAGAAATATTGATTGAACAGAAATTTCTAATGGATTAACAAAAGCCCCATTTCTTCCAAACTCTACAACTTCAAATTTCAACCATTTTGTGGAAATGTCACTTAATGGTAATGAAGATAAAGAAGCATTGCACAGAAGTAAAGATTTGCTTAAAGATGAAGTAACTCATTCACTTTTTTCGGGATTTTACTATAATGAGCTCGCGCAATACTCAGGATCAGTTTCTAACCCAGATCTACCTCTTTTATATCAGTATAGTCCTAAATCAAAATTGTAATTGTGTAGCAAAATGCTATAATATGCACTTATAATAATTTTTTTTAAAAAAGCTGATAAATTTCGCTTCATTAATTAGTATATTGATATTTTCCCTGTGATTATCTCATAAAATAAGCTTATAGACAAGAATGATGGGTAGGGGTCGCTGCTTTCTAAATAACAAATTTCATTTAAAAATTACACATTTATTCGCCAAATACTTAATAAAAGACTTTTGCATCAGACTTTTTTATCTCCAAACAATTAGCAGGAATACCCAATAAGCAAGCTTTAAGATCTCTCTTACATTTTATTTACCAAATATTAAATTTTATATGTCAGAAGTTAATTCTCAATTAAACGCTACTAAGAGGTCCAGCATATTTTCATTCGGCAATGAATCAGTGCGATTAGAAAACGAAATAAATCATTTTACTCGAAAACTTGAACACGAGCGAAGACTATCTCTTTTACTTGACAAAGACTTGAAAGAAATAAAGCAAAATATCGCAAATATCAAAAAAAATAAAAATCAAAAATTCAGCACCATCAAGGCTCAAGACAAGGTAAAAGCTTTAGAAATCAGACTTGAAGCCGTAAATAAGCAACTTGGAGAAGTCAGAAACAAAACCCGAAAGCTTATAAATGAAATTGACTGTATGAGAAAAAACGCTCAAGGCTACCATACAGGAAATTTAAGCGCAAAAAAAGAATTAGAAAGAGCGCGATCCCAAATTATTGAGACAAACAGAGTATCTTCTGAGCTACAGAAAACAATTGAAAAATATAATGAAAATATATTAAGCACACACAGCAAGTTTGAAAGCAACCGGGATATTTTAGCCGAAAGCCTCAGCTTAATGAAATCTAATTATTTAGAAGACAAAATCGAAGGGACTAAATTCAGACAAGGCTTCACTGTGAATTTCGCTCAGCCAATAGCAGACGCCTCAGAAATGCATGGGATTTATAAAAATCAAGCCCAAAAATGGTCAGAAAAATGCAAAAAATTGACTTCGGACAAAGAAAGTATAAGATCCAGGGTATCTGACCTAAATTCTGCTATGGAAGAAATGAAGGCCCAAAGTAAATTAAGCAGCTCAAAAGACATAGTCGATCTTTTTACTACTAGTATAAATGAATATTCCAAGCTAAGCCACTATTTCTATACAATTTCAGAAGAAATCTTTGAAGTCAGTGAAAAAGTGAGGCTAAATAAAGAAAAAGTTGAAGAAATCAGCAAAGGTTTTCATGAAGAAATAAAAATAGAAGGAATTGAGACTGGAAAAGAAAATTTAAAAAAAATTGGAAAGGAAAAAGAAAGAGCTAAAGAGAAGCTAGGAAAGATTCGGGGGAAAATTTATTTTTTGCCAGATGGGTTTAGAATGATGACTGAAGAGCTTTTAAAGCTAGGGATAAATAATGAAGTGGAGCTTCCTGATTTAGACGAAGATACAGTGACTAAGGTGATGTTTGAATTAGAAGAATCAATAAATTCGGTTATGTATTGAAGGAAAATAACAATTGACCAAAAACCTGAGTCTTCGCCATCTAAAAAAATTATTGATTTTAATGAAGTGGATATAGAGAAACTTATAGAGGATGATTTGCCAAATGCTCCGATGACTATTAAAGATTTTCAAATAAAAGCAATTAAGTCTATTGATAAGCTTTCTGAAGGTTCTTAATATGCTGCTTATCCACCGCTTTTTTTAATTTGAGCCAAATATCAGTAAAATTTCATGAATTTGCCCTTTAAAAATTTTAATTTAAATTTTTTAAAACCAAATTAACCCCTGTAAATTAGAGCAGTTTGCTTTTTCCTAATTTTAAAAGGGGGAGTTAATAATAAAATGCATTATAAAATCCCTTCTGCGAAAATTATCGTTAAGTAAATTGTTATCAACAATTATTTCATTTTTTTTAATTCATTTAATTCTTCACTTATTCGGTTTATGCTTTTCTTCAAGCTCGCGATAGGTTTTATTTGCAATTTTACTTTGTTTTTATCTATAAAAGCTTTATTGATTTTTTCTATTAATTCAGTCAAATCCTCTCTGCTTTGACTTACTTCCTTTACTTCCTGTGTAGCTATAAATTCTCTTTGCTCAGGCATAGTAAAAAAGAATTCATCTTGTTCAGAATAAGTTTCAGTTGAGCTGGATAAAATTTCAGTAGAATCTGAATGGCTTCTACTTAAAACATCAATAGGGTTATCTATAGCAACTTCGTCAATATACTCGTCTAAGCAGATATTGGTATAATTCAGACCTTTTTTCATTTCTAACTCCCCTTGGCTAATGAGCAAAACCATTTAAAAATTCTGGATAACTGCCCACATCAATAAAACATTTTAATTTAAAATTTGATTTACTATTGATAATTATAATAATGAGCTCTCCAATTAATTACATTAAATTTAAATAGCTGTATATTTTAAAGCATATCTATATGAATATTTGGAAGTAAAATATTTTAAAAATGTATAAATTAGTCAAGGAGCTAAGCATAATTTTGAATTATTTTGAATCCCTACTTTATCTAATGTAATATAGTCGTTGTCTGATAAAAAGCGAAAACCATATGACCCGGGCTCGAATTCTATCATTATTTTAAGATCAAAATCGCCAATGAGGCCTAAATTGCTGAGTAGAAACAATTTAAGTTCCGTAAGAGTCATACATTTTGGCACTATAAAGGATTTCCAGTTATAGTCGTCCCAGTCTTCTGAGCTTGAGATAACGCAAGCTTCAATATGTGTGGAATTTATATCAGATATCATTATATTTATTTTTTGAATCAGCTAATTAATGAAATTTAACATTTTAGAAAATATATAGAAATCATCAATTACTAAGATTAATATCTTGGCCTGTCCTTGATGATCCAAACACAGTCAATCTCAGTCAATGCTTGAGAACTGAATTGTTCCCAATACATATGGGTGGTGTTAAAAGCAGTTAGTCTCCCATAGCCATAATCACTGCTTAGATACCTCGCATAAGGTGCTGGGGTGTTAGAAACCGGATTATTTTTCTCATAATTCCCTGCTCCTCCACTTTCTATATAAATCGGTGCATTTGCATTAACATGCATATTTTGGCTATCAAATTCACTGTTAACCGTCAGATTTTTATAGATGGCAGCGTCTCTTTCATAGTTATGGACGTGGCCTTGGAGTACAAGGTCTACGCTGTTATTATAGAAAATATCTTCTAGTATTGGTCTAATTACGGCTGGTTGGTTTGCACAATTGTCCATTATAGAACTATCATTTAATTGTTGAGAACAGTACAGTGGATGATGCATAAGGACAACTATCCAGGGCCTAATTTCTCTATTTTGATTGGCAAGGGCTAAATCATTACTGAGTCATTGAGTTTGGACTTCAGCTTCAGTCTGATAAGAGCTGTGAAAATAAGAATTTGAGTTTATTAATACAAAATGGACTGGGCCAAGGTTTAAGGAATAAAAATAGCCAGTTCCTTGGTTATCACCATTATGAGGCATATTAAATCTTGACTTGTAGTGGCTATAGTTGTTAAAACTCTCGTGGTTTCCTGGTTCTACCATATAAGGAAAACTCGCAACAATTGGTTCGACCATATTCAAATAATCGTCTCCGATTTTTCCATTATCAGTGTCTAGGTCATATGCAATGTCCCCCATATGCAAAATGCCTAAATAATTCCTAGACTTCGACTCTTCTTCCAATAAATATTTCGTAAAATGCCCAATATGTCCAGATCCCCAGTCTCCCAGAATCACCATAGAAATTGCGTTATCTACATCATAAAAAGTTGTAGAATTATCTGGAGTTCTTCCACTGAAAATATAAGTTTTCGATTTAACTCCAGTGTTACTGACTTGGTATTCATACCAGCAGGCAGGAATAAGATCTGTAAATAAAGCAGTATGAATAAATTGGTAATGGTTGTGGGTCGTATTTCCTTGTAAAAATTTCGTGCTTTGAGCTGCAACAGCTGTAAAATTAGAAGGGGAAGGGACATTTCCACAGAGGATTGGACGATAATAGGCTTTTGGGAATGCTGAAAGGTAGGTTACCCAGGTCACGCGGATTTGGTTGGGCTCTGAAGTCCAAGATAAGTGAATTTGTTCAGGGTGGATTAGGCCTAAAGAAATCGATGCTTGTGCGATAAGAAGGATGAGCAGGTGCATCAATTTTATTATAAACCATTAAAGATTGCAGGAAATATGCTGATATAAATGGATAAGCGCTGGGCAGTGGCGGTTTTCAGGAGTTATCTATAAATAATCATATAAGTGGGGAGCGAATTAAATAGTTTAGTAAGTGCCTTGATAATTATTATTTAATATGGAAGCTTTGAAAAATAATTTAATGTATTTTATATTATAGAGGTAATAGCAAAAATTAGCAGCTTAAGCGACAAGAATATATATAGAAACTGTATGAGAAGCCTTATGAATTAGAGGAGAGCTGCTGATAAATTTTTTATATAAAGAACTATATAGGAGAGATATTAAAAAATTTAAGGATTAAATAAAAGATATATGGAATATAATAATCTGGATCAATTTAAAAGGCAGCAAATTTTTTGGCTATTAAGGAGGTAAAAACATTTTTCGACTAAAAGAATTTGTTCTTAACCTCCCTAGTTAAACTATTTGATATTGTTTCTATATCCCAAATAATAATCTGCGTTCTGCCATAGGAATTTATATAAAAATTAACATAAATGAATCTTACTTATGAAATCTTTTCTCAAAAAAGCTTTTAGGGAAAGTGTATCCTCTTATCTCATGATATTTGATTTCTTTCTTTAACTTCTCCTCATTTAAACAGTCATGATTTGGATTTGGATCGCCTGTACAGAGCAAGCAAAACTTTTTCCCCTTACACTTCTCATTTCTACAGGTCCCATAATTATCAAAATTTGGGTCCGTTCGATCATATGTCTGCAATCAATAGCAATTAGGGCACTTTTGAACAACTAAGCCCAATTGATCTAGCTTTAGATTTATTTCATATATTCTTCCAAAAGTGCTGCTCCTAGTGTTCCTTCCATAAAAACTTTTTTTTGGCCTATTTTTTTTTTTGGTAAATTTTTTGGTTTATTTATTTTGATACATTTTTCTAAATTATTTTTCCTAATATTTATATCGAAATAATTATTATTTGAATTATTCAAAATAAACTAAATCCAAAAAATAGGCCAAAAAATAGTTCTTATGGTGTAGGCGTCATGTGAAGATTTCTCTAACTTCTCTACACTTTTCATGGTTTTCAAGCTTGATCAAGCATATTGGGCAAAATTTCGATTTGCAGTGTCCACAATAAAGCGAGGCACCATTATCTATAATTTCTAAATACCAAGAATAGCAGATCGTGCACTGCATAACTAATTCGTCTATTTGTGCTGGCTCTACAGGCTCAGCTACAGGAATTTCAATTTCATGGTGGATTTCACATAGTTCTGGCTCTAATGGTTTTAATTCTATTGGCTTGCTATTTTTCAAAAACTTATCTGATATTTCTTCAAATTCTGACTGATCATTTTGTTTCCAAGAAAGATTTGGTTGATCATTTTTTTTAGCTGGCCGATATGGCACATTGACACTTGAGTCTATAAGCTCTTCTTTTTCTCCACGCAGAAATGAATCTGTAGGGTTTATATCAGGAAGATCCTCAGCTTGCTGATACTGGAGGTTAAAGCCTGCATTAGGTACAAGATTCTGCAGACTAGAAGGATTAACACTTATATCAGGAAGGTCCAGCCCCGAAGTTTGCAGATTCTGAAAATTGCTTATACCAGGTAGATCACTTTCTCCAAGACCTTTATTATTTCCTTCATTAATTATTGGTGTATTCTTTTTCTGCACACAACTTATATCAGGGAGATCATAATTTTTTGGTTCATGGCTACCTTTTTCAGGCACAAAAACCTCTTTTTTTGCTTTATTATTTTTTGCATTAATTTTTGGGTCTTTTTTTGCAATTGGGGCATTTTTCTGCTTTGCCTCAAGCTCTCTTTGCGTTCTGAAAAAAGGAGCTGGGCTTTCTACGTAGCTCTTGCAAATTGGGCAAAACCATCAATCTTCATATGAATTCGCGTCGGTTTGAAAACAATCTACACAAAACCTATGTTTACAAGCAGGAATTTGATAAATACCTTCTTTTTGTTCACAATATCCACAGGTAGGTATTGGTATTTGCTTCAGACAAATAATTTTTACTCTGGAGTTGCAATGTTTGCAATTGAGTTCTGTTCCAACGTTAGTTTCCTCACTATGAGTATTGCAAACTTTGTGGAAGCCCGCATAGTTGACAGAAATCACCCCTTTGAGTGCACAGAGAATGCACAATATGCTGCAGTCGTTGTCCATCTTTCTATAAATATTAAAAAATGCTATTTATAAGGAAATCGTGTGGGTATTATGATCATGACTGAGATTTGCTTGCATTCGAAGTGCTTATTGAGTAGCCCTTGCAGCTAATATTGGCATTTTTTTACATCTTTATGATTAGAGCGTTTTTCTTATTAAAATTCAAAATAATTTTCTGATTTAAGAAAAAACTTCATATGCAAGACCTATTAATTTGAAAAGCTGTGTATAATTATTTATTGAGTTTCTATATGCATAAAATGGCAGTGGTGAACTCCATGGAAGGTGTCATTATGTATATCTGGTGGCTTTTGATGCAAGAAGCTGTTAAAACGCTTGGGTTAGCATTGAAGAGAGAGGTCTAACACTATTTCTAATGATCTGTGGATTGGATAAGGCGATTTGTTTTTGTATCTTTTACAAGCAGTGCCAGGCCAGACTGGGTGTTCGAGAGAGCCGGACTTATCTGCTTAGGCTGATCAGTTGCCTGTGCAGAATGGATAAGCTATTTAGTTTCCTTTGGGATAATTCGGAGGGAAAGACAGGTTCGACAAACTTCAAGGGCTACAGTTTCTCCAGTTTAAAAGGGTCCTGTGAAGGCAGATTAGGTAAAGCTGGCGCTTATGCTGGAAATGGAGGTTCGGCAAGATTCCCATTTGGGGTGAGATATCTACCGTGAGGCCAGGTTTCGGCCAAGCTTAAGTTGCCTTGAGGGAGCTATAGAAATTGCCCGAGGATGGCGCAAAATAGGCGCCATCCTCGGGCAATTTCTATACCTCAGAGCTACGCTATAAAACGCACACTGCTTTAGAAGTGGGGACTTAAAACACACCCCTTTAATCTAAATTATTGAATTTCTGACAATTTTCTTGAGCAAGATCATGATTTTATTTTATCATTGCATCTAATCAAATTAGCTTTCTTTAATATTATAAGTCATCTAGTCCATAGAATATCATTTATGGTTACTTCAAACTTTTTGCTGCTTTAGCTTCGTTATATTACAATAAAATTAATTTTATTACCTATAAATGGTATAAATTTTAAAAGCATTAAAATAAAAAATCATTAAATTATAGCATCTTTCTTAAATATATGCCAATTATTTATATAATTTATTTCTAGAATTATTCTCAGCCAAAATAAGCAATTAAGCTGAAATTTTAATCACATATTTTACCCATATCTTTTTATGGCTTAGCCTTAGCACACATCCATATTAAAATTGGCTTGCTAAAGCCTAAATCACAATTTTAGCGCAAATTTACCTTTAATTAAAATTTAAACTTATTAAAACCACTCGCTTTGATGCCTCTTAAGCTGCATAGTCTTGGATCTTGCCATTGGTGCTGTAAAGGCAAGAAAATTCTATCAGGCTTCTTCATCGTTTTGAAGTAAAATAGGCCTGCTAGCCCTCGTGGAATGGGAATCATGATTCCTCCGTCTCCATCCTCATCACTATTATCCTCTTCATCAGACTTCTTTTTCTCCTCTTCAGACTCATTATCTTTTTTGGCTTCTTTTTCTTCTTTCTCATGCTCGCCTTCTTTCTGTTCCTTTTTGTTGCCTAAAAGCCCTTCAAGTCAGCCTAATAAGCCGTTTTCTTCTTCTGGCTGTCTTGCTCGGAGAACGCTAAATCTTTTCGTTTGCCTTACTCCACCCTCCCTTTGTGAGTAAACAAAACTATTTTGTGCGCTCACAAGTAAATTTTTTTTTAATAATTTTTTTTTCGAAATTAAAAAATCACAATTGGTAAAATTTATTTTTAAAATGCAATTTTTTTCCATATAAAACAGATTTCATCGCTAATTATCACTTATATATCAAAATTTTTGGCTCGCACAGATGGCGGACTTTGGGCAAAAAATAGGGATTTTCCAATACTTTTGTTCGCTCACGGAGGAAGGGGAGCTAGCATTTTATTATTATAATTTTAGGCCATGGTATAGCGTATGACTGCTGAAGACAAATGCTCCCATAATGAAACTTGCCGTTTTCCAAATAAAAATCACGTAATTTCTTCAAATTTATGCCTAATTCGTCAGGAAATTATTTCCTTAAGACTCATATGAATATCCGCACTATAAATGTAAATCAAATTCAAGGCTTTATAAATGGATTTATTCAATGACGTTCTTATCACAGCTCGAAAAACTGATGAACAAGTCATAGACTCGTCTGAGCCAGAACCTGACAATACTTTAGACTTTTCTAGAATGAGTTTTTTTATAAATCCAGCCTTTAATGACGGACAAATGGCAAAACCCTATACTCACTCAGCACAATATATCCCCAAAAAACTGAAAAAAAGCAGAGTTAAAAAGAACGCGAAAACTTTTGAGCTCCAGCAGTTATTGGCGATATCAGAAATACGGTATTTTGAAGACACAAAAAAGCTGCAGCAGGCGATTGTGAGGAATAAATCGCTGCAGACTGTATTTTTGGTAGCGTTTTTGTATAAGGTTTATCCGTTTATAAAGAGGTCTGTCATGATGGTGAGGAGGGTTTATTGAAACCGGTGGAAAGGAATTAATGCAGAATTAGGCACGAAGCCACTGCCAAGTACTTTTAAACTGAGAGGCTTTCTTAACTTATGGAGAAAAATAATGAAAAATCAACTCTTAAGGTCTTTTGTGATGTTTAAAGAGAGAGGAATTCTTTCGGAGCTGCAGCTGCAGTATTATGGGATTGACTCAAAGCTGAGATATAAAATATCTCGATATGTCCCTCCACCGAAAAGTTTGAACACAAATTTGGAAAAATTGGAGTCTATGAAAGTGATTGATCCACAAGAAAAACTGAAATTTGATAGTAAAGTTAGAAATCAAATGGTTATGCTGGACATAAATGGGTTAGCCGCTAGTCGTTACTATTTTTGATTTCCGACCTGAATCATTTGCCAAGGGATCAGCTCCTGATATAAGAGCCAAGGCCTGCAGAGAGCCCGATGGCCTCTATAAGAGAAGATCGTGATAGTAAAAAATGTCTAGCCCATCTACAATGACAGGAATACTTTCAGAAAGAAAACTTCCCTCGGCAAAGCATCTCAAATTAAAGACTTACTTCAAAAAGACAGGCCTTGCTTTCAGCTTTATCAGGATAGGTCCTACCAGCTTCATAGGGAGTGCGCCATCCAATTTCCGTCAACGTCACCATTTATTCCTCTAAAGCTAGAAAGGAATTTTCTAAAGTAATAAAGAAAAAAAGCGAAAATGACAGGAGGATAGAAAAAGTTATGGGGAAGACTTACTATCAATAATGTATTATATGATTCTATTTATAATTTATATATAAACAAAATAGATCTTTTGACTTTTTATATTACAATCTTTTATAAGGATAGCTCCTTATCTTCCTAAAAATTATATGAGTAACACTTTTAAGACCTCTTTAAAATTCATCCTATTTATTTCTGGTTATCCCAAAGTTATATACTTTAATTATTTGATTATTCCATCTCTGCCCACTTATTTTCTTCTCTCACCTGTGCTTCTTCTTCAGGGGTGAAATCATTTTCAATATTAAAAGTCCTTCTGATCTCTTCTGGAGTCTTTCCTTTTAGCATAGAAGCAATTTTAGCGCAGCACAAATCAAGTAAAGATTTTATATCTAAATCGCTTATAATATTTACAATAAAAAATCTACTGCTTAGCCGTTTTTCTATTCTTAAAGATAGCCTCATATTTATATTATAAGCATAAAATATTTAAAAACATAAATTAATATTAGCCAAAAATAGTATGAGAGAGTAAGTAATTTGCTGCCAAAATGAGTTCAAAAAGAATTTCATGCTCAAGCTCAACGAATGCAGCGTCCCATGCTGGAACCACTTCTTGCATGACAGCTGATTTCAGAGGTTTTTCAATTTCTGGAGGAGTTGAGTCTTTATAGTGTCTGGAGTACTCTATAACTTTTTCAAGGATAGCGGCCTTTACATTGGGAAGAGGTATTTCTTCATCAGTGCCAGAGTCTTCTACCATGTTTTTGATCAGCTGGGACTTGCAAGCCACGCTTTCTTCTACTTCAAATGTCTGTCCTTCTTGACTCTGTAGCTTGAGCTTGATTTCTGCCATATAATTATTATAAATTTAAGATTAGGCTTGATCTAATATGAACTGAGAGCAGCTGATTAAAAAAGGATATCAAAATTATGATACGCTTTATATAGGATGATTTGAGGGTTTTAATTGTAAAATTATAGTAAAAATACTATTTAAAACGAGGAATTTAATTATTTCAAATTTTAAATGATTTTTGGTTTTTCATAATTCAAGAATAGAGCCTGGGCACGCTATTAGCGTGCCCTCTCAAAGCTCAACAGAAGCAAAAAACAAAGCTCGTTGACTTTTTTGCTTTATTCTGGTGAGCCCAAATTCTATTGGCAAACCAAACTACTGTGGATATATTTACCAAATCGAGTTTGGCTCATCAGAATAGCAGAAAAATTAACGAGCTTAGTTTTTTAATCTGTTGAGTTTGAGGGCACGCTAATAGCATGCCCAAGCTATATTAGATTATAAAATAAATGGAAGTAATAAGTAAAAGACGCAAAGTAATTTCAAATCAGCTCGCAGAGGATCCATTTTCTCTCTTTTCCTCCCCAGACAGAAAAACCGAGGCAGTAAGAATCATCTTACAAAGCTTGCGAGAATTTGGTTTTGAGTAACTTTTACACAGTAAATCAGCAGCACAGCTCGAAATGGACTCCGGCATCAAGCTCGAAAACGAGAACGTCGAAAAGTTCAAAAAAGGCATTATTGAAGGCCAATGAGACCAAGTTACATCAATAGTCCCTGAATTTAACATTCAAGCCACCAAGCAGTCAAAAATCCATTTTTGTTTAAAAGAACAGAAATACCTAGAACTCATTGAGAATGGCGATTTTCAACGAGCCTTGGACTGTTTAAGGAATGAATTGACTCCAAATCATCAAAATTAGATTAAAAGTTAGAATGGGTGTTTAGGGTTTATTTCAGCACCGACTTCGGGCTCCTCATCCTAGGCATTTTTTGCACTTACGCCCTTTTTTGTCTATGTCTCCAAAAAATGGTGACGTCGCCATCTCTTGGGAGACGCACCCAGATACTTCCTAAGACAACTCCTAGTTATCGGCATGGTCTATCCGTCGATGGGAAAAAGGACACAACCCCGAATTATCCTTCTGATCATTACTCTTTGCATCGAGAAGTGCAGAGATGTCATATGGACTCTGGTTTCCTTGTCTGTGTTGGGTGAGGTTAATTAAAGTGCATTGTACTTTTTTAAAACCCCCTCCGAAAACCTACAAAAATGACTGTGTACTTTACAAATGGTCGTTTAGTGTGAAAAAAGTACAAACGGTACTTTTCGATTTTTTAAAAACAGGGGGGGTGAAAAAAGTAAACGGTAAAAAAAAACAGCCAAAGCAGAGGAAAAGTACATATAAAAATCAATATTTTATCAAGACTAAGTAAATTTAAGCAAAGAAAGGCCAAGGTTAAATTGCATAATAAACAGCTTGTATTGCATTATAATAAATAATAAACAATATTGCTGGAAAGAATGCAAGAGCTGCATGATAAACAATAAAAAATATTTGGCTCTCAAAATAAGAGGAAAAAAGTACGCTGCAAAATATAAAATGATTAAAGTGACGTAGAATAATCTAATATAAAAGACTAATAATAAACACAGGAAACTCCCTTAGAAAGTTCAACTTAATTTGTTAAATAAAAGACCAAAAGTTGCAAAGAAATATAAGAAAAGTGATTATGGAGAAAATTATTAAAAATGGATGAAAAAAGTACATGTTTTTTTTCATATGTACAAAAAGAGAGTGAAAAAAGTACTCATAAAATTTTTAACGGTGCAAATTTTGAATGAAAAAAGTACAAAGGGAAAAAACAGAGGGAAAAAGTACATTGACTTTTTATATGAAAATACTAATTTTTTTAAATATGTTTACCTTAAAATGAGAAGAACGCATCAATTTAATTTTGCTGCATATATTAATTCTCATTCCACCCCCTTTAAATTGAACAAAAAATTTTGTTCCAATTTAAAGGGGGGTTAATTTTTTTTTTTAGAAAAAAATATCACTTAACTTAACTTAACTTAAACAGACGGGCTCGTGCCCCTAATTTTAACGCAATCAGCGAGGATCCCTTATGGGATTCATCCGCTTTGCGACATCACTCCCATATAAAGCGGGAGTACTGATGCCTCCTCCTTGTCTCTTATGAATGACTCCAGTGTTGAGTGGGCAGACTACGGGTTTGGAGGCTGAGCTGGCATTCCGAAATTCCAAAAAATTGAATTTCTGGTAGCCTGTCGGCAAAAGGATAAAGACCAAATCCTGGGACGTAACGCCCAGTTTCACGTTAGGCAGTTGCCCAATTGGTCTAGGTATTACCTGTAGACTCTGCTGGGCTTACCCTTTCCAAATCTGAACCCTCCTTACCTTCGAGGTAAAAACCAGTCTCGAAATTGGACTTGGGCTAGGTTCTGCGCTCCTGCAGAATTAGTTGCCTAGCATTGCTGTCCATTTCAAGGCTAGAAAAACCTTGCCGGATATAATTAAAATATGAGTCGGAGGCTGTATGGCCGTGAAGCCATACCTAGACGAAGACGCCATATTTTAATTATCTAGAAAAAAAAACCAATATAAAAATTTAAAAAAAAACAAATTTCATCGAATAGATTAATAAATTTGTTTAATAAAATGCTATTTACTCTTTATCCTTTAAAACAAAGCAATATATAACTAAATTTACATTATTAGTTAATACGCCACTATTAATTGGTATCAAAATTATTTTCATAAAAATTATTATTTTTATTAATAAAAAAAATTAAAAAACACAAATTTTAGAAAATTTATCGATCAAAATGCTAATTTTGTTTAAATAAGATGCTATTTATACTCTATTCTTTTAAAATAAAGCAATAATATAGTAAATTTTTAAATTCTATAAAGAATTCCTATTGATTTTATATCAAAACTATTTAAATAAAAAATATCGTTTTTATCAAAAAAATCAATTGTTTTTTTAAAATTTAGCAATTAAGGATAATAAATTTATTTAAATAAGATGCTCTTTATGCTCTCTTCTTTAAACAAGAGCAAGATATTACTAAATTTTGAATTTTAGTTAAGAAGAAGCATTTAACTTATATCAAAAATTTTTAGATAAAAATTATATATAATTTTTTATTATAAAATTAAATTTTGTTTCAATTGAAGGAGTTAATTTACCAAAAAAAATGAAAATTTTACCTATATTTGTTCAATTTAAAGGGGGTGGAATGAGAATTAATATATGCAGCAAAATTAAATTGATGCGTTCTTCTCATTTTAAGGTAAACATATTTAAAAAATTAGTATTTTCATATAAAAAGTCAATGTACTTTTTCCCTCTGTTTTTTCCCTTTGTACTTTTTTCATTCAAAATTTGCACCGTTAAAAATTTTATGAGTACTTTTTTCACTCTTTTTGTACATATGAAAAAAACATGTACTTTTTTCATCCATTTTTAATAATTTTCTCCATAATCACTTTTCTTATATTTCTTTGCAACTTTTGGTCTTTTATTTAACAAAATTAAGTTGAACTTTCTAAGGGAGTTTCCTGTGTTTATTATTAGTCTTTTATATTAGATTATTCTACGTCACTTTAATCATTTTATATTTTGCAGCGTACTTTTTTCCTCTTATTTTGAGAGCCAAATATTTTTTATTGTTTATCATGCAGCTCTTGCATTCTTTCCAGCAATATTGTTTATTATTTATTATAATGCAATACAAGCTGTTTATTATGCAATTTAAACTTGGCCTTTCTTTGCTTAAATTTACTTAGTCTTGATAAAATATTGATTTTTTATATGTACTTTTCCTCTGCTTTGGCTGTTTTTTTTTACCGTTTACTTTTTTCACCCCCTGTTTTTAAAAAATCGAAAAGTACCGTTTGTACTTTTTTCACACTAAACGACCATTTGTAAAGTACACAGTCATTTTTGTAGGTTTTCGGAGGGGGTTTAAAAAAGTACAATGTACTTTAATTAACCTCACCCGTCTGTGTTATGGTTAAAAAAAACCTGCCGTGATGCCCTGATCAGTGATAAAAAACCACCTGGACAAAAGTTCCGTCGCTCTGAGACCAAAAAGGTATAAGGATGGGTCGGATAACTCCCATTTTATTTATATCAAATCTCCAAGAAGACCACGAAAAGCTTCATAAGCTTGCTAGTCATTTATTATGCCAATCCCCCGAAGAACTGAAGAAAACAGCAGACTGAACAGGCTCCTCTTCACAAGCCAGACAGCAGCTTCTAAAAAAAGTACAATTTTATATACCCCCTGACATCATGATTCCGCCTGATAGGCTTCAATTGTTGCTGTCCCAAGCATTGACTCACCAAATATCTGAATGCAAATATCATAGAGATTTTAAAGATACCCACAGTTTATTGGAGGACCATATGTGTGAAAACCAGCTATTTACAGCTAAAAATATACAGACGATTGGAGGAGGGAATGAAGAAGAAGTATGAGATGTGGTTTTTAGTAATAATGGAGAAGCAATGGCCAGTATATGTAAAAATACGACAATAAGTATATGAAATTTCACTGAGCAAGGCTTTACTAAGCGGTTTGACATTTTAAATTCCCATAGCCATAATGTACTGAGCGTCTCATGGAGCCCAAATAATGATAGAATTCTGAGTACTGGGGCTGATGGGGTTATAAAGCTCTGAAACGCCCAGACTGGGGAGTTTATAAGTGAGTTTAAAGAACATACAGATAAAGTTACTAGCAGTGAATGGATAAATGACCGAGAATTTATCTCAGGCGGGGTGGATAGGAAATTCATGGCCTGAAAATGTGCAGGCGAGAAGCAAAAATTACTAGACATCAGGGTGCGGCAGCTCCAAAAATCCGAAAACTGCAAAATCGTCGCAATTTTGAACGCAGCCATCAACGAAGTCGTCATTTACAATATAGAAACCCATGAAGAGATCACCCGTATAAAAGAAGAAGACAAAATCACCTGCATCTCTTTATCAAGCTCTGGGAATGAGCTTATCACCAATGTAAGCTTAACTGACCCTCATTTAAACCTCTGAAACACCCAAACTGGCTGCCTCATCCAAATGTACAAAGGCCACTCACAAGAAAAATACCAATTAAAACCTTGCTTTATTGGGCTCAAAGAAGAACTTATCGCCTGTGGAAGCGAAGACGGCAGCATTTTTATATGAAATAAGCTCCATGGGACTGTGCTAGTAACACTAAAAGACCATACTGGCCCTGTTAATTCTATTGCATATTCTAGACTCAGACCTCACTGCTTGGTATCTGCAAGTGACGATGGGTCGTTAAAGGTCTGGTCTTTAACAGATAATTAATAGAGAATTAATAATAAGGTTTGTATAAGCCTTTGAAGGAAAAAAACTCCTTGGGACGGGTCTCTTTGACTAGGGAAATGGGCTCGTCAGAAGGGGTTGATCTTTTGTAAAGCTCCTCGATTGGCGTTTCTTCTGTTATTTGACGGCGGGAAGGCTTGGGAATTGAAATCGATTTTGGGGCTTCTGGCAGCGGCTCTTCGAAATTCAAAGACTCTTTGGAAGAGTTGTAAGGGAGTTCGGGCTGGGAGATGGCAAATAAGAAAATTGAGTCGATTTCTTTGGAAAGATCGTCGAGGTCAAGAGAAATGGACTTTATCATTTCGAGGCCGAGAGGGGCTGGAGCAAAGGTGTGACGACGGTAGGAGGGGTTTGGCTGCTCTTCGACGTCGCTGGTTTCTTCGCCTTCTGCTGGGCCTTCTTCACTTCCTTCTTCTTCACTTCCTTCTTCTTCGCTTCCTTCTTCTTCTCCGCTGCCTTCTTCTTCTCCGCTGCCTTCTTCCTCTTCTTCACTACCTTCTTCTTCTTCGCTGCCTTCTTCTTCGCTGCCTTCTTCCTCTTCACTGCCTTCTTCCTCTTCTTCACTTTCTTCTTCTTTCTTTTTCGGCATTTTATTTCAAATTTAATTACTTTTTTGTGCTTTTTATCGGATATAAAAATCGTTGAAATTTTTACTTGTGCTAAAAATTTTAAAATTAAAGTAAATCTGTAGAAAAGGTAGGGTTATAAAAATGAATAAAATGGAAAAGATAGAAAATTTCGAAGATTGTAGATTCATTTCTCAAGCGAAGCTCACAGAACAGTATGAAGCTTTAAAGCAAAAAATACTTTTTGTCAATCAGTTTTTGATTGAAGATTCTAAAGATCAGGCTGAAGGAATTTTAGAATCTCTAACTCTCTCTCCGTGAGTGAACAAAAAAGTTTTGTTCGCTCATTGAGAGTTTTGTTTGCTAAAATTTATGTATAAATATTATAGAAATGCTGTTCAAAATTGGAAAGCAAAAATTAATTTAATTTTAAAATTTATTTTTTAAATGCAAGCTCTTATATTAAACAAAATTAGCTAGAGATTTCATTATACTAATTATCATTTATATATCAAAATATTTTTCATAAAAATTTTATTTTTGTTCTTTTACGGAGAATGAGCTTTTGTCTAAAAATAGGGATTTTCCAATGGTTTTGTTTATTCACAGAGGGAGTAAGCTCACTTGTTAGTTTTTTTCAGAATATTGACTGTTTGTATTATAATTCTATTGATATTCTAGAAGATACTTCAAGTGATAAAAGTTGGATAGATTTAGCAAGCAGTTTGTGTTTTACTTATAACTTCCCAGAAGCAGATTTTTCTTGCTATTCTATATTTAATAAACTTCTGCTGTTTTACAATTTTGCATCCAAAATCATATTTTAATTTTTTTTTTGTAATATAATTCTGGAAGTTTATTGAAAAGCTATACTAACTTACTTAATTGCTCAGTGCTGCTTTCTTCAGCAGGGTGATTTAGACAGGGCCCACCATTTTAACTCCCGACCACGGGCATTCATAAGTCAATTTTTTCTAGTGGAAGCAATCCAAAACTTATGCATGTCCCCAGCTTGGTCAGAAAGCCTCACGGCACATTCTCCTGACTTGGTGCTGTTATATAAATTTAAAAATGGAGATCACTACATAGGACAATGGAAAAATGGGAAATTCAGTGGCAAAGGACTTTATCATTTCAAGGAAGAAAAAAACTACGAAGTAAGATTTCACAATAATGCTGCAGGTGATGGCAAAAATAACTATTTAAATAAAAATATATACTGAGGATCCTTTGTAGATGGGCTGAAAGACGGCTGGGGAATACAAATATTTGCAAATGGGAATAAATACAAAGGTAAATGGGAAAATGATTTGCCAAATGGGAAAGGGAAATTTTGGTACACGCTTGGAGATTATTGTGAGGGCGTATTTTTTAACGGCAAGCTAGCTGGCAAGCTTAACTTCTAATTTGATACCTCTCATACTTTTTTATTTTATTAGGTCATGGAATCTAAAGGGTCCACAAAAACAAATCCGTCTGGACTGAAAACCCAGAATTGTGTCGTTTTGAGGATGTTGGTGAGGAATTTGACTACTATTCAGATGATTTTGATGAATATGGAGATTGTTATGTAGACTATGAAGACGAACTGAGTGGATTGGATGAATCGAAGATATTGGAAATGGATATTGAACTCTTGGAAGACTTAGGCTTTGGAGAAGACGAAGCACGAGAAGCACTGAAGCTAACTCAAGGAGACTTTGAGCAAGCTTTTGAGCTTTTGTCCGTAAAAGGTGCACAAGGAGAAGAAAATATTGATGAAAATTGGGAGCAAGAATTGCTATTAAGAATTGGAAGACTGCAAGGAGAAGTGCTAGGGAATGATGAGATTATTACAATTAAGCCAGAAGAGATACCAAAGGAATGAATGCTGAGCTAGTTTGCGTGAAGTCTGAGAGAAACCAATTTGTGCGACTATGGTTCAACGGAATGAGGAAAAACCGGAACAGAAGTCGAAGCAGAAAATAAAACAGGGGATGGAACTGGAATTGATGCAGGAGTTTGAGCAAGAATTAGAGCAGGAATTTGAGCAAAAATTGAAGCAAAAACCAAGAAAAAAATTGGAACAGAAAATGAAGCAAACATTGAAGCAAAAATTGGAGCATAAGTTGAATCTGAAATTGAAACAGAAATTTATGCAGGGATCAGGTCAGAAATTAGAGCAAGAATTAAAGCAAAAATCGAAGCAAAAGCTGGAGCAACTATCGAATCCAAAATTGGAGCGGGAAATGGAACCGAAATTGAAGCAGAAATTAAAGCAGAAAGTGAAGCAAAAAGTGAAGCAGAAAGTAAAGCAGAAATTGAGGCTAAAATGAAGCAAAAATGAAAGCAGAAATTGAAGAAGAAATTGGAGAAGGAATTGAATCAGGAGCGGAAGCAAAAAGTATTGAAGTGCTGAAGGAAAATGCAAAGGCAAAGGCAAAGGCAAAGGCAAAGGGAGAGGCGAAGAAGAATTTCGATGAATCGTTCTAGGTGGTGGAATGAAGCTGGTGCTCAAGAATTTGGGCAAAAGAAAAATATGGAGTGTGATGAAACGGAGGCCAAAATGCTGAAGCAAAAGTTAATAGATAGCTGGATTAACAAAAAGACCCATAAGGGTTTGCTGTGAGCTAGTAGGCTCACTGAATAATTTGATTGATTGATTGATACCTCCTCATGATTCCCACTGTCAGGAGAAAATTCAGCTTCTATTTGGAGCAGTGGTCTTCTCCAGAACAGGCTTGCACTATGACTCCAAGAGTCTCGACAGATTAGAAGTCTCCTCTTGCAAAAGTGCATCAGTTCTATGGAGGTAAAGATTAGTTTGATGCCTTCTGTCAGCAGCCTTGAGGCGAATGATGTGCAGAAAAAAAAGTCACGCCTTTAGAAACTGACAGGAAAAAGAACCGTGACCCAAAACCATTCTGATGATTAACCCTCAAAGGGTCATCCGGCTGGCGAAGGGTCGAAATTAAGGTTCTAAAACCTAGATTTAGGCGATCAAGTTACTTTTCAACCACATTGGTGCAAGGACACATATTTAGTCGTTATCACCATAATAATTATTAGCTGGCAAAGGAACAGAAAAATATGAGAATGGCGATATTTACAAAGGAGGATTTATTGATGGCCTAAAGTATGGACACGGTGTATATGTTTTTGCTTGTGGAGGCTATTATGAAGGAGACTGAAAAGATGATGAAAAACATGGAAAAGGGAAAATGGTCTATAAAAAAGGTGGATATTACGAAGGAGAATGAAGAAATGATGTCAAAAACGGTTTCGGACATGAGGTTTTTGCAAATGAAGAATCTTATGTTGGGTATTTTAAAAATGGCCTAAGGAGTGGCCAAGGAAAATATTATACTATTTATTAATAATTTGCTTTCTTGCTTATATTTGCTGAGATTGTGATGGATTTTCAGATTTTAATAAGCTTAGTTTTAATTGAAGCTAATCAGTTATATAATATGTTGGAAAAATTACTTATGCAAATATGCAATTTTATATATGAAATTAGAATTAAAATTTATATGAATTGCAAAAAAAATTTGAAAAGAAATATATAAATTTCTATCATGAATTTAAGAGAAATATCTGATAATATATCTATATTTACAAAATTTCTGAAATTAATTTCAATTTAAAACCATATACCTTAGTTCTGGAATTTGGACAGAAGGGTTATGGGAGAACGATAAATTTTTAAGCTAATTAATGAGTATTTATTTATATGCATTTCTAATGTAATTTCTTCTTCAATAAGCTATTAAAGCTTATTAAAATGGCCGGGAATAGAGAAAACCCACTATCAGCTTTACAGCCTGAAGAATATTTACTCCCCTCAGAAGATTTATACAAATTTTTTATGACATTCATTTAAAAATAATAAAATTATCTATAATAATTATCACATATTATATCAATAAAATATTTTAACTAGTAGGAGAATTAGAAAAAACTGGCGTCACTGCTGTGCTTAAAGACCTCATGACAGTTTTACTAGAAAACCGCCCAGAAAACCCCGTCCAATTCATCTCAGAATATCTAAAAACTTCATCCCAGTCCTGCACAGGGATTTTAAAAAGCTATAAATTAATCAAATTATGCAGAGAAGAGCACGACTCTTTTATGGACAACCTTGTAGCTGCTTATATGAATTTAGACTCAAAAAGAGGTGGAAACAACGCAGGACTGACTGGCAGCGAATATTTAAAGTTGATAAGGATGCTATGTCTGGATTTTCCAAGCGAAATTGTAGAAGAAGTCCTTGGAGTTCTAGGGAAGCGAGAGTCTGATGTGGTGGTTTTTGAAGAATTTATTGCAGGGATACAGACTGTGCTTTTGTATGAAGATTTTCTGGTTGAGGCAGAAACAATTTTTCATTATTTAGATAGGGAAAACCAAGGACGAATTAGTGTGCAGAAGTTTTTTAAGGCGATTGACAAGCTGAACTTGTATAAAACAGGTTTAAGGGTCCCGCCGACTGATGATATAAAAAGTGTAATGAGGACGCTTACTATTGATCCTCAAGGGTCAATAAATTTTGAAGAATTTGCTTTGGCGCTATTTAAAACTACAATTTAAAATAACTTTGTGAAATAATGATAAATAAATATAGATTATATAAAGCAGTAATTATATGCAAGATATTTGCAAATTATACAAATAATATAAAAAATTGCCTGGATTAGCGCATTGCTATAGGAAAATATTTTACCAGAGGATTTTTGAATCTTTCCCCATCTTTACTTGCGACTAAAAATAGTTGATAAAAATATGGAAGACGCCTAGAAATCTTTCAGGTGCTCTCCATCTCTCAAATCGTTTAATTCATCCATTTAATTCCTTACTTATTCCTTATACCTTCCAGGAAACATGTATATCCTTGCCTATCCCTTGAAATTCCCAGAAACTGGCTCTTAGTCATTGCTTAGTCTAAATTACCTATGAGAATTGGATAGTCGAGATCCTGGCTGTTCCAAATAAAAAAGCGCGAAAAATACTCTTTATGCCCACAGTGAGTCTGTCTAAGCCAAAATTAAAAACCATGGCCAGATAGCTAATTCTAAAAATTAATGGGCAATAAAGCATCTCAACTTGACTCAAACCAGATTGAGATCATTTTATCCCCAGATGAACTGCGGAGGTCGACGAACGCATTTTACGTTTTTGACCAAGCTGGCCTTGGAGAAATTGAGATTGGCCAAATTGCAAGAATGATGCAGGGACTAGGCCACACCTTTTCATACACAGAAATTAGGGCTATGATAGAAAAAGCGAAAATAAAGCGAACTTTTACATTAAATCAGTGGCTGCAAATGCAAGCACGAAGAAAAATTGAGATGCAATTCAAAGAGAAAGTGGTTGACGCCTACAAGGACTTTGAAAGATGCGGATCAAGCAAGATGAGCCTTACTGATGTCAGAGAAACTGTGGCATCGCTAGAAGGTGACCTTTCGCCAGCTAGGGCTGAGGAGATTTTGAGAGAATCAGTAAAAGATGAGCCAGTCAGTCCAAGGTTCAATGAGTTCATTAAGGTTGTCGTTGGCAAATAATGATAAATTAACTTTTTTCAATAAAATTGCCTGAACTTTGTATGAGGTTTTTTTATTCGTAACCGATGAATTTGAATTTTAACGTAAGCAAAGAAGTTTTGATAAGAAATGCACAGATATTGACTTTTTAGGAAATAAATAAAGAAACAGGCAATAGTCTAAAAGAAGGATTAGAAATTTTAAAAATAATTTAAATTTTAAAGCTAATTTACCCATAAATCAATAAATTTTAAAGACTATTATCTCTTTAATATTATATTAAATTGATTTTCACCAATCAGTCAAATATTCAGTAATTGCAACATCATATCTAATGATATCTCATTTCAGCCATAGCTGATAATTTATTCCTCTTTTCCTATATAAATTCTCTTATTAACTCTCCCTAAAATTCTTCATCCCAGCATTATTTCATTTCCCCTCTTCAAAACCTCCAAAACTTCCTCCCTCACAATAAGAAAATTCTAGTCAATCTACTCAAACCCTTATAATAAATAAATGGGAAACAAGATTTCTAAATCAAACCAGAGCCAAAATGCAAGCATATTGACTCCAGAACAAATTCAAGAATACACTGAAGCCTTCTATATCTTCGACCAAGCTGGAGATGGCGAAATCGAAGTTGCAAGCATATGGCCCATGATGAGTGCATTAGGTCAGTGCATTCCGAATACTGACCTACGCAGACTTATGGCCTATGCGAAGGTAAAAAACACCTTTTCCTTAAAACAATTTTTAAAAATCCAAGAAATGCGACTAGTTGAACAAAAAATCAAGGAAAAATTGGTAGAAGCCTTTAAATGCTACGAAGTAGGAGGAAACTTCGAAGAAACCTTCGACAATATAAAAAACACCCTGGAAGAGGCACAAATTGACTTATCAATGGGGAAGTTTGAAGAACTGGCACGGGAAACTCTAGAAGGAGAAGGCGATTACCGATATGAAGAATTCCTAAAAATGGTCACAAATAAAGTTGGGTAATTTCTGTATTTTTTAATGATAATTAATAAATTATGTGTAATAATCTCCCTAACTAGGCGCTTTATCGCCCATAAGCAATCCTTTTATCTGTTCTTTTGAAAGTCCTTTGGTCTCGACCATATCAATTTTAAAATAAATAAAACTCAGCAAGCTAACTCCTGCAAAAAACCAAAAACTGCCAGCTAAAGTGATATATTTTATCATAAAAGGGGCAAAAAAGGTGACTAAAGTAAAGCAAAGCCAGTTTACACAGATGGAGACCCCACACAATTTATCGTTCAAAATTTCTCCGCTGTATAAAAAACAGATTGTACCAACTAGGGTAAAAAATAATTTATAGACCATCACCATTGTAACGACTCCTACCACCCAAGCTGAGCTAAGATCGCAGAAAATTCCTGCCAAAAGCAAAGAAAATCCCATGCCTAAGCATCCTATTTCGTATAACTTTTTTCTTCCTGACCTGTCTACGAGTTTCTGCACTACAATGACAGAAAGAAATTCACAAACTCCTGTTAATAAGGTAAAAATCCTTGCAAGCATTGTGGAGTGAAATAAATCTTCAAAAATACTTGTGGAATAAAAGGCTACCATATCGACTCCTGTCATTTCTTGGGTGAAATTTACCATAACTCCTAGCCTTAATGCATGCCAGTATTTCCCTGTTTTTAGCATCTGCCTTAAAGATTGTCCTTTTTCTTCATTTATTTCGTCATTTTTCATTAGCCATGATGGGTTTGGATCTGAGTATAGGTTTATCCTAAGCAGCTCAGCATCGGATTCTCTATTTTGAGACTTTAATCAATAAGGTGTATCAAGTTTAAATACAAATAAAAACATAAAAAACTGGATTGAGCACATAATAATTTGAAATCCGAACATAAACATTCAAAAATAATTCATAGGGTGCTTAGAATAGTTGTCTTCAGGCAATAGAAAACCGAAAGCATACGATACTACTAAGCCAATTGATAGCTGAAATTCAGTAAGGGCTCCAATTTTTCCGCTCATTCGAGGCGGGGAAATTTCACTTAAATAAACTGGTGGGACTGTTGAAAAAAATCCAACAGCAATTCCGGATAGGAATCTCCCTATTGCAAATGTTGCGGTGTATGGGATTATTGTTATTAGTGCTGCTATAGCTCCAAGGATATCAGCGAACATCAATGCTTTTCGACGTCCGTATTTGTTTGCAGTGACTCCAGCATATACTGCACTCAGAAGAGCACCGACTGGGATTAATGCTGAGAATAAAGCTATGAAAAGGTCTTTGTTGTCGCCTCAGCCTAGAGTAGAAGACACATTTTCTTGACAAGTATTGAAAACACCTACGTTGTAGCCGAATAAAAACCCTCCAATGCTTGCATTTATACTCATAGCTCATATGGCAATATTGTTATATTGTTTAATAAGCATTTTATATAATTATAGAGCTCAGAAGCCTTAAAATATTTTAATTATTAAGAGAAATCCGAAAATTTTTGCTTAGTTTGTAGTACAGTTGAAAATAAACAATGATTAGAATGATTTAGGCTTCAGTATATGGACTGGTGAATTTTTTATATAAGTTGCCAAAGATATTCCACATTTTTAATAATAAAATACAAAAATAAATATCCAAGTTTACTAGTAAATTTTCTTTGTTATTATTCTTTATATGAAAGATTAGCATCAATGATAAATTATTAAGCTTCGACTTTATAGTGTTGCAAATATCAATTTCCAACATAATGGTGCTTTGGCACCAAAAGTTGGAATTTTCTTATCCTGAGTTTTTTGCAAAAAAGTTCAAATGGGTAAATATGCATCAGTGTTATTCCTTACGGTTATACCTATTAAAGTGAATATGAAGAGGATTGAAGCTTTTAGACGTGGAGAATATGGAGACGGCACATGGAGGATTTATATAAATCTATGAAATATTCATTGAAATCAATTCCAAGAAATAGCTTGCTTTTCAGTTGAATATTATGATAAATTAATAAGCAGAGACTGCACTTTTTGAAACTTAAAATTATCCCTTTTTATATATCATTATCATATTTATAGTCAAATAGCCTTTTTAATCTAAAATTAAGTAAAACAAGCAGAAAAACTTGTGCTTGATAAGCCAATTTATGACATCTAATATGGAATTATGATATATTAAAGAATTGTTATGGCCTTTTCTACTAAGTCATTCATAGCACGAAGAAGAACCCTCAAACTTCCAGAGCTTTCAGAGTCTGACGCTGCCTGGAGAGTTTTCAATTCCATGGACCCTAAGAATTTAGCTAATTTTCTTCCTATTGCCCGAGTATTTGATAGAGATTTGGCATCTCATGACTGTGAAGAATTTATTTGTCCAAAACAGCTTGTATCTGCATTAGTTTCAGCAATCTCTGAATGTATTTCGAATTGTTCCAAGCGACTTCAATCACAATGTATCATTTTCTCATATGAAAATCTTTTTATTATATAGAAGGCTGAGGCAATTTTCTATTAAAATTTTTTTTATAAAAATCCATTTAATTTTATATAAAATCCTAATATAAAAATGATCCTAAAACCAATCACAAACCTCAAATGATACTCGAGCAAATGACTGAAAAATCATCTTTCGTGAAACAATTGCCAATTTATCTCCTCTTATGAGAATCTTTCAGTACATTCTTCTGCGCAACGACGGGAGCATCAAAATCGATAATGAAATTATGGAAGAAATGATCGTCTTTTTGCAGAGACTTAAAGCGTATTCTGATGATGCAGATTTAGAATTAAACAATATGATTTTAAGGCTTTATTTTGCGTTTTCAGAAGTGATTTATTTGTATGCGGTTTGTAAGAGGAAAAAGCATGGAGATAGCGAAGCGAAATTGTTTAATAGGATTTATATCTTTTAAGTAGAAATAGTTATTTAAAATAATAGAAATGGATAAGCTTAAATCAGTCAAAAAGGAATACCAAACTTTTGAAACCTTACTTATGGAGCTAATTACGGACCCACATCTACGATATTTTGCTTTAGAGCCTGCAGAGGCAGATGGGAGAGAACTTAAATATAGCAACAAATTTAAATTAGAGTCCCAATATGTTGATTTGGTCCTTTATCATATTTTTTCTTTAAATCAACTATGCAAGATGTCGCCTTCTTCGGCTGTGACTAATTCAGCTGCAGAAATTTTACCAAAAATCTTAGAATTTTTACTAACAATTGACGAATTCATAAAAATTCAAAATTCGCCCAAAACAGACCTTGCGATCCAAAAATCAATTGCAGTCCTCAGCTTTTTAAACTCCATCTGCAACTTGACAGCCAGACAAGAACAAGGGAATATTTTTTTGCGAAACCACAACGACAAGCTGAAAAGGATTTATTTTTACTGCGTTCATAACTATTTGAAATATTTTTACTCTTCTTCAGCTTCCCATTTTGATATAGAAGAAGGGCTTATAGGTCTTCTTTATAAGCTGCTTTTCGATGTTTTACCATCAAATATCATAAATACAGATTTAGAAGGCCTCCCTGTGATTTTATTTTCAATTTTAGTACAAAAAGACATTTCAGACGAGCTAGTCCATCATCCTCCACAAATCCAAGCCTATACATTGCAATTTTTAGAAAAATACATATCAATGATAGGGAGAAAAAGAACTGAGTCAAAAAATTTTAATATGAAAGAATTTGGGCTGATTGGGTTGCTATTTTCTCAGCCGTTTTTTGAAATTGAACAGTCAAGAAACGACGATGATTTAGATTTTGCTTTTGTGGCAGCTGAAAGCTGGGAGCAGCTATGGAAATTTGTATCAGGGATTCCTATGCATTTATATCAATTCTATATGAATAATCAGCTTACTTTTGCAGAAAAAGCTTTATTTTTTTTATGAAAAATAGATAAAAACTAGTAAACAGATTTCGTTTTTATTTATCAAAAAAATAGATTTAGTCTCCAATTCTATTGTCCATCAAATCAAAATTAACCATGAAGATTTTAGTTATTTACTAAAAATGAACAGATGGATACAAGAACAATTCGAAATTAACCAAGATTTAACTGAATCCTGCTTACGAAATGGCCTAATTGAAGGCATTTTCAACGTAATCATCAGCATAAAGCGCTCCAATGAAAATCTCGACCACTTAACTACATTTTTTATAATGATAAAAGCTATGCTTGAGCTCTATGACGTCTCACAATTCACTGACACAGTCGCCCTGCTCAGCTTAATGATGCAAGAAAACCTTCTTTTTGACCCTCTGACGTCAGATTTATGCTTAATCTGTATAGCTCGCATTCTCAGATACCAAAATAAATCCAGCTATCAAAAATTCCAAACAATTTTGAGAGAAGTCACAGACCTTTCTATCAATATAAACCTATTAAATGCAATGCAAGAAGCCTTAAAAGAGTCCTCCACAAAGCGGCACTGCCAAGAACGATTTGTAGCTGCTGGGGCTTTAAGTACTTTAAAAGACAAATTAACATGCCAATACACTAATTACTCAAAGGATCAAATTATAGGACTCTGGGCAAGTGTACTTGAATGTGTAAGGTTTTTAATTGAGGACAACCCAACCTGCAAAAAACGGTTGCATTCATTTTTTCTGCATTTTTAAGAATAATTTTAGAAATTCATAGTAAAATTCCAATTTTTGGTAAAAAAATTAGGCATTTTGTCAAAAGTCTCCACCACAAAAAACAAATCCATAAATTTGATTTTAGTGCCATAGCGAATACTATAAGATCATCCTCATACGAAAGCTTAAAAAGTGATATTTATATGAAATCTATAGAATCACTGCTTTATATTCTGTTTGAGACTAATAACTTAGGCCAAAAAGAGCCTTTAAATGTAAAAACGCCTGAGGTAATTCCATTGATAATTGAGCTGCTTACAGATTCCAATAGTAATGAATTTTACAGTTATATAAAAAATTCAGTTGAAGACGAAATAAATGCAGCACATTTTGCGAGCAGAAGGACAACAGATTTATTGCTAGACGCTTTATGTAAACACTGCTCACAGCATTTATTGGAGTTTATAGAGACCATGCTTTCCAAAGTAATTTGCCACCACATCACGCCTCAAGAGCTGAAAAAAATAATTGATATTGCCAGAGCTACAGGCTATGACCATGAAAAGCAGCTAGTGCTCTACCGAGGGTTATCAGAGGCAATCCACTACTCATTTTGTGACATCGACCACATAAAATTCGAAAAAACCCACAAAGGACTGTCCCCGACACGATTTTTTTGCTTTAGATACCCTAGAAGTTTTTTACGTTGCAGTAACAATGAAGATTTTTCTTTTATTCCAAAAAAAGAATTTACGATTTTTACATGAATTTATACCTTTCCCTAATAATTTTCCTATGAAAATATAATATAATTTTGCCAATAATTATCATTGTAAATAGGCTTATCCAGAAACTGATGATAACTGCTGCTTGATGGAATTTACTGATAGAAAAAATTGCAGCTTGGTTGTAAGTTTGGTAAAAAGAAATTTTACAAGTTTAAGTGTGGAGTATTTTGAAGGAAAAAGCGTTTACAAAGTGTGGAGCTCCAAACCTATCGCCATAAAACAATGGAACTTAATTGGGATCACGCTAAATAAAGTCGCGAAATTTATGAATACCTCAATTATGGGCTTTAAATGTGAAATAAATATTTTTGTTAACAATGAATTCAGTGAAAAAACCTCAGAAGGCAGCGTTTGTCCTCCAAAGGAATCTTTAACTCAGCTTACCCTTGGCAACAATTCAGACCTTAGAGCGCCATTTTATGGTCGTATGACTTCTATATATGTCGGTAATAAATCTTTTCTGGCCCATCATTATGTCCAAATCTATGAGTATTCTTTTCAATATGCCTTGGACTACTGCCCATTTTCAATATCTACTTCTGAATCCCTCAACTCAAATAAAACAATCCTAAAAGAAATTTGGAATTCCTTTATTTTCCAATGAAATCCCCGCAGCCATGCTCCAGAATGCTCAGTTGACAAGCTTGATATAAAAGACGAATGCGAAAGATTTAACGGAGTCACAGTGCTAGAAGCAATAGCGGCTAATGGAGGGCTAAAAATATTAATGCCATTAATAAAAGAAGGCTTTGAGGCAGGAATGGACAATTCAGCAATTTTATTGATAAATATTATAGGAGAAATCTGCCAGGCACAGTCATTGGAAAGTATTATAAGCAGTGAATTTTTTGATTTATTAGGCCTTATTTTGGAAGAATCGGTAAGAGAGCCTAGCGTGGACTACTTAGAGGCAGCTAAAAATATCATAGCAAAGCTCAGCTGAAATGAAGAATACCAAGCCCAGGCTTTTAAAAGCTTGATTTTTAATAAAAAAATATGGTGGGTTGATTTATCCCCTGATCTTCAAGACAATTATTTAGGGACCCTTTCTTTATATGTCCAGAAATACTTTAAAGCCAATTTTAATGACTTATATTATATATACACCCATTTGAGCTATTTTAAAGGAAAATCAGAAAAATTTTTGGACTCTTTTATAGTGATTTTAGAAAATATTTTACCGAGGGAAATTGACTATCAAAATATTGAAGCTTTGTCATCAATTTTATTTAGGATTTTAGACCAAAAAAGCAATGAAAAGCTATTTTCTTTATTTTTAGATTTTTATAATAAGCATTTGAAAATTCCTAGAGAGCCTGCTATAGAAATCAGCATAATGATACTGCATTTAATGTGTGGGGAGCCTGTATCTGAATTTGTCTCAAATATTGAGACTATTTTGGCCCAATCTCTTCCTGATAGTTTAATACCTACAAGTGTAGGAGAAGCTCCTAATGCTAAAGGAGAATAGAATGATGACGTTGACGGAAGATGGACTCCGAGACACACTCCCTATGGAACAGGATCAATCTCGATGAAGCTAAAAATAGTGCCGATGCCTATTTTAAAGAAGCCTTCGGGGTTGGGGATGCCTGCTGAATAGGAAGTTTGCCTTTCCCTAAGGTTTTCCCTGTTCCTCCTGCCAGATGGGCTAGACAGGTCTTACCTCCCACTTAGTCTTTGCTTATTATAATAGCAAGCAAGAGGTCACTCTAACCTAGGGAGCTAATCCTTAGGTTAGATGGGTTTACGCCAGATAAGCAGCTAGTGGTCTATCTGCTTATAGCCTTATAATACTCAATTTAATGCCCAAGGAATGGCTTTTCTTGATTACATATCAAAAAAAGACCAAGAGCTAAACGACCAAAAATTAGAAGAGCAAAATAAAGAAAAATTTAAAATTCTGCTGCGGAACCGCTATGAGCAATTTTTAAAATATCACAAAAAGACTAACAACGTTTTACAAGGCAGCTATTTCGGAAAAATCAAACTACGCGCAGTTTTAGACAAATCTGGGAGGATGCCTTTTACTGAGCACAGCTTAAAGCATGATCAATCTCAACAAAGAGACTCTTCATTAATGATCCCTCGCCCTTCCCAAGACCTCGGCAGACTTTCTCTAATTACTTCAGGCCCAGAAGAATCCACCCCCAGAAACCGTTGCAATTCTGTCTTTGATAACGAAACTGAAATTTCTGACGAAAACCCCATCAACACCTTAGAGCCTACACAAACAGTCAAACTTGAATGTGAAAGAATAAAAATCAGCGAAAGCATCTACGGGTCCCTCGAAATTTCTCAAAATTATTTATTATATATAAGTGAAGGCAAAAAAAAACCGACCTCTGACGACTATTTTGGAAGCGCTTTATTGTTCACACAAGTTCAAAGAGAATGCAAAAAAATATGGGAAACTGAAGAAATTTCTGAAGTTTTTGTAAGGCGGTTTATTCACCAACATAGGGCTATTGAGATATTTTTAGAGAGTGGGAAATCAGTGTATTTTAATTTTTTTAAAAAAGAGGACTGTGATTTGGCTATTTCCACGATGAAAAGTTGGATAAAGCAAGGTGTGGTTATTATTGATGAAAACCAGAGGCAGAAAAAGCTGAAGGAATACACAAAACAATGGAAGTTTGGGAAGCTCACCAATATGGAGTATTTATTGGTTTTGAATAAATTCGCAAGTCGGTCTTTTAATGATATGAGCCAATATCCTATATTTCCTTGGGTACTCAATAATTACTCCTCAAAAACGCTGAATTTTGAAGACGAAAGCATGTATAGAGATTTTACTTATCCAATAGGTGCCCAAACTGAAGCGAATAGAATCGAAGTCAATAAAAAATACAATATGTGGAAAGACGAAGACGTCAAGCCTTTCCATTATGGCTCTCATTATTCCTGTGGAGGGGTTGTGCTGCATTATTTAGTCAGGCTTTATCCATTTACCTTGCAAGCTCAAAATTTGCAGGGAGGAAAATTTGATATCCCTGATAGGCTATTTTACTCAATACAAGCAGCCTGGGAGTCAGGCCAAGGCACCAGTGGGGATATAAAAGAACTGGTCCCTGAGCTTTTTTATTTACCTGAAGTATTCATCAATAAAAATAAAGAAAATTTTGGCATAAGACAAGGACCTGAAGCAGTCCCTGTCAATGATGTAGAGCTGCCTGCGTGGGCTAAAAATCCATTAGATTTCATTAGAAAGCACCAGCTTGCTTTAGAGTCTTCTTATGTCAGTAAAAACTTGCCTAATTGGATTGATTTAATTTTTGGTGAGAAACAAAAAGGCCCAAAAGCTGTGGCAGCCTATAATACATTTTGCTCAATTACTTATGAAGAAACTTTACAAAAGTTATTAGAAAGAAAATCTGAAGAAGATATATATCTTTTTAATATAGAAAAATAAATTTTTAATAGCTAAATATTTATAATAAAAATTATTTGTATAAGGCATAGGATATTTACAAGGAATTGTTGAGCAGGTAGTCCACTTTGGCCAAGTCCCAATCCAGCTGTTTGGTAGCCCACATCCACAAAAAGACGAAAAATCAAAATCTTTGAGCATTTTTGATAAAACAAAGATAAATGGCTGGGAAGGCAGCGAGGTAAGAGGAATCGAGCTTAAAGGGACGATTCATGCGACTTTCTGCACTACAGACTCTTTAATTGCTATAAAAGGCTTTGGAAATCGTCTTGGCTTTGTGAAGCTAAAAATGAGAAAAGATCCAGAAGACTTAAAAATTGATTTTAACAGTTATAAAGACGTAGTGTTAGAAGGGACTTCAAATTTGCAGCTTTCTAACTGGGAAGAAGGTGCCCAGTGGAAATATACATTTTCAGCAGCATTAGAAACCAAAGTGATCCTTGAAAAAGGCCCTCAACAGTACTGTTTATGGAATGATGAGTTTATTGTATCAGGATTTCACATAGACAAAAGCTCCATTGGATAATTAATTATGGTAGTTTTTTTCACTTTTTTATATGAAAAAATTACAATCATTATTTTATAGGAAAATATTATCCTCAAGATATTATAATTATCCCATAGACAACTCCTTCAAAATACACAACCTCAAAGGGAAAATTGTCCTTTCCGTTCACCATCACGCTGGACTTGTCACTTGTGTAGCTTCCTCTACATCATTGATTTTCTCAGGCTCATTAGACACTTCAATAGTATCCTGGAGCTCCTTAGACCAACGAAACGACAAAATAAAGCCATATAATATATACTTAGGCCACACAGAAGCAATTAGACAACTTGCGACCTCAAATAACTACCAAATCCTCATTTCCTTATCAAATAACGGCACAATCTTAATCCACGATACCCGCTCTGCCGAATGCTTTAGAAAACTGACAGAAGCCAGTGAAAATCCATGTAAATTTATATCATTCAGCAACTTTGGAATTCTTGCCTGCTATTTTCCTAATGATATGATAAATTTCTACACAGTGAATGGAGAAGAAATGATAAAGCCAATAAAAACTGACAAACAAATATTTTGTGGTGCATGATTTCTGGATTTTTTATATGGGAATTTGCTAGCATTTTTTGATTTTCGCAAGTAATTTTTCTTTAATTGACACTGAGTATGTAAATTAGTTAAAAAGTGCAGAAAAATAAAAATTTGCCATATTTTGTATGCAGTTTATTAAATCTTAATTTATTAAAAGACAGAATCTCGCCTTAATTTTATGTAATCGCCGAGGATCTCTGATGCGAGAGCTTCGTCAAGGGATGGCATTGCATCTTCCTTGCCTTCGGCTTCTGAGTTGAGTGGGCATCTTCGGATTGTTTGTCCTTGCTTGAGACTGTTGGGTGGGGAACCCATTAAAAATCCCAAAAATTGGAATTTCTGGTCTCTTAGGCAAAAGGGAAAACACGTAGCCTAGGGCGTAACTCCTAGTTTCGCACTAGTGAACTGCCCGATTGGTCTAGGCATTGCGCTTATATACTGCTGTGGGGCCCCTTCCCTTTGAGGTAAAATCCATTCTTGAAAGAGGACTTGGGCTAAGCTCTGAAACATCAAAATTGTTTGCCTAACATTTCTGTTCATTTCTAAAATAGCAAAACTTTGCTGAATATAATTAAATATGTGCTCGAAGGAGCCGACTGCGAAGTGCTAAAACTCCATATTTAATTATGCAGTTTAGCAAGTCAGGTGATGAACTCTTGGTAGGTGGAAATGATTTTATGGGGTATTACGATATATATAAAGAAAGCGAAGAGGATGAAGATAATAGTAAAGGTGTTTTTAGGGTTATGGCTGTACCTGTGGTGTCAGCAAGCTATCCAAAAGATCAAGATTTTATTGTGTGTGGGCAAAATTCAGAGGAAAAATCAAATATTATGGCGATTGAAATTTATGCAAAAGAAGTAAGGAAAAAAGGAGTTGTTGGGTTCGCGTCGTCTTTAGTTTAATTTGAAAGGGAGACATTCTAATGATAAAAATTATACCTATATACAATGAAAAATCCCAGCTGGCTATTCGTTTTACTACTATTTACTATATAAATATAGGATAATGCAGCCAGTAGGAATGGCATTTTCTCTATAAATAGGTATAATTTATTTGTGGTAAAATTATGAAAAATTCAACAGGATTGATTGAGCTATATAGAAAATTAATTTTACTTTCTAGTCTAATTTCTAAATGATGGAAAATTCTATGATAAAAGTTTAAATTAAATCAATTATTCTTATTAGTCATCAGGAGGCATCCCATATAAAACACAAGCTGCTGAGTATCTATACTAAATCAATAAAATAACGTATTTTTCTATTTATTTATTATTATAAATCCATTCATTTTTACCAGTATACTATATTTCACTTTTTTCTTAGGTTTTGGCTCCTCGTTCTTTTTTGGCAAAAATGCCCCAGTCGGGCCGCGCTCTCTTTTGCATGCGTGCTTATGTCGAGATTCATGCTTATACGGCTTTTTAGGCTTTGTAGCTGAGTTTTCTTGCTGTCGGGTTTTCGCTACTCTTCGTTTCAGTATCCTTTCGTATTGCCTCGCATTTACAAAAACTGGCTCCTCTTCAAGCATATTGGTGGGAAGCATGCACTTCATGGGAGCTAAGGAATCTAACAGAAAAGGAGATTCTGAAAGAGTCTGTAAGGCGGGAGGTTGCTGTTCTTGGCACATCTTTGTAAAATGAGGGTAAGTTGGCATATGATTTCGAGCTGAATTCTGATTGGCCATTTTGCTGTGATAAATTTTGTAAGTGAATTCAGCTAATTTGTGATGAGAAGTTTTGTGAGAGGGTTTTAGGGGAATAAAAGAAGATGAAGTTTTGGGAGGGAGGGGATGATAGGATATATTTTTGGGGAAGAGATGGAGATTTGTTATGAATAAAACAATTTATGCTCATTAAAATCCTTATTTTTGGTTTATTATGCTAAATAAAATGATGTTTGTGTCAGTTTAAGGCACAGAATCTTTTTATATAGTTTTTGATTAAGTTGCACTTGATTTGGTGTTTTATTGTATTTTTTACTCAAAATGGTTTAATTTTGATATTAATGGCATAAGTAATACTGGTATTTTAGATATTTTGATTTACAAGATTACTTAAATTAACTAATTCTTGTAATTCTCTATGCCTTACATGTGAGAACGGCCTTCGTTCTTTGTCTGAATCACTGTATAGTATTTCTGTTAACCAAAACTCTCAGAGAATCAAGGATTCCCTTCACTAATCCCTAATAAGGAAACAACCCCTTACCAGGTCTCGCCATTTTAAATCGTAAGATTTTTTATTTTTCAATTCTCGAATTTCTTAATTTATTTTAATAAATATTTTTTCACAACTTTAACTGGCAATTTAACTAATTTTTAGCCAAAAACGCCATCTCATCCAAATATTTGCATTAGTTGAAAATTCCTTAGGTGAATTTGGTACATTTTTCTGGACCTAAATAAATAATTAATATGAACAAACCTCAGTCAATTGTCAAGCTGACACTTCAGGCACGCGATCTAAAAGTCGAAGACCCTAATTCTAATGGTAACACATGCTGTAAAATATTCACCAAAACAGTAAATGCAGAAAAATGAGAAGAAGCTGGTGATACTGAATTAGTGACTTCTAGTCTGAACCCAAATTATAAAAAAGAATTCAAAATTCAGGTCACTTATAAAAAATAGGATCTTTAAATTATTAAATTTTTTTTATTAAAAAATGGATTTTTTAATGGTATTTTGACAAAAAAATCAAAATTGATTAAAATAATTATTTATGATAATTAAATTAAATGCTCACATTTTAATAGCAGGACTGTATCCGTTTAATATTAAATGAGATTAATGACTACCTTCGTAGCAATATTTGCTTTGTCTTAATAGTATACGAGTTCTTTGCAAACGATTTACAGAAGATTGGCAAAGTAGTTTTCAGTTTATCTGACCTGTCAATAAATGGCCCAACCACATTTAACATCAAAAAATATGACGAAGTTTCAGGCCATATTATCGTTACCAGTCAAATTCACCATCTCGACGAACAACTCCGGGTGCAAATTCGAGGTAAAAATCTTGTCAACAAAGATCCCTTCAATTTCCGCTCTCCTTATTTCAAGCTATTTCGGTTAAGAAAAGGTCAAGATAGTTTCCAATTTTATAAAAGTGAAGTAATCGAAGAAAGCCTGAACCCCCTTTGGAGCCAATCATATTTTAATTTATTTAATTTTATCTAAATAATAATAATTTACTATATAATTCTCCTAGTTTCATATAAATATAATAGAGAATATACGATGTCTGTGGAGACAATATGAGAATACCAATAAAAATCGAAGTTTGGGACTCAAATCCTCTGCTTAAAGACGTTCTAATGGGAGAAGGGTATACGTCGGTTGATCAAATTCTTGATAAAAAATCAATCGTCCTGAGGAAAAATAAAAAATTCAAAGGGGTAATTGAAATAGTGGAAGCTGAGATAATAGACCACAGAATGCGGGCTTCTTTTTAACTTATAATATGGTTAACTTATTAAATTTGTGATTAAGATATCGTCGGGTGATATTTAAAAATGGGAAGTAATTTGTGTTTATATGACTCCACTCATAGTGAAGCGTTAAATTCTGCTATTTTCTGCTAAATTAAATAGTCTGCTAGCTTTATAAGCCAAAAATTATATTTTTTAACTAACCTTAAGATCCCTATTATAAGGAATAGGTATAGCTATTTCTGAAATGAGCCAGGCTTTAGGAAACTCGGTAAAAGGCAAACACCTTCTAACTCCCCCCCCCCCCCTCCGTGAGCGAACAAAAAAATTTTGTTCACTCACGGAGGGGGGTTAATTTTTTTTTTAAAAAAAAATTTATATATAAATTTTATAAAAAAATATTTTTTTCGAAAATTTAAAAAAATCCTAATTTGCAAAAATTGGGAAGCAAATATTAATTTAATTTGCAAAATTTATGTTTTAAAACGCAATTTGTTTAAAATTAAACAGAATTAGCTCTAGATTTCATTATACTAATTATCACTTATATATCAAAATTTTTTTCCATTAAAATTTTTTCTATTAAAAAAATTTTTGTTCGCTCACGGAGGGTGGGTTTTTGGTCAAAAAATGGTGATTTTTCTAATGGTTTTGTTCGCTCACGGAGGGGGGGGGGGGGAGTAAGAAGTTTTATATAGGGACTTTTTATAGAGGAAAAAGATCTATCATCACTGAAGAAGAGCTTTGAGCTGCTATGGTGATTTTAAGAGCATACAAAAGATATAGGGATAGAATGGATCTTGCCCACAGCAAAATGAAATGGGAATTATACTAAACTACCTAAAAAATCGCAATTTTGATTAAAATATTTCAATTTTAAAAATAAATGGAGGAATTTAATTAAGTATCCTTGCAACAGCTTCATATTCGGAATAGTCCTTGCACAGTGCAAATCTCACAAAGTTATGCCCCAGATGCTTGCTTTGGGGGCTGAAAAATGCTGAGCAGGGTATTGCACAAATTTTTAAATTTTCTGTCATCCATCTGCAAAATGCGAAATCTGGGCTTCCGTTGGCTAAATATTTTGGGTCAATATCATTAGGATTTACCCTCCCTAGCAAGAAAAACCCTCCTTCAGGCTCCATAGGCTCGATTTTGAATTTTTTGGTATTTGATAATATTTCATATAAAATTTCTTTTTTCCTGGAATATTGGTTAGCAATTCATTGATAATAGTCAGGAAAGCCCATATAAGGGTTATCAGCCATTCTAAGCGACCTTGCGACGGCTCCTTGGCATGTGGTGTTTGAGCAAAAAGTCGTCCACAAATGAGATGTTGAAATTTTTCTCATAATTTCTGGCCCTCCGACAGCCCAGCCTATTTTTCAACCGGTCACAGAAAAAATTTTCCCTGCGCTGCTGAATGTTGCAGTTCTTTCCCAAAGATTGGAAAAGTCGCATAAGCTTAAATGTTTGTTTTCATTAAATGCAATATGTTCATAAACTTCATCAGAAATAATAGCTACATTTGGCCATTTTTCCAAAATCTGAGCTATCTTTTGCAGTTCTTCACTTGAAAACATTTTTCCTAAAGGGTTATGTGGAGTATTAATGACAAAGACCCTGGTTTTTTCGTTAAAAGCTTGCTCTAATTTTTCAAAATCTACTCCCCATTTTGTCTGTCCAGCTTCTGGTGGAATTAAAGAAACCAATTTAGGGATTCCTCCAGCTAAAATCGTCTGTGGTACATATAAATCAAAGGAAGGATCAATAATTACGACTTCATCCCCTGTGTCAACCATGGACAAAAATGCTGATAATAATCCTTCTGTTGCTCCTTCAGTTACAGCTACTTCTGTCATAGGATTTATGACTCTATTATGTTTTTTTCCATAATGCCGAGCTATTTCTTCAACTAGAGCTGGGACACCTTGAGGTCTTGAATATTGGTTTTCATTGGAATTTGTAGCATCTGCTAAAGATTCCTTTACAAAATCAGGACATGGAAATCCAGGAAACCCTTGACCGAGATTTATTGCTTTATTTTTGATAGCTAAAGGTGTAAACTCAGTCCACACTGTATATTGAAAAGGCTCTAATTTTTTAGAAATTTGCTTCCACATAAATTAATTATTAAAGGTTTTATTTTCATATAAAAAATCCAATAAAAATCTTCGGAATTTGTTAGAGTTTTTGTGGGAGACGTCTTCTGAGATGCCTAATGTAAAATTTTTAACATGCATAAGTATATAAACGGCTGAGTCGATTTCTTCAAAATCGTTGTCTTCTTCAACATTGGCAAATGAGAAGTAATTCCTAGATGATTCTTTAATTTCTTGATTTTTGTAATATTCATTTCCCTTTTAAAAAACTCAAAAAACGAATTAAATGCGTCTTCTGAATAAGTAAAAGATCTAGTCGGATCATAATAATTTACTTGTCTCTCTCTTAAATTGACTACTAATAGTGTCCAAAATCCAACGAAAACTGGAAATAATAAGAAATCGTGCTTAAAAATATTTTGGCTCACATGAAAATCTTCAGAGTTACTGAAGACTTTTTTTGATAATTCTATTGATGAGACGAAAACTCTGTCATAAATTTTGTCTGTGTTTTTTCTCTCCTGGTTTTTTAGCTTGTAAATACTCAGAATAGCATTTACAACTTTAAGAGAAATCTGTACAAAAGGCTGCAAAGTTGCTAATTCATCACGAGAAAGCTCATAATTTTTCGTGTGGATCAAAATTTCTGTTGGATCTTTGAAATGGTCAAAAACAGAGCTTCTGAAATGGTCCTTAGGGTCTTGAAATTTTGAAGGAAAATCAAGCTTTATTGGACAATTTGAAATTATACTGGACTCTCTTGTACTTCTTGCTCTCAGATCAGGGGTTTTAGCAGGCATTCGACTTGTGAGACTTGGAGAATATCTATCTAACAGTCTTGGCGATTCCATATAAGGAGTTGGAGCCCTTTGTGTAAGACAAGGGGATAATCTGCCTGACAAAGACGGAATTTCGTGTCCTTTTGATTGCAAAAATCTGGGGAGAGATTTTAATTTTAGATTAGTCATACTTGAGATTTTTGAAAATGGGGAAGGCTGGGCTTGTTTTAAAGATTTTTCGACGCTGTTTCTATCTGAGGCTCTTGATAGGACAGGAGCTGTTTTTGAGGAGCCTGCAGATCTTTTCATATTAGATGAGCTTGAGTGAAGTGAAAATCTTTGTGCCATTATCGTTATATTGCAATACTGGATATTATGAATACTATCATGAAGTTTTAAGGAATTATGAACTAATTTTCTTTTCAAAATAAAATTATTTTATGCCATTAAATTTCATAAGATTAATCAGTAATATTTTGCAGCTGAATAATATTTGAGAATTGAAAATTATTATATAGTTGAAAAGAAACCTTTTAAGATCGTAAAACTTGTGGTTTTACCTTAAAAATGAAATTAGTTTGAATTTTTTAAAATTTTAAATTTTTAATTAAATTGGTTTGGCCTATAAGCAGTTATTCGCGGTCTAAAAGTGCAGCCTTCTACTTCATTATCGTAATTTTGTTGTTTTTGGTATTCCAGCTTAGCTTGTGTTATTTGCCTTATCTCTAACTGCCTTTCATACATATCAGCTCCTTCAAAACTTGTCATTGATAATGATTTTTTCTTCAATGATTTATTTTCTTCAATTATTGGCTTCTTTTTAATAGTAATAATATTTTTATCTGTGTTGCATAACAACTTGCATAAATTGTCCATAGATTCACAGAATTCTCCAAAGCTTAGCTTCTGGTTTATTGATTGAAGCTCTTCTAGAAATGGCTTTATAATTTTATAAACGTCTTTTTCTATATTTTCAACATTAATGTTTTCATAGGTAATTTCTCCTTGAGAGTCTGGGGAAAGCTGTTGATAAATTATATTTTATTATTTTTTTAATAAAATTTATAAAAATTTTAATATAGTTATGGAGGTATATAAAAACTGGGCTCTGAAGGAGTATGAGGCTTTTCTATATGATTCGATAATCTCTAATTGACATAATAGGTCACCTTTTTATAGGAAGTTTAAGAAATAACAGCGCAGTTGATAAATATCAAAATATCTTTCTATTTTGGCTTTTTGAAGAATTTTATTTGACCTCGCCTTGCTATCCATCTCTATTGGCTGATGCGGAAACTCTTGTGGTTGAGGACTTTTTCTTTTCAGTCTATACAAAAAATCTCCAATCGGTATATCATTCCTATTCCTTTCAATTGCAGGTGGTCTCCCAATAGAAGGTTTGAATAACTCTAGACCAGTATCTCTATCTATAGGTAGCTCCATGATTTTTCTTTCATAATCAAGCCTTTCTTCTACATATTTTTTCGATAAAAGCAGCCTTTCTACAACATCTTCGCAATTACTAGAATTATTACTAATAATATTCGGCCGAAAAGTGCATACTTTTTTTAAGCTATATAAGCCTTACTATTGCTTTGCCAATACCTCTCTTTTCTTTTTCAGGTCATAAGCCTCATTATACAAATCAGTGAATTTATCCTCAGATGCTGGCCTGCTTCTATTTAAAATCTGCTTGCTCATAGGATTAACCGTCGGAGTAAAAGTGCATTCTCTTTGCTCAATTGCATATTGAAGCTCTTTTTCCTGGTCAATTTTAAGCAGCCTCAATCTCTCTTTTTCATATAAATATTCTGCTAGGTGTCTATGTCTTCTTTTATTATTTGAAGGAAATTCACTGATTTTTGGCATAAATGTTAATTCTTTTTTTTCTTTTTCTTCCTCATATTGTCTTTTCTTTTCGTTTTCTTCTTCAAGTTGATCCATAAACTCAAGGCCTTTATTATAAAAGAATTTTGGTTTTTTTTTTCATAAAAAATACCTAAATAATAATTTTTTACTATAAAAATAAAATTTTCATGACTACCCAAGAATTTCCCCAATATTTGTGTTTGAAACTTTTTTCAGTTTATTAGCTGCCTGGATTCTTTCATAAACAGGCTTAACTGCAGCAGAATTTGCCTTTGCAGACACAAGCTCAGCTGCCTTTTCATGCTCTTCAACCAGCAGCCCTATTTGGATCGCAATTTGTTCAGAGAGTCGTTTTTCGATTTTTTCGTCCAAATTAAATTTCGCTGCAAATTCGTGCACAATCTCATCAGGAACGTCATTTTCATGGATAATTAGCTTTTCTTTCCCTAGATTTCCAAGCTCAATGTGCATTATTAAAATTTCTTTTCCTTTTCCATTCGAGAAATCTTCTTGTTCCATATATAATATTAATAATTTAGCATTAAATTAAATACTTTTTACTGTGCCGCTTCAGTTTTGAAGTCCTTGATTTAATTACAACGCTGAGATTTCCTAATTCTTCTATAAACTCTGAAGTAATTTGCTTTTGCTGAGGAGTTAGAACTGATGTGAGCTCTTTAGGCTTGGAACCAGACCGTGATAAAAGGCTTTGTTGGGGATAGGCAGTTCCTTCTGTAAGAATTGGCATTCTAGTCCCTAATAGGTTTCTTGAACGATTGATTTTTTCGATTTCTAAGGATAATTTTTGTATTGAGAGCTGCTGTGAATTATTTTGGTATCTAAGCTCGCTGTTTTGTTTTAATAAATTTTTATTTTCTTCTTTTGAAATTAATAATTCACGCTGTAAGCGTTTATTATCTTGTTCAACGATTTTTAGCTGTTTTAAGATTGACTGCTTGCTTTGTTCTGAATAATGCACAGAATCTGATGGTTTTTGAAAGGAATCTTCGTTATATGAAAGATCAATTTTTTTCTGCTTTTGCGGAGAGTTATTTTGTCGAACTTTTGGGGTAATAGATGAAGAGCGTCCTGGATTTAGAGAAAGTGCTTGGAGGATTAAAGAATTTATTTCTACCCGGTCTGAGTTCATTCTATTGCTGGAATTTGATAAGGAGTCTCTTCTCATAGTCTGTTAATATGCAAAGAAAAATTATATAAATTTTTATATCAAAAATTGTTAAGGTGTTAAGGTGTTAAGAAAGAATGACATTGTGTAGAGAAAGATGAAAATTAATCTTTAAAACGGAAAATGTATAACTTAGAATTATTTTGAATATTATATAAGTTAAGGACTATTTAAGAAGAATCTTGATATCATTCTTATTTTCGGGATTATTAAACTTTTATTTGGTTTTTTCTTTACCTTCTTAGCTTTTTTCTCTTAAAATACGATTCAAGGGATTTAATTCTTTAATTAGGTTCTTTCTGCAGGACTATTTTACATGAAAAAGCTCATAAGTTCTTGCAATTCTTATTGCCGCGATTTGTTAGGCTTCACCTTTTCCTCTTCAAAATCTTTTTCAATTAAATGTCTATTTAATTATATCTCATTATTTATTATTCATCAATAATAAATTCACTAAATTATCATCTATTATTAATTCCTTGCATTCACAAATTACTATAATCTCTACTATTAAGATTAGTAAGTTTAGATCAATAAAATTATACCCCTACAAAGACAACCAACAATAAACTGTCAATAATATTTTATTTTAAATTAAAAAAAATAATTCTACCCACATCTATTTTTATTCTCAAAGTTTATGATCTTATGGTTCGTAAGTTCTATCGTGTCCTCCATACCAGCCATGAAGAGCTTCGTCCATCGTCAAATCAACCTTGGCTTGATAGTCTTGCAAGATTCTCATCAAATTCTGAGGGAATGACACAGGTTTTACCTTCAAGTCTTCAATTTTCAATGCGTCTTTTGATACCACGATGTCCATTTGGCTTTCTTCTACATCATTTAAGCTCATATGTCTTGAAAACCCAAACGTATGAGGCATGTATTGGATAAATTTATGGGCTTTTCTATAAGGAATTGATCTTACATTTGGTGGCTTTCCAATCTTATTGTAGACGATTTCCATGATTTCTCTGTTAGAATACACATTCGGGCCACCAAGCTCATAAGTTTTTCCTATGGTTTCAGGCATTCTTAGACAGTTTATTACGCATTGTCCTATGTCCTTATAGTAAATTGGCTGTCTGAGTTCTTTCGCGTCATCAATAACCGGTAGATAATCGATCATCTGCTGAATCAGTCCCATTCTAGTCACGTAGTTATCATATTCTCCAAAAATTGTAGTGGGTCTTAGAATCGTCACATTAGGGTATGCTGCTTTGACTTCTTTTTCCACAATTAAATATGGCCGTCTGTCGTATGGCCGTGCAGCCTCGAACAAGTATTTAAGTATATCTGGTATGATTTTGTCAACCCAGAAATGGGTAACTATGCAAGGAAGCAATTTCACCACTATGTGGAACCTTGACTTGGCTATCTATTATGACTGAATTTTACCGTTGGGAAGAGGAGCATGGAGCTAAAAATTGGTACCAGCATGGGCTATGATAGTGACTAGACCATTCAGGCAAGTTTTGCCTTTTTCTCAAGAGTCAGCCAGAAAATCCATTTTTGGACTTTCTCTAAGGCAACCTATGCTCATATATCAACCTCAAGCAAGGATACAGAAGTTCGTAGTCTGCCAACTAAACGCTAGAGCTGCAAGGACGAGGTGTAGGAGGAAGGGCAACACTCCAGCAATAAGGAGTCAAAAAGTAGCAATATATAGCGTTGCCATGCAAATCATTTCTCTAAGAAAATGAATCACTTGAGATTCTTAGGGACTGGATTACCAATATAAATCAGCCTATCCCTAAATTAATTTAAGACTTCTTGTTCCCCATGCCATTTAGTTTGAAGACGTGGCGAAGTGCTTGCTGGGTCATGAAAAAAATTTATTTTTTTTATTTTTTTTCAAAAAATCATTTTTGTTGAAAAATAAAAAAATGGGTCAATGCCGACTGCTGAAAAGTGAATGAGCCTCAAAATGTCTGGATTCCTTGCACAGGCTTCTGCTATTCTTCTTGGAACTGTGACATTTGACTCATAAAGAGTATCGTAGTCTCTTATATAGTGATAGCCTCCAATTGTATTGATAACTACATTAGCGTTTTCTAGGACTTGGTCGAGGATATCTGGGTCCTTTAAATCTAGCTGCTGTCTGAAAGAAATAAACTTGAAGTTTCCAATTCTTAAATAGTCAACCCATTTTGAAGATGTTCTGCATGGGATTAAGACTTGAGCATGGATATTGGTTAAAAGTCCTATTGCGGCTCGAGCAATTTGTGAGCTGGAGCCAAAAACGACAGCTTTGATCATGGAAGTTGAGGAGCGATCATTGACGTGGAGAATTGAGGATTTGATAGTCCTTCTCATAGCTGCTGATATCATTTTATATGAGAATTATAATAAGTTTATGATGATTATTAAATTTGTGGAGAATATAAGGATTTTAGATCTGGGTGAAAAGGAGTTGAAAATAAAGCAATTGAAATAAGGAAATTAATGATCTAATAAGATAAGTTGATGATAGCAGGTCTCAATATTTTTGAAAAAATTACTATTGATTTAGACTATTTAATTCACTTATTGTAAAATAACTCCCCCCTTTTGAAAGTGAAACGTCATATTTTTCTGTTTAATTTATTTTTGAAAAAAATTTAAATAATGCACGTAATTATAATGTATAAACATAGCGACTTGAAACCTTATCCTATTTTCATATATAATAGCTAGCCATTATGATGTTTTTATTCATTGTAATTAGGTACATCAATTTTTAATTTTAATTTTACGAAAAATTAATCAAACAAATAATCAATTCAGTGTGCCAATTGTACTTCTTACATTAATTTAGTAAAAAATATATTTTCACCAATATAATATCCAATTGAAAATTAACCAAATTTAAATGCGTTAATTTACCCAAAGTGGAAAATTGTCTAATATATTCTTCAAATTTAAAAGGAGGGAGAGAAAGAAACTATTTTAAAAGCTCTTTTGAATTTCTAAATTTTCATACAATTAGATTGGCTTATACTTTGCATTTATAGTCTCTACTTTCAACTGCTGTTTTACAAAATAGCCCTATATGCTACCCCACGAAGTAGCAGATGGCTTCTACCTTTGGATGATCTGGGGACGAAGTTCTAGATTTCTTGGTAGAGATTTCCTTAAGATTAACCCATTCATATTTTGCTGGAACCTCTTTCCAACCCAAGCCATCAGCCATGCTAAGCCAACCCTGAAAAATCCTGTCTTATTGCTCTTTCTATCAGTCCTCTTAAGCTGGAGAGACTTGAATCCTAAAGAGCTACCTTTTCTTTATGCCCTCCAAACGAAAAACTTAACTGATTTATGTCATTTATGACAGGCTCTCATTAGTCTGAAAGTTAAGTTGCCCTGATTCTATTAGAAAACTATATCTGGGCTGCTAATAAAAAATATGCTAAAGCAGCCTATCAAGTCATGCTACTCACTGATGCTGTGCTGAGATTCTCATGAAGCTTGCCAGCCTTAGTCAGCTCTTTGCCTTAAAACATTACGTTCAGACACACTTTAGGGCACTAGCCGCTGAGAGCGCAGGCCACCGTCTATTTTATGTATTAATTTTCATATACTTAATATTTCATAAATAATCATGACAGACCGTTTACCAGGCAAGTACCTTGAAAGACTTCACACAAAGCCTTGATTTCACAGCGGTCATGTCCCTGAAATTAAATACTCCTACAGTGTTTCAGGCCTCACACCGTCTCACTATCCTATTAAACCAAGATCAAGGCCTCCAGGTGCTTCAGCTGAAAAAGACCCAAGAACTCCTAAAAAAGTTTTTCCAAACGCTGATGACCCAAAACCTCCTATCAATTTTCGTGAGTTTCGTGAATACTCTTTTCTTACTCCTTATTAAAAAAATAAAAAATATTCTTTAAATAAATAATTTATATTAAAACCAATTTTTTTAAAAAATTCATAAAAATAAATTTTTAGATATAAAAATTAGAGAAAATGAAGTAATTGTAACTATCGAGCATTGTGACAACTGTGAATCACACTTAGAGACAACAAGGCATGACCCTGCGAAATATTCAAGTTTTGCACAATCTATCAAAGCAGGAGTCTTATCGAGATTCCCAATGGTAAAAGTCCTTATAAAGCCAATCTCAAAATGTGATGAAAATACAACAAATCAAAGAATGGGAGCTTTTGAGGTGCAAATCTGCAGTAAAATAAAAGGGATTATTAAAAAAGATTCACTTCACTCAAAACTTGCGACTAGAAAGTGGCCTGATATCAGAGAAGTCATAGGGAAAATGGCAAGTTACTTGCCAACTTGTCAGTTATTTGTGACTATTTATGATTACAGTGACCAAGAAAAAATTCTTAAAAGTTATTAAGTTTCTGACCATTGTCTTGGCTTCATTGGGATGGATCTCCACATATACTCCTGAATGTGTAATGGTATTTAGCCATATCCTTTTGAATTTCGCCAACAACTAACCGCCCCAGAAATTAACCCTCTAGGGCAGAGCCATCTTTAGAGAGTTTTTGATGATATAGGAAAATCGGTCTATCCTAAGCAGAAACAAAGCTAAGGACCTTCTGTAGCGAAGATGGTCACCTTAGTCCCTCAGAACTGCCTGAAAAAAGCCTAGGTATCTTCTTCAGTCATCGTTTTTTTTAAATTCTTAAAAGGAATCAAAGTAATCGTCAGACCTAAAGCACTCCCGATAGCAATCCCATCAAGATCAAGGCCAAAAAGCGCCAACTTTTCCACCATTCGGCCTCAATCAGCAGGGGGTGCATCTGTCAGATTTTCCTCAAGAAAAAATTCTCGGCCTACCTCTCACATCAGTTCTAAGCCCAAACCTTCTGAATCTATATCCTACGAAAGAACTACAGACCGTGACGGTTCCTGCTTATTTGCCAATATTCCTCTGGACATCTACGAAATTGAGGTGGTCGAAACCAAAGAATTCAAAGGCGCCACCAAGCTTTTCAATACTTTTGAAGAGCCTTTACAAAATTCTAGCCTAAATGTATATATAGCTGTCCAGTCAAGAGAAATTTCTTCTATAAAAATCGTGCTAAAAGACCCAGAACTGAGGACAGAAATTGCAGGGGCAATGGTCAGGATTTCTAGAGGGACTGGAGAAATGTACTTTGTGCCAGAAATGAATAGAGGGGTATATGAGCTATCAATTCCTAAAGGAAATTATGATTTAAGCATCCAAGCAGAAGGGTATCAAGAAATCGTCAAAAGTTTGCAGGCAAATCAGGCTGAAATTGTGCTGACAGAGCTTATGAGATCGAGAGAAAGCAGAGAAGTCCAGGTCATGACTTATGATGGGCTAAGTGGGGAGCCTTTAGGGTCAGTTTATTTAGAGCTAAAAATTAATCAAAATAGCTCACCTTTGGAAGGCTTGGCCAAGCAAGGGACTTATACGTATATTCTAGATGAAGTAGGGATATTTACGATATTAGCTTCAAAACAGGGATATATGGATGCTACAGTCACTCTGAAGGTGGCCACAAAAGGAAATACATTCAGCAAGTTTATTTTATCAAAAATATTAATTATTTTTAAAAAAAATCATATATAAGCTTATGAATTATACTATAATTGCAATAGGATTAATCCCAATGCCAAGACCAGAGCTTTCTTATATAGTATTTTCATGGACTCGCTGCAGCGACGATTTAGAAATTGAGGCTATAGGAGACAATATACTTTTATCTTTGCGGTCACCTAATGGAAAAGGCTGCCAATTTATTGATATGCTAAAATCTCATGGAATCGCGACTATTTGTCTGACCCCAGAATGTGATAATTTAAGAATTGTCGCCAAATTGCTATCAAAAGAGTTGCTAGAAGGAAAAGATAATGATAAGTCGCCATTATTAAGTTCTGGGTTTAGCGTGAATTATTATACAAAGCAGAGACAAGAGTCTAATATAATACCAAGCCATGGCAGAGGAGGCTGGTGGGATATTGGAGTTTATCCTATGTTTTTTGTATTTAAAAATAAATGATTTTATTATAAAAATAATTGAAAAATATATGAAAAAGAATATATGAAAGAAAAAAGTGATTTTATAGAAACCAATGTAATTTCTGATGAAAAACTTACACATTGGGGAGACTTTTTTTCTGCATTTTATGAAATCATAAACTTAGCTCAGAGCTCTGATTCGATACCTGCAGTTTTTGGATTTGACCAAAGTGGAGTCACAAAGCAGACGGAATATGGAAGAGATAAATTTGTGTCACCTGAAATTGTTAGGAAAATTTTGGCATCAGTGTGCAATGAAGACGAGCTTCAATATGCAATGAAAAGTTTAATCACACCTAATGGAGTCAGTTTGGCACAGATTAAAAAAAGATATGAAAAAAATAGAAAATTCCAGCTGCAAAAACTGTCAAGATTTCAATCAATTGATACGTATGCCAGATTTCTAGGGATGGATCCAATTGAAGATAAAGAGTACTATTGGATTGCAGAAGAAGCTTTGCATTCAAATTTGCCTGAAGGATGGGAAGTTTTAGTTGATAATAAAGGATCAATTAAATATAGACATAGCCCATCTGGACAGATAACCTCAGACCATCCAAATCCTAAGGACGAATTTTATAGAAATAAATTTTTGGAAGAAAAACAAAAAGCTTCTAAAGAAATATGGTAAATTATACTGAATTAGGACTGATAAACCTTTAAGCAGCCCTAATGCCCTAGCTTTAGTTAATAAATATAGAAATTAGCAGCAAAGAAATATCAAAAGCTTCAGAAGAAAGGCCAAGTTCTATTGAAAGGTCCAGATCTGAAGAAAGAAAATCAAGCCATGAAGAAAAACACTCAAGCAGCAGTGGTGAAGAAGGAGAAGGAAATGTCCAAGAATTCATGGAGGTTGTTAACAAGCAGTGTAAAGAATTAACTGAGCTCGTAGAAGAAAAAATGAATCAAGCTGTTCAGGCAGGAATTGACATCGATATTGAGACTAAAGGAGCTTTATTAGAAAAAATTGTAGAATATGCAGAAAATTTAGAAAAATTAAAATCAGAAATTGATGATAAAGAAGCCTTGGATTTTGTGAATAATTGGATTTTGGCATTTGGAAAAATGCATAGAAGTTTGATGGAGTTTCATGTAGAAGTAAGAGCTGTGGAAGAAAGCAAGGAAGAAGTAAAGAAAGACAAAAAAGACAAAAAGGATAAAAAGGATAAAAAAGACAAGAAAGACAAAAAAGATAAAAAAGATAAGAAGGACAAAAACGATAAAAAAGATAAAAAAGACAAAATAGACAAAAAAGATAAAAAAGAAAAGAAAGAGAAAAAGAAAGAAAAAAAGAAAGATAAGAAGAAGCATAGCAGAAGTTCTAGTAGCTCTAGTAGCTCTAGCAGCTCTAGTAGTTCAAGTAGCTCAAGCAGCTCTAAATCTAATTCTCCTAAAGAAGAATCTCGATATGAAAATGAGCAGTTTGATGAAAGCTACAATGAAGAGAGATCTGTTTAGCCTAAAGTTATTTAAAACCCTTTTCAATTATAATTTGTTTAAAATATCAATAGTTTCAGTCACTCCCAATTTTAAATTGGAGCAATATCAGTAAAATTTGCATTTTTGCAGAATTTAAAAATTTTATGAAAAAGTGATTATAATGCTATATAAGCATTTTTCGCACAGAATCGGTTAATTTTTCCATAAAAATAAATTAAAAAAAAAGTATTGTGCTCGATTTATTTTTTTTTTAAAAAAAATTAGCCCCTTTAAATTGGAGCAAGGAGTTTTTGCTTCAATTTGAAAGGGGGAGCTAGTAAATGCTCTAATACGATATCTCCTAGGTCCAACTTCAGCTGTGTTTCTTCGAACTCGTAATTAGCCCATATCTGATCTTTTTCTAAAATATCTTCAGCAAGCACAACTCCTAGTTTTTCTTCTCTGTCTTGCTGCAAAAGTACCTCATCTACCATTCCATTAGACATTACCATATGATCTTTTGGTACTGTGCCAATCCCGGATTGTGAAAAATCAACAATTTTGCTTGTGATTTCTTTGAAAATATTTTCTATATTAACATCTGGGTACTTTGTGTATCTATTTGTATTGCTCCATGGCATAGGAAAACAGTTTGTTCCATATGGTCTATAATTTTGTAATAATTCATTTACATTATCAAAAATCATTCGATTATGAATATGCTCTGACTCTGTTATCACATGCAAAATATGAGGCGACAAATTTGCTCTCGCAGAGATTTCTCCTCTATTTTGTTCAATTCTTATATACATCCCTAAATCTAATATTGACGTATTAGGAATTTTTTCAAGCTCAATAAAAGTCCCTATTTCAGTATCCTGCATTTTTGCAAGCATCGCAAGTGGGTTTCTTTTTAATGGACTTTTTAAAGAATTTAAAATATCTCTAGGAGAATTTTTAATTGCATTAAAAAGCTCAGCTAAATATTTGCATAATGCTTCATTGTTTATTTGTGTAAGATGCTCAGTTGAGGATGAAATTGACGGTAGAGGCAGGTCAGAGACTTTTATTAAGTCTAATAAAGGAATAGCTCGGCTTTCTTTATTATGAAAATCTAGTAAATCTTGGAAAACTACTAAATCAGCTGATTTTTCCGAAAATATAATGTTTTTTAGGATTTTAATAAAAATATTTTTTAAATAAAGGGGTAAATAAATTTCTTCAATGACTTTTTCAATCATTATTTGTTCAAAGTTATTATCCTTATAGCGTCTGCACCGCTATGGATTGCCTTGGCGAGGGTTCTCCGCAGCAACTTGGAGCTCAGGCGAGTCACCTAAAGGTGGCAAGTCAACTCCAAGTTGACAAATCCTTGCAAAAGTGGGCGCTTTTGTCAACTTGGTGTTGGCTTGTCACCTTAGTGTTGACTTGCCACCTTTAGGTGATTCACCAGAGTCCAAGCTGCTGCGGAGAATCCTCACCAAGGCAATCCATAGCGGTGCAGACGCTATATCTGGAGATTTTGGAAACCCATTTGCAGGAGTTGTAGGGGTTATATCGTCATCACTGCTGTCATAGCCTTGTAAAGGAGCACTAGGCCGAACTGGAATTAAATCAGGAGTATTAGTAGGACTGTCAACTTTATCAAATTCAAAACACACAAGTCTTGGAGGTGGCATTGGGCATTCTTTAACTAAATTTTTTTCTAATGAATCCTCAGTCTTTATTGGCTTTTCCGGGCTTTGTTTTCGCTTATTTGGGTTAAATGGAGGAATTTCAGGCAATAGTGCAAATTTTGGTGGTGTTTTGTATAACGGAGAATCAAAGGTAACAGTAACCACATGCAAATCTTGTGGCTTTCCATCAGGCTTTTTTGGTGTTATTATTGCTTCAGGAAATTCAATAGAATCAATATTTTTGCTTTCTGGGCTTTGGATCGGTGACCATTGTTTTGATAAATTGAGCTTTGTTTTGATTGACTTATTATTTTCTAAAAATTTAAGTTTTTTCTCTTTCGGCATTTCTACTTGACTAATATTGGCAACTAATTTTGGCCTATCTTCTTCTGGCATCAATATAAAATCTTTTTCATCTTCATATAAAAAGGCTTCTAATAGCTCATTTTTGGTTTTAGATAATTCTTCATCAAGTTCTTTTTCTAGCTCTTGCTCTTCATTATATGACAAATCTTCAAGTAGGGCAGATTGAATATCAATAGTATCCCCATTATGAAAATGATTGCAAAAAAAATTTTTTTTTATATTATAAATTATGAGCTATACTTATGGTATAGATTTTTCTAAAATATTTTCAACTTTTAGATATGTGCGGTTTATCACTTCTTTTAAAAGACTTTCTAAGGATTCAGCATTATAAGTTCTTTGCGTTAATTGTCGTAAAGAAAGAAGCTCTTGCTGACGAAGAGTGTCAAGGATTTCTAAGTTTGTTTCTTGCCATATAAGCTGCTCTTTAAGGACTTTGCGATATTCTGGGTCTTTTTGTTTATTTTCGCAGCTAATTGAAGAGATGTTTTGAATTTCTTTTATTGGAGTGATGCTTGTTGGCAATTTTTCGTTTTTTATTATTTCTTTTGGCACATCGTCAATAATTTCTATACTTATTTCTTTATCATCTATAACTGCTGCCTTTTCTTCTATTATCGGCTTTGATATAATGGTATTTTCACTTATGTCTATAATGAAATTTTCTTTTATTTTTTCTTGTGTTTTTTTATTTATTTCGTCTTCATTTAATTTTTTATTTTTTCTTGCCAAGTATCCTCTTACGGCTGACTGGATATTGACTAGGGATTTTTGCTCATTTATTAGTTGTTTTTGCATTGATGAATAATTTGTGCTATTGAATGGAAAATCTGTATCTGTGGTCTGGGATATAGGAGAAATATCTATTTTTATATCAGGAATTATATCACTCAGTTTATTTTCGGTTAAATTTTCACTTTTTCTATGGGATTTCTTGGATTTTGACCCTTTTGAGGTCCTATTGCTTTTGCTTTCATATTGACTTATTAGCTCAGATTTCCTAGCACTTGCTAACCTTTTGATATTTTCAGCTTTTACCCTTAATAAATCAAGCTCTTTTAGCTCTTTTTTCAGCTCATTTTTACTTTTTATGGTTGATCTAGCTGATTTTGTAACATCTGATCGCTTTGATAAGATGATTTCTTGAGTAGAATTCAAGCTTTTGCAATAGCAAATATCATCATTTAGCTTTTCAAGCCGAAATTTTGCTTTATCAGCAGAATTAGTTCTAGTCTTAGTAGAAATCTCTTTTATTCTTCGCTCTATATCACAGCTGAGCACTCTTCCTGACCCTTTCCAAGCATTTTTTGGCTTGAATTTTTTTTGCTTGAATTTTAATATTTTTTATTAAATTGATTTTTATTTTTAATTTGGAGAAATAAATATAAATTTTAATACAGATTAGGAGACTATAAATTATCCATTCTAATTTGGCTGTTTTGGTAACTCAATTCTTCTTTTCTTTTGTCGAAAAAGTCTTTAAGCTCTGCTTCTTCTTTTTCTTTCTGGATTCTATTTGCTTTCGCCTTTTTAAGAGTTTGGCTTACAAGCTTTTCTACTGTCAGTGGAGGTTTTTTTGATGAGTTTTTTGGCTTTTTTGGTTTTTTGGAAATTTCTTTTTCAGGCATTGCATTTTGTTCTTTGAAATTTATGGGCTGACTATATGATAAACTTGATTTGTGGCTATTTAATTCCTTTTTGACTAGGAAATTGCTTGGCTTTTTCAGCTTTTTAGAAATCGATTGGGAGCCTGATTTATTTTTCAGTGAAACTTTATTCTACTGTACATAAGCTTCATATTTTTAATTTAAAATTAAATTTTAATATAATTCAATAGAAAAATTTTACAATTTTTGCTTGAATTTCTTGATACTATCTTATTTTTTGGCAAATTTTCTGGTTCTTTCCCAATTGATTTTTCAATTTTTGTTTGTGAAAGAATTTTTCTGCCTGTGATTGAAACTTTTGGGGTTTGTAAGAATGATTGAATATCATTGCTAATATCAAAAAATAGGCTAGACTCATCTATAAGCGAAGGGTTCTCATCTTTAATCTTCCAACTGAACTTATTTGCCATTTAGTTAATTTAACTACCATATTGGCAAATGACAAAAACTAATCCTTCTATGGATTTAAACCTTTTTGGTTTATAATGAATTAGCTCTAATAAATTAAAAGATTTAATAATAACGCAAAATTTATTATTTTAATATATCATAAAAATATTAATTCAAAAATTAGCATTTTCTATAAATTGAAATCATTATTTATAAGTTAAAATATAACTAAAATTGTGTTAGAATAATTATAGCTAGGAGTCATAAGACTCCTCAATAATATAGCTGAGTTAATATATGCTAAAATTTTACTTAAAACTAAAATGGAATCCAGCTCATCACTCCCACAGCTGCAAAGCAGGTCCTCCCTCTACACTTCTCCTCGTAGCAAGTTACAAACTTCCCCAAACAGACCAATAACCGGCACAAGCATGATATCAACCAACAGCGTCTTCAGTCAATCCGCTACCACCTTAACCAGAAGCGTAATTCATTGGTCGTTTTCAAAATCTAGCTCCCCCTCCTTATGTGAGTAAAAAAATGTTGCCTTCTTGCAAGGGATTAAAAATTTATAGAATATTTTATAGTAATTTTTTTTCGAAATTTAAAATAATCCTCATTTGTAAATTGGAAAGTTAAAATTAATTTATTTTGTAAATTTATGTTCTAAACAAAAGGAATTATAAATTCAAAAGGATTAGCTATAGATTTCGTTATATAATTATTATTTATATATTAAATAATTTTTTCCAAAAAAATATGAATCTTTCCTATGGGTTTGCTTGCTCACCGGGGTAGTAAGCGTTTTAATGAATACAAAAATGATACCTCAGATGTTCCCATCCCTAATTTAGGCAGTACACTGTCCCCAAGGGCTACAACCCAAGGTTTTGGAGGCAGAAGCTCATTTAAACCGGTAGAAAGTCCTCCCCCTAATGCATATGATATAAACTCACATTTATTTTCACGGCCTGGGCCTATTATACATAAGAGATTAAATTCAGAAGAAGCTGGAAGAGAATCTTGGGATTGCCACGGAGATGTCCCGGGTCCTGGAAAATATGAAATATCTCGAGATTTTTTAGCAAAAAATAAAGGATTTTTGCTAAAATCAAGATGTGAGCCAATTGATGCAAGAAAAGTTGTCCCTGCTCCGAATCATTATGCACCTAGGCTGAGTTTGACATATAAAAGCAGGTTTTCCGGAATTTCTTTTGGGTTTGGAGGGAGGTATAACTTTACCCCTAAAGAAGCATCACTGATCCCTGGGCCAGGGACATATGAGCTTCCTTCAAAATTTAATAAAAAAAATCGTCAAGACAGATCAGGGAAAGACAAAAAAACAACGGACAATTTATTTTTACCTTACTTACCCCCCCCCCCCTCCGTGAGCGAACAAAAAAATTTTGTTCGCTCACGGAGGGGGGTTAATTTTTTTTTTTTAAAAAAAATTTATATATAAATTTTATAAAAAATATATTTTTTTCGAAATTTAAAAAAAATCCTAATTTGCAAAAATTGGGAAGCAAATATTAATTTAATTTGCAAAATTTATGTTTTAAAACGCAATTTGTTTAAAATTAAACAGAATTAGCTCTAGATTTCATTATACTAATTATCACTTATATATCAAAATTTTTTTCCATTAAAATTTTTTCTATTAAAAAAATTTTTGTTCACTCACGGAGGGTGGGTTTTTGGTCAAAAAATGGCGATTTTTCTAATGGTTTTGTTCGCTCACGGAGGGGGGGGGAGTTAGTGTATCTATAATTATCTAGTAAACTTTTAATATTAATTTTTTGGTTTCCCAATTCTGCTCCCAAGCTTTACACAGGTCGCCCTAGTCTTGTTCCCTCTATTAATATTTCCCCCAGCCCCTGGTAGTTTACTAGTCGGAACTATTGTAGAAGTTCTCGTTGACGATCTGCTTGTATTAAGTATTGACATATCTATACTATCCGTGCTTTGTCACGAGCACATAGATACATCTGAGCCCATCCTTGAATGAACCCTCGTACTAAGCGGCGTAGGTGAAGTTTCCTTAAATGATAAATCAAGGACATCGATCCTCGGTAAATTTATTTCTGGGACACTTACCGTTTTTTCTTCCGTTTGAGTGCCTTGGTCTATACTTTTGTGGAATTTTTTCAGCAATTCCTCATTTTTTTCTTTTTCTTTTTCTAATGATTTTTTCACAATTTCGTAATTAATAAGTTGGCTTCGGGCAAGAAATGCTCCAAAATCCGTGGAAGGAAGATTTCCTTTATTGATGATGCTAAGGAGCTCAAAATTGAGTTCTCGAAGACGGATTCGGTCTTGATTTACAAGATGGAGCAGCGAGAGCATGTCTTTTCATTCTTGGAGAAGCTGATGGTCAAATTGTAGGTTGGAAAGTCTGTTGTGTTTTGGCTCTGAATTTAGGTCAGGAATTAAAGGCTGAGGAAGTATTTGTTGAAGTTCTGGAAAGTGCTGTTCTATTGAGTAGCCAGCAAGAAGGCAGCCAAGCCGTCTTGTGATGGTCTCGTCAATATTTTGTGATATAGAATACACATTTTCGAACATTGCTTTTAAATTAATATTGAAAATAAATTTCACTAATCTCTGGGCCAATATGTTATAAATTTTCTATATGTCATTTGGGATAAAATGCAAAAAGTCACAAGTAAAAACTCATATTTTCAGCAATGATCAGCTTCCTTATGGGTGTTAAAAAATAGATGGTTCTTAAATAAAAGGGGGTCATTTTAATAAAAAAAAATAAAAAAATTTTCCTTATCTATTTGAAAACAATTGCAGCTTCAGTGAAAATTTAAAAAATAAGGCTAATCATAATCGCAAGCTCCGATCTCACAGCCAATTAGAATCTATAGGAATCGCTACAATTGAGAAAAATCATCAGTCAAATTGGTCATTTTCTGAAATTTCACACAACAAGAAAAGGTCATTTGGTAATGGAGATTTTCCTTATACAATTTTATCATTACTTTCCAAGCACAGGAATTTGCCAGTTGTTAAAAAATTAAGAGCTCAAGCCATATCAGCGTTAACACCTGGGAGCTTTTTATCAAAACAGATTATCAGGGAACATAATAAGACACCTAAGAGAGAGCCAATGCCTGATATTTTTATGAAAAACCATAAAAATAAATACTTGGCGAGCAATGTAAGCAGTGTGAGGGTGTCGCCTACTCTTAACGATGAAAAAAATAACAATCTTACAGAAATTTCAGGAAAAATGATAAAAACTTATACAAAGCAACGAATAAGCAAAAAAATGTTGCTTCCTTCTCTAGAAAATACTCAAAGAATAAGTCCGAGCAAATATGGACGGAAATCTTTTAAGGATATAGAAGTAAAAAAGGAAATAGATGAAGAAGAAAATTTATCATCTATATATATGACCAATTATGGATTTAACTAATGTAATAAATCAATTGTTTTTTTATTAAATATAGCAAATATTATTAAATAACTAATAGAAAAAATCAGAAAAAATAGAAAAATTCTTCACTAAAAAAGATAATAATATAAACAGCTATTTTAATTATTTTGAAATTTAGTATCAATAATTTCTTGAGCTCTTTGTAGTTCCTTATACATTTTTGATGCGTCAAAAAGCGTTTTCGAAACATCTTCAGCAACCCTTGCAAGCGGCAGACTATTTATTTCTTACTTTTTTTGAAAATAATTGCTTTTATCCTCTTCTTCTTGTGTAGTGTTAACTGCTCTTAATTTTTTGGCTCCTAGTTTTACAAGCTGATCAGCGAAGTGGAATTTTTCTTTGTCTTCAGCTAATGCAGCAGGGCTTCTTCCTTTACTATCAATAGGGTTTAAATCTGCGCCTAGCTGCACTAATAAAGCCCCGATTTCTGTATTTCCAGAAACTGCAGCATAATGTAAAGGCGTTTTCGACCGATTATCGACTCAGTTGACGGACATTCCCATTTCGACTAATCGACATATAGAGTGAGATTTTCCTTTTCTGACAGCTTTGTGTATAGCATTTGCGCCTTTTATATCAGACGAATTAATTTTGCAGCCACTAAAAAGTATTTTATTGTCTTTTAATCAAAATTTTCTGATAAATTTGCTTAATTTATTATAAATTCATCTCAACTCATTATAAAAATTCACAAATATCATATCGATCATTGTCACATGCAATTAAAAACGCATCCTCCCCTTTTTTCTGATTATAAATTACATTTCTGAGCTCTAAATTTCCATTTTTCCTTACAAGTAGCTGTGCAAGCTTTAAATTCCCAATACTCGCTGCATATATAAGTAGCGTCATATCTAATACTTTATCAAAAGAATTTATATCAACACCTTCTTTTAGTGCATTTTCTACTGCACTCAGCGGAAATCCTGGCTTTTTTTGTAATAGTCTCCTTATATCTAATTCTTGATGATTTTCTGTATTTTGTGTTTCAACTTTTTTTTGATGTTCCCCGATAAATTTATTTCTAACAAATTCATCGTCATTTTTTATAAGGGTAGAAATCATGTTGTGTTTTTCTACAGGGTCTGCGGTGATTCCATTTAAATTCATATTTTTTATATCTTGTGAATATTTTTCAAGAATTGAGCTTTGATATATAATTTTCATTGATTTATTTATTATAAAAAATAAAGCTTGTGGAGATGATTTTAATATAAATTGGTATAGCTTTTTACAGCCGTCCATTTATTTTTTTGAAATTTTGTGGAAATTTCTTCTGTATTTGTCTCTACAATAATAATTCGATCTAAAACAGACATCAGCATTTTTACTTCACGAATGTCGTGAAAATTGTCAATAAATTGCTTAAATACTTTATTTGCTGACATTGCACTGGCATTGGCTAAATCTTTTCGTTTTACAGTCAAATGAGGAATTGCTTCTCTTGCACCTTTTAAAAAATCCCAAGCTTTTAAAAACAGCTCATTAGGCCTTTCTATCAAATTATAGCTCAATTTTATTTTTTTGATCATTTTATTGTCTGCATTTCTTGTATTTTCATCTCTTATTTGTATCGCTTTCATGATCTCCCAAGCCCCATCGACACCAATTTTATTGAAGTTTAAATTGATTTTTGTGAGATTTCCTGTTGTGGTAGAAATTAAGTCACATAACGCAGGCAAGCATTTATCAGTAAATAAATTTCCTTCTAAATTCAAAATTTCAATGGAGTTGTTTAGTTCAACAATCCTGCATAAGGTTGGCATAAATCAGTCTTCTAGTTCCATATATTTCATGAGGACAACTTTGGGTGGGGTTTTACTAAACAAGTTTTTTAATATTTTTTTTTATTTATATAAATAAGACATAAAGTCCTGATTTTTTTTATTTTTAATAAATTAATTTAAATTGGTATAAATATAAACATTTCATTTTCATAGTCCGATTTGCCTCAATTTTAAATTCACTATTTTCATAATTTTCTTTCATATCTTCAATATCCTTATAAGCTTTTTTCAGTTTTTGGTCCATTCCCATCATTTTATTCCTTGCGTTCAAATGCAACTTTTCTAAATCTTTATATTTCCTTTCTAATAATTGGTTTGTGGTATAAATTTCGCTGAGCTTTTTGCTTGATTCTAAGTTAGCGTCAAGCGCCCTTAGCCTTCACTCATTTGTAGACTCAATCCTTTCTTTCATATAATTCGATTTTTTCAAAATTTTCTTTAAATGTGCATTGGCTTCATCCAATTGGTCTTTCAATGATTTATTTTCTCTTTCTAAATCATAAATTAATGCGTTTTTTTCTTTAATAGTATTCTCAAGTCTGCATTATAAATACCTTTCAACAATTTTAAGCTGGTCATTTGATCAAAATTCGTTTTCAGTCTGATTATAAATTACCATAAAGGTTTTATTGGGAGACTCTATATAGGAGCTTTGTTCTTGTAGAGAACTATATATGATAAAAGTGAATGGTTAAGGGTTTTTTTTAAATGTGTAAAAATTAATTAAAACATAAATATTTAGTGAGAAGAGGATATAGGATTTTGATTTGCTTTTAAGGGGAGAAGTAAGCGATGAGGAATGATGAAGATCTTTTATTTTGAGATTTTTTGGGATCGGAGGTTTATAATGGGAAAATGAAGTATTTGGAAGAACTTGCGTTTGGTCTGCAAATGATACACGGGGATGCAAACTAGTTAAGGTTTGTGGGCGTTTTGGACTAAGTGAATATGGGTGTTGGCTAGTCATGATTTTTTATTTATAACATTTTAAGAAAATACATTTTATTTCTATAACTAAAATGAGCTTAAAGGCAGACTGCTTAATTTTATAAAATGTTTTTCCTTGCAGTGTCTTGTTTTACCATTATATAATGCTTTAGATCCTGAGCACTAAATATTACTTGACAATACGATAGATAGCAAACAGCTTCCTTAGTTAGTTTTGGTCTTATGTACCCCAAGAAATATGATTTCCTCAAGTCATAACTAATAAACTTATAACTTTTTGCTCCTATTAAATAATATTAGTCACTATTTACAAATATATATATCAAAATAGTCTAATATTCAAAGAAATCTCAATTTATTATATACGGTTTGGCAATATATATTATCAATTTTACGTAACAAAAAAATTTGTATATAGAAATCTGAATTGGCAAGTCTTCCAGTACCAATTGACTTTGAAAAATAAACCGTCTTAAATAATTATGCAAAAGTATAATAATAGAATATGGCATCCAATAGCCAATTCCAAACTGAGCGCAAAAAGGCATTCGAAGAAACTAAAAAACTCAACATAAGATTCCAAAGAGCTCAAGAAGATATTTTAGATTATGGTGACAAGCTCTGGGAGCTTCATATGGATTGTTATATGGACGGCAAAGACAAGTGTGTCCAAATGTATAATCAAGCTTTTCTGCAATGAAATAAGCTAAGAAGACGTAAAGCAGATGCCAAAAATTGCATTAAAAAGTGTGATGAGCTTAAAGATCCAACTTCCAGGATTAAAAAAGATATTTTGAATGAGAAACATTTAGAATGCTATAAACGAGCCCATGAATGCGCGAGACAATGCACTGTTAAAGCTTTTGATTGGCTAGGAGAAGAGCAGGAATTTTTAAGAAAAAGTTTAGAGAAAATGAGGGAAGAGTTCTATCCGACAGAGAAAAAATAATAAGCTAATGATCATGAGAGTTAAGATGTTTAAAGAAAAATAGATTTTTAATGGAAATATTGGAGATGAGATCTGTATAATCTTAGGCTGAAAATGGGTATAGGGTTTGACCCTCAATAGCCCGATAAGGGCAGATAATTCCCTGCGGAATTATCGAGTTAATCCAACCAACTTAGTGCGTTGGTCGGACCAACTCACTTGTTGGTTGGACCAACTCACTTGCTGGTTGGACCAACTCACTTGCTTGTTGACCAGCTCGATAATTCCGCATGTAATTATCTGCTCTTATCGGGCTGTTGAGGGTCAAACTCTATATTTTATTTTAGAAAAAGATAGTTTTAAATTCGCTAATGATTAAAATAAATAGAAGGCTAAACATGATAGGCATATATTTTCTTGGAGCTATAAGGTGCAGAGTCTATGTGTTTTAAGCTATTCAAAAAGATGCATCTTTGGAGATTCTCTAAATAGTGCAATTTATTATAGCTAGCCTAGCTAAAATCATTTCATTTGTGAACTCTTTTATCATATCTAGTATAAATGCTCAAATTTTAATGTCAGGAAAAAATTGGCTAGATAATGCTTGTAGTTACTTAGGTAAGCATATTTTTTTTCTCAAATTTAAATTAGTAAAGGTATTAAATTCAAGTTTTAACATCTATTACTCAATTGTAGTCGTAAATTTTCAATCCAGCCTTGACTTATATTTGGCTTGATTTTCTTTTCATTATTTATTTCTGTAGATAACTTTAACTCAAATTCTTGAATTTCTTTATCAACTTCTGATAGGGTTTCATTTACCTGGGATTTTTTTTTGCGTTTTCTTGATTTTTTTTTCTTTTGGGCAGCTTGAGGCTCTTCACTATTTTTTTCATCATTACTTTTAAGATCTGTAGGCGACTCCTTCTGAATTTTTTCTCAATAATCTAAAATTGTATTTGAGTTGATTTTTAAATCTAATTCTGGGAATGAATTTTTTTCTTTTTCATAACTCCCCCTCTGTCAGAGAGAAAAACCATTGAAAAAATCCCAAACATTTATTATGAAAAAAAAATATTTTAATAAATCTTGACTTCTCAATTTTTTATTATTAAAAATTACTATAAAGTTTATATATGAATTTTTTAAAAAAATATATATTAAGCGAACAGAATTTTTTTATCAGCTCTTAGAGTAGGGGGAGTAAGAATCTTCACAATTAGACCTTTGGGTTATACGGCTGAGAAATTTATCATCGCTTAATTTCTCATAAAATAGCATTCTTGTCATAGATAAAAAATCACAAATTTTTATTTTTTAATAAATATATTATAAATAATCATATTTTAGAAAATTTTACGAAAATCGATAAAAGAGTGTGCTCAGGCTTTGAATCATCCCCAAAAATGCACCTAGTTAAATTGGCGGCTTCTTTTGATGCATAAACCAAAATATTGTACGCATCTAAAACAACTCTCATGATTATTCCTGAATTTGATTTTATATCAGAAATTAGCTGTCCAATGAAATTGTCTAAATGGGCACAAAAGATGTGCTTGATCTCATTACTTGGGTCATATTTTTGTACTTGGCATAAAATTATAGGAATTGTATCATTTTTCAATATTCCTGCTGGAAAAGAGTAAGACTTGTTGCTTAGGCCTGATTTTGTGCGGTGTAAAAGCTCTTTGAACAAATCGTAGCATTTGGTGTATAAAGTTTTTAATTCATCGATAAATTCCTCTTTGGCTTGCTGAATTTCTGACAAACTAAGTGGGTTTTCACCTAGAAATGAGCTGAAATCAGCTGAGATTTCATGTGAGCTGATAATTATTTCTTTCACTTTAGTGACTGTCCTGATTTTTGACTTTTTACCCATTTTATAAATGGATGCTTTATTTTGTAGTTTCTCTTATTTGAAATTGAGGATAAATTGAAAAGTATATTTATATTGCATAATGATATAAAATAAATCTTAAGGGTTTTTAAAGCCAAAAATTTTTTTTTTTTTTAAAAATTTTCTCATAAGTTAAGTTCAAGGATAAATTTCATGAGGTTTCACAAACTTTAATTGCTTATTATTCAGAAAACATTTTCTATATAGACTAAGATAGTTAAAATTAGCCATTTTTATGAATAGTGAAATTTGAATTTTGAGTCAAATTTAAATAAAATATAGGCAATGCCTTTGAGTAGCGCACTAAGCGCCCGAGACTTCCTGACGAAGTCTGGGCGGTGGTTTGACCAGCTGATGTTGGTCAAACCAACATCCAAAATGACAAATTCTTCTCATATAGAAGATTTATCAAATTGGATGCTGGTTTGACCAACATCAGCTGGTCAAACCACCACCCAGACTTCGTCGGGAAGTCTCGGGCGCTTAGCGCGCTACTCAAAGACATTGCCTATATTTAATTGCGGAATTATTGCATCAAATTTTTACTGAAAAAATAAAAGATTTTATAAGCTTTAATTTTATAGTATTATCTATCAAAAACTTTTAAGTTTATTTTTAAAAATTAAAGTTCAGATTAAATCTACTATATTGTTATATGAAATTTATTACGAATTTATTAGCGATTAGGCATTTCCCACACATGTTCTAGGGTTTTTTAAAAATATTTTCTGAAAAATAAATAAAATTAGTTAAAAATTCCAAAAACATCTGAATTCACAAACGATATTAATAAATGCTGGCAGGCTGAGACCAAAAGAAATCAATGAAAGATTAACCTTTTCTTACAAAGTTTATTTTTTTTATTATTTCTCAGTTTCTGTCAAGAAAAATCCAAAAAATAAATTTCTATTATGGCCAAATTTATTCTAGAATACCATTAATGGAAAGATATTTACTCTATATCTCCATAAAAGGTTAAATATTTTTTAGTTTATGATTAATATTAAAAACCTAAAAAATATTTTAGACAGTTTGCGTTCTATAATAATTATTGAAAAAACAAATTCACATAGAAAACAAACATATTTTTATTATGAAGAAAGGAGTTAGCACTATAATAATATATAAATGGATCCAATTATGAAAAGCGAACTTTACAGCATGTTTCTATGGCCCTTTGACAGCGAAATTCCTTACCTTCCTCACATTAATGCTTTTGGGGACGATACCTATGCGAAGTCAAAGCCATCTTTCACCCCCAAAATATTTAATTGCACAAGTGTTCAGTGTTGTCAGCAGAAAAACACAAAAACCACTGGAGATATCAGAAGTATCATATGTGAGCTTTGTGGGAGATCATTTATAATTTTTAAAACTGAATATGCTTTTAATATAATTCTATCTAACCAAAAAAGACTATTATATTTCTGTATAAATTAAAACTATTCAATTTAGTAGTGTCTAAAAACTATAAAGGTTTAAAGCAACACTCAGGAAAACTGCACAGTAAAAATGACAAAATTTATCATTGCTCAATTTGTGAAAAAAAATTCAACAACAAGTTTGTTGCCAAATACCACACCGAGCAAGTTCACCAAGACAAGAAAAAGGTTATGTGTCCTCTCTGCAAATTGGTTTTCTATAACAAATACGTTTTAGAAAAACATGACAAGCTAATGCATGCATCAAACCTATCAGACACAATGGATATTGAAAAACATTAAGTGTTTTATTACATTAAATTATCGCGATTAAATAACTAAAAATTTGCTTAGATAAGTTATATTCGGAGTTTCCATTTGAAATTAGACAAATCAGTGTTGACAGCTTAGGTAAATATGGCTTCGTTTTTGTTCAAATTTTGCATCAAATCTCTAAGGAAGCACCTCATGGACTTAGTTTCTAATTGTAGAGAATTAGCAATCGGCTTATGAGATAAAAATACATATCAGAACTTTCAAGTTCCCAAATTCGCAACCATCTTAAAAAAAAAAACAAAAGACTTTGACTTTTTAATTGGTTAAATTCACTTTCAAAAGAAAAGAATTCTATGGTGTGATTATTAAGCAAATGTACTTTCAAATTTAGTCTCGAAAAACTTTCGTTAATTATTTTTTTCTATCGTGAATTTCTGGATTTTTTATCATTTAATTCTGGAATTTAAATTAAGTTAATTTGTAAGAGACTTATTTTTAATTTTTTTGGTTTATAGATTAGAATTTTGCATGATGGAGAGGAAACTGATTTTTGGATAAAAATATTATTAGATATGTAACTCTTGATAGAAAAATGGCTAAAAATTTCGGTCCTTTGTATTTTACTAAAACTCACTTCTAAGTGTTATTATAACTTGACATTGGAGCAATATCATATGTGGTTAAAATTCATTTTCTGACGAAAACCTTTATAACCATAAAATTTTTTGATTATTTTCTCTTGTAACGATTATCATAATTATTTATTTTTTGGAATTATTTGTGTTTATGATATAAATTACAATTTTAAGATTATATGCTGATTATTAAAAGAATGGATAACCTAGTATGATTTATATTATATTGTTTTATTAATCTCTTTCAAAAAAGCATTCTAATTTCCAATTAGATTTGTTTAAATTAAATAAAATCAATAGGGTTTACTTTTTATTAAAAGCACTCCAGCTATTAAAATGCATATCTTTTACAAAATATAAAGCAAACTTGCACTTCTTGGTGAAGGGTAATTTTTTGTATGACTTTAGGTAATTAATTAAGTATTAAATATTTATATACCTTTATAAAATTATAAAGATAGTCATTATGGCAAAGTCCTTATTTTACTTTGTTTCAAAATATTGGCACTTTTCTGGTGTAAATATTTTATTTAATGAATATTTACAAATGAATATGGATTTCGCTAATATAATACCATAATTTTTATCATCCTGTAAATTATTCAAAAAATAAGTCATTTATTGAGCTTGAGGAAAATTTCCGCATCTAGAGAAATGCAATTATATTTTATCCGCAGTTTCATTAATTTTTAAAGATTTAACTTTAATCTATTTTAAGAATTTTTAATCCAATTTTTGAAATACAGATACCTGAGGAAACTTAAATAAATTTACATCAATAATGAATATTGAAGAACTTGAAGGATATATGAATAAAATTATTGAAATACAAAACAAACGAGAAAATGAGTCTCACAAAAAACGAAAAAATATTAGAATGCAGCTATTAAAGCACGTTAAATCAGCCCAAGATATTTCAATTATCCAAAATAATTCTCAAGAAATAACTAAAATTGGGAAAAAGAAGTTCAGTCGATACATAGAAGAACCAACTGAATCCAGCGAATTTTCTCAAATTTTAAATGTCTACAATGAAAATCATGAGGCAAAGGTGAATTCCTACACCCTTTCTCAAGCAGATGAGCCGATGTCTCCATCTAAAAAGTAGAATTTACTTACTGCCCCCTCCATGAGCGAACAAAACCATTGGAAAAATTTCTATTTTTTGTCCAAAACCCACCCTCTGTAAGCGAACAAAAATTGTTTTAATATTATGAAAACTTTTGATATATAGTGATAGCTATAATGAAATCTATAGCTAATTCTGTTTAATTTTAAACAAATTGCGTTTAGAACATAAATTTTACAAATTAAATAAATTTTGCTTTTCAATTGGGAGTTTTTTAAATTTCGATAATAAAAAATTTACTATAAAAATTTGTATAATCTTTTGGCTTAATTTCTGATCGGTTCCCACGAGCCAAAAATGTGTTTCCACGTGGAATTTCTGGATTTCCACGTGTGAAATCCATCTTTGGCTCGTGGGAGCCGATCAGAAATTTAAGCAACTATTATATATTAATTTTTAAAAAAAATTAACCTCTCTCCATGAGCGAATAAAGTTTTTTGCTCGCTCTGGAGGGGGTTGAGTTAGGAATCATGGAGGAAATTCACATGTAATAAAGTCAATTTTATTCTCTCCATACAAAATTTAAAAAAAAAAATACTTATTCTTAATATTTATTTTCTACAAAATATATTATTCTCCTTCACAAAAATACCTGTTATTTTCTCCAAAAAATATATCAAGCATTTGCTTACCTGGAGAATCAAATACTTCCAAACGAGAAGAATTGTGGCAAAAAATTGAAGAAGTCAGCTGAACCAACTGATTCATCGTTGTCTTCAAAGAGACTAATGAAAATGGATTTGCAGTATATGGAAGAAAACCTGGAGTACTTAACTTAATTGCAGGAGGGTTAAATATGCCTAAAAAAATTCCAATTAAAAGAATAGAGACTAGCTATGTATATGATCTCAGCATGCGAAAATTTAAATGGAGCAAGTATTGCTGGGACGTTGATGCCGTTGTTATATAAAAGTTTGACATAATTCTTTAATTTTTTAAATGCATAATTATTTTTTATTTTCCTATCAGAGGTATTATGCAGTGTGTTAAATAAGACTCATAAGGGCTTCCTTTTGCTGCCTTTTTCACCTCTTTTCGATCTGCATCTAACAAAGCTAGTGCTAAATCGGCGAATTTTAAATACCAATGTAAAATCTGTTTTTCGCCTTGTCTCATTAGCACGCAGTTTCTTTGGTTTTCAGTTAGATCAGTCCTTTCTAAAATTTGACCGTCTTCTTCTATATAAATTTTATATAAATTAGAATTTATTAATATAATTTTGAAAAAAATATATATCTTACTCCCCCCCCATCCTTTCCTTGATCGAACGATTGACTGTAAAAATTCCTAAAAATTGGGGAAATTAACCCCCATCCTTGATCGAACGATTTTCATATCATACAACTTTTATATATATAAAAATATATTAGTTATCAAAAGCTTGTGAAGATGCACCTAATGAAGTTGTTTTCAGGGACTTTGAGACGACAAAAAGCTTCGAAATCAACTATCCGAAGTGATTTAGTCATCAATCTAGGCTTAAAAAAATTAATAATCTAATAAAATAGAGATCTTTAAAATTTTTAAAAAAAAAATTTAATTTAATAAGGAACAAATTTAAATTTATACAGTTTAAAGGGGTAACTAATAAATCAAAATATTAAAAATTGGTATTTTTATGAAATGAATTAAATTTTTTGCTGTAAAAATAATTATTAAATGCCCTTAACCCTCTTATTTAAAAGTAAATAAAAAAATATATATATATTTTTTATTTTATATATAAAAATTTTTTTTAACCCCCATCCTTGATCGAACGATGGCGAGTCGTTCGATCAAGGATGGGGGGGGAGTCAGACAAATGATTATTTTTTTAATATTTTAATTAGAAAAAAAATAAATTTATTAGGATGATAATAGGGTATTTTATGCATCTAAGGGTTAAATTTACAATAAAGATGATTAAAGTTTCTGGATATAAAGCTATACCATTTTCTGAAAGCTTTTTAACATGCTGCAGAACTCTTTTTTCATTTGCCAAAGAAATTGGCTTAACTTTGCTAGGTTTGAAGCCTGGCTGATCCTCTTCTTGGCACTCTTCCATTATTCTTGGCAAAATTGAAATATCATTCAGCTCCAAAAACCTTAAAAATCCCAGAAATTCGTTAAAAACGTTTTCTTTCTCATCAGCTTGGACTCTAAAAGTTTGTGATGAATTTCCATCAATTAGGCTTCTTTTTGTCATTAAATTAGGGTCTTCTTCTCTTAATTTGCATTTAAATGGATATTCATTGGCATCATTATTTCTCACAATAAAGCCATAATTTAATATTCTTTCTTATTTTAATTTCATATTTTTAAAGCGAAAATATGAATTTAATAATAAATTTATCATAAAACAGAATAAAAATCTTGAGTTGCATTTTTTACCATAACTGTCTAATACTTCAATTCCTCTTTCAATATCTTCCATAGCTTCAATAATAAAACCATTTTTTGATTCTTCATAAGACCATGTAGTTTGTCGAGGTCTTCTATGATTTAACATATCAGCAAGAGGGACAAAACCATCAGTTTTATTTCCATCTATTTGCATTCCAAAAATTCTGGAGCTTACACCCATTCTGATTTTAGAAAATTCAAAAAGAGGGAAGTTTGCAAATTCTGGGACAGCGTCTACAATAAATTTTTTTAAAAATCTTTTTTTATATAAAAATAATAAAATATACAATATTAAGGTAAAATTTACCTATATAATCCTATAAAAATACTTAATTTATGCTAAACTATCACAAAATTTATAGCTGATCTACCTCAATAAGGCATAATTTTTTATTTTTAGTCTACAATACAATTATAATCCTCCTCAATGTCTTGTATTTTTTCATTTACCTGATCCAAAAATGGAGATCCAGTCAGCCACTCTTTATCTTCATCTGTATAAAATATTGGAAAATTAGAATAGCTCTCAGGCAAAATATCTAAATAAGGCTTCCACCAGCTTTCCTCTTTTGCTTTTTCCTGCAATATAAATGAAGATAAAAATGAGTGCTTAGGAGACAATAAATTTAAATTCGCCGCAACCATTTTTTGGCCAATTGGAGTTGCTTTTGCCATTTCCAATGTAATTATATGAGATCTTGGGATAACCACTATGCATTCATTTTTAGCTATAAAAGTTGTACTGTGGACTCCTCTATAGTCTTTTGAATAAAACCTCAGCTTTATTTTTGGAAATTTCGCTCCTCCTTCAATCAGCCAATTAAACAGGTTTTCAAACTTTTTCCTTTCTGGGTGGTCCAAAGGAAGTGCAGTCTCAATCTCCATATCAGCTTCAATTTCTTTTTTTAATGCTAATAGTTCTGTAAACTCAGGGTTAATTGCAAGCCCACGATGTACATAATCAATTGCTTCTTGGAATCTGCTTAATTCCCTGTGAGCAACTGCCATACGGTAGTAGCCTTTGATTCAGTTAGGGTCAGTTTCTATAGCTTTGGCTGAATCTGTGATTGCGTCTTCATAGCGGCGAAGCTCTATATAAGCTGATGCTCGATTAGTTAGAAGTATAACATGAGCTGGGTCTAATTCGAGGCCTTTTGTGTATAATTCAAGAGCCCTCGAAAAATCGTGCATGTTGAAAGCAGAGTTACCTTTTTCTTTGAAGGATTCTGGAGTATCTCGCTTCTTTTTGCTCTTGCCACCCATTTTTAGAGGTTTATTAGAAGAAAATAAGGTCAGTTATAGAAGTCTAAGAGAAAGCAAAATTTTTAGAAATTTATTCTTGAAAAATTTGATATTAAGTTACGCTTTCTAAAATATAAAGCATTTTTCTTTCTCTTTTTCGACCTTAGGTTTTTTACCAGAAACTTTAGAGCTTCCCAGGCTTCTCACACTCCTCGTTATCGCCGTCCTCTTAAGAACTACTTCTCCCTCATTTATAGGCAAGTTACTCATATTCCTAGCAGTATTTTTCATAACATTATCCACGCACGGTGCTTTCGCAGGCGTGCTCTTATAGGTCGGCTTCTGACTCTGAATTTTTTGTGTTTCTTCCTTCATAGCCATTCCAGTCCCAAACACCGAAATTGCTATGCTATTTTCCCATAATTTTCCTCATCTCAGATTAACTATTTTCCTATTAAAAATCCTCAAAAAAATGAGTATAACTTTTTAGTTTGCATATAATTGCACAAGAAATCGTCTACGAGGACACTAGTAAATTGTTCCTTATAGTTAAAATTAGGGTGTTCTGAATAGCCAGGAAACACATTAGTTCTACGTATCCCAAGGCCTGGGAAGTGGTACTCACAATACACGTTATTTGCGTGGGATAAAGGAATATTCCAAGCCTCATGGATTTCGACACGGAAATTTATGAGGGATCCAATAAGTTCTTCAGGGTTTTCTGGGCCTTCATCTAGCATGCTGCCATCTTCGTCTGTAGGGACAATGTTCATTTTAAGAAGTCCTGCGTCTCCTCCGCTTGTACTAATTATAAGAATGTTAAAAGGGTTATCAAATAACAGCCCAAGGGGTTTTAAAGAATAATAGCCTTTTCCAAGTATATTTTCTTCTGGAGGATCCCATAGTGGATCTTCTTCAGGTGAAGGGTCAGTTTGCTCGTCTAGCATTTCTCTGAGCATGCAAAGCCTATCTTCGAATTTTTCTACATCCCATAGCCAAATTAAGCCGTAATCTTGGTTTTGTAAAACCAATTAAAATGTTTTTCATCTATTTGGATTATTTTAATAAAAAATCTACAATTTAGCCATTATATTTTAATTAAGTATACTTCGACTTTAAGTTCTTTTTCCCAATAATCAGGCTCCAAATCTTCTTCTTTTTCGACCTCATCAGGAAGAAGATTGATGATTTTTACATTGAATTTTACATGTCGGCTTAAATCTGTCGCTATTAAATTGGCTTCGTTTACAAGTGGGAAAAGTTTGGCAAACCGGGATCGAAGCTGGCGTTTTTTACTGTTTGGCTCAAGCTCTGGAGGGACTTCAAGGGCTGAAGCATGCTCTTGTGGAGGCTCAGCTGAATTTTCATGGTTTTCAGGGTGGGCTTCTGGCTCAGTTACACTGCGCTTTTTAGACTCTTCATGAGGAATTGAAGCAGTATTTATTAGGATTGGGGATGGAGGCCGTGGAGGCAGTTTTGATATTTCTTTTTCCAGCTCTAATTGTTGAGATTCGTTTTTTTCCTCAATTGCAAATTCATAGTCAATATCATTTTCTTTGTATTTTGAGTCTTCTCCAGGTCTTTTGAATAAGTAAATTTGATTTGTCCCTATAATGATTCTGTCCAGGTGCTTAAGAATAACTTTTTCATAAACTTTTTGACCGTTTACATATAAAAATTCACTACAAGAGGGTTCTATAGGTTCCGACGTGATATTTTCATTTTCATCTTTATTAAAAATACAATGCCTCGGTCTAACACTAAAATTCGCAATAATTATATCTGGCTTAGGGTTTTTATATATATTTTAAAATAGCATTTTCGCCAACCCGCTCTGTTGGCACAGGGGCTGGGGTAGCCCAGTAACCTCGTAGAAGGGAACGTAGAGTTCGATAATGCGTATTAGCCAGGTGTTGCATGGTTTTGTGGAGCATAAACGTCAGATTAGGATGCCTGCAGTACATTCAGGACAGGTTATCTCCGAGGAAGATGGGACTTTAATAGGAAAGAGAGAACCAGTGAGGTTGCTTCTTATCATTCGAGCCTTTTTCTCAGCTCGATACCAGGTATTAAGTTTTGGGCTACGAGTTTCCATGTTGGTCGATAGTGACCAGAAAATTTGTTTTTCTGGAAACTGAATCATACTGACACAAAGTATGGCGAACTAGCGCTTCTAACTCACGGATAACGAATGCAAACCCCTCGTACGTGAGGAGCAATGCAATAAGAGGCTGGTAAGCAAGCGGGGGAGCTGCACAGAGGTGAATATGGTCCGCTAGTAGATCTGCAGGGAGCTTCTCTTACAATCTTAGTTAAGTTTTAAGTTTAAGGCTTTGGGTTTCCAATTTTCCTACCCACAACCAATGGTACATTATCAAAATTATATACAATTTTTCCAGAAAGCAAATAATCTTCACTAATATTGGTAATATGAGGCCCAGACCTGTCAATTTCTGGCTCAAATTCTTCTTGAATAGCTTCTCTTTGCTGCTGCAGGCTCATACTTTGCGCAGATAAAAATTTCTCATTTGCTTCTAGCATTTCTCTAAGCTCCCTTAATCTTTTAATACCTCTTGCTTTTTCAATTAAAGATTTTAACTCTTCGTTTTCTTTACTAAGTTCTCTAATGATTTTATCTTCTGGAGACGCATTAACAACTGCATGATTTTTTATATTTTTTATAAAAATAGGCTAATTTCTATTAATAACAATTCTTATTTTCTATAAAAAATAATTGTTTATCTTTTCAATAATGTGGATATTTCTTGCAAAAAAATTATTGTTTTAACTTTAGCAGCATATGTAAGTGTAGATAGTGTTTCTTCATAATTTACAGCAGCAGGTGAAAGTGCACAAACCATGACAGTTTTACTGTTTCCTCCCAAAGCATTTTGCAGGATTCTTGTGAGTGCTGAATCTCTGTATGGGATCACAATATCATTTTTATTGTCTTTTCCTGACAATTTTTCAGCTAAAGCTTCAATAACTGACCCTAATACGATCAAAGATTTATTAATAGCGCATTTTTTTTTAAGTCTTTCTCTAGTAGCTCCTGTTTGGTTAGCATTTTCACTGCCCGCTAAATCAACCAGATTAATAACAGAAATTTTTCCTGTTTTTGTGTCATTATTTATCATAATTTGCTTAAACTCTATAGTAAAAATTGTATGAGCTCGGCTGCTTGTAGCATTCATCTGTGTTGACCCAATTGACCTATTTGTGTTTCCTTTTTCAATCAATTTTTCAATTTCCGCATATGAGCTGACAGGGTGTTTTGATAAATTTTCGACAAAAACCCCATAACTTTGCTTTCTCTGATTTTAAGGCCTCCTTGCGGTCTTTGGTTTATAGGGATTAACAAATCCTGTACTTTTTCATTGTAAATTTCAAGGATACTCACCATAACTTCAAACATTAAATTCGGGTTCGGATTTTTATTAATTCTGATAAAGATTTCTTCTGAACACAATGGGATAATGCCTTTATTAGCTCCATATCCTACCATCGAATAGGATTTTCCTGAGCCAGTTTGTCCATATGCAAAAAGGCAACAATTGTAACCTTCCCAAGCGTTGTTTAAAACTTGTTCTCCAAGCTTATGGTACACTATTTCCTGGTCTGCATATTGATCGTCAGCTCTGAGCAGGTAGCCATCTTCTCTTTCTGCGAAGCCATCGTGAGATCAAAATAAATAATCAAATCAATATTTTCTAGTATTGCCAGTTTTTGGGTCAGTAATTATAGTGGCTCGACCATCCATTTTGATACAAAGCTGAGCGCCTAAGTCCTTTTCTCTAGTGTTAAAAGGACGTACCCTGACAGCAACTTTTATATTCATATTCGTCATAAGTAAAAATTTTTCATATAAATTCGATTGAGATTCTACATTTTTTTGTTGAAGCAATTACAGGATTTTAATATAAAAATTTCATTGGAAGTCCTTAAAATCCTAAATTTAATTAAAATGTGATGTAATATACTTAAGTTGTTTTAAAATTCAACATTAAATGATTTTTAAATTAATTTTAATTTCCCAGTAAGATTTTGCTGCATTAAATTTCAATCTTAGCCTCGAAAGATACTCATCCATGTGAGCTAATATACTGAAGTGGGATTTATAAGCTTGGAATTTAGAAGATATATTTGCTAAATAGTCTTGGCTAAAAACCTCAATTCTTTCAAAATGCTGATCTTCATTGAAAAACTTTTTCCTTGTAAAAATCTGCCGACTTTGTCTAAAACTTCTCACTTGCTGTCAAAAACTTCAAGAATTTTTGCAATTGCATCTGGGTCGTAACCTGCAAAGTAATCGGTATAAAAATATCTCTATGGACTTCATAAATCATATTGATATAATTTTGCTTAATTATTGTATTTTCAAGATAAGCTGGGTTGTATTTTAAAGCTATATAAACAAAAATTGCGTAACTTTCAGTTAGCTTTATGTCCTCTTCAGTAAAATAAGGAAGATTTGGAAATTCAAAGCCAAGATGATATTTATCTTTGGAAATCTAAGCTCCGAGAGAAAGAATTTTTTTAAAAAAATTATTCTTGAAACATTTGATATTAAGTTACGCTTTCTAAAATATAAAGCATTTTTCTTTATCTTTCCCACCCTTAGCGTTTTTCCCAGATCCTTTAGAGCTTTCCTTACTACTCACACTCCCAGTTGTCGCAGTCCTCTGAAGACCCACTTCTCCCTCATTTTGACGCAAGTTGCTCGTATTCCCAACAGTCACCGCTCTTTGTATCCTATTTTCCATGACATTTTCCACACATGGTGCTTGTGCAGGGGCGCTCTCATAGGTCGGCTTCTGATTTTGATTTTTTTGTGTTTCTACCTTCATAGCCATTCCAGTCCCGAACACCGAAATTGCTAATTTTTTGGTTTGCATATAATTGCACAAGAAATCGTCTACGAGGACACTAGTAAATTGTTCCTTATAGTTAAAATTAGGGTGTTCTGAATAGCCAGGAAACACATTAGTTCTACGTATCCCAAGGCCTGGGAAGTGGTACTCACAATACACGTTATTTGCGTGGGATAAAGGAATATTCCAAGCCTCATGGATTTCGACACGGAAATTTATGAGGGATCCAATAAGTTCTTCAGGGGTTTCTGGGCCTTCGTCTAGCATGTTGCCGTCTTCGTCTGTAGGGACAATGTTCATTTTAAGAAGTCCTGCGTCTCCTCCGCTTGTACTAATTATAAGAATGTTAAAAGGGTTATCAAATAGCAACCCAAGGGGTTTTAAAGAATAATAGCCTTTTCCAAGTATATTTTCTTCTGGAGGATCCCATAGTGGATCTTCTTCAGGAGACGGATCAGTTTGTTCGTCTAGCATTTCTCTGAGCATACAAAGCCTGTCTTCGAATTTTTCTACATCCCATAGCCAAATCAAGCCATAATCTTGGTTTTGTACTTCGACTTTAAGTTCTTTTTCCCAATAATCAGGCTCCAAATCTTCTTCTTTTTCGACCTCATCAGGAAGAAGATTGATGATTTTTACATTGAATTTTACATGTCGGCTTAAATCTGTCGCTATTAAATTGGCTTCGTTTACAAGTGGGAAAAGTTTGGCAAGCCTGGAATGAAGCTGGCGTTTTTTACTGATTGGCTCAGGTTCTGGAGGGACTTCAAGGGCTAAAGCAGGCTCTTGTGGAGGCTCAGCTGAATTTTCATGGTTTTCAGGGTGGGTTTCTGGCTCAGTCACAATGTCATTTTTAGGCTCTTCATGAGGAATTGAAGCAGTTTTTGTTAGAATTGGGGTTGGAGGCTGTGGAGGCAGCTGTGGTATTTCTTTTTCCAGCTCTAATTGTTGGGCTTCGTTTTTCTCCTCCATTGCGAATTCGTAGTCAATATCATTTTCTTTGTATTTTGAGTCTTCTCCAGGTCTTTTGAATAAGTAAATTTGATTTGTCCCTATGATGATTCTGTCCAGGTGCTTAAGAATAACTTTTTCATAAACTTTTTGACCGTTTACATATAAAAATTCACTGCAAGAGGGTTCTATAGGCTCCAACGTGATATTTTCATTTTCATCTTTATTAAAAGTACAATGCCTCGGCCTAACACTAGAATTCGCAATAATTATATCTGGCTTAGGGTTTCCAGTTTTCCTACCCACAACCAATGGTACATTATCAAAATTATATACAACTTTTCCAGAGAGCAAATGATCTTCATTAAGATTCGTAATATGAGGCCCAGATCTGTCAATTTCTGGCTCAAAGTCTTCTTGAATAGCTTCTCTTTGCTGCTGCCAGCTCATGCTTTGTGCAGTTGAAAATTTCTCATTTGCTTCTAGCATTTCTCTAAGCTCCCTTAATCTTTCAATTCCTCCTGCTTCTTCAATTAAAGATTTTAACTCTTCATTTTCTTTACTCCCCCCTCCATGAGCGAACAAAACTGTTTGAAAAATCACTATTTTCTACCCAAAAACCCACCATGCGTGAGCGAACAAAAAATTATATTATACAATAAAATTTATATATAAATATTTTTAAAAAAAAAAATTAACTCCTTTTCGAACAAAATTCTTTAGTCCTCAAGGAGGGGAGGGGAGTTAGTAAGTTCTCTGATGATTTTTTCTTCTGGAGACTCATTAACAACTGCATGATTTTTTTATATTTTTCTATAAAAATAGGCTAATTTCTATTAATATCAATTCTTATTTTTCTATGAAAAGTAATGCTTTATGTTTTAAATAATGAGGATATTTCTTGCTAAAAAAATATTTTTTTTGCTCTATCAGCGTACCTAAGAGTGGACAGTGTTTCTTCATAATTTACAGTGGCAGGTGAAAGTGCGCAAACCATGACAGTTTTACTGTTCCCTCCCAAGGCATTTTGCAAAATTCTTGTGAGTGCTGAATCTCTGTACGGGATCACAATACCTTTTTTATTGTCTTTTCCGGACGATTTTTCGGCTAAAGCTTCAATAACTGACCCTAATACGACCAAAGATTTATTAATAGCGCAGCCTTCTTTAAGCCTTTCTCCAGTAGCTCCTGTTTGGCCAGCTTTTTCGCTGCCTGCTAAATCAACCAGATTAATAACAGAAACTTTTCCTGTTTTTGTGTCATTATTAATCAGAATTTGCTTAAACTCTATAGTAAAAATTGTATGAGCTCGGCTGCTTGTAGCATTCATCTGTGTTGATCCAATTGACCTATTTGTGTTTCCTTTTTCCATCAATTTTTCAATTTCCGCATATGAGCTGACAGGGTGTTTTGATAAATTTTCGACAAAAACCCCAGTGACTTTGCTTTCTCTGATTTTGAGGCCTCCTTGTGGTCTTTGGTTTACAGGGATTAGCAAATCCTGTATCCTTATATATTTTAATTATAAAAAAATTCTTTCTATTATTTTTCATTTTTTTTTCAAAATAAATCATGATACTTTTTCATTATAAATTTCAAGCATACTTACCATAACTTCAAACATCAAATTCGGGTTCGGATTTTGGTTAATTCTGATAAAGATTTCTTCTGAACTCACTGGGATGATGCCTTTATTAGCTCCATATCCTACCATAGAATAGGATTTTCCTGAGCCAGTTTGTCCATATGCAAAAAGGCAACAATTGTAACCTTCCCAAGCGTTGTTTAAAACTTGTTCTCCAAGCTCATGGTACACTATTTGTTGGTCTGCATATCGGTCGTCAGCTCTGAGCAGGTAGCCATCTTCTCTTTCTGTGAAGCCATCGTGGGACCAAAAGGAATAATCAAATGAAAAATCTCTAGGATTGCCAGTTTTTGGGTCAGTAATTATAGTGGTTTGACCATCCATTTTGATACAAAGCTGAGCGCCTAACTCATTGATTTTAATTTTTTATTTTTGAAAAAATAATTATTTTTTCATTTATTGATAATTTAATAAATTTTATTTATAGGATAAGTCCTTTTCTCTAGTATTGAAAGGCCGCACCCTGACAGCAACTTTTACACTCATATTTATTATAAGTAAAACTTTTCTATTCTTAATTCTGTTGAATTTCTAAAATTGCTTTTTGAAGCAATTACAGGATTTTGATATAAAAATTGTATTAGAGGCCCTTAAAGATCATTATTTTAATTAAATTGTGCTGTAATATACTTAAAATTGCTTTAAAATCCAATATGAAGTGATTTTGAAATTAATTTTAATTTCCCCAGTAAGCTTTTGTTGCATTAAATTTCAATCTTGGCATTGAAAGATAGTCATCCATGTGAGCTAATTCTCTGAAGTGGGATTTATAAGCTTGGAAGTTAGGAGATATATTTGCTAAATAGTCTTGGCTAAAAGCCTCAATTCTTTCAAAAAGCTCATGTGCGTAAAAATCTACAAAGGTTGGCTGATTTCCATTGAAAAATCTTTTTCCTTCTAAATATCTACCGACTTTGTCTAAAACTTCTCTCTTGCTGTCAAGAGCTTCAAGAATTTTTGCAATTGCATCTGGGTCATAAGCTGCAACAGTAATCGGTATAAAAATATCTCTAACCCCCCATAAAAAAATTTATAAATGATAATTATATAAAATTTTATAAATAAAAAAATTATATTATTTATTGGGTCTATTAAGGACTCCATAAATCATATTGACATAAGCTTGCTCAATTATAGTATTTCCAAGATAAGCTGAGTTGTATTTTAAAGCTATATACACAAAAATTGCATAGCTTTCAGTCAGCTTTATATCATCATCAATAAAATAAGGAAGATTTGGAAATTCAAAGCCAAGCTGATATTTATCTTTGGCAATCCAATCATCTCCTATCAAATACTGCTTATCTTCAAAATCAACCTCTAGATGATAAAGCATCATTCTTATAGACTCGCCTAAACTTCTGACACTTCAATATCCAAAAATCGGTTTTTGCATTTTTATTTATTAAATAATCCAATTTTCTCTTCCAAAAGTTAATAAAACTTCCTTACTCCCCCCCATCCTTGATCGAACGATTGACTGTAAAAATTCCTAAAAATTGGGGAAATTAACCCCCATCCTTGATCAAACGATTTTCATATGAAGCAACTTTTATATATATATAAAAATATATTAGTTATCAAAAGCTTGGGAAGATGTACCTAATGAAGTTGTTTTCAGACAGAAAGCTGCGGAATCAACCATCCGAAGTGATTAGCCATCAACCTAGGCTTAAAAACTCAATAATCTAAAAAATAGAACAAATTAAAATTTATACAGTTTAAAAGGGTAACTAATAAACCAAAATATTAAAAATTGGTATTTTATGAAATTAATTCAATTTTTTGCTGTAAAAATAATTATTAAATACTTTTAACCCTCTTCTTTTAAAAGCAAATAAAAAAAATACATATATATATATTTTTTATTTTATATATAAATTTTTTTTCCAAAAAATTTTTTTTAACCCCCATCCTTGATCGAACGATGGCGAGTCGTTCGATCAAGGATGGGGGGAGTTAGTTTATTTTATATTCTATCTCATAAAAAGAGAAGTTACTTTTCAATGCATAAAAGCAATAGTAAATATGGAAGATATTGAAGAAACCATCGAGCGCCGAAGACTTGATATTGAAAAAGAATGCCAGTCTAAAAAGATTGATCTCACCGCAATGGGTTTAGATGATTTAGATGCCCTTACTGTTGCAATTAGCATATTTAAAAGAAGTGATGAGATTGAAACTATTTATTTAGGCTCAAATTCTATAGGAGATGAAGGCCTGGATGCAATTGCAAATTCTCTTTCTAAGCATCCAGAGCTGAAACATCTGTATCTAGGAAGCAATTTGTTTAGAGAGTCAGGACTCAATGCAATTGCCAATGTGATGCCTGATCTTATTAATTTGCAGACCTTAAGTTTAGGTGGGGCACAGATTGATGATAATCTCTGTACAAGTTTGGCGAGTTCTTTAATGGCGATGGAGTCATGCTCTCTTCGTTATCTTTTTCTATTATTTTTTATTGAAAATTAATTTTTTTAAAAAAATAAAAAATCTTGATTTTTATAGTAAATTTAAAAAATTTAAAAGAAATTATTCATTATAATTGGTAATAAATGGGAATAGGATTGGAGATGAAGGCTTATTATCTTTGATGTATATATTGATATAGAGTTGCCTTAACAAGCGAGAAATTCCATCTAGAGACTTTACATTTAGGAGACAATGAGTTTACTTCAAGCGGCTTAAAAATTTTGGCAGAGTTCATTGAAAATGATACTTCTTTGGTAAAATTGTTCTTAAATGATAACGATTTTGAAGGAGATGGCCTTGGAGATTTAAGTGAAGCATTGTGTGCGAATAGAAACTTAAAGTTTATAAGCCTAGCGAACTGCGGGATTACTGATGAAAATTTTAAGCCAATATTAGCTTGTTTAAGTGTCAATGAAACCTTGGAGTCATTACACATATGGAATAATTTGTTAACTCAAGAGTCTGCTGAACTTATTTTAGAAGTATTAAGAAGACATAATAACACCTTGACTGATTTACAAATATTCGGAAATCAAATAGAAGATTATGAAAGCTATAAAGAGGTAGATTGATAATTAGGAATTAAATGAAGCATTAGCGAAAAATCAAGCCTTGGTGAGAGGAGGGGAAATTGATGAAGAAGAGGAAAAAGAATTCGCAGAAATAATTGAAAGCCAATCTGAAGAAAGCCATCCAGTTTAAGGTAATAACAAATTAGAGTAGTAAATTTAATTAAATCAGATATAATTTATGTTTCTTGATTTTGATTTTGTGAATCCTTTAGATACAATATACCATCTTTCTCAATAAATTTAACGAACTTCTGAATTGCCGTTAAATATTCAATCATTCATTTTTTTTATCTGATGATATCATTATTTTCCTTACTCTCTCCCTCTCCGAAAAAGAACAAAAAAATTTTGTTAATCTTTTTAAAAAAATTATATAGAAAAAATTTTTTTTTCGAAATTTAAAAAAGTAAATATAATTTTATTTGTAAAATTTATGTTTTAAAATGTAAGCTAGAATTAGCTAGAGATTTCATTATAAATTATAACTTATATATATAAAAAATATTTTTTTATCAAAAATTTTTCTATTAAAAAAAATTTTTCTCTCATGGAAGAGTGTGCTTTTTAGGGAAAATAGGGATTTTTCCAGTATTTTTGTTCGTTCACAGAGGGGAGGAGTTAGAACTTCAAATTTTAGATACTAGCTTCAGGATTTGATAAAGTACTGAAAATTTCAATTAAAAATCAATATACCGCCTTTTCTCTATCTGTTTCTCGTCTTTATATATTTCAATTTATTTAAATCTCTCCATATTTAAAATGTTTATAAGTTTATCAATTATTATTAGTTCACATAAAGTATTTCAACAACCTCAGCTACGAGCTGCTCAAGCATCATATCAGCAAGATCCAGCTTTACTTGGGTTTCTTCGAATTCATAATCAACCCACTGTTGATCATTTTCCATGACTTCTAATGTCAACAGCCTAGCTAGCTTTTCTTCACGGATTTTTCGTAAAATTTCTTCTTCTGTGCTGACACTGGCGTTTAGGTCGAATTCTGGGATTGTGCCTGCTCGTATTTTGCTGCACTCCAATATATTGTCTCTGACTTGGCTAAATATTTCATATATATTTAATATATTCTTAACTAAACCGTATTTGTGCATTAATTCTAGTAAAATTATTCATAGTAAAATTAGCTGAGAAAAGCATATTTGAAGTACTTGGACTTCGGTTACTCCATGGCATAGGCACACCTTTTTCTCCATTTTTTCTGTATTGTTGCAAATTCTCATTAATGGCATCAAAAATCATTTTATTGTGTATAGATTCAGCTTCTGCAAGGGCATCAGGTTTTGCTTCTTTTTCTAATTTATCATAGAAGTTTGGCGATAAAACAGGATCTGCTGGAGGATCAGGGATTATGGCAGTCCCAATTTCATTTTCTTGCATCTTGGAAAGCTGATCTAAAGGATTTCTGCATATAGGTGTTAATAAGCTCTCTTGGGCTATTTCAGGGCTTTGCAATACAAAATTTAATAATTTTTCTGTATATGCTGGATTGGGTTATTATAGGAAATGAGTTTATTCTTTATAAAATGCTGGATTTTAATTAAAATAATATATTGCCTCACAGCATTTTCATCTGTATTTGATATCACTTTAGGGCTTTCCACAGAGATATCTATAATTGGCATTTCATATGGTCTGCAATGTCTTACTTCTTCTACAATTAAATCAAAAATAATGAAATCTGTTATTTTTACCAAGAAATCAGGAGAAATCAGCAGCTGCTTTATAGTTTCACTAACAATCTTAATCTTAATTAGCTGTGCTTCGTTTTCGTTTAACTTCAAACATGCATCACCTGGATAGGCTCCGCTCCTGCTTCCTGGTTCCTTATCACCACTTGTCTTTCACCGCCTGGTGTTAGTCTGGATAGTCCTTCGGCTTCAGGAGTTCGGATTTCGACAGTTGTCCTACCAGCTCGCGGGCAAAACTACTTTGCATCTGTCTGGACGCCTAGGTCCCAGTCGCCACCTCTAGGGTTGATGGGACACTTTCAGAGCCTTGGGCATATTATGTCATCATTGCCGGATAAATTCGCTAGGTGAAGCCAACCTCAGAATCAAAATTTGCCAAGAGGAGATTTCTGTTCGGTAATACAGAATATTCGAGTTCCGCAATTTTTGATTATTATAGCTTCATAAACAAATTCAGACAAAATCCCGTTATACATATTTTCCAGTGCATCAGAAATAAGCATTTCTTCACATTGAGCTGTGTCTCATATTTTTCATAATTTTTACCTAAAAATCCATATAAAATATTTCCCAAGCTTTCCTATTGAGCTTCATCAAATGGTCTTGCGATTTTTTCTTGGAATTTTTCCATATCAATTAAACATTCAAGGTCTGGGTTTTCTATTGACGGTTCTTCTGGGATATTACAATTCGAATTTTCAGGTGAGCTTCATTCCTGTATCAGAATTGCTGAATTTTTATTAATAGGAGAGCTGTTTTTTGAATGAGACTCATTATCGCTTAATAAATAAGGCGTTCCTCCTGGCTCTACTATTAAATTTGGCCTAGGGCTTGCTTCATATTCAATTAAGCTTGAACTGTCATTTTTTTCACTTGAGGATTCTTTGGAGTTTTCTGTGTTTAAATCTAAGCCTTCTTCAAAACTTTTAGAGATTTCTTGAGCATTTTTTTCAGCTGAGGACTGGATCTCAGCGTCTCCTTGGAAGGATTTGAACGATTGTGAGCTTTCTTCAGAAAATTCGCAAATAATTGGTTCTGAATCTATAGAGATGCTATATTTTTATATATAAATGTGCAAAAATTCATTTTTTTAAAAAATATAATAAAAATTATATATTTAAGAATATTCTCAAGCTCAGGGCTCAGGAATTTTTCGACTTGTAATGCATTAAATTCTGGGGAATCCCGTTCTTCTGCTATTACATTTTTTATTTCATGGAATATAGAATCAATAAACTTGGAATCCTGCCCAATTGGAGATTTATCAGGTATAGGAAATTGCAATGCTTTTATTTGCTCAATAAAGCTATTCGAAATATCAGCCGGCTTTTTACTTTGGCAAGGAGACAGCTCGTCGATATCAATTGATTTTTTTTCTTCTTTGTTTTCTTCAGTCTCATTATTTTCAATATCAAGCTCGCTTACCCTTACACTTTTGTTGCTAGCGGAATCAGAATAATTGTCCCATTCTTTTTCTTGGGAATTTATGACGTCTCCTAAAGCTTTTTCTAAAATTCCGCTATTTTTTTGCTCTATTAATTTGTCGGCTAACTGTTTTCGCTGCTCAAATGTTTTAATTAAAGATTCTTCATCAGCATTTTCTAAATCCCCCTCGGTGAGGAACAAAATCATTGGAAATTCCCCTATTTTTTAGGTAAAAACCCACCCTCCGTGAGCTGACAAGAAAAATTTTTTAATATCGCAATATTTTAGTGAAAATGTTTTGATATATAAGTGATCATTCTTATATTGAAATCTCTAGCTAATTCTGTTTATTTTAAGCAGCTCGCATTTTAAAAAAATAATTTTTATTATCTTTGCTTCCAATTATTACGAGTTAAGATTTTTTTAAATTTAAAAAAAATCATAGAAAAAACATTTTTATTCGCTTACATAGGGTAGTAAGTTATCAGAAAGTGCTGACTTAACTGCTTCTATATTTTCGTCAAAAATTTGGTTTATATGGGAGTATCGCCTTTCTATTATTTCTTGGAAAAATTTCATAGTTTCTTTATCATTTCCTACTTTTTTCGCAATTTTTTCTATATCTTGCATATCTTTTTCCTTAAGCTCTTTAAGTTTTTGTTTTTGATGTATTCTTCATTGCATTTGTGACTCTAAAATTTCCTGGATTTCCTTTTGTTTTTCTTTATTTATTCCATTTTTGATTCCTTCTTCTCTCAATCTCTCTAATTCATGTGAAGAAATCGCTGCAGGTACCGGTGAAAACTTCCGGAAATGAGAGTCTAGGTCAAGCCCTGCTGAATCTTCTCACTCTTTTTTTACAGGCACAGGGGATAGTCTCGCGAACTGAGATTCTGCATTTGATTCTTCCCATTTTTGTCCATTTGACAGTTTATTAAAAGTTCTAGGACTTATATGGTCTGATTCTTCTCAGCTGCTCCCATTTGTGAAGTTATCTGGTTTTCCTATTTTTCTCAATATTTTTTGTATACATTTCTGCATTATATAAACCTATTATTTAATAAAAATCCTATTTATAAGGCTTAAAATTTTGCATTATACTTCTTCATCTTCATCTTCAAACGAAACCTGCCCATCGCTCCCATACAGCCTTTTATAAAGCCACGTATCATCTGAGCTTTCCAAATTTTCAAAAAATCTCCTCAACGCTTCCCTTGTAAGCCACCCTCTTGTCCATGCCTGGATTCTTACTGCAGCCTGATTTTTTATTTCTTCTTCATTTGTGGAGTCTTTTGCAATTTCTCTGGCCCTGTCCACACGGTTTTTAAGCTCAGCTAATTTTTTGCGAATTTCGTCTTTTCGCCGAGAAAGGTCTGAAGACTGAAGTTCTTGGAGTTTTAGCTCTTCACTGACGTCTTCTGTGTAAGTGGGGGTGGTTTCTTTTACTTCTAAAATGGGCATTGTGACACTGCCGATAGGTAAAGTTGATTCTTGATGGACTCGACGTTCTACTATATCATTAACGAGCTGTGTAGCGTTTCCTCGTTCTTCGATAGCTTGAACGTCTGGATAATGCCCAAAAACTTGGCATTCTCGGCCTTCTCTGTTATAGCTGCTTGAGGTCTCTGGAGGCATTCCATACATGATCCCTTTGACTTCTTCGTCTTCTGGGTAGTTTGTGTCACTTTCTTCAACCCATGGCTTCACAGGCTTTTTCTTAACTCCCCCCCCCCCCTCCGTGAGCGAACAAAACCATTAGAAAAATCGCCATTTTTTGACCAAAAACCCACCCTCCGTGAGTGAACAAAAATTTTTTTAATAGAAAAAATTTTAATGGAAAAAAATTTTGATATATAAGTGATAATTAGTATAATGAAATCTAGAGCTAATTCTGTTTAATTTTAAACAAATTGCGTTTTAAAACATAAATTTTGCAAATTAAATTAATATTTGCTTCCCAATTTTTGCAAATTAGGATTTTTTTAAATTTCGAAAAAAATATTTTTTTATAAAATTTATATATAAATTTTTTTTAAAAAAAAAAAATTACCCCCCTCCGTGAGCGAACAAAATTTTTTTGTTCGCTCACGGAGGAGGGGGGGGGGGGGGGGGGGGAGTAAGGATTTTTTTTCGGACTTTTTCTTTTTTCTTCTCTTTTTGCTTTTTTTTCTTGAATTTGTTTAAATTTGATTTTATTTGGGATTCTAGGTGGTTTAATTGAGAAATTCGCTTGCTTTCTTCTTCGCGGATTTTTTCACTGTCAAGCTCTTTTTGGAGTTTTCTTAATTTTTTTTGGTATACTAGATAGGCTTTAATGTAAAATATTAATAATTTTTAGTGATTAGATTTTTTATAGAAAAATGGCTAAATAAATTATCAATAAGGTATACCTCATAAATTCGAGAATTTCTGGATTTGGTTGTTTAATTGATTTCTTTTCAAGCTGCTTTTCTTCATCTTTATGACTCCTTGACGTTTTTGCCCTTTCAGGAGATTTTCAATTAATATTATCCATCCCAATCCTCGCTTTTCCCATCTGTTTGTTTTTTTCCCTGCTTTCCCTCTGTTTTTTCCTCATTTCTTCTGCTTCTCTTCTCGTTTTTTCATCAGTTTCCCCCATGATTCTTCTTTCATCAGCTCCCCAAGGTACTTTCGGCTTAAACTCATTTTTTTTAAATCTCTGTTTATTTTCAAGCCTTGTTTGTTTATTCAGCTGTTCCAATTCTCTCTTATTTCTCTGCTGCTTTACCATCTCATCATATTTTCTTTTTTCTGCTAAATCTTTGCTAAGTTTTTGTTTTCTCAAAGTTTTGCTAATAATTTTCTCAATTGAGCCTTTTTGAGGGATTTCTTCAATAGCTGGCTTCTCTATTTTTACTTCTTCTTTATGAGTATGCTATATTATAAATATAAATATTTTTTGATAATTTTTTATATATAAATTGCAAGCCAGAATTTATCATAAAAAATATAATTGATGTAGGCTGAGGTGTAGCTGAAGATTTCCTTGGGATTTTTTGTTTTAATGTAATTGATGGCTGTTTTGATAAAGGCTGAGCTACTGGCTTGCTGATTTTTATAGGTTCTGGGGTTTTCGACACAACTTTGCGCTTAATTTCTTTTTTTGGTTTTTGAGTATCCTGAAAATAATTAATCGCCTTTTTAGTTGGCTGAGGGGATAAAAATTTCAGTTTGGGTGACTGTATTACTACAGGAATCGGAAATCGGCTTGTGCTTTCATTTGAAGGAGAAACGACTGATTCACTTGTAATTCGACGGCCAAGGACTGGCACAGATGGAGTTCTTGCAGTTCCAAAAGATTTAAATATTTCTGTGTGTTCTGGACTTAATAAACTTGGGGCGTATAATGAAAGTGGTGAAATTGATAGGCTGGGTTCTAATGATCGCACTTCTTTTAACATATTTAAATCAGCTTTTATTTTACATTTTTAGTTTTGATAAGCAAAAAGATTTTAGAGATAAAAGTGTATTTAAGGATTAATCTTGGCTAAAAATTCATTATTTATAAGTCTTTAACAGCTATTTCAATGTATCTTTTAGAAATTTGTATATGTTTTCATTTATAAGTTACATTTATATCTGTACTTACATTAAAGCAGCCACTTGAAGCATAAGTAAACGATTCCTCAATTATTATTGAAGCACTTAGCAAATATTTAAATCATAAAATTATGCAGCTCTGTAAAGAGACTAAGAAAAAAATAAAAATATTGATAACCTTCCTATTACCTCTTACATCACTAAATTATGAATAAAAAGTGTTATAAATAATATAGATAATTCTTTTCGATCCTAATTCAAAAGCAGTCCCCATGCAATCTACATATTATTTACCATTGCACACAAATCGAAGCCCATATGAGCTGAAACTGCGGATAATAATCCATATCTTTCTTTTATCAGCTGCAATGATATTCCTACTCCTACGATAAAGGAAAATCCAAAAATGGCTTGAATTATCCCTGTAAATCTAAGGATTATAAACTATATAAAAATTTACAAAATGATACTCAGAATATAATAAGGCTACGAACCATTTCCAACTTTCCGGGAAACTTTTGACCAAAAACACCCTCCAGAACCACTCTTCAACACCTGGATTTACTACTGTAAAATAATAGGCAAACATCAGTGGATTTAGGAAGTTATTGCAATCAATAGCAAAATCATTGCAAGTCAACTCACTAAAGCCTGTGATAAATAGCGCAAAGGACTTAAAAAAATAAATATGCTGGATTATATTGAATTATTAGCGCTGGCTTTGCCAGCGCCTTTACAAGTTTTCCTAATAATTTATAATTTAATTAAAATTAGAATAAGCAATGTTCCTGGCGCCATAAGTCCTATGACGATAATTGAGCAAAATATTAAACCGATCAATCCTTGATGAAAAGCGTTTTTGAGTTCTCCTCGTGTGTACTCAAAGGTAGAGGAGTTGAAACAAAGTTTATAGAGAATTGGAAGGATTATCATGGTCGCATGCATACAGACCGTCGTAAGTCAGATGCTACTGAAATAAAACAGCCCGAGAGCAATACTACAGAGAGGGGATAACCCAATCAAAGTCAATAAAACCCGTTGAAACTTACTAGGGTGATATGACTGATGAGCTATAACCATTTATAAATATTTATTATAATAAAATTTAAGAGATGTCATAGAGAAATCCAGAAGAAGCCATTTTAAAATTTATGCAACTTAGGAGTAATTTCAAAATTTTTAAAAAAATCTCTATGATTCTTTCAAAATGGCTATGAAATGTAAATTTATATTCTGGCGAAATTTTATTATATTTCAGATTCATAGAAACCCTTTTACATTTTTACCAAAAAATTGTATAGCTATGCACAATTACATTAACTAATATAAACCTTTTAGCTTCCAAAATAGCAAACATTTTACGAAAATTCTAATTAATTCTGTTTTATTATTAACTCCCCCTCCGTGAGCGAACAAAACCATTAGAAAAATCCCTATTTTTTGCCCAAAAAACCCTCAGTTAACAAAAATTTTTTTAATAGAAAAATTTTGATAACTACTATAATGAAACCTCGAGCTAGTTCTGTTTAATTTTAAATGAATTGCGTTCTAAAATATAAATTTTACAAATTAAATTAATATTTGCCTTCCAATTTTCGAGAAGTGGGATTTTTTTAATTGCGAAAATTTTTTTTAAAACAATTAACCTCCCTCCATGGTCAACAAGATTTTTCGTTCGCTCACTGAGGGGTTAAGAATTTTTCATAGGCTCTTTTCTCAAATTTTATTTCCATTAAATGGCTATATTTTTATGGTTTATCCTAATTAAAAAATATGTTTTGGTATTTCATCTATTTTATCGTTTTGATAGCTTTCTATCAGCTTATAAATTTGATATATAGAAGATGGATTGTCAGAGAAGAACCAACACAAAGTACAGCAATTTTAATTACAGGAGGCGCACAAGGTCTTGGAAGAGAAACTGCCTTAATTTATGCCCAGAAAAGGTGCAAAATCGCTATATGGGATATAAAATATGATCTCCTTGATAAAGTAAAATCAGAAATAACTCAAGCTGGAGGAACTGCATATTGCTATAAATGTGACATTTCTGATAGACAAGAGGTAGAAAATACCGCACGACGGACATTAGATGATATGGGGAAAATTGATATTTTAATTAACAATGCCGCTATAGCAACACATTTACACCATGACGAAATCAAAGAAAATCACTTCAGGAAGCTTCATGAAATTAACTATCTAGGACACGCATGGGTTACTTTAGCATTTTTACCCCATGTCAGACATATAACGGTTATAGCTTCAGTGCTTTCTTTTATTCCTGCTTTAAAAGAAAGTGATTACTGTGCAAGCAAAGCAGCAATAAATGCATATTTTTCTTCGTTGAGAATTGAGCTTAAAGCAAGAAAAAGCCCGGTAAAGGTAACGATTGTATATCCTTATCATATTTTTACAAAAATGTTCAATGATATGAAATTTGGGCATGTGAAATATCTATTGCCAAGCCAAAAACCAGGTGATGTTGCAAAAGCAATTTATAATGGAATTTGTGAGAAAAGGGAAGAAATTTTTGTGCCTGGGTATGCCAAAGTGTTATGTTTGATTGCGTTGAGCTTTCCGAGTGAAGTTAGGGATTGGGGGAATGAGTTATTATTTAGAGATGCCTGTGAGAGCTTAAAGCCATTAGCTTATAATTAAATTAGTAGGTTTAGAGAAAATCCCACTTAATTTTGCATTAATTCTTTAATTTATCTGATTTGAATATATAAGTATCCACTTTGATGGAGGGAGAGTTAGGAGTTTCATAACTTTTTAATTTTTTCTTAATCCCCCCCCCCCCTCCGTGAGCGAACAAAAAAATTTTGTTCACTCACGGAGGGGGGTTAATTTTTTTTTTTAAAAACAATTTATATATAAATTTTATAAAAAATATTTTTTTCGAAATTTAAAAAAAAATCCTAATTTGCAAAAATTGGGAAGCAAATACTAATTTAATTTGCAAAATTTATGTTTTAAAACGCAATTTGTTTAAAATTAAACAGAATTAGCTCTAGATTTCATTATACTAATTATCACTTATATAGCAAAATTTTTTTCTATTAAAATTTTTTCTATTAAAAATATTTTTGTTCACTCACGGAGGGTGGGTTTTTGGTCAAAAAAATGGCGATTTTTCTAATGGTTTTGTTCGCTCACGGAGGGGGGGGGGAGTTAATAAAATATTTTTGTGTAAGGTTTAAAATGTTTAATCATGGCTTTAAAAAAGGACTGAATTATTTTTGCGAAGACCCCTTGGTCAAGCATGAAACCCACCACCCATCACCTCTCTGGCTAAATTCCGTTAGATCTACCTGATTCTACTTAGCAGTCTGGCTCTACCTAAGCAGTCTGTCTCTATCTAGCTCTACTCGGTCTACCTATATGGATTTCTTATTATTAAGGATAGATAGTTTGGTTTTGAAGCAGGTGGGGGGTTTCCTGCTTAGCCAACCCCAATTTTTAAGCTATTTCCCACATTGATATTGGATTAAATGATTAGCAGTTATTATAATAATAAATGGGTGGGAAAGGCAAAGGAAAAGGCAAGAAAGGCAAGAAGAAAAAGTCAAAAAAGCAAAAGGACCCACGAGAAGCCTTGCCTGAAGAGATAAAAGCGATGGACATATCCACACTTCAAAGGGAAATCGAAATTTGACGACAAAAAGTTTTGGACACAAAAATTCTTACTCTCCCACTATACCATTTTTTTTAATTATTATTTAAAAAATTATTATTATATAAAATTTATCCAGCAAGGGTTAGGAACAAATTTCAGAACGAAAAAGACCTAATCAAGCAGTTTTACGAAGTAACCAAAAAGAATACAGAAGACATCACTGCCAGCATAAAAAACAAAGACTCAGAAATGGAGAGACTCGAAGACGACCATCGAGTTGAAGTAAAAGTTTACATGCAAAAAATCCACCATCTTGAGTATGACCACCAAAATGCATTAAAAAAGCTTGAAGATGATACAAAATCCAACCAAAAAGACGAGGTCAACTATCACTTCAAAACAGAAAACCAAATGAAGCTTGCCAAAATTGAGCTTAAAAAAGAATTAAATGAGCAAGAATTGGCATATGTTAACAGGGTTGGCAAAGAGATGGAGACCTATAAGTCTAATTTAGACTTCCTTAAAAGAAGCTATGATCAAGAATTAGCAAGAATTGAGGAAACTTATAAAAAATGGCAGTGAATATAATTCAAATAAATTTTATATTCTAGGCCTAATTAATAATGAAATTATTTCTAGGTGCAATTTATATAGAAATAGCATTTATCTGATAAATTATCAGTGCATTATTAGCATGCTACAGAATATAAAATAATCAGTATAATAAAGCATATAACACCAAATTTCAAACCTTAAAAGAAAACTTGGAACTTAGGCTGAAAGTCGAAATCCATGAGGTCGAAGAAAGGAAAAACAAGCACAGGAACACATTAATGATGAAGCATGAAAAAGCATTTAGGACCATAAAAGACTACTACAACGATATCACTAGAGGCAACCTTGAAAAAATTAGAGACTTAAAAGACGAAAAAGCGCAGCTAGAAAGAAATCAAATTGAAAATAAACAGCTTATAGAAGAACTCAGAAAGAAAAATGCAGAGCTTAAAAAGCCATTAGAAGACGCAAAAGAGCAGCTGGCTTTATTAGAGGACAAGCTTACAAATTATAATTTATATTTTTCTATATGAATTAAATATATTTTTTAATTATTTATAAATCAAGCATAATTATTTTAAAAATAATAGACAAAGTTAGCTTATTCAACGCTAAAAAACACTTAAAAACTTTATTATCAAGGCTTGAAAAATGCAAATATGATAAAAACGAGCTTGAAACTAAATACCGCCAGACCCTGCAAGAAAGAGACGAGCTTTATAAGAGATTTGAGAACTCTATAGACAGAGTCAAACAAAAAGCAGACTATAAGAATGTTTTCTTAGAAAATAAGCTTAAAGAGCACGAAGACAATTTACAAAGAAAAGAAACTCAGCTACAAGAAGTCCTCGCCAAGGCTAATATTGATCAAGCATTTATAGTAGAAATCAATAAGAGGATTGAAGACTCGCTAGAAGCTAAAAACACAATTTTGAAGAATTTGAAATATTCGTTGTCACATGCTATTAAAGCTTATAATGATGCTATAAGAGTATATGAAGCCAAACTTGTAGAGTTTGGAATACCGCCTGAAGAACTTGGGTTCCAACCTATTGAATCAATGACGTCTACAATGCCTGCAGGGCTTGTGGCTGCTTAATTTAGATAATTTTATAATCTTAATATTAAAATTTTTATTAAAAATATTTTTTAAATGGAAAAGTTCATTTGTCATCTCTCTCAGCAGAACTATGAAGAATGCAATGACTTACTAGAAGAATTCAATGAAAATCCTTCAATCAAGCAAGGTCTTCAAGGTGCAATTATTTTTGAAATCCAATATTATAATTTCGCATACGTGATCTATAGAGATCCAAACAGAGAAAGAGCTATCAGAGAAATTTACACTGACATAAAAAACGAATTCGAAGAAATTGACGATGACATTTACGCTGAACTTTTACATGTCCTTGATATCCAAGTAAATCTGTGTGAGCTTTATAAAGAATTAGCACAGGCTGACTATAATTTAAGTGACCAGCTAGCTACATGTGAAAGCTTGATAAAAGCCCTTGGAACCGCAAATAATGAATTACTTGAGCCTTTTTATGAGACTATTATAATTGAGCTGAATATTATTAAAAATTTAATTGTAGCGTCAAGAAGCATATCAAATCTAAATTACATGAGCACAATTTTAGCCTTGACTCAGGCTCATTCAATTATCCAAGAATGGGAAAAGATTTTTGTTTTTAAGAAATATTCCCCGTCTTACTCAAATAATTCGCTTGAAGAATATAATATGATCTATAAGTTTCTCTTGAGCATTTTACATGTAATTATGGCAAAAACCAAGCTATTTTTCGGGCCGAATTTTGAAAATATGGCAGGGAGTGAGTTTTTGGAGTATGGAGAAGAATTTTTGATAAGAATCCGCAGTAAATCTGCAGAGCTTGGCATTAGCTATATATAATGTTTAAATTTGTGGAAACAAAAATATTTTTTTAAAAAAAAATTAAAAATACATTAGTAGCCACAATATCATTATTGCTTAATAATGATGAAAACTTAAACTTGCAAGAGTACTCTTATAAGTGCAGAAGAAAACCTAAAGTAATCAATGAAATAAGCACAGAGCGATTTATCGTGATTTTTAAACACGCTCTAGAAAGCTTGCCTGATGACATGGAAAATGCTTTATATGTATCTTTGGAATCTGAAGAGCAATCTTTATCTTACTCTTCACATAAAGCTATAACTGCTGCTTGTCCATCAACCTTCATGAATTTTCTTTTTAATAAAATAGACACATATACTATATTAGTATTCGCCTGTAAAACCCCATCAAAAGAAATATCAAAATTTTTTACTGAATTTAGGCTTATTTTTCACAAAATATGTAAAAAAAATTAAAAATTAAAAAAAAAATATTTTTTTAAAAAAATTGTCACTGAATTATCATTTCAGCTAAAAATGTTTGCCCCTAACTATGCAAAATTTAAGAATAATTAATTGTGATAAATAGTAATTTAGTATCTACGCGAAGCACTAGGCGAGCGCATATAATCAGCTTTAAATGGATCATTTCTAGGGGTTTCCCATGGAGATGCAATATCGTGAGGTGCTGGCGTCTGCATAGGATACCCAGGGGACTGTGCAGGAGTTTTCATTACGTCTTGTGCAGATTGAATAGCCATGCCGTTTGCAACAGATTTTACCTCTGCACAGGCGCTAAGGTCAATTGTTATAGTTTTGTTTTTGGTGTTTAATTCAATCATAGCTCTTCTGTCCATCAATTTTATGATTTTCCCTGTATACCCACGATATGGGCCTTCAGTGATTCTTACATATTTGCCAACAACGTCTTTTGGAGAAGGCTCAGGAGCTGCTACCTCTTTTCTTTCGCCGCCTAATAAGGTAAATTATAATCAATTGAATTAATAATATTTTATTATAAAACGTGACAGATTTATATAAATATAGTATAATTAAGCAATAGCTAGCCTTTATAGGGACTATATTTGCAGTGGCCACTGAATCAGGGATATTTAAAAATAACACACCTCTTAATGAATTTTTTATCGCCCCAATTTTATCATGCAGATCATGCTTAAAATAGCTGATTTTTACCATATCTCCTGCAACTAATGAATTCCCATCTCTATCAACTGCAGCAGCTCTTCTGGCGATATATTTCTTGGCTACCTCATGATACCATACATTTTTAGTTTCCCCATTATCCATGACAGCCTTTACACAGTCATTATCTACCTTAACAACTATTCATTTTCCTATCTATTTTATAAATCCCTAACTATTTCCTATTTTCTATAATACTTTGGCAATTTTATCATACAAAACCCCATAAATATACATTTTGATAATAATTTCAAGCCAATTTTATTTTAATTCTGGGCCATAACCACAAAAATTACCAAAACATAATACAATTTAGCACAAAAAATATATACCAAAGGCTTTATCATTATTTAATGTGACGATGTCATAGACTTTATAAGCCTCAGTATGCTGGACTCCCGAGCTTATTTCATCAGTTAACTTTAAGTCATTAAAAAGAACTGAAATCACGTCTTTGGAGACATCACACATTAAATCTGCAGTCGTTTCTTTGGTAGCCGCAATCATCCCGGTAACACCTGAATATCTCCCTCCAGATACCTTTACATGGTCGCCGACCTCAAAAAACTTGCTGACTTCAGACTCAGGGAAATTTAGCTGCTGATTGGCAAGTTCTGCTATACTTGGAAGGATTGTGACCATTCCTTCAGCAGCCCTCATAACAGTCCCTGTAAGTCCTCTGGCATCTCCTTTAATTACTTTGACACGATCGCCTTGCGAATAATGGATTTTCCTGCCTTGGAATTGTGAAGGCTTGTTTTCTTCTTCTTGTGAAGAAGTTTGGAAAATTTGGATTTCTGTGAGGGTTGGGGCCACATTTTCAGTCTGGAGACTACGGATTGCCATTGATTTGTGAAGCAGACCGTTGCGGAATTGTAAGCCATTTCATAAGAAAAAAATGTCTCGGGACATGACGTCTCTTTTGGTTTCACAGTCAGGGTAGTCTTTTGGGTTAAAAAGTTTGGCTGGAGGTCGCACTTTGCGGTTACTGGTTTTTTCAAGACGTGGGACCACTCTTACTTGTGCGCGATCTCTGTGTTCTTCGACCATTACAATTTGGGCTATATCTCCTTTGTAGTCTCCTGATTTGATTCTGACAAATTTTCCAGGCTCAATGGTAAGTTTTTTGGCTTTGTCCATAGAAAAAACGTCTACCATTTCTTCAATTGGGACAATAGAAATCTTATGATTTTTTTTATAAATGCTTATTTATATAAAATAATTTGCATTTTGATATTATTTATATAAAAAAATAAATATATTCAAGCAGTAAATGAATCCCTTTAATGGCAGTAACAACATGAACCTTCTTATAGGCTTCTACGTATATATAATCTCTTACATGATTTGAGGCAAATGCTGAAAAAATTTCTAATGGCTCTCCTTCTCTCATCTTAAATAAAGCTTTTTGCATCAAATTCATGGCCGCTTCTTTTTCTTTCCCATTCCTACACCCTACAAGCCACAATTTCGGGTCTTGAATTGATGGCAAATTTCTCTGCTGGGAGACTTGAGAAAGGTCTTTAGGGATGTCAGTCATTTGTAAAGTCGCTCTATGCTCAAATCTTCTTGCAATGTCTTCAGGCTTTTCTTCTGATAAATAATCTCGGCGCTTAGGCAGTGAACTTAGAAGTCTTTCAGCTTCACGACGCTCGTGCTCATATTCAGGATCAATGTCACTTTCTTCGTCCTCTTCACCTTCATCTGCAGCAATTTCAAGAAATTGATTTTTTGTGAATTTAGCACTCCTTTTTTGGTGTTTTGTGCCCTTTGATGAAGATTTTTTGACCCGCTTGCGAGAGGTTTCTTCTTTGACGTCGAAATCTTCGTCTTCACTTGATTCATCAGATGAAAAGGCATCCTCAGAACTTTCGCTTGACATTTATAAATTTATATGGATAGATTAATCGAGTATTTGAATAGAAAAATTGCAGTGACAGCGACAGAAATTTCAAAAGATTTTGGGGTGTCTTTAGGTGAAGCTAGAAAAATGTTGTTTAATTATATGTCATTCTAAATTAATTACAGGCTATAAGCTATATATTATATTTTAATATAAATATTTCATTATAAATCTGCATATACAAAATTATGAAAGTAATTTCAACTGTATTTATTCATCTTTTGATCCTTCAAATAGGAAATTTTCTTTAATTACTGAAGAGCAAATGTTTAATTGCAGCATGTGCGAAATCGAAGTTTATGGTATCGTCCGAGAAAATTATGATAAAATAACCCTCCTCACAAATTCCTACAAGCTAAGAGACGATCCTCCTCTTGGAAATCACAAAAAAGGTGTCTTAGTTAGCACCCTCCCAGTAGTAAAAATCGAAAATCGTATACAAAAAGATGGAACCCCTGCAATCACAACAGGTAAAAAATTAAAAAGAAATTCCCTTGATTTTTATTTTAACCCTCCAAAACGAGTAAAACCGAACTGCGAACTGTCCATTTCTGATATAAAAAGACAGGTAAAATTAAACAATGATGGGAAATTAGTATTAGAAGAACACATTACTTATGAAGAACAATAACATTAATCTATAATTTCCCACATTCTATTAACAGAATCATATGCTGATGAATTTTGAATTTTAAAAGGAACTTCTTCATCTCCTTTTATATAATTTCCACTGATATTTTGTGTATCAGCAGCGTTTCATTCGATTTTTGCGAACATCCGGTATAGGTTTATTTTGCTTTTTAAATAGGACATCATTTTTTCTGGTGCATGATTTTCTGCATTCTGAGGGATTTGAACATAAATTTTAAGTTTTTTGAGCAAATAATGCTAATTATCAAAAATTTTTGAACTTCTTTTTGGCTTTTTAGCCTTTCCATTTCCATTAAATGCTTTTTTCAGCTCACTTTTTTCGTTTGCCGCATCTGTTTGGCTTCTTGGAAATTTAAAATTTGTTCTTCAACCTTGACTTTTTCATCCTCGAGCTTGTTGCCGAGGAATTTTAAGTTTTCTTCAGTTTCGACGATTGAGTTTGGATGGTGAGGGGAAGTTCGTCAAGAATTTCTTGGCAGGCTTGTAGTGAACTTTTTAGTTCGCCGATATCCATTTTAAAATTTAAAAATAATTTCTTTATACTTTTTTATTAGTTTTTATAGGATATTTATTTATATTTTTGAGATTCTATCCCGGAAATGTATTCTTTATTATGGATAATTTCAATATTGCTTATGCTAAATAATTTGTTTTTTAAGGTAATAAAAATTCTTAAATATAATGCTATTTAATGATTATTTTAACAAAATATTTAGATTTCATTAAAAAAAATTAAATAAGGTAATTTGAATTTCAATTGATTAATAGTTATACTATTTATATTTTTAATTTTATTATTCAATAATTTATTATACAAATATTGCTAAAATATTTAATGAAAATAAGACCAATTAATGAGGTTAATCTATAAATCAGTCTTCTTTGCTTCATCTCCCAGACCATCTTTTTCCAACTTTAAGCCCGGTGATATCCGAGTAGTCTTCTTTGCTTCATCGTTTAGACCATCTTTTTCCAACTTTTGACCTGATGATGTCTGAGTAGGTCTTAATTCATCTAATTCTTTAAACTTCAGATTAAAGTCTTCGCAAAACTTCTCAAACGATTTCGTCTCAAGCCCCGGATATTCGAAGAGTCCAAAATTGATTGAAGCATATATGCGATGAATATTTGATTGAAAATCAACAAAGCGTTTTTTATAGACGACCTTGAATACATTTCCTGAAAGAATCTCACCTGGAAGATATTTTGTAAGACTGGAAATAGGTATAGAGCCATTGCTTTTGATAAGTCAGTACATTGCTTGCAGCACATCATGGTCATCTTTTACAATATTATTAAAGTCAATAGATATTTCCTTGAAGTTATAGCTCGCTGTATCGAGTAAATCTATAATTGCCTCAACGAAATTCTTTTCATCAATAGGACCGCTAGATTCCGAAACAGATGCAAAAAACAAGTTGTACCATAAAGGATGCCCCTTGATAAATTGATAGGCTTTTTGCACATATTCTTCAGAGTCTTCTTTTCTCATGCAGTGGTGAAAGTGATAAGAAGTTGTCTCATTAAATCCTTGGAAAATATCAGTTATTCTAAGAGTTCTTTGAAGATCAAGTTTTTTCAAGACATGACTAATTGTCCACCCTTCACTGAATGAAAGTACAACATTAAATAAGGATCAATTGAAATAGATCCTAAGGCAAATAATTTGAGGATTTTCTGCTCATCTTCTATATCTTTCAGTAAATGAACATTATCAATTATAATAATTGGATGGTGGTTATATTTTTTAATGAAATTGTCTGCTATATCCTTTGATTTGAAAAGTTCGGGTGTAGTTGAAAAATTAGACTGTAGTTAAAAAACACTTGGGAAAATGCGTGGTGGATATTTAGACGAAAATGGCTTATTGCTTGAAAATGCATATGCTAAATGAGTAGCTTGATATGGAATTTTCACAAATTCAAAGGAGGCCACTTCGAAAGTAAATATTGCTGCAAAAATAATAATAGTAAATTTGGAAACGTTAAAATAAGTGTGAAATGCATTTGCGCACGTAAGAATTACAAAAGCAATTGCGTACCCAAACGAGCTTATTTTCAAAGTCCGATGATGTAAAAATGAAATAGACAGAAAGAGCTTGCAATCCGATCAAACATAGAATAAATTTGGTTTGGTTTCCTGAATTTCTTTTATTTTTTTTATCATTTTCTTGCTTTTCTTCTATTTCTTGTTCTTTAATTATCTCTTGCCCTTGCTCCATTTATTATTATTATAGGGATAAGGGGCAAATAATTAGATGGGTAATCATTTATTTTATTACTTTTAAAGCTTGCATTATTTTTGGTCTCAAATGATATAAATTAAATGCATAAACTTATAAAATTATAATCCAATTAAAAAGTAAAAAATTATTTGTATTTTAAAGTAGTAAGCTAATTCGATTAATCTCAAATTATTTTACAATTCAATAGTTAAAGCTTTCATCTTATAGAGCAAAAGTAATCAGGATTCATCAGATTTCTTTTTCGGGCTATATAAAGATTAACATTTACTAATTTTTATATCGGAAAACTAGGAATGTTAAAATATTTGGTAAACTAAATATAATGCTACTTAATGATTATTTTAACAAAGAATTTAGACTTCATTCAAAAAAAATTGATTAATAATTATATTATTTATACTTTTTTATTCAATAATTTACTATGCAAAAATATTTAATGAAAATAAGACTAATTAATGAGGTTAATCTATAAATCAGTCTTCTTTGCCTCATCTTTTAGACCATCTTTTTCCAACGTTAAACCCGGTGATATCTGAGTAGTCTTCTTTGCTTCGTAGTTTAGACTATCTTTTTCCAACTTTGAACTTGATGATGTCTGAGTAGGCTCTAATTCATCTAATTCTTTAAACTTCAGATTAAATTGTTTGCAAAACTTCTCAAACGATTTCGTCTCAAGCCCCGGATATTCGAAGAGTCCAAATTTCATTGAAGCATATATGCGATGAATATTTGATTGAAAATCAACCAATTGATCGTCGTAGAAGACTCTGAATATATTTCCTGAAAGAATCTCATCTGAAAGATATTTTTCAAGACTGGAAAGAGGAATAGGATCATTGCTTTTGATAAGTCAGTACATTGCTTGCAGCACATCATGGTTATCATTTTTAATATTATTAAAGTAAATAGACATTTGCTTGAAGTTATAGTTCGCTGTATTGAGTAAACGCTTAATTGCCTTAAGGAATGTCTTTTCATTAATAGGACCGCTAGATTCCGAAACAGATCTAAAAAACATGTCGTACCATAAAGGATGCCCCTTGATAAATTGATAGGCTTTTTGCACATATTCTTCAGAGTCTTCTTTTCTCATGCAGTGGTGAAAGTGATAAGAAGTTGTCTCATTAAATTCTTGGAAAATATCAGTTATTTGATTAGTTCTTTGAAGATCAAGTTCTTTCAAGATATGACTAATTGTCCACCCTTCACTAGAGGATAGAACAACACTAAATAAAGGATCAATTGAAATAGATCCTAAGGCAAATAATTTGAGGATTTTCTGCTCATCTTCTATATCTTTCAGTAAATGAACATTATCAATTATAATAATTGGATGGTGGTTATATTTTTTAATGAAATTGCCTGATATATCCTTTGATTTGAAAATTACATTCATTTTTATTGGTTTTGGGAGAGCAATTTTTTTAACCTCACGCGAAGAGTTCTTGTAACTCTTCAAAGTTTGAAGGTTTGAAGTTGAAAATTAACTTCATATAAACATAAAAAGGGTTTCATTCGTTTCTGGAATATACATCTCGAATAAACGATTGAGAAAAATTTAAATTATCCTCCTTAATCTCAAAATAAAACACATAGTCATATTTGGTCGCAAACCATTTAAGGAATGTTGATTTTCCAATACCATGAATTCCATCTATGATGACAGGATAATTACTATCTAAAATTTTTTTTTCTAAAATCTGATACTCTTGAACTACTTCAATGCATGGTGGATATTTAGACGAAAATGGCTTATTGCTTGAAAATGCATATGCTAAATGAGTAGCTTGATATGGAATTTTCACAAATTCAAAGGAGGCCACTTCGAAAGTAAATATTGCTGCAAAAATAATAATAGTAAATTTGGAAGTGTTAAAATAAGTGTGAAATGCATTTGCGCACGTAAGAATTACAAAAGCAATTGCGTACCAAACGAGCTTATTTTCAAAGTCCGATGATGTAAAAATGAAATAGACAGAAAGAGCTTGCAATCCGATCAAACATAATAGAATAAATTTGGTTTGGTTTCCTGAATTTCTTTTATTTTTTTTATCATTTTCTTGCTTTTCTTCTATTTCTTGTTCTTTAATTATCTCTTGCCCTTGCTCCATTTATTATAGGGATAAGGGGCAAATAATTAGATGGGTAATCATTTATTTTATTACTTTTAAAGCTTGCATTATTTTTGGTCTCAAATGATATAAATTAAATCCATAAACTTATAAAATTATAATCCAATTAAAAAGTAAAAAATTATTTGTATTTTAAAGTAGTAAGCTAATTCGATTAATCTCAAATTATTTTACAATTCAATAGTTAAAGCTTTCATCTTATAGAGCAAAAGTAATCAGGATTCATCAGATTTCTTTTTCGGGCTATATAAAGATTAACATTTACTAATTTTTATATCGGAAAACTAGGAATGTTAAAATATTTGGTAAACTAAGAATAAGAGCCCTTGACTATTTAGGCTTTTTTCATTTAGAAAACTTGATAAAATGCTTTGTAAACTGGACTTAATTTTATCTAAAATATGTAATAATACTAAAATGGAATCCACATTTAAACCTACACAAGTGACTATGGAAGATGTAGATGAAAGATTTAAGAGGTAAATTCTACACAGTTCAAAAAAGCATATTATTTGGCATTTTAAACTAGACAATGAAAAGCACACCGCAGAGCTCGAATGCTCATATTTGACTAATAAAAGAAGGGTCACTTTTGATGGAACCTTAATGTTCACAGGCTATAAGCCAATTGGCGGGGTATTCCAATACAGATTTTTCCATATGAAGCATGTAGTTACTATTGACAACCCCGGTGCAGATGCAGATTTATTAGTTGACAGCTTATCTTTTAATGATCTTTATTGGCAGAAGATTTTGGAAATAATGTATGGCAAAGACTCCGCCTCAAGGCAGCCACATAAAGACCAAGTCCCCGAGTACCCTACAGAAACCTTTAAAAAGGCTGGAGAAGAGCCTAACATTCAGCCTAGAAAAGCCCACGAAATTGACTTAATTGGGCAAAAACCAAAAAATGAATTTAAAAATGGCTAAAGAAATGGATTTACTTGAAGACATGCCAGGGAATAAAATTGAGTTTGATTTATTGCCAGGAAATAAATAAAATGGCACTTGGAAGGATTGTGACCATTCCTTCAGCAGCCCTCATAACAGTCCCTGCAAGTCCTCTGGCATCTCCTTTAATTACTTTGACGCGATCACCTTGTGAATAATGGATTTTCCTAGAAAATTTGGATTTCTGTGAGGGTTGGGGCAACATTTTCAGTCTGGAGGCTACAGATTGCCATTGATTTGTGAAGCAGACCGTTGCGGAATTGTAAGCCATACTATAAGAAAAAAATGTATCGGGACATGACGTCTCTTTTGGTTTCACACTCAGGGTAGTCTTTTGGGTTAAAAAGTTTGGCTGAAGGCTGCACTTTGTGGTTGCTGGTTTTTTCAAGACATGGGACCATTCTTACTTGTGCGCGGTCTCTGTGCTCTTCGACCATTACAATTTGGGCTATATCTCCTTTGTAGTCTCCTGATTTGATTCTGACGAATTTTCCAGGCTCAATGATAAGTTTTTTGGCTTTGCCCATAGAAAAACATCTACCATTTCTTCAATTGGGACAATAGAATCTTATGATTTTTTTTGATAAATAGCTTCTTTATATAAAATAATTTGTATTTTAATATTATTTATATAAAATAAATATAATTCAATCAGCAAATGAATCCCTTTAATAGCAGTAGCAGCATGAGCCTTCTTATAGGCTTCTACATATATATAATCCCTTACATGATTTGAGGCAATTGCTGAAAAAATTTCTAATGGCTCTCCTTCTCTCATCTTAAATAAAGCTTTTTGCATTAAATTCATGGCCGCTTCTTTTTCTTTCCCATTCCTACACCCTACAAGCCATAATTTCGGGTCTTGAATTGATGGCAAATTTCTCTGCTGGGAGACTTGAGAAAGGTCTTTAGGAATGTCAGTCATTTGTAAAGTCGCACTATGCTCAAATCTTCTTGCAATATCTTCAGACTTTTCTTCTGATAAATAATCTCGGCGCTTAGGCAGTGAACTTAGAAGTCTTTCAGCTTCACGACGCTCGTGCTCATATTCAGGATCAATGTCACTTTCTTCGTCCTCTTCACCTTCGTCTGCAGCAATTTCAAGAAATTGGTTTTTTGAGAATTTAGCACTCTTTTTTTGGTGTTTTGTGCCCTTTGATGAAGATTTTTTGACCCGCTTGCGAGAAGTTTCTTCTTTGACGTCGAAATCTTCGTCTTCACTGGATTCATCAGATGAAAAGGCATCCTCAGAACTTTCGCTTGACATTTATAAATTTATATGGATAGATTAATCGAGTATTTGAATAGGAAAATTGCAGTGACAGCGACAGAAATTTCAAAAGATTTTGGGGTGTCTTTAGGTGAAGCTAGAAAAATGTTGTTTAATTATATGTCATTCTAAATTAATTGCAGTGTATAAGCTATATAGTATATTTTAATATAAATATTTCATTATAAATCTGCATATACAAAATTATGAAAGTAATTTCAACTGTATTTATTCATCTTTTGATCCTTCAAATAGGAAATTTTCTTTAATTACTGAAGAGCAAATGTTTAATTGCAGCATGTGCGAAATCGAAGCTTATGGTATTGTCCGAGAAAATTATGATAAAATAATCCTCCCCACAAATTCCTACAAGCTAAGAGACGATCCCCCTCTTGGAAATCACAAAAAAGGTGTCTTAGTTAGCACCCTCCCAGTAGTAAAAATCGAAAATCGTATACAAAAAGACGGAACCCCTGCAATCACAACAGGTAAAAAATTAAAAAGAAATTCCCTTGATTTTATTTTAACCCTCCAAAACGAGTAAAACCGAACTGCGAACTGTCCATTTCTGATATAAAAAGACAGGTAAAATTAAACAATGATGGGAAATTAGTATTAGAAGAACACATTACTTATGAAGAACAATAACATTAATCTATAATTTTCCACATTCTATTAACAGAATCATATGCTGATGAATTTTGAATTTTAAAAGGAACTTCTTCATCTCCTTTTATATAATTTCCACTGATGTTTTGTGTATCAGCAGCGTTTCATAATTAAAATATGGCGTCTTCGTCTGGGCATGGCCTCCCGGCCATGCAGCCTCGACTCATATTTTAATTATATCCGGCAAGGTTTTACCATTTCAGAGATGGACAGCAATGCTAGGTAAGCAATTCTGGTAGCTTTCAGAGCCTAGCCCAAGTCTATTCTCAGGGGTGGATTTTTCCTCGTGGGAAGGAGGGTGCAAGGTTGGAAAGGGGAAGCCCAGCAAAGTCCTCTGGACCATTCGGGCAACTCCCTAGCGTGAAACTGGGCGTTACGTCCCAGGCTTTGCATTTTTCCTTTTTGCCGATAGCCGACCAGAAAAATCCATTTTTTGGGTTTTTCGGAAAAGCAACCCATGTACAAGCAAGTAGCTCATCCATGAGCCGTCGAAGACGTGGACATTTGCCCTGGAAGCACCCTGGTGATCAAAGCGAGTTTGTCTCCAGCAGACTGGTAGGCCCGATGCGACGAAAGGCGAGTGATAAACCTGGAGTTGTAACCCCGTAGTGGACGTTAAGCGATATAAATTCTAATGTAATGTAATAATGTGTATCAGCAGCGTTTCATTCGATTTTTGCGAACATCCGGTATAGATTTATTTTGCTTTTTAAATAGGACATCATTTTTTCTGGTGCATGATTTTTCTGCATTTGAGGGATTTGAACACAAATTTAAGTTTTTTTGAACAAATAATGCTAATTATCAAAAATTTTTGAAAAATTCTCAGAAAATATAATGAAATGGCCTATTTTTTTCATGATATTTCAATTCTTCTTCTAATTCGTACTCTTCATCAGCAATATTGCCGTCTCTCTCTTTTAATGCTTCTCTTGTGTATTTTTCTACTTCTTTTTGGCTTTTTAGCCTTTCCATTTCCATTAAATGCTTTTTCAGCTCACTTTTTTCGTTTGCCGCATCTTGTTTGGCTTCTTGGAAATTTAAAATTTGTTCTTCAACCTTGACTTTTTCGTCCTCGAGCTTGTTGCCGAGGAATTTTAAGTTTTCTTCAGTTTCGACGATTGAGTTGTGGATGGTGAGGGGAAGTTCGTCAAGAATTTCTTGGCAGGCTTGTAGTGAACTTTTTAGTTCGCCGATATCCATTTTAAAATTTAAAAATAATTTCTTCATACTTTTTTATTAGTTTTTATATGATATTTATTTATATTTTTGAGATTCTATCCCGGAAATTGTATTCTTTATTATGGAGAATTTCAGTATTGCTTGTGCTAAATAATTTGTTTTTTAAGGTTATAAAAATTTTTAAATATAATGCTATTTAATGATTATTTTAACAAAAAATTTAGATTTCATTCAAAAATATTAAATAATGTAATTTGAATTTCAATTGATTAATAATTATACTGTTTATACTTTTAATTTTATTATTCAATAATTTATTATACAAAATATTTAATGAAAATAAGACCAATTAATGAGGTTAATCTATAAATCAGTCTTCTTTGCTTCATCTTTTAGACCATCTTTTTCCAACTTTAAACCTGATGATATCACTTATTTTTGCCTCCTCGGAAAAGTAGTGGTCGGTTTTTTTTATATCAATTTTTAATGTGAAGCTTTTTCATATCTTTTTTCAAAAGCCTTTTTTTGCATATATCTTTTGTGTCTGATTTTAATCTAATAAATAGCTATTATGATTGTAATTTATTATCAGAGTGTTTTATTGCCCAATATGCTCTGATTTCATACTTTTATCTTTTTCACTGTGCAGTTTAAAAATTAAGTTGGATCATATGTGCTATACTATTTGTGCATACATTTGGAGATGTCTTATTTAAATTTAGTTAATAAATAAGAGATTATTGTATATATAATTTCAGTCTGCTATCTCTCTGTTTAAAATATCATTTGATACTTTTTTCCACCTATTTTTGGGGAAAAAATGCAAGTTTTTCAGCCCTCACTTTGTAGTTTTCAATGTAGCTTTTTAGCTTGACCCGAAGTACATTTGCACACATAAGAACTGCTAAGGCAATTGTGTACCAAATGAGCTGATCTTCAAAATCTGATGACGTAAAAAGGAAATAGACCGAAAGTGATTGTAATCCAATCCAACATAAAAACATGCTTGGAATAGCTTGGGTTCAGTTTCCTGCATTTTTACCATTTTCTATTTCTTGCTCTTTTTGATCCTCTTGCCTTTGCTCCATTTATTATCACCAGGATAAGGGGCTAAGTTATATGTGCAATGAACAATTTCATAACTTTTAAAGCCTGTATAATTTTTGATCTCAAATATCATAAATTAAATGCATAATTTTATAGATAAGTAAAAATTATTCGTGTTTTAAATTAGTAAACTATTTCAAAATAATATTAAATTCTTTCATGATTCAATACATAAAGCTTTTATCTTATATAATAAATAAAGTTAGGATTCATTTCTGGTTGCATAAAGATTAGCATTTACTAATTTTTATATCTGAAACCTAGGAAAATGAAATCAAACAAAAATATTTGTAACTAAGAATAAAAACCCTTGACAATTTAGCTTTTTCATTTAGAAAACTTAATAAAATGCTTTGTAAACTGGACTTAAGAATAAGAGCCCTTGACAATTAAGCTTTTTCATTTAAAAAACTTGATAAAACGCTTTTTAAACTGTACTTAATTAATTTTTATATAAAATATGTAATAATACTAAAATGGAATCCACATTTAAACCTACACAAGTGACTATGGAAGATGTAGGTGAAAGATTTAAGAGGTAAATTCTACACAGCTCAAAAAAGCATATTATTTGGCATTTTGAATTAGACAATGAAAAACACGCCGCAGAGCTCGAATGCTCATATTTGACTAATAAAAGAAGGGTCACTTTTGATGGAACCTTAATGTTTACAGGCTATAAGCCAATTGGCGGGGTTTTCCAGTACAGATTTTTCCATATGAAGCATGTAATTACTATTGACAACCCTGGCGCAGATGCAGATTTATTAGTAGACAGCTTATCTTTTAATGATCTTTATGGGCAGAAGATCTGGGAAAGAATGTATGGCAAAGACTCCGCCTCAAGGCAGCCGCATAAAGACCAAGTCCCCGAGTACCCTACAGAAACCTTTAAAAAGGCTGGAGAAGAGCCTAACATTCAGCCTAGAAAAGCCCATGAAATTGACTTAATTGGGCAAAAACCAAAAAATGAAATAAAAATGGCTAAAGAAATGGATTTACTTGAAGACATGCCAGGGAATAAAATTGAGTTTGATTTATTACCAGGAAATGCAAAGCCTGCTAGGGCTAAGCTGAAAGATGATTTTTTAGAATTGGATGCAGAGGAAAATAAAGGGTCAGATTTATTAAGTTTGGAAGGCTTAGATATAAAAGCCAATGAAAATGCATTTGATACTGTTTTTGATAATAAGCCAAAACCTACTAATAAAAATTTAGATCTTTTTGCTGATATACAGAAAACAGATAATAAAGCTAAACCAGCTGGGAGTACGCTAAATATGGATCTTTTTGCAGATATGCCGAAGTCAGCGAGCTTTACTGGGGATATTTTTAGTAAACCAGCGGTAAATATAACTAATAAACAAGCCAATTCGTCGTTATTGGATTTTGCGAGTAGTAATAATGACTTGTTTTCAAGCACAAAACAGCTTCAGGCCAGCAGTGCAAACCCTTTGGACTCGTTATTTAGTATGGATACAGAGAAAACTCAAACAAAAAGTGCAACTAGCACCAGTGTACAGCCAGATCTTTTTAGTTTCCAGCAAAATTCTAATAAAAATACAGAAAGTTTAATGAACTCATCACAACCAAGTGGCAAAAAAGACGAAAAATCAGCCTTTGATGATTTATTTTCATAAGACTAATTACAAATCTATTTAAATTTACATGCTTATTTAAATAATTCTATTATAAAACACAAGTATTGCTAAATTTCTAATAAAATGGAGACTGTGGATCCAAATGAGACTCTCTACATCCAAAATCTCAATGAAAAAATCAAATCAGATGGTAAATTTCATATAGAAATGAGGGTCTTGCTATATCAACTATTCGCACAATACGGTACAGTCTTAGAAGTCCAAACCCAAAAACAATATCGTATGAGAGGGCAAGCATTTGTAGTTTATGACTCTAAAGAGGATGCCACAAATGCTATGAGACTATTGCAAGGCTACAGTTTTCATGGAAAAACATTGGTAAATTTCACCTAGAGAATTTCTTACTCAAAGGTAAAATCTGACATAATCACAAAACGTGAAGGAACTTATATACCCTAAATATAAGTAGATATAGGAAAAAATGCCCTCTAGGGAAAGAATTTATATAATAATTTGCAAAGGAAAATTGGATATAGGAAAGATTTTAGGAATTTTCACAGGGCGAAACTTTATATACCCCGCGATCATACAGAATCATCCTTCAAACGCCAGCACTTTTTCAGAAAACTTGAAGAAAAACAAGCCAAAAGACGTGGAATGCAGATAGAAATGCCTAGCAATGGCCACGCAGGGGCAAATCATATTTTATTTATTGAAAGAATTGATTCCAGCATCCCTGAGAACGTGATTGCTTCTCTATTTTCTCTATATAAAGGATATAAAGAAGTAAGAATGATCCCTGAAAAAAGAGTAGCCTTTATAGAGTTTGACGAAGATTTCCAAGCTGCAAAAGCTTTAGAAGGCTTAAACGGGTACAAAATCACAGAAAACTGTCAGCTTATCATTTCTTACGCTAAAAGATAGGTTTAAATTGTATGATTTTTAACCTAAATTCACAATTTAATCAAAAAATGCACAAATTTTTTAAAAAATTAATAGAAAATCTTATATTTTCTTATATAGGCTAAGAGCTTGTCCTCAAACTCTTAAATAAAGGTAAGTTAAAGACTAATAGTTAGTAAAACTTAAAATATCTCACAGCATTCATGATGCACAGGCTGCTGATGGTTGCTTTCAACCCTTTCCACCTGCTTCACAGCTACATTTTTCAGCAACACCCCATCTCCATTTCCAGCCAACATAATATGTGTGTCCCTAAAACAAGGTATAAATTTATTACAACAAGAATTCATGCATCTTTTGTTTGTGGTAACTGCAGTAATAAATACTTTATCGTCGCCATTGTCAATCAAATGGCTTACTCCCCCCCCCTCCGTGAGTGAACAAAACCATTAGAAAAATCGCCATTTTTTGCCCAAAAACCCACCCTCCGTGAGTGAACAAAAATTTTTTATGGAAAAAAAATTTGATATATAAATGATAATTAGTATAATGAAATCTAGAGCTAATTCTGTTTAATTTTGAACGAATTGCTTTTTAAAACATAAATTTTATAAATTAAATTAATTTTTGATTTCCAAATTTTTGCGAATTAGGATTTTTTTAAATTTCGAAAAAAAAATTTTTTATAAATTTATATATAAATTTTTTAAAAAAAAAAAAATTAACCCCCCTCCGTGAGTGAACAAAATTTTTTTGTTCACTCACGGAGGGGGGGGGATTTAGTATTCTTTTTAGTAGATAATTATTTATTTGGTAAAAATAATAAAAAATCGATCAAATTTCCTGCCAAAAGAAAAAAATTGTGCCCCGCAATCAAATCCACTTTGATGTCAACGTAATCTTGGATTTCGTTTATTTCTTCGAGCTCAGGGATTTCTTGTTTTTTAAAAAATTTATTGATTGAGAAATAATAGGGGAAAATTAGGAATTTAGGAGATAGGAAGTAAAAATTTAGAGAAAAAAGGATAAATTCATTTCCAGGGCCAATATTTGCACCAAATATGACGAAGACTCTTTGGGAGTCGGAATCTTTTTTAAATTTGCAAATCATGGCGTCGGGATCTTTGACACCGCTTCCTCTTGTTATGATAAAAAATGCGGAGTCGCCGATAAGTCTAAAAGTCAAATTTATTTCACAGGCAATGCTTTTAAGCGAAATTGTTGGTTTTGATCTTATTCTATCTCTAATAAATACGAAATTATTGAAAGTCCTTTTCATACTGCAAAATTCTTATTTTTTCAGTAAAATTCATATAAAAAAGCATAAAACTAAATTTTTTGGAATTTCTGTGCCGGCAACCTATGTCGATGTCAGAAAATCTGGAAAGGAAACTGTGGAAATCTGAACTCCCGAAGCTTAGAAGCCATGCAGTTGATACCGATGAGGTACACGACGAATTCGGAGGAGTGGGAAACCCCGAAGCAGGTACAGAAGCTCGTGCAGGTGATGTACTAGTGGATGTTAAACAGAGAATTTAAACCCTTAAATTAATGAATGCCTGTACGTATCGGAATTCCAAAATTATTAGGCTGAATTTCAAAAGGTCGAAAATTTCCCCTGACCTCAGAAAGTCCTTCAGACGAGTGACTATAAAAATTCGCGATTTCCCAGTTTGCAGATTTCGGTATTTGCTGCGAAAAATTATCAGCTATAATAAGTTTATTCAGAATATGCCTTTCGGTCTGCTGAAATTCTTCTTGAGAGTCTTTTTGTTCTTTTAAAGGAGACACTTGCCGATCAGCTTGAATTTTCATGATAAGTTCTTGATTATAAAGCCGTGGCTGATGGGCTCTGAAGTCTAAGGATTTTGATCTCATGATTTGAATAATTGTTATAGCTATTTAATATAAATTTTTATTCTAATTAAAGCCTAATTTTTATAATTTTATTGGAGATTTACTTCAATTTTATAAGGAACTCATATAAAAAAGGCATAGAAAATATTATGATTATTTTTATATTCTGTGCTGATATGATCCAGCTTTAGTTATATAGCGGATCCACTTAGTAGGCTTATAATTGCTTTTTTCGATGACTCTTAAAAATCTGACTCGAAGGCCTGAAGAAGTAAACATAGGGACTTGGAAATCAATTGTTACGGGAGGCCGAGACCATGGCTTGTCACTGGTAGTGGGAACTAGATTGACTGAGCCTCTTAGCGTGTATTCACTGTCTCCAGGGAACCTTCTGATTCTCCACACAACTGCGCCTTGCTCAGGCTCAAGTCTAGCTTTTCCAGTGACTGCATAAATATTGGTTTTTCCTGAATTTTTTGGGACTGGGATTTTTATTAATCTTTTTAGCATGAATATTCCTATAATTTTATATTGGTATAAATCCATATAAATTTACTGAAATTTCCTATACCACGTTAGACGCAAACACATTCCTCTCAAAAAGTGCTTTAATTTTCAGCGAAATTTCTATCTTATTTTTATCATATTCATGCACGATAGGAATGAGTTTAAACGGAAGATTCACGTTTTCTGTTACCCTATAAGTCATTAATTCAAAAACGCCATCTTAATCTTAAATTACAGGTGGCTTCTGCCTATTGGTTATGCAGTCACCAAGGACCAATAAGGGTTTATCCACTTTGCGACGTCGTCTGTCAAGCTGGGTCCGGAAACAAATGGCTCCTCCACGAATCAGACCAATTACCATCTTTCTCCTCATTCATCCTTGATACCACGGACAGCAGAAGTGTTCGTCACATCCTTGCCTTGCGGTTCCAGTGTTGAGTGGGCAGACTATGAACTTCTGCCTTGAGTTCGAAAGGTTGTCCTCACAAAAATCCCAAAAATGATACTTTCGGCTAAAAGGAAAAAGTTAAAAGCCTGGGGCTTAATTCCTAGAGACCCGCTAGATATTTTCCCGATTAATCTAGCTCCGCTCATCAACTTTGGACCCTCCCTTCCCCTCAAGGTAAACTCCAATTCTGAAAGCGATTTGGGTTAGGCTCCGAAACGACATGGAATTGCTTACCTAGCATTTTTTGTGCATCTTTGAATTGAAAAAGCATGCCGGATATACTTTAAATATGTGCTCGAAGCTGCGTCGGGCCCAGGTGAGACGCCATTTTGAATGTTCAAAAATACCATCAGGAGGGATAAAAGTAATTGATCTGTCTCTATCAAATTTCCCTAGTCTTACACATTGGTGGAATTTTATATACCTGTATAAGAGCTCTCAAATTTTATAATGATCGATTATTAGCTATTTTTTATAAAAAATAAAAAGGATTCAATAAAAAGAAGCTTCTAGCTTATTTAATTAGCTATATCGTCAATAGCAATTCCTTTATCTCCAAGTACACTATTTCCATCTCCAGCCATTGCTAGCTTATCATTCATACCAAACTTGCATTCTGGCATAAAAGAAAGCTGACTTTTTACCATAATTTGCCCTTGGACTTCACTACGCAAAACAGTGCCTTGAGATGAAACAAGTACATGTAGACTTTCAATAACATCTATATATACTTCATTATTTTTGTGCCTGATATTATCTGGACGCCAACTCGTAATTCCTGTCGCTTGAATTAAAGCTCCTTGGATCTGATCATCTCTAATAGATTTCCTTAGCCCGCCTTGAGTAATGAATTGTTTTAACACCTCAGTCTCAGTCAGCTGGGGCAGGCCGAAATCCATAATTTCATCTAATAGCTCATAAATAAGCACGTAATTTTTTTTGATTGCATTTTCGTCAAACTCTCCATTAAAATAAGCCTTGAAAACCTCAACAGCTTTATACAGGAATTGCAGGATCATGGCGACGTTGATATTAGAAGCCGCTGCAGCAACCACAAAGATGTTGTTTTGGACTGTATGGATATAATGGACGCCATTTAAATAGACGATCGGCTGTTCTGATGCTTCTTTAGCGGCTACCACCTGGGTACAGAACTGGGACACTTCAGTACGGCTGACGTCGTCACGATATGACCGGTAAATCAAGACTTCTCCACGAGAATTTAGAAATAATAAAGCACTAGCCATTTCTTTATAAGAAAATTATAACTTGTCTATAAGAATCGTCAATTAAACTAAGAAAATAACGTAAAACACAAAGAAAATCACAAAAATCATGAAAACCTTGATGCCTAAGTTCCTGTTGCTGGTGACGTTTTGGTGGTATTTTTCGATTTCCTGTTTTCCTTTTTCTAAATTTAATAAGGCTTGATCAGTATTCTGGTCAATTCTTTCTACCATAAGCTGCTGCTCGTGGACAATTAAAGCTAATCTTTGGACCATCTGGGAGACTTCGGCCATTTGTTTTTCTACTTGTTCGACACTATCAGCTCTGGCTTGGAGTTCTGATAAATCATCAATTTGCTCTTGCACATTACCACCTATAGTATTCTTACTTTACTTCTAAAAAGCTTGGGGTGTCTCTTCTAGATAACTCTACTTCGTTGACAGAGGAAATTTCTTTTTGCTTAAGTTTATTGTCTTTGAGAAGCTTGGTTCTAGTTTGAAGCAGCTTTTGGAAATCTTTGATAAGGGATAGTAAACGCTGCTGGAGGATTTCTTTGATAATTTCAGTGTCGATAAAATGGTGAGCTAGAATGCCCTCTTAATAAATCTAGCCAAATAGAATTTTGGGCTATATGGAAGGGAATATAGAGTGCAGGTAGTGTATTCGGCTGAGTTTTTGTTGTTTAGGGTGGAGCGCACGACACGTGCTTAGATTCCGATCAACTTTTTCCCGTGCAGAGAGGCCTTTAGAAATGGAAAGGGAAGCCCAGCAAGGCTAAAGGCTGTCAGCTAGACAATCAGTCAAATATCTAGTCCAATGCCACGAGTTGTGTCTAGAAATTCGAGTTTCACTTCTTATAGCAGCCTGACCAGAAAATTCGTAATTCGGATATTCTGAAAGGCAAACCTCGTTAATGCACAGCATGATAACTTAGCGTTTCTGAAGCTCAGATGATGAGTGCAAGCCGGAGAGGAGCGGCAGAACGAAAAGCTGTATTCAATTGAAGAGCCAGCAGTGGGTTATGGCGATGAGCGCGGGCCTTATGGCCTGCCGGGAGCTTCACTATACTAATCTAACTTACTTAAAGTAATTTCAGCACATTCTCCACCTATTTGAACCCCTCGGACTTCTTCAAGCTTAATTTGGGACACTTTTATGCTGTCTTCAATTTGTTCGCTGAGTTGATGGATACGAGAACTTTGATTATTGAAAAGCGTGTTTTGCTTTGTTAGTTTGAATAAAGAATTAAGCATTTTGTGGGTTTCGACTAAAGAATTTAAATTTAAATTAAATTATGATGCCTTATTTTAAATTGGTCAAGGATGTTACCTCTGCAAGCTCACCACCACAGTGAGGAGCTACTGGCAGACATTGGAAACCTCGCCTAATACTACGCCTGACTTGATTCAGGGCGCCAGTTCGCTAAGCGCCTGAACCCTGGGCGTGGTTCCATTTTTACGCTGAGGACCTGTTCTCTTCAGAGTCCTAATTTGAGTAGGGACGTGACCTAATCTCGGGCACGATGGCTGACTGTGCTCTTTTTAATTCCATGTCAGGAGGAAAAATCCCATGTCCCAGATATCATACCCTATGGCCCAAGAAAGCTCTTCTTGAATACATTAAGAACATCATAGTGTTAAGAAAAGTGCGAAAAGAGGCTGGATGGTCTCCTCTGGCATACTAATATATATTCGACTAAAGAAAAATGCAATTTTCCAGCTTCGTTCATAAAGTGGCTGTCACTCGCTGAAATTTCTGAAGGCTGAAAGCGCTCTTGATAAGCTGACTTTAGAGGAGCTTTATAAGTCTGAGTTATAAGAAGCAGCTGAGGTGTAATATCAGTCATTTTTATACAAAAATAATAAACAGCCCAAACTTATTTTTAAATACATTTTATATTTACCAAAAATAAACCAATTTACTATTATAATTTTTTATTATTATTAAGCTAAAACCTGCAGGTTCGGGCATCTCAATCTTATGCTGTCTTGTGGACTAATATAAGCTTCATCCCTCATATATCCAATTATTTTCCTGAAGCACTCATCAAGACATTCAAGCTCTTCAAAACTTTCAAAATAAGGTGTATTTCGCTTATAAAGCTGGAAAAGCTTGCTCAGTCCTACAGGCTCTCTAGGCTCAGATCTGGGTGGGAGCTCTACAGACTCATTTTTTACTATTTGGGAGTCATGGATTTCTTCATTTTCTTCGTCACTTTTTTTCTCTTCAACCTCTTCTTCTTCACCATTTGCAACCTTGGGGGGAGGATAATGAACGACTGGGATGTACTCAATTTCAACGTTTTGTGCGGATTTTCTGTTACAAATTCGAATTACACTGATGATCTCGCCGAGTTTTTCTTCGAGGGTAAGGAAGGTGTCCATGCCTCGAGGGTACTCGTAAGGGTCTTCGGTTGAGCTGAAATGGGATAATAGGATTAATTGAGATCTGTAGGGGAGATATTTGGCTAAATAATCCTGGATTAATGAAAATTTCAATGATAATGGAAGCTGGATATGCTGAGATCTCATAGTCTGGATCAAATTTCCACGCTCTGAAAGTGTATTAATTTCTTCTGTAATCACAGATTCCATATTCACATGGAAAATATCATAATTTATGCACAAATTTTCGATATAATTTTCATAGTTTTTGTGGCAATCTCCATCCACTATAATGAATTTTTTGCTGAAAATTGAGTTTAGGTACTCTTTTGTTTTAGAAATCGTTTTTGAAGTATCAATCTGATAATAAATTTTAGTTTTCCAGCTATCTGGATCTAGTTCATGCTCATAGGCGACTTTCAACGAATCCAGCCACCCTAAAAATGGGTTTTCTTTTGCTGCTGAATCTTTAAACATCTCATGGTGTTCTTCTGTCAGTTCATCTTCTTCACCCAGCTCCAAGCTCACAAACAGTCTTTTTTCTAAAATAGGAAGATCAGTTACAGTATGCAGAACTGCATAAGGTTTCCCCATAGCTGCTATAAACTCATCTTTAATTCTATTGAAATATTCCACATTTTTATCTTTTTCTATCACTTCTTCATCTTCTTCATTTTCCTCTTTTTTTTCTTCTTCTGCGTCTAAAACCATAGTATCTGGAGGAAATCCGTCTAATAAAATAACTGCATTTGGCTTACTCCCCTCTCAGTGAGTGAACAAAAGCATTTGAAAAATCCCTATTTTTTTTGGGTGAACCCACCCTCTGTGAGCTAATAAAAAATTTTTTATAAAAAAATATTTTTGATATATAAGTAGCAATTATTATAAGATATCTCAATTTAGTTCTTTTTTAATATTAATCAGGTTGCATTTTGAAACTCAAAATTTTTTTAAATTATTTTTATATTTTAAAAAATTTCAGCATAAAGTTTATATATAATTTTTTTAAAAAAATAAGAGAACAAAAATTTTTTTGCTCACTCACGGAGGGGAATTAGAAGATTGGAAAACTAATTCTTCTATTATATCATGCCAGGTAACATTTTCATAGGGTTCTTCTTCGGTGCTTTTTTTAGCTTTAATTTGTTCTGGGAGCTCTTCATAATTAATAAGCTTATATTTGTGGTGCTCTGCTAGGTATTTAGCTATAGTGGATTTTCCAGTTAAATATTGTCCTAATACCACAATCCATTTTCCTTTTTTTCTATTAATTCGCTCTTGGAGGTCATGCTCAAAATATCTTAACCTCTCTTCTTCTGATAAGGCTGGGTTATAATAAATTTTGCTTAATCTGTTGTCTTTGGCGAGGCAGGTGTCGATGTCTTCTTTGTCGAGCTCAGACATAGAGAAATCATTGGGGTTGTTAATTATATGGTAAATTTTGTTTATTTTTGCACAGTCTTTTTCGAAGAATTTTAGCTCTTTTACACTGGCTGGGAATTTTCCTTTGATAATGAATTTTTTGCCAAAGCTGGAACCGTTGTATAAGGAGTCTTGGATTAAGCTGACTAGCAATTTTTTAGGGACGATTTTTCCGTTTTCTATATGTTGCATGATATTTTTGCCTTTGGGGGTTTGCCTTTTACATATCAAAGTCATTGATTCTTGTAAATTTACATCAGTGAATCCTAGCCCATGCAAATAATTAGAAAAACTTCCATCTTGGTCTTTTCTTATTATCACTACTTCTGGCTCCATATGGCTTGAAATCTGTTTCATCGAATTTTCTACCGTCAAATTTGCATTAATTTTAGCGAAATTTGGCTTTTTTTCTAATGCGTCTATAACTGGGGACATTTTTTTCATATAGCTTAAATACTCAACATTTATGTTAGGATTTGTCGATCTTTGCATTAGTTCTTCTTTATATAAGGCAATATAAAATATTTTCTTAGGTTTTGCATAAGCAAGCTCAAATTGTTTTAAATTGTAAAGAGTAGTTGGGAACCCTTCAATTAGGAATCTCATAGAGCTGGTCCTTTCCATTGTTTGCATAACTCTGGAGGATATAGAGTTGTCGTCTGTAATCCTTACAGGTCTTCCACTGACATCTTTGTCCCAAACAATGCTTTCTAAATCAATAAATTGTAAGTTGTATTTTTCGGCCATTTTGGACCCGATTGTGGACTTTCCACAGCCAGGAGCACCTATGATGAAGAAGACTTCTGGCCTTATGGCAAGTTTGAATTTCTTGAAAGAAACCTCTGGTGTTCCGATTGCTTCTGTTTCTTTGACAGCTCCAAATTGTTTATAAAATTCAATGATTTCGTGTTTTTGGTTTAAATAGTGCTCAATTTGTTCTAAATTTTTATTCTTTTTCGAAAAAAAATGTTTATTAATTTACAAATTTTTTACTGTTTTATATTAAAATTAACCATTTGCTTTAAAATTTTTAATTCTTTTGTATATTAATTAGGATATTTCTACCTTGCAGCTGTTCAAAATAAGCTTGTTTATCATTAATAGCAAAATGAACAATCAGCTTTATTTCTGCGACTCTTTTCTCGAACTCCAAAGCTTCATCTAAGCTTTTCAAAAATCCTGAAATTATGTATGAGTGGTTTGGGTTGATAGAAATTTCTCTTGAAAGCAAACTTACTCTAATATCTTTAGAAGGAACATGACCTGCTTTAAGCATTTTTTCTATTTGTTGGCCATCTTCACTTCCTCGTTTGATTTCTGCTTGCATTAAAGCTTTCATTGAAATGTGGTAGCAGCCTTGCTCAGAGCTTAGCCTTTCTGCTTGAGTTTTTTTCCCAGAAGATGGAGGACCGTGAAGAAATATGATTTTTGGGCTTGGAAAGGCATTAGAAAAAACTGGATTTTTGTGAGTAACTGTTCTTTCCATTTATATAATCTAAAAGGATTATCAAATTAAATTAGAAGAAATAATCAAGAATTTAATTATCATAAATTCAATTTTAAAGGAATATTTTTAATTATTTTTCTTCATAAATAATCCGACTTATTCATAATAAAAAATATAATTATTTTAGTATTTTTAATAAATGCACAAAAGAATGGAGTTTTCAATGAAACAAATTAATAATAAAGTTATCTATAATAGGCTAAATATAAATTTCTAAATTCTTTTTATTTGGAGAGCAATTAAGATTGCTTAATTTTGAAATAAAAATGGAAATTGTTTTCTGATGATTATTAATAGCAAAAAAGCTCTAAATTTTTGTATGTTAGATATACTTTATAGTAATGTAAAAAATAGGAACAATTATTAGAAGATAAATTAAGAAAATTTATATAATCCTTTGAATTTCTTATTAAGCCTCTGGTAGGGAAAAAATAATTGACCATCTGTTTCAAGATGCAAATTATTTTTTCTTAGCTAGCTAGCTTCAAATCCAAATAACAATTATAGCATGGCATCTTTATGGATCGCTTAACCTCAGCTCCACTTGGTAAGTGGAGTTGGAGGCTCGAACGATACATAAGGATGATCAAGCTATATATATATAATTTAATGCTATTAGAAAAAAAACTTCTAATGGAGAATGATCAAATCTTAAACATCAACCCTGCATTTAAGCATTTATTAGATAAATGCAATATCAACCCAAGCCATTTAAGATCCAACAGTTTCGACATACCCCAGCCAATCAGAAACCAGCAGAGAATTAATTTGCATTTTGTGTCAAAATCAATAAATTCAATTCCAAAGACTAAAATGTCCAAAAATGAGTGCACAATAAAGTTTAAACCTGAAGATCTTACCTCAATTAAAATTGCAATAAAAGACACATTTAATACAAATAAAACTTGTAAATTAGAAAATTCTGATGAAAATTATAATGCAACAGAGTCTATGCCATTTATATGGAATTTCTATTTTTTTGGTTTATGAAGAGGCTATATCAAATTTTTATATTATAGTATATACCAACTGAAAATACACAAGAAGAAAAGCCAAAAATAGAAGAAAAATCAATATTAAAATTAAAAGAAAATGCAGTAGATGACATGAAAAATACTATATCTTACAAGGAGCTAATAAATTACAAAACTGGGGACTTAAAAAAGAGGAAAAAAACAGTTCACATAGCACAAGACCCTTTTTCTTACCCAAACTTAAAACATGAACAAAACAGTATTGTATTCGCTAGACCATTTACTACCACAGCAAAGAACCCTTACAAAATGTCTTTTACAGAGTATTGTTATTGGGACAATTCACATAATAATACTATTAGCAGATCCAAACCAAAGAAAAAAACTATTGGAAAGCCCAAAAAAATTTGCAGAAACATCACAACACCTCCAGTCCACAAAATTTTTGATTCTTTAGGGCTGGTCAAATTAAGTGAAAAATTAAAAATTGGCAAAACAAATAGAAGCTCAAGTGAAATAAGACCTAGACAAGTAGCCAGAAATGCAGATGATGCCAATAAAAGCTATAATCATATCATAGAAACCTGTGAAAAAGAACATTTTATTTATAAATCGTTTGTAAAAGGGTTTAAACAAGAAGGCGAATCAATTGTAAATAAATTCAGAAGATTGAACCAAGAAAATTCAAGTGAAAAAATGAAGCTAAAAATATGAGAAAAAGAAGAAATTGTGAAATATAAGAAAAATCTTAATGAGATGACAAAAACACAAATGCTAGCTTTTAAATCGATAAATGAGAGAAGAGAGATAAAAATTAGAGGGGTCACTGGGGATTATTTCAGCCCCTACCCTTAAATGAATTAGCTTCGCGCTCCAGTGGTGCTAATCACTTTTCCCATCATACGCCCTTTTCCGTTGACGTTATGAAAAATTGTGACGTCGACATCTTTCGGGAAAGACTCACCCGAACCTGCTTGGACAAAAAATTGCAGCAAAGGAATCTCTTAACCCTTGTTAGTGCTCAGAGTGCGAGGGGATCGTCCAAAGCCTCCTTATGGAACTACCTCCGCCATTTAAAGGCAGGATAATGCTCCTCCAGAAGTGCCCGATTGGTGTTGGGCTGTCGGTCTTCTCATCTGTGGGTCGTGAAAGAGGCCAAGTCAGCCCAATCCTGTTCCTCAATCCACAATCCCCATCTCATGTGGCACCGTGGCCCTTCGGGGCACCTTTTATTTTGTGAACCCTGAATTCGGAATTTTTTGGTCGCTCCAAAGCAGAGGTTCCGTCATCTGCCATGATAGTGGGAATTATAAATGAGAGAAGGATTTCGAAATGCAGCAATAGCGATAAATTACTGCTGCATCTATAATAAATTAATTATATTAATAATCATTAATTTTTTAAATTTTTCCCATAGGTTTGAGGATGCTAAAACATTTCATTATATTGATAAAAGATGATTCAAATTTTTGTTAAAGGTCTTAAACAATTATTCATTAAGATTTCGATAATTACACTTTCTTATATATTAAAGGACTGAATATTATCTTCGTTTATCGAATAGGGCAAAGAAAGAATCTTATAATTTAAAAAATTCCCTTTAAATCGGAGTGAGCAGAGTTATTTATCTAATGAACCTATTTAGAAGTTTATTAAAAACATAATGATCAACAAGAAAGAATAAGCTATAAATGATAATTTTAAACAGGCTTAATCTTTTCAACCTCTTTTTCCTTCATATCAAATTGATATAGCTCAAAATTACGAGATGTGAAATAAACTTTATTTTGCCAAGTTACTTTATTTCCAATCATCTCGCAATTTTCAATGATAGATGAGCTACTTACAATATTTCAGCTTTTTCATTCATGATTGCTTTCATAAATATTTCTTCCTGTTTCGATCACATAAGCATTTTTATAATTTCCACATACAATTTTTCTAAATAGTCCTTGCTGTATATTATATACAAAATAAATGGTTTATTTCCGCTCTTTAAATGGGAGCAAAACATTGGTAAATATTTCGTTTTTTGGGCACTAGCCTTATAAATTAAAATGGCGTGGGGAAATAGCCCATCTTTTTAACCCTTGCAGTTTGTATCCTACAGGGTGCCTGGGGACCTTGAGGAAGGGAGAATGGGATTCAGGAATGTGTATCCGGCTAGGGTTTTCTTGGTTTAGTGAAGCGCAATGTCAGGCTGCCGAACTTATGCTTTAATCCAATACCAATTGTTATAAAATTAGCTTTTGACCTAATTTAATAAAAAAAACAAGCAAGATGCACAAACAGTTTCGCACTGAATCAATGAATTTTTTTAATTTAATTCTCTATAAAAATAAAATAAAATTTAAAGTATTGTGCTAAAATTAATTTATATTTTTTTTAAAAATTTATTTCAAAACAAATTAAAGATGAGAATACTAATTTTAATAATTTAATTTTGACCTAATTTAATAGAAAAAGTGACTTTTTAAACAGTTTTTTTAAAAGAATCAATTATTTTTTTTAATTATTTCTTCATAAAATAAAGTAATATACTCAATTTTTATTTCTAAGATTTTAAAATGTTTTATAGAGAAAAATTAAAATAAATGCAGCCCTCCTTTAAATTTAAACAGGATCTTTTGTTCAATTTTAAGACGATTAGTTAGCAAAATAAGAAAACCTGCGCTCACCAGCACTTGTTATAGTAAAGAAAGCTATGGACTCATTATTTAAAACTATAGAAAAGCAGCCAATACCTTTCCTTATACATGAATTCTGAGACCTCATTAGATGCCTAAATCTTAACCTAATAAAGGCTGTATATTATACAGTTCAATGCAGCTTTGCTTATATATATCATAGCAATATATCTTTGAGTGCTCCCTTCCTGATAGCAAAATTTTGTTTTTTTTAGCAATGCAAGCTACATGTGAAGATGGAATTGGCAAAGATTCCAAGTTTTCTCATTTTTCTTTTAATAAATCATATTTAAATACATTGCCTGCATAGCTTCCGTTTCATCCTCCTAATATATAAACACAATCTTTATAATAAATTAAGCCTGAACATGATTATTTATGAGGTGCATTTTTTACCTTTCTTATTGTATTATCGGACTCAATAATAAATACAGAGTCTGTAGAGTTTGGATAATCTCCATAGCAAAAAATTGAATTTTCAGGCATCGAACACATAGATATAAACATACTTTTGGGACTATCCAATGGAAGGTGAAATTCAGATGATGAATAATTAGATAAATTTATCCTCACAATCTTTTGGGAATTATCTCTAAAAAATTCATTTTGATTAGACTCTTCTTTAGGATTTTGTTCTTCGATACGTAAATTTGAGGCATCAAGTATATTTTGATTTGGATTCGATATAATTTCTGGATAATAATAAAATGGCATTATCAGAATTAGTTCTCTTCGAAAACTCCAATCTCAGCGAATTTTTTCATTATGATGCAGTTTTCCCAGTGGCCTTTATCCATATATATCAGGAATGTCTAGTTCATAGACTAAGACTATAAAAAATTGCTATTTTTCAGGTAAAAACCCAGCCTCCGTGAGCGAACAAAAAAATATATTGGCATATAAGTGATAATTAGTATAATTAAATCTATAGCTAATTCTGTTGATTTTAAAACATAAATTTTGCAAATTAAATTTATTTTTGCTCTTTTTTCAAACATTTATATATAAATTTTTAAAAAAAATTAGAGCAAACAAATTTTTTGTTCATAAGAAAGATAATTTGAAAAAAATTTAGAAGGCAGAATGATTCAACGTAATTCTAATAATTTCTGCCGAAAGAAATTTAATAATCATGTTCCGTTGCTCTTTTATAGCTTTGTCAAATGATTTTAAGGTAATTTCCATCTGTTTATTAAGCTGCATGATCTGTGCTGATAAGTCTTTTACAATTTTTTGTTTGGATTTATATAAATGCGATATTGATTTGTGGAGATGATTAATAAGCTTACGCTTGGCTATAGGATTTGGTATTATTATTATTTGCTCTGGAAAATTTTGGGAGTTTGTGTGAATTTTAAGATGCTCCTCAATATGAGAATCGCATAAATAAATAGGAGGATCTGTACATGTGCATAAAAACTCAAGCTTATGCTTACAATGGTCTCTCCAACATTTCATTTTATTTGATAAACTTTAATTAATTTCTCAATATTAGTGGCTAATTGTATGTATATTGTATCAGCCAGATTAGTAATAAATGTTGAGCATAAAAATTACATTGGAATTTGAAGAATCAAAATGATCTAAAATTACATAATAAAATATTGTTAAATTGTTTTAATCTTCTGAATTTTCTTTTCTCTTAAGTCAAACTCATATAAATTATAATTGCTAAACGCAAAATAAACCTTACCTTGTCATCTCACTTTGCATCCAATCAGCGGGGTATTTTCAATTTCTGAGCTTCCTAATTCTTTCCACATCATCCATTCAAAATCGCTTTCATAATCACTTTCATAAATATTTCCGCATGCTTCTATCACATAATAGTTCTTTCTATTTCCACATAAAATTTTGGTATAGTTTGCTTTAACACTTTGCAGTTCAGTGTAATTATTTTGAATTATATCATAGCAATATGTCTTTGAGTGCTCCCTTCCGGATAATCATATTTTTTTTTCTGCAAAAGATACGAATGAAGAAAAAGCTGGCATAATGTTTAAATTTTTCCAAGTGCCATTTTTTAAACTATACTTGGATGCGTGAATTGTAGCCATACTTGATCATCCTCCAAAAATATAGACGCCATTCTTACTCCACCCTTTAATTTGGAACAAAATATTAATTTTTCAATGGTAAATTTAATTTTTATATAAATAGCTTTGACCTCATTTAAAATGCTATTTAAACAATTAGTACACTGATTTGATTAATATTTTGAATTAAATATATATATAATAAATTAAAATTTAAAAATATTGCATTCATTTTAGGTATTTTATAAAAAAATTTAACCACCTTTAAATTGGGATAATTTTGTTGCTCCAATTTAAAGAGAACGCAAGTTATAATAAATTGAGCTAGAACCCACTAAGCTAGTCGGAGCATTAGATACCTGACTTACATTATTATTTTCTTCAATAATAAACGCAGTAAAATTTCCATAGCAAAAATTTGCATTTCCAAAGATTAAGCACATTGATATATACTGGCTTTGAATATGATCCAACGAGATACTATACTCGGTTGATGAGTAATTATTTAAATGTGATTTTACAATTTTCATCGTCCGATCACGAAACACTATAAATTCATTTGATTCGCCTAAAATTATTTTTCAATTAATTTTCCTTCATTATTAATAAAGAACTTTGACTCATTGAAAACATCAAAAAAATTTTTAAGCCTTTCTATTGATTCTTCTGGCTTTAGAGTCAAAATTTTATTGATTTTGCTATCATTTAGTTTCGATATAACTTCGATTGAGTTTATTAGAAAAATTATCTCACAGTGGCTTTTAATGGTTTCGTTAAAAGATTTCAGTGTATTTTTTTATTGTTTCATTGAGAAGCTTAATTTGCATTGATCAGTCTGAAATAGTTTTTCGCTTGAATTCATAAAGATTTGATAGTGATATGCGAAGATATAGTAATTGCCCGAGGATGGCGCAAGATAGCGCCATCCTCGGGCAATTACAATAGTCAATAAGTGCTTTCTTAGCTATTTCATTTGGTATAATTGCTAAGACTCAGGCTTATGACCAAGTTTAGATCTAATTTTAAGATGTCTGCTAATATGAAAATCGCATGAATAAATTGCAGGGGTTGTACATGGCATACAAATTCCATAATGTTCGTATAATTTTCTTTTCAGCACCTCATTTTATCGTTATAGAATTAAAGCATTCTGAATATACAAGTAAAATAATAATTTTAAAAAATTGATTGCTAATCGACAATGAAAGGAAAAAGCATCTTTAATTTAAAAGAGGAGTCAGTGGCATGAAATTCAATATTTAGAAATATTACTAATAATTAGTTCCCCCTCCATGAACGATTAAAACGATTAAAAAATCCCTATATATTGGGTAAAGCTCCAGCCTTTGTGAGCAAACCAAAAAAAAAATTTATATATAAGTGATAATTAATATAACGAAGTCTCGAGCTAATTGTGTTTAACTTAAAACAGCTTGCATTTTAAAACATAAACTTTGCAAATTAAATTAATTTCTACTTCTCATTTGATTATTTTAATGTTTTTTAACAAAATAATTAACCCCTCCTTTATCGAGCAAAATTTTATTCTCCCTCACGAAAGCGAGGTAGTGAGTATTATATATGCCCATATTATTAGTAGCGCACAATTCAAATTTTTAAATATATTTTCTAATATGCACTAAGCCATAGTTATTGATCTCTAATGAAATCTTTTAAATATTTTTTATTTTTTTGCATCTCTTTTCTTTCATATCAAATTCATAGAAATTATTAGTGCAAAAAGCAAAATAAGCTTTATTTTGCCATAAAACTGTGCATCCAATTAAGACATTATTTTCAGTTCCTGAACTGCCTATTGTGCTCCAATAATTTCATTCTTGATTTCCTTCATAAATGTATCCACCTGCTTCTATCACATAAGCATTTTTATTATTTTCACATATAATTTTTCTTCATATTCCTGCTTGAATGTTATGCAGCTCAATATAACTATTTTGAATAATATCATAGCAATAGATCTTTGAGTGCTCTCTGCCAGATAGTAAAATCTTATTATTTTTAGCAATGCATGATACAAATGTGGATTTAGCTGGCAAAGGATTCAGGTTTTCTCATTTGTTTTCTAAAAAATAGTATCTATACGCATTATTTACATGAGCTTGTCCTGTATATCCTCCAAAAACATAAACACTCTTATTATAATAAATTGAACCACTGACACCCAGTTTATCGGGCGCATCAATTACTTTCTTAACATTAGTATTCGAATCAATAATAAATGCATTTGCAGTATTTGGATAATTTCCACAGCAAAAAACTGAGTTTCCTGGAATAATACACATAGTTGTATAAACACTTTGTGGACTGTTCAATGAGATATTCAATTCAGTCGATGAATAATTATTATTTAAATCTGTTTGCACAATTTTTGTTGAATTATCGCGGAAAATAATAAATCTATTTGATTCAATCATTAAAGGCACTTTTGTTAATTTTCCTGTATCATCTATAAAGAATTTGGATCTATCAAAAATATCAAAAGAATCTTTAAGTAGGTTAATTGCTTCTTCTGGCTCTGCAACCAGTATTTTATCTATTTGAGTCTTTCTGAAATTAGATATTACTTCTACTATCTGTATTTCAGAAATTATTTTGCGTTGATTTTTTATAGAATCGTCAAATGATTTCAATGCAATTTTCATTTTCTCATTAATTTGCTTAATTTGCATTGAAAAATCTAAAACAGTTTTTTTTCTTAACTCATATAAATCTGATAGCGACTTATGAAGGCAATCAATAAGAGCTCTTTTTGTTTCTGGATTTGGTGAAATTGTTAAGGGATCTGGAAGATGCCTAGATCGAGACGCAGTTTTCATATGGGCAGCAATATGTGTATCACATGAATAAACAGGAGGATCTGTGCATGGGCAAGCAAATTCCAACTTGCTTTCGCATTGGTCTTTTCAGCACTTCATTTTATAAATTATTGCATTATCTGATTTTATGGATAATTTCTTTTGCGACTTATTAAATAGATTTAGGTTCGAAAGTCTTAGTTATGAAGCTTTATCAATATCAATAATTTTTCATCGAGCGTATTTGCAATTATTTTTTAATATGGCTTGATTAAGTTCTTCAAAGTAAATCGTTTACAAATATAATAAAATTATTTTTATTTAATTTCTTTAACCCCTTGCTTGGCTAAATTTTTGAACAGAAATTTTCTATGCTTGGGAAAAAATTCCAATTAGAATTTAAAGATGACATGGTTGCAGCAATTAACAATTTAAGCACTATATTTTTATGCTTAGAGAGATGCTTGATTTTCTATGACTTGCTTTTTATATAAGACAAAACATTATTATATTTATTCATGCTGATTGCTATTATTATAATGAAATAACTATAGACTACTATATTGATCAATTTTTTCCTCAAATATCCGCCTTGCTTTAATTATTTCTCAATGCATTAATTTTGTTATTTATTTTTTCAATCCACTTTCCAATCTTTGTTTTAAAACCTCCTAAAATATTCAACTAAAAATATAATTTTACTTAAAGGAAAATGTTAAATCAAAATTATATATAAAAATAAGAATGATGGATTTTGATATTGAAGACCAAGTATCAAATTTTTATTTAATTAGAGAGAATTGCAAAGAATAGCTAGCTACTGAACTCAAATGAATTTAAGTGAATTTGATTCTTTGAAGGCCAAAAGTCTTTACAGTTAATTTCTGTAAAAATTATTATTATTATTAAGCATTATATATGCCCATATTAACAGTAGCGCACAATTCAAATTTTTAAATGTATTTTTAATATGCACTAAGTTATAGTTATTGATCTCTAATGAACTCTTTTATATTTTTTTTATTATTTTACATTTCTTTTCTTTCATATCAAATTCGTATAAATTATATTCACAAAAAGCAAAATAAGCTTTATTTTGCCATAAAACTGTGCACCCGATTAAATTGGTATTTTCAGTTCCTGAACTGCCTATGTGCTTCAGGCTTTTCATTCTTGATTTCCTTCATAAATATATCCATCTGCTTCTATTACATAAGCATTTTTATTATTTTCACATATAATTTTTCTTCATATTCCTGCTTGAATGTCATGCAGCTCAATATAACTATTTTGAATAATATCATAGCTATAGATCTTTGAGTGCTCTCTGCCAGATAGTAAAATTTTATTATTTTTAGCAATGCATGACACAAATGAGGATTGAACTGGCAAAGGATTTAGGTTTTCTCATTTGTTTTCTAATAAATAGTATCAATACGCATTATTTACATAAAAATGCCCCGTATATCCACCAAAAACATAAACACTGCTATTATAATAAATTGAACCACTGAGACTCAGACTATCGGGTGCATAAATTACTTTCTTAACATTATTGTTCAAATCAATAATAAATGCAGTATTTGCAGCATTTGGATAATTTCCACAGCAAAAAACTGAGTTTCCAGGAATAATACACATAGTTGTATATTGACTTTGTCGATTGTTCAATTAGATATTGAATTCAATTGATGAATAATTATTATTTAAATCTGTTTTCACAATTTTTTTGGATCCATCGCGGAAAATAATAAACTTATTTCATTCATTTTTGAAAGGCTCTATTTTTGATAATATTCCTACACCGTCTATAAAGAAGTTGAATCTATCAAAAATATCAAAAGTACCTTTAAGGAGGTTAATTGCTTCTTCTGGCTCTGCAGCCAGTATTTTATCTATTTGAGTCTTTCTGGAATTTGACATTACTTTTACTATCTGTATTTCAGAAATTATTTTGCGTTGATTTTTTATAAATTCGTCAAATGATTCCAATACAATTTTCATTTTCTCATTAATTTGCTTAATTTGCATTGAAAAATCTAAAACAGTTTTTCTCCTTAGCTCATATAAGTCAGATAGCGACTTGTGAAGACAATCAATAAGAGCTCTTTTTGTTTCTGGATTTGGTGAAATTGTTAAGGGCTCTGGAAGATGCCTAGAATTAGATGCAGTTTTCATATGGGCAGCAATATGTGTATCACATGAATAAGCAGGAGGATTTGCGCATGGGCAAACAAATTCCAACTTATTTTCACATTGGTCTTTTCAACACTTCATTTTATAAATTATTGCATTATCTGATTTTATACATAATTTCTTTTAATTATTTATACTGAGAGTCTATTAAATAGATTTAGTTTTCGAAAGTCTTAGTTATGAAATTTTATCAACATCAATGCATTTTCATGGGCGTATTTGCCATTATTTTTTAAAGTCGCTTAATATGGCTTAGCTAAGTTCTTGGAAGTAAATCGTTTACATTTTAATTAAATTATTTTATTTAACCCCTTATTTGGCTAAATTTTTTGAACAAACATTTGCTATTGTTTAATAAAAAATTTCCAATTAGAATTTAAAGATGACGTGGTTGCAGCAATTAACAATATAGGCATTATATTTTTATGTTAGAGAGATGTTTGATTTTCTATGGATTGCTTAACTATTTAAGAAAAAAAAATATTATATTTATTCATGTTGACTGCTATTATTATAATGAAAGAGCTATAGCCTATTATATGGAACAATTTTATTCCTAAAATATTCGCCTAGTTTTAATTATTTCTCCTGTGCATTCCTAATTTTGTTATTTATTTCTTCAATCCAATTTCCAAGCTTTGTTTTTAAAACCTCCTCAAAAATCCAACTAAAAAGTATAATCTCACTTAAACTAAATAAGTAAAAATCCGTATTAAATATAAAAATAAGAATGATAGATATTGATATATAAGATCAAGTATCAAATTTTCATTAAATTAGAGTAAATTGCTTAGAATGGCTACCTACTGAGATCGAACGAATTTAAGTGAATTTGATTCTTTTAAGGCCAAAAGTCTTTATAGTTAAATTATATAAAAACTATTATTAGTATCTTAGCGAGTAAAACGACTGGAAAATCCTTAATGTTGGATAAAACTCAAGCCTTCGTAGCAAACAAAAAAAATTTATATATAAGTGATAATTAGTATAATGAAATCTCGAGTTGATTTTGTTTAATTTTAAACAGCTTTCATTTTAAACATAAACTTTGCAAATTAAATTAAATTTTACTTCTCAAATTTGCGAATTGGATTATATTTTTTTTAACAAATTATTAACCCCTCCTTTATTGAGCAAAAATTTTTTTCTCACTTACAAAAGAGAGGTTAAGTATTATATATGCCCATATTATCAGTAGCTCACAATTCAAATTTTAAATATATTTTCTAATATGCACTAAGCTATAGTTATTAATCTCTAATGAAATATTTTATTTTCTAATATTTACTAAGCTATAGTTATTAATCTCTAATGAAATATTTTAAATAGTTTTTATTTTTTTGCATTTCTTTTTTTTCATATCAAATTCATATAAATTATATCCACAAAAAGCAAAATAAACTTTATTTTGCCATAAAACTGTGCATCCAATTAAGTCGGTATTTTCAGTTTCTGAACTGCCTATTGTGCTCCAGGCTTTTCATTCCTGATTTCCTTCATAAATGTATCCACCTGCTTCTATCACATAAGCATTTTTATTATTTTCGCATATAATTTTTCTTCATATTCCTGCTTGAATGTCATGCAGCTCAATATAACTATTTTGAATAATATCATAGCAATAGATCTTTGAGTGCTCTCTGCCAGATAGTAAAATCTTAATGTCAGCTGAAGATCTTGCTTCTATGCCTCGGCATTTGAGGAAATACTTGAAAAGGAAAATCTATTAGCCAAATCATTAACACTCTTTTAGTAGTTGGAAGTAAATATTCTAAGTTTTTGTATTGTTTTTAGCAATGCATGATACAAACGAGGATTGAACTGGCAAAGGATTTAGGTTTTCTCATTTATTTTCTAAAAAATAGTAGTATTCTGTTTTATAATAAGCCTTTATTAAGTTTTTTACTTCTAAAGAAAGCACTTTTTCTGTGTAATTATGCATATCTATACGCATTATTTACATAAAAATGCCCCGTGTATCCCCCAAAAACATAAACACTGTTATTATAATAAATCGAACCACTGAGACCCAGCTTATTATCCACATTAATTACTTTCTTAACATTATTATTCAAATCAATAATAAATGCAGTACTTGCAGCCTGAGGATAATTTCCATAGCAAAAAACTGAGTTTCCAGGAATAATACACATAGTTGTATATTGACTTTGTCGACTGTTCAATGAGATATTGAATTCAATTGATGAGTAATTATTATTTAAATCTGTTTTCACAATTTTTTTGGAGGCATCGCGGAAAATAATAAATCTATTTGATTCATTTTTGAAAGGCTCTATTTTTGATAATATTCCTACACCGTCTATAAAGAAGTTGAATCTATCAAAAATATCAAAAGAACCTTTAAGAAGGTTAATTGCTTCTTCTGGCTCTGCAGCCAGTATTTTATTTATTTGAGTTTTTCTGGAATTTGATATTACTTCTACTATCTGTATTTCAGAAATTATTTTGCGTTGATTTTTTATAAATTCGTCAAATGATTCCAATGCAATTTTCATTTTCTCGTTAATTTGCTTAATTTGCATTGTAAGATCTAAAACAGTTTTTCTCCTTAATTCATATAAATCTGATAGCGACTTGTGAAGACAATCAATAAGAGCTCTTTTTGTTTCTGGATTTGGTGAAATTGTTAAGGGATCTGGAAGATGCCTAGATCGAGACGCAGTTTTAATATGGGTACTAATATGTGTATCACATGAATAAACAGGAGGATTTGCGCATGGGCAAACAAATTCCAACTTATTTTCACATTGGTCTTTTCAGCATTTCATTTTATAAATTATTGCATTATCTGATTTTATACATAATTTCTTTTAATTATTTATACTGAGAGTCTATTAAATAGATTTAGTGTTCGAAAGTCTTAGTTATGAAGCTTTATCAATATCAATGCATTTACATGGGCGTATTTGCAATTATTTTTAAAGTCGATTCAATATAGCTTAACTAAGTTCTTCAAAGTAAATCGTTTACATGCAATTAAATTATTTTTTTTAATTTCTTTAACCCCTATTAGGCCAAATTTTTTGAACAAAAATTTTCTATGGCTTAGTAAAGAAATTCTAATTAGAATTTAAAGATGAAGTGGTTGCAGCAATTAACAATTTAAGCATTATATTTTTATGTTAGAGAGGTGCTTGATTTTTTATGGATTGTTTAATTATTTAAGAGAAAAATTATTATATTTATTTATTTTGACTGCTATTATTATAGTAAAACAGCTATGGCCTATTATATGGAATAATTTTTTCACAAGTATTGGCATAGTTTTAATTATTTTTCCTGTGCATTCCTAATTTTGTTATTTAATTCTTCAATTCACTTTTTAAGTTTTGTTTTTAAAATCTCCTAAAATATCAAACTAAAAAGTATCATCTCACTTAAACTAAATAAGTAAAATCCATATTATATATAAAAATAAGAATTATGGATATTGATATTTAAGATCAAGAATCAAATTTTCATTGAATTATAGTAAATTGCTTAGAATGGCTACCTACTGAGATCGAACGAATTTAAGTGAATTTGATTCTTTTAAGGCCAAAAATCTTTATAGTTAAATTATATAAAAACTATTATTAGTAAGTATTATATATGCCCATATTATCAGTAGCTCACAATTCAAATTTTAAATATATTTTTAATATGCACTAAGCTATAGTTATTAATTTCTAATGAAATATTTTAAATAGTTTTTAATTTTTTGCATTTCTTTTCTTTCATATCAAATTCATATAAATTATATCCACCAAAAGCAAAATAAGCTTTATTTTGCCATAAAACTGTGCATCCAATTAAGTTATTATTTTTTTCAGTTCCTGAACTGCCTATTGTGCTCCAATAATTTCATTCCTGATTTCCTTCATAAATATATCCACCTGCTTCTATTACATAAGCATTTTTATTATTTTCACATATAATTTTTTGTCCTAATTGAATGCTATGCAGCTCAATGTAACTATTTTGAATAATATCATAGCAATAGATCTTTGAGTGCTCTCTGCCAGATAGTAAAATCTTATTATTTTTAGCAATGCATGATACAAATGAGGATTGAACTGGCAAAGGATTCAGGTTTTCTCATTTGCTTTCTAATAAATAGTATCTATACGCATTAATTACATTAGAATACCTTGTATGTCCTCCAAAAACATAAACACTACTATTATAATAAATTGAACCACTGAGACTCAGACTATCAGGTGCATTAATTATTTTCTTAACATTATTATTCGAATCAATAATAAATGCAGTATTTGCAGTATTTGGATAATTTCCATAGCAAAAAAATGAGTTTCCAGGAATAATGCACATAGTTGTATAATGACTTTGTGGACTGTCCAATGAGATATTGAATTCAGTCGATGAATAATTATTATTTAAATCCATTTGCACAATTTTTGTTGAATTATTGCGGAAAATAATAAATTTATTTGATTCATTTATGAAAGGCGCTATTTTTCCTATATCATCTATAAAGAAGTTGAATCTATCAAAAATATCAAAAAAATCTTCAAGTAGCATAGTTGCTTCTTCTGGCTCTGAAGCCAATATTTTATTTATTTGAGTCTTTCTGGAATTTGATATGACTTCTACTATCTTTATTTCAGAAATTAATTTGTGTCGATTTTTTATAGAATCGTCAAATAATTCCAGCACAATTTTCATTTTCTCATTAATTTGCTTAATTTGCATTGAAAAATCTAAAACAGTTTTTCTCCTTAATTCATATAAATCTGATAGCGACTTGTGAAGACAATCAATAAGAGCTCTTTTTGTTTCTGGATTTGGTGAAATTGCTAAGGAATCTGGAATATGCCTAGATCAAGGCGCAGTTTTAATATGGGCAGCAATATGTGTATCACATGAATAAACAGGAGGATCTATGCATGGGCAAGCAAATTCCAACTTATTTCCACATTGGTCTTTTCAGCATTTCATTTAATAGTATATTGCATTATCTGATTTCTGCATAATTTCTTTTACGACTTATTAAATAGATTTAGTGTTCGAAAGTCTTAGTTATGAAGCTTTATCAATATCAATGCTTTTTCATCGAGCGTATTTAATATGGCTTAGCTAAGTTCTTCAAAGTAAATCGTTTACATTTTAATTAAATTATTTTTATTCAATTTCTTTAAAATGATGTGGTTGCAGCAATTAACAATTTAGGCATTATATTTTCATGCTTAGAGAGATGTTTGATGATCTATAGTTTGCTTAACGATTTAAGAAAAAAATTGTTATATTTATTCATTATTATAATGAAAGAGTTAAAATAAGATCCTAGAAATTTAATCATCTAGGGCTAAAACATAATAATAAATATATGATCGCATTATAGAAAAAATATGCTTACCTATAAAAAAAAATGCATCCATAAATAATTGCATTTAAATTAAGATACTTTTATCCTTCATTATCCCAGGCCCAATTATTTGTACAAAAAAACTATTAATGTTATATATATATGGCATAAATCAGTAGCATATAATCCAATATTTAAAAAGTTTACTAATTATGCGCTAAGCTTTAGTTTAGTTGATAATTTCTAATAAAGAATATCTATCTTTTTGCATTTTTTTTCCTTCATATTAAACTCATATAAATCATACCCTTCAAAACAAAAATAAGCGCTGTTTTCCCATAAAACTTTGCATCCAATTAATTCTTTACTTATAATGCCTGAATTTCCTATTGTTCTTCAGGCTTTTCATTCCTGATTTCCTTCATAAATATGTCCACCTGCTTCTATTACATAAGCATTTTTATTATTTTCACATATAATCTTTCTTCACTGTCCTTGCTGAATGTTATGCAACTCATTGTAACTATTTTGAATAATATCATAGCAATAGATTTTTGTGTGCTCTCTGCCAGATAGTAAAATCTTATTATTTTTAGCAATGCATGAAACAAATGTTGACTTCAATGGCATAGGATTTAAGTTTGCTCATTTATCTTCTCATAAATAATATTTAAAGGCGCCACTTCATATTCCGCTTGTTGTAGATCCACCAAAAACATAAACGCTATCATTATAATAAATTGAACCAGAAAGCCCAATACTAAATGGAGTATCAGCTACATGCTTTAGCATCTTATTTGGTTGAATAATAAAAGCAGACTTTTTAGGAGTAGGATAATATCCACAGCAAAAAATTGAGTTATCAGGAATTAAACACATTGTTGTAAATTGGCTTAGCGGACTATCCCATGAGATATTAAATTCAGTATATGAGCAATAGTTATTTAAATCTATTTGCACAATTTTAGTTGAATTATCGCGGAAAATAATTAATCTATTTGATTCATTTATGAAAGGCAGTATTTTTGTTAATTTTCCTGTATCATCTATAAAGAAGTTTGATCTATAAAAATATCAAAAGAATCTTTAAGTAGTTTAATTGCTATCTCTGGCTCTGAAACCAGCATTTCATCTATTTCAGTTTTGCTGCCATTTGATATGACTTTTATTGTTTTTATTTGAGAAATTATTTTGCGTTGATTTTTTATAGAATCGTCAAATGATTCCAATGCAATTTTCATTTTCTCGTTAATTTGCTTAATTTGCATTGAAAAATCTAAAACAGTTTTTCTCCTTAACTCATACAAGTTTGATAGCGACTTGTGAAGACAATCAATAAGAGCTCTTTTTGTTTCTGGATTTGGTGAAATTGTTAAAGGATCTGGAAGATGCCTAGAATTCGATGCAGTTTTCATATGAGCTACAATATGCTCATCACATGAGTAAGTAGGAGGATTTGTGCATGAGCAAGTAAACTCCAACTTATTTTCGCATTGGTCTTTCCAGCATTTCATTTTATAAATTATTGTACCAAAAATCAACAGTTTAATAATTACTTGATTCCAATATTTAATTTTTTATGTGACTATTTGAATAAGTCGTGAGTCTTCAGAAGTCTTGGATATGGAGCTTGCATCAAAAAAGATGCTTTGGGTTAAGCTCGTTTACAAAACTTCTTTTAAAGCTTGCTAATATATGGCTTATTAGCTCACCCCCCTTTAAAAGCGATATTAGATATCCAGATTACTAAATAGTTAATAAACAGAAGGATTTATGCATAGGCAAACTTATTTCTGCAGTTTCTTTTCGACATTTAATTAAATCAATTATCGTACCAAAAATCAATAGCCTAATATTATCTGGCTTGATCTGTAATTTCTTTACTCCCCATCTTCGGTAAGCGAACAAACCATTGGAAAATCCCTAATTTTTGCTCAAAAACCACCCTCCGTGAGCGAACAAAAAATTTTTTATGAAAAAAATAATTTTGATATATAAGTGATAATTAACATAATTAAATCTTTAGCTAATTCTGTTTAATTTTAAACCATGCATTTTAAAACATAAATTTTTACAAATTAAATTAATATTTGCTTTCCAATTTTTTACGAATTTGGATTTTTTAAATTTTGAAAAAAAAAAAATTACTATAAAATTTATATATAATTTTTTTTAAAAAAACATTTTTTATTAGCTGATGGAGGGGTGAGTTAGCTAGATCATTACCGAACAAAATTTTGTTCGCTCACGGAGGAGGAGTAAGGGTATTTGGAGTGCGGAGTCATCTTGATTTGCACGCCAAACTCTATTTACACAATAAACAAGGGAGCATAAATATTTCTCATAAATTGTAATAACTTTATAAGTCTGTCAGAAAATGTCTTATATTGCTATTCTCTATATTAAAATTTTTTTATTCATCCTATAATTATTGATAGAGATTAACAAAGTGAATCAGGAAAAAATTGGAGGTTTGCACAGATATCTTAGCAATAATTTATATTTAAGCAAATTTGCTTGAGGCTTATGCAATAAAGGGCTCATAAAAACAAGATCGATAAAATTTATAACTATTTATAATTTATAATAACTTAATTTCTTTGTTTTAAATTTATTCATAAATCGATTAATGATTCTATGTTAATTACTTTAGCATCTGTATTTTTTTATCTTAAGTCAAACTCGTTCACATTATAATTGTGAAAAGCAAGATAAACCTTATTTTTCACAAGACTTTATATACAATACTCATGCTTTCAATAAACGAACTTCCTATTATACTTTAGATCTTACATTCGTGATTACTTTCATAAATATTTCCACCTGCATCTATTACACAAGCATTTTTATCATCTCCACATACAATTTTCTATAGGTTCTTTGAAAGTTATATAATTCAGAATAATAATTTTGACTTATATCATAACTGTATATCTTCGAATACTCCCTTCCTGATAGTAAAATCTTATAACTTGCTGTCTCAATATCTGGGGAAAAAAATAAAATAAAATTATTTATCATTAATAACAATTATATTTTCTTATATATGATAAATACTCCAATCTTATTATTTTGGACAATAAATGATTATGCCTGCATTTATCCCTAGTTTTAATATGATCGCTAATATCATAAAGAATTAATAAGAGGATTTGTGCATAGACTTGCAAACTCCAACTTACTTGGTCTTTTTATGATTCATTTTCTTATTTAATAGACAATAATCATTACTTAATTTTCCTAATTTTTTCCATTTTATTTGAATATATTAACTTGTTTACTTATTTGAATAAATCATGAGTCTTATCGAAATCCATCAGTCCTCCGAACGTCCCAGTTGAGAAATCATGATCCACGTCAATGTTCTCTTGAAAATGATTAACCCACATAGAAGAAGGTATAATATCAGTGTCCATAAACGGATTACCTCCAATATTTCTTCCTGGCTGAGGCAAGTCTTCTTCATCACTTTCACTTGTGGACGAACTTTCAGACTCGGATTCTTCTGGCTGAGCTGGAGCTTGTGGCTCAATCCTTGTTTGTTGTACTAATTGCTGGAGCTGGCTGTCTAAGTCTTTAAGTCTATTTGTGGTGGTTTCTGGAGCAGGTTTTGCAGTTTCTACGACTGGGGTTTGCTTTTTCCTTGATTGAGGTTTATTTGGGTTTTGTAAGCATCCTCTTACATATTTTTCTAGTTCTCTGCAGACTTTGGAAGGAAGCTTGTCAATGTCAAATTCAAGTTCTTCGCCTTGGACGTCCATACATTCTTGGACTATATCTAAAACTCCTCTTAAAAATTTGGGGTCAAGTCTTTTTATGTTCTGACATAAGAGTTTTTTTTCTTGTAAAGTCATAAGCTGGCTTATAATGACTATATTTTTAATGAGCATAGTCTTATTTATAAGCACTATATAAATTAGGCTGTTAATAAATATTAACCTATGCCTATTTAATTTTAAAAAAATAATTTTATCTGGCTGTGGAGTCGGGGGCTGCTGCTTTACTTGCACCTTGGCACTTGTAGTTCCTGTGCTTTGGATTTCTTTAATCCCCTTTGATAATTTTTCTATTTTTCTATATAAATCTTGAACAATATCTTGCTTTTCCACCAATATTAAGCTTTCATTTCCCTTCATCAGCTTCTCAAAAAGTGAGCTTAACTCCATAGTCATATGGTATAAATCCGAGCCTTTTGCGTTGTAAAAGAAAGAATTGCTCCAAATAAGCCTTATTCTCATATAGAACCCTAAATATTAATAAAATACTACCACTCCCTTATTTTTTATAAAAAATAAATAATTGCCTCATATAAAAACTATTAAATTTTCTAATAATAGCATACATCCATTGCAAATTGATACCCGCTTTCATATTCCCCATTCTTAAGTCTCTGTTCTACTGTTCCTAAATCCATCGGCTCCTGTATCGTTGTTCGGTAATCAGGTACTAACACAGGGTCAACTGGCGCCAAGAATGGCTCAGCCATCGGATGCTTCTTCAACGTTTGTAGGATTTTGTAAATTTTTCTGAAAGGTTCTCCTTGCTTAGGGGCTAAGTCTGCTTCTTCATATGAGACAGTTTTTTTGGCACGTGTCGGCCTTTCAACCGGATCAGAAGCTTGAAATCGCACATCAAAATCTAAATTGTCAGCCTCGGACTTGCGCTGAGTAGATTTTTACCGGTCTAGTATCTTTCTTAATAATAGGAAGGAGCTTATACTTAGGAGGCAAAAGCGTGTTTAGCGCTGTGAGCTGAGTGTTGGTCAGTTCCATATATCCCCTTATACACCAATCACAGACCTTGTATGCACCCTAAAACCCAATTTTCATTTTTGTATAGGAAAAATATGGAAAATGTTTTAGGGTGCAGTGGGAGGAGCAGGAGAGGTTTGAATGAGCAGGGGGAGGAAGGGAAGGTAGGGTTTAGCTTGAAAATGTGGGTGGAAATGAGAGGATTGGAAAAATGAGGGAATTTGTGAGGAAATGGGAGATTTTTCGAGGTTGAGTTTTAAGGTTTTTGAGTTTGTATTTTTGATAAATTGCTATCAAATTTATTGAGATTTTTATAGAGTGATTTATTAAAGAAAAAGAAAAGAGTTTTTGATATATAAAGAAATTCGAAAAAAGTAAATTTCATTTTGCTATTTGTTTAATTCAAGGCAAACTGATCGATTCAGTAGTAGCTCAGCGTGCCAATCTAAAGAAGCCTTATAGTGAGGTATAAATCAATGAGATTTATAGTTTCATAATTATGAAAATTTGAAGAGAGTAAGTTTCGATTAATTATAAGTCGTTTCAGTTATAAGTATGAATGTTGAAGAGTTATATCAGCTTATTAAAAATGGAAAAAATTAAAAGTATTTTATATTTTATGAAAAACATTGATGCTATGATTTGATAAATTATCATAAGCCTTTAAGTTTCTAAAATTCAGAGTGCTGATTTATTAATGGCTTAATTTCTTTTAAGCCTCCTTCTTTATTTCTAATATACTTAACGATCTTATCAAAGCAACAATAAAAAGGATTTTCTATAAACTCCACACTTGATGAAGGATTCACATCTATTGTATCAACGTCAATAGCATCACAATTTTTTTTTAATTCATTATACTCTGACTTATTTTCGAATTTTTTTAATATTCTCTTTTTATTATCATTTCTATACTCAGCTACAGCCTTGGTAATCATAAAATGATAGGTTTGTTTTTTCTCCACTTAATAATCATAAAATGGTGACATTCTTAATTTACTGATCAGCACCACTCACTTTTCATTAAGATTGTTTTAAATTGAAACCCTATCCTGGCTAAGATATATAACAATTTGAAGTGGAGGACATGCCCTTTGGCCTGTCCCTCTAGGAAGTTCTGTGGGTTTTCCACCTCTATCCTGCAGCAGTAAAGGAGCTTTTAGCCGCTACGCAGCGTCAAAGAAGAGAGATTTCGCTCACTTTTGAGCTATCAAAGTCGGCAACATCATTTGCAAGCGTGCCCTGACGGATCAAAGCAATCGGCCCAGCTGCCGAGTAAAAATTGCGGGAAGCTCTGGTGCGGACACACCATAGTAAGTTTTTTTCTCCATTTCATAATCCATCACAAAATTTCAGATCTAGGACATTTGGATTTATTCCATATCTTCTTCTGATTATTCCTTTATTTGATAATCTGTACTTTGGAGTTCTCAAACAACAATTGCAAATAGGTTTTTTCAGTAATAGGCATTTTCAAAAATTTTGATTATCTAAGAATTTGTGGCATTCCGTGCATGAATTAAGAACTGCTAACTCCCCCCCATCCTTGATCGAACGATTGACTGTAAAAATTCCTAAAAATTGGGAAAATTAACCCCCATCCTTGATCGAACGATTTTCATATCATGCAAAATTTTATATATATAAAAATATCTTTAAAATTTTAAATTCAATAAGGAACAAATTAAAAATTTATACAGTTTAAGGGGTAACCAATAAATCAAAATATTAAAAATTGGTATTCTTACGAAATTAATTCAATTTTTTGCTGTAAAATAATTATTAAATACTCTTAACCCTCTTATTTAAAAGTATATAAAAAAAACAAAAAAAATAAATTTTTATTTTATATATAAAATTTTTTTCCCAAAAATTTTTTTTAACCCCCATCCTGGATTGAGCCGTTCAATCAAGGATGGGGGGAGTAAGATATATTGGTCCTTTCAGCTAGCAGGTTTCTCGATATGTTTATTATATTGCTTTGAATAATAAAAATGCCAAAGCTCTTCATCTCAAGTAATATGATAAAACTCTTTAGAGACCAAAGAGAGTGTATTAGAGGTTTCTAGAGGTGAGATAAATCTGAATACTTCTATTCATACCCTTTTATATGTTGAAGACTTTGACTCTACTTTTGTATCTAGCTTTGGAGGGGTGTGGTAAGGCTTATCAAGTGGCTCGTAATCTAAATTCCATTTATAAAGCTACTTATCAAGTATTTCAACATCTTTGTCTGTTAAATTATGTTTATAAGGCTTTTACAAATATATTGTTTGACTTTTGGGGTATAGCAGTTCAAATGGTAATATTCAGGACCATCATAATGATAAATGTAAATTCTAATATCATCTTTAGAAATATAGCATCTGCATGTTCTACAGTAGGATCGATTTGTCTTCGAGTATTCTACATTAAAAGGGACGCCTTGCATTAACATAATTTTATTAGAATAAATTTTTATAAAAATATTTAAAAATCATTATTTTTGGAGATCATAATTTTGTAGAGCCAAATAGCCAAGCCCTTATAAGGACCCCCCCCCCTCATTTGTCCAATTTTCTAGTCTTTTATCATTTGTCCATTTTTATAGGAAAAAAAAATTTTTTTAGGACCTCATTTGTCCAATTTTCTAGTCAAAATTTTTGATAGAGAAAAAAAATTTTCAGGACCTCAATTGTCTCATTTTCTAGTTTTTTTAAAGTAAAAAACTAGAATTTAGGGCATTCGAAAAAATGCAAAAAAGACTAGAAAATTGGACAAATCGTTTTTGACTAGATTTTGGGACAAATGAGGTCCTGAAAAAAAAAATTCTTACTCCCCCCCCCCCCTCCGTGAGCGAACAAAAAAATTTTGTTCGCTCACGGAGGGGGGTTAATTTTTTTTTTTAAAAAAAAATTTATATATAAATTTTATAAAAAATATTTTTTTTCGAAATTTAAAAAAATCCTAATTTGCAAAAATTGGGAAGCAAATATTAATTTAATTTGCAAAATTTATGTTTTAAAACGCAATTTGTTTAAAAATAAACAGAATTAGTTCTAGATTTCATTATACTAATTATCACTTATATATCAAAATTTTTTTCCATTAAAATTTTTTCTATTAAAAAAATTTTTGTTCACTCACGGAGGGTGGGTTTTTGGTCAAAAAATGGCGATTTTTCTAATGGTTTTGTTCGCTCACGGAGGGGGGGGGGGAGTTATAAAAAAAAGACTAGAAAATTCGACAAATGAGGGGGGGGGTCCTTAGATAAGAAGTTCTTCCTTGGTCAAAGCAATTCTTTTCAGAGATTTTAAGATGCAATATTTAGAAGACTTACGATAGAGCATTATTTTGGGCCCTTGTGCTAGTTAAAAGTTTCTTAATTCTAACAGCGAAAATTATCGCTTTGTATTGCTAAACTGAACTGAATCATCTTAAAGAAAGCAGAATTAATTAGAGTATGCCCCTGAAAAAATGAGCTAGATATAAGTGCGACATCAAGACTAAGGAATTGAATTTCTAAAATCTACCACTAGCCGAAACAGTGGACACTAGATCTTTATAGCGTAGCGCTGGATGAGCTCAAATTGCATGACTGAGCTTGAAGGAAAGCTGTTTGTAGACCCAAAATCGGTAAAAAGCGCACATAGATCAAGATCAAATAGGTTCAGAGACCTTATAGCCCTGCAAAAAAATCGAAGACTGAGTTGATAAAGACAGAGACAAACTTTTAAATTATCGAAAATAATGATTAACATTAACATTAACCTAAATATAGAAAAGTTCGTTGTAATTCCTGAAGGACTACCTCCACCTGTAATCCTTCACTCAGCTGCTCACCACCAATCGTATCACGACCTTCAAAGTGTTGCTCCTACCGGATGAGGATGTGCACTCGCTACCCGTAGTTTGGATGAGTTGCGCCACCATGCCGTACGTCAACAGAGTTACCCATTCCGAAAATTTTAAAAACAAATTTTCTGGCAAGACTGCCGGCAAAAATGGAAATTCAAAACCTGGGACGTAACACCCAGCTTCACGCTAGAGAGTTGCCCGATGGACAAGGTGGTATGCTTGGCACTGCTGAACTTCCCCTTTCCAACCTTGAAAACCATTTCCCTTGAGGTAAACAACCCTGACTCCAGAATGAACTGCGGTCGACCAAATTCGACGCTGCGGTCCACTGCACCAAGGTAAAACCTAGCCGGATATATAGAAATTGCCCGAGGATGGCGCTATTTTGCGCCATCCTCGGGCAATTCAAAAAACCGGCCCCACACGGGAATTGAACCCACGTGTGGGGCCATTTTTGGTATGTGCAAAACATCGACTTACACGTATCAAAAATGGCCCCACACGTGGGTTCGATTCCCGTGTGGGGCCATTTTTTGAATTGCCCGAGTGCCAAAATCCCTTCCACGAGGTCCTCGCCGCCCTTTTCATCGGCTACAGGTCTTGAGAAAAAGGGCTGGTTCGTCATCGCCATTTTAATATATATCGAAAATAATGATAAATTCATCAAAGCAGTAATTCTAAATTATATAATTTAAAGTATAAAATTAAATAGCCTATTCACCTATTTTGCAAGTATCTCCTAATAGCCATTAGAGTTTGCATCAGAATTTTCTTAATCAAATCAGACTTTCCTATGAGAATTTTTATAATTTTTAGGATTTTTATCATCCAATCAATATCATTAATTTACTTTTAAAACTAAATAAACTCAGCTCTATTCATTTATCCTTATTTATGAGCTTGCCACTTTTCTGCTATTTTTCATTACCCTTCATCTTAATTACTTAATCATAGCCATAAAAAATGTTTAGATTATTCAAAGGCTCAGCCTCATGGCACAGGAGATCTCATCTCAACCCATCAGAATTGACTAACTTCGAATTTGCCAAAAATTGGAAAAATTTAAATAAAATGTTCAATCTTCGTCAATATTATTTATTTTATTCCCAATAAATTACCAGTTTTATTTTTTTAAAAAATAAAAAAATACAAATCATCCCAAAATGCACAGAAATTGCTCCTCCATTCTCAAAGTCTGCTTATCCAAGAGTCGCAGAGATGGAAAGACTTGATGATGAATTAGGGTATTACCACGCTAACTCCCCCCCCCCCCTCCGTGAGCGAACAAAAAAAATTTTGTTCGCTCACGGAGGGGGGTTAATTTTTTTTTTTTTAAAAAAAAATTTATATATAAATTTTATAAAAAATATATTTTTTTCGAAATTTAAAACAATCCTAATTTGCAAAAATTGGGAAGCAAATATTAATTTAATTTGCAAAATTTATGTTTTAAAACGCAATTTGTTTAAAATTAAACAGAATTAGCTCTAGATTTCATTATACTAATTATCACTTATATATCAAAAATTTTTTTCCATTAAAATTTTTTCTATTAAAAAAATTTTTGTTCACTCACGGAGGGTGGGGTTTTTGGTCAAAAAATGGCGATTTTTCTAATGGTTTTGTTCGCTCACGAGGGGGGGGGGGGGGAGTAAGCGCTCTATATACAGATTTATTGCATGGATAATTTTTTGCATATTTATCTTAGATACCGATATATTCGATTCTCCATTAAGATCCTGGAGACAAGATGCTCAAAATATGCACGACGTCATCAAGATACGGCAAACTCATGTGCTAGATTTTATGCTTTATTATCTTAAATTCTGTGTGCAATCTAAAATGTATTTTTATTAAAAAAATAATATCGCAATTAATTTAATTATTATTAAATAATAAAATTCTCATTGAAATTATCTATAAGAAAATGATTATTTTATCGCGATTTTATATGAGCTTCTAAGAAAAGGGTTGGAAATGCCAATGCTAAAATAATAACAGTAGTTTTCACAAGCACCATCCATATAAGTGCAACTAAAACAGGCAAAATTGATAAAAAATACAGCAAGGCTTCTACGCCAATAAAATACTTGAACTCTTCATTACAGTTGGCAGGAAAATTCAAATAAATATAACCTGCCCATCCTAGACTTAAAATTCCAAATAAAAGTGTTGAAATGCCTGGGAAGGATAAAGAAAGGCTGCTTTCTTGGGTGATTTTATCTACTTTTACAATAGTTGCGGTTAAAGTAGCTGAGATTATTAATGCGATTGATATAAGGTACCTTCCTCTCATTCAAATAGTAGCCTCACAGCCTGTTGAGCTTATATCAAAACTAAGAGCGAGGAAACAAAGCTGAAAAAGAACTATAAGTCACCAATAAATTTTTGTGCAGCGGATTCCAAACATTCATCTTTTATCGAAGCTTCATAACCAAATCAGTGTTTCCATTTCTTTTTAATTGTCAATTATTAAATATATATCAATTTTTAAATTTAATTGTTAGTACAAATAAGGCTAATTGTACAATTACTGTATATAATTAATATTGACCATCCTAAGAAATCTTATTTACTTATTCCCATAATATATTAATTAATATAAATAGGCATTTGCCTAAATTTAAAAATTCATTCCAAGGTGCAAATTCAACAATAAATTAAAATTGCTTTGAAATATTTATTAAGAATAAACAAAATTTTGAATAAATGGATTAATTATAGTCGATCCAAGAAGTTCTCCAGAGGAGGTATTCCTTCATTTAGTCCTTTCCTTTGCCTTACGTTCCTTATCAGTCCTCCCAACGTTGAATTTACATCATATGGATCTCCACTAACTACATCCCAATGGTCAAACACACACTGTGGAAAAGCTTGTCCTGACGTCATCGATCTCAAATGTCCTGAAAACCCAAAGCTTTCTGCCACTGGCAAATAAGCTTTCACCACAGTCATGCTTGTCCCAGAAACTGGCTCTTCTGCCTGCACAATGCCTCTCCTTGCTGTCAAACACTGATAAACGTTTCCTATCACTTCATAAGGGCACTGTATTTCTACCATATAAATAGGTTCTTGTAATGTAGGAGATGCTGTCAGTATAGACGCAATACATACATTTCTGGCAGTCGGCATGATTTGTCTAGATCCTCTATGTACAGGGTCGCTATGCAGCATGGCGTCTACAATATTGACTCTGATCCCTCTCATCTGCTCGCCACATAAGACTCCTTCTTTAGTTGCCCATTGGAAGCCAGATTCTATATGGTCTCTGACTTCCATCAAATACTGTAAGCCTTTGGTTTGGTCTACAAGGATGTTGGGACCTGTGGTCTCAGGTCCGAAGCATCATATACGCTTAGAGTCGTTTAAGTCCCAGGCATATTGGTTAAATAAAGCTTGTGAGCGCTGCTTAGGGTCTTGTAGAGAAGAAACTTTGCCAAGTTCTATAGCTTCAGACAGTCCTTGTGCTAATGGTTCAGCAGTAGCCCAAAGTCGATTGAGCTTATTTGGAGCTTTTGATAGACAAACTTGGCTTGAGTTGTTCAAAATAGTTTCTTTATAAGTCACAATAGGGTCTGAAGCCACAATTTCGATCCCTGAAAGCTCTTGCAGATCCCTTAAGCAGATTTCTACATGTAGCTCTCCACATCCTACTATTACATGCTCCCCTGTTTCTTCCGTTATGCATTGTACAAGTGAGTCTTGCTTACTAAGTCTTACAAGTCCTTCTACCAATTTAGCGATTTCTGCAGTATTTTTAGGTTTCACAGCGACTCTTACAATAGGGCTTACTGAGTATTTCATTGATTTAAATAAGTGTGCTTCTTCATGGTCTGTAATGGTCCCTGTTTTTACGAGGAATTGGTCTACACCAATAAGCCCTGCAAGATTGCCACAAGGGATATCGCCGATTGGCTCCACAATTTTTCCCATCATGATTACTGTTCTTTGGATATTCTTTATATATAAGTCTTCTTTTTCTCCATAAACATATTTAGGACCCATAATTCTGACTTTTTGTCCTGACGCAATTTTCCCTGAAAAAACTCTTCCAAAAGCAATAAATCGGCTTTTGTCTGAGGATGGGACTAGTTTTGATACATAAAACATCAGGGGGCCATTAGGGTCGCAGTTTCTTATAGCTTGAGCACAGTCATCATCAAGAGGGCCTTCATAGAGACAGCTGACTCTATATTGTTGAGCAAATTTAGGAGATGGCAAGTGGAAAATAACCATTTCCAATAAGCAGTCAGCAGCGTTGATCCATTTTTGCATGATTTTCTTTAAAAGTTTTTTTTCTCTGAGTTCTCTGTCTTCTTGTTTGATTTCTATATTGAGATGTCTGAGGATCTTATTGATCCCTTCTTCATTGTTAGTCATAGCATTTTTTGCAAGTCGCTGTATAGGCTTTAATATTAACTCATTGAAGGCTCTTTCTAGCTTTTTTCCTGAGTCTGATATTGGGCTCTTTTTCCATTTTTTCCCTTCAGCGTCAAAGTACCAGTCTCCCCATAGTTTTTTCATCATTTTTGAAGGGTCTGCATTCAGCTTATTTGCATATATTTTTGCAAAAGTCCTCAAAGTAAAGGCCCAGCCCATAAGTCCAGACCCAAAGGCACAATTTCCTTTGGCTGGGTCAATCATGATGTCTCCCATAGTCCCATCGTCATATACAGCAATAATAGAATTTACCTTCTCAATAGTCCTCAAGAAATTCTGGTACATTTCTTCAGGGTCCAGCTGTAATTCTAATAATTGTCTGTCAACTTTATTGATCATAAGAACCGGCTTGATTTTTTCTTGTAAAGCTTGTCTTAATACAGTCTCAGTTTGTACACAGACTCCTTCAACACAGTCAACCACCACAAGTGCCCCATCTGTAACTCTGAGAGCTGCAGTGACTTCTGAGGAGAAATCAACATGCCCAGGAGAGTCGATTAAATTAATTAGAAAAGGGTCAGGGCTGAGCTCTTCTACGTTGTAGCATAAGGAGACACTGGTGGATTTTATAGTGATGCCTCGTTCAACTTCGTCTTTACGAGTGTCACAAAATCTGACATCTCCAGCATTGTCTTCATCTATAAGTCCTGCTTTGGCTATTAAGGAGTCAGTTAAAGTAGTCTTGCCATGGTCGACGTGTGCGATTACAGACATGTTTCGAATGTTCTCTTGATTGTCCATGATCTCACGAACTTGATCACCAGAGTACTTTACCATATTTAAATATACAGATTAGATCAGGTAAAATGGAAGAAATCGAAAAATCAGCCAATAGGAATTCAGGGGGATATTGGAATTCTGAAAGCAATTTCTGGTGATTAAAAATGGGTCAGTGGGTGATGAGAATTAGGTTGGGAAGGGTTTGAGAATCTAGACTACTGAGATAAAGATTTAATTTTTTTTTAAGGAAATTTTAGTAGATGGGGGGGTTGATAATTAAATTTGTGGGGGAGTAAGTAAGGGTGAGAGGTGACAAGGGTTTTATTGGCAAAATAAATTGAGCTATTTATTTTATTGTTTTTGCAGTGAAAATTGTATTTAATAAAAAAATTTAGAAATTGTGAAATTGAGATTGTAAAAGTATTTTATGCTGAATTGTTTGAAGATTTGATTTAAAACTGAATTTTCAAGCTTAAATTGGGGGTCTTAATAAATTTTTAAAATAAAAGGAAAAATAGGGTGAAATCAAAAGGTTCTGCTAATTATGCCTTAAAAACAAAAATAAGCAGCTTTCACAACTAAAAAGTAGCTAAAATATACTGTTCCTACAATAATACTGCATTAAATTTATTTTTAAATTTAGTTATTTATCTGTTTATAAATATTTTCAAATTCTTGACAACAAGTTTTGATACTCGGCCTTTCATTTGGATCTTCACTCAGCATCATTTCAATTACCATTCTTATATTTTCCGGCAAATTTTCCAAATTATGAGTTTCCATATAATTCTGCTTTGTCAGAATAAAAAAACTCACAAGCCCATAAGAATAAACATCGCATTTATAATCTATTATCCCTTCTAGTGCTTCAGGCGCAGCATAATCTTCTTCTTTATAGCATAAAACCTGATTAGGCATTAAGTCTAAGCAAACTGCATTTTCTAAATCTGCAATAATCGGCTTATAGTTTGAATTTATAAAAATGCTTCACGGGGAAATATTCATAGCTGCTACATGTTTTATATGCATAAAAAAAAGTCCTTGACCAATTTCAATGATAAGACTAAGGCATTTTTGGATACTCAAATTATTATTTCTTATATAAGAGTCTAGAACTGTAGAAATATGCTGAAAGACCAAACATTTGTGGCTTTTATACTTAGTATACCCATAGCATTTTATAATATGTGGATGCTGTAGGTGGCAGAAAATAAAGCATTCATAAGGAAGCCCATCTACCTTATATGATTTATTATCAAAATTAATAGTCAAATAGTCGATAAGCAAGAAAGATTTTTATGAAAATTAGGGATTGGTTTTAAATTTATAAAGAATAATTCTTTACAACAGTATATCGATTTATTATTGGTTTTATAAAAACCATCGTATTATCCACCATAGTAGCTACTATCATGGTCATATATTTTTTGCTTACTTTTTTGGCTTTAAAAGTTCTTCCTGAATCTACAAACTGCACATCTTGTCCTATTTTGAAATTCTTTACAAGAGGTTTCCTCGATACTTTGACAAGATTAAATAGGTATAAGCTTAAGGAATTATTTATAAATTCCTGATAAGTTATTAAATCATCCTTGACAGGAATAGCTGATGAGACTATTTCAAATTCAAATGCAATTGGACCTGTCTTTTTGAGTTTTATAGAGCCAAAAGGAATTAAAGAATACTGCAGCCCTTCGTTTTTATACAAGTCAATAAGATGCCTATTTAAGGCTACACAGATTTCATGACAATCATCTGAATACATTAAGCTGTCTTCAAGCTTGTAAACTTGGTTCAAATTGATATGTGAAGCATCATAAGCTGTTGTTGCGTTTAAGGCTGATTTTCTACTAGAAATTTCAGCGATATCAATTGTAGGATTGATTGACATTGTAAAATTTATAAATAATGAGAAATATTCCTCAAGAAATTACTTCCTTAATATGAGAAATAAGCTAGTAATAATTTTACTATAAACTAAGCTCAAATAGCAAAGACTTAAGCAGTGCTCTTTCTGTCATTTTCTTATGAGTGAAAATCGTGCTATAATGCCCTATGCAGATTTTGTCTACCATTTTGTACCTATTATTTTCATAGTCTCCCCTTTCCATCTTCCTCATTATGCTCCTATACGGAACTTTGCACTTCTCTACAGAAGTCATGACTGAGTCTCTATACTTAATTAAGGCGCCATAATAAGCAGCGACTTCTTCATTTGTATCTAGACTGTCAAAATATTCGTCTAAATCACTCACAAAGTGGTCAAGCTCTACTCCTTGTACTTTTAGCGCATAATTAAATAAATCTTCGTTAAAGTTGTTATAATAAGCAAAAAATCCACATGCAGTGGAGTCTGCTTGGGCTTTCATAGGGCAATAATCGATTCTTGGGAGCTCAGCCATGACGCAGTCATCTAGGTTTTTGTCTAAAACAAAGCCAAAACCGATAGCCATATTAAAATTTCTCCTTGGGCCTCTGCTTCAAATTACTTCAGTGTGGGCTTTTATGTTGCGGTCAGCAGATAAAACTCCTGCTGGAGGAAAACCTTGAAAACTGATGCCGACTGGCTCAGAGGCACTTCTGTATTTCAAAGGGAGAGATTCTTGTTTTATCATTTCTACAATAGGCAAAATGCATAAGCCGCTAATGTTTTCATCGCCAACTTGTGCTGGGTATTCTTTGATTTTTTTTCATTGCTTTTTATTTATTTCTGTAGCGTGCGAAATTGTAATTGCATAGGCCCAATTTCATACTTCCTTGGTAAAGCAATGTGGACAATCTTTTTTAAGAGAAGGGATTCTTTCTAAAGCTTTAACAAAATCTGCATGCCCAGACTCATAATCCAAAGGAAAATTAATTTCTGCCTTCTTTTGGAAAATATTTAACAAATATTCGTGTTCTGCTGCAGTCCAGTTATGCAGATTGTCAATTTCAGATGGATAAGTATAGACATATATATTCCCCCAATGTCTGTACTGATTGATAAATTTTTCATAAATTAATCTTCCAGCTATAATTGTAAAATCTCCTAGAGGGTATAGATAGCTATATCAAGGAAATTGATCAAAGCTAATAATGCCGATATTTATTGGAAACATTGCAATTGGTTCATATCTTCTGATGTCTCTTGTGGCAACTATCCCATATCTTTTTTCTTCAGGAAAGTATTTAATTTTCACTCCTATTAAGTGTTGACTGATATCACCGTAAATAGCTTCTTTGTCTTCTTGAGATGACTCAGGAATTATATAACTCGACGTAACGAATAATAAGCAAGAAAGCACAAATAATTGCATTTAATGCTTTATTAATTTAGAAAAAAGGAAGATAATTAGACTCAACATAATTTTTCCATACTTTTTCCCTTTACCAACACCTATTTAATAATATCAAATCATGAAGCCAATCACAAGAACGGACCCACAACACAGCTTATCAGCCCCTAAAAAATTCAGTACTCGTGAAAAGCCTATTTTTGACTTCACAAACGTCAAAATCTCCCCTGGTGCATCTCCATCTACCTTTATAGTAGAAAATATCCCTATAGATCATAGTTCTCATAAGCAGCAAAACAATGTTTTTTTCAATTCTGCAATTCCTATCCCTGAGCTAAAAATGCTTGGCGATATTGATGCTATTGATGAAGAATCTGAAGAAGAGCACGACACCCTTTCAAGCTGGGAAATCAATCGTAAAAGATTTGACCAATGGATGTCTAAAAGCTGCTCAGGAGTTCCCAATGATCCTGTCAAATTCCACGAAGAACTGAAAAAGCTAAAATCTCACAAAATCGTAGACCCAATGCCACTGCAGCTGACTCCTCCACCACCAGGGTTTGAAAAAGTGGCCAAAATTGACAAGTCAAAAGTCGAAGAAGCAAAAAATCCAACAAGAATCACGAGTGAGCCTGATAAAAGCTATTTAAAAGTGGAAGAATCGAAAAAAAAATTCACATGGGCTGATTTGTCGAGTGACTCAGATTTTACGCCAACTCCTGTATCTATATTAAAAAAGCATGAAAAAGAGCCTGTGAAGGGTATACAAATCGAGCAGCAGCCTATAATCTTGAAAAGTCCGCCTCAGAAAGGCAGTTTAGTTAAGAGAGAAAAAAGAGGAAAATTCAATGAAGAACAAGTAATCGAGAAAAAATTTACAGGAAAATTGAAATTTTATCAGCTGAAAAAAAGATTTGGATTTATTACTCTTGATGTAGACCAAGCTGATATATTTTTGTGTGAAGATGATTTACTACTGTCTGGAATCAACCATAAAAAGTTCAAAGAAAGTGTAATCAGTAAGCAACCCATGAGTTTTAGATTTCATATAAAAAAATACATAGAAAATGGGAAGGAAAAGCGCAAGGCAATCGATATTGAGATAATTGATTGTTAACAGTAAGCAAATACAAAACACTTTTATTTATATATGTTTTTAATACGAGTTATTTTAGTTGAAATAAGGTTAATTCATGATCATTTCTTATAAATTTATAGAAGAGCCTTTTTTTATATAAATATGATATACTTCATGCGACTAAAGAACTAAATTAACTATTTATAATTAATTTATAGTATTTGGAAGCTTTTACTTATTACCACTATAAACTTCAAAGCTCTAGTTGGGTTATTTCATTATTAGTATAAATTAAAAAGCATAAAATAATTAATATGTATAATTACTTGCATATTTTTTGGATATGAGTGACATGTGGAGTCATCCTCATCATCTTAGACTCATTTTTCTCATATTAATATTTCTGAAATGCAGAGGATGACTCTGCATGCCAAAAAAATGTGCAAGGAACTATATTTAAATTTATGATCTGATTTCAATGAGAAAATAATTATAAACAAAAATTAATATTTATCTCATTTAGATTGTTATTTATTTTAAAAACATTTAAAAGCGCTGAAATTTTGCCAAATATATTGAAAATTGTTTTATATAAAAGCAAAATGATTTTATCAATTCAACATATGTCTCTTATTTTTTATAAATAAAAGCTCAAAAGAAATATTGGATAGGATTTAAAATAAATGCAAATCATTATTTTAATAGTAATATTTCAGGGCATATATAAATGTCAGGAGTAAAAAGCATTTTACTTACTCTCCCCTCCGTGAGCGAACAAAAAAAATTTTATTTGTTCACGGAGGGGTATTTTTTTTAAAGTTTATTTATAAATTTTATCGAAATTTAATTTTTTCATAAATTCCAATATGTAAAATTTAAACAAAAATTAATTTAGTTTGCGAAATTTATATGTTAAAACGCAAGATATTTAAAATTAATTAGAATTAGCTAGAGTAATTATCATTTTATATATCAATTTTTTTTTTCATAAAAAATTTTTTATTAAAAAACGTTTTGTTCGCTCACTAAAGGTGGGTTTTTGGGCAAAAATTAAGGATTTTGTTCACTCACGGAGGGGGGAGTTATGATCTTTTGCTATGTCGAGGTTAATGGTGGCTACTTGTACCCTGAACAAATTCACATTTCTTGAACAGAAAATTCCAATGAAATGAGAGCTACATGAGTTACCTATTTAGAAAGCCAACCAATAGCAGCATACTCCTCAATTTCATTAAAAGGCTCATCACAAGATTGAACTTTTGTAGTAGGAGAAACTAGCTCTCCCCCTTTAGAAGCAAGCAAAATTGTTTTGCTCGTCCATAAAAGGGGTAATTTTTTAAACTAATCTGATATGAAAATTATATATAAATGTTTTTTTTCCAAATTTAAAAAATTCAAATTGTAATATATTTTAAATTACAAATTATTTAATTTATGAATAGCTAAATTTATAGAATTAGCTAGAGACTCGCTATAGGAATTATTAATTTCATATATAAAATATTTTGCATTTTGCTCGTAAGGTGGTTAATTTTCCAAAAAAAGAACTGATTTTTTCAATTGCTTAATCACTCTCAAAGTTAGTAAGCCATTCCTTGAAAGTAACACAGGTGATTCAATAAAACTGCACTATTTTGGTATAATCGGTATCGTCCCCGTGATTATTTACTTCTTCTTATGATTTCATTATAACTTAGCTTTGCTTTTTTGATCGTTTATTTTTTCAGCTATTTATACTCATTTAATTCCCACAGAAAATAAGATCGCGGAAGAGTTTATATATATTTTTAACGAAGGACTATATGGAATAGACTTTTATGGGATATTAAATATTGTTATAGATGCCACACTTTCTGGAGAATTAAATTTTGGCTTTGGAGAGAGATATCAATATGTGCATACAGCTGTGTTTTATGACTTATCCCCTGACACTTGATATGAATATAAAGTAGGTAATTTAGGGTTTTGAAGTAAAAAATATGTATTTTATGGCAGAACCCCAGATAGTGAAAATAATTTTGAAGATGTCAATGACCCATACACTATGATTATTTTTGGCGATTTAGGGACTGGCCCAATTGCCCAGCCGACAAAAAAGCTTTTAGAGAAGGAAGCTTTAGAGGGAAACTCCTTGGGAATTTTTCATTTAGGAGATATTGCTTATAATTTAGATGTAAATAAAATAGCGTCTCTGCCCAGGCATTGCCTCCTGGTCGAGCACATTTTTATTTATATCGGCAAGGTTTTGCTACCCAGAAATTGAGAGCGAGGCAAGGTAAGTAATTCTAGTAATATAAAGTCTAGCCCTAGTCCATTTTCAGGATTGGATTTTCCTCGAGTGAAAAGGTTGGCTCAGAGTTGGAAAGGAAAAGCCCAGCATCGTCTGCAGGCATCCCTAGGCCAATTTGGCGTATTCCTAGCGTGAAACTGGGAGTTATACCCTAAGCTTTGAATTTTTCCTTGTTGTCGAAAGTTGGGCATAAATTCAATTTTTTGGAATTTTCGTGCGGACAGGGTTGCGTGTGTAAAAAAACAAGGGTCATTGTTTTTTACTGCAGTTTCTGCGCAAAAAACAAAAAAAAATTGTTTTTTAACGCAAAAAAAGCAGAAAAAACACATATAAAAGATATGCAAACAAAAAAAAAGTTGTACAAAAAATTTCATATAAAATTTTAAAATTACCTGAAAAAAAAAACACCCAAAAAAAAGTATGTAAACAATCTGATGAAAAAACAAATTGAAATTTTTTTTGCTGGGAAAAACAAAATCATTAGAAATTTGCTAGAAAAAAACAAAATGTTCCATTTAAGTTAATTTCACCTGCGCCGAAAAAAAACAAAAATTCAAATCACTGAAAGAGTAATCCTTTTATTGAAACAATACAAAATAGATAAAATTATGAATTCAATAGGATTATTTATTAGAGGATACCAAGCCTGCTCATGCATAGTTGCAGTGTGAATAATTTTTGATAGATAATAAATACATGATTGTTTTTATAATTATAAATTAAATGGCAGGCCTTCTTAAATTCGCGGCAAAATTGATAGGGTGTGATTTGAAATATTGATCAAGAAAATCATGTCGCAGACAATTGCATGATGACAATTATTAAAAATCCAGAGTTTTTATCATCCTTTCTCCCTATATTAAAAATCTCATATGAGGATGGCTTGAAACTCTTAGCTGCATTTAAATCACTTGTTCAAGGCAATACGAAGAGTTTTTGTTCTTTTCAAAAACCAATTTGTGATATGTATTTTTCTAAAAGAAACTGAATATGATATCTCTGGATTTTCAGAAGGTTTTAAATTAGAAGTTAAAGACTATGATGATTTCAAGCACACTCTTAAAACCATGTTTTTAATAAAAAAAAGACTAAAATACGAGTTAGAAGCAAATCAAATGCTTACGTTTATTGATGCTGCTATTTTTCTTTTGATCATATAGACAACTCTTTCGAAGAATTGTGCCCGTTTCTAATGAAATGGAAGCTTGAAAAGCACAAAGAAAATAGTCAGATTTATAATTGCTATTATATAAATCCTCATCACAATCATCCACAGCTATCAAAATCAGAAACAGAGAATTATCTGAGCTTTTCTTTGTCACCAAATATGAAAGATGAAATACGCAGATTTTATAGAGCAGGTTTCACAGCTACTCAAATACATAGGAGTCTAAATGCCACTTATCCAAATACTGATATTTCAATTCTTAAAATTAAAAACTTTACTGACTATGAACTAAAGAATTATAAAAAATTAGTTAATTTTGATTTTCTTGTGCAAAATAATGATTGAGGAGACAGAATTCTAATTACAGATAAGATTAATGAAAGAATCTTTGTGAGCACTAACACTAAAAAAGCACAGTGAATCAATATAAAGATATATTGATAATTGACAGCACATATAAAATGCACGATATCTTTAATTGTGCTATCGTGATTATTACGATCAATTCTTATGGTGCAAATCAGTTACTCGCAATTTCTCTATGTCGCAATGAAGCAGAAGCAGACTATGCCTGGGCGTTTCAACAGTTTAAGAATCAAGGATTTTATAGTCCGGAAACAATTGTTGTTGATAGAAACAAAGCTCAATTTAATGCTCTAAGTAAATCCTTCAAGAAAGCAAATATCGTTTTTTGTTTATGGCATATTATTAGAAATATTCAATCTTGACTAAGTGCTGCTGAAATTCAGTGAGACAAATTTGCAGCATATTTTTATGATCTTTATGAAGCCAAAACTCTTCAAGAATTCAAGCAAAGAAAAATTGCACTGCTGAATACATTTCCTTTACTTTCTAATTCTCAGCCATTTTCAAATTTATGCAAACAAAGTAAAAATTGAGCAAGATATTATACAAATGCGATATTCACTATTGACATAAAAACAACAAGTAGATCTGAAAGTATGAATGCAAGTTTAAAGCGTATATGCAAAAGGATTAAGCGGAATTTTGACGTTAAAATACTTATGGCTTTTGATGAAATATTAGAAAAGGAAACTTATCATCTTGAATATAGGACAAAAAAGCATTATGGGAAAAAGAATTGCTCATCAAAATCAAGCTATGCATCTTTCTTTTCTCAATTTTATACTGATTTTTGTATAGCACATATTGAATCTTCCATTAATAAATTAGAGTATTGCAAAATAATACATCTTGATAAGCAGAAATCAATTATAGAAGAACAAAATGAATTTTCAAGCAACCAATATGATTTAAATATCAAAAAAATAATTTGCTCTTGCAACAAATACATAAGATATAAAATTCCTTGCGCTCATATAATCTATATAAATAATGTGACAGGGACAGAATGAATAAATTGTATTGTTAATCTCACCTCCAGGAGATGATTGCTGGATGATTATTTGCATGTGTCTAATAGAGAAATTATTAAGCAGTTGAGAAGCTCGATTACAGTTAAGAGAAAGCATAGCGAAGATGAAGAAGGAACTATAAGAATAAGATATTAGAATATTTAGATATTAAACATCAAATATAATTTAGATATTAAACATCAAATATAATTTAGATATGATTTAAATTATAATCTCAAGTATAGGCAAATCATATTTTATATTGCTTGAATTTATACCTGAAGAAAATAAATTGAATTGTGTTGTTTTTTCGGCGCAGGTGAAATTAACTTAAATGGAACATTTTGTTTTTTCTAACAAATTTCTAATGATTTTGTTTTTTTCATCAGATTGTTTACATACTTTTTTTTGGGTGTTTGTTTTTTCAGGTAATTTTTAAAATTTATATGAAATTTTTTGTACAACTTTTTTTTGTTGCATATCTTTTATATGTGTTTTTTCTGCTTTTTTGCGTTAAAAAACAATTTTTTTTTTTTTTTGCGCAGAAACTGCAGTAAAAAACAATGACCCTTGTTTTTTTACACGCAACCCGTGCGGACAGCCTTAGTTTAACCCAAGCAGCAAGACGCAGAAGGCCATAGCTTTCCTACAGAGCGCCGGAGCCAACAAGTTAAGAGGGAGATGGAGGCACAGAGCCCTACTTAGCAGGTGATATGGTGTCAGGTAGTGCTGAAGAAGAAAGGTGGTGCAAGAACCGGTAATTCATCTAACTAGAAGAAGTTCTCCCTGTCGACTCCGCAAAGAGATTGAACCCCCTGCAGAGATTCTTGGTGGCTGTGTTAACAATAGGCAGTATCCAAACCTGTAATTTATGTTTAAAGTTTAAGCTTATAATTTAGATAAAAAAAATGGGAAAATTGGAGATGAATATTTAAATATGATTGAGCCTATAGCAGCATCATTGCCTTATATGACTGTTCCTGGAAATCATGAAAAATTTTATAATTATACTCAATATAAATCCCGATTTTATATGCCAGTCAATAATAAAAATCAAGGAACTGGGTATTTCTATTCATTAAATTTAGGTCCAATTCATTTTATTTTTCACAACACTAATCTTTATTTCGACGAAAGCACTAAAATTGAAGCTGAAATCCAATTAAAATGGCTTATAAACGATTTAAATAAGGCAAATAGAAATAGAAAGAAAAGACCTTGAATAATTGTAAGGCTTTTCACTTTAATTTTCCAATAAAAAAAATTCAAGCCATTTTCCTATTAGACAATTTAGCATAAATTATTATAATGTCTCATCATCCTCTTTATTGCTCACAGAATTGATTTGAAGAAGGCAGCCAAGAAGACTGCGGAAGTGAGCCTGCAGTTTTAAAACCCATTCTCGAAGATTTATTTTATAGTAACAGCGTAGATTTATTGCTTCAAGCACATGTTCACAACTATGAGAGAGCAGCTGCAATTTATAAAAATAAAACAATTCCTAGCGAACTTGACAATCATCATTGACACATTAATCCAAAAGCTCCAATTTATATTGTGAGTGGGAATGCTGGGAATCATTATGGGAGAAATGACCCAAAATCGGCAACGCCACAGCCATGATCGAGGTTTTTGAGTGATGACTATGGGTTTGGAAGATTAAAAGCAATCAATAATACTCATTTGTATTGGGAACAGGTAAGTGCTTTGACTAATAAAGAAATTGATTATGCTTGGATCGTTAAAAAACACCCTAGATATGATCCAAGCTTGTTAGAGTTTTAGGTTTAGATAAGATTATTTTATCTATTTGTCTTTTTTGAAATTAATAATAATTTTAATTAATTATAAAATACTCATTATTAAATAAAACAGAAACTCTCTTGCTATAATTTTTTTAAATTAAGATAGTAAATAAACGAAAAATAAAATATTTTGACTGAAAATATCAATAATTTTTTTTAAAAATGAAAAATTAAATTATTTATTTTTTTCAAGGAGAAGAGTAATATTTTTGATTTTTCAAAGCAGTCAACTTAATTTTATTGGGGGCTTTAAAATATAAATGAAATCTCTTGTTAAAAGACCTCTTCCAGCACATACACGATATATCCAGTTTAGATGCGAAGAATTCAAAGGCTTATATAAGCTGACTCCATCAGAGGTCGTCGAGCTTATGCTTGATGAATGAAGAAATTTATCAGAAGACGAAAAATTACCTTATCTGAACGCAGCAAAAGAAGAACGTGACGATTTTAATAAAAAATGAAGAGAAGTTGAAGCAGTTGGCGTTGACAGCTTTATGAAAACTATTAAAGAAAAGCGACAGGAAAATGAAATTGATTCTGAATTCCAAGAAGACCCTATTCTTGCAATTATTAATCATAAGAGAAATTGGAAGAAAACTTGGGGTAAGAAAAGGATACTAGAGAGTAAAAGGAAAAACGGCAATTTTTGTTATAATGGAAGGAAAAAAATGAAACTGAAATTGAACTAATTTAAATGTTAACCCTTTGAATTTTGAGAAATTTATTCTATTTCATATTGAATTGTTATATTTTTGTTGATGTTTTATACTTAAAAAAAAAAAATTAAATTTGAAATCTCAATCATTGAGATATAGAATACCTCAATCCCACTGATTCGGGTTAATAAAACAATAGATTCTTTATTTTTATTTATAGATTTTGTTGCAGGACATGCAAACTTAAAAGAAGTCAGAAAAACAATCTTGAAAAAATATTGTTTTAAAAAAAAAATTTAAAATTTAGTAAAATTTTGGTAAATTTGACGGATTTATTAAGCTTATAATAGGAGCCGCAGGATATTTAATTCCTAGGTGATTTTTTTCTGTGAAATAGTGTTCTTTTTAATATCCATTGGCTTATGTCTCAGTTAATTTGTTATTTCGCTATTTATAAATAAGATTGAGCCTATCGTTATAAATTCTAAACAATTACTAAAGCCAGTTTATTGAAATTCTTATTAAATATTTTGCTTTAACTATATAGTATAACAAACTTCAATTCTTACCATTTAAGAACTTGATGCTTTTTCTCTAGTCAAAAATCACTTTCAGTTTTGTATCTTTTTCTTTGGGACTCTATTATGCCAATCAAAGAATCTTGAAAATGGACTTCTCTTTCTTTACCATACCAAACAAATTCGTTTTTAATAGTATTTTCGATTTTTCCTAAGCGCTCAGCCATTTCATTAGTTTGTATTTTTAGCTCTTCTATTTCTTTGATATATCTTCCTGAAGAATCTTCATCTGTGGCACTTCTTTCAATTTTTTTCATAATTAAGCTTTCAACCTCAGAATAATCTTTTAATAAAGATTTATAGCTGTCTAATGTGGCTCACTATTTTTTTTAAAAAAAAAATATATTAACTTAATAAATTAATTATTAAAATTTATCTTTCTCGAATATATCGTTATAAATAAATTCTATATATTAGTATTATTTATAATAAAATCTTTTGAAAGGAAATATAAAATTAATTTTTCTCCACCAATCTAATGCTGTTTGCATTCCAATAATTTTCATTTGTTCCTCTTTTATTTCTAAGGACAAGTTGTTTAATTTTGCAAAAAAATTTACTTGAAAACTATGAGACTCTTCCAGAATTTGGTTAAACCTTGGGTTTTCATTAAAATTAAAAGCTTCAAAATTTTTTTGTGAATCATTTTGAGCTTTAATCCACCCTCCAAATGCAAAATCTAAGTCTTTTATATATGGCTCAATATAATTAAGCTCCCTATCAATATTTACAAGATCCTGACTGACTGGTGTTATTTTGCTTGTAAACAAATTTTCAAATTTTGTCTTAATTTTATCTATTGTATCCTGCAAATTCAAAAAATCAAAATGATATACATGGCTTGAATCTTCCAATCTCTGCGACTCACTCGAAAAATTTTCATCTTTACATTTCAAAAACAGCTTAAAAGCTTCAGAATTCATTAAAACCGGATGTTTTGCCAAAATAATCAAATATTTTTTCATATTTTCTCTTCTTTTTTCCAAAAAATTTGACGTAGTATTTCCAAAAACCTGTTTTTCTGGAAGCGGTGGAATATTGATTCCTGGATAAGTCTTTAAAAGAATATTCCTCAGCCACTCTAGATGCCTAAATCTTCTTTTCACTTTGAAAACTTCTCCAAGCAATTGGCTAGTGATTGTATAAAGATAATAAGATTTTCATCCTATTCATCCTGATTTAATCATTTGTGGGAAATCTACATCAATTACTCACTTTGAGCTTTCACCTATCAGAGAAGCTGCAGTATCTTCATTTTTAGGATCATAATGTCGGCTGAAATAAAGTTCTGGTAAATCAATTTCATTGGTATTTTTAGCTGTATGGATTAAATCGACGTCTTCTCATCTTGTTACTTTTAAGGATTCTTGAGGAAATGCAAGCTGACTATTAGGCTCATGGGATTTATTATTTTGTGTTGGGAATAGTTGTTTTTGAGCCTTGTCGGGTGTAGTTGGGCTTGAGTCTAAATCTGAAGAAGACAGATCAGAATGCTCGATCTCTAAATCAAGAGCTATAGGCTGGAACACTTGTGTTCGGGATCTTTTTGGGATTGACTTGTAAGTGGTTATATCTTCTTTTGAATTTAGCATTAATTATGATAATTTCAGTGATTCTATAAAACGATTATCAGAAAAGCAAGAGAAGGCGAAAAAATAATTAAAAGAGATAGATCCACAACAATTTAAAATAAAATGATGGATTTTGGATAAGATCATATTTAAAGAAAGGTTGAGATTTTTATTTAATTTTAAGCTTAAAATTTTTTAGTGAAGGTGGCAGATTCTCTCAATAAAAAACTGATGATTTAAAAGTAAATAATAATAAAATGGTTTTGGATTAGAGAATAATTCACTCTCTACATTTCCACTCCATACCCAACTATTATTATAGTAGGTTAGGTTTTTGCACATGCACTTCGCATACTACAGCAATGCATTTTACCTTTTCTACTGTCCGATAAAGCCAACGCCCTTAGGCCGAGCAGGCGCTGGAGGAAAATCGGATAGAGATATGCAACGCGCCAAGATGCAAGTGCTCTGGGACTTCCGGACCTAGAAGGAGTAAACTTTTCGACGGGACGTGCAATCAGGGGAAGCGACCAAAGCCGAGAAAAAAGATCTTATGATTATGTGTAACTTGAGACCCAACTCGAGGTGAGTTAAATTAGTAAGTCTAAGATGATTAAAAGTTCAGAGATTGGGGTTTGCTTTAATTTTAAAAAAATATCGAACTTAGTGAAGTTAATCATTATTTAAGCTATAGCTGATTAAAAAATACAAGCAAAAAATTTTTATATTATGATATAATTTGCAAATTATTTTCTTTTAAATTTTTGAAGATGAGAGATAAAGATTAATTAAGTTTAGGCTCACAAACATTTTATTAACTCCCCCCCCTCCGTGAGTGAAACAAAAAAATTTTGTTCACTCACGGAGAGGGGTTATTTTTTTTTTTAAAAAAATTTATATATAAATTTTCTAAAAAATATTTTTTTTCGAAATTTAAAAAAATCCTAATTCGCAAAAATTGGAAAGCAAATATTAATTTAATTTATAAAATTTATGTTTTTTTAAAAAGCAATTCGTTTAAAATTAAACAGAATTAGCTCTAGATTTCATTATACTAATTATCATTTTATATATCAAAAATTTTTTCCATAAAAAATTTTTCTATTAAAAACATTTTTGTTCACTCACGGAGGGTGGGTTTTTGGGCAAAAAATAGCGATTTTTCTAATGGTTTTGTTCACTCACGGAGGGGGGGGGAGTAACTAATTTATTCATAAGCCCTCAAGTCTATTTGGGGTTAGGTCTTAATTTAAATGGGACAGATCCTGATTTTAATCACTAAAAAGAGCTAATAGTGAAGTATGCTGGCTCAGATCCTGTTTAAATGTAAGCCGTTTTAATATTTAGGATATAATAATTAACGATGATTATTAAAAGTGATTAACTATTTAATTGCTATTATTATTTTCAGAATTATTCTCAATTGATTGGAATTTCTTTGTGTCTGAGGTATAGGTTTTTTTCTATAGATAGCCCAATTAGTGGGTGAATTTCCCGATTAGTTCACAATTTGGTCGGAACACATGATAATTTTGCTTGGACCAAATTGTGAACTCACTTGACAATTCATCAGCTGATTGGGCTATCTATAGGAAAAAACTATAATCGCTATCGGCTCAATGCATAATTTTTTTAAATCAAATTTGGATATCCTTGAAATCTGATCAAAAAACAAAAATGCATCATTATAAAAGAAAATATTAGACAAGGCCAACAGATACCAGAAACTTTTCCATAAAAAGTCCAACTTTTTATGTTATTTTCTTCTGAAGAATAGCAATACATATCACTTGTAACAACATAGCATTGATCTTTATAAATAAAAAACATTTTTCATGATTCTTTGTTAATCTCAAAAAGGCTTTCATATGAATTCTTATCAGGGTCATATCTTCATATGTTTCCTAGCTTTCATCCAGAAACCAAAATTTTTTTTTGATATACGATTGTATTTGTTTGAACAGCAGGGAAAGGTAAATTTGCAATTCTTTTTCACTTATTTTTTCATTAAAGTTAAAACAATTTATATAAAACAGCTGGATCTTCTTAGACTATTTGCCAACGCATGTGGCTAATTTTCCAATCATTCTGCTTTCCTTAAACAACCTGAAATTGAGATGAATGAGACTTTTTCTACTGTATTGAATTTCATTAATTACGGATATTTTTGTTTGCTTTCAAGATATCTGTCTTTTTTCATTTAAAAGACTTATTTTAGCTTTAATGATCATCTATTTAAGCTCACATGAAAAAAATTATATCTTATATATTTATTATAGACAATTAACAAAAGTATTAACTATTTTTATTATTATTTTGAGAATTATTGTTGATTTTAAAGTATTTATTAGTGTCTGAGGTATTTGCAATAGGCTTAATGAGCAATTGATTCAAATCAAATTTGCATATTCTTGAGAGATCGTCAAAAAACAAAAAGACTTCATTATAAAAGCAAACATTGGAGAGAAGCCAACAGATACCAGAAACTTTTCTATGAAAAGTCCAATTTTGTATGCTATTTTTTTCTGAAGAATAGCAATTATAATCACTTGCAACAACATAGCATTGATCTTTATAAATATAAAACATTTTTCATGGTTCCTTGTCAATCTCAAAGAGGCTTTCATATGAATTTTTATCAGGGTCATAGTTTCAAATGTTTCTTAGCTTTCAACCAGAAACTAAGATTTTTCTTTGATATACAATTGTGTTTGTTTGAGTAGCAGGAAAAGGTAAATTTGCAATTCTTTTTCATTTATTTTTTCTTAGGTTAAATTTATCGCTAAAAGATTGAGGGTTATTTGGGAACCGTCTACCCCCAAAAACATAAACAAATTTTTCAAGATACACCGGTGTGGCGAAACATCTTGCCCTTCCAGTTTGTAATTTTTCAACAGATAGATTTTTTATATCTATTAAAAGGCAAATTCCAACGGATTTGTCTGTTTTTGAAATTCCTCCTAAGTAAAATAGCTGAGAGCCATTTAATTGGCATAAAAATCCTTGGGTCATTAGGTTCAAAGATACAGGGGTTGGGATTTTTGCACAGATTTTATTATTTTCGACATTGTAAACAAGAAATTCTTTGGAATCTATTGACATTGTACAAAGATGCAAAGGAATTTCAGATATTGAATCAAATTTTGACTGTTCCTCTTCTAGAAGAGGTAATGACTTATACCTATTTCTATTTGCCATTTATTATTTGTTAATTGGAGGGGGAGTGAGTAAAACTATATAGGTCATTATCAAAAACATCAATTAATCTATTAAAACAGTAAGAAAATTAAATTTCGTGATCTTTTAGCTAACCTTTAAATTCTTAGACCAATTTTCTTTAAATCATCACAAAATATCTAATTTTTGGCAGCATTAACCCCTTTAAATATTGCATTCAATTTATTTTTAAAAAAAAAACTACTCCTTTGATAGGATTTGCTATAAATGGGAGGAGATTCAAAATCCTACTTTTTCTTGATTTCCTAGCCATTCTCTTATATATGATTTCCTACTCTAATTTTTATTTAAATTAAAGCACTTAACTTTGGTCTTATGATTCCAACATAATAAAATAAGATTCATGTGAATAGATAAAAACCAAGAAGTTTATAATAATAAAAAATGATTCCTAGATGGTTCTTGAGATCAAGATTTTGGTTTGTCTGCGGCTTCATGGATGAATATCTGTCAAGAGACGGCATGGCTATCGCTATGGCTAGTTTAGTTATGTTCATTCCTGGATATTTATGGGGTGTTCACATCAATCGAGAAGCTGAAGTTCATAATTCGCATCTTAACTATCAAATTGAGTTTGGAGCTCGCAGAAATAGACTTGCACACTCACTGATCTTTGAAGAGTTCGAAATGCAGGTAGAACAGTGGCGCAAGTTCACAGAAGGTGATGCTTAAGGCTTAATCTTAAACTAACCAAATTGGTTTAAAATGGTTCAAGAGTATTATTACTTTTAGCTGAAGCTATTTATATAAACAAACGTGAAATGAGTAAAGAAATGATGCATTTTTTCAACAAAATATCTTTAGCTGAATACTTGATAAAGAAATTTAATATAAATAATGAATAGAAGATTTTTATACCTTTTATGTTAATTTGTATTAAAATATAAAAAATAATCGATTTATAAGATTTATTGTGAATGTGATTATTTAACTTTGAGGTTCTCGTGATGTCAAGCCAATAATTACCATACCACCTATCAATAAATATTTCAAAATTGGATAATCGGCAAGTCATATCGTAATTATCCCTACATAAGGTATGTAAAACCAAGTTCTTCCTAAAAGATCTTTTTTCTGTATGAATAACTGCTCTATAATAATATAAAATTGCTTTGGATAAGAAAATAATTCACACTATGAATTCTTTTCCTTTATTATACTTTTAAAAGTACACTTCTGTCTTACAGAGAAGAAATAGAGAAAATTTTCTTACTTCGCAATCTACAAGCATCGTATTTTACCTCGTTCCACTGCCTGATAAAGGCAAAACCCTTACTCCATCTCCGCTAGAGAGCAAAACCATTAATAAAGTCCCTTCAAGAGCGCAAAAAAATTTTTGAAATTAAAAATGTTTTATAAAAAAAACTTATATATAAGTGGTATTTATTATAATGAAATCTCAAGCTAATTCTGTTTAATTTTAAATACCTTGCATTTTAAAAGCATAAGCTTTACAAATTAAACTAATATTTGCCTTCTAATTTTTGCGAACGGGATTTTTTTAAATTTCCAAAAAAAATTATCCACGGAAAATGGGGATTTAGGTCAAACAGGAAATTCGGATAGAGCAAAACAACGCGCCAAGCTGCAATTGGTCCGGACTTCTGAGCATTCAAATCACCTTATTAAGGCTATGAGGAGTGAACTTTGTCGACATGCCTTGCTTAAAATCAAGGTGAGCAGCCAAGCCGATGAAAAATGGACCCTATGGTCGTGTGCACTTGAGGCACAACTATAGGTGAGTTTAAATTTAATAATATAAGTCTAAATCTAAGTATGAATAACTGCCAGGCGTGTATAATCCTCTGTCATTAACTTTATTGTTATCTCCTTTCGTCAATATATAATAATCATCATCTTCTTCATGGAGATTCATAATTCTATGAACTATCGGAATGTCACGGTCACCTAGCTTATAAACAACGACATCTCCAGGTTGCAACGGAGGGTAATTCCACATCTCCAAAAACAAAATATCTCCTCTGTAATAAGCCGGCTCCATAGACCCACTCAGCACAACTACAATTGGACTCTCAGTATTGAAAGAAATCATAAACCCTTTCCAAGTCATCAGTGCTGTCGCTATAACTAAGCAGAGATTGACAAATTGGTGGGAAAACCTTCTTTTGTCCATGATTTTGAATTCATTGAGTGTGTCTGTCACTACGTGCATTTATATACGTGGACAATATATAAATTAAAATAAAATCCTATGTTAAATAAAATAGGTTTTAGTATATGCATAAGGAGAATTTTCTTATGAAAAATTAATAAAATATTGCTTTAGCTGCCATCCATAGAGAACAAGTAAAAACTGGTATTGTGAAATTGTCGTCTATATAAGGAACTGTAATTAATTCTGATAAAAGTGCTATCACAAATGCAAGTATAAAGTTAATTTCTACTCCAGATATAAAATGATAGATCAATGCAGCTATAGTACCGCATGTAGCTGCTCCAAGTGATCCTGAAATTGATTTTTTTGATGTGATTTTGGGACCGCCTACGAGAATTCCTATAATTGAAGCAGCAGGATCGCAAATGCTTACGTTAAGGATGCTCAAAATTACAATATCTCTTTGGGTTGTGAGGTAAACTATGACCATAACTCCAGCTAACTCTTTTATATAAATAAATTTTTAAATAATTAAAAATTATCATAATGAGAATCCGAATTTTTTTTTAAGAAATAGTGGGATAAGAAAAATAATGCTGCAGGAGGAGAGTCCCATTGCTCATGAGGCCTTAAAAGCCACTCCCAATGTGAAATAAACCACTCATTTAGGCGTGGAAACACTTTTCTTCTGCAGATATCGAAAATAATAAAGCAGATTGTGGGGATTGTAATAAGTCATCTTGCTTGTGTTTGGTCGACGAAATGGTAAATAGCTAAAAACAGCATTCCTGTGGCAAAGTGCTGAAATCTTCGAACAAGATGCAGACTTTGAGCTACATCTCCTTCTCCATGTCCTATAATTTTGAGAGCTGCGTGAAATCCTATCACAACAGCGCTTGCAACTAAGATTCAGACCCAGATCATAATGGTAAATTAATTTAATTAAATAAGTTAGATATAATCAGAAATTTGTATAGCATTTGGATAATGTGCATTAACTTATTCATTTGTTTGAAAGATAATTTTTAAATAAAATTTTGATATAAGCAAGTTTATAATTTCAATATCTTAATAAATATGACATAATATTCGGATTCTTATATAATAACTATATCATCTTTTTTTAAAGATTAAACAAGAACAGTGTTTCTCTCAAAAGCTTAGACAAATATTAAAGCTAAATTATCTTTTTAAGCTTTTCGCTAGTTTTTAAATTGATATTCTTAGATTTCAAATTATATTTTTCTTTACTCCCTCCGTGAGCTAAAAAAATCATTGGAGAGCGAAAAAAAAAAATTTATGAAAAAAATATCTCGATATATAAATAATGAAATATAGCTAATTTTGTAGCTTTTGCATTTTAAAACGTAAATTTTGCAAATAAATTAATTTTTAGTCCTCAAACTGGGATTTTTTTTTCAATTTTGAAAAAAAATTTAACCCGCTCCATGAGCGAAAGAAATTTTTGTTCGCTCACAAAGGGGTGAGTTAGTAGCTCTCCACCCATAAATTGAATCAAAAAAATCTGTTTCAAGTTAATTTATTTTTATTGCATTTATTATCAGAATCAACTTTTATAAATAGTATTCTGCTTACAAACCCTATTTAAAATAGAGCAAATTATAGATAATTTTTAAATTTTGCTGCCTTAAATTCTCATCAAAGCTATTATTATTTTGCCTTTTTCTAATTTAAAATAGATAAAATGTCCTACCTTTTTTTTTCATTAAAAGAGGAGTATGTTACCGTTGGCTAAAGGGCTACATATCATTTTAAAAGCTAAAATATTTTTTTAATCGTTATATCAGCAACTTCTATTTTCAATTACATGATAGCGCTCACAAGCATCCATGAGTCTGCGTATCAAGTAATTTATCTGCTGAAGAATTTTTTTTTAATACAAAAATCTTTATGGATTTAAATTTTCATTAAATATTAATCATTTTCCTCCATTAAAGTACTTTCTTTGTTCACGTTGAGTTGTTTTTCATATCAAAAGTTTGGAATTTTCTCATAGAAAAGTTCAAATCGGAAATTATTCCCCTATATTTTCAGATTTCACCCTTTTCAAAAATAGCTACTTTTTTAGCTCTTTATTGCTTTTTAATAATATTCCAAGAATCCAGGTTTATTTCTAATTAGCTTGCAAAATCTCTCTGAATATTTGCCCACTGAATCTTTTTTAATTATAAATTCAAATTTTCTGGCAATAACTTGATTAAAATTTTCATCACAAAATTCATAAAATTAAATTCTAGATTGCAAAACTAATCAAAGTTTTGATGCCAAATCTGATTTATCTGTTTAGACTAATAATTTATACTAGCTTACGATGGATTGCCCGCTACAGAGTGTTTTGTAGTTATCCAAATATTACTGGCTTGCCAAATTAATTAGCTAGACATATTTTTTGAATGCAAATTTAAAATTTGGTTAGCCAAAAATGATCCTTAGTTGGCTACTCTTTCTAATATGTATATCATTATCTTAAATTTAGATTTGTGTTCTTCTTCCCAGAGATAATCAAAATGCTACATTACTCCAATTTTCTGTTCTCCTCGAGCAGAAAATTTTCCTCTGGTCAATCTTGATTATGAAAATTCTCACTCAACGAGTTTATCCCAGCAATTAGGTGGATTACGCTCAAGGGTACAAAATTTTAGACGCCCAGTCTTTAGGGAATTCGAATTTTCTGGAAGTTTCCATACTCCAGACAGTAGAGACTGGTACATTTACTATGCCTAACAGATGCTAGTTGACTTTTTCCGAGAACTGGAAGGAAAGCCATCGAAATCCAAACACCCAAGTCGATAAGTCATTCAAATCAAGACCAAGAGGTGCACGACAGAAGGTAAGTGGGTCATCCGAAGCAGGAGTGGAAACCACATATAGGCTATGTGATCATAGTTTTAAACGCTTAAGAATCATAACTAATTAAGACTAAGTTTCTTCTTGCCAGAATTGAACTTCTTTTGAAATTCAAAACAACAGGAGCTTTATCATGGCTATTTCTTGAATTATTCCAAGAATTTTCCGTCGCAGGGTCATTATTTTGTATGTTAGGGACAATTTTTATTAAATTTTTCAAACAGCCACTTTTTGGCTGATGTTTATCACTGGCAACCCTGCATGGGCTTGGAGTCTTCATATCCATCAAAACCTTAACTAGCTGAGGATGTTGTGCTTGAAAAGATTTAAAGCTGGTCTGTATATAAGGATAAATCTGAGGGACGTCAAGAAGATTGTGTGTGTCACAAATTGAGTTTTCAATTTGTATTGTGTAAATTTCTGTGTCATTGTGTCTTGAGTCTTCAAAAACTGTTTTGCTGTTCATGATTTGTGTAATTTATATCTCAAGGGTAAATGTGGCAATTGATGGTTATGGAAAAGTAAAGAATCGCAGTAATGATAATTTAATCTGAATATAGATTTTAGCGTTTGATTTATTGTTAGTGGCTCTTTTCTATATATTCTTTAAGAGTCAGTAAAAAGAAATCTGGCGCTAAATTGAATAACTCCTCCCCCCCCCCCTCCCGTGAGCGAACAAAAAAATTTTGTTCGCTCACGGAGGGGGGTTAATTTTTTTTTTTAAAAAAAATTTTATATATAAATTTTATAAAAAATATTTTTTTCGAAATTTTAAAAAAATCCTAATTTGCAAAAATTGGGAAGCAAATATTAATTTAATTTGCAAAATTTATGTTTTAAAACGCAATTTGTTTAAAATTAAACAGAATTAGCTCTAGATTTCATTATACTAATTATCACTTATATATCAAAATTTTTTTCCATTAAAATTTTTTTCTATTAAAAAAATTTTTGTTCACTCACGGAGGGTGGTTTTTGGTCAAAAAATGGCGATTTTTCTAATGGTTTTGTTCGCTCACGGAGGGGGGGGGAGTAAGTTAAAAGTGGCAGAAAAATCTTCTGGAAGGGAAGATTTTGTGAGAAGGTGTGGGAGGAGAGGAAATATAGAAAGCAAAAGAAAAGGATAATTTTTTCAAAAATTGAAGAGTGAACTGGAATATGATCAAAATGATGGGGTTGGCAAGTGCTTATTGGGTATGATAATATCAAATATGAATATCAGAAAACAGATCAAGTTTAAATGAGAAGATTGATTTGTTGAAAAAATGAGTAGTCTCTTGCATTATTTATTAGTATTTTGCAGTTTAAGCAAATATTATAGGAAAAGAGTTTCGCTTAATTAATTATAAAATTGGATGAATTGTGTTGGTTTGGGATTTATTTTAGCTTGACTTAAAAAGTTAAAAAAATGCAATTGGTGTTTAAATTTGTAAGATTCTTGAAGAAATTTTACCTGAGATAGTGATACTGTTTTTACTGAATATAATTCGCCCTTGTGAAAATTGCATTTTTTTAATTTAATCGACTTTTATTCAGTGTGTAAATAGCAAAAAGTACAAATGCATATAATAAGCGAATTTACACAAATTTTTATATGCAAATCACTTTAAGCTTATATGTGAGAAAAATTAAGCTTAAAATTATTTTAATTGACCAAAATATCACTACAGTGAAATTCAGTATGCATATAGATTGCTTATCCTGCTGGATTAGAAAATATACTAAAATACTATTATTCATACAGATTTTTACATATAAAAATGAGCTTAGTTTAAAGCCATCTTATTTATCTATAATTGGATAAAATTATATAATCAAATTTTTTCGAAATATACAAAATCAAAGGCTCGAATTCCGTTAAATTTATTGTTATAATTAATTATAATCATGATTTCTTTCGAAACTGAAAGTAGATTAGCTGAACTTCTATATGGCATTTCACAAGGAGAAAACACAGTCGAAATCTTACGTCTCAACCTCTGCAAAAACAATGATTTTGAGCCTTATTCTGCTTTTAAACACTTAGACAGGCTTGGTCTCGGTTCCTTATCCAGCAGTGACCTCCGAGCATTTTTAGATCGAAACAATCTCCAAATATCAGAGCAAGACAGTTATATGATAATTCGACAATATGACTCCAACTCAGATGGACGGCTTTCTCTTAACGAATTCATCTCATTTGTATTGCCAAGCACCAACGAAACAGTTAGAGAAATCGCCCAGTCACGTCCTACAAAATTATTTTTATCAAATGACGCAGAATATTTGCTTCTCCGTTTATTTGAGGCTGAAATAGAAAATCAAAGAGAATTAGAAGCCAAAAGAAAAGATTTAGTAGGCAGACCTGACTTTAATTTATTAGAGTGTTATAGAGTTGTTTGATATTAAGTTAAGTTAAGTTATTAAGTATCCGGCCATAAGCGCTGGCCATCCCACCCCATCTAGGCTCCAAAATGACATCCGAGGAAGCCATTTTGAATTTCAGACCTGAACCACCTGCCCAGGGGATTAGCTCGCCCTGGGCAGAGCCGCTCCTAGATAGCGCCCCGATAGTCCCGATTAGGAAAGACCATGTAGTAGGCAAAACATCTGGGCAGGGACAGGGAAAACCTTCGGGGGAGAAATAAAACATCCCTTTTTGGCAAGGTATCCCCAAGCTTGAAGGCCCACTTCCACTGGGACAGAGGCCCTACTTTCAGCACATCAGGATGGGTCCTACCTCTTCCATAGAGAGTACGCTTCGGAGTCCAATACCGTTAACGCCACCATTTTCTTCTGCTGATATTAGGAATTCTCAAACGATAGATAGAGGAGATTTATTTGACTTTTTAAGGAAGCATAATTTTAGGGTATTTGAAAATGATATAGACGCAGTTATTAGAAGAATTGACAGTGATGGAGACACAATTATAAGTTATCTTGAGTTTGTAGATTCAGTGCTGCCTGCTGAGCCTGTGCTGAGATCATCTATTCCTTCATCAAGCTTTAATAGGTCAATTGGATTATCAAATAAAGAAACTAGAAAATCGACGTCACCACTAAGGTCAATTTCTCCTAATAGAAATTCAATTGAAGTTTCATCAATATACAGATCATCAGAAAGATCGCCAACTCCTATAAAAAGGCCTGCTTTAAGTGAGTATGAACTTATATCATCACCTAGAAGGGCTGCTTCTCCTCTTCGAAGTACACCTTTTAAACAGTCATTAATAAATAGTGAAGTGTTAAAAACTTCACCATTGCGTAGATCGCCATCTCCTCCTAGGGTTTCTCCTTATCGTTCTTCAGTTGAACCACTTGAAACAGAGTCTTCAATTAGAAAATCAAGCTTAGGGTCTGAAAATATGCAATCAATTAGTAAAATTAGCCCATTCAAGAGCTCTCCTTTGAGGAATTCTTCATTAACTATAGAAAATTGCCCGAGGATGGGGCAAAATAGCGCCATCCTCGGGCAATTTCTATAGATTAGACTGAAAAGAAATTATAAAAAAGTAAATTATTAGGGCATTCCTTGAAATAGCGGGCTAATTGCAATTAAATTTAAAATCTAATCTAATCTAATCAAATCATTAACTAGAGAAATCAATGAATTTTCTTATCAGACTCCATTTAAAACTGATTCGTCAATTTCTATGAGCCAGTCTACAAATAGAAGCTCTCCAGTAAGAAATTCATCTCCAATTAGAAATTCAATAGCTCCTAATGAAGAATATTCATATCAATTGCCAAATAAAGCTTCTCCATGGAAATCATCTTTAGGCAGCTCATATATAAACGGGTCGAATTTTGAAACTTCAGGAAGGCATTCTCCTCCATCAAGAAACTCAATTTCCCCAACACATTCGTTGAGCATGCCGAGATCATTAAAAAAAAATTATTTTGCTGCTAATAGAGATTATGATTTAGGCAAACCCCTAAGAAACAGTGATAATTCTGCCTCAAAAATTTCTTATACATCAGAAAGTTCATTGAGCTACCAAATAAATTCCATCTCAAAAGAAAACGTTGAAAACGATTTAATTTCCCTTTTTAAAGAACAAATAAAGCTTTCCAGAGACTTAGAAAGACTAAAAATCGAACTAAGCGACAAGCTCGATTTCAACTTAATTGATGCCTTCCGTATGTTTGACTTAAATGACAAAGGCTCTATAACAGTTTCAGAAATAGAAAATACTTTAAAAGAACTCGGCCTTCCCATCTTGCAAGATGAAGTCTACCTCTTATCTCGGCACTATTCCAACACCCAAGATACAGTTTTACAGTTTTCCGAATTCGCAGAAATGTTTATCCCTAAACAAGAAGAGTATTCCAACGTCTTAAGAAACAGGATTCCATATAATCTTCCTATATCGCAACGCAAATCAGTGTTTTCACATGGTACTCATGACCTTTATATAAGCGTGCTTAAGCTTCATTTGAAATCTGAAACAATAGCAGAAAGCTTAAGGCAGGATTTATCGAGGAAAAATTTTAATATTCATGAAGCTTTTCAAGGTGTTGACCAGGATAGGAATGGATTTATTACAATTGAAGAATTAGAAAGGTTTTTGGAATATTATAGGGTTCATGTAGATAGGAAAGATGTGGCAGCTTTATTAAATAGATATGACAAAAACAAGGATGGGAGAGTCAGCTATTCTGAGTTTGTGCAGGAAATAACGCCTAAGTCTCCAAGTAAGCATTAATTAATTTTAAGCGTCCCTAAAAGATATGTCAAAGTTTATAAGTAAAAGAAATGGACAATATTCATTTTTAAGATATTTAAATCTGCTTCGAAAATGCTTTGATTTCTGTTGGAGTTATATACTGTGAGCACAGATATGATCAACCTTGAGTAACCCTTTCCCACTCCTGATAGTTTAAATGAAAATGCCAAAATTAATAGATATTTTAAACCCTTAATAATATACTTGCCATATTATCTCCCGTGAATAAACATTTCCCGCACATAATGGCGCTTTTTGCGCCAAAAGTTAGGAAGTGCTTATCCTGTCAATTCTGAAAGGAGTTGCAGTGTGAGAGGAGATTTTGCGTCAGCAGTAGTCTCTTCAGTGCTGAATTCATGGACTGCAGGAGTTGAAGCGAAGATGGAAGCGTGGTGCAATGGGTGATGGCATGGAGACAGCACATGATACAGGCAAAAAATTTCAATGGCCTGCATTGGAGGCGCAAGCAGGTAGTGCATTGATTTTTTTGTGAAATTACTTTTTACCTTTTACTCTTATTTTAGAAATTTTTTGGGAATTTTTTTTCACAAATTTCTGGAACTTTTTTTGAAGATCTTTTAATTGGTCCACTTAGTTGGGCGATAACCATTAATTAATTCATTCATCTCCCGTGAAAATGGAAAAGGAGGCAGTTCCCAACCTATACCTACTCCCATAGTATAATAAATATTTCAGAAATCCATTTCAAATCGATATTAATATGAAAATGGTGAAAAACTAAAATTTATTCTCCCCGTCCCTGTACACAAAGCCTGATATTTCCATCAGCCAAAGGTAAATAATTCCAATAATTTTATCTTTTGAATGCTCATTGGCTAATTGTGCAGATATTTACGTCATGAATTCGACTTAATATATATTTCTGATATGCAACTTTTGCTGTTAGTTATTGGTTTTGGAACGGTTTTGGCCGGATATGTCCATCCTGAGCAGATTCATCTTTCTTGGACAGAAGAAATCAACCAAATGAGGGTTACCTGGGTAACTTATCTGAATGTCCCAGCACAAGCTGCTTATAGGCCAATTTTATGCGGGAATGTTCCAACACCTTCGAACTTCACACTTATCAATGGTGAGACCAAGAAATTCCATGAAGGGAGCCACTTTTGGGAGTACCAGCACATCCATACGGCAGTTTTTAATAACCTTGATTCTAATTGCTGGTATGAATATAAGGTCAAGAATTTGGGAGTTTGAAGCAAAACTTATATGTTCAATGGAAGAACGCCAGATACAAATGCAACGTTTAGAGATGTGAATAATCCGTTTAGCTTGGTGATATTTGGAGACTGGGGAACTGGCCCAAATGGACAATACACTAAGCATTTACTTGGAGAGGAAACATTGACAAGGGACTACTTAGGGATCCTTCACATGGGAGATATTGGATACAATTTAGATAGCGACGATGGTAAAGTTGGAGATACTTATCTTAACATGGTCGAGTCTATTGCCGCAACTTATCCTTATATGACTCTTCCTGGTAATCACGAAAAGGCTAACAACTTCACTCACTATAAAGCAAGATTCAACATGCCAAACAACGGCGCAAACCAAGGCACAAACTATTTCTACTCCTTCAACCTTGGTCCTGCCCATTTCATAATGTACAATACAAACCCATATTTCGATGATATGAATACAACAGCAGACGCTGATCTCGAAACTCAATGGATTGCTAATGATTTAGCTTTAGCCAATAAGCAAAGAGATATAAGACCATGGATCATTACATTAGCCCATCACCCTCTATATTGTTCTCAAGACTGGTCTAATGAAGACAGTATAGAAGATTGCGGAGAGCAGCCAGCTGTTCTTAAGCCAATTTTTGAAGATTTATTTTATAGCAACAGCGTTGATCTTGCGCTTCAAGCACATGTCCACATTTATGAAAGAGACGCTCCAATATATAAAAATGAAACGATTCCAAGTCAGTATGATAGCCAGAATATGCATATAAACCCTAATGCTCCAGTTTATATTGTGGGAGGGGCTGCAGGAAATCGCCTTGGGACTAATGTACCAGCTTCTAAAACTCCTCAACCGTGGGCTAGGTTTTTAAGCAATGACTATGGGTATGGAAGATTGACGGTATTTAATAAAACCCATATGCTTTGGGAACAATTCAGTGTTCTTCAGCTCACTGAGATTGATTATGTTTGGATTATCAAAGATCAGGCGAGATACAAGCCAGTTCTTTTAAACTAAATATAATCGGATTGATTAAAATTTTATAAGTAATTATAGAATTCTTTTAAAAAGGCTAATCAATAAATCAGAATTTTCTTTAAAAATGTGAAGGATTAGCAGCTTTGTTAAAATTTATCATAGGCTTATAGGATTTCATTTAGATTCTGCAGTAATCATTTTTGTTTTGCTATGAATCTAATTACTGATTATATTATTACTTTGCTTTTCGTAAAATTTAAAATGGATAAACAAATTGAATTCTAATTTCCTCTCCTCTATACCTATTGATTCAAAAGTCGCCAAATCATATTACATAAAGGTAATTATTGAATAAATTTACCTTTCAGACCCATTGTCAATGTGCAGAGATTGACGTCACAAATTGAATATCCAATATTAAATTAATTATATATTATAAAAATTTTTATACTTCTTATAAACATTGATTTATTCAGCTTTTATTTATTTTTAATAATGCAAAACAGTATAATAAATAATTCTGATCATGAAACTGGTTTTATTCCTGATTGGTATTGGGCTCACACTTGGAGGATATATTTATCCTGAACGATTACGATTAAGGTTAGATTAGGTATTTAAGATGTCCGACAAAGGCATTAAACCTGGCCGGTGATGCCACAGGCCATTCTGAATAATATGGGTAGACATCCCTTTGAGTCCGTCGAGCCGTACTTCTCACCGGACAGGTGCCGTCGCCATTACCGGACTCAGCTTCTGCACGTGTCCAGCCTGAGGTCCCTCCTTGGGTGTGCAGAGTGGAGAACCTTTAAACCTCTTGAACGCGCTGAGGAGAAGTTCTCTCTAGCCCGATATGACTAAAGTTGCACCACTTTTGCTATGCAGAAGTTTTCCAGGCAAATCAAACTCTATAAATAAAAATTTCTAGGGAGAGAAATTAGCAGAACGAATTTCTCGAACCCCAATTCCATTTTTATTTATACATTTATTCTGAACAAATTCACCTATCCTGGACTGAGGAAATAAGCCAGGTAAAGGTCACTTGGGTCACTTTCTTGGATCTCCCTCCTCAAGCTGCTTATAGACCAATTTTATGTGGGAATGTTCCATCACCTTCAAATTTCACTAATATCAAAGGTGAAACTAAGAAGTTCCGCGAAAGCAAAATTGGGTATAAATATCAATATATCCACACAGCAGTCTTCGGAAACCTTTTACCAACTTGCTGATATGAGTACAAGGTCGGCAATTTTGGTGTCTGGAGTAAGACTTTTATGTTCAGTGGGAGAACTCCCGATACTGCTGAGACCTTTGAAACAGTCAATGACCCTTATACCTTAGTTATTTTTGGAGACTGGGGGACTGGACCCATTGGACAATACACTAAACATTTACTTGGAGAAGAGACATTGACAAGAGACTATCTCGGAATCCTTCATATGGGTGACATTGCTTATAACATGGAAGACGAAAACGGCAGGGTTGGAGACACCTATTTAAGGATGATTGAGCCTATAGCCGCCACTTATCCTTACATGACAGCTCCAGGCAATCATGACAGTTATGGAAACTTCACCCATTATAAAAACAGATTCAGCATGCCTAACAATGGAGTCAACGAAGGAACCGGCTATTTCTATTCTTTCAACCTCGGTCCTGCTCATTTCATAATGTACAACACCAATTCTTACTTCAAAGATTATAGAAAAGCGGAAGCAGAAGTCCAAACCCAATGGCTCATTAATGATTTGGCTGAAGCTAACAAGCAAAGAGACATAAGGCCATGGATTATTGTGTTAGCCCACCATCCTTTATATTGCTCTCAAGACTGGTTTGAAGAAGGAAGCCAAGAAGACTGTGGAGAGCAGCCTGCTGTCCTTAAACCCATTCTTGAAGATTTGTTCTACAGTAACAGTGTAGATCTCGCAATGCAGGCGCATGTCCATAACTATGAAAGAGATGCTGCAATATATAAAAACCAAACAATTCCTAGCCAATATGATGGACAGAATATCCATATAAATCCAAATGCGCCGATTTATATTACGAGTGGGAATGCAGGAAATTATCTTGAGCATAATGACCCAGCTTCAACAACTCCTCAGCCATGGGCAAGGTTTTTAAGCAATGATTATGGCTATGGAAGATTGACGGTCTATAACAATACTCATCTGTATTGGGAGCAGTTTAGCGCTACTGCGCTTACTGAGATTGATTATGTTTGGATTGTGAAAGATCAACCAAGATATAAACCATCTCTTATTAACTAAGTTATTGATTAAATTGAGAGATTATGTGCTCAGTTATATTTTTTTACTAGAATAATAGCTCATTTACGTTATAAATTAATTATAAAAAAATCTCCAAAATTTTTATTAATATATTAAAAATAATTAATTGCCTCTGTTTTCTAGTTGTTTGAAAATCGAAAGCCTTTTATTCCCTGGCATATTTTCTATAAAACCATTCCTTGAGCATTTTGCATCAATATCGGGTGAATTATCTCTATGTTTGAATTGGCATCGATACCCATAAATACAATACCCGAGCTCAAAAAATTGTTTACATTTTTTTGTTTTGTAATTTTTGGTTGCATGGCCGCGCAATCTTAATTCTGAGTCGCCATGGGCAAATGCACATCGACTACCGAATTCACAGATTCCAGCTTCCCAGTTCTTGCATCGTTCTGTTTTGTATTTAATTTTGAAATCATTGTCAGTCTTTTTAGGAGAGAGTTCTTTGAGTACTCCATAGGACATTAATGATTCTTCTAGAAAATTAAGAGTAGCGTCGTAAGGGAGGAAGGCAGGCTGCAAGAAATCTGTATGCCACGACATTTTATTATTATTTATTAAGGATGATTATTAAAGAGAACTAATAATTACCGTTTCTGGTCAGGTTTAAATAATGGTAGATAATGAAGATTATGCAAACTTATTTAAAATTATTTCAGTAATTATCAATTTTGATGCTAGTAAAAATTGTTTATTGAATTTGTTGAACAGTTGATTGTTTTTATCAGCGATTGAACTATTTTTTGTGAAAATAATAATATAAGTTGCAGATTTTGTGAGAATGTATGCTCATGTTTGGATAACTGGAAAAATAAAAAATATTATTAAAATTATAATCAAAAATTTAGTCTTTGAATAAAATGATTAATTTCGTTTTAAAATAATTATAAGATTTTTATATAATAATTGGTAATAATACTTTCAAAGAAAATATTTTTTATTGCTTTAACTTTTATCACTATTTTCAATGTCATGCGCTATAGCATGCTTTAATTTATTATAGTATTTAGGGTTTTTTTTAAAATATCATAGCTTCTATATTATAGAAAAATCACTAACTCCCCCCCCCATCCTTGATCGAACGACTCGCCATCGTTCGATCAAGGATGGGGGTTAAAAACAATTTTTTGGGAAAAAAAATTTTATATATAAAAAAAAAAAAAAATATATATATATATATATTTTTTTTATTTACTTTAAATAAGAGGGTTAAGAGTATTTAATAATTATTTTTACAGCTAAAAATTGAAATTACTTTTCATAAAAATATCATTTTTTAATATTTTGATTTATTAGTTACCCCTTTAAACTTATAAATTTTAATTTGTTCCTTATTAAATTAAATTTTTGTTTTTTAAAAATTTTAAATAATCTGCATTTTATTAGATTATTAAGTTTTTAAGCCTAGGTTGATGATTAAATCACTTTGAATGGTTGATTCCGCAGCTTTCTGTCGTCTCAAAGTCTCTGAAAACAACTTCATTATGTGCATCTTCCCAAGCTTTTGATAACTAATATATTTTATATATATAAAAATTGTTATGATATGAAAATCGTTCGATCAAGGATGGGGGTTAATTCCCCAATTTTTAGGAATTTTTACAGTCAATCGTTCGATCAAGGATGGGGGGGGAGTAAGCATTTAAAATACGAAATAATTACAATTATTCTATATAAATCTGATAGAGGCATCTGTAGATTCCAAGCGACTGGAGTAATCTGGATACACAGACTTTCTTCCTCTTGGACTAAATTTCAAAGAATTATTGAGATATTCTTGAACGTGAGGAGTTTTAACCCTCTTTGCATTCCTTTCACCAGCATTCAAAACTGTTAGTGGCTTTAACAACATCGCAGGTTTTGGTTTGACCAATTCTCTTGGAATTGGTTTAGGTATTGCATTTTCTTTTAAAACTAACGAATTCTGCTCTTTTTTAGTATGAGGAGATATAGAATGCACATAAGCTTCATTTCTAGGAGTCGCTCTCAGCGGAATCTGCACACTTTCTCTCCTCGAATGTTTGCTATGCTTTTTCTCATACAATTTTTCAATTAAATTTGGCTCCTTCACCACATCTACCGTTGTCTCATTCAAATCTCTGTCATTTTCTTTTTCAAAAGAATCTCTTACCGAAGTATCATAAATTACAGTCCCATTAAGCCCAGAAACTTTATAAGTTTTTTTAGGTCGCTTTGATTTTTTGAGTAATAAATAATACGTGGCTGTAGCATGATTATGCTTATTATTTAATACAGAAGTTTCTGTATTTGTAATATCAAAGCCTATAATAATAAAATGAGAACTTACCGAATTAGTTCTCTCTGAGAGCTATCCCTCCGTGATTTATTATTATAGGTTCACTTTTCCAGGTGAATCTTTATCCACTTCTGCGAAAGAGAGCGTCACGATAATGACCTAATTAACATAAAAATATAGTAATATCAAAGCCTAATTGTCCAAGATATCTGAGAACTTTTTCATTTACAGCAGGGTTTTCGTCTTCTGAAAGCTCTGGCCTTGAGTCTTGAGAATAAAGATTAAACCATTGATGCCTCCTGACCATATCAATAGTCCATCTTTCGTCTGGGCTTGTATTTATTAATCGCTTTAATAGGTCTCTTGCTTCATTTCCAACCCATCTTGGACAATTATAATTTCCACTTAATATTTTTTTGTATAATTGTGATGTATTTGGGTCTTCGAAAGGGAGATGCCCACATATAAGGGCGAATAATATGATTCCACAGCTTCATAGGTCGACTTTATTTCCATAGCGTTTTCCAGCAATCATCTCTGGGGCTGCATAGCAAGGGCTTCCACAAGCAGTTTTTAGAGTTTCGCCTGTTTTATGAGTATTTGACAACCCAAAATCAACAATTTTTATATTTAAATTTTCATCAAGTAGCAAGTTTTCTGGTTTTAAATCTCTATGAATGATGCTGTTTTTATGAAGATACTCTACCCCAGCTAAAATTTGTTGGAAAAATCTGCACGCTTGAGGTTCTTTTACTTTATGATGAGACACAATATAGTCAAACAGCTCTCCTCCACTTGCATACTCCATAATTAAGTATTCCGTTTACAATAAATCCCTTTATTTTCCTATAAAATAATTTCCTATTATATATTCTTCTTTTTAATCAGTATAAATGTGTTTGGAAGTTTCAACTATTTCATATAGCTCTATCATTAACATTAACATTACTTACTCCCCCCCATCCTTGATCGGACGATTGATTGTAAAAATTCCTAAAATTTGGGAAATTAACGCCATCCTTGATCGAACGATTTTCATATCATGACGATTTTTATATATATAAAAATATATTAGTTATCAAAAGCTTGGGGGAAGATATACATAATAAAGTTGTTTTCAGAAACTTTAAGACGACGAAAAGCTGCGGAATCAACCATTCAAAGTGATTTAGTCATCAGCCTAGGCTTAAAAACTTAATAACCTAATAAAATAGAGATTTTTTAAAATTGAAAAAACAAAAATTTAATTTAATAAGAAACAAATTAAAATTTATACAGTTTAAAGGGGTAACTAATAAATCAAAATATTAAAATTGGTATTTTTATGAAATTAGTTCAATTTTTTGCTGTAAAAATAATTACTAAATACTCTTAACCCTCTTATTTAAAAGCAAATAAAACAAAAAATATATATATATTTTTATTTTAATATAAAATTTTTTTCCAAAAAAATTTTTTTTTTTAACTCCCATCCTTGATCGAACGATGGCGAGTCGTTCGATCAAGGATGGGGGGGGAGTTAGAGGTTTTAACGTCATTCTCTGGCTCTGCAGGGTGATTTGACAAAGCCACAAGGGCTCACCCCTGTAGACTCCAACTGGTGACGTCACCCTTTTTATCGGGCCGACGGACCATTCTAAGCAAGTGATAGCCAATTGGCTGCCAGATCTCATAGGCTACGTTGCCTTGCTCAAAACTTGACTCCTGCACGTTGTGTCGCATATGGGTCTCCCTCCTCAGGAGTAACAAGCAGTAAAACCCTATGTCCACTAAGCATCCAAGGATCAGGCCAGGAGGCTGTGTCCCCCTCCCCGTTTGCTTACCTGATATTGCTGGATAAGGTCCCACCGGGAAAACTGAATCCTATAATAATAAAATAGGCCAAAGGAGTGAAAATTCTTCAGAGAAGAATTTTCTCGACGATGCCATTTATTATTATTATTCATATAGCTGTATCAAATTCGGGTGTTTGACTGTCTTGAGAATTTTGATTTCCCTTGATATTCTTTCGATGTCTCCACTGTCTTTAATTTTGTCTTTTTCCAGTATTTTAATCGCGACTTTTTCACCTGTCAAGATGTGAGTGCCAAGTTTTACTTTTCCAAATGTGCCTTGTCCAAGAGTTTTGGTAATTATATAATGCCCAATATTGTAAGATTTGTGAGAGGGTGGACGGGGCATCGAGAAATTTGTAGAGGAAGATCTTCGTTGGGTAGTCATTTATAGCTGTTGGATTTAAAATGGAAGTTATTCATGAGAACTATTTAAATTCAAATGAATTTGGTGAAAGTTAATAGGAAGGCGAAATATATTGAAATAATTATTTTAAAAGTTTTATTATTTTATTTCCTTACTCCCCCCCCTCAGTGAGTGAACAAAACAATTTTGTTCTCTCATAGAGGGGTTAATTTTTTCTTTTTTAAAAAATTTATATATAAATTTTATAGTAAATTTTTTTTTTTTCGAAATTTTTTAAAAAAATCCTAATTCGCAAAAATTGGAAAGCAAATATTAATTTTATTTATATAATTAAACAGAATTACTCTAGAGTTCATTATACTAATTATCATTTATATATCAATTGTTTTTCATAAAAAATTTTTCTATTAAAAAAAATTTTTGTTCGCTCACGGAGGGTGGGTTTTTGGGCAAAAAATAGCGATTTTCCCAATAGTTTTGTTAGCTCACGGAGGGGGGGGAGTTAGAAAAGGAGAATTTGCTTGCATTAATGGCATCATATGAGGGTACATAATTGGCTGCTGCATCATATAAGGAGAAAACTGTGGGCTCATCACCGGATAATACGGTCCAGTAGGAAACATCATTGGTTGAGGTGCTATAAACTGTGGCTGAATAACTTGTTGAGGCACTATCACTGGATTCCCTGGTGTTTGCACTGCCTTTTTAGGAGGTGAGCTTGGTGGAGACATAGAAATCAAGTTTTGGCTATATCTGATATTTTCTTGTTCTTTTACTTGCTCAGAGATCCCATGGAGCGTATCTTCTCTTAATCCTCTAAACATCGGCAATTCTCCTTCATAATATTCTGAGCACGAACTGCAGAAATCCTTAAGTCTTGCTGCAAATGTATTATACATGAAGCAAAATTCCTTCGCTTCTTTTGCCATTTCGACATTTAATCTTGGAAAAACTCAAATAATTACCTGTATACAGCTTTTAAAAATGGCATATAATTGAGCTACTTCACACATTAGCCATTTGGCTAATTCAATTACACAGGTGAGGACAGATTTATATTCAAGCGCTTTGCATAATGGGTCTTTTATTGATAAAAATTCTGATAATTGTTCTACAAATAATCTCGTAATTTCTATAAGCTCATCATCTCGGAATTCTTGGATAATTGTGAGAAGCCTTTCGCTTCTCCAATTTTTATGCATTTATTACACAAATTCTATATAATTAGCTTCATTAGTAGCTAATTTAAATAAAAAAAAGATAACAAAACTTTATATATAATAATTTATTTACTCCCCCCCCCCCTCCGTGAGCGAACAAAACCATTAGAAAAATCGCCATTTTTTGACCAAAAACCCACCCTCCGTGAGTGTGAACAAAAATTTTTTTAATAGAAAAAATTTTAATGGAAAAAAATTTTGATATATAAATGATAATTAGTATAATGAAATCTAGAGCTAATTCTGTTTAATTTTAAACAAATTGCGTTTTTTAAAACATAAATTTTTGCAAATTAAATTAATATTTGCTTCCCAATTTTTGCAAATTAGGATTTTTTTAAATTTCGAAAAAAATATTTTTTATAAAATTTATATATAAATTTTTTTTTAAAAAAAAAAAAAAAATTAACCCCCCTCCGTGAACGAACAAAATTTTTTTGTTCGCTCACGGAGGGGGGGGGGGGAGTTAGTAAAAAAAGTGTAAGAATTTCTTCATATTGCAAATTTGCTTTAGCTCTGAGCTTCAAAAATGAAAAAAGCGGATGAATGATAGGGCAGCAATGCGCCCTCGGATAATTATCGTCACAGAAAAAGTTCAGCTGCAAGTTTAAGTCTGCAATACTTGAAAAAACATTTTTCCTTTCACATCTTTTGATGAAGTGGAATAAAATCATCATTGTCTTGAATCTAATTTGTGTGCAACTATCACGGAGCCTATGCACGATAAGAGGAAAGGTTTTTTCGATTTGCAGATTGGAATTGCCTTCAATGGCATAGAGTAGTGCTGATAGATGCTTGGCTTTGGGAGGATTGCAGTCTTTACTTCTCGTTGCTTTTGAAAGTGAGGTTTTGAATTTGTCCATTTGAAGTAATAATGGAGGGATTTATTGAATTAAAATATCGTTAAAATATGAATAATCATGATATTAGATTGTGATGAAGAAGAAAAAATTTGCTTGATGATATCAATCTGCGTTATTTGGCTGGAGATATAAGCATTAATCTTTGAAGATATATTTATTCGATATAATAAATATGAACGAAGTGTTTCATCAGCAATTTAAATAACAAATTAATAAAATATCATAGCTATTCGCATGGAGAATAAATTTATACGAGAAAATTTTTGTTAAAACTTTTTTAAAGCTAAAAATGGCTTAGGCATATAAAGCAGAAGGATTGAATTTTGCAGTAGAAAAGTAATTAAATATTCTCTTATTTTTTGATGTAGAAATGAATTAAAATTAAAATGGAAAGAAAAGGATACAGCAAGTCACCAGAATACGACTACCTAATTAAACTTGTTCTTATAGGAGATGCCGCAGTTGGAAAAAGCTCCCTTCTATTGCGATATGTTGATGATTCCTTTGAAAATGCCTACAACTGCACAATAGGTGTAGACTTTAAGATCAAAAGCTTATATATTAATGACAAAAAGGTTAAATTGCAGATATGGGACACAGCAGGGCAAGAACGATTTAAGCCGATAACAAACTGCTACTTTAGAGGTTCACATGGTTGCTTAGCGGTATATGATATATGCAATAAAGAAAGTTTTGACAATCTAAAATCGTGGATTCATGACTACAGAGAAAACAATTCATTAGAAGCAGGCGAAAATATCCTGATTATTGGCAATAAAATTGATAGGCTATCTGAAAGAACGGTTAGTCTTCAAGACGTCAAAGATTTCGCTTGCCAAACAAAGTGCGAGTATTTAGAATGCTCTGCTAGAAGTGGAGAAGGGGTTTCCAGTATTTTTGAAGCTGTAGCAAAGCTGATAATTTCGAAAATGAAATTTGAAACATTATCTGTGATCGAGCCAAAAACTCAAAGCACAAAAGGAAAAAGTTTAATTCCTGAAAAAATTACTATGCATTAAAAATCATTTTACTTTTAATATCAAAAATACTATAAATTCAGGCATAATTTATATGGTTCATTTTATAGAATATTTATATCTTAAGAAAAATGTCCAATACACTATAAGAAATCAAGATGTTGCTAATTCAAAAAATTACTATACATTAACCTTTTTATAAGAATCTAAAAACAGCTTATAGCATGTTTCAAATGGCTTCCCTACATTTTCTTGATTTTTTTTTATCAGTCTTGGAGGTTTTTTACCTTTATATCCCATCACTAATGATGGTTTTGCTCTATTAATTGTTGTTTTAACCTCAGTCGCGCAAGGTACAGGTAGGAATGATAAAAATTTTTCTTCTTGATGCATAGAACAATCAGTGTCCTGGGTTTCTTTTATACTCGAATTTTCTAAGTTTTTACAAAAACTATCTTTTTGTAATACTGATGACGCTTTTATTGCAATTTTTAGCAGTTCTTGTGAGTGGTCGTTTTGAAGTCTTTCAGCTGACCGAGCTCTGATTAAATATCTACTCAGTTTGTGGTTTTCAGCTTGAGGGCGAGCTGAGAGCCCTGATTTTATTTGATGCCATTGCTCAGTTATGGACTCTACCTTTGACTGGATGTCGTCAGGGCTTGACTCTCGGCTGTTTGAACTAAATTTTAAAATTGATCGCTCTTGTCTGAGATTTTTGAGACTTATTAATCTTAACGACCTCATCTCAGGTGATAGGGAATGTCTATGGCTTGTTTGGGTTTTTGGTGAGGCTTTGGGGGATTTTAAATAACTGGCAGATACTGAGGCTGCATCACCTAGGAAAATTGGCTTATTCATTTTAAATATAATGAAACTCCCGTTATAAACAAAAGGGAAATTACCAACACTGAAGAATATTAATAAATTTTAATTGGGATTTTGGAAGAAACTTAATTTTATCTTTAAAAGATAATGTTTTATTTTTTAGATAGGCATTTCTTTCTTTATAATAATAAGTAACAAATAATCAATCAAATTATTTGTGAATACTATTCCCAATGGATCGAGAATCTTCTTAAACTTCTGAGAAAATCATTAATCCTGACAGACTTCATCCATTTAAACTCATAAAAATAAAATGTCAAGACTCCTTGCATTTTTATTTCTCCTTTTCAATATCAGCATCTTCTCTGCTGAACTTCTCAAGGAAAACAGCATCAGCCAGTTTATTTCAGGCTTTGCTAATGGTGTAAGGGCATCATCTACAATAGATATTCCTTGCATTACTGCCTATCCTGCTCTTGTCACCCAATTTTCCACACTAGAAAATGCAATTTCAGATTATCAAGATTTCTCAACCCTTCTCCATGTCTTTAAGTCTACAGTTACTGGCCTAGTCTCCTTTTGCCAAACTTGCAATTTTCAAAACACAATTTCGACAATTCAAGCAATGCTAACAACAGGTGAAGGCCTTGACACTATATTTATCCTTATTTTTACCAATCTTTCCTTTTATCAGAATGCTCTGAGTATATATCTTATTACAGAGACTGCTCTGGATGAGCGTTAGGCTCCATGCCAAATGACAGTGTATTTTTGGCAGTGTAAATTTCATCGAAGTACATTTGGTCGAAAAATTTTTAAATAGTGTGCATTTGGTCGAAATTTAACTTTTTTTCGGTCAAATGTCTCACTATTCGACAATTATACTTCGGTGAAATGCACACTATTAAAAGCGCACGATCATTGGACTGCACCCTCTCCTTTACTTTTCTCTTTCAGCTTTTCTGAGTATAGTAACTAAGCTAAGCTACCACAAAAGTTTTAATTTCTGTAAATCAGGTATAATACAAACTTCTCTAGAGAATGGTTTGTACTACGAAGCTGGAACTCAAGCTGGAGTCATTTATTACAATTTATTCGGATAAATAATAATTTGGTAATAAAATGTTTTTAATCATAGGGAAAAATGATGTGCCACTTTATGAAGCCAATTTAGGGACTGTGAGAAAAGAGATAGGACATTTAAACCAGTTTATCATACATGCTGCGCTAGATATTGTAGATGAGGAAGCTGCGAATTCTCCAAATATGTATCTGAAAACTGTTGATATATAGTATTTGTTTATATTAAATTAATTCAATGGATATATTGAGAAGCTATCACTATATTTTATATACAAAATAAGCTGAAAGCCATAAAAAACTCATAAAATTAAATCAACTTAATATAAATTTAATGAGATTTATGTATCTGCATATGTGACAGCTGGAAATATTCGACTTATGCTAGTCCACGACTCTCGAAATGAAGACGGGATCAGAAACTTTTTCATCGAAGTCCACGAAAATCTAATAAAAGCCCTCATGAACCCTATGTTTGACTTAATTCGTGGCTTTTCCCAGCCATTTGATACAAGGGTGAAAAACGCAGCTAAGCGATTCCTAATATAAGAACATTTACATAAAAAATACTTTTTAGTGTGATTATTAATTAAATGAATGCTTGAACTGCATTAGTTGTGTAGATAAGCTCAGTTTCAAGTCTAGCTTCACATATAAGGAAATTAACGTGAATTATATCTTCAGCTATTAATTTCATGTCTATAAGCTCTATGTGGCGTCTTGTTACCCTATGAGGAGCGCAGGCTACCTCTTTTATGTAAGTTTTAGTCTGTCTTTTTATTTGCTCGTTAACATTACTATAATCATAATCATCATATTCCAGGCCGTATACCCTTTGTGTATACATTCATATGGCTCGTCTTAAGTTAGCTGTGTTTATACCTTCTTCGCCGCCGATTGTATCAAAAGTCATAACAAATGTATATAACATTTTTAAGGACTTTTTAAAAGAATTTATGGTGATATTTTATTTATTTGTGTGGAAAATAGGATTTTATTGATAAATTTATAGGTAAGCTGCAGAAAAATGTGTTATCTTATTCGATTCATCAATTTTTCTGCAATTCCAGGCAGATATTTTTCAATAATATTGAAGCCTTGGTCATTTCAATTGAAATCGCTAGGTCGTACTGGTCTTCTATGAGCAGAAATATCATAATGAGTATACGTTAAATACCCGCCTGCTATTCTGTCATAATCGTCTTCATCCTCTTCAAGATCATCAGATATCGACGCTCTCCTATTTTGCTTTACCAAATCATATTCAGGACAAATCCCTAGCCCCAGAACAATACTGGATAATGAGTGAAATACACACAAAATCACAAGGGCATGGCACAGTTCAGAAATTTGTCAATTTCCAAGCAAAGCATGTATATCATTTTCGTCAAATTCTCATGGTCTATGTGCAAGCTTCAAGTTTGCAGTGCTTAGCTCTTTTATTTTAGCTGGGATTTCTGATAATCCTTGAGGGGAAAATCAACTTGCTTTGCCTCCATATAATTTTCCTTGTTCTTCACAAGTGCTCATTAGATAATCACATTTGTGCGCTGCAGAAGCCATGTATGCGATATAGATTCTTCAATCAAATTGTAATGGTCCACTTTCAAATAAAACTTCTTTTATTACTTCACAATGCTTTTGCATGTAATCCGGGAAAGCTCCCATTATCCTATCTAAATGTGTAACACGTCCCAGCGTGAAGAACAGTTCTTGGTTAATCGTCATATAAAGCGACTTTTCTCGATCAGACCTAAAATCTGCTTCACCGCTTAAAGGCTTGATTTCACTTGCAGGAATATAAGCGCTGACTGTTTCTACAAAGCTTGGATCATATGCCTAATTTACCTTTACAATTCGATTAATTCGAAGAAATTCATCACTTGCTTGCTTTATGTCAAGTAAAGGACACTCCACAGCAAGGCGGATGATGGTTTTTTCGTATTTAGTGCGAAATAAATGTTGATTTATGTCACTTGAACTATGAATTAGTGCTTGGCACATAGAGAGGAATGATTTAAACTAGCTGCAAATTACTTCTGCTTCTCGAGCTTCAGGATCTCTTATAAAAAGTGCCTTAATGGTGGAAATACTCCCTTCTGTATCCATTTAATATAGAACGGGAGACTAGAGGAAAACTTTTTGATTATATTATGAGGACTTAAATAATCTTGGAGAGGGGAGACGAATGGAAATATTTTGGATCGGAATTTTGGTTTTAGAAATGTTTTTATTAGTGAATAATGAAAATTTTCAAAAATGAGAGGGAGATAGATATAGAATGTACAAATGACTGCATTTTCTTGAATTATTTTATAGGTTGAGTCTGCATTTTGGAAGCAAAATAAGCCAATTTTATTTTGGAGAAATGTTTCAGATATATGCTGAATTTTTTATTAACGAGCATGAAATATTATTGAGCAGAAGAAAGCTAGCTTTGAAGGCGAAAATTGTACAGGACAGTGCAAACTTCAAAATTCGATGTTTTGGCTAGCCAATTTTGATTTTTAATATTACTTAAGCTAATCCATAAATGGTTTACGATAAATTAGGATATGGAAGGATCAGACAATATCATAAGAGTCAGTGCAAAAAACAAGCCAGGTACTTATGTATATGAAGGCAAAGAAAAACTCAAGAGCCATGGTACTGTGTCTTTCCATGCTATGGGAAGCTCCATAACTAACGCAATCAGAGCTGCTGAAAGATTGGTGTCACTTGGATATGGAACAATGGAAAAGTTTGAAACTCAAAAAATCACATCCTCAACTACTGAAGGAGAAGATAAAAATGTGTGCAAGGTAGTCTTAGAGCTCAAGAAGACAGCGGACTTTGATAGGATAAGTGAAGAGTTTGAGAAACAGAAACAAACAAGCAAATAACTATTTAAGTCAATATAATTACTTAAATTAAAAGTTTGCGGCTGAGAAAAAATTAGAGTTGATTAGATTATTTTTGATTATATTAGGCTTTATGAAATTTAGTATGATTAATAAAGCAATTATAAATATTAGGTAGGATATTGATATGTGATGCATAAATTTATTATCCAAAGATAATCATTTAATGCTGATTTTGACACTTTTTATATTGAGATCAGATTAATTTCAATCTTTATTTGAAAGTGCTTACTCCCACCCTTGATTTTTATATATTGTAAATTTTTATTTACAATAAATTAATAGATTAGTTAATATTTATTATAGTTTAGGGGAGTTAGAAATATTTTTATCTAAGATGGCTGATGATTTCAAGTTGTCCGAAAATCTCCAAGATTTAGCTCAAGATGGCAGCTTAAAAGATTCTCAGTTGATATGAAGAATCTGTCAAGCTCTCCCTTCACTCCCTCAGAGCCAGCAACTTTCAATAATCGACCAATTATTGGATATTGCCCGATGCAAGCAATACAACCCATCCTTAATTTTATCTCTATCAATGCGGAGCCCAATTGATAATCGGAAAGAATATTTACTCAACAATCTTATAAAACATATGGTTTTTGCTGAGCCAGAAGTCCAAGAAAAATTGTCCGAGCTTATTTCCTTCTTAATTCACTCAGTTGGGGCTAATTTAAGACACACACACTTTGTTTTCCAGATTTTAGCTAATAATCAGCTTGACTATAAGTCAATAACAGCAGCAATTCGAGTACTCCAAGTTTTGATTTCTCCAAATAAATCATCTGAACCTTATTCCTATTTTTATTTTACAGGCCGAGGGTGTGGGCTGCAAATTACCCAAAAGAAGCCAACTATTTTTCCGTTTAAAAACGCAATTTCTATATGTTTATGGTTCAGGTTGGAAAAAACATCAGAAGAAGTGTCGAGATTATTTACATTTCACTCGCAAGGAAATGGTGGGGTTGAGGCTTATTTTGTTGAAAATACCCTTTATTACCGCTCGTTAGGGACTGATTATAATCCACCTGGAAAAGGATCAAATGGAATCAGAATTTTCGAGTTTGCGACTGAGGAATGGATATTTTTAGCATTGGAAAATGAAAAACAAAAATATGGGAAAAAACAGCTTAGAGTGGCTGTTAATGGAGAAGAAATATGCAACACTACAATGGATTTTCCGAAAATAAAAGACAATGCAGAGCTTACCCTTGCTGCTGTAGGATTAAATTTTACAGGAGAAATATCAGCAATAATGGTGTTCAGCGAGCTTATTTCTATGCAGAAAATGAAATTGATTTTTCAAAAATATTCAACGTGAGGACCACAAGGCCACGAATCACTAAGATCATTGTGCAGAGTTGTAGATAAAAGCTTAGGGAAAAAACTGGTGATGTTTTATCACCCATTACACACTTATCAAAATATAGTTTATGATGGACAGAATTTTGCTGATGGAAAACTTTTTGGGGTATCTGGTGTTAAAGCAATAAATATAAATAGAATTTCTAATATTGGAGGTATAGGAGCATTGCTACCTATATTAGAAAAAATCAAAGCAGTCCGCGACAATAATGGTGAATTACTATTAGAATGGATGATGCTACTTATAATTTCTCTGCAAGACCTCCCAGAAAACCAAAAAGAAGCTACCTCAATTAATTTTTTCAGATGTGTGGCCGAAATTCTAATCGGTTTTGACAAAAGTAATATCAATGATACCATCATTGATATGCTTGAGCAGGTATACAGCATTTGTGCATTTGGTAAACTAAAAGACCAGTTGGTAAACCATCTGCTTTGGTGCGTAGAAATATGAAAGGAAACAGACCACGTAGTGCAAAACCAGCTATACAAACTTATAAGAAAACTGTATAATAAATCAAGCAGAGAAGGAAACAAATTTAAAGAAACCATAAAAATCCTGGATATCGTGATAGAGCATTATAATTTAAAAGAAAATATTGATGAAGATACAAAGAAACATATTTCTGATATTATATCAATAATAGAAATATGCTTGATTTCTGGAGGGGAAGAAACTGCATCTGATATTGAACAGATTGTGTCTGTCTTATATAGTAAGCCAAGCACATTTATACAATATAACTTATTGCAGCTTTTAAAGAAACTTATTAATGAAAAAACAGAAGAAATGTTAGGGGTTTCTCCATTAATGTTCGCAAAGCACTTTGTAGAGGCAGCTGGGCTTGAATTGCTTTTATATCTAATTTCTTCTTCTTCGACAGAAATCAGAGGATACTGCTTATCAATAATATCAAGTCTTTATAATCTGCCTTTAAAACAAGTACAAATTGGAAACCAAAAAGACGTTTTTACCTTCATCAGCTCAATTATACTTCCTCATCGCAGAAGATTAAGTGAACAGTTCAAGCCCTGGCAGCTGAGAAATAACTCAGTCCTTTCAGACATTTTTAAGACTTCTGTGAAAACCAAAATAGACTCTTTAAACAATAAAGACTATGAAGAAGAAACTGGTATCAGGCCAAGGCTTTCCCTTGACAATGCAATTATGCCTGATGACCATAGAGGTGTAAAACCAATCCAATTTTTAAATTACGTAGAAGAAGTCCATCAAGAAAGCAGCACTATTTCTAATATTATAGGAAATGAAGATTATATTGCACAAACTGAGGTGGAGCTGCCTTCAGATCTTGAAGAAAAAGAACAGAATATGCTATTCACAAGAGATCAGCCAAGGCATAATTCTGCAACTGTATATGCTATAAATGACCAATATACAGCTAGGAAAAACGAAGAGGAAGGAGTTTATTATGCAGTCCTAGAAATTATGCTGAACAAGCCATTTGGCGGACAAAGCATTTTGGATGATTTTGATTACATTCAGAACAAAACTGGGCTGTTTTTATTTGAAGAAACTGTTTCAAGAGGCTCATTAGAGCTCAAGCATAGAGCTGTCCAAGATCTTTTAATGCTGACTAAATGAAATATAGAAAACGCTAATATTTTAGCACAGGATTCTGATTGGCATTATTGGTTACTTAACCTCTTGTGTGAAACCCCTGAAACTGAGGATACAGGGGTCGCTGTTTATGATATAGGAACAAGGGCTCATAATATTGTGATGAAGCAAGCTGTCTTGGCTGATGATGAAGGCTGAAGACACCTTCGAAGACTTATTTATTGATATGAAAAAAATCGAACAATTGACAATTCCAGAACTCTTATAAGATCACTATTAGAAAAACTAATGGAGTCTCTTCAGTCCATTTCCATGGGCTGCAGACCATCAATTACCTCAATTTTGTGGAAGAATTTAATCAATACTAGCTATTTATTAGAAGAATTCGTAATTTATTCGAAAATCAGATCAGAAGACAGCTATGGGCAGTATTTAGTGTACTGCGGCCTTGAATGGGAAGATGCTTCTATTATGGAAAAATATTTCTCTTTATTAGACCCTATCTGGCCATCTGCTTTATTCCAAGACAATTTGATGGAGCCTGACCACATCCAGCTGCTTACTCCCCCCCCCCCCTCCGTGAGCGAACAAAAAAATTTTGTTCGCTCACGGAGGGGGGTTAATTTTTTTTTTTTAAAAAAAATTTATATATAATTTTATAAAAAATATTTTTTTTCGAAATTTAAAAAAATCCTAATTTGCAAAAATTGGGAAGCAAATATTTAATTTAATTTGCAAAATTTATGTTTTAAAACGCAATTTGTTTAAAATTAAACAGAATTAGCTCTAGATTTCATTATACTAATTATCACTTATATATCAAAATTTTTTTCCATTAAAATTTTTTCTATTAAAAAAAATTTTTTTTGTTCACTCACGGAGGGTGGGTTTTTGGTCAAAAAATGGCGATTTTTCTAATGGTTTTGTTCGCTCACACGAGGGGGGGGGGGGAGTTAGCTCTATTAAAAGAAATGATAATTTATTTAAGACTGACATACAAATTCTCCAATGGGAACCCCCAAATGATATAAAAGCCAGAGGATGGTTTATTAAAGTAGTTTTGCATTTAGCAGCATCAGCTTTAAAAGCCACTGCAAATAGTGAACAAATCGACAAATGGCTTTCAGAGATTATAAAAATTGTAAAATTCATATTATTGGTATCAGAATCAGGGAAAAAATCATTGACAAGTTCTGGAGCTAAAGCATTTTCACAGTGTATTATTTATGTTATAGGTGTTTTAGTCAGCTATATCAATGATTTAAGAGGCCACCCGGTTACCAAAAAATTACAAGACAGTTGCATTGATGTGCTTAAGTTTGTATTTGCGGTATATGATATGGGAAGATCTGATTGGCCTCAAGGCTTCAAAGGGTTTATCAGGGCTGGATTTACACCTGTTAGTGTTGCTGAAGAAGTTGTTGCATTTTTAGTACAAAATGTCCCAGAATTCGAACTAATCGATGTAAATTTCAGTGGACATTATATAGGCTTAGAAGGCCTTCTAATGAAAGAAGAATGACGAATTGCCTTGCTTAACGCCTCTCTCCCAATTTTTGAGCTTTTTGAAAGCCGCACAAGAGCAAGTTTAATATGCCAGCACAGAGAAAAAGTTGCAGAAAAGCTTACAAAAGATAAAGAAAATTATTTAAAACAGTCAGAAGAAACCAATGCCCAAATGCATAGATTTGTACTAAATACAGCTTCAGAAAAATCAGATGAAGTCGACAAAACAATCAGCACAGTTTTAGCACAAAGCAAAGAAAAATCAAAAAAAAGGAAAGCTGTGTGAAGCAAACAGCTAAAAATACTAACTGAATGAAGAGGTCCTTGGCAAGTCTTAAACCAAAAACTCAGTTTTGAGCCTTATCAAGCAATGGATTGTAATTTGTCGAGAAATTTTTTGAAAAAGAAATCAGACCATTATGATTTTTATTTGATAAAGCATAGGACACAAATAACGGCACCTAATCCTCAGCTTTTGAATGAAATTAATCCGAATATACTTAAAAAAGATTTGACGGAAGAAGTTGATGAAGAAGATGAGGAGAGAACGCTTCCAGAGACTGAAGACTCGATGTCGTTGAAGTTTTCATTTACAGCTCATGCAGATAGTCCACTTTTAAATACTGTTGCAAAAGAAACTGTAATACAGGTAGAAGTTGGGATAATTAAGCTACTAACAATCCAATATGGACTTCTTCAGGTCACATACACGAAAAAAGAACAAAAAATCAGATTTTTGCTAGATCAGAGAATCCAAAATAAATTTTCATCACATGTAGAGCTATTTCATTATATTCCATCACCTAATAAACCATTGATCAAGGAATGAAATTTAGATTTATTGAGCTATGTTTTCCCTAAAACTTATATCATGAGACATACAGCTGCAGAGTTCTTTTTCAATGATGGAAGAAGCGTTCTGGTTAACTTCGCTAGCCACAAAGACAGGCTGAATTTTGTTACCCATGTGAAGAAAATCAGAAAAAGTGCAGTTCCAAGACTTCAGCTATTTAAAAAGCCAAACCCAATAAAATTAGTAGCAGAAAGCGGTATGACAGAAAAATGGGTGAATTGGCATATAAGCAACTTTGAATATTTGATGTTTTTGAATTTTGCAGGAGGAAGGTCTTATCACGATTTAACCCAATATCCTGTATTTCCATGGGTAATCAGAGACTACTCATCGCCTGTTCTAGACCCTGAAGCCTCCTTAAGAGATCTCAGTTTAAACATGGGAAGCCTTGGCAAGCCTGAGAGAACTCAATCATTTATAGAAAGATATAACTCATTTTCTTCTAACGACGATACCCCTTCTTTCCATTTCGGCTCACATTATAGCAACCCAGGAATTGTTTTGCAGTATCTAGTCCGCTTATTCCCATACTCAGAAGGTGCCAAAGAGCTTCAAGGCGGCCATTTTGATTTGCCGGACCGTCTTTTTAACTCAATTAGTGAGTCTTTTCAATCAGCTACTGAAGATATATGTGACGTCCGTGAATTAATTCCAGAGTTCTTTGTATTGCCTGATTTCTTATTAAATAAAGAAGAATACCACTTTGGAACGACTCAGACAGGCAAAGAAGTATGGGACGTTACACTGCCAGCATGGGCATCTGACGCATATGAGTTTGTAAGGATTAATAGAGAAATTCTTGAGTCAAATGAAGTGTCTAAAAATATTCATAAGTGGATTGATTTAATTTTTGGGTTTAAACAGATAGGAAAAGATGCAAAAGAATCTATGAATTTGTTTTATTATATGACATATGAAAATAGTATTGATCTTGATAAAGTCGAAGACCCTTCATTAAGAGCTGCAGTTGAAGCCCAAGTCGTCAATTTTGGGAAAACCCCTTCACAGCTATTTACTAAGCCTCATCATCCTAAAGAAGACTTTAGAAGAATCACCTCAGGCCCTACAATAGTGTCCAAAGAAAGTGTGGAGCTGAAAACGTATTTTCCATCAAATAGAAAAGCTCTATTAAGACCTGAAAATTTAATAAGCTACTTTGACTTGTCAGAAAGATCAATAATCAAAGCGAAATTTTACAAAGACAAAGATATAATAGCTATTAGAAATAATGGGAATATGGTCAGGTATAACTGATGGCCTGCCCCTATGGGAGAATCAAGGTTAATCAACAAAAAAATATTTTTCTTATAAAAGTGACTGTAATTTACCTATTGGAGTTTTTTCATAATATTTCGAGAATCAAAAACCCCTTTTACATGCGCTCTTAATAAAGAAGTGCAGTTCTACAAAATGAAAGAAATAGGCGAAGTCGAAGCATTGGATAGGTCCATAAGAGGTTTTAACGCTTCCATTGAAATCATTCAGCAAGGTAAAAATGTCATCATTGGAGGATTTTGGGATGGGAGATTGACTATTCAAAAGCACCACACAAAGGAAAGCAACCATAAATGGGTGCACTATTCGACTATTACTTGTACAGATGTAGATATAGATGAAAGAGTAGTTGTAACTGGAGGAAAAGATGGAGACGTCGTCGTCTGGCAGATTGATAATGATAATCTCCACCACCTTTGGCATTTCTTTAATCATGATGAACAAGTCACCTTTGTCACTATCTGTCAAGAGCTCCATACCTTTGCAAGCTGCTCTCTCGACGGAACTTGCAATATTTACTCTTTAACTAAAGGCAGATTACTACGGGTTATCAATATCGCAAATAATATCCCTATATCTATAGTAAAATTCTCTACATCAGCCCCTGCTAAGGTGATTCTTTTTTCATCAGAAGAAAACATGTTTTATTCTTATGCTGTAAATGGTGCCCAGCTTCATAGAAATAATGAAAGATGTAAATTTGTGAATAGCCCAATGATAGTAAAAGACATGAATTTTAGAGACTTTTTGATTTATGGAACTGAAAGTGGTGACATTGTAATCAGATATGCTGGGACTTTAGAAGTATTGAGAAGATTTACATTGTCTGGAGGAATTCCTGTGATTTCTTTGATCGCTACAAGAGACTTAAAGTTTTTGCTATTTGGCTGTGCAGATGGAGAACTAGGGGTTTTAACTGACCCAGCCGCCACTTTTGCGACGCTAGAAAAGCAGTGACAGCTTAATGTTTTCAGTCTTGTGTAATTCTCTAAATGATAATTTCTTTAATAAATGATTCCGAAAAGAGCACCTGCATGAAGTTTAAAAGGGAGAGCCAAACCTGATAAGCCACAAAATACACCTGGGCCAGGCGCATATACATCTACTAGTGTAGTACTTGAAAAAGATCCAAGCTATAGCATTAGTAAATCTGAAAGGCCAACGTTGGTTAAAACTGACATAAAGATTGGGCCTGGAGCTTATAATCATTCATCTTCTTTGTCACCTAGAAGAGTTGTATTTGGATCAGCACCAAGAGTTACCGTTCCTATTAATAATAAAAACCCTGGGCCTGGGAATTATGAAATATCATCAAGAATTGTGGAAGGGCCTAAATATACAATGTCGCCTAGAACTAGTTTAGATGGGCCTTTAAATCCAGTCGGCCCAGGACAGTATGAGTTGAAAAGCCTTGAAAAGGCACCGTCTTTTAAATTTGGTACAAAGGAGAGGGCAAGTAGTTTAGAAAATAAGAATTTAGTACCTGGACCTGGAGCTTACAATTCTCAAGCTGAAGAACCACAAAAAGCTTCTAAATTTGGAACTGAGCCACGTGGAAGTTTGGTAAGAAAAAACACTCCTGGTCCTGGAGCTTATGAAGTCAATTCCACAAATGACAAAAAAGGGATAACGATTTCAGGGAAACTTTCATTAGAAACCAAAAATCAAACCCCAGGGCCTGGGAGCTATGCAATAAATAGAGCTTTAGAAAATCGATCATTTAGTGTTGGAAAATCTCAACGGTTTATCAGGCAAATTTCAACACCACCTGGCCCTGGCACTTATAATGGAGATATTAAAGATAAAGGAAGCTCCTTTGCATTTGGTAAAGATGCTAGAAAAATTTTTAATGACTCAAAAAGGGTTCCTGGTCCTGGGCAATATGATCTCAGCGATGGCTTATATAAGACTCAAGGAGTTTCCTTTAAAGGAAAAAGATCTTTGAACCTAAGCAGTGAAATTCCAGGCCCTGGAAGCTACGAGCCTAAATATATAAACGAAAAGAAAGTTGCTGTTGGGTTTGGGACATCTAAAAGAGCTTATGAAATTATGCTTACTCCCCCCCAATCCTTGATCGAACGACTCGCCATCGTTCGATCAAGGATGGGGTTAAAAAAAATTTTTTTGGGAAAAAAAATTTTATATATAAAATAAAAAAATATATATATATTTTTTTTATTTACTTTTAAATAAGAGGGGTTAAGGGTATTTAATAATTATTTTTACAGCAAAAAATTTAATTAATTTCATAAAAATACCAATTTTTAATATTTTGATTTATTAGTTACCCCTTTAAACTGTATAAATTTTAATTTGTTTCCTTATTAAATTAAATTTTTTTTTTAAAATTTTAAAGATCTCTATTTTATTAGATTATTAATTTTTTAAGCCTAGATTGATGACTAAATCACTTCGGATAGTTGATTTCGAAGCTTTCTGTCGTCTCAAAGTCCCTGAAAACAACTTCATTAGGTGCATCTTCCCAAGCTTTTGATAACTAATATATTTTTTATATATATTAAGATTAAGATTAAGATTACGCTGGGTATTTAAGGTCCCTACTACGTCCGAGGTCGCATGCCACGGTTTCCCGTGTGGTGGCAGAGCGTTCACCAAGCCCGGGCCGAAACCCCCGGTTTCTCGGTAGAGGTATTGTCAAGGGCCGTCTTATACCGGCTTTGCTGACCACCTCCATTTCCAACTTGGATCGTCGCCTAAGTTTACGCCAACTCCGCTTCGTCGTCCGCCAGATCTGCCCATTGAAGGGCACCTTTTCAACTGGAGAGACCCCCGTCTCGATGTCTAACTCGCCTCCCCTCTTTTCCGGTCATCCCGAGAAAGAACTCAACAGCTTTCGCCATTCGGGGCGAGCCACTAAAGCAGCTTAGGCAGGTAATTCACCCTGCCTCATTTCGGGCACTCACTGGGCTGAGCGCTGCTGGCAAAAAGAAGTCACGAATAACTGCCCATGGGTCTGGTCGCAAAAACAGCGGTTCTCGCGCTTAGGCCTCTCGCTCGAGGTCCCGGACGTTGTTGGGCTAATTCCTGGCTCCAAAAACCATGCCCGGATATACATGGGTAACCACCACTGGGAGGGTGGGTCGGTCGCCATACGCCATTTTATGTATATTTTTTTTATATATATAAAAGTTGCATGATATGAAAATCGTTCGATCAAGGATGGGGGTTAATTTCCCCAATTTTTAGGAATTTTTACAGTCAATCGTTCGATCAAGGATTGGGGGGGAGTTAGAGAAAGTTTTCCAGGGCCAGCTACTTATATGAACCAAACAACTCGAGATACTCCAAGCTGACGATTTGGTTCTCAGCCAAGAATAAAATATCGCACCAATAAAGACCCTGGCCCAGGCTCTTATGACATTCCAGAGCTATGAAACCCTTCTAAAATTCCTGGGAGTGTGCGAGTAACTTAAAACTGCTGTTTTTAAATAATTTATAGTTACATTTATTTACTCTCTTTCTTGAAAACTGCAGACACATCAGCAGTCCGATTTCCTTCTTCAATATCATCTTTCTGTATTTGTGGGACGACTCGTTTTGATTTAAACTTCTCTTTTCCTCTCCTTTGCAGTATAAAATCATAGGTGCTCATTCCTTTCTTTTTTAGTCATATATGAAACCCAATTAGATTTCCATTCAAAATAAATATTAAAACGCTGATAAACGTAAAAAATAGAACAATGCAGACATAAAATACCCTCATCCCACCACTATCGATGCCCAATCGGTCTTCAAGAGTATTTTTGACATCATTATTTGAAATTATATTTTGAACTATATAAATCCCTACTGAACCTTGAATTCCTGTTAAAGCTTCTAAGCTTGCAATTAAATATGCAAAAAATGCATAATTCTTTTTGCCTACACAGTTATTAAGCCAATTGCAATGATGATCAAACCCATCTATGCATTTATCGCAATTCCCACAATGTTTACTTTCGAATGTAACATGAGTGTTACAAACTGTACAAATTTGATTGTATTTTTTTGCATCAAAGGGTAAGTCTCATTTTTTAGCTCTCAATTCTTCAGCTACCACTTGATCTAGAGGGTCTGCATATGTAGCTCGAAAACCTCAAAATAAAGTTAAAAAAAGAGCGACCGAGTAGAGAAAGGTAATTACAGATATAGCACTTGAGTTGAAAGCTGGGATGTAAAGAATATAAAACACATTTACCATTGAAAAAACGACTACTCAGGATAATATTTGGTGACAACCTAGAGGCTTGCTAAATCCATTTTTCCGACGCATTTACTTTTAAGTTTATATTGAATTTAATTTTAAGCTAGATGATAAAATGAGAAGATTCTTTTTCTCCAATAAAAAAGAAGTCATTTTAAATATATAAGCCATAATTGCATCCTTTTCTTAGAATTATTTTAAATTAAGAAGCATTACTTATTGCTGAGAATATTAACAAAACATTAGAGCCTAAAACATGAATTTTTTAAAAAAACGATATCTTAATTCTTTAGGTTTTTTAATGGCATGGATTTTTATCTACTAGTTCTTGAGATAGACTTTCATTCTTAAGAGGAGTGCTTGGCTCAATCATTCTAAATAAAATGTGTCCAAACGTGATACCTGTAGTAATTGCGCAGAAAACTCCGGTACTATAAGTCATAATTGCAAGCATTAACAAATATGCTAAAGAAACCCATAAGAAATACAAACACCCATACCCTAAGTTAAAATAAATCATATTTTGCACTGTTCTTGGTGTTTTCTTTTGATAAAAATTGGCCAGTTTTAAAAGAAAATGCAAAAACTCTAATCCCATTGACGCCAAAAATAAGGCAACAATTGCGCCAGCATACTTTGTGTCATCATCCACATGCCAACTAGCTAGAATTTACCTATCAAAATACAGCTTAAAATTATGGTCATTGTAAAAGGTCATCTGCATTATCATATTCATAGTCATGTTCATCGGCATATTCATTTCAACCATTTGCTAATTTATATTAATATGGCAAGCCATATGATTTTTAAATTTTCATAACTGATCACATTTCAGGAATCTTTTTGATTGCCTTGTAAGTCTATTTTAAAAGATCTCTCAAATATGCAATAATAGTTGCATGGAGCTAATCCTATGTTTCGAGCCAGGGTGTAAACGCGAAGTCGAATATATGTGTCATTGCACTTCTCCTGGAACTCTATGCTGTGAAAAACATTTCAGGAAGCATATGATGATGCCTAACAAGGCCCACTCCTATGAGAGAAATTTGTAGGTCTTATGAAGAGACAAAAGAAGCAATCCTTGAGTTTCTTATGGAAGAGGTATCGAAAAATATCAAGCTTAAGAAAAAAATCTTAGAGTACTTTGGACAAGGCTTACTTAAATCAGAGCATGATATCAGAGAGCTTGTAAAATCTTTGGACTTAAATTTATATAGAATAAGTAATTATTTTACAAAAATTCCTCAAAATTAAAAGCTATCAAAATCAGAGCTAGACCCAATATTAGGTTTATTGAGTTTACAGCCAGATGAAGCTGTTGAAAAATTAAAAACAATAATTCCAGCCCAATCTGACTGGCATCGCAGTGAAAAGCTATTTTGCGAATTCAGTGAAAAAATAGGGGATTTTATTAAATATAAGATTGACACTCATTTGTATAAAATGCTCTTTAGTATTGAAAGCACTATTGAAAAGCATAAAAAGATTATCAAAGAAATAGTTGATAATTTAGCAAATATAAAGGACTCCATTTCCAAGATGATAAAAGAGTATGAAAATTGCATAAAAGACCTAGAAGGAATAAAGATAATAAATGAGAACAGAAGGGGTTTAAAAGGGCCTGAAAACGTAAGCAAGCCAATAAAAAAAGCTTAGAAAGCAAGACAAGCTTGCTTAATTCTCATATAAGCACTATTTCTAATGATCTTAACAGTAAAGCCAATGAAACAGAAAGGGCTTTAAACTTAGACACCTTATGAAATAAAACAGCTGAGATTTTGAGTAGACCAAACAATCCAAAATTAGAGACAGATTTCAGAACAACTTGTTCAGCAATTAGGACCGATTCTAGTTTTTATCATCCACTAATGCAAGCTTACCTTAAAGCTTATCAGCAAAAGACATCTCTTTATAATATTGCAAGAGATTATGAAAAAGATAGTATTAATTTAATTATTTATAAGACTGAAACTGAAACCCAAGAAGTCAAAACCTTGCAGACTCCAAAAACACTACACTCAGGTACTTGCATAACTCAACTTCCAAATGGCAAGCTATTCTGTTTTGGTGATGATTATCCATATTCTGGGGCTACAGTGCTAATTGATGTGAATGGTGGAGTCGAAGTGCTGCCGTCTGGAACTCCTTGCAGATGCTCATCGTGTATATATTTTAACAGCAGCGTCTATTGCTTTGGAAGAAAAACTTGAAATGATTGTTTAACTCTATCTAGAAGATTCGATTTGAATCAAAATCGATGGATTCAACTAACTCCAATGCCAAAAGCTGATTGCATGTGCAATAGTATAATATACGTAATTTCAATAGATAGCCCTATCAGTGGGTGAATTGCTAGTTAAAATTGCAATTTTTCCGACCAAAATTATTAGTTTTTTTAGGCCAAATTGAGAACTCAGCGGGTAATTAACCCACTGATAGCGCTATTAAAGGGAATTTTCTTATTTAATGGAAATATTTTGATTTCTGGATATGTAACTAGAAATCTTTTGCTATACTCAATTGATATTGACTCTTTCTCGACAATCCCTTGTGAGTTTAAAAGGGAGATAAAGATCCTGATAAATGCAGAGAGACTATATTTGATTGAATGCCCTGGGTCAATCTATGAAAGCGAAATCGGAAGCTACTCGAATTGAAGACGAATAGGAAAATCAAGAGTCGGCCATTTTATGCAAGTGTATTGCTCATATAATAAAGGAGGAATATACATCTCAACTATTTATGGATCTGATATGCAATATTATTATTTTAATTTACATCAAAAAATTACTATTGATTTCGCATACTATAATGAACATGTCTCACTTAGAAGAGTGGGTAAAAAGATTGAAGCAATAAAATGAATGAACCAGAATTTTAAGCTCGGTCCTTATTATCTGGATGAGTGAAATCTAAAAGGAGGAACTCTAAACATTTTAGGAGAAAATCTAGAAGCAATCGAATGCTGTGAGGAAGAAATCAAAAGCAATCCAAACAATCCTGATTTTTACAATGAAAAAGGCAACGTTTTTTATGAGTTAAAAAGATACTTACTCCTCCGTGGGCGAACAAAAAAATTTTGTTCGCTCACGGGGGTTAATTTTTTTTATAAAAAAATTATATAGAAATTTTATAGAATTTTTTTTTTTCGAAATTAAAAAAGTTCCATTTTCTTAAAATTGGAAAGCAAATATTAATTTAATTTGTAAAATTTATGTTTTAATGCGAATTTGTTTAAAAATTAAACAGAATTAGCTGGGTTTCATGATAATAGTTATCATTTATATATCAAAATTTTTTTTCATAAAAAATTTTTGTTCACTCACGAGGGTAGCTTTTGGTCAAAAAATAGGGATTTTCTAATGGTTTTGTTCGCTCACGGAGGGGGGAATTAGAAGCAATAGAATGCTATGACAAAGCAATCAAACTCAATCCAAGGAATCATAACTTTTACAATAATAAAGGCAAAGCTTTTTGTGATTTACAAAAATATCTAGAAGCAATCGAATGCTATGACAAAGCAATCAAACTCGATCCAAGCAATATTTATTTATACAATAATAAAGCCAAAGCTTTTTATAATTTAAAAAGATATCTAGAAGCAATCGAATGCTATGACAAAGCAATCAAACTCGATCCAAACGATGCTGATTTTTACTGGAAGAAAGGATATGTGCTAAATGAATTAGGAAGCTATCCAGAAGCAGTAGAGAGCTATAACAAAGCAATCAAAATCAATTCAAACATAGCCAAGTTTCATAATGATAAAGGAAACACTCTTTTTGCTTTAGAGAGATATCAAGAAGCAATACAATGCTATGATGAGGAATCAAACTTCAGCCTAAAAATCCTTTGCATTTTTGCAGCCGAGCTAGAGTATTAAAGAATCTCAGGCAAGAAGAAGCAGCTTTGCAAGAGTTTGATAGGGCTTATAATTTAAAACAAGAATACCAAGGAAATGAAGTTTTCACTGGGGATGAATGGGACCTTTCTGAAAAAGATATCAATTTTATTAACGACATGTTAGGCCGAGACCGTATAGAACTACTCCAAAAAATGCAGATTTAGAATAAATTTGGCTGTAATAAAAATCATTTTTAATAAAATTCGCCCATAAGGGCGAGCTGGGAGTCGGATTTCCGGCTCCGTCTAAATAAACACCTCCCTTCCATCTCAAATACGCAATTTTGGAAATAAAAATTAAAATAGAAAAATCATTTAAACTTGATATAATAATTTCTATATTGAAATAATGGATTTTTCACATGCAAACTTATAGTTTTAAAAATAAAGGTATTGAATTTTTATCTAACTGAATAATATATTTACATTTTCATTACTAAAACAAATAATCAGCTGCCATTAATTAAACTTCATGTAAGGAAGCCATTTCAATTGATGCCTCAGGAGTATATGTGTTTACAATATTCAATTTTGATGGATTAGTTTTTCTGAGAGCTACGTATCATATTAAAAATATAAATCCAAAAATACCCATCAGAGTACAGCTGCTTGAAAACCCAATCATAGAAACCAAAATTCCTGCAAATAAAGGACCAAGAATTTCTCCCAAGCTTATTGAACAATTAAAAACTGTAGACAAAGAATCATACAACTGAGAGCCTTCAGGGATTCCAAGATCTTCTGCAGAGTCTAAAATATACGGCAAAGGAATTATAAATCCTAAGCAGCCTCCAAGAGCTATTAAGCACATCCCCAATGCAGAAAGAATTGGCTGTTTCATTATTTGTTCTAAAGGGCCTGTCATTGCTAGCCCAATAATCGCTAAAGCTACACTTATTAGCATTAGCAAATGCTTGTTTGCATTTTTTAAATAAAAAACTAAATATATACTGCCTAATGTATAAGCAATAGTAGACGCCATAAAAACATAGCCAATCTCCAGGTCAGAGTATCCTTCATTCTTCAAGAATGGTCCTAAACAAGGATCAAAGAAATTATATACAATATTTGTGAATAGCCCTACCATTATATCTAAAAATATGCTCCTCTTTTTTAATAATCCCCAACAAGTGATTTCTTCTTTTTCTTCGATTTCTGGACTTTTGTTTTTAATATACATCAGAATCATCGGTAAAGGCAATAAATGGAGTATTGCTGACAGTGTGAAACAACCACCTGCTCCCAGAAAGTTATAGCAGAATGAGCCAAAGACAGGCCCAATCATCATACCAAAGCCAGAGAAAACTTCTAAAGTCGATATATTTTGGTCTTTTGTGCTGTTATAATCGTTAACTATAATTGAAAATCCTGCGATATAAACCGCTGAAACTCCTATACCTCCCAAAGCTCTGGATACTAGACTTAGAAAAGTAAAAATCGTTAGTGAATAGTTTGAGACTATAGTAAGAATGATCAAAGATATTGCCTATATATAAGTTACACCAAAAACCATTCCAAGAGCGAGAACATTTCTACGACCAATGTGAGAAAGATTTTCTCCGATCGTTGGTGAGACTAAAAAGCCACATGCAGGCATGATCATAAAGACCACGCCTACCAATCAGTCAGGCATTCCTTTATCTTGCGCAATTATGGGGTAGAATGGAGAAATCACTGTGTATATAAGGTTGATCAATAAGGTGGATATAAAAATGCTAATGCTTTCTATGATAAGAGTTGGCATAATCAAAATATATTTTTTCTTTAATTTTTAAGGGTATTAATTTTAATACTACTAATTCTTATAATGCGTTGCATTTATTTCTTATCATGCATATGCATGTAATTTTGATTTGGTATGTGGAAACAAAATATAGGTTCAAAACGCAGATTTTAGTGTGGCAACTTCATAATTTGAAATTTCATATGAAAATGGCGCGTATAACGGCCATAAGAAATTTAGCCAAAAAATTATATAGATTACATACTATGAACAAGAGTAAGTAAACAAAAATCTACCTTCATATTAATAATTGATGAAAAAATTTTAAAAATTAATTTAGTAACTCTCCCCCCCCTCTGTGAGTGAACAGAAAAATTTTGTTCACTCACGGAGGGGGGTTAATTTTTTTTTTTTAAACAAATTTATATATAAATTTTATAGAAAATATTTTTTTTCGAAATTTAAAAAAAATCCTAATTCGCAAAAATTGGAAAGCAATATTAATTTAATTTATAAATTTTGTGTTTTAAAAAGCAATTTGTTTAAAATTAAACAGAATTAGCTCTAGATTTCATTATACTAATTATCACTTATATATCCAAATTTTTTTTCCATAAAAAATTTTTCAATTACAAAAATTTTTGTTCACTCACGGAGGGTGGGTTTTTGGGCAAAAAATAGGGATTTTTCTAATGGTTTTGTTCACTCACGGAGGGGGGGAGTAAGTATAATTGCTGTGATGCTTTATTTATACATACTGGAGGGCTAATCTATTGCTATCCAAAATTCTAGAAAAATCATTTATAAATTAAATTTGCTAAATAAATTGGATATAGAATCTGCAATCACTGGAGCGTTTACTTGCTGATAACCACCAGAAAGTAGCATAACTACTGGGACTTTGTTTTTTAGTGCATGTTTAAACACAATTTCATCTCTTTGAATAATTCCTTGAGGAGTAATTTGCAGTCTTCCCAGTGGGTCTCCTTCCATGCAGTCAGTCCCAGCATTATAAACAATAAACGAAGGTTTGAAGCTTTCAATGCAGTTGGTCATAGCATTTTCCAATTTTGAACAATAGCTCTCATCCCCATCCGATTCTGTGATGTGTTCAGCAAATTTAATAGCTTTTCTTGCATAGTGGTCTCCAGGATATATATTTGGATTGAAAAAGTCAATTATAAACGTTTCTTCATCGTCAATAAAATCTCTTTCATGCCCATTGCCTTGATGAGCATCTAAATCGACAATCATATTCCTAATAAAACAGATAAAATACTTTAATATATTATCATATTAGCTATCTTTTTTCTAATAATAAAGAGCACTAAGCCTTAAATATGAGGTATAACTCTATGAACTTTATCAGGGTACCAATATCTCATCCAATATATCAAAATTGTAATATCAGCATATATACAAAACCCTCCTCCTGATCTACTGCTACAATGATGATATCCTCCAGACAAATTAATTGCGTAGCCTTTCTCAATTGCTGCACATCCTGCTAATAAGCTTCCATAGGTTCCATAAAGCATAGGGTTTAAGACTCGGAATCTTAATATTGGTTCTGGCAAAAAACAGACAGGCACTTCTACTTTAGTAGTAATTGATAATGAGTAGCATAGCATAAGCAAATATGAAAAGGGATGGACTGCTCTTAATATGCTTCGTGGACATTTGACAGGGATTAAATAGTTTTCTTTGATTATCCCTCTTTCTTTTAAAACATGGAAGACTTTTCCGTATTTTCTTGAGTCAAAGGGATGCATTTTTTCAATTCCTCCTGCAGTGATATTGTAACTAGGGTGATAAGCGATAGGTACAAGGTTAGAGAAGTTCAATGAAGGAGGACTTGGAGTGAAAAATTGTGAAGAAAGCCATAAAATAAACTCTAAAATTACAGGATAAAAGAGGAAAAACCCGGCTCCTGCACAGATCCAGAACGCCACTTCGTCAAATCCAAAGATATCACTTTCTCCTGCTGATAGGCAAATCCCATAAACTATCATGAATGCACCCCAAAGCCAGCATGTTAAATCAACCCATGCATACATTTTAAATTATATGATGTTCGATAGAGTAATATTGAAATCTACATTATTTTTTATTTAAAATTTTGATTGTATAATCCAAATAAATTAATATTACCTACAAACTTTCTTAATGTTTATTTTTAAACGCACCTTATTGTAATAATATTTTTAACAAAACATATTATAAAATATTTATTTTTTGCAGCTTTTACTAGTTATCAACATGCTGTTTTATGATTCATAAAGAACTCACATTGATCTCTATTTTAATGGCTTATAATCTTAAATGGCCACATCAAAGGACGAAATCACTGTCTCAAGCAACCAAGGCTTGTCAAAACACGTTACTGAAGTGGCCACTCTTCTTACTTCCTCTACAGGAGCGAACAAAAATATTTTATTCGATGGGGATTTATTTTTAAAAAATTATATATAAATTTTTAGTACAAATTTTTGTTGAAATTGGAAAGCAAAAATTAAATTATTTGTAAAATTTTTGTTTTAAAATGCAAGCTGCTTAAAATTTAACAGAATTAGCAGGAGATTTCATTGTAATAATTATCACTTATATATCAAAATATTTTTTATAAAACATTTTTGTTTTGGAGAGGTGGGAAGGGTAGCGAAAAAAGAGAAGCTAAAATTACTGCTATTAACTTAGCCATTCCTCAAGCTCTCAACCTTGTAGAACTCATCAAGCACCGTGTCAAAGGTCTTTATCAGCTCAACTCCTTTGAGCGTGTCCCAAACAGCAACAAGACCAGAGTCACTTTTCTTTTAAGTTTGGACCCACTTGATTCAAGGAAAGAAGGCTACCAACCTCCAATTGCAGAGTCTGAAGTCCAAGAAAAGAGTCTTGAAGAGCTCAAACAGGCCCCACCAAGACAAGAAAGAAAACCTCAAGAAGGAACAGCCACATCTAGACCAAGAGGATCAAGAGGTGGCAGAAGAGGAAGCCGATCAGGTGGCAGACAGCCAAGAGGTGGAAGCAGAGGAGAAAGACCTGAGACTACTAAAAGAGCTCCTCAAGAAGGAAGACGAAAAGTTGAAGACTCTGAAGAGCGCAAAGAAAGATCTCCAAGGAGAAACGAATGGCAGAGCAAGAGACCTGAAGGAAAAGAAAGTACCAAACGAGAAGAAACCTCAGGCAAGGACGAAGGATACCAAAGCAGAGAAGGAGGAAGACCTCAAGGCAGAAGACCACGTGGAAGAGGAAACTTCGGAGGCAACAGACCCCCAAGAACCCAAAACCCTGACTTCAAGCCTAGAACTAGAAGAGCTCCAGAAATGGAAAAATATACCAGAGCTCTTAGAAACCCAGCAGAATCTACTAAAGCTCCAAACGAAGTCTTAATCAATGCAAGAGCCCATCCTAATATTTTTATCAGAGAAGCTTTATTGTTGTTCAGACAAGAGAACTTAAGAACTATTATTATTAAAGCTAGCGGCTCAGCACTCCCTAAGGCAGTTAAGGTTGTAGAAGAAATCAAGAGGTATGAGGCTGGACTTCACCAGTTAAATAAGCTCAGCAAGAGAAGCGTTAAAGATGTATTCACTCCAAAAGAGCCAGGACTTGATGAGGTAGTCAAAGAAAGAGATATTGACGGGTTTGAAATTACTCTTACTAAAGATGCACCAGACGTTAAAAACACTGGGTATCAGGCACCTCTACCTGCCAGTGAAGTCAGAGAAATTAGCATAGAAGAAATACAAAAACTTTAACTTAAATTCATTTCTTAGAATACTGATTTTAATTTAAAATGCAAAGAAGCATGATGTGGGTCTAAAGTTTTATATGAGAGATACTCTAGATATAAGTAAAAAACGTATTCTAACTCCCCATCTTATAAATAAAATATGGCGTCTTCGTCTGGGCATGGCCTCCCGGCCATGCATACTCGACTTATATTTTATTTATATCCGGTAAGGTTTTACCACTTCAGAAATGGACAGCAATGCTAGGTAAGCAATTCTGGTTGTGTTCAGAGCCTAGCCCTAGCCTAAATTCAGAGGTGGTTTTTTCCTCGTGGGGAAGACGAGCATGGAAGTTGGAAAGGGAAAGCCCAGCAGAGTCCTCAGGACCAATCGGGCAACTCCCTAGCGTGAAACTGGGCGTTACGTCCCAGGCTTTCGAGTTCCACCTTCTACCGACAGTCGACCAGAAAATCCATTTTTTTAATGGATTTTAGGAAAGACAACCCACTTATGTGCGAATCCCTCGTTTGAGGCAATGAGGTGGGTGTCCGCCGAGGCCTCACCATAGGCGATGAGCGTGTAGGGGTGCAAATCCCTGGCCCTGCAAGTGCGAACGGCTAATCTTAATCTTAACTCCCCATCTTGAGAGAGCAAAAAATCTTCATCATTCAGGAGGGGGTTATGCTTTCGATATTTGAAAAATCCCCGATTCTCAAAAACTTAATATATGAAATTAACTCGAGATTATTATAATAGTTATTAATTATCTCATAAAAAAAAAATTTTTCTTCAGTTTCACAATTTTTGCTTGCTCATGGAAGGGAAAAGTAAAAAATAAGTATATATAAATTAATAATTCTCCTGTTTTAAACTCCATTATAATATATCATCATGGAAGACTTTGAGACTGATGCAGTTAGAAGCATTATGTCAAAAATTTATATGAGTATGCAAGAAAGCGATGAAGACGCACCTTTTCACACAGAAGTCTCAGTTCTTGAAAAGCCTAACGAGTCAACTCTTGAATCTATTAAAATCGATACCAGCCAAAAGCCTGCCAAAAAGGTAAAGGCTGAAGACTTTGTAAAAACAACTTATATGAGGATGCAAAACAGCACAAAAAAGTCCCAAGACGTATTAAATAAAGTAAAAAAACAAATTGACAAAGAAAGGGCAGAAGCCCTAAAGGGCGCTCCAAACATCAATCATAAGTCCAAAAAAATGATAGGGCAAGCTGTGCCTTTGCAGCAGAGGATCAGTGAGGTGATTTTGGAAAAAGAGAGAAAATTAGAAGAGCTTAAAGAGAAATTGAATCAGGAAAGAGAAGAAGTACTGAAAAAAGACTTGACTTTTAAGCCGCAGATCCATGGGAGAACTGATAAACCAAGGTCTGCCACTGAATTCTTTAAATATAACGAAGACTGGGCTAATATGAAAGCAGTCAAAGAAGCAATCAAAAAAGAAGAGCTTGATGAAAAAGTCACGCAAACACTTAAATTTCATCCAGAAATCAATCAAAATTCTGAGAAAATTATGCAAGATATGGGAGAAAACCGACCACCTGAAGTAAGACTTTTAGAGAGATATCAGGTTACCCAGAATAAAATTAAAGCAAAGCAGGAGGTGATAGAATATAAATTTTCCCCTGAGATCAATAAAAAGACAAAGCAGTTGGCAAGAGCTCAGTCAGCTGGAGATGTTTTTACAAGATTATTCACAGCTGCTGAGAGCCAAGGAACAACTGCAGGCACTCCTAGAGGAACAAAAACTAATGGCACAGGATTTAGCCCTGAAGTCAAAACAATTTCTAAACCAGAACAGCCGGAAATTCAAAAAGCCAATATCGAGCAATTATTTGAGCTTAATTCATAAGAATTTTGATAAGTCTATATTTAGTTTTAACAAAGTTAAGAAAACTCAGTATCAAAATAGAAATATGGATTTCCATATCTTAAATTGCAATTTAATTCTTTTAGCTCTAAAGCCCATCGATTTCAGAGGCTCTAGTAGCTGATGAATCTTCGAAATAAATAAGCTCCTCTAAATCTGAATCTGAATTTTCGGTTATATCTTCATATAAAACTTCTTCGGTTGAAATCTCTTCTTCGGTTGAAAATTCTCCAATTGGAATTCTATCACTTGCTCTTTCTTCAAGAGAAGTTTTGCTTTTGTTTTTAATAGTGCTTGATGAATCTATCATCTCTGGCCAGGCGGCAAGTGTCATAGCTGCATTCGAGCTTCTCAATTTTTTTGACTTTTTATTATAACTTACCAGTCAAACGTTGAGTTTTAGTTTTCCATGTGCTAATAACAGTTGATAGATTTTTTTGCTTTTATCTTCTGTTTCTAGACGAGAATTTTTAAACACTACATCATCAATTTCCCAGCCAGGTTTATGCTTTCGTAAAAATTTTTCGGACCTATTTGGAGAAGGCAAAAAAAGGGCAAAGCCAGCAAAATTGGCAAAATTTTGTCTGACACCTTCATAATCCAATATAAAATCATATTAATTTTGGCAAGAGTTTAGGGTCGTATACCAAATGCATTGGATTTCGATTTATACTAACTTTTTCAATTTTTTCGAAAATTTTGCCTTCTTTGCTTGCTTTGCCATTTTTGCAGTTTTTTGCCTTCCTAAAAATAGCTCCCAATTTTTCAAGACTAGCAAGTGTTATTGCCGGATTTATATGCTCTTTAAAGGCAGCCCCATAATTAGTTTTAATGCTGATTTCAATTCTGCAACGCTTGGGAAATTCTATTAATGCTCAAAGTCTCAGATTATTATTTCCAGATGAAACTTGGTATAGTTGCTTATCTTTTATTTTGATTTCTGAGAAATAGTGAGAATCTGCATAAAATCTAATTTCAGGATCCACCAATTTTAGATTTCACGCATATGTGTTTTTTAAGTCAGCTATAGTCCAGCAGCTTGGGCACTTGAAGAGCTTTTTGATACTTAGTCATTTAATTTCAACAGATATATTCATTTATTACAGCCATTTAATAAATAAATTATTAGACTCGAAGCAACCAAGCTACTATATTATGATAAGAAAAATGTTTATGTAGTATCGACCCTTTTAAAAATATTAAATTAAATACGCATAAATAAAAGCGAATAAATTAATAAAAACATTAAGAATTTAAATTTGCATTTAATCCAACCTAAGATAAGGAGGGCTCTTGATCTTAAACTTATATAAGCTAGAGTGTTTAGCATTTTGCCGGGATCCGCAGGGGTGATAAAAAAAGCCGCACGAGCTCACCCGAGAAGGAGCCTAATTAAAGACACCATATAGTTAGCCATCACACCTCAAGAGCTATCTATCCCACCCTTTCCTAATTTGACTCCTGCGGTCTCCTTCCTTGGGAGGGTCAAGTAATAAAGCCCTATGCCTCCTAATTAACTTGGCTAGAGGTCTCACCTTATCTGATGAGTTGAATTGACATTACTGATAAAAGTTTCACCGGAATATCAGAGCCCTGGGGAGAGAGGAAATGCAGCTAATTCCTTTAGAACCCAATCCATTTTATTTATAGAAGGCTCTTGGTCAGAACCTCAGGATCTACCTTGGTGCATGGCTCTACCTGGTGATCTCGCTTTATCTTGCAGATTAGGGTTCAGGCTAAGCTTGGCCTACTTAGGTCTACCTGAGTTTAAGACATTCCAGCTCTATCTTGAAATTTGGCAGTGCGGCTCTACCTCTTATTCTATAGGTAACTTCAAAAAACTTATTCTAATAATTTTTTTAAATTATTTAAATTTCAAGCTGATTTAATTATGATTTTAAACTTAAACTTAATTACTTAAGAGGGCACCTTTCCATGCTTTCCACACTGGCTCATCTTCTTTATATCCTTTACTCGCCATCACTTCTCTCCATTCACGGACCATCGAGCAGCAGCAAAAAGTGGCCAAAATGCAGTCGTTAAGATATGATCCTTTTATGTTGTAGACTTTTCTTAATTTAGTGCGATTATACGCCACACCAAAACAGCATAAGCCACATGCCGTCAAAAATGCTATAAGCGGAGCATTTTCTTTTTCATCATTGATCAATTTTGTTATTGTAGCCTGCAAGCACGGAGTTCCACAAGGCACAAGGCACGACCAATAACATGTTAAGGGTGCAGCATAACAATCGAACAGCTCATAAGCCCAATCAGGTCCTTCTATGATTTAATAATGATTATAATGGATTAACCAGACTTTAATCATAACACTTTTAAATAAAATATTTTAAGAAGATCCTGTTTATAATCATTTTTATGAGCTATAGACCTTTTAAATCACTATCAAATAATTTTTATAAAATAAATATTTTAATGAGTTTAAATAGATAATAAAATTTTATTATTATTCCCAGGAAATTTTAATAATGTAATATTCTATAAAATGATTTAAGCTTAAAATTGTTAAATCACTTAAAATACACAACATCTTTAAAATTCGAAATCACAAAATTAAAGATGAAATTTTTATGTAAATTCTAGTCAATAATAATCGCCACATCAATATTCTAATATCTGAATGAAGTTTGAAAAAATCTATCCCCCAATACTTCCTATCATTTTTTGGCTTAAGTTACTCATAATCCTGCGATTTATATTTGTAAAAATGCTATCCAATTCTTCACTATTATCATCATCCTCATCTTCAAGCAATAAATTCATTTCTTTGAGTGAAACATTTCTTATCTTCATGCATAGTTCGAAAAATTCTTCATGCGAAGCCCCATCTCCTTCAATGAAAGAGGAATAGGGAGCTGCTCTAATAAAAACTCTCCATTTAAAAAAGCCAGCAAAAAGCCGTAAAAAACTTATTTATTTTATATAAAACACATACCCCTTAAGGGTGAGAGGGAAGGAATTATTAAGCAAATGCAGCTCTTAAGAGAAAGAATTAATCAAGTTTTATTCTGAAGACAATAAAGGGGCAATATTAGAATTTCACAAATGATAGAAAATTTTTGCTACTTTGATAAAACTGCAATAAGCTTGATAAATCAATTAAACTTTATTTAAAAAACAGCAAATATGGATTTTCCATATCTTAATTAAAATTAAAAGCTTCCATCATTTTGAAAGCTTATGTAGCATATTACAAGCATAGATAACCAATAAGATCTTCTGGAGCAGACCCTATATTTTCTAAAACGGCTTCAGTTGGAGCTTCTTCAAAGCTGTTTTTGTAATTAGCATTTTCCCACGATTTGATCACCTCACAGTTGATATCAAGCTCCATAATTTTTTCTTTGTTGGCCTCACGAGAGGAATGATTTTGGATGTATCTAGGTTCGCTTATCAAGCAAACTTTGAGTTCAAGTTTTCTGTATTCTAATGCAATATGAATAATCTTTTTACTAATATCTTCGATTCTTCCATTAGAATTTCTAAACTCTATGTCATCGACATCATTCCATTCAGGAAATTTTTTAAAAATAAGATCACGAAGCTGTAGAAGTTGATGATCAGGATAAACATCAATAGAAAAAGGCAATCCAAAGTTGGTTTTGCACTTAATATTAATTAGGCTGCGGCTGGAAAAGCGTATTAATACAAACAGTCTCAATACATTTCCCTCATAACGAAACTCAGATAGCTGCATGTTATCATCAGGGATAATGTGTGAGCTGCCTCTAGAGCTTGGATCATATAAAAATATTATAGTGGGATTGGTGAGTGCCAGTCTTCGTTCGTATCTCTTCTTTAAAGTAGCTATTGTGATCGTATTCGGGCATATGAACCATTTAGAATGGCCTAGAGAGCTAATTTGGACAAATAATAAACTCATTATTACCATCATTGAAATTAACTAATCGAATGACAGCTCTCACTAAATAACTAAAATCTATATAATCTTTTTATCTTGAGTAAAAGCACAATTATTGGCTCGAAGAAAATGGTTTTGAAATCGTTGCATAATGAAAGCAAGTTGCATTAATTGTAGCAAATAGGAAAAGTGTCTATTTGCAAATTTTCTGGCTGACCTAATTTGAACTCAACAGTTGTAGAGCTATAATAGCTTATGCATAGCAGAGAGATCCATTGAATAGATATCGTAGAGTTAATGATTTTTATTCAGAAGCATCATCTGATCATATATCTATATCCCAAGATTTAAATTGATCTAAAAAGCATATTAAAAGCTGAGGGGAAATTTTGATTGATATTAATAGGTCTAAATAGGCGAGTTATTCGACAAATATAACAGATTTCTTCGAAGAGACCATAATGAAGAAATTTAAAACTTCTATTAAATTCAATTACCATAAATCATAAGAATAATTACTTTTTATGCTAAGATTATAATTACAATTTTAATAATTGCTTTCTTTTTTATTTTTAATTAGGGTGTAAGATACTATGAAGCCAACTTTTAGCAACTTCCAGCTCTCTCATGCTGATAGTGTGAACCATGCGATCTTCAGAGTTATATGTTAAATTACACCCAGCCAATGTTCTCCTCGCAGTTTCAGCAGCATAGATTTCTAAGATCAAGGGATCTGCTTTTCCATTATACATAAAAATAGGTACCTGCTTCTTAGCTTCAGGAACTGTAAAGTCAAAAGCATACCCGCTCAAAGCCATAATAGCATCAATTCTCCCTGGGTAATGAACAAGTCCTGTGTATAAAGACATATATGTGTTTTCCCTATATAGCCTGATGAGGGCCGTGGGTTCTCCATGAAATCCCTCTGCTGGTTGAACCAACCAGTGAATTGGTCAAACCAACGCACTGAGTTGGTTTGGCCAACAGAGGGATTCCACGGAGAACTCACGGCCCTTATCGGGCCATATAGGGAAAACCCCTATAGCAGCTCCTTGAGAAAACCCACCAAGAATGATTGAGCTACAGATTTTACTTTCTGCTTCAATAACAGAAGTAATGATATTTGCACTGTCAATTGCTTCACTATTGACTGACCTATCCTTTATGTCAGCAATATCATACCAGCTCGTCATTCGCATACCTTGGTTCCATGTCACAGGCCTTACAGGCGCAGTAAGTAGAACGATTTTTGCATTCGGCAAAAGCTCAAAATCTTGGAAAAGATCCACAAAGCCTTCAGCAGAGTCACCTAATCCATGCAGCCACACCAAAGTGTGCATATGCACAAGAGGCTCAATGATGATATTTCTTCCTGCCCTTACAATATTCATTTATATTTTCATTATAGCCTCATCAAATTAATGTAAAAAACACTATTAATTTCTATTAATAAATTTTATTGAATCGATCTACACATTTTAATTTTCAAATATTTCAAATTTAAATGTCAAGAAGGAAAAACGATTACACAGTCGAAAACAAAATCCAAGACATAAGAGAAGACCTGCAGAGACTAACATCAAATTATAAATCTTCTGATATAAAAGAACAAAGTCCTCTTGAGAAATATCTAGAAGTAAAATATCCAGATCCCGCATTCAAAATAAGTGAAATTACTGAGTCGCCTTTTATAGGAACTAAAGAGTCGCAAGATATTAAAAAAGGTAAATACTATATAGAGAGTCAGCTGAAAAGCTCTTATTCTGTTGATGATCTTAAAGACTTTGAAGGACAGCCTTCAATATCACCTAAATTCAGCCAAAATCCTAAGTCAAAACCTTATGTTTCAGACTACGTAGCTTTCGGGCATAATAGTAAAGAGCCAGCAAGACATGCAGAAATAATAGACCCGACTATATCTACAGCATACAGAGAAAAAACTGATTTTACAATGGCTAGAAGAAATGACCAAGGCGCTCGCTATGAAATTACCGAAAAAGACGCCTCTTTAAGAAAAACACAAGGAAGTCGGCACTCAGAACAAAAATATACAGAACCTATCAACAATTTACGAGCTTCAGCACGAGGTCTAGAAGACAAAGCAAACGATCTTGAAAACGCAAAAATTGCTTTGCAAGAAGAAAACACCCAGCTGCATCAAAAATTAATGAACCTAGAAAAAGACATAAACTATATTGAGTCTAAATCTTTATCAATGAGAGACGAAATTAAATCTTTACGATCCAACAACGCTGACCTGGAATCCCAAATTTTGAATTTAAAAAAGGAAAAAGTGGAGTATCTTCGACAAATAGACGAACTTAAAAGAATAGAAAACCAAAAAAATTCAGAAATAGAAACAGCTGCGATGCAGAAAAGAGAATTTGAAGAAAGAATCCAAGAATTAAAGCAGCTGCTGCATGACAGTTCTATGACGAAATATAAAGCATTTGATTTTGATGAAAAAGAAAATATAAATTCTTTGCATTTAAAAGATGAAATAAGTGAGCTGAAAAATGAAAATAATAAGCTAAAAAATGCACTGAAAAGGAAGCCAAGCTGTGATGAAATAAGAAAAGCGACAAAAAAGATTGAACAGCTTGAAAATGCTATTGAAGATATCAGAGGACAAAAAAGGAGGAGATCAGAATCTGCTAAAAGAACAAGAGAAAGAAGCCCGAAACTGCCTCCTATCAGACCAAGAAGTGCAAGCAGAGAGAGAAACAGACCAAGAAGTGCAAGCAGAGAGAGAAAACATGAAAATTCTCCTATAAGGCACCTCACTTCTGCGACCTGTGCAAAAATTGTCAGAGAACTAATGCATGAGTTTTCGGTTGAATCTGCTTCATTATTAATACCAAGCGCTAAATTAGCCTTACGCGATTTAAAAAGTCAATCTCATCAACGGAAACTAGTCGAGAGATTAAGGTCGCTGATCATTGACTGCTCGCCTCCAGGAGCTTTTGATAAAAATCCTTCATTGAAAAGAATATGAAAATGAATCAGAAGATTAACTGAAGAATATTTACAATTAAAAAAAGAGAGCAACCAGAATGCCACTGAAAAAGAAGTTTTAATTAGGCTAAAAAAAGCATTAAGTGTAGAAAATACTGAAGAGATCCCGAGATCATTGACAAAACTTCTGGCAGAAAATGAAAATCTTTTGCTTATATTAAACAAAGTAAAAGCAGCTTTCAGGTTAAGTAAGAAATATTTAGACACAAGAGTAACTCTTCAGGAGCTGGAGAAAGAAATTGATAGGAGGTTGTAAGAATTTAATTTAACAATTTATAAATTATTCAGAAGAATTAGGATATGATGGAGATTATTAAAATATCGTTGAATTTATAAATGTCCATAATTCAACGTATAGGTGCAAGCACAGAATCGTATTTATTGGAATTAACGATTCATTCAGTCACAATAAATATTCCTTATCCAGTCAAATTAAAAGTATACTATTTAAAATTAATTAATACGCTATTAATAAGCTAATATAAAAAATAAAATAATTATATTAGTGCAAGATAATTGTAAAACGAGGGAAAAACTACAAAGAAGAAACATCAGCTGTAAATCATGACTTAGTTCTCGGTACTATTTTTTTCGAACACACAGTTTTGCTCCGAGTAACTATGTTTAGAAAAAGCAGATCATATCTAAAGAAAAATGCTTCATTTCGACTAGTTCAGATCTCAAAAAATAAATGCATCAAGAATGGTAAAGGAAGGCTTGATCTTTCAAAAATTTTCACTCATAGTCCATCATTTGAGAAACAAGATATAAAGCTTAAGCATTGCTCAGATAAAAATGCTTATATATGCATAAGTGCGACTATGACAAGGATTGACCGAACCTCAAGCATGGGATCAATCTCGGCAGAATCAATATCATCTGAAGAAGCTGACATGACAGATTTAATTCCAGTCACATTTGCCTATAGTGTTAATAGTTCTGAAATGAGCGCTCCTGAGGTGAAAAATGAAAAACTAAGCTTGACTATGAACTCTGAAGAAAGCTCGAAAAAGAAAAAACAAGATGCTAGAGAAAAATTTAAAAAAAGACTGGAAAAGCTAACAATTGCACAAAAATCACACACAGTTGTAGAGCCTAACACAGCATATCCTTATCAAGAAATGGAGTCACCATCTCCGTCTCCTACAATATCACCTCAGCCAAAAAGAACAGAATGATCATTTTCTAATGATCCAAAAGAATTTGAACTAAGCCCTAATGAGCTAAATGGGCTCAAAGATATCCCAATAATTGAAAAAGAAAAGCCAGAACCAAAGCCTTTCTTTTTAAAACCAATTAAAATTGGATGCGATGATGATGAAATATCGAACTCAACAAATAATAATAAAGAAGAACAAGAAGTTGAGTCTGTTAAAAATACAGAAAACGAGCAGTGCTTGCCTGCAACGTCTCTAAAAGGTGCTATACCGAACTCAAACAGCAAAGAGAATGAAATAAAAGCAAGAGAGTGCGTTGGAGGTCTAAGTAGCACAAATTCAGCTTGTTCGTCGTGTAAAGGATGCGTAATTATATAATAAATAGTTCTATAAATTAATTAAATAGCAAAATAAATCAGCAGAAAAATTTTTCTCTAAGCCACAAGAGTTTAAGTTCTAATTTTTAACTCAGCTTAAATACAATATACGAGCAATTCTTTCCTAATTCTACCATGATTCTATTTGATTTTAATTCTGGCAATTTCATATTAACAAAATTGCTTGCTTTTTTTGTAAATCTCTGGAGCATTGTCTTTACAGTTACAGAATATAGAAAAATAGTTGCTAAAGGAAGCATAAGTATAAAAAAAGAAAATCCCCAATATTCCATTTCAGCATATTCTAATAGTATAATAAATAATATAGTAAATATTACACTCATCACTATTAATCCATAAAAAAATTTTCTAGCCATATTTAATCTAGCTATATATGGATTAGCAAATCACGAAAAATCAGTGGAAAATTTTTGGATAATGTCTCGCTCATTGCTTTGCGATCTGCTTGGCCTATTCCCTCATTTCAGATAAATCTCAGAATCAACTGGGATTGGAATTTTTTTACAGCTAAAAGGTCAAAATCCAGAGCTAATAAAAATATCATAAATATAATCAGTTTCACCTATAATAGAATTATAAGAGCTCTCAGGGATTTTTATTCCATAAATAGTGAGTCCAATGTTACAATATGTTGCAGTGATTTTTTCTCAATTCCCATGATTCTCTTGAGCATTTTCTGATCCATTTGTAATATTTGATATTTCTTTCTTCTCGGCGCTTGGTTTTTCCATGCTCTCAACAAATTGAATAGATTCACCTTCCTCAGAAATTATTGTAAATAGTTTTTTATCATCAATTTCTCTTGTAATTTGCTCAATCAACATTTGCGGAAGATTTATTATATATAATAATTTTTGATTCTAAATTCTAGTTTGTGATAGTTTAAAGAGCATCAAGTTTAACAATACCAGTTGCTTTAATTTAAATAAAATTATAAAGTATAGTTTTAATAAAATATGAGCCAAGGACCACAGAACTCATAAACAGCTTTAAACGAATAATTATTTTACATAAATGGATCCCTTTGATAGACAAAAACGAATTCAGGGCTGAAAACAAGATTTAATTGATGAAGCAGTAGCTGTTTGCTTTGGAGTAGGAGGACTAGGTAGTGTTGTATCAATGAACTTGTGCAGAATGGGTGTTGGGAGGATTATTTTAATAGACAAAGATATTGTTGAAATTCATAACTTAAATCGGCAGCTTTTATTTTCAATGAAAGATGTGGGCAGACCAAAAGTTACTGCTGCTAAAGAAGCCTTAGAACTAGGCCACAACATAAGAAGCCAAATTGAAGAGCATCAAATTGATATTGTAGAGAAATGGTCAGATGTCATCAGAATTATTCAAGGAGCAACAGTGATTTTTAATATGATTGATTATGGAGATTATTTTGACTATGCAGCACAAAGTTTGGCTATAAAACTAGGAATACCTTTAATACAAGGAGGCACTTTTGCTCAAAGCATGTGTGTGGAATATATTACAGCTAGAGGCCAGCCTTGTTTATTATGCGGAAGTGATAATGCGAGAGAAGAAATTATTGATCAAATCAGGCCTGAAGAGATTTTGGAACTGGAAAATCTGAACTTTTTGCCTAAAAACTCAAATCCAATTGGCCAATCTAATACTTATTTATGTGGAACGTGCGGAATGCTCATGACCGCCAAATATGGAGAGGGTATTATAAATTCTGAAGATGCCCAGATATCGAATAGAACTTTATTTTATGTGAACACAATGGAAAGCGTCAACTTTGGGATAGAACCAAAGATTGGATGCAAGTTTTGCAAATATGATGCATAAGGAAGCGTGTCTTCACACTACGACTAATTCCAAAAATAGACAGTTTAAAAAAATAGGTCAAAAAATAGGCCCAACAAAATAATAGGTGAAACAAAATAAATAGGCAAAAAAAATAGGGGGAAAAAATATGCAAAAAAATGCCTAAAAAAATAGGCTTAAAAAAAATCGTTATAGAAAAGGCGCCTTGTGAAGGAACCATAAGGAAGGGACTAATAGTAATAATATTGATATACATTATATTAAATCAAATGGAAAAGAATGCATTTTTAATCTTAATCAGCTCACAGAATTAAGTTAATGCTTATTATTATAATAAAAATTAATAGATAAATTAATCCAAAAATTAAATTACTTTCTATTGTTTAAAATAATAAATGAAGCCTTCCCAAGACACAAATCAACAAAGAAAATTTTTGTTCAAGTGTAAATTATCAACATTTTTATTAGAAGCACTTGTAAACTCAATATTAAAAGAAAGATTCAGTATGATAAATCCGTCAATAAGATGTGATAGCTGCTATTATTATGAGAGCGGTGATGGACTTGACAGTTCTGAAATCAGCATATATAATGATAATTTAAGGCAAACATTGAAGGGCCTGGGATTATCTAATGGATCCAATGTACACTGTAATGACTTTGACAAAGATGGCTCAATTATTATGGAGCTTTTGGATTCCAATGAAGAATCATTTGAGATAAATGAAGTATTAATATCAAATGAAAACAGATTAAAACAGCAAAAAACTACAGAGAACCAAGAGAATAATATAATCGGATCATTAAAGAGAAAAAAGGATATTTCTCATGAAATAGGTATCAAGTTAAGAAAATTAATGTAAAAATTTAATTAAAGTCAATTAATTCTTAATCAAAATGCAGCTTATTTATATTTTCTCACTCCCCCCTTTAAAAAGCAAACAAAAATAGAAAATCCTTATTTTTAAGCAAATAAACCCTTTAAAGTTAGAGAAAATATTTTTATATATAATTAATGATTATAATAATGAAATCTCCAGCTAATTCTTTTTAAATGTTAGACTGCAGCATCTAAAAAGCTAAATTTATTTTCAATAATTAGCGATATTTAAAATCCCAAAAAAAATATTGAAAAAAAAAATTCTCTTTAATAGTAAAAAAACCTTGCTTGCTCTCAAAGAGAGGGAGCCAGAGCTTTTGTTAACAAAAAAAATTCAAATTTAATAAAGTAATCAGAATTATTACTATCTAAAGCTGACCAAATCATTTATTATGCATCCTATCTCTTTCTTTGATTAGCTACACAAAAATTCCAAAATTAATATTAATGCATTACTTATAATAAAATGCTGCCTGGGAACCAAGCTCCTGTGATTGTTCTTAACCAGAACACTCAGCGTGAAGAAGGAAAAAAGGCCCAGCTAGCCAACATCCGAGCTGCAAAAGCTGTCGCCGACATCATTAGAACCACTCTCGGTCCAAAATCCATGCTGAAAATGCTTCTTGACCCAATGGGTGGAATCGTTCTAACAAATGATGGCAATGCTATCCTCAGAGAAATTGACGTGAAGCACCCTGCAGCCAAAACAATGATCGACCTTAGCCGCACCCAAGACGAAGAAGTCGGAGATGGCACAACTTCAGTCATCATCCTTGCTGGCGAGCTCATGGGAGTCTCAGAGCCTTTCCTCACCCAAAAAATCCACCCAATCAACGTCGTAAGTGCTTACTTCAAAGCCTTAGAAGCCGCCTTAAAAGCAGCTGACTCCATTTCAAAACTCGTATCAATCGAAGACAAAGAAACCCTTTCAGTGATCGCCCAAAGCTGCATTGGGACCAAATTTTCCAGCAGATGGGGAAACCTGATTGTTGACCTTGCTACCGATGCTGTAAAAACTGTCTACATCAATAACAACGGAAAGGTAGAAGTTGATGTCAAAAGATATGCAAAAATCGAAAAAATCCCTGGAGGAGATATTGAAGAATCCAGAGTGCTGAGAGGAGTGATGTTTAACAAAGACGTGACCCATCCAAAAATGAGGAGGTTTATTGAGAACCCAAGAGTCATTTTACTTGATTGTCCACTGGAGTATAAAAAGGCAGAGTCCATGACTAATGTGGAAATGACAAAGGAAGAAGATTTTAACACACTTTTGAGACTTGAAGAGGAAGAAGTTGAAAAACTTTGCCAAGCAATCATGAGGCTTAATCCAGATGTCGTCATAACTGAAAAAGGAGTTTCTGACTTAGCTCAGCACTATTTCTTAAAACAAAATATTTCAGTGATTAGAAGAATTAGGAAGACAGATAACAATAGAATTGCTAGAGTTAGTGGTGCCACAATTGTAAACAGACCTGAAGAGCTGCAAGAAAGTGATGTAGGAACCAAATGCCATAGGTTCGAAATCAAGCTTATAGGAGACGAATATTACACCTTCATGGAAGAATGTGAAGACCCTAAAGCTTGCTCTATCTTACTTAGAGGTGCGACTAAAGATGTCCTTAACGAAATTGAAAGAAATATGCACGATGCTATGTCAGTCGCAAGAAATGTCATGATTGAGCCAAAACTTGTCCCAGGCGGTGGAGCTGTCGAAATGCACGTTGCCAATGAGCTCACAAAAATAGGCAGAACCATTGAAGGAATCGAACAGCTACCTTTCCAAGCAGTAGCTCAGGCCTTTGAAATCATTGCAAGAACTTTAGCTCAAAACTGCGGCTGCAATGTAGTTAGAACTGTGACTGAATTAAGAGCAAAACACGCTGAAGATAACGTAGACGCACCATTTTGGGGGATTGACGGCAATTCTGGGAAAATTGCTGATATGAGAGTTGTAGGAGTTTGGGAACCTTTGGCTGTAAAGAAGCAGACCTTTAAGACTGCAATTGAGGCAGCTTGTATGCTTTTGAGGATTGATGAAGTCGTCAGTGGAATTTCTAAGCCTGAGAAAAAGAGTGGACCAGTCGCAGCAGCCCCTGAAGAAATGGAAGCTTAAGATAATGAATAACCATTTAGTATTTCATATGGCTGGAAAAATAGTCCGCTAGATAGTTAATAATATTAAGAGCCAATTGTGGGAACTAGCTTACTTTAAAGTTTTGGCTTGGGATTTAGAAGCTCAACTGTCTTATTGCAAATTTTCTTGATGTCTTTTAAAGGAACGTCTTTATGTAGTGGTAAGTAAACCAATTTTTCGAACATATCTATAGCATTTTTTGGTTGTGTATAGCTATTCTCAATAAAGTATATGCAGCAATTCTTTTTATTGTAAATAAAAATACATATTTATTATGAAAATATTATCCCCAATTGGTGCTTCTACACAATTCAATTGAGAAATTCCTTTGTAAGCATCAATTCCAGCTTTGTTTAAGTCTTTATATGCTTTTAAGGTCTCATCAGCCATAATTGGATAAAGTCAATAGGTTCTATCTCTTTGTGCATATCCAGGAACAGTTACTCCTCCAGCAGTTAAAATATCAGTACCTTCCTGAATGCCTCTATTCAGCTTAAAAAACTTTTCTGCATTAAAAATAGCCAGTCTTCTATACATAAAAGATAGCATAGCTGCGCATGGCTGATATCTATATACTTCTAATCCTTTCCCTGGTGGAAATCCTCTCATAAGCCCGACGACTCTTTTTTTATAGTCAAAGCCTATTTTCATCAGAGGAGGTCTTAGTACATGGTTGAGCCCTTGCCAATTTAAATAAATAAGCCCTGCTGAATATTTCAATACTTTTTTGAAATAAGTTTTGGTTGGCTGCACAGGGTAGGACTGATGGATCCTTTTAATCTGGCTCAGCAGCTGTGGGTTATTCCTTATAATCATAACAGCGCCTTGAAAAGCAGTTGCTGTTTTTATAGGTCCAAAGCTAAAAACTGTTATATCAGCGTTAGGATCGCCTGAGAAATTCCTTCCACAGAACCCTTCTGCACAGTCTTCGAAGAGTGGGATGCCATGCTTTTTTGCAACCTTTGAAATTCCAGCAAGGGAGTATCTGGTACCATATGTTTCAGCAATGATAATTAGGCCTGTCTTTTTGGTAATCGCAGCTTCTACTCTTTCAGGGGTAGTTTGCAATGTGTCAATATCGATGTCATAAATAAAATGGCATTCGGGGTTTTACCTCTCAGCACATCTCCACGGGAAGATGACCTTTAGGCGGAACACGCGCAGGAGCTGAGTCGAGACAAGGGCGACGGCATCGCGCCGGGTGAGACGTGCAGCAAGGCTGGTGAGGCAGGAGTTGATAGAAGGCTTGGCCAGGGCTGACCTGTTCCAAGATGGCTCGCCTACGTCACTAGTTTTGCCATAGGCCCTTTTGGGCTGCGGCACTAGACACCTTAAACACCAGATAATTAAGCAAGTAAGTAAGCCAATATCGATGTCAACTGGTACAGGGATATATCCATACTTTCTCACTATTCTGACCATCTCGGGGATGTTGATGGCTGACATAATGATTTCTGTGCCGATTGGAAGGTTCAAGGCTTGCAGATAAAGGTCAAACGCAGATCGCACACATAATGTAATTATTACATTGCCTTCAGCTGAGAATAAACGTGAAATTTTGGGTTTTAATTGGTTAGAGGTTTCAGAAGTATAGATTGCCCGCTTCATTGCCCTGAACCACTCCGCCCAGGTGCAGTCAATGCTGAGGCAAGCATATGGATAGACCTTTTGAAACATATTGCCTTCCTATTTATTGCAGATTAAAATAAGTTAGGGTTATTATTCAAGAATAGGCTGTTTTATTTTAATTTAGTTTTATGGTAAAAGGGAAAAAATATTAAATTTTTTGAATAAATAAGATTAATAAGATAAAAGATTAGGATTTAAAAAAATTTATTTATAAAATAGGATTATATTTGATATAAACTTAATTTTATATATTCAACTAGCTTAATTAAATTGCTTGGCGCGCTTATTAATTTTCACCTTTTCTTAAATTTAGATATTAATAATTTTTAACTCCCCCCATCCGTGAGTGAACAAAACCATTAGAAAAATCGCTATTTTTTGCCCAAAAACCCACCCTCCGTGAGTGAACAAAAATTTTTTTAATAGAAAAATTTTTTATGGAAAAAAAAATTGATATATAAATGATAATTATTAATATGAAATCTAGTGCTAATTCTGTTTAATTTTAAACAAATTGCTTTTTAAAAAACATAAATTTTATAAATTAAATTAATATTTGCTTTCCAAATTTTTGCGAATTAGGATTTTTTTAAATTTCGAAAAAAAATATTTTTTATAAAATTTATATATAATTTGTTTTAAAAAAAAAAATTAACCTCCCTCCGTGAGTGAACAAAATTTTTTGTTCACTCACGGAGGGGGGGAGTAAGGTGAATAATTTCGTATTAATTTTATTTGATAATATTTTAGTTATTAAGATGACCATAAATAATGACTATGAAATGGTAAAATTGGAAAACCCTTAATCATATTCCTAACTCCCCCCGTGAGTGAACAAAAAAATTTTGTTCTCTCACGGAGTGGTTAATTTTTTTTTAAAAAAATCCCAATATCCAAAAATTGGAAAGCAATATTAATTTAATTTGTCAAATTTATGTTTTAAAATGCAAACTGTTTAGATTAAACAGAATTGGCAAGAGATTTCATTATACTAATTATCACTTATATATGATTTTTTTTCATAACATTAAAAAATTTTGTTCGCACGAAGGGTGACATTTGGGAAAAAAAATAGGAATTTTTCCAATCGTTTTATTCGCTCACGGGGCGGGGGGAGTAAAGATATAGCTAATTATTCTAATTTGACAATTTTAACGTTTTCGTTTCATTCTCTTCCTCAAAGTCGCTATCATGCGATCTTTTTTCCCCTGAATCCAAATTAAAAAGCGGATCATTCGAAAACTCAAAATCTGAGTCTAATTCAAAATCCCCCATCCCAACTTTGCATGTAGGATTCATTAAATCTTCTAGTGCTTCATTCTCATTTCCATCAAGAGCACTTACAATTACAGTCAACTTAGAGTGTATCTTTGGCCATATATACTCATCTAAAGTTCCAGGCCCAAACAAATAATGAATATTAACCACTTTTTGCTGCCCCAGCCTATGTGCTCTATCCTCAGCTTGTATCATAAACCCAGGTGTCCAAACCATTTCAGCCATCACCACAATCGACGCAGCTGTCAGTGTAATTCCTTGTCCTGCTGACAAAATCCCTAAAATAGCGACTCTGCAGTCTTTGACATTTTGAAAAGTATTGACACCTTTATGTCTTTGTTCCATATTCGTGCTCCCATCAATTCTAATATACCCAGTCTTCTCCTTTTCTACTTGGTCTTGAATTGCATCAAGCATTTCCATGTGATGTCCGAATATAATAAATTTGCATTCACTTTGTATTAAATAGCTAACGTACTCGCAAACTCCTTTCATTTTGGCTCTTGCGGTCAAATTATATGCTTTAGTTAAAAATAAATCCCCTTCAGTCTTTTCTTCACCTAATTCTGAAGGTTCTTTAGCTTTTTTCTTCATATCATAAAAAGATTTTTTTATCTTTTGGCAATGCTCGTGCACAACTGGAATTTCGACCTTTTGTCTGATTTTTTCAGGTAATTGGGAGAGGACATCTGATTTAAGTCTTCTGATCATAATTGTGTTCGATATTAAGACATGAAGCTCTCTCATATGAGAAGCTCCAGAATAGTCCATTCGTTTGAAAATTATTTTGGGATCGCAGTATCTTTCTGCAAATGCTCTGAAGCTTGGAAATATGTCAGGACGAATGCATGATAATTGTGTAAAAAGCTCTGCTGGCCTTGAAAGAACTGGAGTACCGCTTAGCAGAATAGCTCTTTTTGCTTTTTGTATAAATGGGACTAAAAATTTGGTCCTTTTCGCATTAAAATTTTTTAGATAGTGCGACTCGTCTGCTATGATGACATTAAATGATTTTTCAACTAATAAAGATTCAATATTAGTCGCAAGTGTGTATGAGATTATTCATATTTTTGCATTGGATTTGCAATTCTTGCTGTTTTGGATCACATTAAAATCTTTAGGTGTTAAATTTGGGACTCATTTTAAAAATTCATCCCTCCAATTCAGTTTAACTGATGCAGGGCATATCACTAATACTGGTCATTCGTCTTCATAACAAGCCGCTATGGAGACTCCTTGTATTGTTTTACCTACACCCATTTCATCTCCAATTAAAGCTCTTCCATAGCGTTCTAATGCAAATTTCACGCCTTCTTTTTGAAAAGGATACAGCTTACTAATAAAATCTTCTCCTAAACTTTCAATCGTCCTTTCGCTTTCCAATTCATACTTATGAGGACATTTCTTGCAAAAAGCTATTTTGGGGCTAAGTAATCCTTTTGTTACGAACTCAGGAAGTTCTTTAAATGTCAGCTTATCTATTAATCTTGCCTTGTCTCGGAATTCTTGGTATTTATTGATAGAAATCACTCAGCCGCTTTGCTCTTTATTAAATTCGCCTCCAGAAGTAATGATAGCAGTTCTGAGATTTTTCGAAGCAAACACACTTGTTTTCATTAATAGCTCATCTTTTGTAAATAATTCAATTGAAACTGTATTTTTACGTTCTTCCTCTACAATATCCTGATCGCTTTGCTCAAAATTCAGTTTCACTTGGTTCAGTTTTCGCTCTGAGCTTGGCACACTATTTGAAGTTTTATGGCTCTGGATAAATTGCGCCTTCCTCTTAAGCGCTTCTTCTCTTTTCTTCATTAAATTTGCAAGTCTTTCAGGGGTCATTTCGCTGTTCTGTGGCTTATTTTTTTGAAATTCTACGCTTAACTTGGATTTTTCTGACATTGATATATATGATCCCAATTTACATGCTAAAAATCCTTCATATTTTGAAAAAGATAATCTTATCTGATAATGGCTAAAATGAGGATGGAATATGACGAAGACTTTAAAGAAGACGAAAAGCTTGCAAAGCGAGCTCAAAGAGAGAAAGAGGCAAAAGAAAAAAAGGATAAGGAGCTTGAAGAAAGGAAAAAGAAGAGAGAAATAAGGGAAAATGAAAATAAAGAATATGAAAGATGGCTTCTAGGAAAAAATCCGAAACCTACAAAAGAAATTCAGAAGACTGCAGAGCAAAAGGAGAGTTTAAGAAGAAGAAAGAAATTAAATGAGATTCTTGGCAATTTAAAGAGGATTGATCAGGATATTAATCCAAATCATAAAAAAAAGGAAAATACTAATTGGAATTATAATAATGATTACCATAATGAAGAAGAAGAAGATGAAGTCAAAAAACAATCAAAAAATGAGCATGTAGGGGCATGGGATAGATATTCATTGCATACAGTGTCTAAGCTGAATTATCCAGCTGTAAAGGATAACTGTAAGCCTAAGCTTACTCAAAGCTTTGCAAAACCCCAGAAATATGCTAATTATAACCTTCCAATTCAGATGATGAAAGCTAAAGCCTTAAAAGCCGCAGCCAATTAAAAACTTTTGGTTACTATAAAAAACAAAATAATTTAACAGATTTACAATTAAAAAAAATTCAATACAAAATCTTTTTTAATTTATTAAGATTCAACTGTCGAATTTGAATGCTTTCCAATTTTTCTTGCAGTGAGCTTAATTTGAAAGCTTGGGTTTTGAATTATTTGTTCATCCATGCTCATTTTAATAAAGTGATTAGTGGTTTGTCCTCTTAGAAGAGTAATTTTATTTACAGAGCTCACCTTTGGAATAATCGAATTATTTTCATCAGTAAACCATTGATGCTTCAAGGCTTCTTTTGCGGTGATTCTTTTATTGGGATCTCATTCAAAGCATCTTAATACCAATTCAATAAATTCTGCATCAGCCCCTCTCAATATTTCTCTAATATTTTTGGTACCTGGATATCTTTTTTTCCCTCTGGAATTAGCAACAATCTTAGGCTCGTTATTTGAGCTGAAAAACAGTTTTTTCCTTGTCGATCTCAAAAGTAAATCTTCACTAGGCAGTCCTAGCATTTCCATCATTAATAATAGCTGCTCAGCTTCATTTTCGCCTGGGAAAATTGGTCTTCCTATATAAAGTTCAACTAAAATACACCCAAAACTCCACATATCAATTGCAGGAGTATAAGGAATTCCTAGTATAATTTCAGGCGCACGATAAAATCTGCTTTGAATATATGTATATAATTGCTTATCAGTAAAGCAAGATGAACCAAAGTCAATGATTTTTATACTAGACCTATTCGAATTTTTTAATAAAATATTTTCTGGCTTTAAATCACAGTGGACAATTTGGTTTTTTTCTAGGAGCTTAAGAGCTTTAAGAATCTGAACCCCAAACCGGCGGATGAGGGAGAAAGATAATCCTTGGAAATTGTTTAATTTTAGGAATTCATAAAGATTATTCCCGAGCAGCTCAAAAGTCATACACTAAATAAAAATTACAGCATGATGTCTAAAGGTAAAATAACTTTCAATATGGACAACGTTATATTTATCTTTCTCATCTTTTTTCCTTAAAAACTTCAACACTTCTATTTCAACTTCCGCCTGTTTTTGGAATTTTGCTTTACTTTTAATTATTTTTAGTGCAAGGAGGTTTTTCCTTTTATGGTCATACACTTTTAAAACCTGCCCAAAGCTGCCTTTTCCAATTCTATCAATGATTTCATATCTATAAGCAATATGGTCACACATAACTATTTCATAATCTCCGCCTTCATTATCATAGCCATAATTGAAATGAGATTTTGGGTTTGGCTTAACTTTTTTTGAGTTTAGCCCGATATAATAAATATTCGTATACTTTAAAATTTCTCCTTGCTCATACTCAGTCAATTTATCTTTAAAAAGTTTCAGTATAGTCCCAGGGGTTGCAGGCAATTCAATAGTTTCCCACAGTGTTTTTTCATTTCTTGAAGTATTATTGCTTGACTGGCTTCTTTCAAGTGATTTAGATGAAGCTGAATTGTTATTTTTCGCTAATGAAACTTCTTTAGAAGATAATGGTCTTGTAATGAAATTTATCGTTTTTATCTGAGCAGAACTCGTACTGACTGATGCATTATGGATAGAAGCGTTTGTATTTGAAATTTGCGCATCTACTTTGGTGCTCAATGATGGGTTGTGGATTGATTTGCCAAGATTCATCAATGGGTTAACTTTTATTTTAGGTTGGACTGTTTGGTCAGTTGAAGCAGTTTTCTTAGGTTTTAAGCTGGAATTCAGGAATAAAGAAGGCTTAGAATTTTTTGAATTGCTGTGGGCTGGGGAATTCATATTGAAAGTTTTATATTTGCTTGAGCTCGCACGCGTTGTGCTTGGCCTCAATGTGATTTTTCCTTGCACTTTATCCGTTTTGGGAGTTTCAGGTTGATTTTTTGTAAACCTCAGCATTGCCATAGCTAATAAAATGTAATATATATATAAATATGATAACGCTTAATAAAGACGCCAAACTCAAACTAAGACCTAACACCTCTTATATAGCAAACAAGCCGAAGTTGAATTTAAGCTGCTTTACCCAGAGTTTTGTAAAAGAAAGAGATAATATGATTAAGCTTCGAAAATATGAGACCCATCATTGGCTAAAACTTCATGGAAGAGGCATGTTTATTGATTTTGATAGCTACCAAAGATCGAAACTTAAAGGAATTTTTAATGATTTAGACGATGATGGGTCAGGCTCATTAGGAATTGACGAGTTATATGAGCCACTACTTGCGCTTGGTTTGGTGGAAAGTAAAGAAGATGTACAATATTTAGTGAATATGGTAGATATTGATAAGTCAGGGTTAATTGAGTTTGAAGAATTTATAAAAATATTGACAGCTGCTAAAGGAAACCAAGGAGAAAATTTATTAGTGCAATTTTTCAAAGATTTGGTAAATGGGAGGATTTTTCAAGAGTATAAAGATCTGCCTTTTAAATTATTGATTTCTAATAGGAGAAGAGAAATTATGCTGCAGAGCTATATGGGAACGACAAACTCAGAAAAAGAAAAGGGGTTTAGGATTTTAACAGCTTTTGCGAACGTGCTTAGAGACAGGGATATGCAGATCCCTAAATCTGAAATGCTTATAAATAAAAGGAATAAAATAGGGATGCAAACAAATCAAGGAATTAAAGGTATCATAAGAAGCCGCTTTAAACGAGGCTCGTTTAAAATTCGCGCACAAAACAAATTTGCAAGGTCAAACTCTGTAAAATTATACTAATTTTTTGTAAATTTATGGTAATCCTAACTTTTCTTTAACTTTTACTGAAAGCTGTGGATAATCAGCAACCCCTCCATATGGGCTAAACTCAATTAATTTTCCTTTTTCCGCAAAATATTTTTCTAGTGGCAGTGTGTGAACTTGAAAAGTGAAAAGTCTTTTCTGTATAACACTCCTTGTGTCATCTTTCCTAGTAATTAAATTTCCTCCACAATTGTCACATTTTCCTTTTACCTTTGGCTTCATAGATGGCAATTTATGTCCTTCATATTCAATATTTGCTAAATTATATGTTGATCCGCATGACTCACAAACTCTTCTTGCTAACGTTTTCTTAATAATTACTTCTTCGTGCTGCTTTAAGCTGACTACTAAATCATATTGAAAATCGCACATTTCCATGATTTCACATTCTGTAGCAGTTCTGGGGTATCCGTCAATGATAAATCCTCTTGAAGTGTCAAGATCTTTAAGTTTGTGAATCATTATAGCCCATGCCAGACCATCGTTAATAAGCTTGCCTTTACTTCCCTATTTTAAATTGTACAAAATCCTATTCCAATTTAAAGGGTGCTAATTGTTTTTAAATTAAAACTTAATGCAATATTTTTGAGCTTTAATTTGTTTTTTATGAAGAATTTATTCTAAAAATTGACCAATTTGGTGTGTTACTCTTTAAAAGCATTATAGATGCGTTTTTCCATTATATTAGGTCAATTGATTTTTTATAAAAATTATTTTTTCACTTATAAAATTTTTCTATTAAAAAATTGTTCAAATTTAAATTTGTGTTTAAATACCATGAAATCTTACATATATTTTTCCAATTTAAAGGAGGCAGTTAGTGACATCTTTTGCAATATCAATATAGACTTGAGATAAGCTCTCTTGAGCAGCAATTTTTCTGATTTCATCACCTACAGTCAAAATTGGGATGCTAAATTCTTTAGAAAGCCTGCATTAATTTTACAATTTTCCAAATGTGCCTTTGCCGACTCCTGGTGGGCCCATCATTAAGAGCTTAATCGCTTTCATTTTATTTCCTAAGAATCATTAATTAGATATAAATGGAGATATAGTTGTAATGCAAAGATACCTTTTCTTATGATGATTTCAGTTTATTTTAATTATATATTAACAAATTTTAATGCTGATGTAATTGCATATATTTTGATTTTTTACTTATTTGCTATTATACTTTGAAGGCTGATGTTCCGCCTGCGATTCAGTCTGAATTCCAATGTGCTTCCAATTCGGCTGCTGAATAAAATTACATGTTTGTGCAAACCTATCATAAGTATTATGTGGATAAATTGTATTATCTGGATTATTAGCTTCGTCCGAAAGGTATTCTTTAAGCATTTCAACCACTATATTTTCTGTCAACCCAAAGTGACGAGCTGCATTTCGTGCATTTTTTTTCATGGCTCTTTCAAGGATTTTTTCACGGAGTCTGCGGAATAGTTTGGAATCTTGAAAATTCATCAGTTTTATTCATCGAGTGAGTAGTTCTGGAGTAATGTTAAGTTCTTTGCTTGCTTTGGGGACTCCAACCAGCATAGCGTAGGTAGCTTTTTCTTCTTGCATTTTAATATTCCATTAAAAGTCATCAGGGAAATAATGGGCATATTTTAAAATTGAACCTTAAAGTATGGCAATTTTATGAAAAATGATTTTTGATTATGGTGGAGAATGTTAATTTTTATGTGGAATTGTAAAAATAGTTATAGTCTAACTTCCCCACTTCTTTGATTGATCGAAATCACTAAAAATTCCTTGAATTAGCCTTATCCTTGTTTGAAAAATATTCTAGAAAATTTTAAAGCCCATCCTTGATCGAACAATGATCAAGAAATAGGGGAGTAAGATATCTATTATCCAATAAGAGAATATATCGATGCTAAATGCATTAATTTAATAAAAATTCAAAATATACAAAGATTAACAATTTTCCAAATATATAACTCACGATTATGATTAGAACGTAACTTGATCTTGCTCAACCTTCTGTGGTGCGCTTGGCAAGTATGAAGGAACTTTAAGCGAGCTTCTTGACATATCCTCCTGCAAAAGTTCTTCATCAAGTTCTTCCAGCTCTTTCTCAAGCTCAGTCTCATCAATTCCATCCAATGCATAATTTCTGCTCATGACTTCGTTAATTTCTTCAGTGTCGAATTGGAGATCTGCAATATCGTCCATAAGGTTTTCGACATCATTGATTTTTATTTGCTTCAACTGCTGAGTTTGGACTTGATGGGCTGCTTTCATTGCACTGACAGCATTAATTGTGTCTTGGATGCCTTGGGTTTGGAAGCTCATCTGCTCTACGTTGAACTGTTGGCCTAGTAGGTTGTCCAACTGCTGCTGGTACATTTTTCTTCGTTTCAGCACTTGTACGGCTCGTTGTTTAGCTATTGAGGAACTTGTTCCTCTTGAGCGTTTTATTTCTTCTTTGAGCTGAGCTAGATCTTTGTCACATTCTGCGACCTTTTCCCTGAGTCCTTGCACCCTTTTGTCCATGCTTTGACTTGTTTCGTCCAGTGATGGAGGGGGAGGTCCTGGTTGCTTCTTTCCTCCGAATAGTCGTCTCATTTTATTTATTCTACTGCCATTATTTAGGATTTTTGAGATTAGATAAGGAGTATATTTAAATTTTGTGATCAAAACTATATGGTTTTGCATTTATTATTTTCCTTCAAGATGTATTTATTATCATGGCCACTAGTTTCCTTGGATAAAGAAATTTTATAGGTTGAAATACCAAATAAAGTTATTAATTAATTTTGCTATAATGTGAGAAATAAGTTTTTATTTTTAATAGAGAGAAATATTTAAGTGTTTATTGTTTATACAAATTCATTCTATAGTATTATATGCTTAAAATGGTGAGTGGTCGTTCTGGTATTTAAAAGGGCGGCACTGACGTCAACTTGGACTAAGCCTTGAGTTGAAAGAAAGACTAGCAAAATTAGTGTTAGCACCATCTTAGTCACCTCTACCGATAAGCTGAGTTTCAACAAAGCTCAAGGCAGTTTTGCTCAGCTATCCTGCGGGTAGCACCGAGAAGCATACAGCCAAATGAAAATGGGACCTTAAAGAGACTTTTAATACTTTAATCTACATTCTACAGTTTCCAAACAATTTATTACTAAATTGAATTTTTACATTTAAACAACTTTTATTCAATACTTAATCCTTCAATCTTTTTCATCAGCATTTTAATTTTAGCTTCATATTTTTTCCTTTCTTCATGAAGCTTTTCTCCCATCGCATTCCCAATTTCAATACATTTTTCTTTCCATTTTTTATCATTTTCTTCAATTTCTGCTTTATGGCTTTCTTCAAGCTTTATAACAATTTCTTCAAGTTCCTCATTTCTTTTCTTTGCTGCAACCATTTCTTTTATCGACCTTTCTAGCTCATCTTTGCAGCCACAGCATTCATCAGAGGTTTGAGTGCTGTGATTTTTGGTTTCTTTTGAAAAACGGAATGATCTATTAGTCAACGTGTTTGGAGAAGTCGAATGAATTGAGCTTGCAGAGCGGGGCTGAGGCAGTAAGGAATCTGAAACTCTTCTAGGCTGACGAGGGGTTATTCTTGAGTTGCTGGCTGATGGAGGGCGAGATCTTAAAATCCTTTCTTCAGAAGACATATGAAGCCTTGGAGCTGATGGCGGTCTTCTGTATTTTATACTAGTTGGAGCAATATTTTCATCTCTAACGTTGCTATTAACAGCTTCAGTTCTTGCACTTTGTGGAATTGAAGAATCTTGTCCAATTCTCATTACATTTATAAGAGCCCATTCATTTCCGGAATTTCTGATCCATTCAAGCTCACATTCAGAGACATTTCCATAGTTTATAGCTATATAGCTGCAAACTAATCTTGCTAAACTATCTACTTCTTTTCTATCATTTTCATTAATTTCGTTCGATGGTATTGAGAGTTTTCTTGGATTTGAATATTTTCCATTTATAAAATTTTAATTAAAATAGGATCTGTGATCTTAGAAGCTAATGCTTTATTTCATGCATGAATTAGAGCATTGCAGCATTGACTAAAAAAAATGTTAATGCTTGATCAAATTTAATTAATATATCCGATATTCTTGATCATAAGGCTCAACTCTTATCTCAATGGATCCTTTATTAAAGTTTGTAATATATCTGAGGTTGTTTGCTGGAGGGATGAAATTTTGGATGAGGAAATTTTGGTTTTCTAAAGGCAAAGATTCATTTGTCATATGCATAATCAAGACATCAAAATGTGAGCAAAGCAATGCTTTGGCTTGAAAGTTAGAGGCTGCATCAACTGCTCTTTGAATAGCAATTACGCTATCATCTTTTTCATCCTCATTTTCAAAGAGTTTTATCAGTTTAGGGATTGTAGCGGACTCTGCTTTATGCTTCATCACGAAACCTTTCTACTTTAAATCTACCTTACTCAACTTTATGCATTTTATTGTATAAATTTTAAATAAATTTAATCAATACAGAAATTTTGTAATAATATTTGATTATATAAGAGAATAATTAAATATCATGTCTCCGTCCGGACATGGACTCCCAGCTATGCAGCCTATAGCAAACATTTAATTAAATCTGGCAAAATTGGCAGTGATGCTAGGTAAGCAATTCCAGAGGTGTCGAGCCGAGCCGTAGTTCGCTTTCAGAGTTGGATTTTTACCTCGAAGGAAAGGGATGAATCGGATTGGAAAGGGGAAGCCCAAAACGGTCTGCCAAGAAGAAGCAAGTTGGTATCGATATTTTCTCGCTAGAGGAATTATCTCAACTGAGCCAGCTTGATCGACTGTTTCGCAAGTAGATGGGCCCTTGAGGGGTCTTTGATGACTGTATTACCAATAGGTTTAAGCCAACCTGCAATTAAGTTCAAGTAATTTTAATATAGTTAACTACACTGACTGGTACGGGGTGCTTTTGGCTCGAAACTGAGCCAAAAGCACCCCGTGCCAGTCAGTGTAGTTCTATATATACTAAATTCCTGGGGATAGCGCGGAATACGCTATCCCCAGGGAATTTTCTATATTATATAAGAGTAGTTAGATGTGTAAAACCATTCCGAGATCTTGCCATCCTTGACTACAATTGTATCCTACATAATCCTTACAGGTATTCGCATCTTCAGATGATTTTTTTCTTTCCATAGAAAAGAGAAGCTTGTCATTTAATTTATTTAAATTATGGAAACAATTCTTTCATTTCTTCAAAACCAATAATCAACAATAAAAAGCATTTCATCCAATTACCGCAAATTATAACTGTCCTTTTTCAAATGATAAATCTCTGAAATGAAAACTGTTATTAGATCTAAACAGTATGGAAGGAAGGACGCTAGAAGTAGATGGCTCTTTATTCGAAGGTGGAGGACAAATTGTAAGAGTTTCTCTCTGCTTAGCCATTATAAAAGGAATTCCAGTTACTATTAGAAATATTCGTGCAGGAAGGCCAAATCCAGGACTAGCCAGATCCCATCTTTCTTCTGTAGAGCTTCTCAGAGATATCTGCAACGGTGAGCTTCGAGGGGGTCATTTAAGCTCAACAGAACTTACTTTAATCCCAGGCCCGATTAGTGGAGGAGTTTATAGTGTTGACTGTCACTCAGCAGGGAGTATCAGTTTAATTTTTCAAGCAATTCTTCCAGTTCTATATAAAACAAATTCAGAGGTGACTATTAAGGTATTATCTATTTAGGGTGGCACCGACGTTTCTCACTCTCCACCAACTCATTTTATTGAAAATGTGCTTCAGCCTATTCTTGCCCGAATTGGGGTAAATTTCGATTATTCAGTAAAAAGATTTGGGTTCTACCCAAGGGGTGGTGGGGAAGTTCTACTAAAAATTGAGCCATCAGAAAGTTTAGCAGGCATAGAAATAGTAGAAAGTGGAGGAAATCCACGATATTTTGGCGAACTTTTATATTGCCGAAACAGAAAAAGACGAAAAGGAGATATTGGAGACGATGAATATTTGAATAGAATAACAAAGGCAGCAAGTAAAGTTTATATAGAAAATGAACTTGGCATTTCTGGAGGTAGAATCAACGTAAGAGAAGCTGATGGGCTGAGTAGGTGTGTAGTTAATAATTTTTGGGCTGTAACTGAAAATGGCAATATTTTGCATAATTCAGATATTGAAAGCTTTAACTCAAAACAAAATCCAAAACCGGAAGAAACAGTTAGCAAAATTGCAAGTGAATTGGAAGATCAGGTTAATTCAGGGGCATGTGTAGACAATTATTTGCAGGACCAGCTTTTGATATTTTTGTCAATGGCAAAGAGTCCTTCTGTAATTAAAATACACTCATTGACACAGCACTCTGTAGCTGTAATCAATTTAATCACACAAGTTGGGCTTGCTTCTATTAGTGTTGAAGGAAATATGATGAGAATTGAGCCACAAAATGAATTATCAGCATAATTTAAGGTTTTTATATATAAGATTTATGTCATAATTTATTTTATTTATCAAATGCCTACTTCTGTTATTTTTTTAAAATAATTAAATAATATAGAAAAATAAAAGAAAAAGGTCACGCGAACAAAGGAATTTTCTATCATGCACGCTAAATAATAATATAGTTTTCAACACATATATAGTGCATAATCATTTTTATTACTATTTTTCAAATTATTTTACTGCTATCAAAAATTAAATTTGCTATATCGAATACAAAATTTAATTTATAAAAAAGTTAAAAGATTCATTGCTCAATTCTGATTTAGTATGTCTTAAAATCAATAAAATAAAGATATGAAACTATTCGTCAGCATTTATGAAAAATTCCTAATAAAAATGTTTTGCATTTCTATTCTCAATTATAATTAATCCCTGCATATTAAAAACAAATATATAGGATTCATCTTCTAAATAAAAGAATCTAAAACAAATGGAAAAATTCAGCTGAACCGATCAAAGGAATGTTATTTTAAAAGAACACCCTAACTCTGAATTAGATGTCAACGGGATAGGACCAATTCATATTGCAGGGATGTCTAGCAAAGATACAAATTGATCTGCATATGATGAAAACTCCAGAAATATTCAGGTCGGAAGACCAGCACATTTTTCAGAATTCCCTCCAAATGAAATCCGAACATCCAAATACACAATTTTCACTTGAATCCCTAAAAGTTTATTTATCCAATTCCGACGCATCTCAAATGTCTACTTTTTAATTATGTCAATCCTCGCTACTATGCCTTTTTCCCCAAAAAATCCATTTTCAATTGGGATTACTTTTGCTGGTGTTCTTGTCTTTACAATGCTGAAAGAAGCCTATGAGGATTATTTCAGACATAAACAAGACAACATTGAAAATTCTAAAAAATTTGCGACTTTTAACAGAGAGATTGCTCAAGTAATAGAAACTGAATGTAGAAATATAAAGGTAGGAGATATCGTAATTATTAAAGACGGAGAATTTTTCCCAGCAGACCTTCTGCTTGTTTCTTCTAGTAACCCAAATGGTAAAGCGTATGTAAACACAATGAATTTAGACGGTGAAACAAATTTAAAAGAAAAAAGTGCCCATGACACTACAAAAAGGCTAAATATGATAAGTGATTTACCAGATTTATTTTTAGATATCAATTGTGATCATCCGTCATCATCTCTAGTCAAATGAAACTGCAGCATAAAATTGCCTAATAATGAATGAGAGCCACTTGGAATGAAACAATTATTAATGAAAGGCTGCATCTTAAAAAACGTAGAATATATTTTTGGAGTTGTTATATATACTGGACATGAAACAAAAATTATGCTGAATAGCAAGCATCCTCCTAGTAAAATTAGCAATGTTTTGAAAAAAATGAATAAGATTTTATACTCGGTTTTTGCATTTCAAATATTTATATGCATACTATTTGCTGCTTTAACTCCCCATTAAATTGGAACAAAAACATCGGTAAATTTGCATTTTTTGGGTTTTTAAACCCTCTTTAAATTAAAATAATTTTATTTTAATAGAAAAAATTTTATATGAAAATATTAAATTTATAAAATTTAGTTCTGACCTAATTTAATAGACAAAATACAAGTATAGCACAAAGCCTCATTTTTAGATCTCTGAGACAATCACTTTTAAACATTATAATTTTAAATTAAGGAAAAATTTGAAAGGTCAATTTTAGAATTGACAAATAGGATGTATATAATGACATTTTTAAAATGAATTTTGACTTTTAGCTTTTTTTTGAATTTTAAACTAAGTTTTTCTTTGAAAGGCATTTTTCTTAAAAATCTATAGGGAGCACTCCTATAGAATGCATTAAAACAGTTTTCAAATTGATTTTTATTTAATTTTTCATAAAAATAAACTCAATTTATATATTTTTTAAAAAAATTTAAAAAATAGTTTTATAAAATTAGTTTTACTAATTTAATGTAAAAAGTGTTTTAGCATTCTATTTAAAAACAGTTTTCATACTTGATCGATTATTTTTTTTAATTACTTCTTCATAAAATAAATTAAAATTCAAAGTACTGTGCTTAATTTTTATTTTTTATGATTTTAAAAATTTTTTTAAATTGGAAAAGGATTTTCTTCCAATTCAAAGGGGTTGGAGTAAGTGTAAGTTGGCAAAATCATAACAGCAAGGATCATGTTTATCTAGAATTGGAGCATATATCTTACTATACTAAATATATTGCATTTATTGCATATAGTACGAGTTGTACTGATCTTTTTCTAAGTTTTACATATTCAATCAAGAGCAAGATAATGCACATGCAGGAAATTTTATTATTAATATTTTAACATTCTGGATTTCTTATTCTCACTTGATCCCAATCTCACTTTATGTTGCTTTAGAAATTGTAAAATTAATGCTCTGTCATCTAATCAGTCAAGATCTCTCTATGTACTATGAGCCCGACAATAAACCTGCATTCTGCAGATCTTCAGATCTTGTAGAAGAACTTGGCCAAGTAGAATTTATATTTTCCGATAAAACAGGAACTTTAACCTGCAACATGATGGAATTTCGAAAATGCATGATAAATTATATAGTTTATGGGACCAATTCATCTGTATTTGGAGAAGAAGATACTCGGCCTCACGAAATTCTTCAAGATGCTACAAACCAAGAACATTTAAATTTTCTCAATTTTTTCAGGCTGATTACTGCATGCCATACTGTATTTCCAGTAAAAGATATAAATGATCCAGATATGGTCGAGTTTCATGCAATGTCCCCTGATGAATTAGCACTAGTAGAATGTGCATCTTCAATGAATATCAAGCTAAATGAAAGAAATAATAAATCCTTGGTGATATCAGTGCTTGGAGAACCTGAGTTATGAAATGTCGTTGTAGAAATCCCATTTAACTCAGATAGAAAAAGAATGTCTGTGATCGTTGAAGATCCTCAATCAAAAGAATTGATATTAATGACAAAAGGGGCAGACTCTGTGATGCTCAATTTGCTTAATTCGTCTGCAGATAAACCTAAAATCGAAAAATGCTTGCATGATTTTGCAGTGGATGGGCTGAGAATTTTAGTTATGGGGCAAAGAAAAGTGAATGAAAATGAGTTTGATGAATGATATAGGGAATGAAGAAGCGTGGAATTATGTATTTCTTCTGATAAAGAGCAAAGGCTAGATAGCCTTGCAGAACTAATTGAGAGGGATTTAGACTTCATAGGCTGCTCAGCAATTGAAGATAAGCTGCAAGACGAAGTCCCTAGCTCAATACAACTATTAATTGAAGCAGGCATCAGAGTTTGGGTCTTAACAGGTGATAAAGAAGAAACTGCTATAGAAATCGGCAAATCTTGCAATTTGATTCAAGAAAACATGGACCTCTTCCTCCTTTCTTCTACATCTTATCCAGAATTGAAAAGAAAGCTCGAAGAAATCGACCAAAATTATAATTTAGAAGCTCAAAGCTATGCCCAGCTCAATCAAATGAAATCATTAATGGCTTCTAAAATGGGAGTAGTCATTAATGGGCTTACTCTCAGTTGAATATTTGATGATCCTGATAAAAGGCTTGAAAGGCTTTTTTTTAAAATAGGCTATTTATCTAACTCCTGCATATGCTGCAGAGTTTCTCCTGCTCAAAAAATGCAGCTTGTGCAGCTTGCTAAAAGAAATGGAGACTGAATCACACTTTCGATTGGAGATGGAGCTAATGATGTAAGTATGATACAAGAAGCTCATATTGGTGTTGGAATTGCAGGAAAAGAAGGCACTCAAGCGGTGCAAGCAGCAGATTTTTCATTCAGCCAATTTCGATTTATTACACAGCTACTACTAGTTCATGGACGATGGGCCTATAGAAGGGTTTCTTGGTTTATTTGTTATTATTTTTATAAAAATTTCGCTGTTGTTTTTACAGAAATTTGGTTTGTCTTTTTTAATGGGTTTAGTGCCCAGATCTTCTTCCTGGATTGGCTACCACTATTATATAATGCTATGTGAACAAGCTGGCCCTGCATTATAACGTATGCTTTTGAGCAAGATTTAAATGCGAAAAATTCAATAAAATACCCAATTGCTTATAAGGCAGGACATATATGTGCATATTTTACTATAAAAAAATTTTGATTATGGATTTGTTTAGCGATTTGGCATGGAGCTTTAATTTATTGGATGTCTGTATATGCAATGTCTGGAGTTGTGGATAAAGATGGGCAAACCACTGGAATGTGGTGGTGCTCTACATTGGCATTTACAATAATTATTCATTTGGTAGTATTAAAATTATTCTTGGAAAGCATATTTTGGACGAAATTTAGCATGTAATTTTTATTTAGACTGGTTGTGGTGGGAAGCTTGATATTGTATTATAATTCTATCATTATTTTAAATACTGCAGCAATGGGTGATGTATTTCAGCCAGAAATACCATATGTATTTTTCAATATTTTGTCAGTTGGGAAATCATGGATAGTCATTATTATAGGTCCTTTAATTGCATTAATTCCTGATTTCTGCATTGCGGCTGGAAAGTTTTTATATTGGCCAAGTCCAGTTGATTCTCTTATGAAATATGTAAAATATCAAAGACTTGCAAATGTGGATGGTAATAGCTAATTACAAACTACAAATATAAAGATTATAATATTAATATTTATTTTAATATTTATTTTAATAATACCAAAAAATCAATTTATTACAAAATTGAAATTATTATTTTTATTCAATAAGAGAATAGAAAATTCATATTTAATATCAGCAAAAATTTAAATTTATTAATATAATGACTCACGACGAAGATTATGACTATCTTTACAAAATAGTGCTAGTAGGCGACACAAATGTAGGGAAAACCAATTTAGTATCTCGCTACATCAAAAACTCTCTCCCAAAAAATTCCAATCCTACCATTGGAGTCGAATTTGCTACTCGTGTAGTGTCTCTCCCATCTGGAGTCACCATCAAAGCTCAAATATGGGACACAGCTGGTCAAGAAAGATATCATGCAATCGTATCAGCCCATTACAGAAGAGCAATTGGTGCTCTTTTAGTTTACGACGTAACAAATTCTAAATCCTTTGAAAATGCTCAAAAATGAATACAAGAGCTTAAATCCAAAGCGGTTTCTTCATATGACACCTATTTTTTTCCCTATTTTTTTGACCTATTTTTTTGACCTATTATTTTGACCTATGTTTTGGGCTTTTTTTGCGTATTTTTTTTGCTAAAAATTTTATAATTTAACTTTTGTCAAAGCAAATTGACCAAAAAAGTTCAAAAATTTTAACTCCCCCCCATCCCTAAAAATTGGGGAAATTAACCCCCATCCTTGATCGAACGATTTTCATATCATGCAAATTTTTATATATATAAAAATATATTAGTTATCAAAAGCTTAGGAAGATGCACCTAATGAAGTTGTTCTCAGAGACTTTGAGACGAAAAAAAGCTTTGGAATCAACCATACGAAGTGGTTTAGTCATCAACCTGGGCTTAAAAACTTAATAATCTAATAAAATATAGATTCTTTAAAATTTTTTAAAAAAAATTTAATTTAATAAGAAACAAATTAAAATTTATACAGTTTAAAGGGGTAACTAATAAATCAAAATATTAAAAATTGGTATTTTTTTATAAAATTAATTCAATTTTTTGCTGTAAAAATAATTATTAAATTTCTTAACCCTCTTATTTAAAAGTAAATAAAAACAATATATATATATTTTTTTATTTATATATAAAAATTTTTTTCCCAAAAAATTTTTTTTAACCCCCATCCTTGATCGAACGATGGCGAGTCGTTCGATCAAGGATGGGGGGGGGGGGAGTAAGGAAAAAATAAATAGATCAAAAAAAATAGGCTATAAAAAAGGCCAAAATAAATATGCCCAAAAAAATAGTTAAATTCGGCAAAAAAACCTTATCGCTATGAAATAATCGTCATGTAAAGACATGATCCAAAGCAGAGCCTGATATCGTCATAATGCTTGTCGGTAACAAGATAGATTTAACAGACAGGAGTCCAGATCTCAAGCAAGTATCTACAGACCAAGCTAAAAGGTTCGCTCAATCAGAAGGTCTTCTCCACATTGAGACCTCAGCCTTAACTTCTGTCCGAGTTAGAGAAGCTTTTGAGTTTTTATTAGAAGAAATAAATAAGTCTAAGAACCAAGGGATATCTAAAGATTCTAATGATCATATTCGACCTATCGGCCCTGGCGAAACCAAAAAATCATGTTGCTAGCGGGATCAGTAGAGTAATATAATACATATAATTTTAAAGAAATATTATTTTATGTCATTTAGATCAGTTAGATCCATTTCTTATAGAGCTCCTAAATCTCCAAACACCGAGTTCACTATCGTCGCAATGGCTCCAAAAGGTGGAATCTCAGACAATTCTGCGTTGAAGAAGCTTAAAGCTAGCCAAGAACTCGAAAAAAACACATGACAAGGCATCTCTGTAGAAACTGTTGGAAAACCCGGACAAGGTTTGCATGCACAGAGAGGAACATCTACGAAATTTTTGAAATCGCATGAAGTCTTATGTAGACAAAAGCTTGATGAATTTAAAAAAGAAAAAGACCATAGACCATTATTAGTATTATTTATGCCAGTGAGTGACCATCAGTTAGTTAAAAGTGCTCTACCTCAAAATTCGTACTCCAAAGGGAACTTTTTGCAGCCTCACGAATTGCTATATAAAATATATAAAACTGATGCGAAACTTGTAAGATCTATATTTGAAGCATCAGGATTATATTATACAGACTCTCACGATTGAAATATTATGTGGATAGGATCAAGTGCCAAACCATATTTATACGAAGGATTAAATGAGTATCAAAGAATCAGCCATTTTCCCAATTCTTTTGAATTAACAAGAAAAGACAGGATGTGCGCAAACATTGTCGCAATGCAGAAAAAATTCGGAAAAGAAGCTTTTGATTTTATTCCTGATACTTTTATTCTCCCAGACGAATATTCAGATTTCTACAATCATTTTTACCGAAATAAAAGCTCACAATGAATATTAAAACCCTCTGCAAGCTCAAGAGGTCGAGGAATTTATCTGATAGAAAGCATTGATGACGTCCCCACTGACGAATCTTGCATTATTTCTCAATATATCCAGAATCCACTCCTTATTAATGGCTTAAAATTCGATATCAGACTTTATGTGTTAATTACAAGTATTGAGCCATTAAAAATCTACATATATGAAGAAGGGCTTGCAAGATTTGCAAGCGAGCCTTATACGGCTGGGAACAAAAGCAACCATTTTATCCACCTCACAAATTACAGTGTCAACAAAAATAATAATAAATTTGTACAAAATAATGACTGAAGGCAAGATGATGTCGGGCATAAATGAAGTCTGCATGCGCTGATGAAGCATTTAGAAGGCATTGGGGTCGACACTGATTTAATGTGAAATAGAATTTATGATTTAATTGTAAAAGCTTTGATCTCAGTTGAGGAAATTATTATTGATAACAGCAGGAAACTTGGGGTACATCGAAATAATTGTTTTGATTTATTTGGGTTTGACGTTTTAATTGACTCAAATTTGAAGCCATGGCTGCTTGAGGTAAACCTCACTCCATCATTGGCTACAGATGCACCTTTAGATTTGCATATTAAAGGAAATTTAATAGCTGACACTTTTAATTTGATAGGCTTAAGAGCTTACAACAGGAAAAAGGAATGCCCAAGTAAATTAAGGTCGAGAATAAGGTTTAAGCAAAACCAATGCTTTGGTGTCCAAACAAGAGGGTTAAGCAGCCAGTCAAATAGAATCCAATCTCCTGATATCAATAAAAGAGAAATAAATAAAAAATCCAAACTGAAAGAAATTTTAAAAGAAACTTTAGAAGAATGAGATAGGAGAGGAGGATTTTTAAGAATTTATCCATCAAAAGACTCTGATGCTTACGATCAATTTTTTGGTACAGTAAGACCTATAAATAAAGCTTTGTATAAGGCTCTTTATAAAGAATTTTCTGCTCCAGATATCCCAATATCAACGTCAGCTAAAAATTTGGATCGTCCTAAAACATCATTAGTAAAAAGCAATACTTTTATGGAGCAAAGCAGCAAGATAATTTTTAATGAGCAAGCTTTAGATGTGTCGAATTCTCCTCCAAATAAAAATATAAATACTATTGCAGACCATACTACTTTGGTTAGATCAAAAACCCATATCCCAGAGACTCTTTCATTTTATTCATATCCTAACAAACAAAGTCAAAAGGATAATATAACAATTACTGGTGATGACATATTGATTTGCTATGTTTCACGGATTATTGAACTTATAAGACCGCTTTCTGAAGAAAAGCTTAATCTCTTATATAAGAAATATTTTTTTTCTATTTTTTAAATTTTGCCTTGTGCAATTATTCTAAATTTTTAAAATTAAGAGCTAGAAAAACATGGAAAAAATCAATTGAAAAATTTATCTGCCACAACACGTGGGAAAATTCTGAAATTAATGCAGCATGAAGTCTATGCCAAAAACTAGAAAGCAGGCTACTTGAAATGAAAGAATTAAAGAGAAAAACCATTTTCCGAGCATCTTCACCTCAAGAGCATCCTGAAGCTGAAATGCTTGAAGATATCAGAGCTCACACAATCGAGAAATACTCAGTCACCCAAATGGAAGGAATCTTAAAAAGCTCACCCCTAAAGCTCGTTTCTTGCATCGTTGGAAGAGAACGAGGGCTCCTCAGTGATATCACCAGCAGCCTTTCAAAAATAAAAACACAAGATGGCTTTTACGCAGAAGCAGAATCAGACGGCGAAAACTTTTCAAAATGCCTCGAAATCCTAAACTCCCACTCAAAGCCTCCCTCAACAAAAGGCTTATTTTCAATCCACCGCAAGTCTTCTCTTCCTTATGCCCGTCCTCATACAACAAGTAAATTTAGAGTAGTATAAAATTCTGCATTTAATAAAATGATTCTTAAGCTTAAGAATATAGGGGTTTATAAATCCCCTCCATCCTCCACAAACTTTTCCCAGCGTCTTCTGACATAGTCTTGGTCGCTTTCTTTGACATCATGATTCATATCAGTTGGATATCTGTTTCTTGGGTCAACATAAAGACGTCTTCCAAGGGCTTTAGTGGAGTGCTCTTCAGGCTGCCAAAATGGGTATCTCGTTCTAGGGTCATTCTTTTTATTTAACAGCTTCCTTAAGCATCCTTTATATAGAAATCTCTCTTCTTCGCATTCCCAAAGCTTTTCTTTTACGCTTTCTGAGAGTGGCTTCATCCAGGTAAAAGCTCTGTCCATTACAGGTCCTATTTCAGCTGTTTCGTCGTCTAAAAGATCTGGTCTTAGCTTCCCGTCAGTTAGGAGACGAGGCCACATGGTTGGCCAATTTGGATGAAAGACTTCCATATTGCGAGGGACTGCGTCAACTAAGCACTCTTCGTAAGCAATCATGTAATCCATGCACGGAGTAGTATCGTGGACCGGAGGCACCGTGATTGGTACATTCCAATTGTAAATGCTTGACATTTAATGTATTATGACACTCGTGACTAATATTCAATCTGGGAGAATAAAAGATATTTTAATGTCCCAAGAAATGAGGGCTGGGATATTAGATTATGGGGAAAGAGCTAGATTTGTAGGAAGGGAAAAGGAAAGAGGATTAAAGAAAACAGGTTTTGGGTTAATTATTAGTTCAAAACGTTTAAAATCCGATTAAGAAGGATAGGGGCGTCTTTTTTGTCAATGTTTATTTCAGTTTTGAGAAGCTCAGGGATCTTATCGTAGTGGACGGTGCAGCCAATCAGCTCATATCAAAAGGTGTCATCTTCTTCAATTAATAGAAAGGAGAATTCCTCTTGCATCCATCTTACTTTTACCTTGAATTTGCCTTGTCCTTCTTCTGAAATCTCAACTGCACTCAGAGTTTTGTAAAACTCAATGATTTTTTGCCCTGTCTCAATTTCTCGTTTCAGCTCTTTTTCTTGACTTTCTTTATCTCTACTTACTCCCCTCTGTGAGCGAATAAAGCCATTGGAAAAATCCCCATTTTTGGGTAAAGAACGAACAAAACAATTTTTTATGAAAAAAATATTTCGGTATATAATTAATAATTAGTATAAAGAAATCTCTAGTTAATTCTGTTGAATTTTGAACAGCCTACATTTTAAAACATAAATTTTGAAAATTAAATTAAATTTTTACTCTCTCAATTTTTACAAAAATGGGATTTCGAAAAAATTTTACCCTTCTATGAGTGAGCAAAACTTTTTTGTTTACTCACGAGGAGTTAGCCTTTTCAGTTCAGCCCTGAGTGTGGCTTTTCTTTCACCAGTCTGTGATTTTATTTTTTCAAAGTTTTGGGTAGTTTCATAGATTTCGCTTTGAATTTTATTAATTTTATTTTGCAGACTCATCCTATGAGAGTATTCAACGTCATATTTCTTTTGGAGTTCTTCAGCTAATTTATTGATAGGAAGAGATTCTTTGTAACTATCTAATGATTTTGTAGTAAATTTTGTTGCACTCTCAAAAAATTCTGAATTGGCACTACTGATAGAGTTTAAAGCAGATTTGAGGTTTTTAGTATCTTGCACAATTTGTAAAAGGGAGTGTTCAGAAAGCTCAAGAAAATTAATTTTTTGGAAGCTAATTTTGGTCTCTATTGCATCTACATTTTGTTTGAATGAGTTTAAGCTTGTTCTAAATCTTTTAGCTTGAGCTTCTTGTGCGATAATTCTTTTGGTGGGTACACTTTCAGTCATATGAATATTTAAAATAAATTTATAATTTTTAATTAAAAATTTATCGACATACTTGCATCACTGTTTATTATAAGACTTTGGCTATAAATGTTTTCAGTCATAGACTCTAAGATCCAAGATAATCTTTTAATCTTTGAGTCTATCTTTTGCATTGTTTGATTCAGCTCGATCACTTCATTTTCTTTTTGTGTGTTTAGCTCGATTAGCTCTTCTTTTGTCTTTTTAAACCATTGAACGTTCCGGTAGAGTTCTTGCTTTTTCTTTAACGTTAAAAAATCGCTTTTTCCCCTCATTTTTCTGAAATAAAAATATTCAAATGCCGAGCAGACTGAGGTAGCTGCTGCTTTTGTTTTGTGGATGTTTGTAAAAACTTTGAATTGATTAGGACTAAGATCAGTCTGACGCTCAAGGCTTACAATAATCATTGTAAGAATAAATGCACCAATTATGTAGGATATCACAGCAATTGCTCTGCCATGGTAGCTGATCGGGTAGTAGTCGCCAAATCCTATTGTTGACATGGTAATAAAAACAAGCCAAATTGGATTTAAGGGATCCTGATAGTCTTGGCCTGATAAACTTTCCAAGGGCCTTTCAAAAACTCTAACTCTTTTCAGAAAATAAGATCCATAACTATTAATACGAAAAAATGCATTATTAAGCTTAAAATGAAATGAGGAAGCTAAAACTCAAAATTATTTAAAAGTTTTTTAATAATAGTTATTATTGATTATTGAGGTAAGCATTAGACCAAGTATAAGGATAGATGGAATTGCTAAAAAAGTTACAATAATCGGCAAAGAATATTGAGCAAGAATGCATCTGAACGAGAATAAAACATTTGACCGTGTTCCATAAAACGCACAGAATCTTCTAGCTATATGATTTTCATATATTGTATAATTTGCAAGTGCTTTAAAGAGAAATAAAAGTCTTATAAAGATGAATACAAAAAGGAGCTCATTAACCGTGTAGCAGATATAAAGAATTTGATAATCTCATCTAAACGGGACATAAACGTAAAGGTCTATATAAGGGTACGGGAAAATAAGAAGAAGGATAACCTCCAGCACTCTCATTCAATTTATGTACTTTTTAGGTTGCTTTTTTATATATAGGATTTCCCATAAATAAAAAAAATTTAAAATTTGCCTTAATTTTCTGGCTATACACAGAAAAACCGCATATTTCGACATGTAATACATTCCGGAAATTTTATTTAATTTTTTTTCAGTTTCGTACAAATAAATGATCCAAATGCCTTTGTGATGATGCTTCATAACCAAAAATAATATTGCCATAAACGTTACAATTAAAGTAATCGCTTTATAGGCCATAATTTGGCTATTTTCATGACAATTGTTGTAAAGATGACCCCCCCTCAATCTTCATGTCTATTGCAACAAAAATGCAATTTTTTAATATAAAATTTTATATAAAAAAAATAATAATTTTCATGTCTCTTGCAACAAATTATATACATTAAAATGGCGACAACCTGCCCTCTTGACGCAGCAGTCCAGACCTTATGGCTACGGTGAACTGGGACGGACTCCGAGCCGAGTATCAGATGCAGGCTCAAGAAGTGTGTATCCGGGTAGGTTTTGGCTGCTTTCCTGTGGTTGGAAATGGAGGTAATCAGCAACGTCCTTTGGATCCGAGGACCCATGGGCATTCCTCTACCGAGAAACTGGGGGTTTCGGCCCAGGCCATAGGGTAACAGTCTTTTTCCTGTAGCTGTCGGAGGAAGGCACTTTGACACCCGATAGACTCCAAGAATCCATGGAATCAAGCTACTCCAATCGCCCGTAGCAGGGCTCAGAAATCCATAAGCCGCCCACTATACTGAAACCGCATGGCAAGGAGGAGACAGAAGGTACCAGAAGGGCACTTGTAGGATGTATAAACTCTCTGAGCTGGAGTCGAAAAGCGGTAGAACCTTCCGTACGCGAGGTCTTTGGTGACTGTGTCACCAATATGGCTAGCGCCTGCCTGTAATAATCTTAATCCTAATCCTCTTGCAACAAATTTTCGATGCGCATCTTAAATTTTCCGTACTTTTTAGTTAGATAAGTTTAAAAAAAAAATGGCGAGCGATGGCAATAGCCGTCCAAATCTCGATGAGAAGGTCATTGAAACGCCTACAGAAGCGCTGTTTTATGGTTTTTTTGAGAAACTCACCTAGAGAAAAATGCATTAATTTTTTTTTATAAAAATGTTGTGTTGTGTTGTAGTAGGCATGAAGATTTTTCCGAAAAATTTTTGTTGCAATAGACATGAAGATTGAGGGGGGGGTCATCGTTATGTTCGGTAAGGAGAATAATTTTGTTCATAGTCAACAATGGCAGTGATCGTCCCGATATTTGCAAAAATTGCGCATCCGAGTTCGCAATTTCTTCAGCGATTAAACATCTCTTCAGCCTTATTAAGTCGAAGAAATAAAATGGCGATGACGGAAAATAGACTGCGAGGTGTGCTCTCTATGGAGCAGGTAGGATCCATCTGATTAAGCTGAAAACAGAGCTTCTGTCCTTTTTCGATGTAGACCTTCAGTCTTGAGAATGCCTTGCCAAAGAGGGAAGTTTTGCTTCTCCCCCTAAGGTTTTCCTGTCCTGACAGGTGTTGCCTGTCAGATGGTCTTCCCTTGTCAGGATCATTGGGCATTCTACAGACGGCGGCTCTGCTCTAGGATTTGATCCCTTAGACAGGTGGTTCAGACCAGAAATATAAAATGGCAGCTTCCGATTTCCCCATTTCGTCTCCCAGGACTTTGGAGGCGGCTATTTTGGAGCTAGGGCTATCAAAGCTAGAGGGCTTGCCCCCTTATGGCCAGTTTAACCGTTTAATTAATTATTAAGTCGATTATTGGATCTGTTGCTAATAAATGACGAAGCTAACGACCGAAATCGTGGAGAGTTGCATATTGATCCATTTTTCATCTCTTTTTAGATAAATTAATAACAAAAATTCGACTAAATTCTAATAGATCAGACATTATGATATAATAAATATAGTTCCTAAGAGAAGCCTGTATTTTAAATTAAGTAATCTCTATATTATTCACCTTCGTATTAATAAGGGTCCCCCCCTCATTTGTCCAATTTTCTAGTCTTTTATCATTCGTCCATTTTTCTAGGTTTTTTATAGGAAAAAAAAATTTTTTTAGGACATCATTTGCCCAATTTTCTAGTCAAAATTTTGATAGTAAAAAAAAAATTTTCAGGACCTCAATTGTCTCATTTTCTAGTTTTTTAAAGTAAAAAACTAAAATTTAGGACATTCGAAAAAATCCAAAAAAGACTAGAAAATGGGACAAATCATTTTTGACTAGATTTTAGGACAAATGAGGTCCTGAAGATTATTTTTTTCTTAGAAAAAAAAGACTAGAAAATTGGACAAATGAGGGGGGATCCTTATATTAATCTTATTATTGATCGGTTCAGAAATGATAAGAAATTTTTTAATTTTTATTTATGTGACTTGTCAGCAAACAGATTATGAGACTTATAATGCGGATTATAAATATCGAAAGTATTTAATGCATAAATAGTGATGCCCAGTTCAGCTCATTACGGATGATAAATATCGAAAGCATTTAGTGCATAAATAATGATGCCCAGTTCAACTCCCATTTTAATTTGATTCTCCTGCTTGCATAACAAAATAATAAGTAAATTAATAGAACCAAATATGCCAGCAAGTAGAAAAATTATATATTTTCAGAAAATTATAAAATTATCAATATTTTCAATCATAATAAATACTGATAAAGCTGAAAAATAAAAATTGGTAAAAATAATTTTTGGATTTTAAAAAAATGATTGATTATGACGAAGAATCGAAATCAAGGCAACTACTCAAAGACCTCTACGTAATTAAAAATAATCCGTTTTCTGGGCTTGATTTGACAGAACACTTAAATCCAGCTCTAAAATCTTTTCCAAAAGCCCACTCACATACCAAAGAAAGCAAAAAATCATTTAACGCTTCTTCATTTGATATTCCAGAGCTTCCTGCTTTAAGCATCGGTTTTGCAGAAGTCTCTCCGCTATTAACTCCGAAAAAACAGTTATCCAATGCAGTTGTAAATAAACTATCAAACAAAGCTAAGCATAATGACAAGAAAACTGACCATTTATCTGTGAAACAGCTCACCTTTGACAATATCCCTCTTTCCTTGACTCCTGCAGATTATGCAATATTAGAGAAGCAAGCAGAAAAATTCATCACAAGAATAAAGACTAAAAAACGATCAGCCTGTACTCAGACTCAAACCAGGGAAAATTCGAAGCGTGAAAGTCAAACTATTATCTCATTTTTACCAGAAGTTCATACTGTAGTAAATGAAGTCAAAACTCCTCAAAAACTCTCGTCATTTAAAGACTATCAAGCAGCCACTTTTACTGGGAAAATAATTGTAAATCATTCTCATCGAGTTACTCTTGAGATGCCAGGACATAAAACTCCTGAAACCGACGCTCATACTCATGTACCAAAAAAGATCAGAAATAATAGTCAGAGCTTTAATTGCCAGAAAAAGAGTATTCAAGAAAATAATGAACTAATTATAGATGCTACCAAACAAAATAATCAGCATGAAATTAGCAATCATCTAAGCCATAGCTCAGTGCCTCCAACTTTTCGAGGGACTCGGTCTTGTGCATCATTGATAGGAGAAATACCTGATATAGGGCTTTCCCTTGAATAGCCCGATAACGGGATGAAGCCAGCCCGTTATCGGGCTATTCAAGGGAAAGCCCTATAATAGAAAAATCCCTTTGTATAGATTAGGTGTTGAAAAAAATTTATTTGCAGGAGTTAGAAGGAGCAAAAAGAAAATAAAGGATCTTTTTCCTTTTCTTGGGCATGATATGCAAGGCATCCTTTAAACCACTTGAAAATTATTACTAATATTAGCATTAATTAAATAAAATGCATTTAGCAATAGTAAAAGCAGCGAAAGATAACTATAACTTTACTATAGCTTAGAATTTTTAGAATTAGTTATTTTCTATTTGTTTTTTTTCTTTTATTTCTGTTATTTAATTGTAACATATATCCATAATATTTCAATTAAATGGATGACATTTCTTACAGCCTGATTCAATGAGTAAGTTTTACACAGCTTAACAAAATGAATTTAAGCCATCAATGTCAAAAACTTTCAGAGCTATCGGATGGTATCTTGCTTTACGAGCTAATGGCAAAACTGTAAAATTTATGAAGGTCACCAGATTATTTTGACATAGACAGCATAACGCTTGATGCCCATGATAACTGAGCTCTAAAACTTGCTAATCTTCGAAGGCTTAAAAAAGCGATTGATTCTTACCTTGACCAAATCCTCCAAACACCTCACGATCGATTTGGAGAAATAGATTTTGCTAATATCGCAAGAAAAGATTCTATAAGTGATCTAGTAAATCTAATGGAATTAATTGTTTTTACTATCCTCAAATCTCCACAAAAAGAAAACTTTATCCATCCTATAATGACACTTGATGAAAAATGCCAAACGCAGCTTATGTTTTTTATCCAAAAAATCTTACTCCTTATTGATTAGTTGACAACAACCTTTTTTTGGGAAAATTAGCATGTTGAGAGTTATCAGAAAATTTGAATATTTTTTTGGAATAAATATATTTTAATATATAATTGATTATTATAATAATAATTAGTCTCAAGCAAACTATATAAAATTTTATGTATTATATGCTTTTTAAAACATAAATTTTATGCAGCATGTGCTTTAAAATATAAATTTTATGCAGCTGTGCTTTAAAGCATAAATTTTATTTTTTAATATCAAATATTTACAAATTCGGATTGAAAATTTTTAATGTATAATTTTAATTAAAAAAATAACCCCTCCGCTAGTGAGCGAAAATATTGCTCTCTAATCAAAGGAGGAGCTAGGAAATGACTTGTCATCAAACCCTCCACCTCCTCCAGAAACTGAAAGACAAGAAGTCCATATCTTAAGGCACGAAAAAAAGAGATTAACTTATAAAATCCAGGCTATGCAAGAAGAGCTATCAAAGCTTGCCTCTCAGCATACAGAAATTGCCAGTGAAAGAGACGAGTTAAAAGTAATGAACACAAATTTAGAAAGCGAGCTTGTCAAAAAATCGCCTTCAATTTTGTCACCAGATATCACTTTTGTAGAGCTGGAATCAAAAATAAGCGAAAAAGAAGGAAAACTTACAGTAATACAAGAAGAGCTCAAAGAAACTAAAAAAAAATATGAAAACGAAATAGCAAGATTAAGGGACGAAGTTGATATTGCAGATTCTAATAATATACGTTTGCAACAAGCTGAAAAATCTTTACAGCAATATAAAAAGAAATGCGAAAATATGGTAAATGCATCAAAAAAGCTTTCAGAAGTGTCAAAACAGAATGATTATTTGCAAAAAAAGATAAATTCGATGGAAGAAGAAATAAATGATTTTAATAAGATCTCCAAGGCAGCTGGATATTTAAAAGAACAATTAGGGCATGAAAAAGAAAAAAGCGAGTCCCTTTCTTTTGCAAATGAAAATAAAGATAAACAAATAAAGCAACTTACAAAGCAGATAAATGAATTAGAAGAAAAATTGATTTTTGCAGAAAATAAAGTGCAAGAATTAGTAAAAGGGGCTGAAAATGGATCAAATGTGAGTGATGATTCATTCGGCTATCATAAAGTTATTGGAGGATTGGGTGAAGAATCGAATGAGCTGTCAAAAAATGAGCATAAAAAAGAAAATAAATTCGATTTGCATAGATCAAGCTCGATGCGGCCACCTTTTGAGCATCTTGATTTATTAGCAAAAGAAAAAATTATTATTCAAGAAAAATGTGAAAAATACAAAATTAAATGCAAGTCTAAAAGTGAAGGCTTAAAAATGCTCCAGGAAGATTTCAGTTCTTATCGGCTTGAAAAAGAAAAGACGATCCTTGATCTTAAAGAAAAAGCAAGAATTCTTAAAATGCAAGGAGACACTTTGAGGGAATCTTTAGCAAATGGGCTAACAGATAAAGTAAAGATGGAGCAATTACAGTATGAATATGAAAAATTAAAAACTTCGAAAGAAGGCTTTCTGCAAGAAATTAAAAAACTTCACGAGGAGAAAGATCTTATGTACAGACACTTCATTGAGTGCAGGGAAGAAACAATTGTACTGCAAAATGCAAGTAATAAAATTGATTATTTGAAATAAGTTCTCTGTGAGAACATTTTCATTCTTAGACAATTTTATTATGGGGTTCAGTTTTTCCAGTGACTCTTTTTCCAACTATGCCAGAAGACCCTTACCCCCTTCCGCGGAGGGTGCTAATTTTTTTTAAAAGATGATTCCCGGTGGAATCATCGAGTGGTCCAACTCACTTGTTGGTTGGTCCAATTCACTTGTTGGTTGGGACCAACTCAATGATCCCACCGGGAAGCATTGCCCTTATAGGGCTACTCAGGGTAAAGCCCTATATATAAAGCTTATAGTAATTTTTTTTCTTCGAAATTTAAAAAAATCCATATTCGAAATAACTTAAAGCGAATATTCATTTAATTGTAAAATTTTATGTTTTAAAATGCAAGTTATTTAAAATTAAATAGAATTAGTTAGAGATTTAATTATAATAAATATTATGTATATATCAAAATAATTTTTCTTAAAAAATAATTTTGTTAACCTACGGAGGGTGGGTTTTTTAGGCCAAAAAATAGGGATTTTTTCCAATTTTTTTTGTTCACTAATGGAGGGGAGGAGTTAGCAAAGGCTAGAACGGCTGGCTCTTGGGTTTTAGGAGGGTTTAGGGTTTCTAGTATTTTACATCCCAGAGAATGGAGACCTTATGTAGAGTATGTGCAGGAGTCAAGCACAGAGAAGCAACGTGGCCGATAGGTTTGGTTACCTGGCGGCTGATAATGTTATATGAGTGCTCTCTAGTTTATCGATCAAAAGAACCAGATTTTAAGTTTGCTTTCAAAAGGAGGTTGCAATTGCACCGCTTTGCAGAAATCAAACATCAATTTAACATAATTAAGTAAATATTGCAAAACGCAGCAAATGATAAGGAAATAAAAATCAGAGAAAAATCGTTGAATGAGAAATTATTATATGATAAAATTAATGAGTTGGCAGAAAAAGAAAGGGTTTCCATGGATATAATAGAATCATTGAAAAAGCAAAAACAGGAAGTAAATGAAGATTACCATATTAAGTTTATCGAGCTTGAAAGAGAGCTTATTACTGAAAAATCCGAAAAAGCTTCATTAATTTTAAGATTAAATGATAAAGACCAAAGAATCGAAGAAATCTTAAAAGATAAAGCCGAAACTATTAAAATACTTGAAGAGGAGCATCATGAAGTATTGGATAGGTTAAAATATGAAAATGATAGGAAAGTTAATCAGATGATCACGCAAACGGAAGAAGCTTTAAATGAACTGCAAAATGAACGGGAACTGCTTGCAGCTAAATTGAAATTTTTGAAAAATAATACAATAAATGAATTGACAAAAGCAAATACCGCAAAAGAGATCCAAGGATACTTACTTCAATAATATTCAGCAGCAAAATCTATATTTGATTTCATATATTAGGACAATTAATTAAATTTTTATTCAGATAAAAATATATTTAGATAAGACTAAATTAATTCTGGAATACTATTGGTAGGCTTCATTTTATCTTTGAAGAGTTAGAAGAAATTGCAAAATTAAAAGAGAAGCTTGAACAAAAGGAAAGGGATAACATAGATCTAATTAAATCAAATAAAGAATTAAAGCAGTGCTGGAAAGAGTCAGCTAAATTGCTGAAACATGTTTGGAGAGAGCTTGGGATTGAAACTCAAAAACTTGAAACCGCAACCCAACGAAGAAGAGCCGGAATAAGCATCCTGCAATAATATTTTATATATAAAATAAACAATCTGATTAATTAGCCGCATCAGCACTTCTTTTTATTAGTTTCAATACTATACTCATTATAATTATTATTTTCTTTATATTATTAAGTACTTATAAATCAGTATATTTCGCTTATTTGATGCACAAAAAACCTGGCATTTTCAAAGTCAAAATAAAAGCAATCTCTTTTAAAGCCTGAAAATTCAATTTTGAAGTGTGAAATTCAAAATAGAAAATTTTATAACGCCTTAATTTATCAAAAATATAAAAATACTGGCCGGAAAAAGCGATAAATTATTCAAAATGCATATTTGATTTCTGAAGATCTAATTTACAATATTTATAATACTTTATCTAATTAGGATACAAATCCATAGCAAGATCTGAAAATGTTGGTTTTTTCATAGTAGCTCGACTATAATTAGTGCCACTTCCTGGACTTGCATTATCCTGTGCATCCTTTAAATTTGATACTTCAAATCTTTTTTTCATGATCAGCCTATCAATTGCAGCGGCTGGATTGTTTAAGTTGCTTAAATCCTGCATTTCTTTATTCATAAGTGACTTTATCCGATTTTTAATAGAACTTTCAGTCCTTGTTGTCATTTCTTTCGAAATCAAACTTCAATGGTTGCTATGCTCTTTATGGAGCTCCAAAAGCGTTAAATCCTCTACCGCGCTCCACTCCCCTCTGTTCACCGTTGGATTTAAATGGTTATTCCATCTTTCTTTACATTGTTTTCCAGTCCTGATTTTTATGTTTCTATGCACTTTTGTATTCAAATGGTTCGCAATTTGTCCCCACTTCAGTTTTTGAGCCAAAACCATGTCTTTTATCATGTCATCTTCAGTTGGCGACCATGTCCCAGACCTCAATGTTCCAGAAGTTCGAATTTCGTAAATTTTTGCCATGCATTGCTCTGCAGTCTTGTCAGTGTTCCTTGCAATCTCTATGAAGTCAATTATTTGCAGGTCTTCAATGGCTTTGTTTTTTTGCTCGCAAAACGTTTTTGTTAGTGCATACAAAGCTTCAACTTGGTCACGTTTCCATGTCCTTTTGTATTTGGGCTTTGGCTCGGTTTGTTCATCTAGAAGTGGAATAGGTGCAATTGGTGAATAAATAGGAATTATAGGGTAGACGCAGCCTTCTTGGATTGGAATAAGGTTGATTGTAGGAAGAATAGGCTTTAATCCAGGCTGAAAGTTCATATTTATGGTGAAATTAACTGTGAACTGAAATGGAACGTCAGTAAAGCTACCAGCAAATAAATTTAAAACGTAAATAATTTGTGGCCCAATTTTTATTTTTTCCTTATAAACTTCTCTTTTATGACAGTTTATTCGAATATTGTTGAGAATTATTATTATCTCCATTTAACTCACCCCATATTTTTGAATTTTGGTTAGAGATTTATAAGACAAATAAATTAAAGAAGTAAGATTATTACTTACCACATATTTCCTCCGTTCATATAACCTCTATAAACGCTGTGGAACCTGATTTGCATAAAGACTGGGCCATACATGGCAACAGCAAGTTCGCAGTCCCAAAGCCACTTAGCGCATTATAAAGTTAGCATCCTTGGCAGTGAGTAAATTTTTTATTAAATATATTTTGTATAAATTTATTTTATAATAATTGAATCTGAAGTAAGCATATATAGAATTTTAGACAGCCTGCGTTTTAAAACATAAATTTATGAATTATATAAAATATTTTTCTAAATATTTACAAATTGGATTTTTTTTAAATCATAAACTCATTAAAAGAAAACCCCCTGATCACAACACGATTTTTAATTGGGAGTTAGCGCAAAGTCTTTTCTAGATGCCTAGATCCCATGCAAGAAATTCTTTTAGCAACTTCAGATCTTGGGATTCTTCTCTTGGCGTATAGTAATTCAGTGCCGATTTCGCTTGACCATGAGCCTAAATTGGTGTTGTTTAATAAGTCATTATAATAGCGATTTCTAGCTCTATAAAGTTCAGACTCCATAATGTAGTCAGTGTAGCGTTTTGTTCCACATAAACAAGCTTGAGGGGAAATAAAGGCTGACAAATCTAAACTTTGAGTATAATGCCCCCATATTGCAGCATTGCTATAAGGGAAATAGTGGTTTGAGTGTCCTCCGAAATCTTCGATTTCTCCAAACCAGGTATGGAAATAGTTATACTGAAGCCATGCGTGGTTAATGATAGAGTCTCTTTCAGGCACGTAGTCTCCACACAGTCTTACTAACATTTGGAAAGCATAGAAGTCTTCATGATTCCAGCTTGGGGCTTGGAAGAAAATCCCCATATGAGCTAAATCTACATCATCATCTCTAATAGTGACGGTTGAAGGTGTAAAAATTGGTCTGTCATCTCCTGTAATTTCTCTGCCTGACTTACTCTCCTCCTTTAAAGTGAGCAAATATTGGTTTACTCGCTCTTGAAGAAGGCTAATTTTTTTTAAAAACAATAATGCACAATAAATAAAAATTTTTATCGATCTTATAAATCCTAAATATAAAAAAAATCTAATTTAATTTATATTTAAGAAATAAAACTGCTTAAAATTTAATGAATTAGCTAATAACAATTATTAAATTTATATTAAAATATTTTACACAAAAAATTTTTGCTCGCTTTTAAAGAGGATTAATTTTCTAAAAAAAGAATTTCAATTATAATTCGCATAAAGGTTTAGCAACTTTTCCAAAATATTTTTCTCCTAATTCAGCTATTTGTTTGTGGTCTACATTTCCAGTAGCAGTCAAAACCATTCTTGGAGCAATATAGTGAGCATCAATATAATCTTTGATAGCGTCCTGAGTGATATTCTGAATGCTTTTTTGGTTTCCTCTAATTGGCTGCCCAATCATGTGGTCCCTATATGCAGTGTAGTGAATATTTTCTAAAATCAGTCTTTTGTTGTCAGCTGTGTCAAAAAGTGCTTCAGCGCTTTCAGCCTTTTGTTCTTCAATAGCGTTTTTGTTGAATTTTGAAGAAAGGACGACGTCAGCAAGAATTTCCATTGCTTTTGCAGTATAAGCTTTAGGCACTTCAATGTGAAACTCAGTGACTTCTTTTCCTGCTTTAATCCTAAGCTCGCCTCCAATGTTTTCTACATCTCCAGCCAGCTGAAACTTGCTTCTTTGCTCGGTCCCTTTAAATCTGAGTTTTCTAACAAAGTGGCCAATTCCATTGACTTGGAAATTTTCATTACGGACACCAGCTTTCACAATAACACATAAGTGAGCTAAAGCGTTATGGCTAGCTTCTGATGCAACCAAAAGGCCATTGGAAAGGGTTGCTTGGTTGCAAGGATAAGAATACTTGAGTGCTTCAGGAATTACCCCATCCTCAAGTTCTCCGTGGTAGACGAGCTTGCTCTTTGAAAATTGGGAAACATCTGAGGTTGGGTCAAGAACGTAAGCTGAAGGGTTGCGAGTTGTGGTGAGATTAGAGTTAAATCGCACTAGGGAGCGAACTATAGGCAAGACGCGTGCTCTCATAACCATTTTATAATTTATTCAAGGCCATTCCTTAAGCTATCTATCTTTAAATGCAAAATCGGCTGTGAAAATTCAAGATTGATACACAGAACAGGGGACCTCACATGGTATAGTTATGATAAAATATGCTCAGACTACAGTCAAAATTATATATTCAATTTCAAGGATTTTTATCAAATAATTAATAAAATCAAATTTATGAAGAAAAGCTGGAAATATCCTCAAAATAACCCACAAGGATTTTCATATGATGAATTTGAAAATATTAAAAAGGGTATTTAGTATAATTGCTGCAATCATATAAATTCCGTAATTTAAACTAAAATTTGAATACCTCTCTTCATCAATAAATGGCAGAATCATCAGGCAGCAGTGATAATAATATGAAAAACTCAAATCTGTTTGACTCCCCTAGCAGTGGCGATGAACATGCCGACAGAGGAGGATTAATTTCTTCTCAATTTTCAGGCTACTCCAATATCTCATACTCATTCCAATCCGTTATTTCTGCACTGGAGAGCTGTGACGACATGATGCTGCTACAATCATTAAATCAACTTTCAATTGATTTAGCGATTGCCCAAGAAGACATCTTGGCCGCGATGCCTCTAGATCAGCTGGTCTACGCTTTGGTGACTTGTCTGCAGAAAGAAGACTTCCCTGACATTGTTTTGTACTCCATGAATTGTCTCACAAATATCTTGGATACCATGCCGAATATAACAGGCCTAATTGTAGCTCGAGGAGGAATAGGAGTTCTTAGCTCCAAGCTGATGAACTTTGATTTCATAGACATGGCTGAGCAAGCTATTAAGCTGATTGAAAAGATCTCTTATGAATCTGCTTTAGATATTGTTAAAGAAGGGGTTTTCGAGACAATGATGAATACACTGGATTTCTTTGAATTGGAGACTCAGAAAAAAATATGAAGGATTGCAATTAATATTGCCAAAGCAATGATTTCTCAGCAGTGCTTTTTGCAGCATATTATGCCGATGCTACCTCAAATACAGCCAATGCTTATACATAGGGGAACTGATATGGTGGGACAAGCAGAGCTTGTGATTGATTTTTTTATAGCTTTGTTGGAAAACGCGATAGGGCTGTTTAGCAGCGATTTAAAAATGCTGCAAGGAAATTTACAAAATTTGAATGAGCAAGGGATGATGCGGAATTTAATAGAAATTATTCAGCAGGCTCCGTCGCTCAACCTTAAAGTTTTCAAGCTATTAAGACTAATTTGCAAGATTTCACCGACGTTGAGCATGAGCTTGCTTTCTATGGGAATATGTACAATACTTAAAGATGTACTTAATAAATCCTATGAGTCTTCTAGCAGTGACTATTTGCTTGAAGCTTTTAATTTGATCGATATTATTGTGCCAGTTGATAATCCGAAAGATGCAATTGAAAAAGAAAGGCTACAAATTTTCAGAGAGAGTAACCAATATTTAAGTAATAAACAAATTAGCTTAATTTAACTAACTTCTAGTTGGGCTTCTAGTTGTGCAGAGTTGGTGAGACGCCCTTTTCTCCGTCTTTTCGCTACTCTTGAATTCATGTCGGACCTCGCAGTTCTGCTAGCTCATTCTAGTCTTGTGAAACCATTCGGGAACCTAGAAGTATAGGAAACACTAGCGTGACTCGTTCTATCTGACTTTTCTCCAGCGCCTGTTCAGCACAAGAGTCTTGCCTTTTATATCAGTAGGAGAAAAAGGCAAACACAATACTCAAGGTGGGTTAGCATAGAATTCCTCACCATTTTCTCTTCTTGTGCAGAAGTCCACGTGCAAAAACCTAACCCCATAATGGGTATGGGAAAAGAATTTAACTTACTCTCCCGTATGCGAGCAAGTAAAGCCATTAGATAATTCTGTTGAATTTTAAACAGCTTGGATTTTAAAATATAAATTTTAGCAAATTAATATTTGATTTAAAATTATTTATAAATAAAATGGCATTCTGTTCTAGAGAAATTAGTTCTGCTAATTTTCTCTCCCTCATGGAATTTTATTTATGGGGTTGGGTTTTCTCTCAAGACCTTTTGCAGGAGCAGCAGCAGCAGTTTAGCTTTGGAATAGCCAGAGGAACTGCTCCGCGGTGCATCCACGAAGCTCAGAGTTTTATCTCTCAGCATATCCAAGGAGGGTAACCTTAGGCTGAACACGCTCAGAAGCTTAGTCAGACTAGCGCAGCAGCATCATTGGGTGAGAAGCGCTGGCCAGGGTGGCAGGCGTGCATTTGGGATGGTCCGACCTTTTGGATCAGAAATGTCCATTTTAAAAACTTTGTATATAGTAGGAATATGAAATAAAGTATTAAATATATGGGTAAGCATGCATAAATCGAGTTTTAATAACATAAGAGAGAAAATACTGCAAAATCTTTTGGATTTACTGCTTGACCAACCCTCTTTGAGCAAAGAAAATGTTTTGGTTCATTGCAAGGGAGTGAGTTAATGAATTACGCTTTCATCTGAAACCATTTTATTACTACAAACCAATATATTTAAACACAATTGGTGAGTCAGTTATCCCTCACTTAATTTTTGTCTATCAAAACTGTATGGAAAGTGAGCTAAAAACTCTAACTTTGAAAACTTTTTATAAATTATTTGCAATATCTCCACCAGAATGCCTTACAATATATATAGACACCCAGACACTTGCGTCATTTTTATCAGAAGTTTTGCATTCTCAGCACTTGAATCCTATTCATTGCGCACTGAAAATCATCAATATTTGCTATGATAAAATTCCTCAAGAAATCGCTGAACATTTTACTAGAGAAGGAATTATTGACAGAATTAATGCTTTAAATAAGCAAGAAGTGATTTCACAATTAAAACGATCAAAAGCTAATGAGTCGCCTGTTGGTCTAAAAAAATACTCGAGATTTCAACAAGAAGAAAGAGAAAGCTCTTCTTTGAACTACTTTGAGCAGCTTATTATGAATTTAAATGGTGAGAAAGAAGTAATAAATATTGATGCAGAAACTGATGAATTTCTTACAAATATTCCGAATTTTAAACATCAGCTAAATTTGAAAAGTGACCCAAAAAATGAATCCTTAGACTTATGCAATTCAATTATTGAAAAAAATAGCCATTTTGAAAATAAACATGCTTTAAGGACTGGAAAAAGCCTTAAAAAGCTTGCAGAAAAATTGGAATATGGGAGACAAGGAAATGCGAATGAAATATGGAGAAATTTGATATCAATGATAGAAAGTGATAATAAAATTAGCTTTTATGAGTTTAGCAATTCAGGGATTGTTGAGGCTTTATGAAAATGGTTTAATCGTGGAGACTTAGAAGACTCAAAACAAGTGACTGTTCTAATTCATAGACTTGAAGAATTTTTAACAGAATTTTTAAAAGAAAATTCAAAAAGCCAGGTTCATTTAAAGAGCTTTTTAGCCCTTTTTGATGGAGCTGGGAACTATGGAAATAATTTAAATGACATAGGTCCTGAAAGAAATTATGAAAGGTCTAATCGATTTTTAAGCCAAAGGTCTAGGCTTACATTTATTTATGCCCCATCAGAAGAAGACTGATCAAGATTAGGCGAAGCTTCTCAGGAATTTAATATAAGAAACAATTTTTTTGCAGCGAATAACAGAATTTGCATCGCAAGCGAACTTTCAATTCCATTTGCTGCAGTAAAAAGTCATTTATTAACTCCTCTTTAAACCGAACAAAAAATAATCCCAATTTTATTCGGGTTAAAACTTTATAGTAAATTATTTAATAAAGAATAATTTTATAAATATTAAAACATAAATTGAGCGTAAAGTTTTTGAGGGTTAATTTATTTATGGAGAATTAATTTAAAAATTTAATCAATTCGTGTGAAAACTGTTTAAATAATATTCGACTTACACTTTAACTATAAAATCAGGTCAAAAATAATTTTATAAAAATTAATAAAAAATTTTATAAAAATTAATAAAAATTTTATTCCAATTTAAAGTGGGTTTTATATATATTTTTCTCCTATCTAAGGGGGAGTAAGGGTAAAATCGAAAGACGATTTAAATAATTTTAAAAAATTATTCAAAAACAAAAACCAACAAAGAAAAAATATAGCGAAAGCATTAAGAGAGTTAGGAATGGAAGGCAGCGAGTTTGGGAGGCTTTACAAAGCTAGCATCGCCCAAAATTTGTTTTCGAATGATATTGATATCACCGAAGAATGCGAGCTTAGGCCTGAAGCCAAAAATCAAGTTCTGGAACAAATTGATATAATTATGACAGTTAATGGCCAAGAAATTCATGATGGAATGACTACACTTGACGTGAGCAATAAATTTGGGAAATCAGATGAAATAAAATTCAGATTTGTAAAAATAAGTCAAAATAAAAAAGAAAGCAAAATGCTTGTAGGACAAAATATGATTTATAAAGAAATCCTCAATGATTGTGAAAATGTAGGAGTAGATATTGGAGAAAAAATATTTCCCTATCTAAGAATTCTTAAACTCTTTTCGAAAATAAACGAGCTCTTGCCTTATCTTATGACTCCTTCATCGCTTTTATTCCAATCATTGTCTGAGTCATTTCGCCTTCACAAACTCGAATATGAAATTTTTCAAAGCAGCAAAATTAGTGTCATTCTCTCTAGGTTTGTTCAAGATAACAGAACTTCTCTGCCCTCTTGAACCAAGCCTTTAATCCAAAGCTGCAAATTTTTAGTCCCATTCACAATAAAGTCAGATATTTTCCAAATTTCAGATATTGGGCCGTATCTCGATACATGGGGATATGATATTTCTCAAAAAATAAAGGTCAAGATCAATAGAGAAAAATTATTGGAAGGCGCAACTGCTGCAATGAGAGATCCAAAAATGCTTAAATCTGCTCCTATAGAGTTTGAGTATGAAAACGAAGTTGGTACTGGAGTAGGCCCTACATTGGAATTTTATAGCCTTGTTGGAAAATCTATTCGAACACTTGATATTTGGAGAAATTCAGGAGATGAACTTGGCCTTTTCCCTGCTCCAATATTATCAAATTCAGCCAAAGTTAAAGATCAATTCCTCTTTATTGGCCGCTTAGTAGGAAAAGGCTTGCTTGACCAAAAGCAGCTTGACCTACCTCTAAGCCCTGCATTTTGGAAGCTAGCCTTAAATGAAAACTTGACTTTAAACGACGTGCTAAACGTTGACAAAAATTTAGCTAAAACACTATTCGGCCTGCAAGAAGTTGTAAACAAGAGAAATACCCTTTTAGCAGAAAACAAAAGGGTTCATAGCTCTAGCTTGACATATAAAGGTACCCATATAGACGATTTATGCTTAACATTTGTGCTGCCAGGCTATGATACTATTGAGCTTAAAGAAAATGGAAAAAATATTGCCGTGACTCTTAATAATCTCCATGAGTACATCACTTTGGTCTCAAAGTTCACGCTAATGCAGGAAACACAAATTTCAGCATTCAGAGAAGGGCTTAACTCAGTAATCCCAATTGATATGCTGAAAGGTTTTACTGGCGAAGAGCTCGAATATCTGATATGTGGAGCAAGTAATGAAAGCTGGGACATTTCTACTATTCAAGAGTGCATCATTCCAGCCCATGGGTATTTTCACTCTTCAAGTACTTTTCAGAACCTTTTGATTGTGATGTCGCAATTTAATAGCCAAGAAAAGCGCTCCTTCTTGCAGTTTGTGACTGGATCGCCAAGACTTCCAGTTGGAGGATTTGCATCATTAGTTCCGAAGCTAACAGTTGTAAAGAAAGATCCTGAAAACCCAGGAGTGCATTCTGATGAGTATTTGCCATCAGTAATGACTTGCCATAATTATCTCAAAGTTCCTGACTACAGCTCAATTGAGATCTTGCAAAGAAATTTGAAGTATGCAATGGAAGAAGGCTACGAAGCTTTTCACCTTTCATAACATTATTCTATATTCAAATTATAAAAGTATTAAAATTAAAACTCAGTATGAAAATTGTTTATAAAAGGATTTTAAATATGATTATGTATTTACAAACACTGATTAATGAATAATCATCCCTTATTTTTCTCACAAGATTTGGAAAAAATTTATAAGCCGCAGTATATAAGAATATTTCACCACTAGAAAATAGTTGATATCAGCAATGAAGAATCAAAAGAAATCAGAAGAAAAAAAATTAATAATTACCTATGTGAATTAGGACGCTTTTTTAAGATGGCAAATATTTTGCCATCCCAAAAAAAAGTCCTGTGAATTGGCTCCAACTAAAAATTTAGTTTATATGTTAGATTTTTATTAAAAAACAGATATATATTTTTAAACTCTTGCAACTCATATGTCGAAGCCAGAAGAAGAACCTTTCATAGAGCCAGAGAACGCAGACAACGCAAAAGAAGCTAAAGATCAACCCTCACAAGCACTAAAAGATGAAAAAGGCCTTTCGTTTTACGGAGTTTATCATCCTGAAAAACAATCCAAGAGTGAAAGTTTATTATGCCCTGAATGCCATAAGCAAACTTGAAGCAGAGTTGAGTCAAGACCTGGAAAACTCACATATGGATGCTGCTGCTATCTTTGTTTAATAGGTTGGTGTCTCTGCTTATGTTATGTTCCTTTTTGCATTAAACGATGCAAAGACACTTATCATTTTTGTGCAAACTGTAATGCACCTTTATCGATCAATTACTCCACATACTAATATAAAAATTAAAAAATAAAATTATCAAAAATGCTTTATTTATTTTTAATTAATTTGGGATAGATGGTAGTATAATTTAAGAAACATTGACTAATTAATAATTTGATTTATAGAAGTTGTCGCTCCTCTTAACCATTCTAAAGCAGCTGTTTCTCCTCTATTTTCCAAAATTGGACTCAAGTTTTGCCAAATTTTACTATGGTAAGCATTTATGTATTGAATGTCTCTTTGTGATAGCAGCCTAAAATCTAATAGATTTTTATCATATGGAACCATAGTTACATTTTCAAATCCCAGCAATCCTGGCACCAATGGGTGCATAACGACTAGTAGAATATTTTCAATTCTGATCCCAAAATGCCCTTCTTCATAATATCCAGGCTCATTCGCAACATTCATTCCTGCTTGAAATGGCTCAGTGCTTCCTTTGCATATACGATGTGGGCCTTCATGCACATTTAAAAAATAACCAACCCCATGTCCAGTGGCATGAGGATAGTCAAGACCTGCTTCCCAAAGCCATTTTCTCGCAACTACATCAACTTCATTTCCACTCATTCGATTATACTCAGGCCATACAAGCCTTTCTACACCTAAATTCCCCAATAGCACTCTAGTATAGCACTCTTTTTCCCAATCTGTTGGACTCCCAAAGTGCATTGTTCTTGTCGTATCAATTGTTCCATCTAAATATTGACCTCCAGAGTCAAGCAGGTACATTTGATCATTTGTAATTTTAGCTGCAGTTTCTTGAGTTGGTGCATAATGAATTATAGCTGCATTTGGCCCTACAGACGATATATTTTCAAAAGACAATCCTGCATTTAATTCTTCCGATGCTCTAAATTCGTCTAGTTTTTCAACAGAAGTCCATTCGTTGAGATCTGCTCCTGAGTCTAATTGTTGTTTTAGTCAAGCAAAATACTTGGCTATAGCTACTCCATCTCTGATATGGCTTTCTCTGAACCCTTGCAACTCTCTTGGATTTTTAATCACTTTAATTTTAGCAATTAATCCTGGGTAGTGAATTGGGGTTTTAATTTTTTGGTAAAAACTGTAGCTTAGCTCATTTTTGTCAATTATGATATTTTCTTCAATTGTGCTTAAATAGTCTCATGCTGATTCATATGGGCGGACTTCTATATGGTTTTGAGATAAATAATCGTCGAGTCCATTTGTTTTTTCTGGGTTTATAAATAAAATTATTTGATATCCTGCATTTGTAGCATGCAATAGTAAAAATGAGAAAAACAGTGGATTATATTGGATGTCTTTCCCTCTCAGATTAAGCAGCCACGCTATTTCATCTAAGGCTGATGTAAAAAGGTAATTCGAGCCAAGCCTACGTAATTGGTTCAAAACTATAAATATCTTTTGTTCAGCAGATACTCCTGCATACTTAATATCATGGATGAATAACTTTTCATTAGGAATGTTAGGTTGATCCGCCCAAATTGAGTTAACTAAATTCTTACTCCCCCTTTTTAGTGAGCAGAAAAAATTCGCTAGTAAGACAAGGCTGCTAATTTTATATCCAATTACAATAAATAAAAATATTCCTATTATTAAATTAAAAAACAATATTTCAACTTTAATAAATCCAAATTTAGAAATATTTGAAATGAAATCTAATATATATATAAAATTTATATTTAAAAGACTTGAGATATTTAAATTTTAATGGAATTAATTGAAATCTCATTAATATCAAACTATTATTTGGAAAAAATTTATTACTAAAAAATGCCTCATAACGAAAGGCTAATTTTCCCAAAAATAGGATTTTTCAAGTTTTGCTCGATAACTAAGAAGGGAAATTAGACAAAGGCTTAAAAGTAAACCCTTTATCATTAAAATAAATTGTTCTAGCCAATACGCTTTCTGCACATATTAAAGCTGGATCATATCCAATAGTGCTGCCAGTAGGTAAATTGCGGGTAATCCAATCAATATACGTAGGGTAGCCTATTGCCATCTTCATTACAGTCCACCCTTGATCAAGATCCTCTTCAGCCTGAATATATTTTACCTTTTGTCAAAATCTCCCATCAGTTCATAACAAAGCCTGCTCTTTTGTTATTAAAATTTGTCCATTTGATCCTTGAAATCCTGATACAAATTCCAGTCTTTTGTCATGGTCACATAAGTTTTCGTTCTGATTATTTTTTTACGTTGTGGAAGTCATTATTGGGGAGAAAATAAGCATCAATACTTTCTGAGCACATAAGTGCCCTTATTTGAGTCAGCTTCTCTGTCATTTTTATGATGCTTTTTTTGTAATTTTCATGATTTCTCCAATTATTTTGCAAAATACGTCCAAATCTTTACTTTGAAATAAGAAAAAGACGCATGTAAAGGATTGAAAATTGATATTCTGCGAATTCAAAGAATTTTATTAAATTAGAAATTACGACTTCTTATCATATCTTTCAAAGACTTTTCTGGGTCAATTTTTATATCTGATTTGAGTTTTGGCAACTTCGGCAGATTGATGTCAGTTCCTGAAGTTTCGCCCCAGTCTGCAGATTTTTCGACGCTTGTGCCAAAAGCTTGTCCCTTGACTCTGACATTTGGTTTAAGGGCTCCTCTTCCATGAAGCTTAAGGCTTTCATCATTAATAGCATCGAATTCTGACTCATTTACTACATTTGCAAAAATCGGGATCTTATAAATTTCAGCTTTTGTTGCTACTTCAAACTCGACTTCTACCTTTTCAGGGTGATTTGCATTGAGTTCTACTATGAGCCTCGTAGTCATCCCAGGTGCTATAGGAGTTGGCTTATAAACGATTTTTACATTCTTCTTCGGCGGCTGCCTAATCGTGAACCTTAGAAGCTGATTGTCTTCATTTTTAATAACAATCTGCATTTCATATACTTCCCCATCCTTGACCACTCCGAACCTGACTGAAGCTGGAATAACCTGCAAGTTCCTCTTAAGTGGATCTGCCGTAAAAGCTGTAATCATCATATTTTGAGTGTCAATCATTTCTCTGTATGACTGTTTTTTCATAAGTGCTTTATATAAAATTGTATGTGTCCCTTCTCTCCTCATTTCTTGAACTGTTGGAGCTTTTATTTGTGGCCGACCAGACTGCGAAATCGTTCTAATTCTTCTGTCTGTGGCACTTTCAGTTAATATGAATTTTTCATTAGGAACTCTTACAGGCGAAGTGCTTCTAATAGAATGAACTGTAGGCCTGATTTCTCTTGGCTGTCCATATACGTCAAAATTATTTGTTTTTAGCAAAACATATTCTTGGGCTTCTTCTTTTTCTGCTTCTTCTTTAAGAATTTGAAGCTTTTCCACCTCGGCAAAACAGCTTGGCTTTGTGACTGGCTTAAGGATCACTGGCTTTACCTTGTATTTTTGGGTTGAACTTTTTTCTGGCTCGAGAGCTATAAATGGGTTATCGGATGCTTCTTGAGAGGCTAAGTTATTGTCTTTGGAAGTCACAGAGGCCATTTGACTTAAAGTTTCTTTCATACTGTGGTAGTGCTCAGCTTCTTCAGGCGGTAAATCGTCAGGGTTGATTTCTACAAGTTCTTTAGGAGGAGATGGAGGCCGTTCTGGCATAGGGTTGTAGACCGAAAACTCAATTCCTTCAGGAGAGTCAAAATAATTCAAAAACCCAAGCTCATGGTATGACATATCTCTAGGATTTTTTTCCAAATGCAAAGAAACAGTACTTGAATAGCTTTTTATCGGCCTAGTTGCTGGCACGTCTTCCATGAAGCTTTCACTTCTTATGCTTTTTAGCGTTCTTGTATACTGCACTTTGTCTTCTTCATCATTTTTTCTGCTTTGCTCAATTATTCCAATCATCCTTTCTCTAAAGCTATCAGCAGATTCTATTTCTCCTAGCGGTTTCTCCTTTCTTAACTCCAGAATTTTCTTTTTTACGCTGAAATCCAATGCTTTTACGCTTTCATTTCTTACATCTTCTACCCCAAATTCAAATCTTACAGTCATTTGTTCAGCTTTCCAGTTTTGGTAGTCTTCTACACATCTTAAAAATTCCTCACGTTTGTCAGGAGAAAACTGAGGATGTTTGATAAATCCACGATAAATAAAATATTCAGGCTCGCCATCGTGAGGAGGGCTTGGCTCTGATTTTATATAAGAAGCGATTTTAGAGTTGACCGATTGAAGATGTGGGGAATATGATAAGTGGCCTTGCTGCAGAAGAGTTAGAGATATTGGGCGGAGATAGGTAAAATAGGTAAGAGGACCATCTTGGTAGGAAAGCTGATAAGTGGATGAAGGAAGGGTCAAACAAAAACTGTCGATTTGGGATTGATTTAGCATTTCAAAGCCTTCTCCATTACTAAAAATCACAAATAGTCTCGTCACAATTTTATTCTGGTTTACCTGGTTTTGGCCTTCTGTAGGGTTTATTTCAAGCTTAGGACTTTCTAAATTTTCTATTTCTGTAGGCTGCTCAATGATTTCTTGGCTTTCCTGTGGAGGTGGTGGAGGAGGGGTATTCATTACTTGTGTAGACCCTCCATGCATATCGATTTCAAAAAAGTTCCCAGCGTCATCTTTATTTGATAAAGTCCCTTTAATGCAATCAGCCATCAATATTCCAGGCCTCTTATTAAGAATTTCATTTTCAACCGACAATTCTTCGCCTTCTATCGCAGTTTTAGTTTCACCAGTGACCAATGCAACTTGTCCTTGGGCTGTTGAAAAAACGACACTTAAGCATGAAGCATAAAATGTGCTTTCCCAGCATTCGTTGCCATTTCTTCCTTTTACAATCGACTCGTCTGGCAAATGGATTTCGTACTCTTTGAAGCCTCCATCATAATACAGATTTATTGGGCAGTACCCAGGAGATTCAATTAAAACTTCTGACTTGTCTGGAGAAATAAAATATTTAGTCCCGTCTGAGTGCTCAGTGATTTGTTCTCCAGTCGGGAATTCTACGATTTTGACTGAGTCTTCTCTGATAATGGTCCTGATTTTGGTTTCTGGGTCAGTTACTCCAAGACAAGGTATAGAGTCAAGCTGCTGAATATTTCCTTGTGAGTCTTTTGATATTCTGTATCCCTTATTATTTGTGATAATCCAAAGATCATTGATGAATTCTGCGAAATTTCCATTAGCAAAAAGCAATTGGATTTTATCCTTCATATATCTTATTATAGTCCCTTCAAGTGTTATGACTCTATTGATTTCTGGCAAAGCGTTTTCAGACTTTGATAGACTTATCCTCAGCCTCATTCTTGATGGCGTCAATTCTTGGATTATGTCTCCAGATGGCAAAAGCTTAAGATGAAGGCCATTTGTTTGTGTTATTGTCATGGAAGCTAACTCCCCCCAAGATAGAGACATTTTACAAAAATGTCTCTATTGGAAGGTGGGTTTTTGAAAAATTTTTTTAAAAAAAAATCTATATGAAAATTTTTATATAATTTGTTTTTTTAAAAATTATATAACATTTTATTAGACCTTCTAAAGCGTAATAAAAATATGGGCAACTAAAACGATTTCATGCACTCTTCTATTGTTTCTGAGATCTGATTGCTTGAGGCTTAACCTCCTTAATGAATTCACGCATTATATGAAAAATTTCAATATAAAAAATTTATATAAGAAAATTTTCAAAAATGTCTCTATTGGAAGGTGGTTTTTTTCCCCCAAAAAATAGAAATTTTCCCTATTTTTCCCAGTAAAAAATGTCTCTATCTTGGGGGGAGTAAGGAATTTTCAATTTCCACAAGGACATTTGTGGAATCAGGAAGACGCGCCCAAAATTCTCCCAATTCTTTACCTTTTCTTATACCCAGAAATGTGTTGTCTTTGTAAACCAAGCTTTGAAAGCGGCTTGAGTACAATAAATCTCGCTGATTTTCGTTTGGAATTGTAGGACCAATTGCGTATTCTTTGATTTTAAAGACACTTCCATCTGTAGGGAACATCAATTTAGTTTTCTCCAAAATTGGGCCTACTTTTCCTTCAAAAATATCATAAAATTCAGCTGGGACGTTTTCAACGTCTTTAAAATATTTGTGCCACTGATGGAAATTTGGACGAACTCTCCACTGTCCTTCCCATACTCTTTGGTTGCTTCTTCCATCTAATATTTTATATTGCAAAGCAAGTAATAAAGAATCATCTCTTTGGTAATATCCAGTAATTATATCAGGCTCTGATATCAGAGCTTTACTTATAGTCTGGCCAAGTATCAGCTCATTCATTTTTTCTGTATATTCTCTGTCAGAGAAATCGAAGCTGCACCCTGTGAACTCAGCCATGATTTGTTCAAATTTGGTGATCAGCAAGGCTCTTTCTAATTCAGGGTATTCTAAGGACGAAAACGGATAAATCTCGCACCTCTCTGCATCTCTGAGCACTTGGGATTTCTGAGGGATATCTGGCATCATATAGCGTTTTGTTCCAGGAACCCTTAGGTTTTTAATGAATTTATTTTCAATGTCTTGAATAAGATCTCCCATTGGAAATCTTTTATTTCGTGAAGAAGCTGCTGCAGAGTTATTTCCGTCATATATATCAGCAGATCTAGCATCTGGATTTAAAGGATTTTGAGGCTCTTTATAAAAAGTGCTCATTACTTTTGAAGCGTCTGTGTAAAAGTGATCAAGAATTTGATTTGGAAACACAAGCTGCCGTAGCATGCACGCTAAAATATACTCTGGGCCTGCACAGTTTTCATCTTCTTTGTGTATGAGGCTAGTATAAACCCTGTTGTCTCAGACTTTAGGTGCGTCATCATAGCTTGGATATAGTTTCTCAGGTGGAATGACAGGTTTTGGGATGGGAGGAGCTTGCTGGGCAGCTTGTGCCTGAGATGCAGCTTGTTTAGGGTCGACAGGTGGAGGGGGAGGAGGGATAATTTGGGCTTGATACTGTTGTTCTTGGAGTATGCTATTTTCAACATCAAAAGAACTAATAGGATAAAGTGGCTTGATAAGGATAACATCTTTTCAGTTGTTATATTTTATAAAATGCTCTCCAAGCTCTGCAATTTTCACTCCTAAGTCTCTGACAAAAATTTGCTTTGGATCTAAGATTACAGGCTCAACAACTTCCACTTTTTCTTCTTCTTTAGGCTGCTTTCCTGCATCTTTTCCTCCTTTTGCATCTTCTTTCTTTTTCTTTTCTTCATCAGCTTTTTTCTTTTTCTCTTCTTCAGCCTTTTTCTTGTCATCTTCTGCCTTTTTCTTTTTTTCCTCTTCTGCTTTTTTCTTATCCTCTTCTGCCTTTTTCTTTTGGTCTTCTTCAGCTTTTTTTGCATTTTCAGGTTTTTTGATTTCTTCTTTTTTCTTGTTTTCTTCCTTCTTTTTGTCCTCAGCCTTTGGCTCTGCCTTTTTTCCTTCTTCTTTTGAAGCAGGCTCCACAACTCGTTTTCCAAGCTTAACTTGTTTGCTGCTTCTTCTTTTCTTTTTATCGTCTTGCGGCTCTTCTTTGACTTCCTCTTTGACTTCTTCTTGCTTTTCTTTGAATTCAGCAATTAAAGTCATTAAGTTTCGCAGTGGAGAGCCTTTGGGACTTTTCCAAAATGCATTTTGAAGAGCTTTCCAATGAGTAGGAAATTCAGGAGGCAGCTCAGGCTCTTTCAGTTGGTCAGAAGCTCCTTCTTCTAGTTTTTTTACAAATTCTTTGCACATATTGTCGTACATTTCTGCTAATTCTGTTTTTTCTGGCTTGACGTAGAGAGAAAGGTTGATTCCATAGCCTAGCTTTCCTAAGACCTCAGGATAATTAATATAGTGGTGGCGAGAAATATGTCCTCACGACGATGCACTACTGTGGGGCCAAAATGGATTTATAGCCTAAGCCAAGGCTCATGCACTTTGATTCTAACCCTAAGCGCGCTGTATAACTGCCGAATGGGGTGAGTGGCTTTTGGAAGTCAGTTGGTGGTAATTCCAGTCCAAGTATTAGTTATCAGGATGATTTTTGAGCCACTGATTCTTATCCCCGCCATCCGCGGGTTCATGGTTCTTTTTCCTGGGTGTAAACCCTTCTCAAGGTGGCCGAGAGGAGGATTTGGGTAACCTTTACCTCCATAGCAACCACAAGACGCACAACACTGAGGAGTCTTTTAGCCCGTCAAGACTCAAAAGACACTATTGCAGGCCCTAGTTCCTGAGGAGACCACTGCTGTCCAGACTCTTAACCTAACTTAAGACCTCAGCTTCATCTGCAGTTTGCGGGTACCCAGACACCAAATAAAATATGTCTGGCTTTGTATTATCAATAACAGGGACAGGAATGTCAGGAACCGGCAGTCCTTTTTCAATAGCTTCCTGCTTCGTTTTTTCTGCTTGTTCAATTTTGAGGATCTTTTCTTTTTTAAGCTTCCGATTTAGGATGTCATTTGTAAATACTTTTTCTCTGAACGCTCTCCCTAAAAGCTCCGGGGCTATAGAATCATCAGCGTTATCGACCCAGAAGCCTTTTTCTTTCGCATGGGCTATAAGTTCATCTCTAGTTATATTTGTAAATTGTGAAGTGTTGAAAAAGTTTTTGAAATCTGAAATAAAAGGATGCCACTCTACGAGCACAAAAAATGCTGTCCAAGGTGGAAGCGTAGATAAATCAATATCTTCCTCTTGCTTCTTATCGTCTTTTTTCTTCCCTTGTGGAGGCATATAACTGACAAATAATAATTATTTCATATTGATGAAGAGATTAAAGTGATTTAGATAGGAAACTTCTGCTGAAAATTAAAATTAAGTAAAATTTATGTTTTCTTTTAAGGTAGTTAGCTCTCTTTATGAAGCGGTAAAAAGAGCTTGAATTCAGGCGGAAATTCTATTCCATAGTGCAGTCTATAGAGAAATAAATTTTTCTAATTCTGCAGTTTGCGTAGATTTGCACTATTAGAGTTTCAATTTAGTTGATGCCACGAGCTCTTCTCTCGTAAAATCTGATAAATTAAATTAGATTCGGCTCTAACCTCCATCTAGTCTCAGGCATTGCACAAATAAATGGGGTCTTCGAATATTCTTGTCATCCAGACTTGGACTTCGAAAGTGGAATATTTCTTCAGGTTTTTGAAATTCATAACGAGAAATAGCAGTTTTATGCCTGCTTATGTCTGTTCCATTATTTTAAATATAGAGCTCTGGATATCTTGATCAGTTATTCATTTTATGTGTTCATTGCGCACACTTTTGCCCCATATCTCAAAGGCTTACTCCCTATGCTGTAAAAGATAGCAAAAACCCAGATTGGAATTTGCCTCATGAAATTCCGTTTAAATATTTTTTCAAAAATAAATTAAGGCTATTATATTAAACTTAAAGGATGATTTATGGTCATTTCGGATATTTATATTAACAGTAATAAAAATCTGAGAGATTAGTAGAAAAAGTAATGTAAATTAATAATTAACGTTTTGATGGTTTAAAATTTATTATTTAACTAGATAAAAACAATTGTTTTAATTTTTTATTTCGAGTCTAAATTTCTTATTGAAATTTACTATTATAAGATTTTAGAAATTACTATTTTTTATTAATCAGAAAATTAGAATTTTGATTTAACCATAAGCAAAAAAAGAGCATATAGTTGTTGAAAAATAAAATATTTTCAAATATATATATTGAAATTATCCAAGTAATATAAATCTAATAATTACTGTTGAAAAAAATTATATTGTAGATCCCTTAAATTACGAGTATTTTTTAATAATTTTTCTTAATTATTAGAAAGGAAAAGAATTGATCCAGTCTAAGAATTTATGAGTTGGGGTGTAATGATAAAGGTTAACAAACCTCTTAGACAAAATTTGTTGATCAAAACTATGAGCAAATAAAAATAGTCCATATTCCGTAGCTTGAGTCATTGGATTTTCACTTCTTTCTATTTCATGGATATTTCCAAGAGTTGAAACTCTTTCAATTACAGTTTCAATAGGTACAGCTTCTGGCTCAGTCCCATTAAATACCCCAAAAGCCCGATTTCTATAAGGATTCTATACATATCGGCTAAATCTTCATGATGTATAAAACCAATATGATTATTTCCTTTAAGAGCAACAATTTTATTGTGGGACTTACAAGCTCTTATCCATTGATCAACACAACTTTTTCCATAAACCCAAGTAAGCCTGATGACAACGCCTCTTAAATTTCCTGCAGTTGCGTTTATAACTTTTCTATCTCTTACAACTCTTAGAGCTGTAGTCTCCCATGTATGAGATGTGTCTTCATGGTCTTCATCTTGGACTCCATTGGTGTTTCCGTAAACCATGCATCCTGAGCTATACAGAAGAGTAACAGGCTTGGTTTCTGCTGTCTTTTTTGCTGCAAGAATCAGTGCATCAACAACTGTTACTTCCTCTATCTTGTATCCATTTTCATCCCATGTCTGCTGCACACAGTGAACAATAGCATCATAGCCAGCAGCTAAGTCAGCAAGTTGATGGGCTGTATCAAGAGTGATATCAAAAATAGTGAAATGAGAGCCTGAGCCCTTGCTTGCTACTTCTTCTCTCTTTTAAGCACTTCTTACTGTTGATGTAACCTCATGTCCATGAGCTAGCAAATTATCAAGAAGAGAGCTTCCAATAGACCCTGTGCTCCTGTTAAGAAAATTCTCATATTTATTATTATAATTGTTGTTTTAGTTTGATCAAAAAATGCATTTTATTTTAAAAGTCGTAATATAAAATTTCTCCAAAATGAATTAGGTTTCTTTTTAATATTAATTTTAGATTTTTTAAGCCTACATAGAGACTAAAAGTATTAGCTATTTAGAGAAAGATTGCTCAGAAGCATAACATTTTTTTTGCAACTAGCTGGAAATTTAGAGACTCTAATCAGTTGAACTTTATAATCTATAATGTTACAAAAATGTTTATTGGGCTCTACTAGAAGTCTCTCACTTTACGACTCTGCATGTGAATATTTTGGCACAAGAGAAACGACTAGACCCGGCAAACAATTTAGGCAAAAGCTCATATAAACGCCGAATTAAGTGGAATTTTAGAGTGTATAATAAATTTGCCTGTCGAAATACTAATCGATTTTGGGAGCTTATTTTCTGAATATATATAAAATGCTTTTCAGAGAAATAGCACTAATATAAAAAAAATGCATAAATTTTTAGAATGATTTATGCTAAATGATTTAACTAACTATAAATTTAATGTTTATATTAATTAGAAAGCATAGGAATTAATCCAGTCTAGGAATTTATGTCTTGGAGTAAAATGATAGAGGTCACTCAATCTCTTAGAAACAATCTGCTGATCAACGCTTTGACCAAATATAAAGAATCCATATGGTCCTGAAGTATGAGCCCATGGGTTGTCAATTCTTTCTATTTCATGGAGATTTCCAAGAGTTGAAACCTTTTCAATAACAGTTTCTAGTGGCACAGATTCAGGCTCAGTTGCATAAAAAATTCCAAATGCATGATTTTCTATAAGGATTCTATACATTTCAGCTAAATCCTCATAATGTATGAAAGGAATATGATTATTTCCAGTATGCGCAATAATTTTATTATGGGACTTACAAGCTCTAATCCATTGATCAACAAAGCTTTTCCCATATACCCAACTAGGTCTAATAACGACCCCTCTAAAGTTCCCAGAACTTGCGTTAACAATTTTTTTTTCTCTTACTATTCTTGGAACTACAAATGGAATACAGCGAGATGTATCATCATGATCTTCATCCATAATTCCATTGGTATTTCCATTGACTAAGCAGCCTGAGGTAAAAACAACAGTGACAGGTTTAGTTTCAGCTGTTTTTCTGCCTACTCTAATTAAAGTATCTACGCAGAGATCTTCTAATTTTGCTCCGTTTTCATCAAATGATGGCATTACACAGTGAATAATTGCATCAAAGCCTGCAGCTAGCTCTTCAAATTGATGAGCTGTTTCAAGGGTAATCTCATAAATCACAAAGTGTGAGTGAGGACCTTTGCTAGCTATTTCTTCTCCTTTCTGAGCACTCCTCACTGCTGATGTAACATCATGGCCATGAGCTAGCAAATTGTCTAAGATAGAACTTCCAATTGCTCCTGTTGCTCCTGTCAGAAAAACTCTCATTTTTATTATTATAATCGATGGGGAGAAAACGCATAAAAAGGACGTATACTAGTTTTTCGATGCTATAAATTTCAATAACTTTCGAAGTTAATTACCATTGTTTGTAAAGTACAGGATTGGTCTTCCTCGCACAGATGGGGTTAATTTTATTGTTTTTAATTTATATATAATTTTATAATAATATATTTTGAAATTCAAAAATCCCAAATATTTATTTAATTTGTAAAATGCAATTTGATCAAAATTAAACAGAATTAGCTAGAGATTTCATTATACGAATATTCACTTACTCAATTTTTTTCATAAAAATTTTTGTTCGTTCCTGTTTTAGGTCTTTGGGCAAAAAATAGGGATTTTTCCAATGATTTTTGCTCACTCTTGGAGGGAGAGTCATAAGAAAATTTCTACAATCTTAGTATAGTTTAGGTTGAGAATATGTGTCAGACCTTGAGCTAAGCTAAAGCTAAATTTTGGCAATTAGAATATATCAAGCAATTATTAATTTTTAGATGAACTTTAGTAGTGGAAAGTTTAAAATTCTAGATAGATTCGTATAGCTTATTTAATTTATATATTTATTTGATATCGTATTTTTCAATTATGATCTCTTCGAGTTTTTTAGCTAGAAATTATATTATTTAAAATTCAAAAGCATTTCATCTTTATATCTTCAGCTTAGGAACAACAAATCTCTTTTCTACTGGCGGTTTTTCATCTGCTTTCGTTTTTCCTTCTTTTGCAGCCATAAGCTCCTTTACTAGCATATCAAATTCTTGCCTCAAGTTTTCAACAGTTTTTTGTGTCTCAATTCTTAAATTTTCCGCATTTTCCAATTGAGTCCTACATAAAATTTACTTTAGCAATTGTCTGAGCTTCTTATTATCTTCTGAAAGCTTGGCTATTTTTTTCTTATATTTTTCATCAGATGGGATTCCTTTTTCAGCTTGTGCTAAAATTTTTTCTGAATAATTTAGTAAAGCTTCTCTTGATTTTTCTAATTGGACTTTCAGCTGATTTCTTTCACTGATAAGTTCTTCTAGTGATGATAAAGAAAATGATGATTGTTTCACTTTTATTGCAATTTGAGTGGGATTTGATACTTCATTTATAGGAACTAAGGCAAATAACTCAATTTCTTGAGGGTTGATTCCTAAATTTTGAGAGCAAAAGGAGTAATATGAGGAAGAATCTGGAAACGAGTAAGTGAAAGCTGGCGCAAGTAGCGAGCAAAGGGACATTTTAAAGGAATTATTGAAATTGAATTTTGGTTAAGGATTATAGTCTAAGATATAATGAAAAGAAGTTAAAAAAAAATTTAAAACAAAGAAATAATGAATTTTAAGATTTTAGGGCAATAGTTTGTATATTTTAAGCATGAAAAAATTAAAATAAAAGTTTTCGCGTAATAATTCAATAATTAAACTATATATTGTTTATTATTTTTTCTAATTCTATTTTAACCTCATCCCAATTCAGTTTATCATATTTATATCACTCTCAATTGTTAACAAGCTAAAACTTTAGCCTTCTCTTAATCTTTAGTACTTTTTACCCCCATGCATTTCAAATAGTTTTCTTGAGAATTCTGCACGGAACAGTAAACATCCACATTTTTTTACAATCATTTTAAAGAAATCAAAAAATAATTTAATATTTCATTAAAATTTCTTTTTTTCCAACTTTCATTCCTTGTTTCAATAACGCACAAGCAAAAGCTATTTCTTACACTAAATTATCCAAAAAATGCATTTATGCTTCTTTTTCAATTATTAAGTCAAAGAGTTTTATTATTTACATTGATAAAAACTTGTTGCTAATAATACAGAGCTCAATTAAAGCTGCTAATTTTTACCTTTTAACTTGTATTTAGTTCATAGAAAGTGCAAGCGAAATTCTAATAGCCAGCCATGTTAAAAGCTGAACTTATAAATTATACGAAAATTTTCCAGTATTAGATAGAATTAAATATGAACAAAATTACCATTAGCTCCGAATGCGCAAAACTGAGTTTTTCAAAAGATATTCTAACCAAAATAGATGTTCGTGTTATATATAGATTGGATACTTCAGAAGATAAAACAGATATATGTGTAGGTGCAGGAAAGTTTCCTACCTGAAATAAAGTATGTAATCTCCAAGGAAGAGGTTCTAACTTCTTAATTATATAAAGAAAATGTTTTTTTTAAACTTAAAATATCTGAAATTTTACTGGCTCATTAAAAAAAATTTAATTAAAACAGAGTAAGATACTTCTCCAAGTTATCGGATCAGACTCCAACGGACAAGCACTTATCGGAGAAGCTCAAATTGATTTAAAAGAAGGTGAAAACTGGTTTGAGCTCTCTCGAAATGGGGAATCAGCAGGGCAAATTAAATTAAAAATCGCAGTTAAAAAAATCGAAGAAACTCTTCAAAGTTTTTCGAACGAGACTGCTCTTATTAATCAAGGCATGCCTCAAGGAATAACGGAACCACAAAGAATGCCTTTGCATCAGCTTGGACCATATGGATATCCGATGGGATATCCAACAATGCAAAATATTCAAATTTCGCAGCTACCTCAAGTTATGACTATGCCTCCAAATGGATATAGGCAAACCTATAGCCAAGAAAATCCTCAGCAAATGCTTTCGCAGACCAGATTGCCACCTCCTAATATTCCAAATCAAGAATTCATGCCAATGCAAGGAGGTCATATATCAGGCATTATGAGAGGTAGCACAGGGACTGTTCCTACAGCTGTGCCTCCTCAGCAGGTGCAAATTTGCGATATGGGCTACGATCATCAATTACCTCACTATGTTTTACCAATGCGACAGGAATATACCTGATGCCCTGTTTGCTATAGTTCTCCACCAGGGCAATTTCAATATTATCATCAACAGCCAAGTTATCCATGCTACTATCAAAATCCAGCTACAAGTCAGACAAGCTCAGCTCAAGGTCCTAATCCAGATAGGACCCAACCTGGTGGGCGGCAAGATTGTTTTTAGGAGAAACTGATAAATGTAAAAGCTAAAATCTATGAAATAAAATTAAATAAATATAATCACATATAAAAGAAACAAAAGAATAGTGGCTGACAATAATGGAAAAAAATCAGCAAGGAATTTAACTGGCTAACTATAGATAAGATATTAAATAAATATGATTAGACATTTATGTTAACTATAATTCCTAAAAATCAGAATGGCTTCAGCCGAACAATATACATATGAAATCCAAAAAAAGAGGCTTGATAAAGGTAGAAACCTACATAGAAGTCCAAATGCTTGAGCATGTCACTCCAAATATAGTTACATCCCACAAGAAAAGTAGCTTCGGCTTGATAATTCGTGTAGAGCTCCAATCTCAGCTATTAACAGGCCTTCCTTTCACATCCTTTTACTATGATATTCATCTAGAAGGAAAATATCCGTTCCAGTCTCCAAAAGTTCTCTGCGAAACCCCATTTCCTTTCCCATCCCTATCAGATGGTAGAGATCTCTTATCATTAGCATTAACATTACTTTATTGAGTAGCTCCCGGCTATACCGCAAATGGTATTTTCTCCACCTTGCTTCTGCCTGCCATCAATCTATCGGCTATGCTTTTCTAAAAAATGGGCTCTCACATTAATCGGAATTTAGTAGGATGGGTCACCGTGCCTGAGCTGACTTCGGTTTTCTAAAAATTTCGAAAAACGAAATTTCTAGCCGAAGTGTCGACCAAAATGGAGCTCGTTGCCCAGGGTGCAACTCTTAGTATCGCTCTAGGAAATTGCCCGAATGTTCATAAGAACTTTGCTGGGCTTTCCCTTTCCCACACCGAGCATCCATCTTCGCCAGATGTAAAGCCTTGACCTAGATTGAGCTTGCGATCGGTCAAATCTGATATTGCGCTCCACAAAACCAAATAAAACCTGGCCGGATATGCATCACCGAGCGATTCTCCCTTTCACGAGGTCCATGAGTCGCCCCAGCTAAAGGTATTAAGGGTGATGCTTCGCAAAGCCATTTTAATCTATATCCAGAGATCTCTTATCAAGCATAATTAAAAGAAAATGGACTCCTAGCATTACTTCTTTAGACGTTATTAACGCCTTACCAGCATTTACTGCAGAATTATATCAAAAATGAACTGAAGGTCTTCAAGCTGACATAGGAGTGTTTCACTTAGGTCATCCAATGCCTCTAGAAATATGGGAAAATAAAGAAGGAATGAAATGCTTTATGTGTGTAGAAATTGACATAAATGATGATAGAAATACTAAAGAAAAAGTGATTGTCGTGACCAACTTAGTCATTTTGCAGCTTGATGTAAACCCTGACTTCCCTATGATTGGCTATCTCACAAATTGGGCTACCTTGCAGTCGTTAAATGCAATTAACAGATCAAGAAGTGATCGAAATGTGCTTGTTTTTGACTGAAAAGAAATGGAAGAAATTCCTGCTTGCAGCCAAAAATTTAATTTTTCTGAATCTGAAGAATGCATCCAATTGATAACTCAAAACATACACAAGCTCAGCACTATCATTAAAAAGCAAAACAAAAAAACCCTCCAAGAAGAAGAGGTAAAGCCAGAGCATATAAAAAATATGCACATTGACGATATTTTAAAAAAAATCTCGGAATATGAAAATAAACTGAAAGGGACGGTTAATATAGAAATAATTAATAGCCTCGTGAATTTATATCAGCAAGCTATTGAGTATTTTTCAGCAATAAATGATGAGAAATTTCAGGTATTTTTAAATAAAATGCATAAATTGTTGTCGAATCAGCTGATTCAAGATGTGATGCAAGGGAGAATTAGTGAAGTTAGTGGTGTCGCTGTGTTCGAAGAAGAAAAGATAGAAGAAGAAGTTAAAGTCCTTGAAGAAGACAAGAAAGATGTAGAGCTGGAAGAAATAGATTCAGAACATAGAAGTGAAGATCAATAATAACTATTAATTTTTCTAGGAATTATACGACTTAAATAAAGTTACGCCATATAAAGGATACTCCAATGGTCAAAATAATCAAAAGTATTAGCATTCCTTCCATTCTATTCAGCGAATTAGACGACTCTAGCTTTGTATTCAAAATAGCGATTTGGTCGTCTAAAGCTTTGATTCTAGCGTCACCTTCTTCAAGCTTCTTCCCAATTTCTTCTTTTTCTTCAATAATGCTTTTTCTTTTTTCTTCATGCTTTTTTGTGCTCTTCGATATTGATTTTTTCAATGAATTTATCCCATACTTAATTAGATTGGCATAAGCGAGAAAAATAATTAATAATTTATCATCATAAATAAAGATATCTTTATTCAATATATTGCACTATACCTCTTTAATTAAAGACTCGGAAGCATCTTTGGACTTCTTGAGCTCACTTTCAACCTTCAATGTTTTTTCATGAGACAGTTCAATTTCTTCTAGTTTTTTAGCAAGGTCAGCGTTTAAGACTGTTATAATCTTAGCAAGCTCTTCGTTTTTCTTTTCAAGTCTTTCTAGCTTAGCAGCTGAATTTTCATGAAGTTTGCTTGATTCTTCAATTTGGGATTTTTGGGCTTCATATTCTTCTTTAAGCTTTTTATATGACTCGAAGCCTTTTTTCAGCTTATTTTCAAGCTTGGCTGACTTTTCTTTTTCAGCTTCCCAGACTTTTTTGTTTTTCAAACTTTTTTCTTTGGCATCATTTGCGTCTTTTTCACGCAACTCTGTAATTTTTGCATTTTCTGCTTTAAGTTGATTGATTTCTTCACGCAAATTAGTAATTTCTTGAGGGTCCACTTGTCGTTGTAGAGCATCGGCTAATAACTTATCATATTTTTTGCATTCAGCTTGCAAAGCAAAAACCTTTTCTTTCTCTAGCTCATTTAGGCTGTTTAAATCAATCAATTTTTCTTCAAGCCCATCTATTTTTTCTTTAAATTCTTCATATTTTTCTTTATAATTGATATTTCCTTCATGTTGGCTTGATAAATCTTTATGAGCATGATGGAGTTCTTCTAACTGTTTATTAAGGACTTCATTAAGACTTTTGGAGCTTATAAGTTCTTTATCTAAGCTTGATATTTTTTCATTCAAAGTTTCAATAAAAGAACTATGCTCACCTTTAAGGTCTTCTATTTGAGAGCCATGACTTGAAGATAAGCTGCTTGCTTGTTCTTTTAGATATACATTAAAATTTGCAGCATGTGTCAACCTGCATTCTTGGAGCAACGATCCAGATCTTATAGCTACGGCGAACTGGGATGGACTCCGAGCCGAGAGCCGAGTGCAGGCTCAAGAGAATGTATATCCGGGTAGGTTTTGGCTGCTTTCCTGTGGTTGGAAATGGAGAAGCTCAACAACGCTCTTTGAATCCAAGGGCCCATGGGCATTCCTCTACTGAGAAACTGGGGGTTTCGGCCCATGCCACAGTAGTCTTTTTCCTGTAGCTGTCGAAGAAAGGCACTTCTGAACCCAACAGACTCCAAGGATCCTTGGAATCAAGCTAATAAATCACCCATAGTAGGGTTGCATCCATAAGCCGCAAACTCAAGACTGAAGCTCCAAAGTAAGGAGGAGACAGAAGGTACCGGAAGTTTTACAGACTCTCTGGCTGTAGTCGAAAAGTTGTAGAAACTCCCACAGCGGAGGTCTTTGGTGATCGGGTCACCAATATGGCTAACGCCTGACTTTTAATAGCATAACCTACTTGTTCTTTCAGGCTTTGATTTTCATCCATTAGCTTCTTTACGAGCTCTTGTTGAGAGCCATGATTCGAAGATAAGTTTTCTACTTGCTCTTTGAGGCTTTGGTTTTCATTCTCTAATTTCTTTGCGTTTTCTTTTTCTTTCGCGATTATTTCTGTATAATCATCAACAATATTCTGATAAGAGCCTTGCATTGACTCCATTTCTCCTTTATGTGAAGCTATTGTTTCATTTAAGGATTGTAATTTTTCAGAAATTTCATGAATTTCTTCGTCTTTTGCTAATAATTTTCCATTTAGTTCAGAAATTTCACGCTGAAAAGCTTCTTTTTCAGCCTTAAATCTATCCTCAATCCCTGAAACATTTTCTAATTGATCATTTTTCTCACGAATTGCTAACTGGTGATTTTCTAGCTCCAAAAGTATTTTTGAATGTTTTTCTTGTAGCTTTTTATGCTCATTGCCTTCTTTTAACAGTTTTTCAGCATCAATTTCAATGTGTTTTTGAAGATCTAAAATTTGATTCTCAAGACTTCCGATTTTCTCACTCCCCCCTCGGTAAGCGAATAAAAAAATCTTGTTTGCTCACGAAGAGGTTAATTTTTTTTTGAAAAAATGTATATATAAATTTTATAGAATTTTTTTTTCAAAATTTAAAAAAATTCTAATTTGTAAAAATTTAGAACTAAAAATTAATTTAATTTGCAAAATTTATGGTTTTGTTTGCTCTCAGAGGGGGGAGTTAGTTAATTGTTCATTTTGCTCTTTATATGTGGAGAGCTCTGACTTTATTATATTTATATCACTGTGCTCTTTACTGATCTCTTCAATTTTCTTATTTAATGACTCATTAGCCGTTTTTAGATTGTTGAGCTCCTTCTCCGATTCATTAATTTTTTCATTCAATAACTCTACCTCTGACTTGTGGCTGCCCTTTAGTTGTTCGATCGACAATCCATGATTCTCCTCCAAATTCTTTAACTGCGCTTTCAGGCTTTCATTTTCCTCTGCAAGATTTTTTATAGGATCTTGGTCTTGCTCAAGAACTTTGGATTCTTCTTCTCCTTCATGATCAGATTTAGAATGATCTGATAAGTGCGAATCAGAAATGTGATCAATGTCTCCAGATGGCCTCTGAACATCCACTTTGCCTGAAGTCGAATTTTCGTCCATATTGAATTATAAAGCGGATCTAGAAAAATTATTTTCATGATTCGGATTAAGCGTGAGCAACAAGAGTCTTTTAATTGGGGCATTTTAATAATAAAAATAGTCAATTTTCGATGGACGAGCTATTTTTAAAAGCTATGAGAAATTAAGAACCATTTTCTATTAAATAAAATATCTATTTTATATTCTGTTTTACATTGAATGATGCATAATTTGATGCCATATAATAGAAAATTGTTGCTTTGCTGATATAAATCTATTGGAAATTTATTCTAACCTATTATATTTCATCAAAAATTTTGTGTTTATTTTTATTTTTCCTGTGTTGATATTTTTCCCTCTAATATGGAAATTAATAAAAATTATTTTATCACACAATTAACCGATTAATTAATATAATTACAACAAACACACAAAACTGGAATTTTCAGAGCTTCCACAAGTACTCAATGAAGAGTTCAATTCCTGGAATTTTTCATCATGAACTATAGGATTTATTTTTAGACTTGGAGGGCGCTCAATTTGATGCTTTTGGACAAAACCTGGAGACGGCGTTTTTTTCCCAAGTGGAGGCAAAGATATAGATGGTTTACTGAGGATTGTATTGAGTTCTTTTAACAAAGAGTCTTCTTCTTGATTATCATGAGCATACGTTTTTAATGGGGGAAGTCGAGCTTCATAGAATGGGTTACGCTTAGTATAGGATCCTACACTAGCGTCTATGTGAGTAGGTTTGGGGAAGAGAATAGTCTGTAGTGGCTTTTTTTTACGTGAATCGCCCATTAAAGTTTATGATGTTGATTTTTATGATGGTAATGGGACATTATTTATTTATTAAAGTGAATTTTATTAAAATAAATAATCATTAAAATAAGATCTGTAAGAAAGAATACTATCTAGTTGAAATAATATGGGCATGAATAATTTAAATAGAATTAAATAGATCATCATAAAATCTAATAGATCTTTAAAGAATTATTATATTAATGTAGAACTTCTGTTAGGAGTCTTCTAATTTATGTTGGAAATTTGCTTTGACGATTTTAAATTTACTTCTTTTCGGTAGGATCTTGACGGAGATATGCTTGCAGGCACAATTTTAATATTCATAAAGGTGGGTTGGATTATTTTGTTAGATGATCCTATAAATTAATTTATTTAATTTTTTATTAAATAATATAATTTTTAAAATAATAATAAAAAATTGTTAGGTATTGGTGATAATTCTTTTCTAGGTGTCCTAATTAGTTTCTCCTCTACACTTCTATTTAATTTTTCCCTATATTTTCTAAGATAGGGTAACGGATCTATTTTTGGGCAACTTGGACGTCTTTTTCTTACTCCCCTCTGTGAGCAAACAAAATCATTAGAAAAGTTTATATTTTTAATAATATAAAATTTTTTAAAGAAAGGAAATTAAAATATAAGTAATAATGAGCATAAATGAAATGTTAAGCTAATTCTGTTGAATTTTAAACAGCTTACATTTTAAAACTTAAATTTTACAAATTAGATTATTTTTGACAATTGGAATTCTTTAAATTTATAAAAAAAAAAAACCTGTGAGTGAGCAAATTTTTTTTATTTGTTTAAAGAGTTATAAATTTTGAACTTTGCTCATGAAGAAGCTTTTTCAGTTTAATTTGAAGTAGTAAACTTTCTTCTGCTTTTTGAAGCATTTTTTCTTTGGATTTTCTATAGGAAACTGCTTCTTTATGCTTTCAAGCATCCTCTACTTGCGATATTAAATCGTTGACTCGTTTTGTATTTAAAGCAAGCGACAATGCAGGGTTTGATTTATTTCTTTGGCTAACTTCATGCATTTTCTTCTTTTCACATCTGACATCCTCAGCCTTTATAAACTTTTCGAATACGATTTTATCTTTAGATTGAATCCACGATTTCATAATTTTTTCATAAATTTAGGAAATAAAAATCCTCCCTTGATTATTAACAAAAACTCAGAAACCTCTTTTTTAGGAAATTAATCTCAAAGGCTAGCGAGCAAAACAATTTTCACTATAAATATTGAATAATTTGATATATAATTAATTATTAAATTTCAAAAAGCTTGCATCTCTAAAAATGAAAATATTAGATTTTTCATTTCAATATTTATGAATCAGAATTCTAATATAAATTTTTCAATAAAATTAATAAGCCGACCTTGCTTAGCGTGAAAGATTTATTTCCTGGCCAACAAAAGGAAAGTCATGATCTCTCAGACTAATTAACAGAATTATATCATAGGGGTTTCAATAATAAATATATTTTATATATATGGATGAGCAGTGTCATTAAGCTGGGTTGCATCATATACGTTCTTATGACTGACAATGAACCCTGCACACGAACTCTTTACTTCTATCTCCTCCTATATGCTACCTGTGAAATTTATGAAATCTTATTTTCGCTTATTATCCTTTTCCATCGATGATGCTATGCAAGAATTCCGCAATCAATGCTTCAAACAGGACAAATCAGTTATGAATGGTAAAATAAAATTAGCTTAAGAGTTATCCTCACGATAGCAATGACTGTTGATGTTTTAAAAGACTACAATTGCAATTTGCATTCCATGATGGGGATTTTATCAATCTGCTTATGTATTTTTGTATATGTGAAATATTTGTTTATCATCTTATATTTTATTTTGTTTTACCTATGCTGGAATAGAAGAAATAGGGTAGTGAATCTTCAAAATAATTCACGAAATCAAAGTGATTTTGTGGGGTCATCGCTTAATGAACACTTAGCACCCCTTCCTGAAGGAGAAAGATGTCCTATATGCATGGAAGTAGAAGGAGGAGAAAGCGTAGTTTTACCTTGTGGCCATGGATTTCATTTAGACTGCATCAAAGATTGGCTTACAATTAATAGAATTTGTCCTATGTGTCGAGCTCCATATGAAGATGAATAAACTAACTGTATTATAATAAAAATGGACATTTTCTTTTACACAGGCAGAGGTCTCCCTCCTTTCATATCAAACTCATCATTTAAAGCTCTTCAGCTGGCTCTCCCTCATTTTTATAGCAACCAAGAAATTTTTGATAAAATTTCTCTGCCTGAGTATGTAGGAATTCAAGATTCTTTATCATATTTAACAATTCGCGATATCATGAACCCTAGATGCCATGTATTAGGAGGAGCAAAGCCAGATTCCATTACAGTCGGAATTCCAAATAACCAAAAAATTACTATTGAAGAATACATGTCATTTGTAAATAAAAGCAAAGTTGATATAGCTCCCAGCTTATCAGAAGAAGCAAGCTTATCTTGTGGAAATCATCGCTCAAAACGATCAGCCAAAAATGCAATAGTAATGCTTGATTCTTGTTTGGAATTAAAAAGTCCTGCATTAAAACTCCTTGGGAATATCCAGGGTGGGAAGGATATGGAGTCTAGAGAATTTTGTGCAAAAGAAATGAAAAAGAGATGTGTTGATGGTTTTGTAATAGGAGGAATTGATTTAGAGGAAAGTGGAGCTCAGCTAAGGCGAGTTGTAGGCGCAGTCTATAATGGATTAAGCGGAGATTCTAGGATGATAGTCTTATCTGGCCCTGGTAGACCTTTAGACATTGTATACGCTGCTCAGCACGGTATCACATTTTTTGAAAGCTGCTGGCCTTTTATATTAGCTGAAAAAGGAAAAGCCTTAGACTTACCACTAGTGAACTTTGAAGACGCTGAAAATATTGAAGACATGGATTTCTATGAGCCTGAACTAGACCTAAATGACGAAAAATTCGCAATGCAAAAAGGAGCTTTAGTGGAAAACTGCGAATGCTTAACTTGCAAACAGCATCACAGAGGATATATTTACCATCTATTAAGGGTAAAAGAGATGGGAGGAAACACACTGCTAGCAATACACAATTCATTTGTAATGAAAAAATTAGTGGAAAAGCTAGCTAAAGCTAAAGAGGAAGGGAAATTAGGAAGTGTTTATGCAGATTTTGTTAATAAATACTGCATGGGGAGTTTCAGTACAATAAATTAACGATTTTAAGGCAAAAGTAATGTTTAAGAATTAATATTACATTTATTTTATTTTGAATTCCACCGGAGCATGTCTATTATATATTTATAAAGACGCTTCCCCATATTTAGCTCAGGAGTTTCACTAGGATCTGTATATAACTCATCTTTATGCTCATATGCCCATTCTAATATTTCATGGAACCCTTTGTCAGTTTTAGATTCCGACCCAGGAAAAGTTAAGAGTTCTACGACAGTTTCAGATTTTTTATTATCGCTATGTGCTAAACTTATATTCCTTATATTCCTTATATAACATTAATATTTAGTATATTTTATATACAAATTATAAATGCATTTATATCGAGGAGTATAATTTTTTCATCTCCTAATAACACTCAAAACCCATTTTCTGAGTAATCAATAATAAGGCTATATATATAATACCTGATATTTTCCAGTCTTTCTTCATTAATAAGTTTTTCTCCTGTGATCAGGATAAAAGAGTGCCTAGATGAAGAATCATTAAGATACCGTTGACACCTAATATCAGCTGGAATATAATTAAAAATTAAATCTCTTGTATCTTCAATCATTTCTATGTCTTTTATTTTTTTCGAATAATCTTCGAGTCGAAAATTAGAGACTTCAAAAACATAATAAGAAGGTTCTGCTAGCCTGTATAGCAAAGATTCAGTGTTTTTAATGAGTTCCTTTTTATGTTTATATCCATAGCATGCGCCCATGGCTGTTATTTTTATATAATGAATCCAATTGAATTTGTTATATTCCATAGTTCATGAGTAAATTTATAATTGGTTCAAATTCAATCAAAAATTATATATAATTCAATAGAGAGAAACTTAGTAGCATGCTACTAATGAAACGCTATCCTGCAATTAAATCAGATATATGATCTAGTATAAAAATAATTAATTTTTCTCGGACGTATATTTATTATTGAGAAAATGTTTCATATTATGATAAAAGATTATTTCGGTATACTAAAATTACGGTTACATATATTTCATTTCAAATAAAATTAAGCCGCTCAATATAATAGCACAATATAATGAGATAGAACTATATGAAATCTTATAATCAGAGACTGCAATTTTATTTAAATAAAGAAAAATTTATATTTTATTCCTTTGTTTATTTATTTTTTCATGTTTCTGCTCCTTTGCATTTGCTAATCTTCTTGTGTAGGGTGTCGAATATGTTTTTCTAGGAGGATGTAAAGCATATGTATCTCTCATATAACCTCTTAGCCCAGCAGGAGTTAGCAGAGATCCATTCATAAAAGTGCTTATAAACCTAACGAAATGTTCTTCTGTTATATAGCTCATGCACCACTATTGACCGTTATCATTGAAAATTTAACGCTATAATTGACTTGAAATCTCTATATCTTGGACAAACACCATCATCATATAGATAAGCATTCAGAGTTACATTTTACTATAGTAAATTCATAAGGGGTTTTAAGAAATTCATATAGAGTCATCATCCAACGGCTCCAAACTTTGCATATAAAAGCTGAATTAATCAGATTTAATTTGATATTACTTCTTAAAATTGAAATGACTGCTAAAGCACTAATAGAAAACAAGTTTTTGGAAGTTTATTAAATGTTTACTTTTATTTTATTAAATCCAATTAATATGAGGCTTTAACTCCCCCCCCCCCCCTCCGTGAGCGAACAAAACCATTAGAAAAATCGCCATTTTTTGACCAAAAACCCACCCTCCGTGAGTGAACAAAATTTTTTTTAATAGAAAAAATTTTAATGGAAAAAAATTTTGATATATAAGTGATAATTAGTATAATGAAATCTAGAGCTAATTCTGTTTAATTTTAAACAAATTGCGTTTTAAAACATAAATTTTGCAAATTAAAATTAATATTTGCTTCCCAATTTTTGCAAATTAGGATTTTTTTAAATTTCGAAAAAAATATTTTTTTATAAAATTTATATATAAATTTTTTTTAAAAAAAAAAATTAACCCCCCTCCGTGAGCGAACAAAATTTTTTTTGTTCGCTCACGGAGGGGGGGGGGGAGTAAGAACTTCATTCATCAATGCTGACTAATATACATATCATAATTTAAAATTCATTTTATAATGCCATTTTAAAAATTAGCTCACTTATTTGTCAACCATCTTTATCATATCACTTTTGATCCCAAAATTGGGCTCGAGCCATTTCCCTCAAAATAGCTACTTTTTATATAGAATGAGAGAAGTATCATTTAATTGTAAATAATATGAAATTAGAATAAAATAGTTTGAAACTTAAGAAATGTTATTTAGCTCGGAATGTTTATCTAAATGATAATTGCTCTTGTCTAAGATGTAGAAGACACCAATTAAATTATAGTTCTAAATTTTCAATGATAATCAATCACAGTTCATTAGCTATAGTTGATATAGAAAATTCACACATGCGTGAAGAAATTTGAGAAATACATAGAGATTTTACATGGAGTAAATCTGTGATATATTTCAAATTTTTCAACTCATTTGAATTAGGGTAAATAGTGTTACAATATAAGCTTCCCAAAGTAACTAAACTATGTTTAAACATTTTTTCTAGAACTTCTGATTCCAGCCTCTCTTTAGGTATGCTGTTTTCCATTTTTTCATCAAATGCTTGATAAATTAATGTAGCATTTTCTTCATTAGTTCCTTTTCCTAATAAAATTCCAATGACTAATAAGTCTTGTAAATAACAATCACCCTCTTCATTGCGAATTTTGCTAACTCTCCCCTCCGTGAGCGAACAAACCATTGTAAATATCCCTATTTTTTTCCAAAAACCCACCATCCGTGATCGAACAAAAATTGTTTTATGAAAAAATAATTTTGAAATATAAGTGACTATTAGTATAATGAAATCTCTAGCTAATTCTGCTTAATTTTGAACAATTTTAAAACGTAAATTTTACAAATTAAATAAATATATTTACAAATTAAATAATATTTACTTTCCAATTTTCGCGACTTGGAATTTTTTTAAATTTTGAAAAAAAAATTATTATAAAATTTATATATAAATTTTTTAAAACAAATTAACCCCTCTATGAGCGTATAAATTTTTTTTGCTCTCTCACGAAGGGGGAGTAAGCATATCATTAATGTTTTTATAAATACCATAATTTGTTGTGTTTATTTTTAGCAAAGCCGAGCAGTTATTGAGCTGAGCCTCAGTTAAAACTCCATTAGTCGAAAATTTCCTTAAAACTGCATCTATTTTAGCAGATTTTTGTATATGAAAGCCTAAGCATTTTTCTGATTGTACTATTCCATTTTCTTCAGCTGATTCTGGGCGAGTTTGGACACACCCCATTATTTTCGTTTAAAAATTATTAACAGAATTTATTTTCAAATTTTAATCTTTCAATCTGTTTCATTATTAAAGAATACGCTTTTCATATTTTATATATGATTTATGTTCAAAATTAATAAAAGATGCAACTCAATAAGCTTAGCTTCCTCATCAGTTTCAAGTGACCCAAAAAAATCTATCGCTCCTAGGATGCGTGCTCAGGTTTCTTCATTTCAGAGAAACTATATAATACATTCTCGATCATATTCTCAGCTTTCAAATTCTCAAAAGCAGATGACTATGATTTCTACCATGAATTCTGAGGAGAGCCCATTACGGCAGACTCAGACTTTTTCTAATGATAATTCTCAGCCGTTTCATGCGAAATTTCGATTATCATTTGACTTATCACAAAACCAGAGAATACATGATCTTTTAGGGAAAACTATAACACAAGAGCTACAAACATTGCCTAGCGCAGCTCATATATATATTACTAAGCAAAGATCCTTAATGTGCTCGGCCCAATATAGCCCAGGTACGACATTCATCTTCCTGGGCTAGGAAATTGCAATGCAACTCCCTGAATTGGTTCTCCAAATCTTGTTAACGAGCCAACTCGGGGAGTTGGCAAACGCATTCTATCAGGTATATTTGTCAAATCCCCGAGTTGGTTCCTCAATATGAGTTGGCGAACCAACTAGGGGAGTTGCCCTGCAATTACCTAGCCCAGGAAGATCTAATATGGTACCTGAGTTATAGCATATTTACCTATAATTTAATCTTTTATTACAAATTTACCCAAGCCCAATTAACTAATAAAATATATAAAAAACCGAACTAAAAAAATCGAGGATTTAATGGTCGATTGCAAAGACCGCATAGATAAAGCTTTAGAGCATGCCTCTCGTGATAAAAACGACTATAATGAAGTTATTTTTAAAAATACCTACGAGCATCCTTTATCAAACAAATTTTTTAGTTTTATTAAATCAGGGGACATTAAAACTGTTAGAGATATGATTATTGAAAATCCTGAATTGCTTACTCCCCTTTAAATTGGAACAAAATTTCCTGTCTCAATTTAAGGAGGTTTAATTTTTTTAATATTAAATTTCTCAATAAAACTTAAAAAAAATAAAAATTTATTTTAAAATTTAACGTTTCAGTGTGAAAACTATTTAAATAATATTCTAAAAGCACTTTTTCCATTAAATTAAGTTAAGATTAATTTTAATAAAATAGTATTTCCTATCGAAAAAAAAAATCATTCAAAAATGCAAATTTTACCTATACTTTGTTTTAAAGAGGGAGTTAGAACAGTTGACTCTGTATGCATTATTTTAGACTCAGCAAACAGCTTTGCATTGGGCCTGCAGAAGAAATAATTTAGAAATGGCACAGTTTTTAGTTTCATGCAGAGCAAATATGAAAGCTGTAGATATAGCTGGGAGAACTCCAGAAGACATAGCGAAAAGACTAAACCATAAAGAAATTTATCTGTTTTTAAAGTCAGCAGCTGTAAAAACAAGGAGAAGGAGTGTTCGAATTATGCCGGGGGCTGCAGCATATTTTGCTATGATACTTCATATATCATTATAAATTTTTTTTTTTATTAAATATAAGTTGGTATTTACTGTAAATTTATATAATAGAGGTTGCGGGATTGACATTTTGAGAATTAAAAAAAGTGATGCTGGAGTTGAAGGAAAGTTTACAAAATTACATAGAGCGCTGAAAAAACAGACAAAAACCATTACAGACGCATGGTCTAAAAGTTTGAAGTTGAATCGGCTAATTGAAAGGCTCATACCTGAGATTCCTGAATAATTAAATGTATTATGCTGGAAATTTTATAAATATTAATATGTTTAACACTGCATATATTATTAGTCCTCTGGCTAGTTATTTTCATTAATATTACTGGTTAAATTTAGCATTTATAAGTTCTTTTAATTTTTGGCATTTTGATGATGGAACTCCTAGAGACTTGAAAAGCTGCAAAAGTTGAGGAGGGAACCTCAGCAATAAAGAAAAAGAGAGATTTTTGGCTTGGTAAAGCCCAGATAAAAGCTGAGCACTATAGATATTAAACTCTTCACATTCTATTATCAATGACGATATATCATTCATATCATCAATCAAATATTCCTGAGTTTGCAGTCAATGGTCTTTGGAATTAATTAATTTTATATATTGCTCTATAAACATCTCAATAATTTCTTCTGTCTCTCCAAACGATTCAGCAATTTCAATATGAAGCGTGCACCCAAGTTTCTCACACAAGCTACAAAAAGCAATCATCCTGCACAGCCCAAGCATTTCTTGCTTTCGCTCACCATAAAAAAATAATAAAATCGTATCGAATCTATTGATAATTTCACTTAAATTTCTGCATAGTTCTGAAGTTAGAGCATCTGAATATAATATATCAATACCACAAATTTTTATTCCTGTTTGCCAAGTAACTATGAGATCCATACAATGCATAAATTTACTATCTGTTTCTAATGACACGAAGTAAAAATTTTCTGGTGCTTTCATTTTGAGGATTAAGGATAATGATAAATCAGATGATGAATTTGTAAATATCTTGAAAGGCAAAAGATGAATTTGGGTCATGGGGTTTGATTGGGAATATTCGAAGTTTAGAAACTGGCTAGAAAAGCGGACTTGTTTGCTTTGAGGCTGAGATTCGTAAAATGATGGGATTTGAGGATCTTGGGGAGTTTCTTTTTCACCAAATAGAAGTGTCTCAGGGATGACAGGGTCAGAAGTAAATGCATGAAATTGGGAATGAATAGTAAAAGGCTTGTTTTGATCGGGAGAAGGCTCTGGTAGATGTGAAGGAATTTTAATAGGGGTATTTAAATAGTTAGAGTGGCTTAATTTCTCGATGTTATTTTGCTTTTCTTGGGTAAGTAAATGATTTATGGCCTCATAATCAACTTTAACTGTCTCCAAAGTATAATCTTTAGGAATTTCTGATTTCTTAGGAAGCTCTCTAGTTTTATTAACAAATTTATTCTCTTCTGCAGTTGTTTTTATTTTCTCTACAGGCTTACTGTCAAAATTATTTATAAATTTTGGAAGTTCATGGGCCTTTGCTTCAAAAATTGGCATTTTATGTGTTTTTTTCTTCAATCTAATATCATCGATCTCAATTATAAAAGGCTTCGGAGCTAAGAGCATACCTATATCTCAAACATTTTGCAAGCGCTTTTCACTATTTTCAACCTCAAAGCAGCTAGAATCCCATTCAACTTTATTAAATTTCTTATTGAGTATGTCATACTTTTGGCAATTCTCAATTATTGGCATTTCGACCTGCTCGATATCAATTCCTTTTATATCAAATAAGCTTGAATCATCAATTAAGTTTGTTGAGAGCAATTTAAAATCAAATTCTCTTTGTGAGAAATTGTGCTCGTCTGTTTTTTCTATAAAATCCCAGTTAATTTCTTCAAAAATCCTAGTATCTAGTTGATATTCTTGGGTAAAATTACTTAGCTCTGGTGGCACAAGAATGTCATCCCACTCATTATGATTTATAGTGAAAATATCTTTCAAAGGTTGCGATTTACATAAGATCTTTATGATATAGATTGCTTTTTCTCTTAAATTGTTTGAGCTCTCTTTTGGTTCACTCTTAAAGACATTTTTTAATATGTCTGCTATAGACTGCGGGAAATATGAGTCATACTTAAAAGATATGGTTACTAACTCTGGAAATTTTATCTTCAACGAACCATTTTACGTTTATTAAATTTATTGAGAAACCCGCTGTAATTCCTAAGAATTACATCAGCCTTGAAGCTCCCTTTTCTGCTTGCCAGTTCATGCACGACCTCACAAAGGTTGCTCCTTTTCCCGGGCGAGGGCTTAGGTTCTCACGCCATTTTAATGTATATATACTAAATTCCTGGGGATAGCGCGGAATACGCTATCCCCAGGACCAACCGGGATCGGATCCACACATGGAACGGGGGTTCCATGTGTGGATCCATTTTTGACATGTGAGATATTTACTTTCACGTGTCAAAAATGGATCCACACATGGAACCCTCGTTCCATGTGGGATCCAATCCCGGTTGGTCCTGGGGATAGCGTATTCCGCGCTATCCCCAGGAATTTTCTATATATTTTTCACGAACCAAAAGCCAAAAATTCTGGCACACGACGTTTCAGATCTTCACTAAATATTTTCTTACAATTTTGATATTAAATGATCTCTATCTTTCTGATTTAAAATACAAAATTTATATTCATTTCCACTGTATCTCAGTCTTCTTATTTTCATTTTATATTTTAATATAAAGTTTTTGGCTTGATTAAAAAACTTGAGCCATTTCAAAAATATTTTATTATCAATTCAAGATGATCAAAAACTCTGAAAAACACCAAAAAAGGCCAGACCGAAATTCTATAAATGAAGTCGTATCAAATCTTCAAGCACGAATTGTGGCTTTACAAAATCAATATTTGAACTTTGTTAGCTTCTGTGTAGAAATGATAAAAAATCATCGACTAAATGTTGATCATACGCTTAGATTAGAGCCAAATACTCCCAGAAATTTATTTGACATATTAGCTAGAGAAGGCGAACTATTAGAACAAAGTTTAAAAGCAGCAGGAAACATGAATACAAAAATGTTTGAAGGAAAAGAGTTTCAAAAAGCCTTTGAACAAGCCCAAACTGATGTTTTGAAGATTTTGACTGAAGATATGCCAAAATCATATCAAAAAGCTTACATTCATGGCATTTTTAACTCTCTTGCTGATATTTGTATAAGCCAAAATAGAACAAGAAGTTTCGATAGTGATTTAAGACAAAATTTAAAAGAGTCAGAAAATAAAATCAGCCAATTAATGGCGGAATTAAGAGAAGTGAAAGAGGAATCAAGAAAAAAAGATATTCATGTTGAGCTAATGCAAGAGGAAATAGAAAAATCAAATCAAACTGTTAAAGTGTATTGGATGAGGGGATTTACACATATTTTTACATAATTGCTTTTAATTATAGTATATTATTCATCAGATAACTATGCATATGTTTAAATAATGCATATCAGTGTATCAGACAAAAATTTCTGAGCTCTCAGCAAAATTAATGTCGAAAGAAGACGAAATTAAATTATTGATGGAAAACACTGAGAAAAGAGAAGAGGAAGATTTTGGGAAAAGTTTAAATAGATTAAGAAAATTTAGGAGTCCAGATGGGCTGGATTACAGAAAAACATTTTCCGATACTTATGAATTCCAGCAAGATTCAATTAAGAACAATGAAGATTTAAAAAGAGAAAATTCTTTATTGAAGGAGAGATTGTTAAAAGTTACAAAAGAAAGAGATAAATATAAGAATTCAAATAAATCCAAGGAATTTGATGATTATAAAATATTTTATGAAAATCTAGCTGAAAAATTAAGCGAGCTATCAATAGCTATTGATAAATTTATTGAAAATTCCAGATATTTGTATGATCCATCAGCCCAGGCACAAATTACTTCATTTTCGAATGAATATTCTGAAATAATGAAAAAAATTATAGAAATAATTAGAAGTAAAACAAAACATAAACCAAGGTCAAGCAGTCCATCAAAAAATAAAGAAATACAATTAAAAATACCAAACTCTCAGCAAGGATTCGAAAGTGAGTGCACTCCTACTAAAGATTTTGGAGATTTAGAAAATGAGCACAAGCTAATAGTAGAGCGTTTTATGTTTGAAATAAAGCAATTAACTGATAAAAACAATATATTAACTCGAGAAAACGAAAATTTGAAAAATAAAAGAAATGCCTCACAATCAAAACAAAGAGAAGAAAATTTATTCACAGAAAGTCAAAACAGCTTTGACAAAAATAGAGCTAAAAGGGACTTTAAGGCCAAAGAAATGACAGTTTTATTTGAAAAAGAAGAAGAAATAAAAAGGCTAAAAGCAGTTATACAATATTTTGAGTATAAAAATAAAAAACCAGAACTGAGAATACAAAGTGAAGGAAAAATAAAGATAGACCAGCCTTATAGGACACAGAATGTTTTGGAGCACATAAGAAAGCAGCTAAATGATAAAGAAAAAGAAAATTTGATTTTGCTGGATGATATAGTGCGTGCCCCTTTATAGATTTTTAAGACCAATGACTTTTTAAAAAAAATTGATTAAAATTTTAAAAAAGCTAAATTTAGAAATTTCTCTTATTTCAGTTTTAAATTCGGAATATTTTAAAATGTTAAAAGGAATTGGTATTATTTCTCAGAAATCAATAAGGAGTCAGTCACTATATAAATCAGGCGAGAGGACAAGTCAGAGAGCTCGAAGAAATGCAGAATTTCAAAGAAAAATCATTTGCAACAATTAAAGAAAATTATGAAAAAATGTTGAGTCTTAATGAAAATGCAGGAAAAGTAGCATCTAATTATGCAACTACGATGGCAGATTTAACTGATAAGCTAGAAAATGAAAAGAAAAATACTTTAGAGCTAAAACAAATCATAGAACTTGCAAAAGAAAATAAAGAAAAGCTTGAGTCCTCTATTAAATTCTTGAATGCAAAATATAACACAGAAAAAGAATTTTACCAAAAATCTTTGGACGAAGATGAGAAAAAAATAAAAGAACTCAGTGCAATAATTTTGGAAATGAAAAACTTTGCAGATTTAACTGAAAAATACAGAGCCGAAAATATTTTTTATGAAAAATCTTTGAAAGAGAACGAAGCTAAAATTTATGAAATGGAAGTTACTATTGAAAATTTTGAAAAAAATAAAAAAGCAGCTGCTGATGACCTTAAAAAATTGCAAATTATTAATAATGGGTTGATTTCTGAAGTTAAATCGCTAAATTTGAAATACGAATTTCTAAAATTAAAAAATGAAGAATCCATTAAAAAGAATCAAGAAGCTCCAAAACCGCAATCTTTAACAATTGAAAAAATAAATACAATTGATATAGGAGAAGAGAAATATTCCACTACAGATCAAGCTACAAGCCTCTCAAGTATTTTTATAAAAGACAATGATTTTGAAGAAGCTCATATTAAAAATTTAATCATTTCATTTTTTGATGATTTTCATGAGAAACTGAAATTAAAAGCTTTTGTTGAGAATAGTATTTATCAACAATTAGCAAAAATAGAAAATCTTACTATTAAACTGTTGAGCATAAAAGAGAAAATGATTAATAAAGACAAAATTATTTCAGAATTTAAAGAAAATATACCCATCTAAGATTAATAGAATTTCTCAAATGTTTATAGTTAAATAATAGCACTTCTCAGTACACAAATAATGAGTTATGTTTAATAGGTATATTAAAATCCTTGAAAACAAATTGGAAATATCTCAACTTAGCTGCATGAAATTAGAAAAAGAGAAAAATGAATTGAACTCAGAAATTGATCATCTTTCTCATATTTATACCTCAAAAATTAGAGAAAATGAGGATATAAATAAAAGTTTAGGATCTTTAAGAATTGAAAATAATACTATGAAGTCGGAATTAACCAAAATAGCTGAAGAAAACATAAAGTTTAAAGATGAAAATAAAAATTTGCAAATTCTTAATGAAAAATTAAATTCTGAGATTTCGAAACTAAAAGAAAATAGCATCGAAATCAATAATCAGAGCCAGAAACTAGTTAGTTTCTAAATTAGTAAGACTTATCAGGAAGCTCGCTGTAATTCTATAAGGATATCTTCACCTATAATACTCTCCTACTCGCCGGTTCTTGCACGATCTAAAAAGGTTGTTCCTGCTCAACGAGGGCCTGCACTCGCATCCGGTAGTTGGGTGAATTGCGTCACCCTACCGTGTGGCAACAAGGTTGTCCACTATTAAAAAATTCAAAAGGCATTGTAGTAAAGCGTACTATCGGCTAAACCCTGCATTATACTCCACTAGTTAAGAAGGTGATTGGTTCACCATATCATTATAATATATCAGCCAAAACTAGCAAAGGAGTTGAAAAACAGCGAAATTAATTTTAAATTAATTGAGCACGAAAAAGAAAACTGGAAACAAAAATTCGAACAAAAATCAACAGAATATGAATGTTTATTACAAACTTCAGAACAAGAAAAAGAGAAAATGCTAGTTGAATTATCAAATTTAAAGCAATCACATATGGATGAAAACTTGCAATTAAAGAAAAATAATGAGGATTTGATATTCGAAAACTCCAGACTGCAAAGTGAAATTAAAAAGATAGATCAACAATATGAAGCATTAAAATCTCACTCCAATCATGAAGAAAATAAAGAAAAGCATGACAAAAAGGAACAAGAAATAAGAACCACAATAATCTCAATTGAAGGGAAAAATAAGCAAATTGCCTCTCTTTTAGAAGAAAATTCTAAACTTAAGTTAAAAATCCATTTCCTCAGTGAAGTCCCAGATAAAGAGCTCAGAGAAAGACTTGCTGTATTAACCAACCGTAATCGTGATCTTGAACAAATAATCCAAAATCGCAGTGTAGATGAAAACGCTACAGAAATTAGAAAAATGAAAGAAATTTTTACCAAACAAATAGAAATTCTTACCAGAGACTGTGAGACTTCTCAAAAATTGCTCCAAGAAGCCAATAAAAGGACAGTCCAAGAGACTGCAGAACTGCACAAAATTATTGAAAAGTTAACAAAAGAGCTAGCAGTAAAACAAGTCCAATTAACTCATAAGGCCGCTGATGGCTGCAATATTATAGCTGTTTATAAAAAAGTTAAACATGAAAACCAAGTATGATTTTTAGCCAAAATTGAGCAGCAATCAGAACTCCTTTGGCTAAAACAGAATGAAGTCGATAAGAAAGAAGCAGATTTTATTGATTATTGCAAAGATTATGAGTTGCTTTATGAAGAATTGATGTCGAAATATGAAAATGCCTTAAAAGAAGTTGCATTTTTGGAAAAAGAATATTTGAAAGCAAAATTGTTGGTCGACAAAATTGAAGAAAATTTAGAAGAGCAAAACTGCATTAAAGGGTTTTTGAATATAAAAAAAATCGTAGAAGATAATAAAACCTCTGAAGAAATCCCAGAGGTATTGCCAACGCCTAGAAACTATCAGCCTTCAGCTTTAACTAATCGCTCTGATCCTTCAAATACTCTTGAACAAGTGATAAATCAATTGAAATCACCACGGATTGTTGTAGACGAAACTGATATCATTTCTTTACAGCAAGAGTTTTCTAATGTTGTAGGTGACGAAAGCATTTTTAATGCCTCCAGCAAATCTTCGTCCTTAATTTCAGATAACTCATTGTCAGAAGATCTCCAGAAAATAATCCAAGAGAAAAATGAAGAGCTTCTTGATAAAGAAGAAAAATTATCCCCACTTGGCTTATTGGATCAGTATATTTAGAATATCAAAAGGGCAATTTTTATTAGAAATAAAGATTTTTTCTTTAAAAAGCCATTAATTTCATTATAACCCCATATAAAAGATTACGAAGAACAAATTCAAAAACTCAAGTCCCAGCTGAAAAATTAATATGAAATTTCTTATTCTTTATAATTTAATATGGCAGTTGCTATAAAACCTCATGAAGCTTTTCGTGTACAAGTAGTTCTTCGAGACTGTGTCAAGAAACTGCAGTTCTTAGGAACTGTAATGCAAACTTTAAAATCTGAAGGCAGAGATGATGCAACTGAGCTAATGGGTGATGAAATCTCTCGCATTATTTCAGAGCAGCGCAGTCTTGAGCAACAATACGCGCAGCGTGTAAAAGAACGCTCCTCTCTTACTGGCATCGCCAATAAACAAAAATCGCTTGAAGTCAAAGATAAAATTAAAGAAATCGCCAATGCTTTAAGAGAAAATACTAGACATTTGTGCAGAGTTTTGAAAGATAACCCAAATCTCCAGGATAATTTATTAAAAATTGAGAGGGATAGACAACAACTTGTAGTGGTTTTAGAAGACTTAATGAATGACATGTTCTCAATGAATTACCATTCATTTGCATATAAAGTGACTGAAGAGCTACAGTTACAAGACCTTTTAGGAAAGAAAAAGCAGCAGGAAAAAGAAACCTCGACCAATGCAAAACAGTTGCAAGAAGATTATAAAAAGGAACTGCAAGAGTACCAGAATGAGACAAAAGAAGCACAGCTAGAAATACAAAGAAGGAGAGATGAACTGGCTGAGGCAAAAAAAGCTCAGAGTTTTCAGGTAAAATATAAGGATAAAGATTTGAACGCAAATTTTGGAAGCCAGTATAGAGGGTATCAAGAAGAAGAAAAGCAGTGGCTGGATCAAATTGAGGACTTGAAGAAAAAGAAAGAAATGGAGCTCAAGGTCCATCAAAGATTATCTGCATTTATGGAAAAAGGAAGAGTTAATACGCAAAAGGACATTGAAGAATGGAAACAAAAAAAGGAATCTGATGTAAAAGATCTAGTGCTAAGGATCAACCAAATTAGCACGAAAAAAGAAAACGCCAAAAAGAAACTAGAAGCTCTTACAGAAGAAATTGAATCTGAAAAGAAAAGGCTAACAGAGAAAGAAAGAGAAGAAAAAGAACGAGAAGACATGCTCAGAGAAGAGCGAGAAGACAATGAAAGAAAATACAAAGCCTGCCAAGTTCTTGCAAGAGAATTTTTGAAATATAAAGAAATTATGAGTAAATTAAGACCGAAAAAGAAAAAAGGGGTAAAGAAAGGGAAAAAAACCGCCTAAATAAAAATTATTATAATGGATTGTCATAATATCTACTTATTTATTATTCTCCTTCCTTGTATTTCCATAGCATTGGGATTTCTTTTTTGATCAATGCCATAACTCCAGTTGATAGTAAACACATAGGAACTAAATATAAAAGTGCTGGCTGCTCTTTTTCCATCAATACCATTGCTAAATTAGTCATCAAAATCCCTATTGCGTATCCTGCAACAGTTGTGAAAAAATAAAGCTTTTGCTCTTTCATTTCTTTCTTATTTTCTCTGAATAAGTCATAGCGGAGAGCTAATGCTATAAAAATCCCAGGTAAAATAATATCACCAAGTCCGATCATAGAAAAATCTCCAGTAGCTTTAGGGAACAGCAGCTTAATAGGTCCATCAATTGATTTTGCTACAGTTATCATGATATCAGTACCGAATACAAAGAAAACATCATATACGATTAAACCTGCTAAAAGCCCATAGCCAACTTTAAATGATCCTAAAGGCATATTTTCTATTGCGTGAATGGTAAAAGCAATTCCAAATACATTGTTGAGGACCCAATTTTTTGTAAAAATATATAGTAGGCCTACAGGTGTAGCAATTAAATATGAAATTATGTCTTGCTTAATCCCCTCTGTGAGTGAGCAAGAACATTTGAAAAGTAAAAATTAAATTAAATTTCCTATATTTATCTTTTAAAATTTGAATTGATTAAATTCAACAGAATTTTCTAGAGATTTCATTATAATAATTATCTCTTCATATATTATTTTGTTTTTTTATAAAAAATGTTTGCTTCTTCTTTTAGCCAAAAAATAGGGTTTTTCAAGTGGTTTTGTTCTAGGGAGGAAGTTAGTAACTTCGAGGATTTCTGGTTTAGGGACAAAATAAGGGATGCAGATAGTTTTGGTCCATTTAAAAGTGCTTTCACAATATTTTACGTTCTTGAAATAAATGTAAATATATGATTTTAAGCAGTAAATTCCTATGATAAGGAAATATATTGATAGAAGGAAATTGACCAATTCTGGATTGATATATTTGATGCAGACATAAAGGCCTACAAGAACAGCTGCAGCCACCAATGGAAATCTCAAAGCTTCAGCAGCATCAAGGGGCTCGATTTCTTGTTCTTCTTCATTAGAGCCATGGTAGAATGGGGATAATTTTCTTGACCGCATTGACCCGATGTAAATAGGAACCAGTGAAAAGCAGAGGAGATTAAATGAGATAGGAAGCGGACAAAACTGTAAAATTGTGGTGACAATAGCCAATAAGCCAAAGCCGATCAAAAATGACTTTGACATGACTATATTTATTATTAATCTGACTCATAATGGAATATTTAGCTTAATTATTTAAACTTAATTAAAATCTGAAATAGATTTTATATTAATTGCTGATATTTAAAAAAAATTCATAGGCGATTATTTTAAATAATAAATTAGCATCTAATGCTTAGCAATCATCTATTCTTAAATAAATCACACTGATAAATTTTGATAAAATAGTTAGACTGTCTATCATTAAAGACATTACTTTTACTACATCAATTATCAAGAGTGTTATATACTAAAGGATAATCTAATATGAATATCTCTTTTTATAAAATATGGAAACAGTCGTTACAAGCATCAAACTTGGCTTCGGAATTCCCTTTGACATTCCTTGCGGAGAAATAAAAACTTTCATAGCAACGAGCTCTGATGAAACTTCTCGATTCCATTCAGAAATCCAACAAAAAACAGGGCAATCTTTTTCTGAGTTTACCACATATATAATCATCCCATGCATATCTCCAGAGGCTGCAACCACTCTTCACAATCTTTTTTCACAGCACTGGCAATCGTCATTATCTTCACAACCCTCCTCTGATCCTTTACTATCTCCCTAGCGACCGAGAAAACAATTGATAAAAGTCCTATTTGTTTGGGCAAAAAGCAATCCTTCGTAAGTGAGTAAATCTTTTTATAAAATATAATGATAATTATTATAATGAAATCCCTCTTACTAATTATACTAATTTTTTTAACATAATTTTATAAATTAAATTAATTTTGAAAATTTGTTTTAAATTTTATAAATTTTATGATATAAAACAAATGGGTTGACTCCCTCTTCAAATAAATAAATAAATAAAAAATTCACTTATTCATAGAGGTGGAGCTAGTAGAATTCATAAAAAAGCTTTCGAAATCTGACGATTCTGAAGGAAGAATTTTTGATGCTGATTTTTCAGTTAATACCAAAAATTTACTTATAAAATTAACTCCAGTATCACAGAAACTTGAGCAATATCAAGGGATGTATGAAATGGTAAAGTCTATGGCACAGAAAATACTTGCATCTAAGCAGCATGCATCATTAAATATTTTTCTAGGAAGAAGTATCACTGATATTTTAAGCTCAAGAAATGTTCTTATTGGGTTATGGCAATCTATGAAGATCGAGTTTGATTTGAATTATAAATCAAGTTTATCTGAAGATTTAATGACTTTAAGCCAGCAAATGGGAGGAACTGAAGGCGTTAGAGATAAGTTGCGAGTTCTGGCTGCATATGAAGGGATGACTATTAACTTGAATTTTTGCGACATCACGCAGATTCCACAAATAATCAAAGACGCTTTGAAAACTCAAGTAAATTTTGAAGCCCCAAGGGCCATGCTTAGCCGTGCCTTCTCAAATGTGATTCCAACGCTAATTCAATGTGTTGAAGGAGAAGTTACTTTTATGGTTGGAACAGCAGATGCCATCGGGGAACTGAAAATTAGACTGCCTGGATTTTCTGAGTTTTTAAGCTTAAATAACTAGTGATTTATCATTTTAAAAAATTACTATATAATCTTGCTATGCAAGAATTTTTGAACGTAATCATGCCAGTTATTAAATGGAATATGCTCTTCGAAAACTTTAGAAAAAAGCAAATCGAAAGGGATTTGACCTATAAAGTCACGTTTTTCACTATTTATCTTAGCTGCTTCACATGTCTACTTATTTATTACCAATATAAAAAACTGTTTTATAGGATCTTGAGTAAAAATTTTGCGATTTTGACGATAATTTTTTTTCGATTTCTTTTTTGGTGACGGATTATTTGCTTCTGGGGACTTTATTGACTTTAAAATGTCAAGTTCTAATAGTTCTGATTTATGGTCTGAGGATGCGAAGGTTTGAGAAAATTTTGTTTTATTATCGTAATTTAGAGGGATTTGCTTATCATTTAATGGTTTTTGAGTTTTGCCTGATGAGCTTTCTATTTGCAAGGCATCTCGTTTGACTTCATTTGTATGTCATTGGTCTTTTAATAAATACTTATTCTGAATTTCTGCATTATCTTTGGCTGTTGCAGCAGTTTCCATTGATAAATGGTTTGGATCTATTTTTAGCTCGGATTGGGATTCCATTGTTAAAAACTCTTTTTCTTCAATTTTCGAAGCAGGCATTGCTTCTAATATAACTGTTTTATTTCTTGTTGACTTTATCAAAATGCTTTCAAATTGATGAATTTTTAAAGAGGTCATAGATTTAGACTCGATTTTTGTCATAGATGTAGCTTCTAAAAAGAGTTTTTGAGTTTTGATTGGAAGCAAATATATTTGATTCTGGCTATTTATTTCTAATGGTTGGTGCCTAATAGTATGGATATTTTTGGATAACTCTTTATATATTTCTATAGTCAAAATTGGGGTCTTTTCAATTGAGAGATTTTGCTTTCTTTTATCAACTAAAGAATAATTTAACACTTCAGTTATTTCTAAAGTCTTGAATTTTTCATGCAGATCTTCTACAGGTTCTGCCTTGGATTCTCTAGATTTATTTATTTCTTAAACTTAGATAACAGATGGTGATAGCCTAATTGTAGCATTGTCACCGAGGATCTCCAAGGAGATCCAAACCACTTTGCAAGGGATGAAAGTGTCTCCTCCTTGTCATCCAGCTTCAGTTTTGAGTGTACATTCTTCGGACTTCTGCAACCTTGCTTGAGGTTGGGTGTGCACAAAAACCAAAACTGAGTTCTCCAGTCTACTATTAGCAAAAAGGAAAATTTGTAGTCCAGGGCGTAATCACTGGTTTTATTTTGGAGAATATGCCCGATTAGTCTAGGCATTGCCCTAAAAACTTGACTTGGCATCCCCTTTCTAACTTCCGAGTCCCTTCCTCCCTTGTTTAAAATCTAGCCCTGAAATTTGACTAGGTCTAGGCTCCACACAGTATTAGAATTGCTTAAGAGCATAGATGTCCATCTTTGAGCTAGAAAAATCATGCCGGATATAATTTAAATATGTGTTAGAAGAAATCGGTGCAGTCGACTGTAACGCATGAGACACCATATTTAAACTATTGAGATTTATTTATTTCAAGGTTTTCACTTTGTATGAAAATTTTATTTATGCAATTTTCTATTGATAAAAATCCTTGAAGTTTTTACACTACATTATATTAAGATTAATCTTCCTCTCTTTTAACTTCAATATCGCATCAACTGTTTGGGCTTCCGTCCCTGCTTCTTCTCCTTTTTCCATCGCCACGTCAAACATCGTGCGGCTTCGCCCCATAAATGGTCCATATGCTTCTAGCATTCCGATTTCGACAGCTTTCGTTCAGGCTTGATCTAAAAAACAGCTTAGGTCTGTCAGAACCCTAAAGGTCCTAACCTCACTGCCTGGGGTTTCTGACATCATTCCAGAAAATTATTTCCTAAGACAGGAGCCCTATGCTGCGCTTCGTAGACACCTTGAAGCCCTGTACTAGCCAGGACATTCACTGGGGAAAGTCAAACCTCATAAACATAAAATGGGAAAAGAGAATTTTTGATCGAGCGACCAGAAAATCCAAGTGACGCCGTTTTATGATTATTCCTTGAAGTTTTACAACTGGTAGTGATTCAATTATAAGTGGCACTTTATATTTTCTTTCTATGCATATCTTTGATAATTTCTCTATCGAAAGGTGATTATTATTAGCTTTTACTTCGATTGCATTTTCTTTTTTATAGCTATTTTCAATGTATATTGATTTATTACTACTGATACAAAGCAGAGGCTTGATAGTTCCTGCAATTTTAATCGCATGCATTGCTTCGGTTGATAATAGTTTAGATATGCTCTTTTCAATAGAAAAAGAAGGTATATTTTCAACTAAAAGCATTTCTTGCTGTTTTCTTTCAATAAGGACTGCTTGATGTTTTTCAACTGATAATTTTTTTTTACTTTCTTTCAAATTAACATTTGCTAAAGTTTCAATCTGAAGTTCAATTATTTCCTTTTTCACAAAAATCCCATCTGCTTGCTTATCCATTCTTAATTTTGAATAGTCTTTATATGGCAGAACCTTCACATTGCTTATTTTCTCTGTTATAAGCTCAACAAATCTTAATTTCGGCTCTTTCTTCTTTATTTCAATATCAAATATTTTAGTTATCTCATTGCCTTTTCTTTTCATTTTTGCTTCTATTTTAATTGATGGCAGAACTTCATCACTTAAAATTGCTTTATCTCTGACAGAGTCAACAAAACTTTGAAACTGCCCATATTTCGATGTAGGTGAGCTGAGCACAAAAAATTGTTTTTCATCAGGAACCTCTTCACTCTCAAAAACCTCTCCAAGATTTTCAGTGTCAATGGTCATTGTCCTTCTCCAGTCCTGCATCTTCTTTTGTCTTAAGCTCATAAGAGAATATTGATCATTATTTTTAATATCTTGCTCATGGCTAACTATTGGAGTCTCCATTTCATCTTCAGCGTGATTACTATATCCTGCTTCTGACACAAAAGTCGCCCTCATTTTATCCTTTTCATGCAACTTTTGAAGATTTTCAATCAAAATCTTTTGATGAATAATTTCATTTTTATAAGTCTCAAGCTGCTCTTGTAATTCTGATTTTTCATTCTGAAGGTTTTCGATTTCTTGATTAGCATCATCTAATTCTTTTCTTATAGATCCATTCTGGAATTTCAATCTTTCTGAATTATTTTTTTCAATTTTTAATAAATTTTCTAAATCTTTAATTTGGAATTGAAGGCCTTCTGCATCTTCTATTTGTTTCCTCAATTCTATTTGAAGCGCGTTTATCTGTTCCTGCTTTAAATCTGGAGGCAGCCTTTTAACTTCTTGACTGGCAGCTCTCGATCTAGTGCCTTGCTCTTTCAAAGAAATTTCTTTTTTAAGCATTAAAACATCTCTTTTTAGCTGTTTATTTTCATTAACCATATCTTTAAATCCTTGCTCAATATCATTTAAGTCATGGGATAAGCTTTCAATTCTTTTTTCTTTAATTATAAATTCGTTTAGTTGATCTTGAATTTGGGATTTCATTTCTTCATTTCGGGACTTTAATGCCTCGTTTTTATATGAAACTCTTTGCAGCTTTTGATTGGTTTTTTCATAAAGTTGATGGATTTTAAATGCCACGCTTACACATTCTTTGGCTTTTTTGTAAGCATCTGAAACTTCGGTCATAAGCTCTTCAACGATTTCTTCTTGGTTTGAAATAGATGATTTTTGGGATATTGTGGCTCTGCTAAAATATGCGTTAAATTTTTCAAGGTGCCTTATGAGTCCTGGAATTTCTGCTTCATTTAGTTTAGCTAAAGAGCTTGACATTTTGGGTGAAAAAATATATATATTTTTTAAATAAAATTCATTTTGATAATAAAATCCAATTTACTTGTAATATAAAATAAAATTTTGAGTTGAAGAATAATTGAATAAGTCTAACTATAAGAAATTTACATGCATCTTATTAAATTTTAAAATAATAAAAATTGATAAGATCAATAGCATAAAGAGCTTGTGCTATTACTGCGATAAGGATAATAATTAAAGTCAATTATCCCTCTTTCTCAGCGAGCAAGTGAGAGTAGAAAGTTCACAATATTATCATTTCTTGATAATTTTAATCTTTTTGAAAGTTTATTCTATCCAAGAAGTTCACTAATATTTAAAAAATTCCCAAAATTGTCAAAAGAAGCATTTGAAGCTTTTGCAAGAAACTTAACTCCCGTAGCTTAGAAGATCTTTTATGCTGCCAAAGAAACTGTTTAAGTTTAAGTTTAACGAATTACTCTAGTCATCTTGCCCATTAGTCTTCTGTCCAAGCTACATTAACAACTCTGAATAACGGTAGGCGGATCGGCCTAACAATTAAACCGTTATATTTAATAAGTCTGTTAAGACTTCTCTAGTTTAGTCGGCGCCAGCCACAGCACTAACTTCTTCTCTTCAAGCCGAGACTCTCAAGAAGCTTGACTTTCTCTCACTAAGCTTGGATGATAGGACCCAGACCTGCTTAGCAGGAGTTAGTACCTATCCCTAACTGAAATTTTAATATTGTGAAAGAAACTGATTAAGAGAATAAATAAATTTAATGATAATATATAGATAGATTATAAATAATCATGTGGATTTAAATTATGAAAACTTAAAATATATTGAAACGATGAGACTGAAAGTTTTAAATGAAAATGCAGATATCTTTTAAATCTTTGTAAAGTATTATCTTCTTCATTAACTATTTTTATTTTTCTGAAACCGGGAGAGTTGGATCTCGAACTGTAGCTCTTTTAGTATTTGTATATTTAAAACATAATTTATCATCTTAATGGATAGAAAAAATGGTTTTATTTTTGCAATGCTTTGCTTGAATTTATCTACTAATTCCAAATCTTTTGCAATCTGAGTGAAGTTAACCAATGAATGCTGTTGTTAAAAGAGTACAATTTGATACTTCCTTGTTGAATTTTGTCCTCACTTTGGTTTGCTCATTAGTATTATCATGAAGGCTCATCCTTGCATTGCTGTTACATGGATTTCTACATTATTTTCTCAAAAATGGCCCTTTACATTGCTTTATTGGCTCCATGCCAAATGACCGCGAAAATTTGATAGTGCGACATCTCATAGGGGAAACTTTTTTCGAATCATTTTTGTTAGTGAGACATTTGACCGTAAAAACCGTCAAATTTTGGTACACTATTTAAAAATTTTTCGAACAAAAGTACTTCGGTGAAATGGACACTATTAAAAAGGCAAAGTCATTTGACCCGCACCCTGCTTTATCAGAGTAGTGAATATGAAAGAAAATTACTTTAAAATATACAATATAAAGGCTATCTGGAATTTTAATTCAAGATAAAGAGTAAATAATGTTGAAATTCATTTTAAAATGAACATATTACTTTAGATTATATCATTAGCTTTTGAGTAAATAATACTAAATAATTACTAGAAGTATATTTGAACGACAGACTAATTTGCTCAACTATAAGCGTGAGGCTAAATTTTTATACCTTGATATGCAAAGTACATATAGGCTCCAGATGCTTAATTTAAAACGTATCATGCAAATAAATTAAGTAGCAAGCTTATAATAATTTTTTTATTTTTATTAGGCCCTTCTTGATCTGATTAAAAACTTAGAGTCAGTCTTTTTAGCAGAGTACTGCTTAAACGCATCTTTAACTCCATCTAGGCCTACTTCAGTATGATAATCAGTCTTCAGCACATCCCCAATTAAATCTTGAATCTCATATCCAACTTCGACCTTTCTTTCAGGTGATAGCACCTTTAACCAATTTACAAGCCAAAGCCCTTTAACAGTTTTATCACCCCCAATTAAGGACATAGGACTGGCCTGAGCAGGCTGTCCTGAAAGTCCTCCGTAAACATAGACAACTCCTTCTTCTGCCAATAAGTCAAGCATATCTTGCGTAGCACTTCCAGCGATTGCATCAAACCCAATTTTAGTTCCAAGTTGGCTGGTTACAGCTTTTGCAGCATCTTTCCATCCATCATCTGAAGTATTGAATATATGCTCAGCCCCTATTGAAGCTAAAATATCCACTTGCTCTTGTCTCCTTACCAAATTAACGGCCGTGATATTTAGCAGCTTACACCATCTGATGAGCATTTTTCCCAAAGCTGAAGCTGCGGCATCAATGACTACTGACGTGTGATTTCCTTCTTTAACTCTATCCTCAATAGTAAACATTTTTCAACTTATATTTTCATCGAATTTATATTTTTGAGCTTTTAAATTTATTATCAAATATAAAATAATCCATACTTGTAAAAATTTAAATAAATCTAGAAGAGAAATCTATATTTATAGCAGATGCTATTTTTAAAGCTGAAAAATATTCTGATGCAATAAACAAATATAATTATTTGATCAGACTTCAAGATAGATTGCAAAAATTAAAGTGAGCTTTTATTTTATTAAAATATGTATAAAATTTTTAAAGATTTCTCTTTTAGCTAGAGGGAGTAAGCTTATCAACCATATAGGCAACAGTCATAGGGTTTACAATCAAGCTTGCTCCTTGCTCGAAAGTGACAGTGTCTTTCAAAGGAAAAACAGAAAACGCAGAAGCAATAGAATATTCAGCATAAGTCCCATAAGAATCTGCGATAAATGAAACTCTTTTTCCGACAAGAGATTGAGCATATGCATGACTGCCACTTTTTACTACAGTGCCACTGCCTTCGTTTCCTAGGGTGAAAGGAATATTTTTCCTTTGATAACCTCCTAAAGCTTGAGCAAGATCGCTAACATTGATTGGGGCGCATTCAACTCTAATTAAGACTTGAGTGTCCTGAAGTTCAGGGATTGGTACTTGATCGACCACTATTGAGTCAAAATCACCGTATGCGTGAATTCTTACGCTTGCTGCTGATTGGACTTCCATATTATTTTCGCCAACGAATTTACAAATAAAATCGTAATCATACTGAAATGGAGATTTATTGCTTTATAAGAGAAGCGAAGAATTTAATTTAAAGTTAATGGCGATAAGAGCCCTAAAATGATTAATCTTTTCTTGCTTCTGCCCTCTATAATCGAGAGAGTAAAAATATCATCCTTTTGGATTTCAGCCAATAATCATTAACCAAGTGATCAATTCCCTTGAGCAGAGTCATCTCCTGGAGTGCACTCGAGGCACTCTAGACAGGGAAAGACCATATGAATGCAAAACCTGCATAACTGTAGAATTAATAGAATGGATTTTAGGGATAGTAAACTTCTCAATTCGGCAGGGCTTGCTCAAACCCGAAGCTATCTGATATTTCCTAAAAAAATCTTTTGGATCCTCAGGATAACTCCATCATTTTATTTGTAATACCGAATAAGGAAGCAGATGGCTCTTAAACTTTCCCGAGCTGATGCCATATAATCAGAGCGATAAAAATCATCAATGAATAAGACAGAGAAATTAAAAGTAAACTATTTTTAAGGCCCCAACGATAATAATTTTCTCGTCAAAAAAATTGATATAATTTGGCTGATATTCTTACACTATATCAATGCTCCGAAATCGGCTTGACAAAAGCATTTTCAAAAAATTAGATTAGTTATATAGAGATATAGATATAAATATAGCATTAATTTCGCAGCTAAGAAGCACTCTAACATAAAGAGGTAAACTAACTGAAGAATATACTTAATTAATTTCAAAAGCCTTTATTGTAGCTAAGTATTGAGTAATTTGATACCTTGAAAATTTTTATAAAGAATCCCAGGAGTCAAATATGAAATTACAAATTTTCTTCTAAAATATAAATCGCTCAAAGGTCGTCTGGATTGAAATATAAATATTTCAAGAAATTCTATCTTTCATTATAAACTTTGCATATTTTGAAATATTAATTATGATAATATGGAGGATTTAATAGAGCTTGGTCCTAATGATAATATTGTACTTGATGACCCTAACGATGAAAAATGCACAATCACAGTCGAATATGAAGGCAAGCAAACTATAGTGTCCTGGTACAATGGTCTTGGCTCTGATGATGTAAAAGAGGCTATCGTTTGTGCTTGTGATTGCATAATTGATTCAGGATTCTCACTTGTAAACTCAGACGGGTTTTTAGTGAATTTTTCCCAAGTAAAGTCAGGTGAGAAATACATCATTAAGCCAGGAGAAGAAATAAAAGGCTATGAAAAAGCTTTGGGGGACAGATGAAGAAGGATTAATTTAGACATCGAGCCTCTACAGCACGCAGAAAGCATGCGAGCTATAGAAATCATGCAAAATGGTGCAAATCTGTTAAAACACACTCGAAGGTCAATGCCACACATAAGAATGTTTCAGTTGACGCCTGATTTGAAGTACCTCATATGATACACTTCAGCAAAATCTCAAACAAAATCTTCAGTTCCTTTTCAGCATGTCACACAAATTTCAATAGGACAAACTACACCTAACTTTGGCAGGTACCCACTTCCTGTACTAAGCCACTTGTCGTTTTCTTTGTTTTATGATGGAAAAACACTTGATTTGACCTGTAGAGATGAACGAGAATTCGACTTCTGGGTCGCTGGGTGCAAAGCTCTCTATTTTCATTACCAAAGCATGCTGGTCTCCAAACAAATTTTATTAGGCCATTCTAGGCGATTTAATGAATTTTTACAAGCAAATAAGCTTGGCTTAGCGACCTCTTCTTTATATCAAGAGCCAGAAACCAAAAAACTTGAAGAGTGCATTATCCGCAAAAGACTCACTCGTGAAGAAGCTTCTAATAAACTGTTAAAAAACAGAGAAAAAATATCAAATTTAGAAGACACTATTAGAGATTTGCCTGAAATAGAGTCTCCTATGATGAATAAAATGCCAAGCAGAAGCGCATTTTCTAGTGATTATGTAGAAGTGCTGTTAGATGATGAAGGGATGGATGAGGTGTATAACACCCAAGAAAATAGAATGCATGAGCTATTGAAATCTTGCAAAGATAGAGTGGAAGCGCTTGAAAAGGAATTTTCCAATATGTATGGAGTTCCAGCCTGGGAGGAAAATAAGGAATTTGATAGCAATTTGTGAAAATTAGAAGTTGATGTTGAAAATCTAAATGATATAGTAAAAAGAATGGAAGATCTTGCAAAGCCAAAACTTACTGATAGGGTTAAATCATGGTTTAAATCAAAAGTCTCATTTTTTTAATTAAGGTAAAGAAATTAGCTGATATCACAAAATTATGTATATAAGCATTGGCAATTTTATTATTATATTTATATTTAACTTATAAAATATTCTGATTTTTGAATTAAATGAGGAGTCGGGAATATGAATTTATTAGAATTAATAGGGCTTTAATGAACAAATAAAATCTCATTTTTAATCAGAAAAAAATTCATTTGAGATTTAGCCTTATTTATTGGCTTTTAAGACGATGATGGTGATTTTGGAGGTTTTGCACCAAAGTTATGAAAATCAGGTCTTGGGGATGGTGTTACTCTTGGAACTACTTGAGGAATGTCATTATTTTTTTTGAAATTTGGCGTACCTTCTTCTGACATGGGTACTCCTGATGCTGTCTGTGGTGAGCTTTCTTCATCTGGAAATACTTTTTTACCAAAAATCTTGTGTGAGAAAAAATAATCATAAGCAACAAGTGAAGTTAGCCCAGTAAATGCAATTATTGTGCTTGTCATTTATATTTATTTTCGGTATCTTAATTCACATATTTGCTTACATCCCCTTCTGTGAGCAAGTAAAACCATTGGACAAATCCCTATTTTTTGGAGAAGCCTTCCAGGAGCGAATAAAATTATTTTATATAAAAAATATTTTGATATATATGTGGCAATTATTATAATGAAATTTCTTAATTTTAAACAGCTTGCATTTAAAACACAAATTTTACAAATCAAATTATTATTGATATCCAATTTTTATGAATTGGGAGTTTTAAATTTAAATAAAAAAATTAAGCCCCAAGTAAGCGACAAAATTGTTTTGTTCGCGTTGGTAAGGAGTTAGAGAAAAAACACTACAGTATCTTAAATAGTTCATGAACCATATAATAGACATATTTTATATAGAATTACGTTTTATCTAACTATTGCCTGACTATCACATAAATATGAACAAAATTAAAGCTTTTTCTAAAAACTTTTGTTTATTTTAATAGAAAAAAAATTCCTATCATTCTTTATTTACCAAAAATAAAGGTTAGATAAATAAATTTTTAAATTGGTGTGCTAGCCAAATTAAAAGTGAAAGAAAGGAGTGCTCTCTATTTAGGTGGAAATTAAGTCTTAAATGCATAAGATTCTCTTTAATAAACTATTATTTTTTTATCAAATCCCTTTGATTATATTCAATAATTTCAAATTTCTTAATTTCTCATGGTTTCAGAATTACATTTCATTAATAAATGGCAGCTGCTTGGAGAGGTGAGTATATGACCAGCTCTGCACGTTCTCAAAAATATACCGGACTTTGCAATCAAGGAGCTACCTGCTATATGAATAGTTTACTACAATCGCTTTATATGAGTCCTGAGTTTCGCAAAAAAATCTATTCATGGACTTATGATGAGAAAAAGCATGGTGACAAAAGCTCTTGCATTCCTTTTCAATTGCAAGTTTTATTTGGAAAACTTCAAATTTCCGGAGCGCCTTATATTGATACTAAAATATATACATAAAATGGCGTATGGCGACCGACCCACCCTCCCAGTGGTGGTTACCCATGTATATCCGGGCATGGTTTTTGGAGCCAGGAATTCGCCCAACAACGTCCGGGACCTCGAAGCGAGAGGCCTAAGCGCGAGAACCGCTGTTTTTGCGACCAGACCCATGGGCAGTTATTCGTGACTTCTTTTTGCCAGCAGCAGCGCTCAGCCAGTGAGTGCCCGAAATGAGGCAGGGTGAATTACCTGCCTAAGCTGCTTTAGTGGCTCGCCCCGAATGGCGAAAGCTGTTGAGTTCTTTCTCGGGATGACCGGAAAAGAGGGGAGGCGAGTTAGACATCGAGACGGGGGTCTCTCCAGTTTAAAAGGTGCCCTTCAATGGGCAGATCTGGCGGACGACGAAGCGGAGTTGGCGTAAACTTTAGGCGACGATCCAAGTTGGAAATGGAGGTGGTCAGCAAAGCCGGTATAATACGGCCCTTGACAATACCTCTACCGAGAAACCGGGGGTTCGGCCCCGGGCTTGGTGAACGCTCTGCCACCACACGGGGAAACCGTGGCATGCGACCTCGGACGTAGTAGGGACTTTAAATACCCAGCGTAATCTTAATCTTAATCTTAATATTGATACTAAAGCTTTGACTAAAAGCTTTGGATGGGATTTAAGAGAAGGTTTCCAGCAGCACGATGTGCAAGAGTTTTGTAGAGTCCTATTCGATGCTGTCGAAGAGAGTATCAAAGGAACACCTGACTCCCCCCCCTCCGTGAGTGAACAAAAAAATTTTGTTCACTCACGGAGGGGGGTTAATTTTTTTTTTTAAGAAAATTTATATTTAAATTTTCGAAAATATTTTTTTTCGAAATTAAAAAAATCCGAATTCGCAAAAATTGGAAAGAATACTAATTTAATTTATGAAATTTATGTTTTAAAAAGCAATTCGTTTAAAATTAAACAGAATTAGCTCTCGATTTCATTATACTAATTATCACTTATATATCAAATTTTTTTTCCATAAAAAATTTTTCTATTAAAAAAATTTTTGTTCACTCACGGAGGGTGGGTTTTTTGGCAAAAAATGCCGATTTTTCTAATGGTTTTGTTCACTCACGGAGGGGGGGAGTGAGGAAAATCTTATTAACACGCTTTATGAAGGAATTCTTACTGACTACGTCAAATGTTTGAATTGTAAAAACCTTTCAAAAAGGCACGACACATTTTTGGATTTATCATTGACTGTGAGAAATGAGTTCGATAAAATTTATAATGATTCTGTTGAAACTGCATTAAGAAATTATACAAAACCTGACAACTTAACAGGTGATAATAAATATTTCTGCTCTCACTGCAATTCAAAGCAAGATGCGTTAAAAGGCCTCTCGATTGAAAGATTCCCTTACATTCTTGTCCTTCAGCTGAAACGTTTCGATTTAGACTACAACACCATGCAAAGAATCAAACTTAACGACAAAGTAACCTTTCCTCAAATTTTAAACGCAAACCCTTATATTGGAGAATGGAAACCCTCAGTCCCTCAAACTGCACCAGAAGAAGAAAAAGACGACGAAGAAGTCAAAGAAAAGGACCAAATTTCCTTTTTTAAGCCTCCAGAAAACATTGATAACCTTGAGCTTAAACAAATGAAAAATTCTAATTTGGAGTATTTAAAAGACGACCGTGACAAAAAACCTTTGCAGATGGATCAAATGGTAAAAGATAGAATTATTAACCACCAGACAGAAGAAAGAAAAAGAGTCCAAAGGGAAGAAATTGAAAAATATTATATTGAAGGAGAATATGTTTATGAATTATTTTCCATTATGATTCATTCAGGGTCAGCGATGGGAGGCCATTATTATGCTTATATAAAATCCTTTGAAGACTCAAAGTGGCACAATTTCAATGATAGCACAGTTACAGAAATTGAAGAAAAGGATATCAGAAAAGTATTTGGCGGCGAAACCAGCACAAAGTCATGGAGCTCTAATTACTCTGCAAATGCTTATTTACTTATGTATAGAAAAGTTTCCCCAGAAAACATCATAAAAATTGAAGATTATGAAGTCCCTTCATATATAAGAGATGAGCTTGTTAATCTTAAAAATAAAGAAACTGTTGAAGCAGCCCAAAAGGAAGAAAAATATAAGACGTGGACTATAAAAGTTTATCACAAGAAAAAAGAAATCACGTTACAAATCAAAAAAGACAGCCCATTTGGGGCAATAAAAGAAGAAACTATAAAGCAGTTTGGGATCAATGATGTTTTGCCTGAAAATATGAGGATTCGTGGATATTCTATGTACTATGACATTTACCAAGAAGTTTATGACGAAACAAAAACAATTGAACAACAGCAGATTTGGAACTATAAAGTCATGGCAGTAGAAACAAAAAACCCTAATGATGAGTGGCTTCAATATGACCCTAACAAAATCACAGTAAGAGTAAGCTTATGAACTCCAGAAATGGCTGACGAAACCAAGTCTCTTGACGAAAAAACTTCAAATCCTAACAAAATCCTGGTCGATAAAAAAGAAACAGTCAGCTACTTATTAAGCCTTTTAGAAGAAAAATTTGGCATCCCTGTCCAAAATCAATGCATTGTCAAAAAAAGCTATATGGGCATGACAACTAAGCCAGAATTCGTAAACTCTCCTCAAAATATCAATAATTCTTTATCATATGCCAAAATTTATGAAGGAAGCGCTATATATTTAGAAAACTGTGACAGCATTGCCCACTCTAAATGGGCTGAGCAAATTGAATTAGAGTCTAAAAGATATACAATAAAATTCAACCATCCAGACGATCAGCCAAACGCAATAAATCAGATGGATTATTCTTATTCTGTAGTAATCGATTGCAATTCAACAATGCTGCATCTTAAAGATTCTATAGGAGAAAAATTAAAACTGCCTGTAGATGGGTTTGTTATGAAGAGAGGTGGCAAGCATTGCCAAGAAATAAAAGATTTATCATTAAAAATCATCCAAGCAAATTTAGTCAATAATTCTGTCATTTATATAGAAAGAGGAAAGCCTACCAAAGCTAATGAATATAGGGTTATTTTTTCGATTGCGACTCCTGCTAAAGAAAATGATGGGGATGCAACACTTAATAGGTTCATTGATGTTTTTGATATCCCACTAGATGCTGGGACTAATGTTTTTGATTTAAAGCAGCAGCTTTGTAAGAAGTTTAATGATATGTATCCATCTATGGAACTTGAGGCTAAAAGAATTAGGCTGAGAGAAAAAAATACTGATAGATTGTTAAGGGTTTTCAGAAATAATGATCCGCTGAGGAGTTATGCGATGTACGAGAAAAAGAATGTAGCTATACAAATCTTGGAACAGGATGAAGAAGAGGTTGGGCAAAATCAGATTATTGTGGTGGTAAAAAGGTGATTCCCTTCAACTTGGGAATTATCTGCAGCTAAAGAGCTTGTTGTCAAGAAAAACTCAACTTTGGAAGAATTTGGACAAGTTATAGCTGACACTTATGATATCCCAGTAATTTTTATTTATACTGAATTTTGCTGTATTATGATTATATTGGCAATCCCTACTACCTATTTTCTATTATAAATGGTCTAAAAGCTATGGCTAATTCCTAAAAATTAGTTTAGAACAACAACATAGTACGAAAATTTAGAAATTTCAAAAAATAACTCCACTTGGAATTTTTTCAGAACAGACCTCAAAAAAGAAACCTTTTACAAGACCAAAAACATGCTTGGGTCATTAACCCAAAGTCCATGGTATTTAACTCTTGACGGCAGCTTATTTTTGTAATTCTTATTCAGCATCAAAGACTCCACTGAGCAGATAAGAGATCTGACTCCAGAAGAAAAAAAGAAATATGAAAAAACGAGCTATGGGTCAAGCAGCGGCTATGGAAGCGGACAAACTTGGGTTTATAAGCCACCAAAAGAAGAATCAGTCAAAATTAAAGTGAAAAAACAAACCGTAGAAGATGGAAAAGAGCCAGATCACGATGAAATCGAAGAGAAAAACAAAGAAGATGCTGAAGAAGCTATGGATATGGAAGCATTAATCTAATTATTAAGGATATTTTCAATCAGATCACAATAATAATATGGAATTTCTATTGATTTTTCTAGGTATACTGTCAATAGCTTTTTTTTACTTGTACAAAAACAAAAAAATCATTCTTTCTGCCAAAGGTAAAGACATCAAAGTCATTTTAGTCGTGAGAAATGACTTAAACATGGGAAAAGGAAAAATCGCTGCACAATGCTGCCATGCCTGTTTAGGACTTTATAAACGGCAGATTATCAGAGATAAATCAAGCATAGATTTATGAGAAAAAGAATACGGGAAAAAAATCGTTGTTAGGTGCAATGATGAAAAAGAAATGTTTCAAATAGCAGAAGCAGCTGAAAGAAAAGGACTAGGGACATATATTGTGTGTGATGCGGGCTTTACACAAGTTGCCCCAAATTCTAATACAGTTTTGGCAATTGGTCCAGCATCAAGTGAGCAGTTTAAAGATATAACTGGACATTTAAAATTACTTTAATATACATTTAGTTTTTCAATATGAATTAAAAAATAAATGGAGATTCGTTTATCTGCTTTTGACTGTAAAGTTGTTAATGCTTACACTTTTGGACCGAGAAAAAAGAGGTCTTAGAATAGAAAGGCGCTTAGGCTTTGTATTTGTATTTGAGGAGTCAAGCTGCTCTGTTATAACAGAGTTTGGAGTATAAAGTGGTCTCATTGACTCAACGTACTCAAATGAATCATTATTTGAAGGATTTTTGGTTTTAAAGCTTTGAGAGCTTACACTTGCATTTTTTACAATAATTGGAGGAGGATCATCAATATTGTCAATAGGTGTTGGAACTGGCTGTATTTTGTATGAGCTTTTCCTGGAGATTTTCTTTTTGTGTTTCTTTTTAGGAGGATTGGTATTTGAAACATCATTGGTGTTACTAAATGAAAAAGGCTCAATAGTTAAAACTTGGCCTGTTTTGTCGCTAGCACTTATATCAGCTTCATTCATTATTTTATTGTCTTTAGGGACATATAGAAGATCAAGAGAGAATCTGATTATCATAGATAGTGCACCTCCTCATCCTATTCAAATAGCCAAATTATTCATCCCTGTTGCTGAGTCCCAATATTTATTGTCATAAATAATTGGAATTAATAACAGGAATATCTCTGAAATATGATAAATTATGGTGAAAATGTTGTTTCTTTTGCAGAAGTATGGAGTAAATACTATGATATAAGTCACTATATAAAATTTACCAATAAAAGCTTCAATGCCTAGCATTAAGTAGCACTGAACATAAGGATGCTCATATAAAAATACAAAAATCAACCCAAAGATAATTCTTGACATTATAAATAAAGGATAATAGAGCCGCGATAGCTTGGAATTTTCATTTAATTCCTCATTGAAAAAATTGTAAAAGTTTTTGTTGTCTTTATTTTTATAAATTGCAATAAGCATTAAATAGAGACTCACAAAATAAAAAATTCCAATAATAAAAGATAGGCAATCACAAGCAATACCGAACGCCGATGATGAATTCTCAATATTTTGCAGATTTAAATACCCATAAATAGTGAAATCGAGACTTGCTGCAGTAAAATATCACGACAGAATTGTATATTGTCCCATTGCTTTTTTGAAACTTGCTCAAAATAAAGGCAAAAATAGAAAAGCTATACACAATAAAACAAAAATAAATAACCATTCTTGAGCATTGTATAAAATCAAGCTTGTTTCTATTCTCATAAAATCAAAATTAGGCTGCTCAGGCTTTGGATGTTTTTTGCCATAATAAATATAGCCCTGGTATAAATAGGTAAATTGTTTTCAAAATTCTTTGTAAAATTCTGAAGTTGAAAAATCCAGCAATGGGATATATCTAGCCAATTGCAAATAAGTCACCAATTGGGTAAAACCTCCATGTACACCTTTATGATCTTGGTATAAATATGCAAGAATAAACATCAAAAATCATAAAGCACATATAGTAAACATTGTGGCCAGTCCTAGAACATAACCGTCTTGCTTAGTTTCAGCACTATAAGCAAAAACTCCACTTATTAGAAAAATTCACGTTTTCATTTATAAATTTCTTAAAATGGTTAAAGGCCTTGCAAAGCTTGTTCAATCTTTAAAGAAAGCTAAAGATGTCTCTCAAACTCTTGAAATTTTGGATCAAACTCCCAATGGCATGCTGCATGAAGGTCCATCACTTGGAATTGAGATGATAAAGCTAGCAGCAACAAAGTACAGCAAAAATGATGAAATTTTTCAAGTATTAGAAAGCCCGAAATTCTTTAATGCATTTCGTGGTGATAATTTTTGATTATATTTAAACCACTTGCTTCAGAATAAAAAATCACAAATGAATACAGATTTTTATTTGTCTTTAGAAAAGAAAATAAATAAAATGACTTCAGATGAATTAACATGAAGAGGAATTGGAAATGCATGGAAAATTTTTGCGAAATATTCAATGATTCCTTCATTTCAATGCATAACAAAGCTAGAAGAAGAAATTATTGACAGAAAAAAAGAATTTGACTTGGCCACCTATGGAATAATCATGAATGCTTATGCTAACCTTAGGATTTTAGAAAATCCTGACTCCCCCCCCCCCCCTCCGTGAGCGAACAAAAAAATTTTGTTCGCTCACGGAGGGGGGTTAATTTTTTTTTTTAAAAAAAATTTATATATAAATTTTATAAAAAATATTTTTTTCGAAATTTAAAAAAATCCTAATTTGCAAAAATTGGGAAGCAAATATTAATTTAATTTGCAAAATTTATGTTTTAAAACGCAATTTGTTTAAAATTAAACAGAATTAGCTCTAGATTTCATTATACTAATTATCACTTATATATCAAAATTTTTTTCCATTAAAATTTTTTCTATTAAAAAATTTTTGTTCACTCACGGAGGGTGGTTTTTGGTCAAAAAATGGCGATTTTTCTAATGGTTTTGTTCGCTCACGGAGGGGGGGGGGGGAGTGAGCATAAAAACCCTCAAAGGTTTATGAAAGAAATGATAACAAAAAAGAAAATTGATGAAGGCGAGCTAAAGAAACAGTCAACAATGGTTTCCTTGTTAGGGATAGCAAAATCTCTGTGTCTTATGCATTATTTTACTCCCCCCCCTCCGTGAGTGAACAAAAAAATTTTGTTCACTCACGGAGGGGGTTTATTTTTTTTTTTTAAAAAAAATTTATATATACAATTTTACCCTCACCATAAACAGCAGCATATAAATTTTATAAAAAATATTTTTTTTCGAAATTTAAAAAAATCCTAATTCGCAAAAATTGGAAAGCAAATATTAATTTAATTTATAAAATTTATGTTTTAAAAAGCAATTCGTTTAAAATTAAACAGAATTGGCTCTAGATTTCATTATACTAATTATCATTTATATATCAAAATTTTTTTCTATTAACAAAATTTTTTGTTCACTCACGGAGGGTGGGTTTTTGGCAAAAAATAGCGATTTTTCTAATGATTTTGTTCACTCACGGAGGGGGGGGAGTTAGTGATACAAGCCTATGGCTGAGCTATTTTAAAAATATAGCAGATGCTTACAGCAGCGTAAAAGATGAAGCTACGCCTTGGAAAGCTGATATCGATATGTCTCTACTGCACTTAATTGATGCTCATCAAACTTATGCGGCAGAAAATATGCAAGAATACCAAGAAATGCTGAGCCCAATTAAAGAAAAATGCATTTATGACCCTACAAAATTAGCCAAAACAAATAAATTATCAGATTGGGAAAAAAGCATTGAAGGAATTCTCAAGAAATTCTCATTGAAATATGAGGCTGACAAAATCGTTAGTGACTATTACACTGTTGACTATTTTTTCGAACCCAATATCGCTATAGAAATATATGGGCCTATTCATTTTTTAAGGAAAATCACTGGAGAAAGCACAAATTTACTAAAGGGAAAATCCATATATAAATCTCAGCTTCTAGGTGCAAAAGGTTTGAAGATAATAAGAGTCCCATATCATTTAAAGGAAGACACAGAAAACTACATAGTAAAAGAATTACAAATTTTAGGGATTTTAAGTAATCTTTAATTATGGAATACATTTTGAAAAATTAAACATGAGGGAATACATATACCAAAAATTAGTATGGCTTGACGAAAAACACAAGGTCTTAACACCACTGAAAGTAGCAATTGACTCTTTACTATGAGACAACCCTCAAAATGGCTACTGCTATGAGCTATCCTTAGTAGTTGGAGCCCGGACGAATAGCTCAGACCCATCATCAGTCACTGTAATGGTATTAGATTCGATAAGTGACACTTTTTTATTCCATCAGTTTTGGCTTGCAAACCCTTCAGAAGCCTCTGAATTAAAAGAAAATTTGCTAAATTTTACAATAGATGCTGCAAATCAAAGAAATATCGCTATTTTTATGAATCCGATTTCTGGAAATAGAAATGGTCGCGACGTGTGGGATCAGCAATTTCAACCAGCACTGAGATTTACACCATTTCGCTATTCTTTATTTGAAACAACCGATCATGAATATATAGAAGAATGGGTGCAAAATCATGATATCAAGCAATTTACAGATATGGTCTGTTTAGGAGGGGATGGGACTTTACATCTTCTTATTACAGCTATTGAAAAATATTATCCTGGGTTTCTTGAGGACTTTAAATTTGGAATTTTGCCTACTGGCTCAACAAACTCATTAGCGTGTGAGCTAGGCGCAAGAAGTATAAAGCAAGGTATTTTAAATATCATTAAAGGGCATTCTTCAAAAGCTGACCTTCTTAAAATAAAATTGGATTCCCAAGAAGTGCTTTCCACATGTGCATTGGTATGGGGAGTACCTAGTGATATCTGTAACGACGCACAGAATTATCGGTTTTTAGGCTCACTCAGATACGGAGTTGTAGGCTTTATGAAATTTTTTAGAAAGTGAAGGAAATATAAAGGAAGGCTTGTCTATGAAAATGATGCAGGAGAAAACGTAGAAATGTCAATAGACTATGTGTTCGTTATTGCAAGTAATCACAGAACCCAAAATTCTGCCAACAATGAAATGCTGACTCCATTTGGTAGAATAAATGACGGCTTTATTGACGTCCAAAGTATGGTCTACGGTAGCAGATGAGATATTATCACTTTTCTAAGAAAATCTGCAAATAAAGGCTCACACACTAATTTATCATTTATCCAACATTTTAAGACAAAAAGCATCACAATTGAGCCCGCAGATTTCCCTATATTCAATATAGATGGGGAGATTTATAATTCTTCTAGAGCTCAAGTCCAAATTATTCCACAAGCTATAAGATATTTAGGAGCTTTATATGATGATGGTAAATAATTTTCTAATGATAATTTATTGTAGAAATGGATGCACCTAGATTTCAGCCTTTTGGCTTTAACCAACAATCTCAATCGCAGGATACCCAAGGATTTAACGTCAGTCAAGTCCCGAGTTCTATGAATCCTTCAATGCAAAATCAACCAGGAAATTACTCTTCGCAATCTAATGGCTACCCTCGACCTGGCCAATTTATTCCCGGCCAGCATCTACAATCTATGCCTTTTGAACAAACTAGGCCTTATATATCAGAAATCCAATATCAACAAAATCAGCAATCTTCAATGCCGCCAAGTTTTATACCTGCTGGAACTATGAGTCAGATCTCAGGAAACCCATCAGGAACAAATCCTTCTATGCCAATAATTCGACCTCCTTTCGCTCCTAAACAAGATGCTCAGCCTTTAAATCCTCTTACTATGCCTCCATCACGCAGTATTACTCCTTATAATCCTCAAGGTAACAGTTTCTCATCTCCTCCTCCCATTTCTGGAACACTAACGCCAACTAGCAGACCTTCTCCTGGTATTAATCCTCCATTTTCTTCATCACAACCTCTACCTTCAGGAATCAATCCTCCTTTTAATTCTTCTCCTGCAAATAGCCAAAATCTTCGCTTTCCTCCTTTCTCCAATGCTCCAGCAAATCCCTCACTTCGATTTCCAGCTTTTAACACTCCTGGCAACAACGCTCAAGGACAATCATTCCAGCCAGGCGGCTCAGATTTTTATCCTTCTCAACCTCTGAACCTATCAAATCTACCTCCCACTCAGCAGCCAACTCAAAATTATACAGAAAACCAAGCTATCAATCAGCCATTTAAAAGCACTCCTTTAAATCTTAGTATAAAAAATTTAGTATAATCCAAATGTTAGAGACTTCATAATTTAGGAAAAAATTATGAAAAATAAAGAATCCTTTAAATCAGCCTTTTAGCATTCCTTCTTCATCACCCAACAACCCTCCACCTTTTTTTCCAAACAGTTCTCCGCTTCCTTTAAATTAAGGTTAAGCTAGATTAGCTGATTTTACGAAGTTTCTATTTTTACAGGTAACCTTTTATACTTTGTCAGAAAGTGTCTTCTTGGACAAGCGAACTAAGTGGGCATCAACCTCTGGTAACTCTAATCCCAGGCTGAGCCCTGGATTCTCAGTAATGGCATTATCCTAATGTTGAACAGTGACTTTAAAAATCATGCCTGGATATATACGGGTCTCCATCGCTGAGAGATATCGCTCTCAGTTTTATGTTTATCCCTTCCTTTAAATAACCCTGCACTTAATAAAGCTGAAATCCCTCAAAATCCCTCAACTATAATACCTCCTCCTGAAGATAATTCGCCATCTAGATGAACTTTTTCTACGTCTGGGCTTAGCAAAGAATTTAGTAAATCTGAAACTAAAATTATTGAAGCAGCTTTTAGAGAAAAAAAAGATCATTTAATTTTGGAATCGAATGAGGGTACCTTTTTAATTGATTTTAAAAGCATGACAAGAAGAAAGATCGATAATAATGGTGAGCCGATAAATAGACAAGGCGGAGGGGTTTCATGAAAATGGAAAAATGAAGATGGAAGTTGAAGAGACTACTCACCTGATGACATCCAAACCATTGAATCAGGCTATCAAAATATGCAAAAAAATGGAGCACCTACAAGTATCACCTTAAATGGCAGATATACAATTGATTATTTGACGCTTAAACAAGTTAATACAAAGACAAACTTTGGCAGAGAAATTAAACGGTATTCATAATATGATAAAAACTATTAATCTTTTAATAAAATTTCTGTTGGCTTTATGCTGGCTTTATCATCGTCTATAGGTTGGCGATATATAAAAATGAGTGGAAGAAAACTAATCAGCACCAAAGCTGAAATCGCCCATAGTCCAGTTAAATTTGTGAGCTCATAAAAATACTGTACAGGGTAAGTATAAATGGTCCCTAATAAATTGGCCATGAAAAATATCATATTTGTGGTAATTGATTCTTCGATGCTTCTATCTTCTATGACAGCTGCACTTATGCCTAAAGGCAAATGGCCGATTAGCATAGCGCCAAGAAATCCAGCCCCACTTATGGAGAGTGGAAAAATGGCTCTGATAAAAGCCCAAACAACTGTAGATAAAATTGACCCAATTAAGAATATTCTTAATGGCTTAGTAATAGAAAGGTAATTTGCTACCAAATAGGTGGCAATTAAGCCTCCTATCATTCCCATCATAACCATATCGAACCCAATTCATCCCACTTCTACAGAGCTTAGTCCATCTGGCTCCAGAATGACAAAAATAATTGCAATCACTGTATATCCTGCCCCAATCCCTGAGCTGGAGCATAGGACGATTCACATAATCATCTTATTTTTTAACGCTTTTTTGAATCCTTCGACTAAGCTTTCAGATTTTTGGAAACCTGGCTCTTTTTGTGAGAAAATTATATTCAGTATATCGATTTTTAAGAAAATAGCATCTAGACAAGTATATTTAAAAAATAGATGATTTTAGTTAAAATGGAATAGAAAAAATACGCTAGCAAATATTGCATGCCATAGATTTATCATATTCATATCATTAAGATAAGGACTTGCAATAAAAGATGCTCCCATCCCTACAAAATTGCTGATACTTCCTATGCTTGTAGCTAAAACCCATTCATTTTTAGGAAACCACCTTACTGCTAGAGGTGAGCAGCCTGCTAAAACAGGAGCATTTACAGAAGCTATCAAAAAGATGCCAACACAAGCAAATGCATAATTATCAAATGCTAACTCCCCTCTCTGTTAGAGGATCATTTTTTTTCATGGAGGAGTTAATTTTTTTTTAAAATTTAAGCTGTTTATAACACATATATTTCTCGAATCGCTCTGCTACAATGCCTAAAGAGGGAAATTAGCGATATCAAAAGTTAGTCTGAAAATTAAAAATGCTATTTTCATTGCGAGTTCTTGCTTGACTTGACAAACAAAGCCTATAGATAAATTTGTCTGTATTGTCAGAAAAGTGGTAGTCATCATTTCCATTTTGACTTGTCAGATTGCTGCTTTACCTCTTTATGATATCTCATCAGCGATATAAATGGGTTTTCAAACTACAAAATTCAATAGAATTAGCTAGAGATTAATTATACTAATTATCATTTTTATACAAAAATATTGGGATTTTCCTAATGGTTTGTTCACTCACAGGGAGGGGAGCAAGTATTTTATCCAGCATCCTATAAAGGTAAAAATTCACGCTACAGTCATTGACCAATAGTAAGAAATTCCAAGTCCTCAAGATGCAAGAGGAGCAAGTGGCAGATACATCACTAGAAAACTTACTGCAAACAGGGACACTAAATCTGTGCTAACATTGTAATATTTTTCAGCGAGGTCATTAACAGGAGCCAAAGCGCAATAAGTGACTCCATTAATAAAGCTTACAGCAAAATAGAGAATTAGCATCACCCAGCGACGTTTGGAGAAGTTTGTGATGATTGTCATTTTAATTTCAACAATAGTAAAAATTTTTGAGATTATAAAGATGAAATAATTGAGTTTTAATAATAATATATTCAATCTATTTTTCTAATAAAACTTTTGATGGTGCATCTTGTGTGTTTATCTGTTGTTTGTCTACTCCTATAGGGCTTTTATAAACAATAGCAAGCGGTATGAAGCTAATGGCCATAAGAATCGTAATGGCCCACAATCCTGGCGCATTTGTTTCTTTATAAAAATACTGTATTGGATAAATATAAAACGCTTCAAGCAAATTTGCCATAAAGTAAATCATATTTGTGGTAATTGATTCTTCGATTGTTTTATCTTGTATAACAGCACCGCTTATTGCTAATGGCACATGTCCAATGACGAGCGTCCCATGAATCGCTGATCCAATCATCGAATTTGGAAAATTTTCTTGTATAAGTGCTCATAAAATAACAGATAGAATCGACCCATACAAAAATATTTTCAAAGGTTTTTCTAAAGAATTAAATTTGTGTGATAAATAATTATTATCTCGCGCACATAATGGCGTTCGCGCCAAAGTTAAGAGGTGGTAATCCCATGTGAGTTTGCAGTTGTGGAAGCACATGGTGAGCACCAGGTGGTGCTTGGAGATCCTGAAGAGTTTGCTGAAGAGGGAATAGAGGAACTGAAGATGTATGAGCTGAGGGAGCATGCACTCTGAGGGGTACAGGCAAAAATTCCAATGACTTGCATTGGAGGCGTAAGCAGGTGATCATTGGAGTTTTTTGTGAAACTACTTTTTACTTTTACTTTTTACTTTTTACTTTTACTTTTTAGAAATGTTTTGGGAATTTTTACAAATTTCTGGAACTTTTTTGAAGATCTTTTTATTGGTCCACTTACTTGGGCGATAACCATTAATTCATTCATTCATTCATTCAAATTTGTGTGATAAATAAGTCGCAATAAATCCGCCGACCATCCCCATCATAACCATAACAAATCCTATTCATCCGACCTCCATTTCACTTACATGATCTGGCTCAAGAATCACAGCCAATATTGCTATAACAGTAGAAATTACAGCCAGCCCAGAACTTGAACAGAACACAATCATCATAATCATTTTATTTTTCAGAGCTTTTATAAAACCTTCTTTAAATCCTCCTGCTTTTGCGAACGCAGGATCTTCATGCGAAAATATAAAATTAATTGCTAAAAATACAGTTGAAAAAATAGCATGGAATAGATTTATTGCATCAATGTCGTCTAGATAAGGATCTAGAACAAATGAAATTCCCATGCCTATAAAATTACTAATACTTCCTATACTAGTTGCTAACACTAATTCTTCTTCATGAAAATATCGAATTGCTAAAGGTGTGCAGCCAGCCATCACGACTGAGTTCATGGATGCTACAAGAAAAATTCCAATAAGTGCAAGCGTATAATTCTCAAAAGCCAAATACTTTATCCAGCATCCCAAAAATGTAATCACCCATGCAAAGATCATTGATCAGTGATAGGAAATTCCTAAAGACCATGAAGCAGCTGGTGCTAAAGGAATATACATTATAGAAAAACTCAACGCAAATAGAGAAATCAAATCTGTATTTACTCCATAATAATTTTCTGCTAGTTTATCTACAGGATCTAGAGCACAATATGTGGCTCCATTAATAAGATTTATTGCAAAATAAAGCATGAGCATCACCCACCTTCTTTCAGTCAGTGCCATATTGTAATAATGCAGAATCATTAAATAAAAAATAACATAAAAATGATATGTGCCATTAAGAGCTGAGTTTCTTAAAATGAAAGATTAGATTAGATTAAATTAGATTAAGTTCGTGAGGGTCTTCGCGGTTTATTTCAGCCACTCGCCCGCCTTTTCCCACTTCAGCCTCTCGGCCTAGGCATGGGATAGCACTTACGCCTTTTTTCACGACGTTACCAAAAAATGGTGACGTCAGCGCTCTCGAGGTGACGCACCCAGGTACTTCTTGGGGCAACTCCTATCGGTCAGCCCGTCCGTCCGGAGGTGGGAGACGGTAGGTGTTCTGAAGCCTCCTCCTGTCCTCCATTATTACCTTCGTTGTCAGGAGTGTGGGGTTGCCTTTGCGACTCTGGTCTTCTTGTCATAGGCCGAGGTAAAAACCCTGCCATGGTGTCCTGGCCAGGGAGAAAAAACCTACCCCGGACACAAATTCTCCAGGCCCCATCCCTCTTAGACCCACAAAGCCCGAGGCAGTGGGAGAAGGACGGGTCAGAGTAGTCACCATTTTATTTGTGTAAAAAAATGAAAGAAGAATAATTGATTTTTGCACTAAATTAATTATCTATCATTGCTACAGTAATTTTTTTTGATATTATGTCTATGTATTTTTATGTGAGCCAATGCTCCATTTACAATTTTATTTAGGTTATTTTGATTCGATATTTAAATATGGATATTAGGGAAAGGTCTGAAATTGAGTTATTTAAAAGATAATAAAATTGCCTTTATCTGCAGTCGCAAGTAGCTATAGGCTAAAATTATCAAGTTATGCTTTTAAGTATGCTTCCTCTTATATATTGAAATTTGTATATTTGCTTTATGTAATTAATTAATAAAAGAGAATTAATAATTATTTTCGCAGATTTAAACACGAGCTTAAAAATATTGCAAATATTTATATTTTAGCCAAACATAGATTCAATTAAATGCAATTGTTTGTGGCTCAAACATCCACATGAAAATAGAGAGACATACATTGTTGCTACCATATGATTTATTCTGGAAATCTATAATATTTGATTCTAAATTTGTTAAACGAAGTTTAAGATCGTTAGATGCTCAGCGCTTAATATAAGCTATCATGATTTGCTAACTCCCCCCTCCATGAGCGAACAAAACCATTGGAAAAAATCCTTATTTTTGCCTAAAAATTCACCCTCCGTGAGCGAACAAAAATTTTTGTAATAGAAAAGTTTTTTATGAAAAGAAATTTTGAATATAAGTGATAATTATTATAATGAAATATCTAGCTAATTCTGGTAATTTTAAACAGTTTGCATTTTAAAACATAAATTTTACAAATTAAATTAATTTTTAATTATCAATTTTTTACTAATTGGATTTTTTTTAAATTTTAATACTATAAAATTTATATAAATTTGTTTTTAAAAAAAATTCACCCCCTTTAGTGAGCGAACAAAATTTTGTTTTTCGCTCACGGAGGGGGGAGTAGATTATTATAATTTTTTATCAGTATTCGATTAATAAATGTATCTCTTTACTCCCCCCCCCCCTCCGTGAGCGAACAAAAAAATTTTGTTCGCTCACGGAGGGGGGTTAATTTTTTTTTTTAAAAAAAATTTATATATAAATTTTATAAAAAAATATTTTTTTCGAAATTTAAAAAAATCCTAATTTGCAAAAATTGGGAAGCAAATATTAATTTAATTTGCAAAATTTATGTTTTAAAACGCAATTTGTTTAAAATTAAACAGAATTAGCTCTAGATTTTCATTATACTAATTATCACTTATATATCAAAATTTTTTTCCATTAAAATTTTTTCTATTTAAAAAATTTTTGTTCACTCACGGAGGGTGGGTTTTTGGTCAAAAATGGCGATTTTTCTAATGGTTTTGTTCGCTCACGGAGGGGGGGGGGAGTTAGAATTTTTTTGTGAAGATCACTTCTCACTGTATCGTTGATAAACCTTTGTTTTTCTTTAGGTTCTCCTCTTGCTTGGTTTCTAAACATAGTTTCTTCAGTCCATTTTCTTTTCAGTTGATAGCCTTGTGCAATATCAAGCAAAGGATTCCCATTTAAAATTTCTTCTCTTCTGGCTTTTTGTCTTTCAATATCTTCCTGCTCCTTTCTTTTCCTTTCAGCTTCGGCTCTTTCGGCTTTGATTTTTTCTATTTCTGCTCTAAGTGCTTCTTCATCTTCAGAACTCTCCTCTTCTGATTGATTTTCGTAGCTTTCTGATTCTTCCTGCTCAATATCTCCTTCGCTTTCCTCTTCACTTTGTGGGTTTTCTTCAAATTTGGATTTTTCTAAAAAATATTCTTTTTCTTTTTGTAATAACTGAGCTTTGAAATCCACTGATTTTAATTCTTCAGGATTACCTTGGCCTTTTTTTCTTTCTTTCAATATTGTATGTCCTGGGAGGTCTTTTGAAGAGTATTGTCTACTGGGAACCAAAATGCGATTGCCTCCTTGATCTTTGCCCCCTTGCACTGCATTCCATGTTGGACGATGAGCAGTAGTCATTTTATTTATTAACTATTTTTAAAATAAAAAGTTAAACTTGATTAAAAGCTGAAATATGTTAAGTTTGCAACAATTAGGCTCAATTAGATATAAAAAATGGGTTGAGTTATTCTTAATACCAGCTCGCTTAATTATGCTACTTTCAAAGGTATAAATTAAATGATTATAAAGATAATTACTAAATTAAGTGGGGTTTTATTATTATTATTATTCAAAGCCTTTTTCATATTTTATAGCTTGGTAAATATTTAGATATGGTAAGTTATTACTTAGTCTCTAAATAGCAGACAACGTGAAAAGCTGACCCAATTCATATCTATCACAGGCATGCAAGATGCTCCTGCAAGGAAATATCTGAATTCTAAAAACTGGGACCTTGAGCTAGCTGTGGATGAGTTTTACAATTCAGGAGCCCAAATGCCTCGAGATCAGCCAGCTCCTACAAACCAAAAGAATATTGAAAGCCTCTTTGCTCGCTACAAAGGCTCCAACCCTAACCAAATTGAAAGTGAAGGGATTGAGCATTTTTGCAGAGACTTAGGAATAGAGCCTATGGATGTCGTAATTTTAGTGATCTCTGACTCCCCCACTCCGTGAGCAAACAAACCATTAAAAAATACCTATTTTTTGCCCAAAACCCAGAACAATAATTTTTTTAATAGAAAAATATTTTATGAAAAAACAATTTTTATATATGTCATAATTATTTTAATGAAATCTCAAGCTAATTCTGTTGAATTTAAAACAAATTGCGTTTTAAAGCATAAATTTTATAAATTAAATTAATATTTGCTTTCCAATTTTTGCAAAGTAGGATTTTTTTAAATGTCGAAAATAAGTTTTTTCTAGAAAATTTATATATAATTTTTAAAAAACAAAAAAATTAAACCCCCCTCCTTAGCGAATAATTTTTGTCGCTCTCGAAGGGGAGAGTAAGTATTTCAATGCGGCTACAATGGGGGTCTATACAAAAGAAGAATTTTGCAGTGGCATGAAAGCTCTTGGATGCGATGATGTCAACAAACTTAGGCAAAAAATCCCCGAATTGAGAAGGGAGCTCAATAATCCTCAAGCTTTTAAAGAAGTTTATAATTATGTGTTCACATTTAGTCGAGATCCAGGGGTAAGAAATTTAGGTTATGAAACAGCTGTAGCATTGTGAAGGCTGTTATTGACTGAAAAATATCCAATTGTGAATAGGTGGATTGAATTTTTGGAAAGAAGAGAAAAAAAGCATGATGTAATGAAAGATACATGGGAGATGTTTTTGGACTTTGCGATAATTTTAGAAAGAGAAGGGCTACAAGGCTATGACCCGAATGGAGCTTGGCCTGTTTTGATTGATGAGTTTGTCGAATATTTAAGACGTTAATCATAATTCTTTTAATCAAATAGCCTTATGGTATTATCACTGCGTAAAGCCTTCTCAAATGACTTTATCTTTAAAATAAAAAAGTTTTCTTAAGCATAGAAAAATTTAAAATATTATTAGGTTTTATGATATGCCCACTCTATAAAAATGGAATTTATTTTGCCTAAAATAATTTCTCTTTCATTAGCGATTGAAATTAAAAGATCTAGAGCGATTTTACTGAATCTATCTGATTGTTCACAAAAGCAAAAAATGGCTGCTGTGGGGTTCGAACCCACGCGGACGTTGATCCAGCAGATCTTAAGTCTGCCCCCTTAACCACTCGGGCAAACAGCCATGTTAGAATCTATAATAATTTTTATTATTTATACCAGAATTCTTTAGCGCTTACGAAATAAAGTGTTTTTGCAGGTCACTTGGTGATGATTTATATTAAAGTAAAATCTGGTTCCTTTGAGATAATTTTTTGAATTAATGGTGGAATACGTTGTATCAAACACATATTTAAGTTATATTTACTTGATTTCCAGTATTTTTAAGCTCTATTTCCAACTTTTAGTGATGTTTAATGGTGAATAAGGGGCCAAAATAGGTAATACTCATGGCTCACAGTTAAATCAAACAGAAAAGATGTAAGTGCCTAGACATTGCTATTACTTTAATATTCTCCACTAAATAATTTTCAGCCTAATTCATTAACCAGTTTTCTATTTCTCAGCATTAAAATTATTAAATTCCTAACAGCTCAATTAAATGTACCAAAATATCAACTGGATCAATGCTAACAGATTATTTCTAATATTATAATAATCATAAATGGTTACGAAAACATCAGAGCTGATTGACGCATATCTCGGCCGAATAGACTCAGAGGATATGGACTTCAACCATCTTCCTACAAATGACTTGAATTATCATTTTTACGATGACACAAACTATTTCAGGCATTCTTCCAAATGTTCTGATATGGATATGGAATCTCCAACCCATCCTAGCCAGCTGAGCTCTCATAGAAGAAGCTCATCGTTCGACAGTATCCTTGGACACTGTCTCAGGAACGCGACGTGTATCACATCTCTGAATCCGAGATTCGCTGTAAAATTAGATAGCGCACCTTTGCAAGACTTAATTACTTCGAGGATATTAGAAAGTTCGGCGGAATTCTTTTAATTAAGGTATAATTAATAATGCAAATACATTTTGTATAACTGTTCGCTTACTCCCCTCCCATTTAATAACGAACAAAACCGTCAAATTTTTTTTTTCTAAAAATTTTTCCTTAGGCCCTATTTAATAATGAACAAAATTTACTATAAAATTTATATAAGCTAATTTAGTCTTTACAGATTACTAATTTTAAGTAGTTAGAGTAAGATAAGGACGAGCATAATCGAGCAAAGAATAATAAATAAGAGCTAATAAGTTACTAGTGGCTTAATCTTAAGCTATTGCTTTACTCCCCCCCTCTGTGAGTGAACAAAAAATCTCGCTCGCTCACGGAGGGGATTAATTTTTTTTTTTTAAAAATTTATAAATAGAAAATTTGTTTTTACAAAAAATTTAAAAAATCTTATACGCAAAAATTGGAAAGTATATATTAATTGAATTTGTAAAATTTATTTTTTAAAACGCAATTTGTTTAAAATTAAACAGAACTAGCCAGAGATTTCATTATACTAATTATCGCTTATATATCAAAATTTTTGTTCGCTCACGGAGGATGATGGATTTTTCTAATGGTTTTGTTCGTTCACACGGAGGGGGGGGAAGTTAGCAATAGTTATCTTTCACCTCATTTAGGCACTTTCTCTTTCTTGTCTATCATTTGGCTCCTTTTATTAACTCTATAATTGAAAATTTTTATTTAAAAAAATTATATATTTTTAATATAAAGTTTAATATAGAGATTGCCCGAGTATGGCGCTATTTTGCGCCATCCTCGGGCAATTTCTATATTTTTTTCCAAAAATTTTATAAGTGAGACCCCATTTAATAACGAACAAAAAAAGTGTTCGTTATTAAATGGGGGGAGTTAAAGAATTTAAATTTGCTTATTAAACTCAAGTTAAGAATGAGAAATTATCTTAAACTGCAGTTGAAAATCCAACGCGGTTGCCTGCATAATCGAAATGAGCATAGTAAGTTCTAATAAACAAGTCTCCCAAAATAACGACGTTCTTTAACTGTTCTGGGAAATCCATGCCCATCCAGCCATTGTCACATTCAGTTTGTCCATCACTTGTAACTTGGATCACATAGTTAGTTCCAGTAAGAGGATAATTAACACCTCCAATAGTAACTGTTACAACTGGAAGCTTACTCCCCCGACCTCCGTGAGTGAACAAAAAAATTTTGTTCACTCACGGAGGGTTAATTAATTTTTTTTAAAACATTTAAAAAATCCTAAATTTCGCAAAAAGTGGAAAGCAAATATTAATTTAATTTATAAGATTTATGTTTTAAAAAGCAATTTGTTTAAAAGTAAACAAAATTAGCTCTTGATTTCATTATACTAATTATCACTTATATATCAAAGCTTTTTCCATAAAAAATTTTTCTATTAAAAAAATTTTTTATTCCTCACGGAGGGTGGATTTTTGGGCAAAAAATAAGGATTTTTCTAATGGTTTTATTCACTCACGGAGGGGGGAGTTAGAAAGATTTGCACAGGTCTGTGAGACTGTTGGAATTTTGGCGTTAATTAAATCGACGATCTTTTTGTCTCCAACAAGGGCAGTTGTTCCTGAGTCCACAATTCCTTGGATTCCAGTTGCTGCAATTTTGACTCCATTGACTGAGATGCTGTCAATGCTGATTCTCCAGTAGGTGTCTTGAATTAAAGTGAAATAGTGCCAGTCACCTTTAGTGTATGATGGGTTGAAGCCTCCCAAAGTCAAGGCGCTTCCAGCTGCATTATCAGTTGCAGTAAGGTAGAAAGCGAAAGAGTCTGAAGGCAAAACTCCGAGTTTAAACATTGACTGATAAACTGGAGGAACATTGTCAGCAGAAATTGCTTGCCAAGCCATGCCCAGAATTCCATCAAACTTAGACACCACAAATGAAGTGCCAACCAGTGAGGTCATTTCGCCAAAAGTGATGTTTGGTACTTTGATGCCACCCCAAGTCACGACGTCTTGAGAAAGGTATCCAGAAACACCGCCTGAGCCGTATTCAATAGAGATAGCCTTTCCATTGGCTGTATAGGTGCTGGAGGCAGTGTGGTTGTACCTGTTGTGACGCATGCATGCAATAGAAGTGCAAGATCTTGATGGGACCCACAGGTTAGATGAGCCAGTATCGAAAACAACCAAAAAGTTCTGTGGAGGAGTTCCAATTTGGACTGGACCGTAATATTGAGCGGTTTGGTAATTTGTGAGTTCGACATCAGTGGTCCCTGCTGAGAGTTGTTTCAATATCTGGAGACGCTTGAAATGTGCGTATTTCTCTTCAGGTGTTTCGTGGACTGGGCGAATAGGGATTTCGACAATGGCAAAAGCTGCTGCTAATATGAGAGTGAAAGCTAAGACTTTCATTTTATTTCTTCCACAGGTCAACAAAGAAAATGGATTTTTAATTAAGTTATAGGGAAAAAGTTTTATTTAAAACATAGAGAAAAGAGCAGCCAATCTGGGCAATTTTAGAAACTTTAGGCTAGAGATGAGAAGAAGCAAAAATTTAGTTTGGAACCACAAGAAATCAAAGGGGCTATTATAAAATTAATTACCTTTTAAGAAGCATATTAGGCTGAGGTATTTTAATGAATTAATCTTATTATTAAAGTATTTTAATTCTTATAAACAATGAACAAAAAAAGAAGGACAGCTTCGTATATAAATCCTCAATTGCCACCTCTTACTGCAAGAACTGCTGAATCTACTCGACATAAAAACTCTGAGTTTTCACTGTTTTCTGGAATAAAAGAGCCTATTAATACTTCACTGGATAGCTCAACGGCCCACAAATTTTTTAATTTTGCAGAAAAGAAAGACGAGCCTACTTCAGTTTCTTTACAAATCTCTAAATTTCATCTTCGGTCTATTCACTCTTCCTACGACAGTGCAAATTTAGAATCTATTCTAACTTCTCTTTAAATTGGAGCAAAATTTTAATTGCATATGCAAAAATAATATTTTCTATGCAAATAGTTTTGATCCAATTTAATTTCTCCAAAACCAAAATTTTGCAATATAAATATTATATATTTTGGATTACAGAGTGCAATTAATTTGAGACTGCTCAGATAAAGTTACCACTTTAAATTGATAATATTATTGCTGTGACTATAATTTTTTCAAAAAATTTAAAATAAGTCCTTTAATTAAAATGGGGATAAGCTCCTCGATGCAAGCTATGAGAGATCATTCCAAATGGCAAATTTCTGAAAGGCTAGAATCTTATCAAATGAATCATCAAAAGCAAGCACAAGTTTCTTACAAATCAATAGAAAAAGAACTTGCACATTGAAATCAATGTTTTGATGATATTTTTCCATTAATTAAAGAGCAATCTGATGAAATTGCTAACGCAATTTCTAATATTTTTGGAAACATTAAAGAAGTATTCAACGACTTAAGAGTTTTGCAGAGGAAAAATGATGTCGAGAATAATCACAAGCTCTTAGAATTTGAGAAGAAAAGGAGAAGTTTGGAAGAAGAAATAAAAAAAATAAAATTGGAGAAAGATGAAATTGAAAAAATTAGGCGAGATGAAGACAAGAAAATTCAATCAGAAATTGATGAAATTTATGGGGATGATGATTTTTTAGTTTTTAAACAGAAAGCCAAAAGACTTCTAGATTTAAGGCCTACAGGAGCTGCAGAAATTTTAAAAGAGATTTATAATGAGATGAACCAAGATCGCGAAATCCCAAAACCAAAAATTTTTGATGGAAAAATACTTGATCCTGACGATTTAGAAACCAGCCTAAGACTCCATTTTAAACTTATCCAAAAAACAACTGCAAAACGAATTATTCGACTTTTTGATAGTAAAATAGAGACAAAATCCATAGAAGTCCAAACAACTGATCCTTTTATAGAGCAAAGCTCTTTTGAAGAAGCACAAAAAGCTGCAGAAAAATATAGTCTATTGTATCAAGGACTACAAGTGCAAGAAGAAAGGCTCAGAGAAGAACTTAAAATGAGAGGAAATACAATAGAAGCGCTTGAAAACGAAAAAAGTCAGCTTTTAAGTGATGCTTTAAAAATAAAGAGAGAAGGAGAAATGAGTGTCAAAGAAATTACAAACTTGAAAAAAGAAAATGAAACAATTAAGAAGAAATTAGAAGAAAATAAAACTGTAATAGAAGGTAACGCATATAAAATTGCATTGCTTGAAAATCAACTAGAAACACAACTTACTAAGATTGCGAAATATACTAAAGAAACCCCAAAAATTAATGAAATTGGAAGTAATCCTTCAGAGCTGTCAAGTATTAAGTTTCAAGATGCCACCCCTAGCTCACAAAATCGAGGAGAAATAAACAAATCTCAATTCAATGCCTATCAGAATGCATCTCAAAATCGTGATAAAAATTCTCTTGAAAGGCCTTCAAGAAGGTTAAATTCAGGATCAACCATAAATGACAGAGAAGAAGAGCACGGAGATCTTGAAGAAGTAAAAGGAATTTCTCCATCCCAAAGTCGAGCAACCATTCAAGTTGAAAAACGAAAAAATAATCGAAACCTCAACAATTCTATTAATAATCAGGATGGAGAACAAATTTCATCATCAAGACTTACAGATCGGTCTATATTTTCTGGTTCGAAATCTCCTAGAAGGAATATTGACAAGTCAGTCCCTTCTTCTCGAAATAAAGAATCTTATGCAAGTGAGCTAAAAGTTCAAACAAAAATGCCAAATAGAGGCATACAAAATGGCTTTGATTCTCAAAACCAAACAGAAGGAGAAAATGATGAATTTAATGACGAAGGAATGCAGCCTGCAGGGAGTTATAAGAAAACCAGAAAATCAAAGCCGCAAAATATGCAAGAAGTTGAGCATGAAAATAAAAATCCTGGGAACTCTAATTTGATATCTAGCATAGGAAGTTTAGACTCAGAAGCGTACCATTCTAGGATTGGGGCAAATGGAATTGAAGTGTTTTTCGTTGACAGAGGACTATGGACTAACGACCTGAAAAATGAGAATTTAATATCAAATTCAGTTGGGGTGCAATATGATTGGGAGCATCCTGATGAGAAAGTAGAAGAAGAAGCTGAGCCAAGCAATTTATACATTTTTGCTTATAACCCAAACAATGTCTTTGGGCTTCGTGGAGATGTATTTTTCAATAAAAGCACCAGAGTCATTCAGTCTTAATCTTAATTACGAGATTATCAGCAGCTAAGCTGTTAGTTTTGACGCAGTCACCCAGACCCGAAGGTTCCTCCGCTTTGCGACGCTGCCTACAGGACTCCAACTTAGCGGCTAGCCTGTTCTGTTGAACTTCTCCTCCTTGGAAGCTACAACCTTGCTCCAGTGTTGAGTGGGCAGATTTAGGAATTCAGCGGCCTTGCTTGAGACTGTGGGATGCAAGGTTGTCCACACAGAAAACCCAAAAAATGGATTTTCTGGCCGACCTTCTGCAAAAAGGAAAAGTTGAAGCCCAGGGCGAAACTCCTGGTTTCTCGCTAGCGGCATTGCCCGATGGAATATAGAATTTTTCCCATAGATGGCGCTGTTTGCCCTTGATTTGCCCACTGAAAAAAAAACTTTTTAGTTTGACCAAACCATATGGTACTGGGCAAAGGGTTGACATGAATTTACAACAATGTTGTAAATTTACAGTAAATTTTGCTCCTATAAAAGTGACTGTAAAATTTTTTTTTTTTCAAATTTGCATGAAAAAACAACATTGGAAAAAAAAAATTTTTAAAAAACGTACATGAAAAAACAACATCATAAATTTTTTTGCTCATTTTCCTATGAAAAAACAACATTCAACAAAAAGTATGAAATCGTTAATTTATAATATTGAAAAGAGAAATCGCTAAATAACATTGAGGATAAATACTAGATACCTTAGTAATTATTATTCTATATAATAAAGATCAAATGAATTAAGAAAATATATTGTACCCCAATCAGAGTTTGATTTTGCTATTTAAAATTTTTATGCTCCAAAAAATTGCATGAAAAAAACCGGAAATTTTTTTTAATTTATGTGATGTGTATGCAATAGAGCATTCAAAATAATGTTTAATAACTGCTATATACTCTTCTAGCAACTATATCTTTTTCTTTTAAAATTAAAAGAGCATTATTCCTAACAAATAATATAAGTAATGTTTAAAATAAAAAATTAATCGCCTCAAAAATTTTGCATGAAAAAACCCGGAACTTAATTTTTTAAAAAAAAAAAATTGCAAAACAACATATGGTTTTTTGAAGAGCCAAAAATTGCATGAAAAAAACCCATGGTGGATTTTTTTTTTAAAAATTGCATGAAAAAAACAGCAATTAATTTCTAAAGAAATTTAATGAAATTTTTTAATAAAAAAATGGAATTGAGGTTTAGAAGCTTTGATAATAATGAATATTTGTTTCTAACTCCCCCCCCCCTCCGTGAGTGAACAAAAAATTTTGTTCACTCACGGAGGGGGGTTAATTTGTTTCTTTTAAAAAAATTTATATATAAATTTTATAAAAAATTTTTTTTTCGAAATTAAAAAAAAAATCTAATTCGCAAGAATTTGAAAGCAAATATTAATTTAATTTATGAAATTTATGTTTTAAAAAGCAATTCGTTTTAAAATTAAACAGAATTAGCTCTAGATTTCATTATACTAATTAGCATTTATATATCAAAATTTTTTTCCATAAAAATTTTTTGTATTAAAAAAATTTTGTTCACTCACGGAGGGTGGGTTTTTTTGGCAAAAAATAGCGATTTTTCTAATGGTTTTGTTCACTCACGAAGGGGGGGGGGGGAGAGTAAGCAATTTTTAACGCGATTTCTAGTATATCTGTAAATATATTACATACTTTATCTCTCATATATGGCAAATACATTTTTAAAGCGAGTTACAAGATAAATATGCCTAATTTAGCTATATTATCTTCACTTTAAACATAAATCTAGCATAAATTGCTATAAAAACGGGTAAATCACAAAGAGATAAATAATTGTTTGTATCATTGATTTATTTTTTATTTTTATTAATTTTTATTTATTTATTTATTTATAAATTAATTTTTCTTAAATTGATCAAAGATAAAAGCTTTATATTTAGAGATTGCGTGATAAATAGCATTGGAACTGCATATGAACTAATATACTTCGATTTCTATCCGCGCTAATATGCAATGTATTTGAAAAAATATAATTGCAACATATACTGTATCCACCTTATAGCTTCCCATAGGGTTAATTTATCACTTCTCAATTGATTTTTATCGATTTCAAATGTTTTAGATTAGCTAAATTTATTTTACATTTCAGGCAAACTTGAGCTGACTTGTCAAATCATTTTTGACAAGGCAAAAATGGTCGAAATTGTCAATAAATTATCAAAAAACTAAGGGCTTTCAAAGGACAATCAATATCAGTTTGACTTATATATTTATTATAAATTTAAATAGATATTTAAAGTTTTAATAAATAAATAAGTATTATAAACGACCTAAACACATTATTTAATATTATCAGTGATAGATTATGTAATGATATTGAAATATTAAATCACCATTAATTTTTTTGCGATTTACCCGTTTTTATAGCAATTTATGCTAGATTTATGTTTAAAGTGAAGATAATATAGCTAAATTAGGCATATTTATCTTGTAACTCGCTTTTAAAAATGTATTTGCCATATATGAGAGATAAAGTATGTAATATATTTACAGATATATACTAGAAATCGCGTTAAAATTGCTTACTCCCCCCCCCCCCTCCGTGAGCGAACAAAACCATTAGAAAAATCGCCATTTTTTGACCAAAAACCCACCCTCCGTGAGTGAACAAAAATTTTTTTAATAGAAAAAATTTTAATGGAAAAAAATTTTGATATATAAGTGATAATTAGTATAATGAAATCTAGAGCTAATTCTGTTTAAATTTTAAACAAATTGCGTTTTAAAACATAAATTTTGCAAATTAAATTAATATTTGCTTCCCAATTTTTGCAAATTAGGATTTTTTTAAATTTCGAAAAAAATATTTTTTATAAAATTTATATATAAATTTTTTTTCAAAAAAAAATTAACCCCCCTCCGTGAGCGAACAAAATTTTTTTGTTCGCTCACGGAGGGGGGGGGGGGGAGTTAGAAACAAATATTCATTATTATCAAAGCTTCTAAACCTCAATTCCATTTTTTTTATTAAAAAATTCATTAAATTTCTTTAGAAATTAATTGCTGTTTTTTCATGCAATTTTTAAAAAAAAATCCACCATGGGTTTTTTCATGCAATTTTTGGCTCTTCAAAAAACCATATGTTGTTTTGCAATTTTTTTTTTTAAAAATTAAGTTCCGGGTTTTTTCATGCAAAATTTTTGAGGCGATTAATTTTTTATTTTAAACATTACTTATATTATTTGTTAGGAATAATGCTCTTTTAATTTTAAAAGAAAAAGATATAGTTGCTAGAAGAGTATATAGCAGTTATTAAACATTATTTTGAATGCTCTATTGCATACACATCACATAAATTAAAAAAAAATTTCCGGTTTTTTTCATGCAATTTTTTGGAGCATAAAAATTTTAAATAGCAAAATCAAACTCTGATTGGGGTACAATATATTTTCTTAATTCATTTGATCTTTATTATATAGAATAATAATTACTAAGGTATCTAGTATTTATCCTCAATGTTATTTAGCGATTTCTCTTTTCAATATTTATAAATTAACGATTTCATACTTTTTGTTGAATGTTGTTTTTTCATGGGAAAATGAGCAAAAAATTTATGATGTTTGTTTTTTCATGTACGTTTTTAAAAATTTTTTTTTTCCAATGTTGTTTTTTCATGCAAATTTGAAAAAAAAATTTTTACAGTCACTTTTATAGGAGCAAAATTTACTGTAATTTACAACATTGTTGTAAATTCATGTCAGCCCTGGGCAAATCAAGGGCAAACTGCGCCATCTATGAGAAATTTCTATAGGTGTTCCCTGCAGGCATAGCTGGGCGCCTCTTTCCAACTTCAACCCTCCTTTACCCTTGAGGAAAAAACCAACTCCGAAAGCGGTAGGGCTAGGTTCCTGCCTCCTGCAGGAATTGCTTAGCTAGCTTAGCTGTCCATTTCTTCGTTGGCAAACCTTGCCGGATATACTTTAAATAGGGCTCGAGACTGCTTGGCCGGGAGGCGAAGCTTAAGTTGAGACGCCATATTTAAAGTATCAGAGTCCTTCAGTCACAGCCAAGGATACCTGAGCTTCAGAAATCCATTATGTTCCAGCCTAGTTATCATTTGGATGCTAAAAAATAACTGTCATATTTTCTTATAATTTTTCATAAGATTTTGCAGCTTTATATGTGATTCCCAGCTAAAGATTTCAAATCCTGTTGGATTACCCATATTAACTAGCAATTTCATTAATTCTTAACAACTAAAATGGGACACGGCTGCCTTTCAAAAGGCTCGGTAAAAATCCATGAAATGGTCAATCGTGCTGCAACCCTCAACAATTCATCACCGAGACCCAACGATGACTTAATCCGGCGCAAGAAATCTCAGCTATTTTTGACAGACGACTCAGAGTCTACCTTTGTTGAGCTCAGCACGCCAAGAACTGGAAGAACAATTCGTTGAAAAAGAGGAGAAATTATAGGCGAAGGAGCCTATGCCAAAGTCTACCAATGCATGAATATCGAGACGGGAGAACTTCTAGCAGTCAAACATTTCAAAGTAAAACTTATTTAGCTCACAGATGACCCAAACAAAATCCAAAAGGAGTTCACGCTCATGAAAAAAGAAGTTTCACTGCTAACTTCCCCCTCATTCTGTGAGCGAACAAAATTATTGGAAAGTCCCTATTTTTAGGCTAAAAAAATCCCTTCGTGATCGAAAAAACAAATTATGAAAAAATATTTTGATATATAAGTGATAATTAGAATAATGAAACTCGACTAATTCTGTTAAATAATAATAGCTTGCAATTTTAAAAAAAATTACAAATTAAATAATATTTGCTTTAAAATTATTTCTAATGGGGATTTTTCTTAAATTTCGAAAAAAATTCACTTCTTTCTGTGAACGAACAAAATTTTTTTGTTCTCTCACGGAGGAAGGTGGGGAGTAAGACAATTGGACCACCCTAATATAGTCCAATATTACCAAACCGACTTGTCACCAGATATGACTTCTTTAAACGTAGTTATTGAATATGTCCCAGGTGGGACCTTGAAACATCTGATTCAAAAATATGGAATTCTTGAAGACGATGTTATTAAAACTTTTACGAGACAACTGCTCAAAGGATTAGCTTACCTTCATGATAATGGAGTTATTCATAGAGACTTGAAGTCTGCTAATATCCTAATCTCGACCAATGGGACGTTGAAACTGACTGATTTTGGGTCATCAAGAAAATTCGAAAATTCTGACTTAGAATTGACGAAAAGTCTGAAAGGAAGCCCCTATTGGATGGCACCTGAAGTTGTACTTAGAAGAGGGCACAGCTATTCAGCTGACATTTGGTCATTAGGGTGCGTTTTAATAGAGATGGCATCGGGGAAGCCACCATGGTCGAATTATTCTAAAGATGCAAGAGAAGTACTAAAGCTAATTGCAACGAATGACGTACTACCAGATATGCCAAAATGTGAAAGACAGTTAAAAAATATTATTAAGCAGTGCATTCAGAGAGAGCCACTGAGAAGGCCTACTGCAAAAGATCTGTTAAAATTAAGCTATTTCAACGACGGAAAGACAAATGATTCACTTACAGAGCAGTCTAGCTTATCTAGAAATATAAACGTTGAAATTATTGAAGAACAAGCAGAAGAGTATGTATCATAAATTTTTAGAAATTATATTACAAGAATTATAATAAAAGAGAAATTTATTGATAATTAAATTGTTGCATCATAAAATAAATTGAAATCAATATCATCTCATTTATTCAATTGCATTGTAACTTTTACACGCTTGGTTCGATACTCAGTATTATTGAATATGCCTTTAGCATTCTTCTTAAATCCATTGCTACTTCTTGCAGCTTTACAATAGTAATGATGCTCTCTAGTCAATTATCTTTGCTTTGTTCTTTGCAAATGCTGATATTCAATTTAAATATTGTTCTTCTAATAGTTCTTCTCAAGCCTGAAATGGTCCTGGCAAAGCATTTATTAGATTATTATTTATTAAGCTTTTCTGTAAATAAAATTTAAATAAAATCAAATTATGCATTCATTTTAGAGAGAAAATCTTCAGATATTTTAATTTTTAAACCATTGAACAATCAAATTTCTCATCATTCAATAAAATATGTCTGACCCTTGCAACTACGATTGGAGGTTGGATCCTCTTGTTCCAAAACCAGAAATACTTCACGCACCTCCCCCTAGAGAAGAGAAAAAGCCTACTGATGTCACTGATTTCCCTAACACCCCTATGCTAGCAGCATATTTTTCTTTCGTGCAAAATCATTTTATAATAAATCATTTAAATAAGAAAAATAAAAAATTTATTATAGAAAAAACCAAAAAATGCTCTTTATCAGCATGGAAGTAAAGCAAAATGTCACTCCAATGCCTGAAGAGTATCATTATCCAGAAGGAAAATACAGACCTCCAACATTACCAATAAGAGGTGGATTCATTCCAACTAATATTCATTTAGAAGCAGGAAAAATTTATAAGTGGTGCTCATGTGGAGCTACTTGGGACGAGCCATGGTGTGATCACAAATGCCATTATATGCTCTCCAGAAATAGGCCAATAGCTTTCAACGTTGATAAGTCAGGATACTACAAAATTTGCAACTGCAAGCAGTCAGCAAATGCACCATTTTGCAATGGAACTGAAAGACTTTTGGTGAAAAACTTCTCAAAAACTTATTTTGGAGCATATAGAACAGCCACAGCAGCTGGCTTGGGTCTATTCTTCTTTGGAGTATGGTGGAACTTCCGCTCTTAAGGAACTTTAAGAAATAACCTATAATTGCAGGTTGATTTAAATAGTCTTTTAATAGCAAATTATCTATTAAATCTATTAAAAATATTTTAATAGTAAGAAAGATATTTTGAAATTATTAAGAATAAATTAAAAGTAATTGAGCTTTGCATCATGCTGCGAATTACTTGATTCCTAAATGTCAAGAAGCAATAGTGTCTATGGCGAAAATGAAAAAGAATAAAGATTAGAGTAGATCTCTTCGGATTATATACCTTGGAGCATTATTATTAATGTTCAATCCAATATCATGTTTTTTATTATGCTTTGGCATAATTTTGGGATGGGTTCGACATGTAGGAGCATTTTCCTACGTGACAAACACAAATCCCATATGTGGAGTTTCCACACTTGAGTGGCTCGGTATGTGGGATTTGAGTCCAGCATGTCGAACCCATCCCAAAAAAAATGGCAATAGATAATATAATTTATGTTTTTGAGTGAAGCATGTCTACAATTCAATAGAATTATTAAATTATAAATGTAGAAGCTATACCAAGAAGTAATCAACCAAAATTGCTGACTCCCCCCCTCCGTAAAATTTTGTTTACTCACAGAGGGGGGTTAATATTTTTTTTTTAAAAAAATTTATATATAAATTTTATAAAAAATATTTTTTTTCGAAATTTAAAAAAATCTAATTTGCAAAAATTGGAAAGCAAATATTAATTTTTTTTGTAAAAATTTATGTTTTAAAAAGCAATTCGTTTAAAATTAAACAGAATTAGCTCTAGATTTCATTATACTAATTAGCATTTATATATCAAAATTTTTTTCCATAAAAATTTTTTGTATTAAAAAAATTTTGTTCACTCACGGAGGGTGGGTTTTTTGGCAAAAAATAGCGATTTTTCTAATGGTTTTGTTTACTCACGGAGGGGGGGGATTGAGCATATAATAATGAACTTTTAATATAATTATAAGCCAACTTATGAGTGAAAAATTAAAATGAAGAAAGATTAGCTAGTTAATATATCTTTATTTAGAGATCTAGCTGAATAATTACCAAGTTTGCATACAACTTAATAGTTTTTATATTAAATTACTGATTCAAAACTGAATAAAGCAAAATCTACTTATTCTGGAGAAGATATTTATTAATCATACATCGCATTTATTTAAAAGGGAATTTTAATAAAATCATGCTAAGGGTAAAACTTTATGGAAACCTTATTTCGCAACCAACCCGAACGCTCAATGAATTTTGCTTACTTTGCAATATTCCATACGATTTCATCAAGCTTGACATATTTAACTGGGAGCATAAGGCCAAATGGTATGCAGAAATCAACCCTTACCAATTAATTCCATCAATATCTCATGGAGATTTCAAACTTGGAGAAACCTTTGCAATAATTCCTTATCTTGCAGAGTATTATCATGTAAATAACCAATGGTATCCATCAGACCTTCAGAAAAGATCTTTAATTAATGCTTATTTCCACTGGCAACACCTAAACATAAGAAGATTTGTTCGTCTTTTAGTCTTTGAAAAATTTGTTGGTCCTATGTAGGAACGTATATGCATTAAAATGGCGACACTTGTCGGCCTGTCCTCTTAATACAATAGTTCAGACCTTAAGGCCAAACGAACTTCATGCCGAAAATTTAGTGAAAAACAACAGATGCATATGGGGAAGTTTTGCTGCTTTCATGTGGCTAGAAATGTTGGAGCCCAGCAATTTCCTTCAGACTCTCGGGCATTATTCTACTGAGAGCTGGATCTTTCAGCATGCCCATAAGAGAGCAGCTTTTATCAATAACTTGAAGGAAGATTCATCAATACTAGATAACTCCAAGCAGTTAATCCTTTGAATCAAACTACTGCTGAAGCCATCTTAGATCATAAGGTTGATGCTTTAAAGTAAAGAGGAGAAGATTTTATCGGCTACTGGTAGACCCTACTGGGTAGTTCGTCGTAAAGCGGATGAACCTCCAGCACAGTATTTCTTTGGCGACTCTCTTGATAGTCTAGCCTATGTGGAAAGGCCTACCACCAATCACTTCTGAAAGAGAAACAGAAATCCGTGCTGATATTGCCAAAACACTGCAAAGTATAAATGATATGCTTGATAACGGAAAATATATTGGAAGAACTCAGGAACTGAGCATTGCTGATATAGCTTGCTATAACGAAATTGCACAGATGAAAATCGCTGCTTTTAATTATAGCGATTGGCCAAAAGTTAAACTGTGGATGGAAGAAATTGAGAAGCTTGAGGCAGTCAAAACAACGATGGTAGGGTTTAAAGAGGTTGTGGATTCATTAGGATTTCCTTCATCTAATATAATTATTAACTAATTCTTACGTTAATAATCAGGGTGCATAGAAATAATATTAATAATAAAGGAAAACGCCATTCTTGCATATGCACATATCAATCACTGAGCCACATTTAAAGCAAAAGACTGATGTACATGCATTACATTTTAATTCATTTGAGTCTAGAGTCTTCTCTACCCATACTTTGCATATTGGGCATTGTTTAAATTGTAAATTTTGTACTTTTATTTTTGCTTTGTTTCCATTTCTAAGCATCTCACATGTTTTGTTGTGGTGATAGTCCTCCTTGCATGCCAAACAATATAGCTCAGGTACGACATTAGATTGTCCTGGGCTAGGAAGTTGCAGGGCAACTCCCTGAGTTGGTTCTCCAACTCATATCGGCGAACCAGCCCGGGGATTTGATATATACACCTGATATGATGCGTATTTCAAATCCAGAGCTAGCTCGTCAACATGATTTGGAGAACCAACTTGGGGAGCTGCGTTGCAATTCACTAGTCCAGGACGATCTAATGCTGTGCATGGGCTATAGGTTTTTTTGCACTTTGGACAAGAAAACTTTGTGTAGTTTTGATTTCATTGGAACACATAGTTGCATTCACTGTTTGGGCAAACTGAAAGCCCGTCAGCAGAAGACTCCATATACTTATAAAAGCTATATTCTTCGAATGCTTTAACTTGTTCTTCACTTAAATGAGACCTCAGATCGTTTATACTAATTTCTTCTTTGCAATTTGGATAAGGGCATATTATAGGAAATTTCTTTTTGTTTGTTTGATGGTCAAAAAACTCATCAAGGCAAAGCTTGTGCCCAAAGTGGTTGCATTTTTCAAGAGACCTGAATTCTTCATTATTAATGCTGTCATTGCATATAATGCATTTAATATGATTTTCAGCTTTGAATTTCACATCTTCATATTCCTGATCAAATTTCTTTTGCAGCTCATAAGCCAGCATTTCAGACTTTTTTCTGTTTTCTTCGTCGTGTTTCCTTTTTAATAGATTCTCAATATTGCTGTCTTTTAGATTAGAATTACTTAAGTCTTCAAATGTGACTGAATTTTCTACTGAAATGTCGAAATTTACTGAGTTTTTCAGTGGATCTTCTTCATCAGTTTTATCTGATCGAATCAATTCTGATGTTAAAATTTCACTGATCTCGTCTTCAATTGGTTGGGCCTTTATAAAGGTTAATTGCTCTATTGCATCAAAGTTTCCTTGGTAAATCCTAAATAGTGCGTAAGCCTTTTTGTGGCCCTTTAATTTGCCTTCTTTTTCGGCTTGTTTAAGAGTTAATAGATAGTTAAAGATTTTTTCAAGTTTTTCATGAGTCCTTAATCGCACGATTCCTGCTATGTAGAAATCTTCAAAAGTCAAAGCACTTGAATAGTTATTTACAAAATCCAGTTCTTCAATAAAATCGTTTAAGGAATCATCCATGTTGTAATGAACGCTTCTAGCTTAAAACACTAAAATGCATTGATTATTATCAAAATCTTTAAAAATAAGAAATCAATGAAGTTTTTGAATTAATTTATATTATCTTAAAAAATTAATTAGTAATTATGGGTTTAATTGAAGGGTGATTTCTATTTAGAAGTGAGAAAAAACATGATGTTAAAATTGACAATGTAGTTTGCAAGCTTGTAAAGTTAACATAGGACTCAGTCAAAGCCTCTCAGCCAATCCAAAAATTGGCTTCTCTAGAATATCTTAGAGCTCTAAAAGAGCACTCATCTTATCATGAAAAACAATCCAAAAGCTTATCAGACAGCGTAGAATATGCTATTGATAAAGCAGTTCGGGAAAGAATGCAGCAAGGTCTCTTTGGATATGATCATTCTCAATTGATAGTGGTTGAAATGGAGTTACAGAAGAATCTATTAAAAGAAAAGGGCCCCAAAAGTCCTGAAGCAGCTGAAGCATTAGTCAATAGAATGCTACTAGAAAAATTAGAAGCTTCTGAAAAGCAGAACCCAGGCAGAAAACTAGATTATGAAAATTGAAAACGGAAAAAAGACGCTGAGGGCCGTCTGAAGAAAAAACTTACATCTGAAGTACTAGGAATTGAAAAAGAGCAAGAAATCATAGAAATCAATGAAAAAATGACCCATGAAGCTGAAAGCTCGAAGAAAGTCAAAGAATGGGCAAGAGCAAAAAGAAAAGAAGAAAGACAAAAAAGAAGAGAAAAATTGATACAAGAAAAAATAGTTGAAGAAAGCAAAAATAAAAAAAGAGAAGAGGCAAATGCTCATTATCGAGAGTGATTAAGGGATAGCCTTATGAAGCTTAAAGAACAAAAGAAAAGAGAAAGAGCAGAAAGGAAAACAAAGGCAGCACTTGAAAGAGAAATTGAGAGACAAAAAGAGGAAAATAAAATCAAAGCAGAACTTGCTTATCAAGAGTGGCTTATAAATAAGCTTACTCCCCTTTCAGTGAGCAACAAAAAATTCTATCACTCAAGGAGGGGGTTAGTTTTTTTTTTTTTAAAAACATTTATATATAAATTTTATATAAAAAACATTTTTTTCGAAATTTTTAAAAAAATCCTAATTTGCAAAAAAATTGGGAAGCAAATATTAATTTAATTTATAAAATTTATTTAAAACATAATTTGTTTAAAATTAAAAAGAATTAGCTCGAGATTTCATTATAATAATTATCACTTATATATCAAACAATTTTTTTCATAAAAAAATTTTTGTTCACTCATGGAGGGAGTTTTTGGGCAAAAAAAAAGGGATTTTTCTAATAGTTTTGTTCACTCACTGAGGGAGGGGAGTTAGTAAAACAGAACCGAACACTCCTGAAATATACCCTGAGCCGAAAATAAAGAAGCCAACTATGCTAGCATATTCCCCAAATAAACAGAAAATCCCAGTAATCCAAAACAGTTATGATGAGTATAGCGAAAGCATCACTGAGAATATTGAGTATTCTGATTATTCTGATGAAGAGGAAGAAGAAAGTATTCCTATAGTCTCATCTCAAAAGCCTCCAAGACATAATGCGAATCCTCTGCAAATGCAAATGAATCAGCATCGAGTTGATGACAATCATACGTTTGAAGATCTTTCTTCAATTAGAAGATCCCCACATGTAATAGATGCATATCAGAATGAGCAAGAAGTCAGCGAGTCTAGTTTTGAAGGAAGCAGTTATGAGGAGAATTAAATGAATATATCATAAATTAATTATAAAGTTCTTAATAAAAATCTTTATGCATTTTTATTCTTAATTTAAACATTATTTAAATTACAGTATACTGTAAAACACTTTCAAGTTCGATTGAGCCCCAATCGAAAAAATAATATGCCCAATCTTTTGCCCTGTCTTATTTTTAAATCTTTTTTTAACTGCTTTTACAACCTTCTCTGGTGCAAAGCAGGTAAATTCAGATTTTTTGGCCCCTCTAACGTCCACACATTCATATTCGCCATTCTTCCCAGGACTTCTGCTTTCAAAAACCCTCAATGAATTCCAAATATAAAACAGCCCATCCTCTGAACCGCAAATCACGAATTTCTTATCAAATGATAAATCAGCTCTGATTGGGCATTTCAAGTTTATATTTCCTTTGTATTTCTGCACCATTAGCTCTTCTTTAAACTTAAATAGCCGAATCCTGGAATCGTTAGTAGTGATTAATAAATAATCTTCATCCATGAATTGCAAAGAAGTAACTTTTCTGCCAAAACTTCTCAATCCGAATCGGTTTTTGCACTTAAGTTTATATTTAAGCCTCAATCTGCAGCCAGTTTTGGATTTATAGATAAGAACCTCCCCTTTTTCAAGTCCAGCAGCTAAAAAAGCTGCGTTAGGGGAATAGCATAAAACTGTTACTTTGTGAGAGGTTTGGTACAGCCCTTCATTTGTGAGTTCTGGATATTTTATAACCCTTATTAGACGATCATCGCTAGCCGTAACAAAATGATCTTGATAAATTGGGTGAAAGCACACTGAGTAAACCCTTTTAAAATTTTCCAATGTAAATAATGAGCGCTCTTGGTTTTTCGTTCATATCTTAACTGTGCCATCCAGTGAAGAACTAATAAGAAAGCCTTGAGCATTTCAACTGATATCTGTGATTGCTTTAGTGTGTTCTGCCATTATAATCCTTGGAATATTTGATATCAACTGTGAGGAATTTGAATTGGGAGGGATAATATCATAAATAGAGATAATTCCAGTTTCTGCTGCAATTGCTAACCCCATTTAAGAGCCAGCAAAAAAATTAATTTAAATGATTTTTATATATAAATATTTTCCTTTATTATTAATAATTGTTATAGGGAGGTCCTTGGCTGCTTTCATTTAAATTATACACAAATTTCATTATTAAACATAAATTTATATATTGGACTAGATTGTGATTTTGAAATATCGACAAATTTTGATTTTTTAAAATAATTTTAATAGATATAAATATAAAATTAGCATATATCTAAAAAGTGAGCAAAAATACTTTCCACTCTTATAGAGGGTGGGAGTAGATATTTACAGCAAGGCGAGAATTTAATTATCCAAATTTTACTTTTAATCCCTTGAACAAGCTCGATTTCTTGAGTTAAACGGACATTTGCGAAATTCTGTGCATTTGGAGGCTTTGTGCTTTTTTTGTGAACTAACTGAGGAGGAAGTAACTCTGTTGTTTTTTTCTTGTAAGAATTATGGCTATTTGACCTATTGCTAGAGAAAATAGTAGATTGTGAGTCCATTCTTGCAGATAGCTCAAATGAATTAGTAGCATTTGAATCTTTTCGTAGCTGCTTTGTAGCGATGAACATTGATGCTGATTCTGATGGGCCAATTAAATCACTGAAACTTTCATATGCATCATAGTACTTTGATTTCCTATTGGGTTTGTGCTTGGAAGAGATATTCATATTATTTCTGTTTGAAACAAATATGATTATTTATAAACGATAATATCAAAACTGAAACAGCCGAAATTACTAATATGTCTATCTTTATTTAAAGAGTGTTTATGAAGAAGCAATAATGCTTAAAACATAATATAAGGATGCAAGACAGTGTCTGGTAATTTGTAAAAAATAAATCAATATTAAATTTATTCTGCTGTTTCAAAACTGAGAAATCTATATTTTTAATTAGATATTTTATATTTATAGCACAGAAACTGAAAATGATAATGCTATTTAATTAATTTATTTTTTTACTTTACTAATTTGAACTTATAGATGCTTCATCCTTCTTTTGCATAATTTAAGACATCTCTTGGCTAAAAAAATGTAGAGGTTAATAAATTCATTAAAATCAGAGGGATTTTCAATCATTTCTTGAATTCACAAATAATAAAGACGTGCCACATCTTGACTGAAGTAGCCTATATAGAGAGAACAGAAAGTACTGAAATTTTGTATTAAATTTACTCAATATGTCCATTAAGAAATTAATAAATTAGCTTATAGAAAAGTTTTCAATTTAGAAATATGGTAAATTAAAAGCAATTAACTTGAAATATTTTTATTTAGCATGACTCACCCTCTGTGAGCGAACAGAAACATTGAAAAAATCCCTATTTTTACCAAAAACCCACCCTCCGTAAGCGAACAAAAATTTTTTATGGAAAAGATTTTGATATATAATAAGTGTGATAATTATTATAATGAAATCTCTAGCTAATTCTGTCAAATTCAAACGGATTACATTTTAAAAAAGAATTTTGTAAATTAAATTAATTTTCACTTCTCTATTTTTACAAATTGGAATTTTTTTAAATTTCGAAATAAATTTACTATAAAGTTTATATATATAAATAACCCCCCTCCATGAGCGAACAAAATTTTTTTTCTTCGCTCACAGAGGGAGAGTGAAATTTTCTTGGAATTTAGGATCTTATTAAACATGTTATTATAGCTATCGTCTATCAAATGCAATTTATTCATTGATGTTTCATTCAAATCCTCTATAAAGTCTTCTGAAAAACTAAATGCACTGTATTATATAGATTTTAAAATTCTAATTATAAAAATCATAATAAAAAAATTCTTCACCGAAGAATAAAATGGGGCAATCTTGTTGAGAAATAAATACTTTTTTTAATATTATCTAACTCCCCTATCCCTCCGTGAGCGAACAAAAAAATTTTGTCTGCTCATGGAGGGGTTAATTTTTTAAAATCCAATTTTTAAAATAAAACAGAATTAACTCGAGATTTAATTATTCTAATTATCACTTATATATCAAAAATTTTTCCATAAAAAATCTTTTGTTCGCTCACTGAGGGGATAAGTGGATAAAAATATTAGCTATTCAAAGTATATTTCATCAAAATAAGCATTTAATCAAAACTAAGATTTCTTAATAATTCCTTCAAACATTATCATCTGTTTCCAGAATTTCCATATAAATAAATATGATAGTGTATAAAATACCTTGTATTTGCGGCAAAATCCGAATCAATCCTATTATAATAGAGGAATCAGGAATTAAAAAGCCCTAGCTATATTCCTATTTAGAAATCCCAAACCCAACATAACTGGTGCTGATTTTTCAGCTTGAATTTTTATATCAAATATCCAAAACCTAGTTTATTTTTCAATTAATATTTCTTTTAATTTGAGTCACTGAAATTTATCCTTTAAAATAAGCCTCTAAAAAGACTTATGTTAAATCTGATCCTTTATTTTAATCTCCAAATTTTCTTACAAAATGTCAATAGCTCATATAAAATATGGTGAGAAAATATTTTGTGGTCCTTGGACTTATCGCTGTAGCCCTTGCATCTCCATTTTCAGTATCTGGAATCAGTTCAGGTGGTTTTATGGCTGCTCAGATGCATGTTGCATTCTCTGCAGATTGCGTAGGTGCCGGAGTCATTGCAGGAGGTCCTTTCTACTGCGCCCTTGGCTCAGAGGTAACTGCAACCACTGCTTGCATGTCATCCCCCTACCTTCTTAAGCCTTCTTCTTATGTACAATACGCCAACGAGCAGGCTGAAAAAGGAAACATCGATGCTTTAAGCAACTTGAGCTCAAACACCAATGGAATCTGGATTTTCTCCGGCCAAATGGATACAGTTGTCAACCAGAAGGTCGTAAAGGCCCTCCAAGCCTTCTACCAGAACTGGGTAAGTCCATCCAAAATTGCCACAGTTTATGATGTCTATGCCGAACATTCATGGGTGACTAATAACGCAGGAAACCCATGTTACTATCTTGGATCTCCTTACATCAACAACTGCAAGACCGACGCAGCTGGGCTCATTCTTAAGCAAATCTACGGAAATATTGCCGCCCCAACCACAGCGGTTTCTTCAAACCTCAAGAGCTTCGAGCAGTCCAACTTTGTTGACGTCAGCTCTGCAGTGATGCTAAACGAAGGGTATGTCTACGTACCAACTTCTTGCCAGTCCAACCCTACAAGCTGTAAAGTCCATCTTGCAATTCACGGCTGCCAGCAGAACTATAATACAATTGGAAATAAATTCCTGGTCGAATCAAACCTCAACGGGTATGCTGAGGCCAACGGGATCATCGTGATTTACCCACAAGTAGACAGCAACATGATTAAGAACCCTGAAGGCTGCTGGGATTGGTGGGGATATGCAGGATCTGACTATGCACTCAAATCAGGCGTCCAGATGGCCGCTCTTTATAAAATGACCCAAAACGTTCAACAACTGATTAGCAGTGCTCAATCAGTTGAGTGGGAGTTATAAATTTTAACGACTTTCTACGTAATCTGCCTTAATTCATCATAAATATTTTTCGTGTTTTATAATTCACAAGTTTTCTTTGAAAGGGCTTTAATCTAAATTTACTTTGAATAAATTTAATCATTTAAAGAGCTCAAAAATAAGTTAATTTAATATAATGACATAATAAAAAATGCATCAGCTGAGAGACCAAGTGAATATGGAAGTGAATCCAATTATTGTACGAAGCATTCTTCTCGCATTTATTATAGGAATTGCTTGCTTTGCCACTTTATATTTGACTTATCTGCTCCTCATAATTAAAATATGGCGTCTCCACCTAGCATAGCCTCCTGCAGCGCAGCTTCCGAGCACATATTTTAATTATATCCGGCAAGGTTTACCATTATAGAAATGGGGCAACAATGCCAGGTAAGCAATTCTGCAGGACAGAGCCTAGCCCATGCTCAACGACTGGAATGGATTTTACTTCGTGGGGAAGGAAGACGCGGAGGTTGGAAAGGGGAAGCCCAGCCAAGTCCTTAGGACCAATCGGGCAACTCCCTAGCGTGAAACTGGGCGTTACGACCAAGGCCATGTGTTCTCCCTTTTTGCTGAGAGTCGGCCAGAAAATCCATTTTTTGGATTTTCCGAACAGGCAACTCACTTCCTCAAAGAAGTCGTTGACGTCATCTGGAGGTGCGTGGTGCGCTGGGCGGTCGTACCGGGAGGCTGTGCTTTCAGATTCCTAAGCGTCAAGAGGTGGCGGTGGGCCCCGGAATGCCTACCCAGTGGGGGACGTTAAACGTGATATTAATTTAAGTAAGACTTATCTGCTCCTCCTCGACTATCTTGAAGTTGTATTTCTCACTCCCCCCCCTCCGTGAGTGAACAAAGCCATTAGAAAAATCGTTATTTTTTGCCCAAAAACCCACACTCCGTGAGTGAACAAAAATTGTTTTAATAGTTTTATTGAAAAAAATTTAGATATATAAATGCTAATTAGTATAATGAAATCTAGAGCTAATTCTGTTTAATTTTAAACAAATTGCTTTTTAAAACATAAATTTTATAAATTAAATTAATATTTGCTTTCCAATTTTTGCGAAAATAGGATTTTTTTAAATTTCGAAAAAAAATATTTTTTATAAAATTTATATATAAATTTTTAAAAAAAAAAAAATTAACCCCCCCCTGTGAGTGAACAAAATTTTTTTGTTCACTCTCGGGGGGGGGGGGAGTCAGCATTTTCTTCAGCATCTCAATCAGGCCAATCAAAGACAACATCTTGATTTATTTTTTAAGGCATAAAACCGAAAAGCCTTACTTTTCAATGGTAAAAGAATCGCTTCTTTTCCATCTATTTTACCTTGTGAAATCTACAAAAAACATTTCAGCGAAATCTGTAACAAGTATAGGGCAGACAACTTTGATTGTATTCCTCTCTGCAGCCTATTTAATTGTTTTTAAGCTCAGATTCAAGCTATTTTGATCAATATCTATTATCATAGTTTTGCTGGATTTTACTTTGAGACTTTTATATGACATTTATAACATTATAAGACATAAAACCTGAATTGAAATCCCTTCAGGGTTATTTATTACCTTTGTTACTATAGGCACGATTATAGGAGTTATAATGGTGCTTATTATATTGCATACATTGGCAATTGGCTACACCGTGCTAGAATTCAAGGACCAAGGTAAAGCGTTGATTGACCAGTTTTCAGCCACGCTAAGCTCAAAGCAAGCACAAGATTTAGTTGATAAAGTTTATGACGTTGCTAAACAAAGCAACTTAATTGAGCTGACCAAATTTGAATTTATTGATTTTTCCAATAAAGATTATCAAGCTTGCTCTGCATACATTGATGATCTGGACAGTATCCCATTCATTGGAAAACTCTTATCACCATATGTGAAAACCATAGACTTCTGGCTTGACTATGCGAATCTCTCCTCCTACCAAATTTTGAATTTCTATTACATTTATAGCGACTTGATCCATGAGTTTCTTTTGGATGCCACAGTTTTGACTGGGAATACTCTTTTTACCTCTGTTTCTTTGGTTACATCATCTATTACATCAACTCTTTCAACCGTCATCTTATTTTTCACATTAGTAATCCTCCTTATGAATGACAAAAAAAGCTTACTTGAACGTATTTTTGCAGCTCTTCCTATGAATGCTTCAATGGAATACCCTCTTATCACAAGCATAAATATGACTGTAATTGGTTTATTTAAATCTTTATGGTTATGCGCAGCGCAGCATTATGCTATCACATGAATCCTTTATGATTTTCTTGACATCGAAATGAAGTACACAGTTTCTGCCATCACAGCCTTCGTAGCACTGTTTCCAGTTCTATATTCCTGGTATTTCAATATCCCAACAATAATTTGGCTCTGCTTTAATATGAATTTTGGCAAAGCCATCGCTGTATTTGTGGTTGAATTTTCGCTTGACATACTAGATGCTCACATATATGCAGAAAACATGAAAGGAGCTAATCCTAATATCGTGGCTTTGGCCATGTTTTTGGGGATTTATCAGTTTGGGCTGCTTGGGATTTTATACGGACCACTAATTGCTTCAGCAGTAATCATTATCTTGAACCATGGATCCATACCTAAATAATTAACATTATAGCTTATTAGTCTAATTCTTCTATTTTCGATTTAGGCTTGGCATTTTGTGTTTCTTTTTTGGAAATCTCTTCTGACAAAGACTCACATACAATTTTATGTGTTTTCCATGCTGAGACCTGGCATTTTCTTGAGCAATACCATTGAGACTTGCATTTAGAGCATCTTTTGCTTGCAGGTGCAGAGCATACAGAACAAATGGGGTCATCAAGAATTTCCTCAATCCCTGCCATTAGGAGCTGCATGTCAGCTTTTCTTGTTTCATCATTCTCAATCAAAAAGTTACTTTTTTGATACTCACTCCCCCCCCCATCCTTGATCGAACGACTCGCCATCGTTCGATCAAGGATGGGGGTTAAAAAAAATTTTTTTTTGGGAAAAAAAAATTTATATATAAAATGAAAAAGATATATATAGATTTTTTTTTATTTACTTTAAATAAGAGGGTTAAGAGTATTTAATAATTATTTTTACAGCAAAAAATTGAATTAATTTCATAAAAATACCAATTTTTAATATTTTGATTTATTAGTTACCCATAAATAAAATGGCTTTCGCTCAAGCGAAGTTAGCTCCGCTAACTTTCTCTCACTCAAAGCAATTTTATTTATAGGGTTGGGTTTTCACCTCAAGAACTTCTGCACAGCAATAGCGGTTTAACTTTGGAGATAACCAGAGGAACTGCTCCTCAGTGCGATCAAGATCTGGAGTTTTTACCCCTCAACACATCCCAAGGGAGATGGACCCTCAGGCGGAACACGCGCAGGAGCTGAGTCGAAACAAAGCCGTGGCGGCAGCGAAGCCCGTCGAAGCCGGAAATCATATTCACCTGTGTCTTTTGGTGATCAAAAGGGATCGACCCAGCGGTCTCTGGGCCCGACACGTGGAAAAATATGGTGGCAGCTCTGGAGCTAGCGACCCCGTAGTGGACGTTAAACGATATAGATAATTAAGATTAAGATTTATTAGTTACCCTTTTAAACTGTATAAATTTTAATTTAAATTAAATATTTTTTTAAAATTTTAAAAAATCTCTATTTTATTAGATTATTGAGCTTTTAAGCCTATGTTGATGTCTAAATCACTTCGGATGGTTGATTTCGCAGCTTTCTGTCGTCTCAAAGCTCTGAAAACAACTTCATTAGGCACATCTTCCAAAGCATTTGATAACTAATATTTTTTTATATATATAAAAATTTGCATGATATGAAAATCGTTCGATCAAGGATGGGGGTTAATTTCCCCAATTTTTAGGAATTTTTACAATCAAGGATGGGGGGGGGGAGTCAGCAATTTCTCGCCAATTTTTCCCAGCAGAAATTCGTTGGTATAATTCAGGAAGCTGCTGGATAACAAAAGCTGAAATCCCAGATTGTATTGTTGTGTCCCCAACTATGCTTAATTCTTCTAAAGCTCTGAGCAACTGGCTTAAAACAGGAATTTGATCAATCACCACTTCATTAAGAAATTTCCTGATCCTTAAGATGTTGTTTTTTCGATACGAGGTGAGCTCATATTTGCTCCTTACATCTTGGTTCATAAATAAGTTGTAAATAATCAGCCAAATTTGGGCTTCAACTTGAGGAATTTTTGCTTCATCCCTTAAAACTCTCCACTGTTGGTCTTCGAAAATCATTTTTCCTCCTTTTTTGTTTCTGATCCAAGGCTTCATTTCCATTAGTGGCACGAGGACACAAAAAATATCGCACTGTTCCACCAAGTGTTGGACTAATGCCAGTGTCATTCCTTCCATATGATCAGAAATGAACCTGATGATAGAAATGCTGCTGATTCCCATTGAGAATTCCAGCTCTTTCAGCTGATGTTCAAGCTCCTCAGCCCTTGACATTTCCCCTGTAAGTCTTTCTGCAGTTTCGTTTACCTGTGTAATTTTAATAAGTTTCCTATAAGCCCAATCCACAACATCAATTAAATAATCCCCTGCTTCTTCGCACGATGTCCTATGATACAGCAAAATTTCTAATAGATTTGCCACAACTCCTTCGTGATAAATCAGCATATAAGACCTCACACTGCTCAGGGCAAACATCTCTTGATGGCACAAAGGAAGAACATTTGCTTTCCAGACCTCACTTACTATTAAATCATATATAAGTGTCCTCATTTTCTCGTTCATAACTACAGCTTCCTTCACATATTCGTCTTCTCTAGCCCTCGCATTTCTATGTGACTGCAGATTCAGCTTATAAATGACTTCGTGCTGCCTATTTCATTTAGGGCTGGCATACTCTCTGACGTCAATTTCTTCAAGGCCCCGCACATAATGCTCTACCTCAAAGCTTGTGAGAATGTCTGCTTCCATTTAACTACAATCATTTTAGCTTAAACAATGTCTTTGAGAAATAGGGCAAAAAAAAGTTCTCAAAGCTATCTGCCGCTCTGTGTCTGCAATATCCCAAAGGCTAGTAAATGGCTAGAGGGACACTGTGGATCATGCTTGGGGCATTTGAACTCAATTTCTTCATCTACTCAGGCTACTTGCTCAAGAACTCCCTCTCCGAATTTTGCTTCAAATAGACTTGCTCCGCGGTCGTTTGATATTTATGAAGGCCATGCATATAAAGGTCATATCAAGAGAACTGAAAGTGAATACTCAGCGTTCCATATCCACCCAAAAATTAGCTCTCATAAACAGTCTTTAAGTAAAGGGAGTCAAATTGAAGCAAAAGCGCCTTATAAAGAAATTCTGGTTATGAGGCCAGAGCCCAGCTTATCAAGTTTAAAATCTGCAGAGAGCTTTAAAAGGATCAAAAGTCCTATTCACTTTCATAATGGATCTACACCAAATCCTAACTACTCACGAGAAACCACTGAAGATATATATAGGAGTCAGAGATCTTTATCGATTTATGATGCCCCTGAAGAGTCTTATTCTCAGAAGTCGTCAAACTCTTATATTCGCTCGACGTCAAAAAGTTCTAAAAATATAGTTTTTTCCCTTATTTTGCCCTATTGGCTTGCAATACAGTGGACTACATTTAGGAAAGACCTATAGAAAAGGCAAAGAAAAAATTTTTAAAATTTCAGGCAATTTTTCACCAATTCCTGAACTTCGAATTCAAAAGCCTATAAAATCTTATGCAGAGGAAAACTTCACTCCATCAAAAGCAATTTCAACGGAAAATATTTTTGAAGGACACTTAAATGGCGTTACAGCTCTATGCATTAATGATAATTCATTATGAAGCTCTAGTTGTGATTATTCTATACGCTCCTGGAACATAGTAGGAACAGTAGATGCGTATCGAGGATTTATGAGGAGCTCTTTAAGCAAAAAGCCTACCAACTCCCGCCTGAAAGCACATTCCAGGCCTATATTGGACATCAAATGTGTTGATAAAGTTCTGATTTCAGGAGGCACAGACGGTAAAATAAAGATATGAAGCATAAGCGAAAACATTGAGCCTGTCACTTGGGCTAAAGTTCATGAGGGATTTGTAAGGGCTCTTGACATCCCATCTCAGCGAACCCTTTTATCATGTGGGGATTGCAGCATAAAAATTTGGGATTTGGAAACTCTGATATGTGCGAAGACATATGAGGAGCACACAAAGCCAGTTGAAAGCCTAGCTTTAATGTCATCATCGAAATTTCTCTCTTCAAGTCACGACTCCCTAATAAAACTATGGGATCTTCGGACTTCCAGAAGCGAAAAGTTGTTTGTAGGGCATTTAGACACGGTAAATACAGTTAAAATTTGGGATGAATATGCATTTCTATCAGGATCTGACGACGGCTCAATTAAGGTGACATATAAATAGAAATGAGACTTAAGGACTGGTGGAATCCTCAGCAGTCTGAATTCTAAAGAAAGAGTTAAGGATGTAGAAAAAGCTGAAGGAAAAATCTTCAGTGCTGGTAAAAGCTTAAAGATGTGGGAAAATGCAACCTCCAGAAGTATAGATATCATTCAAGGTGGAATAAAATGCCTGAAATATCATGAAGCAAGCCGAATGCTTTACAGTGGAGGAGCAGACGGATCAATAGCTGTAACGACTATTTAGGCCATAAAAGTCTAGAGTTTTGCGCTTTTTGTAACTTTAGTTTAACTTAAGTTTTGATTAATATTTTGATAAGGAATTTAACTTGCTGCAAGTCTCTTCAAGCAAATTCAATAAGGTTTCTTCTGACTCTTCTCTTTCTCCTCGCTCTGCTTCAATTTCGTTCTTCATCCTTGAAACTAAATCTTGCAGCATCACAAGCATAGCTTCTTCAGTTTCTTCTCTGGCTTTTCTTTCTTGGTCAATTAGCCCTTGGGCTCTTTCGGCTTCCTTATTGATGTCATTCATATATTGCTCGCCCACTTTTTCTCTTTCAATGACTTCATTTTTGAGCATGGATTCGATTGTAGGGATTCTTTCGTTGAAATATTGCTTAATTGAATCCAGCCCATCACTTCTCAACTTGGCTTCTCTTGAGACTTCAGCTTTTAGAGAATTCATCCTATCATCCATTAGCTTTTGCAGTTTTTGGTCTGCTTCTTTTTTTGAGGTGTCTGACTCCCCAAAATATCCTTTTAAGGCTTCTTCACGGTCTAACAGCTCATTTGTTCTTTGCTGGAAAAAGCTTTCTCTGGATTCTATTGTGTCGTTTAAAGCTTTTTGGAGAAAGGCGACTTGATCTTTACAGTTGGAAAATTTTTTAGCACTTTGTTCTTGAGCTTCTTCAAATTTTTGCTGTAGGATGTCGATTTTGGATTCCAGCTGATTGACTCTGGATCCACGCTCGTTCTCAATTGTGACTTGGATCCCTGCAAGGCGTTCCGATATTTGGTAGATTCTGTCTTGATGAGGGGACGAACGACTACTATATGAACTCATATTAATTTATATTTACAAAAGAAACTACTTATCTGCGAAAATGATAACTTCCTCCATCCGTGAGCGAACAAAACCATTGGAAAAAAATTCCTATTTTTGCCCGAAAACCCACCGAACAAAAATTTTTTTATAGGAAAAAATTTTGATATATAAGTGGTAATTAGTATAATGAAATCTTGAGCTAATTCTGTTTGATTTTAAACAAATTTCGTTTTTAAAACATAATTTTTACAAATAAATTAATATTTGCTTTCCAATTTTTGCAAATTAGGATTTTTTTAAAATTTTATATATAAATTTTTTTAAAAAAAAAATTAACCCCCCTCTGTGAGTGAACAAAATTTTTTTGTTCGCTCATTGAGGGGGGGAGTAAGTGCTTGCTCTTCAGGTACATCAGAGGATTTTATATCAAAATTTTGATCATCAATCTTTAGCGTTTGGCTATCTCATACATTATCCTGGCCATTTGATTTTAGAATTTTTGCTTGAATTACCATTGGACTTCGATTTCTGATAGCAGGGACCGTAAATTCAGCAATTTTCTCTTTATATGAGCTGCAGTTTTGAGGCTGCTCTTCAGATATTTTTTTCTTTCTTATTTCATCAACCAAATTTACTTGTTGGTCTTTTAGCTTAAGATCCACTTCAAATTGAGAAGGATGCTTTTCTTTTGGGTGGGGTTCAGGAGGGCATGAAATAGGAGAAATACTCAGTTCTGGTTCACATTTCTTCAAATCTTTTAAACTTATATAGATTGTCGATACTTCTTTGATTTTGGGTTTCTGGGAACTTAAACTTCTTGCAGATGATGGAGTCATTTTTATTATTTTTGGTTTCTGAACAACCTTTTGCTCTATTTTTGTTTTATTTCGAGGGTGATCTAGGGTTGTGCATCGAGGCTTGGCCTTGTAAGTGCCTTTACTTGTAGGTGCAAAACTTTTTGGTTCTTGATGTCGTCTGCTTTCTGACTTGTTTTGAAATTTTTTGATGCCATCTCCGTGTGAGATTACAGTTTCTCCATTTCTCAAAGGAATTAGCACTCCAGTGCTTGGGGTATTCGGTGTATAAACAGAGCGCGGAGTATAGTATTGGGCTTGGCCTTCATCAAATATAAAGCCACTTTGATCGATCGAGGTTCTGTAGCTCTCGTTGCCAGTATCTCCTGCCATTTCTCCGGGACGGATCATTTCAATGTGCAATTGATCCTCGTTTTGCTGGAAAACTCGAAGTGGATATCCTGGCGCTTGTTTAATAAGCCTATCAATGGTATCAGAAATATTTCCTGGGTTTGAATATGAGCAACTTGATTCTTGCCTGCATGTATCTCCTGAAAAAGTTTTTAGCGGAGAGAATTCTGACATGGTGAGCTTGGTGCCACATTGGTGGCATGTATACTGCGAAAGAACCTCTTTGAGCTTGTGTTCTAATGAATTTTCTGACATGCTAGTTTAATATAGAGCAAAATATAGAGGAAATTAGTTTATCCTCTTATAATAAATTAAATTCTATTATAATTAATATTTTTTTAAAATTAAATATATTTGGTTGATTTTTTATGAATTAATTTCTGCAGCATTCAAAATATGGTTAAAAAAGATCTCATAGCAATTTCAATGTGCTTCGTATTAATTAGGAGGAGTGAGATTGACATTATTATGAATTTATAAAAATGTTGAAAATTTAATTTGAAATAAGATTAATTCTCTCCATTGTGAAATTATAACAGATAAAGGTAAATGATTATAATAGTGCCCATAAAGATTTTCATCCAAATAATTATGTATTAGTTAGCTCATAAAAATACCTGACCTACTCCCTTTATAACAAATAATAGCTAAATAATAGTAGCATATAGCACATATCACAAAAATCTGTACAAAGGTATATTAATTTAACTTATCTAAAATGGGTGCTTGCTTTGGAAACTCAAATAAAGCAAAAGCTCCAGAAAATAGCAAGACAAGAATCTCTCAAGAAGACAAAGAAATAGCCCAGCTCAAATCAACCCGAGATAAAGTCAAGCATTTTCTCAAAAAGCTAGAAAGCAACATCCAGAGCTGTAAAGAAGCTGTCAAAACTTGCATTAAAAATAAAGACAAGCCCAGGGCCATGCTAGCACTGAAAAAGCAAAAATATCTTGAGAAGAACTTGGAAAGTGGTCAAAATCAACTCATAAATTTGGAGCAGATTATTAATGATGTTGAGCAAGCACAAATTCAAAGAGATGTCGTCCAAGCAATGAAGCAGGGTACTGAATTTCTCAAGCAAATTAACGATCAGCTCACAATCAATGACGTTGAAAAGCTTATGGCTGACACTGAAGATGCTATTGAGTACCAGCAAGAAATTGGAAGATTACTTGCTCAGCAAGGAATTCAGGAAAGCGACCAAGATTTAGAAAAGGAACTTGAAAAATTGGATGAAGTTGAAGCTCTAGAAGTGGAATCAGAAATCCCAGCACCACCCAAACACAAGAAGCATAAGAAGAAAAAGGTATTTGAGGAAGAGGAAAATGAAGAAAAAGTTGAAGTTTATGCTTAGATCATAGTAACTTGATAGTCTTGAAATATAAAGAGATTTATTTGAAATGATAAAAAATATAGATTGCTTTTAGTTTATATTAAAAGAGTTTCTTATAAAGAATGTGAGGGAAAAGATTTTGAATGCTTTATTCAAATGCTAGATAGTCTTTAAGTATAACTGAGTTGATTAAACTCACTCTGCGATTAAATTTTACTCGTTCATAAGAGGAATATGCTGCCCTATCAGTTGCTCTAGATGAAGAATATGAACTTTAAAACGGCATTAAATTGCATAAATAAATGAGTCAAAATAGAAAGAAAATTTCATTGTCACAAAAAATAGATGATTCAGAAGTCTCCTTTGTAGAATCTAAAAAAGCTTCTAAAACAATTATTCAATCTCTACTTAGAGCAGGAAGAAATCTTTCTAAAATTCATGATCGATTGATATCTCAAAGACCTCATGAAGTTTCCAAAATTATCAGGTCTCACAAAGCAGTTAATGAAGAAGAAATAGAAATCTTAAAAGTAAAAATTGTCCCAAAAGCAATGATTAATGAAGGAACTCAGATGGATTTTAATTTCACTAGAGATGATGAATCGAAAAGTGAGATAGATAAAGCTGATACAAATGTCAAGGAAATACTTAAAGAATCATCTCCTATTGAATTTGAAAATCCGATTTTAAAGAAATGATCAGACCAAACATTTTATCGAAACCCTCAAGAGCAAGAGAGCAATGAACTTTTTGAAAAAATAGGAAATTGAGATGAAAATTACATCATTTATCCTAAAAGTAGACTATATAAGGATATTTCAGCGAATTTAGGAAGGCCTTCTTTGCTTAAGTTGCATAGGCAAAACAAAGAGAGGCTTTATAATTTTCGACATAAGGCACATAGAAGAGCTTCAAGTGTAAATTCTGGCCAAAACTTTCCAGAAGTTAAAAACAAGGAGAGATTTTCAACAAAAGATAAGAACACAAAATTAAGAGAAGACCGAAGCATTTGGCAATATAAACCGGTTGATGCAGGAATTTTCGACTATGAAAAACTTCTAAATAAGAATAGGCGATCATCAACTCCTTTTATATCATCAAGAATGTAATTTAAAATTTTAATTCTCGTTAGATTTATTGCTGTGCATTTTGGCTTGAAAATTTAATTCCCTAATAAATATGACTAACTCAAATGATAAAAAATAAATTATTAAATATTAGATAATAAAAGCAAATAAACTTTAATTAGTTATTCGTTTAAATTTAATAGTTTATATTATTTTTGAATGTATTCTAGAAAATTTCCAAAAAAGCAATTATGTTTAAGCTGTAGTAAATATTTTTGAGGCTCATAATCATTTTTATGATGAACTCTATCCGCGCTTCTGATATCATGATGCGACTTAGGGCTGAATCTTTATGATATAAATTCTTATGATGATACAATCCGTGTTTTTGATATCCAATGATAACACCTTTTTGACTGATTCATAAAAATTACTTAAGTTGGCTTTTGCTTAAAATAGACCTCATTCTATTTTTTTATTAGTTTTTCTTTACTGTATTGACTCTACTTAAAACTAAAATAGCTCTTAAGAGCTGCTATAGCGTTTAAGCATTATAAGTGATGCAAATACTTATGAATTTCCTTTTACTGAATAAGTATTTTTCTAACCAATTAGACCAATAGATTAATTATTCTGTGTAGCTTGATTAGCACTTCTCCTTTGCAATCAATAGGTAAAAGATTAATTTTATATTGTATAACTGGCTATTAAGTACTTTGTAAAAATTCCTCAATCACTTTGATCCTTATTGAGGCATTTTGTGACATCATCCTAATTAACACTATATATCAATTAGAAAAGAACAAAAATAAACACAAAAATGCCTTTGATAGTAAATTAAACACAAATAAGAATTAAAGCTCCTTTCTAGGCGTGATTAAATAATACTAATAATTCGGATTTTATAATGAAATATCTGATAGTCATTGCAAGCTTCATAATCTTGGCGAGTGGAGTCTATACTGGAGCAAGTTTTGGGTTCACTGAAGAAGCAGCAGAGAACTTCAAGAACAATGTGCTCCCTTATATCTTTTCTAAGCAAGAGAATATACAGCTCCCAAATCAGCACATTAATACAGGGCGAGGGGTATTCAAAGTAACCTTTTCTATCACTGAAACCTACATTTATGATCTGAATATGGACGTTACTAACAGCAAAGTAAATTTCGGGAGCAATAATGACATTATTTTGAATATCGCAGATCTCTCAGAAAAAGTGAGATTTACTTGGTCATATGATAGCAACTTAGGCTCAGATAAAGGTTTTGCAATTGTTAGTCTCGCAGATACCTTAGCAACCACAATAATCCACCTTTCGGCAGAAAATGGGAGACCTGTTGTCTCTATTACTGAAATGACTTTGAAAATTGGAAATCTCGACGTGAAATTCAGTGGAAACACTTCAGCGGACGTTGCAAACTGGCTTGTAGGGATTCTCAATCAGCAAATGATAGCTTTGATAGAAAAGTTGACTTCAGATAGCTTAAAAGATGCAATTGACACTGAGCTAAACCAATATTTGTCCTCCCTCGATCTTACAATTGACATAGGCGGAATAGGCCTCGCAATAAATTATACCTTGCCATATCCTCCAATTGTGACAGAAAACTTTATACAAGTAGACACCTTAGGCTTAATAGTCCTCAAAAGCAACCCAAACCTTTCTCCTCCAATTGATCCACCAGTGCAGCTTCCTGGTTTCCAAGAAACTGGCTTACAAATCCAAGCATATATCACGGATTACACCTTTAATTCAGGATTTTATGCTGCATATCAATCAGGAAGCCTTTCTACAGTCATCACTCAAAGTGATCTCCCATCTCAAATCAAATTGACAACTACATTTCTTAATGATTTCCTCCCTGGGATTGTAAAAGTATATGGCCCAAATAAGCCTTGCCAATTGAATTGTTCAGCCACAGAAGCTCCAGTTGTGCATACTCAGAGCTCAAATAAGCTGTTTCCACATGGGCAAATTGTAGGAGCAATCGTGACTGGGTGTTCTGTTGTGGTGATCAATCAAGGAACTGCAGTGGAGCTTGATATGAACTTGGATTTTAATGCAACTTTGTATATTGATAATTGGGTGCTGAATGGAGATTTGTCATGGATGCAAGTTACTAGCTTAAAAGCTGTCAATAATAATATTGATCCAATTGACACAGAAGGCCTGATGGATGGGATTAATTTCTTATTGAATATGACTCTACCAACTCTTAACCAAAGAATTTTTGGGCAAGGCCTTCCTCTTCCAAAGTCGCAATATGTTAATCTTACGATGTCAGATGTTACAGTTGAAAATGGATATACTTATATTCAATCAACGCCTCAATATAACTTTACGGATAATGAAAATTAAGAATCAAAATAGAATAGTCTTATATATAAATTACAATGATGAAAAAGTAGAATGTTCTTCATATCAGTCCCTTACTCCCCCCACTTTTAATTGATACAAAAAATTTTGTTTCAATTGAAAGGGGGGTTAAGAAAATTTTTTATACAAAAATAAATTCATATGCCATCTTTATTTAATTTTTCGCAATTTTTATCTTTCCATACTTCTTTTAAAAAATTAAAAGTCTAAAAATATATATCAGAATTTAAGTCATATTATAATTTTGACATGCTAGAGTAATGACTATGTGTGAATATTTTCTATTAATTAAAATATGAGCTATCAAAGGTAAGCATAAAGTAGATTGTTCTATCTCAAGCTATCGGGAACCATGATAAGGCGAGCCTTTATTTTATATAATACTCTCTTCTTTAAATAAGAGCAAGATATAACTAAATATTTAATTTTAGTTAAGAAGAAATATTTAACTTACATCAAAACTTTTTACATAAAAATTATGATTTTTATCTATAAAATTTTTTATTATAGATTCGAATTTTTTCCCAAATTTAAAGGAAGGGGAGGTAATAGTTATTATTACATTAGTAGTGTGATATTCAATAAAATATTTTATTTTAGGAATCTGAAATAGTAATATTTTGACATATTCGATTGATCTTGATTCTGCCTCTGCAATTTTTATGATTCGAAAAGATTAAAAGAATCTTGATAAAAGAGGAGATTATTTATTATTAAGTTTAAAAAGGATTGATCAAAATGAGTATGCTTAAACACTCGATAGTTTGTAGAGGCCCTCATTAAGTGTTAACTTATATAATAAAAAAAGGATCTATAATGCATCAATGCCAAATAAGAGATATTGTAAGATTGATTTAAAAGGAAAAATAAAATCAGCTCTGATAAAAGAGATGCATTTTAATATTTTGATATCTAATAAAAACATAATTTAAGTGCATTTATATGCACTAATTTAATATAATCTAATATTGCGTAGCAATATTTTAAAATAAGAAAAGCAAAATTATTAAATTCTTTGTCTGCCAAACATTTCGAACATCCATTAGAGTCAAATATTAAAATAATGGAACATTTACATAAAAATAGCTTGTATGGATCAAAGCCGGTATTCTTTATGAAGAAATTTCCGATTTAAATATTTAGTGATTGGAGAGTACTCTGTTGGAAAAACAAAAATACTGAATCGCTTTTAGTTTCGACAGAAAGCCGCCATATTTTAGTTCTTTGATCAATGTGATCTGATTCTGTAATTTATATGTTAGAAAGTCAGGAAACTAAAATATCGTGAATATGGGATAATATTAAACATTTGAGATACTGGAGGGCTAGAAAGGTATAAGAATTTGCCTCCTATATATTACAAAAGTGCTAATGGAATTTTTGTTGTCTTTGATCTAGCCAACAGGAATTCTTTTTTCAATGTTAAACAATGAATAAAGGATATAGAAGAATTTTCAAATATTAGTCTTGCAATTTTAATAGGGAATAAATCGGATCTCATAAACCAAAGAGAAATTTCATTTGAAGAAGCTAAAGACTTTGCAGATGAGTTAAATATTCCTTATTTAGAAGTTTCGGCAAAAAATGGTAACAATATTAATGCAGCATTCGAAGCTTTATTTAATGTAGCGCTTAGCAATTTTAATTCTCATAGATAAGTTGATGTTTACCAATGAAATATTTTATATATATAGACAACTTTTTTTAAATGTTATTCTGTTTTAACTAAAAACATTAAATTCTTTGCCAAAATTTCGAGCATGCATTAGAGTTAAGCTATTAAAATAACGAAAAAATTATATAAAAATAGCTTACATGGATCAAAACTGGTATTCTTTATGAAGGGATTTCCGTTTTAATTTTTTAGTGATTGGAGAATGCTCTGTTGGAAAAACAAAAATATTGCTTCGCTTTGTAGAAAATCAATTTGAAGTTCCTTGACTTGGATCAGTTGAATTTGATTTTGTAATTTATATGTAAGAGAGTCAAGAAACTAAAATGTTGTGATTATGCGATAAAATTACTCATTTGAGATACAATAGGGCAAGAAAGATATCGGAATTTGTCTCCTAGATATTACAAAAGTGCTAACGGAATTTTTGTTGTCTTTGATCTAACCAACAGGAATTCTTTTTTAAATGTTAAAAGATGATTAAAGAATATAGAAGAATTTTCAAATACTAGTCTTGCAATTTAATAGGGAATAAATCGGATCTCATATGTCAAAGAGAAATTTCGTTTGAAGAAGCTAAAGACTTTGCAGATGAGTTAAATATTCCTTATTTAGAAGTTTCGGCAAAGAATGGCTACAATATTAACGCAGCATTTGAAACATTAATTAATGTAGCGCTTAAAAGCTTTAATTCTCATAGATAAATTGATGTTTACCAATAAAATATTCGTATATAGAATTGTTTTAACTAAGATCCATTTAGAGTTCAATTGAGTCTAATTTTTCAAAGTGGAGATTTGGGCTCTCAATATATATTAGCTCTGAGAGTATGCATGAATATATTTATGAATGGTCTAAACCTTATTCGAAAATTTCTCCATTAGTTAAAAGTGATATTAAATATTCTTAATAAAAAATTCTTTTTTATTAGGTTTGACTTTGAAAATTGTCATCCCTAAAGAAGACAACCGATGTAAAAAATATTTATATAAAAAGCAGATATAATTGATTCATTTGATACTGAGATTTTTTAAAGCAATCCTCCTGCGGTGACTAGGAAAAAAATGCAGCTAAAGGTAAAATGGTTTTAATTTAATTAAGAAACGTCAGTTATTTTTATTAATCTTTGAAATCCTTATTTAATCATAACAGTCTAACGACATAATTTTAAAGATGAACATTGAATCATCGCCAGCATGAACAATAGGAGAAAAATCTCCACCTCCAAAAGTTGATGACACTCCTGGACCTGGGGCATACAATATTGATGCAGCTATTAATAGACCTAAATCAGCTCCGTGTATAAATAAAGCAGAAAGATTCAAAGTAATGAAGCCTGACTGCGAAATTGGGCCAGGAGCTTATGAGATAAGGTCTCGATCTGAGAGTCCAACATACAAATTTGGGATAGAGAAAAAACATAAAGAAAGGCGAAGCAGCGTTCCTGGTCCAGGGGCGTACAATATAGAAACGCCTTCAAAAAGATTGAGCTCAGCTTATAGCATTAATAAGGGAGAAAGGTTTAAGGACACCATTAAAGATATTCCTGGTCCTGGATCTTATGATCCAAATCACCCTCAAAGCAAGGCTGGCTTTTGAATGAGCAAGGGAGAAAGATGCACATTTAAAGTATCAAACTCCCAAGCTGTTTACGATGCATCAGTCTCAGCAAGAGAACTCAGCAGCTCTCCAGGCCCAGGCCAATATGATAAAGTCTTTTCATACACCAAGCCAGTCTCATTCAAGTTTGGAAACGAAGACCGTTTTGCAGAAAAGAGCAATCAAGAAATTCCAGGGCCTGGATCATATGAGATTAAAGTTCGACATGAAAGTCCTACTTATCAATTTGGGAGCGACAAAAAGCACCAAACATTTACAACTGATTCTCCAGGACCTGGAGCCTATGAAGTGAAGCTTAGAACAAGCAGTCCTTCATTTAAGTTTAGTAACGAAAAAAAGTCTAAGGAAGAGAAGGCAAATCCTCTTGGCCCTGGCGCTTATGAAGCCAAAAGAAGCTACGAAGCACCAGTTTATAGATTTGGAAATGAGGCTAAACATAAAGACTTAAAGAGCGACATTCCAGGACCTGGGACTTACAATTTGGAGCAAAATTTGGTAAAGTCATCGTCAAGCCCTGCATTAAGCAAAGCAGATAGGTTTAGACCTGAAAAAGGGCTTGAAGTTGGCCCAGGATCATATGACCCTCGTTATCCAGAAAGCAAGTCCAGGGTTTTCTTTGGCAGCGAACAAAGAGGAAAGTCAGATAAAATTTCATCATCTGTATCATGCAGCAATTTACCAAGGGAAGTTGATGGACTTCCTGGTCCAGGCCAATACTATAAAGATGACAACATGAATAAGACAGTAACATATTCGTTTGGTAGCGGAGAAAGATTCAAAGAAAATAGATCTTCAACCCCTGGGCCTGGGACATATAGTCATGAAAAGCCGAGAGATGGAAGTCCCAATTATCACTTCGGAAACGAGCCAAAGCACAAATTCAAAGCTCTTGACACTCCAGGTCCTGGCTCTTATGATATGAAGCTTAAAACAGAAAGTCCAAACTTTAAGTTTGGGATTGAAAAAAGAAGCAAAGAACTACCTGAGAGCCATATTGGCCCAGGAATGTATTATTATGAATTAAACACCAGTACTCCTACCTATAAATTTGGAAATGAATCAAAACATAAAGAAATAAGAACAAACGCTCCAGGGCCTGGAAGCTATGATGTAAAAGCAGTCTTGCAGACTCCAACAGCCAAATTTGGAATGGAGCCAAGAGATAAGCAGCCTGTCAGCCAGTCTCCAGGGCCAGGAGCATATGATGCAAAATTAAGGACAGAAAGCCCTTCCTTTAAATTTGGAAGTGAGAAAAAAGGGAAAGCCAACAAAGAAACTCTTGATCAAATCGGGCCTGGAAGCTACGATGTCAAGCTTAAATCAGATAACCCAACCTATAAATTCAGCAACGAGCCAAAGCATAAAGAGCTAAAATCTGGCATCCCTGGGCCTGGAAGTTACGACGTGAAAGAGAAAAAAGATATCCCCAACGTCAAATTCAGTAATGATCCAAGAGACAAAGTAAAACCTTCAGATGTGCCAGGTCCTGGGTCTTATGATGTAAAACTGAGAAATGAAAGCCCAAACTTTAAATTTGGCAGCGAGAAGCGAGGGAGACAAAAGGAAAGTGACTCGCTAGGACCAGGATCCTATGATTTAAAAATCAGCTCACAAAACCCTACATATCGGTTTGGGCAAGAAAGTAAGCACAAGGATATCGTATCTGACTCGCCTGGCCCAGGTGCTTACGGAATAAAAGAAAGAAACTCAAGTCCTATAATAGTTTTTGGAAAGGAGTCGAAAGATAAAAGGCAAATTTCGGACTCTCCAGGGCCAGGAGCATATGATGCCAAGCTTAAAAAAGAAAGCCCTACCTTTAAATTTGGCCAGGAAAGCCGAGATAAGCTGTTTAAAAATGATAAGCACGCAGTTAACATTGGCTATTATGATTTGCCTTCCACATTCAGCAAAACTGGCCCTATCTTATTAGGAAGAAAAGCAGAAAAGCATGACAACTCAGTGCCAGGCCCAGGCTCATATGATGTGAAGCTAAAAAGCAGCACAATCACAAATTCTATATCAAAATCCCCAAGGTTTATTGTCAAAAAAGACGATAACCCAGGACCAGGAGCTTATGATGCTAAAAAGCGATCATCAACTCCAAATACAGTTTTTGGGAAATCTTCAGATTTAGGCAAAAATCTTACAAAGTATTATACCCCTGTAAAATTAAGCAAATCATCAGTCTCGTCAAGAGCTGAACAAACCCCTCAGTCTTCTCAAGTAAACAAGCAAACTGACTATTCAACTCCTCAAAAGCCAAGATCTTCATCAGTTGGTGTGAAACAGAGACTTGCATTTACTCCTAATGAAAAATCAGCTGGAGAAATACCTGGCCCAGGGATGTATCTTGTGAAATTAGCTAGTAACAGCCCTTGCTATACATTTGGAAGAGAGCAGAGGCACAAGAATATTGAAAGCGGTGTTCCAGGACCTGGACAGTATGAACTTAAGAGCACAATTCCTAATGTAGCTTCATACCCCCTAAGATAAGTTATCAGTTTTCATAAAATCTTTACACCCCTAAGGTTAGTGAGCATTAAATTTATATTAAAAAGTTATATATAAAACAATTAAATCTATATTTATAAATATTGAAATGAAAAATCGAATTTACTTTATAAAATTTATGTTTTAAAGCTATTTAAAATTTAACATTATTTGCTTGAGACTTCATTATTATAATTATAAATTAATCTTAAAAAATCTTTTTTTTCCAAGAAACAGGGTTAATTTTCCAACAAAATAAATTCTAGTGAATTTGCTCGCAACCAAGGGGAAGCAAGTAATTTTATCACAAATTGCTAGAACTAGTTTTCAGTAGGAATTTTATAGAATCATTATTATTCTTAAAAAATTTTTGTCATTTATTTCTAAATATGGACCTTGACAAATACGAAGCTCTTATTTTAGATTGTGATGGAGTCCTGTGAAAAGGTCCAAATCAAATTCCAGGTAGCTTTGAAGCTTTACAAAGACTTCATGCAACAGGCAAAAAGATATTTTTCCTCACTAACAACCCTGCTAAAACTCCTGAAGATGTAATCGAATGAATGCAGAGATTCGGCTACGAAGCTTCTCCCAGACAAATTTATTGTTCAGGAATGGCGGTTGGCTCATATTTAAAAATTCATTATCCTCTCACAAACAAAATTTACCTAATCGGTTCAGAGCAATTCAGATCTCAGCTCACGAGGCAAGGATTTCAAGTGTGGCATGCAGTTGATTTTCAGAACTATCGTTTGTCAGCTGATGATTTAGAAAGACTTGTGAGTGACTACCCAATCGATGCAGTTGTTGTTGGCCATGACACTAGATTTACCTATATGTCAAGTGTTTATGGGGCTGTTTTCATTCAAAATGGAGCAAAATTTCTTGCAGCGAGTGATGACCCTTATTTTGTAATGGAGAAAGGAAATAATATTCCTGGCTGCGGGACTTTGACGACTTTTATGGAAACTGCGACACAGATGAAGGTTGAAGTTGTGGGGAAGCCAAAGACATTTATGCTGGACTTAATATTGCAAGATAATAATTTGTCAAAGGAAAAAATTATTATGATAGGGGATTCTATGAGCACAGACATAAGGATGGGGCATAATGCATGCATTGACACTTTGCTAGTTTTATCAGGGACGTCATCTAGAGAAGATTTGCCAAACTATGAATATTCGCCTACTTTTATTTATCCTGATCTCCAGTCTGTGGTTGCAGCGGATTATATAATGCTCAATTAATAGAATCAGTATAAATATTGATAGCTTTAAGGAAAAAAATTTCAATTTGTTTTTTCTTTTAATATATTATAAGCTAAATATAATTGCATGAATTAAGTTAGAGTCTCTTCATTTGCCTTTTTTTTAAAAATCTTTGAGACCTTAGTCATTCTAGTTTATTCCATTTTGAATTTTCATGACTCTATCAAATATAAATGGGCCTATATCAGGAAGCATCAATCTACATATGTGGTCTGGTCGTTTGTGCTGCTTTTACAGTAATAAGCCCTTTTTACCCTAAAGCAGCTCAGTCAAAAGGCGTTCCTTTTTGAGTCACAGGTGTTGTTTTCAGCCTTGTCCCAATTTTCGCGCTGCTCTCTTCACTGGTATTAGGAAGTTTCCTCTACAAGCTAGGCAGAAGAACGTGCTTTGTCTCAGGTATTGTTCTGGTGGGGATTTCAAACATTCTGATAAGCTTAATTGTGTTTGGAGATACAGCTTCAGTGATTTTTTTTAATCCCCCCGTTAAATTAAAAATTTCTATACAAATATTTTGGATTTTTGTTTATTTAAGATAGTTAATTCAAAAAAATAATCGATTAGTTCCAAATCTGTTTAAATGATATTCTACTTGAACTTTTTAGTATTAAATTAGGTCAAATTTTATATCTTGAAAAAAAAATTGTTTCAATTTAAAAGAGGGTTAAATTTATGAAAAATTAAAATTTTATTTATCTTGTTCAATTTAAAAGGGGAGTTAGCTTTTTATCAAGAATTTTGGCAGGAATTGGATCAGCTTTTAGCATGACTTCTGGATATGCAATTTTGACTAGTGAAAACACTGAATTCTCATTGGTTAGCAAGCAAAAAATTCACAATATAAATTTTTAGCATAAATTATATTCTAATATTAAATAATAATTATAATATTAAAACCTCAAGAAACAATATTAATTTTAAATAGCTTGCATCCTCACACTTAAATTGAAAATTTTTATTTAATATTACAAATCTTTTATTTGAATGGAATTTATAAAATTTTAAGAGAAAAATAGCCTACGAGGGTAGCGCGAACTGACAAACTTGCTCAATATTCAAGGGGAAGTGAGGATGTTCAAAAAACAGTCGCCAAAATGGAAGCTTTTTGCGGACTTGGGCTGATTGCAGGGCCACTTATTGGGTCTGGACTTTTTGCAGCTGGCGGTATTTTTATATCATTCTTATTAGTCGGGATAATATTGATTATATATGCTCCTTTAGGAGGATTTTTACTAGGTAAAACAAAACCTTACGTATTATCTGAGGACAAAATCAATATTATAGAGATTCTGATAAAACCGAAAATAATGCTAGATGCGCTTTGCCAAGCTTGTATTATGTTTACACTTGGCTTTATAGCTCCCTCTCTTGAGCTGCATATTTTAAACTTTGACATAGAAGAAGAATATGTAGGAGTTATTTATAGCGTTAATACCTTCACTTATGCCTTGAGCTGCTATCTTTTATCCTTTGTGCCACAGAAATATGACAAGAGAATAATGATGACCCTAGGACTGTTTATGCTTTCTTTCGCATTTCTATTGATTGGCCCTTGTCCTTTTTTGCTACCACCAGAATTTTGAATTGTAGTATCATCATTGTTCTTTTTAGGAGTTGGAGGTGCCATGATATATGTGCCTTCATTGCCTAACATGATAGATAATGCACATAAGCGCTATGGATATGGAAAGGATGATAGACTGAACGACGCTCTATCAGGAATTACAACGTTTTCTCTAAGTTTTGGAGAAATGTGCGGGCCAGGGACAGCTGGTTTTATGCTTTCATATTTGAATTTCCCTGAGTCTTCAACACTTATAGCGATTATAATCATGACATATTTTGTCATCTATCTGATTGGATCTGATTTGCTAGTTAAAGTGGCAAAACCTTTTAAAAGCAAGTTAGCTGGTGAGCAAGCCTTGATTGAGCTTAAAACACAAGATGATGAATAACTTATAAATAAGCTTTGAATGTAATATACTTCTTTCTAAGAATAGTCTACACTTAAAGAGCTTATATATTTTTTTAAAGTGATCCATTGAAACACTAAAATCTTATTAGGATCTTATTAAATCGAAGTAAGCTGAAAAAGAAATTGAAAGTATTTTTTGTAAAGGATGTACTGTTATGGAATAGAATTAATTTCATAATGTCAGAATTCTAGACTCGAATTACTAGCTAAAATTGTTATCTTAAATCTGGTATAGTAATTAAATTCGAATTTTTTTGTTTATATTTCATTTTTCTTAATTTTGAAAGTTTCTTATAGTGCTTGAATATTTTATTGATAATCTTTTTCAAGAGGTTTTTTTGATTTGAAGCAGTTAATTAAATAAAATGCAGGGTGATTGGATAATTAGCATTATTCAATGATGACTATTTTAGAAGAGGAAGACTCTGAATCTTTTGATTCAAACCAAGGCACTCAAGAAAACCGCATGACCACAAAAGTTGCCCAATTGCGCCTAGAAGACAGCTTAAGCGGCGACACAAGCGAAGATCCAGAAAAAGCTACAACAGATAGCATTTCTCGTCAAGACAGTATAAAAAGCTGGCATGAATTTAAATCTGAAGATTCTAGACGCGATTCCTTTGGAAAACCTGTAAAACCCAACAACATTGAGTTTCCATCATTGGTGAAAGGCCTTGATCTTGAAGGAAACCATTTCCAGCATAAGGACTCAGGATCTTCACGAGGAGGATCTATGGGAAGTGAAGGATCAAAAACATCTTTAGCAATGGCGAGGGCTGAGGTGAATGCTATGATGGACGCAAGCGAAAAAGCTGATAGACTAAGCGATTTAGATGAAGTGACTGGAAGACTATCTTTCTACTCACTTGACGAAAGCATGGTAAGCACAATAGGCTTAGGAGGAGCGGCTTCGCCTATGATTATGAAAAGAACTACATTAGAAATGACTGATACATGAAATAAAATCATACAAAGCGACGAGCATGATGACCCTGAAGGTCTCTTACTTGCTGCTATTGGAAAAGGACCTGCAGAAGAAAATTCAAGCAAACCTTCCTTTTGGGAAAAAATCGGACTCAAAGATAGTAAAGACAGAGAGCATCAATGATATGCCCTAGCAGTAGAAGAATGGCATAGAGTGGAAGCTGAAGTAAAGCGGCTTAAGCTTGACAATGAAAGCTTAGCTATCGAAATTAAGCAGCTGGATGCCAAAGTTGTAGCAGCAACACAGAATACTAATGAGCTTGAAGAAAAATCTTTTCAAGTAAAGAAAAAAATAATTGATGAAAAAATGCAACTAGAATTAAAACTGGAAGCAAAAAACAGCGAAATTGACGAAGCATTCAGAACTCAAGAAGACCTCCTGCAGAGACTGCAAGAACTGAAGGATAATTACATATTGAGAGATATAGAGGAAGAAGAAAGAGAGGAAAGATGAATAATGAGAATTCAAGATTTAAGGTCACATCTAATTATCATCATGGATGAACGAACTCAGGCTGAGGCAGAATGCTTAAAAAATCAGGAATTACTAGAGGTTATGGAGTCTGAAAGGAGTGAACAAAACTGCCTAAATGAACAGATAGAGATATGCATTGAGTTATTGAATGAGTCTATGGAATTCTTTACCCAATCAAATCGTCATTTGAATTTTACTGCTGAATTTTGTGAGGTCTTAAAAAACTTAAGAGAAGCAACATTTGAAGCTATTGAAGCCGAAAAAGAGTTCAAAAGGGATGCCTTAACAGATCCACGAACTATTATGCCGTACTCCAGGCAATCGGAATTTTTGCCAGGAGCTTCGACAAGGATTGAAAAATAGCAAGCTCAACAGCTCTTACAATATTTATTGTCCATATTCAAATTATTAAAATAAGTAATATTTATACTTTCCTGTATTGAAGATCTACTGAAATAAGATATATTTCTAATGAGGATAATAATAGCAACACAAAAAAGAAAAGATTCATTACATGGTTGGCTATAATTTCCAACCTCACAGTTTTTAAATAATTATAAATTATCAGAAGGGGCAATAATACTTTCAACACTCTGAGTTGTGACGCAGATCCTTAATAATTTAAGCAAAGACTCAAAAATTGAATCAGTTTTATTTTATTATAGCTATTGGAGATTAGATAATAATAGGTATTTAATTACTTACTCCATTCCTCCTTAGTGAGGGAACAAAAAAATTTTGTCTTGGTTAAAAAATTTATATATTAATTTTATTATTAAATTTTTTTTTAAAAATTGGAAAACAAAAATTAATTCATTTATAAAACTTATGCTTAAAATGCAAGCTGTTTAAAATTAAACAGAATTAGATCAACATATATAATAATTATCATTCATATATCAAATCTCTTTATCATAAAATGTTTTATATTTAAAAAATGTTTGTTTGCTCGCTTTTCAAAATAGGGATTTTTCCAATAGTTTTGTTCGCTGACGAAAGGAGGAAGTATTTATAGGATTATCTAAACTAAATTCAGCCAACGTGCTCAAGATCGCCTCAGAACTTACCACTTCAAGCTCATGCAAGCTCTGGTATGGAAGTGTTTCTCCTGTGGCTCTATTAATGAGCCCAATAGCGCAAGCAGCAGCTTTTATTTTCCCTTTGCTTTTATCAGCTAATTGCAGCAGCTTAAACGTCTCCATTTCGAAATTGCTAGCTTCAGACTCATTTTCTTCCACAAACTGTATAAGTCTTTCGTTGTAGTCTTCAAAGAGATCACCTGCTCTTCCTTGAGCTGCGTAAAATGTTTCTGTCGTTATGTTCACTCCTTCTCTTACTTTTTCATTACTTAATTTCGATGATAATTTTGAATATAGAAGATCCTTTAGAGAAGCATCAGCGTCAACTGGGTTTGTGAGTCTATAAGGCTCATCGTTAGAATTTGATGGGCAGTAGTCATAATTCTGCTGCACAAATCTGGCTTGTTTGGCCACAACAATAGTGCCAGCAGGCCATGAAGGCTTTAGAAGACCTGTGGTGCCTAACCTAATCATAGCAACGTTTCCTTGGACATAAAAAGTGGATTCTCTGACCACAAAGTCCATCATTGCGATGCCCATTCCAGTTACAATAATCGAAATTGGAACGCCTTTATAAGTTCCAGTGTATGTTGTAAACATTCTCTCGCTCTTAACGATTTTTGTACTTTCTGGGGAATCAAATAGCCTCGCAATTCTTTCAGCCCTCCCAGCATCTCCAACTGATAAGATCCTATTTGCTACGTCGCCAGCTTTGACTCCTAGATGCATTGTGGCTCCGCTTTCTAGAAGAGGGAAATTGGGGTTAATTAAGACTCCTGCATTTTGTGGTTGCTGGACACTAATATTATCCATTTATATTATGTTAATTGTTCTCCTTGTGGAGAATTAGTCCGCTGATGAAATTTCTATATTTTTGAATGCTAAGGCAAGTAAAGACCCAGAAACGATGCCGTAAATTAGCCCTAAGGACATAAATGCTCCAGCTCTTGATTTTGAAGATTCTTGGACTTGGGTCGGACCAATAACCATTGCACAAGTTGATGTGTAACCACTTGAATAAGCAAAGGCTGCCATGTTAATGAATTTAAACCATGGATAACTGAAAAATCAGCGCGACTCGCCAGTTGCGATTAATATGAATGTAGCTCAAAAGAGAAACCGCGATACGGTTATAATTCAAAGCCATTTAATAGACAAAATATAAAATCTTGGAGTAAGCCTTCCTAAGAAGTCAAAAATATTGCATGTGACAACCATTAGGGTTGAGAAGTAGGAATAAGGCAGCCCTCTATGTAAAAATTACTTGATGTTCGTTGCTAATGCTACTCCGATCAGCATTCCTTGTGTAACTAAATTGCAAAGATAAGCTAGAAATAGAGGCTGCCAAATTTGACATAATAAAGTTTTATTGCTTATTTCTTCTATTTTAGGTGTCAGTACAAAATTCTTAAAGCTTATGTCTCTGTTCTCTGCAGAAATATTTTGCATTTGATCCGATTCTTCATTGAATTTTGTTCAAGTTATTTTTTTACCTGAATTATCCAATGATCCAACCATAAAAGGCTGCCTTATCAAATGCAGCTGTGCAAAAATGCATATAAATAATATAAAAGCAGCCAAGAAAAAATGCATGAGTGTGCCTGCAAAGTATCCACTTTTATCTTGTGAAAATGATATTAAGCAAATCATTCTAAATATACTCATGAAAACCCCAATTAAGCCGCTTCCAATCATCACATAATTTGTATATTCGCTTGGCAGATTCCCAACCATTTCAAAAACACTTGTTTGACTAATAGAGCTTGAAATTCCCATAATCATAATCAGTATGCATATGATAGGAAAACTGCCCTCTAAACAGTGCGCAAGTATTGGTGAAATGACCAAAATACTCGCAATTATTGAGAAGTTTATTGATATACGCTTGATATAGCTAAACTTATATCCGTAAAATACAACTAAAGGTTGAAGAATAACTGCTGTTACATTGCTGAGTGCTGGAAATATAAATGAAGGCTGGTCATGTGGAAATTCAGCATTAAAAAAATCAAATGAAGCAAAGAGAGCGCTTCATCCCACTAGGATTCCGACTCCTTGTAAAAATATTTCAATTTTGAAAAGTCAGTCTACCATTTCTTTTTACTCCCCTCCATTTAATAACGAACAAAACCCTCATTTTTTTTTCCTAAAAATTTTTCCTTAGGCCCCATTTAATAACGAACAAAATTTACTATAAAATTTATATAAGCTAATTTAGTCTTTACAGTTTACTAATTTTAAGTAAGTAGAGTAAGATAAGGGCAAGCATAATCGAGCAAGAATAATAAATAAGAGCTAATAAGTTACTAGTTGCTTAATCTTAAGCTGGTGCTTTACTCCCCCCTCCTTTAACGAACAAAAAATATAGTTCGCTCACGGAGGGGGTTTACTTTTTTCTTAATTTATATATAAATTTTATAGAAAATTTTTTTTTTCGAAATTTAAAAAAATCCTAATTCGCAAAAATTGGAAAGCAAATATTAATTTAATTTAAAATTTATGTTTTAAAACGCAATTTGTTTAAAATTAAACAGAATTAGCCAGAGATTTCATTATAATAATTATCGCTTATATATCAAAATTTTTTTTCCATAAACATTTTTTCTATTAAAAACATTTTTGTTAGCTGATGGATGGAGGGTGAGAGATTTTTCTAATGTTTTTTTTTACTTACGGAGAGGGGGAGTTAGCAATAGTTATCTTTTCACCTCTATTTAGGCGCTTTCTCTTTCTGTTAATATCATTTAACTCCTTTTATTATTAACCCTTTAATTGAAATTTTTATAAAAACAATGATAGATATTTATTATAAATTTTATATATTTTTTTTTCCCAAAAATTTATAAGTTAATAACGAACAAAAAAAGTGTTCTTTATTAAATGGGGGGGAGCTAGAGATTATTGGACCAACGTTTTGAGATAATCGTGTTCCTATTGTTTATATAAAATTATAACTAGGGAAATTAGGCTAACACTGAGCCAAAACTTATATGCAAAATTAGAGATCAGTAAGGTGTCACAAAATGGTAAATAAAAAATATATTGCATGCTTAAAATTAATTTTTTACGTTTTAAGACTTTTCAAAATAATTGAAACTATAAAAAGCTCCGAGACCGGGAATTGAACCCGGGTCCCCTGCGTGACAGGCAGGGATACTTGACCACTATACTATCTCGGATTGATTTCTTACATTTATTTTTCTATTAATATCTTAGATTTCCATTTCACAGAATTTTCTTTTTTCACTTTTAGATAAAAATGGGACCAAAAGCTATTTTGGGTTTCCTCCTTATTTCCTTAATCTCAGCCCAAATTCCTGAAGAAGATGGAGTCTGGGTTCTTTCAGATATAAACTTTAATGAAGCTTTGGAGAAGCAGCCAGACCTTCTTGTTGACTTTTATGCTCCTTGGTGCGGACATTGCAAACAACTGGCTCCAGAATACGCAAGAGCAGCTCAAGCCTTGAAAGAGAGAAATCCACCAATTAGAATTGCGAAAATAGACGCCACTCAGAATCCAAAACTGAGCCAGCAATTCGATATCAACTCTTATCCAACTATCAAGTATTTCATAAACAAAAAGCCGATCGATTATAATGGAGAGAGGACAAAAGACTCAATTATTTCTTGGGTCTTGACCAAATCAGGCTCAAATATTAAAATTATTTCATCTTTGTCAAGTCTTCAAACTGAAATAGAAAAGACTAAGTCGGCTGCAGTCATTTTTACTCAAAAATCATCAGGAGAATTGAAGCTATTCAATGAAGCTTCTAAATATTTTGAAGGGCTTCCTTTCATTCAATCTACTGACAGCTCTTCTGCAGCTTTTTACAATGTAAAAGAAAATGACGTAGTTTTGTTTAAGAAATACGATGACCGACAAGTAGTTTTTGATTGAAGTTCCAATGGCGATCTGATTGAATGGATCAAATCAGCCAAGCGCCCTTGGGTATGGAGATTTGACGAAGAAACTGCAGAACACCTATTTAAATACAGCAATCCCGGCTTGATTTTATTCAAAAGTGACTCAGATAGCTCCCTGATGTCAATGTTCGAAAAACTCGGAAAAGAACTCAAGAGCGAAATTCTCTTTATATATGCAGACATCACAAGACAAGAAAACAAAAGACTCGGCGAATACATCGGCGTGGCCCCACGAGATATGCCTTGCATTTATATTATTGAAAATAATGGAAACAAAAAAAACAAACTTGACACTTATATTAATGAAGACTCTATAAGAAACTTCATTACAAACTGGAAAGAAGGGAGACTTGGAATTAGATCGCAGCCAGTGGCAGCCTCTCCCAGTGGCTCTAAAGTGAAAATTCTGACAGAAAGCAACTTTGATTCAATTGTGAATGACTCTTCCAAAAACGTGCTTGTGGATTTCTACGCGCCTTGGTGTGGGCACTGCAAAGCTTTGGAGCCAGAAATTGAAGTTCTCGCTTCTAAGATTACAGATGACTCCATTATTATAGCAAAACTTGATCACACAGCTAACAACATAAGAGGTCACCCAATCTCTGCATATCCCACAATAAAATATTTCCCAGCCAAGGATAAGAAGCCTTTAGACTACGAAGGCGACCGCGTCTGGGAAGCCTTACTGCAGTTCGTTACCGACAACGCTTCCTTTAAGTCGCCAAGAACAGATCTTTAGTAAAAATAATTTAAAAATGGGTCAATCTCATTCTAAGAAACCACAATGGCCGTCTTCTCTAGATTTAATTGACTTCCGTCGCCAGATCCAAGCAGGTGACTTAATTCTGATTAGCACATCCGTTCCACTTGAAACTGATATGAAAATTCCTCCGACTCTTCTACACTGTATTGAGTATAACTTACACAATAGGACTTCTGTGAGCACTCATAGGAATTTTCCATTACATTACATTAGAATTTATATCGCTTAACGTCCACTACGGGGTTACAACTCCAGGTTTATCACTCGCCTTTCGTCGCATCGGGCCCACCAGTCTGCTGGAGACAAACTCGCTTTGATCACCAGGGTGCTTCCAGGGGCAAATGTCCACGTCTTCGACGGCTCATGGATGAGCTACTTGCTTGTACATGGGTTGCTTTTCCGAAAAACCCAAAAAATGGATTTTTCTGGTCGGCTATCGGCAAAAAGGAAAAATGCAAAGCCTGGGACGTAACGCCCAGTTTCACGCTAGGGAGTTGCCCGAATGGTCCAGAGGACTTTGCTGGGCTTCCCCTTTCCAACCTTGCACCCTCCTTCCCCACGAGGAAAAATCCACCCCTGAGAATAGACTTGGGCTAGGCTCTGAAAGCTACCAGAATGCTTACCTAGCATTGCTGTCCATCTCTGAAATGGTAAAACCTTGCCGGATATAATTAAAATATGAGTCGAGGCTGCATGGCCGGGAGGCCATGCCCAGACGAAGACGCCATATTTTAATTATCCATAGGAATTTTCCAGTATGAGATTCAGCAGGAATTGTAGTGGATATGGCATTGGGAGATAACGATAAAGGCGGAAAATGCATACTTGAACTTACACAGAATGGTTTTGTGGAAAGTGAGTTTTTGGGGAGAATGGCTGAATTAAAAAGGAAACAACATCGCATTGCAGTTAGATTTATGGGAACAGAAAGAACAGCTGACTTTAGAGAAAAATTGAAGTATATTGCGGATTATTTGAATGGAAAATCTCTGGAAGATATGACTGGGACTGAGGTTTATAACGAAGTGAGAAGAAAAGTGGATGAAATAGTAGAAACAAGAACCAGGGAATCTCAAATTTATGATGAGCTTAAAAAAGCATTTTATATGACCGTCACTGATCCTAATGAGCTAGCTATCAATAAAGGCCAAGTGCTAGACTTGCTGAGAGCGAACAAACCATTGGAAAAATCCCTATTTACTTAAAAACCCACCTGCCGTGAGCGAACAAAATTTTATTTTAAACAGCCTGTGTTTTAAAGCATAGATTTACAAATTAAATTAATATTTGCTTCCAATTTTTTGCGAATTTGGATATTTTTAAAAAAATTAACCCCAAACAAAATTTTTTTCTAACTCATGGAGATGGGGGAGTGAGAGAAATTTACCGGACTCAGAATGGATGTAGACTCAGAAAAACTATTAGAGGAGCTAAAGCTGCCAGAAAGCGCCACTTATGAAGAGTTCAAAGAAGCCTGGGCAGATGGACCTGGAAGAAAACTACTATCTGAGGAATTTTATGAGCCTTCTTTGCTGGTTGGGCAGCTCATCCGGTATATTTATCTTCACACCAATGTGATATACGAGCTTGAAACTTCCAGACCAATGGCGCTCACTCCAGACGATTTTGCAACTCCTGCCGATTTTGACACAGCCCTGGGCCCTGCCTTTAGGAATGTCATGCTGAAGACTTTCCCCAACATCACATTCGGCCCTCATATTCAAATTATGCTTTAATAATAAAAATAAAATGCACGAAGGTATTAGTTTCGATGAAGTAAATCTAAATTAGGCTTTTTCACGCATTGGTGGGAAAAACTTTTACCAGTTTTTAACTCTTTTGCCGCTAGGCCTGATACTTGTTCAAGCTTCCATTATTGTGTCAAGCACTCCAATTTTTTTGACAATTCCAGGAATTTTAATCTTAATTAATTTATACACTTTTAACATCCGCTGCCAGGTTGCTCGACTACAGCTATCTCCAACACCAATCTGGGGTGAATTTCGTTCTATTTTCCTTATGTCCTCCAACGGTGTGGCTATTTGGCTTTGATCGTCAAAAGCTGATGCCAGTTTTAAAGTTTGGGCTTCGATGAATCTTCTTTGAGCCCTGACACTTACTTAGGTCCTAACAGAAACTTAAAGTTCCCAGTTTCCACCTCCTGGGGAAGTGGCGCCCTTCTGGAAAATTCATTCCCTAAGATTAGGAATCCTATAGGAAAAGCCACCCAGATAGCTTCCCTGACATAGTTGGAATATGCAAGAGATATTGTTCGGTTGCGAGATCAGAAAATTCACCATATTTTAATTATGACAATTCCAGGAATCAAGTGTCAAATTAACGGAGCCTTGGTTCCTTGCCTAGAAGAAGAAATATGCAGCCCTGGAAGTCATTATATTTTTGATAATAAAGATATCAGAACTGTTGTGTATGAATGGTATTTTTTAGTCAGAAAGCTTGTTTGTGAGAGCCATGCGTATGTGTATATTATCCCAGCAGTTTTTTTTATAGGGATCTCAATTGGCACATTTATATTTGGTAATGTGGCAGAAAAACAAGGCAGAATTACAGCGCTGAGGTGGAGTGCGTCCTTATCTTGCTTATTTGAATTTATTATTTTTTGTTCAGCATCTGCTTGGTTTTTTACTGTCAGTTTTTTGTTTTTAGCTATTTCGCTGTCTGGATGCGTGTTTATTCCATTTGTATATACTATAGAAATAATCAATAGTCAAGTTAGGCCACTTTTTATATTTATCCTGATGGGATTTTGGGCAGTTGGCTTTGAATCATCATATATGCTCGCTTATAGTTTCAATTCATGGAGGCCGATGATAATTGCTTCTTTAGGAGTTGGACTACTTGGCTTACTTTTACTGTGAAACATAGTTGTTGAATCTCCAAGGTTCATGGCTTTTAATAAGAGTAGATATACGAAGGTAAGGAAACTAATGGAGCATATCGCAAATAGAAACTCAAAATCAATGTTTGATGAACAGCTTCAAGGGGAGTCCATTAATGAGTATAGCGAAACTGCAGGAAAAAGCCATATTGGCAGCCCTGAAGGCTCTGCGAATCGATCAGATGACAACATTGCAAGCAATCGATCGGGAGCTGTTGCAGCTCCTTATGAATACATGGGAGGTGCTAGCAATATAATGGACAGAGAACAAGAATTAGAAAGAGGACAAAACATCGGCTATATGGATTTCTTAAAGCTGGAATCATTAAGGATTAAATTTGCAATCATGGTTTGGATTTGGGTTTCAACTTCAATGGCTTACCATATGTATTCCAACTCTAAAGAAATGCTCGACCCTGATCCCACTGCAAACTCTATGATTTATCTCTCACTCCCCCCCCCTTTAAATTGAAACAAAATTTTATTATAATAGAAAATTTTATAGGTAAAAATCATTATTTTATATGTAAATACGTTAATACCCTATTTAATATGCTTCAAACATATAAGATTTAGAAATTAAACTCTATTTTGTCCAATTGTTATGGGGAGAGTTAGAAGAATACCATTTCAGCAAGTTTACACTTTGAGATTGAGAAATTTATGAATTAATTTTTTCATGAAATTAAAATTAAATATATAAATTTTTTTATAAAAAAAATTTTCTTAACCCCCCTTTAAATTGAAACAAAATTTTTTGTTTCAATTTAAAGGGGGGGGGAGTCAGCTAAAATCGGTGGCTGGACTTTTGGGCTGCTTCTTTCAATCTGCTTCAGAAGCAAAAGGAATTTGGTTTTCAGCATATGCTTAGCAAGCGCAACTATAGCACTTGGAGCTTTGCAAGACTACACTAATATAGATCCGATCTATTCGTTTCTTGCTTCATATACAAGCACCAACTATCTTTTTATCTGCCTCTCAATCTACACATTGGAAATTTTCCCAACCCCAGCTCGCTCTTTGGGAATGGCAATCGTGAGCATAGTATTTTGGATAAGTGTAACATGGACATATGTGCTTTTTAAATATGCCCCTATGCAACTTTCAGCTGGAGTTACTATTATGATTGCAGTTTCTATTGTTTTCTTATTCAAATTGAGTGACCCAGGGAAGAGACCCCTTTATGATACAATAGATGAAATCTCATCATCAGTTTCAAGCGCAATATCAAGTGACCAATCATCAATTATTGTTAAAAAAGGAAACTCAGCGTTAAGGGATAACCATAGCCGCGGCAGAAGCTTCAATGTTCTTAATGAAGATGCATCTGCAATTGATGATTAAATTTAGATTAATTGATTTAAGTGGTACTCTAATTTAATTATCTGCACAGGAAGCCAATTTATTCAAAATTTAATTTACTTGTGTGCATTAAATTATGAGCATAAAATAGACCTCTACGAAATTATCATTCGTTTGAGTCCAGTCTTAAGGAAAATCTTCCTTGATGGTTTTGTCTCCTTAATGATTTTCAATATCTCGATTTCTTCGTAATTTTTAACAATTTTTTCAGGAGAGTATCTGGTTGTCAAGGTTTTTAGTTTTGGGAACTTTTTCTTTGGTATCTCTTGGGTATCAAAGAGACTGTTGATTGTTGTGCTTATATTATCAATATCTGTGGAAACATCCCTTATATCATCTAGAGTGTCTCTCTCATAAAATCTTACACTTAGCTGCTTCTTGTGAGCCTCATTAGGTGTTAAAATAGAAGACCCTACAGATACTCTTCTGGATTTTGTCTTTTTCACAAGATCTTTGAGAGGCCTATTTTTAACTCTTCTCAGCTTTATAACATTTTCAGACATATTAATTATATGTGATTCAAGTCTGATAGAAATATAAGAAAATATATAAAATCTTAGTTTATTTTATATAATTTTTAGAGTTTTTTTTTAAAATAATGATTAATGCTGCTATTTATTAATCAGCTTTTAATTTAAATTATTTTCAGAATCTTGCGAGGAAATGTGAGAAATTGTTTATTTCAACTCATTTTTTATTTTATTAAAAACGGACGCTTAACGATTTTGTATATTTATCATATGATAATAAAAAATTAAAATCATAATTAAACAGGAATAATAAAATCCTAGCAGATTTTATTTAAACGGATAAACCCAGAAATAAATAAATGGAGATAAGTGAGCAAGAGCTTGGTGAAATTGGCCGTTCCTTATTTGTCTCAAGTCTTCTTGCTACATTGACCCCAACCAACTTCGAAGACAGTTCCAGGTGGCTCGAGATAAACAATGAAAAATTCGTCGATCACGACTTTCCCCCAACTCAGTTTTCACTGATCAAAGACCCTAAAAACAGTCCTCGCACCAAACCTTGGAGTCGTTTTGTATGGAGAAGGGCAACTGAAGTTTACCCAGAGAATGAGCTTGCTCTCTTCTTAGATGGAGTTTACCCTGACGATATCAGACAAGGAGCACTTGGTGACTGCTATTTCCTGTGTGTTTTGAGCTGCTTGGCTGAAAAAGCAGACAGAATCACAAAATTATTCATCTCGAAAAACGCCCACAAGAATGGCCTTTACGCTGTCCAGTTCTGTGTAGATGGCGAATGGAAAGAAATCGAAATCGACGATTACTTGCCATGCGGCAGTGCCACATCAGGCCCTTGCTTCTCTAAAGCTTCTGGCAACGAGCTTTGGGTTCCTTTATTAGAAAAAGCTTGGGCAAAAGTGCTCGGGTCATATGAAAGAGTAGAAAGTGGAAACTCAGTTGATGCATTCAGAGATCTAACTGGAGCTCCAACCCAGCAATACAAGCTTGACGAGACTTCGTGGGACAAAATCTCTGAAGGCACTGAAAAAGGATTCATTATGTGCGCACAGGCTGGAAGCACCAAGGCTTCTCAAAGACTTCTTGAGTCAATGGGACTTGTAGGTGCCCATGCCTATGCAATAATCCAATCAGCTGAAGTAGAAACCGCTGATGGAAAAGTTAAGCTTGTTGAGCTTAGAAATCCATGGAGCACTTTGGAATGGAAAGGAGACTGGAGCGATCACTCTGATAAATGAACTCCAGAACTCAGGTCTGCTTTGCATGTGACTGATGAAGACGATGGAACTTTTTGGATGAGCTATGAAGATTTCATGGACTATTTCTCGAATTTGTTAGTCTGCAGAATCAATGATGATTACGCTTATTCATCAATCAAATTAAAACAGCACAAAAATGCCCACAATGTAGTCAGAATTGCTGTCCCTCAAGATGGTACTTATTATTTAAGCGCAAATCAAAAAGATAAGACTTCTTCAAGCCACGCTGGCTATGAATATTCATATGGAAGAGTAATTATTTCAAGAGAAACTGATGAAGGCCTGCAATACGTTGGAGGCTTCGCTGGGGCTGATAGGAACTTGTGGTATGAGGCAAATCTTCAAGCAGGAAACTACCAAGTTCATGTAGAATACAACACTACAGCAGAGGCTAAACGATACGTTTTAAGTACTTATGGAACTTCTGCTACTACCTTTGAAGAAATTCCTGAGACTGAAGGCTTCCTTGAACAAGTCCTTAAATCAAGAGCTCTTTTAGCTAATAAAGCTACCTCTTATGCAGAGCAAGGGCTTCCAGACTGCACCAAATATCATGAAATTTTACCTGAAGGGTATGGATATTACTTCATTAAAAATCTATCAACTGATGGCTCTGCACTACAAGAAACCTGCTATTTCAAGTCTTTCAAAAATCTTGAATTGCACCCACCATATGGAGATGCCAAATATCAAGTCATCGTCGGTCCTGGCCAAGAGGTCATTATTGTTTTCCACCAAGTGAACCCTGAAAAGAAATGCTCGATCAGCACTTCAGTCACATCAGAAAAAGTGACTGATAAAAGAACCATTCATGAGAGAGCCAAATCCACTGGAGCGGTCGTAAAAAGAAAAGACCCGAACACCAATAAAGATTTAGACATTTTTGTCTATACTCTTAAACATGAAGAAGGCGTCGTCTATCTTTATGAGAATAAAAGCAATAAAATGCTGAACGAAACAGTGGTCTTAACTTATAAAGGTCTTCAATTAATTGGGCATGACTCTGATAGAGTAGTTGTGAGATTAGGGCCAGGAGAAAGCTATACTATTGAGCTGAGAGCAGTGGAACCTAAATGGACCATTAACGCAGCGGTGAGCTACACCATTTCTTAACTCCCCTTACCGTGAGCGTGCAAAGCATTGGAAAAATTCCTTTTTTTGGGTAAAAATCCACCCTTTGTGAGAAACAAAAAAAGTTTTAATATACAATTGTTTATGAAAAAATATTTTGATATACACTTGATAATTATTATAATGAAATCTCGAGCTAATTCTATTTAATTTTTTTACCAGCTTCCATTTTAAAAACATAAATTTTTAAAAATCAAATTAATACTTGCTTTCCAATTTTTGTGAATTGGGAATTTTTTAATTTAACAAAAAATTTATATAAAATTTTTAAAAAATAATAACCACTTGCGTGAAAGAACAAAGTTTCTGTTAACTTATGGAGAGAGAAGTAAGCTAATTCAATCTTATTAATTTAAAAATCAAAATGGTGACCGATTTATAATATTGCCCTATAGGCATTTATAAAAATATCCAAAAGTGGTTTATAGCTATTATGCGTAAAGTAGAGACAAGTAAATGTCATACCTCTTAAATTCTTTTTCCTTGATTATATTAAATTAGAGCTTATATATAATTGGGCAGACTTATATTTTCATAGTACTCAATAAAAGTAAAAATCCCATTTTATTAATTAATTTATCTCTCACACCATTCATTTATTAAGTTAAATGAACTAAAGAAATTTTCAACTTTAAAAAAGAATAGAAATTACAAGTATCTGCCACTGCACACTATCCCCAAGTACGATGAAACTCCTGGGAACATTTCTTGTTGAGCTATACTTTCAAGATACTCTTGTTGACGATTTGACCATTTGATTTCTCGAAGCATTCAAGATGTTATTTTCTAAAACTCCTGCTACAGCATTTGTGAATTGTGAATTTTTAGTTTGTGCAGGTTGAAAATCAAGTGTTCCAATGCCTGAATTAAAAGTTTCCTATTTAGAGAAGAAATATATGTATATTGATTGATTGATTAAATTAATTATTGGCGTACTATTTCAAACGCCTTATACTTTTAACGAGTCTTCAAAAATTTAAATCATGAATAGATATGTTTTCTTTTTTGAGGTCATCTTCAATATTTTGGATTTCAAAGAAATGCTTATGTTTGCTGTTTTCTCTGCTAGTTCGCAATTTATCATCAATACTTCTTAGTGTGATCTTTGTTAAAAAGTCAATCTTTTCTCATTTTTCTTCACCTAATTCTTCTAAAAATTTTAATTCTGTAACATCTGAAATAAGTCAATTGTATATGCTTGTATTGTTAATATATCTGCCTATCATATCTTGTAATCTTTGTATAAATTTGATTCTTTCGTTTTTATATTTTATGCATTCGTTAAGAATATGTTTATCTGTTTCCTTGACTTTACATAATTCACATAAATTCGAAGTGTTATCTTGATTATTTCTGTTTCTCAATAGAACTAATACTTTAGATGGACCAGCACCATATCTTCAAGCAGCCTTTATTCTTGTTTCAGTAATTAGGTTTTTATTCAGTATTCAGAATTTTGGGAGTTTATTCGTGGTAAAAGTTTGATTCCTTAATTCTTTAAACATCTTTAATGTTACTTTTTTATTTATTATGCTCATGTTTTTGTTTCTTCAATAGATTTTGAGTTTATCTTTGACATTTCCTTTTCAATTTTTGTCATTTCAGCTAATCATGTTGTTATTAAAATCGAATGGTTTTGTAAAATTATATTTTTGAAGCAACTCTTGGTAGATTTTCATTGTCGGTGTAATTGTATTATCGAAATTTCTTAGGAAATGGGTTGCAATCTCAGATATATGTGTTAATTCAAAAATTTTTTGTAAAAATATCAATGATTTTTGGTCAATATATTGTTGTATTGTTGGAATATTTAAATCAAGTAATATGGGTTCAATAGGTGTTTTGTCATAAACATGGCAACATTCTCTTATAATCTTATTGAATGATCTTTGAATTTGTTTAATTGCAGTTTTGCATTTAATTCTTGAGCATATTTCAAGACCATATGTGCATCTTGGTAAGAATATTGCTTTGAAGCAGCTTATAAGAGTTTTACTTGGGATGTTAAGCATTCTTCTAATCATAGGGATTAGAGAGCAAGTAGATATTTTGCTTTTATCTTTGAGGTATTTATAATGCGCTTGGTCGAATCCTGTACCTCTTATATTTCCATTCATTATTTTGCCTAAATATTTATATTTTTCAACAACTGGTATTTCATGATTTTGGTATGATATTTTAGGTAGTTTACTTATAATATTTTTCCTATTTTTTGTTATGATTGGCATTATTGCTGTTTTTTCCGGTCCTATATTCAAGTTCATATCATTATCTTTTGATCATTTATCAAGTTTATTTAAAATGTTTTCAATGTCTTTTCAATCTTCTATTACAAAAGCTGCATCATCCGCATATTGAAAATTGATTTTTGATTTTAATTGGTGATTGGGGAGGAGTTCTATATTGATGTCATTATTTTCCTTTTCTATATCATCTATATATATATTAAATAACAATGGTGATATTGCACTTCCTTGTCTCACACCTCTTGTTATGTTTATTTTTTCTGTTTCAATCCCATTTATGACAAGTGTAGTTTGTTCACCTTTTAGCATTTGTGAGATTATTTTCAGCTATCATTTTTTATTTTTTTTGCTTTAATTTTCTCTAATAGTCTAATTCTATTAACTGAGTCATAAGCTTTTGAGAAATCAACAAATAATATATATGAGTCTCTACCTTTTCCAATCCTGTAATACTTACGATATTCCAGTGTAGATTTTAAGAGAAAAATCTGAGTCATGCATGACTTTCCTTTTGTGAATCCATGTTGTCTTTCTGAGATATTAACCGTATTTTCAATTCTTTTTAGTTCTGCTTTGTCAAGAATCTTCATAAAATTATTCATTAAGGTTATGGGTCTATAGCTATTAAGTTCCTTCGGATTACCTTTTCCTTTGTATATAAGGATTGTTTTTGCTTCATTGGCTTTGTCTGGGATTCCATTTAATTTGCAACTATTAAGGAAATGTGTAATTGCTTCTGCCATTATATCTCCACCTTTCTTTATTATCTCATTTCTTATATTGTCTGGTCCAGGAGCTTTTTTGTTTGGTAATTTTTTAATGATTTTCTGGATATCTTGGAAATCTCATAGTTCTTCTTTTGAGCATCCCTTTTGTGGTATGAATTCTATTTTACTTTTAAATTGATTTTCAAATTCTGTTGCTCAAGCTTTAATCTCTTCTTTGTTTAATGATAATGCGATTCTATTTTTATTCATCTGACGTTTTATTTTGTTTCAGGCTCCATATGGATCTTGCATACATTCTTTCAATCTGCTTTCACTGATTTTTTCATAGTTAGATAGTCTTTTTAGTTTATTTATTCATGCCTTTTTTACCTTTTGTAGTTTGTTAGCAAGTTCTCTATTATTTTGCGTTCAGCAAAATTTTATTCATTTCCTCGAGTCATTTATTCTATTTAATAAGATTTTCATTTCTGGGGTTCTAAAATGGTCTGGTTTTAAATGTTTTAGTAGGTATTTTGATTCTTCATCAATTGTTGATTTGATGTTATTAAATATTGCTAAAGGATCAAGAGTTTTGTAGATTCCTTTATTCTGGAAATTGATTCAGATTCTGTGTTGGAACGCTTCTAATTCCTTGCCTTCTAATTTATATCATGGAATCACGGATATTTGCTTTGGTATTATCTGGACACTTTTTATATGAGATAGTAATAATACGTGATTGGTGTTTAATTGTGGGACTTCTATGTATTTAATCTTTGATAGGGTTTCTGAAATAATATAATCGATAATAGTGTGTCTATTATTTCCTCTGAAAGTTGATATAGAAGTTTCATTTAATATATGTAAACCATTGTCTCTAACAAATTTGATAAATATATTTTTCCAGCTAAATCATTTATATCTGATAAGTAACCTTCTATGTGTGCATTGAAGTCTCCAAGTAATATACATTGATTAGCATCATTTTTGTTTGCTTGAATTATTTCTTGAACATTCATGATGCAGTTCATATATTCGTTAATTGATTTTTCATTTTCGTGGTTTGCAAGTACTGGTGCATATATGCATATTATCAAAAAAATCTTCTATCTTTGCTGCAGTTATTCTATGGTTATTAGTTTCAATTCAAGTTATTTCATTTGCCAGTGAATTATGAATTAATAAGCCAGTTCCACCCTGATCCTCTGTAGCCTACTATAGGTCCATTATTACCTATTCACACAAAACCATCAATATAAACTTTATCTTTTAATCAAGTTTCTGCTATTCCTAAGATAGTAATATCGTTTTCGATCATAACATTTCTTAATTGTCTTCGTGATAGATCGTCTTTTCCAATTCCTGAAATGTTGATGAATCCAAAATTTTTTCTTATTATTTTTTCGCACAATCTTCTTGGATTTGGGAATTATAATTTCCTCTTCAACTTGAACGGGTAGGACATTATTTTTTCTTAAGGGAGAATGGGTTATTTTCAATCATTTTTTTGGATCTGTGAGATTATCAGATGCTTCAATAAAGAGAATTGTGCATAGAGGTCTAATCATATCTTGGAACATTCTGCTCTCTAGTATTTGTATCTTTTTATTTTTGTAAAATTTCTTTTTCATCTTTATTGATGAAAGGATTTTCAAACTTTTTCTTATTTTGGGTGTTATAAATTGAAATCAAAGGGTTCAACTATCAGTTTTTCTTTCTTTTTTCTTTTTTATGTAAGAATGGGTTTTCGATTTTAGAAACGTTTATTTCAGGAAAATCTGTCATCAAAGTGGATGAATTTTATTTCTGATGATGGAGAAAGTTTTGGAGATTTGGAAGCAGTTTCATTATAGGATTGCGAGGATTCCTTAATAAGCTTTCAATTTACATCTTCTCTTTCTGGTTCATTTTTCCTTATTGCTGGAGTCTTTTTAATTATAAAAATTTTTTTGATTGTATTTTTGTGATTTTCTTTTAGAATAGTTCTTCCTATGATTTCTATCGGCTTTATGATGCTCTTCTTTAGAGGAATATATGTCTTGATATCATAGTTGTAGGCATTAACTGGTTCATTATTCTGAGTTTTAACAGGAGGATGAATGTTTTTTTTTGGGTGGCTTAATTGTTGAGATCTTGCGTGTTTTTAAGTTGTTTTCATATTTATTATCAGAGACTGAGTATTTTTGATCGATTAAATTTAAATTTCTTGAATCTTTCTTGACTTTCTTAGATTGCTTAATTCTTTTTCTTTTTTCTCTGATTTCAATAATTTTATCGTGGTTTGATTCAAGGTGTCCGATTTCGTTACAAGTGTTGCATTGCATTGTTCCTGCGTGATTTAATCATACTGAGTTATTTCCTATTTTCAATATATCTGTGAGATCTAATGCTTGCTCTAGTGAATTAAATTCAGCATATATTGTGTGTATTTTGCTTCTGGTATAAAATTAAGACTGTGAAACTTGCCTTCATTTTGTATTGTGTTATTCATAATTATTTCTTTTATATCGCAGATTTGCTTTAATGATTTAATTGTTTCCTCAATCGATATTCCAGGAGGTAATGTAAAATTAATCCGATACCTATTGTAGTTGATTTCACCACCTAGTCATAAGATTCCGATTGGTATCATGATGTCTCTTCCTTTGTATTTTAATTCATATGTGATTTGATTCAGTAAATCTTGTTGTATTGATTTTTCTTTAGGAATCAGGATAGCATCTCCTGAAGGTAAATCTATGACATCTTAGGATTGATTCTGGGGGAAATTTTTGGTTAACTGAGATGCAGAATGCTGAAAAGAGCTCTTTTTTCTTGTTTTGGTTGCAGTCTTTGAGAAATTTAGACAAAATAAAATTTCACTGACAATTCTAAAAATTTGTTTTCTTCAAGCTCTGGTAGGAAATGAGTTGAGGAAGAGAAGCTGTAGATAACTTTGTCTTCTCCAAGACCAATGACAAGTTTTTCTTGTCCATTAGACAGAGAAGAGGGTGAGTTTGTACTTGCATAATCTTCATTTTTTTTTACTTTTTTTAAATATATGTATAAGAAATTCAATTATTATTTATTTCACCCATTGCAAATAATTATTAATTCTCCTACCGAATGATTTTATGATGAATTTCTTTATATTCCTATAAGGATTTTAGAATGAAAAAACTCATCGAAAAGTGTAATGCTGGGAAAAGTATATAGCTAAAATCATTATTTAGTGTTTAAACTTTCAGGTCATTGAAAACATCATCAGGAACCTCTAAAATTCTGATATCTTTCTTATCGAACTTCTTTCCGATCATCTTAATCCTTGCTGTCTCTGCTGACTCAGGTGTAGCAAATTCAATCAGCACGCATCCAGCTTCAGCACCCATCTTGGCTTTGTAAGGCCTCACCATTGTGCAATAATTCACCGTCCCATAAGTCTCAAATTCGGCCTTCATATCTGCCTCCATATCTCTGAACTCGCTTTCAGGCAGTTTTTTAGTTTGTTTCGGGTCCAAAAAGTCACAAATTTTGAGCACCCTGCATTTGGGTTTTACATAATCATGGTGCACAACAAAATCATTTCTCGAGTTTCCTTGAATATCTTGTATTGCAGCCACTGCAGTTGCAGCAGCCTTTGCACTGGTGCTAATATCATCATGCTTACTAAGAACGCTTTGGTTGATCCCAAGTGTCTGTCCAAGAGCTTCATTTCCTTCAATTTCTTCCTGTTTCGCTACCTTCAGTGGTCTTCCCAGCATTTTAATTCCATCCAGTCTTAGTGCTTTTGTGGCTTCTTCTTGTGATGAGAATTCCGCAATGCAAGCATTGGGCTGGTCTTCATCAATCCAAACCTTGAGGACTGGATTTTGATTTCCTTGATCGTTCAGGCGAAATTCATTCATTTTTTTATTCAGGTAGTCTTTAATATCATTCTCATTCAAATTATACTCAAACGGAACATTGGAAAGTCCTAGTCGTCTCGCTCTTCTATTTGCTTCAATAACTTGGTTGATATTGGCAGTGCTCATATTTGATCTTGTGACCCATTGAAAGCCATCCCATACAAGTTCAGAATCTTGATCTTTCTTTGGTGCAGTTGACCCTGCAAGCTGCTTCAGCCACGGGTGAGGAGAGCGAGTTCTTGACCTTCCTACCATTCATGAAGCTGTCTGCAAGTATTCGGAGTCAGTGCTGCTTAAGCTTGATGATGAGTATCTTCTTTTGTTTCTTTTAGGAAATGGGTCTCTTTCTCTTTTTCTATAGCCATAACGCTCTTGTGGAGACCGAGACCGTGATTTACGTCTTCTGTTGTCATCTCTTCTGTTGCCATCTCTTCGATTATCATCTCTTCTGTCGACTCTTCTATTGTCTTCTCTTCTATTATCCTCTCTTCTTCTATGCATTTATATAAATCTAGTTAAATGATTTTGCTTAAATTATTATAATTCTCTTGATTTCGGCCAATCCTCAGCTGGCTTCCCTTTCTCCTCAATAAATTTCTTTATCGAAAGCGCAGGGCCATCTTCATGCAAATACGAAAGAGCCTTTTCCAAAAATTCTTTGGCTTCCTCCCATTGTCCTGAGATATAGTCGACATAGGCATGTCTGAAGGAGTCAAAGAAATGCTGTGGGATATCTTGCTGCATCCCTACAATGTCTGAGTCTAGTGTAAACATGTAGTCGACACCTTTATGCTGGAAGCTTTCGACGTTCACCGAGTCAAGCTTTTGGAGTTTTATTAATTTTCCAAGTTGGTGGGTTTCTGGGACTGGAAGCTCTTTTTCAGTGATATCAAAGGAGTAGAGCCCAAATGTATTAGGCAGGTAATTTACATATACAGTATCAATCCTTCTACAACAAGTTTTTGCTTTAACTGATAGGTACCCATAGAAATCCTCACTCATAAGGACTGTGCTGCCATACTCTTTTCTGGCTTCAACAAGGTTATAGCCAACTGAGATATGAGGTGATAAGTAGGCTGGGTCTATTTTGGATTCAGAGCCGATGACTCCTTCAATAGACCAGCCAATGTGGATGCCTATTGTGATATCTGTAGAATATGTAGGGCCAAATCTTGAGATTATCCGTGGATGAACTTTATAAGCTTGGATGTCGCTAGCTCTCCTTATTTCTGCAAGAGTTTTAATAGCTGACACCAATGAACGGTTTGCAATGTCAGTTCTCTGCATCGCAGGATTCGTTAAGTCGTCTTCATCAGTATCTTTGTCAGTTACTTCTGGAAGTCTCCATACAAGTAAAAATGAGCCTTGGATATTTTTTGATACCAATCCGCCCCATTCTTTGCAACAAGCATGGATAATATTGCTAAGTTTATTGATAAAGATAGGAGATTCTTCTTGGAGACACTCTGAAATAGTTGTGAAGTTTTCTACGTTTATTATTTGAATTACGATTGAAACTTTATTCCCAGGGCGCATTAAATTAAGTTCTCCTTCGCCGCTCATCATATTTTTGCTTAAAATATCAGCGCCGTCTTCGCCAAATGACAATTGTAATAGGGAGCTTATTTTAGCTACAGTTTCTTCAAGTACATATGTGGTCTCTTCTTTTCTTATATCAGAATCTTCAGTCTTTTCTTCTTTTTCGATCTTTTTTAAAGGGTCGTCAGCTAAAGATTTAATAATCAAGACCATCTTTGTAATTGGAACAATTAAAATGGTTTGAGTATCAGCAGTAAATGCTACAGCAGCAACAGCTAGAATAATCCCTACAAAAATTGTTGTAAAAACGTTCATTAGGGCCTCGTTCTCACTCTGACTTTTGATATTGAACCTTGCGTAAGCTTGAAGATTTTTACACCCTGCAACATCACCGTCAGTGCATTCATCAGGCGTATAAACAGCAAGCAGCATTTCAACATCTCGCAAATGGCAATCAGAACCTACAGATTTTCCTGAACAGTTTTCACTTTGGTTTCATGCGATTCCTGACAAGTCACTTTTTTTAATGCTAGTTATTTCATGGATTTCGCCGTTTTCGAAATAGTCAGGTAAATACATCCATAGCAGAGGATATTGGGCACTGTCTCCGTCAGTTTCTTCAGTACATAAGGTATAGCGGTACACAAGCTCATACCATCCGAAGTTGGTCTCCCAGTGGATTTTGTTGGGGTCGCTGCATTCAAATTGGTCAGAGCTTGTGCAAGCGCTCCTTCCCATAAATAAAATTCCATGAGGGAGAGAAAATTGGCAGAGCCAATTTCTCTCGAACCGAATGCCATTTTATTTATGGGGTTGGGTTTTCTCTCGAGAACTTCTGCACAGCAATAGTCGTTTAAACTTTGGGGATAACCAAAGGCACGACTCCTCAGTGCACTCAAGATTTCGGAGTTTTACCTCTCAGCACGTCCCCACGGGAGGATGACCCTTAGGCGGAACACGCGCAGGAGCTGAGTCTGGACGAGCGACGGCAACGCGCCCGGGTGAGATGTGCGGCGATTTATCTGGCGACTAGCCTTATAGAAGGCTTGGGTGTGGGCTGACCACATATTCCAAGATGGCTTGGTGACGTCACTAGTTGTCGCTTTGACCCTTTTTTATTAAGGGGTGTGGGCACTAGACACCTTAAAAACTATGTAACTAAGTAAGTAAGCAAGCGCTCCTTCCCATCCAGAAAAGCTGCTGGAGACCATATGTAGGGGCATTGTCACTTTCTGTAGATTGCATGATAGGTATGAAGATGACCATGAGAAGGACAACAATGATCACTCTTCTTGTAGTAGTGTCCGAAAGGATTTTTCCGAGCCTTGTAGGGTCCATTTCTCTGTTCATAGCAGCTTGTCTTGCAGTTTTGGCTAGTTTTTGAGCTTCTTTAAGTCGCTGCTCTTGCTCTTCAGTGTCTCGTTTGGTTACATATTTATAAAGCTTTACAATACGAACCAATCGAATAAGTCTGAATGATTTAAGAACCTTTTTGGCTATGGACTGAGCTGATTGGCTTTGGCCTGTTGTATTGACTGTGACATTAGCTGTATAAGGAAGTCCACCAAAAATTGTAGTTATGTAGTCAAACATTCATGGAATGTCAGGAATTAGCGAAATCGCTGCAATTACGTCAAGCCAGAAGAAAAAGGAGTATTTATACTCATCCACTACTAAACTGTTGAAAAAAATATCTAAGATAAATAAGAAAAGCATGATTACATAGGAGGCAAAGAAATAGTCGTCTGCACTTTTGTCTGTGGATAGAAGCCTTATGTCATCTCCAAATAAAGCCCAAAGGGTTACGCTAGCCATTAATAGAGTAACGAATTTTCCATCCAAAATGTCTCGGATCCTTTGTCTAAGCTTTGCCTCCTCATCTTCTGGTCTTCCCGATTTCGGTTTTTTATTAGTGTTGTTCATATTTTGAATTATAAATGAAAACCTAATAAATAAAACAGATTTATATATCTACCCATCAATTCTTTTAAGTAAAATAAACATTGAGCTGTATGATAGTCTGCAACTTCTACGCATAAATATAAATTTATAAATAAAGTCTATTAAATCTTTTAATGTGAAATCTGCATATATAACGCAGCACTAATATGCAAATTCTTAAGTGGATATAATCTTTGATACTTAAAAATGAAAATAAGTGAATCTTATCGTTCTCAGATGATATTTAGGAATTTGATTTTTTAATTATTTTTTGGCTGATTATAACTTTGGCGCACACGCTCTTCAGATTCTTTTGTGATTTGATTAATCCGCTCTCTTATAAGATCACTAGTCATATTTCTATAAGGAATTTTATCTTGTTCCCAGCTATAGCCATCTTCTCCTAAATCTTCGAGAATTTCTTTTTCCATTCTGCACTGCATGTATTCTTTTGCTTGAATTTTACATTTTTTGGGAATTTTTGAAGGTCTTGAGAGGCACGCTCTGTATCTCTCTGCCTGAATTTCACAGCCTTTAACTATGTCGATTTTTGGACCATTTACAATGGATTGAGATTCTTGATTATTCATCTTTATATCTCTCTAAATAAATTGCTTTATATGCTATTACTGATGCTTCTCTACATCAGATTTATGATCATAAAAGCATAAATTTAAAGCTACACCATTTTCTAATTCGAAATTCATGAATATGGAGAATTATTAAATAACTTAGAAATGATCCATAAAAATTGTTGTCCAATATTCAGAGCACTGAGCATTTTACTCGGTATTATCATATAAAAATTTTTATCATTAAAAAGAAATGATAAAAAGGTAATAGCAATATTATGAAAACTTTAATTTACTGCAAATTTAGTATTCAGGAGCTTCATCAGTTTTTATTTCATTTCTTAGAGCAGCAGTTGTCTTCAATCGTTTCTGAATTATATTTTCAAAATTTATCTGATTTTTATTTTGGCGGAGTGAAAGTTATTATTTAAAACTTTAATAATTATATATTCTGATCTATATCTCAACACACTTTAAGCAATATTTTATTGAAGTTTTTTTATAATCAGTTTTAATTTTATGTCTTACCAAAAATATCGTTCAATTTTGCCTGAATTCCTTTTATGTTTTCGTCTGGACCATATTCGAATAACGAAAATGGATGGTATATGTTGAATTTTAAACACCACAGACATCTATTTCTAACTACCAAATTTTCATTGAAATAACCATCACATAATAATAAATGAAATCAGGTAGAAGACATAACAACCATTCAAGACGACGAAAAATCCAAAGACCAGTGGAACCATATTACCAAGCTTCTTATAGAGAAATAATGCATGACCTCAAATTACTCGAAGGGCTTGCTCCAAAGAAGCAAATTGCTCCAGAAGAAATTATCCTCCCACAAAAAAGACCTAGACCTGTAAGGCTCCATTTTATATTATATGAAAAGTAACTTTATATAAATTCTCCACTCTAATAATTGATTTAAAAACAGTGTTAAAGGCAAATTCTATAAAGGATTTAAATCTCAGAAATTAAAATGCAAGACCTGAAAGACTTGTTGAAACAATCGAAGAGACTCAAGCACTTGAAATGCTTGTAACTTTGATCAACAAAACTGAAGTGCCAGCACCTAAAGTTCAAGCTCCAACACAAAGACAATTCAATGCTCAGCAAATAGAAGCTTACCAAAGAGCCAATTTGATGAAGCTCGGCGCGTATTGGAATCAGCAATACTTAATGATGATGCAATGGCAAAATTATTATGCTAATATGAACTACTATGGGGCTCATATCAAAAGAATTCAAACAGAGATGCAGCAAAACGTATTTGCTGGCAGGTCTGCAAACAATGTGTTATAAGTTTATGATAAATTCTATTTTTTAAGTTTTGGCTTTATCCATAGATATGGATTTTATGGTTAAAAATAAGAATCGGAGAATAAAAGTCTCCATAGAATATGCCAGTTTTAGAATAAATTTAAATCTTCCAATCTAAAGATTTATAATTATTCATAAAAAATTATAAATTCATTTACTTTTTAACTCTTCTATATGATTCTCATGCTAGATTATTTATCAAACTCTTGCTTTCTTTTTTAAAAAGCTCGATAAGATATGAGTTTATTTGAATTTTTGTTCAGCCATCAGTTTCCATATTGCAACATAAAGTATTATACAATAATAAAATGGCTGTGCACGGAATTAGTTCTCGGATAGAAATATTCCTTCTGCACGGATTTTATTATTATAGGTTCAGTTTAGTACTGAATCTTTAATATTGATTGCTACATAGGATAATTCAGCTGGCCCAATGCTTTTTCTGCTTTAAACCTTTTAGAAGGGTTACTTTTAGGCAGAGCACTCACTGGAGTTTGAAAGAAGTGTGATCAGCGCGACCAATAAAAGTTTTCTCGCCACATTGGTGTGTTCTCTGGATTGTTTGCAGACAAATTGGCTATCCACATAATTAGTTGAGAGTAAGCGGATGCTCTGATATTAATCCTGAGCAAGAGAGTATCACTTTAAAAATCTGAGTAATTAAGCTAAATCAAGCAACGAAAAATATTAATTTTGTTATGATTTTTAGTAAAAATGCGAATTACCCTTTTCTAAAAAATTTTATTTTCCTCATAAACATATGGTACCTCTTTTCAAATTTTACAATCAAGTCACTTTCGAGCACAGAAAGTTTCTATAAGATTCAAAATAATAATCTAAAAATTCTCAGATAAAATGTTAGCTTGCCAAAATTTAGGCGAAATAAATGGTATCAATTTGGTTCTTGATCTCTCTTCTGGGTCAAACATACGCACAATCTACTTGTTATGCACTTACCATGGAAGGAGGAGGAAGCCATGGAGCATATGAAGCAGGATCTATTCAAGAATTAGCTTATACAGCCCCAGTGAGTGTTGCCTACAATGTGGTAACAGGGATTTCCACAGGAGCTCTCAATGCAGGAGGTGTGGCTCAATTTAAACAAGGAAATGAAAAAGCAATGGCTGATTTTCTCGTGAATACTTGGCTTACTCTAAATGGTTCCGCAAGTGTTTATGTTGAATGGGACGGCGGACTGCTTGAAGGACTTCTATTTCAAAGAGGGATTTACGACAACAAGCCTCTTGTAAAAACCTTGAACTCAAGATATACATATGGAATAAATAGAAATATTACAATCGGCTCCACAAACTTAGACACTGGGCTCTTTGGCCAATTTAATGAAAGTTTAGGCTCCAAAGACATCATTACAGCTATTACTTGCTCTGCTTGTCCTCCTTGGTATTTCCCTCCTACAAACTTTTTGGGCAGCACTTGGGTTGATGGAGGAGTTGTGATAAATCTTGATGTTTTTGCAGCAGTTAATAGATGCCTTGATGTAACTGGAGGAGACCAGTCTAAGATCACGGTCGATATGATTTATGATTATGGAGACAGCCCACTTCCAGCGGAAACCAATATGACGACCTTATATATTTTCAAGCGAGTTAGTGAGATACGCAACTACGACAGTCAGATGTGGTTTTACTATAACGCATTAACAGCATGGCCAAAAGTTAACTACAGATATGTCATTTTCGCTAGTCAACCTATGTCTGGCGGATTTGTTCCTCTTGATTTCAACCAAACTTGAGTACATTAATACAAATGTTTAAGATGTCTAACGCTACACTCCCACTAAAGGAATAGAACCAAAATGGTGATGCCACGAGCATTTCCGATCAAAAGGTGAGGACCGTCCTTAAGAAGCCACTTGTTATCCTGACCTGTGCTTCTCATGCGCACGATGCAATTGCTCTTGCCTGACTAAGCTCCCACAGTGCTCCGCCTAAGGGTCACCCTCCTTAGATGTACTGAGTGGTGAATCTCTAAGCCTCTTGGTTGCACTGTGGAGCACTTCCTCTGATATCCCCAAACCCTAAGCCGCTATTTCTGTGCAGAAGTTCTCGAAAGAAAACAAATTTCTCTCGAACTGAATGCCATTTTATGTATGATTTTAATCAAACAACTCTCGAATGGGAAGTCCAGCTCGGCAAAAACGACACTGCCAAAGTCATCAGTGAAGGAATAGATGGGAAAACAATTTTAACGGAGAGATATCTCAAGAACAAGAGTAAAATCATTTACCCTTAATATTATTTCTTAATAAAACATGGCTGAAGAAGACAAGCAGTCTTACTTAGATGGAAGCAATTTGTTCAGGTTTGAATTCATGAGAAGTAGTGTACAATGGGGAGTTGCATTAGGAGCGCTGATGGCTTGCCACACGTTTTCTAGGTCAAGAAGGTGGGGAGAAAGCATTTTTTCTGGGTATATGTGAGGATCGACGCTGGGGATTTTGATATTTGGGTGGAATTATTTTAAATTTACACAAACGCAGAGCATGTTGAGGCTCCAGACCTATGAAAGGCAAGAAACGAATTCGAGGCAGGAATATGCGAAAAGATATTTTAGAGAAAAATTCCATTTAGAAGAGCTTGATGATGAAAAGCTAGATATTGTGATTGAAAAGATGGAAGGGGCGTGGCAAAGAATAGAGGCAGAGCTTATGGCTCCAGATGAAGAAAGTCAGTAATACCTAGTAAAATAATAGGTATAGAAGTTTCCTATGTTTGGCGCTGTAAGGCCGATAAATTCTGATCGGAATTTATCGGTAGGTTGCACCAAATCAATGCCTTGGTCGGACCAAAAAGCGATTTGGTCCGACGAACTTGGAAAGCTCCTGGGAAAATGTCTGCGCTTTTAGCGCTATATAGAGGAAACCTCTATATATCATATTTATAAACGATATTTAGTAAGTTTTATTGTATTTTATTAGAGATGAGTGAATCTCTTTCTTTTTCTAAAAGAAGTACCAATAACTGTATAGATAAAAAAAATGAATTTAGCTAAATAAAGAAGCTCAGATTTTTTTAGCTTCTGTCCTAATTTTCAAATTAAGTCTGACCTTCTCATACTAAGTATCTGCCCAGCGCAAATTTCATGTATAAAAGCTCACACTTAAATTTTTTAATTTAAGCTCAAAAAAAACAAATTTTATCCATATTTACAATTATTCAAGCACAACTAGAATGGAAACTTCATCAGACGTTGAAATCGAGTCAGAAAGTGACCTCGAAACCATAAAAGCTGAAGCAGAAGAATTACGAGCAAAACTTGAAGAGTTAAGGAACCACCCAAAGCTCCTATCTCCTCCATCTCTGCCTACAAGCTCTCAAATTATAGACCAAGAAATCGATAAATGCCAAGAGACAATAGCTCAAATCCATCAAGAGCTCGTCAAGGAAAAAGTTACTTATAGAAAGCTATTCGTAGAAAAAGAATACGTTCAAAGCACCATAACTGAAGAGTAACTTATATTTAGTAGCTCAGAAGTCGCTCGGTTGTCTAAAAGAATCAACGAGTTGTCAACTGAAAACCAAAGATTAATTGAAGCAAAAATGAATTCAGACAAAGAAGAAGCCCAACAATCATTAGAGCAGATGAGAAATAAAAACCCAAAGCTTTTTTTCTTAATGTCAAAAACAATGCAAGCTGAAGAAAATAACCAAAACCTGAAAATTGCTATGGAAGAGCTGACAAGGTCAAGAAATGACATAAGAATGGAATATTATGATGTGACCTCAAAACTTACATTTGAGGACCAGTTAAAGTCAGGACAAAGGAAAATGGAACAAGACATTGAAAATTATGAGAAAAAAAATAAAGATTTAGAAGCCAAGCTAAATCAAAGGAAATTTCAGTTGAAAGACTTTGAAAGGCTGAAGGATAGGCCGCATGTTAAAAAATATTTAAGAAGATTCCAAACGTTGGAAAAAGAGCATCAATATTTTCAAGAAAAAATCAGAGGAATTTATGATGATTTAGATGAATGCGAGCTAAAAATGCTTGAAAAAACCAAAGGGCTCACAAAAATGACAGAGACAGAAACATGCAGAAGATTAAGAGAAGAAATAAAATCAATCGAAACACAAATTATTAATATGACCAAAGAAGATAAAGAGAAGGAGAAACAGCTGAAAGAACTGAAATTTAACTATGAAGAAATTGGGAAGCAAGTCACAGTATTTAGCAGATGTGTGACCCCTATGAGTTTGTCTCAGCAAGAGCAAAAGCCGACAGTCGCGCAAGAAAAAGAGACAGGCTCACCTAAAAAGAAAAAAATGAGCGAAGAACAAAAAAGGCAAAAATTAGTAATTTTGCTAGAAAAAGAATTAAAAGAAGGACAGCCTGCTAAGGTCCTTAAAGAACTTAAAAATTTTGGAAAGCCGAATCAAGGCATAGCAACAAAGATTGTGGAAATCAATAGGGGTGAATTTTTAACGCGCTACAAGCGAGAAAAGGCTGGACCAAGCTTAGGCTAAATAGTACCTAAATAACTTATAGTGCTAGCGCTTTGCATATTAATAATCAATTCCTTTAACATGCTGATGCTTGATCGCATTAGGTATTTGGAGATAAAATAACTTCGTAAGGAGAAGGCTAAAAAAATAGAGCATAAAGCCATATTTATGCAATATTTCTAACTGTCAGCCTAGTAATTAATGGATAAATTATAAGATAAGTTGTTGCTCATGATTATAATTGAAAAATACAATTTTTTAAAAATTGCTAAAATTTAACTAATATAGATACATAATCTATAAATTTCTTGAAAATGTAGCGATGATATTTAATTATTTTATTATTAGGTCCACTTAAAGCCAAGTATCTTGATCAATATTCTTTCTTTCTAATGCTCCATAAGAGAAATTGCCAGAAAAGCTCTGAATTAGCAGATACTGAAGAATTGTGGATCTTCGTTGAAAATATCATTAAATACGAGTTAAATAAAAATGTTTTAAAATAAAAACTACTTATAATATTAATCATTCTTTTTAAAGGACAATTATAAGTTATAAATATGATTATTCCATCCAAATTTCATCTTAAATAATAATTAAACTAATGAAAATTAAAACAATATGTTGTGAAATGCGAGCTAGATGCTATTAAAGAGGCTAGAAGGGCTACTCTATTGTATATAAAAGTCTAAGTCCACATGCATCAACTGAAAGAATTGTCACTTATTTTTAATTTTACTCAACATTTAAATGTTTATTTCAGCATCAATATCCACAGTAATCAGAAGTAAACATTAGATTTGCAAATAAACCTTATAAAATTCTATTAAAATTTGAATAATCTAAAATAAAAATATTATTATCGAAGAGTTCATTCCCTTCAAGTTTTATGCTCTTTAAATACTTTTCTCTTTAAATAATTTTATGTCATCAATTACTGGCTTGATTTATTTTTGGAAATCATTAAATAGATAATGAATAAGGTTAAGAAGAATTTAGAAGATGGCCATCATCTTTTCTTAGGTAAAAGTGCATCACAAAAAATAGAGAAAGCCTGGAAGCACATTTGTTCATGCTTGTTAGAAATTTATGAGCCTCGATATGATAGAAAAGTACCAATGCGAACCCAATTGCTCATGGAAATTTTATTGAATTCTATAATGACTATACAATCGGTTTCTATGTTTTGATATCCTGAAATACCCCTTCGCAATTGAGAATCATACTCAACATTTTGAGAGTATCTTTCTTTTTTTAATTACGATAGCTTATGTGAGAAATTTGGAATATTTAATTACTGCTTCCTCAGCCATGTTTTGGTTATTTCGTATTCATTTTTGATTGTGGTGACATATATTATCTTAAAATACCTTACTCCCCCTTCGTGAGCGAACATAAATATTTTGTTCGCTAGCGGGAATAAACTTTATAGTATTTTTTTTTTCGAAATATAAAATAAAAATTGGAAAGTAAAAATAATTTAATTTGCAAATTTCGTTTTAAAATGAATATTGTTTTAAAATTCAATAGAATTAGCTAGAGATTTCATTATACTAATTATAAATATTATTTTATTCGCTCACTGAGAGCAGGTTTTTATCCAAAAATTAGGGGTTTTCCAATTGTTAATTTTGCTCAAAGGGAAGAGATAGTATTAGCATACCAAAATTTTTTATTTTTTCTTGTAGAAAAGTAATATCAATTTTATCATCTTTTGCGATGATTCCAACAGCTATTATCCCTTGCATAAATTTTATTTTGCTTATTTATGGTAAATTGATTTTAAAATGCCAAAAATATTTTAACATACCATAGACTCAGTTTTATATATAATGACATGTCAAAATTTTTTTGACATTTTAAAATGAATTTACCATAAATAAGCAAAATAAAATATTAGCAATACATTATATAATATTTCTTGTAGTTTTCAAATATTCAACCTTTAGAAATTATCATAAAGCGCAGGAATATTACGAAAACATCATCAGCGATTTTGATTATGGTATTCCAGGAACGATTTTTAGCTCGATCTGCTTTTGCATTTTAATTCTCCTTATCTTTGCAAATGAATTGTTTACAGCTGATCTTAAACACTATCGCTCTAAAAGAAATATAAAAGCAAGGTCAAATTCTTTATGGGATTTATATTGACTTATGTTTTGCATTATTCAATGAATAATGTTCGTTTTCACCGATAAAGCTTGAATCGTTTATTATTGAGTAGTCTTACTTTTAATTTCTTTATACTTATCAAGCAGAATGTTTAGATATTTACATTACTATAATCCTATAGAAAATTCAATTCAAGCTTGCAAAATAAGCCAAATTTGCTGTTGCTTGGTTATATTTATAATTGGCTATGCGAAAGATGATATAATGACGATTACATTATTATGCATTTTTTTACCACCACTAGTCAGTGTGTTTATAGCAGTCAGAATTCATAAAAAATATGCTAATCTTAAGGAGCAAAAGTATACATATAATCGATATAATTTTGAAAAGTCCATTAGACATTTATTAGTTGAAAAAAATCCTGCAAATCAAGGGCGAGTTCTTCAATTATTTTCCCAATGTGCCAATCAGAGAAACATAGGAGTTTTTTTTCTGTATGGCCCGATAAGGGCCGTGGGTTCTCCGTGGAATCCCTCTGCTAGTTGAACCAACCAGTGAATTGGTCAAACCAACGCACTGAGTTGGTTTGACCAACAGAGGGATTCCACGGAGAACCCACGGCCCTTATCGGGCCACATAGGGAAAACTCCTATATGCTATCAAGTGGAATTTTAATCGTGTGAGAAGCGAATTTCTGCATTTGTGTAGCTAAAGATAGCAGACTTGGGAGAGTTAAATTGACCAAGTTATCCTTATCGAAATCAAGTATTGAGACGACCATACAAAAAAGCCGTATTTTAAAGAAATTAGAGAGGAAAAATGTGAGGGTTTTATCAGAAATAGAATATTTGGATTATTTGACAAAAATTACAAAAGTAAAAAGATATGACGAGGATATTTGCTATACGTTGCTAGATTTATGGAGCGAAATAGGCAGAAATAACCCAGGAATAATGAAGCTTCGGTATTTCACTGAAGAGGTTTTTTACCTTTGTTCAAAACTAAGGAAGCTATACAGCTCTCTTGCAGAGAAAAACAAATATCCTGAAGTCAACGAGCTCTATGGAATGTTTCTCATGAACATCCTTGGAGAATATGAAGAAGGAAATCTGATTCTCAAAAGAAAAAACCATATAAAGGAGTTTAATTCACTAGTGGAAAGCCATTCAAAACTCACAGATTATGGAGAAAATGTTGGTGCTGTGTTGATATCTTTGCATCCAGATTCTTTTGGAAAGATTTCTTATATTAATGAAAAAGCAGCAGTTTTATTAAAAGTTTCTTCAACTGACATAATTGGAGCTGATTTTAGTATTTTCATTCCGAAGCCTTTTTCATTCTCCCACAATGAAAAAATGAAGAATTGTTATAAATTCTGCATCAGTACAGTACTAGAAAAGCCGCACTCATTGGTCTTGGCTGACCATAAGGGGTACTTATTTAAGTGTGAAATTCTAATTAAGCTTACTGCGTTTAAAGACAAGTCTTACTTTATGGTTTCTTTCATTCAAAAATTTACAAAGCGGCAAGCTATTCTGATATCAGAAGAAGGAGAAGTATATGGCCATACAATGCATTTGTTGCCTTTATTAGGGCTAGGCCAAGGAATTCTTTCAGGCTCTCATATTTCTTCTTTATTCCGCCGAATTGATTTGAAGTCTATGTTTTTATTTGAGCCTTATATAATTGAAGAAAATAATACAGAATTTGCTTTAGTCCATACCACTAAACTCATAAAGCAAACTGCTGTCCATCTAATTCTTGTAATTTATGATAAAAATGAAATTGAAATATGAAAAAGCAAGCAAGCAGATGAACAACTTGACCACTACAATGAAGCCTCCCCAATTCTGAGCACAACGGTAACCAGATCCTACGAAAGATTCAGCATAAACTTCACAAATCATACGAACAGCCAGACAACTTATCCTGATAGAGCCCTAACTACGAATTACCATGAAAAAACCTTTGACACAACTGACGACGCAAAATCTACCACTCAGGCTCTCTCTTATTCACAATCATTTTTATCCCGTATTTTTTATATAGAAGCAACTTTTCGGTTCAATAAAAGAACCCATGCATCAATAATAAGGTTTCAATGGATCTTGCTCTTTGCTATTGTTTCTATGATTGGCACTAATTCTGGGATTTTAGTATATATCATTGCAGAGGTAACACATACCAATTCATTGAATATATTTAATCACATTGGACAGATCATGTTTCATGTTGGAAGTGCAGCTGATGTGGTGAGATCAATTGATTTGGAAATTAGCGAAGGCAAGTATAATCTGACAAGGGATTTAGGACTATTAAACCAATCAGCTAACGGTCTATTGAGTTTACAAATTGAGGTACTTAACGATACTGAAAAATGAAGCAGCTGCTCAAATACAGAGATGTTTAAAGAAAGTGTGATCCCAATATGAAGTTTTGATAATGTCCAGCCTGAATTGCAGTACTATAATTTATATGATATGATCACCATTTTTGTAAAATATGTACTTTCTATTTAGATGCAACATTTGTATAAAAATGCCTATACAAAAGAAGGATATAAAGAAGATATAAAATGGCTGATCATTAATAGCCTAACTTTTCCATATGGTTATATAAATTTGCTCTTGTCTAGCATTGTAGACTGCGAAAAAGGTAGAGTTAACGACACGAGTACAACAATTAATATCTTACTGTTTATAAAAAATTTAAGTTTAATTTTATAAGGTCATAAGCGGACCACTAACCTAGCTATTTGATATAGACCATTCTAACCTAAAAATTAACTCCCTACGAGCTATTCTTACGGATATCATTTATCCTAATAGGCGAAGGATGCTTAGCTCATCTGACAAAGACATGAAAACCTTTAGAGAGAGAGCCAACCGAACAGCGTGACATAGAAATTTGAATTCAGCACAATTGGATGTTCCTTCTTGCTCCGTAGTGAGGCGCCTTTGAGTCCATCACTATTTTATTTCTCCTTCTGTTTATGGGAATGCTTATTCTTGGAGTCTGTTTAACAGCTCTTATATATTTTACAGTATGTTTAAAAATTGTATATGAAAAATTTTGGGATTCTCTGAAGAAATCGGTTATTTCTGCTTATATTGCTCTAAAGCAAACAGCAATGGATAGATTGTTTTAAATATTTTTAGTTTCATAATATAAGCCCATTTACTTCTAAAATAATATACAGAACATTACCAAATTTTTGCTAATGCAAGGATTTTGCTCGAGATTGGCCATTTGGTTTACGAAATAAATACTGTAAGCCAAAATGCCATTCTCCAAGGCTGAAGCCTCCTATCAGCAATTTCTTGTGCTGTTCATGGTGAGTATAAGGCTGTATAGTCTATCCCTGGAATCATTTGAATTAGCTTTCTAGATATTATGAGCAGTAGCCCACTGGAAAAATGAGATTGATAAGAGTGATACAAAATGAGAAAATCTTATGAAAAGCAGATGATTTCAATGCATTTTTATTATTTACGTGTATAGATTGTCATCAGTTCATGGAATTGAGCTGAGCCAAGATGACAGTATGACATTAAAAAATATCAATTCAACGACCTTTCACATCCAGACTACACTTACCTGGAAATTCAGTTGAAGATTAAGCTTTTTCGGCGCAATTTCCTTATCTTTTTATCTCTTAATAATGCTTTACTTCTACAAAACCTGCCAAACCTATATGATCAACCGTCCAAAGCTGTTGCAAAATTTTAATACAAGACGTTCCTTATTATCCAGAATCGGCTTGTATGCGAGAGATATTAATAATCCTGTAAACAAAGAAATTTACCCAGATTCCTATAGTTTTTCGAACTCATCAATTGAACTTCAAGATTTAATATCCCAATATGACACTGAGTACAAACAAATGCGATCCAATAATTTATTAGACTTGTATTCAGATGATCTAAAAGCCCGGCTGTTTGAAGATCTCGACACATCAGCCGACATTATGAAATACGGAACTGCTGCAGCTGCAAGCGCAGTCATTTTTGACGCTTATTATATCGGTGGGACTGGTGGAATCAAGACTGAAAAAGAAATTTCTGATTTCATTTCGAATTTTACTGCTCTTCAAGAGGCGATGGCTCTGAGTTTTACAAAGGTCGATCAATGCTCTAAAGATGTGATTTCAGCACAGCTAGATTTAATTATTGATATTACTGTAGCCTTTTCAGTTGGGCTGCTTTTGCTTTATTTTTGTTATTATTTGCCATTTTTGAAGAAACAAATTAATTTCTTAACGAAAACAAAAATTCTGCCGAAAATGATACCGATTTTGATTACTGAAAAAAGATTTGAGGATTTTCCTAAGAAAAGCAACCTTAGTAAGCCTGGATTATATTAATAGATTTAAATAATTCTTTTTATTATTTTATAGTTGTTATTTGAAAGCTTGCCTCTTGGTAATGCTTTGGTGATTTTTCTGATTTTATACTAGGTGGTATGATTGAAATTATCACCTGAAGTTTTGATAGCCTTTCCATTTCATATTCGATATATGGAAGATAATATAAAAAATACAAGATAATTATCGTGAGAACATAAGCAACAGCAGCATATAGGATAAAATTTGATTTTTCTAAAATCATATTTTGTGAGGTTTGATCAATAACTTCATAAATCTTAGTCATTAATTGCTGTAATTGGGTCAGGCTGTTGGTTAAATTTTGAGATGCTTCAAAAAAGTTCTCTTTATCATATTGGAGATCCCAAGCGTCATAAAAAAGTAAATTCGTATATCAAAATGTGCCATATTTGAATCCTGGAGTCGATGTGTTTTTATATTCAAATAGATTTGACTTGACAATCGAAGACATATATTGCATCCTTTGGAGCAATTGTTTATTTAAATAATAGAAAGAGCTCAGAGTTTTATCAAGTTCTTCTTCTGGATTTGAGAAAAAATAAGGGTTAAGAGTCCAAAACTCTTTACCAAACCTTTGAAGGCCTGCCTCTCTTGCCCAAAACCCAATAGCAGGAGTAAGAGCTCTTCTGGATATGTAGGTTGCTAGGAGCTCAGGCCGTTCAATTAGGTATTTTTCACATGTTGGGTATATATATACATGCACACATACATAATAAACAATAGTATAGCCCGAGCCTTCTTTTGACTTAAACTATACAACGTCTTCCGAAATCAGCAGAGAAGTTGGTTTAACCAACATTTGGTGGTAAAATCACTCCTAGATGACAAATCCACTTGTTACTGAAGATTTTCCATTTGGAGAGTTAGCATTACCTACAAATGTTGGTAAAGTCAACTTCACCACTGACATCATATAGACCTAGCCAAAAACAGGCTCAGGCAATAATCGAAAAAAGAATCAAGAGACGCAGGATATACCTCGAAGAAACCGTAAAGTTGACTTTTTTACCCTTGCTAATATTTTTTTGCACTGCATCCTGGTATTCTTGATTGAAATTGACACCGTGAACTGATGATAGCCTGTCAATACACAAAGCAACTAAATCAAAATACGTTACAGTTGCTGCTTGAATGATATAGTTTTTCGAATATTTTTCTCACAAATTAAATGGTTATTATTCTATTCTTATCAAAAACAGCTTTGTGGTTACTCCCCCCCCCCCTCCGTGAGCGAACAAAACCATTAGAAAAATCGCCATTTTTTGACCAAAAACCCACCCTCCGTGAGTGAACAAAAATTTTTTTAATAGAAAAAATTTTAATGGAAAAAAATTTTGATATATAAGTGATAATTAGTATAATGAAATCTAGAGCTAATTCTGTTTAATTTTAAACAAATTGCGTTTTAAAACATAAATTTTGCAAATTAAATTAATATTTGCTTCCCAATTTTTGCAAATTAGGAGGATTTTTTTAAATTTCGAAAAAAATATTTTTTATAAAATTTTATATATAAATTTTTTTTAAAAAAAAAAATTAACCCCCCTCCGTGAGCGAACAAAATTTTTTTGTTCGCTCACGGAGGGGGGGGGAGTTAGTAATTTTTTTGTTACATTTAAATCAAGTTATATAAAATTTCACAATAAATTATATCTTTTGCTTATTAAATATACTATCATAATAAGCACAATGATGCAGGTTCCTGCAAGAGCCGACTCAATGATTACAAGAAGCTTGACAGTAAAATTTAATTTGTAAATTTGATTTTTTTCACAATCAATTAGCCCATAAAGAGATGAATTTACCTGCTTAAAAGTCTCGCCAAAACCATTTGAGATCAAGAACTGCAAGCTATCCACGTAATCCTCAGGACGATTTAAATTATAAATTAAATTTTCAGACTAAATATTGATTACATTTTCAACAAATAGATCAATTTCATCATGCAAATTCTTATAAAACACTTTTGGAGTATTCAAAAAATCCCAGGTCGATAGGAAGCTAGTTTTAACGATTTTTGAGCTGTCGCAGTAGCTTCATGAGTAATAGTTGTTCAATAAATTATTTTGATGTGTAAGAAAATTTGATTTTGAGGCTTGTAATAATTCAATATAAGTATTGATTTCAGCTTTATCATATTTTGCACAGAAATCAATAGTCCTGGCATACTGTGCAGATGCTATCATATTATACATAATAACTCCTAGATCATTGATGGTTTCAGCAGTTTTTGTGTGATTTACAGATTTTGAAATATATATTGATATAGCTATGTTAGAAGCTGAAATTGATAAAATCTATATAAAGTATACTGATAAAAATAATACCAATTTGAATAATTTTAAAGATTTTTGGCAATTTAATATAATGCGTGCTCCCTTATCTAAATAGTGATTACGATTATTATCACGAGAGGAAACACTATAAGTAGCTGAGCTTGGGCTACACATTAAAATGACGTAGCGATCCAGCCTGTCTCCTAGCACCTGCAGTTCGGCAACCAAGGAATCTTGTTGAAGGAAGAATAGCGCTCGAAAATTTGTATCCTTGTCTGGTGGAGAATAAATGTCGGATTCAACCATTCGCATACCTACACATATAAATCAAAATTTACCTCGTGGGAGATGTTCCTTCAGAGCTGGAAAGGGAATTCTCAACGGCGACCTTGGCAAATCGGGTAGCTTCCCAGAGCGATACCAGGCGCTGGGCTAAGAAGTTCCATTTTGACCAGCAGGTCTGGCCAGAAAACTTGATTTTTCGAGTTTTTTGGAAGGGCAACCCAATTGAAGTTCGGCACGACGACCTAGTACACGAGCTCTGGGTAGACGATCAAACCCAGCTCAGATTAGTCCAATAAATTTACTATTGGGCTGCTCTGTCGGATCGGGTCACACCCTCCGGGTCGAGGTCGGCAGGATATAGGAATTGCCCGAGGATGGCGCTATCTTGCGCCATCCTCGGGCAATTAGTATAACTGAGGACGAAGAAAGTGGAAGAACTCGCTGCTCATGTGGATGCCGGACGCTTCTCAATAGCGTTAAATTAACCCTAACATAGCTGAGCTTAGAGTTTTTTCAAGAAAATTTGAGTTAATTTCATTACTTTTTATTATGTCAATAATTGTACTATCAGCTTCTGATGCATTTTCATCAAGAGTTGATAAATTCCGATTCGTCTGTCTCAGTAACTCATGTTTATCTGATTCTATAGATAAAAATTTAGAATATCTTTTTATATCAAAATTATTTTCACTAGTAGTTAATATTGGCGGTTGCTCACTCCCCCCCCCCCTCCGTGAGCGAACAAAATTTTTTTTGTTCGCTCACGGAGGGGGGTTAATTTTTTTTTTTAAAAAAAATTTATATATAAATTTTATAAAAAAAATTTTTTTCGAAATTTAAAAAAATCCTAATTTGCAAAAATTTGGGAAGCAGATATTAATTTAATTTGCAAAATTTATGTTTTAAAACGCAATTTGTTTAAAAATTAAACAGAATTAGCTCTAGATTTCATTATACTAATTATCACTTATATATCAAAATTTTTTTCCATTAAAATTTTTTCTATTAAAAAAAATTTTTGTTTCACTCACGGAGGGTGGGTTTTTGGTCAAAAAATGGCGATTTTTCTAATGGTTTTGTTCGCTCACGGAGGGGGGGGGGGGGAGTCAGTATATTTTATTTGTTCATAAGCTTCCCCTTTAGTCCATGCATTTATTTCATAAAAATCTTGCACCAGAAGAATATATGGTATTTCTGTTGACTTAAAGTCTTTTTTGCAATAAATAACTGCAATTACTTTTTCTTTCCGTTGAATTAGTTTTGGCTTAAACAAGACCATTTTCGAAAAAACAATTTCAGGGATTACATTGTCTATATATTTATATATAAGGCATGAGCTTTCTATATTCAAAAGGCGATGAAAATCTTGTGAATGATTATATATCATTCCTTCCTTTGAAATTAAAGCAGCTTCTCTATTTTTGGTGCATGCCATCATAGAGACCATATAGTATAGACTCTCATCAAGGGCTGTTAATCTGATTAAAAATTTGACTTCACTTAAATATCCATTATGGTCTCTAATAAATAGTGTATCTCTTTTGCCTAGTTGTGGCTCTGTACATGTATCTACAAATCTTTTCATAGTTTCTGCATGAAATTCATTATATGGTTCTGGTATATACTGGTCTATTTTATTTCCTACCATATTATCAACAGTATCTTTCAGAAGTTGAGCTGCAATCTCATTAGCATATATAATTATCCCAAAATTCCGTTTTTGAGCAGAAATCACCATATTCCCAGAATATTCCTCGAATTTTGTAATAACATTTTCATGCATCATTATTTCTTCTTCGCTTTTTAATTGGTAAACCTTATGCAACAAATTTGCTCCTTCATTGAATTCCTGGAAAATATTTTGTAGAAGGCCTCCATATAGCTCATAAACATGTGCATGATTTGTATGAAGCATTTTCTTATATCGATCTTCAACTTTTCTAATTTCGCAATAGACTTCATTTGATAAATTTTCTAGTTTATTTAGGCTTGATCTCTTTGAGGAAATTTCATATCAAAACTCTAGTAAATATCTGCATAAAAACTCATCTTCGCTCTTTGCCACTTCTAAATCAATTAAATAGACTAAAAAATTATTTGCTATTTGATCTGTTCCTGGATGCTTTTTCATCCATTCTTGGATCCTTAAAGCTTGTATTTCTCCCTCAATGCTTGGTAATACACTTCCCATTCGGGCATACTTTATTTTTGCAAGTCTGATATCATTCAATGTATGTAAAAAATAATATACTTCTCATGCCACCAATAATTTGTCGCGTCTGAACATGGGAGTATTATAGATTTCTGCGAATTTGTTTATGATATTACCACTGTGAGTAGTTGAAGGATCCATTAGAAACTTACGAATTTGGAGCTCAAAGGCATGTTGATCCAAGGAAACTTGGCTTTCCTTTGAATTTTCAACTAAAATTAAAATTTTACGGAAAATAAGTATCCCAGCTGCAGGTATTATACAAATACTAACTCTCCCATCAAATTTAAACAGAAATTAGATAAATTTAAATTTTTTTGGATCAATCCCCTTTAATTTGAAACAAATTTTAGCTTAATTTTTAAGTTAAATATTATATATAAAGTTTTCACACTGAACCGATAATTTTTTTAGTTAATTCCCATAAAATTTAATTTATATTAATTTTTAACATAAAATTTTATATCAATTTAATTCTTTTTAGAAAAAAATTAGCCCCCCTTTAAATTGTAATAGGTTTTGCTGTTACTATTTAAAGCTGGAAAGTAAAAATAAAAGTTATTCCAGCATTATCCATTGCGATCCCAATAAGAAAGCTGAAGGAAAATCCAGATAAAATCAAGAGCTGAGTGATTCTTATAGCGTTAAGTATCGGATTGAAATATGAGTTGAATTTAAAGGTGAGATAAGAAAACATAAGAGATAGCACGAAAACGAACCAAATATGCCATATAAAATGATCATACCCATAAAAGACATATATAAATACTACTATAAATTTGCTGAATAATTGGGCTATGTCTAAATTTGAGTCTGACCTTGCTTTTATATTAAAATTTGAAAAAGAGTGCCGAACATCTGCAGTGAATAATTCGTAAATAACAGTTAGTAAAAGATACATTAAAATGGTATCACGTGCCAACTTAGCCTCTAGGCATAGCAGTCAAGACCTTAGGATACCGAGAACTGAGAATCAAGCGCATGCTCTAGAGTTGTGTATCCAGGTAGGTTTTGGCTGCTTTCCTGTGGTTAGAAACGGAGTTGGCTATGGGCATTTCTCTACTGAGAAACTGGGGTTTCGGCCCAAGCCACAGGGGAACTGTCTTTTTCCTGTGCTGTCAAGAAAGGTACTTTGAAACTCATAGACTTCAAGGAGTTGATCCTTGGAATCAAGCTATTCCAATCGCCCGCAGCAGGGCCGCAGAAATCATAAGCTGCCCATTCAAGAATGAAGCCTCAAGGCAAGGAGGAGATAGAAGGTACTGAAAGTGGCGCCCGTTTTCGGGTGATAGACCCTCTGGACTAGAGTCGAAAAACGGTCGAACCTCCGTACGGGAGGTCTTTGGCGACTGCCTTAACATGGCTAACGCCTGACTTTTTAATAATCCTAAGCAGTAAGTAAAAAAAGTAATATTGCTGAAGAAATGCCTAAAATCGATCCAAATGCTCCTAATGGAAAATTGTTCTTTGACAGTGATGAATATAGTGTACCATCAGGATCAACTAAATATGAGTACTTGGCAGTTACCAATAAAATCATAAGAGAAGGAATATAGCCAACAGAAAATAAAAATCCAAAAAGAAAACTTGGAAGCTTTATAAAAGCTTTCGGTATTTTTCATGACCGAAATATAAGGGTACTGATTATACTAATGTAAATTAAACTAGTTCACAGAAATGTAACTATAACCAAAAAAGCTGGAAAATAGAGGCGAGAATCAGAAATTCATGAATCAAAGCTGAAATATCCAAAAAGCTGTCAGTAAATGCCAAATTTTTTTCAAAGTCTGATGTTCATCGTAAGGAACCCCCCCCCTCATTTGTCGAATTTTCTAGTCTTTTTTTTTTATAAGAATTTTTTTTTTTTCAGGACCTCATTTGTCCCCAAAATCTAGTCAAAAATGATTTGTCCAATTTTCTAGTCTTTTTTGGATTTTTTCGAATGCCCTAAATTCTAGTTTTTTACTTTAAAAAAACTAGAAAATGAGACAATTGAGGTCCTGAAAATTTTTTTTCTCTATCAAAATTTTGACTAGAAAATTGGACAAATGAGGTCCTAAAAAAAATTTTTTTTTCCTATAAAAAAAACTAGAAAAATGGACAAATGATAAAAGACTAGAAAATCGGACAAATGAGGGGGGGGTCCTTAGGATACCAAAGTAGTGTGACAATTTGTATAACATTTAGTGAATTTATGATCACTTCCATCGCAATTTGGGTGGCTTTTTTGGTTTTTATGTTATACTTTGATTTGAAAAAAATCTGCAGAGATTGAATCATGTAATTTTTTGCTTGTTTTAGTCAATCTTCCTTTCTTGAATCAAGGTATTTTAAGGAAAAAGAGTCCTTATCAAATTTTTCACTGTTTAAAACCATTTATCACTTAATTTTTATTTTTGACTATAGAAAGAGATTATGACAACAATATTCTTTTCCATAGATTTTTAAAGGATTTTTTTTTTATCATTTAAACCCACGCTCCATTCTAGTATTATATAAATATTTAATTATTCTTTTGGGCACAATAAGCATCAACTTTTTTCTGTTATTATACTTTTTTAAAGTATATTATATGGCTTTTATAATAAAATCTGCTATTACAGAAGCTTTTTAATAATTTACGAAAGTTTCAAACAAACAAGAAAACAATTCCTTTAAATTAGAAAATTATTAAGCAGTTGCGAATTTTATCTTAATTATTAAAATCTAGAGGAATTGCCTTATTACACTTAGTCAATTCTTCAAGTTAATTTATTTTTTATTTATGAAGATTATTTTATAAGCTATTCTGTAAGGATAATGCATCCAGAGAAGTTGTATATTGAATTATAAAAATCCTTTTCAGCAATATTAATACTTAAAAAGCCAAATTCTATAATCGTCCATAAACTGTGTCTAGAATTATTCTTAAAATTAAATCATTTCATTTACAATAGGGAATACTTTTTTCAATATGATTTTAAGGCCTTATTAAGTGTTAATGCATATTGCAAATCATATATAGCTTAGGGTCTGATTTTGATCTTCCAGGCTTAACTATCAGTTTTTGCTTAGTATTAAAGTTTTATCAATAAAAACAATATAAAAAATTTTCAATTCAAATTCTTTAATGGCAAATCTATATAATTTCTTATTCACACTAAAATAAAAATATTCCTAGCTTTTATTATAGAACTTATGAATTCTGATCTCAGACACTCAGCAGGTCATAAAAATTTTAAAAGCAAGGTCTAATTCATTGTGAGATTTGCTCTGCATATTATTTTTTATTGTTCAGTGCTTAGCAGCTAGACTAATAGCGAGCATCCAATAGCAATAAACGAAGGTGTTTTTGGCAAAAGATTGCACATCAAAATTTTAGTGTGTAATTTAAGTATAAAGCATGTACTAGTAAATTATATTTCATATTAAAATAAGCAAATTTTAATGAAAACACAAAACCATTAAAAAATGTGGCGCCACAAAATAAATTCTGTTAAGAATTGCAGTTATTTTTCCCTATAAAAATTGAAATTTACTTGCCAGCTATTTTCAACTATTAAGCTTAGTTTTAGCGAACCAACATATTTGGCATCCAAAAAAAATATATTATCAAAAATAATTTAACTTTTACAAGAAAAAAATATTCTTAACAAGCATTCAATATACAAAAATCGCAGAATTCTAGAGCACCGATGGATTTATATCATAATTAAGTATCATAATCCCGCTCTGCAAATATGTGCAACAGTTGAACATTAGTCTATTAGATAATGTATAAACGAAAATATCCCTCTCTGTAGAATTAGTTTATTAATCTTTGCATCACTTTTTCAAGTATTTTCTTATGCTTCTGATTCATTCACCAGCTAAGCCAAATTAAAGTGCTACGATTTATCATTTACTTCAAAATAGCAAACCATAGCTTAGGAAATATGCTCTGGGAAAAAATATAAACCGCATGTGCTATTCAGCATCATAGATTATAAACTTGTTCTATTAGCTATGTGATTGCGCAATTCTAGTTAATCTCCTATCAATTTTTCATTAGCAGGGGACCTGGCATGGTGAATTAAGTATAGAGTTCACAAAAAATCTAGGGATAAAACAAAAAGCTTAACAGCTAAATTTCTAAAACTTAATATAAATACAAAAATTTTGCCTTTAAAAAAAAGCTAAAAAATAGATAAAATTTTGAGACTTTAAACATAAAAACTTGTTTATTACTGGAAACATATGTTTTATTTTTTATTCTAATTTTCTGGTAGACTACTCCCCCCCCCTTTAAATTGAAACAAAAAATTTTGTTTCAAAAATTTATATATAAAATGTTTTTCAAGAGATAAAATTTTATGGTTCATTCTGTGTTTGATTTTTAATTTTAATTTCATGAAAAATTAATTCATAAATTTCTCAATCTCAAAGTGTAAACTTGCTGAAATGGTATTCTTCTAACTCTCCCCATAACAATTGGACAAAATAGAGTTTAATTTCTAAATCTTATATGTTTGAAGCATATTAAATAGGGTATTAGCGTATTTACATATAAAATAATGATTTTTACCTATAAAATTTTCTATTATAATAAAATTTTGTTTCAATTTAAAGGGGGGTAATTTCCCAAAAAAGTAGGAATTTTACCTATATTTTGTTTCAATTTAAAGGGGGGGGGAGTTAGACATAATACTCTATATAAAAATCTTAATGATAGCAGGAACTGAAAACTTTGATATCGATGACTATCAATCACTCGTGCACAAAGAACAGTCTGGCATATTTAAAAGGTTACAGAAGTTTTTATTAGTTCATTTTATTGAAATCTTTGAGCCTGAGCTCAATGCTCAAATCTCTTATAGGAAGCAAATAACTCTCGAGATGATTTCAACAATAATTATTACCATTCAGGTAATATCGCTTTTTTGGTATCCTGGCATGCCACTCCGTCATTGGAGCTCATATTCAATGTTTTGAGATTTTCTCACACTCCCCCCCCTTTAAATTGAAACAAAATATCGGTAAAAATTCCACTTTTTTGGTAAATTAACCCCCCTTTAAATTGGAACAAAATTTAATTTTATAATAAAAAATTATATATAATTTTTATCTAAAAAGTTTTGATATAAGTTAAATGTTTCTTCTTAACTAAAATTAAAAATTTATTTATATCTTGCTCTTTTTTAAAGAAAAAAGTATAAAGAGCATCTTATTTAAATAAATTTATTATCCTTAATTGGTAAATTTTAAAAAAAATTCATTTTTTTTTAAAAATTTTCAAAAAAATTTTTGTTTTTTTTGATAAAAATGTTATTTTTCTATTTGCATAGACTTACAAAGTATGGCTTTCTTAAAGAAAACTTTGAAGCGTATATACAAAGGTTAAGAATTTTAAAGAAATTTGAAGAAAGCACATGTGAATTGCCAGAAATTAAATATTTACACAACTTGCTAGATTTAGATGAGGCTAAAAAATCTGATGCAGAATTTTGTTTGCTTTTATTAGATTTCTGGGCTGAAATTGCGAGAAAAGATCCAAGAATAAGCAAACTAAAACATTTTGATAAAAGAATTTATGATCTTACTAATAAAACCAAGACGCTATATTACTCACTTTCACTTTCACAAGAAACTAGGAATTATGAGGTTTTTGACTTATATGGATTATTTTTGATTAATATTCTTGGAGAAGTCGAAGAAGGAAATATTATGCTTGGAAAGAAACTAAACATAAAGAACTATGAGTCTTCAATAGAACTTCAAAATTTTAAAAATTATGATGAAAAATATGGAACTATCTTAATATCAACAGAGATCGGCGCATTAGGGACTATTGCATATATGAATGAAAGAGCTGCAATAATGCTCAAAGTATCTTCTGCTGAAATGATTAGGCGAGATTTTAACCAGTTTATACCCAAACCGTTTTCTTTAAATCACAATCACTAAAGGCTCAATTATTATAAATCATGCACAAGCACGGAGCTAGAAAATTTTCATGCATCCTTTCTTCAGAACCGAAATGAGCATATCTTTGAATGCAACGCTCTAATTAAGCTTACAACATTTAAAATAAAGCCTACTTCATGGTTACTTTTACCCAAAAAAAAACAGCAAGACAAATAATTTCCATATCAGATGAAGGACAAATCAGCAGCCACTCTTCACAATTAGCAGCCACAATAGGTTTAGAAAGAAAGAATTGCACAGGCATGAATATATCTGATATAATTAGCTATGATTGGGACTAATATCGGAGTAATAGTTTATGTTATAGAAGAGGTAACACATACAAACTCTTTGAATGTTTTTAGCCATCTTGGTCAAATTATGTTTTATATTGGGTCAACAGCAAATATAGTGAGATCGATTAATATAGAAATTGAGCAAGAGATATATAACCTTACAAGAGATTCTGGCTACTACAGCCAAAATATCGATGACCTTTCGGTTTTACAGCAAACTCTATTGAGTGGCAAATCGCAGTGAAATCATTGTCCAAGCTCTGCAATTGTAACAGAAAATATCATTCCTCTATGGGAGTTTGACATGGGAAAGCCATATTTGAAAAAGTATAATCTTTATGATACAATTACAAATTTTATTATACATGTAAAAAATATTTAGGGTCAATCTTTATTGAAATATGCTAAACAAAAGAAATCGGATATATATATGAATCGAAATGGCTTATGATAAACAGTGTAGGATATTAATAAGCCAATCATTATCTGACTTAGTTGAGTGTGAAATAGACAGAGTATATGATTCAAGCTTAATCATTACTTTTTTGATGTGGACTGGGGTGATTATCCTTGGTCTCTGCTTAGCGATACTTATATACTTCATAACTAAATTGAAAGATGCATATGAAAACTTTTGAAAATTCATCAAAAAATCTGTCATTTCAAGCTATACTCTTCTTAGCCAAGCTGCTTATGATAGGCTTAGATGAACCCACGGAATTAAGATAAGCAAGAAAAGATATTCCAACCACCAGAAACACAAAGCTATTATATAAAAACAAACATTACTTGAAAATTCAGTTGGAGATTGGCATTTTTTCTAATTATTTCAATAGCTTTTTATTTTTTGATGATCTTTTATCTCTATGGAGCATGTGAAATACATATGATAAATCGACCTAAATTATTACAAAACTTTAATATAAGGAGAACTTTACTTGCAAGAATTGGATATACTGATTGCCCGATGATGGCGCATTGAGCGCCATTATCGGGCAATTTCTATATTTTACAAGAGACATCAATAGGCCAGCAAATAAAGCATTTTATCCAGAATCTTGTAGTCTTCCTGATCCATATATTGAGCTTCAAAAATCAGTTTTTTGATACTGGGATGAGTTCAGAAGTTTACACTCAAAAAGCCTTCACGATTTATTGTCTACCTCAATAAATAAGCGAATTTTTGAAGAAACTGATTCACCATATAACCTTATGAAATTCGGGACTGCTGCTGCGGCAAATTCAGTTATTTTCGATGCATTTTATATGGGAGTGCACGAGTTTCGTTCACTAACAGAAAAAGATAATTTCATAACAAATTTTACAGTTCTGCAAGAAGCTATGCATAAGAGCTTCGATATGACAGATTCAAGTTCAAAAGAAATCATTTTTTCACAATTAAATACAATTATTGATATCACTCTCGCATTCTCAATTGGGCTTGCCTTACTTTATTTCCTTTACTATTTGCCTTTTATGAAAGCTCAGTTGAGGTATTTAGAAAAAGCAAGTATTTTACCGAAGATGATTCCTGAAAATAGAAATCAAAATTTCTAGAAGCTATTTTTGTGGAGTCCAATTAATATGAAGAAATATAGGATAAGTTTTCATAATAACTTGATAATAAGTTTTTCATCGCTAATAAAAGAACTTAAATCACATTATTTATTGAAATAAGTAATTTATAAGCACGGAAACAAATTTTCTTACCCCCGTGAACTAACGAAAAAATTTTGTTCTCTAGGATTAAATTGTTAAAAAAAATTTATATATAAATTTTAGTTCTAATATATTTAAAAACAAAATTAATTTAATTTGCAAAATTTTTGTTTTAAAATGCAAGATGTTTAAAATTAAGCAGAATAGAGATTTCATTATAATAATTATCTCTTATATATATACATAAAAAATGGTGACGAAGACCACCCGACCTCTCGACCCTATTTCTTCAACACCTGCAGGCAACGGCCCAGTGTTGAGGATTTAGGTGGAAAGGGGCCGGCAATCCTTTATGTATAGTCGGGCTGGGTTTTCCTCAGGCCCAGGGAGCTAATTCCTGGACTTAGAGTTTTTTCCTCCAGTACAACCATTGGAAAGGGTAAGGTTGGCCAATGTCTGAAGGGCAATATAACCCTCAGACCCCTGAAGACGGTATTTGCCTAATGAGAAACTGCGAGTTTCGACCCAGGTGGTTGGCCCTTAGACTCCAGGCCTTGTTTGCGGCAACAAGGAAGGGTGCCCGCTGGGATCCCTCAGGGATGATGAGCGTTTATGGGGTGGAATTCCCCCGGCCCTTGCGAAAGCGAATGGCACAATCTAATCTAATCTCTTATATATCAAAATATTTTTCATAAAATTTTTTTTAATTACTCACGAAGGTCGGTTTTTACCGAAAAAAAATAGGTATTTTTCCAATGGTTTCTTCGCTTACAAAGGGAGGGAGTTAAAATTTACAGTGACTTTTATATTTTATAAAAAATTTTAAAAAATTGCTATCTCTTATCAAGATGACAGTAGATATTTTAATAGCAGAATAAGGTATTAAAAAAATTCTTTCTATTTTCGAAATAGCATGTACTTACAATTAATCCTTTCTTATATGTTGCATATTCTGATTCCTTCCTCCGTGAGTGAACTAAAATTTTGTTCACTTAAGGAGGGGTGAATTTTTTTTAAAAATCCAATTCAAAAAAATGCAAAACTAAAATTAATTTTAATTTTTAAAAATTATGTTTTAAAATGAACTGTTTTAAATTAAGCAGAATTAGCTAGATATGCCATTATATATCATTATCACCTATATATCAAAATATTTTTCGTTTGCTTACGGGAGAAAGGGAAGTGAGCTAAAAATAAAAACATGATATACTAGAAAAAATCGATGAAGAAAAAAAAATAATTTTCTCACAATTTTGTTTCAGTAAGTTCTTCAAAAAAAGCAATCATAGAGGCAATTGAAAAAAATATATAATCCAGCAGCCGTTCTCAAGGATTCCTCTATTTTAAATAAAATTTAGAAGAAATTGTCATTTCAATATATTTTAACGTCTTACTGATAAAGTTAAGATGATTTTATGTATTTATTATCTCTTTTATTATGTCAGTTTATTTACTAGCCTTAGTTAAAAATAATTAAATATAAAAATAACTTAAATGATTGCAGATACAAAAGAATACCATCTAGGAGACCATCATCTGCTCTCTCAAAAAAAGGCATTAGGTGCATTTAAAACATTTAAAAGGTACTTATTTGGGTGTCTGATTGACATTTTTGAGCCTGAATTCAATACAAGCATCTCTTTCAATCAGCAATTAATCCGCGAAGTGACTACGGCTATTATCATCTTAATTCAATCAGTATCGCTTTTCTGGTACCCAGATATGCCACTTCGTCATTGAAGTTCTTATTCCACATTTTGAAATTGCCTTAGATTTTTCAATTATGATTATCTGAGTGCAAGACTAAATGTTTACCCTTTTTGCATCTTAGTAGAATTTATTTTGTTTATTTACTCACTTATAACTGTGGCGCTATACTGTATTTTTAAGCATTTTAACTACGAAATGCCTAGCTCTTTACTTTATGTTGCAAAAATCATTATCGTTTTTTTAACCTCGATACTGCTAATTCCATTTTTAACAACCCTCCTTGTTGTCCTCAAGTATTCAACAGGCAAGTATGATTACGTTCACGAGTATGATGATTATGATACTAACAGCTATAATTTTGGAGCTCTAGGGAGTACTTTTAGCTTCCTGATTTTAGCTGCTTTTTTGCCCATATCTTTTCTGGTGGAAATTATAAAAGCAGATCTTAGACATTCGGTGGCTTATAAAAACTTAAAAGCTAGATCTAACTCTGTATGGGATTTGCTCTGCAGATTATGTTTTGTAATTCAATGTTCTCTGTTTGTTTTTTTAGATAAAAATCTGCATGAATATCATCTAGTGATAAGCATGACTATGGGGGCATATTTACTGGTACCGATCAGAACGACCGAGCTCACCTAACGCCACCAGGATGTCTCAGCTGCTTATTTACAGACTTGCTGCACAGTTTAAATCCTCCAGGTTCAGAGTCCTCCTCCTCTTAGTTGTTGTAGCAGTGGCACTTTAATGGCGCGGGGTTAGAGTAGGTTTGGGACTGACCACAAGTGTCCTTCAGAGGGCTGAGACAAAACTGCTGGAGCAGAATCAGTGAAGGTTGAGATGGAGCAAGCAACGAACAAGGTGCTATTGCTAGCAAAAACTCCTTTATAGGGCAAAACTAAACTATGAGGGAGAGTATATTTACTGGTACTTTGAATTTAGATATTTGCATTATTTCAACCCAATTGAAAATTCTATTCAAGCTTGCAAGATGGGATGCATTTCAATATGTTCAGTTGTATTTTTATTTTCATATTTAACTGATAGCGCAACAACACTGACACTGTTATGCATTTTTTTGCCACCTTTATCCTGCTTTTTTATAACATTTTACATACATAAAAAATATTGGGCATTAAAATTCAATAGAGATGACCCAAAAAATCAATATACCTTGGAGCGCTCGATTAGACATATATTAACAGACAAAAATTGCAAAAATAAAACTGAGATAAATGAGCTGTTGTCAAAACATTTTAACTCGACTATGAAGAAGAATGCTCTTTATACTATATGAGAAGTCAATTTTTGTATTAATATTGCAAAAGATGAGAGACTTGGGAGAGTCAAATTGACAAAATGCCATTTTCTTAAACCAAACATTGAAGCTTATGTGCAAAAATTTAGAATTTTTAGGAAATTTGAAAAGAATGAAATATCATTACCAGAAATTGAATATTTAGACCATTTACTAAGCCTCGATGAAGCCAAAAAATCAGACGAAGAAATTTGTTCTCTTTTATTAGATTTGTGAGCTGAAATTGTAAGAAAAGACCCTAGCATTAACAAGCTCAGAAATTTTATTACAAAAATTTATGATCTTTCCAATGAAATTAAGAAGCTATATGGCTCAATTTCACAAGAAATCAAGAATTCTGAGGTATTTGATTTATACGGACTATTTTTGATTAATATTCTAGGAGAGATCGAAGAAGGAAATACAATTCTTAAAAGGAAGCTAAATATAAAGAGCGAGTCCTATATGGACTTCAAAAAACTTGAAAATTATGATGAAAAATTTGGAATTATGCTAATCTCCACAGATATTAATACATTTGGGACTATTGCATATATGAATGAAAAAGCTGCAATAATTCTCAAAGTTTCTCCAACTGAAATGATTGGGCATGATTTTAATCAATTTATTCCCAAACCTTATTCTCTAAACCATAATGATTATATGCTCAACTATTATAAATCATGTACAAGTACTGTTCTAGAAGAATCTCATGCATCATTTCTTCAAAATCGTAATGGATATCTTTTTGAATGCAATGCCTTGATTAAGCTTATAATTACGATTAATGAAGTTTTTATAGTTTCCAGTGCTCACTCTAATAAAATATAGACTGGAAGCCAAGCGCATTTTTCCCGCTCAAAATGGCAGACAATTCGAGGAGACTTTCCTAAAAAATAGGCTCCCAGGCCAGCTGCATATCTCTCTCGACACGCTGTCATCGTGTGAACTTAGCTTCTGCATGCTCTGTCTAGAGGTCTCTTCCTTGGGTGTGTTGAACGAATACGCCCTAAGAAAACCATATATCCATTGGATAGGTCAGAGGTTTGCAAGGATAATAATGGAGTAAAATTACGGTAAAAGTTTAAAACATATAAAATGACTGTAAATGTATTTAATAGAATGGAAAAAAATGCCTGAAGATTAGAAATATGGTAAAAGAAAATATATTGCACCTTAATATAAATTTTATTCTGTAGTCTAAAAATTTTGGACTCAAAAATTGCAAGAAATTACCCCTAAAAAATCTATAGTTTTCCTTTGAATAGCCCGACAAGGTGTTGCCCTAGGCTGGACTTGAGGAATTTCATTACATTAAGGTATGCATTTCTATCTTTATTAGATGTAAGTATTGGGGACTGGGATATTGATTATAAACTCTTGAGTTTTTTTTTCAGTTATAGCTTTGAAAAAAAAATTACAGTCATTTTATAGGTTTATAAATTTACTGTAATTTGATGCCATGGAGTTTTTTTATGATTATCCTTTATGCACCCCTCCCAGTTGTTTACTTATATTGCTGAATAAGGATTCTCTGGGAAAACTGAACCTCATAATAAACGATCTCAAGAGAGGAAATATACGAGCGAAATTCACATAAGTTTTCGATTTTATTATTACTATCCTTAATTAAGCTCACAGCATTCAAAAATAAAGCTTATTTCATAATTTCTTTTACTCAATGCACTCAAATGAGACAAATAATTCTCATATCAGAAGAAGGACAAATTTTCAGCCATTCTTCGCAACTAATGTCGTTAATTGGACTAGAAAAAACAAACTATAGAAATATGAATATTTCTGATTTAATACCAGGGGTTAGTTTATCAAATTTGCCGTTATATGAGCCATTTATTATTTATCATAACAATAGAAAACTAGCATTAGTCCATACAGTAAGAAACGCAAAATTGACTCCAGTTCATCTTATTTTAATTCTAGCTGATTACTCTGAAATAGAAAAGTGAAAAAATCAAAAGTCTGACGAACAGCTGGCATATTTTTTAAAATTACCAAAAATTATTAAAGAATCACCGGATAATGAGTATAAAGATGAAATGCTTATGCGCACTAAAACTAAAAAGTTAGCATTTAACATAAACTCTATTGAGAAAACATCATATATCTCAAGCACTTATGATGTGCCGAACTCTGAAGTAGCTGACGAGGAAAAATCATACTCAGCTGCTCCTGTAAGTTCAGCCTACTCTCAATCAATATCGTGCGATCGTATTTTTTATTTAGGATCTGCATCAAAATATATAGTAAACACTGGAAATGCCATTAAAAAATTTCAATGGGTATTATTTGTAGCAGTATTTTTTAAATAGATCATAGCTATGATTGGAACCAATATTGGGATATTGATATACATTATAAAAGAGGTAAGACATGCAAATTCGTTGGAAACTTTTAATCGTCTTGGTCAAATTATGTTTTATATCGGCTCAACTGCAAATATTGTTAGATCGATCGATATAGAAATCAGCCAAGGGATATATAATCTTACAAGGGATTCCGAATATTATAGTAAAAATATAGCTGTACTCTCAAGTTTACAGCAAAGCGTATTAGATGATAAATCGCAATGGAGTTACTGCCCAAGCTCGAAAATAGTTGAAGAAAATCTTATTCCTATTTGGGAATTCGATATGGGAGAACCATATCTGAAAAAGCACAACCTTTATGATACTATTGCACTATTTATTAAGCATGTAAACAATATTTAGGGTCAATCTCTATTGAAATACTCTAAAACAAAAGAAGAAAGCTATATTTATGAGTCAAAATGGCTTATAATTAATAGCATCAGTTATTCTTTTGACTTACTCCCCCCCCCCCCCTCCGTGAGCGAACAAAAAATTTTTTTGTTCGCTCACGGAGGGGGGTTAATTTTTTTTTTTAAAAAAATTTATATATAAATTTTATAAAAAATATTTTTTTCGAAATTTAAAAAAATCCTAATTTGCAAAAATTGGGAAGCAAATATTAATTTAATTTGCAAAATTTATGTTTTAAAAAACGCAATTTGTTTAAAATTAAACAGAATTAGCTCTAGATTTCATTATACTAATTATCACTTATATATCAAAATTTTTTTTCCATTAAAATTTTTTCTATTAAAAAAATTTTTGTTCACTCACGGAGGGTGGGTTTTTGGTCAAAAAATGGCGATTTTTCTAATGGTTTTGTTCGCTCACGGAGGGGGGGGGGGGGAGTTAGTAAACTCTGCATTGTCTGGCCTTGTTGAGTGTGAGAAAAATAGAATTTATGATTCAAGCCTAAGTATTGCTCTTTTGCAATGAACTGGTGTTACCATTATTTGCCTTTGCTTAGCGGTACTTGTATATTTCATAATTGAGTTAAAAATTGCTTACTCCCCCCCCCCCCCTCCGTGAGCGAACAAAAAAATTTTGTTCACTCACGGAGGGGGGTTAATTTTTTTTTTTTAAAAAAAATTTATATATAAATTTTATAAAAAATATTTTTTTCGAATTTAAAAAAATCCTAATTTGCAAAAATTGGGAAGCAAATATTAATTTAATTTGCAAAAATTTATGTTTTAAAACGCAATTTGTTTAAAATTAAACAGAATTAGCTCTAGATTTCATTATACTAATTATCACTTATATATCAAAATTTTTTTCCATTAAAATTTTTTCTATTAAAAAATTTTTGTTCACTCACGGAGGGTGGGTTTTTGGTCAAAAAATGGCGATTTTTCTAATGGTTTTTGTTCGCTCACGGAGGGGGGGGGGGGGAGTTATGAAAACTTTTGGAAATTTATCAAAAAATCTGTTAACTTAAGTTATTTTGCTCTTAGACAAGTCGCTTTTGATAGGCTTATTTCGATCCATGGGGCAGATTTGAACCAAGAAAATGAGACTCCTCTCAAGTATTCTAAATCAAGCAGCGATCATATAAAAACAACACTCACATGAAAATTCAGTTGGAGACTAAGCTTTTTTGGAATCCTTTCTTTTTCCTTTTATTTATTGATAATGTTTTATCTTTATGAAGACTGCAGAACATATATGATAAACAGGCCTAAACTATTACAAAATTTCAACCTTAGGAGGACATTGCTAGCAAGAATAGGATATTTCACAAGGGATATCAATTTGCCAACAAACAAAAATCTATATCAGCAATCTTATAGTCTTTCTGACCCTTCCATTGAGTTTGAAAAATCGATTTTGTGGTATAGAGAAGAATATAGCAGTCTACGCTCTAAAGAGCTACATGACTTATTATCAATTTCTGTAAGGCAGCGAATTTTTGAAGAAACTGTTGCCTCATTTGATTTTATGAAATATGGGACAGGAGCTGCTAGCTATTCAGTTATTTTTGATGCCTTTTATTTTGGAGTAAACGAATACCGTTCGCCTACAGAAAAGGATTATTTTATTACCAGTTTCACTACGCTGCAAGACTCTATGTCTAAGAGTTTTGATATGATAGACCTAATTACGAATAAAAACATTCATGATGATTAGTCGCTATCCTATTTTATATATAAAAAAAGGATAACGGCTACCAGTAAGAATGCTGTGTTCATCATATTTAGGCATAGATTCAAGTTCAAAAGAAGCGATTTCTTTGCAGCTGAGCATCATTATTGATATCACTATTGCATTTTCAGTTGGACTTATTTTAATTTACTTGCTTTATTACTTACCTTTTGTGAAAGCTCAAACAATATATTTAGAAAAGGCGAGAATTCTGCCAAAAATGATTCCTGAGGTAGGAAATGAAAAACTATCAGAAATTCAGTCATTAGCAAGCTTGATTAGTGTAAATGATAGAAATTAATCATCTTTTAATAAATATTTTTGATCAGTTTGATGAATTTGTTGTGAGCCAAGCATTTAATAAGCATTTTATATATTTAATTATTAAGTTTAAATTAATTTTTGTTTACTAAAATCTTTGAATATAAATTTTATTAACTCCCCCCCCCTCCGTGAGTGAACAAAACCATTAGAAAAATCCCTATTTTTTGCCCAAAAACCCACCCTCCGTGAGTGAACAAAAATTTTTTTAATAAAAAAATGTTTTATTGAAAAAAATTTTGATATATAAATGATAATTAGTATAATGAAATCTAGAGCTAATTCTGTTTAATTTTGAACGAATTGCTTTTTAAAAACATAAATTTTATAAATTAAATTAATATTTACTTTCCAATTTTTGCGATTTAGGATTTTTTAAATTTCGAAAAAATAATTTTCTATAAAATTTATATATAAATGTTTTTAAAAAAAAAAAATTAACCCCCCTCCGTGAGTGAACAAAATTTTTTTGTTCACTCACGGAGGGGGGGAGTAAGAGTAAAGCCATCAGAAATGCCTATCCTGGAGATTTAACCTTTTGCTATGAGTAAAATTAATTTTCAGTATAAATTTTCTGGTAAAAATATACCCATGCACAATTAATAAAAGCATATCTTCTGTGTAATCATTACCCGTAATTAAAATCTAGGGGAAACCCTATATATGTTCGATGCTGAATTGCCTTCCAGCCTCGAGCAAATTTAATTACATTAGGTAAGATTTTGCAATTCCAGAAATGGGCAGCAATGCTAGCTATAGGTGTTTCCCTATAAGCAATTCCAGAAGTATATAGAGCCTAGACCAAGTCCACTTTAAGGATTTTACCTCGAAGGAAAGGTTGGAAAGAGAAAGCTCAGCAAGGTCTACAGGCAATGCCTAAACCTGATGGGCAAGCATCTAGAGTGAAACCAGGAGTTATACCCCTGGCTGAAAACTTTTCACTTTAGCCTTGAATCTGCCATAAATTCCATTTTTTATGACAATCTTCATCTACCCAAGCAGAAGCCGCACAAGCCGCACAAGCCCACAGTTCGCCCACTCAACACTCGAGCCGAAAAGCAAAGAAGACTTCGGATATCCCATGACGCAAGGGGCCGATGGAGGCTCAAGGTGGTATAGCCCAACTTAGCTGGCGGCTTAGCAAAGCTGATGAACATTTATGGGTCCTTGGTGACTATGTCACCAACAGGCAGAAGCTAACCTAAGTTTAATCTAATCATTATCCTATAATTTGCTGCAAAATTATTTGCAAATCATAAATATAAAATTTCATAATTAATATGGCAGCTTATAATTTGCCAGATTTATAATTTGAAACATATACAAATTCATACAATATTTTTCAAGAAGCCACATTATATTAACATCTTCAAAGCATTGAATGGTGATTAAACAACAGGAATATCATTTAAAGATTAAAGTATGGAGCGAGATAAGTTTAATTGGAAAGCTAATAATATTTTAGAACCTAAGAATAGGTATATTATAATTACTTTATTTTTACAAAAGAAGATATAGAAATTGCCCGAGGATGGCGCTATTTTGCGGCATCCTCGGGCAATTTCTATACCTAAAATAATAGTTGAGCCGACTTCTTATTGACTTTTATATTTTTGTAACTTATGAAATCAAAGGGCAAGAAAATTTAAGGGTTATATCTAAATCATTTTGTTATAATCCGGAGATTCATAGTGCCTAACTATTTTAATCTAGAAATACAAAATAAAAAAATAAATAGGCTTGAAATTGGAATTATTTCTACCCAGTTCCTATATCATTAATTTAAAAACTCCTTACTGATGCTTAAAAATGAAATATAAAGCTATCTGTGTTTTGGATTATCACCACAAAGAATTTTCAGCCTAACTTAATTCTTATACACAAAATAAATTGTTAATGCTTCTTTACTAATGCTGTCTAATTTTCTCTTGCGATTAAACATTTAATAATCAGATAAAAATATTCAGATGAATATCAATGATGACCCAAATTCTCACCATCTAATTTCTAGCAAAGAATCATCCAGCAACTTTAAAAATCTATTGAAATTTATATTAGAGTGCCTTTTAGAGCTCTTTGAGCCTGAATTTTCAACTAAATCTCAAACTAAGTGCCAGATAATAATTGAAGTTATTACAAACTTAATATCAATGATTCAATTAGTATCAATTTGTTGATATCCTGATATGCCAATCAGCGAATGAAATTCATATTCATGGCTTTGGAATTCCTTATGAATTTTTAATTATGACAATTTATGTGAAGGATTTAGCATATTTATTTACTGTTATATCATTGAATTTTCCTTACTCCCCCCCCCCCCTCCGTGAGCGAACAAAACCATTAGAAAAATCGCCATTTTTTTGACCAAAAACCCACCCTCCGTGAGTGAACAAAAATTTTTTAATAGAAAAAATTTTAATGGAAAAAAATTTGGATATATAAGTGATAATTAGTATAATGAAATCTAGAGCTAATTCTGTTTAAATTTTAAACAAATTGCGTTTTAAAACATAAATTTTGCAAATTAAATTAATATTTGCTTCCCAATTTTTGCAAATTAGGATTTTTTTAAATTTCGAAAAAAATATTTTTTATAAAATTTATATATAAATTTTTTTTAAAAAAAAAAATTAACCCCCCTCCGTGAGCGAACAAAATTTTTTTGTTCGCTCACGGAGGGGGGGGGGAGTTAGTTATTTATGCTTTTTTTACTGTGATTTTATGCATTTTTCTTAAATACAAAAAATTTTTTATGGAAAAAAATTTTGATATATAAATGATAATTAGTATAATGAAATCTAGAGCTAATTCTGTTTAATTTTGAACAAACTGCTTTTTAAAAACATAAATTTTATAAATTAAATTAATATTTGCTTTCAAATTTTTTGTGAATTAGAAAAAAAAATTTTTTATAAAATTTATATATAAATTTTTTAAAAAAAAAAAAATTAACCCCCCTCCGCGAGTGAACAAAATTTTTTTGTTCACTCACGGAGATATAAATAAAATGGCATTCGGTTCGAGAGAAATTAGCTCTGCTAATTTTCTCTCCCTCATGGAATTTTATTTATAGGGTTAGGTTTTCACTCGAAGACTTCTGGACAGCAATAGCGGTTTAACTCTGGAGATAACCAGAGGAACCACTCCTCAGTCCACTCAAGATTTCGGGCTTTTACCTCTCAGCACATCCCCACGGGAGGATGACCCTTAGGCGGAACACGCGCAGGAGCTGAGTCGAGCGACAAGGGCGACGCAACGCGCCGGGTGAGACGTGCAGCAAGGCCGGTGAAGCAGGAGTTGATAGAAGGCTTGGACGGGGTTGACCCGTGCCAAGATGGCTCGCCTACGTCATCAGTTTTGCCATAGGCCCTTTTGGGCTGCGGCACTAGACACCTTAAACACCAGATAATTAAGTAAGTAAGTTCACTCACGGAGGGGGGGAGTAAATATTTTTGGCTATAAACTGCCATTAATTTTTATTCATACTGTCAAACAACTATTATTTTATTTTACATCATTGCTATTTATTCCATTTTTGATTATTTTACTTCTAGTTTTCAAATATTCAGCCTTTAAAAATACACAAGTACAGGAGTATTATGATAATGATTTGTCTAAATTTGATTATGGAATTTTTGGGTCAGTCTTAAGCCCATTCATTTTTTCCGTTTTTATTGCAATGGTCTTTACCAATGAACTCCTAACTGCGGATCTAAGACATTCAATCTCGGATAAAAATATAAGAGCAAGATCTAACTCTTTATGAGACTTAATATGAATATCATTTTGTATCGTGCAAAGCCTTCTGTATGTTTTTATGGATCAAAGCTATTTAATTTATTATTTAATTATACTCTCAGTTATGGGCTTATATTTATTTTGATGTGGAATAAGATTTCTGCATTATTATAACTCAATAGAAATGTCTATTAAAATGTGTAAAGTTGGTTCAGTTTGCATAATCCAATTATTTTTTATACTTGGCTATGCAATTGATGATGCTGAAACTCTTACAATCCTTACTCCCCTTGTGAGCGAACAAAATCATTAGAAAAATACCTATTTTTTGCCCAAAAACCCACTCCGTGAGCGAACAAAAATTTTTTATAAAAAATTTTTGATATATAAATTATCACGGTATGATAAAATCTATAGCTAATTCTTGTTTAATTTTAAACAAATTGAGTCATAAAACATAAATTTACAAATTAGATTAATATTTGCTTTCCAATTTTTCCGAAGTGGAATGTTTTTAAGTTTCGAAAAAAAAAAAAATTCTATAAAATTTAAATAAATTTTTTTAAAATAAAAAATTAAACCCCCTCAGCAAGCGAACAAGATTTTTTTGTTCGCTCACGAGGGGCGAAATAGTATTTTTGTAACACCTTGATTTTCTGCATATATCATTTATTTTATTCACAAAAAGAATTCAGGCCTCAAAAATAGAGCATGCAATAAATTAAATCAATTTACACTCGAGCATACATTAAGACATTTTTTAATCAACAAGAGCTATGACAATAAAGAGGAAATAGTTAGAATATTTTGCAAATATTCTAATAAGAAATGCTTTATTAGTGATTATCTTTTAGTAATATGAGAAGTTAACTTCATCAGTTATACAATCAAAGATGAAAGATTAGCAAGAGTAAAATTAGCCAAAATCACAAGTTTCCCATCTAGCTTTGAAGGAATCATCCAGAAGCAAAGAGTTCTTAAAAATTTTCAAGACAAAAAATCTCAACAATTACCAGAAATTGACTATTTAGAATATTTAACTGGACTTGACAAAGCAAAAAGACTTGATGAGGAATTATGCATTATTTTGATGGATTTATGAGCTGAAATTGCTGGGAAAAATTCAAAAATTATAAAGATACGTAATTTTTCTGATAGAGTTGCTGATCTCTCTGATAAATTAAAATCACTATATAGTAGTCTTGCAAATAAGAACAAATATCCTGAAGTATTTGATTTATACGGGATGCTTTTAATAAATATTCTTGGGGAACCTTATGAAGGAAATATCATGATTCAAAGGAAATATGGCATTAAAAAAATTAGATCGATTTTAAGGGATCATAGCAAGTCGGTGGATTATGGTGAAAATGTTGGTTTTATATTGATATCAACCCATGCTGACTCTTTTGGAGCTGTTGCTTATATGAATGAAAAAGCTGCAGCGATATTGAAAGTTTCATCTGTTGAGATAATAGATCAGACTTTAATGTTTTTGTCCCAAAACCCTTTTCATTAACTCATAATGACAGAATGAGAGAATATTATTATAATTGTGACAAAGCTATAATTGATAAGTCTCGATTTTTGCCACTTCTAGATCATAATGGATTTATAAATAAATAAATTAACGATATGTATTTAAGGTCCCCTTCTTCCATGCGTGACATTCCTCCGCGCTCCGTGAGGAGCCGTGCTGGCACAAGCGAAAAGGATGGACTTCCATCACTGGTTATCTGAGCCCAGGCCGAAACCCCTGGTTTCTCGGTAGTGGTTGCCCTATTGGATCGTCAGCCAACCGTCGCCGAGCACCACCATTTCCAACTCAGCCTTTCGCCCCGAGTAACGCCAGTCTTTGTCTCCGGTTGGCCAGATCGTCCATTTAAGGACCCTTTTAACTGGAAAGACCGCCTTTAAAGTCGTCTAATCTGCCTCCCCTTTTACCAGCTTATCCGCTTGATAAATCCTCAATCGCTTCCGCGATTCGGGGCAGACCACAGTAACAGCTTGAGCAGGCAAGTCGCCCTGCTCCATATCGGGCACCCACTGGCTTGGGCGCTGCTGGAAAAAGGAGATACTACTAACTGCCCTAGGATCTGGTCACGATCAGACGGGACTGTGTTCTTCCCTGGTCGCCACCAGGGTCCAGATATTGCTGGGCTAAGTCGCTTCTCTCCCGAAAACCATGCCCGGATATACACGGATTACCGTCACTGGGAGGATGGGTCGGTCGCCATACGCCATTTTATGTATATATAATGGATTTATAATTGAATGCAATCTTTCAATTAAACTTACAGCTTTTAGCAATGAGGCTTATTATATGGTATCTTTCTCTAAGCATAAAACCTCCCGGCAATTAATCCTTTTATCAGAGGATGGGTTTGTTTATAGCCACACTTCACAACTATCAACCTTAATTGAATCTGAAAATGCATGCTTGCATAATATGATGATATCTGAATTATTCTTAGGAATTGATTTTAATAATTTTCGGCTATTTGAGCCAGTTATAATTCAGCTTAAAAATAAAAAGCTCGCTTTAGTTCGCATTGTAAAAGCACTAAAGGCAACCAAAATCCATACAATTTTAGTAATAAGTGATCGTAATGAGATAGAAAAGTGGTTAAAAAAAGAATCCGAAGAGCAAATTGAATATTTCAACGCGGTTAAGCTAGCAACTGATATGATTTTAGATTGCGAAAGAGACGATAATGAGATTATATAAGTGGCCAAATAAACTCCATGTTACATTCTGTAGAGGACGCTGCTATGATTAACGCTAACAATGAAAAAAGCAATGATGAAAATCCTATTTCTCAAACCCCCGCAAGCAGTGTTTCTCAAAGTTCTACCTTTGATCGTAAATTTTAAATAGAAATAGCACTTAGATTCATAAATAGCACTAATGCTGCTATAGTCAAATTCAAATGAGTTTTGCTAATTGCTGTAATTTTAATATAGGTCATTGCTATGATAGGAGCAAATATAGGAATTTTGATATATATTGTTGATGATGTTACTCACACAGACTCTTTAGAAACATTTAACCACCTTGGACAAATCATGTTTTATATTGGCTCGGTTGCAGATCTTTCTAGATCAATTGACATAGAACTATCTAGCGGAAAGTATAACCTAACAAGAGATTTAGAGTATCTAGAAAATGATATAAAAGCTCTTAATGCTTTGCAAAACACTATATTAGATGACAAGTCAATGTGGAACTATTGCCCGAGCTCAGAAATTGTACTAAAAAATATTATCCCTATATGAGAATTCAACAAAAACATTGCAACTCTAAAAAAGTATAATTTGTATGATGTTGTTTCTAAATTTATAGAAAATGTAATTTTTACACAGGAGCAAGGCTTATTAAAAGATGCTAGAAGCAAAAATATGGAATATATCGATCATATAAGATGACTTATGATTAATAGCTTAAGCTTCTCGTATCACTACATAGAAAAAGCTTTATTAGATTTAGTTTATTGTGAAAAAAATAGAGTCGAAGAAACTGGAATAAAGATAAATGTCCTTTTGCTTCTTGGAATAATTATCCTTGGAATTTGTTTAGGCGTGCTAATATTTTTTATAGTTTCATTTAGAGTTGCATATGAAAAATTTTGAAGTTTTATTAAGAAATCTGTCGTCTCCAATTATATTTTAATAAAGCAGGCTGCTTTAGATCGCCTTGTATCAGTCCATGGAATTGATGTAGGCCAAGACAATAATTTTTTACAGAAACCAACAAATTCCAAAAATTTCCATATAAAAACAACGCTTGCTTGAAAATTCAGCTGAAGACTGAGCTTTTTTGCCATTGTTTCATTATCTTTCTATTTGCTGACCATGCTTTACCTGTATAAAACCTGTAAATTTTATATGATACATCGCCCAAAGCTCCTCCAAAATATTAATGTCCGCAGATCTCTATTATCAAGAATTGGGTTTTATGCAAGAGATATAGCGCTTTGTCAAAATTTTGGGAGGCCCCTGGCATGTGGAGATGTTCTCCACATGTCAAAAATATTTCCACGCGCGAAACCACTATATTTCTGTTATTTCACATGTAGAAGTATTTCTGGCATGTGGAGGATATCTCCACATGCAAGAGGCCTCCCAAAATTTGGGCAAGGCGCTATATGAACTTCGCAGTTAATAAAAGATACTTTCCAAACTCCTATAGTTTTGCTAACTCAAGCCTAGAATTTTACAACCTAGTTAATCGATATATCTCTGAAAGCAATCAATTACGCTCGCATGATTTGTCAGTATTGCTTTCCCATAAATTAAAAGTAAATTTCTATGAATCAACGAATTATTCAGCTGATTTTTTGGACTTTGGAACAAAAACGGCCATAAATATTTTCATGTTTGATGCTTACAATATTGGCGGGCCTGGCGGGATTCGTCCTGATAAAGAAATATCAGACTTTATAGCAAATTTCACGGTTTTGCAAGATGCTTTGGCTGACGTATTTTATATGGCAGATTCAAGCTCTAAACAGGTTATTTCTGAGCAGTTAAATTTGATGATATGAATCACTATTATTTTCTCTGCTGGTTTGGCCCTATTATATTTATTTTATTATTTACCATTTATCAAAACTTAAAATACGCACATAAAAATGGTGCTGACAGACCACACGACTTCCTGACCCTATTTCTTCAGCACCAGCAGGCAACGTAACATAGTGAGGAAATGGGGCAGAAGGAGGCCGGAAACACTTATGTTTATCGGGCTGGGTTTTCTCAGGCCACTTGGAGCTAATTTCTGGTACTTGAATTTTGCCCCCAAAACCATATTGGAAAGGAAAGACTAAAAGTAGCCCTGAGAGGATGACAAGTTCCTCGATCAGGGTTAAGAGGTGACATCTGTCTAATGATAAACTGGGAGTTTCGAAACAGATGGTAGTCCTACAGACTCCAGAAGTTATGGAACCCAAGTCGGTATGCATGAATTGATTGCTTTGTGGCGGCGAGAAGGGTGCCTACTCTGGCCTCCTTGTGAAACAAAGAGAATCTATGGGTAAAAATCCCAGCCCTGTTAAGGACGAATGCGTTTTAGCATTAAAAACTCAAAATGATTTTTTGAGAAAAATAACAATTTTACCAAAAATGATTTATCGGAAGTAATGATAAACTTTAAAAAACTAATTTTCTGTTTGCAGACTAGATCTAATAGAGCCTTAATATTTGCTTTTATATAAACTTCTAATTTATTTTAGAATTAATTTTTCTTACTCCTCCCCTCCGTAAGTGAGCAAAAAAATTTTAATTTTTTTTAAAAAAATCCCAATTTGTAAAATTCTGTTTTCATAATAATAATTTTAGTTATCCAGCTGCTTAAAAGTTCATGCTCTCTTTATACATCCTTCTCTTCCTATCAATCTCTAATAAATGTCTTTTAACAATCAAGTCCCAACTGAATTTTCTGATCACTATTTTAACTCACCATAATATCTTCCAGTTTTTCTGAATATAACACTATTTCAAACAGCTCCAAATCAAGATCCTAAAATTCATGTTTAAAATGCAATTTGTTTAAATTAAAGTAAATTAGCTAGAGATTTCGTTATAATAATAATCACTTATATATCAAAAATATTTTTGTTCGCTTACGGAGTATGAATTTTTACCCAAAAGATAGGTATTTTTCTAATGGTTTTCCTCGCTCACGGAGGAGGGAGTTAGCAACCAAAATTAAAGATAGGATTTTACTATGAAAAGAGAATATATTTAACAAAATTCTGTCTATTACAAAAGCATGATTAGATTAGATTAAATTCTATCTGGTTTTAGGGTTTATTTTCATTCCTTGTTGTCCCTCCTCAAGCTTCAGGTTCAAAGCGGCACTAGTTACCTGGCGTAATAGCAAGCCCTTTTCCTTTCGACGTCACCAAAAAATGGAGACTTCATAAGTCTCCCAAGTAGACTCACCCGATATTTGTGTCTTGGTTTGGTTCTTGCGGCATAAGTCCTATTACCACTGATAGTGCTCAATCAAGGTATGGGTAAAACGTATTGGTGCCTCCTTCCAACTACCAGCATGATACAAGCATAAATTATTTCTCCAAAGTATAAGATTCATTGAGCTCTCAGTATATCGTCAGTGGGTCAAAGAAAAAAGCCTGTTGTGGATCCCTGACCAGACAAAAATCCGCCCTGGACCTCCTAAAAGGATAGGATCCACTTATTTGGAAATGGGATCAACTCACCAACCACCTGGACCTAGTCACCACTCGCCATCTTTTAAAAAGCGCAAAAGTATGAAAAAAGTTACCGAATTTTTAGACTTCAAAAACGCTTATTTTGTGATCAAGTTTCTTTGTTTGAATAATTCAATAGCATAATTTTGGCTATGTTGTAAAGATACCCTTCATAACAATAGAGTAAACCAATTTTATATAAAGTGATTTTAATTTATTTTATGATATTAGTTTAACAAATTAATAGATTCAGTGGTGTTAAAGCTGCTTAAATAACATTCTTTTGCGCTTTTTTCTATTAAATTAGATAATAATAATAATAATAATTTTACGTTTTATCACGCCCAAGGCGTCTTAATTTTTTGCTTTTCGTAATTATCTTGATAAATTCCTTAGCATGAGCATCAATTTCGTCAACCTGATTCCTTGTCAATTCCAGCTTGTTCTTTTTTTCTTCATATCTTCAAGAATCCAGCACAACATCCATCAAATTCAAATCTTCATCACTATCTATGTATGTCTTCAAATTCATTAGTAATTTCGTTCTTTCGTTATTAAACCTTGGACAATCTTCTATTAAATGTTTTTCATCCTGTATTTGTCAGTCGCAATGTTCACATATCGCATTTTTCGTCTGATGCCTTATAAATTGGCACAAGTTCGTGCAGTTAAAACCTGCTCTTAACCTGAAAATTTCCCTTGCGCCGTTCACATCTTTAGGATTTAGCTTTGTGTATTCAGCCATTTTTCAGGTAACAGCATTCATATCGCAAAATAGTGTCGTGGTTTTTCAGGTTTCTTCTCGCATCCTTTGAATGCACCATTCCCTGTCCGCTTTTCATATGGCCATGTGCATTTTTCTTCGCCACCGCTTCAGATTTTCCTCTCCTAGCAACATGCAATCATCCAGCCCGTATTTGTCCAATAAGTCTCTACATCTTTTTTCTCAACCCAGTTTCTCCTCATAATTGATTTTTACTAAATTTTTGAGTATGCTCCCTTCTTTTGCATTTGATACTTTCGCCCTGAATAATAAAGCTCTTTTATCCAGCAAGGCTCTTACAGACATCATCCCTAAGTCTATTAGATGAGTTTCATTTGCTGTGGCTTGTGGTGAATTTAGGATAACTCTTAACCCTCTACGTTGTATCTTCTCCATCTCAGCGATTATCCTTTCAGTGATTTCCTCTCTAGAGGCTGCTTCTGTTGCGTACAGAGCTACAGAGTTTATGCATGCTTGCACCATCTGTCTCTTTGTACTTATTGTTATGCTTTTCATCGCATTTAGGATACCAAGGAACGCTCCAGATGCTACTCTCATAGACCGAAGCCTGTTTTCGAAGTGTTTTATGTCCTTTACCCTCTTTCCCAATATAAATCCTAGGTACCTGAAGTTATTTGAGACCTTTAGGATGTTTCCATTAATTCTGACCGAGCCTTTGCATGCTTCATTAAAGCACATGACCTCAGATTTGTCCTCATTTATTGTTAATTTAAATTCCCTTGCCCATTCCTCAACCTCATGACATAGTTTCTGCAGGTTTACTTTTGATTCGGATATAAGAACTATATCATCTGCATATAACAGCAGACCAATATTTACATCAGGGCCTAGTTGAACTCCATAATTTTTCTGCTTTAATCTGATGGCTAATTCGTTCGGTATAAAGTTAAAGGCAAGTGGTGAGACACATCCTCCTTGTCTGACCCCCTTCTGTATGTGGATTCATTTCTGAGGCTGATCATTCATAATTATTGAACTCCACTCATCTTTCATCATGGCACTGATCATGTTTATGGTTTTTCCTTCCACTCCTCTTTTCATCATTGTTTGCAACAGCAGTCTCCTGGGTACTGAGTCAAATGCTTTTCTCAGATCAAGGAACGCACATCATGTTGGCTTATTATTCGCAGTCCTGCAGTCGATTATGGTGTCCAGAGTAAAAATTTGATCAGTCGTGCTCTTGTGAGCCATGAAACCTCCCTGCACTTCATCTATTATGTGCGCACCCTCTACCTCGTCCTGCAGTATTAAATTAGATAATCACTTATAAAATTTTCCTATTAATTTTTTTTTCAAATTAAAGAGGGGGAGGGGTACTGAACTGACACATCGAAGTACTTTTGAGAAATATGGAATAATTGTACATCGGTTTTTTTGAGTAATTTTAATAACTCCCCCCCCCCCTCCGTGAGCGAACAAAAAAATTTTGTTCGCTCACGGAGGGGGGTTAATTTTTTTTTTAAAAAAAATTTATATATAAATTTTATAAAAAATATTTTTTTCGAAATTTAAAAAAATCCTAATTTGCAAAAATTGGAAAGCAAATATTAATTTAATTTGCAAAATTTATGTTTTTAAAACGCAATTTGTTTAAAATTAAACAGAATTAGCTCTAGATTTCATTATAATAATTATCACTTATATATCAAAATTTTTTTTCCATTAAAATTTTTTCTATAAAAAAAATTTTTGTTCACTCACGGAGGGTGGGTTTTTTGGTCAAAAAATGGCGATTTTTCTAATGGTTTTGTTCGCTCACGGAGGGGGGGGGGGGGGGGAGTAAGCAATATAACTTTTGGATTAATTATGACTTCCTAAAATCATTTTTTTTATATTTATTCTTTATCCAAATTATACAAGATGCAACAACTTGAGTTCTTGAGCTTAAAGTAATGCTTGGTGCTACTAATTTCTGATAGAATTCCAAATATTAATTTAAAGCACCTTGTTGGTGAAAAAAATGAAATTAAAAATGCTTTTTTTAGCATTATTAAATAAAATCAAAAATTCATAGTTTGCTTAACTATTATAAAATAATCAGCTTTCACCGCAATAATTCATTTGCATTTAATCATTTTAACGCTAATAAAAAAACTTAGATGAGAGTCATTGAAGATGAGCCAATTTCTAGTCAGCAGAAACTTTCCAAAGCTTCCAAAGAGGTATGAAAATTCTTACTGGACTGCTTGCTCGATTTCATTAGACCTTACATTCCCTATCTAGTCTCGTATAAGAGCCAAATAATAAGAGAGCTTACTAAAAGCCTAATTGTTGCTGCTCAAGTTGCATCAATATTATAATTCCCCAGTATGCGGATTTGCAATTGAGACTCATACTTATGGTTTTGGAATTCCTTATAAATTTTCAACTATGATAATCAAAGAATTTGGCGCATACATTTTCTGCTACATCGCCCAATTATCTTTGATTATTTATACTTTTTTGGTTTGATTTTATGCTTTATTTTTAAATATATTGGTTGGATGATTCCAATAATCATTATTTATACCGCAAAACATATAGTAATTTTTTAATTCGATATCACTTTCTCAATTTTTGCTTATTTCACTTGCTGTTTTTAAATATTCGATATTTTGAAGCACTCAAATTAAAAAATTATGGCAACAATAATCGAAGTTTGATTATGGATGCTTCGGTAAGTACTGAGCCCACTTCTTTTATTTATCATTATTATAATGTATCTGACCAAAGAGTTAAAGATTGCTGACTTATGGCATTCAGATTATTGCAGCAATATCAGAGCGAGGTCAAACTCTATATGGGATTTATCGTGAATATTCTTTCATCATTGAATGCTCACTATATGCATTTATGGATCAGAGCTTGCTGCTTTATTGTTGAGTTATAAATTTGCGGAATGAGATATCTGCACTATTATTCCTTAATAGAAATATTTATCAAAATAGGAAAAATGGGTCAATTTGCATTATTCAAATATGTTTTAATTGGCTATGCAATTGATGATGATGAAACTCCCAGACTCCTTAGCAAGATATTTAGAAAGAGTTAGTGCATTTTATTTTCTTTATTATTTGACAATTTATTAAAACCCACTGATTATTGTTAGAAAATAAAATTTTCACCTAAATAATCCAATGAATAAAGAATTTCAACTTAAACTGGCAATTTAATAAATATATAACAATTAAGAAGATTTTTACATTAAGTCTAGTATTTAGCGATTATAAAAATAACTTACTAAAATAATTTTTGATTAATTATTCATTGCAAATTGTGAAATCGCCGTTACAATCCTTGAAAGTTATATTTCTTTATGCTTTAAAACTAGAATTTCCATTTTTGTTTTTTTATTTTCGAATAGAGTTCACAAATTTGACTTTCCTAGAATTTTAACTTTTTTTTTCTGGGAGCTTTGAAAACTAATTCTTCAAAAAATTCAGCCCAAGAAAACTCTTTTTCTTCAGCTATTATTTTTCTCAAGATTGCTTATGGCTTGGCATTCTACTGAAGCTAAATTTACTTTTATCTTTGAAAATCCTCCATTTCTAATGCAAAAATGTAATAATTTAAGTTTCTGACTAAATAAATATAAGAAATATAAAAATAGAAAAGTAAAAATTTAGCATGAAATTTGACTATTGCATTAGACTTAATTATAGAATGCCATGAACTCTCTTCTTCAATTAGATTAAGTTATTACTGGCACAAACCCTTATTACTATATCAATATATTTAATTTATTAAGAAACATCTAAAATATAGTTGATCTGAAAATCTAATTTTAATAGAACTTATAAATAGAATAATCCATAAATGCTCACTTAGGAAGGAGCTATTTAAATTTCTTTCTTTCCTCAGATATTTTATATACTTTATATTAAATTAATACTTCACAAAAGATTTAAGATTTTTGACTTAATGCTTCAAATAGTTTAGCCTTACTGCTCACTAAATTCTTAAGCTTTCTGGGATTGAGATCTTTTAGTTAGTTCTGTTGTTCATTTTTTCAAGTAAATTTCGTCTATTTATAAAAATAAATTCAGATGATACCAACTACTAGGGAAGCTGATTTAAATTCTCATCACTTAATTTCAAGCCAAAGCTCTTCCTTGATCTTAAAGATGTCATGAGAGTTCATTTTAAACTGCATAGTCGAAATTTTCGATCCTCAATTCAGTACCAAAACTCCTTATAGAAATCAACTATTTCTTGAGGTAGCTAAAAATACTATTATCTTTATTCAAACTTTGTCACTATTTTGATACCCTGATATTACAATCAGTAATTGAAGTTCTTATTCGACATTTTGGAATTTTTTGTGGTATTTCAATTATGACAGTATATGTATGAAATTGAATATTTATACTTATTGCTATATAGGCGAGATAGTGGTGATTTTTTATTCGCTTTTTATAGTAATTTTATATTGTGCATTCAAATTTTGGGAGTATAGATTGCCTCAAATGATTATTTACTCTGCTAAAGAATTAATTTCATTTCTCTCTTCAGTATCATTTATACCTTCTTTAACGATCCTGCTAATAGTATTCAAGTACTCAGCGTTTAAATACAGTGGTGTTCAGGAATATTACGATGATGACATAAACAAATTTAATCATGGCTTATTGGGATCAATTATTTGTCCAATTCTGATAGTAATGCTAATATTATTAGCTTTCATGAATGAACTTATGACTGTTGATATGAAGCATTCTTCATGCATGAAAAACTTAAAATCTAGGTCTAATTCCGCATGGGACTTGCTATGAATTTCATTTTCTATCATTCAGTGTTTTTTATATGTGTTCATGGATAAAACTGCGGTACTATTTTATTTATCAATAGCGCTAATACTAGGCCTATATGTATTTTGGTGTGGTTTTCGGTATTTACATTATTATAATCCTGTTGAAAATTCTATACAAAATAGCAAAATTGGCTCAATTTGTGCTGTTCTCATAATTTTTCTACTTGGCTATATAATTGATAATGCTGCTACAATGACATTATTAAGCTTCTTTTTACCACCTTTTCTAATTGCTTTTATTACTTATTGAACTCATAAGAAACATTTGAAACTTCCAGGACACAAAAGGAATAGATTAAATCAATTTACATTTGAGCATTCTATGAGACATGTGCTTACAGACAAAAATTGCAAAAATATTGAGGAAATAATATGTGTATTCTCCCATTGTTTTCATAATAGTGACTTTAAAAAAAATTCACTTTTTGTCATATGAGAAACGAACTTTATTTCCCACATTGTTAAAGATGAAAGACTGGCAAGAGTTAGATTGACACAATTTACTAAAACAGGCTTTAGCATAGAAGGGACTATTCAGAAATATAGAATTCTAAAGAAATTTAACGGCATAAAATCCAAGAAGATATTAGAAATTGATTATTTAGAGTATTTAACTGGACTTGATGAATCCAAAAGATACGACGAGGAAATGTGCCATTTATTAATGGATCTATGAGGTGAAATAGCCTGCAAGAGTCCAGAAATAACAAAACTACGAAAATTGACCGAAAGAGTTTCAGATCTTTCCTGCAAAATAAAAGTCCTTTACAGCAATCTTGCAGATAAAAATAAATTTTCTGAGGTTTTAGATTTATATGGTACTCTTTTGACTAATATTTTTGGAGAAAAATATGAAGGAAATTTAATGCTTAAAAGAAAGCGTAATGTCAAAGAATCTATTGGCATGCAAGGGAGCCAAAAAATGCTTGGCACCTACAGTGAAAATCATGGAGTTATGCTTATTTCTCTTGCTCGGGCATCTTTTGGGACGGTCTCTTATATAAACGAAAAAGCTGCTATGATTTTAAAGGTTTCCCAAACTGAAGTAGTGGGTGGAGATCTCACTAATTTTATTCCTTGGCCTTTTAGTGTGAACCACAATGATAAGTTGCTTAAATTTTATAACACCTGTACTGAAACTGTGGTAAATAAGCTTTCCTCTCTATATCTATTAGATCATAACCGCTTTATTATTGAAATATATATTCTGGTAAGAGTTACTGCATTTAATGACCAAGCTTATTTTATGGCTTCCTTTACTCCAATTAACACAACCAGGCAAGCTCTCCTTATATCTGAATCTGGGCGAATTTATGCTCACACTGCTCAATTGTCATCAATAATTTGCTCTGAAAAAATAAATCTCTCAGATACGAATATATCAGATTTGCCTTTTGGGGTCTCAATGAAAACTTTAAAGGCATTTGAGCCCTATATCTTTAATTTGCAGCACAGAGAAGTCGTACTAGTTTATATTACAAAATACCAGAAAGGGGTAATGATGCATATAATCTTATTAATAACAGATCATTATGAAAAGGAAAAATGGAAAAATAGAGAATCTGATGAGCAAATTGAGTACTATACGAAGGTTTCACCAATACGTGAAGTTGCGAGCGGAGTTTATGAAAGAGAAAGCTTTGATAACGACAAAAACACACAATTGGATACCTTGATGCCTCCTAAAACTGAAAAAGCAGTCACTATTAATACTACGATGCTTTCTAGTGAAGGCCCTGAGGATGATGAAGAGGAATCTGATAAAGGACCTTCTCAAGACCCAGCTAGTGTTAGTTCGCAAGCTTCGTCAATAAATCGTAAGTTTTATATAGAAATTGCTTTTAAGCTTGCAGAAGGGACTAGTGCTGCAATAACAAAATTTCAATGGGTTTTGCTGTTTGCCGTATATTTTAATTTAGATTATTGCTATGATTGGGACGAATATTGGGATTTTGATATACATAATCGATGATGTAACTCATGCTGACGCATTAGACACTTTTAATCATCTTGGCCAAATAATGTTCCAAATAGGATCGATAGCTGATCTTGTGAGGTCGATTGATCTAGAACTAAGACAAGGAAAATACAACCTTACAAGAGACTTGGGATATTTAAGTCAAAATATTGCTACTTTATCAGACTTGCAGGGTACCATACTAAACGATAAATCAATGTGAAGCTACTGCAAAAGCTCAGAAATTGTTACTGAAAATAAGATTCCTTTGTGGAGCTTTGATGAAGGCGAGCCCAAGTTGAAGAAGTATAACCTTTATGACTCTGTTTCTTTATTTATCCAATGGGTATATTTTATATAGGAACAAAATTTATTAGAAGATGCTATAAAGGAAAATAATTATTATCATAATAATATTGAGTGGCTTATGATTAACAGCTTAAGCTTTGCGTTTTCATTTATAGAAGATGCTTTAACAGACTTAGTTAGCTGCGAGCAAAGTAGGATAAAGGATACTGGAACTATCATAAATGGCTTATTAATGGTTGGAATTATTATTTTAGCTGTTTGCTTAGGAGTGCTTATATATTTTGTAGTTTCACTAAGGATTGTATATGAAAAATTTTGATGCTTCATAAAAAAATCAGTTGCTATAAACTATGCACACCTTAAGCAAGCTACCTTGGATAGACTCATATCAATCCATGGAGTTGAATTGGAACAGGACAATATCGGCTTTCAAAAACCACTTGATCTTCATAACTTCCATATAAAAACTACTCTTACTTGAAAATTCAGCGCAAGGTTGAGCTTTTTTGGAGTCAGTTCTCTATGCTTTTATTTATTAACAATGTTTTATCTCTACACAGATTGCGAAGAGTACATGTTCTATCGTCCAAAATTGTTGGAAAATATCAATATACAGAGATCATATCTATCAAGAATAGGATTGTATGCAAGGGACATTAATAATGAAATCAATAAAAAACATTACCCTAAATCCTATAGCTTTGCAAATTCCACAAGCGAATTTAATCACTTGGTCTCTGAATATCAATATCAATGCGAGATTCTGCGCTCAAAAGGCATCGCAAACCTACTCTCTAAAGAGTTAAAAACTGCACTTTATGAGTCATTTAATACGCAAGGAGAACTCTTGAAACAGGGAACGTTCACTGCAGCGCATTCAATTATTTTTGATGCTTTTAATATTGGTGGACCTGGAGGAATTCGTTCAGATAAAGAAATTTCTGATTTTGTATCAAATTTTACAATTTTACAGGATGCTTTAGTTGGGATATTTGATATGGCTGATACAAGCTCTAAAGATGTAATTTCTTCACAGTTAAACTTGATTACTTACACAACTGTCCTATTTTCTGCAGGTCTTGCCTTTCTATTTTTATTTTATTATTTGCCATTTATAAAGGCTCAAACCAAATTTTTGAAAAAGACCAGAATTTTACCAAAAATGATTTCAGTTCAAGCGAGCGATAAAAAGAGTGAAGCCATTTCTTATCAAACAAATGCGATTAGTGTTGGGATATAAACTAGAGTAGTTGTGAGGCAAAAAAATCCAAGGTCACTTCCCTCCTTTATTGTAAAAGTGATTGCAAACTGAGTTAGGCATTATTTTTAGTGAAAAAACACGGCATATCGTTATTTACAGATTTTTGAACTTTACCACCTAAGTGTGGAATTTTTCCGTGTGTCAAAAGAGGATTCCACATGTGAAATCAAAAGGGTTTCACATGTGTAATCCTCTTTTCACACACGGAAAAAATTCCACACTTAGGTGGTAAAGTTCAAAAATCTGCAAATAACGATAATATATTTTTACCTCACTCGAAAGTAACCATAATATTTTATTATAATACCAGAATTACAAATATAAATTAATATTTATATAATTAATTACTTGCATTAATTTTCTCAATTCAACATAAGAATTAAAAGGTAATGAGAAATTATCTACTAGCCTGCTAAGATTTAAGAATGTGCTTTTTTATAAATATGTTATTAAGAATTACTTCAAAAATATATAATTAGTTTATACAATGATTTTTCATCCTATTCTTTTATGCTATTTGCATAATAAAATTGTAATGTTTTTAAATTTTCAAATAATCCTTTGGTTTTTGAAGCCTATATAAAAATAGCTCATTTATTGGAATTTCACAGCATTTAGCTTAAGATTGTAATTATGCATTTATAGACTTGGAAATCTCCAAAAGAATCTTCAATTTGGAGCAAGTTCAATTCAATTTTTTTTCGAGTTAGATGCGCTCTTAAGCTATAGTAACTAAGCGATTGAATTAAGTATCATAGCTAAAAAATTTATGTTTTAATTTCTAAAAAATTTAATTTTCTAATTTGGTTATAGAAAAATGTAAATTTATAATCAATTAAATAAAGAGAAAATATAATGTATTTTGGATAAAAATGTGTTCTTGGAAGCTGCATATAATATTAAGAATTTTGACTATGTAATTTTTTTGAATTGCTCTGTCAAGCATTTTTGTTAGTAAATTCTGTCTATGTATAAAAAATAATTTTTGATGAATAGAAACGTCAAAGAGAGTGATCTAAACTCCCATCATCTGATTTCAAGCAAAACCAACTCTAGTAGTCTCAAAATTTCATGGCAATTCTTCTTGAACTGTATGATAGAAATATTTGAGACTCAATACAGCACAAGAGCTCCTTACAGAAATCAATTATTTATTGAAGTTGCTAAAAACATGATAATGCTTATTCAAATCCTATCATTATTTTGGTACCCAAGTATATCTGTCAGTAACTGAAGCTCCTATTCGACATTTTGGAATTTTTTGTGGTACTTTAATTATGACAGTTTATGTATGGAATTAAACATTTTCTCTTATTGCTGTATAAGTGAAGCGTTTGCGCTTTGCTATTCAATTTTTATGATAGTATTATATTGCATACTGAAGCTCTCTAGGCATAATTTACCCAAAATATTTCTTTTCTTAGCTAAAGAATTGATATCATTTTTATCCTCAATATCCTTTATTCCTATTTTAACTACTCTACTAGTGATTTTTAAATACTCGGCATTTGAATACACAGAAGTTCAAGAATATTATGAACATGATGTAAATAAATTGAATTATGGCTTATTCGGATCAATTTTTTGCCCTATCCTTATTGGTTTCCTTTTTATGTCGGCGTTTATAAATGAGCTTGTTCGAGCAGATATAAAGCATTCCTCATTTGGGAAAAACTTAATAGCAAGGTCTGATTCAACATGGGATTTGCTATGAATAACTTTTTGTGCTGTTCAATGCTTTTTATTTGTGTTTATGGATAAATCTGCAGTGCTATTTTATTTAACAGTACTGCTAATACTAGGGTTATATATATTATGTTGCGGTTTTCGCTATTTACATTATTACAGTCCTGTGGAAAGTTCCATACAGAACAGCAAGATAGGCTCAATCTGTACAGTTCTTATAATTTTTATACTTGGATATACAATCGATAATGCTGCTACAATGACATTATTAAGCATCTTTCTAATGCCCTTGGTAACAGTTTTTATCACATATTGGACCCATAAGAAAAACTTAAAACTTCAAAACTATAAAAAGAACTCGTTAAATCAATTTTCCTTTGAGCATTCTATGAGACATTTTCTAATAAATAAAAGCTGCCAAAACATTGAGGGAATTATTCGACTATTTTCAAACTGTTTTCATCATGATAAATTTAAAAATACCTCTCTCTTTGTCATATGAGAGGTAAATTTTATTCAATATATTGCTAAAGACGAAAGGCTAGCTAGAGTAAGGCTTGTCAAAATTAATAGAGCAGAATTTAGCATTGAAGGGACCCTTCAAAAGTATAGAATTTTAAAGAAATTAAATAGCATAAAATCAAAAAAACTGGCAGAAGTTGATTATTTGGAGTATTTAACTGGGATTGATGAAGCGAAAAGATGTGACGAAGAAATTTGTCAAACTCTATTGGATTTATGAACTGAAATCGTATGTAAAGCCCCAGAAATAATAAAGCTCAGAAATCTGACTGAAAGAGTTGCTGATCTTTCTAGTAAAGTCAAAGAACTATACAGCAGTCTTGCAGATAAAAACAAATTTTCAGAAGTTTTTGAATTATATGGCTTTTTCTTAATAAATATTCTTGGGGAATCTCAAGAAGGAAATTTAATACTAAAAAGGAAGCATAGCTTTAAAGAATTTAGCTCACTCCCTTCCCTTTAAATATAATAAAAAAATTTTATATATAAAAAATCATCATAATTTATATGTAAAAAGTATTGATATAAGTTAAATGTTTCTTCTTAACTAAAATTAAAGATTTGGTTATATCTTGCTTTTGTTTAAAGAAAAGAGTATAAAGGACATCTTATTTAAATAAATTTATTATCCTTAATTGTTGAAATTTTTTTAAAAAAAAATTTTTTTTTTTTTGATAAAATAATATTTTTTCTTTAAATAATATTGATATAAAATTCAATGCGAATTCTTTACAAAAATTCAAAATTTACTTATTACTTGCTTTATGTTAAATAATAGAGTATAAATAACATCATATTTAAACAAAATTAACACTTTGATCGATAAATTTTCTAAAATTCATTTTTTAAATTTTTTTATCAATAAAAAATTATAATTTTTGTGTGAATAGTTTTGATACTATTAATTATGGTGTATTAACTAATAATGAAAATTTAGTTATATCTTGCTTGTTTTAAAGGATAGAGAGAGTAAATAGCATTTTATTAAACAAATTTATTAATCTGATTCGATAACTTTTTAGAATTTTTTTTTTTTAAATTTTTTATTTAATTTGTTTTTAAAAAAAATTTTATATTGATATTTTTTTTAAAAAAATTTTCTTTACCCCTCTTTAAATTGGAACAAAATTTTTTGTACCATTTAAAGGGGGGGAGGCAGCAACAGGAAGCCATAAAACGCTTGGAACTTATAGTGAAACTCAAGGCGTTATGCTAATCTCTACAGCTTCCGACTCATTTGGAGCTATTTCATATATTAATGAAAAGGCTGCAATGATTTTGAAAGTTTCTCAACTCGAAGTGGCAGGTGCTGATTTCAATATGTTTGTTCCTAGACCTTTTAATATTAACCATAACCAAAAACTGAAGCGATTTTACGAGAACTGCACGGAAACTGTGGTAAATAAGCTGTCTTCATTATATTTATTAGACCATGAAGGATTTATTATAGAGAGCTACATACTAGTAAGACTCACAGCATTTAATAACAAAGCTTATTTTATGGTCTCTTTTTCTCCTGTTAGCACCTCGAGGCAAGCCATTCTTATATCACAAGATGGACTGATTTATGCTCACTCTATGCAATTGCCATCTTTACTGGGAATGGACAAACTGGATTTGTCAGATATGTATATTTCAGAGCTGCCAATGGGAGTTTTTATGCAGAATTTAATTCCTTTTGAGCCATATGTCGTCAAATTATATCGTAAAGAAGTTATAGTCGTTTATATCACCAAAAATCAGAGGGGGGTAATAATTCATATAATTTTAGTGATAATTGATCAATATGAAAAGGAAAAATGAAAAAATAGACAATCAGATGAGCAAATTGAGTATTACACAAAGGTTTCACCAATACTTGAAGTTGCTAGTGGTGTTTATGAAAGAGAAAGCTTTGAAAATGATAAAAATATGAACATTGACTCTCTAATGCCTTCAATCGCTGAAAAAACAGTCTTATTACCCCTGGGAGTGAAAATATTTTGCTCGATAATATGGATTATTTTTTTTTAATATTTTTTAGAATAATGCATTTTCGAAAGTAAAAGTAAATTAAATTTATAAAATTTAAAATTCAATAGAAATGGTCGAGATTTTATAATGATTATTACTTAATATCAAAACATTTTATATTAAAAAGTAATTTTAAAAATTTTTTTTTTTCTATCTTGAGGGATTAATTTCGAAGGAAAGGAGTTAATAAATACTACTCATGGTGCAACCAGCGAAAATCGTGAAGATGATGACATTGAAAGAACGCCAATTCTCGATAATAGTACTTCACAAGCCTCCTCAATAGACAGTAAGTGTTATATAGAAATTGCATTTAAGTATGTAGGAGAGACTAGCGTTGCTATTGTCAAATTTCAATGGGTTCTGCTCTTAGCTGTATTTTTTATGCAGATTATTTCAATGATTGGGACAAATATGGGGATTTTAATATACATCATAGATAATGTCACTCACACAAACTCTTTGGAAACCTTTAACCATCTAGGCCAAATAATGTTCCAAATTGGGTCAGTCGCTGACCTTGTGAGGTCAATTGATCTTGAGCTCACTGAAGGTAAATACAACCTCACTAGAGACTTAGGGTATTTAAGCCAAGGAATTGACACTTTAATTAGTTTGCAAGGCACTATTCTAAATGATAAATCAACGTGAAGCTATTGCAAAAGCTCAGAAATTGTGACTGAAAAAATGATCCCTTTGTGGGAAATTAATGATTGAGATGTTAAGCTAGAAAAATATAACCTTTATGATACTGTTACACTTTTTATTCAACGGGTATTCTTTACATAGGAGCAAGATTTATTAAAAGATGCTACAAAGAAAAATAATTTGTATGAAGACAATATAAAATGACTTATGATTAATAGTCTGAGTTTTGCGTTTTCCTCTATAGAAGACGCTTTGTCAGATTTGGTCCTCTGTGAGCATAATAGAATTTCAGATACTGGAAGTATTATAAATGGTCTTTTGATGCTTGGGGTGATAATTTTAGCTATTTGTTTAGGAGTGCTTGTATATTTTATAGTTTCGCTTACCCCTCCCTCCGTGAGCAAAAAATCTAGCTAGTATTTTTGCTGATGAATTTGGATAAGATTCATGCCATGAATATTTTAAAAACGACCACTCCTATTAAATTTGTCTAGTGATCGAACTCGATGACTTGAATTTTTAAAAATTTTCCATTAAATTGCATGCAAAATTATGATTTTTGGTTCTTTTTTTGAAAGTTTGTTGAATATTTATTGCAAGTCCTTCTGTAGCTGAATTCTTTAAATTCCTTTTAAGGCAGTTGCTAACGCCTACCGAGACTAACTAGCTTGCATTTTAAGCATAAATTTTACAAAGCAAGTTATTTTTGTTTTCCAATTTTTGCAAATTGGGATTTTTTCTAATTTTGAAAAAAAAAGATGTATTATATAATTTATATATAGCTTATATCCCTTTATAGATTTCTTTATCGAGCAAAATGTATTGGACTATTGAACGACCAAGAAAGACTTTATTAAAGGAATGGGCTGGATATCTATATCAGGAAGTGCTAAAAAGTGACATGTCAAAAAATGGTGACAAGTGTGAAAAAGTTGACAAGTAAACGCGCCAATTTTTAAAACGGATTTATTATTAAAAAATTTAAAACTTAAGATGCTCAATTAGACTGAAGATAATAATTGCACATTATATATTGGTCCTAAATATTTTGATTTATATGTATATTCAAAATTAATAGTGGCTGTAAAAATCAAAAACTTGCCACTCGATGTGTATTTTTCCGGAACGTTAGAATTCCCTTTTTTTTAATGCTATAATTTGCAAAGTCGTGCTTTGCGAATATCAATAACTAATGAGTTCTTATCGACTAATATGTACGGTGTTTAGCAAAAGTTAAATATGGCTTATAAGTGAAATCAAAAACTTGCCAATTGATGTGCATTTTTCCGGAAGGATATTCATCTCTTATTTTAATGCTAATTTATTTATGAAGACAAGAGCTATAATTTGCAAAGTGCGTGACTTGTGAATTCAATTAACTTCGGAGTTCTTATCGACTCATATGACAAGTGTTTAGCAAAAGTTAAATATGCATATAAGTGATAATCAAAAACTTGCAACTCGATGTGATTTTTCCGGAACGATAGAATTCCTTAATTATAATACTAATTTATTAATGAAGACTAGAGCTATAATTTGCAAAGTGCGTGACTTGTGAATTCAATTAACTTCGGAGTTCTTATCGACTCATATGGCGAGTGTCTAGCAAATAATCAAGATGGATTATAAGTGAAAATCAAAAACTTGCAACTCGATGTGTATTTTCCGGAACAATAGAAATCTCTTATTTTAATGCTAGTTTATTAATGAAGACTAGAGCGATAATTTGCAAAGAGCATGCTTTGTGAATTCCATTAACTATGAAGTTCTTATCGACTCACATGACTAGTGTTTAGCAAAACTTCAATATATTGAGAATCACAAGTCATGCACTTTAATATGAAATTTAAAAAATTCTATCGTTCCGGAAAAATGGACATCGAGTTGCAAGTTTTTGATTTTCACTTATAAGCCATATTGAATTTTGCTAAACACCGTACATATGAGTCGATAAAACTTTGTATATATTGAGATTCGCAATGCACGCACTTTGCAAATTAAAGCTCTAGTCTTCATTATTTATAAATATAATTAATTTATAAGACCTATAAAATAAGATTTTAAGTTATTAATCAATCTTTGACATGTCACTTTTTAGCACTTCCTGATATAGATATACCTGTTTGGCAAGAATAGCCCACTAAGGAGTATTTTTAGTTCGCCATTCTTAAATTTGGTTAGCCAGAAAATATGGCATGCCAACGAATTTGGCAAGACAGCTATTTTTCGGCCAACCAAAAAATACTTCTTAGTGGGCTATTCTTGGTAAATAAGTATATCCAGCCCGTTCCTTTAATAGAGTCTTTCTTGGTCGTTCAATAGTCCAGTACATTTTGCTCGATAAAAGGGGTATGAGCTATATATTATTTTTTAAAAAAAAATTAACCCCCTTCATAAGGAATTATTTTTGTTCGCCCACGGATGGAGGAAGGTCAGAGTTGTGTATGAAAAATTCTGGAGCTTTATTAAGAAATCAGTAGCGATTAATTATGTATATCTTAAACAAGCTGCCTGGGATAGACTGATATCAATTCACGGCATCGAATTGAATCAAGATAACAATGGCTTACAAAAACCTGTTGATCTGCACAATTTTCATATAAAAACTACATTAACGTGGAAATTCAGTGCAAGATTAATATTTTTTGGCGCAATCTCCTTAACTTTTTATTTTTTGGTTATGTTTTACTTATATAAAAATTGTGAAGATTATATGAAAAGCCGTCCTAAGCTATTAGAAACTATCAATCTGCAAAGATCTTTGCTTTCAAGAATAGGTTTATATGCAAGAGATATCAATAATGAACTTAATAAAAAATATTATCCGAAGTCCTATAGTTTTGCAAACTCAACAAGAGAGTTTAGTTATTTGGTTTCTCTTTATGATACTCAATGTGAATTAATGCGCTCAAGTGATATCACAAACCTACTTTCTAATGAACTTAAAGCTGCTCTTTATGAGTCATTTATTTCTTCATATGATCTTCTGAAGCATGGGGCATTTGCTGCTGCCAATTCCATTATTTTTGATGCTTACAATATAGGAGGTCCTGGAGGGATCCGGTCAGATAAAGAAATTTCTGATTTTGTATCAAATTTTACGATTTTTCAAGATGCTATAGCTGAAATATTTGATATGGCTGATGCAAGCTCCAAAGATGTAATTTCTTTACAGCTGACTTTAATTACCTACACTACTGTTCTTTTTTCAGTTGGTCTAACCTTGCTATATTTATTTTATTATTTGCCATTTATAAAGACACAAACGAATTTTTTAAGAAAAACAAAAATTTTACCAAAAATGATTCCAGTTTCAGCTGCTGAGAAAAAAAGAGAATCATTTTCTTCTCAAACAAATGCGTTTAGTGTTGGTGATATAAAATAAAGCCATAATAATTTGTTTTGAAATGCTTTTTGAAAGAGGAAAAGTAACTAATTTCATTAAAATTAAGATCGATCATGTTTAATTTTTGAGAGCTAATAAAAATTGCTGTTAGCATAAGTGCTGCAAATATAGAAATTGCATTTAAATTGATTCAATTATCAGAAATACCAATAAAACGGTTTTATTAATACTAATTTTTGCTGTATTTTTTATATAGATTTTAGCAATAGTTGGGACAAATATTGGGATTTTAGTTTATATTGTGAGAGATGCTTACTTATAAAAATTCATTAGACACTTTTAATCATTTAGGATAAATAATGCATATGCAGCAGATTTAGTAAGATCTACAAATTCATTAGACACTTTTAATCATTAGGATAAATGCTTTCAATTGGATATGCAGCAGATTTAGTAAGATCTATTGATGTGAAAATAGAGAAACGGTTAGATTTCCTTTCAAGAGACTTGAATTACTTGAATGACTCGATATATCGTATAATTGAATTTCGGACAAGTTGCTAGGATAGTAAAATGCAGAGCTAACAGTTGAATTATTTTGCATGGCCACAGAGATCTTTCAAATAATTCGTTCATTGCTTTCTATATCAGTAAATAGCAAGTACAATTGATGAGTTAGTTTGGCAATTTTTACCAAACATATTCTCCAAATTATTAGATTTTGCATGTCGACTATATTAATAGTTTTTAATCAGAAATAAATCCTTTATATATAAATGTTGTTAAAAATTTGAAATGGTTGATGAAATAAATTTTTTTAGATCAGAAATTATATCGTTTAATCTTTTGTCTGAATGATATTAAAAACTTTTAAAAAAGCAAATATTTTTAGATTCAGCATTAAATATTAAATTTCTTTTAATTATATATATACCTCAGTTTTCAACTAAATTATAGAGTTAAGATAAGAAATTTATTTCTAAAATTAGAGTAATCATAAAATGGTACCATCTATAATTTCGCTTAATTAACTTCCTCCTTTGGCAGCTTTTTTAATTATATGGTTTAATTAGTGAACTTCTATTGAAACAACTGGCGGAGATTTCATAATAACTGTGACTAATTTTTGAAATTTAGAAGGCATCCTTAAATTCCCACACAAAAATCATTAATTAGAGCACACTTTGTACAACTGATAGGAATCTGATGAAATCTTAGTAGGTAAAATGATTGCAAATTCTTGAATTGGCTTTTTAGCATATAAAATGGCCTTTTCTTATTTGTTGGAAATTTATATATAATTTAATTATGGTAAATGTTTTAAGGAATTTATTTTTATTCTTATTAATAAGCAGATATATGGATTGCCTAAATAATTATGTTATAATTTCACATTAGATGAACTCTTAAATATATGTATATATAAAGAAACTCCACCATATATAGGCCCGTCCTTAGTAAATATGAAATTCTTATCAAAAAATGAGGCTGAGAACTTCAGCCAGCGCATTTTCAGCCAAAAAAGTGGTAATTGGTATCAAATAGCCTGAAATTCATTAGTGAATTACTTAGTTCAGGGTTTTAAACCTCAGTATAGCTACAAAATACCATATAAAATCCAACTTTTAATCGAGCTAATCAGCAATAGCACAGTCGTTTTCCAAATAATATCTCTTTTCTGATATCCAGTGAAAACACCCCAAAATTGAAAAGCTCATTCATCACTGTGAAATGATTTAAGTGTATTCAACTATGATTATATATGCAAAGTAAACGACCTTTACAAGTTTTGCTACTACGGACAAATTTTTGTTATTTTTAGTTCAGTTTTTGCCATAATAATCGCATGAGTGATTAAAAGTATACTAAAAAAGGTTTCGAAAATTTTTATTCGCTATTCAAAAGCAATTATAAGTGTTTCTACAAGAGTTTCATTGATCCCTAGCTTAAAAATTCTGCTTGTAATTTTTAAATACTCTGCATTTGATTTTTCAGAAGTTCAAGAATATAAAGACACCAGCCCTGATTATTACAATTATGGATTAATAGGTTTAGTATTATCTTTTATAGGGTTCATATTGCTGCTTATAATAAATTTTGCATATGAATTACTTACTGCTGATTTAAGACACTTTAATGCAAAAAGAAATATAAGTGCAAGATCTCACTCTTCCATGAATTTATGATGAATTGTTTTTTGTGCAATTGAAGTAACGCTTTACTTATCTTTTGATTATGAGGAAGTAATTGGCTTTATGATTTTTACATTGATTACGTCAGCTATTTTATTATTAAAATTTTTATATTTTTTGCCATATTATAATTCAATAGAAAATTCAATTTACGCTAGTAAAATAACTTCAGTAGCGACAGGCTCACTCTCATTTCTACTTGGTTATTTATATGATGATGCTTATCCTATTATTTTTATTTTTGTTTTTTTTACTCCATTTGCTATTATTTTACTTATTATTTATATTATCAAAAGGCACTCAAAGCTTCAGTTTACAAAAAATCCTTACTCAAGCCAATATAATTATGAGAAATCTATAAGGCATTTATTGTCTGACAAGCATTGCAAAAATATAGAAGAAGTTATTGAGATGCTTTCACAATTTTCAAACAGCCAGACTTGCACAGTTGACGGACTTTTTGTTGTATGGAAAGCTAATTTTTATATTGATATTGCTAACTCTCCCTCTCCGCAAGAGTACAAAAAATTTTGTTTGCTCACGCAGGGTTATTTTCTAAAAAAAAACACTATAGATAAATTTTATAATAATTTCATTTTTTCATAATTTAAAAAAAATCGAATTTGTATTGAGAAGTAAAGATTAAATTAATTTGTAAAATTTATGTTTTAAAATGCAAGCTGTTTAAAATTAAATAGAATTACTAGAGGTTTAATTATCACTTATATATAATTTTTTTCATGAAAAATTTTTGTTCGTTTAGAGAGGGTGGTTTTTGGGCAAAAAAAGGAATTTTTCTAATAGTTTTGTTTGCTCACGGAGGGGGGAGTAAGGATGAAAGATTAGCAATGGTAAAACTTGCTCAAATTAATAATTTCCAATCTAATCTTGAAGGATGAATTCAAAAATATAGAATTTCCAATAAATTTCATCAGAGAGGATTTACAATTTTAAAGGAAATTGAGTACTTGCAATATTTAAAAAAGCTTCATTCTGCTAAAAATAAAGACAAAGAGCTTTGCTATATTCTGTTAGATATTTACATCGAAATTTTAAACAAAAATACTCGTATTATCAAGCTTCGATATTTAATCAAAAAGTTATATTGTCTTACTAAAGAAATAAAAGAATTGTATAAATTTCTTGTAGAAAATTATAAATATCCAGATTCTTTTGAATTTTATGCATATTTTTTAATAAAATTCTTAGGACAAGCAAATGAAGGAAACATTTTACTAAAAAGAAAGCAAAGCATAAAAGAAGATCCAATTATTGATCAAGGGCTTGAGGAATATGGAGAAAATATTGGAGTTATATTTTTATCAACAGAAAGTGATTTATTTGGAACAATTGCTTTTATAAACGCAAGGGCTTTATCATTGCTAAAAGTATCATCATTAGATGCTATAGGTAAAAATTTTGATGATTTTATTCCAGCACCTTACTCTCTAAATCATATTGAAAAAATGAAAACTTTTTTGAAATCTGCAACTAAGACAATAATCGAAAAACCTTTCTCTTTATTTTTACAGGATAACTTTGGATATATTTTTGAGTGCAATATTTCTGTTAAGTTGACAGCTTTTAAAGACAAAGCTTATTTTTTAATATCTTTTTCTCCCATTTCTTCTAATAGGCAAGTTATTTTAATATCAGAAGAAGGGGAAATCTGCAATCATTCAAGTCAACTCTCAGCTTTATTAGGATACCCAAAAGAAAGCATGAAAAATATGCATTTTCACAGTCTCATAAATGAACTTGAGCTGTCAGATATGGAGCTATATAATCCAACTTTAATTCAGTGCAACAATCATGACTTACTCCCCCTTCTGTGAGTGAACAAAACCATTAGAAAAATCCCTATTTTTTTGCCTAAAACCCACCCTCCCTCCGTGGGTGAACAAAAATCTTTTTAATAGAAAAAAATTTTATGAAAAAATTGTGATATATAAGTGGTAATTAGTATAAGATTTCTTTATTCGCTCACAGAGGGGAGTTAGTATTTATTCACATTACTGAAAAGGTAAAATCAATTGATATTCACTTAATTTTAGTCATTTCAGATAACAATGAGCAAGAATTGTGAAAAAACAAAAAATCAGAAGAGCAGTTAAGATTTAATGCAAAACAACTATCAAATTGCCCTATTTCTCCGAAAATTAACAGCAAAAGTTTACTTAAAAAAGAAAATGAAACTTTTAGTGAAATTAGTGAATCACATAAAGTATATTCGAAAATCAAAAATGTTTATAAATCATTAGAAGAAAATTTTGAAGTTCCGAAATCTTTTAGCCAAGTAAACAAAAATATCTCCCCTGAACGTAATTTTTATATAGAAATTGCATATAAAAACAATAAAAGGACAGCGTTTTTGCTTCAAAAATTTCAATGAATTTTGTTTTTAACTGTATTTTATATATAGGTGTTCTTTCTGGTTGCTATAAATATAGCCCGAGTCTCCGTTTAGCTCGGGCTATTCTGATATCTCCCGATATCGAATAGGAGCTGCTAATAAAATCTTATTCCCAGATGGTAATCCACAACATATTGGAGATTTATCATTGGAGAGTCAATAAAATCAACTCCCCAGGTATCGGTATAATATAGTAAAAAGGAGGCTTAGGCTATATTGGAATTTTAGTCTATATTGTTGATAATGTAAGCAACTCGGATTTATCAGCAGTTTTTTCTACTCTAGGCATTAATATTAATTATAGATTAGGGGTTGAGATAGTTCTCCTCGGTTTTCAGCTTGGTTCTTAATGCTGTCTCGGAACCTTGGATTATGGAGGTTTTGGATTTGACGGCTGTCTCCTGAGGACGAGAATTCTAGCTAGGGATAAATTCCCTTGCTACTACCAACAATGCCTTCTTCGTCAGCACTAGTATTCTCTAGGATGTCCATCTGGAAGACACAGAGTCTTCATTGCCAGACCAGACTAAACACAGCTGTTTGTAATGTAAATACCCAGTACCATAGACTCCATTTCCTGCTCGGTTTGGCTTCAGCGCGCGCAGCAAGGTCACCAACTTGAAACAGGTCATAAAGAGGAGCCGGTGAGTTCGCCATTTTATGTGCGTGTTTTCAATTTTAGGCAATATTGAATTAAGTATCGGTCTAGTTGCTATCTTAGGAGAAACGATTAATGATGAAGTTTCTCTAGGAAAATTCAATCTTACTCGCGATTTAGGATTATTATATTGAACGTATAATCATCTGAATTTAGTTAAAACCGAATTAATGGATGATTTTCCAAAATGAAGTAATTGCCCTTGCTCTGATATTGTGACTGAAAATATTGTGCCAATATGGGAATTCAATTCAGGAGAAATGCTAAGAAAATACAATCTATATGATGCTTTGTCAATGTTTATTGATTATGTATTTTATATTTAGACTCAAAAATTAATGAGCGATGCCAAAAGCCGAAAAGGATATGAAGACGATATTAAATGACTCATGATAAATGGAGTTACTTATTCCCTAAAATATGTTCACAAAGTATCAAAAGATTTATTAGAATGTGAAAAAAATACCAAAAGTGATAAAAGTATGGTTATTAATGTTTTATTTATTATTGGAATTTTAATTTGCGCAATTTTTATAGCATTGCTGATGGCTTTTGGCTATTTTTTAAAAACTGTTTATGATAAGTTTTGATCAAATTTAAAAAAATCAGTTACTTTGAGTTCTGATTTTTTGAAAAGCACTATTTTCGAAAGGCTTTTGTCAGTTCATAGCCAAGAATCTTACTTACCCCCCCCCCGTGAGTGAACAAAAAAATTTTGTTCACTCACGGAGGGGGTTAATTTTTTTTTTTTAAAAAAGTTTATATATAAATTTTATAGAAAATTCTTTTTAGAAATTTTAAAAAAATCCTAATTTGCAAAAATTGGGAAGCAAATATTAATTTAATTTATAAAATTTTATGTTTTAAAACGCAATTTGTTTAAAATTAAACAGAATTAGCTAGATTTCATTATACTAGTTATCACTTATATATTAATTTTTTTCATAAAAAATTTTTTCTATTAAAAACGTTTTTGTTCACTCACGGAGGGTGTTTTTTTGGGGCAAAAAATGGCGATTTTTCTATTTGTTTTGTTCACTCACGGAGGGGGGAGTTAAATTAATATCGAGTTTAACGTCCCCTACGTGGTAGGCTATTCCGAGGTCCACCGTATCCTCTTCCGCACACCGGGCCCACAGACTGCTCTGGCCAATCTGCTTTGATCACCAGAGGGCGCACTTCCAAGTCACGTCACCGACTTCTACAGCTCATGAGTGATCGACTTCTCTTGATACGTAAGTTGCCTGCTCAGAAAACCCAAAAAATGAATTTTCTGGCCGATTCTAGGCAAAAAAGGGAGAACACGTGGCCTGGGACGTAATGCCCAGTTTTCACGCTAGGGAGTTGCCCGAATGGTCCATTGGACTATGCTGGGCTTCTCCTTTCCAACCGCTGTGCCTTCTCTCCCCCACGAGGTAAAATCCATCCCAGTGGTTAAGCATGGATAAGGCTCTGCCCTGCAGAATTGCTTACCTCACATTGTTGCTCATTTCCAGAATGGCAAAACCTTGCCGGATATAATTAAAATATATGCTCGGAAGCTGCGTGGCCAGAGGCCATGCTAAGTGGAGACGCCTTATTTTAATTATCATAGCCAAGATTCAATTTATTATGATACCTATTACAATAATTCCAAAAAATTATCAAGCTATCATATAAAAACAACCCTTGCTAAAAGATTATTTTATAGATTAAGCTTGATTATTATCATTTCTCTTTGCTTTTATTTAGTCATGATATTCTTTTTATACAAACAATGCCAAGAATCAATGATAGATCGATCGAGGCTATTGCAAAATTTTAAGTTCAGAAGCATTTTAATATCAAGATTGGCCTTGTATATTAAAGAAATAAATGATAATTTATTCTTAAAATATTATCCAGAATCTTATGCTTTCACGGATCCTTATACAGAATTTTATAAAACTATTGATGAGTATGACTTTGAATATAAAAAATTGCTATCAAGTAAATGAGATTATTTATTATCAAAAGATATCAAAGAAAGTCTTTTTGAATCGACAAATTATCCTTTGGCTTATATGAAATTCGGGCTTATTTCTGCCTCAGAGTTGGTTATAAGTGATTCATTATTTCTAAGCCGAGTTTACTCAGATAGTCTATATTCGAAATATTATATAAGCACTATTACATTGCAAAGCGGTTTATCCAGCAGCTTTACGCTAGCTGATGCAAGCTCAAAAGATTATATTGATAGTCAGCTAAATTCGATGGTATCCCTTACAATTCTATTTTCAGCTATTCTCGGAACTTTAAGTTTGTTTTACTATTTACCGTATTTAAGACAAGAAAAGAAATTTCTTGACAAAGCTTGCTTTTTGCTGGAAATCATTATGAATTCTAAAGAAAATCAAGCAAAACTTACCTTAAAATAAAATATTAATTTATAGTTTAAGGAAAATTAATAATTAAATAAAGATTAAATTACTAAATGAAGCATCATAAAATAGTAAATAAAGCAAATCATAATTGACTGCTTGATTCAGATATTTAAGCCTTACTTTACTCATAGAAACAATATCAATATTCAAGTAATTATTGAAATTATTACTAATTTTACAATGTTTCTGCAGGCTGCATCCAATTTTTAATTATGACTGCATATGTGCAAATTAAAATATATATATATATATATATTTATTGCTTCGCTGGGAAATCTTGGCAGCAGTTGTCAAAATAGAGAAGAAGTCCTAGCTATAATTTTTTATTACTCATGTAATAAATTTTTCGCAAAGAGTCATCTCTTTATCATATGAGAAGTTAAATTTTTAATGCGCGATGTTAAAGATGAGAGGGTTGAAAGGGTAAAATTTAAAAAAAATTCCATTTATACAGGCCAAGCTGGAAGGGAATATGCAAAAACGCCGAATTTTGGAGAAATTTTATGAAAAAGAGTTTAGAGATTTGAATAAAATAGAATATTTGCACTTCTTAACAGATCTTCGTAAAGCTGAAAAAGAAAAGATAGGAAAATTTGTTATGCTATATTAAATCATTGGGCTGAAATAGCGCAAAAAGCCAATTTTCAAATATTTAGATTTTTAACAGAATATCTTAAGATTTTTCAATACAAATGAAGCTATTTTATGTTATTAAGCTTCTATGATTGCATTATCTATTAACCTTAATAAAAGATCTAATAATGATAACCAAACCTTGTTTTAACTAACTATATTTGAAAATTCAATGCCTAGTAAATATAAGACACAAAATTAGCAATTAAAAACTAAACAATCATATGCAATTTGATTTATTAGAATAATTAATTTAATGATCAAAACTTAATTTTAGAATTCCGACGAAGCTCTTTTTATAAGATTACCTAAAAAGCGTTTCAGCCAAGATTTTTATAATTATAAATTAATTATTTATATGATAAGCCATAGCATTTTTATTTTATAATTTATTATTTATGTTTCGGTTCTCATCTTTACCAATTAAAGTTCAATATTTATGAGGTAAATGTCGCTTATTAAGTAAAATTTTTGCTATTTATGCAGACATAATAATTCGAATAATTATTAAAATTTAATAATGATTGATAATTTGGTGGAAGATCTTGAGAACATAAGCTATCCATTTGCAAGAAAAGAAACGCTAAAAGACTGAGAAAAATTAAAAGTATATTTTTATGATTTTTTGACCTGTTTCTTTCAACCTCAATTCAACAAAAAAATTCAATATAAAAACCAATTGCTTATAGAAACAATCAAACATGTCATATTATGCACACAAGTAATATCAATTCTCTGATACCCGAGTATGAAAATTAAAGGCTGAAGTTCATGCTCAATTATATGGAAATTTATCTGATTTGTTAATTATGACAGCTTACTTACACATTTAAGAATTTATCGTCTTGGCTTCATAATACAAGTTTCAATTATGGGCTATTTATTCATAATTTGATTGCTATTCTTTATACTGAATTTTTTCAATCGTAGAATTTCACAGGGGTTTATCTATGTGTCACAAATTATTACGAGCTTTTTAGCTACAATATCTTTTATTCCTTCATTGACGATTTTATTGGTAACTTTTAAATACTCAACATTTGATTTTAGTGAAGTTCAGGAATATTATGAAAACGATAAATCAAGCTTTGATTGCAGTATTTATGGAGCTATATTGTCTCCTATCTTTTTAGTATTCTTAATTTTAGTAGCATTTTTGAATGAATTTTTTACAGCTGATCTTAAGCATTCAAATTCAACAAAAAATATTAGAGCAAGATCGCATTCTACACTAGATTTAATATGGCTTGCATTTTGTATAATTCAGGTAAATATATTTATTTTTGTGGATCAAAAACTGATGGCTTGATATTGAACTGCTTTATTGATCATGTCAATATATCTTCTTATACAGTTTTGAATAGACTTGCCATATTACAGCTCTATGTTGAACTCAATACACACAAGCAAATTTGGCATAATATCTGTATGTTCAATAGCATTTCTATGTGGATATTGAAATGATGATGCAAGAACCTTGACTGTCTTATGCATTTTTTTCCCTCCATTAGTTATATTTCTTTCATTTGCTTTGACATTCAAAAGATATTCGAGATTGAAAACTCATACAAATTCTCCAAGACATCAATTTCATTTTGAAAGATGCCTTCGGCATTCTCTAGTAGATCAATATTGTGATAATATAGAAGAAATAATAAAAATATTTTCAGAATGCTTTAATAAGAAAAAGATAGACATGGATGGACTATTTGTTATATGAGAAGCAAATTTCTGCATTAGTATTGCTAAAAATGAAAGGCTAGGAAGATTAAAATTAACTAAAATGAGTCAAATCAGGGAAAATATAGAAGCAAATTATCAAAAATTCAGAATTATAAATAAATTAGGGAAGAAAAGTTTGTCTAACTTATCAGAAATTAAATATATGGAATATTTAACAAAACTTGATGAAGTAAAAAAATATGACAAAAAAATCTGTTATGAATTATTTAAATTTTGGACAGAAATTTCTTCCAGAAAACCAAAATTTACGAAGCTAAAGCCCATGATGGAAAAAATTTCGAATCACTCTATAAAAATAAAAACACTATATAAGTCAATTTTGACTAACAATAATTACTCAGAGGCTTGAGAATTATATGGAACTTTTCTCAAAAATATCCTTGGAGAGCACGAGAAAGGGAATTTAGTGCTAAAAAAAAGGAATGAAAATAAAGAAATGAACTCAACTCGAGTTTCCAACTCAAAAATCGAGTATAATGAAAATTTATGTGTTATTTTAATATCTTTGGATGCAGACTCATTTGGGACCATATCATATATAAACAAAAAAGCTTCACAAGTCTTAAAAGTTTCTCTTGACGAAGCAATAGGGAGAGACATCAATGACTTTATCCCAAAACCATATTCCTTATTCAACGAAAAGATAAATTAAATGGTAACGTCGACGGAAGATGGACTCTGAGACACACTCCCTATGAGCAGGCAAGATCCATCCTGATGAAGCTGAAAATAGAGCCTCTTCTACTTTTGAAGTGGGCATTTGGGCTAGGGACGCCTGCTGAAGAGAGAAGCTTTGTTTCTCCCCCCGAAGGTTTTCCTATCCTGATAGATGGGCATATACATTAAAATGGAGACACGTGTCAATCTAATGCGAATTAGGACTAACTCCGAGTCAAAAATCAAGTGTATGCTCAAGAGATGCTTATCCGGGTAGGTTTTTGACTGCTTCCTGTAGTTAGAAATGGAGGTGCTCAGCAGCGTCCTTTTAGATCTGAGGTCTCATGGCATTCCTCTACCGAGAAACTAGGGGTTTCAGCCTGGCCACAGGAGATTAGCTTTTTTCATGTAGCTATCGAAGGAAAGCACTTCGGCATCTGACAGGCTCCAAGGAATTGATCCTTGAAATCAAGCTACTCCTATCGTCCATAGCAGGCCCAGAAACCGTAAGCCGCTCACTCAAGACTGAAACTACAAGGCAGGGAGGAGACAGAAGGTACGGAAAGTGGACCCATTATAAGGAGATAGACCCTCTGAGTTGGAGCTGAATAGCGGATGAACCTCCCATATGGGTGGTCTTTGGTAAGTGCGTCACCAATATGGCTAATGCCTGCCTTTAATAACCTAACCTAACCCTGATAGATGGGCTAAACGGGTTTTTCCAGGCATCCACAAGAGGTGATTTTAGCCTATAGAGCTAATCCGTAGGTTAATTCAGATATGCAGTCTAGCTATCTATCCGCTTATGGTCTTTTAACTCTTAGCTTAACTTATTCCACAGTGAAAAAATGAAGCAATTTTATGTAAACGGTATAAAAACAAGACTGGAAAGGTTAAATTTTTTAGTGCTACAGGACGGATATGGACATATATTCGAATGCAATTTAGTAATTGAACTTACTGCATTTAACAATAAAGCATATTTCATGGTTAGATTTATAGAAATCTTGTGTAATAGGCAAGTAATTTTATTATCCAAAGAAGGAGAAATTTATAATCATTCAGAAAATTTAGGACCGATTATTGGATACCAACAAAAAGATTTTAGCCATTTGAATATATCAGATGTTTTTCCAGGAGTCAAGCTAAATAAACTGTATTTATTTTTGCCGAAAATAATAATGTCAAATGAAACTAAGCTCGCCTTGGTTCATGTTCAAATAGCAATAAACTTATATACAATCCATTTAATTTTCGTGATAAGTGACAGTCTTGATATAGAAAAATGACAAAATGAAGAAGCCCCTGAACAAATAGAATTTTTCGGACAATCTGAATGCCAACTTAATGAAAATTATGAAGAAATTAGACACAAAAATCCTAAAAATACTTTGATATCAATAAATTCTGCTGATCAAATTTCTAAAGCATTTTTATATGAGGAAAACCTATGGGAAAAGGCTGCAGATTACAGAGTGGATCAAAATCAAGAAAAAAACATACTAGCAGACCGTATTTAATATCTAGAGTTATCAGCTCGATATATAAGAAGGACCGAATATTCGATCAGAAAGTTTTGATGGATTTTACTTTATGCTGTATTTTTCATATAGATTTTAGCAATGATAGGTACAAATACAGGAATTTTGATATATATTATAAACAATGTCAACCATACAACTTCTATGGAAGTGTTTTCGAATCTTGGAAGCATAATATTCTATATTGGAACTACGCCAATTTGGATTAGAGTCGCTGAGTCAGAAAAAATGCAAGGAGAGTTTAACTCAACAGAAGCAATGATAAATCTAAAATACATTAGAACATCACTAATTCAACTTCAAAATTCACTGAAAAGTGATTATTCTGAATGAAGCTATTGCCCTAGCTCTGAGATAATAGTTAGAAACATTGTTCCCGTATGGGAGTTTGGGCAAGAGCCTAAAATAAAGCACTATAACTTTTACGATTTCGTTTCATTGTTTATTGAATATGTATTTTTTATGTAGATAGGAAAAACAATAGAAGATTTCTCTACAAAAATCTCATATAAAGATGATATAAAATGGCTAGAAGCAAATTCATTAAGCTATCCTTTCCAGTATTCAAATGCAGCTTTAGAAGATCTCGTAGAATGCGAGAAAAATAGAATTTATGATAAAAGTCAAGTCGTTATAATTTTGATAATTGTTGGAACTCTGATTTGTGGTGCATGCTTGGCATTGCTTATGTATTTCAGTTTTATACTGAAATTTATATATGACAAAGCATGGACATATTTAAGAAAGTCTGCCATTTTTAATCACATTTTGCTTAAACAAGCCTGCTTGGACAGACTTATATCTGTTCATGGCGTTGAAATGACAAATGAGCACATATTATATGAAATAATCCCAAAAAATATGAATTTTAATATAAAAACAACTCTCACAAAAAATTTCTTCATAAGACTCTGCATTTTTGTCATAATTTCGCTATGCTTTTATTTATTTACTGTTTTTTATTCTTATGATATCTGCGAAAATTACATGATAAATCGGCCAAAATTGCTACAGCTCTTCAATAAGCAAAGAATAGTACTTGGAAAGATTTTGTACTATACTAAAGAAATAAGTGAGTCATGCTTAGATGATTATCCAAATTCCTGTGCTTTTCAAGATCCAAGAACTGAATTTGATAAATTAATTGAAGAATATCAAAATTTAGACTCTAATAAATTGCTTTCAAACGGAATGATTGAATTTCAGTCTGATGATATGAAAAGAGACCTTTATGAAAAAACAGATTATTCTGGCGATTATTTGAAGTATGGATTAATCCCTGCAGCGCATTCTTTAATTTTTGACTCTATTTATATGAGAGGTAGCTATAATGAATCAGAGTTTCTTAACCTCTTTTCAGAGTCCACATTTTTGCAATTAGCCATGTCAGAGTTTTTACCATTATCGGAAAAACGAACAAAGCATGCAATATTTTTTCAGCTAAATATAATTGTATATACAACTGTTATTTTTTCAATAGCTTTAGGAGCTTTGTATCTCTGTTACTACTTGCCTTATTTAAAAAGAGAGATTTCATTTCTCAAAAAGTCAAGAATTTTGCCAAAAATCATTTCAAATTTGACATCTCATAAGAGTGAGGTAGAGTATAAGCAAGCTTAACTAATTCAATATTTTATATAATAAGCATAATTGCATATAACTTTTTTATTGCTTAAATTTAATAAAAAATAGGGATTTTGCTGACTCTGAAAGGGGAAAGCAAAAAAAGTAATAAAATCTATATGCTTTTTATCAAACTGGATTTTATGGGCTCATTTAATTTTCTGCTAAAATCAATTTTATAGATTAGTTAGATATGCATCCTAGATAAATTATTTGGAATTTATATAAATAATCAAAAATTATAAATATTTTTAATCGCTGATAATTTTTATATTTATCTAATATGTACCGAGAATGCTCAATATTTCTTTCGTCAGTAATTCTTGGATTTTTTCTGGATCACTAATTACTTTGCAAATTTCTTTTATATCATCGATTGAAGTAGGCATCGTGTCCAGTCCAAAATCATAGTCTAGGTTCAATACAAGCTTTTCTTTGTCATCCATAATTTGAAAATTTTGTTTTAATTTCTTGACTATCTTTAAATTGTGTTGTAGACTTCCTACTATTTGATCAATTGAATCTTTAAAATCAGAATTCGTAACATTTTTGAACTCTTCGAATTTTTGCCTTAAATCTTCAGTTGTTCTTTGGATTATCTCTATTATTTTTTTTTCTGCAATTTCAATGCTATTTTTCATAATTGATTCTCCAAGCCGAGAAACATATTGGGTGATTTCATCATATGATTTTGTCCACATATTTATTTGGGCTTCAAATTTGGATTCTAACTCGTTGAGGAGCTCCGTTTTTTTACAAATTAGTTCGGAAACCTTCTCCGATTCTAGGTCTATACAGTTATGAAATTTATGGCTAAAAAGGCATTTTCCACAGCAAAGTGAAGAATGATCTTGACAAAAGCCTATTAAATATAAGCCATGTTCTGGACATCTTTTTCTTGAATTATCAGCTTCTTGTAGCAGCGCATAATTTATAGGCAAAAATTCTATAAATGAGTTAAAAGGTTTTCTGTCATAAGGGCATTGCGCCATTCCTATTGTAATTTTTATTTTTCCTAAGCAAACTCGGCAAAAAGTATGCCCACAAGGTAGGCATATAGGTTCTCTTTCAACAGAATTATAAGTATTTAAACATATAGGGCACCTTTGATAGGAACCCCAAAGATACTTGCCTATCGAGCTATCTCAGCTATATTGATTTAATTTATCGATCAGCGTTTTCCCACTTTGTATATCCCAAGCGATTTTTTCAAAGGCTGAATCTATCACGTTGTAGGAAGAAGATGGGAAATGAACGGCGTTTGAATATTTTGATTTCCTGGGGTAGGTTTGGTTACGAGTTGGCTCTTTTTTTGGAGAGTAAAGGCTATTTCTGGCCTTTCTTATTCTAAGCTTTACCATTATAAATATAAGCTGAAATTAATGATTATAGCAAATAATTTTATTAATTTAATTGATAAGCAATTGAAGACTCGCAGCTATTTGATCACAATTTTTCTGGAAAGTTTAATTTTCGTGTATTCATGATTTTGCTGATTCGGGAATATTCCATCAGTACCATAATTTTTGTTAGCTAACTAAAACCAACAACTATTAAATGTTAAATGGAACCATTTGAAGCTTAATTTGAGTGAATTTTATTATTAATTTTGCTAAAAATCCAACCTTAAAACACATCAGCTAGAAATTTTCTAACTTATATACTTAAGATTTAAAAGCAAATAAAAAACTAGTGAAATTTGTAAAAAATAATTTTTAAATTAGAACTCTTAGGCTGGTAAGAGAAGTAAAAGACAAATTTGATGCTATTTTTATATTTCGGTTTAATTATTGATTAATAGGGACTAAGATGTGAGAAAATTGGGTAAGGGTAAATAAGTAAAGACTTTTATTTAAGAAAATTAAATTTATAAAAGTTGCATGGGCGTTAAGGTCAAGATTGCTTCAAAATAAGCAGAGGAGAATTTTTAGAAATGGTGAGCATATTTACATTTCTTGAAAGTCAGAAATATCAAATCTTTCGGAATTTTAAACTATAAAAGTATTTCGCAAATGCTCTATACAAATATATGGTAAAGAGATTGATATAAAAACTATTTAAACGAAAGAATTTAGATTTATTTATCTAAAAACCACTCAGAAATGCACAATTGCTAGCTGTTACATCTCTAAGTTGAATTATACATAAAATGCATAAATAGTTTAGTAAATGAAGGAATAATGATTAGCATTATTAAATAAGGAAATTGTTAAAAATTAATAAGAATTGTTTAATATAATAAATTATACTTTAAATAATTATTATTCGGCCATAGAAAAATTTCCTTTTTATATGCTTTAATAATCTGAATGGCTTTTGCAAATTATTTCTAAAATATGTGCAGTGAGCCATTAAAATAGTAAATATAATTTTATGCAGAGTAATTATTTACAACAAATTCATCGGCCATTTGTTGGAGAGATTTTTAATTCTAACTAAATTTAAGTTTTAAATTTAATTTTTACGTTTTTTCTCAGCAAGCTTCAAAACTTGAGGCACTTCTTTCGTCTTCACAAAATAGTTTATTCCGAGGGATGACAATAAGCATAAAACAATTGCAAAATTCTTATATTTCGAAAACACCTTACAGAGAGTCGATAAGCTTTCTATACTTTTTGAATATAAATAGTTCGCAATTAATCAATATTTATGTTTATCTCTATAAATTATTTTAGATCAGAATTGCGAATATACTTTATTATTCATATACAAAGAATTTATTTTACTTGTATATTTTAGCAGAAATCTGAACAAGATATAGGCATAAATCCCAAGTCTTGTAGACTGTGATATCAGCTTTTTTATATCGAAAGCAGCTGAGACTAGCCTTTTGGCTTCGTTTTCTTGATGCTGTTTGAGCATAAACTTCTCATATCCTCCATCATCGCATTCATAGCACTCGTCTATTTCAGGTATTTTATCAAGAGCCATTTATAATTATAGCGAATTATCTGGTTTAAAATATAGCAATATGAAGCTGAGTTTTATTATACTAAATAATCGTGAAGAATTTTATAACGGTCTGATTGGTCTCCAGGGTCGTTTCTTCTGTAAATCCTTACTCCCCCCCCCCCCCCCCCCGTGAGCGAACAAAAAAAATTTTGTTCACTCACGGAGGGGGGTTAATTTTTTTTTTTTAAAAAAAACAATTTATATATAAAATTTTATAAACAATATTTTTTTCGAAATTTAAAAAAAATCCTAATTTGCAAAAATTGGGAAGCAAATACTAATTTAATTTGCAAAATTTATGTTTTAAAACGCAATTTGTTTAAAATTAAACAGAATTAGCTCTAGATTTCATTATACTAATTATCACTTATATAGCAAAATTTTTTTCTATTAAAATTTTTTCTATTAAAAATATTTTTGTTCACTCACGGAGGGTGGGTTTTTGGTCAAAAAATGGCGATTTTTCTAATGGTTTTGTTCGCTCACGGAGGGGGGGGGGGGGAGTTAGCTTTTTTACTGAAGGAATAACATCTGACTGTTGTTGAGGAATAACTACTTGCAAGTGCTTAATAGGTTTAAATTTCGTTTCAAGGCTTATTTGTGGAATATTTTCAAAATCAGCTGAATCAGTTTGTTGGCTTTCGTCAATAAATTTTTTTACCTTATTTTTATTTTTAGCGAAAAAGTCTTTTAAAGATTCTGCACCAATTTCATGAACTAGCATTGGGGATCGTAATTTATATCGGAACTCAGGAGATGGCGACCTTGATCCTGGAGTGGGGACTTCACTATATGTAAGAGGTAAATTTCTAAATGAGTCTAAATTGCTACGATTTGTAATAAATGATGTATCGATTTCTCTTCTGTCTGTAGTTGGAATCAAAGGAGGGAGGATTTTTGCTGATTTTTCAGATTTATCCTGGTTTTGGTTCAAGTTTTCGTAATTTTGCTTAATCCTCATATAACTCACTGAAATCTTGCTTTTAAATATTCCGTTTGGGGATTTTGATATCCTGAAAGCAGGCAATTCAGGTCTTTTAATTTTTGGCTCACTTTCTTGTTTTGCCTTCTCTAAAAAGCTTTTTTCAATAATCCTTCGTTTAGGAGATACATAAAAGTGGCTATTTTTTTCGATTTTTAGAGGAGTTAGTGGGGTGAATTTATTTGTACTTTTCATTAATGTTGGACATTAATTTTAATTATTTGGAAATTTTTCCAACTATTAATATAAGAATAATTCATATAATTATTCCTAATAATTATTTTATCAGAGCGAAATAAATTCCTGACCCGAATTATAATAATTTATTAAGACAAATATATTGCTTTCATTATTAAAAGTAACCAAAATTTACCAAAGATTAATTGAATTTGTCTTAACCAGTGCTACCAAAATTAGCTTTCATCAGAGCTTTTATTTATTAATAGACTTAGTTGTGAAGAAGATTTATCTAGTGATTTCTTTCTTAACAGACAAAATTTCTTCAACTGGCTCAACCTTTTCAAACCACCTATTTATTTCTTCCTCATCAGTCCTCTTCAATATCTGTGCTCTTTCATCACGAGTATTAATCCATTTTTCTCTATAAATATGTATTTGAGAAAAGAACTCGTCTTTCATTTTCATTTCTTTTGCTTTTTGTTCTTCTCTAGCAGCTCGTTTCACCTGCCTGTCTTCTTCCTCATATTTTGCTGCAAGTTCATCTAATTGGTTGACGATTTTATCATAAATTTGTGGGTCAAGGATTGATTTTGGTCTTGGTCTCCATGAAAACTGATAGAACTTTTCTAATGCGGCCTGAGTTACGTCTGAGCCTTGGCAAGTGAAAATCACGTAGCCAGAGCCTTGTTGTTGTGTAGCTCTCTGTTGAATTCCTTGTAAGCTTCCTACAGAAATATATCTGCCACTTGGATCCCATTCTAAATAATTCATGTTCATGTGAACTCTTTCTTCAATTTGATATTATTTTTCATGCAATAAATGAGTTAAGCCCTTGCAAGCATTGGCCAATTTCTATGAAAATCATATATTTCTATTCAGTTTTAAAGCTATCATAAAACTTAAAAAGCATATAAAGTTTGATTTTTCACACAGAAAAATTCAATCCTGCCTTCAGTGTTATTTTTTGCTGCAAAGCTATAAGTCACTAAATGCCCACCTTGTGGTGCCCAAGCAATAGTTGAGCATTTTGTGTCACATTGGTCAATTTTTTTAGTTTCCATTTTTTCCTTGCCGACTTCATAAACAACTAGAGTTTTTGCTGAATGGGCTCCAGAATAAATTAAGGCGAAGCGATTACTGTTAGGTTCCCAAGAGAAATTGCTAACCACAAAGTCCAAATTTAAAGACTCAACTGGTATTCCTCTCTTTTTCATGTAGAAAATTTCAATGATACTGTTTTTAGGCTTCGGGTTATTCCTATGCTTTGTGGTGACCATCGAGACCAAGAATTCTCCATTATTCTGCCAAAATGAATAAAACCCAAGGGCTTCATAAACCATTCTAGTAGCAATCAGTTCTCTGCTTGGCACTGCTAATAGTCTTACTTGTGCTGGTTTAGCTTCACTTTCTCTTATATGAAGAGAAATTATATTATCCCCAGTGCTCCATGAAAATTCAGCAAGCTGCGGTATTGCAATTGGAGCTTTTTTGCCTTCGTTATCTTCTATCATAGCCATGGTTTCTGAGTTATAAACACTAATCATCTCATTTCCTTTTTTCGCAACAAATTCTCCATTATAGCTGTATAGATAAGTCCCCCAAGGCTCGTCGTTTGCTTGGAAAGTTCTGATTTCTTCTCCTTTTTCTAAGCTCCAATGAATAAATTGTCCTGAAGGCCCTGAGGAGTAAGTCATTAAATATCGTTCGCATGGGGAAAATTCAATCTGGCTGACTCCGTAATGGGAAAGCCTCATAATTTCTTCGAAGTTTGGTCCTCCCCAAAGGACAATGCCGCGCTGATGCAAAGTGGCGAGGTAAGTGCCTTGACTTGACCATTTTACATATTTGTCAGTCCAAACTTTGTCTGAAGGACCAGCTGTAATGAGATCTGGGGTTAATGAGATGGAGTCGTTCCAAAACACCTTTGTAAATTCATCATGGCGGATTACGAATTGGTCTCTGGATCGGCGGTCTGTGAGCCAGCTTTTTAGTTCTTTTTGTGAGAAAACTCTAGGCTCCACATATTCTGAAGGAGTATCCATAAGCCTGTCAAACTCATCGAATGACACCACAGTCAATGAGTGCTTTTTGTCAAAAGCCAGTCCATTACACTTGGCAACTGCTGTTTTCGCTAGTTCTTCGTCAGGAAAAGTGATAAATGCAAAGCATTGGCTTTTCCCATCGACCATTGGCATATATACTGCGCTTGGTTCAATTGGAACGACAGCTTTACTGATCACTTTTACAAGAACTTTTATTAAAAGATCTTCTTTTTCAGCTGAGACTTCTGGTAAATTATCCACAATAACTCGATTCGTCCAGCGAAGTTCAAATAATGGCTTAGGCTCTAATAGAGGATCATTTCGCTCTTTCGCTTCACGTTTTTGGTCTTCAATATAGGCTTCATATTCTGGGTGATTTCGTAAAACATCTGAAAAATCGATGAGCTCGAGAGGATGCAGATCTTCCATATTTATAAGGTCTTAATAATACTTATTCCCCTCCATAAGCGAAAAAAAAATATAAAAGATATAGTGATAATTAGCCTAATGAAATCTCTAGTTAATTCTGCTTAATTTAAATTTTACGAATTTGTATTTTTTAAATTCCAAAAGAAAAATTTACTATAAATTTCTAAAAAATCGTGAGCGAAGAGAATTTGTTATTCTCTCATGGAGAGAGCTAGAGATTAAATAAAAGTATAATCAATGCTAAAACATTAGAACTAATAATCCACTGATCACAAGTGAGCTTGAAAATGAAAGGTTGTATTCAGCATCGGGGTCTGGGTTGCCATACTCGTCATATTCATCTTTAGAATTCCAAAAATTGGATGTATAAATCTGCATTACGCATTCGTCATTGTCCTGAATTTGTGAATACATCTGATACCATAGCCTGAAATAGGTGTATTCAAGAGCATGCTTGGTTGACCAGTGTGATTTCACACAAGCTGGGTTGTCCCTTCTCAGAGAATTGCAAAGTGTGACATTAGCATTTGAATACCAAGCTTTGAGAAGTTCGAAATAATTCGATGCAATTGGATCTCCAGGGAAAAGGCCACAGTATTTTATACCTTGAAATCCATATGAACACTGACAGGAGCTTCCATAGCCAATGCCTAAAGCAGGATCACCTTCTGAAAAGCAATCTCCGTCTGAGGTGCACATCATTGGAATTATTGATGCTGAGGCTACCGAACTTCCACAAACATTTGTTCCATTAATAGTCCCACAAAGTGTCGATTCGCATAATAAATTGTAATGGTTCGCACACTGTGCGATCTCATCATCTACTTCAACTGACAGATACCCTACACATTGTCCAGTCCCATCTCCAGTTATGTTACATCCTGCGTTATTCACACACTCATAATCATTATGGCAACCATTTCCACCAATAGTGATTTGTGTTGCACATTTATTGGTCGTTGTTGAACAATAAAGCCCAGGGTTGCATTCGCCTGTTTGTGTGCAGGCTGTCCCAACTGTTTTTCCTTGACAAAATTTATTTTGGCAGGTTCCAAAAGCGCAAGTTATGTTTACATTGCAAGTTTCTCCTGGCCAAGCTTGCTGAGGAGTGTTTGGAATGGCTTCACATGAAGAATTGCCAGGAGATGTAATTGGAGGACAATATTGATCTTCTGGACAAAGAGATAAATAATAAGTTGTAGCTGTAAAATTGAAAATACATTGATCAGGCTCAAATTCAACTTTCTGAGGTTTGCACTGGTAGATGTTGCACTGAGCTGATGCAAGAAATATAAGGGGAAACAAAAATAGCAACATTTTTGTATTTGTCACCATGATATAGTAGAGTTTAAGATTCAAATAAGATTAACTGCTCATACAAAATAGTTAATGATATAAGCATGAGGAGCTATTAAATAGCATTAAATCGTTTAAATTATATAAAATATTTCAATGCTAAGCCGCCTCTTATAAATTTCAGAAAAGAAGAATATTCATTTTTAACTTAATATTTAGCAGTTTTGAAGAAAATAGTTAAATATTTTAATGATTAAATTCTTGCCCTGAGCTCTATCCTCAACAGTAGAAAAAATGCTAACACTCTTACTACAATGCCTATCAAAATTAGCCCAAGAAAAGCTTCTCATAATGTATCTGTGAACCCCAAAGTGTCAAGAGGATCGCAAGGGACACAGTTTGGCACTCCTTCACAGTTTTGGCAGTCAAGTTTTAAGTCTGTATACAAATATTAAAAATTTCAGTTAGGAATAGGTCCTAACCCCTGCTCCGCAAGTCTGGGTCCTACCTCCGAGCTTAGTGAGAGAAGTCATGCTTCTTGAGAGTCTCGGCTTGAAGAGAAGAGGTCGGCGCTGAGACTGGCACTGGCTAGAGAAGTCTTAACGGGCTTATTAACTTTAACGGTTTGACGGTTAGGCCGGTTCAACTACCGTTATTCAGAGCTGTTAATGTAGCTGAACCTCAAGTAAAGAAGACCGGAGCCTTTGCCTAGAGTAATTCGTTAGACTTAAACTTAAGTCTGTATACTCGTTAATTGCAAGGAGTTCAAACCCATACTTGAACGGTGATATATAAGCAATTCATTTAAAAGCATCTATAATATAAAAAATTTCAGTTAGGGATATAGAAGTTTCCTATGTTTGGCGCTGTAAGGCCGATAAATTCTGATCGGAATTTATCGGTTGGTTGCACCAAATCAATGCCTTGGTCGGACCAAAAAGCGATTTTGGTCCGACGAACTAGGAAAGCTCATGGGAAAATGTCTGCGCTTTCAGCGTTATATAGAGGAAACCTCTATAGGTCCTAGCACCTGTTAAAACTGTATGGACCTATAATCCGAGCTTAGCGAGAGAAGTAAAGATTCTTGAGAGTCTCAGCTTGAAGAAAGGAGGTTGTTGCTAAGGCTGGCACTGGCTAGATATAGAAAATTCCTGGGGATAGCGCGGAATACGCTATCCCCAGGACCAACCGGGATCGGATCCCACATGGAACGAGGGTTCCATGTGTGGATCCATTTTTGACACGTGAAAGTAAATATCTCACATGTCAAAAATGGATCCACACATGGAAACCCCCGTTCCATGTGTGGATCCGATCCCGGTTGGTCCTGGGGATAGCGTATTCCGCGCTATCCCCAGGAATTTAGTATAAGTCTGAAAGGGTTTATTAACTTTAACGGTTCAACAGTTAGCCCGGTCCATCTACTGCTGCTCAGAGCTGCTAATATAGCTGGACTCCAAGTAAAAGAAGACTAAGAGGCACAAGTGTGCTAGAGTAATTCTATCAAACTTAAATTAAACTTAAAAGCATCTACCATAGAGTCCAGATTTCCAAACAATCCTCCAAAAAGTACCAATGGGATTACTATCAAAGGTCCTCCAGCCATAGCCCCACTTTCAGTTGAAAATATGGTCCCTACAAAATACCCAAAGCCAGTCCCAACCATATGAAATAAAACCATACCAATCCAAAAAATGAAGAATTTTGATGCATTGTAATTGTTTAATCCTATAGCTCAATATACCATTAAGCATTGAATCGTTATTGGGATTATTACACTTGGCATTTCTGAAATAGTTTTTGCTAACTCCCCTTTCGCGAGAAAAAATAGTTTTTAAATAGGAGCTTGATATATAAATAATGATGACCATTTGAAATTTTCAACAAAAAATTTAATATAGACAGTTTAGAGATGCTAAAACATAATTTATAAATTAAATTAAAATTTCCTTATATTTACAAATTTGCAATTTAAAATCGAGGTAATAAAATTTTACATAGAATTTTAATTTAAAATTAACCTCCTCTTAATGAGCAAAAAATAACTACTTTCTAGTCCAGAGGAGTAAGTAATATGGTCCTGACCAATAAACTCTTTGCTGGGTTTCTTTTAGAAAAATAGGCCTCTCACTAGGAAATGCTAATGAAGAATTTTGACTTCCAAAAGTAATGGAGAGTAAGGAGAGTTCAAATAAAACTCCATTACGGTTCTGGATAGAGCGAGCGTCATGCCCTAAATTATTAAAAATCAAGTCTAAAATTACAGCCATTCCAATAGCCTGAATAAATTTAATTCTGGTAAATAAAGGATTCCTTATAGTATTAAAGAAGAAATAAAATGTTGACATTGAGGGAAATTGGTCTCCAAGACATACTCCTATGGAGCAGGTAGGACCTATCATGATGAATCTGAAAATAGGACCTCTGCCCCTTTTGAAGTCGGCCTTCAGACTTCCCCAAAGGTTTCCTGTCCCTGCCAGATGGGCTTGCCTTCACATAGTCTTCGTATAGCGGGACTATCGGCCACCCTACAGAGAATGGCTCTAACCTCCTTAGGCTAGGAGAGCTTCACCAGAAAATTCAAGATAGTAGAATTTTGGTTGGGCCTTGCAGCATTTGGACTCAGATGTATATGCACCCAGCGTAGACCACTTTTCCTGGAGTCAAGGTAGTCAGACGAGTGGGAAGCCTATGGGCCATGCAAATCATAATATAATCTTAATCTTATAGCATTGATTGCTGACCTTTTTAAAAGAGTCATAAATTTGCTATAAAATCCAATTTTAAACTCTCCTTCCATTAAATTTATAGTACTTTCTTTATATTTTTCATCTGGGCCAATGTTTCCTTTTACCTCATCATATTTTTGCAATATTCTATCATGCTTTGCTTTTTCCTTTTCTGTCCAGTCAAATCTATTTTTTATATGCAAAAGTCTCATAAAATAATCGCTTGGATTCACAAGACTTGGACAACAAAATCCTAAATCAGCGAAATATTTTCTTGAATTTTTGGCAAGACCTTGATACACAGTATACCCTTCGCTTAACAGAATTAATTTATGAACTTTCCTAAAAATCGCTGTGCTTGGCTGATGAAGTGTGCAAAAAACAGTTTTCCCTTTTTCAGCTTGCCTTAAAAGTAGCTCAAAAACATTTTCAGCAGTCCAAGAATCAAGGCCAGATGTTGGCTCATCTAAAATCAAAATATTTGGGTCTGTGATTAATTCTATACCTATGCAAACTCTTCTCCTTTCACCTCCTGAAATTCCTTTTTTAGTCACTGATCCGATGACATTTTCAGATATTTTTTCAAGCATTAAATCAGAAAGAATTTTATTTACCCTTTCTTTATGGTCTTTTTTCGTCCCTGGGCATCTTAGCATGCTCGAGAATAAAAGACTTTCTTTTACTGTAAGACTTGGCAATAAAATATCATCTTGTGTTACATAGGCTGAGTGGTATCCATAATTGATAGATTTTATATCTTTTCCCATTTACTGATTTTATTACTCCTTAAATTCAAGCAAATTTTTTTTCTATAGGAAAATTTAGCAATCAAAGTAATAATTTTTATAAATTTTTTTGACCTAATTTATATGCAAAGTTCAAGTAGAATATTATTTAAACAGTTTTAATGCTGAATCGATAATTTTTTCTTTAATCCTTCATAAATATAAATTAAAATTCAAATAGTTGTGGTCGCCATGCCGTACTCGAGACTTGGTTTAACCCTTCCAGAATGAAAATTTTCTAGCAGAGTTGCTGACCAAGATGGAGCTTGCACAACTCTCAGTATTGCAATAGAAATTGCCAAATTTGTCCAGAGGACCCAGCTGAGCTTTCCCTTTCCCAACTCCAAGCAAGCTCCTTCCCTAAGGTTAAAACTAGACCTGACAAAAAAGTCAAACCTTGCCGGATGCATATTACCGAACGCTATCCCCACTTTTAACAGTTCCTTTAGTCACTCCAGCTTCAGGTGCTGAGAGGGTGGGCTCGGCATGCCGTTTTAATGTATAATCCCATTTACTGATACCATTCCAGAAATTTTCCCATATTTTGGGCGCTTAAACCTTCCTGAAAGGATATTTAACAGTGTTGTTTTGCCTGCACCTGAGGCTCCCATCATAACAGAAACTTCTTTAGGATTCACGAAGCCTGAGACTCCTTTTAAAATTTCTTGTTGTTTGTCATGAAATTTTATTGTGTATTTAATATCATTTCATTCTAAAAGCAATGATCTTTCGTTGGCTAAATTGATTTCGGAAAAATTATTATTTTCATTTACGTTGGCTGTAGAGCTATGCTGTTCTCTCAAAGAATTGCTCTTATCTGATGAATAACCGGATAATGCGCAATTATCATCAATGCTTGGGCTATCTATTAGAGATTTTTCCTCCATTATATTTTAATTTTAATCAGAAATATATCATGTTAAAGACTGCAATTTTCACAAAAGGCTATTACCACCACAATTATTGAAATAAATAATTCCTGAGAGATTCTTATTTTATTTTTACTTTACAATTCATAGTTTTATAAAAAAATTTTATTTCTCCCATGATGGATTTCTGATCGTATTTCGATGCAAATTTTATCCATCAAAGCTAATATTTTGCCCATTTCGAATATTTTGAGTTTTGTTTTATTAATAATTAAACTATTTTTCTTATCAAAATATCGTAAATGAGCTTTTCTCTTTATTATGAAATATTTTATTTCATGGAATTTATTTCAAATGATCATATGTTTTCTCGAGCAGGGAAATCATCTACTGAGAAATTTCGAATTTTAAGTGAAAAAGAAAGAATAATTTCAAGGAGAATCCAATTCAAGGCTCCTTCAAGATTTTCATTTAATTCAAAACAAAAACAAACATATGAATCAATAAATAAATTAGCTAAAGAAGAAATAGAAAAGCTTAAAAAAGCTAAACAAGAAGAAAAAGAAATAATAAAGCATCAGACAACTTATAGTTTTAATGTCCAATCGAGAGATGACTATTACGAAACTAAAGTATTATTTATTTAGAGAAACAAAGACAAAATCCCTCCTCCAGGCTGATATAATATATCCTATACACTAAAAGACCAAAAATACCTCATCCCAAAGCTGCATCCTGAAAAACAAGAAATTCGAGCTAAAACAACTAATAACACACCTACAAGATCATCATGAAAAGACTATAGTTTCCAACAGGCAGATCATATTCCCAGTGCAATTCCTTTTCATAAGCAGCAAAGTCGAGAAAGTTACAGTCGAATTTCTAAAAAAACACCTAACGAAAAGCGCTTCCTAGTAAATAATTTAACGCCTACTGTTTGTTCAAAATATAAAAGGACTAAATACCCTGACATGACTAAATACTTGCCAAGAGATGATTCTATGTATAATGCACCTTGCTATAACCCTCAATATAACCCTAATAAAGAAGTTATTATGGAAAATTTAGGAAAAGTAGTAGATTTTGACAAAATGTTGAGAAGGCAAAGCTTATTTGATATAAAAGATATGCCGGACCAATATGATGCGTCATTTGATTATATAGATCCTCATAAAAAAGTGCTGGATTTTGGAAAATCACCACCAAGGTTTCAAGATGATGTGTCGCCTATGTCATTTACACAGACAGTAAATAAAAGTAGACAAGAATTAATCCGAGGCATTTTTACTACCCAATCAAATCCTGTGTTTGCACTTTATAGTAGTTTAACGTAAAAAATGGCTGCAAATGTGTCTTACTGTTAATGATTCCGACATTGAATTTTAAAACCTGATCAATCCTGTGCTTTGCACAATGAAGCATTTAGTACTTTTAAATCAGATAAGATGCACACAATAAATTTTAATAATGATTAGATAGGTGTTTAAGAAACTTTCTTGATTGAAAACGCTTCAGGGGATATTAAAAAGTGAGATGATAATATAATAATTCTAAAATTTTATGGAAACTACAAAAAATAAAGATAGGCTATAAATTCAATGATAAATACATTAGAACAAAATTGCATCCAAGTTTTGACTGAAGAATCTGATAAGCTGCGTGATGCTCGTCCTTGGAGCCAGGAAAAAGTTATAAGTTCTTATGGCACCAAAATTAAATGTGTTTTAAAATCCCAAGACAAGCTTTCCAGTCCTCTGCAATTCAAAAAACGAAATTTTTGCATAAATTTTAACAAAGATAGCTTAAAGCCTATGAAGTTAAATCTCGAGCTTCATCCAACTCAAGAAGAATCATTAATCAGGCTTTCAATGTTTCCAACTCCTCCAAAAGCAGATATACAGTGCTATATTAAATTCTAGATAATACCTTTTCAAATTAGTTTATAGAGAGATAGCCACCACTAATAAATAAAATAAGTTATATAAGATTTTCTTCTAAATATCCATATAGAATATAACAGAAAATAAGATAAAATTATATTAAAATGATATAAATGGTATTCACATAAACCAGATAAAAAATCTCCAGAATGCAAATGTAAATGCTTATCAATTGATAAAGGAATTTATACAAGCTTTAATATTGAAGACCATTGCGATTCTCCAGACTGTTTAATGAAAATACATAAACCACCCAAATCAATTTTGTCTTTCCCCAAAAGAGAACATGCAAGAATCCTATCATATACACCTAATGCACATAGGTTCCCAAGCCCGAAATCTGATTATATATCTTTAAGACGTGCAGGCTGTAGGTCGACAAGCCCCGATTTTGTTATATCAAGGATACCTATAAGTGGCATTGGAAATCAAATCATATCGCCAAACAAAACCGAAATCGATATTAAAAATAAAAGCTCAACTAAGATCCACGGGCTAAGGGGAGCAGATCTAACTTCACCAAGCGAACTAAAGCTCCCTTTAATATGCAGAAGTCTAATATATTAGATTCATTGTCAATTCCTTAATCTATTTAGCTTTATAATAGCGTCACCTAAGATAAATAATAATCAGACAAATACTGTTATGTTCGCATAATTTAAATGCAATTGTAATTATAGATCAAAGTTTTAAAAAGATTAATTAATTCAAAAAATTAAAAATGATTATATCATTAGAAAGCCAGAATTAACTAGCTTATAAAATTTCTGAACTTATTTTTTATCATACTTTTGAATTTTAGATTAATGAACTTATTATTCTATTTTTAGATCTATCGTAATTTGTCTAAAAATTCATCATTACGGAACTATGATAGTGATAATTTATGAAGAATAGATATCATAATATAAAACTATAGAATTGAACAGCATCAATGCTTGTAAATATTATTTCCTAAAATCAATTATTTAAAGCGCTGCTCCTCTTCCTTTAAAAGTTGACATTGCTTGATTGAAGCCCATTATGTGGGAAACATGATCCATCCAAGTTGTCGGGAGGAATGCACGCATAACATAAGTCATATTGACAGCCGATGGCATTACCAAAACAGGCTCATTATGTCTTATAGCTTCCACAATTCTTTTCCCTACCCATGTTTCATCTAGCAATGGGAATAAAAATCTCCAGCTTAATTTTACCCCTTCGAACATGCCTGTATTTATGAAATAAGGACAAACACAAGTAGTTTTCACCTTTGAATTCTTAAATCTCAGCTCAGATCTTAAAGCTTCATCTAGCCCAACAGCAGCGAACTTGGAAGCACAATAATCAACGAGACCTCCAGTTCCTGATAGCCCTGCAGCTGAAGCGATTGTGACGATATGGCCTTTATCAGCTGCAATCATTGCTGGCAAAAATTCTTTAAGTGTATAAAAGTGAGAAATTACATTGACTTTCATTGTTCTTTCCATAACTTCGAGAGAGGTCTCTGTAAATGATTTTCCTGAGACTATTCCGGCGTTGTTGATTAGGATGGTTGGATCTCCGAATTGCTGTTTAGCTGTTTCAGCTGCTAGAGAGACTGAAGCCCTGTTAGTGACGTCACAATGGACAGCGATAGTCTGGTATCCCTTGCCATTGAGCTCATCTCTTAATGCATTTGCAGCCTCTAAGTTGATATCAGCAATAATCACTTTAGCTCCCAAAGCAGCCAAATTTTTCGCTAATTGTTTTCCGATTCCAGAAGCTGCTCCGGTTATAAAAGCAATTTCGCCTTTTATAGCCTTTCCTTGCCCTCTGACAACTTTTTTCCCAAACTTATAAATTAATAGCGAGGAAACTGCTCCAGCAGCGATTAATCCTTTAGTCCCTAAGACTTCTTTTGCCCGGTCGAAAAATTCTTTTGCTTTATTTGTGGCAGCTTCCATATTTTTTATACTTAATTTTGGAGATTACTTCTTTCAGGTTTTCCTTAAATATGGTGCTTTAAAGGCATTTTTTTATTTTACTTTAACAATAAATTTGCTTATTGTATTTAAACTTGTTCCTGAAATATCTAATCTTTGCATACAAGGAATTTTTATGTCTTTGCTTTTTTTATCCCCTCAAGATCTTTAGTATCTATTTTATCTTAAGATCTCTTAAATCATATTTTAAGGTTATTAAGATTGATGAGAAAAGAAAATTTTAACTTTATTGGGATAGTTGATATATAACTATGTGATAATGCATAGGGATATTTCGTATGAACACTACTAGCGTCAAATAAATTTTGATAAGTTGGAGATTGAGCACATTTGGTCTCCACATGACAAATTTATGTTAATAGCACTCTAATGAATTTTTAGCATATTAAGTTTACTTATATAAATAATCCTAAACCACACTTAAATAGGTTTAATGCGCTTTATTTATTTTAACTTAAGCATATTTGCTAACAGCATTCAGCTTTGAGCATGTTTCTTCTAGCAGTGATAACAACGTCTCTTCTGAAGTCTCTCTGTCTTTCCTTTCTTGATCAAGCTCTGCTTTTATCCTCGACACCACATCTCTAACCATTGCGAGTAGGGCTTCCTCTGTTTCCTCTCTAGCTTTTCTTTCCATGCCTAGTGTATTATTTAGTTCCCCTAAATCAATTTGCATTTTTTTCATCAAATTTGCTTCTAATTCTTCTCTTTCCCTCACTGAATTCTCCACAAATTCATAAAGTTTCGGCAGATCCTTACTAAAATATAATTTCGCTTCTCTTTCTGCTTCTTCACGCTGACGAATTTCTCTTAAAAGTTCATTTTTGATGCTCTCTATTCTTTCGTCAATAAGTCTTTGGGAGCGAATTTCATTCTCTTTTCGTGAGTTTCCAGCTTTTACAATAATTTCATGCATGCGGTTCTGGATTTCCGATAGTTCACGTGATTTTACTTCGAAAAAGGCTTCACGTGTAGACCGTTCTTCATCAAGGGCTTTTTGGATTTTTAGGAGGTTGTCTTTTAAGGAGCCGAATTTCTTGGTGCTTTGTTCTTGGGATTCAAAAAGTTGCTCTTCTATTGTTTGAAGCTTTTTATCGATTGAATCTAAGCGAGATGTGCGATCCCCTTCGAGGGAGGTTTGGATTGAACTGAGCTTGGAAGATAGGCGATGAATTCGATCTCTGAAAGATGATTCAGAATGGTTTTTGCTCATATTTTAAGAAACGGATTGGATAAATAGAAGAGAAATATGATAATATCAAATATTGATACCATTAGGGATAAATGTTTGAATTATTGAATAATTATCATTATAAATTCATATAACTTGAAAATTTATTTTAGGTATATGAATGAATAGCAAAATTGCAATTTTTTGAATTTATTTGACTATGTGAGATGAAATAAGCTATTAATTTTAGAACTTTAAGTTGTTCTGATTTCGAAAAAGTAAAAAAAAATTTATGATGGACAATTTATATATGCGTTTAATGTATGTTGTTTAAAAAAGGTTATATTCATAACTAAAAAAAACATAGGTAGGATGCGAATAACATATACATATTTCTTTATTAAAATGAATTATTGGCATTCCATCATAAATTATTAATTGGAAGTATATTTTAATCATTTATTTTCAAAAATAGCTTATAAAAAAATTTTCAAAGTTTCTAGATAATTCCTAATCGTATGCATTAGCAATTCAAACTAAATTCTAAGCCTGCGTTAACTAATAGATATTCCAAATAAAAATACTTTCCACTTCATCCTCATTTACTGAATCCATTTACCTTGCTATGAGTTATTAATTTACTTCGCCAGCTATTGAATTGTGTGGTTTCTCCATTTTAGTGATCGTTTTTCACACTTTTTTCAATTGTTATAATAATTTTAATGCAAGATATTGCTCAATGAATTTCATATGCAAGCTCCTTAACCTCAAACAAAAGTAACTTCTTATCCAATATTGAGCCCCTGAAAGAAGCTTTGATTTCTGTCGAAGAAATTTTATCACAATCAAAAATCAATCTTAATGCTTTAATGATTTCTGAAAATATCAATGAGTTATATTTACAAAGCCAGATAGCTCATGTGCAATTACTAGCAAAAATCCTTTTCCGGAAACGAAGAGCAATGATTATATGATGTATAAAGAGATGTATCAAGGGTATACAAAAGTATGATATGCACTTCGTCAATAATGGATTACTATATAATAATGTGAAATTTAGATTTAAACAGAACAAAGAAGTCGAAGTGATTTGTGCGGATATTTTAAATACAATTGAATTTGAAAAAGAAATTCCAAAAACAATTGAAGAAAATGAAAACACTGAAAGACTCAAGAGATGCGCTGAAAAAGTATTAAGACATATAAGAAAAGAAAATGATGCTGATCGGAATCAAATTATGATAAAAGTTTCAGCATAAAACTAGTAAATAAGATGGTATAATGATAGGAGGATATATATTCAACTATTATTGTACTTATTTTGAAATAAAATAGGATTAAATATGAAAAATAAATTTGTATCTTTTTGATATCCAAAAATAAATTTCATATTAAATTTTACATAATAGAATACTTTATCCTGCTTAAATCAGCTATATAAAATTTATTTTTAGCTTAATAGTTTTAGTCCTATTGAATTTTTACTTCGGATAATTAACAATATCACCCTTATTTAATAATAGCATATAGGTAACTGATTATTACAGTATTATAAAGCTTTCCAATATGGGAAATTGTGTTGACGACTACAAAACCAAGGTTGAAGTTATTCCTGAACAAGAGATAGCTCATAATGATTTTAAGCTAGAAATAAAATCATTAGAGCAATACAGTTATCAAGGAGAATCACAGACAGAACTACTTAATTCAATTATTTCAAGCCAATTACTGATGAGTCAAGTAATTTTTATACAGAGGGTTGATCAGTTTCGGAACCAATATAGACAATACTGTCGAAAAAGAAAAACTTTAGAAGCTAAAAGATCTGAAGAAGACCTTTCTGGGTCAAGCACCTTACTTAAAGTAAAATCTCTTCAATTTTAAGTATTTGTGGTAACTTTTAATATAATAATAGCGATCAGAAGTTTTAAGAAATCGCTTAATTTCTTATAAAATTTTGAGGTCGAGAAATAGTTAATATAAGAAATAACTTTATGGTGAATCAGAAATAGTTTATATAAGAAATAACTTAACGGTGAGTCAGAAATGATACTAAACGAATATGATGAGTTAATAAAATACAATAAATTTAAATTTAATTTATTAGCCAATTAATTTTTATTCGAATTAGTATTAAATTTATTATGCATTTAAATTTGATTTTAAAATATTTGCTTCAATTGTAATAATTTTATTGATTTCTCAACTCAAAGCACCTTATATTTATTTTCACCTTGAAAATCTTAATATATAATTAAATTATCTCATAATCTTATAATTTTAATCATTCTTATAATTTTTATTAATATCTATGCATCTCTTGATATTTTCTTTCAATTTGTCTCATTCTTTTAAGTTTTCACCACCAAACATATAAAATATGGACAGGTATCAATTAGCGACTAGTCTCTTAGGTTTATGGGACGAGAAAACCTGGATGCCAATCTTTAGAGGTCCAAGATATCGCCGCTATCAATCAATTGACAAGATGATGGATCTTATAGAAATTGCTGGCAAATCAGCGCCAGTCTTCCCTGTTGAAGCAGTTCTTTTAAACCCAATGGATGATGAGTGGGATGATCAGATGACATATATCAATATCAACTACGGCTGGATTTGGAGTCATATTTTTGTCCACCTCGGCCTTCCATTGAGCGTTTACATATACAACCACAACTTGATTCACTACAATGTTCATTATCGTGCTCTCAAATGGTTCTTGCCTTTAGTTATGGTCTGGCAATTCGAAAAATGCTACAAATATTACAGAACTCAGCTCACAAAAGGAATTTTATTTGATGAATATGTTCAGGCAAGAGCTGACGAGCTAATTGCCCAAAGAGAACATCTGCTCCATACAGACCAAGTTAAAAGATACCTAAATTGGCAAATTGACTACAAAGAAACACTCAATACCATTAAAAGAGAACAGACCAACAACCATGCTAGCGATTTCAAGCAGGCAGAACTTGCCTTACAAGCTTTTATCAATAGATGGGTCGACCCTGCTGTCGGAATCAAATACCCACTGGCTGGCCCACGCTATCAATGGGGTGGATTTTAAAAATTTAAGCTTAAGAAATGCTTGGAAATTAGACATTAAAAAACTGAATTTAATAGAAAACTTGGTTTTGCAGTTATCTTAAACTTAAGAAAAGACGACTGTACGATTCGTCATTTACAGGCCATGGGAGAATATCGATTCCTTCTGAATAATATTCGTCCATAGTGTCCTCTGGCAGGAATTTACTAAGCGCTTCCAGATTCTTTTTCAAATTATCCTGTATTTTTTCTATTGCTTTATGTCTTTCCTTATGTCTCCCACATCCGGTATATTTAACTTTTCTCACATCAGGGTTGGCTCTAACTAAGTATTCAACTTGTTCCATCGAGGCATGAATATTTTCATACATTTCGTTGTCCGTGTTCTCTTCAGTTGAGGATGCATCAGAATTCAACTCTTCTATGCTTATTTCTCTATTATAATTTTACCTCTTATCCCTGGCGTAAATATTACTTCACTCTTTTTAAGTTTTTTTACCTTTTTAGCCTGCGGTAATACTTCGATATTTCTTTTCACCATTATATGAAGACTACTATCAAGCCTATGCGTTAAAATACGTATTTTCTATTAAAATGGGAAATTCAAGCAGCGAAAATTCCCAAAATTCATCATTTGAAGACGACAGATTTACCCCAGAAACAGAGTTTACACCAGCATCTTTTATTCCAACGTCATCTGGAAATTGGCATACTGTAGGATTAGCTGTCACCAGAAGGTCAAATTATGTTCAACAAGTTGGTTATATGAAATGTGCAAAAATTAAAGATCCACCGACAATCAAAGAAATTTATTTCGATTGTCCGAATTGTAAAGTGAAACTATTTGATGGAGGGCTATGCAAAAAAGTATATTGTGAATGCGGGAAAACTTATGAAAGAAATGATGAGGATGAAATTTTTGAATCAGAGGGAAATAGACAGAGGGATTTTAGAGATTTGTTTAGGGAAATTAATAACGTGCCATCAGTGACGTATATACCTGAACTGGTTAGTATTTCATTTGGATTATTCCGAGAAGGCGCACCTGCAGAATTTATGATCGGTGGAAGAGCTAATTTTCCAACAATTTTTACGTATTATTTAGCGCCTTTTTTTACAGCACGGCTAAGATGCTTACTCCCCCCCCCCCTCCGTGAGCGAACAAAACCATTAGAAAAATCGCCATTTTTTGACCAAAAACCCCACCCTCCGTGAGTGAACAAAAATTTGTTTAATAGAAAAAATTTAATGGAAAAAAATTTTGATATATAAGTGATAATTAGTATAATGAAATCTAGAGCTAATTCTGTTTAATTTTAAACAAATTGCGTTTTAAAACATAAATTTTGCAAATTAAATTAATATTTGCTTCCCAATTTTTGCAAATTAGGATTTTTTTTAAATTTCGAAAAAAATATTTTTTATAAAATTTATATATAAATTTTTTTAAAAAAAAAAATTAACCCCCCTCCGTGAGCGAACAAAATTTTTTTGTTCGCTCACGGAGGGGGGGGGGGGAGGGAGTTAGGAATTGGAGAATATTTTTCATATGGAGAAACAAAATTTAAAGTCCTAGGCTCATTCCCTAGTTTTGGAATTATTACAGAATCGACTGTCATTTACTGCTCAGAAATTTTGACAGAAAACCCAATAAATCGTGTGCAGATTTTGCCAACAGTTTTTTCAACTCTTAGTCATGACATTTCAGGTGAAATTACTAGTATTCTTAAATATAAACATTTACACACTGGAGAATATTTATTTATTAATTCAAACGAATATATAGTCACAGCTTCGCAGCCAACTGATGGAGTAATTGACCCAAGGACGCAGTTTTATTATGAAGGAGATCCTTTGGAGCCAATCCAAACAGTAAATATGATCCCTTATTTAGAAGACTTAACATTTTATTATCAAGCGTTATCTCGTTCACATTTAATTGAAGAAATTTTATGTGATTTTATATTACCGTGGGCACAAGGCTTCAGACGTGTTATATCAAAAAACCAAATAATTACTATAGATGGCATAGGATTTCTTATCAATAATTGTTGGCCTGAGCGAGGAATTATAGTAGATGAAACTCTTATAATATTTGATGGGTCTATGGCTCGTCGCTATTCTTCAGATCCACCCCAAATAATGTTTTCAGGAGGAAACATTTATGTGAGGAGAACTCAAATGTCAGAAGATCCTATGGTAGTTTTAGCAAGGCATCTATTAAGTATGCAGCAGGCAATGGGGCAAATGGGAGCTCCTGAGTTAAATGGTGCAGCTGATGAAAATATACAGAGCTTGCCTACACACATTATGCAAACTCTCCCACAGGACCCTGAAGCTGCAAAATGCATGGTATGCTTGTGTGGATATGAAATAGGAGAAGAAGTAAGAACTCTGCCATGCTTTCATATGTTTCATGTTAGGTGTGTGGATGAATGATTAAGAAGAAGTGCCCTGTGTCCGCTCTGTAAGACTTCGATAGATACAAATTAATAATTTTAAATATGTCTGCTCAAGAGATCGAAGAATTAAGAAGATCTCTTGAAATTTTAGATGAAAATTCAATTGAAGGGGTTAAGCAAAAAGCAGAAGAGCTAATAGTTGTGCTTATAACGAGCTTTTTGGAGAGCTTAGAAATGAAAGAAGTTGCTGATTATTTTTTACACATTTTACGACAACTGATTTTGCATGTGAAAGACAATGTTTTACCTAAAATGAAGGAAGATCCTGATTTTTCAAATGGGCTATATAGATATTTACTTGAGTCAAAAAGCTTGTCAGGAGATGCTCTAGGTTGTTTAGGCGAGATTTTTAGTCTGGAATTAATTAATGATTGTCAAAGCATAGAGGAAATTACAAATAAGCTGCTTGATTCTTTGGAGACTTCAGAAGAATCTCAGTACAATAGCATAATTGATTTATTAGTGGTTATAGCTACTGAATCGCCTCTGAATTTTCTTAATCAATGCTCATCCCATAGGAACTCAAGATATTTTGGAGAAGAACTTCTTCAGTTACTTAATAGGAGTACTGACTCCTCCCCCTCCGTGAGTGAACAAAACCATTAGAAAAAATTGCCATTTTTTGCCCAAAAACCCACCTCCGTGAGTGAACAAGAATTTTTTTAATAGAAAACATTTTTTATGGAAAAAAATTTTGATATATAAATGATAATTAGTATAATGAAATCTAGAGCTAATTCTGTTTAATTTTAAACGAATTGCATTTTTAAAACATAAATTTTATAAATTAAATTAATATTTGCTTTCCAATTTTTGCGAATTAGGATTCTTTTAAATTTCGGAAAAAAAATTTTTTATAAAATTTATATATAAATTTTTTAAAAAAACAAAAAATTAACCCCCTCCGTGAGTGAGCAAAATTGTTTTGTTCACTCACGGAGGGGGGGGAGTGAGAGTTTAATGGTGAAATATCTAAATTGCATTCAAGGGCTAATAGAGCATCAAGTGTCCTTTTTTTATTCCAATGATTTGAAAATTCTCTGCGATATTATTATACAAGGACTTGAAAATACTTCTGACTTATCTTTAAGAAAAAAATTGTTAGATACATATGATGCACTGGAAATTAATGAAGATTTCTTGTCATTGAATCATAGAGTTGAAGAAGCAAAAGAGATTGCTGACTTGGCCAGGCAGTCTTTAGGTGAAGCCGAAAAAGTCAAAAGACAAAGTATAATTGAAACCTTAATTAATGGTTAAAAACTCTCTTTATATCTTTCAAATTATGCATTATCTCCCTTCTAATAATAATTACTAATTGTTAGTCTAATATGCAAGAATTCAGTAACAATTTTAATATAAAAATGATTATCATTATTGATTGTTTTCCATTTTTTTATTCAGAAATATAATGAGTAGTTATTAGAAATTTATAGAAATGTTTAGGCTTTTATTTTGGATGAATTTTAATTAAAACATTTAAAAAAAGTTATTTAGGATTCCATTAAAACCCTAATTCCAAATTGGATAAAAATTAAATTTAAAATTGTAAAATTTTTAAATATCTGCCATTTATCTTTTTTCAATGTCATTATATCATTCAACACTCAAACCAAGAATATATCTTGGATTCATTTGATTTATGCTTCTTATTGCAATAAATTTAGCACTATATGATAAATTACTCAAGCGAGCCTCTTTAAAAAGCAAATTAAATAATATATCAATTAATTTTATGTCTTACTCTATCTTAAATAATTCAGTGTCTTACTCCTTTGAAACTGCTGATCTTTTGGCCTTATTTCTTGGAAAATATTTAGAAACCCAATTTTCCTCTCAATTCCTGGAGAATCATCCAATTCTTTTTTAAGGTCAGATAAAGCATCATTCACTCCTTCAAAACCAGATTGTGCATATATGTAAGGTAGGTATTTAAGTGTTTTTACAACTTTATGATTGCCTAGATATTCATTTGAAGATCCTATGCATGCATTGCAACTTTCTATCCTAGGCCGAGTCCTTCTTAAAGGTGGTAACTTTATTTGTTCGGAAAATCGCCTATAGTCATCTTGGATAGATTTTTTAGGAGAAGGGATTTCAATTTTTGACCTGCGATCCATTGCTAAACTTGTGGGAACACATAAAGTGTATGACCGAGGTAATTTGAACTTAAGTTCAAGCATATTTAATTGACACCATGCAATTCAAGGATTTATTACTAAAATAATAAAAAATTTTAAAGCAAGTCTTGGCATTATGCTTATGGTGCATTAAATTCATTATTTTTGAGAAATTAATATCAGTGACTGAGATTTATAAAAAAAATATCATAAATTTTAGCAAGTGCTTAGAGATATCCATGTGTGTGTGGAGGATCTTTCTACGCCTGGAAATAGTTTCCAAAGATGAACCCTGCAATTTTAAATATCTTCTGATGCGGAATTTTTTCCAGGTGTGGAATGATCCTCCACATGTGGATTGCTCTAAGCAATTACAGCAAAAGTTTTAAAATGAATAAAAAAAAGGTCATTTATTCAGCGAAATATTATTTGATCAGAATTTTTGATAGATATAATTGCCCTAAAAATTTAGTCGAAATTTTTGACTTTAGCAATTGCTCTGAAAAATAGATAAAAATCATATGAAATTTTGCATTATTAATATATTTCAACTAAATCTCCGATAAACTGTCACCTTATAAAAGCTTTCCATTCAAAAACATGATCCCTTTATCAAATCATAAATTCTGCAAAATATTTAGAATAAATAAAAACAATATGCTAATCAAATTGCAGTGCCTTTATCATAGTATTCATAATATTTGCATTTGGTTAAAATTTCTTCAAAATATCTCAATTGTTTTATGATTTATTTTAATGTTCTATTATTTATTTTTTACTTAATAAATGCTTTTACTTATTCATAGTGCTTCTCCTTGCTAATTCGAATTGGAATTTATTATATTTTAATCCATTAAGATGGGAAATTGCAACCTTCGAATGGACAACTATGATCCTACAGTTAGCTTAAATCGACAAAATTTTCAATTCCAATATCCAATAGGTAAAGGAGGCTTTGGTAAAGTCTGAAAAGTCATTCAAAAAAAGTCAAAATCCTCATATGCACTAAAAGAAATGCTCAAATCTCGAATTATTGCTAAAAGATCTGTGAATTCTGTTATGAACGAGAGACGACTATTGTCAATTCTCAGGCATCCATTTATAGTTAATATGCAGTATGCATTTCAAGATCGTGAAAATTTATATTTAGTGATGGATTTAATGCCAGGTGGTGATCTTCGTTACCATCTAAGCAAAGTTCGTAAATTTTCTGAAGAACAAACAAAATTTTTTGTTGCATGCTTAGTAATTGCATTCGAGTATCTTCATAAAAGCAACATAATTCACAGAGATATCAAGCCAGAAAATATCGTTTTGGATGAAGCTGGATATGCACATTTGACAGATTTTGGGATCGCCAGAGTTTTTCAGCCTGAAAACTCTAACGAAACCTCAGGAACTCCTGGATATATGGCTCCAGAAGTATTATGCCGTCAAAATCATGGGTTTGCAGTTGATTATTTTGCTTTAGGTGTTCTTGCATATGAATTTATGACTGGAAAAAGACCCTATTTAGGGAGGGATAGAAAGGAAATAAGGGATGCAATTTTGGCAAGGCAGGTTCAGCTAAAGCGGAGTGACATCCCAGAAGGGTGGTCACTTGAAGCTATTGATTTTATTAATAAACTAATACAAAGAAAACCTCAAAACAGACTAGGATCGCTGGGTATCGAAGAAGTTAAAGAGCATGCATGACTCAGAGATGTACAATGGGATAAATTGTTTGATAAAAATATAAAAATACCATTCACACCTCCTGATGCTGATAATTTCGATAGCAGACAAGTTATGAATGGATGAAAAGATGATATTACTAATAATTCAAGAGAAAATTCTAATCAAAATCTATTTAACGGTTATTTTTATGACATGAATTTGCATAGTGAAGGAATCAATCTTACAACTGATTCTTCAAAGATAATTGACGAAACAGGAAAGTTGGCGTCTTTCCAGTGGCTCCTATTCAGGCCATCCTCAAAAACCCTTCCTGGCGAGAAAATGGAAACTCAGAGCGACGACAGCGGTAGCAGGAGGCGAGAAACCCGTAGGAGACGTTGAAAGCTATAGATATATAGGATTCTTCAAAGATAGAGAAAAAAATAAAATTATAGATAACTGCGGGTGCTTATATGGCAGGAGTACTAATAAATATTAAACAAATTAGAGAAGTTGAAATAAATAAAACTAATGAATTCGTGATAATAGGTTAATAATTGAGTTACTCTGTTAAAATTAATTATTTAACTATATGCATAACTTCTTTAAGAATATCATCTATATAATTTCTGGGCTTTTCAGATTCTTCAATGAATTTTTGATTTATATCTTCAAATTCTTTTGTATCTAAACTCTTACTTAGAGACAGAATTTCCCAGTAGGTCGTATTTTAGATCACTAGTAGCCTCTATTGTCGCTCCGCTATATGCTTGTCAGTCCAGAAACTGATTTCCGCTTTGTTGCTCCTCACTAAAGAGCTTGCACTCTCTGAGAGTTGGAAACTCTTGGTCACCATACTGTGCGTTAGAAAGATTAGCTTCCAGAAAATTAGAAAAATAGAATTTTCTGGTCATCTGATAGCTAAAACGAAAAGCTCAAAGCTCAGGACGCAGAGTCTGGTATTGTACTGAGAAGCATGCCTGATTGGCAAAGAAACCCACTTTTGGCATCTGGGGAATATATTTCCAACTATTATATTTCCTTTCCCTACAGATAAAAAACTATTTCGACATGGCATTGATACAAGAAAAACTCCAGCATTCCCGAACGCCTTCCTCTCTATCACAAGGACACCAGCTCTTCCAACGAGACTGCTAGCTACAGGTATTATAAGAGTTAGCAGTTCGCCGCACTATTTAATTTATATTTGCTTCTAAACTCAAATCATAATTAAATTTCCATCCTAATTTTTGCAGTAGATTAGCCTTTTCAAATATCTCTTTTTCTTCTGTAAATTTTTTATATTTTTCATCTGCTTCTATGATGGCTTTGTTTATTGTATCAAGGATCTCCTGGCTTTTTATAACTTTTTCATTGTGCTGTTCCATCATAGTTTTTGCTAATTTTTTCATTGCATTATCAACTGCTTTTTGAATTTTTATTCTAGCTTCTTTATAACTTTTAGTATGTTTTTCTGTTAGTTCATCAATTATTTCTATTTCCCATTGAATTTGGCTAAAAATTGCTTCATAATTAGAAATACAAGTGGTTAATTTAAGTTCAGTTTCACTAATCGATTTCTCTTTTTCATCAACAATAATAGCAAGTTGTCAATCAGAAAGTGAATATAGTTCATGATTTACATGAGATTTTATACAGTCGAAACATAATAGAGTATGATCAGTTTTACAGTAAAGTCCCGCTTCTCTATTATGTAGCTCGCAAAATTCAACGTGCTTATAAGCTTTATTCACTTCATATATTGAAAAATTGGTAGGAATATTGAATATTGACCTCCTCTCTTGTTTTTTGCATAGAGGGCATGCAATTAGCCCTAAGTTGTTAATGCTTTGCAAGCAATCATTACAAAGTGTGTGGCCACAACTTAAAATTTTAGGAATAAAGTCACGCTCATCATAAGCATTTAAGCAGACAGGGCAAGATATTTTTGATGTAAAAACTACATGGGCTTCCGTATTTGACACATTACTAACCAAAACTGGTATTTTATTCTGTTCTGGTGCGATCTGATGTTTATCAAAACCAAAGTTTTGTGGAGAGTCTATTGAAATTTCATTATTTATGCTACATTGAAAAGCTCTGTTAATTTGCTTTTCTTCAGTTTGCGAGGCAGCATCTACTTTGAAATTTCTAAAGTCGGAGCTTATTTGATCTGCTTGCATTTTTTTGATTTAAAATATTATATTCATGCCAATTTAAATAATTTAGCATATATCAATGCATTCAGATTTTTTTTATATTAAAAATAAAGCATAATTTTTTCTTCAATTTTTTTCATGTGCATTTCATTCAATCCATATATTTTAACATTTTGCAAGCTCTCATTATCCTTATGATGATTTTTGATTTTGATTTCACAAGCGGAATCAGAATTTTTTGTTTAAAAATAAAATATTCAAAAGATTCTCGGATATAAATTATGGCTATTAGAAATCAAATACTGACGTCGACCTTTTTTTGATTTTTTATAACTAATTATTTAGTGTATTCGAAGATGGAGAAAAGCCTATTTATGCTGCTACGACGAGCAGCATAAATGGGACTCTCAGAATTCGTCAAATGGAAATTTAACCTCAGCACAACCATCAAGCAGCTCTTTTGCTTTGCCTTAATACTTTATCTTATCAATCTAATTATTGGAGTCTTAATTTTAAATTAAGATAGAGAAATGAAATTGCTAAATAATTATTTATCCATGCATATGGCAATATATTATATCATTTGCATTAATTTTTAATAATGATATAAAAATAATATAACTGTTACCAGATTTTACTAAAAATAAGAAAAGTTCTAATTATTATTAAATTTAGAGAGTTGATTATATTAAATCCTTAATTAGATTCGTGCATTTTATATTAAAAATTGTTATGTAATTGAATCAATCATTGCAATGTTGTATATCTAATTTATGAGATTTCCGTTTTTCTTTATATCATTTGAAGGAGCTCTACCATCACTTTTTTTGATAGATTCTCAAAATTCGGCAGCTTTACCACAATTTCAAAGTGCTCCATCGCATATTCCATGCACACCCTCTTAAGCTCCGTAGCATGATGAATTTCCGCCAAACAAATAAAGTCAATCAAATTTTCCAGCGAAATGATCTGCGCCATATAATTTTCACACAGATTTTTAAGCCTTTTCAATAAAAACATATTTGCAGCTTCTAGCAATCTCGGAGCTAAATCATCATCTAGATCGACCCAATCAGTATAAATAAACACAAGAACCGCATTAAACACTTCGTAAGAAATATTTGGTATCTCTATAACAGACTCTATAGACTCCCTTAATCCACTAGTCAGCATAACTTTGAAATGCTCACATCGTGTGTATAAAATATTTTTATGTGCTTTTATTTCTCTTCCTTCTACAATAAAAGTTATATCTGAAAATGTTGAAGAGTCTAATAAATTTTTCATATTTTGGACTAGTTCGCTTTCCCTTATATTTGTTTGGCGCTCCATAAGATTAAGATTAAGATTAAGATTACGCTGGGTATTTAAGGTCCCTACTACGTCCGAGGTCGCATGCCACGGTTTCCCGTGTGGTGGCAGAGCGTTCACCAAGCCCGGGCCGAAACCCCCAGTTTCTCGGTAGAGGTATTGTCAAGGGCCGTCTTATACCGGCTTTGCTGACCACCTCCATTTCCAACTTGGATCGTCGCCTAAGTTTACGCCAACTCCGCTTCGTCGTCCGCCAGATCTGCCCATTGAAGGGCACCTTTTTCAACTGGAGAGACCCCCGTCTCGATGTCTAACTCGCCTCCCCTCTTTTCCGGTCATCCCGAGAAATAACTCAACAGCTTTCGCGATTCGGGGCGAGCCACTAAAGCAGCTTAGGCAGGTAATTCACCCTGCCTCATTTCGGGCACTCACTGGGCTGAGCGCTGCTGGCAAAAAGAAGTCACGAATAACTGCCCATGGGTCTGGTCGCAAAAACAGCGGTTCTCGCGCTTAGGCCTCTCGCTTCGAGGTCCCGGACGTTGTTGGGCTAATTCCTGGCTCCAAAAACCATGCCCGGATATACATGGGTAACCACCACTGGGAGGGTGGGTCGGTCGCCATACGCCATTTTATGTATATGTTTGGCGCTCCATAATAGGAAGGATGTGTAAATCGTTAAAACTTCTGTCACAGTCATTTCCACCGAACACAATAATTTTTCCTTGGTAAAAATTTGAAGTGTGGCGGCACCTGGGCTCTGGGACTTCTCCTTCATAAGAGATTTCTGGGATAATTCACTGCTGAGTTACAGTATCAAATGAGCAAGTATCATTTAGCCATTCTGTGCCATCATATCCTCCGAAAAAATAGATAGCTTTATTGATAAGACAGCTTGTCGTAGAAACCCTAGGAGAAGGAGGCAGCATGCAACCGTGGAAATTGATTTGCTTTCAGTTATAAATTTTAGTATCTAGAACATACATATCATTAAGCTGGCGATGTCTGTCTGGCTCTCCGCCAAAAACGTATATAAATCTGCCTACACTTATAGCAGTATGCTGCAATCTTCCTGGAGGAATATGGCCTGAAGCTTGGCATGACCTTCATTCTAGTGTGTTTAAGTCTAAATAGCTTAAATCATTAAGTCATAATTTTCCATCGCCCCCTCCAAAAACAAACATCTTAGCTCCTATTACATTTGCGGTATGAAATTGGCGTCGCGTTGCTTCGCCTCTTGGCTTTATTTCTTGCCATTCAGGATTTCTGATTCCCTCTGATAGATCTAGGAAATGAGCATCATTCAAAAGCTTGGAACCATTTCAGCCTCCATAAATGATATGCCTTATTATACTGAATTCTGCACCATGATCCCAAAAATATTATTAAAATATTTTCTGCAAATTTAGCACAGAAATAATAATAAGTTTTCCATATAAAGCTGCTGTGTGTCCCGTACGGGGCTCAGGGGGATTTCCTCTAATTTGTATATCAGACAGCCATTCTTTATTTTCTAGATCCAACGCATGAATATCATTGATAAGGCGCTTGTGGCCTTCTCCTTCTTTTCCTCCAAAAATAATCATATAGTAGTTTAAAAAATAAGATTAAGATTAAGATTACGCTGGGTATTTAAGGTCCCTACTACGTCCGAGGTCGCATGCCACGGTTTCCCGTGTGGTGGCAGAGCGTTCACCAAGCCCGGGCCGAAACCCCTGGTTTTCTCGGTAGAGGCATTGTCAAGGGCCGTCTTATACCGGCTTTGCTGACCACCTCCATTTCCAACTTGGATCGTCGCCTAAGTTTACGCCAACTCCGCTTCGTCGTCCGCCAGATCTACCCATTGAAGGGCACCTTTTCAACTGGAGAGACCCCGTTTTGGTGTCTAACTCGCCTCCCCTCTTTTCCGGTCATCCCGAGAAATAACTCAACAGCTTTCGCCATTCGGGGCGAGCCACTAAAGCAGCTTAGGCAGGTAATTCACCCTGCCTCATTTCGGGCACTCACTGGGCTGAGCGCTGCTGGCAAAAAGAAGTCACGAATAACTGCCCATGGATCTGGTCGCAAAAACAGCGGCTCTCGCGCTTAGGCCTCTCGCTTCGAGGTCCCAGATGTTGTTGGGCTAATTCCTGGCTCCAAAAACCATGCCCGGATATACATGGGTAACCACCACTGAGAGGGTGGGTCGGTCGCCATACGCCATTTTATGTATATCCATATAGTGGTTAAAAATAGTCGATGTATGGCAATTTCGGGTACTTGGAGGGGTTCCTTTTACCTCAGTCCAAAGTTTTCACTGTTTTGATTTATTTGTAATCATGCTTCTAATATGAATAAAATTAATTTATTTTAATTACAAAGCTATTTAAATAATTCAAAATTATTTTACTTACCTAAAATGAATATTCAGCTACGAATAGCCATTATTTGCCTTAATAATAAATTAAAGGACGCCTGATCTGAGCAATTCCAATATAGGATTATTCCATTTCATATCTCTAACATTTCATTTCGATAGCAAATAATTTATAAATTATGGCGAGCTTGAATAGAAGAATCCAAAAAGAAACTGAACGCTTGACAAATGACCCAGTCATCGGCATTTCAGCTCACGCAGACCCTGCGAATCCAAGATATTTCCACATCCAAATAGCAGGCCCTGTCTCTTCTCCCTACGAAGGAGGCATTTTTGAGCTCGAGCTCTTCTTACCTGACGAATACCCTATGTGTCCTCCTAAAGTCCGCTTTTTGACCAAAATCTATCACCCCAACGTGGACAGGCTCGGAAGAATTTGCTTATCCCCCCTCCGTGGTTAGCAAAAAGATTTTATATGAGGGATTTTTTTTAAAAAAAATTAATTACATTTTATAGTAAATTGTTTTTTCAAAATTTAAAAAAAGCAAAGAATAATTCAATTTAGAATATTTATGCTTAAAATACAAGCTGTTTATTATCAAACAGAATTAGCTAGAGATTTCATTATAATAGTTATCACTTATATATAAACATTTTTGTCTCACGGAGGGAGGTGTTTACCTGACAAATAGGATTTTCCAATAGTTTTGTTCGCTCACAGAGGGAGTTAGACATTCTAAAGGACAAATGGTCCCCAGCACTCCAAATAAGATCAGTTCTACTGAGCATCCAAGCCCTAATGAGCTCTCCAAATCCTGATGACCCTTTAGATCCCCAAATTGCAAGACACTGGGTAGAAGATGAAGCTGGAGCACTGAGAGTCGCAACAGACTGGTGCAGACAATATGCTCGCGGATAAGGTAATAAAACAATAAATAATTTCTTTAAAGAGATGAGGCAAGCTTATTTTGCTGATTTAGTTTTTCCAAAAATGGAATCGTGTTAATAAGCATGGGAAATTATTATCTCTTCATTATTGTAGACTAAGTTATATTATTTTTTCTGTATATTTTAAAGCTTGTGTATTATTTTTAAATTAAATAAGGAATAAATAAAAGGATACTAGCATAAAATCAATCCAAAAAAGCATAAAAAAATGAGCACAGAAAGAACTCAACCAAAAACTCTCCCCATCCAGCTGAAAATCCCTCGACTAAAAATAGGAATAATAGAGAAAAAGATGAAAGAAGAAATAGACTTAAACGAAAGTGATCTTTTGAGAAAAAGTGGCCATCCGCAATCTCCAACTGATTTTTCAAGCTTTTCACAGACCAGTAAAACTTTGAGATCTATAAACCGGATAAATAGAGAGCATTTAAAAGATTTTTTGTCTGCTGATCGAAAAAGAAATCTAATTATCGCAAAAACGTGCAGAGATGTTTCACATTTAAAGGATAAACACCAGATAATAAAAAATATAGTTAAGCTTCCAGATCTGTCTGGAGGCAATGCATATTAATAAAATGGTTACGTGCGGAAGTTATTGTCTTCGATAGCCTTCATAACCGCGATATCTATTATTATAGGGTTTAGTCATTCATGTGGGCCTTTATCCACATGTACCAATACGGAAGTACTGCACAGGCCAAAGACCCTACATTACTGCCTGGCACACCAGAGGGGGTGGCCTTTAGGTGGAGCTCGCACTGGAGTTAGATTCAGGCAAGATCAAACGCGACTAGTGAAGACTTTCTGCCTCGTAGGTGGGATCTTCTGAAATGCTTGCAAGATAGGATAGCAGCTAATTTCTCCACTTGGGAGTTAAAAAGGATTGGCTTTGGTCTAAGCATCCTGCTGAACACATTAAAATCTAAATAACTAGCAACAGTCGAGGCAAGGCAGCTACTCAGGTCTTGCCGATTTCCCCAGAGCATTTAAAAAAGTTCATATATTCAGTAGAGAAGTTAGGACTTCCAGCTGCAAGCCCTAGAGGAATCATGACAGGACTGGGTTGCTCAAAAGAAAAATGTTTAGAAAAAGTCGTTTCGACAAATGTAAACAACGTTTCATTTCAAGAAAGCTTGGAGCAGTTCAAATTAAAAATAAAAACTGATCCAACCAATGTAACAGCCCCCAAAACTCCCCAGCCAAAGTTTCTTGACTCAATTTTGGCTGAAAAAAAAACTGTAGAAAAAGAAGACCCTTTTGTTTACCTAGGATCTCCAACTGGCCGACAGGAAGTCCAAAACTTAAAAGAATGGTTTGCCTATATGCAGGAAAACCATTTAAATAAACTTTTAGATCAGAAATTATTAAGCGAAATCGGAGAAGACGAAAAAGCCGATAAATTCGAAATTGCTGATGTAATTTTAAAAACTGGGCTAAGAGAAATTGTCAGACAGGTTTCTGTGTATTGTGTGGAAAGAGGCGAATTATTATCAATTATTGTTGAAAGATATTTGGACTATTGGAAAATTTGCTGCTCATTATTAGAAGATGACATTAAACGGTTAAAAGAAGAGTACACTAAAGAAATTGAGAGACTTACAGCAAATGGGAAAGAAAAAGATAAAGCTTACAATGCAAAAATACTGGAACTAGGTAAAGAAAATGCAATAATTCTAGCAGCTTCTAACTCAAAAGATATAGAAATAAGTCGTTTAAGAGAAAACATTAGAAGATTTAAAGCAGAACGAGCTTACCGAATGAAAAAAGATTTCGAGCACTACACAAGCGCCATAAGAAAATTTCAAGAAGAGCTGAAAGAGTCAGATCTTAATCCAGAAAATGTGAAAACAGGAAAATCTAAAGTCTTTATTATGCAGAAATTGGATGAGGCACAAAGGATTGTATCAAAACTAAAATTAAAAAAAGAGTATAATGACGCATTGACCATTGTGGACAGTGAAGAAAATGTTGCATGAATTGACCAAGATATGATTGATGATGATATAGAAGAGCCTTATAAAGATGAAGAAGTCCAAGTGGAATTCGTCAAAGAAACAGAAGAAAAACAAACTATGACTTTTTGATATGTTCTAGATAAATCAATGGAAACAGACGAAATTGACTTACTTCCCCTTCTAAGTGAACAAAAAATATGCTCTTTGCGAAAGGAGTTTAATATTTTTTTATAGTAAATATTTTTTGGAAATTAAAAAATTAAAATTCGTAAAATTGGAAAGCAAAATTAATTTAATAATTTGTAAAATTTATATTTTAAAATGCAAGCTGTTTAATTTCATTAGAATTAGCTAGAGATTTCATTATAAATATTTATCACTTATATACCAAAATATATTTTCATAAAAATTTTTATATCAAAAATTATTGCTTGCTCACGGAGGATAGATTTTTACCCAAAAAATAGGGATTTTTCTAATTTTTTTGTTGTGGGAGTTAGGATACCGCACTGACTCACATGAAATTCTTGTCCTAGGTGATGAGAATAACTATAGTTTTGTAGCAGATGGCCAAGAAAACCACTCTGATTCTGTAATGCTAGATGAGTTAAAACCAAACATAGAAACAGGGAACACAGAAGCAGAAGACAGTCAAGATTCTTCTGCATCTTCTTCATCCCTTATTAAGACTAAAAAGACCAAAAAGAAAAAAATATCGATTATCATTGATAAAGATACTCTGAATGTTCTTTCATCGAAAACTCAGCCTTACATACGAACTGGACATGAAAGAAGGTCCTTATCAGTTATCCCTTCAAATCCGCCTAACCCGGGCAACGACAACATTATCCAAGTAGATACATCTCATGACATAAGCATTAAAAGCAGAGAAACACCCAGTCGTGGATCTGTGTATCCAGGGAAAAAAAATTGAAATTCTGAAAAAAGGAAAAGAAAGAATAGAGAAAGCCAAACTGAAGGGCTTTTAGAAGAAGAAATGAAAAATAAAGAAATTATGGAACTGATGATAAATGACAGAGAGGAGTACTTAAATGCTGTCCAAAAAGAAATTATGCTCCAAAAAAACGAAATAAATAAATTAAAGCTCGAAGCTGACAGATACAGAACTTTCATCCATGAAATAAGTCAGCAAAACCCTGAAGAAGCAAAGCATTTATATGAAAAAATCGAAAAAGATGTTGAGAAACTCAAAGAAAAAGGCTATGTCCCATCTGATGTAGATTTCAATGCATGGAAAGCAGGATATTACACGGGCTTTGACAATGGGCACTTTGAAGGGAAAATCCTTGGGGAGGAATTAGGTTTCGAGCGAGGAATGCTGGAGAGTGGGCTTAACCCTCGGCTGAACTCCAGCACCCTTGACCTATCTAAGGAATAAAATGGTGAAGATGACAGAGATTTGGCTTCGAGGAGCACTCACACTGGGGCAAGTGGACCATCCTAATGAAGCTGAAAGCAGGACCTCTATGCTTTTTAAAAAAGGAGTCTGAGGTGACATCCCTGTTGGAAAATTTCTTTATCCTCGTGTTTTTGCCAATAAACTGAATCAAGGCATAAGCTTTTTAATTTTAAAAAATATCAAAAGTATTGTAAACCTATAATTTAATTGAAACATTTTGACTAGAAATAGTTATTTAAAAATTTTATTATTTTATCAATATCTAAATAAAGATCTTAAATTGAAAATTATTTCTTTATTAAACTAAATTCTCATATGATTATTAATTTAGCTTGGTCAGATTTATAAATAATAAACTTAAATACTTTTTTTTAAATAGATCTATCGTATGATTGCGTTAAAAGTTCTTCGGGTTTTAATTTTTTAAAATACAAAATTAAAGATATCAAAAATTTTTTTAAAAATGGTCGATGATGTTTAATGTCCAAATGTGGAAAATGAAGACCTAAAATAATAAGCTTAAATATTAGTTTTAATCAAAGTTAAAAGTTCTTCAAGTTTTAATTTTCAGAAGAAGGGCACACACAAATTAAAAATGTTGATAATTTTCACATGCTAAAAATGCGCTATTTTCAAAGAATTCCCATTAATTCAAATATAAAGTACACTTAAATTGTTATAAAAAACATATTTATGTCTTTTACACTCTTAGAAGTCATGATAATTTAATTATGCAACTCATTGGCTTTATATTAAATTATTAATTATCTAATATTATTAGCTAAATGTATTCATATTGATGGATGGATAAATGAGAATTCATCAGATACTTACTTATGTCTGGTCAAATCAAGCCTGTTAAGAAATTCTTCCAACTCATTATAGAGCGGTAGACCTGAGTGATGCGTAGTGAAAGTATGCTCTTCGTGAACTAAGTAGGCCATTTCAAAGGGAAGCCTGCTGTGACAAGGTTTTGCAGAGGGCTAGGTAGGTTTTGCCTACCACATGGTCTTCTTTCATCGGGACCATCGGAGCATCTCAGACACGAAAGCTATACACAAGGGAGCTGATCCCTGGATAGGCGATTCATCTCTCTGGAATTCAAAAGGCGACATTTGAAGCCAAAGTGAGAGTCGGCTAGTGGCTTAGCTCAACTTATGGCTAGCATAATCACCTCAATAACACAAATAACTTGCCGAAAAGGTAATTTTTATTTCTCCAAAGGTTTTCCTGTCCCTACTAGGTGGGTTAAATAGGTTTTGCCTACCACATGCTCTTTCCTCGGAGAACTATATAATCCCTTGGCTAAATTTCTTATGGCCCATTTTTATATGAAATTTTAAATTATGAATTTGCCTCACTAAAATCTGCGTTTTGAAACGTATATTTGGTTTCCGCATATCAAATTCAAAATGGCATGCATATGCATGATAAGAAATAAATGCAACCTATCATAAAAACGGTGGCCTGGCCTAAAGTTGATCCCATAGACAGGCGGAGTCAATATGTGCGACATTTAGTGATCTTACCCTCTTATGGCTAGCATAATTGTTTAATTAGTCGTTTGATTGACATATCTAACTCAACTGAAGGAAACGAAGCTCCCAAGGACATACTAAAAGTAAAAGAGAGAAAAACCAAAAGAAGGCCATCAATCATGATAACTGATGAAGGTGACGGAAGAAAAGCCAAGCGAACAGTCACAAAAATCATGGAATTTAATTTTCAAAAGCGAGAGCCAAAAACACAGCCAGAGAAGAAAATCCACATGGGCCCAAAACTGCTCCAGCACTTCTTACACAAATCAATGGACTATGTGAAAAATTTCGGAAAAATCAGTCGAAAAATGCTAGTCAAGAGCATTTCATTTATATATTCATGCGCCATAGCTAAATATAAGACTGGAGAACTTGTAGACTCACTAGCTGAATTTGCATACGATGAGCTGTTTAGCAAGTATGGGCTGAAAAAAGTAGCTGATAAAAAGTATTTGGAAATTATTTCAACTCTGCTTAAATATCCTGATTCCATAAAAATCAGCACTTTTACAAGACTACTAGGAATTGGGAATAAAATTGGTCTAACTGATTATGCCAAACCAAAACTGTCTTTGATGTTCTATATCTCAAGCATTGTGATAATACTAAAGTCAAAAGTTGGAATTATAGTAGGTTTCGATGATACTTCTGAGTATCAAATGATACCGACTATTAGGGCAACTGAGTGTATTCGTGAAAAATTCAATGACTTAGTCTCACAGAACCAAATTCAAAGAATCATTTCACTAGTAGAAAAGCAGTCACAGCCAGACCCTAAAAAAGTCAATAAAAATGGAGTGATTGATCAGGATATTTTACTAGACATCATGCTTTCAGAATATGAAAAATATGAGGCTGGAATAGTCAGCGCTCTAAACGTCGTTTTTGATGGATTTTCTATTATCAGCAAAGTTGTGTATATAAATAAGCTCGACTTAGTTTTGATAACAAGATATATTTCTCCTCACAAATTTAGCTTATTAGTATCCAAAGACGAAAATAATAAAGAAATATTCACACCAGCTTTTATTAGTCTATGCCAAAATGATGATGAAGAAGAAGAGGACGAAATTCATATAGAGAAAGTGATCAATTTTTGCATAGAAAAAGCGATTTGTAGTCCAGCTGACTTAGAAAATTATTTAGGAGGAGAGGTGACCAAAAACAGGCTGTTTAATTTTATCGATCAAAGCAAAGGAGAAAATACAGATATTCTGATGAAAATCCTTAAAAGTAAATCTTCATCAGAGATGCCAAACTCTTTTGAAAGAAATTGGCTTGAGCGGATGCAATACTTCACAGATCAAATTGATCAAAAGCAGCCAAAAGCTTTATACTGTTCTTGAAAGCTGATAACAGATGAGCTTTCAAGGCTAAACAATGAATTGCCCAAACTGTAAGAAAACTAATTACATTCAACCTGTTTTGCAATCTCTTTTCCTATGAAACTCTATAAACCTTAATAACTTTGATATTCTATATATAAAAATGGTTGATGACGAGCGACCCCTTTCTCCTGTTGCGGGTGCCATTATGCATATCCGGACGTAGTTTTGGTGCAAGGAGCTGCCCAGGTATTGGATTAGCCTCGAAAAGAGAGGCCACACCGATTAATGGCATGGCCTGAGCATCAGCTTTTGCATCTTTTTTTGCCAGCCTAGAGCGTGTGTCCGACAGAGGTAGGGCGTCTTGCCTGTATAAGCTGCTTTGTGACCTGTTCCGAACAAGCGCAATCTTCTTGAGTTTTTCCTTCTGGGGAAGAGGGGAAGACAGGCTAGACAACTTCAAGGGCTAGTCTCTCCAGCTTAAAAGGGTCCCGGAAAGGGGCGATCTAGCCAGATCTAAGCAGGTTTGGCAAATAGTGGCTACAAAGTTGGAATTGGTTTTACCAGTATCACCTGGATCAAAAGGGTGCGAAACAGGGAGTTTCGACCTGTGCTTCGAAAGTCTTGCATGTGACCACTCCAAGTAATCGCTGTGGAGCCCATGGCGCTCAGGAATTGTGGACTAAAAATACTGCCTCTAATCTAATCTAACTTTGATTATTCCTTTATCCAGCCTAATACAAAACAGAATTTGTGATTAATTAGGTTTATAAATATGAATTTTATTCTTCTAATATTGCTCTTATCTAACTTAACATACGCTGAAAAGTGCGTTAAAGACGTGGATTGCAGCTCGTTAAGTCATTGCGTTGATAACAAGTGTGAACACAAGTCTTTATAATCAAAATATGGCACATCAAAAATAGGGTCTTGACAGAAAATTTTTCTTTGGCTTCACCCAGCGAATTTATTCAAGCATTAAAGCTCAGCTGTCCACAACACTGGAGAGCTATCTAAGGGAGATGGAATTTCTGGAAGTGTGCCACCAAAGCAGGCAGCAGAGATTGGGACATCTAGCACTCCTGATAGTTTTAGAAGGGGCTGCCGTCTTAAGAGATAGATAAGGCTGTGTCCCAGTCTTTATTTCCTCTTGCAGGCATCGAGTTTTTTGGGACTTTCATGACAATTTTAGTAAGTGCCCTTTCAAATGCAGCTGGCATTGGTGGAGGACCACTTAATACGATGACTTTCCAGTTCTTTTTCTTATTTGACACTTTTGATTCAATACCCCTATCACAGATTGTCATTTTTGGAGGTAGCTTGATGTCAGTCGCGCTAAAAATACCTTCAAGACACCCTACTAAGGATCGCCCACTGATAGATTATGAATTAGTAGCTTATTTGCTAACTCCGCTTTTGGCCGGGACTACAATTGGTGTTATTTTCCACTTATCTTTCCCAGATTGGCTTACAATTTTACTTCTCAGTATTCTTATGAGCTATTTAACATATCAAACGACTAAAAAAGGGGCGAGATTATTTCACCGAGAAACTATCATCAAAAACAGTTCTCACAGCATCGCAAGATTAATCGATGCTTTTCAAAACGACTTAAGAACACCACATACAGACAAAACTGATGTGCAGATAGAAAGGGACCGAGGCATTCTGGAAAAAATTATAGAAGAAGAAAACAAATTGGTCCCTTTGCATCCTGCCGTCACTATTGCTATGATTTTAGGAGTTGTCATGGTGGCTGCTTTTATTAAAGGCGGAAATGGCTTTGACTCTATATTAGGGCTTGCTCAATGTGGGGCAGGGTATTGGATTTTTATTTTCTTTTATTTTGTGGGATTGATGATGCTGACCTATCATAATGGTAAATATATTATTGAAAAAACGGCCTTGATGATTAATATTGGGTATATTTTTGACCCATCAGACGTCAAATGAAATAAATATAAAGCTATAAAAATAGGGGCTGTTACCTTTTTTGCTGGAGTTGCATCAGGTGCTTTGGGTATTGGAGGAGGGTCTATTATGAACCCTTTTTTGTTGTCCATTGGAGTCAGGCCTGAGGTTTCTACAGCTTGCTCAACTTTTATGGTGCTTTTTAGTTCCTCTGTTGGGGTTTTGCAGTTTATGATTGGAGGAGTTATCAGTTACGACTATGGGGCATGAGTCTTCATATGGGCTGTGGTTGGGTCAGCCCTAGGGTATTTCGTTATTAAAAGAATCATTGAGAAGATGAACAGACCTTCAATCATAGTTTTGTTGCTTGCATTTATGATGATTGCAAGCTTAGTAGGAAGCTTAGTCATAGGAATTTTCAAAATTTCAAGTAAAATAAGTGATGGGACAATGGAGTATGGGTTTTCAAGTTTATGCTAAGGCATGAGTAGGAGTAGTTTTTGAGCATATTTCGATTTATAGATATTGAATAATCTCTATTATTAACTATAAAATGTCTAGTTAAAATATTAATAGCACTGACTAATCTAGTGGTTTTCCATCAGGAAATTATCCTAGCCTGACCTTTATTTAATCAATAGTGAATCATTATTTTAATATATCATAAGCACCCTGATCTCTATGCCCTTCATACCTGATCCTAAATTTAATTTGATCAAAAAACTCCTTATACTCATTCGGATCAATATTCGGACACCATATATCGCACATCTCGAAAAGCGCGTCAAATAGCGCCTCCCTCGTCATTTTATCTTGTCCTTTTGCATCTTTTTTCCAGTCTTCATCAAGCAATTTCTTTTTTTCAATAGGATCAAGGCCAGGTCTAAGTACTCCGCACAATTTATTGTAAATTCTTTCAAATTCTCGCTTATTGATGCTACCAGTTGAATCCATTTGATATAAATTCATAAAATCATTAATGCTGTCTGCTACAATTGCGTCAGACTTTAAGCCAAGCCTTCTTGCAATTGCTGTTTCTGTATACATAGAAGTGTCGCCATCTAAATGGTATGGCTTGACTCCATCGCGCATAGGGCTAAAAATAAATCCAAGCTCAGGTGTTGCGAGCTGAGCAGGCTTTTCTTCTATTAATGGTTGCTCATGTGGGATAGCTGATAATTTCTTTGCAGGAGATCTTGGCTCACTTGACAAATTTGACGTAGATTTCCCAGGCCTTGCTAAATTATTTAAATTTGATTCTGAGCCTGTGCTTCTATGAGAGTGTTCTGGGTATGGGTTCATGTATTTATTGTTAAAAATTAATCAAACTTATAATAGACTATTATGTCAGCTTTAGCATACTTATAATTTACAATCAAAAAGCCAATTATTTTAATTAAAAATAATTTGCGTGCTCAAATACTTTTATACAACCTTTCCATAGTATAAATGGACTAGGAATAATTAGGACTGTCATTTAAATTGATAAAGTTCGTCTAATGGAAAAAGATCAATATAAAATAGTTCTACTAGGCGATCAAGGTGTTGGAAAATCAAGTATTGTCCTTCGTTTTGTAAAAGACGACTATAACGAAGAGCAAAACGCAACAGTCGGTGCATCCTACACTGGGAAAATTTTGCAAGTCAATGACAAAATCATAAAATTCAACATTTGGGACACAGCGGGCCAGGAAAGATATCAGAGCTTAGCCAAAATGTATTATAGAGACGCAAATGCAGCGATTATGGTCTATGATATTACCAAGAGAAGCAGCTTTGAAGGGATCTTAAGGTGGTATAAAGAGCTTAAAGAATTCGGGCCGAAGAATATTGTGATTTGTATTGCAGGGAATAAAGAAGATTTGGTAGAAATGGAAGACGTCCAGCCATCAGAAGTTAAGGAACTTGCAAAAAGCATTGGAGCGATATATCGGAAAGTTAGTGCAAAGACGAGCTATGGGGTCGAACAAATGTTTAAAGACCTTTCTGTAAGGTTAGAATCTGGGTCAGATGCCCCTTCTCCAACGAAAAACGCAACTCAGTCAGTTTTTCTCACAGAAAAACCGATACCTGATACAAAGAAAAAGAAAAAATGCTGCTAATTGCGTTAATTAAACAGTTTAATTAAAGATATTTAGGGTGGTATTGGTGCATTGGGCTGTCTTCTTCTTGGCTGTTGCTTTCGGAAATGCAGTCCGGGATGTGAATTACCGTGTCCTCACCGATTAGGTCTGTTTGAATTTCAATTGTTGTGTGAGATTTCTCCGGATGTTTGGAAGGCTTAGCAAATGTCGTGTTTTTTATATCTGAAGTGAATTTTTTTATGTTTAAAGAATAGCATTTGATGTTTTCGTCGTTAGATACTGTTTTCTGAGAAAATAATAGATTTTTAGCTTTCTTAAGCCTTTGCTTTAAAGGAGTATCTCGATTACTTGTTGAATATTTGCTGGGAAGGCTGATTTTTTCATTTCGGAGCCGAAATACTTCTTTTGAGCTGTTATTTTCTTTTTCTTTTGCTTTTGGCTGTTTTTTATTATAATCGCAAAGAAGCCAGGCTAAGCTTGGCTCTTGTAGAGTGTCATTATGCTTATAAAGCGAAAGCTTATCTAAAAGTCCAAGACTCTCTCTTTCTCTTATCGGTTTTGTATCACTAAAGATTTGGGAAGCTCTTTCTCGAGGGACACTTTTGCAGCTGCTACGATCATTGTTTCGACGATTATGAAATGACGTATGAGGTCTATCGTTAATCTCTTGGGGTCTGTTCTCCATAGGTATAGATTCAAATCTTAGCTTATCACCCTTATTAAAGTAATTTGACTGGGGCGAATTTGATCTTCGGTGGCGAAAATTGTGATGAGCAAATGGTCTACATTTTGTATTTTCTAATAGCTTAGGTAGTTGTATTATCATATTTTACATCCATTTTTAACGATAGAGACTAAGGAAAAGCAGTAAACTTCTCAATTCCCTTGTCGATACTAACATATTTTGAAAATTACTTTACATTGAAGTAAATCTATAAGTCGTCTATAAAAATAAAGTTAATTGCTATAGCATTTTTTATAAGATATTTATATAAGCTTATAGTTTTTTAATTATTTTTTAAGTCAGCTCCCTTTATTCCTTTGCTTGGCTGCTATTGGAAAAACTCAATTTTTCGATTTGTTGATGATAGTTATAAGCCTAGTAAAATAAATTATTTATTTCAAAAAAACACAAAAATATGATGGATCTCAAATGTCCTTAAGGTCCTAGACCCTAAAGTTCACCAACATGAAAATAATAAAATCCCACTTTCCATTGCAAATTTCTCTGGTTCCATATTCATTCTTTCGAGCTAAAATTTAAAAATACCTTTCCCTCAGATAAGAAATGAAATTTTGTCACCAAATAATATAATAATTAATGTGCTTTTCTTTCTTAAGCTGTACCAAAAAGAAAAAGAAGCATTTAGCCTCCACAATAGCTATTGCTCCAATGAACATTCAAATTTTTGAAGATCCTGAATCCTCTGACTCATTAGAGTCTTTGAGAGCTTCTATTGGAGAAATGGGAATCCCAGTAGCCAAAGAAAGGTTTTATAGCAATATCGGAGGAGTATTAGTATTCAAAAACGAATCTCTAAAAGATTCTTCTTGAAATCGTATAAACAAGTATAGATTAACAAAAGTACCATTAGAATCACGGATAAAAATGGCAAGAGATAGATTAATGAACGTATAATTTAAAACACACATAATTTTATTTTAAATTTTTGTAAAAAGATTAAATTATCAGAAATGGCAATACCATTTTTTTTCAAATTTTTGATATAAGTAAAAGTAAAAGAGTTCAGAACTAATATATATTTCCTCCTATAATTTATAATTTTACATATAAAATAATTCTTCCGATTTTACTTTGTTTTTCAGTTATTTAAGTATTTAATTTAAACAAAATGAAAATTTTTCAAATCCACAATTGAAAGAAGCATTATATTAGTCTTGAAAATATTAAAGACATAAGAATACTGATATCAGTTTTAAAGATGATTTCTATAATAAATTAACTAGTAACTATCAAAGTAATGCCCTGCAGCTTATACTTGAACAAAGCTTTCAATTTTAATTACTCCTTACCAATAAAGGTTAGATTTTCGAGAAAAAAAGTAGGCATAAATGATTAGAGAAGGATTTCCTGGGCGAGGTTCAATAAGAAGTGATAAAGATGAACTATTGACTTAAAGATGATCCATAAGGATCGTTAGACGACTATAGCCGTTAGATAATATGATGATAACGATGAACTAGAAAAACTTGAGAATTTATGGGTAAGAGCCAGACTGTAAGTCTTAGAGTCATAATCTAATTAAATTACCAATATAATTATGGAAATATTTATTGGCCTTCAAGCCATAAAATTCAAAATGAAGCTTTAATATTACTTGTCTTGATAAATCTTTAAAGAGATTAATCCATAAAGCATATTTATATAGAAGTTTCATCAATTATTTTATGGGCCTTCACTTTTAGCTTATAACTTCTATAAGCAAATTAAACTTCCTCCACTCAATTTAGCTTAAAATATTAGCCTTTTTTAAAAGGCCAGAGAGAAACTTTTAAGTATAACTCTTAAGGAAACATAGACTTCATATTGTTTGGTATTACAAACGCTATCTAAATACGAACTGTTCTATAGTTAAAACAATTATTTAGTGACTGAATTTTCACAGTTTAGCAAATCATTATTTAGCTTATTTAAATCCTTATAACTAATAGAAAGCTCACCAAAAATTAAAATTAATTATTTTAGCTACCCTTGAGTGTCCAAACTAATCTGTGCAGCATTTATGCTTGAATTTTCAGGTTTACGATATGGTTTTCTTACAATAGAAAATATATATATAGCAATTCCCAATAAAACAACAAAATACGAACCAAAAAATATTGCCAAGTTTGCTTCTTTATAGGCATAGGCCTCATTAATCAAGACGCCTAAAATCAAAAAGTATTTTATTTGCATTTTATGACATATTCAAGATGACTTTAGTTAATATATTTTACTCAATTATCTCTATTCGACATTTATGAGCAATATACCTATATTACCTATTAGCATAGTGCCTACATAAACAACATTAAAGACAAAAACAATACTATTCAGTATAATTATTCCTCTTTTTTCTTTTCCTCTTCCTGTCCACAATTAACAATGGTCACTCTTTTCTTTGGCGTCCCGTTCTGTGTGCCTTGTGCTTCAATTGTTTTGAGGACTTCGAAGCCTTCAACTAATTTTCCGAAAACCACATGCTTGCCATCAAGCCAAGGACAAGGGACTGTAGTGATAAAGAACTGAGATCCATTAGTGTGAGGACCAGAGTTAGCCATACTTAAGACTCCAGGCTCAGTGTGCTTTAATGTAAAGTTTTCATCATTAAACTTAGCACCATAAATAGACACTCCGCCAGTCCCATTACCTCTTGTAAAATCTCCTGACTGACACATGAAGCCTGGGATTATTCGGTGGAACTTTACCCCTTTGAAATGAAGTGGCTGGCCAGTCTCAGCTTTTCCATAGCCTCCTGTGCAGAGTCCTTTGAAGTTTTCAGCTGTTTTAGGAACCACATCGGCTCGGAGCTCAAAAAGCATTCTGCCTACTGGTTCTCCTTCAACTGCAATGTCGAGAAATACACGAGGGTTTTTGGTTGAGAAGTATCTAAGTATGCGGAACATTTATTTGTGGTATTTAATTATAAAATTTATGTAAGAAAATGATTGATAGATTAGGGAAATATCAAAGATAAATTTCATTAAATTTAGGGCAAGAATAATAAATAATATTCGATCAGAGACTTTTAAATCAAATTTTATGAAATACTAAATATAATAAAGAAGGATAATATTGAAATGGCCTATTATTCCAAATAAAACTTATACTCAAAGTTATTTATCTATCACAATTATTATTACTTGCTAACAACTCCTTTATGATACTCATTGCAAAACTCACAATGGTTTGGCAATTTTCGATAATCCTGCTCTTTTTCACAAAACATGCAGACCATTCTATTTGCATAAGCCCAAGGATGAGATTCTCTCTTGTCATGACATTTATTGCAACAATAATATTGTGAACAGCAGCTTGGGACCATCCAGTAAGTAACATTGGTATAATTATCGCACTCTATCGGTGCCGTAACACTCCATTTCCCTATTTTTCCAATATGTTTGATGAAATGTTCAGCGTTTTCTAAATCAATTACAAATTTTAGCTTCATATCTACAGTCGGAAGATCAGGGAGTTGGGATATTGGCTTCACGTCTTCGCTGGCTATATCTTCTTCTGTTGCATTGAGCAAGTGCTCAATTGTGATATTTGCGCCATCAAACAGCTCTTGAGTCTCATTTTTAACCCCTTCAAATTTCTCTATTTCTTCAGCAGCTATATTCATTACTTCAGTTTCTAACGTCTGCTGACGGTCTTCTAAAGCTTGCTTTCAAACACTAAAAGATTCATTAATCTCCGCTATACTGATTTTGGCTGAATAGCCATTGATTTTGTGTTTTTTTTGCAAAAAAATATATTCATTCATTTAATAATAAAGTTTTCTCCTTTTTTTCTCGAATTTCTGCGATTCTGGTAGTGACCAGACCGATGTGATCTTTACATTTTTCGAGGTTTTCTTCTGCTTGTTTTTGCATTGCAATGAGTCTTTCAGATGGAGGCAGCTTGAGGTATTTTAAAGTTTGGGACATATCAGAGATATGCTCTATTAAATCCAGGATATGGAATGAGTGAGAAATCTGCTGGATTTGACGATTGTCAGGCTTACGATCAAGGGGGCAGGTAATCTTCCCTGTAGTTTTGTGCAAATTTGTTGCACAGCGCTTGCAAAGAGTATGGCCGCAGATTAGCACTAAGGGGAGATGACCAGATCTGTCATACTGCTCGGCACAGACAGGGCACTCTAGAATTCCTTCCATAGTAATTATTATTGTTTATATTTAATTACAAATTTCATAAAATCGTTATTGATTAGGAGCTGATAAAAGAGCCAAAAGTTAAAATTATTGAGAATTTTGATTCATTCTTTGTTAGATCATTATAAAATTCTAACTCCTCATCTTTGATAACATCATTTGAGCTTAGAGCGTATAAAAACATATTTTGGAAAAAAAAATACATTAAAAAAATATTCTACTAAATTTTTTATTTATATAAAATACTTATACTTCTAGAAAAAAGAAAGAATAATCTCTAAGATTCATTACTATCAAAAATAACTAATTAAATTATAGGTGAATAGAGGTATGAGCTTCATGCTTTATATATGAGAAGGGTTCGATCAAGGATGGAGAGTGAAAATCTTCATTTAATTGCATTAGTTCCATGCTCTTGTAGACAAAAATTGGTATGCTATGAATTTTATTAATGGCATAGCAAGATATTTTAATATCCGAAAGAGTTTTGAACTAGAATATAATTAATTTTAGAGTTATTTCTAAACAATATTTCATTTTATTTTATGTGCTTTATCTATAAATGGACTATAAAGGTTTATTTCAAATGTTTTGATAATTCCTATTCAAATAAGCCTTATTAAATACTTTTATAAAATATATAATTAATAAAATACCTCACACAAGTCTTTTTAAATATTATTTTTTATTTTTCATAAATAATTATTAATTATTTCCTAAAACTGAAAATTTGTTACTAGGCTTTTAAATGCAATAAAATTAATAATTCCTTTATAAAATTGCTAAAAATTACTTTCCTATCTTTAGACTGTTGAATTTATTGTCCATTTTGACAATTTCTCTCACACCATAATTAAATGGCCATTGTGAATCAGCCTGATCCATACGATATCACTTGGAACCAGCTTCCAGCAATAGAGACGTGGTTGCCAAAAACCATAGAAACTTCAAAAGAACTCTTAAGCTACTTTGAGTTTACAGTTGTTTGCACAGCGAATTTTCGCAATTATAGATGGCCGATCGAATTTTCTTTCTCCTCCTACCAAAGCATAAGAAAAACGTTAAAAAGCAAGATAGGCAGAGAGCCAGAGCTTCCCAAGATTAAAAGCAATGAGTTCGAGAAAAAAGGAATCTACGAAAAGCTTGAGTTCCTTAAGTCCATCCTCGAAACGCTAATTCTCTATTACTTCACCCATGACGAAGTTAGAGAAGTCTTCGAAATATCAAGAACCTCGTTCACTTCAGCTGCAAAAGCTAAAGAAGGTTTCGTTGAAAAGAAAATTTTCGGGATTACACTCAAAAGTACCGAAAAAGCCTGGTTTCATATAAATGGAGATTGGCTAGATTTTTATAAAGACCAAAATACTCCAGTGCCGTATGATACCCTGGCCTTAAGTAAAGATTTTACTATAGAGACTTTGCATGGCCATAAAATTGAGTTTACCTCAAATCAATATGAAATTTATATTGAAACTAAAAATCCAATAGACCAGGCCTTATGGCAAGCCGCCCTTATAGATACTCTGCATAAGTCAGAACGCTATAACTATGAGCCAAGATATCAATCTTCCTTCCCAGTCAGACAAGGAAACATTGTGAGGCCATACGTTGATGGGAATGACTATTACTCCGACCTTTACGAACATTTTAATTCAGCCAAAAAAACGATCTGCATATCAGATTGGTGGTTCAGTGCCAAAATGTACCTGAAAAGACCTAAAGATCTAAATAAAGACTCAAGGCTGGATAGGCTTCTTATTGAAGCAAATAGAAGAAACGTCATGGTCTACATTATTATTTGGCAAGAGCTTACACTTGCTACTTATAACAATGCTAACGATGCATTGAAGCTATTTGAGCCTTATCCAAACATCAAGATTCTTACTCATCCATGTTGTTTCTTGCGAGGGCTGAAAGAATGGCTTGGCTACGTATACTGGACCCATCATGAAAAAATGGTAATCATCGATAACGAAATTGTTTTCATGGGTGGCCTAGACTTATGCCTAGGAAGATGGGATACCCACGAGCATTCTCTTAAAGACGTTGAAAAGCCTTATATATGGACAAGCTGGGATTATTCCAATGTAAGAGTTAAAGACTTCGCAAGAGGCTGGGAAAATGACGAATCAGAAACCCCAATAGACAGAAATGTGGTCCCAAGAATGCCGTGGCATGATATAGCGATGTCTGTAAAAGGCCCGATTGTAAAGGACATTTTATTTCACTTTAGAGATAGATGGAACTTTATTGATAATGATACCAAATCAAAATATGACGCCATCTCAACTGAGGATGGTGGTTATAATCAATCACTGAACCAAACTACTGAATTTCTGTCTAGTGAACTTGAAAAAGAAGCCTTAAAAATTGCGGCACCCCGCTCTGCAGGAAATTTAAACCACATGGCAGCATTTATAAGAGGAAATTATAAAAACCACTTTCAGGCTCCCGTGATCTCTAAAGAGAGGAAAGCACAGTATAGAGACATAAACCTCGTGAGTCAAGCAGAGTCTGAAAATTCCCTATATGGAAATGGAGCTGAATGCCAACTCTTAATAAGTGGCTGCAAATGGAATCTCGGCTTCAAAATCCCAGAAAAATCAATTATGCACGCATATGTTGACCTAATTAATAATGCTGAGCACTTCATTTATATAGAAAATCAATTTTTTGTCTCTAGTACGGCTGGAGAAGAAGTTCATAACTTGATATCAGAAGCATTAACCAATAGGATCATAAGAGCTAAAGAGACCAACCAAAGATTCTTACTTACTTAAATCATTATATAGAGATTAAAATGGCAACACGTGTCAACCTGGCCTCTTGGCACAGCAGTTCACGCCTTATGGCTACGGCGAACTTGGATAGACTCCGATCAAGAATAAAAGTGCAGGCTCAAGAGATGTGCATTCGGGTGGGTTTTTTAGTTACTTTCCTGTGGTTAAAAATCGATGTGCTCAGTAACGTCCTTTGGATCCAAGGACCATGGGCATTCCTCTACCGAGAAACTGGGGTTTCGGCCCAGGCCACAAAGGAACAGTCTTTTTCCTTAGCTTTTGAAGAAGGGCACTTTGGCGCCCGACAGACTCCAAGGGCTTGATCCTTGGAATCAAGCTACTCCAATCTCCCGTAGCATGGCCACTCAAGAGCCGCAAGGCAAAGAGGAGACGGTGGTACCGGAAATGGCACAGCCTCTCTGAATTGGAGTCGAAAAGCGGTAGAACCTCCGTACGGTAGGTCTTTGGTGACTGCACCACCAATATGGCTAACATTTAACTTTTAATAATCCTAATCCTACTTAAATTATTATCAAGTAGCTCCCCGTGCAGCCATGACTGCTTTTTATGTTCCTTCCTTTGCTCCGTCATCTTGCTTGCAAGTCCGATTCTACGCCTTAGAGGCATATTACTACTCCCTCTTACGAGGACTTGCACCTGCAACTCGGAGGTAAAGACGCTGTGCCACTGCTATACGTCAACGGGGTTGCCTTTCTAAAAGCAATTTTCTTGTCAAGCTATCGAATGAGCTAAAATTATACCCAGGGCACAGCTCTGGTATCGCGCTAGAAAAATACCCGATTTATCAAGGGACACTCTGGCCTTGCTGAGTTGTCCCTTTCAAAATTAAAGCTTCATCCTCCCCTCGGGGTAAAACCTTGTCCTGAATGTGAGCTTGCGACCTGTCAGCTCGACATTGTACTCCATCAGACCAATTAAAATTCGTCCGAATACACTCATCTCATGCTGCTCTTCCTTTTATAAGGTCTCAGACTTTCTATAGGCTTTAGGTATTAAGAGGGCAGGTCTGTTTGCCACAAATTTTTTTTTATGTGTGTAAGCAACCAAAGATTCAAAGTCATCTTTTTAGTTCCTCTTCTTCCAGCCTTTGAAGGGGAGATAGACGAAGACGGGATGTCAGCAATGATCTTAAAGCAAAGCGTCAATTGGCAAGTCAAAACTATTCATCGAGAAGACTCAGAGACCTGCATGTTCAGAATTCTGAGGAACGCTGGCATAGAGCCGTCTGACTACATTAGGTTTTATTCCTTGAGGAATCATGACCATTTAAGCCAGCCTGTGACTGAACTAATATATATCCACTGCAAAGCTATGGTCGTGGATGATAGATATGCAATTATTGGTTCAGCCAATATTAATGATAGAAGTATGAATGGAGACAGGGACTCTGAAATTGCACTGGTTATCAAGGGGTCTGAAACTGTGCAAGGCTCGATGCTAAATCAACATTATGACAAGTTTAAGGTCGCCCATGACCTCAGAGTCAGCCTTTGTATGGAGCATTTGGGAGTCTCTGATCCAAGCATAGTAGAAGATCCTTTTGATGACTCTCCCCCTTTAAATTGGAACAAAAAATTTTGTTCCAATTTAAAGGGAGGTTAATTTACCAAAAAAGTGGAAATTTTACCTATATATTTGTTCCAATTTAAAAGGGGGGAGTGAAGAGTTTTCGAACCTATGGATAAACACTGCTAGAGAAAACACTGAGTTCTATAGAAGAGTTTTTGGGTGCTATCCAGATGATACTATTCAGCATTATTCTCAAGTCCAAGAGTTGAAGAGTAATGCACATTTGGATGAGTACGAGCAGAGAAAAGGCTCAGTTAGAGGGCATTTAGTGGAGTACCCATTGAACTTTTTAGCTAAAGAAATTCTTCAGACCTGCTTTGAGTCACCTTTGATTCAGCATAAGATTTTTACTTAATGATAAGCTAAGATCTCTTAAGTCAATTAGAATGATTTTATAAACTTAATATAAATGTCTATAATTAGGAAATTCTTTTGGATCGTTTGATTCATTTAAATGAAGAAGTTAAAACTTAAGTTTATAAATTATCTATTTTCTTATATCTATCTTGAGGAAATGCTTATCACTTGCTGAGACTATAGAAGATTCTCCAATATTGAAGCATTTAAATTAAGCTTAATGAATAAAATCACTGATTGCATAACGTTCAATCGCACAGTTCTGAAATTTTTGGTCTCAGCGCTTTTCAACCGTTTTATGATTTTTTAATGACCCTGCTGCCTGATTAGCAAGACATTTATCGCGATTGGTAAACTGAATCCTCTGACATCCAACAATTTAGATCTAGTGCCATAATGATCTTCCATGATGAATCAATTATATCACTCAATTAACCCCCTTTAGCTATTTTTAATGCCAACACAAAAATCGCTTGTTTCCTTGCCAAAATTCAGTGTTGGGATCCTTTCATTATCTTAGCATGAATCTTGGGATCTAAGCTCATGCTTTCCAAAAAAATCAAGACTTTCCCGGGAACTTCTCCCTCCAAATTCATAGAGCATTAAGTATACAAATATCTGTCCAAATATATTGCTTTGAAGACAGCAAAATTTTTAGAGAATCCTGAACATTTATGAGATTCAAAAATGCATTTGAAAATCTAGGCATTATCTTTCATTTTCTGGCTTACAATGCAGCAAGAACAAGATATAGAGGTTATGAGTAAGATTCATATAGATTACACTTATTATAGACACAGTGCCCCAAAAGGAGTTATTTATTATCGCTGCTCTGATAGGCATTGCCCTGCCCGATTACACTATGACACCGCAGCAAAAGAAATCAGCCTGAAGAACAACCATCTAAACCCTGCCATTCACAGGCCTTCCAACTCAAAGCGAGCAATTACTACTCAGCAGCTCCTTAAAATGCCTGATCACAAGATGAGAGCCCCTGTTGTTGTAACTCAAGCAATACCATCTCAAAAGGTGAAGCATGAAGAAGAGCTCAATCTGCCTAAGAAGCGAGAAAGGCTTTCAACAATGATTAATTCGATGCCCCAAGAAATATACATGGTTAGATTCTATGTGGATAATTTGGAAATTGGGAATCTCTTCGCAAGAGAAATAATAGATAACTGCATTGGACACAAAGTCTGCTGCTTCACAAATGGGTATCAGCTTAATTTTGCAAATGTGCAAGAGTTAAAAGTTACTGTTGAAGTAGAATGCCCACAGGATCAAACTTCCAGGGTCATTTTGTTCATGAACCAGATTTTTGGTTATGATATTGACCATGATATCTTCAAGAAGCTTTAATAAAGTATTTAAATTAGAGTTGATATGAAAATTCGATTTCTCAAGGTATCATGATTTCGGATTATTTGGTTGCTATTAGTTATATAATTTCCCTATTTTTTTAAAATCGTCTGCACTGGATCCTTTCTCCATTTAATTATTTAGGCTAGAGATATAACTATTCACAAATGAGGCTGAGTAAGAATAATATAACAATTATAAAGTCTACATGGAAACCAAAAGTTTTAGATGGCTGCTTGAAGTTTTATTACACGATCATGTAACAATACCTGTATTAGACACATTTTTAGTCAACAAATCCCAAGTATCATCATGAATTACAACAGATAGTAAAGGCAAACTAAGCAAAAAATTGATGGATGAAGCAACTTACACACTAGGGACAATTGATCTGATAAGCTCGGAATATTCTGAGGCAATAAAATTAAGACAAAGAGGGTTGGATATTGCTTATGTTTACACAAGGGAAGGAAGAATAGTTCTTTCTCAAAATACACTAGAGGAATTTAAAATGAGGAATCTTTATGGTGTTACTATTTTTTGTATTCAAAGAGTGAAGCCTCATTTAGGAGAATCTTCAAAATTATATAGACTGAAGCTGGAATATTCTAAAAACGAGTACACAGCTGAGTTTTATTTGCTGAATCCTTTTCTAAAAGTAAAAAATAGAGAGTGATTCCAAGAAGTAAAAGACATAGCCACCACAATTTTAGCAGCAATTTTAGAAGACACTGAAAAAGTGATAGTTTCTATTGAGCTAGATTTCATGAAAGATGAAAGAAACCAATTCTGGCTTGCATATGTATGGAGCTGCAAACTGGTTCCTTGGGATATTTTTAAAGAAAGCAACTTTGACGTCAAATTTACTTATATTAGAATGGACTCAAAAGTTGACCTAGCAATTAAACTAAAAAAAAGAGAAGATAAAGGCAATAAGCTTATAAAGAGCAAAAAAAAACTCTATCAATTTCGCGTAAGAACTCCAGAAGATTCTCATGATAGTGAAGATGACGATTACGAGCATGGCTGACACAATTTTAAAAAAAATTCGAAAATAAAGTTATTAGGCTCTGCGCTTTTGAATGGAATTATATCAACAGAACCGAAGCCAGAAAGCAGAGATTCTAAAAAATTTTTATCTATATTAGGAAACAATAGTGGAGGAAATGCAAGTGAAAGATCGTTAAAACAAAAATCTGCACCCCATTTTGAATCCCCAAATAAAATAAATCCGCATTTTTTAGAGCTGCTTTGTAAAACTAGAGCTAAAGTGAAATTAATTAAAGAAGGCAAAATTTATAGCTTGAGACATGAAGATGATAGCGAATTAGACAGGGAAAAAGAGGAGCTGCTTAAGGAACTAGATCAAGATAAAAGTGGATCGAGAACTACTTCAAGAAAATTATCATTTCTTGCCGGAATGTATAAAAAAGAATCTACAACTAATCCAAAATCCGAAAAAACTTCCCCACGAGCAAATATTCATATCGCACAAAAATTGGATTTTAATACCTTAAGTTCTGATGTCACAAAAAAACTCTCCCCGATAGCTAAGATACCTCAAACTACGACTCAACGAAAGCGAAAAAGCAGAAAACTAAAATCCAGAAAAATAACTATAATCCCAAAGCACCCTCCAGTGCTAAATCCATTGCCAAGGGTAAGTCTCCCAACCAAACTGCTTAACCCTACCATAAGTTCTGCAACTCTTTCTCCCGATTTTTTAACTCCAAAATCAAGCCATTCCCCTTCTTGGCTGCCACATTTTCCTTAATTTATCATAATTAAATTTTGATTAAATAATGTCTAGAAGTGCTTCACCAACCAAAAGTGATAAAAAGCTTTCTAAAGTTCCCGTAAAAAGTTACCGCACTTATCTTGACGAAGATATAGGGTACGTCTCACGCAAAGACCATGAATTTTTATCAGTCGTTTCTTTAGGCTTAAAACAACGAGTTGAACAGATGATTAAAAAAGGCCATCATAATTTGCTTGTAAAAGATAAATCAGGGAATAACGCTGTACATATTGCTGCGAAAAAGAATGATATGGACTTGTTAAGGATGATTTGCGATACTGGAGTGCCTGCAAGCTTAAGAAAAAGAGGAAGCAATAACGTTACACCTTTTATGATCGCAGCTAAACATGGGTGTAAAGACTCCTTAAGCTATTTACACACAGAAGCGAGGGTAGATGTTCATCAAAAAGACTCGCAAGGACAAAACGCGCTATTTTATGCAGTGATTGGAGGAAGCATGGAATGTTTGAAATATTTAATTGAAGTTGCAAAGCTGAATTATAAGATTACGAATAACGAAAATGGAAACACACTGCTCCATACAGCTTCACTATATGGGCATATACATTTGGTAAGATACTGCTGTGAAACTCTGCGTATGGACCCACATAGGTTTAACCTAAAAGGAAAATCCCCTCTATTTTTAGGTATTGAGGCAAATTCTTTGATTATTGTGACTTATTTGCATTCTGTATGAGGGGTTAATATTTTTTTGCCGAATGATGATGGGATGTCACCACTTGCTTTTAGTGCGAGTGATTCAAAATTTTTTGGGATTTTTTCATACTTAGCAACATTAGTTTCTCCAGAAAGCTTAGTTGAAGGGGATCCTTTGCTTACTAAATCACTTCAGCATCCGCCGATTACAGCGCAGCATGCTGCATTATCAAATAATAATCAACTTGCAATTGATTTTATATCAAAAAAGACGATCAGAAAAAGAAGGGTCTACCTCTTATGAATGGCGGAAAAAAGTCCTCTGCTTCAGAATATAAAGTCCAAGCTGATTGAAGGCGTTCTAAGCTATATATAATTAACCCGAAAATTAATTTTATTTTTTCATTTTTCTATTTAGTCGATCAGATCTTTTATCAGAATTTGATTAAAATAAAGTTTAAATGGAACTCAGATCAATTTAGAAAAAATTAATTCATCTAATTACTGTCTCAAAATTACTGGTTATTCAATCTGAATTATAAATAATTAATATTTCTGACATCAAATTGCTATTTTATTTATACGCAGTTCCAGTAGATAGCCCTATCAGTGGATGAATTGTCCATTAAAATTACAATTTGGTCTGAGCAAAATTATTAGTTTTGGCCGGACCAAATTGTGACTTAGCAATTCACCCACTGATAGGGTTATTAAAGGGAATTTTCTATATACAATATTATTATTAGATCATTCGAAATTCATGCATATGGTGGGATTTATAATTAAAAGAATTATGACAGATATCGTAAGACTAGCAAAAATTCCTGTAATCGCTAAAGGTGCTAAAAGACTGGTCTATAAAGTTACTGTCGATCATTATGCCGTAAGCTTTATTTAGACAACTTATTGTATAACATCTGCATTCTTAGGTCTTTATCTGTATTATGAAAATATTAATGGAGAGTCAGCTGCTTTCATGTGGATCCTGCACTCACTGCTTCTTACTTGTATACGGATGTATTCAGTAAAAACAGAAGAGTACCCGGAATTGCAAAGATTGAGACAAATAGAAAATACAATTGAAATTTTAACGAGGTATAGAAATGAGCAGATCAGAAATAATCCAGAGCTTGCTGGATGCCCATCATTTGATGAGGTTTTTTCTCTTCCTCATATTCACATGAAAGAGTCCGGATACTGCTGCATTTGTTTGGATACAATTGATTTAAAAGAGACTATAACAAATATTGGGTGCACTCACAAGTTTCATTCAAAATGCATTGACGTGTGGATCCTTAATAATCCAACTTGTCCTGTATGCAAAATAAGGGTTAACTTTGAAAAAAAAGCGAAGCCAAGTACTTAAATTCATTGGTAAATTTAAAATATTAAATCTAGTTGCTTGGCTATTTTAATGTAAACTCAAAGAGACATTATTTATATAGGAGACCTTCTTCCATGACTTTTCGGAGGAATGAAAGGTAAAGGAGTACGAGCATATTTCGATGAAAATTTCAGCTCCACAGACTTACTGTTCTTATTGTGCGTTTTTGAAGCAGTTGAGTTTGGTACTGAAGTCAAATCTGAAGGATCTTTGATTGGGGAAAGTTTCAATTTTTTTTCAACAAATAAATTTTTAAATACTTCACTTTGATTGACTTTTGGGATATTTACTTCATTGTAGCTATTATTTACATTCCAAAAGCTCATTTCTTCTTCGCCATATTGTTTCGTTACTTCACTTCTCAGTTTTCTTGCTTCTTTCATTAAAACACTTGGATCTTTGAATGCTCTTCTTCGGAGTTTAAACTTAAGCGATTCTATTTTAAGTTCTTTAAGCTGGAGTTTTTTATTAAGAGTTTTTATTTCTTCTTGCTGGGATGTGCACAATTTAACCAATTCTTCATGAGATAAAATTGATAATCGGTCCATTATTTTTTAAAAGATTTTATTCTAAGACTTCCGTGCTTTTAAATTTTAGGCGATATCAAAGCATTTAAAGCAGAAATAGATTCCTTAAAAAAGTTTAATAGATTAACAGCATCCTTCTTTCTTTTTCTTCTGCTGCTTTTTCACTTCAATGCTTGGCTGGTAAACATCTTCCTTTATATTAGCCAGTGCTTTTTTGGCGATGAACTGAAAAGCTTCCTCGACATTGATTGCGTCTTTTGCAGAAGTTTCGTAAAGTGGAATATTACCATTAGCTAAACATCATTGAGAAGCCTTGGTGTTTGATACCTTTCTTTCTGGCTCCTTATCAAGCTTATTTCCCAATATAACAAAAGGAAAATTATCTGGATCTCTACAATTGGATTGCGATATAAATTCGTCTTTCCAGGAGGAAAGGCTTTCAAAGCTCTTTGTTGAGGTGATATCATATACAAGAATGCAGCAATCAGCACCTCTATAGAAAGCAACTCCTAAACTTTGGAAGCGTTCTTGCCCTGCAGTATCCCAGATCTGGAGTGTAATTGGTTTTCCATCTACGACTAAATCTTTCGTAAGGAAATCGGCACCAATAGTAGCCTTATATTGCTGGGTGAAACGTTTGGTCACATATTGGTTCATTAAAGAAGTCTTGCCAACTCTATGTAAAAGTTACGCTGAGTCGCCTAAAATAATTGCTTTGATGAAGTGTTTTCGGTCGTGATCCATATTTATAAGAGAGGAATTTATTATAAAATTGTGTTATTAGGAGAAACAAATATATAATTTGTCAAATGAAAATATTGCTTAAAGCTGCAGGACAAGGCAATTATATTGGTGGTTAAATAGCTAAAATGATAAATTAAAGTGAGGAAATTTGATGAAGCTTATGGAGTTTGTGAGAACTGGAGGACTTGGTGTGTTAGAGTCTGCGTTGTTTGGTGGCTCACATCGGAGGATCGAGTGGGTGGTTCATCATTGATGCTTCAACTGATGTTGCTGTGGCTGTTTTTGGAATTCTATTAAGGTTTATCACAGAAGTTAGAGTTTTGTTGTCTGAAGTTTTATAAGTAAAATGATAATTTAAATTCTCATGTTTGATATTTATTAAGACTTAAAAATTTTTAGTTAAGAATTTAGATATCTGTATTTTTGAAATAATTTTTAAGAAAATAAATTTTGAGATTACAAAAAACTATAAAGTTGTAATATTTCTTAATCTGAAAAAATTATCTTATCATTTAAATTTTCTCTGTAATGCCAAAATAAGCAAGACATGATAATTTAGTAAATTTTTTTTAGGCCTAATACAAATAATTTTATTATTAATTTATACTAGGGATTAAATTTCAAAGTAAAAATTTATTATCTGATGTTGCGAATCAGCCACGATAAAGGGTAAAGTTTCCAAGTTAATCGTTGAGTGAATTTTAAATCAGTATCGTTTGTTGGATTGATTTATGAAATTAGCATCATAAAAAATATAACGGTAAGCTTATGCGGACCCTTACCTATATATATGTCAGAGCAAATCCGACTAGTGCAGTTAAAGTAGATTAAGCCATAAAGCAACACGAATCAATTTTTAACTGAAACTATTTAAATGAAACAAATCAATAAAAAAAACGTTAGCATAAAATCTTTAATCTATTAAATATTCGATGCAATAGTTGCAAATAATGAGATTGCAAATTTATTCAATTCTCCTACTATTGTAAAGTAGCTAGCATATTTTTCTAGAATCCTTAGACTCTTTCAATTTACATGCTTTCTTATTAAATAATGTAAATGTTCTTATACCTATAATCAATATTTTAAGTTCTTTTTTCAGTTGATTTAATTAACTCCCCCAATTTAAATTGGAACAAAAATCCTTTTCAAATTTAAAGAAAAACTATTTTTTTAGAGTAATTTTTCTCTATAAGATAGATTTTTAAAATTTAATAGAATAGAACTTGACTGCAATAATTTAATTTAACTTTATTAAGAATTAATTCAAAAATTTAATCGATTTAGCTTGAAAATTTTTGAATGTAAAATTTTCCTATAAAACGAAACTTTAAAAATGAGCTAAAGAAACCAAAAATACAGATTTTGCCTATATTTTTTTCCAATTTAAAAGGTAGGGAGTAAGCTATTTGCAGATGAAATAGAAGACTGAGCCTCAAGCTATCCATTTATATTAGCCATATAGCTAAACCATCTTCATTATAAAACCCTATGGCAAATATCATTTCTATGATAGAATTTATGATTTCTCAAGTTTCTACATATGCCAAACACGTTAACCGTAAAAGCACACTTGAAGCGAAAATCAGAAATATGTTTTTTCACATAAAGCGGAATGTCCAGTTTCCACCAAAAAAAGAATACTTGAGATGCAGGCTTATTTGTGGCCACAAACGCTTGAACAGGCACATAAATCAAAATTCTTTACCCATAGGCCTTCTCAATAGCTATGACTTTAGTGACCCTTCATCCTTTCAGCTTTGGATAAAACTTGAAAATTGCTACTTTAAAAACAAAGAAGAATTGGATTTAATCAGCAGAACAGAAAGCGGGCCAAAAACTGATGGCATATCTAAGAGGAAAGGGCGAACTCAAAGCTTAGAAAAGAGCTTTAACATGTCCTTTTGCATACGATATTTCAGCTCAGCTGCAGTTTTAGAGTCGTTTCACTATTATATTGAGCTAATTTTTTTAAAGCTAGATCCTGAGCTATTGTGTAGAAAATTTGATTTTAGATGCTGTACAGGCGGCCACCAGCCAGAATGCTTTGAAAAATGGCTTATTTTGAAGCACTACATAAAGGTGATGATGATTGAAGAATTAGGCGTGCCACCTTTAAGAGAAATTATAGCGGTTCTTCCAAATGTATTTCAGCCTGAAAGAAGTACAGAAGAAAAATATTTAGAATGATTAGAAGATGAAAGCAAAAGAGAGACATCAACAAATGCGTAACTGATCTCAGAATCGCTGAGGTTTTGGGTGGGCAGCCTGAAATTGCCCAAGGTAACTAGGAGATATTAATCTAATACGTTATCACTCAAAAATACTGAGGCTCATTATAATAAATAGAGATCGTTAGCATTAAAATTAAGAGAAAAAATTGGTGCTGCCATAATGAGAATTGGTGTATGCGAAATATCCAAATGCATATACTCTATGGGGCTACAAAGTTAAAAGTTAAGATTACTCAATCAGTCATAGAAATAGTCAAATCCTAATGAAATTATCATCATAAACACATCATTCCACAATTAAAACTTAAAAAATATGCAGTCACATTATCAGTTCCAATCATCCCAGTATATTAATCTTGTTCTAGTTTATTAACGTTCTCAAGTATAATCCTGATCGCACTAGCCACTGAGCTGGTGCTTCCTTTCAAAGTACATAGCCTGGCCTTATCTCCTTCTGGGGTATCAACTCCTTCATAAGTCTTATGAAAGGTAATTGAGCAGCTGCTCAGGTCCATCATATTCTTCACTTGTTCTCCTCCTCTTCCAATAAGCCTAGCAACCAGTTTGTCAGGCACAGTTATACTAATGGACGATTTATCGTCTCTTACTTCCCGCCTTGGTGATGGCGAATTCCTTCTTTGTGGGATCTCATAATTTTTTTCTAGGTGTTCAAAAACCATGATTGTTGCATCTTCTTTGTAAGAAGGCGATCCTTCAATTATAACGATTACATCATCATCTCTGTCAGCATGTCTATCATTAAGTACTCTAACCTTATTACATCTAGACCGATATTCAATTTCTTTGAGAGCAGATGCACCATTAGCTAGCAGCCTCATTTTTTGGTTAGGAGTTATTAGCATTTTTACAGATGGGTCACGAAAGCCATCATTTAGCATGACTTCGTCAATTTTCTGGATTATTTTTGGGATTACTTGAGAGATCCCACTTTGACTGCCAGATAAAATCTATATAAAAAATACAGCTGTGTGCTCATCTTCTCTCAGAGGTCTTCGATCTCCTTTGATAAGTCTGATGTCAACGTCGAAATCAGCTTTAATTCTTTTGGTGAACTGTCCACCTTTTCCAATCAGAATTCCAGCACATGTACTGGGAACCACAAAGCGAGTCTGAGAGCGGCCTGGGGAAGGAGCTGGCTTAGGCTCAGGGCTAAAGTTTCTATCTCTAATTAGCTGGCAAATTGCTTTAGTGGCAGTTTCAATATCTATAGGTCTTCCAATAATTTTAACTTGTCGGTCAGAAGCTAAAGACTTCTTATCATTAACAGAAATAGATGTCCCACTTTTTTCTTGGAGATATTTTACTTGTTTTCCGCCTTTTCCAATAAGAAGCGATACCATATTTTCAGGGATCAGGATAATTACCCCATCTTCTTTCATTTTATAGTCGCCAACAGTTAAAAAATCATTAATGATTAACTCCCCACTTCGTAAGCGAATAAAACCATTAGAAAAATCCCTATTTTTTGCTCGAAAACCACCCTCCGTGAGCGAACAAAAATTTTTTAATAGAAAAATTCTATTAAAAATAAAATTATGTATAAGTGATAATTAGTTTCATTAAATCTGTAGCTAATTCTGCTTAATTTTAAACAGCTTGTTTTTAAAACATAAATTTTACAAGTTTAATAAATTTTTGCTTTCCAATTTTTGCGAATTGAGATTTTTTTTAACTTTCGGGAAAAAAAACCTCTCCATGAGCGAATAAAATGTTCTTGTTAACTCACGGAGGGAGGGAGTAAGTGGAACCCATGCAAGCGCTTATTTAAATCAGCACTGTACAAACCAATGATTTTTTCTCGGGTTACTCCATTGGGTTCAAAAATGCAAATTTTGTCGATTTGGGATTCTTCTTTGATGCGGCTTGTGACATCTGGGTTGATGAAGTGAGAAACAAGAGATTCAGGAATTAAAAGCATAAGTGAGGATTCAGGAGAAGGGGAGTTGGATGGGGATAGAGATCGAGAACGAGATCGAACTCTTCGTGATGAATTTTCTCTCGAATCCATTTATTTATGAATTGTCTTTTGAAAAGAATAATAATTTCGACTGGATTGAAAATATTAATATAAGGAAAATATTTTGTGTTTCAGTCCATTCATAAGAACGAATAGATTCATAGAGTGGCTTCATAATCAAAATATGAGATTTATATAATTAAATGTCATTCACAGGTCTAAGACGTATTCTCAATACTAAGGATGGTTTTACTCATTCCTCCTCCTTAAGAATGAGCAAGATTGTTAAAAGGGTTAGTTTTTTAAAAACAATTTTATATAAAAATCATATAGCTATCCTACTCTATTAATTTATAATTTATATCTAACTCCCCCCCCCCTCCGTGAGTGAACAAAAAAAATTTTGTTCACTCACGGAGGGGGGTTAATTTTTTTTTTTAAATAAATTTATATATATAAATTTTATAAAAAAATATTTTTTTCGAAATTTAAAAAAAAAAAATCCTAATTCGCAAAAATTGGAAAGCAAATATTAATTTAATTTATAAAATTTATGTTTTAAAAAAGCAATTCGTTCAAAATTAAAAATAGAATTAGCTCTAGATTTCATTATACTAATTATCATTTATATATTAAAATTTTTTCCATAAAAAATTTTTCTATTAAAAAAATTTTTGTTCACTCACGGAGGGTGGGTTTTTGGTCAAAAAAATGGCGATTTTTCTAATGGTTTTGTTCACTCACGGAGGGGGGAAGTAAGAATAAGTTATCTTAAATTTAATATAATTAGTATTAAAATTTTATGTTCTATATAAAAACAAAATTATTACAAAATTTTGCTCAATCTTAAAGGGGCCTTACTTTCTGCATTTTTTCAATGGTTTTGCTCGAATTTAAAGAAAGGAAAGTCAATACTTTCGGTTCGAGCATTCAGGTATTTATATCTTCTATGTATATACATAAAATGGCCGGAGACGAGCGACCCGTCCTCCCGTGGCGGGTGTCCTTATGTATACCGGACGTGGTTTTTGGAAGCGGTGAGCTACTCAAGGGAAGAGTTAGCCTCGAGGCGAGAGGCCCAGCCCAATTTCCGCTGATTTTGGGACTTGACCCGGGCAGCAGTTCTACGCGTTCTTTTTGCCAGTAGCGCCGAGGCCCAGACTCGTGTCCGAAAGAGGCAGGGTGAGTTACCTGCCTAGGCTACTTGGTGGCTTAGCCCCGAATCCCGCAAGGGGTTGAGTTTTTTTCTTGGAGATAATCCGGGGAAAGAGGGGAGGCGAAGCTCGACGCAGATTCTCAAGGGCGCAAGTCTCTCCAGTTAAAAGGGTCCCGACCAAAAGGGGCGATCTGGCGAATGGAAAGGGCAGTGTTGGCGTCAACTTGAGCTACACGATAGGTTGGAAATGGAGGCGGTCAGCAAAGACAGTATTACCTGTCCCTTGACCTCACCTCTACTGAGAAACCGGGGGTTTCGGCCCGGGCTTGTTGTGGGTAAGCTCTGCCACCCTGCGAGTAAAACCGCGGCATGCAGTCCACAAAGTAGGGACTATAAATACCCATCTTAAGTCTAAGTCTATATCTTCTATGTGCTGGGCTTTTGGACGGTACATAATATTCCATTATCAAAATTTGAAGAATGATCATATGCATTTCAGTCGATTTTCATTGAAAGCAAAATATATTACAAAAAAGAGCCCTTGAAATTTAGTCCTCTTCAAATGACACTGGAGTTTAAGCAGGATATGCTGGAAATTGGGTTGCAGCACATACCAGAAGGTAGCAAAGAATTGAAAGAATTCAAAATAATGCTTGAGGAAACAAATAAACAAATTGAGGATATAACTGGAAATAAAATAATAAAATAATTATATTTCGAGATAATATCGCATTTAAGAATATCTGATTTAGAGCTTTTTAAAATTATTTATTTTAGCCATTTTATCATAAATAACCTCTGACTAAGTTCAACTAGCTAAGAAAAATAGAAATCCTAATTCCTATAAGAAATAGTCAATTTTCAGAATAAATCAGCACACAAACTCAATGACATCAGAAATAATTTAAAAAATTGCTAACATATATTCCAAATTTATTCATAAAAAATTTTATTTTAAATCTGATTATAAATACTACCAATGTCCACTGTCAGAAAAGAATACTTATGCCAAGTCACGATTATCGAAGGCCGAGACCTTATTAGCCTTGAATCTTCTGGGTCATGCGATCCATTTGTCAAAGTGACATGTGGAAATGCAGGATCCCAAGCAACCACTTGTGAAGAAGCCACCACCAATCCTTGCTGAAATCAATCTTTTACCTTTTCCCAATTACTCCTTACAAATGTTGAGCTTGAAAGCTGGGAGCTGAAAATCGAGTGCTACGGATACAGCCCATTTCTCGCGAATAAACTTATAGGGGCCTTTTCAATTGGGCTTGCGACTTTACATAGAAGTAGCAATCATGAGATCTATAATATGTGAATCAATCTTATACACCCTGACCATGGCTCCACTCCAAGAGGGTATCTTCTGCTTAATTGCTTCATAATTGGGCCTGATGATGTCCCTCCAACTCATCTTATTGGTGATCACCTTGTAGTTGACGAAGATAAAGAAGATTCTGATGAAGAAGAAATTGAACAGTTTATGAGTCATAACCAAATAATGCAGAAGCGGCAAAAAGAGAACCAAATAAAAGTACTGGGAGGCCCCTTAATTGTGAAAAAGTCTTATCAGTTGTCGATCAATATTTATAAAGCTGAAAACCTGCCTAAGCTCAAAGGTCATCCAAGTCCTTTTGTCAGTGTTAGATCAATGGGGATTGTAGAGAAAACTCATACATGTGAATCTACCCCTTCACCGATATGAAATGTAAAGCTATCATTTCCTGCGTTTAAGCCTATTTTGAATGATAGGATAAATATTAGAGTTTGGGACCATAAGCATTTGCAGAGGGATTTATTGATAGCTACTGTCCCTGAAATTCCTTCAGACCACGATTTCTTTAATATCAATAATTTACTAAGCAGAGGAGGAGTCATGCCTTGCAGGTGAGTCAATCTTTATGGCCCAAATCCAGACGAAGAGTCCATATGGAAAGACATTAAGTATTTATCTGGCTTTGTAAAGCGCAGCTATTTAGGAAGCTGCTTTTTAGGGAGAATGCTGCTTTCTATGACAATTACACCTAATGATACCCCTGAGACCGGCCCTTCTCGAGCTTCTCCTTATAGAGAACCAATTTCGAAGCTTCATATTTTCCGTAGTATTTTATATGAGCTTAAAAATGTAAGAGGCTTAGGAAGCTCTATTAGAATCCGCGTTTCTATAGGCAACTATCATGTATTTTCAAGAAAAGCTGTCAAAAGAGAAACAACTGACTCAGACACAGGAGAAGCTTTAGAATATTTTCAATGAGGAGACCATTACAGCGGAGAAATCGTCGACAATATCAAAGAAATTTTCCCAATTGATCCTACACAAGTCCCAGATGTAGTTTTAGATCTGTACTCAGAATATTATTTAGCCGGTGAGGCAAGGGTAGGATATATAAGGAAACCTATTTCAGAAATGATGGAAAATGATCATCCCAAATGAATTCCATTTAAGTCAATTGACACTCATTCAGAGATCGGCTCTGATTCTCCTGGACTATTACTGGCGTCACTAGCTTATTTTCCAGATGAAGAAATGAAAAACAGAACTCAAATAAGCAAGCCAAGAAAAGCTGATAAATGGCTTTGCTGGAATATTTATGGAGGATTTGATATAGCACCCAGCTTATCTGATGAAGAAATCAATTTGCAACTGAAAGTTTACTGTGGTGACATCGTTTTGAGTTTACCTGAACATATTGCTAAAGAAAATATAGGAACAAAATATCCAATTTGAAAATGGTCTGGTGTGAAGCAGATACAACTGCATGAAGATTTGCATTTTGAGCAAAATTTGCGCGTGGAGCTTCATAATAAAATCAAAGCTCTTAAATTATATTGAACTACTCTAGAAATCGGCCAATTTTCAGTCCCTCTTCATAGATGTGATAACTTATGAAGCCAGCCTCATTTTTTTCATGTTATTAATGCTTCAGAAATAGGGGCAAGCCAAGGGAGGCTACTTGCTGATTTTTATATAAGCAAAACATATATGGAACCAGAAAATAACCCTTGTGTGAGAAACAATGAGTCTATTTTGTGCAATATTGATTTTGCTTTGATAGGGATTAGGAATTTGGTCCCACATTATGAAAACCCAAGCATTGTTATATCAATTCCTGGATATAAGATGGGGAATGGAGAAAAAGCTGAAATTCAGATCGGACATATGAAAAATAGTGACAAAGGAAACCCGAACTTCTTAAGCATTTTGCATTTTCCTAATATTGAACTACCAGTAGAGCCCATTTATTTGCCAGCAATTTATGTAAAAATAAAAGATAATGCGTTTTTATCATGAAATGAATGCTATACCTACATCCCACTGATTCCATACGCCCAGTGAATCAAAGACGAAGTGAAAAAGCAAGAGGCTCAAGATTTATATACAAGGAATTTCACAACAAAAGATCTTATTGAGCAAGCTCCTTTAAGATCATTGACCTTAAAGAAAATTAGGAGGACTGAGCAGTTTTCTTTTACTGATTATGGAGAAACCTCAGAGCCTTCAGTTATACATGACGAAACCAACAAGCCCAAGGCATCAATGGATATGATTTCTGATATTTATGAGCCCAAAAATTCAAAAGTCTTGCAGAAAATTCAGTTCGATAAATTAGAAGAAGACGAAGAAGCTGAATTAGAGCAAAGGGAAAATGAAATTTCTGAAATCGAAGCTGAGCTGGTAGACTTAAGGGCAAGGGCAAAGAGTGCTGAGTGGAAAAAAGGTAATGTTGATGAAAAGCTGAAGAAAGAAATCAGGTATCTTGAAAAAACACTGGAAACTCTGAATGAAGGAGCAATGACTGAATTTAAATTCTTAAAAATAGATGAAAAAATTGGAGAAGACGATTTCCAATATAACAGGCCTGTTTATAAAGGTGGATTGTATGAAGAGTCATTAGATCTACCTTACCAAAGATATTTGCTGTTCACGAAAACCAAAAACACTGAGAAGCTATCTGCTTATAAAGTTGGTGAGCCTAATGGAGCAGTTTTAAAAGCTTGCATAAGAATAAAGCCTTGTGAAAAATCAAAAAAAGAAGAATTTTTTGAAGTCGAAGAAATGAGGTGGGGGTTTGACTTTTTCCATCCAATATTTCAAGGGTCTGGGTATTTAATGAAGGTTTTTGAATATTCATCATTTGCAGTCCGATTGTATTTATTGAGAGGGCTTTCTTTGAGTGCTGTGTCAAATGCTCCAGATTGGACTGCTTTTGCTGGAGGTCTTGAAGCCTTGTCAAGTGCTGATAGTTATCCAGAAATTTTGACTGGAGAAGATAAAAATCAAGCTATGAAATATATATGCGACAACAGACCAGAAACTCAAACTTTAAATCCTGAATTTTTCAGAACTTATGAACTTAAAGCTGATTTCCCTTCTGACTGAAAATTAGAAATAAATATATGAAATCTAACAGAATACAGATTTGATAGTTTGATTGGAACCACAGCTATTGATTTAGAAGACAGATACTATGGCGAAAAGAAAAATCAGGATAAGTTGATGGTTAAAATTGTGAAAGAGTTTATTGATATGGAAATAAACAACACTCAAGACCCTAAGTATCGTGACTGGCTATCAAATGCAAAAAAGTTAGCAAAAAAGTATGAAGCCAATCTAGAAAATAATAAAGCTGTAGTACCAGTTGAGTACAGGACACTGCACCACAAAGGAAAAAGCACAGCTCAAGGCATGCTTGAGTTATTTCTAGAGCTATATGAGAGCTCAGAAGCAAAGCTAGTTCCTCTCGCCAATATTTCCAAGCCCTGCCCTGAAGAATATGAGTTAAGGCTGATCTTATGGAAATGTGAAGGAATTCCTAAAGAAAATGATACTATCGATATTTATTTTCGAGCCCATTTCGATCCTACTGGGTGGCTTGAAGAGGCAACCACAAAAGAAACTGACTGTCACGTCGGCTCAGAAGACGGAAAAGGCGTGTTTAACTGAAGGATGAAATTCCATTTTCAGCTCCCTTGCAGCTTTGCAAGACTGAGGCTTGTTGCTTATGAATTTAATACGTTTGGTGATGATCGAGTGATTAGTGAAGTAGTACTAGACCTTACACAATACTTTAAAAGAGTAATAAAAGAAGGGAAACTGAAGCTGGAAGAAGAATGGGTTGAACTGCATTTACCGAATCTACCAGGGACGAATGGAGGAAAAGCTTCAATATCTTTTGACATCTTAAGCTTAGCAGAAGCTAATCAAAGACCTGTGGGGGAGGGACAAAATGAGCCGAATAGAGATCCTGAGCTTGACCGTCCAGAAGTAGGACGAGGGGTTTCTGATTACATTAAAGGGACTGCAATAGATGTGTTTTCTTGGCCACTTCTTAATATGTCAATTTTCAAGAAAATACTTTCAGGAATTTCAATTGGAGGGATGCTGATTGTGATGTTTATTTACCCAGGATATCTTACTGGAGGAAGATAAAATTAACTCATGCTTGGATAGCGAGCAAGATTTTTGCTTACTAACAGGTTAATTTTTTATATAAAAGAAGTTTTTTTTCAAAAAATTCAAATTTTTATGGAAATCTAATTAGGAATTGGCTTGAGATTTCATCAAAGCCAGAATTAATTATATAATGAATTTTATGATTGGAAAAAAATATATTAAAATTTTTACTTGCTAAACAGATGGCTAGTTTTAAAAAAAATTGGAGTTTTCTGATGATTTTGCTTCATGACTAAGAGATGGAGTAAGAAGAAATAATTTGTATCATTTAATTTAACTGCAAAAAATAAGGCACTAAGCAAAGTTTCCTATTTAAAGAGCATTAATTCATCTAATTAGTGGCCAGAATATAATATCTGATATGATCTATTAAGATGGCTTTGATTTATAATAATGAACTTTGCTGGTAAAGCTTATTTGAAGAAGAGGAACCTCCCTGTAATCAAAGAAAAAGAACTTGAAGAATCCTTTGCGCCTGCAAGCAGTCAGCTATCTGAAGCAAATTTAGAAAAATTTAATGCTTTAGAAGAGAAAAAAGAAGTAGAAGCAGCTCCGAGAAGACGAATCAGACGCCAACGTAGCGTTGAGTCAATAACAAAGCTTTCACTTGACCGATCTTTAAGCAGCGAAAGTAACTCTGAACACGATGAAGACATGGAAGGTATAGATTACTCAGACGAAGAACTCTTTAAGGCTAATGAAGAGCAAAAAATAGGTGAAGAAAGATATCATCTTAAAGTCGATACCAACGTCGTTTCAATTGCTTTAGGAACTCTTCAACAAGCAGGAATATTTGCTACTGGAGAGCCAGTCTTTTGTCCTTCTTGCCAAGCTGCATTGAACTGTTATTCCCGTATCATTAATAACCCTGATGACACCCAAACATGGAAATGCGAGTTCTGTGAAGCAGAAAATACTATAAATGTCGAAAATGAAGAAATCCCTCAAGGAGAAACCCTTGATTATATGATAATGTCAGCGAATCAAATGGCAGAAGCTAATCAATCTGCAAGTGAAGAAAACAAAGAAATTCATGTTGTATTTTGTATCGATATAAGTGGTAGCATGTGCGTAAGTGAAGCAGTCACAGGAAAAATCCAGCTAAAAACCCATAAGAAAATTGATCTGGGGATTTCTGATTTTGATATGAACGAGCAGTTTATGGAAGGGGAGCATCAGATCACTTATGTTAGCCGACTGGAATGTGTGCAAGCAGCAATTGAAGCCCAACTTCAGCAGATGGCAGTTGCAACACCTGATAGAAAAGTGGGGATTGTTACGTTTAATTCTGAAGTCTCTATCATAGGAGATGGAACTGCTGAAGCGGTTACACTTGTGGGGGATAAACTTTGGAATTTTGATACTTGTTTGCAAACTGGAATTGCATCTGAAAGCAGAATGAGGCAAACCATTCAAAATACAAAGGATAGTATGGTCGAAAAATTGATTAATTTATATGAAGGAGGCCCAACTGCACTTGGCCCTGCATTAGTTGCTGCTATTGGTATTGCTACTAATGGAAGACCAGGCTCAAAAGTTGTAGTCTGCACTGACGGTCTTGCTAATGTCGGCCTTGGGAAACTAGATGAAACTCAAGATTGGGAACAAGCTGAAATGTTCTACACCAAAGTAGGAAATCTAGCTAAAGAGAAAGGAATTGAAATCTCGGTTATCAGCATCACTGGAGAAGACTGCAAACTGTCTCAGCTTGGAAGAGTTTGTGAGCTTACAGGAGGTGACATTGTAAGAGTGAGTCCTCTGAACATTGCTAATGAATTTGCAAGCATTCTACAGACCCCTGTAATTGCGACACAAGTATCAGCTTTAATTAAGCTTCACAGAGGCTTGATGTTTAGATATCAGAATGAAGGACTAATAGATCCTAGCACTCTGAAAAAAGAGCTAGGAAATGTGACAGCTGAAGCAGAGTTCACATTTGAATACTCCACAAGACCTTCTACAGAATTAGAAGCACTAGGCATAGACCCTGGAAGCAATGAGAAAATTCCTTTCCAGACCCAAATTCACTTCACTAAGCCTGATGGGATGAGATGCATGAGGGTATTGACAAGTTTGCAAGATGTGACTGATGATTTAGATGAAGCAGCCACAAATGTGGACTTAAAAGTGTTAGGAGTTAATGCCGCTCAGAGATCAGCCCAGTTGGCAAGCCAGGGAGAGTATCGAGAAGCTCAAGCAGTCATGAGGTCTTGGAAAAGAATGATGAAAAGAAACGCAGGTGAAGAGCAGCAGCATTATGTCAACTATTATCTGGATAATATGACAGAACTTAATAGAAATCTCAACGATGTTATAGAAGGAGAAAAACTGTCTAGTCAGGATATGAGAAGAGAAGAATTGCAGCAAGCAAGAAATATTAGCAGAAATGACCATCTGAGTCATATGGCTTTTAGAGCCAAAAATGCAAGCAGCAACCAAAAGAAAGAATGCACTATTATGTAGTGCCAATTAATTCAATAATCAGCATTATTTATTATAAATTTTAAGCGATTTCGTAAAGATGAATATTAGAAAAATTCATATAATTATTTTATTAAATTTTATCAGAGGGACGATGTAGGGATATAAAATGAATCTTGCAATTTTTAAATTAACTTGCATCATTAGTCTAGAGGTTAGGATGGTTGCCTTCCAAGCAGTCGACCCGGGTTCGAGTCCCGGATGATGCATTTTTATAATATTTATTATGGTTTATATCTGAGCAGATTAAAGAGCTTATCTCTGAATTGAAAGGCCTTATCATTTTTGAGCTATATATATATTAATTTTCAAGTTTTATAATTAAGAATTTATTAAATTAAATTTGATAAAAAAGCTTAGTTTGATATTTAGCTGCACCAAAGAAACTTGAAATTCGTAATTTATAAGTCTTTATCATAAATTTTTTAAATTTTAAAGCTGTATTTCATTAGCCCATAAAAATTAAATGGCAACAGTAACAACTCAAGCCTTCTTTGGTTTTATGGGTGTATCAAGCGCTTTGGTATTCGCTAACCTTGGAGCAGCCTACGGAACAGCCAAAAGCGGTGTTGGAATTTCATCAATGGGTGTAATCAAGCCAGAACTTATCATGAAGTCCATTATCCCAGTTGTCATGGCTGGTGTCTTAGGTATTTATGGACTTATCGTTGCAGTTATCTTAGTTCAAAAGATTAACGACAATGATTACAGCTTCTATGATGGATACAAGCATTTGGCTTCAGGACTTTGTTGTGGATTAAGCTCTCTGGCAGCTGGGATGGCAATAGGAATAGTGGGAGACGCTGGAGTTAGGGCTAATGCTCAGCAGGATAAAATCTTTGTAGGCATGATTTTGATACTCATCTTTGCTGAAGCCTTGGGGCTTTACGGATTGATTATTGCTCTGATCTTATCCCAATAAAATAGATAGAATTTAGAGTTAAGACATAACATTAGAATTAGTAAAAAGGCTAAACAATAAGAAAATGCTTTATGATCGAACGGATTAAAACTTTGTTATAAATATAGTTTAATTTATAATCTTATCAATAAGTTATTTAAATCCTCACACATTTTATTCGTAATTATTTATATCAATTTAGTGATACTCCGAAAATTATTTTATAAAACTAATACTGTTAAATATACCTAGAACTTCGCCAAATAGGATTAATAATTTATAACGATAGCAGAATAAGTTATATATATAATGAGCTCTAAGCCTTCATTTCATTTATGCTATTAATTTATACTTTTAGTAATAAGCATATTTTTCTATATGTTTTTCCTATTCTTTATTTAACTATTTATTTCTAGCATTTTAAAACAGCTTCAAAATAATACTATACAATGTTCATTAGTTCAAGACATTGAATATACCTATTTTGTATTGATAGAGGCGATGTCTGTTATGAAAAGTTAATAATTTTAACCTCTTGGTCTTCTTGGTCTTCTCTCTCCTCTTCCCTCTCCTCTTCCTCTGTATTTTCCTCTTCCTCTATACTATTTCTATTGATTTCTAGTACTATTAATCTTTAGATTTAACTTTATTAGAAAAATCATATTCGAGTCATAAAGAATAGGCTTTTCAGCTTCTTGAGGTGGAGGCTGTCGTTTAGGCTTTTTGCGTCCTACTTCAACAAAACCTTCGTCTTCTGGATCAACTTTCTTTGTATCTTCCTTCACTTCTTCCTTACTCTTCAATCTATAATAACATATCTTAAATTTATATTAAAATCTGCATCCAAAATTTTTTTTAAAATAGAAATGGTCTTATTTATAATAGAAGAGGGTTAGGCAGTTCTTCTTCTTCCTCATCCTCAATATCAGCCCAATTGCTTGAGATAACTCCTCCATGCTCTAATATTACTTTCGTTTCTTCTTCAGGCTTTTGAGGAATTTCTTCCACAACTGCTTCAACAGGAGCAGGCTCCTCAACTTTTGCTGGCTCTTGAACTTGAACTGGTTCAGGGGGCGGCAAAGTGTTTTGCTGAGCTACATGATGATGGACTTCTGTGGTTTCCAAAGATAACTCTGGCTTTACAGGCTCATCTGGACGTACTTGGGTTTCGCACCACTTTTGAGCTCGTGCTGCAAATTCATAAAGACCTTTATATGTTCTAGCTCTTCTTCTGTACTATGGCAGTAAATATTCTTTTATTTTAGTTTTCTTTTATTTAAAAAATATTGGAAAGCTTATTTAATAACATTTTTATAGTTTTTAATATTCAATGGAGATAAACGTCTTTCTTAAAAAAATATCGCGCGGGATGCTATACTTGAGTAAGAGTTCCAGGAGCAACCTGATCACTTTGATTAAGGTAGGACTTTACCGATTTTTGGAGGTCATCTAAAATAGTAGAAAACCTATCTCCAGCTTGTCCTCTGCAGCCGCTATGAAAGTGGAGAAATGATTCTAGGTCGCCTTCACTTGGATTTTCTTGTTTGAATTTATCTTTAATTTCTGAATTCTTTAAGAACTCTCCTAAGACCCATAAATTGACAGCATCGATGCTTCTATCTTCTTCTACTTTGTGCTCAACTGGCTTCTTTTCTTTTGGAGCTTCTGGCTGAGGGTTTTTGCAGAGTTCAATAATTTTTTCGACTTCAGCTAAATTCACTCATCATCAAAAAATTTACATTAATTAAAAAAAAATGAAATGCAATAAAAATGGATTTCCTATTATTTCAAATTATTTCTTATCAAAAAAGAGTAAGAAATCTTCTGTTTGTGATTTAGAATCTAGCATTTTCTTTTCTTCCCCTTTAACTTCTTTCCCAGAAGCTTTCACTTCTGCTTCCTTGAGTTTTATTCTTTCCAATTTTTTCGTAAGATTTCTCTTCCTTTTCTGTAAAGCAGTCATGAAGTCTTCTTGAACAGGCTCCATTTCTTAATTATTGTCCATACTTAGCAGAGTATTAAACACAAGAATTATCTTCTAATAAATGGGCTAGATATAAAAAAATCAGAAATGGAAGTATTAGAAATTGACGTTCTTGGAGAAATCTTAAAGTATTTAGAGCCCAAAGAACTGTCATTAATTCTTAGAACTTCAAAGGCATTTTATGCCTATGGTACTATGGATTCAATATGGAAAACTCACTGTAATTTGCTGTTTCCTTGCTACGAAAAAGGAGAATTTTATAATTATATTAAGACAGAAATTTGAAATTATTTAAAAATTGTTCGGGCCTTCCACCAAATGGTCTGTGAGATAAAGTCAAGATATCCTCAGCATCCGGTATATAAATGCTTGAGGGAAAGAGGCAGTACCACTTTGGAGATTTTTTATAAGAATATTTAGACTTTGTTGCATTAATTAGATTTATTTAAGTCAAAAGACTAGTTTATAAATGAAGGAATGAATATTTCATGATAATTATAATTGCTAGATATATGTTGGCTCAGATTTGAAAATTTCGCCTGAGTCGGTGCTCAGTCAGTTCAAACAAGCCATAGGGATGGATATGCCATATGATTTATATCACATTTATATGACATATGATGGCCAGAAGCTTGCTGGTGTTGCAGGACTTTTTGGGACATATAGATTTTATGAATACTTAACAGTTATGATGCTATTGCCTTTAAAAAAGGCTCTAAAAAAGACTGAATTTCCCTTGTTTTGTTTTGCAGCATCTCCATATTCAGAACAAAAAATTCTCTATGATTTGACTGGAGTTCTTGGAAAAGGAGCTGGAGCAATTTATTATAATACAGGAATCAGAAATACCTATTTATATTTATTTCCTTCCATAACAGATTTTCTTACATTATATGCAGGGAAATTGATCTCTGGGGCGATAGAAATAGAGCCAAAAAAAATAGAAGCCTTTGAATCAAATGAGTTTTGCAGCGATGTCACTACTGAAGGGATTAGAGTTACTGTAAAAAGTTTATTTGTCCCTCACCTTAGCAATTAAAATGGCGACACGTGGCAACCTGCCCTTTTGGTCCAAAAGCCCAGACCTTATGGCTACCGCGAATTAAGACAGACTCCGAGCCGAGAATCAAGCGCAGGCTCAAGAGATGTGTATCCGGGTAGGTTTGGCTGCTTTCCTGTGGTTGGAAATAGAGGTGCTCAACAACGTCCTTTGGATCTGAGGACCCAAGACATTCCTCTACCGAGAAACTAGGGATTTCGGCTCAGTCGCAGGGGAGTAGTATTTTCCTGTAACTGTCGAAGGAAGGAACTTTCATATACCCAATAGACTCCAAAGAGCTGATCCATGCAATCAAGTTACTCTAGTCACCCGTAGCAGAGCCGCAGAAATCCATAAGCCGACCACTCAAGACTGAAGCCGTAAGGAGGAGACAGAAGATACGGAAGGCATCCAACTTGAAAGATCCTCTGGGCGGAGTCGAAAAACGGTTGAACCTCCGCGCAGGAGGTCGTTTGTGCTGCGTCACTAATATGACTAACGCCTGACTTTAATAGCCTAACCTAACTCTCACCTTAGCAGTAGGGAAAGATATATTTGAGCTTATCAGGTAGGAATAGAGCCAAACGAGCCATTAAAAAGGTGGCGCTTATCGACGAGAACTTGAAATATCACTGATAGCTATGGAAGAGTTGATAGGGTGGTCCGTCAGCCAGGACTTATTGGGCATTTTCCTGAAGTCTATCAAGGCTCAAAAAAGATGACTTTCGAAAACTGTTGCATTCTACCAGCCATAATTAAAATATGGTGTCGCTAGAATTTTCTGGTCGAAGGCTGGGACCTTTAGGGTGCCTGAAGGGCCTAAGTAGGTAGCCTAATCTCAAAGAAGAGTCTTGGAAGCCCAAACTTCAAGACTGGCCTCCTCATCGTGAAACAAAATCAATGTGGTCGCATTTTGGCTGGCCGGGGGAAAATGGCGTAAATTTTGCCCCAGAGCAGTTTTTGGGAGCATCTACTGTATAGCCAATCTGCTGGTGGACGGCAAACGATTAATAACTAATTTTAATTTAATTTGCATTCTTCCAACCACATCTGGAACAATGGATGGGTATTTTACATTTGTGAATATAGACAATGAGTCAGAAACTGTTGATGCAAAAATAGGAGCTTTTCAGCACAGGCTGCCTTTGGGGTCTACATTCGTGACATATAATTTATAAAGCATTTTTAATAATGATTAGAAATGCATCATTTTATTAATGATTTTATTAAATCTAATATGTTCAGCTTAAATATAAAACTCAAAATAAATAGTATTTCCCAATAATTGAATTTTCAAATACTGAATATTTAAAAAATTTTATTTTATTTCTGATAAACATAAAATTTAAGATGGGATGCGTTACTTCTCAAACAAAATGTGCAAAGACTGCGCCACATGTGGATGAAATAAATCGCACCACTGCTCCTCGAATAATGGCTCCAAAAGCTCCAACTTTAGCTGCTACTCCTGAAAAAGAGACTGAACTTCTCCCAAATTCCTTATCCCCTCCGTGAGTGAACAAAAAAATTTAGTTCGCTCAGGGGCGCTAATTGTTTTTTATAAAATGTAAATTTTTCCAATGGTATTGTTCGCTGACAGAGGGAAGGGGATTTAAGGAAATTGTCTTTGTTTGTTGTGGGAGAAGAAGCTTCAGCATTAGAAGAATCTGCAATTCCTCCCGCAATTTCTGCAAGCCAGCTATCTAATCAAGTCAGAACGCAGCTTCAGCCTGATCCAAGAATCTCTATCTCTTAAGAATTTTGAAATTGGAAAACTACAAAACAAAAAGGCATCATATTTATCTTAAATCATTTGTGAATTCAATGGAACTTTTCTATATATAAATTTAATATTTTTACTGAATCCAAAGTTTTTTAATAGTTTTGCGTAAGAAAAGCTGCTTTTCTTGTTCTGTAAACCAATAATTGACAATTTTGCTTTTTTTCTATTTTCTTTGTATTAGATGAGTAACTTGTTTATAATTCTCACTACCCCCCCTTTAAATTGGAACAAAATATAGGGTAAAAATTTTCACTTTTTTTGGTAGGTTAACCCCTATTAAATTGGAACAAAATTTAATTTTATGATAAAAAGTTTTATATATAAAAATCATAATTTTTATATAAAAAATTTTGATATAAGTTAAATAATTCTTCTTACTCCCCCCCCTCTCCGTGAGTGAACAAAACCATTAGAAAAAATCGCTATTTTTTTGCCCAAAAACCCACCCTCCGTGAGTGAACAAAAATTTTTTAATAGAAAAATTTTTTATGGAAAAAAAAATTTGATATATAAATGATAATTATTATAATGAAATCTAGAGCTAATTCTGTTTATTTTTAAACGAATTGCTTTTTAAAACATAAATTTTGCAAATTGAATTAATATTTGCTTTCCAATTTTTGCGAATTAGGACTTTTTTAAATTTCGAAAAAAAATATTTTTTATAAAATTTATATATAAATTTTTTTAAAAAAAAAAAAAATTAACCCCTCCGTGAGTGAACAAAATTTTTTTGTTCACTCACGGGAGGGGGGGGGAGAGTTAACTAAAATTAAAAATTTAGTAATATCTTGGTCTTTTTTAAAAAGAATAGAGTATAAAGAGCATCTTATTTAAATAAATTTATTATCCTTAATTGCTAAATTTTTTAAAAAAAATTTATTTTTTATTTTTTTTGATAAAAAATATATTTTTATTTCAATAATTTTGATATAAATTCAATGCGAATTTTTTATATAAATTCAATGCGAATTTTTTATATATAATTCAATGCGAAATTTTTTATAAAAATTCAAAATTTACTTATTTCTTGCTTTATTTTAAAGAATAGAGTATAAATAATATCTTATTTAAACCAAATTAGCACTTTGATCGATAAATTTTCTAAATTTTTTTTTATCAATAAAAATAACAATTTTTGTGTAAATAGTTTGGATACCAATTAATAGTAGCTTATTAATTAATAATAAAAAAATTTAGTTATATCTTGCTTTGGTTTAAATGATAAAGAGTAAATAGAATTTTATTAAACAAATTCATTAATCTAATTCGATAAATTTTTGAAATTTTGTTTTTTATAAAAAATTTTATTTTGATTTTTTTTTAAAAAAATTTTCTTAACCCCCCTTTAAATTGGAGCAAAGCTTTTCGTTCCAATTTAAAGGGGGGGAGCCAATATTTTGTTTCTATGAAAAGGATTTCAATGTTACTTATTTAAATGGTTTACATTATTGGCGAGTTGGGCTTTCTTCTTCTGCTACATCTCGTTCATTGATTGGCAAATCAAAGTAGGGTTCAATGATATCAGAGTCATCATCTTCAGCTTCTGTTTGAACTTCTGAACTTGTTTTGGAGCAAACTACAATTCTTCTTGGTACTGAAGCTGGTTTAACATTTCTCTCTTTACACTTTTTTACATGAATTATTGAACTTTCTCTATTAAAATCTGCAGAAATTGGCCTTAAATCAGGGAAATTTATATTTCTCTTGGCAATTTCTGATTTTTTTTGTGAGTTTCTCAATGTTGTGGGTCGAAACATATAATTTTTTCATTCCACATTTAGATCGTCATACGTTGGCAAATAATGAATCCACGCAACCTCAATTTTTCTTTTTTCTTTATGTGATGATTTTGGAGGTTTTGAAATATCTACTTGTGGCTTTTTGAAAATAAATTTCTTCAGGATCGACGGACTTTTTTTTCTAACTGAAGTTGCATCCCCTACATAATAATTTGGCTTCAAAATAACTGATTTATTTATTGAGGTATAGCTATCAGCTTTTAAATGATGACAATTTGATGAGCTTGCAGTGATTACTGACTTTGGTCTTATACTGTAATCTTGATTTTCCTTTGAGTTACTTCTTGTCCTTCTTGAAGATAACTTAAGGGTTGAAATTTGAGGAGATTTACGAATTCCACTTGAAAAATCTAGAGTCATCGAAGGTGTATGCTGACGAAAACTGTTATCGAGCTCAGAGAAATTAAATTGATGATAATATGAGTTCATATTTAACTAATTAGAATGCATTTTCAGTGTGTTAATTAAAATGATTTCATCATATTAAAGAAATAAATTTTACAAAATTGCTGAATAGAATTTAAAATTAGTCTTTTTATAATCAAGAATAAATTGAGAATCAATGAAATTCACTCATCAATTAAATTAATATTATTTAAATGGAAGACCGCGAATGTATTTTTTCATTTAGCTGATGGAGCAGAATATGAAGAAGAACTTTCTACAGATGGATGGATTCAGTGGTTTTGTAGCCTTGAAGGTCATGAGTTCTTTGTAGAAGTTGATGAAGAATTCATTAACTCCCCCCCCCCCCTCCGTGAGCGAACAAAACCATTAGAAAAATCGCCATTTTTTGACCAAAAACCCACCCTCCGTGAGTGAACAAAAATTTTTTTAATAGAAAAAATTTTAATGGAAAAAAATTTTGATATATAAGTGATAATTAGTATAATGAAATCTAGAGCTAATTCTGTTAATTTTAAACAAATTGCGTTTTAAAACATAAATTTTGCAAATTAAATTAATATTTGCTTCCCAATTTTTGCAAATTAGGATTTTTTTAAATTTCGAAAAAAATATTTTTTATAAAATTTATATATAAATTTTTTTTTAAAAAAAAAAAAATTAACCCCCCTCCGTGAGCGAACAAAATTTTTTTGTTCGCTCACGGAGGGGGGGGGGGGAGTAAGGAAAGCTTCAATCTTTACGGTCTCGTTCCAAAAGTTCCTCATTATCGTGAAGCATTAGAAATGATCTTATCTTTTGGCACTCCAGATGAAGATGATTTGCAAGACGACAAGTTTCTTGAATTATATGGAGAAGCAACTGATCTATATGGCATGATTCATGCTCGCTATATATTATCACCTCGTGGATTAGCATTAATGAGAGAAAAATATTTATCAGGAAAATTTGGCACTTGCCCAAGAGTTATGTGTGAAAGGCAAAATGTAATTCCTGTTGGAATTTCTGATGTTTTGAAAACTTCAAGAGTGAAGATATTTTGCCCAAGGTGCCAAGAAGCATACATTCCGAAACATAAGTATTCTGATGTAGATGGAGCTTACTTTGGAGCATCTTTTCCACATATTTTATTGCAATCTTATAGTGATTTTTGCATACCTCCGCTGGCTGCTGACTCCCCCTCCCTTTAGCGAAAAAAAAATTTGTTTGCTTATGGAGGGACTTATTTTTTATTTAAAATGTTTTATATATATATTATAGTATTTTTTTCCCTAAATTAAAATATCCCATTCGAAATAGTTTTAAAGCAAATATTTATTTAATTTGTAAAATTTATTTTTAAAAACGCGAGCTGCTTAAAATTAGACAGAATTAGCTAGAGATCTTTATAATAATTATCACTTATAAATCACAATTTTTTTATAAAAAATTGTTCACTGGATTTTCAACCCAAAAAAAAGGGATTTTTCCAATGGTTTTGTTCGCTCACCGAATGAAGGGGGAGTGAGTATACTCCTAAAATTTATGGGTTTAAATTATATAATCATAAAGGCTCAAAATATTATGAAAAACGATCAGATGACCTAAATCCTTCCTTGATAACGAGCATGTCATTGTAAATTTTTTTCTATTAAAGATAATTAATGGCTTTAGCAAATGAGATATCAACAATATATTTTAATTTCAACAGTTACATCCTAAAGCATCAATTTATAAATGTCTGAATCAATAAAAAAAACTTACTCCCCCCCCCCTCCGTGAGTGAACAAAAAAATTTTGTTCACTCACGGAGGGGGGTTAATTTTTTTTTTTTTAAAAACATTTATATATAAATTTTATAAAAAATATTTTTTTTCGAAATTAAAAAAAATCCTAATTCGCAAAAATTGGAAAGCAAATATTAATTTAATATATAAAAATTTATGTTTTAAAAAGCAATCCATTTAAAATTAAACAGAATTAGCTCTAGATTTCATTATACTAATTATCATTTATATATCAATTTTTTTTCCATAAAAAATTTTTCTATTAAAAAAATTTTTGTTCACTCACGGAGGGTGGGTTTTTGGGCAAAAAATAGGGATTTTTCTAATGGTTTTGTTCACTCACGGAGGGGGGGGGAGTTAGAATTAATCATAACTAAAATCAAAAAAAAATCGCTCAACAAGAAAAAAAACTTGCTTGCAAGCAAAAGAGGAGTAAATAATGATTTTAAGAAATCGAAGATACAATAGCCATGCTTAGATCCAAAAATATATAAAGCCTTTAAAATAATTTAACCTTTAAGAAGTTTATCATGTTTAAATTTATCTGAATAAGCCTTCTTTTCTTGGATAAAATAATTAAGTAAACAAAATTCTTTATAAAATGGCTCATCAAGACGAAGAACATTCCCATTCAGAAGACCATCACTCTCATCATGACTCAGCCGATCATGCAGCTACTACCCATTCAGAAGAGCATCACTCTGATCACCACGGCCATTGGCAGCCTCCTCATTTCACTCCTGAGGAAAGAATTTTATGGGGCTATCCAAAAGGCATTCAAAACTCATGCACTGATAACCATGTCGCATTTGAAATGTGCACTCGTAAAACTGCTGAAGGCGGTTTTCCTTTTAGATGGACTTTTAAGCTCCACTGGGCTGATCGTGTGCAATGTCAAAATGAATGAACTTCTTTAGTACATTGTGAAGAAAATAGAGTCTTTGAAGTTTTTGAAAGAACTAAAGGCTCAATTATTAACTTGAAAGGCAAGTAATTTAATAGGCCTATTCGATAAAATATGTATTATTTTAAAATTATTTATTTTTGGACTACTTCAAAGCTGCAAAGATAATAAATAAAGGAAGATAAGAAGAAAAAGGTGCAAAAAATTGGCTTACTAGTGCTTAATTTCTCTTATTTTTCTAGAATACAGCATAATCTATCTGAAAATGGCATTATTTGGCGTATGATGGGCAATTTTATATGTCCGAGTGATATTATAATAGATTATGGATCATATAAAAAAGTGAACCCAGAGCGACTTGAACGCCCAACCTGCGGATTTGGAGTCCGTTGCACTACCAGTTGTGCTATGGGTCCTGCTTGGAATAAAATTATTTTGGCTCAATTTAAACCCTTCGTTTGTAGGGATCCGTGCTAATTTTTAATGATGATTGAAAATAAACTCGCAATATAAGATAAACTCATTATTTTGTTGGAATGAGCTATAATCACAGTATTAGCAGTTTTTAAGCAAATTAAATGTATTTTTGATTTCTGGTTTAAAATAAATAATAGAAATTCTTTATTCTTATATTTTTATTGAGTTTCCATTGCATATTATGCTAATAATTTAGTCACATATATATATAGAAGTTTCCTATGTTGGCGCTGTAAGGCCGATAAATTCTGATCGGAATTTATCGGTTGGTTGCACCAAATCAATGCCTTGGTCGGACCAAAAAGCGATTTGGTCCGACGAACTTGGAAAGCTCCTGGGAAAATGTCTGCGCTTTCAGCGCTATATAGAGGAAACCTCTATAATTTAAACTGTATTAATTCAGCGTACTTTAATAAATTCCAGGTCATTTTCAATTTGGCTCCTAAATTGAATATTCCATAAAGCTTCATATGAATTTTTATTAAAAATTTAGATATAAGAAATTACTCTATCTTATTATGGAATGACTCGAAAATCTTTATAACTAGTTAAAATTATAGATATTTGATTATCGCCTAAATTTTCTACCTCTACTTTCACTTTGACTCTTTGTATGCTGTTCTTTTGGCTGCTCTCTTGGCGGCCCTTTTTTCTCTTCTGCCATAGTTTCTCTAATGATTCTTTCTATTTGTTTCATCCTAGTGCTTTCATCCAATTTTATTTCTAAATAAAAAATACCATCCTCTTCTTTCTTTTTAGCGCTATCCCCTTTTGGCTTCCAAATGAATTTACTCTTAATTTTAGGAGCCTCTTCTATTTTTTCAGCTGCAATAGGTCCCTCAATATCTCCTAAAACTTTTAATGGCTTCTCAATTACATATTTTCCATCAGTAATCCTTTTTAAAAGGTTTGTAGTTTTATCAATCAAAACGACCGCACTTGTTAGTTCATTTTCTCCTTTTGGTGGATCAAGCAAAAAGTGATGGAAAAATTTCAAATATTCTGATAGGGTTGGAGTTTGCCGAGAAACAATAAATGCATTTTTGCATTCCTCTTTTTTTGGGCATTTTTGGCATACGGTAGATTCATCAATATCTAATTGATTTCTAAACATTTTCGCCATTCTGATAGCTTTGGAGTTAAGAAATCCAGCGGTAGTAGGGCATGGCAATTGCAAAATCACTTTGAGATCGGGTGGTGAAAGCTCGTGCTTGATATCTGGATATTTGTATGAGACTAGCTTGTGTTTGTTAATAAAATCTTTTACATCATCAATACCTCTTCCTTTGAATCATGAAGAATTATAAGTCTTCATCTTATCCTTAAATAAACTTCTCATTTTATTATTTACAATTAATTTTCAAGTTTTGGATATCTTTATATTGATTTACTTCTAAAATAAATTTTATAAATTAATGCAAATTTATGAGAGGATGGATTTTCTTATTAATTGCAATAGAGCTTAGTGATCAAATATTACTTTTATATAAATATGTCTTCTTCTAGATCCACAATTAGAGGCTCAGATGTTCTTGTTAAAAGCGAAGAATTAGATGTGGGGTACTGCAAAGAGCATGGCCGTTCAAATGAAGCGTTTTGCGAAGAGTGCAGAGTTGTTATCTGTCCAACCTGCATAATGTTTGGGTCTCACAAAGGCCATTCAGTCCAATCTCCCAATTTAGCATCTCGATTTATTAGAGATAAAATAGATAAAACAACAAAATCTGGAAAACTGAACCCTGAATACACTGATAGGTTTTTAGCTGACATACGAGATGCGAAGCACAAAGCAATGACCCTTGAAGAAACCGTTATCCAAAAAATAGATGAAGACTTCAGAAAGCTGAAAACTGCTTTAAAAAAGCGACGAGAAGAGCTAAAAGAGTCTGTATTTGACCATTTTGAAACAGAAATTGAAAAAATCGCAGAGCAGGAGCGAAAATGGGAAGAAAAAGAAAGCCTCAGCAAAATGCTACTTGAAAACTCAAGTAACCCAGACGACGAAGCCCTTGTGAAAAACTCTTTAACCGTATTAAATGCTATTGACAGCTTAAACGAAGACGTAGAGTTCAAAACAGTCAAGCTTATCACGAGCATAGACCTCAGCTTTAACTCAGCTGCCCAAGGTGTAAGTTTAGGCTTCTCTCAGCTCATTCACGGCCTAGAAGAAATTGGGAAATTCGGTGACAACAAACAACTTCAATTCCGAGCATAATTTAATTTGAGAAAGATTATTTAGAATCTAAGCTTGCTAAATAAGAACTTAGTATGTTGGCTTGCACCTTTTTCTGCTTTCTTTGCAACAGTCTGTGAGGTGTATTTTTTAGTGAATAAGTTTCTGAGTTCCTTACGAAGTTCTTTGCGAGATTTAACACTTGCCATTTTCTCATCGGTCACAACACCTTTAAGATCAATATCGGTAGAAACCAAATATCTAGTTGGCAAGATGTGTTGATAATTCACGTACTTTATGAAAGCCTTGACTCTGGTTCTTCTTTCCTTTTTCTTCTCGTGCATCTTTTCTGTGATGAAAAGGGGAGCCTTGGCTACTCCTGCGACAAGAGCGTGAGGGAATTTTCTGTCCTTTGTGCCTTCATCGTATAGCTTACTCTTGTCAAGAGATAATAAATTCTTGTAGAAAATAGTTTAAAATTTATTTGATTAATAAAGATATTCAATGGATAAATGAAGAGAGTATAACATGATGTTGAAGACGCTATTATTAGAGCATTTAAAATATAATTAAATATCGTATTTTGTGTTTAAATAATTTTTGGATTTTTTAACGTTTAAAAATTAATAAGCCTGATTATACTTTCTAGAATCATCTCTAGGATATCGTTATTTATCGGAGAATGTTAGAGATAACAGCTTTTTTGCCTGCATATCTTCCAGTCAAGAGAATGACTACTCTCCCAACCTTTATTGGCTTCACCATTTACCAATTATAACCACAGACATCTTTACCTCAAGCTAGTTTGTTTATTTAAACAAAAATTAAATTCAAAGGAATCAACGCAAAATAAGCTATATTATTTTCCTATTTAAAATGCATGAATCTGCAATAATAACGATTGTAAAGACTAAGCTACTTAAGGATTAGCCAGCAATACCTTAGGAATAATCAAGTATTTCAAGCATTTTTCATTGGGAAAAATAGATTGTGATTCATTTGGATTGCTTTTGTAAATGGAATACAGTTTTGTATCATAAAAGATGGATTGGTAAGATTTGATATATAAAGTTTATATTTATTCCAAATACTTATGAAATTATTCTATTTCCGTTTGCTATAAGCAATATTAGGATTTAAATAATTTATCACTATTTTGTCAATAAAGAATTATATGACTTTATTATTGATCTTGAACTATCAAATATATTAACTTGTATAGATTATTTCAAAGAGTTTGTAAATTTAAGAACTAACTAGTACTCCTGAAGATTTTTGCTGAGTTGGTTGTGGCTCAGTTTGTTTTATATCAGTTTTCACTCCTAAAAGTTGTTCAAGCTGTCTTAACTCTCCCTCAGTTTCTTTAAGCTTCTTGAAAAGTGCTTCCATCACTTGGTCCATGTTTCCACATTGCTGTTCAAGGGCTGGAATGATTTCGGATACCTGCTTTTCTACCAATGCATCCCCAACAAGTCTCCAGCATCTTCTGGTGGGCTCTACCTTTCTAAGATTTTCTAGCACAATCAAATGTTCTCGCTTTTCACTTTCAAATTCAGTGATTTTTCCAAGAACACCTCCGTACTCTTGTCTCAATTGGTAGTACCTTTGCTGAGCTTGTTCGGTCATTTTATTATTATGGAATTAGATATTAAAATTAGTTCAATTTTTTTAACTCCCCCCTCCGTGAGCGAGCAAAACCATTAGAAAAATCGCTATTTTTTGCCCAAAACCCACCCTCCGTGAGCGAACAAAAATTTTTAAGGGAAAAAAATTTTGATGTATAAGTGATAATTATTTTAATGAAATCTTAAATATTTGCTTTCCAATTTTCGCGAAATGGGGATTCTTTTAATTTGAAAAAAAAAATTAAACCTCCTCCTTGAGCGAACAAGATGTTTTTGTTCGCTCAAGGAGGGGGGAGTAAGCATTTAGGAAATATATAATTATATGCAAACTTGAAACAGAATAAAGAGTGTATTATTAAAGTAATAGAGAGATTTTATTTAATAAAGATTTATGTGTTAAGAAAGTTATTTTAAGATTTTATAATGCAAAGTAGCAAAATATTTAATTAATCCTTTAAGAGTGTGAAAATCTTTAAAGAGCACACAAATTTATAGTTTAATTATTTTTATAAAAGTTTTATAATGTAAATTATTTGCCATTTAAAAAATAAATGATATGAGCTTTTTCATATTTCTATTAAAATTCAATGAAGGTGATGAAAGCTTCTTAAAGTAACAATATTAATTTAATAAAGAATCATACTCAACCAGAAAATAAATAAAAATTAATTACTTTGCTTTTCTAACAAGTTTATTTTATAAAATTTTGAATTCGCATGTCTCTTTACTCCCACCCTTGGCGAACGAGCAAAGCATTAAAAAATCCCTAAAATTAACCCTTGGCTTGTGAGCAAAAAATTATATTATATTTTAAACAATTTGCGCTCTTATAAGTAAAAATATATTTTTCATAACAATTCCGGACTTTTTAAAATCTGAAAAATTTATAAAATTAATATCCCTCCTTTTTTGCTCGCTAACTAAGAAGGGACATTAACAATAATAAACATCTTCTCAGAGAATCAAAATACAAAATTCTGATTTTTAATCCATAACTGCTAGTATTGACTCGTATATTTTTTTCCAAAAAAGTTTAATTAATATATTTATTAAATTAATGTCACTTTAAAATTAATAACCTCCACCCAAAATGATTTTCCTAAGATCTTCTCTTCCAAATTGCTGCTTACATATCAATTTTTAGTTCCAAGATCCTCCAAATTTTTGAATTTCTTTTATTTTTAAATCATGATCTTTAATTATAGTAAATTAAATGATGCAGATTCATTTGCCTGAGGCATTCGACTCCAACATTGACGAAATTCATTCTGTTAAAACAACAGAAAGCCTTTCACTCGACCCGCAATACATGCAATCCGCGTGTCTTTACTGCAACAAATCCAAAGGACTTCTCACCCAACTTCCCACCGGATCTTTGGCGCATGTATTTTGCCGAGAAAACAGGCCATGCTGTATCTGCGGGATTCCTTTCATGTGCCTTCAATGCAAGCAGCCTGACTGCCCCCGAGTTTTCCATACATTCTGCCTGAAGAAAATCCATCCTTTTCTCCCCTCTTCTGACCTCCTGACATTTTGCGACCTTCACTCTATAAGCCTAGTCAAGAAAAAACGATACTTAAAGATAAGCTCAGCTAAGCAGACTATTTCAAGAATAGGGCTTAATGAAGGCGTCTTAAGGGCAATAAGGGCACTGCAAGGGAAACATAAGCAAGAAAACGTTTGTTCTGGAAATTTGTTATGACTTAATGTGGGAATGGAATTTTTCCATAACCCTGCTTCGCTGCGAGAACTCCCAAGATTCGATGTAAAAGAAGACGTAGTCCAGGATTACCCGAGCTTTCATCGTGACAATTATGTGGAGGTTATGATTAATAACTACGAAAAAGATCTGGCAGATGTAAAAAAAGAAAAGGAGAAGATTTGGGAAACAATCAGAGTTTTGGAAGGTACTGAGTTTGTGAGTTCACCGTATGATTCAATTTTGAGTGAAATCAAATCGCTTAGATTTAGAGAAATTCATGAAAACTACTTGAGATTTGTTGAGTCGAAATCAAAACTCAATGTAATAGATAACAACATTACAGAAGTTAAGTGCCCAGATGAGGTTGATTTTCTATTTTGTGAAAATTCGAATAGTTCTACTATGTATGGAGAAGGTTCTAAAACTTCTGGCAAGGGAAAATCAAGCGGCCAGGAGCCGGAAAAAGACTATGTCTGCCAAGTTTGTGGAGATGGGGATTACGAAGATGATGATTTAATTGTTATATGCTCGAAATGTGATATGAGTGTGCATGCAAAGTGCTATGGGATTATTTCTGTCCCTGACGGTGAGTGGTATTGCAAAGCTTGTGAAGAAAATAAAGATCAGAAATCACTCCGATGCGCTTTGTGTCCAATCAAAGGAGGTGCGTTAAAGCCGACGATCAATTACACAACTTGTTTTGATATATACCCAAATTACTCTTGGAATCACAATATTAAAAATGTCAGTTAGGGATATAGCTTTTTGCCTTGAGTGGCGCGGTATGGGCGCCACTCAAGGCAAAAAAGCATAGGTCCTAGCTCCTGCTCAAACAGGATGGACCTATATACCGAGCTTAGTGAGAGAATTCAATATTCTTGAGAGCTTCGGCTTCGAAGAGAAGGGTCGCTGCTGTGTCTGACACTGACTAGAGAAAGTCTTAATGGGCTTATTAACTTTAAAGGTTCGACGGTTAGGCCGGTTCACCTACCGTTGTTCAGAGCTATTAATTTAGCTGAACCTCAAGCAAGGGGACTTTATAGGCATTCAAAATGCTCGAGAATTTCATTAAACTTAAACTTAAACTCTTGGAATGGCCAATCAGAGAAAATTTGGGTACACTTATATTGTATTATGAATGTGTCACCTTCTTCGGTTGGAGATAGAGCTTCTATGACAAATATTGACATTTCCAGCATTGATAGGCAAAAATTCCTATTAAAATGTAGTAGTTGCAATACGTCAACTGGCGCAGCGATTCAATGTCAGCATGCAAAATGCCCAACATGCTTCCACCCGATATGCATAAAGCAGAAATTACATAGCGCAGGATATGATAAAGACAGCTCATACTGCTTAAAGCATAAACCTTTAAAGCTAAAAAAACTAATAGACACCAAAGAAAAAAAGGTTCTTGACAGCATTTTTAGCTTCATTAAATTATATGAAAAATACGAAGCAAGATTCCAGAAAACCGAACCCCTGGAAATAGCTAAAAAGCGATCTCAAGATGGAAAACCTTTTAGCTGCGAAGAAAAGATAAAACTAATTAATTTGATTGAAGAAAGACTAAAGGAAGAAAAGAAAAAAGGATTTAGCTTTATGTTTAAAACAAACCAGCCTCAAAAAATTTTGAGGTGTAAAATTGATATAAGTGTTCCTGAATTTTTTACGATATTAGATCCGCAAATAATTTTGGCTGAAAAATTAGCGATTCCTGGAAGACGTCCCGAGGACTGCATTAAATGCTATACAGATTCAATACTTCCTGTTCTTAAAAAAGAATTGCAAGTCCTTCTATATCCCCAAAAGATTTTCAAACTTTCCAGCACCGTCAAGAAAAGATTAAGGGCAGAAAAGAAAACAAAGCAGAGGGTAAGCCCATTTTTACTTACAAATCAGCCAGTTTTAAATGATTTAATTAGTCCAGAACTTCACTGCATATGTAGACAACCTTTCGTTGAAGCCGCACCTATGAAGCCTGGTGAGTCCGAAGAAGAGTACAATAAAAGAATAAAGGAAAATGAAATGATTTCTTGTGATCAATGCACAGAATGGTTTCATTTGACTTGTATAAATATATTCATAGCAATTTAAATTTATTTTAATTTAAAAAATAAAGAATATTTATTGCTACTAAATGGTATATATAAATCTGACAACATCCCAGAGACTTTCTTATGCTCAAAGTGCAATCCAAAGAGAAGAGAACTGTGTGAATAGATTTAATCACTCATAATTATCATATTTATCAATAATTATTAAGCAGCCGATCTAATAAACACTTGAAGCACCATTCCATCTCTTACGAAAGCGCTTGCCAGACTCATTTCATCTTTGAGTTCTTTTCCTCCGAAAAACAGTCTTACGGTTGAAGGACTAATCCCTTCTTTTTCCGCATACGCGTCTTTTACGATTTTTGCAGGATTTTTGCTTTCAATTTCAAAATCAAAGTCACCAATTTTTCCAGCTCTTCGGAGCTTGATTTTTATGTTTTCGTTTTCGATAGGTTTTTTAGGCGGCTTACAGATACACTTAGATAGATTATGGAAAAGATCCCTGTCGAGATCCGAAGATTCTTATTTCTCTATGACTGTTACTCGTCTGCTTCGCCGATAAAGTCTCACGACCTTCAAGGACATGGGCCTGCACATGCTTCCTGGTAGTCGGAAAGCTTGGCCGCCGTCTATACGTCGACGAGGTTTGGCTTCTAGAAATCTCGAAAAACAAATATCTGGTCACCTGTCGGCCAATATGAAAATGCGTGATCCAGGACGCAACGCCTAGGGAACGTTCCTAATCGACCAGGAGGAACCTTACTGATATTGCTGGAACACCCTTTCCAACTCCAAGCTCCATCTTCCTCCGAGGTAAAACCTACCTGGATGTGAGTCTTGGGTCTGCTATCCGAAAATTGCGCTCCACTAAATCAAGTAAAGCCTGGCCGGATACACACATACCGAACGACAAGACTCCCTTCCACAAGGTTCCAGGTTTCTCCAGTTACAGGCGTTAGGAGGTTGGATAGGCTCACTATGCCATTTTTATATATATATATTTTTTAGGCGCCAATCTCTGCTTTTTGTCTTCAGGGAAGATTACTGGATCGTTAACAATGAAGGGAGGAACGTCATACACGTTACCATTTAAATCCACACAGCAAGAAACTGATCCATTCCTTGTTGTGATTCCTGACATTTGTAATAAAACAGCTGTGGACTCGTGATCTGCTTCTACTGCAGCCTTAATTGCCATTCAGATATGTCTTCTGCCGGATGTGCGAGTTCTCCAAAATTCTTCACGTTTAGCTGCTAATTGTGCACGGGTTACTGTAGCTTTCCATGAGATGGTTTTTTTGATTCCTTCGCCTGACGTCTGACCTTCTAGTTCTTGGTAGTCTTTGCCTATCGTAAATGTTGTCCGAGTTACATTGTCATCGGGTTCGCTTCGAGTACAGTGGTTGCCCATATTCAAATATGTATAAGTCTAAATGAAAAATAAATGCAAAAAAATCAGCATTTCGGTTTTGAAATATGATAGAATCAGTACGAAAAAAAAATTTTCGAAATAGTAATCATTTAACTTAAAATTAAAAACATTATATGGAATTGAGATAAAATTCACATATTGTTGATGAATTTATAATTTTGCATGAAAATTGGTATCTCATTCTAACTTTGAAAAAAAAGCATAATCTTCTTTTATGTTATATAAAATATTATAAATAATGCTGATATCATATCTTGACCCTTATTTTTGTATATGCAGGGCATCCAAGAAATTAATAATTTATATCTTTGAAAATTGTTTTTCCATAACTGCCTTTTTATATTTTTGTAAAATCAGAATCTGAAGAATATTCAGATTCAGACTCATCGCTCTCATTCTGTTCATCCTTTCTGTCAGCATTTTTTATATTTTCTATAGTTCTTACAATACTTTGTTTTTTCAATATATTGCATTTATCTAAAGCATCCACATGTAGCCTTAGAAATTCTAAAAATTGTTCTTTTATTATGATGATAGCTGGATCATTTATCTCAACTGTTTCAATTAAATCACACAGTGCTGATATCTTTTGTATGCTGTTCTCGATCCTTTTGAAAATTCTCTCAACCATATCATGGGATAATGCTTGATGCCCACCTTTGATCATTGTAGAAAATTGGTATTTAAATGAGCATTCCTCAGAAAGCTTGATCGCCCTTTCGACCCATGCATTCATTTTCACAACTGGGTCTTCAATAGGCTTTTTATTAGTTTTTCGCCTTATCATTTAATTAATTTAAAGATATTTAAGATTCCTTTTAGCTATCTGTCATCAAGCTGGTAATTATTAGAAAACCTACAGAAACTCTTTATTCTCAAGATATACTTTAAATTCATACAAGTAGATCGCTCCATCTCTATCCCGATCAGCTTCTATCAAAAATTGATTTCATTCTGTATTTTCGATTCCTGGGACGCTATTTTTTAAATCATTTATAATAATTTTCCCATTTACACCAGCAGCGCATTTTTTAAATGCTTTTTTTAATATTTCCTTATGTGACTTTTCATTTCACTTACTCTCCCTCCTCCGTGAGAGAACAAAATGTTTTTTGTTCGCTCAGGAGGGGGTTTAAATATTTTTTTAAAATATATATATATATATATATATTTATATAGTAATTTTTTTCTTATAAATTAAAAAATCCAAATTTCAAATAATTTTTAAAGCAAATATTAATTTAATTTGTAAAATTTATGTTCTAAAATGCAAGCTGTTTAAAATTAAACAGAATTAGCTAAAGATTTTATTATAATAATTGTCACTTATATATCAAAATAATTTTTCTTAAAAAATTTTGTTTATTCATTGAGGTGGGTTTTAGGCCAAAAAATAGGGATTTTTCTTATGGTTTTGTTCGCTCACGGATAGAAGGAGTTAGAAGCAGAGTTGAGAAATTCATTATAGTCAATAAATCCGCTACCATCAATATCGCAGCTTTTCATTATTTCTTCTACGTCTAAGTAATGACTAAGTCCCAAAGCTGCAGAGCCGTTTGTGAGGTCAGTTTTAGTTAATTTCCCATCAAGATTATGATCTAAAGCTCTGAATACACTTTCAAGCTCCTGCCTTTCTTTTCGATTTGTCACTTGTGCAGCGATAAATGACAAAACAACTTTTTCCAGTTTTGATTGAGCCTAAATAAGAGCTACCCTGAATTTTTCAAGTTCTTCTTTTGCTTGCCTCATGATTGGGGCTTCTGCGATTTCATTATTTGCATGCAACCTAACCCATGGATGGTTTAAAACCTCTTCAGCAGTCAATCGCTCAATTGGGTCAGTGCAAATCATTTTGCTTACAAGATCTTTAGCTTGATTCGATATGTGGATTCAAAAGCCTTTATCCATGTTAAGCTTGCAAGCTTTGATTGAGCTTTTGACTTCTTTTTCAGTTGGCCCTACAAATGGAGGTCTGCCACCTTATTAGAAATTACTCAGCATAAGGTATAAAATAACCCCTGCACTTCATATATCACACTTATGATCATATGGACCTGAAAATACTTCTGGGGCCATATAAAGTAAAGTCCCTACTGCGCTTGTGAATTTGGTTCCAGGTATAAGCCTTTGTGAAATTCCAAAATCAATGACTTTTAGGGAAGCTCCAGGCTTATTTGTGGATAAAAGGAGATTTTCAGGTTTCAAGTCTCTGTGTACAATGCCTTTAGAATGGCAATAACTAATTGCTGACATTATATCATGAAGATATTTCGCTGCTTTGTTTTCACTAAATCTCATTTCACTTAGAACTTTCTCAAAAAGCTCACCACCTGTTAGGAGCTCAGTTACAATATAATAATTCGCAGTAGATTCTAAGACTGCATAGACTTTAATTATGTTGGGATGGTTCTGTTTAATTTTTACCATTTCTTTGAGGATTTCTATTTCTTGAAGCATTTTCGTCTCACAATCCTCACCTATCTTTGCTTTTGGAATTTCTTTTAGTGCTCTTTCATAACCTGTGTGTTTATCTATAACTTTAAAGACTGTTCCGAATCCACCAGTTCCTATCGTTTTGACAATGTCATAAAGATCTCTTATATTAGTTCTTCCTAGACTAACGCTTGTTTTCCTACTTAATGCAGTTTTATTTGAAGCTTTGTTATTTTTTGGAATCGGAGGAATTTCAGGTTGTGAGTCACAACAGCCCATATTTAATGACAAAGTTAAAATCTTATCCCATGAGCAATATAAAGTAAGAAGATTATTATTTGGATAAGAAGAAAATGAAAAACAACAGCATAAGCAAGAATTAACATTTTATTTTTTTTAAAAAGATATAAACGAAACGATTATTATTCATTACCTAAAAGGAATGCAATAGTCTATGATCTTTGATCTTTGACTTTTAGTTTTAGTTTTATGTAGTCATTTAAGAGCTCTTTTTAAAATGGACGAAAATTTTAAGTTTCTGCCAATTTTTTCTTTATTTAGCTTTTTCAGAAAATTAATAGTTCTTCCTGCTAATTTTATATTTAAGATATAAAGTTTCCTCTCCGTATGTAAGATAAAAATCGATTGGCATAATTTATATTTTAAACAGAATTCAAAAAGCAATATTAATGAATAATATTTACGCTGGAGCACAATTAAGCACTATTTCATGAGTTATATGAACATTTTCTTTTGTTGTGTAATTTTGTCGATTTTTGGAGTGAGCCGTTGATACAATTATGTCTATGAAATTCTCATAATTTTCATAGGATATATACAAATTAAAGTCAAGCAGCATCAAGAAACTCTGTTCAAGATTATTAAAATCTTTAGTAGGAATTCCTCCAACTTTTGCGTAATAGGAATTTGTGCAATATTTATCTTCGCTGAATTTCACTGCGATAGATAAACTGATTAAAAATAGTTTATGCAGCGAAATGTTATCAAAAATATTTTTTTTGAAGTTTGATATAAGTCTTTCAACATATATCAAAGCCATGACATAGCAATGCTCTGGACAATGCATATATAGGTTTAAGTGTCCCAAGTAATTGCACATAGAAATGGATGGGATTTTTGCTTGCTCAAAGAAAAGTTTCAAATTTTCTTTGGGGCAGCTGGAAAATGTCGAATAGTTTTCAAGAAACAAAGCTACGGCTTCAAGTAAAGACGACATTTTTTATTTAGATTTATCTCAGATGATTTTAATATGAAAATTAAGCATTTCATATTTTCTTATTCAGAGTCAAATAATAAAAATTTAAACAATTTCAAAGAAAAATAATTATGCCTGCATTAGTTTGTAAATTGATTTAATTTTAATTTTTAAGATCATCTTAAACAGGATTTAATAGCCCATAAAAAATTTCTATTTTGCTTAATGCTTTTAATTTTAGCTACGCTCAATTTCTTGTATTTTAATTTGAAGAATCAGATTTCATTTTTATCAGCATACTTATGAAAGCTGAGCAATGCTTTAATGCAGGATGCCTACTTGAAATAGAATATATATGCCAGTGCACCTCTCCTGAAACTTACTCTTGCAAACTACACTGAATAGAGCATTGTGACTCATCTGATAGAGATCATACCTTTAAATCTGCTTTCTTAAAGCCTCCTGAAGGTACAAAAGAAGCAGTGCTTCAGTTTCTTACGAAAGAACAGTCTAAAAAGAACAAATTAAAGAATAAAATTATTGATTCCTTTCGTAAAAATATCACCAATTCAAAAAATAGTTTTGAAGAAAGCCTTAAAAAGTTGGATTTTGACTCAGAAGAGATCAGCAATTGGATGGAAAAGGTCTTGAAAACGCAAAAAATATCAAAGCAGGAACAAGAGCCAATTCTAAAGCTATTGGCTTTAAATCCAGAAGATGCGATTATAAAAGCTAAAACTTTGCTCTCAAGCAGCTCAGAGTCGTATGGCAAAATAAAACTGCTTTATGGGCTAAATGAAGAAATTGAAAAAAAGATTGATTCTTTTATAAAAGAGAAATTTGAAAATTTTCTAGATAGCAGGCTTGTTGAGATAGAAAAAACTCTGCTAGTGCATGAAGAAATCCTAAAATCTTGTACGAACCAACAAGAGAAGGTAAATAATTCGATTTCAGTATTGATAAGTGAACTCGAAAAGGATAAAAGAAAATTTGAAGATTGAAATAAAGAGGTAAAAATTGTGTGAGAAAATCAAGTAAATATGCTAAACTCTCAATTATCCTGTATGACTGAAAACATAAATAAAAAACTAAATGAAACAATCCAATCTCAAAACCAATTCAATTTAAATGTCGAAAACAAGCTACTAATTCCTCAAGAATTAAGAGTTAAAACATTTGCAATTTTAGGCCAAAAAAATGATCCAAGCACAGAAGCTGATTTCAGAAGAACTTGCTCAAAATACGAAAACGAGCTAAGAGATACCCTTAGCTCTGACCTATTCCTCAATCATAATTATCAAAATTACATCAGTTCTTATATCCTAAACACATCCCTTTATCTTCTTAAAAATTTTAACAACACAACAAATCTATCTATCTATAATACTGAAAGCGAAACAGAAAATATAAAAACCTTAGATATTCCAGAGCCATTAGATATATACACATGCATAGCACAACTCCCAAAAGGAGGATTATTCTGTTTTGGTAAAAATCCACCCTCTGGCATCACTTTAATAATTGATAAGAAATATAATATTAGAATGCTGCCATCTGGGGTGTCATGCTACTGCTCATCAGCCATCTATTTAGATAGAAATATTTATTGTTTTGGAGGAATAGATAATAATGGCTATTTAAATTTATCAGAGAAGTTTGATTTGGACAGAGAGTGCTGAATTAAACTAAGCCCAATGCTTCAATCTGACTATGGCTGCCATTCGGTAGTTTTTGATAGAGATATTTTGGTTTCTGGGAAGAAAAATAAATATCTTTTGCGATATTCAATAGATGGCAATGTTTTTAATAGGATCTCTTTTGAATTTGCAGAAAATAAAAGAAAAATTTTGGTAAATGGAGAAAGAATATATTTGATTGAATGCGGAGGGTTTATCTATGAAAGTGAAATTCAAAATATTGGTACTTGGAAACAAGTAGCAGAATCAAAAATTAGAGATAGCAGTCCTTCTCAAGTTTATTATTCATATAATAAAGAAGCAATATATGTTGGGTGCAAGAATGATGAAGGCTATTACAAATTTAATTTGAATAATAAAATAATGATTCAGCTTTAAGAACAATTTTCATAATGATCATTAAAATAAAATGATGAGGGCCTTTTTAATTATACGTTACCTTGGCATCTTGTTGCAATTTATCATAAGTTTAGGTAGTGATTAAACTGCTTGGAATGATCCACTCTTATTTTTAGTTTTTATCAATTTATTTGGGAGCAGAGCACGCGGATGAGCTAAGTGAATTGTCAGTTTAATATGCCAATAAGGATTCTGGCTAAACAAGCCATCCAAGTTATTTAAGAGATAGCATTGCTAGCTCATGATGCGAAGACTGCTTGGGGAAGATGAATCATAGCATTCTCATTTTATTCTAAAATGTGGATATGTGCATGGCTAAAATAACTTCGGAGTAAAGCAAAACCCGAATAATAGCTTAATTGAATAATAAATTTAATAGCTAAATTATTTTGATTTCATGAAACTTTTATATTTATAAGCGTGAAAAAAGATGGGTACACTTACTTATTAACTTGATATAAAAGCATCAGGCTACGAAGAGCTATATTTCACATTAAATCTATGCTTTATTTTATATATAAAGAAAGCATGGTGATAGAGAGTTATAATTTAAGGTGACGAATTTAAAAGATGTGAAAAAATTATCAAAATAAAATGGTAAATAAAAACACAAAATTATATTTAGGTATAGACATGAAACTCCATTTATCAATATCATTATATTTAAAATGATATTTTCACCTTTATCCACCTATGATCTATTTAATATATATGTTTATTAATAATTTTTTGATCAAAGATTCAACATCTAGTAATTAATTAATGCAAAATTTAACACAATCTCAAACCTTATACAAACCAGCACGGCTTTTCTTTCACTTGACTTTGGCTTTTCTTTATCTAGCTCTTATTGCATGTTTACTTAATTTCTTACAGCAAAGTTCTAGCAGACCCGCAAACATCAACTCGTCTCCATGTAAAGCTCTACTATTTACTTTCCAGTTAAGCATGTCCTTCCACTTAATTGCTTCTCATGGACGAGATCTTGCACTCACTTCCGAGATCAGAGACGCTGTGCCATCTACTTGCGTGGGCAACCTTCTAGAAAATTCCAAAAAGATTTTTGGTCGTGTTGATGACCAAAATAGAGCTCGAAACCCAGGACGCAAAGTCTGATGTGCTCTAGGATTGTTTTGCTTGCCGCTTTGCCACCTTTGGCCTTGCTGGACGCCATCCAACTTCGACAAACCATCTCCTCTCTGAGTAAAAAGCTAATCCGTAATAAACATATAGCCAACTATCCAGCATTTCGCTAGTAAAGCCATGCCGGATACGCATTTCAGAGCAATGCCCCGCTTCCAAAAGGTTCACATACTCCCCATGAATCTTCTCTACTAACGGTGTTAAGGCTCACCACACCATTTTAATGCATTGCTCCTATGCTTGCAAGATTGCAGTTATGAATGTAAAAGACTGATATAAGCAAGGTTCTGGAGCGGTTAAGTGAAAAGGCTCTCTTCTTGAAGTTTATTCTTCTGGAGGTGTAATAGAGGAGAAGTCTTATTCTTGGCTCTCAAATCACTATTGTGGAAGTCACTCACATGGCTGCTCCTCTAATTGTGATGATTGTGAGTGTTATGACTCTAAAGTGGCTTGTACAACATTTTAAAACTTGAATAGAGGAGGCATTGCATTTATTGTATTTAGTTTCTTACCCCCTCCCTTCATGAGAGAACAAAACCATCCAATTTTTTGGGTAAAAGACCTCTATCTGTGGAGAGAACAAAACATTTTTTATGAAAAAAATCGGTATATAAGTGATAATTAGTTAATAAAATTTCTAGTTAATTCTGTTGGATTTTAAACAGCTTACATTTTAAAATATAAAATTAAATTTTTACTTCTCATGAAAAAAAACTAGCAACCTCTTGTTGATCACGGAGAGGAGTTAGAAATTTTATTTGTATTGGCAATGATTGGATTGTCTATTCCTGCAGCGCGTGCTAATAAAAAATATATGTGTCAGGTGTATTTATTCTCAGTTTTAGCTCTATTTGCAGGTCTAGTTGCTTTTTTTGTTATGGCAGGGACTGCAATGATTACATTTGAAGATTCTTGCAATGAAATTTCAGGCCACTTATCAAGTCAAGCTAGCTCTTGTGCTCTAACTGGACCAAATTTTGACCTATTCAATCTTCTATTTGTCTTTATACTCAGTATATCATTTTGGATTTATGTTTATGCGTTACAAAAAGAAGAGGAGAAAATTTCTCAAGCTCAAAATGGTGGTATATTGATGGCTTATTTCTGGACGGAAGATTAATTCTTCATGATGTATTATTTTAGATGGATTCGTAATTGAAAGAAATAAAATAATAAAAAGTCTTGAAATAAAAACAACATTTCAGCATCAAATTTATTGCAATTTACCCAAATTATTGTTTTAGTAAATAATCATTTTTATAAAATTGATCCAGAACCAGTTGTCTCAATTGATCTGCATAAAAGACTTTTTATATTTATAATCATGCTGTCCACTTTCAGTTGGCTTATAATAGGCGTACTTGCATTTAAAATTTTCTTTATTACAGTATGAGATTTTATAAGGCATATTTTCGCATTAATATTTATGCTTAGTTTAATATATAAGGTAGAAAATTTTTAAGAAGCCTTATCGGGTTGGGAGATAATATAGAAATTTAAAGAAATATTAATTGTTTCAGATTAGGATTTTATATGGACCATGAGATCCTACCTAAACAATTAGCACATCTTTTTGGAAATTTATTCATTATCCAATCTCATCAAGACCCTTAAAAAATTTTCCAGCTCATTATATATAAATGAGATAAATGATAGATGTTTGAAGTATCAGCTGCTAAAGAGGTATAGTTTAAGCAACGAATTTTTATTTAGAATAGATGCAAAATATAAAAGATAGATATCCTTCATAATTCTTTATCACAAATTTTCTGTTTAGAAGGGAAGAATGCTTTTTGAATTTGTCAGAAAAACAGGTATAAATGATTCTCAAAGTCAATATTTCTAAAATCAGTTTCATTAGTGATATGAATTTTGAAACTCCATTTATTAATATCATTCTGTTGAAAATAAATTTAGTAAGCTATAACTACGAAAAAATTTATATTTAACCTTTGTCCACTATGCAAAATCTCTTTAATGCATATTTTTATTAATGATTCTTTATTCAAAATTCAAAATTTTCTTAATAATTAATGCATAATTTTAACCAACAGCGCAAGTCATGCATATCAGGGCGGCTTGTTTTTCACTTGATTCTTGTTTTCCTTTATCTAGCCCTTATTGCTTGCAAGATTGCAGTTATGAATGTGAAAGATTGATACAAGCAAGGTTCTGGAACAGTTAAGTGAAAGGGCTCTCTTACTGAAATTTATTCTTCTGGAGGCGGAATAGAGGAGAAATCTTATGCTTGGCTCTCAAATCACTATTGCGGAAGTTACTCATCTAGCTGCTACTATGATTGTGGTAATTATGAATATTATGACTCTACGGTGGCTTGTTCAACGTTTGAAAATTTAAATGGAGGAGGCACCGCATTTATTGTATTTAGTTCCTTAGAAATTGTGTTTGTATTGGCAATGATTGGATTTTCAATTCCTGCAGCACATGCGAATAAAAAATATTTATGTCCGGTAATATTATTCTCAATTTTAGCGCTAGTTGCAGGCTTAGTTTCATTTGCTGTTATGGCAGGGACTGCAATGATTACATTTTCAGATTCCTGCGATGAAACTAAAAGCCACTTATCAAGCCAAGCTAGTTCTTGTGCTCTAACTGGACCAAAATTCGACTTATTCAATCTTTTATATATTTTTACACTCAATTTAATATTTTGAATTTATCTCTGTGTATTGAAAGGTGGAGACAAGAAAATTTCTCAGGCTCAAAACGCCAACGTATCTATGACAGCAAATGTCCAGACTCATCAAGACCAAGTCCAACCGCCTATTCATGTTTTTCCTTTGGCAGTAGTAGGTCCTCATGTGCCTTCCGATGGTATTCCTATTGGGATTCCTTATAAGGATGCTTAAATCTCTTAATTAATAGGAATTAATTTTTCATGATGCATATTTTAATAGAGATAATAATTTTGAAATACAAAGAAGTCCTTGTTTTAAATTTATTTTGATCTAAATCAAAATAATTCTTTTAATAGAAAAACTTTTTAATAACGCTATCCAGAATCAGTTTTTTCAATTGATCTTTATAGCTGATATTTATAATCATAATTGTCCAACTTTGAATTGTATATGTCAATTTGAATTCATGATAAAAGCTGCATTATAATATCGATTCAAGAATTTTTCAAGATTTTATTGAAAATGCATCTACTCTCTAAAAACAACTTTTATATTACCTCCGATTCAAGAAATACATAGAAACAAAAAAATTCATGCACTATTCTTATATCTACAATTACTCAAAAAATGTAAAAATTATGAAAAAGAATAATAAATATTATAAGACTCAATTGAATGCAAGATCCCTCAAAGCCTCGATGAAAGATAATCTATATCATATTCATATGCCTATATTCTACCCTTATTCCTTTAAAAATTGCAGCAATTAGCACACAAGACTGGTATAAGCAAGAGGGTTTTCAAGAATGGAAAGGATCACTTTTTAAAGTTTATTCTGCTAGTGAAGGAGATTACAAAGAAGATTCATATGCTGAGCTTGCAAACTACTGATGCGAAACTAGTGAAATTAATAAGAAAACAAAAGATAACTATGCAGGATGTGAAATGTTCACAAATCTATCAGGGGGTGGTATCAGCTTTGCTGTATTTAGTGCTGTTGAAATTGTGTTTATTGGCTCTTTTATTGCTTTTACTCTGTCTGTCATATATTGCGATAAAAATTTTTTGTGCTTGAGAGTCCTTTTTTCTATTTTTTTGACACTTTGTGGAATTCTTGGGTTTATTGTTATGGCTGGAACATCTATGATTCGATTTAATGATGATTGTGACACAGATGATGATAATTCATCCCAGAGCAGCACTTGTGCATTAGTTGGGCCACAACTGGATTTGTTTAATTTAGTATATGTCATTACCATATCCTTTGTGTTTTGGGTTTTTATCTGTGCAACTAAATGTGAAAAAAGGATACTTGATGAGAGAATCAATGGTCAATCTAATATTGAAAGCAACTATAGGAGTCAAGACAGAGCGCAAATGCAAGAAATTCCTATGAATGTTATGAGTTTGCCACTTAATGGCGATAGTAGAGACCAAAATTCTGGGGCACCTGATATAATTTATGAATAAATTGCATGCAAACTTAAAATACGTAATTTAAACATATTTGTGATGGCAAAATCCACTATAATTTTTTCTATGTTAAGAAAAAAAATCCGTTTAATATTGAGTTTGAATAAAAGCTTAAAAGATATGGCAAGAAATTTATTATCAACAACATTAATAAAATATAGGAAATTTTAATAAAGTAATTATTTGGCCAAATATAGTTGCATTTTGGTGGGAGAAGAGTAAAATGGCAATTTTGAGCTCATTATACAAAATATATTCTTCAACTATTACCACTTCAAATTGAAGCTATATTTATTACAATCTATTGAAACAGCAGGGGCTGAAAATGGCAATTAAAAGAATCTACTTATAATCTCTAGCACTCTCTTTTCAAGTATTAGTAAGGTATTACTTTATTCTTGCTTTATATAACTCAATGAGTTTTCCATTCTATTCCAAATTTTATAAAATAAATATAAAATATTGAGTTAGGCAAATTATAAAAGTTATTAACTATATCCTCACTGATATCAATATAATTTTATCTAAAGCACTAGTTTTTTAAATTATCGACATTAAAATTTATGATTCTCTAAAACTGAATCATAAAAAATCAATCATGGAAATCCCAATATCGCAACTAAGTTTCAGTGATAGAGAACAAAGATATTACTCAGCCGAATTCGAAAACCTTACTTCTGATCAATTCTGCCCAATCTTTGATAGAGAGCTCAATGGCCAAGCAGCAGCTTCATTTTTCCGGCTTTTAAAAATAGATGATTCAGATCTCACAAAGATCTGAGAATTAGTGAGTGAAAGACGCTCTTCAATAAAATTTTGGAATTTTATGGCTGCAATGCGACTTTGTAGTGCAAAAAAGCAAGGTTTGCCAATAGTAAAAGAGAATTATATGAAAGAACAAAACATCCTTGCCAGAAAGAGAAGAGAATCTTTACAAGCAGCTCAAAAAATACCTAATAAGCCTGATTCTGAAGAAAATAAGTCAGGAACTTCATCTGAAGGCGACCAAAAAGTAAAAAGTGCAGATCGGGCATCATCTGATGGCAAAATCAATGAAATATTTCCTAAAATGGAAGATGCTAAAGAAAGAAGAATTATCGAGAAAAATTATTTTGAAGAAGAAAAAAACAAAATTAATGATATCTCTAGAGGAGAAAGCGATGCAATGATTGAAAAAAGGCAAAATTTTTTGCAGATGAGACCTGAAAACTCAAAGAAAATCGCAGCAGATGAAGAACTATCAAATAATCTAGAAAAAAATAGAAGGAAATCATTAGAAAATCCTACTGAAATTCCTTTGCAGATAAGCTTGGAAATCCCGAATAATAATGAAAAATATATGCATGCTAGATCATTGACAACTCCTAACCCATCACCTATTCCAGATCCTATGCCAGACCCTAATGCTGCCCGAATTCCTTCAAATGTCAATAAAGTTCCTATTAAAATGCCATCTATTCCCAAACTTTATGTGTCTCCTCTAGGCAGAATTGATGAAGAAGGCAGCGGAAATTCTTCAAGTTCAAAAGATCCAGATATTACAGTAGAAAACCCAACACTTGTCTCTAGTGGATGGTTTGGAAGCACTTCTTATTATGTATATACTGTGACCACAAGGGCAAATGGAAAAATCTATTCAGTGAAGAGAAGATTTAATGATTTAGATCTGATGGAAGCTTCAGCCGTCCATGGCATCAGAAGTTGAGAAGGAGCTAGGTGTTGTACTAGCTAACTTGTCAAGTGAGATCTCTACTATCTAAGCCTCTATTGTGAATAGCAAAGCGGATGAATTTTCTGCTGAGATCCGGTGACTGTGAAGCCAAAAGGCAACCTGCCAACTATTAATTAAGATTAAGATTTAGATTGGATGCATAATTTGCTTATAGAAAAATATAAAGGGTTTATTATACCTCCCAGACCTGAAAAAACATATACTGTTTCGGTGAGTGTGTTCTTTTATAAATAAACTTTTTCTTTCTAAATTAAATATATATTATTTGCAAAAAAGAATACATAAAAACCATGACAGAGAAATTTTTAGAAGAAAGAAGGTCCCAAATGGAGAAGTATTTGAACATTATTGCTAAACACCCTATCTTAGGATCCTCAACTGCTTTTAAGGTATTTACTCAAACTCCTAACGAGAAATTTGAAAGAGAAAAACAAAAAGCAGAAGAAAGCCACGAAAATCTAGAATTCAAAAGCTTAGAAGACGCTTATGACCAAGTAGTCTCAATAGTTCAAAACAAGCTCCAGATTATGCTTTCACAAAAAATCATGCCATTCAGTAAAGAAATGTCAAATATAGAAGACAAAGTTCTAAAAATCGAAGCCCCAATCCAAGCATTATCAGCCTCCTTCTCAAATTGGACACAGCGGCAATTTGACTCTTTGAAGTCTTTTGATTCATTTATGATCCCTGACCTTCCTGATTTTAATGACCTAATCCGAAGGTACAAAACCATTGCCCACACCAACATAAATGACCTAAATAAACTTTCTCTAGAATTTCATGAAGAATTTTTAAGATTAGAAGGCTTAAAACAAGCAATAAACTCATATAAAAGCACTCTCGATGAATATGCTCAGCAAGAAACTCTTATATCAAGAAAACTTTCTAAGCATAAATCAAGCTCAGATGAAGACACAGCAGCTCGATATTTAAGTGAAATCCAAAAGACTCAGGACAACTTGGATAGGATCAGCAAAAATATTTCACAAATAGAAGAAAATTTAGAAAAAGAAAACGCTAGTTTGGATGAAAATAGAAGGGTGCATTTGGTTGAAACTATAACAGAGATTGCAAGGAATCAGAAGAAGTATTATGAAAGTGCAAGTACTTTTTGGCAAGATGCGCTATACTCACTGGAGGTTTCTAAGGAGATATAATTTATAACTGAAATATTAATTATTTATAAAATTTTAAATAGCTTCGAATTAATATCTAAACAATTATAAAAGAAGCAAGATGAAAGGCATAGAAAAACTGAAAGTGTATATCGTAGTTTTACTTGTGTTTTTGGTGCTATTTATAGCTCCTGAGAAGTTTAGCTCACTTTCAATTGAATGAATTTATCCGGGACACCTATTCTATCATTTATCAGCTTTTACATTCCTATATCCAAATTCAAATTCAGTAAGAAAATTTTTAACTGTATATTTACTTTCTATTAGTGAGTTATGTTTATTGTGCTTTGTATCTAAAGTCCCAGTACATTCACTTTGCAGCACTGTAAGCATTGAATTTATAGCTATTTTTTTAGTTTACAGTATTTTGCCAAGCTCAATAACAAAAAGTGCGATCTTGAATAACGAAATCAGAATTATGACTTATTTAAATGAAGCATTTTGGAAATCTAGCCTACTAATCAATGCAATACAATATACTTTAAACTTCTATGAGCTTTCACAGTACTCGCTCGCAAAGAGCCTTTTTATAGGAATTTTATTTATGATGCAGACCCATTTAGTATACTTTGCTGACAATTATCTTACTGTTTCTGGCTTTAAAAAAGGTATTTCACGCAATAACATAGTTATTCATATGAAGCATGGTTTAATACTTTCAACGATTGGCTACACTTTACTATCCATAAGTAAATCCTCTTCAGATTTGAATTATTCAAGCGATTTCCTTGCCCTTAAAGTCTGCAGCTCCTATCTTATGGTATGGTATTCTCTTAAAGCCATCAAACGCTCCTCTATTTAAACATTTTTCATCTAAATCTTTTAATTTTGACTTATAAATATTATTTACTAGCAGATTATCTCCTCAACTTCTACCTCCGGGATTTTCTTCATCTTCATGTTCTGCTGATCTTCCTTTATCAGCTCAAATAATGCTTTCATTATATCTCCAACTTCAGTGATCTTATTGTAATTTCTATATTGCCTTTTCCAACAAAAGACGTTGAGACTGTCTTGAAGATTTTTTAATTTTCTTGATTTCCGCTTAATATTGTACTTTGCCCAGCACCAGGAAATTTCGATATGCTGAGTATGGATTTCTCTGCTATGAGGATTTACGAAGAACCTTGAGTGGTCAACAGTATAGTGAGGAAACCCAAGCTCTGGAAGTTTGTTATAAGCAGCCCACTGATCTGAAATTATTGTGGTGCCGGCTTCGCACCGCTTTTGAATGATAGGCAGTAAATATGCTGCAGTTCTTTTAGGAACTAGTTCCATATAAACCCTTTTGGATTCTCTTTCGTATAAGCCAAATACCCATTTTTCAGGAGTAGTTTGCCCAAACCCTAATCTCCCTCTGTGAATGAAAAAACCATTGGAAAAATTCTTATTTTTTGGATAAAAGCCTACGTAAGCAAACAAAAAATTTTTTGAAATTTAAAAATTTTATGAAAAAAATAATTTAATATATAAGTGATAATTAGTAAAATTAAATCATAATTAGCTCTGCTGAAATTCAAGCAGCTTATATTTAAAAGTATAGCTCATACCCCTTTATAGATTTCTTTATCGAGCAAAATGTACTGGATTATTGAACGACCAAGAGAGACTCTATTAGAGGAACGAGCTGGATATCTATATCAGGAAGTGCTAAAAAGTGACATGTCAAAAAATGGTGACAAGTCTGAAAAAAGTTGACAAGTAAACGCGCCAATTTTTAAAATGGATTTATTATTAAATAATTTAAAACTTAAGATATTTTAATTTTAATCAATTTAATTATGCTAAGTATTTCTCATATGAGTCGATAAGAACTTCTTATATATTGAGATACACAAGCCACGCACTTCGCAAATTATAGTTTTAGTCTTCATATATAAATTAGCATAAAATAAAGAAATTCTATCGAGCCGGAAAAATGCACATTGAGTTGAAAGTTTTTGATTTTCACTTATAAGCCATATTTAAATTTTGCTAACTCCCCCCCCCCCCCTCCGTGAGCGAACAAAAAAATTTTGTTCACTCACGGAGGGGGGTTAATTTTTTTTTTTTAAAAACAATTTATATATAAATTTTATAAAAAATATTTTTTTCGAAATTTAAAAAAAAATCCTAATTTGCAAAAATTGGAAAGCAAATACTAATTTAATTTGCAAAATTTATGTTTTAAAACGCAATTTGTTTAAAATTAAACAGAATTAGCTCTAGATTTCATTATACTAATTATCACTTATATAGCAAAATTTTTTTCTATTAAAATTTTTTCTATTAAAAATATTTTTGTTCACTCACGGAGGGTGGGTTTTTGGTCAAAAAATGGCGATTTTTCTAATGGTTTTGTTCGCTCACGGAGGGGGGGGGGAGTAAGTACTTCTCATATGAGTCGATAAGAACTTTGTATATATATTGATAATCACAAGCCACGCACTTTGCAAATTATAGCTCTTGTCTTCATAAATAAATTAGTATAAAATAAAGATATTCCATCGAACCGGAAAATGCACATCGAGTTGCAAATTTTTTATTTTCACTTATAAGCCATATTGATTTTTGCTAAGTACTTCTCATATGAGTCGATAGAACTTCTTATATATTGAGAATCGCAAGCCACGCACTTTGCAAATTATAGATCTAGTCTTCATAAATAAATTAGCATAAAATAAAAAAATTCTACCGAGCTGGAAAAATGCACATTGAGTCGCAAGTTTTAGATTTTCACTTATAAGCCATATTAAATTTTTGCTAAGTACTTCTCATATGAGTCGATAAGAACTTCTTATGTATTGAGAATCGCAAGCCACGCACTTTGCAAATTATAGCTCTCATCTTCATTAATAAATTAGAATAAAATAAAAACATTCTATCGAGCCGGAAAAATGCACATTGAGTTGCAAATTTTTGATTTTCACAGCTATTATTAAATTTAAATATATATAAAATCAAAATATTTAAAGCCAATATATAATGTGTAATTATATCTTCTGTATAATTGAGTATCTTAAGTTTTAAATTATTTTAATAATAAATCCATTTTAAAAATTGGCGCGTTTACTTGTCAACTTTTTTCAGACTTGTCACCATTTTTTGACATGTCACTTTTTAGCACTTCCTGATATAGATATCCAGCCCGTTCCTTTAATAGAGTCTCTCTTGGTCGTTCAATAATCCAGTACATTTTGCTCGATAAAGAAATCTATAAAGGGATATAAGCTATATAATTTACAAATTAATTAATTTTTTATATACGATTTAGGATTTTAAAAAATTTATTAATATATTTTTTTTTCAAAAAAATAACCACTCTCCGGACAAAATATTTTATTCGCTCATGAAGTGAGAAGAGTAAGGGGCCCTTTCCACTTCTAAAGCAAGACTCATCAATTTCCACAATCCCCCTAAACTTCGGCAGCGTCCTCATAAAATGCTCCGATACAATTTTCTTTAATTTTTCATCAATTTCAGTCTGCTCAACATTACGAATACCAAGCAGCTCGGAGATTTCTTTATCACCAAGATTCATAGCCCACAGAAATAAATACAACAAAATTTTATCTTGGCTTAAAGCTGTATCTTCCCAGATACTTCCATGAAGCAACTTTTTACTTTTACTACACTCACAAGTAAAAATATATTCATTACTATACTCGCAAAATTTAAGGACCATTTCTTTCCCACACTCGCATTTTTTTTCACTTTCAATAACTTTGGTTTGAAGCAAAAAAGAAACTGAAAGCTCGTCTATATGTCTTTTCCCAGGGATATTTTCTATTGCAGCCATCTTCTTGACGTCTTTTGAGAATTTAAACGAGAAAAAAGTTCTTAGCCGATTTGCGCAGAAAAATATCTTACAGTGGAAAAATCGCAATCAAAAGACAGGCTACGGAAAGCTCATGGTCTCTTATAAGAGAGAAAAAATTTGTGGGCATTTGTAGCGCGAGAAGATAGTCTTTTAATGACTGCTTAAAAATGAATGACATTGGGAGTTTTGCATCTGGCTGTGAAGAATTTTTGATTATTTCTGAGTAGTTTGACTCAAGATTAGTTAGTCTTTCTTCTAGATCGCAAGTAATTGTTTTTATATGGCGAAGTTCTTTTTTGAGTTTTTGGTTGTCCTGCTCAAATAATCAGACTGAAGAGGCTGTTTCTAAGCATGGGCCACAAGAAATATAGTTTTCTTTGTGGGTGGGACAGATGTCGAGAAACATGGACATTATGCTATTATTTTTGTAATAAGTCTTTGGATATTTTAATAATAATTTAAGGCCCCCATTTTAATTAAAATAATATAGCGAAGAGGTAGCTTTAGCTCTTCCTCAGTTTGAATATGGCCTGCCTACTGGGAGAGTTGACAAAGATCAAGTACTGGCTAGTTTGCTTAACGCTGATGAGTAGGAATATTACCAGACTAAGGCGGCTAAATCTGTCTATGGGCTATAATAAATCTAGTTTATAAAAATTTATATTTAATATAAGAGAAGACTATCTATTTTTTACTTATCCTTGTTGCAAATATTATTGCTTTAAAGTTGGAATAACCATAAACATTAATTTTTGATATGAATTATTTTTATAGAAAATACTATAAATTCGAGTTTGCTAACTAAATTATCTTAATGGTGATCTTTCTGGATTTCAGGGTCAAAAACAAACTCTTCAGGCATAGCTTCAGTCTCCATATTCGTCGTATCCAGAGCTACGTTTGCTTTTTCCTCTTGGACATATTGCTTATTTTCCCTAATCATAATGATCCCGCATTTTCTATCTCTGATGACTGGCAGATATCTACTATCCTCCAAAAATTCAATTACGCCTTCTTGGCTTGGCAGCACTCTGCTTGGATTCGTCAAAATTTCTTCTTCTGGCTCTATAATCACTGGTTCTTCTTTTTTTACTTCTTCCTCCTTTTTCTCTTCTTCAGGTTTCGCTTCTACAATATCCATTGACTTTTCCCCTCTTTTTGCAGCTGCTCTTGCTTTAACTTTATTTGTGGTTGATAATACCGCTGATGCAATTTTTCCAGCTTTTTCATTGGAAGGAACTTCTGTCTTTGGTGGATAGCCAAATTGAGAAGGCTTGGCTTTGCTTTTGACTGTAAAAGTATTTTTTTAATAATAATTCTTAAAAATGTGTATTTTTATAATAAAGGATATTTGGGAACTTGGAGGTCTGAATTCACCCCAATTAATCCTGAAGGACTAAATGACAGACAAAACATATGGAGCATTGGAAACCAATACCAAAACTGAAGTGAAAGCACCAACCCTGCAGTTGCAGCAGCTCTATTGTTCCCTGATTTCGAGTCCAATGCAATTGTCATATTTCTTCCTCCTGCATCAAGAATTCCAAGTGCCACAATTGCTCCCATCTTTGTCAAAACATCCTGGTGCTTTTCATTGACTATTTTATCAATTTTTTCTCTAAATTTATCAACCTTATTCGCGGTGGTTTTAGTCTGCTGCATATAAACCATAGCCATAGCAATAAAGGCGGACTGCCTCACAAAATTAACACTGTCTGTGGTCAAGGTTTCCAAAATATTCAATGCTTCAGGGATAGGGTTTCCTGCACAAGCAATTCCAATCGCAATGGCAGATCCTTGTCTGACGTAAGGGTTATAGCTTTCAGACAGAAGCGCTACAACTTTTGGTACTTGTTCAGGCATTCTATGGAGCACAAATCCAATTGCAGTGACTGCAGCTTTTCTGACATCGTAGTCTACGTCACTAACAGCAATATGGAGAAGCTTTTTTATGATTTTTGCGTTTGAGGTGCCAACATATGCAGTAGCCATGGTATAAGCAGCACCATATCTTAAAATAGGATCTTTATCAGTGAGCAGCTGTGTGATTAAGGTGTCAGCTTCTTCTTCACGTCTGTACATGACCAATGAAAGGCCAATTCCTAGAGCTCTGAGGATTTATTGAAAGAAATCTGCCAAGAGATGGGAAGAGGTAATTGGAGAGCTAGAAGAATTATATAAAAAGGCTAGACGATAAGTATTGTGGTCATAATTAATAGTTTAGTTTAGAGCTCTGATGATTTTTTCATGCTGAGTTTCGTGAGCATATGCCAGCATGTCACTAATAGCAGCTTCACTAGCAGAACCAAGCATGACGAGGCCCATTGCATAAGCAGCTGCTTCACCTGAATTAGCTGAATCTGTATAAAGAACATTTTTTAGATGCTCAAACATCGTCATATCATGAGTTGCCATTGTGGTTAAACCAAGGCCTAAGCAAGCTCCATGCTGAATTACTTCATTTCTAGAGTTTCCTGACAAAGAGTTTAATATAAAATTCACGGCTTCTGGCAACGCATAATTGGCATGAATAAGTCCCATTGCGTACAATGCTCCTCCTTCTGAGTATTGGCTTCCTGTTGAAGCTCTACCATCAGTTGGCAAATAGGGCTTAAGTATTTCTAACGCTTTTGAAATATTGCCACGATGAATGACACCTAAAGAAGCAGCTGCACTGAATTTTGACCAATTTGTAGCTTTGGCGACCCAGGTTAGGTTGTCCCTTAAAAAGCTATCATCAGAGGTCCCAGCGTGCATAAAAGCATTTGCGAAAATTGCAGCACCGTGTGTGACTGAGTTTTTGAATTCGACGATGGTTTTGACTTTGTTGATGATAAGTTTGTCTGAATTGTTTTTAGTTTTCAAGAAATCTAAATTAATATCGATTGTCGATCTTCCTGTTAATACTAAAATCACTCTATCTCTCATTGCTGTTGCTGTTTGGTCTCTTGGCTGAGTCTGTGATAAGCATTTAGAAATTTCATTGAGAAATAGCTGATTTTGGTTTTCTACCAAGTCAAAACTCAGTTGTAAAGCTAACAAAGGCTCGTTTTCTATCAAATTAGTAAGCATGTCACTGACCGCTTGTGAGTCGTTTAAGAAAAATTTGCATTCAGTGATTGCTCCATAATCTAAGTCAGCCAATGACATATGCAATTTTACCAAGCAGCCTACAATGTCTTTTCTAAATTCTCTAGGGATGATAATATCTTTAACGATCCCATATGTATACTGAAGCAAAGCCTTGATATTATTGGATTTAACAATGGCAATTTCAAGCTTGTCCAGTCTTCTGGCCTCAATTGCAATGCCAATTGCTTGCTTGAATTCTCCATCAAGGAAGCATCTGTCAAACATCTGTTCGACGACAAACTCCATCTTCTCGTTGACTGGGACTCGATCTTCAGGGTTTTTAGCTTCGTAATTTTTATTCTGTTTAAAAAAAACGATTATTTTGAAGCAAATATATAAGCAAAATAGTATATTTATTATAAAAAGAATACTTGGATCTCAACATATTGATCGATGCATCGAGAGACTAGTGTCTGAGTAAAATCTGTTTTGGATGATATGTTGAAATAGTGGCCGGATTCCAAGGCCAATTGAAGGGCTTCTGTATAGTTTTCTAAATGATAGTGGATTTGAGCTGCTAAGTAAGCCGCCAGCTCATGATGAGGATAAGATGGGTCTAATGCTAGCCTGTGGATCTCTTGAAGCTGGCTGGCGATTTCATGCCAAAAATATTGGGCTACGTCTGACAGTTTTTGGAGCGCGAACGCTTTCATTACTGGGTCTTCATCTTTGAATAGAGAAATCAAGCTCTTAGCTGAGGATAGTACCACTGCCATTTTAATATATTTAGAATAGAAAGTGCTATGAAATAAAGGCTTTTATTGAGATGATTATAGTGAATTTTCTCTTATGATTTTTATCCTCTTAATTTTTATGATTTACCCCACACTTTAAATTGGAACAAAATACGGTAAAATTTGCATTTTAGGGTACTTTGGCCCTTTCAGTTGGAATAAAATATTTTCTCAATCAGGAAATTTATCGATGAATATAATAATTTTAATAAAGTTAATTTGAATTAATATAATAGAAAAAATGCAATTAGAATTTATTTAAGGGTTTCCCACTGAATTGATTTAATTTTTTATTTAATTATCCAAAAATAAATTAAATTCAAAGTATTGTGCTCAATTTATATTGTTTTAAAAAATTAAAAGATGAAAAATAAAATTAGCTTTGGGCCTAATTTAATGGAAAAAGTGCTACTTAAACAGTTTCACGCTAACTTGATTAATTGTTTTAAAATTATATTTATATAGAAATAATTAAGTTTCTTAAAGTTTTATATAGAAAATTAAATATAAATTTTTTAAAACAAAAAATTAACCCCTTTAAATTGGAACAAGATTTTTGTTTCAGTTTAAAGATAAGAGGAGAGGAGTTAATATTATTTTAAGCTAAAAAACCATTTCTGATATTTCATCTCAATAAATGGCTTTGCCATTGAGCAAGAATTTTAATTTTACTCAAGCAATACTCATACAATAATTTTTAAAAAATAATTCTAATTAAAAATAAGAATCATATTTTGGAGAAGGCAAGCATAAATTCGACATATCTGCTGGACTACTTCATTTCTGCTAATATATTTTATTTTATAACTCAGACCCTTTTTAAAATAATAAATATTCAGAATCTATCATCTTTATTCTCTAACGAAAAAATTTATTCCACAAAATCAATCATGCAGATATCCTTTATTTCATTCATAAATAAGCTCAGCTTCCTTAATCATAGGATCAATACATCCCTAATTTGTTATTTTTTAACTCAAGAAAAAATAGACTCCAAATATTAATTTTAATAAGGAGGATAGCCACCTTGTGGAGGATAGCCACCATATGGAGGGTAGCCTGGCTGTGGAGGATAACCTTGTTGTGGAGGGTAGCCTGGTTGAGGTGGGTATCCAGGCTGTTGTGGATACCCTCCTTCGATTATATATTCCTTATTATGATGAAGAAATAGAATGGCGACGTATAGAACTTGCCCGAGAATGGCGCAAAATAGCGCCATCCTCGGGCAAGTTCTATAGACAGAAACTGGACTCCGAGGCGACACCTCTTGAGGGGCGCGATGGGTGACAAAAGATGCTTGTAAGCGAAGTAGACCATCTCAACGGGGAGATGCCGAAACAGGGTGTTTTCTTCCTCCCCCGAAGGTTTCCTGTCCCTGTCAGATGGGCAAGACAGGCTTTGCATACACTTGGTCGTTCTCTATCGGGGCAAGCACAAATATTGCTATACCCAGGAGAGCTAATCCCCTTGACAGGTTGCTCAGATCGGAATTTTCAAGATGGTAGCCTTCAATTTTCCTCATTTAAAACTCTGAAGTATATGGAGGTTGATACTTTTTAAGCCGAGATAAGACAAAGGCTAATTGGTCGCCTGCTTATTGCCAGTTTAAATAATTTAATTTAATTTATTTATGATAGAGAAATAAAAATGGTCACGTTGACGGAAAACAGACTCTGATGTGCACTCCCTATGGAGCATGTAGGATCCATCATCCTGACAGGGCCTCTATCCCTTTTAGAGGTATGTCTTCAGGCTTGAGATGCCTTGCTGAAAAAGGAAGTTTTATTTCTCGCCCAAAGGTTTTCCTGTCCTGCTGGGTGAGCTAGAGGTGTTTTACCTACCATATAGTCTTCATTATCAGGATCGCCGGGACATTTCACAGACTATGGCTTTGCCCAAGGGAACTGATCACCTGGCCAGCTGGTTCAGGCCAGATCTCCAAAAGGGCGACCTTTTGAAGCCAGGATGGGTGACAGCTATTAGCTGGGTCCACTTATTGCTAGCATAATCGTTTTAACTAATTAACTATTATTATGATGGTGATGTCTTCCTTCTTCAATTATAATTTCACGGGGTGGTTGTCCGTAACCTTGAGTCTCGATAATCACTTCTTGAGGGTGATGAGGATGATGGTGATGATGATGCCCTTCTTCAATTACAACTGCTTGAGGGTATCCATATGGCTGTCCTTGGGGAGGATACATTGGCTGAGCATATTGAGGCTGGAATCTTATCGAAAGTCTCACTTTTCCAACCCCGCGGCCGTGGTGAAACAATTCAACAGACTCCTCAACTTGGCCCATCTGCCTTGCATTAAGAATGATAACTTCAGCAGAGCCGATTTCTTCATCACCGACCATATGTCTTCTGTCCCAAACTTGGACTCTGATGCTTTCTTCATTATATATCTGGAATGTCAAGTGGTTTGACCAATTAGGGTACTTTCCTGCATTCTCTGCAATAGCGGTTCTTTCTTGATTGGATCCAACAGTAACAACACAATATGGGTCCATTCTTCCAAAAGCTTCGACATCTCTATATAGTTCAGCACAAACAGGATGAACAATCAACTGACCAGGTACTGCCATTTTAAAATTTATATTTATTCTACCAGCAATGGAGACTGAGGACTTAGTAATAAATCAGAATTATCGCTGATTCCATTAAAAGGATTTGCTTTGCAAACTGGACACCTCGGTATATCGATTGACCCTTTGAATCATTCTTCTATACATTTAGAGTGATAAATATGTTTGCAAATTAATTTTCTGACTTCGCTCCCTTCTGAAAAGCTACATAAAAAATACTCTTCAAAGCAAATACAGCAGGTTTTGGCTTCCCAATCAACTTGAGATTGATCGAAAACTATTTTAGGCAAGTGGAGTTCTAGTAGATCATCAGGAATTATTGACGCCGATTGATTATGAATCAAAATTTCATACTGTCGAGCTCTTTCAGCGTTTATTGTAGCCAGGTTTCGGACTCTTACTCGTCTAATGCTTGATCTAATTTTATATACACAAAAGCAGCAGCAGAAGAAGCAAAAACCTGAGATAGATGAAATTATTATTGTTGTCACAATTCCATGTGAAGAAGATTCATCGGAATCATTCCCACTTCGGCTTCAGCTGAAAGACATTCCTGAGTAAGCTTTGTATTTATCTCCTGTGAAGTAACCGATAATAAAATAATTTCCATCTTCGATGTCAAAAGCATTTCCGTTTGACAAATTATTTAGGACAATTTCCGTTCCGGAACTCTCCCATTTATTTTTAAATAAGCCAGAATTTTGGGAAAGAGAGTAATATAATATCTTTAACGATCCAGATTGTGATTCGTGAAAAATTGAAAATGATAAAGAAATGCTTTTCTGAGAGGATTTTTGCTTGGTAAAGTCAAGAGTTCATATGCATAGAGAGCTTGTTGGAAATGGATCGGAAATCTGGATAAAGCCATCATGGCTTGATAGTACAGTTGCTGGCCCGCAGCTGGGCTAATTTAAAAATACACTTGTGGAGGTACATTGAGGGTAGTTTCCTTGATATTTATAGCAATATGACAAATTAGGCTCGTTATCACAGTTAAGACAAAGGTTAGAGCATGAATTTGAATCTTTGGAGCAGGTCGTTTCAGTACAACTATCACTGGATAAAAATTACGTATATCAATTTATCCCAAAAGCTGTACAAGCAGAGCAATTTGTTTGGCAACTTGAAGCTAAATCAAGAATAAGTAATACTAGCAAGCTTATTGGTTCCATAAAATAATTATTTATTTGTTCTAAAATAATTTATATAAAATTATAAATTAATGTAATTATTAAATTATGTCCGATTTAAATATAATTAAAGAGTCCTATAACTATGCAAGTGCTTAAATTTTAATCTTAATACTAATTTTATACAAGTTCAAAATTTATATATTTTTACCCAGCTGCAAAAAATTATCAGTTTTGTGTTCTAAAATAATTTGCTATGAGCTCATAAGCATTGATAATCTATATTAAATGTGTGTCTTCCTTATAAGTAAAATCCTTATTATTTTTAAAAAGTCATTTACAGAGGATCTTATGAATTCGAAAATTTTTATAGATTTTTTTCTCGCAATTATAAGGATATTTATAGAGTGCTTTCTGTGTGAATTAATCATAAAAATATATGCTTTCTTCAAATAAGTTATAAATAATTAAAGTTTTTTGTTTTATAGGCTCCAATTCTCGAATAAATAACTATTTCACTACATTAAAGGGAAAAAACTCAGTATACGCCAAGTCATGACTAAAGCTCAAGATGATAAATATAATGGTTCATATTATTATATTTGGCAATTTTTGGCTTTATAAATCTCTATTTTCGGATTAATTATGATATATAGCAATCATTCGGAACCTATTCTATTAGCTGTTTAATAAAGTCTTTTCTTTTGCATCAAACATAAATCCAATGAAAAAATAATTATTGAATGCTATAAATTTTAGCATCAAAAGATAGGTGAGCTCTAGATCGAGCTACTTGTGTAACTGAGAGTATCCATTCCTCCATTATTAAAATTTGATTTTTTCTGTAATTATAAAATTAAATAAATTACAGTTAAAAGCGAAGAATTTCCTTTAAATGCCTCTCTAAAATAAATTAAAGTACTTTAAAAGATAAGAGCAATAAATATTAACATCTTTATATATGTTCGCGCTAATTATTATATGATTTCTTAATTAAAATTGGATGGATTAATAAAAATGAAAAGCTATCGATGCAGCTACCGCAATTGCAAGCAAACATATACAAATCAATATAACTTAAGAAGGCATATATCAATAAATCACCACAAAGTGCGATTTACATGCAAGACTTGCCAGAAAAAACTCTGTTCAGCTCAAGCATTAAGAGATCATGCCCATTGCCATACTGGAGAGAAGCCTTATGCCTGCAAGTTTCCTGGATGCACTAAGAGATACAGACAAGGAAGCCAATTATCTTATCACAAGAAAAAACATGCAAGACAGCTCAGTGAAAAAGTTGAAGTTTTTGCAGAATTAAAAGTAACCAATATTTAGCTAACTTTTCTGCTCAGGCATGAATCAAAAGAGATATATGAGGCACCCAAAGGTCCTTACTCAGTAAATCATGCTGTTTTACCACCACTAAGACCAAATTCAAACTTAAAAAGCCTAAAGTTCTAATATAATCTAATAGAAAACATACTTTAATCATGCATATAATAATATAAATTAATATATAAAGGGTGGCCGAGCTTAACTGAAAATAACTATCCGCTAGAAGAACTTTTAGAAAATTATTGTTTAAGTTAATTATTGAGCAATTTTCTATTAAAATTATTATTAGGAAGTTACTAATAAGAAAAATTTTGCTCTATGAAATTTTTTATTTTTATAAAATAAATTTTAAGCGGCTATTTTAGAGTCGATTAATTTGAAGAATTTGACTTTTATTACTCAAGATTCATAAAAGTTTCGAATATAATTTATCATATCATTTTAAGATAGCTTCAGAATGGATTACTACATATTTATATTAAAAGTTCAAGATTAAGTTTAAAAAAGGGAATAATGCATATAGCTATATCCTCTCTCCATAATCATCCGCTTTCATTTTGATTTTTAAAAATTAAATTTATATTTGCATATATTATAATCCATTGTTTTATGAATTTAATAGAAAGTTAAACTTAAGCTATATTTAAAATTTTAAATTTTATTTTTAGGAATCTTCTTAATAAGAGGAAGCCAGTCTAAAGCTTTCTCTATTTGCATGGCTATCAGATAGTCCATAGCTTAAATAATCCTATAGGAGCTCAATTCATTTATAAATTTGAATTGCTAAATGTATAAAGATAGTCAGTAAACGTTTTTCATAATTATCCAAATAATCTGGTTATTATTATTATTCCTTCTGCTTACAATGAACATATAATGATAAATAATATTGCCGCTAAATTTATTATCATTATATGGCTATACACTACTTCAGAAGAATCACTATTCTGCAGGAGTAATTAATTAGATTCATTTTTTTTTAATTTTAGACTTCAAAGTTTAATAAAGATAAATTCAAATTATTCTCTAATTATTTTGGCAAAGATAAGTTTATTAGAAATAACTATTACAACTCATTTCATAAGATTTTCTTGCATTTTATTTTTCTGAGTTATATATAAATTAAACAGTTAAAGAGTTTGGAAAATATTTTTGAAGGCATTTTATAAAAGGCATATTGTCCTGCAGTGTTTAATTTGGAAATCAGATATATTTTTTTAAAATGTTTTATTTAATTCATTTAATTTTACTCAAATTTTTCTTATATTTAGAAAATATAATACATTGGAAGAATTTTTTGAACTTCAAATTTCTTTAAAGATTTGTTCAACGATAAATTAATTATAGAGTTATTTTTACAATTATGATAGTGAAAAACTAAGTCAGTTAAGCCTTAGTATATCATATACATTTATATTCCACTGCTGACAAAAAGATGTCCTAGCTGAAGAAAAAAGGATCATAAAGGGTGATCGAAAAATTTATTCCAGCATAGATAGTGGAAGAGTTGAAGATTTAACCCCTCCATTATTTGTCGACTGATAATTAGAATTTAAATTCAAATTCATACTTAAGATTCAGCTGAAATGATCATTTAAGCATCGAGAGCCTTTCAGAATATCACTTAAGACACTCGCTGATTTTATTATTTTCATTTCCTTGTAAATAATTTTCATGCATTATGAATATTGTTTTGAAGAATTATTAATGAAATTATTTTTCAACTTAAACAAAGAGTCTTAATACTTAAATAATATTTGAAACTAAATTTTAGATTTACAAAGCAATCTTGCTTGCTGATTTTAGCGAAGAGTGAAAAAAGGAGAATCCATTTCAGAGTGCGGAGATTCAAATGTAGATGATGTATTTGGAGTTGAAGGATATAAGTTTTCTTTTTCATAATCTACAGACTTCAGCTTCACTATTGGTGAAAAACCTTGAGGCAGAGGGGATAGAGGCATTCTACGAGAGTTCATCGCCTTCCCGGAAGAAATGGACTTGGGTAGTTCATCTTCGGTTTAAAATGGTTGATTTAAATATTAACAATTTATTTTAATTTGAAAAATATTGTGATTAAGTGCATGATACTCAAGAAATTTTGATAAACAGTCTAAGTACAATTTGATAGTTGAGCTGACTCATGCTATAGTAGTAGTCCACAGAGGAGTATTCGGAAGTCTTATCTATTAAAGATGATTTCTTGAAACGTTTACAAATTTAGTTCATGATAACATTCTATTTATACTAGATTCATGGAATAATAAATCCAAAAATAAGCTGAGATTTTTCTGCATTTAAATGCATATTTTATTTGATTGCTTTTTAGGTTCAAAATATAGTTAATTCTTTTTATTTAATTCTCTTTTCTTAAGACTTATTATCCATATGCAGGGGATTTTCTATTAATTGTGCTAACTAAGTTGTAATGGTATTTCTTTTGAAATGGATTAGAATCCATAAATGGCAGGCAAAAAAGGTGAGGCCAAGAAGACTGCTAAAGCAGTTCGCAAAGGAGGAAAAGAGCAGAAGCACAAAAGAGTGACCAGCGTGAGGTTCAGAAGACCAGACACCAAAATAGTAGCAAGAACTCCTAAGTACGCTCGCAAGAGTCTTCCAGGCAAAACCAGACTTGACAAGTTTTCCACCATCACTATGCCTCTCGCCACTGAAAAGGCCTTAAAGACAATTGAAGATCATAACACTTTGGTTTTCCTCGCTCACCCAATGGCTAACAAAAAACAAATCAAGGACGCTGCTGAGAAGCTTTATAACATCAAAGTTGCAAAAGTCAACACCTTAATCAGGCCAGATGGAAAGAAGAAAGCTTTCATAAAAGTATCACCTGAATATGAAGGACTTGATATCGCAAACAAGATAGGCATCATCTAATTTATAAAGATCTTTTGCCCTTTATTTAGTGTTTAAATAATTTTCATATAAGGCTCAGGCAAGGTTTTAACTATTTTTATATTCAATTTTATAATGATTGTTATGCTATTTATAGAAAATTAATGTTTTCATTTAAATTTTGCAAAAAATTCGAAAAAGCATACCTTTTTCATTCAATTTCATTTATCTCGTTATATTTTAAAATGAGTAAATTTGAGAAAAGCTTAGAAACAGAGACAATGGATCTTCATAGAGCGTGCAGGATGGGTGATTTAAATTCTATCAAATCTGCATATGAAGCACAGCCTGATAAAATTGATGAAAGAGACGCAGGAGTAATTTTAAATTAGCTTGGATGGGCTCCCTTATACCGAACTGTGATATGTGGGCATTTTGAAGCATCTAAATATTTATTATTGAAAGGAGCTAACCCTAATATTCCAAATAATTTAGGTGAAACTCCTTTACATCAAGCAGCCGACAATTCTCAGTATCAAATGGCTGAATTATTATTCTGTTTTATGCCGAATATTAATTAATCAAAAATACTTGTTATATTGTAGACATCATACAATTAATAATAATTTCTTATGGAGCTGACACAAATTATCAGCAAAATGACGGTGACAGCCCTCTTCATCATGCTTCTTTTCGAGGGGATATAAAAATGATCAAACTTTTACTAGAACATAGCGCAAATCCCAATTTGGCGAATTATATGGTATTTCATAAGTAGTTTGGAAGGACACCTTTGCATTATGCAGTTGACTGTGGACATACGGAATGCGTAAAACTTATGATCACTGATGGAGCAGACCCAGAAATTCGAGACAAGCAAGGCAAAAGTTCGTTTGACTTAACAAAAAATGAAAAAATGATAGAAATTTTGTCAGGGAAATTTGAAAAAGATATAGTTGAAGAAGAACAAAGCGCTGAAATGAGCAGCGTTTTTCTTAGTCCAAGTGTAGCTGGGACGTTAAGCCCTATAAGTGACGTTATTTCATATGATTTTTCTGAGCTAGGAGACCATGAACGAATGCTTTTTGCGAATCCTCAAGGGTTTGATACTTTTGGGAAAGAGAAGTTTCAAGAAGTCATGAGGGTTTCTAATCGGGATACTACAGGCCAGAGCAGCATAAAAAGCACCCAAATAAATGGCGAATATGAGCTAAAACCAATTTTTGATTGACTTGATAAGCTTGGTCTATCAGAATTCTATGAAGTCATGGTAGATGCTGGATATGATGATGTCCAGTCTATGTCTGCACAAATGCTTACACCAATGCCAATTACAGAGCAGCATCTTGCATCAATCGGAATTTCAAAAGCTGGGCATAGGAAAAGAATTATCATGAAACTAGAAGAAGAAGCAGGGTTGATACAAAAACGGGCAGTTAAAAAAAATTCAAGTTCCGCATGAAATGGAAAGCAAGATTTTCTAAAGTGCTGTGTAGCCCCTAGCAACGCAACAGCTGGGCTATTTATGCAGCCAACGCTGAGAGAATGGCTTGAAGATTTAGGCCTTGAAAACCTTTATCAGCAATTTATTGATGCTGGGTATGATGAATATGAAAATTTATACTGTTTTCCTTTAGATTGCAATTTGATTTTATTAATTTATATATGGAATAATTCAAGGTAGATTTAATAGTATTGTCAATGTTTACAAAACATCCAATCACACATGATGTTCTTGAAAAAGAAGTAAAAATCAAAAAGGCAGAGTTTCGGAATAGAATTTTGAAAAGGCTTGAACAAGATTCAAAGCACTATTCTACAAGAAGCCATTCAATGTCTCCACAAATTTCTTTTGATGAGTCCAAAAATGTAGCCTGTGAAATGTGTGTAGTAATGTAGTTATTATTATATCGAGTTTGGCTGAGAAATTCTGTAGAAATATAAAGTAAGAATCCTATTTTTAAATAAAATTAATTTAGTTTACTATAAATTTCAGAGTAGCTTAATAAAAATCAGTATATAATTTATTATCCTCAAAATTTATCTATGCTGATTTATTAAAATCTCTTCGTAATTTTCCCTTTGAGGTATTGGGATTGCTAACCATATCAACCATTAATAAAATGCAAATTTTTGTCAAAACACTCACAGGAAAGACCATCACTCTTGATGTGGAATCCTCTGATACCATTGACAACGTCAAAGCCAAGATCCAAGACAAAGAAGGAATTCCTCCAGACCAACAAAGACTCATTTTCGCTGGCAAACAATTAGAAGATGGCCGAACTCTTGCCGATTATAATATCCAAAAAGAATCAACCCTTCACCTCGTCTTGAGACTCAGAGGAGGAGTTATTGAACCTTCTCTCCAAGAATTGGCCAGAAAATACAAGTGCGATAAGAAAATTTGCAGACGATGCTACGCAAGACTTCCATTGAGAGCTCACAACTGCAGAAAAGACAAGTGTGGACACAACTCAGATTTGAGACTCAAGAAAAAGATTAAGGATTAAAATTCACTTCTTTATCTTACATTAGAACCTGTAAAAATTTATAGGGTTTTCCCTATATATAACCCGATAAGGACTGTGGGTTATCCGTGGAATCCCCCTATTGGTCAAACCAACTCAGTGCGTTAGCTTGACCAATTTACTGGTTGTTTCAACAGCAGAAGGATTCCACGGAGAACCACGGCCCTTATCGGGCTATATAGGGAAAACACCTTTAATCGTATTGGTGTTGGCAATTTCTTTTCTTCAGCCAGTCGTTTATATTCAGGGCTTTCGATAAGTTCTTTTAATTTAGATTCGGTATATTGTCTGCCTTGCTCTTCATATTGGTGACTAGGAATAGGATTGGCTACACGAATTTTTGGTTTATTTTCTTTGACTCTGGTAATGATAAGGATGATAATCATGACAAAGCTTGGGACGAGAAGTGTTGAAATTGGGTTGTTGTAGAATAGAGGGAATTTGGAATGCTGGCTTGAGAGAAGTCCTATAATTGAGACTGTAAGAAGGATTGCAGGGAGCTTTACCATAATAAATATAGGCGGGAATTTGACGCTATTATTTATTGATATAAACGAATACTATTTTAAATATACTTACTGAATTTAATTTTCAATGAATTTTTAAATGATTTTTTTTATGTTTTCTATTCTTTTCTGCATCAAAATAATTTGTCTTCTATAATTATTTTGAATTTTGCCTTTTTTTCTCCTCAATATATAAATTCAGATTAAAATGGACTTATCTTCAGAAGCATTTATAACAGAAGAAAATATTTTGTCTTTAAACAAGCATGCCCTAGATAATTTAAATAATCCACACATAGCGTTATCAGATCTCCAAAGTGCAGAAAGAATTTTATTTGAAAGTGCCCCAGAGAAATTTAAAAATCGATTAATGCTGATGGCTTTGACATTTAATAATCTCGCATGCTACTACAAAAGAATGAATCAGCCAAACGTAGCGTTATTATATTTGAATCAAGTAGCCAAGCTGGAATATCAGACTTTATCTAATCCTTTTGATATTGCGTCCACGCAGCTTAACTTATGTGCAATAAATTCTCAATTAGGAAAGCATGCATCTGCACTTGAAAATGCAAAACGTGCATTGAGTCTATTTAATCAAATTGATGAAAATGAGCTGAATAGTAGCCAAATTACAAAGATTGTAGCTGCGTATTATAACGCTGGGATTGAGTTTGAGTTTATGTATAGCACCTGCATTTTAATAGATTATTATTGGTAATTCATTTAATTGTTAAAATAAATTTGTACTCGCCAATTTTCGAGATTAAAAAAATAAATGAAAAATATCCGTTTATGGGTTTAAGATACAAATCAGACTAGACTTTATAAACCAAGTGCCTTAAACTTATTTTCGGCATGCTGCTTAGCCATAGTGATCTATTATAGTGTATAAGCTATATGATATTAACCAAGCTTATGAGTATATGGAAAAAGGCTATGAGTTAGCCAAAAAACATTTGGATTTAAGACACCCTTTAGTGAGAAATATATATAAAAGCTTGAATGAGCTCAAAGAAAGAAGAGATAGATTTAAATTATTGGTAATTGAAAGAAGGAATGTAAGAAAAATCCAAAGAATGGAGTCAAAAAGTATAAGCCCAGCAATGAGTATTAGGTACGAGGAAACATCAAAAAGTTCAACTTCAAAAATGAATTTCGCTTCGTTTGGGCAGTCAATGGTGACACCAAAGTATAACCCACTAAAGCTCCCTATTTCAATGACTATGAGGCATGATAGGCTGATGAAAAGAGATATTTCTGCTGGATTAAAAATTTATCTTATGGAAAAAGATCCTAAAAGCAAGCCACTGCCAAATCAATAGCTTTGTATAAAAAATTTTGATTAAAAATGATTTATTTAAAAAAAATGAAGCTAGCTTTATTTAATGGCAAAGAACGTAGAGTTTCAATTATATTTACCCTCCCTTATTAAAAATTCAACTGATTCCCTCTTCTTTATTCGACGATTCAACTAGCTGAAAGATTCCAAAAATTGGAAAAAAAATATTTTTATGTTTATGTTAAGGTAGCTCTTGCAAGTTCTAGCTTCTAAGACCTTATAAATACAGTTTCAGGTTCTGAACAATAACAAACAATTTATATAGAAATATTTTATTGATATATTAAATTATTTTATAACAATTGCTTCAAGTTTTCATGAAAAATTCAAGCCTAAAAAAATATTACTCTTAACTATTTGCTTTAATAAAATTCAAAAGTAAGAGTTAATGTTTAACAAATAATTATCGGTGTAACAACGATTCTTCTTGCCCTTTTATTTCTCAACTTTCATAAAATAATTTTAGGGATTTTAAAATTGGGTTTTCATTCATCCATGATTATTTGTACTTACCAAACTAAGAATGTCCAAAAAATCATCAACAATGCAGGATCCCTCACCTCTAGCAAGACATTCATTAAGCCAAAAATCTACACCAACCAAGATAAGAAATTCACAGCTTTCATCTTCATTTTTAGTCAAACCTCTTCCCAAGCCTGAAAACAAAAAGCTTCATCCCAATAAAATCAGGACTTTAATACAATCAAAAACTACAAAGCACCTCAAAATGAAAAGTGAAAAGGTCTCTCCTTCTCAATCTCCCAGCAAAAGCAAATACACATCAGAAGCATGTTTTCCGCTGAGTGCAAATATATCACCGAATGCTTCGTTTAGAAACCTTTCTTTGCATTTAAAACAAACAAGTTTTTGTGATATGGGATTATCTGAGTCAAGGACTATAGGGCTGAATGAAACTTCAAAAAAATCCAAAAACTCGTCGTTTCAATCTTTTTCAAATGGAATGCTAACTTCCCTCTGCTTTAAGAGAATTGGTAAATGCCTATTTATTGGAAAATTAAGCCATCAGACACCAAAAAAATGCTATTTTATGAAATTAAAAAACCCCTTTTTGTGTGGGCAAAAAAAATATTGCTCGAAGAGGGGAGTAAGTGAAGACTCCCCAAGAATGCAGGAAGCTCATAAGCTGGAAATATATTTAAATGAACAATTATCATTAAATGTGGATAAAAGCAATGAAAAAACGAGAATTAGCATTTACGGAGATGTATTCCAGCTTATTATAGACAGAGATAAGTACTTTGGTAGGCTTATGACTAGGATTAAAAGAGCATATGAGGATTTATTAAATAGCTCCTCAAGTAATGACATTTTTCGATTATCTAATGAAAATAAAACAATTAGGCAAACACTTTCAAAGGAAATTGAAGAAAAAAAAGAAATAGTTTTTAAATTAAAAAAAGAAGCGCGTAAAAATGAAAAACTATCTAAATATATAGAGGAACTAAAGATAGATATAAAAGACTATCAAGAGAGAGCTGAAAACTCCAAAAGAATTTTTGAAAATCAATTAAATCCCGATCAACGGTCCTGGCAACTGCTCATTGAAGATAGAAATAAATACTGTGACGAGTTAAAAGCTGCTAAAAAAAACGGTTCCTTCAAACGGCGCCTATTTCATAACGACTATTTTTGACCTATGTTCATTGGGCATATTTTTTTGACCTATTTTTTATTTTGACCTAATATTTTTTGCCTCTTTTTTCACCTGTTTTTGTTATTATCTATTTGTTTTTACTTTTTTTGACCCTTCTTTTTTTGGCTTATTTTGGTTGACCTATTTTTTTGGCCTAAATTTTTTAATAAAAAAAACTTATATACTATACCTTCTGTCAAAACAATAGACTAAAATTGATTGAAAATTATATTGAAATAATTAATATGGAATTATTTCAAAAGCAAATGAACAAAAAAAAGGCCAAAAGTAATTAAGGAAAAAAATAGGTCAAAAATAATAATTGTGATGAAATAGTCGTCATGTGAAGGCACTTAAAAAAACAATTCATAGCTATAGATCCAGAGAAAAAAGTATGAAAAAGCTGCTATGTGCTATCAAAAAAAGAGGAGTCCCAGTTGAGGATATATATGAAACTGATGTCCAGTTAAAGAAAAGCTTAACTAAGCAAATAACGGAAGAAACTAATTTGGAGACAACTGTATCAAGGAAATCGAGAAATAACTCGCTTGGACCATCAATTCCGAAATTAAAATTAAATAAGCAAGATAGTCAAGGGTCATTGGAGTTAAATAGTGATGAAGACATCCCAACAAATGAGCAGACTTTGTCAGATGGAAAATCATCTGGAAAATCTGACAAAGTGCCAAAAATACCGATTCCTCCAACTTCAGAGCAGGGGTTTCATCAAGAGTTTGTAAGTAGAGTCGATGAGTTTTCGGAGTCGTGGAGAATAGCTTTGCAAAAAGAAAAAAAGTTTTAATTTTGTTTTTTGATAATAATTTCGTAATATCTATTTAAATATAATTTCCATGCTTAACAACAGAATCTTTAGCTCTTGAAACTTGATCGAATTAGTCGCTACAGTTGAGAATCCTGGAAGTAGAAAGCATGGATAACGTACAGTAGCATCTTTTAGGACCGTCACTGTGCATCAGATATATGAAATTGTTATAGGCTATGATGGCTATGATGCAATAATTCACTCAGATAGACAGGAGTTCAATAAAGAGGGCTCACGAGCTGAATAAATGGTAACTGATGCTCTTATTAAGGCAGCCAAAAACCGGCTGAAGAAAATCCAATTACTATTATGCACTTCAGCATTTTAGTAAGCAGCTATATATACCACAGAAGTTTTCGATGAGGATCATAATGACACTTCTCCATGCTGATAAATTTTAGCAGATCGGGAAATAATTAATAGGAAAAAAATTATCAATGCGAGCACTGCAAATCTTCATGGAGTTATTAAAAAATAAGACGCTCTTAATGGAATAGCTCAGAAGATCAATCAAAATAAAAATAAGATTTTGGTTGCCAATTAAGGCAATTCTTATAATTCTTTTATACATCACCAAGATTTATCTGAAATGTATAGAATAGTTTTTGATAAAAAACCGAATAGGCTATTTTTTGGATGGAGCTTTTGAGGATATGATTGAGAAATAAATTGCTGCTGAAGATAATCCTTGAGAGCATATTTCTGGGCAATATGGATATTATTTCTCGCCCATCCATATAATTTGCAATTTACCCTAAAAGATTTATTGAGCTATATGACTTTTTCCACACCCATAAATTTTTGGATTGGACAAGCTTTCTTTTAATTTAAGAAATTTCTATTTCATTTACTGATATCTCTTTTAGTTACTGATTTCTACATAAACTGCATTTGATAAATAAAATAAGTCGACTTTTAACTATTTTGCGAGTTTAATTTAATTTTAGCTAATTATATTTTAGCTATTTTATTATTGCAAAGGAAGATCAAATGTATGCAGCGTATTAATTTAAAATATAAAATTAATTAGCTGCTAAAATAAAATTATAAATGACGTTTGATGCTATTTTTTAACATTTTTGATATGTGTCGAATTAATTATTAAAAATGAAAATCTTTTTAACTGGAGCTACTGGGTCTATTGGAAGTTCAGTTTTGAATAATTTACTCTCTCATGGCCATGAGATAACTTGCACAGTTAGAAGTGAAGAGAAAGGGCAAGCAATAGCTAGCAAAAGTGACAAAGCTCACTACGTTCTCTTTGATATCGATGCAGATAATGCTCATCAGCTTGGAGAAGTTGCTGCAGGTTATGATGCAATCATACATTGTTTACGTCAGAAGTCTTCTGAAGCTGAAGATATAACAATTGATGCCTTAATACTTGCAGCCAGAAAAACAGCTGAAACTAAGCCGATTACTCTTGTTTTTACTTCAGATTTCGGATTAAATGGCAATACCACTGAAATGATTGATGAAGACCATGATGATACTTCTCATAGTTTTCCATTTTCAGTTGAAAGACGTTTAAGAGAGCGAAAAATAATAAACGCAAGCACTGAAAATCTCCATGGAGTTGCTATTAGGGTCTGCTGGACCTATGGGAAGAGTTCTGTAGATAAATGGATTAGAGCTTGCAAATCAGAAAATAAGATTTTGGCTATAGGCCAAAGCAATCCTTATATACCTTTTATCCACATTGAGGATTTAGCTAATATGTATAGAGTTCTTATAGAGGAAAGAGCTTATGGATTGTTTTTTGCTGTAGAGCCAGAGTCCCTAACTTTAGGGGATATGATTGCAAAAGTGGCAGCAGCTGGAAATATTCAAGAAGTGGAAAGAGTAGACAGTCTAGAGAAGCATATTTCAGGACCATATGGATTCTTTTTATTTGGTCACACAATAAACCAACATTTTTATCCAAAGAGATTTATTGAGCTTTATGACTTTCACTTTGCTCATAAAATTTCTGACTGGATAAGCTCATTTATTTTCTAATAATTCATATTATTAATGGATTTGATTTCAGTTTTTTCATTTTTTCTCTTGCTCCAATTTGTGTTTTAATGAGCATTTGTCTTTAAAATTAGTAAATTAGTTCTTATTCCCATTCTAATAATTTATATATGTTATAATAAAGATGTACCGAAGCAGGCGAGGCTTTTTAGTATCAGTTCTTGATCTTGAACTCATATAAATTATTAAATCTACTTTTTCTTATGAAAGGCTGTATCAAACTCTAGATGGCCTGCAATTTAAAAACCGAAATATAATTAGGTTGCTAAAATAAAATTATCACCTTGCTTATTTTCAATGTTTCTGACACTTGTTGAATTATTATATAAAAATGAGAGTCTTTTTAACTGGAGCCACTGGGTGTGTAGGAAGCTCAGTTTTGAATAATTTACTCTCTCACGGTCATGAGATAACTTGCACAGTTAGAAGTGAAGAAAAAGGGCAAGCAATAGCTAGTAAAAGTGACAGAGCTCACTATGTTCTCTTTGATATCGATGTAAACAATGCTCATCAGCTTGGAGAAGTTGCTGCGGGTTATGATGCAATCATACATTGTGTGTACCAGAGGTCTTCTGAGGCCGAGGATATAACAATTGATGCGTTGATACGGGCAGCCAAAAAAACAGCTGAAACTAAGCCGATTACTCTTGTTTATACTTCAGATTTCGGGCTAAATGGTAATACCACTGGAATTATTGATGAAGACCACGATGATACTTCTCATAGCTTTCCATTTTCAGTCGCAAGAGCTCTAAGAGAAAGAAAAGTTATAAACGCGAGCACTGAAAACCTCCATGGAGTTGCTCTTAGAGTTAGCTGGGTCTACGGGAATAGCTCGGTAGATAAGTGGATTAGAGCTTGCAAATCAGAAAATAAAATTTTGGTTGCCAGTCAAAGCAATCCTCAAATGCCTTTTATTCATCATGAAGATTTAGCTAATATGTATAGAATTCTTATAGAAAAAAGGGCTTATGGATTGTTTTTTGCTGTAGAGCCAGAATCCCTTACACTGCACGATATGATTGCTAAAGTATCAGCTGTTGGAAATATTCAAGAAGTAGAAAAAGTAGATAACCTAAGGGCGCATATTTCAGGACCATATGGGTTCTTTTTATTAGGTCACACAATAGACCAACAGTTTTATCCAAAGAGATTTATTGAGCTTTACGACTTTCACTTTGCTCATAAAATTTCTGACTGGATAAGCTCTTTTAATTTCTAATTATTCATAATTATTAAAAAGTTTGCTTTAAAGCTTTTATCAGCTTTATATTACTCATCTCTTAGGAAAATTAATCTCCATTACAAATAAAAAAGTTCGAATTCCGAGATAAATTACACTCTTTAATTTTTATATGTAAAAAATTGTAAATCATTTAGATACAAAATAATAATAAAGTATATTTATTTAGTTACTTATGTAATAATAATTTATATATATTATAATAAAGATGCACCGAAGCAGGCGAGGCTCTTTAGTATCAGTTCTTGATCTTGAACTCATATAAATTATTAAATCTACTTTTTCTTATGAAAGGCTGGATCAAACTCTAGATGACCTGCAATTTAAAAACCGAAAATTAATTAGGTTGCTAAAATAAAATTATCACGATGTTTGCTTATTTTCAATGTTTCTGACATTAGTTTAATTATTATATAAAAAAATGAGAGTCTTTTTAACTGGAGCTACTGGGTCTATAGGAAGCTCAGTTTTGAATAATTTACTCTCTCACGGTCATGAGATAACTTGCACAGTTAGAAGTGAAGAAAAAGGGCAAGCAATAGCTAGCAAAAGTGACAAAGCTCATTATGTTCTCTTTGATATCGATGTAAACAATGCTCATCAGCTTGGAGAAGTTGCTGCGGGTCATGATGCGATTATACATTGTGTGCACCAGAGGTCTTCTGAGGCTGAGGATATAACAATTGATGCGTTGATACGGGCAGCCAGAAAAACAGCTGAAACTAAGCCGATCACTCTTGTTTATACTTCGGATTTTGGATTAAATGGTAACACCACTGGAATTATTGATGAAGATCATGATGATACTTCTCATAGCTTTCCATTTTCAGTCGCAAGAGGTCTAAGAGAAAGAAAAGTCATAAATGCAAGCACTGAAAACCTCCATGGAGTTGCTCTTAGAGTTAGCTGGGTCTATGGGAAGAGCTCTGTAGATAAGTGGATCAGAGCTTGCAAGTCAGAAAATAAAATTTTGATTGCCGGTCAAAGCAATCCTCAAATGCCTTTTATTCATCATGAAGATTTAGCTAATATGTATAGAATTCTTATAGAAAAAAGGGCTTATGGATTGTTTTTTGCTGTAGAGCCAGAGTCCCTTACACTGCAGGATATGATTGCAAAAGTAGCAGCTGTTGGAAATATTCAAGAAGTAGAAAGAATAGATAACCTAAGGGCGCATATTTCAGGACCATATGGGTTCTTTTTATTTGGTCACACAATAGACCAACAGTTTTATCCAAAAAGATTTATTGAACTTTACGACTTTCACTTTGCTCATAAAATTTCTGACTGGATAAGCTCGTTTAATTTCTAATTATTCATAATTATTAAAAAACTTGCTTTAAAGCTTTTATCAGCTTTATATTATCATCTCTTACTTAGAACCATATTATAAGTAATTTTCTTAAAATTATATAAAAAATTCTTCCTTTATCTCTGGAAAATTTTCAAATTCCGATGCAAATTTCCTCTTTAATTTTTATATGTAAATAGCTTTGATATGCAATCTTATTTCACCAAGATTGATATATTAACCTATAATTTTTATATTTTAAATGAAATGCATAAAGTTAACGCTTTAAATTAATAAATTTAATAAATTAATTTTTAGAACTGGTTGATTCCAGAGAGAAGTCTCTCAAGGCAATAGTGGCTTCCATTGAGAAAGTATCTAACCTATCAAAGTTCCATTGTTAAAGCTTTTGATCCAAGCTACATATAACAGCAATCTGGAACCCAGAAGGACTAGTGAAGTAGAAATACAAAACTTTCCCAAATTAATCTATTTAATCTATTAAAAGTAAAGTAATTCAAAATATTTTAGTTTCGAATTGATAATTGATAATCTAACTTGAACAATTTTTATGTCAGACTCTAATTATCTTAATATATTTTTTTATTTCTTAACTTATCCCTCATCTTTACTGTTACAAACTTCATAGACTTATGACAAACAAAGGATTTTTGAAAGATAAGCTAAATTTGATGATTTGCTTCTTAATCTTTCTTTGCTGCTTGTAAACTGATTTCTTTATTTGAAATTGCGGGCTTTCCTAGTTTATCTAATAAATTGCCTGCATTTATTTAAAATTAGGCGAAATTCCTCTTGGTAAGAGAGTAAAATCATTAAGCAATATTAGTGCCAAATTAAATTTTTAAATTGCGCTTAGTTATCTTATTTCCTAATTTTTGAATTTAATGCTGCTGCATTTATTTTATCAATAAACCCTAAAAATTCTTTTAGTTTTTTTCTGGGAAATGATTTTTTCTTTTCAAAACATTTTATAATAAAACTCATATCGCGATCTTTCTTAAGTTCTTTCGGGAGATTAATCTCTACTTTTTCATCATCCTTGAATTTTGGAGAAAAAATATGGTGCAGCTATTAATTCCACGTTATGTTTTGCAAAGAAAAAGAAAAAAATTACGACTCCATAATCTATCAAATATAGAATATGACTTTAATTTTCGCTTATTTTACCAATAAAAAATTTTATGTCGATCTAAAAGCTGCTTTATATTTCTTTATTGATTATATCAAAAGAAGTCGCTTAGCCAAGTTTAGACATTTTAACATTCAAATTTTTAGCACCATTATCCAACGATTATAATAATAAAATGAGAGTTTTTTTAACCGGAGCAACTGGGTCAATTGGAAGTTCAGTTCTTGAAAGTTTACTTTCTCATGGCCATGACGTCACTTGCACTGTAAGAAACGAAGAAAAGGGGCAAGTAATAGCAAGTAAAGGCGATAGAGCACATTATATTATATTTGATATTAATGGTAATACTGCTCATCAACTCGCCGAACTTGCAGTAGGCTATGATGCAATTATTGACTGTATTCAGCAACCGTTCACGAAAGAGGGCGCTATAGCAGAAGACATTACCGTTGACGCTTTGATACAAGCAGCTAAAAAGACATCAGAAACTAAGCCTGTCACCTTTGTATACACTGCAGGAATTGGAGTTATAGGAAATACAACGAGTGTCATAAATGAAGACCATGATGATACTTCCAATAGTTGGGAATTTTCAAAGCCAAGAATCTTAAGAGAAAAAAAAGTTATTAATGCGAGCACGGAAAATCTTCATGGTGTTTCCCTTAGAGTAAGCTGGGTTTATGGGAAAAGCTCTGTAGACCACTGGATTCGAGCTTGTAAATCCCAAAATAAGATTGTTGTTGCTAGTCAAAAATAACCCTTGTATTCCTTTCATCCACCATGAAGATTTAGCTAATATGTATCGAATTCTTATAGAGCAAAGAGCTTATGGGATGTTTTTTGCTGTGGAGCCAGAATCTGCGTCTCTTCAAATTTTGATTGAAAGAGTAGCAGCAGTTGGAAACATTCATGAGATAGAAAGAGTTAACAATGCATATGCTCACATTTCAGGACCATATGGGATTTTTTTACTCAGCGGTATGTTGAATCAGCAAGTGTACCCTAAAAGATTTATTGAGCTTTATGGTTTCCGCCATGCTCATAATATCCTTGACTGGGTAAGCTCATTTACTTTTTAATCATTAATGATAATAAGTTATTGATTAATATTTGTTTAATTTTGATGTTTTTTATCTGAGCTTATGACTTATAAATATTTTAGGATTAAAAAAATTTTTAAAATTAATATATCATAATATATTTTTCATAGCTCCATGCCAAACGACATGCATTTTTGATAATGTGCATTTCCTCGAAGCACATTTGGTCAAAAATTGTTAAATTGTGTTGACATTTGATCGATATTTATTTTTTTTTCTCAAATGCATCACTATCAAAATGTTTTAAACCAATTTTCGGCAAAATTTACTTCGCTGAAATACACACTATTAAAAGTGCACGATCATTGAACCTGCACCCATCTTTCATTTATTATAATGCTTAAGGGATAATTAATCTGTAATTGAAGTAATCTATATTTATTATCTAAATGCAACAATTATAGCATATAATACAATTTTCTACACTTATATTATATCTGGCTCCTTCACACGAAGCCTAATTAATAACGCCTATTTTTTTAGCCTATTTTTTTTAACCTATTTTTTTTCTGATTTTTTGGACCTCTTTTTTTGCCTATTTTTTTGGCACATTTTTCCGGCATTATCTAAAATTTTTTATCTTTCATGGCTCGCTTATTAACCATTTTATGAATTTTTTTTTATATTTTAAAAAAATTTTGACTTATGTATTTGATCATTTTTAAAAATCGCTCTTCACACTAGCAAAGTTAACATTTTGAGTCCTTTCGTGATCAATAATAAAGATGACTTTTAATCAATAAATTCGGTGCAGGAATAACTTATTTTTGTCAAGGTTATGCATATAGGATAGGAGGAAAAGCAAGACAGTGGAAGGACATATGGAAGTGGATTAAATGCTTAATCTCTTCTTCCTTGAGAGACCTATATTTTTTTAATAAATTTTATAAATTAATTTTTCATGAAATTAAAATTTTATATAGTTTTTCACCATGAACAAATTAAAAACTTAAACAGATACTTGCTCTAATTAAAGTGAAAGTAATACAGATTTGGTTTTTAATTTTAACTTGCAATAATAAATGCAAGATGCTAATTATTCAACTAATTGGTTCTCGAGTTATTAAAACCAAATAAAAGTTACGAGCAATCCGTTCTCTCTGTCGTGGTGTCCTTATGAATATTTAGGCATCGCGTTTTGGATCAAGGTATTGATTGCATATGATCAGTAGCTTCAAATAAGAGACTTGAGACTTTTTTTAGATGAGGCTGGGTCTTAACTCTTCTATGATAATTGAATCAGTACCCATCCAGTTGCGTTCGATATGGAGTAGATAAGCATACTTGCTCAAGCTGATTTGGTGATTTATCATGAAATAGCGTAAGCAATAAGGGAGAAGGAGAGGCATATTAGACAGCTGGTTGATTCCAGAAAGAATTCGCTCAAGTCGATAGTGGCCTTTATTGCGAAAGTATCTAACTATCAAAGTTCAATTACTGAAGTCAAAAATGGTCAAGATCTATAATTGGAAATGAAGGTGTTCAGCCCTCTCCTATGGACCCTTTAGTCTGTTTTACCTGGTCTTTGATCCAAGCTACATATAATAGCAATCTGATACCCAGAAAGACTAATGAAGTAGGAGCACAAAATTATCTAAATTAATCTATTTAATCTAATAAAGCTGAATTAATTCAAAAAATTTAGATTTAAGTTGATAATATATAATCTAACTAGAAAAATTTTATGTGCTACTGTAATTAGCTTCATATTTATTTTATTTCTTAACTCATCACTTACTTCCCCATCGTGAGTTAACAGAACCATTTGAAAAAAGAAATTTTTAATATAATTATTTTATGAAAAATATTTTGATTAATAAGTGATAATTGTTATAATGAAATCTCTAGCTAATTCTGTGTAATTAAGCACCTGCATTTTAAAAAATAAATTTTACAAATTAAATTTGTATTTGCTTTAAAATAATTCGAATTGGGTGGCTTTTTAGTTTAAAATAAATTTACTATAATATTTATATAAATAAATTTTTTAAAGAAAAAAAAACCTCCATAAGATAACAAAATTTATTTGCTTGCTTAGGAGGGAGAGAAGTTAGCTTTACCGTTGCAAATTTCGTAGGCTTATGATAAACGAAGGATTTCAAAAATCTAAGTAAAATTTGTTGATTTACTTCTTAATCTTTCTTTGAGATTTATAAACTTTTTTTCTTTATTTGAAAAATGATGGTTTCCCTAGTTTTTCTAATAAATTACCTGTATTTATTTATCCCAAAGAAATTTTTTCCTGATTTTCTGGAAAATGATTTTTCTTTCCAATGCCTTTTTCTTATTAAACTCTTATAGCAATATCTCTTAAATTCATTCAGAAGATTAATCTCTTCTTTTCAATCATTCCTTAACTTTTGGAGAAGAAATATGATGCTGTGAATATAATTCCTATTCCTTTTAAAACTTTAGATTGCTTTAGTTTTGCAAAGAAAAAGAAAATTTACAGCTATTTCTGACTCGTATTCCATAATCTATCAAATATTGAATTTGCCTTCAATTTTCTCTTATTTTACCGATAAAAAATTTTTAAAGTTCCCGTCGATATAAAAGCCTGCTTTATATTTCCCCCCCCCCCCTCCGTGAGCGAACAAAACCATTAGAAAAAATCGCCATTTTTTGACCAAAAACCCACCCTCCGTGAGTGAACAAAAATTTTTTTAATAGAAAAAAATTTTAATGGAAAAAAAATTTTGATATATAAGTGATAATTAGTATAATGAAATCTAGAGCTAATTCTGTTTAATTTTAAACAAATTGCGTTTTAAAACATAAATTTTGCAAATTAAATTAATATTTGCTTCCCAATTTTTGCAAATTAGGATTTTTTTAAATTTCGAAAAAAATATTTTTTATATATAAAATTTTTTTTTTAAAAAAAAAAATTAACCCCCCTCCGTGAGCGAACAAAATTTTTTTTTGTTCGCTCACGGAGGGGGGGGGGGGAGTTAGCCAAGTTTAGACATTTTAACATTCAAATTTTTAGCACCATTATCCAACGATTATAATAATAAAATGAGAGTCTTTTTAACAGGAGCTACTGGATCAGTTGGAAGTTCAGTTCTTGAAAATTTACTTTCTCATGGCCATGACGTCACTTGCACTGTAAGAAATGAAGAAAAGGGACAAGTAATAGCAAGTAAAGGCGATAGAGCACATTACATTATATTGGACATTAATGATAAGACTGCTCACCAACTCGCCGAACTTGCAGTAGGCTATGATGCAATTATTGAATGCGCTCAATTACCATTCACAAATGAGGGTGTTATAGCACAAGAAATTTCCGTTGACGCTCTGATACAGGCAGCTAAAAAAACAGCAGAAACTAAGCATGTCAGTCTTGTATATACTTCAGGGATTGGAGTTATAGGAAATACAACTGGTGTTATTGATGAAGACCATGATGATACTTCCCATAGCTGGGAATTTTCAACGCCAAGAATCTTAAGAGAAAAAAAAGTTATTAATGCGAGCACGGAAAATCTTCATGGAGTTTCCCTTAGAGTAAGCTGGGTTTATGGGAATAGCACTGTAGACCACTGGATTCGAGCTTGCAAATCCCAAAATAAGATTGTTGTTGCTAATCAAAATGACACTTATATTCCTTTCATCCACCACGAAGATTTAGCTAGTATGTTTCGAATTCTTATAGAGCAAAGAGCTTATGGGATGTTTTTTGCTGTGGAGCCAGAATCTGCGTCTCTTCAAAGTTTGATTGAAAGAGTAGCAGCAGTTGGAAACATTCATGAAATAGAAAGAGTTGACAATGCATGGGCTCATATTTCGGGACCATACGGATTTTTTTTACTAGGCCATACGTTGAATGAGCAAGTGTATCCTAGAAGACTTATTGAGCTTTATGGTTTCCGCCACGCTCATAAAATCCTTGACTGGGTAAGCTCATTTACTTTTTAATCATTAATGATAATAAGTTATTGATTAATATTTGTACCTTTTTAATTTTGAAGTTTTTTATTCTGTTCACTTTATAATGCTTAAGAGTAATCAATCTGTAATAGAAGGATATATATTTTTTATTTAATACAAAATTATAGCTTATAATTATATTGCTTCACCTTTTGACGATATCTATATAAAAATCTAAAAAGATTTTCAGAAATATCAAATTTATTCTTAAATTTCTAGCTATGTTTGCTCTTTAAATCCATTTTTGTGCATACATCTGTTGTTAAATTGTTTTTCAAAAATTATAAAATAAATGAGAGTATTTTTAACAGGAGCAACTGGATCAATAGGAAGCTCAGTGCTACAAACTCTCCTTTCCCATGGCCACGAAGTCTTAATCTTAGTTATGAGATTATCAGCTGCTAAGCTGTTAGTTTTGACGCAGTCACCCAGACCTGAAGGTTTCCTCCGCTTTGCGACGTCGCCTACAGTACTCCAACTTAATGGCTAGCCTGTTCTGTTGAACTTCTCCTCCTTGCAAGCTACAACCTTACTCCAGTTTTGAGTGGGCAGATTTAGGAATTCTGCGGCCTTGCTTGAGGCTCTGGAATACAAGGTTGTCCACACAGAAAACCAAAAAAATGGATTTTCTGGTTGACTTTCGGCAAAAAAGGAAAAGTTGAAGCCCAAGACAAAAATTCTTGTTTCTCGCTAGCAGCATTGCCCGATAGCCTGGGTGTTTCCCTGCAGGCATAGCTGGGCGCCTCCTTTTCAACTCCAACCCTCCTTTACCCTTGAGGAAAAAAACCAACTCCGAAAGCGGACTAAGGCTAGGATCCTGCCTCCTGCGGGAATTGCTTACCTAGCATAGCTGTCGATTTCTTCGTTGGTAAAACCTTGCCGGATATACTTTAAATAGGGCTCGAGACTGCTTGGCCGAGAGGCCAAGCCTAAGTTGAGACGCCATGTTTAAAAGTATATGATGGCCACGAAGTCACTTGCACAGTCAGAAGTGAAGAGAAGAGACAAATTATAGCAAGCAAAGGAGAAAGAGCGCGTTCTATCTTTTTTGATATTAATTCCAATACTGCTCACCAGCTTGCTGAAGTTGCTGTTGGCTATGATGCTCTCATACACTGTGCTTGACTACCTTTTACTGAGGAAGGAGCTATGGCAGAAAATATGACAATAGATGCTATGATACAGGCAGCAAGAAAAACAGCTGAAACGAAACCTGTCTCTATTGTTTATACTTCAGGAATAAGTATAAGTTCCAATACTAATGGAATTATTGATGAAGACCATGATGATCCTACTCACTGCTGGGAGCTATCTGTTCCAAGAGAGAAAAAAATTATCGATGCCAGTTCAGAGAATATTTATGCAGCTGTTATAAGAGTTAGTTGGGTTTATGGGAATAGCACTGTAGATCAATGGATTAGGGCTTGCAAAGCCAATAATAAGGTTGTTGTGGGCGGGAGTCAAGATAACTATCATATTTCTCTTATTCATCATGAAGATTTAGCTAATATGTATAGAACTCTTGTAGAGAAAAGGGGTTATGGGCTGTTTTTTGCAGCTGAGCCAGAAGCTGCAACTCTTTCAAGCTTGATTGGAAGAATGAGAGAAGTTGGAGGCATTCAAGAAGTAGAAAGGGTTAATAATCCATGGGAGCATTGCTCAGGGCCTTATGGGTACTTCTTATTATGCCATGCGCTTGATCAGCAATTCTACCCTAAAAGATTTATTGAGCTTTATGATTTTCATCATACTCATAGGTTTCTGGACTGGATAAATACTTTTACTTTTTAGTATTTATAAAAATTAGGTATTAATTTTTGATTTTATTGTAATATTCCAAATTTTTATTTGAAATATAGCATTTTTATCTTTTTGCTTATAATTATTAAATTTATCTATTCATAGACAGACAAGGACCATCCTTAAAGATAGATTTATTTTATAGGATTTATTAGCTTTATGATTTTAGATGGATTATTACTTAGTTTATTATTTCTTTAGAGTTTATAATAATTTCGAGTAAAAGGCAGGTCTTTTCAACAAATGTTTTTTCTTCTTTTAAATATGGTAAATAGTAAAATAAGCTTAAAACCGCCAACACAACTGAAAAAATAAAAGTAAGATTTGACATTAAACTCAGCTGATCATCAATATAAGCTTTCGAGATTTTGTCTGCTGAATTAAAATTTGATATTAAACTTGATGCTAATGTAAGAGCATTCATAAAGTATTTAGAATATTCTAACTCAGAATAATCTTCTGTTAAAAGCATAGCATCATGCACAATCGACCAAGAAGCAGAAATAATTCCATATTTCATTATATTAGAAGTAGAATTTGTAGATTCAAAAAGATTTGATTTAATCTCCTTTGATAATAAATATCCTCATTTATCGGAAAGTAAATCTAAGTATTGAGAATTATAGTTATCAATAATCTTGTAAAATTCTGCATAAGTATTTTTGAAATCATAAGTTTCCGGGAAATATTCTATGAGCATATTATCATTTATTTCCTTAATAAAGCGGGTTAATCTTGATATAGAAATACTTCGAAATTTAAAATTTTGTAATAATCTTGACCTATCCAACATTGATTCTTGGCAATCTTTGTATAAAGCAAATATCATTGCCATATAAAAGGATAAAGAAATTATTATAATCAAGCTTAGCCTAAAAACAATTCTTTTAGCAAGTGTAGTTTTTATATAATAATTCGATAGTTTTGCTGTTTTATGATTAGAAGAAGCATATAGTGCTGGTTCTTTGCCATGAACAGTTAATAGTCTTTCAGTAATCCTTTTTTCCAAATATTCAAAATTAGTACTAACTGCTTTTTTTAAATTTAATCAGAATTCTTCATATGCAAGTCTTAAAAAATGCACAAAGATAATAAGTATTAGTAAGCATATTCCGCAGACCAAAATTCCAATCGTAAATAAGCCATTAATAACTGAATTTTCAACACTTTTTGAATTTTTTTCACACTTTAACAAATCTATTGATGCTTTATGAACATAATTAATAGCAAAGCTAGCACCATTTATTATTAGTCAGTTGGCATCATTTTCATGTGGTTCCTCTCTTTTTGCATCATCAATTAATTTCTGTCCCTAGATAAAGCTTACATAATCAATAAACATAGACAAAACATCATATAAATTGAATTTTCTTATTTTTGCCTCTGAATTGGGCTCCCATATTGGCACAATATTTTCAGTAGCGATATTAGAACAGTCACAATTTGTTCATTTGGGAAGTGTTTCAATTAATTCAGATCTTGCTAAAATTATTTGCTCGTTTGTTCAATATAAAAATCTTAAATCCCGACTAAGATACGCAGCTTTTTCTTCTGAAATGTCATAATTAATTAAATAAGCTAAGTTAGAAGATGAAATCATAGCATACTCAATATTGCCTAAATTTGAAAAAACTGCTGATAAGTCTATGTCATTAACATTTTCAACTATATATACTAAAATTCCGATATTTGTAGCAATTAAAGCTAAGACCTGCATAATAATTACAGTTAAAAGAAAAATTCATTGAAATTTTTGAATTGCGAGAAGTGTATTTTTATTTTTTTGGTATGCAATTTCTATATGAAGATTACGCTCTGATGAACCAGATTTACTGATTTGACTAGCCGATATAGAAAGCTGGATTTTTTCTTCAGCTGATTTATAGCTGTTTTTGCTGAATAAATCTTGTTCTTTACACTCAAATGAATTTCTTAAATTAATTGAGCAATTTGCTAAATTATTTTTGTTAAGGTTTAACTGCTCATCTGACTTTTTATTTTTTCACATTTCTTGTTCATTGGCATCTGAAATGACTAAAATTAAGTGAATTTCAGTAAATTTTATCCGTTTAATGATATGAACAAATTTTAAATCAAGATAGTTGTGCTGAATAGCAACTGGATTATATAGTTCCATATTTGATAGCTCAAATCCATCTATGATATTATGCAAATACATATTAGCCATGTTTTGCTGTGGTAAGCCTAATAAAGAGGATAATTCGCTTGAATGACTATAGATTTCTCCTTCTTCAGATAATAAAATAGCTTGTCTAATAGAAGAAATAGGAGAAAAAGAAACCAAGAAATAAGCTTTGTCTTTAAATGCTGTCAGCTTAACCAAAATATTGCATTCAAAAATATACCCAAGGCTGTCTTGCAAAATTAAAGAGTGAGGCTTTTCTATGGTTGTTCTATCGCCAAGCATCAGAAAGTCCTTCATTTTTTCATTATGATTCAGAGAATAAGGGAAAGGAATAAAATCGCTGAAATTTTTGCCTATTGCCTCAAGCACTGGTAATTTGAGAATATTAGAAGCCTTTGTATTTATAAAATCAATTTTTCCAAATGCTCCATTTTCTGTAGACAGAAAAATAACCCCAACATTTTCTCTGCATTCTTCTAAATGTTCTTGATCATCAGATAAATCTTCTTTAATGCTATGCTTTTTCTTAAGCAAAGCGTTTCCTTCACTTGATTCTTTCAAAATGTTAATTAATAAATTTCCATATAAATCGAAAGGTTCAGGATGTTTATTATTATTAACTGTAAGTAATCCATATAATCTTTTTGTTTCCCTAATTAAACTATATATTTCTTGGACAGAATTTCGGAGCTTGTATATGTGTGTATTTTTTTTATTAATTTCAATATAAAGATCAAGCAAAGAATTGCAAAGCTGCTTATCTTTTTTCTTTACTTTGCTGAGTCTTTCCAAATATTGTAAATATTCAATATCCTTTAGAACCTCAAATCCCCTTTCATGAAATTCTTTTGAGATTCTTAATTTTTGGATACAAGCTTCAAAATTTGGACGAAAATTTTTAATTTGAGCAAGCTTTACCATTCCTAGTCTTCTATCTTTGATAACATCGATATAAAAATAAGTTACTCATATGATAAAAAGTCCATCTTTTATGAATATTGTATTATTAGAATACTGTGAAAGCATTTCAATCATTTCTTCTTTATTTTCACATACTTTACTCAACAATATATGTCTTATTGAATGCTCTAATTTATATTGGCTTGATAAAGGTTTCTTTATAAATTTCAATGCTGATTCTTTTTTTATAAGTATCGAAATAACTAATATCACTGTAAAAGGTGTCAATAAAGTAGATATCAAAATTATTTCAAAAACATCATCATATCAATATCCAAGCGCAAATGCAAGTGAGCAAGTTGCTATTGCAGTCATTTTAGTAGCATGAATCGCATTTTCTGTCAAGTTGTAATAAGGCAAAAAAATGGAAAATTTTGTCAGTAAAACAACTGCAAAAATAAATGTAAAAATAATATATACAAACTTACATGATTGTAGTCTAGAAAAACATAGACCATAACTTCTATAACGCAAAAAACAATCCAGAGTATATTTAATGAAGAATTCGATCTTGCTCTTATATTCTTTTTAGCATTTGAATGCTTTAAATCGGCGCTAAGCAATTCATATGAAAAAACCATTAAAAACAGCAAACCAATTCCAACAAAACATAAGATTGATCCCGCTAAGCCATAGTTATAATCCTCTTTATTTGCACCAAGGTATTCCTGGACTAGAGAAGTGTTAAACGTCGAATATTTAAAAATTATGAGCAAAATTTTCAAACTTGGGATAAAAGCAGCTGTAACCAAAATATTTATTGTTACTTTAGAAAAATATTTCAACTGTTTTGAAATTTTTCACATATAAAATTTTGCTAGTCAAGCAAGTATGATGACAAAAAAACCAAAAAATATTGTAAAAATTTCTGCATAAAAGCATATCTCATAAATACTACTTTCTTGACATATATTATCATAATTCGAATAGTTTAAAATTCTCCAAATCGATGAATTGTCATCCCACTTATGAGGTGTTTTTACAGGATACCAGAAAATTGAAACAACTTGAAAATTTTGCAATAAATTGTTGCATGCTTCAACAATTATTTGAACTCTGTAGGATGTTTTAGGACTGTAATGAGGGTGAAAAGCATCTACCAAGTAATTAATTAGCGACTTCACTATTTCTTCATAACGATTTTTACTTTTTGTATTGAGAATGCTTGATATGAAACCAATTGATCTCTCTTTTGAAATTAATCTCATATTTAATAATTAATTCAACTTGGATTAACAATCTATGTTAAAGGAAGGAACTTAATTTAAGGGAATAAAATAATAGTTTATATTTAATAGGTCATAGAATTTTAATAGTTGTTTGGTCAAGCACAGGTAGCAACCCTACACCCCTACCCCCCCCCACCCCCCCCTTTTTTAATGGTACCCCACCCCCCTAAAAAATGGCACCCCCCCACCCCCCCTTTCACAGATGGCACCCCACCCCCATCCCCCATAAATATAGCATAAAATATATGAAAAATGCCAATTTAGAGCAGACGTAATAAATAAATTATTTATTTTAAATATTCAAAATTACTGATTTATACAATATCCACATAGCGTAGCACAATCGATTAAGGAGTAGATGGAATGGGGTGAGAATTTCCTATAACTAGTAAGCTCACCAAATCTGAATAAATTTGTTAGCAAGTTAATAATGATCTTTGGTATTAATAACAAAATATCCTGCATATATTTATGAACTTTGTGAAACAATGGCTAAAAGTCGAATTAGAGATCCAAAAGTAAAACTGACAATAGCAAATGCTATTTTTATTACCACACTATGAATCCTGTTACCAATTCAGTCCTGCAATCTTTGTACAATGGTAATCAGATTAGCTTTAATTTATGAATCCATAAATTTAATGCAAGTTATCCTATTGTTCTTGGCTAATTTAATAATTAATGCCATTATCTATATCTTTGGCATTATATTTATAAATATAAAAAACAAATTTAATATATTTTCTAATTAATTGCTAATTAATTTAAATTTATTAATTAATCATAAATATAAAGTAATTTGTGGATTTAATTTAAAAATATAGTGTTTTAATTGGGTTATGTTTAATTTATTCTGCTTATTTCCTATCAAATACTTCTATAGGATAAACCCGAGAGGAGGGGGTGGGGGTGCCATCTGTGAAAGGGGGGGTGGGGTGCCATCTGTGAAAGGTGGGGTGGGGGTACCATTTTTAGGGGGGGGGGTGGGGGGTTTCCTTATTGGAGGGGGGTGGGGGTGTCTGGTTGCGACCTATGCTTGGCCAGTTGTTAAAGTAGTCCTTCCAATTTTTCAATATCCCGACCTGAGCTTTAAATTTATAACTTTTATTTTTTTTTATTATATATGCTATTTAGGATTGATAAGTATGCATTAGATTTCAAATCTAAAAACCTCTATAGTAGCATAATAAATGCTTTTGATCTCATTATAAGCAAACTTATAGATCTTCTCTTGTAGAGTTAGTAGCCGTTTGAGCAATCAGACTTAATTATAATTATATGAAATAATTTTATTAAAACCTAATAGCTAAGACTATTGATTCAGAGGTTGACGGGTTGCCCATTTCAGAAAATAATAATATTAATTTGTTATTTTAAACACGAATTTTTTCAGAAATATATTTAATAAGGCTACCGACGGTTATTTCTTGCAGTTAATAAGTTATTATATGTTGTGATAGAATTCAAATTAAGGATAGGATTATATTTATCTCTATTTTCCATCTTTATTTGAGAGCATTTTGCATTTTTATTATTTGCTCTTTATAGTTGCGATCTTGATTTACCTTTTGTATAAAATTAAAATTCTTATCAAAGTTTTGAAGTTTAAACAATTATGTACAAATCCATGATTTTTTATCAGTCTGTCCTAGATATTTAGGCATGCTCTTAATTAAAATCCTAATACATAGGATATGCTTAATTAGTTTATTTAAAATAAATCTTTGGCATTTTAATTTAACATACTAAACAGTTTGGCAAACCAATTCTATTTTGTTTTAACAATTCGCAAAAAATATCGCATTTATTATGCAAAGAGAAGATCAATAGAAAATAGATTTTTAAAGAATAGATCAAGGATCCTTAAAGAAAAGTAAGATAATAAATTCAAATTTACACTAAGACCCAAGGCATGCTTTTTGGCTGCCTTCAAATAGTATAGATTGCTACCGACTCCTACATCTATGACTTAATAAGAGCTTTAATTATTATTGTTTTGAAAAAAATTACTTAGTATTAGCTTAATATTTTAGAACTAACTGTGCAAATTTAGTTAAGCATTTTATCCCTAAAAAACTGTCCCTATGTTGTAAATCAAAAGTAAAATTATGCATTGTTTATAAAGAAAATAATTGCAAGTTTAAGTTTTTATTCAATATTTTAATTTTTCTTTATATAGTCTTAAGTTTCTTATTACTTAAATAAATTTAAATACTTTTTAAAAATGTAAAATTCCATTTTATTCTCCAATGATCATAATAGTAAAATGAGAGTCGTTTTAACAGGAGCCACGGGGTCAATTGGAAGCTCAGTTTTAGAGAATTTGGCCTATCATGGCCATGATATAACACTAACTATTAGAAATGAAGAGAAAGGGCAAGAAATAGTAAAGAGACATTATCCAAGAGCACATTACATTCTTTTTGATATTAACATCAATACGGCTCATCAGCTTGCTGATATAGCTGTAGGCTATGATGCCATAATTCATTGCGTCCAGCAGGCTTTTAGCCAAGAAGGAACTGAAGCAGAAAACTTAACAGTTAATGCTTTGATATTAGCAGTTAAAAAGACAGGTGAAACTAAGCATGTCTCTCTTGTGTATACTTTAGGAACTGGGCTATGTGGGAATACGAATGAAATTATTGATGAAGATCATGATGATACTTCTCACAGCTGGGACCTTGCAGCACCAAGAGGAATATTGGAGAAAAAAGTTATAAATGCTAGCACTGAAAATGTTCATGGTGCAGCCTTAAGAGTTAGCTGGGTTTATGGGAAAAGTTTTGTGGATCAATGGATTAGAGCTTGCAAAACTAATAATAAAATCATAATTGGAGGCAATCGGGATAATTCTCATATGTGCTTTATACATCATGAGGATTTAGCAAATATGTATAGAATTCTTATCGAAAGAAGAGCCTATGGACTGTTTTTTGCAGTGGAGCCAGAAGCTGTAACTCTTCAAAATTTAATCGAAAGAGTGTCAACACTTGGAAACATTCGTGAAATTGAAAGAGTTAATAATCCAAGGGAGCACTTTTAGGACCATACGGATTCTTTTTGCTTGGGCATGAAGTAGACCAGCAGCTTTATCCTAACTCCCCCCCTCCGTGAGTGAACAAAACCATTAGAAAAATCCCTATTTTGCCCCCAAAAACCCACCCTCCGTGAGTGAACAAAAATTTTTTTAATAGAAAATTTTTTATGGAAAAAAAAATTGATATATAAATGATAATTAGTATAATGAAATCTAGAGCTAATTCTGTTTAATTTTAAACGAATTGCTTTTTTAAAAAACATAAATTTTATAAATTAAATTAATATTTGCTTTCCAAATTTTGTGAATTAGGATTTTTTAAAATTTTTCGAAAAAAAATATTTTTTTATAAAATTTATATATAAATTTTTTTAAAAAAAAAAAAAATTAACCCCCCTCCGTGAGTGAACAAATTTTTTTGTTCACTCACGGAGGGGGGGGAGTAAAAGATTTATTGAGCTTTATGATTTCCATCATACTCATAAATTTTTGGACTGGATAAATACTTTTCCTTTTTAAAAATTTATAAGGGTATTTATTAATTATTTTCTTATTATTTCTTTTATACGATTTCAGTTAATGATTTTTAAGTGCTAAATAGAAAATTAATTGTATCATATAAATTCAGAGAGAAATAATAAAATAAAAGGAAGAATAAAGCTTAATAAAGCATCTTCAATAATATTTCTATTGAAAATGATAAAAATAATGATAACTCTTTTCTATATTTCTTTATTGCCTAGCAGCAGAATAAACCATCTTGAATCTTATGACAGCATTTTATGATAATAATTAAATCCAAACAGGAAAATGTACGTCCGCAATTCCCCATTCGAAGATTATGGATTTAAGCCAGAAGTTGACGACGATAGTGATCCTCCTCTCCTGGAAGACTTAGGAATAAACCCTGAACACATAAAACAAAAAACTTTCAGCGTCCTCACTTTTACATCAGTAGATGAGCGACTTTTAAGCGACCCAGACATGGCTGGCCCGCTCCTCTTTGTCGTGATTTTCGGCGCTCTCTTACTTTTTGAAGGATAAGGATTATTAAAGTCAGACGCTAGCCATATTGGTGACGCAGTCATCAAAGACCTCCCGTACCGTACCGGAGGTTCTACCGCTTTTCGACTCCTGTCCAGATGTGTCTATCCCTCTTACAAGTGTCATTCCGGTACCCTTCTGTCTCCTCCTTGCCTTGATGCTTCAGTCTTGAGTGGCAGCTTATGGATTTCGGCGGGCCTACTACGGAAAATTGGAGTAGATTGATTCCAAGGCCTTTCTTCGAGAGCTACAGCAAAAAGGCTATTCCTTGTGACTTGGACACAAATACCCAGTTTCTCGGTAGAGGAATGCTCATGGGTCCTCGGATCCAAAGGACGTTGCTGAGCACCTTTATTTCCAACCACAGGAAAGCAGCCAAAACCTACCCAGATACACGCTACTTGAACCTGCACTTGATTCTCAGCCCGCAGCCCGTCCCAGTTCGCCTTAACCATAAGGTCTGGACTGCTGCGCCAAGAGGGCAGGCTAATACATGTCACCATTTTTAATGTATCTTACTTTTTGCAGGAAAAGTCCACTTCGGCTATATTTATGGCTTTGGCCTATTAGGATCATTTGGAATATACGCAGTCATTAATTTAATGTCTCAAGAAAGGGAGATCGATCTATACAGAACCGTTAGCATTCTCGGCTATTCTTTACTGCCTATTGTGCTACTAGCAGGAATCGGAGTATTTTTCAAGCTTAATGGGCCACTTGGGACTGTGCTTGCAATAATTTGTGTAGGGTGGAGCACTTTTACAGCTGCAAAGTTCTTTGAAAATTTACTTGAAATGAAGGATCAGAAGTATCTGATTATGTACCCAGTTTGTCTTATGTATGCTTGCTTTACACTTTTGACAGTGTTTTAAAATTAAATTAGGGTTCGATAAATTATGAATTGTTTGATCAGTTTAATGTAATCAACAAATAATCAAATTATTCTGTTTAAGGTAATTGCTAAATAGGAAATTACTATTTTTATCAATAAAATTGTTGTTATTAATAAATAAAATAGTGTATAATCTTAAAATTAATGGCTTTAATGAATTCTGGTAGTGCGATTTCCATTCAAAATAAAATTTTCAGGTAATACAAAATAAGAACTGTTTATAAAATTTATGCATTAAATTATTGAATCAAAAGAAGTGTCAATGCAAGCAATATTCAAGCATTTTTTCTAATGGATAATAATTAATACAGCCTGATGGTTTCTCGGATTATTACAAAAAGGGCTATCCATGCCAAAGCTTCCACATATTCTCCAAAATATCTTACAGCTTCACAGATAGATTCATATATCCCCACTTAAAATTACTAAAAACATTAAAATTATCAAATAATTCCCTATAAGAAACAAATGATCCATAAAAAATCAAGCTTTTATCCTCTATAACTAATAATAACACCAATGGGTTCATTATTGCCCGTCAAGTTTTACCCCCTAACATCACCAATAATCTCCAACGCTGGGCGAAAGAATTAGAGGACCTTCCAGAGACTCCAGGAAAGTGAATGAAATATTTCGAAGAAGACAAGGCCAAGAAATCTCGCCTTTTATGTCGCATAGAAAATTTTTTGCCTTATTTCCCTGAACTTAAAGAAGTCGCCTTAGGGTTGATAACTGATATCAGTTCAGATTTGTTTTCTGAGCAGGCCGTCATATACAAAGAAAAAATCAATTTCAAATTCCCCAAAGGAAATGGTTTTAATGCACATCAGGACCAGCCAGCCTTCGTTAGTTTTGGAATTTCGAAGCTTTTGACGGTGCTGATGCCAATTGACCCTAATACAAGATTATCTGGTGGGCTTGATATTGTTCCCCAGGGACATATCCCCAGAGTTATTTTGCCTCAAAACAGTGATGGGGCTATAAGGACTGATGTTGAAGCCAAGCTCAACTGGGCTCCTGTTGATGCTGAGCCAGGAGATTTGGTGATTTTTGATAGCTATACTCCACATAGAAGTGATATTAACTTGAGTAATTTCTGTAGAAGAAACTTGTATTTGACTTATAATCCGCTGTCTTTAGGTTCTTTGAGAGATCAGTATTATGAAGAAAAGAGAAGATCATTCCCTCCGGAGTGTGAGAGAGACCCGAATAAAGATTATAGTGCTGGCGCTAAAGTTTTTAATGTCGCGAATCCAATAAAATAAGTATTTGGTTAAATCTTTTTAATTTACTCCCCCCCCTCCGTGAGTGAACAAAACCATTAGAAAAATCGCTATTTTTTGCCCAAAAAAAACCCACCCTCCGTGAGTGAACAAAAATTTTTTTAATTGAATAATTTTTTATGGAAAAAATTTTTGATATATAAGTAATAATTAGTATAATGAAATCTCGTTTAATTTTAAAATAAATTTCTTTTAAAACATATATTTTGCAAATTAGGATTTTTTTAAAATTTCGAAAAAAATATTGTTTATAAAATTTATATATAAATTTTTTAAAAAAAAAAAACAATTAACCCCCCTCCGTGAGTGAACAAAATTTTTTTGTTCACTCACGGAGGGGGAGTTAGTGTCTTATTAGTTGAAATACTTGGATATTTTGGCATTGATAGAAAATATTTAGAAAATTTATAAAATTTGAAATAAAGATAATAGTTAGAAATTAATTTAATCTATATGCTATTTCAAGCCTATTCCTTTAATTTAGTCGAATTCAATCTATCTAGCAAAGTATCCCTAAAATCTGAAAATAGAGTATTATATTCTTTTATGCATCGCTGTGTGCAATCTGCTAAATTATTTGCATCCCAACAATCATGTTTGCAGTATTCAACTCCTTTTTTGATATAAAATTCTTGTTTTCTTTTAACAATTTCATCTAATGTATCCAATGAGCTTTTGCATGATTTTTCACATTCTAATTCTCCATCCTTGCATCTTGCTTTTATACAATTCTCTGCATTATTTTTAAGATTCATATATGGAATTGTTCATTCTGGGCTTCTCAAAAATACTTCTGTGTCAAAATAAAACTCTGCCATGAGAAATGAGATTATAATATAAAAAATTAAAATCTAAGTAAAAATAAAGTATGAAAAATATTGCCTTCATATAGAATTGAACAGCATATTAATTATTTTAATTTTCTTATCAACATAATTAATTTTGCAAATCTAGATATTCAATGAAAGTCCTAAAGCGAATGAATACAGCCTTGAGTCTACCATACACTGTCTCTCTTCTTGAATTTTTTTAATTTCTTCTAGAAGCTGGTCTGTTTTTGCAAATACAACATCAATAATTTCGCAAAGGTCCAGCTCTTGTTGAGGGTCTTTATTTTCTTCAAGATCTCCATTTACAGTTACTTCTACATACATTGTTTTCTCACTCCCCCTTAAATCTGTATGAAATATGGGCTAAATTTCGATTGTTTGGGTAAGTGAAATTTAATTAAAATTTTATTTTTAATGAGTCAAAAATAGTAAATTTTATATAAATAATTTTGACCTATAGTGCATTGCACTATATAGGGAGGGTCTCCACGCGTGGATTATTTTCCATGTATCGAACCAAAATTCAACATATAGAGTTTCACAACATGAACGTTTCCACATGTTGAAAATATTCCACATGTAGAGACCCTTCCAATATTAGTGCAACGCAGTAAATTTAATTGATAGAGTGCAAGAAAATGCTTTAAACATTAAATGCTGGATCAATTTTTATTAAAATTAAATTTTCATAAAATAAATTAAATGACCCCAATTTATAGTTTTAATTTTTAAATTCCTTTAAAGAGCAATCCTTGGGCTTCAATTTAACAGGGAGGAATCAGTGCTTTTCCAGGGATCAATTCAGACTTGAGGCCTTGCAAAATCTTCAGCAATGTCTCCAAGGCTTGCAGAGAACCCAGTTTCTTCTTTAAGCTCTCTAAGTGCTCCAAGCTCTATTTGCTCGTTATCATTTGAAGTCCCACCGGGAAAGCTCAGAACATAGCCTTCAACAGGATATCTATACTCCAATGTCAAAATGTAAAACCATTCATCATTTTTCAGTATCTTCGGGATAATGTCTACTCCTTGTTTCACCGACCCATGGGGTGGCCTACATACTATTTCCCATGTTATTCTTGATCCATCAGCTTTTTCTACAGTTTTCTCATGAAAATGCATATACTTCCCTTCATATAAACATTTCTCGTCAATAGTGGTAGGAATTTCCATAATAATTTTGATTATAATGCAATTAATTATTTTATCACAAAGCCATTGAAAAATGGTAGTCAATAAAAATCCAATGGGGTAGCATTAATTTTTACCTAACCAATCGTGAGTAACAAAAATAAAATTTAGCTTTTAAAATGCAGGTTCTTTAAATTTAACAGAATGAGCAAGAGATTTAAGATACTAATTATCACTTATATATCAAAATATTTTTTCACAAAAAATGATTTTTTTCCAAAAAAAATAGGGGTTATTGCAATGTTTTTGTTCCACTCACGAAGTTAAAGAGGAAAAAATTATCTTCATTTTTTATAGATAAAAATTATTATAATCCTCCAACTTGAAAAAATGGGAAGCCAGTGCTGCAATGGGAGAAATAAAGCTCCAGCTAAGAAAAATATTTATGAAACAACAGAGAAAGTTTTCTTAGAGACCAATAGGACATTAAGCACCAAAAATACACTGACCTTCAGGTAAGAAATAGAAAGGAATCAAGATTTTGAAAGCTCTCAAGATGCAACTGAAAATGAATACAAGAAAACAGTGGTAGAATTGAATGGAGGCAATGAAATGAAAAGAACTGGGAACTGTCCTTATTGTAACGCTGAACAGGTAATAGCCAGCAAATTTAAACACTTAGAATGCACTAATTGTATGCAGATTTACATGCAAGATGGATGCACTCGAACGCTCTATAAGTAAAACCTATACAGGCTGCCTCCTGGAAGCTCTTTATTTAGATCAAATTCTCCAAAACGATCTTAAAATGTTGTAAAATTAATAATTCTTGTAAAAAAAGTTAACAAAAATCATTCCTTTTTAACTGCAAAAATGATTATTATTTCATTTAAAGACTAGAAATTATTTTTTAATTCCTGTAATCTCCAAGTCTTTATTTGACCTGAACCGGATTTTTTTCTTTGGGCTAGCTTGTGCGTTAAATATATTCTTATATTTCTGTGAATTAATCGGCTTTAATTTCTTATATACACTGTGAGGAGGGCTTCGAATTTTTAATGGAGTATTTCTATTATCCAGGGCATACGACATGTCCTGTTTTTCTTTGATTACCAAAATACTATCTTTATTATTCACCTTTACTGGCTTCAATTTTCGGTATTTCAGGTTTTCTCATGGATTGTGCTTAAAGTAATTCAAAGTTTTGTAAGGCTGCGGTGGAGACTCAAATTCAAACCCTGTTGAATTTGGTCTTATAGCAAGTCCACGGTCAAAATCAGCTGGCGATTTTTGTGTAGAAATGCTGCCTCTTTTCAGTTTTATTTTTCTCATAGGAAAAGAAGTTACTTGGAATCCTAAAGAATGCGACCTTGTTGCCTGAATAAATGAAGAGTTCTCAACAGCAATTTCGCTTGGATTTTCTTTTCTAATTTCTTGCTTGGAGAATTCAATTGAGTCTACTTGTATAGAAATTTCACTCTGCGGGTTATGATCCACAATTTCGGTGATTTTTGAAAGGATTGGCTGCTTATTGTCTTTCTCATTTTCATGGTCGATTTGTCGTCTATTTAAAAATTACACTGGAATTTCTCTTCCAAAATATTTTATGTGTGTTTTAATAAGAAAACTTGTTTATATTTTTTATTTATAATAATAAGATTATTTATTATGAAATACTATTCTATATTATAAGCTAATAAGAAAAATAAATAATAGTTTATTATCCTAATTTTATAGAGAATTAATTTTAATATTGATAACAGAAGCCTCAAGGAATAGGCAAAGATATATAATTTCTGAGTTTCCATTTATCGAATGATTATTTATTATGCCTTCAAAGCTGCCTTAGGAACGCTTTCTTGGTTCTCTGTAGCAATGATTTCGATATGGCAGTTTGAGCTCAAATAAGGCTTGATCCCACCATGTGCTCTGAAAGTTTTTCTTCTTCCTTTTTGTGCTCTGTTGACTTGAACGTGCCACAGCGACATGTTTTCCACATCCAGTCCTTTGCTATCAGCGCTTGCTTCTAAGTTTCTAAGCAAATCCAAAACAACTTTGCAAGACTTTTCAGGCCATCTTCCTTGTGTGCATCCCCATTGCTTGGCTTGTGCATGCCTTCCAACACCTCCATGATACCTTCTAAATGGGACAATTTGTTTTTGTTCAATGACATCTTCTAAGAATCCTTTAGCTTTCTTAAGAGGCATCCCTCTGATTGCTGCAGCAACTTCAAAGGTATTTTTGAAATGCACGCGGAGGTCACTACCTTTAGTAGAACAAGATTTAGCTGGGACTGCTGGTGACCGTGAATAGCTCTTTACCATTTATTTGATACCATACTTATCTCAATCTAATTAATCTAGCAACACTTCCCTTCCTTTGTTTTCTGTTGAGGCTGCGGCTGTTCAGAAAGCTTGACTCTTCCAGTGCTTGATTCAGGAGGATTTGCAAGCGACGTTTCTTGGGCCAAAGGAAGTTCTTGCGCAAGGGCTTTAAACAGCTGTTTTATATTTGCACCTGTTTTAGCGCTGACTTCCATGTATTGAACGTTTAATTCTCTTGCTTTGGCTTCACAGTCTTCAGGAGAAACAGTCCTTTTTTCAACCAAGTCAATTTTATTGCCTGCAACCATAATCACGACGTCTCCGCCTCTTTCGTTTCTTACATCTTGGACCCATTTTTCAAGACTGTTAAAGCTTGAGCGCTGGGAGATATCGAAAACAATGATGGCGACTGAGCAGTCCCTAATGTAATTTGGTATCAAGGACCGGAACCGTTCTTGGCCAGCTGTGTCTCAGAGTTGTAGACGGATGGTTCGGTCGTCCAGGTACATGGTTTTTGATAGAAAATCAATTCCTATTGTGGCTTGATGGGTTTGGTCAAACGTTCCATACATAAATTGATTAATAATTGAAGTCTTCCCTACTGCTATATCTCCTAGAAATACAAACTTATACTTTTTAAGCACCGCTGGGGTAAGTCCGCTTTGTAATGCTGCCATTATTGATTTATTAATAGAAAATCTGGAGCTAATAAGAGAAACTTGAATTTTTAATGAAAAAAAAACATATCTTTTATTTTTTGGTTAATAACAAAATAGTGCATTATCAGCTATATATCTTTTTATGGTAGTAAGGAGGTTTTTACCTTCGTATTTTATTAATAGGAGTCAACAAAAAAATAACTAAAATATAGAGAGTCTTTTTATATCAATTAATGGAAATAATTGGATATTGTTTATGCCATAATTAGGAATTGCATTAAATTATAACTAGTTAAACTAAATCACAGCCAGGAATTGTAATAAAAGCAGATATAATAGGCAAGCAAGAAACTTTATTTTGTAAAAAGACCCTGATATTTTCACTTGCTCCTTCAATACTTCGAACAGCTATTTCTTGTCGATACTTAAGTGTAGGGACTAAGCAAGGGAAATAAGTGAGAGGTGTAAGAATTTGAAAAAGCTTAGGGTCATATGAAAAAGAAACGACAATATCTGTAGAAGATTGCCTGCCCTGATTTTGTACTTCCAAAATTATTGTAAAAAGTGGGCCTAATCCTTGAACATAAGCACCCATACTCAGCTGTGACTCTATGCTCTGATTAGTTGGCTCTTGATATTGTAACTGCAAATATGCTTTTGCAGTCCTCAATCTTAATGATGTCAAATCTCTCAAAAATCCTCCATACATCTGTCTAGCGCTTTCTTTTTCTCTATCAACTTGTTCTAAATACAGTTTGGACTTAGCTGGTATCACTAATGGGATTTCTTGTTCAGGCGGAGGTCCAATGAACTCATTTCTCCCTTCTAAATTTGCCTTTTTGTCAATAAGTTTTACCACAATTCCTCCACTTTTGACGTTGAGCACCAATGATCCTTCTTCTCTTCCATAAGACCCAAAAGCCATCCCTAATATAGTTTCTCCAATACTCAAAGAGTGTAATAGAACTTTATCTTTATAAAGCCTTATTTCTCCATTAGCTAATGCTACAAGTAGACCTTTGAATACACGAGCTCTTGTGAGCTTTAGCATTTCAATGCAGGAAACTTGTTCAGGCATGTATAGAGTGTAAAGCTTTCTCCCTTTGATGTGGTAGCAATAGATATTTAAATTATATCTGACAAAGTTTTATGAACTCGGCTAAAGGGCAGCTATGCTAGGTAAGCAATTCAGTAATGTATAGAGCCTAGCCCTAGTCCAATTTCTGGGTTGGATTTTTACCTCAGGGGAGAAAGGGACTCGGAAGTTGGAAAAGTGATGCCCAGCCTAGTCTACAAGCAATGCCTAGGCTATCGTGTAAAATTCTCCAGAGCTACACCCAAGGCAACGAGTTTCATTTTTTGGCAATAGTCGACCAGGAAATCCATTTTTTTGGTTTTTTGTGTACCCTCAGTCTCAAGCAAGCCACAGAAGTCCGAAGACTGTCAACTTAATATGAAACCGGAAGGCAAGGGGGAGACATTCCCATCCCTGGTGGAAGGAATACCGCAAGGCGGTTTGAATCTCCTTGGAGATCCTCAGTGGCTACGTTAGCGCCATCTGTTAATTTAAGTCTAAGTTTAAGATGTGGTAACAATGTACTTTTTGGTCAACAGATCCCACAAAAATGCTTCGGTCAATATTAATAAGGCCTACTGAGTGGGTTTCCAGCTCTATGATGCTTGGCATCAGCTGCCCATTTTTTACTGTGTATATATTAGAATCCCTACAAGCCACAAGAATTCGATACTCACCACTAAAAAGTCCAGCAGTCGATATAAAGGCAGGGACATCTGGCAATACAACTTTTGTAATAATAGCTGAGCCTGTTTTATCTAAAACATACAAAAACTTGTGCTCAGTCCCAATAACAAGCACTGATACTGCATTTTCTAGCTCTTGGTCTAATTTAAGGGTTGTCCTGAAAAAACCCCTAGGAGGTTTTTTCCTGTCCTTTTTTTTCTGATGAAAATGACTGAAAAGTAGAATTCCTTGAATTTTCCAGGAAAAAACCCCAACGGTAATTTTTGAAAAATTTGCAAACCATACAGGAAAAAAACCCAACTGTGTGTTTTTCCTGGTTTTTTCCAGGAAAAAACCCCATCCTCAAAAAAAGTCCATTATCGAATTAAGGTCATCATAAGTAGATATAAAGCCCCACAAATTCAACTGCAAAGACTAATCACATAATCAATTCTAAACTCTTATTATCAAAGAGAAATGAATAAAGTAAACAAATAGCATCTAAATTAACACTTGATTTCAACAGTAGTAATTTTTTGATTCTCAAAAACAGCATGAAAAAACCCTAATAAAAATAAATCATTAATACAATTGCATAAGAGAGAGTCCTCAAAAAGAGTGATAATATAGGAAAATAGATATCTACAGCAAGAATACATCAAATACTTGATTATTAGAACAAAAACTCATAATAAATTATAAATGCTATATGATATTAAAAAGCAAATAAATAGGAAAAAACATTACAGGAAAAAACCCTCATTAGAAATTTTGGCTAAAAATTTCCAGGAAAAAACCCCTAGTGATGTTAGGTACCCAAAAAAATTGCAGGAAAAAACCCCAATGGTGGTAAAATCCTGGAAAATTCCAGGAAAAAAACCCCTGACTCACCCCCATTATTTTTTATGTAAAAAGTTTTGATATAAGTTAAATGTTTCTTCTTAACTAAAATTATGAATTTAGTTATATCTTGCTCTTGTTTATAGAAGAGAGCATAAAGAGCATCTTATTTAAATAAATTTATATCCTTAATTGCTAAATGTTTAGAACAATTTAAATATTTTGTTTAAAAATTTTTATTTTTTAGATAAAAATAACATTTTTTATCTAAATTATTTTGATATATAAATTCAATACGAATTCTTTACAAAATTTCAATATTTAATTTATTTCTTGCTTTATTTTAAGAATAGAGTATAATAAATAATATTTTATTTAAATAAAATAGCACTTTGATTAATAAATTTTCTGCGTAAATAGTTTTGATACCAATTAATAGTGGCACATTAACTAATAATTAAAATTTAGTTATATCTTACTTTTTGTAATGGATAATGACTAAATAGCATTTTATTAAACAAATTTATTAATCTAATTCGATAAATTTTTGAATTTTTTATAAATATTTTTTTAAAATTTTCTTAACCTCCTTTTAAATTGGAACAAATTTTTTTATTCCAATTTAAAGGGGGAAGTGGGAAAATTATAAAAAGTTCGTTCGAAAAATAATAATTTAAAATCCTCTTAACGAAAAGGTTAAGAAATCTAGCACCGTTTATATATATAAACACTAAAATACAATAAAACATATGAAATAAAATGAGATAAATGATTACACTATGATACCATTTATCCCATTTTACTATTTCAACTATTTCTCACATATTGTATCCAGCACATCTTGCACTAGCTAACCTTGTATCATTTTGTACCAGCTCACCTTGTACCACCTATAACGTATCTGAACTAGCTCATCTTACATCAACCTGCAGCACATCCTGTATGGCTTGAAAACATATTTTGATCTCTATGAAACAATACCTGAAGAGGTACAGTAGCTTTCTGAAAAGTCAAAATCGAAATAATGGCATTTTTATGAGAAGTACAGATTTGGCTTGACGAATATTTTCAGTAGAATCCGTTTGTCTAGCCAAACGCTAGTTTAAAATGAAAATAGCCTTTGTCATTTCAGTTTTTCTTTTTTAATATAACTACTTTTACTCTTTAGGTATTGTTTCATAAAGATTAATATTAATCCTTTAAACTTTAGCAGCTAATATTGTATCCACCTGTGACATATCCTGTTTAGTTCATCTTTAATCAGAATACAGCGCATCCTGTACTAATTCACTTTTTATCAACCTGCAGTGCACTCACTCTATACTAGCACATCTTGTATCCACCTGTGACAAATCCTGTACTAGCTCACCTTGCATCAAACTGCAGCTAGGTTTAAGAGCTAATATGATCAAGGTGTAATAATACCTAAAGAGTAAAAGTAGTGATCTAAAGAGATAAACTTAAAATGTCAAAGACCGCTTTCATGAAAAATTCACGTTTGGCTTGATTAACAAAGCCTATAGAAACTATTTGTCAAAAATAATCTGTATCGTAATAAAATTGATATTTATCATTATCATTTTGACATATCAGATCGCTACTTTACCTCTTGGGGTATTGTTTCATCGAGATCTAAATGTGTTTTGAATCTTTGCACCCGATAATATATTACCTTGCATCACCTGTGATTAATCCTGAACTCGCTCTTTAGCAATCTATATAGCACATCTTGCACTATATAGCACTATATAGCTCACCTTGCACCACTTGTGACGCATCCTGCACTAGCTCAGCTTGTGCTAGATGACTTAACCTTTTAGTGAAGGGTATTTAAATTATTATTTTTTAAATGAGTTTTTTATAATTTTCTCAGGGGTTTTTTCCTGGAATTTTCCAGGATTTTACCACCATTGGGGGTTTTTTCCTGCAATTTTTTTGGTACCTAACATCACTAGGGGGTTTTTTCCTGGAATTTTTTAGCCAAAAATTTCTAATGAGGGTTTTTTTCCTGTAATGTTTTTTCCTATTTATTTGCTTTTTAATATCATATAGCAATTATAATTTATTATGAGTTTTTGTTCTAATAATCAAGTATTTGATGTATTCTTGCTGTAGATATCTATTTTCCTATATTATCACTCGTTTTGAGGACTCTCTCTTATGCAATTGTATTAATGATTTATTTTTATTAGGGTTTTTTCATGCTGTTTTTGAGAATCAAAAAATTACTACTGTTGAAATCAAGTGTTAATTTAGATGCTATTTGTTTACTTTATTCATTTCTCTTTGATAATAAGAGTTTAGAATTGATTATGTGATTAGTCTTTGCAGTTGAATTTGTGGGGCTTTATATCTACTTATGATGACCTTAATTCGATAATGGACTTTTTTGAGGATGGGTTTTTTCCTGTCATCCCTAATTTAAGCACTCCCAATGTGGTAATTGACGTATTTTGTACCAGTGGAGTCAACTTAGTCGCTTCAATAAATTCCAGTCTTTCTTCATCTGAGTCATACGATAACAAATCCAAAGACCTATTACTTAGCAAACTCATAGATTCTCTTAAAGAAGATAATCTTGCTATAGCTTCAGTTGGATCCATCCTGCTTTCTTTTAAAGCTTCCCATATAGAAACTTCATCAGGCGGAAGCTCAAGGTTTGGCAATGTAAACTTAAAGAAAGGCCTCGAATTTTTGTAAATAAAAATAAATGAGCCAGACGCCACTGCTAAATTAGGAGGAGCGTCAATTTCTGAATAATAAATAGCCACTGCTGAAGGGACATCTAGTAACAAACTTTCCCACGCTATAGAAGTCCCACGGTAGACTCGGAGCTTCTTCTTTAAATCAGCGATTACTAAGTTGTACTCGCCGTCTGACTTTAAATCTCCTAAACACATGCAAGCAGAGGTTGCTTTGAGGCCTGCAACAGGGTCTTGTCAAGAGTTAGTCCAAAGTTCCATTTTTTAAGAAAATATGAAAATACTGGTAGTGAGTCTTTCCATCCACTATTGGTAGAAATACAAAATCCTATACCTGTAAATCCATCCATCAGAATTGGAAATCGAAGAAAAATTGATTTTCAGTCCAAATTTGAAAAATTAATTGGATAGATTTACACCTAATCTACAATTTTATGTTTTTAGCTAAAAGATTAATTTTCAATCCGAACGGAGCCTAGCGAATTTCTATCCATCAGAGCCCAAAAAGCAGAATTCTATCCAATGATAGATTACCGCAAAATTCATTATGATTTTCCCCATCCCTGATGAATGGATTTACGAGTATAGGGATTCGTATTTTCTACCATAGTGGATGGAAATATACGCGCGCCACCAAAAATACAGTTAAACTTATGCAGAAGTTGGTTATTAATGGGCGTTTTTTCGAAGGCCTTTTCTGGTTCTCCTAGCAATTGGACTGGAAAGATTGGTTTTGTGCTTAGGTTTGGATTTGAGAGGCTTTGGAGCTTGCTGGTTTTCTTTATTCTCTGTGTCCTCTTCTTTAATTTTTTGGGTATTTTCTTTTATTTCTTTGATAAGTCCAAACTTTTCTTCAATTGGCTGTGGAGCATCTTCAGTTTGTATTGAAATTTCTTCTGTAACAAATGGGTTTAGGTAAATTTTTGGAATTGTGACTTCTACTATGGTTTCTCTTAAAGGGGATGTGCATGTATCAATACAATTGATATTTTTCTTTAATTTCGAAAGTTTGGAGGCTCACATTTCGTCCTTTGTTTTCATGATTTCATCATAGTTCTTTATAAGCATGTCTCTTGAAGTTTTATAGAGATCTGATTGTTTTGCAAGCATAGATTCAACTTCTTGCGCGATTTTGGATCTAAGCTCAGACTCAAGCTCAAGCTCTCGTTGTTTAACATTTTGGAGCTGCTCTTGTGTTTTCAGCATTTCTTGTCTTTTAAGCTCTTCAATCTCTTCTTCTTTGGCTCGTAGAAGTTCTTCTAGTTCTTGCAGCCTTGCGATTTCTTGTCCTGGAACATTTCGGTGCTGTCCAAGTTTTGATTTCATTGGCTTAATTCCAGTTGTTATAGCTCCAAATTTCAAAACGCTAACCTTTTATAAAAAAAAAGAAATATTTTGATGGTATTAATAATAAAAATCAATTTTAATATCAAAAATATTTTATTTAATAGGATGAGTAAGGGTTTCTTCAAAATCTTCTTTGCATTGATTAATATTGATAATTAATGAAATATTTTTATCTTCACCCATTCCAAAGAATTCTGAAAATATTTTGGTTAGTAAAGTGTCTCTAAAAGGGATCATGTCTTTTTTCCCTTTTGACTGATTGTTTTTGATAGCTTCCAAGCACCGGCCTAGTACACTTAAAGAGTTATTAATGTAGCTAGCCTCTTTTAATCTCTCTCCAACTGTATTAGCTCTTAAGGTGCGTTCTGCCCCAGCTAAATCTACAATTGCAAATTTGGGAGCATTTTCTCCTTCAAGCATTATCAAAAAAACTGAGTGGCTTCTTGAAGAAACTTGGTTGCACGCAGTTTCCGCTAATTTCCTATTATTTAGCCCTAATCTTACTCCCCCTTTTAAATTGGAACAAAAAATCGGTAAAATATGCATGCTTTGGGTGCTTTAACCCCCTTTAACTTGAAACAAAATTCGCTGCTTTTCTTATTAATTTAAGTACTAATTTTTATAAAATTAGTTTTGACCTATTTAATAGACAAAATGCAAGTAGGATGCTATTTAAATAGTTCTCATACTTAATCGATTAATTTTTTTATTTATTTCTAATTTATATTTTTTTAAATTTTAAAAAAATTTTATATATAGGAAATTTAAATATAGACTTTTTTTAAAAAAAAAATAACCACCCTTTAAATTGGACAGATATTTTTGTTTTAGTTTTAAAAAGGGGTAGTTAGACAATCCATAGCTTCTGTAAAGGTTTGTATGCGTTTCTCACTGATTCCAATAATTTTCACATTAGAGCTGTCCTGCCTAACTTTCAAAGACTGTCTTTGTTCTTTTTTCGAATATTCTTGCAAAAGATCATAAACCCGATCATTATAAATTTCGAAAAACTGCACTTTAAAGGTTAAATTCCTATCAATTAAGTCTTTTAAAGCTCTGATAGTAATCCCAGGGTTTTCGTATGTCCCCATAATAGTATGAGTTTTACCTGCGTTTGTAATTCCATAAGAAAATAAAAGCGCACTTTTCCCTTTTTCGACAAAATCATTGATAAGAGGACAGCATAATTAAAAATGGTGTTGTTCTAATTTTCTTTCTTCTTGGCAGGAAATACTTATTTGACATATTTTTATTATGAGTTTAGCTTCTAACAGTAATGACAGGGAACCAAGAGCCCAAAATTTTTAATACGATATAACTATCGTTAGGAAATGGAATTAGCTGGAAGTGTGTCACAAACCCTCGGCATGGAGATTAGGACTTTTTGTATGTCAAGAGGAGGAAGTTTGCAAGCTTGAGAGCTGGAAGGAGAGCCTGTCGAAATCGGAATCTAACAAAAATCCAGCCGAACGAAGCGAAGTAGGGTCTGAGGCTTAGTCGGAAGGGCAAACCGAGATAAAGATGAGCGTGCAATCTAGTAATGGACATTAAGCAGAGATATAATTTTAAAGATAAGACTAGATAATTAAGATAAGAGGATAACAAATTGTAGCTGCAACTTGCTCTTGAGTGGTGCATGGCCCAAGGATTGAAGTAAATTCAAATTGCTCTATTGCAGTTTCTGAGGCATGGGATGGAGGGTTGATCTTGAGTGAATGAGATGAGGTGATTTCATAGATATCGGAAGGTTGAGAGGATACAGGGCGAATTCTGCAGAAAACTTTAATTGGGACGATATCTTCGGTATCTGTAATACTGTCTCGGTCTAGTGACTTTAATCTTTTGGGATGGCCTTCTTTGCTATCATCGAGCTTTCTTTTATACATTTTAAAACACAAACCCGCTATAAAAAGGGAAGGATATTTTAGAGAGAGTGTTAATTAGGGAGGGTAAAAGCGGATTTATTTTAGCCCCTAATCCAGTCGAGCTCCAGCTTCATGCTCAATGTGGTGCTAGTCACCAAAGCCACCTAACGCCCTTTTCTGTTAACGTCATCAAAAATGGTGACGTCGACATCTTTCGGTGAGACTCATCCGAGAACCTGATTGGACCAAAAAAGCTTCAGCAGAGGACTCTTTTAACCTCTGGTAGTGCTCAGAGTATGAGAGAAACGTCCAAAGCCTCCTTCTGGAACTACGTCCGCCATTTACAGGCAGCATAATGCTCCTCCAGAAGTGCCTGCTTGGTATTGCGCCGCCGGTCTTTCGTCTATGGGTTGAGGAGAGGCCCAGTCAGCCCAAACTTGCTCTCAACCCGGAAGCCACACCCCATCCGACCCGTGGCCCTTCGTGGCCCCCATTTTGTTAAGTGAATTTTGGAACTTTTTGTTTTTTTCTGTCGGGCTGCGGCCTTCGCAATCATGGAAGGCGTAATTTCTTTATTTTAGAGAAGATATTGAACTTAAAATTTTACAATATGAAATAAGTGAACTCAAGTAGCTTAAATAGAAATGAAAATATTAAGAAAATTAATACTAGGAAATTGTTTACCACTTATTCATTTAGTAGATTATATAAAAATCATTGTAATCTTTGCTGTAAGGCTTTCTGAATTTTCACATTAATTTAAGCTCCCAATAACCAGAGAATAAATGTTTGTAGTTTATTTATTGCATATTTATAGATTTCTTTACTTTATATCAAAAATTGATAAATTCTAAGGAAATGAAAACAGAATGGAAACAAGCACTTACTCTTTTTAAAAACCAGACCCTACATCTTTTAGTTTGTTGTCGAATCAAGCGTAAGACACGAAGAACTGTAGATATAATATACCAATATATTTAGAGAAATAAAAAATATTAAATAAAATTTTAAATATGCAATAATTTTGCATTATAAAAAGCCAATTAAATGCTTAAAAAATTGTAGCTATAAAATTGTCTGGGAGATAGCATTATGTCTTCCTAAATTTAAATCAAATAGTATTTTTGACCAAAATTTATTTGGAGATCCTGCTGCTTTGCCAGAAATTAATAAGGAATTGGAGCATAACATTCTTCAATGAATACAGAGGATAAGCAGCTTATTTCAAAAATCGCTGGAGCTGTAATTAAAGCTTAGCAGACAAAAAAGACCTCAAGGATTATAGGAGGAATTAAAAATATTGGAAAAGATCTATATGCTGTTGCAAAAGCCATCTTGAATTCTATAAATCGACGCTTCAAGAAGCAAGCCTATATTATTAAGTTGATCAATGCAAATTTCCAATTTTGACTAATAAATGACACCGCAGTCATCTATATCTAAAAAATCAATTAAGCAGTTCAATATACTAAATATTTCAAAAGCCTATGCACAATCAAATCGTTTTCTAATAAAAATTTTCATATGCATAAGAATGCTTCTTTCTTAAAAAATCCAATCAATCCATCAGTCTCTAATCTATTACAAGTCAGGGGAAGTTTTAAAAAATTAAATTACCTATTCTATACTAATATGGTGGAATCTGCACAAAGAAGATTTGAGGTCAAGAAGTGGAACGCGGTTGCAATGTGGGCATGGGACATCGAGGTAGAAAACTGTGCAATTTGTAGAACTCATATCAGCGACCCTTGCATCGATTGTCAAGCTAATCAGCAATCAGCTACCTCTGAAGAATGCAATGTGGCATGGGGAGTTTGTAATCATGCTTTTCACTTTCACTGCATTTCCCGTTGGTTAAAAACTAGGCATGTATGCCCACTTGATAATAGAGATTGGGAATTCCAAAGACTTGGTAAATAAGCTAAACCCTTTAAAGCAATAATAAAATATAAGTCTTGACTAATTAATTCGCTTTAGAACTTAAAATCTAAGTTTAAAGTGCCAGCTTTTAATTTAGAAATAATATCCAAGCTCAGCTTGGATTTAAATTAGCGAGCGTGCTGATTGCATTTATTAAGAAAATACTGAGCTCTTTTAAAGTAAGTTTTATATGAATAGAAGAATTATTAAGAATGCTAAATTACTTCATAAAAGACAATAGAAATAATTGGCTATAAAAATGCGAATTTATCTATGAAACTATATGTTAGAGTTATAAGAAAAATTATCAATTTCCAATTCAAAAATTTTTGTCAAAATGGATTTCATAGACTCAGACGAAGAAAATCCCAAAACAGGCTCATGAATCTCCATCAAAAATCTTAAAGCAGCAGCTGACGTGCATTCAGTATATCGCCAACAAAGCCGAGGATCGAGCCCATCTTCTTCTCCAAACGCTTCGCAGAATTCTAGCATCACAATGGAATGGAAGCCTAATACATATATAAACCAAAGCATTTGTTTTAGCTCAATGCATGATCATTATTGTGAAGAAATAATAGACTCAACCCAAACCTTACTGAATGAAAGTGACGAAGGCTTAGCTTATAAACAAGATATCGATGCTATGAGATATTACATTCAAAGTAAAGAAAGTATTCCATATATGTTTAGACCTGATTATGTTTATGCAGATTTATCCATTTGTAATTAAATCAATCTAAAACAGCATAAATTAAGGAAGCTACAAAGGAGATATCAACGAGACATTGGGAAATTAAAAGATGAGCTTGCTCAATCCAAAGCTGAGACTGAAGCAGCCCAAAAAGAAATTTATTTTTTAAATCAAGAAATATCAATTAATTTTTGAATAAAACATCATAAAAAATATGAAAAAGAAATTTTAAATTAACGAGGAAAGCTATAGATAGAATGCAACAAGATTTTACTCAGCAGCTGCTTAATAATCAAGCAAGGCATGAAAGAAAACTCCAAAGAAGCAAACAAGATTTAGATGCCTTAATATCTGAAAATAACGAAAAAACAGCGATTTTTGTAGCTGAAAAATTAAGGGCGATCCATCAAGCTGAAATGGATAAGTTGAGGGATGACTATGAAGAACAAATAGAAAGGCTAAGAATGGAGCATGAGCTAGAAATACAGGAAAAAGAAGAAGAGTATGAGAGCATAATAAGCAAAGAAAACAACTTCAAAATTGATGAAGAAAGGCTTGAAGAAATGGAAAGGGCACATAAAAAAAATATTGAATCGTTGGAAGACAAATATGAAGAAGAGATAGAAAGACTAAAAAAACAGATACAAAATATGAAAGAAGAGAGGCCAAAAAAGAATTTAATTATGAAATTTGAAGAAAATAAAATAAATGAAAAAGAAATTCAAGAACTACAAGAAAAAATCCAAATTTTCCAAGAAGAAGCTCAAGAGCAACGCAGAATTATTGAGCTACAAAAGAAGACCATTGAAGATCTAAGTAAAGAACTTCAAGGGACTTTTAAAAAACGGCCTGCAAAAAATCTGAAGCTTGAAGCTAGTATTGAAAAAGACTTAGAAAAAGACCTCAAAGGCTTAATTGGACAAATAAGGTAATTTCTAGTTAGCAATTATTTGGACACGAGTGATCCAAATACGTCTAGAGATTTTGGTGACACTCTTCGGACTTTGCAAAGCCGAATTGAGTTTCTTGCAAGCTCAGAAAAGCTGAATTTATAAGTTAATATGTTTATATAGCTAATTTTTTTTAGATTATGCTAGAGCCCACTTTATATTCCCATGGTCCAAATAGTGCCTCGACTAGTTCATTAGAAAGTCCTGATCCTGTTGAGTTCTTGCAAACTCCCTGCAATACGCTTGTTCCCCACGTAAGCTCACAGACAAGATTATTTCTACAAGCAGCATTGCAACTTGAAGAAGGATTGCGGCCTGTATAGTAATTATCCCACCATTGCTGAGCTCCAGTAGCATTGCTAGCCAAAGAGTTAGCATATTCAAACATAGTCTGAGGAGTTAAATCAGAAACTCCATATAAATCTAGATACGAGTAAGCAAGTTCAAAGGTAGGGGTGACTGTTGGGTTAAGATTGGCAGCTGCTTGGTCAAGCATAAAACCCACCCCCTACACCTCCTCAATATTAAACTACCTAGTCTTGGTAATAAGAAGCAGAAGAGAAATTGCAGGATTTTACTTCTAGGCTATTAAAACGCTATTTATAGCATGTTTACATATTTAAATTATTTTATATTCTACTATAAACAAAATTTTTTTTATATGATAAAAGTTTTTAGACTAATAAATAAAGGAGTTAATAGAGAAATACGCTGGATATCGCTTAATTATTGTATTTTAAACATTAATACCGTAAAATTCTACTTTAAAAGGGATAGACACAAATAATCAATTTAATCATAATTATGCATTATTGTACCATACAATAATTAGCATCGATTTCGCTAAATTAATGCACTTTAATATGTAAATAAATAAAAATAACTTATTTTACATATAAAACATGATATTCTTATTTAAATTTAATACAAAAATATGAGCTAAATTTCTAGTCATTCAAAAACTTTGTATATAGTGGATATTAAATATATATTTTAATAACTTAGAAGCGAAAATACTGCAATATATCTTATATTTCTTATTATCAAGACTAGGCAGTTTGGCTTGGGGGGTTGGGGAGTTTCATGCTTGATCAGCTGCTAAATCTAATCTATATTGATGGACATCAGTGACAAGCTTAGTCACAGTGTCTGCTTCATAGATTCTAAATGAAGGGTTTAAGCCTTGATAAGTAGTCACACTTGGAGCTACCCATTGAATACTGAGTGGTTCATTAGTTTTTATCCCTCTATTAATATGCCACTCATCATTATGAGTATGTCCGTAGAACTGTCCTGCAATAATATTAGAATATCTGTCAATCAAAGTGTTAACATGGGCTGCCCAAGCATATAAGCAGTCACCACTTGCAATTGGGATATGTGCGTAAAAGTAGACAACTTGACCGCTTTTCTCAGCTTGGCTCAGCTCGTTTTCAAGCCATTCGATTTGTCCCAAAGGATCGGTTACATTTACAAACAAGAAGAAATTCCCGTTATTGCAAGCTTGGGTGTTAAGTGCTATAAGCTTAAGGTTGGTGCCTGGGTGTACCATAGAATAAGCCCATTTGCTTTTCAAGGTTGCAATTGCTTGGGCATCAAGCCAGCTTCCCCAGATTTCAGTGACTGGGTTTAAGAACCATGATGAATTTGTAGGGTCTAAAGCGTTTACTGGGAATGGTCCATGGTTTCCGAACATGTAGTAAACTGGAGTCGTTGGGAAATATTTCTCAAATAGGTTGGCCACAATGGACTGGTATTGCAAGTTATAGGATTGCGACTGATTCCAGACATCGTGAGGAGGCAAATCTCCAGTGATAATCACAAAGTCTAAGTCTTGGTTGCTCATTTGGCTGATAGCTGTTTCAAGGGTTTTGACTGGGATATCACAGTTGTAGTCTCCCCAAGACCCTGAAGTTCCAGGTCCATTCCATTCTCTACAGCATAGTGGTAGTCCACAATTGGAATTGGCTCCTTCTTGGTAAAAGGCATCAATATGTAAATCACTCATGTGCCCGAACTTGAAAGTCCCTTGATTAGAAGGTGTAGGAGCTGGAGCTGATGGCTTGGAGGCAAGTACGTTGTTTTGCCATTCGGTGAAATTTTCTCTTATCCCTTAAATAATAATATTATTTTTTAAATAAAAATATTTAAAAATTTTTTATACTGTGAAAAATATATACATATTTAGGAGAATCGCAAAGTTCGATAGCAGAACAGGCAAAATCTGGGTCGAAATAGCGTCTTGCAAGACTTTCTGTTACTATAAGAACATTTTCTTGAATGGCTCCACGGCAGACAGGCTCAGTATACCCATTGAATTTTATGCATATTTCAACAGCGACATCAATAGGGAAGCTTCATATGTCCGGATTAAGTGTCCATTTCTGGATATACTTGAACGCTTCTCTGCAGACTTCGCATTCTATAAGCTTATTTTTGGTTTCTAAGGACCCGAATACTCCTAAGAGCATGCATATTAGGACTAGGGACTTCATATTTTATGGGTCTAGCTGAAAAACTACATTGAAGTTTTTTTTTCGTCTGTGTTTGTCAGATTTGCTATATTTTACACCTGTTTTTGCACTATCAGAAAATCACATGAAAATTTTTAGATGTGAAGTTTTCCCATACTTTTTTTTAAATATTTATTTTTTTATTTTATATATATCTTTTTGTGTCTGATTTTATTTTATAGATAGCTGTTCGTGATTGTATTTTATGTGCTTGCTATTATAGTTTTTTATTGCCCAATATACTCTTGATTTCGACTTTTATCTTTTTCAGAGTGTAGGTTTTTTAAACTAGATTGATGATGAAAATTATATCATATGTATTACACTATTATGCATTCATTTGAGATGTCTTATTTATAAATAAGAGAGTATTGTTATATATATAATGTCAGTGCATATATTTTTCCTATAGTTTTTCCACTAATTTTGAGCAAAAATACACGTGACTTTTTCAACCATCGCTTTGAAGTTACTTACATTTTCACCATGATGCTTTTTAATACTAAAGTTTTTTGGGTTTTTTAGTCGTTTTTACCTATAAACCGAGGAAAAAACTCCAATGTAGTTTTTCAGCCTCACCCATATTTTATTGTCCATATTTTGGCGACATTAAACATATTTCGAGACTAGTGCTTATAATAAATATTTGTGGAGCATTTAAGATTCACCATGCCAAACATAATTTTCAGTTAGAATTTTAATAGGTAATTAAGTTCAACAGTAATACAAAACCTTGACCTATGCTTGATGAAGCACAAAGAAATCAAGAATAAATAGCATTTTCAATTAGCATAATATCGCTTTTTACGAATGATGCTGAATTTTCAATTAATTTAAAGTTTTAGTTAACAAGTTTTGATTTTTTATTCAAAAGTTTAAAGTCCTTTGAAAATGCTTTTGCAGTTTTATTGATTTTGTTTATAAGTTTGTCAACATCAGATTCACATCTCATCGATACTTCCCGTTTCACATATTTTGCACTCGGTCTTACCAAATGAAGCCAGCCTTTTAATAATTTTTTAATTAACCCTTTCATTTTTTTCAACCGCATAATTCGAATATTTTCTCTTAATTTTACTTGCGCATTGCTTTTATACGATTTTAAATTAAATTTAAAATATTTTTTTTTATTTCTTTAATTATGTGAGCTTATTTAAAAAAGCATGTTTTTTAATGCAAATAGTGTTTTTCTTTTTAAAGAGTCCTTTAAAAAGTTTTCAGATTTCTTAAACATCTCCTGTTTTTGCATATTATATAGAGTAAACCCTTTAAGAGCTTTAAGTTTCAAATTCCTAGTTTTATAAAAAAGAAATAAAATGGTGAAGTTGATGAAATTAGTCTCCAAGGCGCACTCAATTGTAGCAGGTAGGAACATCCCTGATGTAACTGAAAATAGGGTCTCATTACCTTTTTGGAGTAGCCCTTCAGAATTGGGATGCTTTGCCGAAGAGGAAAATTTTGTTTTACCCCAGAAGGTTTTCCTCTCTCTGCCAAATGCTCTAGACAGGTTTTGCCTGCCACGTGGTCCTTCCTTTTCGGGATCAGCAGGGATTCTTCAGATGGTAGCTCTGCCCAAGGGAGCTAATCCCCTGGAAAAGTGGCTCAGGTTGGAATTCAAGATAGTTGCCTTCCATTTCCTCATTTGAACTCCGAAGTCTATGGTTGCTCTTTTGAAGCCGAGACGAGGCAAAGGCTAGCGGGCTGCCTGCTTAAGGCCAGATTGACTGTTTAATTTAATTTAATTGCTTTATAAAAATTAGCAACCTGCACCCTATGTGTATTCATCGCCAAACTATGTGCTCTTCACATAGAAATTATATTTTTCATTAAATTTCTACTATACTTTAAAACCGAGTTTTCTTCAAGCTGCTCCAAAGCAGCAATTTTTGCATTTTTCAAGTTTTTTAATATCAAAAACGCTTTTTCTGCCAATTTTAGCTTATATTTCGACTCAGCCCTTTCTTCTTTCCTCAGTCTTTTATAAAATATATCTTTCCAACTCGAAAATACCACGCATTTTCTTCTATCATTATAAAATTGCACAGCAGGGTCATCATCGTCATTAAGCAAATCTTCAATGGTCTGGCTAAGTTCTTCTCTTGACATAGAAAAATTCATATCACTCATTTCTCCGTCAAATTCCAGCCTAGAAACAATATCTTTGTGCTCTAATTCCTCTTCAATAAACTTATTTGAATTAGGGATTCCAAGCCTATCTTTTAATATATTTTCATGAGGAAACTTCGGTGATAAATAATCTGATTTTATTGATTCTAAATCAGCTGTTTGAAGCTGGAGTTTGTCTGCAGGCGATGCAAAATTCTGAGGAAATGAAGGGCTTGAATAGTCTTTTTCAAAATGGTGAGGATTTTCAGGGTATGATAATTTATTAGGCGGAGATAGGATACTGTCTGCTGATTCTTCATATATAAATGAAGGCTGAATAGCTACAGAATTTGATTTTAAAGCAACTTCTGAAGGTAAAATTTCTCTTGTATCGTATAACAACAGTTGAGTTCTATCAATAATTAGAGCTTTAAGCGCAATTGCTTGCTTGTGAAGAACTGAATATAAAGCTCTTAAATATTCATTATTGCACCCAAATACTGGGAAATGCATCAATGACCCTGGGCAATAGCTCAACTGTGAGAAAAAGAATAAATCAGAAGTAATTGCATCTATTGAGCCTTCGTGCTCATATCTTTGCAAAAAACACTGCAAATCAGGAGATCCACGATTGTGAAGATGAAGGATAATTTCACAATAAATTCATCGATAAATTTTACATACAATTTCTTCTTCGTATTCCTGTGTCATTTCATCGAAATTTTCTCTTATGTTTCTCATAAACTCAAGCAGCATATACGGTCTTATTTTCTTTTCATAATCTATGTTCCCTAGTTCAGGCATTTCTGGGTATTTATTGACTTCTCTATGATGAAAGCCCATTATTTCTTCACTAGATGGCAGTATGTCTGGAGGTAACCTTTCAGCACAAAATTCTATTAATTCGAGCTTGAGATTTAAAAAGCTTAGATTTTGATGCAATTTTATCATTATTTGTTCATTTTCATAAAAATAAATTAGTTAGATAAAAGTTTTATATGCCATAAGAGGACCACAGTAGCTGACTACCTTGACTTCAGGAAAGGTGACCTATGCTGGTTCATATACACCGCAATGCAAGCGGTATAAGGCCCAGCCAAATTCCACCTCTTGAATTTTCTTGTGAAACTCACCTAACCCAAGATCAACTCCCGAGGTTAGAGTCACCCTCTTTCAGATACCTGATAGTCCCGATAGATGAAGACTATGTGAGAGGCAAAATCTGTCTAGTCCAGGAAAGCTTTCAGGGGAGAAACAAAATTCCTCTTTTTCCCCAAACCTGAAGGCATATTTCAAAAGAGACAGAGGCTCTGTTTTCAGTTTCATCAGGATGGGTCTGACCTTTCCATAGGGAGTGCGCCTCGGAGACAATTTTCCGTCAACGTCACCATTTTATTTCTTATAAAAATAAGGAATCAGCTGCCTAGAAATTTCTTCAGCGTCTTTTATATCTCTTTTTGTAGCCTCATTTATAGTCTCACCATCAATTTCACAAATTCTGGGAAAATTTTGGATAATTAAAGGAATGATATTTGGGTGTCTTGCAAGAGGGTTTCCTTTAATGCTGAGGACCATAAGTTTATCTCTTTTAGAAATTTTTTCAAGCTCTTCAAAGTTTTCAATCAGATTATTCGCAAGATTTAGATGGGTTAGACATATAAATTGATCTATTCCTTCTAAAGTAATTAATTGATTATATGATAAATCAAGCTGAGAAACTGTATGAAATTTTGAATCGATTTTATCAATAGCCTCAATGTCTCTAAATGTCAGTTCTATTTTATTGCTTTCATTAAATCCTTTTACTAAAAAATCTGAAAGTTTTTTCGCCTCCATCTTCAATTTAAATTATATTTTGGCTCAGCTATTATTTATTGATAATATATATTGACAAAATCTTGAAAATAAGCATTAATTAGAAATTATTGAAAAATTTTGTATAATCTCAAAATTTAAAGTGGGCTTTTGTCGCCAGTTGGCTTAAAATGTGGATTTTCACCGGTTGATAAAGACTGCCTCAGAGGGCAATGATAAAACATTCGTTTTAAGCCCATTGGTGTTTGCATCGGCAGATTAAGGGTTTGGTTTACCAGGTTTTTGATTTCTGCAAAACTTGTTTTTGATAGTGGCTTCTTATCTAATTGGACTGACTCTTGCAGTTCCATAAATTTATGAATCCATTCTCCCAGCAGCTTATTTAAATTAATAACCTCAGATTGTTTCCTAGCCAGCTCTTTTTCACAATTATTTTTCAACTCAGAGAAAAACAGTTTCCATCTTTCTCTTTCGTTCTTTTGAGCTAGAAGGATTTTTTGCTCAAAATCATTTATCCCTATCTTTTCTAGAAAAAAATTCTATTATTGCATTTATTTGTTATTTTATATCAAAAATAGGGTGTATTCATTTCTTAAGGAGAATTTTAAATGTTCTTAATGAATAATAATTTTTGGTACATTGCAGCTTGATTTTTATTTAGTTCGTTGCTCTTTTTTAATTCAGTATTGTAAAGTCTTTGCATCTCTAAACTCGTTTCTAATGCTTTGCTTTTCATTGTCAAGTTCAGTGGTTCTTGTGATTCAGTTTCAATATATGAACAAATTGATAACTCAGAGCTTTTTTCACAATGCTCAGCAAATGTTTTTTTATTCCTTGGAGTCTGATATTTCTTTGACGGTCTTGGAGTAAAAGGTTTAAGTATCACCGGCTTTGGGACTAATAAATTTTCAGTATTAAAAGACATTTTACAAGGATTTGGCTCTCCGAGCTCTGATAGTTTGGCTATATGAAGAAATGAATCATGAAGATAATCAATCATTTCTTCAAGAGCCTTAATTTGTTCTTGCTGGTGTTTGCATAAATTCCTCTTTACTTCATACTTGTGTTTAATTAATTCTAATTTCCATTCCAAAGAATAAATTGATCTTGTCATGTTGGAGTTTATCATGCTTGCTTGGACAACTTGATTTTTCAACTGGAAAATAGCGAAATCTTTGCTGAGCTCTGCGTTTTCTTCAATAGCACTTTTTATAGTAATTGCCCGAGGATGGCGCTATCTTGAACCATCCTCGGGCAATTCAAAAATGGCCCCACACCGGGAATCGAACCCACGTGTGGGGCCATTTTTGGTGTGTGGCCAACATCGACTTACACGCACCAAAAATGGCCCCACACGTGGGTTCGATTCCCGGTGTGGGGCCATTATTGAATTGCCCGAGGATGGCGCAAGATAGCGCCATCCTCGGGCAATTCCTATATTTCAGAAGTATAGTGATTTTGGCTTAATAATTTTTCTTGGTCTATTGAGATATATTTTGTTATGGTTGTAATATTAATATCTCCAAGCGTCTCATCTGTGACGATGCTTGATGCATCTTTTACTAAGCTTGATTCTGAAATTTCATCAAATTCTATGCAAGTGCTTTCCTTCATATTTTTACTATTTTCAATAAAAGCTTTATATCTTTGGTCTAAGTCTTGCAAAGCATGGGCTAGCTTATTTATTTGTAAAGTTGCATGCTCATTTTGCTGCTTTAATAACCTACTTTCTTCAGCATCTTTATTTATTAGAAGCATACTTTTATGATAATGCTCATAATATTCATGAGCTTTTTGCTCTGCTTTAAGTTGTTTTTCTTTGGATTTTGCGAGCTTTTTTTCTAATTCACTGATTTTTTCGAAATATAGGCTATTTTCTTTTTTCAGCATATTTACTTTCTTTCTTACTCCCTAAATTTCAAACTGAGACAAATTTTAGCTTTTTATACTTAAAATAATGGTAATTTATATGTAAATAGCTTTGATACTCATTTAATATAGCCAAATCAAAATGTGCCTATAATTTGATTATTTAAAAATATTTAAAACAGCAGCAGAGCGTTTTTTAAATATAACAATTTGAATTGGTAAATTTTATAAATTAATTTATATATATATTTTCAAAACTAAAATCAATCCCCTAAAATTGAAACAGATTCCTTGGTTTTAATTTAAAGGGGGTATTAGCCTTTCCAACTCGCGTTCATAATTTTCATAGACTGTAGGAATTTTTTCACATCCCGGACTAGGGAAAAAATAATCATCAGAAGTTCTTTCTTGAGGCACAATAAATGAGGATTGCAAAGAGTCACCTTCATATATAGAAAACGGTATTTTCTTAACTGTTGGTCAAGCCTCAACCCCTATCAATACACAACTACCTAATATAGATAATAAGAAATACTAGAGATATTGCAGTATTTTCGCTCCTACGCTATTAAACGCAATTTATAGCATTTTTTACATATATTTAATACTTTATTTCATATCCCTACTATATATATAATTTTTATATGGTAAAATTGTTTATAATAAATAAAGGAGTAAAGAGGATATCGCTTAATTATCGCATTTAAGTATGAGTCCAATTGAATTCTGCATTAAAATGGATAGACACGAGTAAATCAATTTAAGCATAATTATGTATCATAGACACATACAATATTTAGTATCGATTTCACTAAATTAATGCATTCTAACAAATTCAGTTTACTAGATATATTTTATTTAAATTTAATACAGAAATATAGGCTAAATTTGCTAGCCATATAAAAATTCTTTATATAATAGGGATATGAAATAAAGCATGCAAAAAGCTATAAATCAAAGTTTTAATAGCGTAGGAGTGAAATAATGCAATATCTATTATATTTCTTATATAAAGAGTAGGCATTTAGGGGCGGGGAGGGTTTTATGCTTGCCAAACTGTGTCTTCAGTAGAAATTTGCAGATCTTCGAGACACACATTCACTTTTAAGTCTCCACCTGAATTAGGACGCTTATGCTTGGATTCTGGAGTTTCTTACTTACTTAGTTATCTGGTGTTTAAGGTGTCTAGTGCCGCAGCCCAAAAGGGCCTATGGCAAAACTGATGACGTAGGCGAGCCATCTTGCACAGGTCAGCCCCGTCCAAGCCTTCTATCAACTCCTGCTTCACCGGTCTTGCTGCACGTCTCACCCGGCGCGTTGCCGTCGCCCTTGTCGCTCGACTCAGCTCCTGCGCGTGTTCCGCCTAAAGGGTCATCCTCCCGTGGGGATGTGCTGAGAGGTAAAAGCCCGAAATCTTGAGTGGACTGAGGAGTGGTTCCTCTGGTTATTCCCAGAGTTAAACCGCTATTGCTGTCCAGAAGTCTTCGAGTGAAAACCTAACCCTATAAATAAAATTCCATGAGGGAGAGAAAATTAGCAGAGCTAATTTCTCTCGAACCGAATGCCATTTTATTTATATGGATTCTGGAGTTTCAATAGATTTGTAGCTCCTTATAGGAGCAGGTGATTGGCATACGCTTGATTTTGTATCAGTACAAGATGTGGTTGATTCTTTTTCTGCTCGGAGCATTTGGATCTCACTTCTGGCTGAGCTTAATTCAAGCTTTAATTGTTCAATTATTAAATTAATGCTGTCAGGTGAATTTTTGAAATTTATTGACACTTTATTTTGTATATTTTTTGCTCTCATTGCAAATTTTAGGGTGTTTAATGTTTCTTCTTGAGATCTAGGTGAAGGTGAGCAGGCTACTATCAGTGTAGTTTTATAGTTTCCACCTAATGATTCTTGAAGAAGCCTTGTTAATTTTGAATCTCGATAAGGAATATGGTCAGAATTAGAAATGAGAGCGTGGATCACATTTCCTAGCGCTGACAATGAGAGGTTTATTTTTTTTGCCTCTTCTAGTTTATTTCCAGTAACTCCTGATCTATTGACATTTTCGCTCCCAGCTAAATCAATTAGATTTAATTTTCCTTTTTTCTCGCTATCATTAGGCAACTTTTGGCTTACTTCAGTGATAAAAATTAAATGAGACCTAGACGATGTGCTATTTAATCTTGTAGAAGCTACAGTTCTCATTTGTTCCCCTAGTGCTAAGACCTCAAGCATGTCTTTTTCTGAAGTGATGCAGACTTCAGTCAGCCCATGGACATATATTCCTCTTCTAGGGCATTGTTTAATTTTAAGATTCACATGTTGGTGCTGTAACAAATCCCGTAAAGTTTCTTTATAAATTTCAAGCATTGAGCATTTTAATGTATCTAGTACTTTATTTATTTTACCTCAGAACTATTAAAATATCCTATAAATTCATAAATAAAAAAGGCATTATTATAAATATTCCAGTATTAAATTAATACTAGCAACAGAATATAAAATGGTAAGTTGGGGCGGTTAACATCCTGGCCTTCAAATTCAGTGAAGAGGGTAGGACTCTTTGAGAGTTTCAGAAGCAAGAGAATTGATCCTATTGTGTCTGATGAGGATTAGAGAGGTTCGGAAGGACTTTGACTCAGAAACGGTTTGACGGTTAGGCTGATTCCTCCTACCGTTTTTCAGAACTGTTGTCAGAGTGTGGAATCCGAAGAGATGAACCTACTGGATGAAGACGGAAGTCGAAGAGATTTAATTAAATATAAACATAAAATACTAGTAAATATATACTCAACCTCTCCATAATCAGAATTAACTGTCTCAAAAATTTGAGATGCTGCTCTCGGGATAACACCTCTAAACTCTTCGTCAAAAATATCTTTGCCCATCATTGTATGTGTCTTCCCTGACCCTGTTTGTCCATATGCAAAAATTGTGCCGTTGTAGCCACTTAGTACATCTTCAATTGTGGGCTTGCCAAGCAGCTCATAAACTTCACTTTGGGTTGATTGAGGAGTGAATATATGGTCAAGCGTGAAAGATTCTGTGTCTTTGCCTAGGCCGATTGAAACGGTTTGGTCGGAAATAAATGTTATTAAATTTTTGTTTTCAGATAGACTCTGAATATTACTTACCATTTCAAAATCAATTAATGGTCTGAACCTTCCAATCACCTTAATACTTGTGCTACGAGCTGTGTTTTGACTTGTAGTCAAATCTGAAGTTTGGCTAAGCGAGGTACGAATTGTTAAATTTTTTAAGTTCCTTGACATTTAAGTTTATATAATAGGGTAAGATTAATTCTGTCATATGAATAAGGCTCGAAAAAGATTAATATATAATTTTGTAAAAGAGTTTTAAGGATTTGCAAATAGTGCCATATATTGTTTGCAGATAAAATAAAATTGATCTAACTCCCCCTCTTCCGTGAGCAAACAAAACCATTGGAAAAATCGCTATATATTTTGCCCAAAAACCCACCCTACGTGAGCGAATAAAAAATTTTTTATGAAAAAATAATTTACTATAAAATTTATATATAAAATTTTTAAAAAATAAATTAACCCCTCCATAAGCTAACAAAATTTTTTGTTGACTCACGGGAGTGGGGAGTAAGAGGTAATAGCTTTTTTTATTTTAAAGTGGCTGATTAAATTCTATTCAAATTAATTTAATATAATATAAAAACTTTGTTATTTACTTTAAAAGAAAAAACTTAAGCGATGAGTTTATTAAGAAATTTTAATGTCCAATTGATTATTTTAATTAGAGACTATCATGTGTGCAATAAAATATAAATCTTAAATAATTATTTGATATAAGCTTGATAAATTAATTAAAGCATAGCTAATTGGTGAAATAAACAAGTTTTCATAATATAAAATGCTGATAAGTCAGAAAATTCAAAAACATTTAAATTTGCAGCAGGAGAACAAATATCATTATTTTTCCTCAGCCTTTTATTTCAAAAAATATTGCAAAAATTGCATAATTTATAATCTATTTCTAAGCATTTTAGTCAAAAATATATAGAATTACTCTCACTCAGTTAACTATCGAAAACATATACTTTAATAATAATGGAAGAAGAGAAAATTCATTTTAGTTTTTGGAAAAGAATCGAGAGCTCTAAAGGCATTTTTAAGCCAGGTGAACTTCTGGATCCTGAATCAGTTATTCTTAACAATCGTTTATTTATAACCGGAAGAGATTCAGAAAATAACCCAGTTGATTTAAGAGAATATGCCAGTCGAAACCGGAACGCTGTATTTGTCCCGTGCCCTGACGAAACAAAGTGGATCGATCCAGAGGTCCATGGGCCCGACACAGTGGATAAATAGGTGGCAGCTCTGGAAACAGCTACCCCGTAGTGGACGTTAAACGTAATAAAAAATATGAGATAAGATTTAAGAGAATATGACTTTGGTACAATCTAATTAGAAAATGACACATGAGACGTTCATTCAGTCCAAGGCTTCCATCCCTGCACTGATGGCAATTCTACTATTTATTTGCTAATAATCCCTGACAACTCCGACTACAGATACCAAGTTATTGAATATTCTTTAGAAACCCTGACTGGCACTCTGATCGATACAACAGGTATCGCTCCAAAGAAAAGAAAACCTACAGTAAGTTCTTTATATTTTCAAGGCTGTATTTATTTTTTTGGCGGAATGCAAATATATCGAGGAGATGCGACAGGGAGTTTTGTATATCGCTTAGACTTAGAAACAAAAGAATGAAGCAATGTAGAATATTCAGGCCAATTCCCTGCTACAGTCCCTCATGCGCCACATACAGGTTGTAGATCAGGACACAGCACTGTACTTGTAGGACACAAAGCATATATTTTTGGAGGGACTATGATAGAAGATTCTTTATTAAATGCTGAATGCTTGACTAGCTCAATTTTTGACAATTTGTAAGATATATACAGCAATACCAATGATTTGCATGAATTTGATATTTTGCAGTCGAGATGGAGCAAGATTGCGTATAAGCCGATAGCCTGCATGATACCAACTATGACACAGCATGCAGCTGCAGCAAATCAACAATTTATGTATATGCTAAATAAGAAAGAATATTTCAATAATAGCCAATTCATAGTATATTTAATTTATATGAGAGGTATTAACACTCAAGAGATTATTTATTATGAAGAAAAAATCTATCGATATGAATTTCAAACACAAAATTGTTATAAATTGAAAAAAAGCTTAAAAGCTCCAAAATGCAAAGGCCAATGCACAATGCAATTAATTAATAATTACTTGTATTTGTTTGGGAATACTAATGAAGGAGCAATGCTTTATAGGTTGAATTTAGGAAAAGGCTGGGTTTGGGTGCCTGGAGACACGATGCCAGACTATTCAGTAAGCTTTATTTAGAATTTCTTTAATCATCAGCCTACTTCAGACTTATTAGTAAAAGTTGGTGATCAAAAAATTTATGCCCATAAACAAGTTATGTGTAGGTTTTCAAGCTTGCTAACTCCCCCCCCCTCCGTGAGTGAACAAAACCATTAGAAAAATTGCTATTTTTTGCCCAAAAAAACCCACCCTCCGTGAGTGAACAAAAATTTTTTAAAAGACAAATTTTTTATGGAAAACAAATTTGATATATAAGTGATAATTAGTATAATGAAATCTAGAGCTAATTCTGCTTAATTTTAAACAAATTGCTTTTTTAAAACATAAATTTTATAAATTAAATTAATATTTGCTTTCCAATTTTTGCAAATTAGGATTTTTTTAAAATTCGAAAAATAAATTTTCTATAAAATTTATATATAAATTTTTTTAACAAAAAAAATTAACCCTCCTCCATGAGTGAACAAAAAAATTTTGTTCACTCACGGAGGGGGGGAGTAAGAAGACAACTGACTCCTGGGATTCGGACAATTTCTATTAGTGAATTTCCTTTTATAGTAATTAACATGCTTGTGGAGCAACTATACCAAGATTGCCAATTAGAACTGCCTAGAGAATTATCACATTTTTTGCAACTTTACAGAGCAGCACATTGGTTAGGCGTTGAAGAAATCGTGATGAGGTGCCAAAGTGCGTTAAATGTAAGTCCAGCTAACTTAAGAGCTGTTATTGATTTAGTTGGTGACATCCCTTCAGCAAGACAAAAGTGTTTGGATTATGTAAAAACACATTTAAAGGAATCTGCTATGCTCCTTGCTCCTGAGCAACTTTCTGAATTGCTGCAGAATTTATAAGAATGATCTTATCATAGTATTTGAATTAAACAAATTTAGTTTTATAATTTATATGAGAGGTATTAACACTCAAAAGATTATTTATTATGAAGAAAAAATCTATCGATATGAATTTCAAACACAAAATTGTTATAAATTGAAAAAAAGCTTAAAAGCTCCAAAATGCAAAGGCCAATGCACAATGCAATTAATTAATAATTACTTGTATTTGTTTGGGAATACTAATGAAGGAGCAATGCTTTATAGGTTGAATTTAGGAAAAGGCTGGGTTTGGGTGCCTGGAGACACGATGCCAGACTATTCAGTAAGCTTTATTTAGAATTTCTTTAATCATCAGCCTACTTCAGACTTATTAGTAAAAGTTGGTGATCAAAAAATTTATGCCCATAAACAAGTTATGTGTAGGTTTTCAAGCTTGCTAAGAAGACAACTGACTCCTGGGATTCGGACAATTTCTATTAGTGAATTTCCTTTTATAGTAATTAACATGCTTGTGGAGCAACTATACCAAGATTGCCAATTAGAACTGCCTAGAGAATTATCACATTTTTTGCAACTTTACAGAGCAGCACATTGGTTAGGCGTTGAAGAAATCGTGATGAGGTGCCAAAGTGCGTTAAATGTAAGTCCAGCTAACTTAAGAGCTGTTATTGATTTAGTTGGTGACATCCATTCAGCAAGACAAAAGTGTTTGGATTATGTAAAAACACATTTAAAGGAATCTGCTATGCTCCTTGCTCCTGACTCCCTGGTACCTGGCTGGCTCTACATAATGTGAGGAAAAAACATATAAAAACAAAAAAATGGTTTACTTGTGCACTTACTCTGAATGCAAGAAGAGACTAAGCTCAAAATACAACCTTAAAAGGCATATAGAGTGTTGTCACAAGAAATTGAGGAGATTTGAATGCAATGTATGCTATAAAAAATTTTCATCTGCTCAAAATTTGAAGGAGCATATGTTTCTTCATGAAGAAGCTCAGCAAGCAAAACTTTCACTTCCTGAGAATTACGTCCCAGAACGTGATATTTGTATCCCTAAACTCACAGATCTGGTCTTTTATTCTATTGATCCAGAAATCCGTCCATTGATAAAAGTGATTCGCTTCTATCCATATTCCCCAGTGACGGTAACTAAAATATAACAATTTTAATTTAAAATTATTCATAAATAATAAATTATGTTAGCTTCTTTATTGTTTCAATTTTTTAATTCTTTTCGGTTCCATGATTAAAGGAACAAATGAAATAACGGATAGCTGTAATTATTCAATAGAAAAGAGAGTAAAAATTCAGTAAAATTTTCTTGAAAAGATAATTTGCTATATAAATCTTATTTTAAGGATATAAATGAATTCATTTGAAGCTTCATGCTTTTTCAATAAATAATAAAAATAATTTAGATTTAATTTTATGCTCAATAGCATACACAATCTTAAATTGCTTTATTATTTTAGCTGGTATCATTTTTATGAAATTTTAATTAATAAATTACTCTAATTAATCTTTTACTTATTAAAATTATAAATCTATATTAATATTGATTATGCATTTTCTTATTTATAGTTTTTAAGATAACTTTATTTGCTAATATTATGATTTTCAGAAAAATAAAATCTTTATTAGATCGGAAAGTTATATTTTTATTACTTATAACCTTTTAATTTATGTTTATTTAGATGCTTTCTTAATTAAAAATTCTTATTTATTTTTATTCAATTGTCATCATTGTTTATCAGCAGATCTAGAATTCCTGCAAATACATTTGGACTCAAAATCACAGCATCAATAAACTTTAGGCTTTTTTATGTTTATATAATAATGCAAAGTTATCATAATGGCTCACGCAATACAGTACTCATAACTTAGGCAGCCTCAAGAGCTCTTACTTGAAAATGAGCAACTAAAAGCCAAACTTCTTGAAGCCACTACAATAATTGATGCTTTAAGAAAAGAAAATGCAGCATTAACGAAAAGATTAAACTCCTTTTTGAATACCCAAGTAATTCAAGGAGACTCTACTTTTGTAACTAACAGTGGAGACTTAGCAGCTCAATGTGACAATTGTGGACAAGAAATCCCTAGACAAAATATACAAATTCATACAGCGCAATGCATAAGAAGAATCAAAAGGTGCCAAGCATGCAATAAAGCAATAAATATATCCACTATACCACTAAACAGGCATCTGATATACATTATAAATATCTATTCCTCCTTATTCATATATAAAAGAAGTTATATTATGCCAAATTCTGTTTACATAATCCATCATACATTTTTTTAATTGAATAATAAATTTTCTTACAAAAAATACCAAAATTTATAATAAAATACAATATCAGAAATTGATGCCCATATGAAAGAACAGATCGGAGAGTTCAAAGATATTATAGCAGACATCGAAAGTAACAATATTGAAAGTCTAAGCCAAAGGGAAGCCCATGGTGCAAAATTTGATATTAAAGACGATAATCAAAATTCTCTATTGCATGTTGCTTCTAGGTGTGGGAATCGAGAAATTGCTCATTTTCTAATTAGCAGAGGTGCTGGCGTAAACTCACAGAATATTTTTGGAGAAACTCCACTGCATTTAGTGTGCGGGAAAAATAAAGATATTGGCATGGTACAATTTTTGCTAACTCAAGGGGCTGATTCAGGAATAGTTAACACTATAGGCGAATCCCCACAATCTATAGCTCAGCGGAGTGGATTTCATGAAGCATCAATTTGTTTTTCTCAGCATACGCATGCACCGATTCGGCCGAGGACTTCAGCAGGTGGGATCCGAGCAAAAACACATAGTTCTTCTAGAAGGGGTTCAGGACCATCTAATAACCCGCCTTTTAATTTATTGCTAAATCATATAAACTGCCCTATAAAGGCAAGAAATTGGAGCTGGAAAATCTCCAGTGGTTGGACGTTCTTAGGTTAGTCAAACTGGAGAGTTGACAAATGAGCCTTTCTCTTGTTGTTTTGGCTAACCTGAGTTGATTCAGCCACTGAAGAGTTTTCAACTCCAATGTCCCTACCCTCATAGGGGCAGTTTCTAAGACTAACATATATAAGAATAAGCTTAAGTTTACCTCAATAAATAAATCTAATGACATTTATTTGCATAAAAAATGATGCATTGATCTCTAAAGCATTATACTCTTTATGCATAAGGCTATATAAAAGTTATGCATAATCCTAACTCGCTCATCATTAAATCAGGGCAAACTTGTATTTTAAAATTTTATAGAAATTATTTTTCGTGAAAATAGATAGACCTTTTCTTATTATTTATTGGGAGAGTAGTAATTGAAAAACTATCATTCAGATTCCATCAAATGGAGATAGAGAAACTGACAAAATAAATGGCAGCAACTAATTTCATTGAAAGATTCAAGAATAAAGTCTCAACGATCGGTAAATCTGGGGAAATCGAATTTGATTCATCAAGGCCTGCTCTTAAAGCAAATAGTGCCCAATTCCACAAATCAATAATGCAGCTATCCGCATCAAATATCATAAGAAACAATCTTCAATCACCGAAGGTAAAAACTTTTGTATCATCTAGGCCTGTAAAATTGACTGCAAAAGATGATAGTCCAACATCTCCTAAATCACATGCTGGGACTTTTCAAAACTATAAGCCAGACACTATTAGTGAAGCAACGACAAATACCCCGAAACCTACCTTAAAAGAGCAAAAAATAAAAAGAAAGTCAAGCCACTCAGCAGCCCCACTGAGAAATAAACAATCAAACGAAGCCCCTAAGTCTAGTGATGGTGCAACTCAATCTTTTGAAACGAGATATGTAAAAAAACAGCAAACTATTGATTTTTCGCCTTATACACTTAATGATTACCACATGATAAAAAGTGATGAATATTACGAATTAGGAGGACTTGGCTGCGCAACTGTAGGGACTGAAGAGTGGACTAAAAGAAAAGAAATGCAAGACAGAAGAAAAGACTATGCAAGGCAAGTTAAGTATACGAACGCTGCGAATTTGCCTCCATCTGGAGCAAGAAAATCACTTAAATCAATAGAAAAAGAGCCCAGCAAGATGCAGAAAGCAAATGAATTTGCGAAAAATATTCCGAAGCCAAAATTAAGAAGTCCACCAATGGATGTAAAGAGTACTCCATTGGAAGTAAAAGAAAGCTCTAGCGAAAAAACCTTTGGTCAATTAGAGTATCATCTTGATAAGCATGATAATTATAGGGCTCTTATTGATGAAATCAAGGCAGATCTTGATTAAAGTTTTATGTTTCTAATAATTTAAAGCAATACAATTTAAAAAATAGGTGGGTTCATCTTTATAAGTATTATTTTTATTCTTCGTTGTCAAAAGAAATCCATGCATTGCATCATATTTAAGTATTAATATTGTACAAATTTTCAGTTTTGAGAAGAAATTATTTAAGGATAGAGACTGCTAGGAATCTAGGAGGGTTAGAGACGAAGGAAATTTAAGTGTCAAAAGTAATAGGTTAGATTTTATTAATTATTTCTGTTTCAAAGATCATTAATGAAAGTTAAGATGAAGATTTGTATATGAAAAAGAAAAATTAAAGACCATTTGCTAGATAATGATTGATGATAAAATTATGATGAAGGGCTATCTTTTATAAATAACTTACTGACTGAAATATAATTAAGCGAGATTACTATTTTATGTGTGCTTACAACACTTTACTAATTTCTACTTTCATATGTATGTTTTAAATTTACTAAATGTTTATAATGAAGTCTTCAGCTGAATCAATTAAATTAAAATTTTTCAATTATAAACACTATATAAAAGTTAAATGCCTCTTCAAAATATCAAAAAAATCTACATGCCATTTGAAGGAAGTAATAAAATTATCTTTAAACTAGCAAAATTTCTCTTTTATCAACTACTAAAAGAAATAAGCGACTCATTAATGAATTTATTCACAAATCCTATACTTTAGCAATTCATTTGAATTTCCTTTTCTGCTCTATCTTTCCTAAAATATTTTCTGATAAATTTCGGAAAATTTATCTGAAAATGATATAATGTATTGGTAATATTTTTATTTTGCTTATTTATGGTAAATTGATTTTAAAATTTTCAAAAAAATTTTACATGTCATTATATATAAAACTGAGTCTATGGTATGCTAAAATATTTTTGACATTTTAAAATTAATTTACCAAAATAAGCAAAATGAAATTTAGTCTAGGGATTATAATTCTTAGGAATCTCTTTTCTTTTATATCTTGCAGCTTCTATTATCGAAGTAAAGCTAAATATCATATATATTTACACATATTACCCAACTTTCATATAATTCTATAAGAAATGCTTATCTTCAACACTTGGCTACCAAGCCTACACCTTTCCTCAACCTAAAATAAATAATCCCCTATCACACTCTTTTCCTTCAATAATCAATTAAATCACCTTAGCACCCAATAAATAACCCATAAATATGATGAATTCTTGGTCTCTATAATATTTTAATATGGCAGCCAAGCCTGAGGATGAGAAAGCGACAGCTATTCTTAACAGAAAAAAAGGTCCAAACCGTCTTATAGTAGATGAAGCTACCAACGACGACAACTCGATCGCAGTGATGTCTCAAGCAAAAATGAATGAGCTCAACATAATGCGTGGAGATACAGTGATGATCAAAGGCAAAAGGCGTAAGGACACCGTTCTCATAGCTCTTGTTGATCCCGAATTAGAGGATGGCAAAATTCGGCTGAACAAGGTGGTAAGGAACAACCTTAAAGTCAGACTTGGAGACTTGGTAAGTGTCCATACCCCGGGAGATATCCCATATGGCAAAAGAGTCCATATTTTGCCAATTGATGATACAATTGAAGGGATCACTGGGAATCTTTTCGAAATCTATTGCATAATAAACTGATTGAATATGTATTTTAAACAATATTCCAATAATTTATAATAATATAAAATAGCATATCTTAAGCCTTATTTCAAAGAAGCTTATAGGCCAGTCAGGAAAGGCGACTTATTCCTTGTAAGAGGAGGATTCAGACCAGTCGAATTCAAAGTCTGTGAAACTGACCCAGGAGAGTGCATCATTGTAGCGCCTGATACTGTTATCCACTGTGAAGGAGAGCCTGTTAAAAGAGCTGACGAAGAAAGAGCTGACGATATTGGCTATGATGATATTGGAGGATGCAGACGTCAATTAGCACAAATCAGAGAAATGATTGAGCTTCCACTCAGACATCCGCAATTATTCAAAACACTAGGAGTTAAACCACCTAAAGGAGTTTTGCTGTATGGTCCTCCAGGGTCTGGGAAAACTCTGATTGCAAGAGCTGTTGCGAATGAGACTGGAGCATTTTTCTTCTTAATCAATGGGCCTGAAGTCATGAGCAAGATGGCAGGAGAGGCTGAAGCCAATTTAAGAAGAGCTTTTGAGGAAGCTGAAAAGAATTCCCCAGCTATTATTCTTGTTTAATATAAAAAGAAACTTGGCACTGGCTTCGCCAGTGCTTTTTTATATACAAGTTATAATAATTTTAGTCAATATTATCATCAATTTATTCAAAAAAAGTCTATTTTTATTGATGAAATTGACAGTATCGCTCCAAAAAGAGAAAAAACAGGCGGAGAAGTCGAAAGAAGAGTTGTCTCACAACTGCTCACCCTCATGGACGGAGTCAAAGGAAGAGGCCAAATCGTCGTCATCGGTGCTACCAACAGGCCAAACAGCATCGACCCTGCTCTCAGAAGATTCGGCAGATTTGACAGAGAAATCGACATTGGAGTCCCAGATGAAGTCGGCAGGATTGAAATTTTACGCATCCACACCAAAAATATGAAACTCAGCGAAGACGTCGAAATAGGAGAGCTCGCTAAAGGAACCCACGGCTTTGTTGGTGCTGATCTTGCCCAGCTCTGCTCAGAAGCTGCTATGAACTGCATCAGAGAAAAAATGGATATCATTGACCTTGAAGAAGACACCATAGATGCCGAAATCTTAGACGCTATGGCAGTAAACCAAGACCACTTCAAAAGTGCATTAGGCGTCGTCAACCCATCCTCACTCAGAGAAACCGTTGTAGAAGTACCAAATGTGACTTGGAATGACATCGGAGGCCTTGACGAAGTCAAAAGAGACTTACAAGAAATGATTTTATACCCAATCGACCACCCTGATAAATTTGAAAAATTCGGAATGAAGCCTGGAAAAGGAGTCTTGTTCTACGGTCCTCCAGGATGTGGCAAAACTTTGATGGCCAAAGCAATTGCTAATGAGTGCTCAGCTAACTTTATCTCTATTAAAGGCCCTGAATTATTAACTATGTGGTTTGGAGAAAGTGAAGCCAATGTAAGAGACGTTTTTGATAAGGCTAGATCAGCCGCCCCTTGTGTCCTTTTCTTTGATGAGCTTGATTCTATAGGCTCTGCTAGAGGTTCAAGCCAAGGAGATGCAGGCGGTGCTGGAGACAGAGTCATGAACCAACTTTTGACTGAGATGGACGGTGTAGGAACTAAGAAAAACCTTTTCATCATTGGAGCTACCAACAGACCTGAAATTTTAGACGAGGCCTTGCTGAGACCTGGAAGACTTGATCAGCTTATTTATATCCCACTCCCTGATAAGCCAAGCAGAATTAGCGTTTTACAGTCATTAGTTAGAAAATCCCCAGTCGCGAAGAACGTTTATTTAGATTTTATTGCAGATTTGACAGAAGGATTCAGTGGAGCAGATTTAGCAGAACTTGTACAAAGAGCTGCTAAATCAGCAGTAAGAGAAGCTATAGAAGCCGATGCTCAAAGAAAAGCACTACAAGTAGAACAAGGAGATGAAAATATGGAAATTACTGATGACCCAGTACCAGAAATCACGAGAAGACACTTCGAAGAAGCCCTGTCAACGGCCAGAAGATCAGTAACCAATGTCGATTTGAATAAATATGACCAGTTTAGAAGGAAGTTCGACCCTGTCTATGCTGCCAGACAAGGCGGCCAAGTTTCAAGCGCCCCAGTTTTCAGATGGCCTGAGAGGGCTGACCAAATCCAGCAAGTGGCTGCAGAGGAAGAAGACCTTTATAGTTAAACCAACCATTTCTAGAATATTTGCATTTTTAATAAAGCCTTAAGTAATGGAATTATAAAAGTGAAAATTCTATTATTTTTTGATGAATGAATCATTTCTACGCCAAACTAGATATTTAATCCTCATGAGTGAAATAAAAAAATTTAATTTTTATAAAAAATCCTTATTTTAAGATTGAGCGAACCATTTGGAAAAAATCTATTTTTCTGAAAATTAGCCTCTTTAAAACTTTTTGGCCTTCAAAAGGAATAAAATTAATATGAAAAGAGTTAGTAACCTTCAAACCTCATATTTCAAAGCATAGCGTTGGACTATTTGATGAGACTTTGGTAAAGCCTGGAGCACCAATTTCAATATATCGTTTGGTTTTTACTTTTGAGGTGAAATATCAGCATGATCGAGATCACAACTTTGATTGATTTATAAGGCGAACTTTTTGTGAGTTCCAAGAGCTTCATCAAAACCTGCTGAAAGAAATATCTAGAGGAAACATGCTGACAGTGCCTCTGTTTCCGGACGGTGAACAATTTTTATCATCAACTCCAGATATACAGCTTGAATATTTAGAGAACTATTTACTTGCATTAACAGGTCAAATTGATGCATGCAATAATCCTGAATTTTGAAGCTTCTTACTCCTAAATTAATTGTAACCAAATAAAAAATAATTTAAATATTTTAAAAAATGTGAAATCACATAATGAAATTTCAATATAAAATTATATTTTTTAAGAATACAAAAATGATTTTTTTAATTAAGGAAGTTAGAAGTCAGCGCACTCTCATTTGATGGGGCAAGCAAAAAGCGTAAAGAAGGCTACGTCCTTAAAAGAACAGGAGGAAGAATTAGTAACGAAAGAAGGTGCTTTAACTGTTCTAAGCATTTTAAAAGACTTCAAAAGCGCTGAATGATTATCAGAGATAATATGGTTGGGTATTTATCAACTCATATAAGAGATACACTTCATGAGGTGCTTATGTTCAAAGGGAGATTTGAAGTAGAATATGGGCTAAAAGAAACAGGATATGAAGATGGCATTAGAATTATTACGCTTAGAAGAGATTTTATATTCAGAGCTGGGAGCATTTTAAAAAGAAATGAATGAGTAGAGTCTATTCAAGAAGCTTATAATCAGTCAGAATGGCACAATGAAATCATCAGATATGAGTCTTCTTTTCCAGTGAGGAATAATATAATTTATTTTATTGTATTTATTATAAATTGATACAAATTTACTTGTTTTTTATAAATAATAGGACAAAATCATATATTATAAGATTTTATAGATATCTATATAAGATAATTATGTTAAATGATATATTGACGCAAGATTTTATTTCAATGAAGTCTACGAAACTTTAAAACGTGCCCAACGTGAAGTTTTCATATCAGACTGATGGCTAAGCCCTGAACTTTACTTAAAAAGGCCTTCCAAAAAGTTTGATTATTCCCAAGTATGTGAAATCTTAGGAGCTTTGGCAGATAGAGGTGTAACCGTTTATGTTCACGTCTATAAAGAAGTATCTTTAGCGTTAACCATAAACTCTTTACACACAAAAAACACTCTTCAGCGGAGAAACCCAAACATAAGAGTTGTTAGACACCCACACCGATCTGCAGTCGGTGGAGAATTCCTTTGAACTCATCATGAAAAAATAGTCTGTATTGACCAAGAAATTGCATTTATAGGAGGGCTTGATTTATGCTATGGTAGAATGGACACAAATGAGCACCTTTTAACTGATTTGCAAGAGCCTTATTTTTGGAATGGCATTGACTATTCTAATGTCAGAATCGCTGACTTCTCAGAAGTGGCAAATCATGAAAGAGATATTATTGATAGAAATACGCACCCAAGGATGCCTTGACATGATGTCGCTTTAAAAGTTGTAGGAAAAGCGGCTGCAGATATAGATTAAGATTTTGCACGGCTATAAATAAGGCACCGACTAGCCGAACTACATTGACTCCAGGAAAGGTGGCCTACGCTTGGTGAGTATGCACCAGAGTGCACATGATATAAAGTTTCAACCAAAATTCGACCTCATGAATTTTCTTGCGAAATTACCTTAGCTTAGGATCAGCTCCCTAGGTTAAATCCACCCCCTGTAGGAGTCCGAAGTTCCGATAGAAGAAGACTATATGATATGCAAAATCTGTCTAGCCCATTTGGCAAAGACAGGAAAAAACCTTCAGATGGCCGACTTCAAAAAAGATAAAGAGGCTCTATTTCCAGCTTCATCAGAATTGATCCGGCCTGCCCCACAGGGAGTGCACCTCGGAGACTAATTTCCTTAAACGTCACCATTTTATTTTTTGCTACAGATATAGGAATGCATTTTATTGAGCTGTGAAACCATGTGATGACTGATATAACTGGAGCATATTATAAAAATAAAGACTTACTGCAGCCTAACTATTCTAATAACCGTAGAGGTGGGAAAAAAAGATCAGTTGTAGAAATGAGTAGGCCGATATCAGTAAACAGCTCATTATCATTTCTTAAAGAAGAAGCCAAAGAAGAGCCACAGAGTATAAGTGAAAGCTTGGAAAGTTCTTGCCCAGCGATGCAGAGAAGCAAATCCCATGGATTTCCTGAAAATTTGTTTCAAGAACAGATAAGAGAAAGAGGGACTTTATCATTGTCAGGGCCATCAAGAAGGATTAATGTTGCTGAACTTGATAAGAAAATTGAGGAAGAAAACAATCAGTCTATTGATACAGCAATTCATATAGATAGGACTCCATTGGATTCTAACACAAAAAAAGCTGTCAATAATTTATTCTTTGGGATTAGAAATAGAGCTACTTGACTTAGAAAAATAATAGTTTTTATGCTAATTAGAATATTATTGCCAGATTAGGTAGCATAAATTCAATTTAAAATAGGATAATTTCAAAAGGAGGAGGAATAATTGAAGAAAGCACTGACAGGAAAATGAGTGTCGTAGGTGACCAACTTACAGTTGTAAGTCCGCTCAGAAAAAACACACAAAGTATAGTCCTTAGCCCGATAACTGACCATCAAAGACAAATCCGAGAAAAATTAGAAGCAGAAGATGAGGCCAAGCTACAGAAAGAACTCGAAGCTGACCAAGAAGAAGGCGACGAAGCATTTTCAAAAAATCTGCTCCACCCAAAAATGAAAGAGCTCGGACAAACAGGTACATGTGAATGCCAGGTATTAAGAAGTGCAGGCTTATGATCCTTAGGCCTTGAGCACACTGAGCATTCAATCCACACCGCATATCTAAATTTAATCGACCAAGCTGACCATTTTATTTACATTGAAAACCAGTTTTTCATATCCAGCACTGCTGGAAACCCAGTGAAAAATCAAATTTCTCAAGCCTTGGTTGAAAGAATTAAATGCGCAGCTAAAAGAAAAGAAAAATTCAAAGTAATTGTAGTCTGTCCTTTATTGCCAGGCTTTGAAGGCTCCATAAATGACCCTGGAGCAGCTGTATTGCGTGTTCAGCTCCATTGGGAGTATCAAACGATATGCCGAGGTATAAATTCTTTATATGAGCAGCTAAAAAGTGACGAAAATATTTATGATCCTTTAGAGTATATACGATTTTATGGGCTCAGAACTCATGATATGCTCAACGATACCCCAGTCACTGAAATCGTATATGTCCATAGTAAACTTATGATTATTGACGACGATATTGTATTAATGGGCTCTGCTAACATTAATGACAGAAGCCTATTAGGGTCAAATGATAGTGAAATTGCTATGATAATTTCAGACCAAAAAAAGAAACAAAGTATAATGAATGGTCAGCCAAAAAATAAATCGTGTTTTGCTTATACGCTGAGGATTTCGCTATTTAAAGAAATCTTACTCCCCCCCCTCCATGAGTGATCAAAAACCATTAGAAAAATCCCTATTTTTTGCCCCAAAAACCCACCCTCCGTGAGTGAACAAAAATGTTTTTAATACAAAAATGTTTTATGGAAAAAAAAATTGATATATAAATGATAATTATTATAATGAAATCTAGAGCTAATTCTGTTTATTTTTAAACGAATTGCTTTTTAAAACATAAATTTTGCAAATTGAATTAATATTTGCTTTCCAATTTTTGCGAATTAGGATTTTTTTTAAATTTCGAAAAAAAAAATATTTTTTTATAAAATTTATATATAAATTTTTTTAAAAAAAAAAAAATTAACCCCCCTCCGTGAGTGAACAAAATTTTTTTGTTCACTCACGGGGGGGGGGGGGAGATAGGAATTGATGATGAAGCGATAATAGAGGACCCGCTGAGTGAGGCGTTTGATGAATTAATGTGATCGACCGCGTCAAGCAATACTGCATTGTATAAACATATATTTAGATGTTATCCGGATAATGAAATTTTGAGAATTAGTGATATTGTGGGTTTTGAGTCTCAGGCTCAGATGAATGATTATGTGGTATTGAGGGAAAATTTCAAAGGGTTTATAGTAGATTTCCCAATGGATTTCTTGAGGGATGAAGATTTGAGGATTTCGATTTTTCATAAGGAATATTATATCCCTGATGTCAATTTTGTATAAAAAGAAATGGCATCAATATGATTTTGTAGCAAATAAAGTAAATTCGTTATTCCAATATAAAATTGCTCAGGCTTGTATAATATAGCTTCTTAAAATTTTATTATTGTCCACTATTTATGTATAGTATATATCAAATTTATGCATTTATTCTTAATTTTTATTAATTTTACTGTAAAAATGTTATTTATTGAAAAATTAAGCCAAATTTCTATCCAAAATAGAATTGCTGCATCTAAAAGTTACTGTGGATTTTGAAAAGTCACCATTTAACACAGTATCTTGCGTATTTGGCCTTGTAATAGATAGTGTAGACATTTTCCTAACTCCCCCCACCCATCCTTGATCGAACGACTCGCCATCGTTCGATCAAGGATGGGGGTTAAAACATATTTTTTGGGAAAAAATTTTTTATATATAAAATAAAAAAATATATATATATTTTTTTTTATTTACTTTTAAATAAGAGGGTTAAGAGTATTTAATAATTTATTTTTACAGCAAAAAATTGAATTAATTTCATAAAAAATACCAATTTTTAATATTTTGATTTATTAGTTTACCCCTTTAAACTGTATAAATTTTAATTTGTTCCTTACTCCCACCCCCCCCCTCCGTGAGTGAACAAAAAAATTTTGTTCACTCACGGAGGGGGGTTAATTTTTTTTTTTTAAAAACATTTATATATAAATTTTATAAAAAATTTTTTTTTCGAAATTTAAAAAAATCCTAATTCGCACAAACTGGAAAGCAAATATTAATTTAATTTATAAAATTTATGTTTTAAAAAAGCAATTTGTTTAAAATTAAACAGAATTAGCTCTAGATTTCATTATGCTAATTATCACTTATATATCAATTTTTTTTTCCATAAAAAATTTGTTCTATTAAAAAAATTTTTGTTCACTCACGGAGGGTGGGTTTTTTGGGCAAAAAATGCCGATTTTTCTAATGGTTTTGTTCACTCACGGGGGGGGGAGTTATTAAATTAATTTTTTTTTTAAATTTTAAAAAATCTCTATTTTGTTAAATTATTGAGTTTTTAAGCCTAGGCTGATGACTGAATCACTTCATACGGTTGATTCTGAAGCTTTTTGTCGTCTCAAAGTATCTGAAAACAACTTTATTATGTATATCTTCCCAAGCTTTTGATAACTAATATATTTTTATATTATAAAAATTTGCATGATATGAAAATCGTTCGATCAAGGATGGGGGTTAATTTTCCCATTTTTTAGGAATTTTTACAGTCAATCGTTCGATCAAGGATGGGTGGGGAGTAAACAAATTACTATTTTCTTGCTCTTCAAAAGCCTTATTAATTTGCCACTCATCCAATATTTTTCTATTTTTAATTTTTTCTGGCCTGACTTCAGTTAATGTTCCATTTGCTTTTCTGGCTAAAATTACAATATAAAGGATTGATGAGAGTGCAAAACATAAAAATCCTGCTAAAGAAAGGGTTGCCCCTTGCTCAGCACAAAACGATATATCATTATCTCCTGCTTTTATTCTGCAAGTTGAACTAAAAGACGCCCCAGATACTATAAACCAGCTTATATTTCCACAAAGGTTCGCAATGGTTGTGAAAATTGGCCAAAAATAATTTAAGCAAAAGATCCCAAAGTTAATTTTTAGAGCCAAACAAATAAGATGCTCTATCCATATAAGCAAAAAAGCATATGAAACAAAATTGATACCCAAATAATAGTAGCTTGCGGATCCTAATTTGTGAAAAGCATTGCAATCTCTTATTGAGTTAGTATACTGTGGAGTAATTGCGCAGTTTGGACCACTAATACACATATAATCAAGCTGGCTGTATTCTTCATATTTATTCATGCTCATTAGACTACCATAAATTCTGTTAGGACTATGATAGCTGATCCAATCCCATCAATGTCCCATAACTGTAAAGCAAATTGCTAATAAAACCAAAAAATATAATGGAGAAGTTGACATAAATTGGACTCAGAGGCGCAATCACTATGGAACAGGTCGGATCCATCACGATGAAACTGAAAAGAGAGTCTATGCCCCTTTTGAAATAGGCCTCAGGTTTTTGGGGAAGCCTTGCTAAAAATGGAAGTTTTGTTTCTCCCCGAAGGTTTTCCAGTCCCTGTCAGATGGTCTAGACAGGTTTTGCCTAGCACATGGTCTTCCATTGTCGGATCTATCGGAGCGCCCGACAGAAGGTGGCTCTGCGCCAGAGAGTTAATCCTTTTTGGACAGGTGGTTAAGATTGGAAATCAAAAATGGCAGCCTTCCATTTTTCCTTATTGAACTCAGAGGTCGATGGAGATGGCTATTTTTGGAACCGAGACGAGGCAAAGGCTAGTAGGCTTGCCTACTTATGGTGAGTTTTAACCATTTAACCTATTTAGCTATAAAACCATAGGAGTTGCTTTTATTAAAAATCATGAGTCATAATTTCCAAATCTCAGAGTCTCTTTTATTTTTTTTTCATTTGATTTGTCTCTGGATTTTAAAATAATAACAGTAAGCATTGCACATAATCACGAAATCAGTGAAGATTCTATTAAAAACCAGGGGCCTTTTTCATTGCATATTTCATGATCACTATTGCAATTAGAACTAAGGTTTGTGCTGCTTACTCACTAATCTGAAGAGAAGGTTTTTTGATAGCATATATAAGAGTTAATTTTATTCATGCAATGTTTACTAAAAATATATTTTTCGATTTTTAATGAAAATTGCTATTTAATATGTTTAAATGCCTAAAATTTGAGTAGCTGTTAATACTTATAGCTATAAATAAAAATATTAATAATTAATAGAAGATGACTTTCCCCTAAATAAATAATTTTCACTTTAGATTCTTATTAGTTGGGGACGGAGCCAGAATAATATAAGTTCCAATTCCAATAAGCTTGGCGATTGCTGGAATAATCGAAAATGCATAGAATACTATAATATTTCCATAAGATTTTCTTAAAGACATATAAAACAGCCTTTCAAATAATAGTAAAGAAAAAGCTGTGCCAAATCCTTCAAATACTAAAAGTACAATTTTTGCTTTGTTTAAGAGTTGAGCTTTATCACAAAGAGAATCTTTTTCAGTATCATTGCATGTAAGTGATCCTAAACATGAGTAATTTGTATGGGCATACTCAGCAGGACACTTTTCACAATCGAAAAGCCCATAATGAAAATTTTGTTCCATAAATGAAAATGATGTCCATTCTGACATGAAAATGCCTACTATAGATAGGATTCATTCAACAATTATAAAGAGTAAGGTCATAAAAGTAAGTAAGGCTATAAGGGTAGTTTTTTTGAATTTTATACCCATTTCAAGTTATATTTGCAAGCCATCGAAAATGACAATAAAAGATGAAAAACTCATTATAATTGTTTAAGTAGCAGGAGAGTTTTGGCTTGCTATAAATTTCTAATTTGATTTAATTAGAGGCATTAGTTTACAGAAATAAACATGAGCAGCAAATGGAATGGAAAGAATTTTTTGAAAAACAATCAAGAGCTAATTTTCCATACATAAAATACCTTAAAATGCATTTAATTGATTAGATTAGGATTTATATAGCTCAGGCACGCATTTAGCGTGCCTTCGGGAGCTTTTTAGGAGTAGGACAAGTCTGTTGGCTTTACTGCTCTATTCTGGAAAATCAACCTCGATTTGGCAAAATCAAAATTTGCGGCTGTATAAATTGAGTTTGGCTTGCAGAATGGGGCAGAATAAACTAATATGCATGGTTTCTGTTTCTATCAAGCTCTGAGGACACACTAAATGAGTGCCAAAATTATATATAAACTTTCAAATTATTGTTTATTTTTGTAACAGACTTTTACTCTTGGAAGTATTTGTATTCTAAAAATTTTTAAAAAGATTTTTTATGGATTCTGTGGCATCATTTAATAAATTGGTATTAAAGATGAATTGTATAGAGGTCAAGTAAAGTCGCAAATGAATTTTCTAAATAGTCATAATTGTATATTTATGCATAAAATGGTGAGAGGCAAGCAATCCATGCTCTCGGTGGTGGGGTTCTTATGCATACTGGAACTGATTTTTGGGATTCAATTATAGCCCAGCGATGTTTATGCTTTAAAATGCAATTTTTTTCAAAACTAAACAGAATTAACTAGATAATTCTGTGCATAAACAACCACTTATACATCAAATTTCTTTTTTCATAAAAAATTTTTGTTCGGGTTTTGGGGCAAAAACAGGGATTTTTCCAATGGTTTTATTCGCACACGGAGGGGAGGAGTAGTTAGCTGATTAATTGAGTCCTGATACTTAGGGGAGTTTATTGAATCTCTTCTTGCCAGCAGCAGCACCCAGCCCAGTAGAAATCCAATATGGTGCAGGGGCGAATTTCCAGCTCAAGCTGCTTTGGTTATTTGTCCAGAATGAAGAAAGTTGTTTTCTTTGGGTAGCCAGGGAAAGATGGGAAGCAAATTAGGCAGCCGGCTGCTTCAGCATAATAATCTCTCCAGTCGAAAGTGGCTATCATGGGGGGAAAGATCTGGCCATGGCATTCAAGGTTTGATGTCTCAAAAGGTGATTTCTGTAGTTAAAATGGCATGTCTCTGCCGAAAAGCCGGGTTTCAGACCGGACTGCAAGGCGGTAACACTCTGCCTCCCCGCAGCACATAATATGGAACAATCATTGAATTTATCTAATCTAACCTAATAATTTCATATCTACTTATATGAGTTTAGGCATAAATGACACTTAAGAGGATACGACAATAACTTGCAGATTTGCAAAGAGAGTATCCAAATAGCTCGAGAGCTTGACTAGAAGATGTCAGACCCTTATAATTGAGCAGCAACTATTATAGGACCAGATAATTTACCTTACGAAGTTGGAGTTTTTTTCCTGAATATCCATTATACCACTGACTACCCATGCAAACCTCCAAAAGTGTCATTATCAACAAAAATTTACCACCCTAATATATTCAAATAATAGCATATTCTTAACTTCAAATGAATCCCAAATTTCCTATCACCCAGGGCCTCGTTTTTGATCGCCTTGGGCTACAAAGTGCCCTGTTAGTTGAGTTTTGGCTAGAGCTGCAACTTTGTCAAGTCAATTCCACCAGTTTATAGGTTTCACTTGTCAGATCGTGAAGCTGACTTGGAAAATTGCAGCTCAAGCCAGCTCCCCAGTTCGCAGGATATTTTTCTATCCAAAATATAGCTCTGGGCTATATACTTAAAGTTCTGTTATTTATTAAATCTTAACTAGCAAAACCCAATACAAACCTTCGGCTTTTACATATTTGCAATATAATCGAACTAAATTTAATGAAATTGAACGAGAGTGGACTAGAAATTAGGTTCCTAAACAATCTATCTGTTATATTTTAATATTCCTTAAATACCTCTAGCAATATTCTAATATCCTTTTCTCCTTATCTAAAAATATTTACATAAAGCTCGTCTGAGAAAAAATTTTCAATAAATGTAAAACACGTGTTTATAATAAAATATGATAGGAAGCAGACTTTATATATTCGGGAGTATTTTATTAACAATTATTGTTATTACACATACATATATATCTGAAGATCACTTCTACTCAACAATTACCCACATTGCTAAGTCAAGATCAATTTTATTAGTTTTATTCAATTTCGGGATCGTGATCTGTATTTTATTTTTCCAGTTTTTGATCTATATTTTCTTCCAAACGCTAAAATCAGCAGAAACCCAACATATGCAGAGCCAAGCCATACATCATGGATTTCAGCTGGTAATGGTACTTTACATGCTTGATATAGAATTTGATTGAGTGATTGCGATGCATGCTGCAACAAATATTGCGATAACAGCTTGGCATGCTTTAGCAATGAAAAGAGTTGAATATGTAATTATTATACAGCTATTCGCAGAAAGATATGCAAAATCTGCTTATGTCAGGATGATGATTCTACATATATTGCTAATAGTCATCGACTATATTTTTATTACATTGGAAATCAATAATAAATTTTACGAAACTTTGAATGTCTTTTTGAGCTATGAAGTAATTTTTACTTACTCTCTTAAAAGTGAGCAACATTTTGCTCACTAAAGGGTGTTTTAATCGAAATTTAATATTAATTTATTTTCATTTGAATTTCAAAGTATAAATTATGTTTTAGAATGCAAGCTGGTTAAAATTAAATAAAACTAGCGTATATTAGTCAATAATCAAAATATTTTTTAAAAAAATTCCAATGGAGGGGATTAAAATCTCAAAAAAATGATTTTGCTTGCTAATTGGGGAGAGGAGTTAGTATATACTTATGCTTTTTGAAATACTAAGATCATTGATTTCATTTTTACTATGATTAATATAATAAATACTATATTCTCCATACACGAAATATTTCTAAATAATAATAAATAAAGGCATTAAATAATAAAAATTGAGGCAATAGCACTTGAATTGGCATAAACACTTTTGAAAGAATATTTAAACCTGAAGGCTGGGAATATAAAGCAAGCTTGCTTAGCATTACTGAGTTCCTCTTTAATGTGATTGCATTAGGAATCATAATTGTCGAACTCTCTATTTTATCACGCAGAAGTGCTATGGGCATCTATTTCCTCGACAGAGCCATTAGCTCAATTGTAGGCATCTACAAATGCTTTAAAACCTTCATTAGCTCCAGAAAACTCCTCACAAAAATTGACAAATTTAAAGACGCAACTCCTGAAGAAATCCACGCAGCAAACGATAAATGCATTTTCTGCCTCGACCACCTAACCCAGGCAAAGAAAATCAACTGCGGGCATCTTTTCCACTACAAATGCTTAACTCCTCCCCTTGTGAGCGAACAAAAAAATCTTGTTCGCTCACAGAGGGGGGTATATTTTTTTTTTTAAAATTTATATATAAATTTTCTAGAAATTTTTTTTTTTGTTGAAATAATAAAAAAATCCTAATTCGCAAAAATTGGAAAGCAAATATTAATTTAATTTATAAAATTGTTTTTAAAACGTAATTTGTTAAAAATTAAACAGATTAGTATAGAATACATTATAATAGTTATCACTTATATATCATTTTTTTTTCATAAAAATTTTTCTATTAAAAAAATTTTTGTTCACGGAGAGTGGGTTTTTGGGCAAAGAATAGGGATTTTTCTAATGGTTTTGTTCGCTCACGGAAGGGGGAGTAAGAGACTATTTCCAGCAGTCAAATGAGCAGCATAAATGCCCTACTTGTAGAGCAGACATTGATGAGGTAAACCCTATAATCCAGCATAAATATAATGAGCAAAGTCAGCAGAAAATAATCAAATCTATGATGATAGAAGAGCTTCCAAAAGGATTTGAGCAAGGAAAAGTAGTAAGTATTGGCGCTGTTGTGTGGGGATTGCCACAAGCTGTGACTTATCATAGGATTTCAAGTTATGAAGAAGAAGTGAAGCAGTCTATTGAAGAAATAAATACTTTTATGATAAGGTTTTATCAGCATCCGCCAGATCAGGTGGAAGATGAAGTTTTTGAGGAAAGCAAAGAAAGCAGTCCAGAAGAGTTCTCTGGGAAAATCCCAAAAAGTGCGCTGTCTAGATATGAATCGTTGAGCATAAATCAGTAATTATTAATTTTATATTTATAAATTATTGAAGATAAATATAATTTTTCTTTTGCTTATATAGCCCGAAGACTGAATTAAAAATCTAAATATTATATTTGATTTCTTATTAAAAAATACGATTTTATATCTTTTACCATCGTATTAACATGGATTTCCTGGTTAAGCTCAAACCCAAAAATTCCAGGCTTATAAATGTTCACAATCTCCTTTGTAGCTTCACTTACTGAAATTCTCCCCGCGACTCCATTGCTTTCTATCTTATTCGCAATCAATACATCATTTCCATAAATATCATACCTAATAATATTCGTACCCACAACTCCTCCAATAATATTCCCAGTATGCATCCCAATCCTCATAGCCAGCTGCAGCGAGTTTTCCCTATTGATTTTTTCAATAACCTCAATCATTGATTCTGCAAAACAAATCATATTATAGCACTCTTCAGCTGAATTTCTCTCTTTATCATCCCTATATCCCATTGCAACATAGCAGTCTCCTATAGTGTGGACTTTATAAGCATGATGTTTTTCGCACATTTTATCAAAATTCCCAAAAAGATTAGAAAGCATCCCTATAATAGCAGTCGGAGTCTCATTAGAAGATCATAAGGTAAAGCCTACAATGTCAGCATAAATTAAGGTTACTTGACTTAAAGAATCTACAATAGTATTTTCTTCTCTTAAATTATGATATACGTGGAGAGGCATCATTTTTGTTAGGAGATTATCAGTGTTTGTCAGTTCTTTTTGGGAGTATTCTTTAAGGGCGGAAAATATCCGAAGATTTTTTTCTTTATTATAGGTGATAAAGGCAAGAATGGAAAGAAAAATTAAAGAAAAAATGAGGGATTGATAGAAAATATTTGAGGGGAAAATTATGATATGGCATAGTCAGATTGATCATACTAGAAGTAAAGAAATAATTATGTGTTTGTAGAATAAGCAGGAACATTGGGTCAGCAAAAGCATGTAGAAATAAGCATAAGCTTCTTCTGTGGCAAATGAAAAAGATTCTTCACTGTCAAAATCAATGAGTGATGAGGCTATGATGGAGAGTATATAGATTAATTGTAACAACCACGCAAAATATTTATTTTTGTAAATGTTTCTATTGAGAAAAGTAAAACTTCCAAATATTATAATTTGGAAAAATGCAAAAATCACCATTTTTATACGATAAGGAAATTCATCAGAATCTAAACATCCTAATAAATGGATTCAAAATAATATGAAATTTGCTATAACAATCAGAATAAAAGAGTAAAATATGATTGGTTTATAAATTTCAATAATCTGCAGCCTAAGCTCAGTTTCTTTTTCAGTTTCTTTAAAGTTGCATGTGAGAAAATGCATTTCTTCTATATTATCTGTATCTTCCCTCCTAAACAATTGAGAAGTTTCCTCTAAATCCAAACTGCTTATTCTTTTTAAGGTAAAATCTTAGGTCTAATTTATTTTTATCCATATATATTATTTTATTTTACTATTGATCATATTCATTTTAATCAGTATAAAATAACTGATTTTCTTTTTGTTTCAGTCCTTATTGAATTATCACTAAAACTTGCTCTATTGGCTACAGAACTAAATGAATAATTCGACATAAGAAAAGCCCTTGGAGAAGGGTTATTTAAATAGCTCTGAGACTGAATATCGTCGACTTCCATGATTTTTATATGCAGGGTATTCATCATCCCTTTTCCTTTTACATATACTGTTTGTTTAGAAAAAACAAGTCCTGATTTATCATCTAATAAATTGTAAGAAGCTTCAGAAATTTGGATCATAGATGGATCTGCCAGTGTAGAAGCCATTCGGCTGGCTGTATTAACGGTATCTCCTACTAATAAAAACTGAGGTTTATGGTCACCTACAACTCCTGCAGTAACTGAGCCGCTATGTATGCCGATTTTTACTTTTAATGAGACTCCTTTTCTTACATTCCCTTTAAGAGAGCAAAACAATTGAAAAATCTCTTTTAAGACTGAGCAAAAAAATTTTTTAATTTTTTGTTTTAAAATAGTTATAACGACATCTCTTGCTAATGCTCTTAAATTTTACTCTGCTTGCGTTCTTAAATATAAATTTTATTACTAAATTATCTTTTTATTTCAAGCATCTGATTTTTAAAATCCAAAAAATTGTAAAAACAAATTAATCCCCCTTTAATAGCAAGCAAGATGTTTCCCTATCTATTTAAATGGGGTTAGGTATGTTTTTTCTGCAGTCTTAAGTATCCCAATCCCCATTTCAATCGCTCTCCTTACATGTGATACAGAACTAAAGCATGGATCTAATTCAGTTTCACTGTCTTTTAGCCCCGCACAAGCCATATAAGTCTTTCCAACAGTTTCTATTTTCGTAGCCCCAACCATGTCGCATACTCTATCAAATTTCTTATAAACTTCATCAAGAAACTCTGTTAATTCTTGCAGCCCAATTCCTGATATAATTTCTTCAAAATCGCAAATATCGCAAAAAATGACAGAAACAATTCCTTGATTTTCTGAAATATACCGGACTCCATCCTTTACTCGATTCCTTACAAATTTCGGTAAAACGCAATTTAATACCATTTTAGATTTTTCAACATCTATCTCTACCTTTTTAACAAGGGTGTATTTTTCACGAACTGATTTTTCAGTAAAATAGCCAACTAATCCTGAAAGAATGATGATTGAAATATGGATTATAACGTATTCGGATGCGTAAAGGATAATTTCTTTTGGATCACTATAGTGATGAAGTAGTTCATATAAAATGCCACCTAAAACAAATAGCTCAGAAAATAATAAAAACATGGAATTTCAGAATCAATTAAAACTTAGGCCAATAAGAAATAATGGAGGGAGGATAAGAATTTCTCCAGGAATGAAAGTGTCAAAAAATATGGAGCAGACTAAAAATAAGGTGATATGTAAAAAATAAAGTAATAGGATTAACTGATTTTGGCATTTTTGAAATATAGCTGTACAAGTAAAGAAAATAAAAATCCCATGAACCCCTAATAAAAAATATTCATATACTTCAATTCAAGTTGTATTAGAATTCATTATAGACTCATAAATTACTAATAAAGTAATCACCAGAAAAAGATTGATAAAAAAATAGCGGCAATTAAAAATATTTTCTTGCAATTTTTCTAGTTGATACTCAGTCTCACGAGTCTTTGATTTATATTTTAGTAATAAGCTACTTACATCAAAAGAATCATAAATTTCTTTGGTTTTATTATTTTCAGTAGAAATATAAATACTTCCAAGGCGGCCATTGAATTCGTTTATCCTTGGTGAGAAATTAAGGTTCGAGAATTTTTTAAAAATTCCTTGTTGTAAATAGTTGCAAAGGCTAGGAGAAAATACTTCAAATCATGCTCTATAAAAATGAAAAATAATTGCAAATAATAAAGTAAGCATAATTATCCAAATAATGTAACTGATTGAATTGCTTGGTTGCAGGTCAAATGGCTTTGCCTTTTTGATAGTGTCTATTTCACCGAAAATTTTTTGGCCGAAAATTGGTCCAAAATTTTTGATAGGAGACATTTGACCGAAAAAAAAATTAATTTTCGGCCAAATGCCCGCACTATCAAAAATTTTCGACCAAATGGATTTCGATGAAATGTACACTGTCAAAAATCCACGGTCATTTGACATGGAGCCGAATTGCTTATCATTTGAAAGGCTCCATAATTCAAAAATTCATAAACTTGAACTGAAGGAATAATTCTGAAAATAAATAATAAAACAAATGAAGAAAATATAGAAAAAACTGTTCATATATTGAAAGATCAAATGCTTTTTATTATAAAGCATAACAAACAACTAAATAGTGCAATTATCACCATAATTTGGTCTAACTCGAAGCTATCATTATATCCTTGTTTATTAATAATTCCACCTAGTAAATAAACAAATGAGATTGTAACAATTGCTGCAATAAATGAGCAAATGACAGCTTTTATCATAATTTTATTAGAAAAATGCATGTTTTTGATTCCTTCTATATAAATTTGTGGAAAATTTATTATTCTTGCATCAGATACAAATTCATCATAAATTCCAACAGTAATAATCAAAATGCTAAAAAAAATATATCCTAGGTTAAATAATTTATTGAGATACTGCCATTTATCAAGAATTGACTTGCCAAATACAATATAGTACAGTATAATTAAGACAAAAAATATCATATGCCTCAAGAATTGAATTCCCCGATGATCCAACACAATTATCATATAAAAAAATACTAAAAAATACTGTCACACTTATAAAAACTGAAAAAACCACAGTTCTCGAAGAATTTATGTAGATTTTGTATCCATCTATCAAAATCAAATCTTTTAGTTGAGAAAAACTCTTGATATTAATATGGCTTAAATTTTCAGCTTGATTAGCTGCACTTGTATGCACACATACACCTATGTGTGCAGCCTGCATCATCCCAATGTCACTATTACCATCTCCCACAGCAAGAATCATCGGCTTATATGAAACATTTTCTTTTAATAATTTTACGACCATTGTTTTATCGTCTGGAAGTAGCGAGTGAAAAGTGACGACTTGAGCTGCACATAAAAGAGCAATAAAATATTTTCGGTTTTCTTTAGTGCTTAATCCATATTCTAATCCACTTCGGTCTATAGATAAAATAAAATATACTATTGATAATTAAATTTAACATAGAAAATAAAAAAAATATTTTGAGATTATTTCAGTAGAGCTTTGTATAAATCGAATTGCAATTAAAATTTGAAGATAGAAGTGAATGTAGCTCTAATGGCTGAAATAGCTGGGGATCAACTGATTTAAAGATTTGAAGAGCATTTGGTCTTTGGATTTGGTATCGATCATTTTCTAACTCAGGGCTATTTTGTGATTCATGATTGAACATTATTGGCTCTGTATACGCATAATGTAGCATTCTAAAAGAATCTGGCGACTCTGTAGGACTCTGAGTCTGCTTATTATCGTTTTCCTTATGAAAAATAGAAGAGTTTATGTGTCTTATTAAATCCCTCTTGCAGGCTATTTCTGAAGAATAATTTGTCAATTTTACAATCCTAGCTTCTTTTTCAAATAAATTTGCTGACAGCCCTGAAGATATTGTGCTTTCTTCACAATCCCCACTCAGCATCCAAATTTTTATTCCTGCTTTTGTTAGTAACGATATCGTTTCTTTGGCTCCCTCTTGAATTTTATATTCAAGACACACAACGCCCAGATACTCTAAGTTTTGTTCTAATTCGTCAAATAAGTCTTCAATTCTTCCTTCACTATTAACTGGTGATAATTTCGCATTACTATATGCAAATTTAAATTGGTTATATTCTTCTAGGGTTAGGATTTTACAGCCCATATATATGGATTTTACTCCAGATAAATCTTTCATAAGCATTTTATCGTCAAGGTACTGCCTTTGTTCAGAGGTTAAATCTAAAATTCGTATCATTTTTTCTCTGGGGCCTTTTACATATAGAACTGCGACGGAATTATTGATATCTTTGACAACTATTCGGGTTTTATTGGTTGCGGAGTTATTTTGGGCTGCAATTATAGGAAATCTTTCTTCAGTTCCTAAAACATTTAGCAGACATTTTTTGCTGGTTCTTCTGATCAGCTTAAAACCGAGTTTTCCGCTAGTTTTTACTAATGCATGATCATCTGCGGAAGTTGAAAAATAGCTGCAGTGCTTTTTTATTGAAACTTGATTGCAAATAGCCATGCATACCATGTAATGATAAAGAATAGATTTTCGATCTAATGCTCCTAAGAAATCTTTCCTCAGCTTTGAAAAGTTTATCTTGGAGTTTCCATTTGGATAGCTAAAGCATCTATTAAAGCATGTGCTTTCTGTAAAAGCGTTGCTGTCCACTCTTACAAATTCATGGACATCATTCAAATAATCATCGTCATGCTTACACCCTTCGTACCTTAGCGAAAAAAACCACTGGAAAAATCTTATTTTTAGGAAAAACCCCTCTTGGCGAACAGAAATTATTTTAATATAAAATATTTTGATATATAAATGATAAATAGCATAATAAAATCTCTAGCTAATTCTGTTGAATTTTAAACAGCTTGTATTTTAAAAACATAATTTTGCAAATTAAAGTAATTTTTTTGCTTGCTAATTTTGCGATTTTTTTAAATTTCGAAAAATAATTAACCCCTCCGCAAACAAACAAAATTTTTTTGTTTACTCACGAAGGGAGTTAGTATAAATGCTATTATTAATTATGCATGCCTTTACTGAAAGATCACTAGTCGTGATTGTCCCCGTTTTGTCTGCTAATATATATTCTATTTGTCCTAAGTCTTCAATAATATTTGTAGTGTTGAAAGTAATTGATCCGTTTTTCTTTTGTATTTTCTTGGCCTGGAGAAATCTAACGATTTCTAAATTCAAATAGATACAGATTGGCACAGCTTGGCACAGCTGTACGAGCAAATCTTGAAATAGCTTGAGTAAATTATCATCATATTTCAAACCATAGTATAAATAATTAAAAAATAAGGTAAATATCAGGACAATAGATTCTGCAATTATGATAAGAAATACATACCTATTTAATGTTTTTTGAAAGCGGGATATATGTTTTGTATAATTTAAATCACTTATTGGGCTTGTCCCTTCTTTTCCAGTGTATATAACCAATCCAAAAATTCATGAGGTTTCAATGATTATTGACCCTCTTTGAACAAAATTATTATTAGATAAATTTATTCTTTTTGGATTCTGTTTAAGTTTGAAAAATCCTGAAAATTCTTTAAATTTAAAAGGTGCAGGAACTTTTACTTTAGCTTCAAGCTTGCACAAGTAATTTCCAGCTTCAATATGGTCAAAAGAATTAATAACCATCTGTGAGTCATTTATGGGTTTTTTAATTAAAATGCATTTTTCTCCAATAATTTCACTCGCATCAACATAACATATTTGTTCTTCTTCACCAATAGAAAGAACTAAGATATCAGCAGGGACATATTCTTTCTCAGTTACCAAAATAATATCTCCGACTTGCAATTTTTTTCTTTTTATTTTAATAAATTCGTGCCCATCTCATTTATTGCAAAATTGATTATTAATACTTTCATCGTTTAAATATCTTTTAAAGTCTTGGTATATATCAGAAAACATGGTAAGCGATAATAATAATGCTAAAAAAATGAAAGGAAATCATGGGTAAGTTTCTGATCAGATAGAATTATATATGGATGCAAAAAGAAAGGGTAATTATGAAAAAACCCTGATTGGTTTTGCAGTAAAATTTGAACCTATAAAAATGACTGCAAATTTTAAAATTTTTAAAATCGCATATGAAAAAACCCAAGCCGAAAAAAAATTTTTTAAAAACAAACAGGAAAAAATCTCTAGAGCCGATGAAAAACCTCGAAAAAAATATGATATTATGAATTAATAGCATCAAAAAGCTATCCGATTGTATAAAAGAGAGAATCAATAATTTGCATAATGATAATTATTTATCTACATAATTGAGATAAAAAAATAAAGGAGCTTTATCACATCTTATTCAGAGTATTCTTTTTCCATTTAAAAATTTTAACTAAAAAAAAATGACTGGCTTTTTTTCATGGTGCTGTTGATAATGGAGATGCTGATACAGTTATGAACGAAATTTTAAAAAGATGAATGCTGATATTGATTAGCGATAAAATGCAATTTAAATTAAATCTTTCAATTAATTGGTTTAAAATATTAAAAATAATTAATTTTTCTTGATAGGTATAAAAGATTAATTTTTCAAATAGAAAAAGTATACTCTAGATAAGGCGTGATAAAGATCCTTTATTTATTTTATCTCAATTATGTATATTAATAATTATGATTGCATGCAGTATTGATTCTCTATTTTATGCAATCAGGTAAATTTTTAATGCTATTAACTCACAATATCATATTGGTTTTTATGGAAAAATCACAAAAATCGCTGTGGGGATTTTCCCGTATGTTTTTAAATGTTTTTTCCGTTTGGGTTTTTTCATATACAATTTTAAAAATTTACAGTCGTTTTTATGATTTCAAATATACTGTAATATTTGTTTTCATTATTACCCAAAAGAAAACACAGATGCCAACTGGACTGTGAAACTGTGCAAAAAGACTTAAAGGGAGAAAGGTTTTGAGGGTATAGCGTGAAGTTTTTATTTTGTTGCTAATGAATCCGCTTAAATGGGAGCTCGGGACATTAATGATTCTTCAATTTTCTGGGCGTTTTTCTTGGCTAATATCGTTTAGCTTGGGGAGATTTTCCATTAAATTTATATTTAATTATTTTCTTGCTATATAAAGCTTAAAAATTCCTTTATTAATATTAAATTTAAAATAGAATTATATAAAAAGTAATATTTATATACTTTGCGCTATATCAAATTTAATGAGAATTATTAGAAGTCTATATAAAAGAAAAGGAATAATCTTATGCTATAATTGTATATTATAGATATAGATCATATATTTAATTAAATGCCAGGTCATCCTAATATAATGACAATAGCTAATGAAGCTTAAATACTGATCATAAAAATTATACTCATTAAATTTGTTCATACTTTTGATAAATGATTCTTAATATCATTGAAAAAAGAAGACACACAATTGCCTTTTATGAATGGCCATATGTTATTATTTGAAGGAAAGCATCCTAATTGATTTAAAATTTTTCGCCTAAACTAAAAATTTATCTTAATATTGGGTTTCCATCCATGAATCCATCTATATCAACAATTGTATATTGCCTTAGCCACTCAGTAAACTTTTCAGAGAAAAATTTATCGCACTTCAAGAATTTTAATATCATATTCCAAAGATACCCACTTGGCAATGTCATATAATCCAACCTTAGTGAATGAAATTCTTTTTTGTTTGGATCATTGCTGCCTCCACACACAGCATTATTTTGATCAACAACATAAAGTTTATATGAACTAAGTATCCCTATATCATAAGTTGCAATAAAAATTGGGAAACTTCCCATTGCTACGAAAATTTCTTTTATTTCAAGAAGATATTGCTCTATACCTAATAAAATAATTTCTTCATTTGATATAAAAATGATTAAAAATTTCAAAAAATTGTTATTTTTAGCGAAAATAGCATATATTTTCATCTTGATTTATCTTCTTAAAATCCAATGATAAAAAATCATTTAAATATTTGCGTTTTATGTTCCTATCTTCAATACGATAAGAATGAATAGGCAATCGTCTCTTAAATCCAGGGATCAAAGTATATTCATATTCGCTTTTTGGGAAATTAAGGTTCCTATATGGTAAAAAATTGCCTGAAGTGCAAGTTTTATCTAAAACAGTAACTTTGGCATCATCAATGCTTCCTGTGGTCATTATCTTATACCCTAGTTTTTTGTACTCTTCTCATGATGTCTTAAGCTTTTTAAGCATATTAAATTCAACTAAATCTTCAAGGCTGATAAAATTTTCTTGAGCAATTGAAGATAAAAGAGTTTCAAATACTGCTTTTATCCCTTCTGAGTCTCCTTCTTCTTTGAGAAATTTGTTGTTTTCTACTTGTGAATCGTGCTTTTCTTGCATTATATCTGGCTCTTCAGAATCAAACTGTAGCGGAAAGTCTATAAGGGCCTGTGCGAGATTTTTGGGCTTGAGATGATAGGGATAAGCTACAGAAAAATATCTCTTGAGAAAATTCATTTATAAAATAGTGCTTAAAATGAAATTTAGCTGCTATAATAAATTATGATTGATTTAAGATATTTTATTAATTAAATTTAATTATCATAGTATCATCCTAAGTATTCATCTGTCTTCTCCAAGTAACCATAAGTTCTTTGAATTCTTTTTTTGTTAATATATCTTGGGAGTTCACAGTTCTGAATCTCGCCCTTTTTCATCTGCTTCTATTAGTTTCTTTGATTTCGTCATATTTAATTCTTGAAATAAGCTTAATCTCGTCTTCTAATATTTCGCATTTCTTTTTTGTTCTATTTAATTTGGATTGTAGTTTGATATTTGAAGCTTGGTTAATATTGGATAATATAGCCCCTGAAATATTTTAGATCATAATTGGCTATCCTTTTTAATTTCCAAAATTAATTTGTACTTGTCAGCTTTTTTGAAAAGTAAAAAAGAAAATGACAAATCTCCGTCTATGGCTTTAAGGTGCCTAATCAGACTTATACTGTATAAGGCAGTGCCCAGTGCCATATTTTTTTCTGGTCGGCATTCTGCTGGGGTATAGAGATTTATTAAGGTGCATGAGTTATACACTATTTATTTTATCTAATCTCTCTTGTTGCTTTGGAGATACAGAAAATAGTTCAGTGGCACTGCATGAATTATAATTTATTTTGAATGCTGAAGGTAATTGAGGGTCTTTAAGGAAAGGAATAAAAGAGCCTTGACGAGATAAGCCTTGTACTGTATGAGAAGATTCACGTGTTAATCTTCTGCTTTTAAATGTTAACAATTCATTTCTTGAAGTAAAAGCATGGGGATCAAGATTGAGAAAAGCATCAGAGGAGGAACGACTGTGAAAGAAAGGCAAAGCTATTTTTGGTGAATTATTCTTTGAAGAAAGCTGGGTTTTTGTATTTATTGACGCTTTCATTTATTGTGCTTACTACTATAAATTCATATTGAATCTGAAACATCAATTAAATTTGAATTTAATGGAAAATTGGCAAAGCTTTTAATATGCGTGTTTATGTGCTCGACGCCCTTTATCCATTTACTTCTACCAATCGTCACATTTCTGATGCATTTCAGTGAATCTGCTCTATTTGGTCTAGTACACAATGCTATTAAATATGCGATAATGTGACGCTATATGTGGTAGGCATTATTGACATGCTATGCATGATGCAATTGAAATGCATGCCAAATTGACCTAATTTTAAGTATGCACGCTACATGGCTTCCAGATGTGTTTTTTAATGAACATATCTTACTTAGATTTATGTTCTGGAGTATTTTCTTTGCATGTCGGTTCATCACGATTTATCATATTTGTGAGATAGAACAAATTTGATTCAAATTGAGCAATTATTTTGACTAGAACTTGAATCAGGCTTTTGTCGAGTTAGAGAGATAAGTAGAGTATAAGATATAAGAAACCGATATATCAATAAAAAAAAATTTCAACGTTTCATAGCGATGAGAAATCGTTAAGTACTACAAGAAACTCATAATAATAGCAAAAAACCCATTAAATATAGCAGTAAAAATATTTTTTAGCCCTAAAAATATTTTGCAGCTACAAAAACTATAATACCTTTAAGCCTATAAAATAACTTTAAAATGAAGGAGATAAATTATCAAATAAGGTCAATATGCTACTTTAATTTGAAAATTAATACTATAATAAATAAATATAGTGAGCTTATTAATGCCCGTCATCAATTACCAAAATAAGTTAGTTTTGACTAATTAATCCCATAACTTGTAATTTGCCTGCATAATATTCTAGGCAAATTTTATAGCCCCTGAAATATTTTAGATCATTATTGACCGTCCATTTTAATTTTCACAATTAATTTGCACTCGTCAGTGCTTTTGAAAAATAAAAACGAAAATGGCAAATCTCTGCTTATGATTTTAAGATGCCTAATCAGATTTAGCCTGTATAAGGCAGATGCCCTGAACCATATTTTTTCCGTCGGTTTCTACTTGGGTATAGCGATCTATTATGGTGCATAAATTATATCAAATTACGCAATTTTTATATTCTGATATAACAAGAAAGGCCATTTCTTCCCAAATTAGCCTAAACTAATACAATTCTGACACAAATTATACTCTCTTCCCTATTTTGCAGCTCAGCTATTATAATTGATTCCAACTTTTAAACATTAATTTTCTTATACCAATTTATAGGCCATTAATACTATTCAAATAATTTTTCAATTATCTCCACTTATATCAAGCTTTTAAAGTAAATACTAGAAATCATATTTATTTTATAACGTTGGCGATACTATTCGCTAAATAAGCTAATAAAATGATACAAATAAAATATGAGTAATCCAAACTCTAACATTAAACGAGAAATTCCATCAAATTCCTTATCAAATTCTCATAAAACACTTCCAAGTAATAAAAGTTTCACTTCATCTAGATCTCATTTACAAGAGTTGCCATCTAAGCCTTCCCGTGAGCAAGAAAAAGCAACTATTCTCGCAATGGAAAATAAGGACTGCAATGTAAACTATCTTATAGAAGCGTCTTGAATTAAAGACTGAGCTCTATATATCTCAGGAAGCGAACCTCCTGGGAAAATGAGGACAAAAAAGCTGCTAAACTCGAAAGAAAAGCTTAAAAAGAAATTATCTTTCAAAAAAGACTATAGGGTACTTACTCTCTCCCCCTTCCCTAAGCGAACAAAGCCATTAGAAAAATTCCCCAAAAACCCACCCTCCGTGAGCGAACAAAAATTTTTTTTTGGGAAAAATATATTTGATATATAAGTGATAATTAGTATAATAAAATCTCATGCTAATTCTATTTAATTTTAAACAAATCGCACTTTAAAAAATAAATTTTACAAAGTAAATTAATATTTGCTTCTCAATTTTTACAAATTAGAATTTTTTTAAGTTTTTGAAAAAAAAGTTTTCGATAAAATTATATATAAATTATTTTTTTAAAAAAAAATTAACCCCCTTCCATGAGCGAACAAAATTTTTTTTCGCTCACTGAGGGAGGAGTTAATAAAGACCAATGGTATTTTCTGAAATCTATACATGGAGCTGATCCTTCAGTTAAGAAAAAAAATAAACAAAGGTATAGCGAAAGCAAAAAAATAGAGCAAGAAGAAAATAACCAAGACGATTCTCAAAGCACCCCAAAAAACTGTGCTTTAAATCTAAGACTGCCTTCGAATATAAGATCATCTAGCACCGCTGACAACTCTTTTATTGCTCCAAAGCCATCACATGTACGAACTCTTTCAGAAATTACAATCCCCAAAAAGCAAACTATAGTTACAGAAATCGCCAATTTAAAACCTCCTCCAGCATCAGCAGAATTGAAGTCTGGGAAGGATACTTTAGAATCTTACACAAGAAGCACCATGCATAGCACTCCTCAAGAATCGAATTCTGATTTTGCTTTAATAAGCCCTTCAGATTATTTAAAAAAAGGATTAGTAGGGCTAGATAACCCTAAAAATTATTGCTATATGAACGCTGGGGTACAATTGTTGCTATCAATTGTACCTTTGAGAGATTTTTTTTACAAACAGAAACTTGATGGAAATGATTACCCATTTACACAGAGTTTCATTAATGTAACGACGTCAGTCTTTAAGCTAAACCATGGAAGTATAGGGCCTGTTTATTTGTGGAGGCTTATTAATAAATTTTTTCCTCCAGGAAAGCAGCACGACTTACCAGATTTTTTAAGATTTTATATTGACACAAACTAGACACTGAGCTTACCAAGCCAAATATTTTGACCCTTTTATATTTAATGGAATGACTTCGAGCAGACTTAAATGCAAAAGATGTGGAAACGTGTCAGAAAAATATGAGCCGTTTATCGATCTCCAACTTGCATTAGCTCCAACACTCAGACAATGCGTTGTACAGTATGCAGAAGAAGAAACATTACATTATCGCTGTTTAGAATGCCGTCAAGACGCTGTTTCTTGTAGGAGATTTATATTGTCAACACCTCCTAGATATTTACTTATTCAGATAAAAAGATTTAAATCTGAGCCAAGTCCAATTAAATTAGACAGCACTTGCCGATTTCATAAAATTTTGGATCTCACAAGCTTTTCTGAACAAAAAACAGAGTACAAACTTATTGGGATTGCTGTACACATTGGGTCTATGAGTTCTGGGCATTATAAAGCATATTGCAAAAGAGGCAGAAATTGGTATTGTTTTGATGACAGTTTCTGTACAAAAATCAGCTTAAAAGAAGTTCTTTTGCAGCAAGCTTATGTTTTGCTTTATAAGTGTATTAGTTTGTAATTATATTTAAAATTATTAATTAATATTGAGAATAATCATCTAACTATTTGCCTAATTCTTAATTTTTTAAAAAAAAAAAAAAATTTGTGTTATATTATTTTATTAATTTAGCCAGACTTTCTAAATAAAAATATCACTATTTTTATTATAGGAAGAGTGAGTAGCTATAGCAACCGTTTTCATTTCTTATAAGCTTTATATGCTGCTTAATTTTCCTTCGGCTCAGCATATTCTGAAAATTAATCGGCCTGAATTTGATTTTTTCATTTCGAGGTTTTGGTGGTCGATTTAAAATATTGAAATATTCCATTATGCTTTTTTCATTATCTATTCTTCTCTCTGGATATTTAAAGGTTTCTGGAGTAGATTCACTATGCTTCAGCGTGCGAAAATTAATTTTAATTCTTCTTTTGTGCTGACGCAGATTACTTTGACTGCGAGTTTTTGAGGAATGGTCACTGAGAAGATTTCGGTCTATGAAGTCGTCTACAGGACTGTTAACTCTTAACAGGTTTTGTAAAGAAGGGGATTTGGGGGTTTCTAGATATAGCTTGCTAGCTTCAGGAGAAATTCCAATTCCTCTGAAATAGTCTGATCTTGTTTTTGCTCTTGGAATTTTAATTCTTTTGGAAATTGGAGCAAGATTTCTATCAATTGATAAATTTATAGATTTACAGTTGGAACTTATTATTTTCTGGCTCAATTTTTCTTCAGTTTTTCTTTTTTCTTGGAAAACTCTTTCTGAAGCTTGATCAGGGTCACACTGGATACCTATTGAGCTTTTTTTGTGAAACTTAAGTTTAAGATCATCTCTTCTGATTCTTGGCTGGCTCAAGTTATTATGATTCGGCTTATAATTCAAAATGATTGAGTTGTGCTTCGAAACATAATCGCTTTTCATTTCAAGTTACTTAATCCTTCACACTAATAAAATTAAGTTCAATTAATAGCAAATACACTAATAAGAATTATTGATAGATAGTTACGATAAAAAATATTATTTTATAGAAAAAGTTAAAATTTTCATATATTATCAAAAAGTCAATAAATTCCAAATTATAGTTTAAAATATATTGTTATCCCCCAACCTACTACAGCAGTTATAGCAGCTCCGATAATTAAGTACTTTCAACTCCATCTTTTTTTAGGTTTTACATCAACTTCAGCGTTTCTTTTCAGCTTTTCTTCTTCGCTACATTTATCTATGCATCAATTTAATAACTGGTCATTCAATTTGCCTCCACTAAAGGTCATCGATATTTTGAATTTCTTGATGGACTCTACTGAGCATATAACTTTTTTATCTTGAGGGTCAAATCCTGACTCTATCAGTTCATGCTTAAGTGTCTCGTTTTCAACTGTTAAATCTAAAATTCTTTTCATTTTAAAAAAAATTGGTTGAACTTCTCCCATCTCTTTTCTGACTCTGGATCTTTGTAAATATTTATTCCCTTCTTGATAAAATCGTAAGATTTCTTCATATTTTTCGACCATTTTGTTTACGACTTTTTGCTCAAATTCAACTTCATTAGACAATTCTTCTGAGTCGCCAATACCATGCCTAACTAACGAAGTTGTAATTTCTTTTACCAATGTGAGCTCTTCAGACTTATATTCATTGAATTTCGCTTCCAGTTTACCAATTAAACTTCATTTGACCCCTGACATCTGCGCATACATTTTAGCATCCTCTATTGCCAATTTTAATTCTTTTTCATTCGCTGATAAATCATGATATCGTATTTGGCTTCTTTTAGCATACAAAGACACATTATCTGAGTCATATTCTAGTGCTTCAGTTATAGCAGCTATAGCTTCATTGAAATGCCTTAGTGGCACCATTGCTGCAGCTAAATTAACCAAAATAGTAACAATTGGAGACTTAAAAAGCTTTATTTCATTGATTTCTTTAGGGAAAAAATAAGTAAGAGAATCATCTGTAATTGTTTTCAGCTTTAATTCGTCTTCAATCTTAAATTCTAGATATTTGAAGAGCCCATAAGCATACTCGTAGCATTCTAGAGCTTTTTCATAGTCTTTTGTGTGGTAAAATTTGTTGCCAGCTTTTTTGAAATCGTCAAATGCTGATAACTTGTCAGATAACTCCCGCTTTCGTAGTTTTTTGCAGTGGTCTGGGTGGAATAAAGTATTTTTGAGATAAACTGGACGCTTATTGAATTTTTTGCGTTTCTGGGCTAATTCTGCAGGTTTGCAGTAATCAATAAAGTTTTGAAAAGGAGAAGTTTGTGTTATAGGGTAGCCATCTTCAAATAGAAATTCGTCTGGGTCTTGAGTATTTTCACTATTTCCTTGTTTGGAAGACATTTTGGTTTATTAATAAAAGAAAGAAATAATAGCTGAAAATTAGTAAAAGAATTTATATTGGTCTTTTTATGCTATTATGATTCATTTTAATTGATTTTTATAGGATACAAATGAGGAGGAGAGATTGGCCTATATTTAAGATTAAAATTGCGACTAACAAGTGGAGCCTAGCCACATATCAGTAAATTCTTTTTTGTGGAAAAAAGACTCCACATGCAAGCACAGTCTTATATTTGACAAAGAATTTGATTAATTAAAATAGATATTAAATTCAAGCTTTATTAAATATAGAGGTTTTGATACCTAACAAAAGATCTTCATACTCTTGACATTTCTTATGCCCTCCACCATAATTACAGAATGAACAATAATTTGACTTGCATTTTTTGCACTTTATTTTGTATGGCCTCCAGTGTTGTGGATGCAGCTTGGTCCATGAAAATGCTTTGCATATTCTGCAGACTATTTTTTCTTGGTTTTCTTTAAAAAGTTCACGAAATATAGCTTCTTTTTCATCAATTCGATGAGACTTATTTTCCATAGGAGCTATCATAATAGGAGTTTTGTACTGTTCAGGCAGAATGTCTTTACATTTTTCTAATTTTGTTGATTTTTTTTCCTCTTCAAATTGTTTTATTGGGTGGATCTCTTTTTTGTGGAATAGTTTACTTACTATGCCCCCCTCCGTAAGAGAAGAAAAAAAATTTGTTCGCTAATGAGGGGAGTTAATATTGTTCTAAAGAATTTAAAAATTAATTTTAATTTGCAAATTTATGTTTTAAAATGCAAGCTTATTATTATTAAGCAGAATAGATAGAGATTTCATCATAATAATAATTTTCACTTATACTCAATCCCCTTTTTTCATAAAACATTTTTGTTCACCTACAGAGGGTGAGCTTTTAGGCAAAACATAAGGATTTTTCCAATGGTTTGTTCGCTTACGGAGTGGGAGTTAGAATTTGTATTGAAGGTTCATAGTTAGTGTCAGAAATTTCATTTGGATAACTTGAAACCTTATCTGAGTTGCAAGAAGACGCAATCTCTAGCTTATATAATGTAGAGCTAGATGATTGAGAGGATAAGTAATTGCTTGTCGGGTTTTGGGGATCACTTGGTTCAAAATCATTTAAATCTGGATTATAAGCTTCAGAATCTTTCTTAGATATATTTCTTTTTTCAGAATCAGAAGAAGTCCTCTGTGACTCTATAGATATAGTTTCACTTTCTGCAATACTTTCTTCAGATTTTTTATAGCTTTCTTCTTCCTCTTCTTCCTCAATTTCATTTGTTTTATAATAATTATGTCGAAATTTATTAATACTCTGGAATTTAGCTAACCAATCCCTAACCTGCTCAATTTTTCATCTTTTTGGGACTATTGGATCTAGCATACCTGATAATAAAGTTATAAAGCTTTGTGGGCACCAGCGGCGAGAAATAATTGCATTTCGGATTTCAAGATCTATATCTGATTGAATAGATATTCTTTCAAACGTAACCATTTCATAAAATGTCATACCTAATGCTCAAATATCATCAGAATCTGGAGACGAAATAATGTGTTTCATGTACCTTCTTGTTTTTAGCTCAGGCGACATATATGGGACTGTCCCTAAAATTGTATGGAACGTATACGGCAGTTCTTCTTTTTCAGAAAACTTTGATATTCCATAGTCTCCAAGCCTCAAATCTCCGTTTTCATTAATAAAAATATTCTGCGGCTTGATATCTCTATGCCAAATAGAATTTATATGCAGAACTTCAATTACATCAGTTAAACAAGAAAAATAATACACTAGGGCTTCTACAGAAAAGTGACGATTTTTTGACCTTTTTTCTTTTATTTCTTTCCTTAAGTCTCCTTTTATGCAATCCTCCATTAGGATGTAGAATTGGCTATTTTGATAGACTCCTGATGCATAATATTTTACTGTCCATGGATGTAGTGAATTTACCCTAATCATCATTTCTGCTTCTTCTATTCCTCTGTTCTCCATTGATAAATATCTTTTCATAACTGCATTCTTTGGGAAATTTGATTTATGAGATCAGTTTGTAAATAAGACTTTGCCTATTTCAACCTTAGATTTTCTGAGAAGATCATCTTTAATCTCAAAGTTTTTGTAATACTCCATTTCATATTTACCAATGTTATGATTTTTGTCTCTAAAAATCAGAGAAAACAGAGATTTTTATAAAGATTTTACAAGAAATAAAACAATCCATTTTATAAAAAATATAGAACAATTACCTAATCTAAAGTTAAATTATTTATGCAATAACAGAAATATTAACTATTAAATTCAATTTCTTACGAACATTATACCCGCAAGCATTAGAATTTAAATATGAGCCGAAGATCAACTACAAGCCCTCTTAAAAAAGCAAGTGCAAGGCGACGTGTAGCTTTGGACGAAGAACAGCTCTTAGAAATAAAAGAAGCTTTTAACCTATTTGACACAGATCACCGAAATCAACTAGACGCTAGAGAATTAAAAGCGGCAATGAGAGCACTCGGCTATAACACTAATAAAGCTGAAATCAGGACCATAATGCAAGAACTAGAGCTTGATATTCATGACAGAGTTGATTATAACCAATTTCTTACCATTATGACTCCAAAAATGCAAGAAAAAGACACCCGTGAAGAAATTTTAAATATTTTTAGGCTTTTCGATGAAGATAAGACAGGGAAAATTTCGTTTAGAAATTTGAAAAGGGTTTCTAATGAACTAGGTGAAACTTTAAGTGATGAAGAGTTACATGAAATGATAGATTAGATTAGATTAGATTAGATTAGATATATGTTATAGCGGGTCTTAAGGGATTATTTCAGCCCCTCGCCGTCCCACGGATAGCTTCGCAGCGACGCTAAGCGCTATCCTCACACCACCTTTTTCCCTTTCTTACGTCACCAAAAAAATGGTGACGTCGAAGGTCTTCGGGGAAGCCACCCCATCCGGTCAGGGTCTCCGAATCTCAGCAGAAAGCTCCTTCAACCTCTGACAGGGCTCAGAGTACAGAGGATCCGCCTTCTGCCTTCTCCATGACCTGTCAGAACCGTATCACAGGTTCAATAATGCTCTCATGGAGTGGTATCGGGACCTTGCGCCAGTAGGGTTAGGAAAAAAAAGACAAGGGTCAACCCCAACCCAAAAAACCCACCCCGGAGAACTATCGCCATGTGGCTCGCCTTTCCTGGGCCTGGATCAACTCACAGGTCACCAGGAGTCCACGTCAGATCACGCCATTTTAATAATTCTCGAAATGATAGAAGAAGCTGATACGGATGGAGATGGGCTGATTACATTTGATGACTTTTATAGGATAATGAAAAAGAGAGGAAATGAGCCGCTTGATGATATTGATAGTGATGAAGATTAAAATAATCATAAATAAGTTAACTGAAATAGATTTCGAATTAAAAAATTAGCTCAGCTTTATTATAGTAGAGGCAAATTTATTAATAAAATTAAATAGTGCCGCTTTTTTAATATTAGCCTAAATAAAATATTTAATTGCTTTTTCTTTATAAGAGGAATGATAGGGATGATAGAGGATGAGGAATTGCCTTGTACGGCTTTGAATGCATATATAGAAAGATCTTAATTTTTCAAGGACCACTATTATTTTAGTGCGAAAATCTCATCGATAAGCTTTGCTACATATATATTAAATGAAACCTCAATTTCGCGTATTTTTTATAAGACAATTCTTGTATATTAATAAAAAGCTAAAAATGATATGAAAAATTACTTATCTTTTCTTTTTGAATAAATTTTTACGCTTCACTGGAGCTAGCTCAATGTTATCCAGCCACCCAATCCTTATATCTTTTTTATCCGAAATTTTTTGTTTTTTTGTCGTAGTTTTAATTTTTCTGTCAGAAGAAAGCTTATTTTTCAGCGGCAATTCATATTTCTCTTGGATGCTCTGTGGGATTTCTTCTCCTTCTTCTAAATCCTGCGGCTGCGTAGCTTGTGTAGTTTCTTGGGTTGTGTTTTCAATTTCCATCTCCATTCCTTCCTCTACCACAATTTGGAAAATCGACGTAAAGCTTTCCGCAATTTTTTGGCATTTTTCTTTCATTTTTTGGCTTGGCTCTAATTTATTTTGTGGAGCAAAAATTGAAAGTTTATTGCTTGGTATTAGCTTTACAGTGAATTTTTGTTCATACAAAACTGGCCTATGCGTCTCAATTTTCTTTTGTTTCTGCACAGGCTGTACAATCTTTGGTAGCTTTTTAACAGCTTTTTCGCTTTTTTTCGCAAGTGTTTTTTTAATTATTTCAACAATTGTGTTCGCTTCTTTTTGAAGAATGCTGCTTTGTTGATGCACTTTGACTAATAACTCTTTTACAGTCTGTGGTGGGTCTGTTGCCAAGCTAATTAATGTTCTTCCTTTCAAAATAAAATTCGGATTTTCATCTTCTCTTCTAGCTACCTCATCTCTCCAATTCGCTAATGCATCTAGTATACTTTGCTGCTGAGGATTTAAAAATTCAATACCTCTTTTCAATGCTACCCACTTTAAGTCTTGTTTTTCGTATCTTTTTAAGCAAATATCTCTGCTTTTTTGGAAGACTTCTCGTGCTAGCTCTAATGGGTGGAGTCTTAGCTGTTGAGCTTTTAGAGAGAGCTCGTTTTTTAGCACGTCAAAAATATGGAGCAAATAGTGAGTGTCCATTCTGGCATATTTTATCATTTCTGGGGATAATGGGCGGACTCTTCAGTCAGCAAGTTGGTAGGATTTGTCAGTTTTTACACTGCAGATTGTTTCGAGTAGATATGCAAGCCCAAATCTCGCGTACATTAAAATTCTAGCAGCTTGGCCAGTATCGAACATATTCACGATGTAAAGTTTGAAATCTTTTTGCATCCAAGGGATATCTGAATCAGCGCCATGCAACACTTTTATTATTGCAGGATTAGTAAAGACGCCTAGAAGTTTTGGCATCAAATCCCATACTTTTAAGGTGTCTATAATATAATCTGTATTTCTCGTTGATATCTGCATAAGGCACACAAACCCTTGATAAGTCCTAAAAGAATGATGCTCTAAATCAATCGCTATTTCTTTAGCTTGTGACAGCTCATTAAGCATCCCATAAAACCCTTCTGGGTTTTCCACCATAATAAGTGAGACTTCTTCAAGTTCTTTGAATGGCTGGACTTGTGAAGGCTCTAATTGCCAAAATTCTTGAGCTAAGGATTCTAATTCATACTGGTAAGGGTGCATCCCTTCACTATAAACTTCTAAAGGAACCATTGCATTTGGCTTTTCGTCTAAGCTTGGCACGAATGGGGATTCACTGTTATCAATTGTGTGTTTAAAAATTTCTTGCGGTTTAGGAAGCTCATATAAGCTGAGCTTAGATAATGCAAGATCAGGCACTGCTTTAATGCCTGCTTTATTATCAAGTCCTGCTGCTACGTATTCTAAGCATTGGTCAGCCGCTTCTATAATATCGTCATACTCTGTGCTTTCAGTCTGAGGAGTCACAAACCTGACTAAATTAGATATCAAGTCACTTATTTTCATTTGAAGATCTGTGGTTTGAGCTTCATAGGACTTATCAGTTAAGGCAAAAGCAAGGTTTTCGCCTGTTGGGAGCTGATTTGAGATATTTGCAGCTTTGACTACAGTCTGGAGTAAGTGTGGGATATTGCAATATTCCATTTAATTGTAATATGTAAAAAATATATAAATTAGGAAATACTTACTAAGGCAAATCTCTTAGGCTCAGAAGATAAATTAAATAGACTGAAGGATAAAATAGTTATCTCATAAAGACTAAAAAATATTATTAAGTGAATACTTACTCCCCCCCCCTCCGTGAGTGAACAAAAAAATTTTGTTCACTCACGGAGGGGGGGGGGGGGGGAGTTAGCTATAAATTAAAGCAACCCATAAGTTTTTAATTAATTAAAAGGAAACGAATTGATCCAATCTAAAAATCTATGAGCTGGGGTATAGTGATAAAGGTCAGCAAATCTCTTTGATACAAGTTGTTGATCAAAGCTATGAGCAAATAAAAAGAATCCATAAGGTTCTGAAGAGTGAGCTCATGGACTATCAACTTTTTCTATTTCATGGATATTTCCAAGTGTTGAAACCCTTTCAATTACAGTCTCCAGCGATACAGCCTCTGGCTCAGTTGCATTGAAAACTCCAACAGCTCCGTTTTCTATCAGTATTCTATACATATTAGCTAAATCTTCATGATGTATAAAAGGAATATGATTATTTCCTGCAAGGGCAATAATTTTATTATGAGATTTGCACGCATTTATCCATTGATCAACATAGCTTTTGCCATAAACCCAAGTAGGTCTAATAATGGCGCTTCTCAGATTCCCTGCAGTTGAATTTACAATTTTTTTGTCCCTTAAGACTCTTGCTTTTAGCATGTCGAGACAATGAGAAGTATCCTCATGATCTTCGTCCTGAACTCCATTAGTGTTCCCATATACCAAACATCCTGAGCTATAAAGAAGAGAGACAGGCTTAGTTTCAGCTGTTTTTCTTGCTGCGCTAATTAGAGCATCAGTAGTAATATCTTCTGCTTTAGTTCCAGCTTCACCAAAGGCTTGTTGAACGCAATGGACGATTGCGTCGTAGCCTGCAGCTAATTCAGCAAGTTGATGAGCTGTATCAGGATTAATGTCAAACACTATAAAGTGCGAGCTTGGACTTTTGCTTGCGAGCTCTTCTCCTTTCTGGGCACTTCTAACTGTTGATGTAACGTCATGGCCGTGAGCTAGGAAGTTATCCAAAAGAGAGCTTCCAATAGCTCCAGTTGCTCCTGTTAAGAAAATTCTCATTTTTACTATTATAATTGTTGGAAGATAAATGATGAATTTTGGACTAAAAAAGTGTTGCCATTTTTAGGAAACTATAGTAAGCACTGACAAAAACTAAAGAATAAAAAAGAAGATAAATTATTTAGAGTGCTGCTTTAATTATCATTTATTTAAATTTGAAAAGTTTTATCTAAAACATCAAAAATTAAATTTATAAAATTTTGCAGATTTTATAGCGCTTAAGATGATTTTCATTTTCTTTATATAACCATTTACTCTCCCCCTCCGTGAGTGAACAAAACAATTAGAAAAAAACGCTATTTTTTGTCCAAAAACCCACCCTCCGTGAGTAAATAAAAATTTTTTTTAATAGAAAAAATTCTTTATGAAAAAAAATTTGATATATAAGTGATAATTAGTATAATAAAATCATGAGCTAATCCTGTCTAATTTTAAACAAATTGCGTTTTTTAAAACATAAATTTTATAAATTAAATTAATATTTGCTTTCCAATTTTTGCAAATTAGGGTTTTTTTAAAATTTTGAAAAAAAATTACTCCCTCCATGAGTGAACAAAATTATTTTGTTCACTCACGGAGGGGAGAGTTAGATAATTATTAAATAATGATATTTACTATTAAATTATTTCTTCTGACATCTCCATTCTTAGTAAAACTAAGTCAAAATAAAGATGCGTTAATAAATTCTACCACCCTTTCATACATAATTAGAAGAATATAAAAGATTGAGATTAGATAAAATAGATATCAATAATTAAAAGATCAAATATTTTTATTTAGAAGTTGTATTTTGGAATGATATCGCCTATATTATCTTTCATCAATTTTTCATCGTGAACTTTTCCAAAGTAAGAAACATAAAACGAGCTGTCTCCATAATCAATTTTACGAAAAGTCTTTCAATCATTTGGAAAAGGTGACTCTTTGCAAATACTAAATCTCCTTACTTTAATAGGGAAAAAATACAGTAAATTTTATAAAAATAATTTTAATATAAAAAATAATTATTATAAACAGCAAAGAATTCCTGTATATGATAGTTGAGGTTAATAGAGTTTTTAGGTATTTTTACAGTCCCAGTTGGAAGCTCGACAATTAGAGATTGTGAGTCTTCTTCTAATGAAATCTTTAAAGCTATTTCATTTTTGATGGCATTATATGAGTAAAAATTCATTCCAAGACCACTCCATACTGCAAGTATAAGTCCAGCATGCATTAATTCTGGAACTCCATGTGATATGTAAAAAACTAGCCCAGTTATAGCTGATGCACCAATTGTAGATAAAATATAGCTCGTTCTTAGCTGATGGGGATTACTATTTGTGTAAAATAGCTTGTGTTCAGGAATTGCAGAGAAGCACCTTATTTCCCCCTTTAAATGGGAACAAAGCACCTGCTCCAATTTAAAGTACTATTTTACAGTTTTTAGAAATTAAATAGGAAATTTTAATGCAATATTTTTTGAATTTATTTCATTTTATGAAGAATTAATTTAAAAATTTAATTGATTCAATGTGAAAATTGTTTAAATAATATTCTACTTCAACTTTGCAATTAAATTATGTTATAAATTAATTTTTTTCCATCTATATTTTGTTCTAAAATTAGGGGGAGAATTAGGCTATGCCTTATCATGAAATTATTATTTCTAAAATGATACTCTAAAAGGTGGTAAACTGCAATTTCTAATTAATTTATTTTCACTATACATCTAAATCCCACACAAAGCTCCATCAATATACTCTCTTTGAACGATATCCAAATTGCTATTAATAATACACCCAGGTCCATGCCACTTACCATTCCTAAAACTCCCATAATAAATGCTTCCATCCTCACAAAATTCTCTTCCTGAGTCTCCATGAGGAACTCCTTCTTCATTCAATTCTCCACTATAAATATTCCCATTCGGAAGCACAATAGTCTTTACTTCTTCTGCGGGGACATCTGAATCTCCATTTAGGCTTTGTCTATTTCAATTAATTTTTGTATTCCATTTTCTGTCTCAAAGCACCAGAAAAATAATATTTAAATAAACAATTATCTTGCTGAAATGCATTAGCGGTTCAGCTAACCACATTTTCTAGTGTTCCCAGACAGGAAAATGCATATTTTCTTCTAATTCCACAAATTTCTGATAAAGCTGTTCCATTCTCTCCTTAATCCACGGGACAATCCATATTTCTTTTTCCTTATCCTTCAAATAAATACAAAAGCTATTCCCGCTTTTCACCCCAACCCTAAAATTGTTCAGCTGCAGCACCTTATTAAACTCTATTTCACTAATCAACTCATTAATTTGTGTGTTCGGACTCAATCTGTTATGTGCCTGATACTGATCTTCAAAGCATCTCATACAGGTCGACTCTAAATCCAATATAAAAAACCTCGTAATATGCTGTTTTGTCGATTTCGAGACTTTCATAAAACAGCCCATATAGTCTTCAACCATTTTAAGTTAATAAGATTTATCCAAATTAAAAAGGCCTTTTGGCTCTGAGCTCATCTAAAAGCTGCATTCCTCTCTTTTTCTCTTCTTCAATCATTTTCTTATACTGGATTTCTGCTAGCTTTGCTGCTCTTTGTTCGTACATTTCTTCTTGCAGTTCTTTTTTCTTTCTTTCGTTCTTTTCGTCAATTTGCCACTTCAAGTTGTCTTGGTGATTGACTTTGGTCATTCTTAAAGCAGTCTTGCGCATTTGTTCAATTTCTTCAGCTTTGGCGACTTCTCGGGCGATTCTTTCTTTTTCTTCGATCTCCCTCTGGTTTTCCTCTTCTTCTTTCCTTTTTCTCTCATAAATGGCATCAGCTCTATTATTATAGACTTCTTCAAGTAGCTTAATTCTGGCTTCTTCTCTTTCTCTCCATATTCTTTCTTGTTCTTCCCATTGTTGTTGGCTTTCCATATTAGCATATTCTTCAATCCTCCTATCTAATTCTGCATCTTCTTGTCCTCTTAACTTATAATGGGACTGCAGCTCTTTGGCTTCTTCTCTATGTCTCCTTCTTTCTTGTGCTTCAAATTCTAGCTGATCTCTTTCTTTTTGTACAATCTGTGCAATAAGCATTTTATCGAGTTCTTTTTCTCTCAATTCTTCATCTTTTTTGATCTGTTTGGTAAGCTCATTATGCTGGATGATTTCTAAATTTCTGTCCCTCATAAATCGTTCTCTTTCTCTCTGCAGAGCGATTTCATTTTGCTTTTCTTTTTCCCATTCGTCGTTCAGCATCTTTTTTTCATCCCTGTCTTTTTGGGACTGGTTTTTCCTGTTCTGTTCTCTCATTGCTAGCTGTTGGTTTAAATAGGCCAGCCTTTGTCTATTTAGCTCTTCTTTTTTTTCTAGCTCTTCAAGCTCTTTTTGGTCTTTTTTTATTTTTTCTCTCATCCAGAGCTCATCATAAATCGCGTTTTCTTCTCTCAGCTGTTTTTCCCTTTGTTCTTTTTCCCACATTTGGTGTTCTTGTTCGATTTTGCACCTCATAGCGGTGAGCTGGGAGTCCTGAGTCCTCAATTCATCAGCGCTTTCTTTCCACCTTTGCATCATTTTGGAGTTTACTTCTTCTTTGCGCTCTTTTTCTCTGATTGTTTTGAGCTCTTCGAGACGGACTGCCATTCGCCTTCTGATGTCTTCAGGAGTTTCTTGGGTATCGAGGTACTCTTTGCGATATTGCTCATCTTCTCGCTGGTAGAGCTCTCTAAGCTTGCTACGTCTAGTTTCAAGCTGCTGGTTGTGGACGGCTCGCAACTCCTCGAAGCGTTTTTTTGCTGTGACTTGGGTGATCACCTTGTCGGTTTTTTGTTCCCATTGGGCCTTGTGGCGAAGCTTGTAGTCAGCTGCAATGTGGGCGTTTAAACCTTCAAGCTGAGCTTCCTTAGCGCGTCGTTGTTGAATCAAATAGTCAGCTCTTATGGCACTCTAACTCCCCGTCCTTGATTTATTGATTCCATTGAAAGTTTCCTAAAATTAGGCCTTGGGCATTTTAACAGTTTTTATGTAAGAGCATAAGCTTTACCTCGTCTTCAATTTAACTACTTATGTTTGATTATAATAAATATTAGATAATCGCTAAATACAATTTAATTTCAATTTTTTTTATCATATTTACTTGCATACTGCATGCTCTATCTCTTGCGGCTAGCATAAAAACTTTACAAAATAAAGTTTTATTAGAAATTTTTTTCAAATTATTATGTAAATTTTTCCAACTCTATCTCTGATTGAATTTTGCGATTGAATCAAATAAGGATGGGAGTAAGTAAAATTTACCATTTGAATAAAATTATTATGAAAATTTTAGTTCTAGATGATTTAAGATGTTTTAAATGCAGTAACAAAGTACAATAAATTAAAAGAAAATCTATTAGCTGCTTAGCAATATTATATTATTTTTTATTGAAAATGGGATATTTATAGATCCAAAAAACAGCATCACTTATAATAAAGTATAAATCCAAAAGCATTAAAAATTTTCTACTATCATCGCAAATTCAAAAGATTCGTTTATCTGAATACTAATTTAAACTGCTATATTAAATGGGAGGAAATATTGACGTAATGCTATAAAAAGGTGTTGTAAAAGTTCTGACTCCTTCATTTAAACTGGAACAAAGTTATCGGTAAAATTTCCATGTTTTGGGTGCTTTAACCCTCTTTAAATTGGAATTCTTTTTTCAATAGGAAAATTTTATATTTTGTATAAATAGCTTTGACCTATTTAATTTTAATGGAGGGAGTGCAAGTAAAATGATATTTAAACAGTTTTCACATTAAATCAACTAATTTTTTAATTTTTTTTTCATAAAACAAAGTGCTGTGATAAATTTATATTTTTATAGGTAAAAATTTTAATATAATTTTCTTAAAAAAAATTCCCATTTAATTAGAACTGGATTTTTTGCTCCAATTAAAAGGAGAAGTGAAGATCCAATTCCTGCTGAACAAATAGCGACTGATATGATGATGATTCACCGAGAAAACCTAGACTTTTTAAACCTTTCAATTGACGAAGCAAAGGAACAAAATAAAGCTACACTGACCGCCATAAAACAAAGCATTGGAATACCAGATACTCCAGGAAAATGAAACAGTCCAGCAAGACTCGAAAAGCTTTTATCAGTAGCCAAGCAAGGCAAGCTCCTTAGGCTTAAAGTAAAAAGTTCGCTGATTTTGCCTAGAAACTCAGTTATAAACATAACCCCACTCAAATATGAATTAAGCGGACGAACTTCAAGCGACGGAGTTACATATTTTGGGTGTAAAAAGAAAGACAGGCATAAAGGAAAAATTGTCTGTGACTTTATTATTCCTTATAACGACAAGCAGCTTAACAACTCTTTGAGGAACCCGCATTTTATGATTCATTATAACCCTTTTGCTGATTCCTATTACATTCGCGATCTTGGCATTGGATCTGGAGTTTATGCAAAAATTGACTATACCCTGGCTTTATTAAGAAGACAATATATATACCTTTTTAATAGGCTGCATAGAAAGTCACAATTTATTTCTATTATAATAATATCAGAATATTTAATTTCTCTATATGGTATAGTAAACTTTGGCGAATCTCATTTACTTATATCAGTTATCCCTTCCAATCCTTACCCAAGACTCTGCCTAAAAGTATACGGAGGAAAATCAGCTGGCGAGCTCATGTTTTTTGAAGCCCACGAGTATCATGTAAACCAAGTTTTCATCGGAAGAGACAGAGACTGCAATGTCTGCATTGACGACGCCTTAATCTCAAAAAAACAAGCCACTGTCTTTTACAGCCAAATTAAAGGGTGGATGCTAGTTGATGGAGATTTGCAGACCCAAAGACCCAGTACAAATGGGACCTGGTATTGCTTATTTAGACTCTATTTAAATGAAGATGTAGAATTACGAGATGGCATGGAAATCAAAGCTTTTCAAACGCTTTTCCAAGTAAATATCTATTAATTAAATTCTTATAATTTATCATTTACTTTTAAGCTAGAAGCCAATTTTTCCATGGTGATCTGCAATTCTTGTATTTGTTTTTCCAGCCCGCTTAGCCTTGAATCATAAGAAGTCTTCATTTCTTGCAAAACTTTATTTGCGTCTTCAATGCTTTGGTCTATTCTATGACTTTCAGTAAAAATTCCTTGAGAATGGGGCTGATGGCGATCTGGCGTTTTCTCAGATTGATTATAGCTCGCAACTGAACAATTATCAGACACATTTGTAGGAGTGCCTTGGCAAGGATAATTAACAGCATTAATTAATATTGGTTTTCCAATAATATCTAGCTTGTTATCTACGACGATGAATTCCTTTAAAGCAATTATTTTGTCTTTTCCGTCTTTACTTGTGATTAAATCATAAGAATTTACTTGGATTACGCAATTTATCGATAAATCACGATTGGTTGAGCTTTTAGCTGCAGCTGTTTTCGAAACAACTGCATTAAATATCCAGCATGAGTCAGATATTTCGATTTTATAATATTTTTGCTGTATAAACTTGATCTTAAATCCCCCTTTAAATCAAAACATAAAATCCTGCTCCATTTAAAGGGGTATAAATTTTTTTTTAAAAATTTGATATTAAATTTTTTTTTATACAAATCTTTTTAAAAATTTTTAAACATAAAAAATATATAAATTGAATTCAAATATTTTTGAATTTTAATTAAAAAATTATTTGACTCAGTGTGAAAACTGCTTAAATAATAGGTCAAAACTAATTTTATAATATTTAGTATTTATCATACATCCAAAAAATGAGAATTTCACCAATATTTTGTTCTAATTTAAAAGGGGAAAGGGTAAGCACTTGAAAATAGAGAGGAAGTTGAGCCCTTTTTTTGAGCATATCTTCTACTGAGCCTGAAATTAAACATATATCAAAATTTTCCATACTTTTATAATCTTAATGCATATAATTAAATATTAATGTCAGGAGTTTGTAGTGTTTGGCTTATGGAAAGACTCTCGTCTCACCTTTTTTGGAGGCGACGTACATCTAGTCGGTGAAGGGCTTCTATTAATTTTCATTGAATTAAACCTCCTATAATGCCTGCTATTAGTTTTCGTTGAAAAAGTCATAGAAATCTTCGGCATTTCCGCTTCACTTGGGACTAATTTTTGAACGTTTTTTTGAGGATTTTTTAAAGTTTCTATATAAGAGTTTTGCAGTTTAATTCCAGAATTTGTGATTAAATAGCTTGCATATATGGTAGCTTGTAAAAGACCTCGGAGCTTAAGTTTGTCATTAAATTGGGTAATTCTTTCTAAATACGTAAGCGGGGGCTTTTTATCAGCTTCTCTTGTAACCCAAGGGTGTCTTAACGCTTGCTCTGCTGTGTATCGTTGTAAAGGATTCACATGGGTAAGTTTCAGGAACAAATGTTTAGCTGAGTCACTAAAATTTGCAGGGAATTTTCAGTGAGGGTTTTCTAGCTTCCTTAAATAAGACCTGACGCTTTCTTTTGGCTCCATTAATGGGTGTTTCCCAGCTATCAAAATATACATTAAAATCCCACAGCTTCATATATCGACTGGCTTTGAGTATAATTTTGACCCTGTTTGTTCTGGAGCCATATAAATGATAGTCCCTACACTTTCATCTAAGCCTGGACCTATATAGTCTAAAGCCCATTGAGAACTTAAGCCGAAGTCTGTCACTCTGACTGATTGTAAAGAATCATCAGCAAACATAATATTTTCTGGCTTAATGTCGCGGTGGATGATATCGTGCTGGTGCAAGTAATGAACTGCACTGAGTAAACCTCGCATAACTGTGGCAGCATCATTTTCTGAGAAAGCACCATTAGAGATCCTTGACTCAAGGGTGCCGCCTTTGAGCAATTCCATTTCAAGCATGATATTTTGAGGGCTTTCATTTCACTCCTTCATTTTCACAATGTGAGGGTGATCTAGCTGGCTAAGAATTTTGGCTTCTGAAAGAAATTCAATTGCTTTGGATTTTGAGATGGATTCTTTGTTTAGGACTTTCACTGCGACTTCTTCTCTGTGCATTTTATTGATGCATTTATAAACTTTCCCAAAAGATCCACTGCCTATTTCAACGCAGTCTTTATAATACTGCTGAAAAAGTAAATCTTCAACTGACTTGTCCATCTCCATCAATAAATTTTAAAACTTAAAATTTCATTTAGTAATGGCACAAAATCTGATATATGCTTAGTTACCAAGAATAGCCCACTAAGGAGCATTTTTTGGTCGTGTCTTCACACGACGACTATTTCATAACGACTATTTTTTTTTGGCCTATTTTTTTTTAGCTATATTTTTTTGGCCTATTTTTTTTCACCCTATTTTTTTTAGCCTATTTTTTTTTGGCCTATTTTTTTTAGATTATTTTTTTTGACCTATGTTTTTTTGGCCTATTTTTTTTAGCCTATTTTTTTTTGGATTACTTTTTTTTAGCCTATTTTTTTTAGGCCTATTTTTTTTTAACCTATTTTTTTAGCCTATTTTTTTTTAGCCTGTTTTTTTTGGCCTATTTTTTTTTAGCCTATTTTTTGACTTTTTTTTGGCTATTTTTTACTAATATTTGGGCCTAATTCCATACTAATGATTTTAATATAACTTTTATTGTATTTTAAACGATTTTATCAACAAAAATGCACCTTTAACAGATCTCTTACTCCATGAATACTAATTCATTGATTTTAATTTTCGAGAATTTTAGATTTAATTAGGAGTTTTCCACTTAATTTACTCAATATTAATCGAGTAAGGAAATGTCTTCGTTACTCAATAATTATTTAGTTCTCTCAGTAGCTTCATGAATGAACCTCAACAGAAAAAATAGGCCAAAAAAAATAGGCCAAAAAAAATAGGTTAAAAAAAAATAGGCAAAAAAAAAATAGGCCAAAAAAAAATAGGCTAAAAGAAATAGGCCAAAAAAAAAATAGATGATAAAAAAATAGGCCAAAAAAAAATAGGCAAAAAAAAATAGGCTAAAAAAAATAGGCTAAAAAAAAATAGGCGTTATGAAATATTCGTCGTGTGAAGTAACCTTTTTTGGTTGGCCGGACTCTAGCTGGCTTGCTAAATTCGTTGGCATGCCCATATTTTCTGGCTAACCAAATTTAAGAAGGCGAACCAAAAAATGCTCCTTAGTGGGCTATTTCTGGTAAACAAATATATAAAAATTATGAGCTGGCTCACTTACTGTTAACTTCTTTTCGAAGCTAAATCTGATATAAAAAATTATGCTACATAGCTTTGCTCCAAAAATTATTCTTATAATGTAACTTATAAAAAGGGATCGAAAATCCACATATCTGGTGACGATTAGACATTTCAGATATTGTAAATAATTTGCTTATTACTAAATAATTATTATAACAAGCCTTCGTTTCTCTATCTGTCTTAACAAGTTCGTCTCTTTGCAAATTAATTCCTTAAATTCTTAAATTTAAATATTCGTAAGTATTCTCTTATCTTTTTTAATGGTTCCCAAAGATTTTGTTTCCCCAAAGATAAGCTAACTTAAAATTCTTAAAGACAGGTTAAATGCAAAGAAGTTAAGGTTTTACAATTATCTTATTCTTGTTTTTGCCGCTTTTCAGGTTCTCCACAAGTTATTGGAACAAAAGCACTCATGTCACAGGAAATCTTCTCACTTCTCCCTTATTATATAGCAAGATTTTCTGCTTACTATTTAAATTTTTTAAAAAATTTATTATAAAACAAATATGAAAAAATAAAAATTTTAATTAATTTATTATAATGAATTTAGTCAGATTTTATCTTATTATATTGGTTCAAGGATGAATTTTCCTAATTTATAATATTTCAATGTTTTGATCATAGCTAAGGGAGGAGCAGGAGAATTCCGGAAGTGACTGTATGAGTTGCTATAAGCAGCCACTGGCTGAGGGCTGCAAAATATGTCGCTGTTTCTTGAAGGGTTATTTTGGTGAGGATTTATCGATTTACTCAACTCCGCCATATACTTCACATATGCGCTGTACTGCATCATCTGCATGTACTTGCAGTAAAATTGTAAATGCAGGTTAGGTTGAAGGTTCGGCTTGGTAATTCCCTGAGGCTGGACTTTGGTAGCTCCATGCTTCTCAATCTTGATGAAATATTTCTGGGCATGAGATCGGATCTGGCGGTGCAGGTCTTATATGAAGGAAAAATGTTTTTATATAAATATTCTTTTATTTTTTTAATAAAATTATTTAAAAGAAGTATAGCTTACTAATGGATAATTAAAAAAAATTTGCTTGGTATTATGGCAAAGACCCGATCTGGGCTCCAGTTCGGGTCACAACATGCTCTTCAACTTTTTTCCAGTTCTTGCCATACAATTCTATGGCTTTTAAGAAGCGTTGATGCTCTTCATGAGTCCAACGGCCTGGTCTTTTCCCAAGCGTTGCGGAGTCGTTTAATTCATGGTTCATGTTTAATTATGGGATTTCATGTTAAAAAGACTGAAATTTACAAAAACTGTTTTCTTATCCTATTCAGTAGATAATTTTTTATAGGATTTTTAATTTTTTTAAATTCTTATTAAGATAATTTTCGGTTTAATGATCTCAAGTTATAGCATTTGACTGATTTAATTCATGAAACTTATTTTTGAAAAATATGAACTAGTGAAAAATTTATAAAATTAGGTAAAAATGTGATCATAGTCAATAATTAATCAAAAAAAAATAATAATAATAATAATAATAATAATAAAAAAAGGGTTGACTTCAAAAAAATAGATTTTTCCGCTTCGGGAAGATTAGAGAATTAAGCTAATTTTAGCTTTGAGATAGGTTTTGAAACCTTCAAAGAAATTAAGACATTAAACCGGTCGGTTACTATGGTTTACCCGGATCGGTTTTTTATTAAGGCAAAGCCTACTATTATGCCAATTTTTCAATTCTAACCGAATTATTTCGATAATTGACCACCAAGCGCTCAATTCCAAAAGATTTATTCGGATTTAATGTTCAACTTAGATATCAGGCATTTTTATTCAACAACCAATTTAATGGAATTTTGGAATTCGAGAATGGTAATGGCGTAGCTTTTTAAATATTTGCCAAAATATATAGCTCTTTTAAGGATGATAAAAGATAAAAATTATTTTGAAGCCTTAAAAAACTCATTTAATTATTTCTTCAATAAAGTAAAACCAAAAAATTTTAATTTGGAATTTTAGTGAATTTTTGCAGCTTTCTTAGAGGTAAAATCATATAAAACTACTTATTTTATATTTAGCATATATATGGTTGAAGACGCAAATGGAACTAATTTACAAAATTCTGCCAAACGTCATTGTATTATTGACTCCGAAGATGGCTTGATCATAAATCCTCAACTTGCACTAACCAAACAAATTTACAAGTCTTTTGGGAGTGCTACAACAGTTGAGCTTTATAATGATACAATCATAGACACTCCAGTAATAATTAAAAGGCTTGACAAAAAGTTATATTTTTTTTAAAAAATAAAAAAAAATCATTAATTCGGTCTTCTTTAATTTTTATAAAAAAAAAGTCTGAATTCATTTCTTTTATAGGCTCAGTCTATCTAAATAGCTATATTATTTACTGAAGCCCAAAATGAGTCTGCCAAAAGAGAGCTTGAAATCCACAGATCTTTAAACCACCCAAATATTGTCCAGCTCTATGATGGCTGTGAAACAAACGATGAATTTCTATTTGTAATGGAATATATCCCAAGACACGATTATTTCACTGAAAAAATTGAAGTGAATAATAGACCTTTTAACTCTAAATCGGACGGAGGAATTGACAAGCTGAAGTCTTTTACTTATGATATATTAAAAGGTCTAGAATATCTTCATGATAACCACATTATTCATTTAGATCTGAAGCCAGCAAATTTAATGGTAAAACCTGTGACGCAAAGCAATGAATATCCTCTTGTCAAAATCGGAGATTTTGGGCTTTCCAGAAGGTTCGGCGAAGAAGGAGGGGTTATTATTGATCAGAAATGTGGAACTGATAAATATATCCCTCCAGAAGTCAGGAGTGGAGCTTGAATAACCCCTGCAGTCGACATGTGGTGCTTTGGGCTCATTTTGCATACTTTGACTGTAGGCTTTGCGCCGTATGTTCTGAAGTGGAACCCAGGGCAAGAGATTCCTTTTAACCCTCGATGGTGGAAGAAATATAAAGATACAGGTCTGACTGATTTAATATCTAGCTGCTTAAAACTAGATCCAGCAGAAAGAATCACAGCAAAAGAAGCCTTGAATCATAAGTGGTTTGATTGCAGACTGGGTTAATTAAGCTGTTATAAATACATTAAATATCGTTATTTATGCTAACTCTCTTCTCTGAGTAAGTAAAAACATTGATATAATAAGTAAGCAAATAAATTAGAGAATTACGTTAAATTACTTCCTCATTCTAAGAGGCAGTCAAAATTTTTTCTCAAGCAAATAAGTATTTTTTTACCATTATAAAATCTGGGCTAATATTTTTAATTTTTTAGACAGCTCGCAGTATAAAATGAATTTTATAAATTTTTATATTAACATTGCGAATCTGGATTAAATCAAAAAATTTAATGTAAATTTTTGAAAAAATTTTCTTGTTCGAAAAGGATTAGGAGTAAGTGCTTCTTGCTAATATTGAATTACAATTCGAACATCTGTGGTATCTCATTTGGTTTATCCACATAGCCCCTCTGCAGCACTCTACCAGCGAGCTCAGGGCTTCTAAAATCGATATAGGGAACGCCGTCCTATTTTGAATTTCTACCGTAGTATGCACATCTAACTGGCATTTATTGCAAAAAAGAGTGCATGGCAAAAATCCCACCACAGGCAGCCCTTCTGGGCTTTTTTCTTCATTTTTTCGATCCATCGTGCTTTCTTTCGGGTTTTTAGTAGTCATCTCCGAAGTAATGATATCTGTTTTCAGCTTGCTGGCGTTAAATTCTGTATATTCTAAATCGTCGATTTCTGAAATAATTATCTGTTTGGAATCACAGTCAGCTGGCAGCATTAAGTTTTCTATATGCAGCTTGGTTTTTTTTGAGATCGATTTTTTGCAGTTAAATAAATTGGTTGGAAAAAGCCCTACTGGGTGAGATAGGACCCTCCTATGTTTTTTCTTGCCACTCGCAGTTAAATGGCAGGTCGCTGGAAAAATGCTTTTTAAGGACAGTCCTAAGTCTTCAGAGCCAAATTCAAAGCTAAGGCTATTGACATTTTCGTCTCGATTTATCGCAGTGGAGTCATCGAGTTGGTGCCTGTCTGAGTCTGGCCTTTCGGCGTCTGAAATTTCAAGCTGAGAGCTGGGGGTTAGTGTGGAAGTGTGGGAATTGAATCTTTTATGATGATACATTTCTTATAACTATTTTTCATTAATTTCAAAATCTGATTGAAGAAAAGGGTGGGCTTCTAAGAGCTTTCTTTAATAGAGAAATATAGGATATTATTAAAACATTTAATTACCCAGAAATTATCAATTAAGATAGGCAGGTTATTCTATGTGACGAGAAATATAGTCCATTTCTTCTTGGAAGCACTCAAATCTGTAAGAAAATCTGATCCATGATACGTTTGACTTGTGAGGATCGTAAGAGTTAGGCCAGCCGTCCTGGAAGTCTTTTCCTAGCCATCTTTTTTTGTCTTCAAGGCTAAACCCACTTTGTAAAACACTGTTTCTTGCAATTTCACACATGTCGACAACAGTCATGTCGAGAGCTTGTGTAACTACATTGTATTCTTCAAGCAGCGGCTCTCTAGTTAAATGGATCATTAATGGGTCATCAGTTGACAAGGCGACGTTAAGGCCTTTTGCAAAGAAGCTTTGGAAAGGGTTGTTTAGGAATTTCATTACAAGCTTATTGTTGGACAGAGGAGAAACAGATAGTCCGATCTGCTTGAGATAATACAGATATTGGAGCACAGGGGACTTTTTAAGCTCAATTCCATGGTTTATTGAGTGTGCTATTAGATAGGCAGTTGCAAGGTGGTCACCGCTGCCAGCTTCTCCACAATGAGGTCTAAAGGAAAAAGTGTTCATACCTCTTGCTCTTCTGAGGTGATTTATAGAGACTATATTAGCGTAGATGTAGTATAGCTCATGCACCTTAATAGATCTCTATACCCCAGCAGAATACCGACTAGAAAAAAATGGTACAGGGCACCTCCCTTATACAGTAAAAGCCTGATTAGGCACCTTAAAAACATAAACGGAGATCTGTCATTTTCGTTTTTACTTTTCAAAAACCTGACAAGTACAATTAATTTTTGGAAATTAAAATGGATAGCCAATAATGATCAAAATATTTCAGGGGCTATAATTGAAGTAACTGTATGGAGGATTATCTGATGCTGTCCAGTCTTCTGGGGTTATAACTTTGTAGTTGCTGTAGCTCGTCACTTTTTCAATTTTGTTTTCATTGTCAATTGTGTCAAAACCAACCACTTGGGTTAAGGTTTCAGCAATTTCAGGGTATGCCTCGGGCTCAAGTGTTGCTTTTATAATAGGCTCAAAAATATTTCTTACTCTTTCTATAAAATTAAATAAAAATTTTAAATGAATAAAAAAAAGTTTTTTTAAAATTAAACAAAATAATAGTTATTGATCATATACAGAACCAAATTTTATCTCTAAAGAATAGATAATTGAATGATTTTCATTTTATTTATATTAGTTTATAGTAAGTCATGGAAAATTAGCATTTCTTGGAATGATTCTATATCTCCAGCCTGTTTATAAGCTTTATAAAGTCTCGCTATTTGAATTAAGTACTTCACACAGTTAGATTTCATATTATAGGTCACAAACCAATGTGACAAATTCTGCCAGTCATCGTAGCTTCTTCCATATATCGAGAGTCTATATTCCGCCAATACATATTTTCCAATCTCTAGCTCATTAATTAGCTCTTTCACAATTTCTGCAAAAAATTTTCCACCAAAGTAGTTATCAGTCTGTAAGAAAATTTCCCTCAAAATCGCTTGTCCGATAGGGTTGTATTTGTTATTGAACCTATCAAATCTATGAAAAGTATTTTTATCAGCATAACAATTAACTTCCCTCTCGTGAGCGAGCAAAATAATTGAGCAATCAAGAATTTTTTAATATAAAATATTTATAAATAAATCTAACTAATTCTATTAAATTTTAAACTGGTTGATTTTTTAAAATAAATATAATAAATTAGTATTGTTTAAAATTTTTGCGAAATAGAATTTTTAATTTCGAAAAAAATTATAATTTATTGGTAAAATTTCATTTTACTTATCTATGTAAATTAATTTTAAAATTTCAAAAATATTTTGAAATGTCATCGTATATAAAATTGAGTCTATGGCTTGTTAAAAATCTTTTCACTTATGAAGCAAAAAGAAATTAATATAAAATATTACTTCCCTTAAAATTTTTGTTCGCTAACGGAGAGTGAGTAAGCACATCCACAGTTAATGATTCTGGCCTAATCCCAAGTGAATCAAATACTTGTTTTAATGTCAATCCATTACCATTTTCAGAGGTCACAATGGTATCTGGTTCAGTCTTTAGCTTCCTTTTTATGAATTTCAGCAAGTGTTTTTGGTTCATTGCAGCAGAAAGATGTACATGGTTATCTACCTTTGTAATGCTGTAAAAATCTTTTGACGGTCTTGAAGTCACATGGATATTTTCTCTGTTTGCGTTGCACATCATATGCATTTGGAACTTCATTTGAAGCAGTTTAAGCCTGGTATAGCAAAAAGATTTGTTTGGAGCTTCATATGAAGACCTAAGCACGAACTGTAAATCTGAGTATACCTTTATAAACACTTTTTATTCTAATAATAAATAATATTTTATAATTATTAATTTATTATAAATAAATATAAAATTCTCTAGCTGAAATAATTCCGATATTAACAGGCTCATTATTTACTTTGTACTTATAAACGCCATCTTCCACATAATAGGCCAAGCTTTCGTCCTTAAGAGCTTCATACAGAGTTGCTGTGGCTCCTTTGTCTCGAATAGTCTTTACAAGTGGGTGCTGGAAAATTTCCTTACTCCCCCCCTCCGTGAGTAAACAAAAAAATTTTGTTCATTCGCGCAGGGGTAATTTTTTTTTTTTTTAAAACATTTATATATAAATTTCATAGAATTTTTTTGTTTTGAAATTTAAAAAAATCCTAATTAGCAAGCATTGGAAAGCAAATATTAATTTAATTTATAAAATTTATGTTTCAAAAAGCAATTTGTTTAAAATTAAACAGAATTAGCTCTAGATTTCATTATACTAACTATCACTTATTTATCAAAATTTTTTTCCATAAAGAATTTTTCTATTATTAAAAAATTTTTGTTCACTCATGGAGGGTGGGTTTTTGGACAAAAAATAGCGATTTTTTAATGGCTTTGTTCACTAATGGAGGGGGGGGAGTTATCAAAATATATGTATTTATCTCTGATTTCTAATAAATCCATCAAGCAGCTACAAGATTTAAGGGTTTCATCTTGTTCATATTGCGGCTTAAGGTGATTAGGAATACTGCTTAATAGGACTCTACGGTAAATATAAGGGTCATTTTCTTTGAAAATTCTGCTTTCATCAATAGACACTGCACGATTTGTCCTGGTTTTGTGCTCTTCTTTTTTGTAGCTGTCGTTGCGCTGGAGCTTTGTTTCTTGGACCTCTAGCCACTTTTCGAAATCATTGAGCTCTTTTTCGTCGATTTCTCCGAGTTTTCTGGGGGCAGTTCTTAATGTTTTTTGTTTGTCGCCAGGATTGTAAGGATTAAGAGAGGAATAGGAGGGCTTACTAGGGAATAAAGGACTGCCAGACTCTGGCCTGATTTGCCGTGTGGGGCTGGTGGGTTCTTTCACTGTAGCTACAGTCAGATTATAAGTTTCTCTGCTCATCATTATTATTTCAATACAAATAAACCACTCTCTTTTAATCTATCTAAATAATAACATGAGCGAACTAAAAAATTTATTCATTCACGTAGGGGGGTTAAATTTTTTTTCACAAAAAATTGTTTTAATATTCAAATATTTACTTATAATAGCTACACTTATATATCAAAACATTTTCTTTTTTCTCGCTTGCAGGTGGGGTTTTTGTCCAAAAAACAAGGATTTTCCAATGGTTTTACAGGCTCATAGAGGGGCAGTAAGCAAAAAGAAAGTAGCCTGAAGTCTTAATGCATCTTAACTAAAGCTGTTTCCCATGATTAATTACTTAAATACTTGCTATTGGCAGCCATTTCAGCCAGAATAAAAGACTGATTTTGTTTTCAAAAAAGTCAGCGAAGGAGCATTTTGCAAATTAAAAACCCAAAGTCAAAATTTTATAAAAACTTACGCTAAAATTACGCTGAATAAACCATAATCAGCCAAGAAGTTTGTGAAATTTACTGGTTTTCTTCATCTATCTTCACCTGTATTGGCTTCAATCTCTCTTCTTCTGCACGTCTTTCCTCCTCTTCTAATCTCTTTTGTTCCAAATTAAGTATATGCTGTCTCCGAATAATCACAACAAGAATTGCCAAGACGAAGGCTACCCAAATGCATCCCCATACTACCATGCATGTGTATGTATCATAAAGCATCGGCTCCATCATCGCCCACATAAAAAGTCCGAGGAATATATAATATAATGTATTGGTAATATTTTATTTTGCTTATTTATGGTAAATTGATTTTAAAATGTCAAAAAAATTTTGACATGTCATTACATATAAAACTGAGTCTATGGTATGTTAAAATTTTTTTGACATTTTAAAATCAATTTACCATAAATAAGCAAAATGAAATTTATGCAAAGGATTATATATTATTATGAAAGCTCCCAAAATAATCAGCCAATTCTTCCAGCATGGTATTGAACAGGTGCATTTTCTTGACCTCTGGAAGCTGGAAGCATAAGTACTTGGGACCTGTTTGAGTTCTTTTGGCAATTCTGGACCTTCATCGTCTGATGAGCTTGAAGAGCTTCCTTCAATGTCATCGATGACTACTTTATTGAAGTTTTTTGAGTCAAATTTTCCATTCCTAGTCGCCATTTATTTAAGTCGTTTGAATCCTTTTGCATAAGACATTTTTCAAGTAAAGCAAATTAACAGCAATCAGGGGATCAGAATTTTAATATAAATTATGAAATTTTTAGATATTTGATTGGTTTTGAAGCTTATATAATTAGTTATGGACCTATATTTCTTGAGTTTGATTTTTGTTTTTTCTTATAGTATTTTACCTTTATTTTCCCAGGTTGCATGAATCTACACATTTTCTAGCCCATAAGGACTATAAAGTATAGCCACTCATTAAAAAATTATTTAAACCAATCAGCCTTGCTGGAGAAAATATTAAAAATTGTATTATGCTTATTAATTAAATTTGACTTTCAATTTGACCTCTCATAGAAATACTTAAGAAAATAGGTAATCTATGCTTTGATACAATTGTGTGTTTGAACTGGCATCTTTCACCATAGGTACAACACCCAAGCTCTGAGAAGTGCTTGCATTCTTTTGTGCGGACGCCGACTTTGTCTCTTAGTTCCTCTTTCCCATGGGCAAACGCACAAGCTTCTCCAAAAGGACAAAATCCATTTACCCAGTTCTTACAAATTTCTGTCTTGAATTTTACTTGAAAGTCTTGCTCTTTGTGCTCTTTTAAGGCTTTGGGGCTTTCTTTTTTGAAATGACTTTGAAGATCTCTTTGATCACACTCTAACATTTATTTTTTATAATCTTTTAGGTATATCATTCCAAACTGTGATTAATTATCTATTTAGGAACAATAATTATAAATGATAATATTAAGGCTAGACCAGCACTGTAAAATATGTCCAGTTAGCGGTTCAAAAAAGTAAAAGACTGTGTTAAGAAAAAGCTCAGGAATTTTTAAATTCACCAGCACCATAGCCTTGCAAAATCTGAAGTTTTTACTAAGTTTTCCCTCCTATAAAAAAACAAATTATTTTCAAATTTATTGCAATCCTTCTTTCCTTTACCTTTTGCCTCTCATAATTTTCTATTTTGCTTAGACTCAGGAAAAATAATTTCTTATTTGTTTCTAAATATGCCATTATAGATCTCACTTAAATGAGCAGCTTAAATCGCTCGACGATGCTAGGAAAGGAAAAGAAAAATATACATCTTAAAGAGCCTCTTTTTTGGGCAATATCTGGCTCAATTACTTTTTGCATCTTATTTACAGGGATATTGTATGGGTGTATTTTTAGTTTCAGCTGTGCAAGCTATTTTCCTACGATTTCATATCTCGCTACTTTTAGAAGCCACGACAGGTGAATTGTATTTGGCATCACTTTTTACTCCACCTTAATTCCTCTATTATTTATTTCAGTAAAAACTAAACTTTCTGCTTATCTTACATGACTGACGAATCTTATAGGACTTGCTGGGTGTTTTTTGATAATAATTACAGGCGTTGTCGATGAGGTTAATGGTCTTTATTTCATGCCTCTGGATAAAGCCCATCCTTTTCTAACTTTATTTGGGTATTTTTCTTTTGCTTACTGAATTCATTCAGTTCTTAAAGCTTTTGAAAGTATTCAGCTTGAATTTTCAGAAAGATTTTGATTACTAAAATGCAAGAAAACAGTGATGGCTATTCATGTTCTTTTCGTAGTCACTGGTTTCCAATGGCATTTTGCCTATACAATTTATTCGAATTTTCTAGTCTTATCTTATATTATCGAGTTTTTTAACGTCTCCTAAGTTGCTGCACACTACCGTTTTCGTCACTCTGGAGTCAATTTTCTGCAAGGAATGATATTTGATGGAGGTATCAAAAAGAGCCGCTGGAAATATGCTAACGACAGATCGCCCTGATCTCTCTCTCTCCAGCTAAAGGTCGACCTACCTTGGATTGGTTGAGCAGAAAAATCACTATGCCTTTCACTATCTTTTGATTAGCCGTCCGCTCATTGTCTGGCTTGCCTGCTATAGACGGGATAGGATTTAGCGTGAAAGCTGGACCTCATAATCAAAATATTGGTGAATGAGAAACAATTAGCAAGCTAATTAGTTTTGAAAGAAATGCCATTATTCAAGTTTTCTAGTCAACGAAGTCGTCGAAGCATTGTGTGAGTGAAGCTTAATTACACTAGCGTTAAGTTTGCCATATCAAATTTCCAGGATAACAAACACAAGTATCAGCTTGACTTGGCTAGCAAGAAAATAAGAGAAGAAACAATTTATAAGGATTTCTAATGAATTCGAGCACAAGGGAAACAAAAAAGCTTAAGTTATAGACTAATAAAAATAGGAATAATTGAATTCGTAATAAATATGATAATCTCAGCTATCAATAGCGTAAGCAGGAGCTTCGCAGGTGCTCCAGGCTTACTTTCTGACTTCCGTTTGATGCTGCATGGGTTTGCAGCTGGAAATAAAGCTTACTTATTCCAAGAGGAGTCACAAATTGACAGAACCAGGATGACTGAATTCCATATTCATCGTTTTCTTCCTGAGCAAGGCAAAGGAACGTTTGTCCAGTCATACTGGATTGATACCAAGCAGTGCGGGCCTATGGTCTTAGATGCTCTAATAAAAATCAAAAACGAAATCGACCCAACACTGACCTTTAGACGATCATGCAGAGCTTAAATTTATTTTTATTTCCTTATATAAATTTATTTTCATAAAATATTTAAATAAAAAAATTTATCCCATGCAGAGAAGGGATTTGTGGATCTTGCTCAATGCACATAAATGGATTGAATTCTCTTGCCTGCATCACTGAGATCACTCCAAATACCAGAATGACGATTGGGCCGCTTATCAGAATGCCAATCATCAAAGATCTTGTTGTGGATATGACAAACTTTTATAACCAATATAAATCAATTGACCCTTGGCTCAAAAGAAAAGAGCCAAAGCCAGCTGGGACAAAGGAATACTACCAATCCCAAGAAGACAGAAAGAAAATCGATGGGCTATACGAGTGCGTCCTCTGTGCTTGCTGCGCGACTATGTGTCCTTCTTACTGGTGGAATCATCAACACTACCTTGGCCCTGCAGTCCTTATGCAAGCTTACAGATGGGTTATCGATTCAAGAGACCAGGCCACTGCTGAACGTCTGGAGAAGCTGTCTGGAGCTTATACGCTGAATAAATGCTACCAAATTGGAACCTGCACTGTCACTTGTCCAAAGGGCCTAAATCCTAAAATGGCCATCCACCAATTGAAAGGGATTGCTGCTGAGTATGAGCACGCTAAAGCTGAATGGGCAGTTTAAGTTAAAATTCAATGAATTTAAACAAGTCTTATAAGAATTAATTATGATTTACAGGGGTCTTAGGAAAGGATGCTTTTTCTGCTTGTGAAGCGCCAAGCTGTATTTATTGCAGACTTCTTTACCACAGGTTTCACAAATGACCCTTGTGGATTTGTAGTGGACTTGGCTTTTATGAGCAGTTAGAGATCCATCATTTGAGAAATATTTCCCACAGATATGGCAATATGATCTTTGGGAGACAGGATGAACTTTGTTCATGTGGATTTTTAAGCCTTTTTGAGACTTGAATCTTTGTGGGCATAACTCGCATTTAGCTTTTAGAATTTTATAGAATTTCATTTTTATTTGCTGTTTGATTGGAAGGTTATAAGCTTTAAATGGAAATATTAATTTTAGACTCAGAATGATAGGCAAATAAAGGTAAAGATCTATAACTTCTTCTAAGTTTTCTATTTCGTCATCTTCTAATGAATTTCACACAAATAAAATGGTGAGGTATCCGATCTGCCCATCTCAATACCTCCGGGGTTTTTTGGATTCAAGAGGGACGGGGTCTGGAAATTGTGTCGGGGCAGGTTTTTTATCCTCATCGGAAAACCATGATAAGTTTTTTTTATCCACATTACAACTCCGCACTCCTGGATGTGAAGGGTAATGAAGACCAGAAGGAGGATTCAAGTCATCTCCTACCTCCCATCTCTTGGTAGATAATGCTGACTGCTAGGAGTTTGCCTAAGGAAGTGCTTGGGTGTGTCTTCCGAGAGATGCTTTTGGTGACGTCGACAGGAAAGGGCGTGGGTGCAGCCCGATGCTTAGGGTGGGAAGCCTGAAGTCGGTGAGGGGCTGGAACAAACCCCGAAGGCTCATTCTAACTTTAATCTAATCTAAAGAATTTCTGAATTTTTTTTTGCGAGAACTGAATTCTGACTCCCCATTTAAATTGGAAACAAAACATGGGTATTTTAAATTTGAACAAATTTTTTGTTAATAATTTTTATAAAATTAATTTTGACCTAGATGAATGGAAAAAGTGTAAGTAGAATGCTATTTAAACAGTTTAAACTGAATTAATTAATTTTTTAATAAATTCTTTATAAAAATAAATTAATATTGCGCTCAATTTATTTTTTTTATAATTTTAAATATTTTAAAATTAATTTAAAAAAATTAACCTTTTAAATTGGAGCAGGACTTTTTGTTCCTGGGAGTGAGTTATTATTTGTACTGGGATTCAAGGTTTCGTAGCATAAAAGGTTATTATGATTGTCATTTGAACTAGCAGTTGCACTATCTTGGATTTCAATTACGGAATCATTTCTAATAAATATATCTGAGTTTTCGCGGGAAGGGCGAGATTGAGAATATTTTGGGAGATCTTTTTCAGCATTATATCCAATAAGTCTATGATTTGAGTATAATAGAAGTGATCTGATCGCTTTTAAAGTATTTTCCATGCTAATATAAAATTTAAAGGCGCGATTTTATTATAAATAGTGCTGAACGAATTTATTTTATAGAAAATTGATTTATAATAAGAATTGAGAGGAGAATTAAGAAAACAAAGATAATTACTTTCTTTATGAAATAAATACTAAATCCTTCTTGTTATATTTTTAATCTACACTATTTAGTTGATGTTTAAATAAATTTAGCTGATCACTATACATGTATTTTACAACTACCAGCCATAGTAATTTGTTGGCTTGAATTTTCTAGGAAAAGATCTTATACTAATCGATGTCTCTTGCCTACCATACTCATCCATTATTTTATCTTTTCAAGCCTGCTTTGGTTTCAGCTCTTTAGAAGTGTTTATAGTTGCTACTGATTTTGAGTTGCTCTTTAGCTCATTAAAATAATCGACAATGCTTATATTTTTCCTTAAATTAATATCCTCTTTCCACCTCATTACACTGTCCAGCATACTGTTGAACTTTTCATTATGTCATTTTTGCCTTTCTCTATATATAGAGTATGGCTTTTTTTTCTTTTCTTTTAGCTTAGCTTTGATAGTGGGCCAATAATTTTCTATTTTTCTATCTGTAGGTGAATATGATGACGATGATGATCCAAAAGTTAATTTTGGGATATCTAAAGAAACCATTCTAGAGCTTGGTCTCTGATCTCTTAGCGTACGGTTGTCACTCAATTCTCTTGTATCAAAACTTTTAGAAACAGTAAGAGGATGAATTATTTCATTCCGATTATGTATCAAAATCTCAGGAGCATGGACCTTATAATCCACTTCACTTTTCGATGCATTTTTATGATCGACTTTTTCAAGCTTGCATAATTCTATATTAATAGAAGGTGCTGCAAAATATGACGAAGATTTAGCACGGGCGTGAGACGTTAGCTTGAATCTTATAATATTCTTTCCTCATGCAATATTTTCTAAAGGAGTTTTTAGCATTTTTGATGATTTCATTTTCATTGTATATTTAAGTTAATTTAAAGTAATTACAAATAAAAATTTAATCAAAATTGTTCAACTTAATATTTTACACAAAAACTATGACCGCAGCATTTCAATTTCTCTTCTCAGAGCTTCAATTTCTTCTAAAATCATATCATTCTGTCCGTAAATTCTTGATTTTTCTTGCTCTTCTTCTTTTAATTTTGCTTTCACCAATTTTATTTCATTTTTCAGCTTATTTACTTCTTTATTCACAGATTCTTGCTTTTCCTGCACATTTTTTCGAGTATTTTCCCCGTTTATGATATCTTGGTCTAAACTTCTGATTTCTTTTTCGATGACAAGGATAGGCTTTTTCAATGAGTATCTTTCCATTTCTAGCTTTATGGTCTGTTTGCTTATCCTTAAAGACTCATTATGAAGCTTTTCTTGGTTTCTTTTTATATTTTGGGACTCTTGTATATAGGAAGCAATTTGCTGTTGGAGGCCTTCATTGGAAGCCATCAGGTCGTCTTTTTTTTTCTTCAAATTTTTCAAGGACTTTGTAAGGGTTTCAAGCTGTTTTGATGCTGATTGGTACATTTCATAATCTTCTTGGGCTTTTAAAACTGAAACACTTCTGCTTTTTGCTGCCTTAAAGCCAGTTGTATGTGGTCTGGATATGGGCATCCCAAGTGTGTGGGATGGGGAAGCATAACTTAAAACCATAGTTCTTGAAAGGGATGGTCTTCTGACTGCAATACTTTTCATGAAAAAATCAATTGCGTTTTATTATGGTTAAATAAAATAAATAGTAATATTTTATGTGCCCGCTATAAATCGGGTTTTTTGCTGAATTGTTCATATATAGCGTATGGAAAGTGGGATTTTTTAAAATTAGACGTAAATTTTCTTATGACATAAATAGTTTAAGGATTAAATTAACCTTTAATGGAAGTATTATATATTAAGGAGACAGAATTTAATTAATAGTTTGTTTATTATATACTTATTTTGATTAATTTATAATCAAAATTAATTAATTCATAATTATAAATGTGTTAGAACTCTGTAAAATTAATATAACGTCTCTCTCTGCCTGTGAAGACCCAGCCATTAGCCACTTGCACTTAACTTATTAACTTATTAGGTTCTGTGTTTAACGCCATTCACGGGGGTAACCCCTCCCAGAGCTTCCCGCTGCTTCTTCGCCGCATAGGGCCCGCCGACCGTCTGGGGCCAGTCAGCCTCGATCTCCAGTACGCGCCTCCGGAGCAGTGTTGCCGACTAAGGCGGCATTAGCCACTTGCACATAATTAATTATATCGTGCTAGGTTTTATCGGTTTATGAAGAGGCAACAATACTGGCCAGAAAATTTGTTTTTCAAATTTTCTGGCTGACTAAAGTGCTACGCATAATGGTGACCAACTTTCGGTGAATAAGCGCAAGCTTACCCAGAATAAGAAATAAAATGGTGACGTTTACGGAAAGTGGACTCCGAGTGTGACACCTCCTGATGGAGCAGTGGACCGGCGAGAGAGGTGGCGAAATGTACCTTTAGGGCTCAAGTAGACTTTCTCAATGGGAAGCTTGCCAAAGCAGGGTGCTTTGTTTCTCCCCCGAAGGTTTTCCCTGTCCCTGCCAGATGGGCAAGGCAATTTTGCCTACCACATGGTCTTTCCTCATCGGAACTATCGGGGCACTATCTAGGAGCAGCTCTGCCCAGGGCGAGATAATCCCCTGGACAGGTGATTCAGGCAGGAATTCAAAATGGTGTCTCTGATACCATTTTGGAGCGAGACGGGGCGTATAGTCAGCGCCTGCGGGAGCGCTTATGATCGGATGCTCATTAATCTTAATCTTAATCTTCCCAGAATTAGTTGGACAGGTAAGACCATCTATGAAGCCTGCACGGTGGAGATAGAATAATTAATTTTAATGTTAATTTACAAGAACTCTGCTAATAAACATTAAAATTCAATCCTAATAGGATATACTTTAAGTCAGATTCTTATATTTTGTTATTTTTATGACATAGTCAAAGCAATTTAATTAAAATCATTAAGACTTATTTAGAACTAAGAAATATCATCAATTTTTTCTTTCCTGAAAAATTCATTAACAATTATTCCGCCTGGGTAAGAAATTTTAATTCTGGATAGAACTCTATTTGACTGTTCTTTCTCAAGATAATGTCCCAGCGTCTCTTTAAGCTTATTCATCAGTGGCTTTGGCATCCAATCTTTAGCAATCTCATAAATGTGCTGATTAGTCCCTTCTTCATTTCTTGCTTCCTTTTTGCTTGGCGTATAGCTCTCTGGATTGAATGGGTCTTCTTCTATACCTCCATTCTTACCCTCTTCTACTTTTTTTGGTGTCTTTTTTAGTAACAAATCCAATAAATCCGTACTTGTTTCATCAGCAATTAAGCCTTCATTTATAGATATAACAGCCTCCCCTTTACGTGTCTTAACCATCAGCTTTTCTCCAGATTCAGGCAAAACCAAGTTTTCCTCTGTATATTTCTTTTGCCGCTCCTGTCTGAAATTTTTGATAGCAGAAGAAGCCATATCTTTTGACTGCATTTTTGATACTTCTTTTGCGTCAAAATCCCCTTTTAAAATCCCGAACCTAAAGTCAGGGTTTTTTTCATCACAAAGGTTAAAAAGCAATGATCTTACTTTCCCCTTATAAGCTGGCGCCCCAGCATTATTTCCTGTTGAATAATAAAGCGCCGCTTCAATTTCCATAGCTTTTTTTTCAAGCTCGCTTATTGGATAAGAAAGTTTTGCCTGCTTGTTTTCTTCTATGGAAAGATATAACGCATAGATAATTTTGCAAATTAATTGTTGCCTTATTTTTTCTTCGTTGCTTAGGCTTGATTTTAGGGACAAAAAATTGTTGTGGGTTTTCATGACATTTTCTAGAAGTCTTTCTTTACTTTCTTCGTCAAGGATTTTATATTTGTCGACATCAATAGGCAAGCTTGAGTTATCCACTGTCCGGGCTTTTGCAAAAGATTTTTGCTGCTTTTTGGGGGAGTCTAGGTCAAGAACGTCAACGCGCTGCCTTTTAAATGGTCAAGAGCAATCAGGGCATGAGGTAAAATCGGTGAGACAGGAGTCGTGGAAAATTTGATTGCACTTCTGACAGATGGTAAATTTGACGTCTGGATTAAGAGGCTGCTGGCAAAGGCAAACTGGAGGAAGCTTTTCAGGATTAAATGATTTTGTGTTTTCATAGTAAAATTGGCGCACAAGAAATCCTCTTGAGGAAGGATAGTCTTGAAGGGTTACTAAAGGGTAGGATTCTTTGACATTAGACTGGATAATATCAAAGAAATTGTTTCCACGGTAAAGTTCTCTGTCTCCACAATATATGTGCCGCCCAACTACTTTATTATTACCTTTTGTATCTTCTGGCTTGATAAGATCTCGGCACTTAAAGTATCCATTCCCTAAGCCAAGAACTTCTGCGAAATTTTCATTAGAATTATCATCAAGATACTTAACAGCTTTTCCGACTAATGTGTCACTTTCCATTGAAATTATATCTAATTTTGATTCCCCCACCCATATAATTTTTTATAATTAAAATTAAATATGTAAATAATTATTCTAAAATGGCAATGCTTTTAATTTTTAATATATTTTTCTTACTCAATTATGAATAATTTTTATTGTGGCTCTTTTTAATAATGATAATAATAATATTTTAATGAATTTTAAAAAATAATTTTGGGTAATTAAAATAAAATTTTTATACTTAAAGCCAATAAATCAAAATCATCAATTAAGAAGATTATTAAGTGAAGAGCAAAATTTGTGAGCGTTCAAGATTGAAGCAAGTTAGCAAATAGATTAAAGTTCGAGGGAAACTAATACTTAAAGGGATTAAAAAGCTATTTTGATATGCAAAAAATCATGGTTTATCAAAATATTTTGATTTTTTATCTTTTTTACCACACCTGAGCTATAAACTTTTCCCATTTGGATAACTCACCAGACCCTATCGCTAAGGCTTATTCTCAAAACTACATATCTTTATTTATTTATGCTTGTGTTTCCGGCTGAATTAAATTGTATTCATTTTGACTAATAAATTTTCTACTCTTACCCTTGCTGCAATTGAAAAATCTAGCAAAAATTGTTTTATATAATTCTATCTATAAAAGTACAAATTTAGTTTTCGATTTAATAAAGAAAATTTCCCATCCTGTAGAAAATTTAAGCACATTATGCTTATAATTTTTTGAAAATTCTGAATGGCTAGCTTAATTAGCAATCTAGCATACAGCAGCATCAAGCTACCAATAGAATTAAGCACTTATCCGTCGACCTAGCTGATTGATGTTTGCAGTTTATGCTAGCATTATTTTTATGATGAGTGCATTTTTTGCATTTTTTACATATTTTAAAATGAGCTTATTGAATCTTCGAGCTGATAACTGATCATTTTCCTCGTTGGCTCTCCTTCTAATATCAGCTAGCTTTTCCCTGAATTTTCTGTAAAATAGATTTCAGGATCCTCAGTAAAATTGATATCTCTTGATGAATTTCTTGTTCTAGCTGCATAATTGCATTTTTTCGATAAGGATTTCGCCTATATGTATCCTTAATTGGAGAGATAATATTTTTTCTCTTAACTCTGCATTTCTGAATCACTCAAGGTAAGATATTTTCGAATTTTGTGTGCTTGTTTTAAAGGAGGAACTTGAATTTTTTCTATTAAGACTTCATCAATTGAGGTTCCTCTTGTTAGACTTGAGCTAAGTTGTTTGCGTTGTCCATTTTTTATGGAAAAAATATTCATGCTGTGATACACCAACAATTTATTAAAATATTTATTTGCAATTTTTAAGAAAGTAAAATTGATGATTATAAATTTCGAAAATATAATTAGTTTGCAATTATTAGTTAATGATTAATATATTGAGATTTAGATAAAATTGCAAACTGATTTTGGAAAATAATAAATACTTGGTATTCTAAAAAATAAGCCTATTTTAAATATAAATTAAAATAAATTATCTGCAGTCTATATATTATTTTGCTATTTCATTTTTATCAAAAAGTTGATATCCATAACTGTGCGACTTATAGAGCATAATGGTTAACAAAATTTTATTGGCAAGGCAAATTTTAAACTTAAAAATAGAATTCGTGATGTGAAGAAAGATTAAATAATTTTTTCAGCATGGTTTTCAATAATTTGTAAAATCTTCTTAAAATAATATGATATGGCTTCAGCTTATAGAAAAATTAACTAAAATAATCAGCTATACAAAGTTAAACTCGCATTGGGATTATTATATAACTCAATATTTAAGTATATTGAAAATTAAAATTCCGATAATTATCATGAAACTATATTAATGCTTATGCTCAGGATTCAAAACTACTGTATGAGCTAGAGGCTTAGTAACAATGACATAAATTAAGAAAAAACAGCAGCCTCCATAGCCTAAAATTAATTTAGCTCTTTCCAATTATTGATCAGCTAGATATACCAATCAGGATTTTAATTTAAATTAGGATAAAAATAAATGCACACCAATTAATTAAATTACTATAGGGAGATCAAAATAGGCGTCATTTAGCAGATAAATTATTTATTTAATCGTTTAACTTTGAATATAATTTTTACAAAAAATTATTTCCAATTTATTTTTATCTCAAGCTGATCACACATTATGCTGCTTTTCTCTTCAAAACATAAGCAAAATAAATAAAATTTAAATTTGGTTTCTCTGTCCCAAAATAAATGGAAATCTAAAATCCTTTAAATGGCGTTTATGAGAGAATCAAATGATCCGTTAAGCATTAATCCATAGATATACGGTGATTCAAATCTCAATTTTTAAATCTAATTAAATATTAAGTGCTAGTAATATTAAATGTCAGCCACTGTTTGCTGCGTAAAGAAAGAATGCTGCTGAATTTTAACTATCCTATCTCTCTTGCTCATTATTGGATTGGAATTGGCATCGCTTGGAGTTGATAGATGGTTTGAACAAGGTGCTGACCCATACGATTGGGAAGGCGGCCTTTTATCTCCAACGTCCGACTCTAATTACTACTCAGACTCGATGAGCTACTCAGACTTCTGGGACGACTGTAACGATGGTTCCAATCGTAATAAGCAAGGATTATCTCCAGGAGAGTGTAAAGCCATGAAGCATCTCTGGGCGGGTGGAGTTATTTACATTCTTTTCGAAACTATTTCACTGTTTTGTATATTCTTGACAATTTGGTTCTTATTAAGAGATATCTGCAAAAAACCGAGATTCACATGGCTTGCAGTTGTCCTTATTTGGTTTGGTCTTGCATGGCACTTTTGGGGACTTGTTATATGGTCAGGTCTCGCAAAGATGTTCTGGGGCTATGAGTGTAGTAGACTTGACTGGGACCATCACCAAGAGCCTGCTAGAGTCTGTGGGAAAGAAGGCCCCAGCATTTCTTTAGCATGCGTCCTTTGGTACTTTGTAGTCTGCATCTTTTGGAGTCTATTCTACAGGCTATACAAAGGAGATGAAGAAAAGAGCGGAAAAGAAGCTACTGATAATGGATACCAAAAAGCCCATAAAGCTAGCGAAGTCCAGGAAGACAAAGTTGAAGAGGAAGAAGAAGGAGAGCATAAGCATAGACATCGCCATCATCACAGGAATCGTGAAACAAGTCAAGAATAAATATTTAAATAAGGATTAGGACCTTACAATACTTTAAATTGGCCTCATTTTAGATATTTATCATTAACTCCTAATACTGAATAGCTATTGGATAAATTTTCAAATAAAATGGAAGAGATTGAGATGGATTTTTTGTTTGAATAGATTTGAATATCGCTGAATAGGTTTTTGGAAAAGCACATTTATAAAATTACTTTAAAATCCGAAGCTAGGATTCTGCAAGAAATGAAGAAAAAAAATTTAAAAATAATTGTCTATGGGTTTTAAAAGAGATACTTATTTAGAGCTTTCTGCATATGTTTTTCGTATTTACGATCTAAAACACGAAAAATTATGCTTTAGATAGATGCGTTGTTTTGAGCTAAGAAAGATGTATTTATATGGGTATTTCTTTAAATTGCTTTGATTTGTAGTATATCTTGGCTGTATAGCTTGCACTATATTGCAAATAATGATGTGACTTGAGAATTAAACTCCTTTAAAAATATCATTCTCATTTATTTCTTATATATCAATTAAAATTATAAATACTTGCAATTATAATTCTAATAGGTCTGGAAACAAATCATAAAATAATCGAAATTAAAAACTGTTTAGTTACAATTATCCTTGATTTTATTAATCTTCATTGTCAAGCGCTGATGTAGGTGGCACTAATTCCTTAATTTGAAGCAAGTTATTCCTCAAGCACTGTGTAGCAATATTTGTCTTTTTCCCATTATTATTCCTATTAGGTACATAAATAGGCAATTCTTCCTCATTTGCTATCACCGATGATTGAGACCCTTTAAAAATGATCTGAAACCGCATCTGTGTTCTATATATTTCTGCGATAGTTTGTATTCTTATTAATAACAATTACAAGCGTTTCTACTATTTATCTGCATTCTATATATAAATAACACTATCCATCTTCTATTCATATCAAAATGCTATATTATATGAGAAATATACCCTAGCTTTTCCAAATTTTCTGTCTCGCTTTCATTGGCATTTCCTTCATCATCAATCATTTCAAGCCACTCAATGCTAAATAAATCAGGAAAAGCCACATATATTTCTCCAATCATTTTTATTCTTCTCAGCTGAACTAAAGCTTGTTTTGCTTCAACCTTCATCAGTCATTCATCAATAGACTCAATCCTTTCTTTAAACTTTCTACTATGGGCATGAAGTAGTTTTTTCCCTACTTGTTCATGCCCAAAATAATCCTTTATTAGATTATGTGATTTTTCTGTTAATAAAGCTTGCTCTGCAATGCTTCTTTTAAAGTCATTTTCTTCTTCAGCTAAATCTTTTTTTTCTTTTAGTCTTTGCAGCTTAAAAGTTTTTGACTGTAGGATTTTTGAAAACGAGGCTTTTAATTCTTGCGTTTTTTGGTCTAAATTTATGAATTCTTTTCGGGCTCGTAATAGTTTCTTGTAATTTTCTTTTAATTCGAAAAAGTCTACAGCGGCATTAAAGGAGTCTTTGCGGATACTGCTTCTTAAAGGGGATAAGGAGAGTGATTCTTTCCTTGTAGCTCTTGTGAACTGTTGTATGGACTCTTGCTGGGCATATCAATTTTCGTCGGAAAATTCATAGCATATAAAAGGAAAGCTGAATTCTTTGAGAGATATTAAATCTTTTGTTAATTTCCCTCATAAAAAAGGCTAAACATTAATTTTATTAATCATTTATTATCTATTTTTAATAAATATTTTAAATAATTCATTTGTTTATTAGCAAATAATTGATAAATAAAGTATGGAAAGAGTAAGAAAACTAAATGTTTTGGATTTAAATAGTCTTCAAGTAGCACAGAATTTGAGGAATTTGTGACAATTACTAAAACTGGGTAGACTTTGTGAGGAATTTTTAAACTTGTTCAATAAGGATTTAAAGAAATAGGATGCAGTAGTTCAAGATGAAAATCCTTTTCTCTGTTGGATAATTTCAAAGAAAGCTCTGATGGTTGCCCTGGAAGATTTCGGATTGCTATAGACGATAATGATTTTCATGCGCAGTCATTTTCTAAAGACATTTTAATCCGTTTATTCATGCATTATGTTTTCATTACGCAGAGTTTATAGTAGGCTTCTTTGTATTATTGTTTTTTCCTCTAAAAATATCAGAATTATAAATTTTTTTCCATTCTGGAAGTAATATTAGAGATTTATATTATTAAATTTATAGTATTAAAAGGTGCATATGGTAAAATTCTTAATGTATCGTAATTAATTATATCGTTTACCTGGGCTTAAAGATGACCTTAGAGGAGTTGTTAAATTAGACCTCGTATGAGGTTTAATTAAACTTCCTTCCCACCTCCCAGCAGCTGTCGTATGTTTCCCTTTTTTCTTATTCGTCTCGATTTTCTGCACATTTTCCAACTCCCGCCTAATATTTTCATATTTTTTATTAGCCAAGTCAAACTCTACATTCCTCTGTTTACTTAGCTCATCCAGCCCCGTTTTCTGTCTTTTTTTAATATTTTCTATTTCTTTGTGTAATTTACTTTCAAAAATAATCATTTGCTGCTCTATTTTTACCTGTCTTACATCCAAATGCTTCATTTGTTCAAAAGATTTCGTTTCTTCTATTTGTTTTAGCAAGCTATTTGCTTCCATATATTTTTGTGCCTTGACCGCTTTTTCTTTGCATTTAATCATGTTTAATAGCTGTGCACTTGGCTTAAAGGCTGTTGGGGTCGTGGATTCTAGCCTTTCTCTTTCTTCTTTGGCTTGGGCTTGATGCTTTTGAAGGGTTTTTTCTTCTTGATCTTTGCATTTTTCGAGATAGTCTTAAATGACTTTGTTTCAGTGACTGTTAAACTCAGCCACTTCGGCTTGATATGAATGTTCAACGGTTTCTCTTTCTTCATTTTGCTTTGATTTTAGCTCGGCAACTTGGTCTCGCTTTAGTTTTTGTTTTAACTCCACGATTTTTTTAGCTGTTATTTGGGCTTCGATGTAGCGCTCTTCAGCTTCAAAAGCTCGCTGCTCTTCTTTTAAGGAATTTATGAGTAAGAGCAGATCATTGTTTTCTGGGGAGCTTTGTGGAGGAGAATTTGAGGATTCCATAGGAAGATTTAACGAATTAATTTAATGATATATATAATAATAATAATTAACGATATGTATTTAAGGTCCCTTCTTCCATGCGTGACATTCCTCCGCGCTCCGTGAGGAGCCGTGCTGGCACGAGCGAAAAGGATGGACTTCCATCACTGGTTCTCTGAGCCAGGCCGAAAACCTGGTTTCTCGGTAGTGGTTGCCCTATGGGTCGTCAGCCGACCGTCGCCAAGCACCACCATTTCCAACTCAGCCTTTCGCCCCGAGTTACGCCAGTCTCTGTCTCCGGCTGGCCAGGTCGTCCTTCTTTTAAGGACCCTTTTAACTGGAGAGACCGCCTTTAGGTCGTCTAATCTGCCTCCTCTCTTTCCCAGCTTATCCGCTTGAGAAAATCCTCAATCGCTTCCGCGATTTCGGGCAGACCACAATAGCAGCTTGAGTAGGTAAGTCGCCCTGCTCCGTTTCGGGCACCCACTGGCTTGGGCGCTGCTGGAAAAAGGAGATGCCACTAACTGTCCTAGAATCTGGCTACGATCAGCGGATCTGTGTTCGTCCCCGGTCGCCACCAGGGTCCAGATACTGCTGGGCTAAGTCGCTTCTCCTGAAAACCATGCCCGGATATGCACGGGTTACCGTCACTGGGAGGACGGGTCGGTCGCCATACGCCATTTTATGTATATTAATGATATATATAAGGAAGTAGGATTTTTTCATATTTAATTGGACAACAGATAGTTATTGGAGGCTTGAGATCTAACTCCTATTTCCTTTCAAATAAGAAATATATTTTTTTATAAATGGATTATTTAAGGAATATGTTGCTGGATTTTTTTCATAAATAATAATTATTTATTTATTTAATAGCAGGTTTATTCTCAAAAAATTATTAAATTTTCCTTTTATTAGAGATTTAAAACAACAAGACTGCTGGACATAAAGAAAATTCCTTTAATCCAAAAATACCTATTATTAAAAATTATTATCTTTAATTTTTCCTCTGCTAAATAATTCTCTTGAAAAGTAGATAGCCTAGTCATTCCATCCAGTTGCAATTTATTTAAAAAAATAATTAATCAAAACAATTTAAAAATACATTACTCATTGCTTGCCTCTAAATCTTTTTCAGTTGGCATTGTTGCCACCACTTGAATTATCGATCTTAAAACAGACTGTGGCGGATTCACAGGAATTATAGGAACAAAGTCTACATCAATCTCTGTCTCCATAGACTCCACAAATCTTACAGGGTTAAATTCTATCATAATAAGCTTATTCTCAGCACTATAAGCCTTTTCTACAGGAGACTTCGAAGCCCTGAAATTTGGGTTTTTATTAATTTTAATATTTTCTTGTGCATATAAGTTGTCAATCTGCATGCTGCTTCTATAACTAGAAGGAATCCTTTTCCTCTGGGCAGGCTCAGCTTTGGTAAGTGCAGAATAGCTTTCTGAGTTTAAATATTCAGATAAAATCTTGGAATTTTCGCTGTAATTTGAGAAGGACTGGTTGGATTTTGTGGAGGAATTTGAGTGGATTGAGAGCTGCTCTTTTTTGGTTTTGTGGATAGAATTGCGGTTTGTGGAGTGATCTTGGGATAAAATGTGAGGAATTGCTCGCAGATTTGCGTAGATGTGCTGGAGAACTCGTGGGGAGGATTTTATTGGGGAGTTTTTTGATCTTTTTGGAGGCTGTTTTGGGGTTAAAATGTCTTTGATTAGTTTAGGCTTTGAGTTCATTAATATTATCTTGAATAAGTAAATTATGTAAAGATTTGAAAATAAGTTACATTGATAATTAAAAAATTATTTTTGTTTATTTTATTACAATAAAACTTTTAAATTACAGTTATTCTATAATTTCAGCTAGTTTTTCATAAAGGATCTTCATATATTTTTCTCTCAATTCTTCTGGTAAAGTTTGGATACTTCTTAAAGCTTCTTGAGCTCTATTCATATCAGCTTCTATAACTGCCATCTTGACGTTGAAAGTTTTTATACCTTATCTAGATTATTTTTTTATTAGGAGATATATTAAAAATAAAATTAAAATCCCTTTTATAAAAATATAAATTGTACAATTTATATTAGCAAAGTATAAGTATTTCTGCACCTTGAAAATATTATTTTTTATCTCTTGATAGCTAAATATTCTTTACTAGTCTGTCTCTTTAACTTCCTCCTCTTATATGCATTAAAATGGCGACACGTGCAACCTACCCTCTTGGCGCAAAAGTTCAGATCTTAAGGCCACGGCAAGCTGGGACGAATTCCGAGTAAAGAATCAAGTTATACCTCAGGAGATGTGTGTCCAGGTAGGTTTTGGCTGCCTCCTGTGATTGGAAATGGAGGTGACCGACAACTTCCTTTGGATCCGAGGACCCATAGGCATTCCTCTACCGAGAAACTGGGATTTTCAGTCAAGACCACAGGGGAGACTTTTTCCTGTAGCTGTCGAAGGAAGGCGCATCGACACCTGAAAGACTTAAAGGAGCTGATCCTTGGATTCAAATTACCCCAATCCCGTCGCAGAGCCGTAGGACTACGGAAGGTATCGGAAATGGCACCCATTATTGGTGGATAGACCCTCGAAAAGCATTCGAACCTTCCTTTGGTAACTGCTTCACCAATATTGCTAACACCTGACTTTAATTAACCTAGCCTAAGTTCATCCTCTTTCGGAGGCTTTGGTGGTGTATATACAGGTGGAAGCCTATTAGATTTCCTCAACACATCTTCAGCTTTCTCTTTTGCCGCCTTTATTTTCCTCTCCCTTTCATTCGCAATATACTTCAAATGCTTCAAATCTTCCCTAAACTCTGCAAAAACATCAAGGAAATCCATCCTAGAAATAACCAAAAGCTCGGTCGTCCCATAGGACCTGACATTCATTTTCCTGATCGGCTTCTTTTTCAATATCTCTATTTCCCCAAAATACGACCCTTTTAAAAAACTTTTATAAGCCAAATTACTAGGACGCAGGACAAGGTTAAGTTTCCCTTTAATAATAAAAACAACCTCTCCTGCATAATTTCCTTCACAATATAAAAATTCTTCATTAGAAAGCTTCATTGGCTTTAGCAGAGGCATAAAAGAAATCACAAAGGCTTTGTCTTTATCAGAAAAAAATTGGATTTCTCTAGCAGCACCATCATACATAGACAGACAGATTTCGTACCTTAAGTCTTTTCCCAGTTCTTGTAACAGTCCATGCTTATCAGCCCATATATTCCCTGATTTAGAGGTGTTGAATTTTATAGCGCGTCTTATTTTCTGCTTACATTCGTCAGAAATTCCTGTTGATTTTGAAAATTCATGAATGGCGCCTAGCTTGGCTTCTAGGACTGAATTTTTGGTGTCAATGTCAGCAAAACAGGACGCTAAAGAACCAATTGTGACGGAATAAAAACCAATACCTACAAACATTCAAGCCATTGATACGCATTGCTCGACAGGAGAATAAGCGTGGATATCGCCATATCCGACTGTTGTTACTGTTACTAAAGCTCACCCCCTCCATCTGTGAGTGAACAAAACCATTAGAAAATCCCTTTTATAAGAGGAAAAATCACCTTCTATGAGCGAGCAGAAAATTTTTCTAAAAATATTTTGATATATAGATTTTAAGCAACTTATATTATTAAATAATAATTTTACAAATTAAATTTTAGCATTCGCAAATCAGAATTTTTTTTCAGAAATCACATTAAAATTTATATATAAAGTTTTACCCCCTTCGTGAGCTAACAATATTTTTTGTTCGCTCACGGAGGGAGGAGTCAGTATACAGAGTTTAAATATTGCTGGAAAACTGGGGTATTTATCATATTTCTTTCAAAAACCCAACTATCATAAGGAAAATCCTGGAAATTGTCGATCATAAACCAGATGCAGCCCATAATATGGACCATAACACAGACAGAAACCACGAATTTTGTTAGCTTGAACATTCTGGAGTTCATTTGTAAAAAGTCTTGGGCTTTTTCAATCAGTAAATTGTTCTTGTAATGTTTCATGACTTTTGCCATTCTTGTGGCTCTGATTATCTTATAAAGCCTTGGAAGTCTGGCGATTCTCATATAATGGTTAGTGCTGCCATGGGATTTTGACTCTACAACATAGCTTACTAAAGTAAAAGGTAAACTTGTAGTTATATCAAACCAAAACCAGCCTGTTAAATAATTTTTAGCGTTTTTCTTAAATGACTTTTCAATTGTTCCATCCGCTCTATACGCAGCACTTAAAAGGTTCACAAAAATGTCAATCTCGAAAGCGCTGTCTATGATTAGTTCCATTATAGATAGCCAATCTCAGAAGTAAACATCTATAAATGCCAAATAAAAAGGGGTTACAATTGCAGTATATAGTAGCAGCAAAAATAAAAAAGCATCCCAATTTTTTTTTCATAGAGATTTAGGGTGAATTAAATATTTTGGAAATTTGGTTGTGCTCGTTTTCAGCTTTTCTACCCTTCTAATAGTATCCCCACGTAAAGAATATATTATTGATTGCCCAAGTCTGGATGCTTTAAACTATCTATAAAAATCTAATTTTTATAAAAATATCAGCGGGTCTAGGTGGAAAATTTTTTATTTTACCTTAATTAGTATAGAATCTGGTCAGCGTTTGACTTAAAGCTGCTGATTGTCTCAGTAAGCGTGCTTGAAGTCCCAAAAACCAAAATTTCTTCATTCATATAATTGATCATTTTCCTTATTTTAATTTTTCACATCGCTCTTCTCCAAACATCGTGGTAACTAAGTCTTCTGCTGTGGCTTTCTCCATTATAGCTGCTGGCTTCTTCTGATCCTCTGCGCGCTGTTGGCTTTTCTGAATTTGTCAAAGCTTGATTTTTCATTAAGAAAATGAGTAAATAAATATATCATCTGCTAAATTAAATAATTGCATTATTTTGACTTAATTTTTAAGCTTAAATATATAGCAAAAAAGCATAGGACATTTTTAAAAGACAGAATATCCGTTATATAATATAATTATGTCAAGTCTGCTGCCTAGAAGAGTCGTCATTACAGGTTTAGGACTTGTCACCCCCCTAGGAGCTAATGTTAACGATACTTTTTCCAACCTCCTTGAGAAAAAGAGTGGCTTACGAATGGTAACCCCAAAAGATCTTGAGTTTTCAGACCAGCTATCAGTGAAAACTGTAGGGTTTTTGGATTCCTGGGACAAGGAAGGCTGGGTTAAGAAAGTCGCTGTCATTAAATCCGTTTATCATGCCCTTGGATTTAACTGTGCTACAGATGCTCTTATAGACAGTGCTTGGAGCCCAAAAACAGAACAAGAAATCACAAGGACTGGCGTTATGTATGGAAGCCCCAGAACAAGCTCGCCTGATATAAGTATTGCTCAAAGAGAGGTTGTTAAGCATGGTTATATCAGACTTGACCGTTTAATCTTATTTCTCCCTCTTATACATTTACTTTTTAATCTATGTTTTACATAATATTAGCTAGTTTTCTTTATAATGTGTATTCTATTAAATTTTTTTTGTTGACTATTCCATTACTTGTGTGCAATATAATTTATAAAAATATATAATTATCCATAACAGTGAATTTTCTAAACTGATTTTTTTGAAATATCTGCAAATTAAGCTTTTTGTAATCCAAAAGTTAGCAAAACTAATCCCAAGCATGATTGTAGGCACCATTTCTATCCCTCGTCATATTTGTGGTTTCGCTAATTCTTTTTGTTCAGGAAACTGCACTGGTGCTCATGCAGTTGGGGACACTTATAGGACTATAGGAGTAGGTGATGCTGACATCGTTATAGCAGGAGCTGCTGAACATGACCATGATGCTGTCGTAATTGATGCTCTTACCAAAGGCAGTTATGGCTACAATCTTAACGCTGACGAAAACCCTTCTGCCGCAGTAAAACCATTCGACACACACCGTAATGGTTGGGTTTACAGCATAGGAGGAAGTGCCTTGATTCTTGAAGACCTTGAACATGCCTTAAACAGGGGTGCCAAAATTTACGCAGAAATGGCAGGTTATTCTATGCTATCTGAAGCAGGCACACAAACTGCAAGAGAAGGAAACGGCATTTATAGGTCTATGAAAAGAGCTATAGAGCAGGCTGGGCTTAATAAGGACCAAATTGATGCTGTTTTTGCAGGTGCGTCAGGAAATTTTGAATGGGACGAAGGAGAGGCTGCTGCTATTTTGAAACTTTTTGGGGAGAAAGGACCAGCAGTAACTTCAACCAAAGGAGGTATTGGACATATGCAAGGCACTAGTAGTGCATTAGATTTGGCAATTGCAGCTCTTTCAATGCAGAGAGGAGTTATTCCACCTATTACAAATCTTGAAAACCCACTCAGCGTCCAAGGGAAAAGACCTGACTTTGTGACAGCCGCAAGGGAAAAAAGAATCAAAGCTATTGTAGCGAACTCTATTAATTATGATGGGACTGGGTACTGCTCAGTAGTTCTTAAAGCATTCGAAGGGAGATAAATTTAATATAAACAGATAAAAATTAAATAAAAAACAAGATGAAAGCCTTATGAAATTTATTTAAAACAAAAAATGTCACTTCAAGATTTCGAACAGCTTAAAAAACTAGGAGACGGTGCCTTTGGGAATGTTTTCAAAGTAAGGCGCACTTCTGACGGACAAATATACGCCTTGAAAAAAGTCAGACTTGGCCCTTTAAAACCTAAAGAAAAAGAAAACGCTTTAAATGAGGTAAGGATTATGGCTTCTTATAATCATCCAAACATCATTGCATTCAAAGAAGCTTTTATTGATGAAGCTTCCAATACCTTGTGTATAGTCATGGAACTTGCAGAAGGTGGGGATATTTTAAAAAGAATTGAGGCTCATAAGGCAAATAGGTCACGATATCTTGAAAAAGATATATGAGACGCATTAATTCAAACAACGAGAGGGCTTAAAGCACTCCATGACCTAAATATTCTCCATAGAGATTTAAAATGTGCAAATATATTTGTAGGGACAGATGGGACTTATAAGTTAGGAGATTTGAATGTTTCAAAAGTAAACAAAGGAGGAATGGCGTCCACACAGACAGGGACACCTTATTATGCAAGCCCTGAGGTGTGGAAAGACCAGCCTTATAACTCAAGCTCAGACATTTGGTCGCTAGGCTGCGTTATTTATGAAATGGCTGCACTTACCCTTCTAGGATTTTTTAATTGATTTTTTTATTTTAAAAAAAAAAAATTTTTAATGGAGAAGTTAATCCTCCATTTATGGGAAATGACATGAAGGCACTTTATAACAGAATTATAAGAGGAGTTTACCCTAATATTCCTCCTAACTATAGCCAAGATTTATCAAATGTAATAAAAGCTATGCTGCAGGTTAACCCAGCACAGAGACCGTCATGTGCTCAAATTTTGGAAAATCCTTATGTTTTACGACATTTAAATCAAGCCCCAGTAGAAGAAGTAAGCCATGAGAATCCTGATTTGTTAGGCACAATTAAGTTTGAGCCTAATTTTCATAGACTGAATAATAAGCTGCCTGAGGCGAATTATGAGAAAAAAGAAAGGGTCTTAAGTGCGAGGCCAATAGCGGAAGAAGATATAGATGAAATGCCGCAGAAGCCAAGAGTTATTTCGAGCGCAAAAGGACCTAGGCCTATGCCGAGTGAAGCTCAAAAGAAAATTGATGCTTCTAGGAATCCTTCTCAGCCATCATTATACCTTAATAGGCGGGTTTATTTTTATATAAATTAAGTATTTATAATATAATTTCATTATAAAAAGTATAAATCAAATCCCAGAAAGTAGAGCGGTCCAAGGACCTAATTATCGTCCTGCAGTCCCAGTAAAAAATCCAATACCACAGCCTAAAGCAAAAGTCCAAAGTCCTAACGTCCCTGCTAAAGCACCTGTTCAAAATCCTAGTGTCCCTTATAAGCCAGTTGTTCAAAGCCCTAATATTCCACCAAAGCAAAATATTCAAAATCCCAATATTCCTCCTAAACCTGCTGTTAGTCCTAATATTCAGCCTGCCAAAGCTCCTTTCCAAAATATTCAGCCTGCCAAAGCTCCAATCCAAAATCCAAATATTCAGCCTACCAAAGCCCCAATCCAAGGTCCAAATTTTCAACCATCTCGGCCTGCTCAGAATAATCAGCCTCCTCAAGGCAAAATAGTCCAAAATTATCAGCCAAAATATCCGCAGCCTCAACAAAATATTCCACAAAGGGTTGACCCTCGAAATAACGCCAAGCCAGACACCCGTGGAGGCTTAAGAGAAGAAAACAAGCAGCCAGGGCAGCCTCGAAACCTATCAGTCCCAAGTGTCCCAGTCAGCAAAGTCGCCCTGAATGATGTCGGGACTCCCAAACAAAGCCAAAGTCCAGACTACAGGAACCAATTAAAAGCCCAATACGACAGAGTCCCAAACGCAATAAACCCCAAAAACGCCCCAGTAAAAAAATATGAAGCCGTTAAGCCTGTATGGTGGGGTTAAAATCCTAATTATAAACTTTTCAAAATGATTAAAATTAATATTATATTTTTTCCTAAACATCTCTAAAACATAATTTTAAGCTATTTTTATATTAATTTATAAATTTCCTATAAATAATGCTCCTGTTTTTATTTATTGGAGTTGCTGCATTTCCAGAATTATCTCTAAAGACAGAGGCAAACCTCCAAAGCCTGAACTGCCAAAAGTACATCTGTGGAGGCACAAAGCCAATGAACCCAAATACCTGCATTTATTATGGTGGAGAAGCATATTATTTGCAAGAATGCACAAATTCTCCAAACCTGTATTGTCCAGCGGTGTTTAATTTACTTAACCAGACATGCACAGTGCCTCCATCTCCGACTTCCCAAACGGCTTATCCAGGAGAATACTGTGAAGATGATTCCTGGTGCTTATATGGGACCTGTAAAGGAGGTCTTTGTTATGGACAGGAATATGGGAGTAATTGTCAAAGCCATGGAGAATGTAATAAAGGCTTACGGTGTAGTAATGGTAAATGTGTAAATCAAATCGCGGTAAACCAAACTGGCTGTGTAAATGATTATGACTGTGTCAATAATGGTCAAATAAAAAAAAAAATGTATTATTTTTTTTAAATAAAAGGACTGGTGAATTTAAAAAAAAAAAACACAGTCAATTTATATAAAAAAAAATAATATTCATTAGAGCCCACCAATAATGCCGGGTGCGATATTAACACCTGCAGAGAATATTACAGTGTCGCGAATGGAGACTGGGTCGACATGTGTGAGAACTCTCAATCACAAATTTGTGGCAGCGGCTTTTGTGTGTATGGGCTTTGCCAGCCAGCTATTAAAAATTCTCAAAAATTGCCTCAAACTTGTTATTCGAATTCTGACTGTGTTTCTCATGAGTTGGCAAGCCAAGGAATCACACTTTATACAACTTGTCAATGCGGTTATGGGCGGAATGCCTTATCTTATTGCACTTTATTCCCAGGGGATGATCCTTTCCAAGATTTAATGAAAATTTATAAAAAATGAATTTCAAGCAAAGATGCGTTAAACTGTAACACTGCCAGAAGGTGGAGCACAGGGTGTGTCAAAACAATGCTGGGGGATAATGCAGCTGAAGAATTTGACTATTACTCTTATAAAGTAACTTATTTCCCACAAGTCCAAAAAGTTGATGAATGTGCGCTAGATATAATATTCCCAGCTTATAGTGCTGAAGTCAGTGATAGAAATAGCAGCGGTTTGTGGATTTGTATTGGGATGGCGTTATATGGAGCTCTCATATAATTTGGACTAATTTTATTAGATTTAAGAGGTTTTATAAATTATCAAAATGGACGATTAACTAATAGCGACAGAAAGCATTGCTAATTTAAAGAAATTATGATTATGAGAAATCGGGAAAGTATATCATAATAAATTTCTTTATCCAAATAACCTGACATATTTAGTTAGTAATAAAAATTTTGTTCCATTAATGCCGAAGGCTGTAAATCAACCAATTTCAATCCTCAAGAAAAACTCAAAACCCAAAGCATTTCTGCCTCAGATTAAGAACAAAGTACATATTCTGCATAAATACGCATCAGAAAACCAATACAAACCAGTTGAAAATGGTTGCCAAAGCATAAACTGTGAGACAAAATATTTAAGAGCACTTGATTATAAAAATATTCCCCCCCCTCCGTGAGTGAGTGAACAAAACCATTAGAAAAATCGCTATTTTTTTGCCCAAAAACCCACCCTCCATGAGTGAACAAAAATGTTTTATGGAAAAAAAATTTTATATATAAGTGATAATTAGTAATGAAGTCTAGAGCTAATTCTGTTTAATTTTAAACGAATTGCTTTTTAAAACATAAATTTTATAAATTAAATTAATATTTGCTTTCCAAATTTTTGCGAATTAGGATTTTTTTAAATTTCTAAAAAAAATAATTTTTATAAAATTATATATAAATTTTTAAAAAAAAAAAAATTAATCCCCTCCGTGAGTGAACAAAATTTTTTGTTCACTCACGGAGGGGGGGAGTAAGCATCTTCAAGCTTATTTAGAAGTTTCCCATAAAAGAAATAATGTTAAGCCTGATAAAACTGCCAGCAATAACACTATATCTTTGCATGCTTCTGAGAAATCTAAGGATCCATTAAGTGTATCGAAAAATGAAGACAACAGTCAGAATGAAGATTTACTTATGGAGTTAGTATAAGTCATATTGTATGTTTAAAAAAAATAAAAATATATCAGGAAAAACCAAACTTTGACTAATTTAAATTAAATATGAAATATTTTTTTATTGAAATTGTGATGCTCAGATTTATGAAAAAAGAGGAATTTAGTTTGTTTTACTGTCTTCTAACTCCCCCCCCCCCTCCGTGAGCGAACAAAAAAATTTTGTTCGCTCACGGAGGGGGGTTAATTTTTTTTTTAAAAAAAATTTATATATAAATTTTATAAAAAATATTTTTTTTCGAAATTTAAAAAAATCCTAATTTGCAAAAATTGGGAAGCAAATATTAATTTAATTTGCAAAATTTATGTTTTTAAAACGCAATTTGTTTAAAATTAAACAGAATTAGCTCTAGATTTCATTATACTAATTATCACTTATATATCAAAATTTTTTTCCATTAAAATTTTTTCTATTAAAACAATTTTTTGTTCACTCACGGAGGGTGGGTTTTTGGTCAAAAAATGGCGATTTTTCTAATGGTTTTGTTCGCTCACGGAGGGGGGGGGGGAGTAAGGCTATTTTTTCTTCTCTTTTCTTTTTTTCTTCCTTCATAAATTCTATTAATCGTAATCAATATGTATGAAGATATAAAAAGTGGTCTTTAAAAGTATGTGTACTGTATGAAGAATTGTAGCTTAAAGCACCTTCACATAGCTCATCTAAGGCTTTATTTAGCTCTAAATCTCTTATTTTTAGTGGTGTTCTATGATTTATTTCTTTCCTCATCGCAATTAAATCATCAGTTAGCGGATATTCAACATAAGTAACATTTCGCGATTTATATGTGTCAAAGTCTTCTATTGATTTCACTTTATATTGGTATGCTTTATCTGCATCTCTTTTATATTTATGAAGCAAGTGCTTGCATGTATGGGATAGCATTCTATGGAAAATCAGTCCTTGAGGCTTTGCTTCTTTTAATGGTGATGTAAAATCAATGCATATATCCAAAGCATTTGCAAAATTATAGGCTAAAATATGGTTGACCCCAGGCAGCATTTGTTTGTGAGGGATTTTTGGAGGGATTGGAGCATCATGAAGCAAAAATTCACATGTTTTTGCGAGATTAAAAGTCATGATATTTTAATCTATCCTATAAGGATAAGCTGAATAATTATTTTATAAATAATTATTTATTTTCTATAAAAACAGGCTATTTAATAATTATTTTAAAATAAAAAAATTTTTAATAGAGAATAATATTTATTTACCTATGCTCTTTTAAAAGCGTAATTCTCTGCACCATCAAACTGCCTCTCCCCCAAAATCTCTACCAAATCCTGTGTCAAAATTCTTTCTTTCTCTATCAAAAGCTCTGCAACCCTCATAACTTGGTCTTTTTTCTCAGAAATAAGCTGCCTTGTCCTTTCCAAGCACCCCCTTACGATTTTTCTAATTTCTTCATCAATCAGTCTCCCAGTGTCCTGGCTGAATGGCTTGCTGTACCCTCCTCCTTCATACTTATACCCAACAATTCCAAAATTTTCGCACATCCCTAATTTCACTACCATAGATTCTGCGATTTTGGTAGCCTTTTGTAAATCATCTGAAGCCCCAGTGGTAGGCTCATCAAAAAACAGCTCCTCAGCGGCCCTCCCTCCAAGGATTACACAAATTCTGTCTAGTAATTCTTCTTTAGAATATAAAGAAATATCTCTTGGCAAGTATTGTGCAAATCCTAAGGCACCTAGAAATAAAATTGTAATTTGATGAAAATAGAACTCCTAGGCGATGCCTCCTGATGGAGCGGTGGGCCGGCGCGATGGGTGTCAAAGTAAGCTCTTCGTGAGCTTGATAGACAATGTCAATGGAGAGCTGCTGAGACAGGGTGCTTTGCTTCTCCCCCGAAGGTTTTCCTGTTCTGTCAGATGACTAGACAGGTTTGCCTTTTCTCATCGGGGCTATCGGGCACTTCACAGACAGCGACTCAGTCCCAGGAGCTAATCCCTAAACTGGAGATTCAGGTAGGAAATCCAAAAGTGTGACATTTTGGAGCCAAGATGGGTGATGGCTAGTGGGCTAACCCGCTTATGTATAGCATAATCGTTTAATTAAGGCACCTTTGGAACGAGGCAAAATACTGACTTTTAAGATAGGCTCTGCACCTTCTAGAAACCAGCCAGAAACAGCATGTCCTGCTTCATGGTAAGCGACAAGTTTTTTTTCTTTTGGATTAAGCTTTTTTGATTTTTCAAGTCCTCCGATAACTCTTTCAGAGGCAACTTCAAAGTCAATTTGGTCTACAGATTCTTTGTCTTTGCGGGCTGCAGTGATTGCGCCTTCATTACAAAGATTGGCAAGCTCAGCGCCGCTGAAGCCAGGTGTGAGTTCTGCTAGTCTTTTGGCGTATCCGTCTAAAGTCATATCATTGCTTACTTCCCCTTCCAAAATTAGAGAAGGAATTAATTTTTTTCTGAATTTTATATATATATTTTGGGTAGGAAAACTTACTTGATTATTTATAAATTAAAAATAAAAAAACTTTTTGTAATTTACCTTACTTCAAATAAGATTTTTAATAGATTTTTCTTACCCACAAGCTAGCGTGAGAGGCTTTAAATGAATTTTTAGTATCTCTTCTCTAGCTTCTATATCAGGCAAATTCAGTTCAATACACCTATCAAATCTCCCAGGACGTAGCAAAGCTTCATCTAAAATGTCTTTTCTATTCGTCCCAGCCATAACCACAACTGAGCTATCAGTTGGAAACCCATCCATTTCTACAAGCAGCTGGTTCAAGGTGTTATCAGCCTCATCATTACCTCCAAATCTGTCATGTCTTTTTTTCCCTACCGCATCAATTTCATCAATAAAAATAATTGAAGGCGCCTTTTCTCTCGCCTGCTGGAACAAGTCTCTTACTCGAGAAGCCCCAACCCCTACATACATCTCCACAAAATCGCTTCCCGAAATAGCGAAAAATGGAACCCCTGCTTCTCCAGCTGTCGCTTTTGCTAATAATGTTTTCCCAGTCCCTGGTGGTCCTACAAGCAGCGCTCCTTTTGGCATTCTCGCTCCAAGATTTTTGTATTTTTTTGGATTTTTTAAAAATTCCACAAATTCCATGATTTCTTTTTTGGCTTCATGAAGGCCTGCTACATCTTTAAAGCCGACATCGATTTTTTTGTCAAGTCCATAGACTCTGAAATTTTGTTTTGCCATGCTGAAAATCCCTCCTTTTCCTGCTGATCCTCCTCCATTCATGTTTTTAAAGTGGTTGCGAAAAGATGCAATAAGAAGTACGAGGAATACAATATTGACAAGGAACCTTGAAGTACTAACCCAATCAGACGCACTTTTGTACTCTATCGGGATTCGTGCCATTCTGGAAATCGATATTTGGTCCTGGTACAATTCATGAAGAAAGTCTTGGATGTTTGCAACTTTGAATATTCCGGCTTTATGACCTTTGCTGTCATAAATATAGATTGTGCAGAGAGAACGGAGAGTACCTTCCATAGGCTGGGACGCAACAAGTTTTTTGATATTACCAGGTATAAGATAGTTATTAAGAAAGTCATGATAGGTAATGAGGGGTACTGGACGCTGGGTATATAAGTAATAAACGAATAAAGCACCGCCAAGACCATATGCTAATCTGCGATTATTCTTGAAAAAGCCTTCAAATTGATTGGACCATGGGTTTGATGAAAATTTCATGTTGGATCTGGGTTCTTCTTCAGGTTTTATTTGCTCTTCAGGTTTAGCTTTTTTGTAAAACTTTTCAAAGCCCCTTGGTGGCTTCTTCTTAGAGAACTCCCTCATCAGTATGCTAACAGGATAACTTTTAAGACATTGACGTGCAAACATTTATTAATAAAATTCAAGAACTATACTCAATCAATTTTAAAATAAATTATATCAGCCTTATAGACAAATATAAACAAATTTTTTGCCTTTGAATTGTAAATAATTCCCAAAATCTTCCCACTTATAAAATAATATTTCTATATCAAATGTCCTTTATCCGGAATCATTCTATAGCCGCTTTGCTGACTATAATTTTCTTATTTATATTTTACTAACTCCCACTCCTCAGTGAGCGAACAACAAAATTTTGTTCGCTCACGAAGGGGGTTATTTTTTTTTTTAAAAAAATTATATATAAATTTTACAGTAAATTTTTTTTGGTCAAAATTTAAAAAAAATATGTAAAAATTGAAAAGTAAAATTTAATTTAATTTGTAAAATTTATGTTTTAAAATGCAATTTGTTAAATTAAACATAGAGATTTCATTATACACTAATTAAAACTTATATATCAAAATGTTTCTTTCATAAAAAATTTTTCTAATTAAAAAAAATTTTTATCTCTAGGAGGTTAGGTTTTTGGTCAAAAAATAGGGAATTTTCTAATGGTTTTGTGTTCACTCACGGAGAGTGTGGAGTAATAAAATTCCTGATGCAAAATTTCAGTCATTTTTAAATAAATGTGGGTAATTATGAGCTTCTAAATTCCATTTCACATAATTTCTTGATAATAAATACTTTTAAACACCAAAATAAGAATTAAATTCAAAAGATGGAAAAGGAGGCTAAAAGGAGCAAAATTATTTTCAATGTATCAAGTAATATCTATTTAAGACACGAAATATGAAATAATCAAGCATGTAGGCAGCAATGTTTTTGGGTGGATTCTTTCGAATAGTCCTACTGATTCTAATTGAGACCTGTTTTGGACTGATAACTCTGTAATCCCAGATCGCTTATCACGAATGAAGCCGCATCAAAAAATCAATCATTTCCCTGGGATGTTTGGAATTGCTAGAAAAAACTGTATGGCCAATAACTTAAATAAGATGAGAAATATACCCATAATAAGAGATTAATTGTTTATAAAAATATTTAATTATCATTTTAGCTAAATTTCTTATAATAAGCATTTATAGATATATATTTCCTCATGATTATAATTTTTATCCAAAATCATGGGTTCTTCCTTCAGATCTCAATGAATTCAAAGCAGAATTACAACAAAGTTCAAAAACTTATATAGTAAAGCCAGAAGCAAGCTCCCAAGGGAGAGGCATTTATTTAGTTAAAAGACTAGAAGACTTACGAACCCATGAGCACTGTATTGCCCAGCGATATCTTCAAAAACCATTTTTAATCGACGGCCTGAAATTTGACCTTAGAATTTATGTCCTCCTATCAGCATGTGATCCTTTAAGAATCTTTATCCATGAAGAAGGACTCGCCCGATTTGCCACCGAAGAGTACCAAAACCCTTCAAGAGGCAATCTCGACGAAATGTTTATGCACCTCACAAATTACGCAGTAAATAAGCACAACCCCAAATTCGTCCAAAATGAAGACCCAGAGCACTGTGACATAGGCCACAAAAGAAGTTTGTCCTCAGTTCTTATTCGGCTTGAAGAAGAAGGCTATGATGTAACTACTCTTTGAGATAGGATTTGTGACATAATTATAAAAACAATTTGCACGATCCAGCCATCTCTTTCCCATTTTTACAGGTCTTCTCAGCCAGACGACGTCAGCAATGGTATGTGTTTTGAGATTTTAGGCTTCGATATAATTTTAGACCACAAATTAAGGCCTTATTTATTAGAAGTAAACCATTCGCCGAGTTTTACGACTGATTCTCAGCTGGATTTTAAGATAAAAGAAAGGATTATTAGTGAAGCTTTGAATATTATGAATATTAAAGTGAAAAATAGAAGGGAATATGAGATGATCAGCAAGACGTTGTCAAGCAACAGAATAATTAATAAAAAATCAAGGCAGGAAAGCTTGGAAGAGAAAAAAGGACTAAGGGATGAGGCGACAAGGAAAAATGATAGGCATAGTGATAAACATTGTGGAGGGTATATAAAAATATTTCCAGGAGAAAATGATGATTATTATCAACAATTTCTGGAAGCTGCGAGAGAGCTCTGGTCTGATGTAACTGCGGTAAAACAGAAAAGACAGACAGAGACAGCAAGATCGTCAACACCTACTGCGATACGCCCAATTTCCGTTTAATCTAGTTAATGAAATATTAATTAAATATATTTCTTTTTATATATATGAAAATTTTAAGCAAATTATATTTCCTGGTTGATCTTTGAAGTTTTTTAAAAATGTGTATGAGTGTTCGGCTTTCAAATACAGAAATTATACCTTTGCATAATTAATTTTGAGGTTTACTTTACTGCTAAATTTAGCCCTATTCAGTCAGAGAAGCAGATGCTGAGAGTATTCTCCAGGCTTCTTACTCCCCCTTCGTGAGCGAACAAATCCATTGGAAAAATCCTTGTTTTTGGGTGAAAACCACCTTAGTGAGCAAAAAAAAAGGGTTTTTAATATAAAAATATTTTGAAATTATAAGTGATAATTTGTATAATGAAATCTCTAGCTAATTTGCATATTATAATATAAATTTTGTAAATTAAATTAATTTTTACATCTGTAAGAATGGATTTGTTTAAATTCTAAAAAATTTAATATAAAATTTATATATAAATTTTCTAAAAAAAAAAATGAACAGAATTTTGGGACCACTCATGAGGGGGGAGCTAGGACATCGAATTTACCAGAAAGAAACATCCTAAACGGTGTAGATTGGAACCGTTAAAGAGTCTGACTGATCTGAGCATTTCGCCTGAATTCAAAAAGGCCTTAAAGCTCAAATACCCAAAACCGGCTTCCTTAAGAGCAAGACCGAAGTAGATACACCTTGTGGGCTTGAAGTAGATAGAGCTGATAGAGTCTCTGCTAAGTAAATTTAATAAGTACCTCATAGTTTCGGTTGACAGCTATTAAAAGACCCAACTCTCCTATACTAAAACGATATTTATAATATTAAATACAATTAAAAAAATTATTTTTCCTTAAAATTTTATAATAAAGTAAGGAAAATTATAATAAGCAAACCCAATTTTCGCTGTATTCTGCAAGCTGATTCTCATAAACACTAATTCTAATTACTCACTGCTTATAAATTATTGTTAGTCCTTCCCGCATAACACAAAAAATATTGCATGCTCATCATTGCAAAGAACGCTTCTATTCCTAAATCAATTCCCTTAATATAAATTCCTACCTATTTATATTAAAAAATCTCAAAATAACGTATTTTATATCAGAAAACTCCTTCCCAAAGAACCACATCACCCTGAGTTGTTCTTGAGTCGGATTCATAGCTGGCGTCTCTTCTTTTATTTGTGGCTTTTCCATAGGGGGCTTAGAAGGCTTTCTTTTCGGGTGCGTCTTTTTCAATTCCTTCCAATAATCGACATGTGTTTTTGATATGTGTCTATTGAGCCCCTTTTTGTATTTATAAGTTTTATGGCATGCTTCGCACACAAAATTCCTATCGCCTGAATGGACTGCCATATGCCTTTGCAAATATTGTTTTCTTTTGAATCGCAAGGGGCACATGTCGCATATGAATGGACGCTCTTCATTTAAACTAGACATATTATAATCAAGTTCTTTAGTTAGAAATTACAGCATTCAAAAATAGATAAAAGTTGGAAATTGGGCTATCTTAATGCACAGCTAAATAGTTTTATATAGAAATTGCCCGAGGATGGTGCAAGATAGCGCCATCCTCGGGCAATTTCTATATATTTTCTTTTCATTTTCATATTTTCTTCTGGGGTCCTTCCCCAGATAAAAAAAAAAGCCACATTTGTGCACAAACTTTGGGGCTGCCTTCAATTTCTTCAGTGATCGTTTTGCCCTTATTTTTCATATACCACAATTTTTGAATGCCATAGGAAAATGGCCCCTAATTTATCTTGATTAATTTATACCTGTTTTCCAAGAATAGCCCACTAAGGAGCATTTTTTGGCTATTAAATTTGGTTAGCCAGAATTTGGCATCTAACTATTGTCCGGCCAATCAAAAAATGCTCCTTAGTGGGCTATTCTTGTAAAAATAAGTATATATTTCTACTTCTTAAAGATTTACGCAATATAATAAAATTTGAAACTTTTGATCGAAAAAATAGCCATAAATGGGGTTGACAGAAGAACAAATAACGCATTGCAAGAGCATTTTCAGTCAATTTGATAAGGATGGGACTGGAAGGATAGATAGGTTTGAGCTTCGTGTTGTATTAGAGCGTAGTTTTTAAATAGAGATGGGGCAAAAGCCAAGTGAAGAAGAACTTTTTGCAATGATAAATGAAGTTGACGATAATAATACAGCTTAATTAAATTAATATTTTTTTTAAGAAAATAAGCGATTTTTATATAATTTTAATAAAATTAATGGCTTTTTTCAGAATTATACCCATTTTTAAAATAATAATACAGGTAAAATTGAATTTTACGAATTTTTAAAAGTTTATGAGCAGCATCAAAATGCTGAGGATGGCAGGGATGAACAGGACATGAGTAAATTTTATATATAGTTGATGCATTTGTGGCAATGGGAGGAAATCCAGATACAACTGGTTCTATCGATACGGATAAATTGATAAATGTCATTCGACAACAATTTGAAATGACTATAGACATAGAAAGGCTTATTGAAGACATTGATGAAGACCAAAGTCATACAATTGAATACCAAGAATTCAAAAGGTTACTCAGCTAAAGTATAATTTAAGCTATAATGGCACTTAAGGTAAATATTTTTCATGTATTTATTTTTAAAGACTCTAGATTACAAGCTAATCAAGCCTTGCTGCCTATATCTTGTGCTAAGTCTAAACGATTTTTTAGAAATCGTAGATCTTTGAGAGTGCCTCGGCTTCTGAACTGTTCCTTCTTCGTCTTCTCTCTTTTTGCTGGTTTTTTTCAATTTCTCCAGCTCTGTTTTCCCTTCAGCTTTGCTCATATTTTCAATTGACTTTTTACATGACTGGGCAAAATTTCAAAATTTTTCAAAAAATTCTTTGCTTTTCATGCCTTTGGTTTCCCCATAAAATTCTATGGCTTCTTCTAATGATTTTTTGACTTCTATTAATTTTCCTTTAAAATCTTGAAGCCTAGGGGATGATTCTTCGACAAATCTTGTCATTTTGATGATAAAAGTTTTAAGATCGTTAGAGTTTATTGATGAGGCTTGTTTTATGTATTTTCCTGCTAAATTGAACCCTTTTTCAAATTCAGCTAATTTTATATGTCTTTTTTCTTATATTGTCTGAGAAAATTGAAGAAAAAATAATAATTTAAGCATATTTATATGGAAAATATGAGAGAAATTATGGGGAATCGTTATATCAAGATCTGCCATATCAAATTTGCTGCAATATTGACAGGGCTCAAATTCTGTAATAAAATTCAGCACGGACCGATTAGAAGCCATTACAGTTTGTATCACAAATTCCAAAAGCGGAGTTTTTTTGCCGTCAAAACCCCTCAGATTTTCTAGCTGATGCAAAATATTCAATGAAAACCCTTGTGCATTCCCTTTATTAGTCCCATAATTTAAAAAATTCCCAATTTTCAAAATGGCATATATCATTGTTTGGAAATTTTTAGAATTCTTAATAGTCTCTATCGCCTGTTTTATTGATGCAAGCTGGCTATACACCTCAGGAAAATCCACAGTAAAATTCAGCTTAAAATACAAGCATTCAATTCTTCCTTGAAAAATCGGCATTCCTACCCAAAGTTCTAGCAAAAATCTCTCCGCTTGGACAAGATTTTCTAAAGGTCCTTTATATTCTTTTAGCTGGTCCATTTCTTCATCAGTCGGCACCAATTTTATTAATTTCCCTATTTGTTCTGGACTTGTCATATACTCATTCATAGAATTTACCATAACTTTTGTTTGCTCTATTGATAAAGGATAATTTGATATCACAATACCTGTGTTATTAGCTTTTTTCATGCTGGTTATATAGGTAACTTGCTTTGATGGGGCTTTTACATCAGCGTTTTCTTTTTTCTGTTCTCCAAACACACAGGCTAGCTTAGAAAAATCAATAGGAATTTCAAGCGTGGCTGGGGCTTGGCCTCAGATGGTAGATTTTAGCTTGTATTTTGGGATTACGTCTCAGTGAATTTTTTTGGTTGCAATATCCGGAGGGGGTGCTATTTGGGGGACTTGTAAGGTAGCCATGTTTGGCTTTGTAGGAGATGGAGAAGGAAATTGGCCAGGAGGCGGAGGAGGGGGAGGGGCTCGGGAATTTGGAGGTGGAGGAATAGAGGAATTTGGAAGAGCTGGGGGTGAAGGGACTGATTTTTGGGTAGGAAGAGGAGGGGGAGGTGGAGGGATTTGTGTGCTTGGAAGATGAGGGGGAGGTGGGGTTGGAGGAGTCCTTGATGGAGGTTGAGGGATATTGGGAAAGCTTGCTTGAGTGCTTGGAAGTGGAGGAGGCGGAGGTGCTTTTTGGTTTGGAAGAGGAGGCGGAGGAGGTGCATTTCGTATTGGAGGTGAAGGTACATTTGGGAGTGGAGGTGGAGGAGGCACATTTGGAAGTGGAGGCGGAGAAGGTGCATTTCATAGTGGAGGTGGAGGAGGCACATTTGGAAGCGGAGGCGGAGGCGGTGCATTTCGTAGTGGAGGTGGAGGAGGACTAATATTTATTTGAGGATTTGGAATATTAAAAGCATTGTTCTTATTGATTCCATCAGCGCTTTCTGAGCAATCTTTTTTATCTCCATTATACTCACCTTTACAATGTTTGCATTTATTATCTCTCATCGCTTTCAAACTTTCTACTGCCATATGCTTAGAGAACATAACTGCATTTACCATTGTCCTAGCCAAAAGCCTTACTGAGCATTCTTTAACTAAAGTTTTATGTGCATCAACTACATGTTTTACCAGCTCCTGATGCGCATTGGCGTACATTTCTTTGACTTCTTCATACTCATCAGGAATTTCATCAAGGCTTTCATCGCTTCCTTCAGAATCCTCTTCTTGGTCTCCTTGATACATAGACCCAAATTGTTTTGAAATAGACTGGGATATGGTTTTTCTTATATCTTTTGTAATATTCTCTATATGAAAATTAAATATTTTTTAACTGGATTTTTAGCCCATATTTTGATAATATAATAACCCTACTATTTTTAATAAAAATTTTATTTAATATAGTTTGTATATTTATTTTCGGGATTTCTACGATATCTTCCTCTTCACTTAAGTCTATAAGTTCTTCAACTTTACTATACCATTTTCCAATAAAATTTCTTAAAATAAACAACCTTTGTGAGTTGTAGATTCTATCTATGATTGCTAACGATTTTAGCTTTGAAACTGGTGCTGGGGATTGAAGGTCTTGTTTTGACATTGCAAATTTTTCCATCTCAGAAAGATGCTTTTTTATGTATTTTTGAATAAATAAAGCGAAGTTTTTATTTTTAAATTTTTTTTGGATTTTAGTAAAAATAGTATAATTTTGAGTTCATTTTCTTTAAGAAAGAAATCTTTAAAGAGTATGATTGTTTTTCACTGTTTAATTCAGAAATTGTTTGTTCTTGATTGCTAATTATATTCAGCGGATAATTAAAATATGGTGTCGCTCGAATTTTCTGGTCTTCTGACCGAAAATTCATCTCTTATATATTTTAATTATGGGGCTTGGTTTCTCTTGGTGTGAAATTATCCCAGCTGTGTCAGACAAGAAAGAGTCTGGTGGTTTTTCCTAATGGACTCCTGATCTTAGGGAATAGAATTTTCCAGACGGGCACCACTTATCCCAGGAGGTGGAGACTGGGACCTTTAGGGTGCCGTTTCGGACCCAAGTAAGTGCCTGAGCTCAGGAGAGTAGTCGAAGCCCTAACTTCAAGACTGGCGCCTTCTTTGGTGATAAAAGTCGGAGGTGGCCACACCTTTGGTAGGCCCCGAGAAAAATGGTTCGAAATTCGCCCCAGATTGGTGTTGAAAGTAGCTGAGGTCGAGCAACCTGGTAGTGGGCGTTAAACGTATATAGGTTAATTAAGATTTATATATTCAGCTGACGAAGGAAATCTTCTTGAGCTCGCACTAGTTCATGCTTTAGCATTCTGTTTAAAAAATACTCAGTTTCAGGGTTTTCTTGAGGTATTTCTTCTTCTACAGAACTGAAAGATTCAAATTCATCACTATCCTCTTCACTCATCAAATTAAATTTTATACGTTTTTTTACTAATGACAGATAATACAAAAACCAAAAAATTATTAATTTTCATACTAAAACTTACTAACTCCCCCCCCTCCGTGAGTGAACAAAAATTTTTGTTCACTCACGGAGGGGGGTTAATTTTTTTTTTTTAAAACAATTTATATATAAATTTTATAGAAAATATTTTTTTTCGAAATTTAAAAAAAATCCTAATTCGCAAAAATTTGAAAGCAAATATTAATTTAATTTGTAAAATTTACATTTTAAAAAGCAATTTGTTTAAAATTAAACAGAATTAGCTCTAGATTTCATTACTAATTATCACTTTATATATCAAAATTTTTTTCCATAAATTTTGTTTTCTATTAAAAAAATTTTTGTTAACTCACGGCAAAAAATAGCGATTTCTCTAATGGTTTTGTTCACTCACGGAGGGGGGAGTAAGAAATCATGATTTTTAAATTATTTTTTATTAATTTTTACATTTGCATTGATTATTGTGTCTTTCTATATCTTTTTTCAGTTTTTCAATTTTCCCTTGAGTAGTTTCTCTCTGGCATATAATATTTTCATATATTAGCTGCTGCCTATGCACCATATCTTTCCTCCTTGCAGCAAGCTTCATAAAATCATAGCAAATTTTTTCTTCTAAATATTTGGCATGCTTGACCAAAATTGTAGTAATCTCCGATGCCTCATATTCCCCCATAAGCCCATAGGCAAACTCTCTAAATTTTTTTGTGTTTCCAGATTCAAAGGCTTCTCTCAAAGAATTTAAAATTTGCCGATCAGAGTCTTCTTTTTGCCTTTGGTAAAAGCTGTTTTCTTCTCCTTCTCGGTATGATAAAATTGAATAATCTTTTACCTCAGACTCAGAATTGTCCCCAGCAGTTTTCGCAGCTTGGACTATCTGCAATTGTGTTGTCAATCCACTGTTTTCAGCCATAATTTCTTGTGATTTTTTTTTATAAACTGACAAAAGCCCAAGAACCTTGGAGCAGCCAGTCACAAACTGCATTTTCTTAGGCGACAGCCTAAACAGCTGTATCAGCATGTTTTTCCTGTTTTTTTCTTCATTTATTTCTTCTGTGATTTTTATGATTTTATTTTGATACAAATTTGAGGCATTATTTTTTATTTCTTCATTAATATTGAAAGCGTTGCCTTTTTGGTAAGTAGAAATGTTATTGAATCGCCGCATTTTGAGCTCTTCTCTTGCAATTGGCCGGTAGACTTGTGGGAAAGTTGGCTGTTTGGAATAGGAATTGTTGTAGGTGGTGGCGACTGAAAAATTGGCAGTGCCACGTTGGAATTCGTCTTCTGAGTTGGAGGCGACTGAGGTAGGAGTTTTCCCTTCGTCTCTCATAGCGAGCTGGTCTTGTAAGTTTAAATTGTCGTTTATTAAGACTTCTATTAGATGCTTCATGCCTTCATCACTGAGCTCTTGTAAAGCTTCTTTTGGGACTTTGCCTTGATTTTTATAAGCGCGCTGGAGCTGGTCAATAAAAGGTTCACCAGGTAAACTTTCTCAGCTTTTAAGCTGCTGAAGGTCGAGAAGAGGAATTTTGTTGCTCATTTTTTCTAAAATTTTAATTAAATTATATTAAATTATTCTGAATAGTTCAGTAGTATTTTATATTATGAAAAAATTTATGAAGTGATAATTAATTTTATTTAAATATGAGTCTTTAAGGCATACAATAAGCTAGATTATTTTAAATGAAAGATTTCACTGATGAAACAGCTTCTTTTAGTTTCTTTAAAGATTTTTCTGTATCTTCAACTGCAATCGCATTCGAAACCATTTTCATTGAGCTCTTAAGATTAAGATTAAGATTAGCCGTTCGCACTTGCAGGGCCGGGGATTTGCACCCCTACACGCTCATCGCCTATGATGAGGCCTCGGCGGACACCCTCCTCATTGCCTCAAACGAGGGATTCGCACATACGTGGGTTGCCTTTCCGAAAATCCATAAAAAAAATGGATTTTCTGGTCGACTGTCGGTAGAAGGTAGAACTCGAAAGCCTGGGACGTAATGCCCAGTTTCACGCTAGGGAGTTGCCCGATTGGTCCAGAGGACTCTGCTGGGCTTCCCCTTTCCAACTTCCGTGCTCATCTTCCCCACGAGGAAAAAACCACCTCTGAATTTAGACTTGGGCTAGGCTCTGAACACAACCAGAATTGCTTACCTAGCATTGCTGCCCATTTCTGAAGTAGTAAAACCTTACCGGATATAAATAAAATATAAGTCGAGTATGCATGGCCGGGAGGCCATGCCCAGACGAAGACGCCATATTTTATTTATTTCATTGAGCTCTTAAAATCAATCTGCTGAATAACAGTCACATACAGTCTATCATTTTTATTTTCTATTTGTATCACACTAAACAGCATTTCTCCACATTTTTCATCTCTTTTCTCATCCCCTTTTGGACAAATTATAGTCAAAATTTTATCATCATCAACTTTTGTATCCCAAATTTCCAAGAATTTTCTTTTTTCTTTTTTCTGCATTCTTGTGCTTGAAACAATACAATTTCCATACAAATACCCAGACAATAATTCCGATTCTTTTAAATTAATTTCCCATTTGCATCTTTTCTCAGGATCGTAAAATATCGATAAAATTGACTCTACTGGCAAATTTGTAGATATAGAAATATCAATACGGGTCGCCACAATATCTTTGTTAAATTTGTTAAAAAATCTTTTATAAGCAGTAGTTGTATTTGATTTTTTTATGACGGTCCATAATTTTGCATCTAATAAATCAGGCAAAAGATCGTAAATCTGTAAATATCGGTCAGATCTTTGTATGTCCTGAGACTCGTCATAATTTTCGAACAGTTCTAAAAATCCTCTAGGTGTTATTGCAGAATTGTCAAGAGAATAGGTTGATTCTTTTTCTAAAATAGTCATAATTGACTCATCAAGGCTTAAAATTTCATTTAAATTGTATTGTTCACTGCCTTCTGTTGAACTTGGGGTGGCTGGCGCTTTATGTCGATGTCCAAGCTTTGGCTTGTAAAGTCTAGGAGAAATTAATGGATAAGTGCATTGACTCTCTTTTTCTTCTGTTTTTATAGTGGTGTTATCTAATGATAGATGTTCAGGAATAGGCGTATGGAGGAATTCAGCACCGCTATGCATAGCTTCAGACATGGTTGAGCCTTCACTATTTCGTCGTTCTTTTAGGGCATGGAATTGATCTATAATATCTGATTCTTTTAGTAAGATAGGTCTCTTTGAGTCATCTTCATTTTCTCGGCTTTGGCAGCATCCCATTTTAGTGCTTCTGGATATTATTAGAGTAATTTATCATAGAAAAACTAAAACAGTATATTGCAATTAAATAAAATTATTTCTGGGTCTATATTTTATGATTACGATATGAAAATAAAATAAGACTTATTACTATAATAGCCGTTATAAAGTTTTTTGTTTATATAATTATAATTAACCTTCTATAAGATTCTTAAAATAATTAGGTTTTATATGGTAAAACTCCAAAAAATGAAAAATTTAAATATTCTCAAAACTTAAACTATGCTAGTCAGATAATGCATTTATATTCAAATGTCAGGGAAAATTCAAAATGACCTAATAACTGCAGCTGAGCAAGGAAATATCGAAAAAATACGAGCTTTAATGGACAAAAATATTATTAATTACAAAAACCAGTCTGGATACACAGCTTTAGCCCTTGCTGTAAGATCAGGACACCTTGAAATCGCAAATGAACTAATTTCTCATGGGGCTGATATAAACTCAACAAATCAAGTATGGTTTTTACTTACTGCCTTTTAATAGCAAGTAATATTTTCTTCTCGTTCTTAATGAGTATCATTTTTTTAATTTTAGTAATTAATTTTTTAAAATTTATATTTAAAAATGCGAGTTGTCTAGAATTTATACTGAATTTAAAGATCTTGACACCCTTGGGATCATCGACTTACCAAGAGGTGTTGATTTTTAAAAAATATGGAAATGCAATTGAAAGAAAGCTTGTTTAATTTCGGCAAAAGATCTGCTTGGATCGAATGGCTGATCTTGAAAAGTATTTTTTCCGGTTTGGCCAGGGCATTTTAGCTAATCCAAATTAATTTTCATTTAATTTCTGATATGGATATCTGGATAAATAGCGAATTTAAACACAATGGATTCTATCAGAGCCGTTCAAATGTATTTAATTTTGACTTCTCAAGATCTGAGACCTATTATGAGAAATACTGAAATAAATTCCAAGTTTGCTTAAATAGATGCTTCATTCGATTTTATGGTTAATTTCTCGAAATAGGCATTTTCCAATGGTTTTTGTGGTCTAAGGAGGTAGACTTAGATAGGCTGGACAAAGCGTTTTATTTATTGCTTGCTGACACAACCAAGCTGACTGTGTAAAACTCCTTTTGAATAAAGGCGCTATAATTGATTCTTCAGATCAACGAGGGTGAACTCCTTTAATCATTTCTGTATACCATAACTACGCAAATATAGTCCAAATCCTCTTAGATGCAGGCTGTGATATTGATCACAAAGACAGTGTAAGCTTTAAATAGTTTGGAAAAAAAGCGATTGACAGAGCCAAAAACATTGAAATGATTTCTTTATTGCAAAAAAGTGGTGCTGAAAAACGAAAAAAATCAAAAGCAAACTCTTTATCCCTACCTGGAACCCCTGCAAAATACGAAATTCAGCAGCCTAAAGAAATAAGCACAAAAAACAGATCAATTTCTCCATCTGTTTTTAGCCGTTCTAGTTCTGTTTCCAGAAATAGCATATATATCGGCTCAGAGAAGTCAGATACCTCATTTAAATCAAATATCCGCCCCACAACTCCTCAAAAGCAGAGTTTTCAAAGCCCCGACACTATGAAATTTGACGAGAGAAAAAAAATAAAAAATGAAATTGAAAAATATTTAAATAAAGCTACCAGCAATTTTGAGAAAAAATTCACAGAAGATTGGACTAAAGATTTACAGTTTATTTTAGATGAAGAAATAAATAAAGCTGAAATTTCTTTGCAGAATGAAGTTGATAAGCTCCTAATAAAATCCTCAAAAGATTTATTAGAAAAATTAAGAGGATTTACGCTCCTTACAGTAGATGATATTTTTTTAAATAATGGAATAAGTGTGGTAGAATTTTCCCCAGAAAGCTATAAAAGTGATGCTGATTTTTTTATACAAAAAAGCCCGCCTAAGCTGCAAGGAAAAGATTATACAAAAAATGAAGAATCCCCTATAATACAATGGCCAACTTTTGAAGGGAATTATGAGCATAAAGACCAAATTTTTAAGCATATAGACAGCCAATTTGAAGAGCTTGAAAGCAAGCTTAACAAGTTTAATATGAACCAAATCACTAAAGAAATAAACCAAAGGGTCGCACATTTAAAGCAGACTTTAATTTTAAATATCCAAGAAGAAGTAGTTGAAATCGGAAAGCAAATAAAAACTGAGCTTGAAAAAATCGCCCACGCCAGGATTAAGGATATAATAGAAATGAATAATTTTCGTTATGAGTCCAGGCTTGAAAGCTCTCAAGATTTTTCATCAAATCATTCATCAGTTCGTAAACAAATGAAAATATCTTCAAGCACAGATTTAAATCCAAAAGAATCAGTTGTATGATCAGAAGAAAGCTCCGTTAAAATTCCTGACAGCAGCTATGTTTTTATAGAAAGCTTTTCTAAAGATTTCAGTGGGTATAAAAGCCCTCAGGTGAGACCATCAAGTGCACAGCCAAATGCTCGGAATAGCAGAAAAAATAGTTTTTCTAAAGAAGGGAATAAAGGGAAGCAGCCTTTAGGCTCAAGTAAAAACCAAAAATCAGGGAATTTTCCGAAAACAAATGTAAGTGAGGTATTGCAAGAGTTTCTGAAACGCGAAGAAAGCGTGAAAACGCAGTATCGTTTTTAAATAATAAATACAATAATAATTACACTAAGAATGATTAGTTATCTACAAGTAATTTTCAGAGCTTTCAGTGACTTCTATATTAGAATCTTGCCACTTCTTCTGCTTAATCCTTGCATTGCCTTCTGATCTTCTCAGATTTTCCAATTCTTGAAGAGCATTCAGCAAATATTCTTTATTATCATCCTTTTTAAACGTGTATCCAATAAACTCAAAATCTTTTTTTGTGCTTCTTGCCGTCTCCTCAGGGTAAAACGGCTCATCTTCTTTGAAATTTTCAAAATTTCTGGTATCTACCTCACTAGACACTTCCGGAATATACGGCGCTCTAGTGTTTCTTATGTTATCCCAGTCAACTCCATTAAAAAATGGGTGGGATTTTACTTCATCAACTCCTCCACAGCCAAGTCTGTCATTTCTGTCCCTTAAAAGCCTCAAAATCAAGTCTACAGCTACACTGCTAACTCCAGCTTCTGGAGGGATCCTTAACGTCTGTTTCCAATGCATTATTTTTTGGCACGTCAGAGAAGGGTCATCAGAATAAAATGGCGGATACCCTACCAGCATTTCGAATAAAATGACCCCGACTGACCATCAGTCTACAGTCTCACTATACCCTTGCTGATTAAACACTTCTGGAGCTATATAATCAGGGGTCCCGACTGTAGAATATGCTAGATGTCTCTGACGCTTAAAATTTGGCTTTTCGTTAGAAACTGTGACTAGAGAGGGCTGTGGAAGGTCTGGGTCTTCTTGATTACGCCTCAAGCGGATACTTGAAGGGATGACTTCCTAATTTTTTATTACTGCAAATGTGCAAAGTCCAAAATCAGAAAGTTTTATATGCCCAGATGAGTCCAATAGGACATTATCTGGCTTTAAATCTCTATGAATATAATTTAATTGGTGTGCGGAGTCTACAGCTAGTACAATTTCAGCAGTATAAAAGCGTGCTTCGTCTTCTGTTAAGATATCTTTTTTCATTAACAAAGTCATGAGATCTCCACCTTGTAGATATTCCATGCAGAGATAGAGGTGGTCTTCGTCTTGGAAAGAGTATTTTAGTCCCACAATTCAAGGGTTATTTGCAGTTGCAAGGATATCTCTTTCAGCTTTTATATGTTTCACTTGGTTTTTGAACTTATTTTGGAATGGAATATTTTTTATTTTTTTAAAAATAATTATTGTTTTTTAAAAAATAAAAATTATTTTTTAAATTTTTTTTTTTTTAATTAAATATAAAAACCTATTGAACTTCATTTCAGCCTTTTTCATTTTTTTCATTGCAACAATCTCCCCTGTAGCTTTGACTCGGCAGAGACGGACTTCTCCATAAGCGCCTTTTCCAATGATGGCGAGTGATTCAAAATCTAATACTGTAATTTTCTGACGTTTTTTACGCAAGGCTTCAGCTTCTTGGTGAAGGATTTCTTGCTTTATTAGTTCTTGTTCGGTAAGAGAGAGCCTCATGTCTTCCATTCTTTTGTGGAGGTTTTCTCAGCTGAGTTAAAATTACTCTGATCTTTTTTTGCTTTCCTCAGTTTTCAGCCTTGAGAATTTCTGCTCGATGTATGCTTTGGCGGATTCAGCTTTGAGACGGGTAACTGGAGAGACAAGGTCTTCTTGCTGTTGAGGGGTTTCCATTAATTTAATATTAGAATTATATATGGGATCGAAAAAATAAGTTTTCATCTTGATTTAATAGAAAGTTTAAGGCTTATTGATTGAAGCATTTGAATAGGAATAAATTTTTTAAAAAATAAGATATAAGGAATTATGTTTGTTGGTGAAAGATTAATTTTGCTGAAAAATAAAGCTTATGGGATAAAATTCAAAAGTAAAAAAGTTAGTAGGTTATAATGAAAATTAAATTAAGGTGATAAGGCATATAAAGGAATTTTAGGAAATAAAATTTAATTATTCTTCACAGTTAAGCCTTTTCAGGGTCTTTAGTGCTTTTTCTTGGATGTCTAGGCGCTTTTCTAAAATAAGGCGTGCATCGGCTTTCTGTCATTGTTTTGGCTTTTAAATAATGCTTGGGCAATGCAACTTCTTCAACTAAATCAATTGAAATTCTTGGCTGTTTATCTTCTTCTTTTGCTATAGGAATTTGCTGCATACTTACACTTGTCTTATGCAGTGTTTTTTCATGACTTGCAAGCTTTGATACTCTTTTCCCATGCAGCGTTGATAGAGGAACATCATTTATTTTGCTCTTTTGAGGTGCGCTTTTATTGATTTTTATATTCACAGCTTCTTCTGTATCGTCCATAGGCGTCTCACAAGCTTCTGTATACTGCGTGCTTAATGTTTCTGATAATGATCTCTCATGATCACAAGCAGTTGGCTTTAAAGTTTGCATTGAATTAAATGTTTCGACAGTGGATTTCAACATTTCGTTAGTGGATCTTCGGTGTAGGATTTTTGCTTTGCAATTTTAGACAATTAATGGGAGAATTTGGAAAAAAAATTTCTGGATTTGAATTAGCAAAAATTTCATAATTGTATGGGGCTATTAAAAGTACAGATTGAATGGTGAAGCCATGGATCTTAGCTCATCTCTTTTTTCTTCTAAGTCTTCTAAGCAGTAGCTTAGCTCTGAAATCGTGTTTTCAAAGCGGGCAACATTTTCCTTAAGGTCTGATAAGGAAAAAGTTTTTAGGATTTCTCTATACATTAAAAATGTTTGGCATCCAGCCAATAAAGATGGAATTCAAATGTTAGAGCAAAGGAAAAAATTTAGCTCAAAATAAAGCTATGTTTTTATTGTAAACGCTGTAGTAAAAAAATAGTTAGAAATGAATTCAAATTAGTTATAAATTTAAAAAATTATGAATTTTATGCTAAAAAATAAAAATTTTAAGATTTAACTTCTATATATAGCACAACGTAAATTTAACTTAATAATTAATAAAATGAACTTCAGCTCAAGAAATGCACTTACAGGTAAAAGACTATTAAACCCAGAAAACCAAAGCAGCACTTCACCACCTAAATATTCTGATATAAGCAGACTTCCTCATCGTTGGAAAACTGATAAAATTAATTTTTCGACAATTGATGTTTCCGAGCTTCTTGGAAATAAAAAAATCATCCAATCTCCTCCAAGGACTGATTTTAACGTCCCTGATTATCCTTTAAGAAGGATAAGAAAAGGAGTATCTGGCTGAGACTGGAAAACAGAGGCTGACGAGACTTTTGAGTCTTTCAGCCGCCCTGAAAGGTCGTCAATTTCTTGTAAACCTACAAGAGACTCTTTCTCTGTAATTTTTCCATCAAGAAACTCAAAAATATACCAATCCCAAAGGAAACCATCCCCTGATATTTTGGAAAATATTCCCATAAGAGAATTTAATAGAAAAACAGACAGGCTTTCGACCTACAGTGAAGCTATGCTAAAAGCCAAGCAGCTGTTTAAAGGAATTAATAGATAACTATTAATGAGTCTAAATTAATCAAGCTTTACTTATATTGGGGTATTTACTTATAGTGTAACCACAGCTTTAATTTTAAAAAATTGTTAAAATGAAATCTTTAAAGCATCTAAGGCTTCTTTCTTTTCAGGGAAATTTTCTTATACTATTATATAAAATTTATTATTTTTGAGCTATTTAGCATATCTTATAGCAAAAAACTGAAATTTACAGGCTTATATAATCATAAATGGCTGTCGAACAAATGCAAAAATTGTTCATATCTCTATGCTTGCTCGCTACAGTAAGTTTAGCTGCTGATACTGTATGCTATCCAGTCGAATGCAAGTTGAGTACTCAGACTTTTACTTCAGAAACCTGTGCATATTGGGATAAAGCCTCAGACATCTATTATTTGGAAGCTTGCAGCTCAACTTCATACTGCCCATCCCTTGACTTTGAGGATCCTGCCAATTCTACTTGTGCTACAACCCCAACTACCACTTTAAATAAGTATATCTCATTGTCTCTTATATATTCCTAAATAATAAATCCTATAAAGTTACATATTTTCTAAAAATATGACAATTTTCTTTTAAATTGCATTTTCTGAGGAAAAAAATTTTTTAATTTAATTTTTTCATTTGTGAAATATTTCCAAAATGGTCCAAATGATGCTCTGCACTATACCCTGGCGAAAAATGCACAGCTACCTCTGACTGTGACACTACTTACGCTACAGGTGGATGTGTCGGCGGTGTCTGTGTAGGTATAAGCGCTAACGGAAACTGCACACATTATGGTGAATGCGAGCCCGGGTACTACTGCGGCTCAGAAGGCAAATGCATTTCCCAAGTAAAAGTAGGCGGCCAATGCGAAAATGATTTCCAATGCATAAATGGGGCTGGCTGTAACATTACAACCACAGCCACTTATGGTACATGTGTTTCTTATTTCAGCGTTGATGATCATGCTCGTGTAGCAACTTGTAATAGCACTTTGAATAATTATTTATGTGCTTCTACTATGTGTGATACTGATAATGGAGAAGCTATCTGTTTAAGCTCTGTAAAATCGAAAATGGGCAACTTATTGCCTATGATCTGCGAAAATAACGACCAATGTGAATCAAGTGCAGACCCAGTGACTGGCTACATTTATACACTAGACTGCGTTTGTGGGCTTAATAAGCACGGCTATAGCTTCTGCAACCAATGGCCTGGAGATCCAGACTTCGCGCATCTGATACAAATGTGGAAAAAGTGGGTGTTTTCAACAAATGTCGACAAATGCAATACCTTGAGAAGGCAGAATTTCCAGTGCATTGCTGATTGGTGGGATTCCAATGATATGACACTTTTGAATTATTTCAGCCTTAAGACGAATTACTGGCCTTATCTTCAGATGAACGATGATTGTACTCAGAATATGTTTTTGAGCGATTATTATAAAGTGCAAGAATCTTATAATGCACTTCGTAATACTACCGATCCTGATGACCATCATGAAGCACTTAAAATTAAAATTAGGATAGGGGCTTTCTTATGCAGGTAAGCCTAAATCAATTTGTCAGCAGCCATCTTGCATTGTGAGCATTCCAGAAGGCTTACCCTTCAGACAAGAAACTTTTCTGGTTCCGTAGTATTGCCCTTACTCAGATCCTTTATGTGTTTTGCCTAAAGGCTGCCCTCTCATGTGTGTCAAGCAGTGAACCATATGCTTTTCTTCCTTGGCCAGCCCAAGTACTCTTATGTTATAATCCATATTTGGCATTTGAATTAAAATTTATTATACTGTACCCTAAATAATAAAATTAACGAGAAAGAGTTCTCGGAGAGATTATTTCCGCAAGTAGCCATTTCATTATTATGCCATCATGAAACATCGTCAGCTATTTTATTAGGTTTTTCGTTGCCTCTTTTAGCTTATGCTTAATTTAATAGCGTTATTACAAACAATTTCTATATGATTTATTTATTTTAATTAATTTTTGAGAATTTATTGTATTTATATTTATTGAGCATTTAAATAAAATTCCATTCATTTCTGTTAATAATTTTTGTGTAAAGTATGAGGGAAATATACCTATTGGAGCTATAAGAATCAAAATCCAGGGTTGCAAGATATTGGAATAAACAACTTTAAATGCTAAACACCAAAGGCTATTTGTAAAAATGATGTAAAAATTACTTGGATCCAGTGAATGCTGAAATTCTCAATAATTGGATTATGACTGAAACAAAAATTATGTATGAAAATGGGATAGAGCCACCTGTTATTTAGCAAATGTAGCCAACAGAGGACAGTTTGAGTAAGTATTTCTGGCCAATTATTTGGTATTTTGATGGAGCGTAATGTCATACCGATCTGCAAGCTGACCAGATCATCTAGTTACCTTGTGGGGAGATGGAACTCCAGAAGTAAAAAGATGATTCTAGCAAGGTCAGAGGTGGTTGCTTTGACATTTGGACAATTCTTCATCGCTAGGAAGGTATTGCACAATGGGTTCTGGCTTCATCATGGTTGAAAGCCTGATTGAAAATTTGCTTTTAAAAATTTTAAGTAGGCAAATCTGTTTGCTAGCCTTCGTTTCTAGGCGAGTAGAACCTAGTCCTTTTAGATATAGTTCTTTCCCTTGAATAGTCCGATAAGGGGATGAAGCCAGCCCGTTATCGGGCTATTCAAGGGAAAGTACTATATGCAAGAACCTGGCTAAAAATTTACATTCCTAAATGCATAAGTTTTCAATGAGGCTTATTATTTATCAGGAAAATGTTTTTATGAAAATCCAGCACTTAGCATGGTTTTTGAGTACAAAAACACTAAAATGCTGTAAAAATCCTCAAATTATAACTTTTCCAACTTAGCTTTCTGTGAACAAAGAATTTTACCACATGTAGTGACCAAAAGCGTAGCTTTTTACACTTAAAAACTTTCTTACAATATTATTGAACATTTATTATTTTGTAGCTATTTCGAATGATTTTGGTATAGCTTACCCCAAAAAATGGAATTTTATGAACTTAAATAATCATAAATGGCTGTCGAACAAATACAAAAATTGCTCATATCTCTCTGTTTACTAGCTACAATCGGTTTAGCAACTGACATTGCATGCTATCCAGTCGAGTGCAAGTTGAGTACTCAGACTTTTACTTCAGAAACCTGTGCATATTGGGATAAAGTGTCGGACACTTATTATTTGCAAGACTGCAACTCAACTTCATACTGCGCATTCCCTGAATTTGAGGATCCTGCAAATTCTACTTGTTCTACAACCCCAGTTACTGCTTTAAATAAATATATCGAATGGGTTACTTATTGATTCCTGCTCTAAACCAATTGTTTTGCAAAAAATTAAAATTGTTCCCCATTTTTGAAAAATAATTTTTTCCCTTGTAAATACTTTCTAAAATATCTAAATGATAGTCTGCATTATATCCTGGCGAAAAATGCACAGCTGACTCTGACTGTGACACTACTTACGCTGCAGGTGGATGTGCCAGCGGTGTCTGTGTAGGTGTAAGCTCTAACGGAAACTGCACACAGAATGGTGAATGCAATCCTGGGCTTTTCTGCAGTTCAGAAGGCAAATGTGTTTCTCAGTTAAAAGTAGGCAGCCAATGTGAAAACGATTACCAATGTATAAATTGGGCTGGCTGTAATATTACAAGCACAGCCACTTATGGTACATGTGTTTCTTATTACAGTGTTTCTGACAATACTCGTATAGCCTATTGTAGTGATGCTATGCAAACTAATTTATGCGCTTCTACTTTATGCGATACTGTTAACGGTGAAGCAGTCTGTTTAAGCTCTCTAAAATCTAGTAAGGGTAACTTATTACCTATTATCTGTCAAAATAGTGACGAATGTGAGTCAACAGTAGACCCAGGAACTGGCAGCAGCTATACAGTAGACTGTACTTGTGGACTTAATAAGCATGGCTATAGCTTCTGTGGCCAATGGCCTGGAGATCCAGACTATGCCAATCTGATACAGATGTGGAAAAAATGGACTCTTTCAGCAAGTATAGACAAATGCAATACAGTGAGAAGGTTTAAAAAGGTCTGTGTGGCTGACTGGTGGGATTCAAATGATGTGACACTTTTGAATTATTTCAACCTGAAGGTGAATAACTGGCCTTATCTTCAGATGAATGATGAGTGTGTTCAGGATATATTTATGAGCCTGTATTATGAAGTGAAAGAAGCTTATAATGCAATTCGCAATACTACTGATCCTGATGAGCATCATGGGTCTTCCTCAGCTATTTTATTAGCGTTTTCGCTATCTTTTTTAGCTTATGCTTAAATTAATAGATAGCGTTTTACAAATAATTTGTGAATTTTTTACTTATTTTTTAGAAATTTTTTATTGTTGAATATAATTATTTGTGTTTTACATTTAGGTTTTAAATAGAAATAAATTGAGTGTTATCACGCCTGAGGCGCCATTTATTAATTAATTTACCAATTTTAAAATAAATTTCGCATTCATCTATGATTTCTCATTTATTTTTTCATTAAATTATTTATTTCAGCTGCAATTTAATAACAAATTTTGCCCTCTGGGCAGACTAATTTTTTCCCTTACAAGGAGAAAATCTTTACAGATTTTGAGTGCCTTAATATAAATTCTATTTATTTCTATTAATTATTATATTATTTTTCTATGAGGAAAAATACATTCCAAGCTGATATTGTTAAAAAAGGCTCACCAATATGCTGTGTATGCGGTGAAGCAATACCTATTGGAGATATAAGAATCAAAGTTCAAGGATACCATATATTGCACTTATACCACTTTAAATGCTACACCCCAAAGGTAAAGCAGTATATTTGTAAAAATGATGTAAAAAATCGCTTGGACTCAGCAAATGCTGAAATTCTCAATAATTGGATTGATGAATGAAACCAAGATTATGTCCCACTTGATAAACCTTTTCGGGAACCGCCACAATTTTCTAAACTTGTGGAATCTAGTCCCTCTAGATACAGAAGAGCCTGGCTGGAGATTTTCAAATTCCTTGACGCAATAGAGGTTTTCAAATCTTACTCTTATGTCAACAAGGAATTCTACCACATATCATGAGATCAAGAATTGTGGCACTTTTACTGCGTCAGAGATTATGCTGATGTTGCACTATATGATCAGGAAAAAAATTATCGCTCACAATACGTAATCATATACATGGAGTCATGCTTTTGATGCCATACGCGCCAAACTGAAGAAAACTTCAAAAGGTGCCCATTAATTAAAAAACCAATTTGCGATAGCTGCAAAAAACTTGAGAGGTTTAGCTGTATGTGTAAAAAAGATATTCAGGCTAGATACGGTATAAATCCTAACATTTTACAGCTTAATTTTGGTGAAGGAGGCTGAGGGACTAAAGTTGTCTATAGATATATGGCTGAAGAAGCAATAGAGTCATTTAGAAAACGAAATAAAGATTTTTTGCTTGGATTTATGAAGGAAAATAACTCAGACCCAACTCTGATTGAATTTCTTGAAAAAAACGATATAAAAAATATGCCATCCTGGGATCTAAATGAAAATGTTGTGGAATCCACAGATCCAATTTACCGACTGATATACCAATATGTGAAAGACAAAGTAAATGAAAAGAGACTTCTAAGCAAATTGAGAGCTCATAAATAGCAGCTTATTAAAAGCATTTAAAATTAAAAATTAGCTAACTCCAAAAATAATCCTTATGTAAGAGCAATGGTCTCCATTAACTATAAAGGCTACTTCTTATATAAAAAATTATCGATAAAATTGCTTATTACAGTTAAAAACTATAATTTTAAAGAGTTAAATATACTATAGATATAATTGATTACAGCCCTAAGACCTTAAAGTCTGGCTTTTTTTTATTAAAATAGATTTGCTTTTTAAAACCACTAAAGTTTTATATAAGCATGAATTTTTTAGATTCAATTAATTTTTTGTAAGTCTTTACAGTTTTTGAGCACCTTAATATAAATTCTATTTATTTCTGTTAATTATTATAATATTTTGCTATGAGAAAAAATGCATTCCAAGCTGAAATTGCAAAAAGAAACTCAAAATGCTTAGCATGTGGTGAAATCATACCTATTGGAGCTATAAAAATCAAAGTTCCAAGATTCCAGGTATTTGACTTCTACCACTTTAAATGTTACACGCCAAAGGTAAATCAGTATATTTGTAAAAGTGATGTAAAAAATTGCTTGGACTCAAAAAATGCTGAAATTCTTAATAATTGGATTGATGAATGAAACCAAGATTATATACCACTTGATAAACCTTTTCGGGAACCCCCACAATTTTCTAAACTTGTGGAATCTAGTCCCTCTAGATACAGAAGAGCTTGATTAGAGATTTTCAAATTTCTTGATGCAATAGAGGTTTTCAAATCTTACTCTTATGTCAACAAGGAATTCTACCACATATCATGAGATCAAGAATTGTGGCACTCTTACTGCGTCAGAGATTATGCTGATGTTGCACTATATGATCAGGAAAAAAATTATCGCTCACAATATGTAACCATGTACATGGAGTCATGTTTTTGATGCCATACGCGCCAAACTGAAGAAAACTTCAAAATCTGCCCACTAATTAAAAAACCAATTTGCGATAGCTGCAAAAACTTACTCTACAATCGCTGCAATATTAATAATTTAATATTCTATAGAAATATAAAAGAAAATTAATTTAAAATTTATAATAATACAGGGGAAAGTTGAGAGGTTTAGCTGTATGTGTAAGGCAAGTATTCAGGCTAGATACGGGATAAATCCTAATATTTTACAGCTTAATTTTGTAGAAGGAGGCTGGGGGACAACTAAAGTTGTCTATAGATATATGGCTGAAGAAGCAATAGAGTCATTTAGAAAACGAAATAAAGATTTTTTGCTTGGAGTAATGAAGGAAAATAACTCAGACCCAACTTTGATTGAATTTCTTGAAAAAATCGATATAAAAAATATGATATTTTTCATAAGATTAATTTGATTTTTTTTTAATATTCAGTCTTTTGTATGTGAAATAGGATTCTTATCATTTTATAGCAGAGACTTATTAATGCAATATTTATATGCCATCCTGGGATCTAAATGAAAATGTTGTAGAATTTTCAGAGCCAATTTACCAATTGATATACCAATATGTGAAAGACAAAGTAAATGAAAAGAGACTTCTAAGCAAATTGAGAGTTCATAAATAGCAGCTTATTAAAAGCATTTAAATTAAAAATTAGCTAACTCCAAAAATAATCCTTATGCAAGAGTAATGGTGCCCATTAACCATATAAGCTCTTTCTTATAAAAAATATCAAAAATTTATAGATACAAATTGATTATTGCAGTCAAAAAATATAATTTTAAAAAGATAAATATACTATAACTATAATAAAATTACAGCCCTGAGACCAGAAATTATTAATGTTTAGGTTATTATATTATTTTATGAATTTTTATAGAATCATTTTATAATTATAATTGAATTCATAAATGAAGAGGATCTTAATTCATGCTGAGATGGCTAGAATGGACTTAAAATGCAAAGAATGTCAGAAAAGTATAGCGATAGGAACTTTAAAGCTTAGAATTTTCCTTGGCTTTACAGACTTGCACCATTTCGGTAATTTTCATCTTAACTGTTATGATCCTCCAGTCAAGCACTATATTCCTAAGACTGATTTAGTTATGCGTTTAGATCCAGAAAATACCAAAATATTAAACGAGTGGCTTGAAAATTGAAATAAAAATTTTACCACACCTGCTACAATTTTTTCTAAAAGTGTGAACTCATCCCCTTCTAAATATAGAAGATCCTGAATAGAGATCTTTAGATTTCTCGATGCTGTGGAGGTTTTAAAAATTTATTCCCAAGTAAACAAAGAATTTTACCATATATCATGAGATGAGGAATTGTGGCACTTTTACTGTCTAAGAGAATACTCAAAGGATTTAATAAATAATAATGAGAAAAGTTACCGTTCGCAATATATAATTCTACGAACAGAATGCTGCAATTGATGCCATATGTATTTGGGTGGAGAATATTTTTATAGGTGCCCTTTGATGGGAAAGCCTCTTTGTGAAAACTGTAAAACCCTTACATCCCCAATCTATGATTGAGCCCATTGTCAGATCAAGGATGGGGCGAAAAAAAAAATATTTATAAAATTTTTAACAAATCAATTTTTTATATTGTGAGAAAAGATAGAGTATGCATATAAAAGGCAAATATGTTATAAATCGCATTAAAATTGCAAGCGACTATAGCAGATTTCTAATATTCATTACTATCAAAGACAGGTAATTAAAACTGAGGAAGAGCAAGCAAGAATAGATTTCATGTTTTCTATAAAAAATTTTTCGATCAAGTATAGAGGCTAATTTTCTTGATTATTAAGGAATTTTTCAGTTATGTTGTCCGATCGGAAGAGATTGACTCCCTTGGGAGTGGGAACCTTAATTAATAATAAAGGATGGGGAGAGTAAGAGATTTGAACTGATGTCGAAAGGCGAAATTCTTGGAGAATTTAGAATAAATGCAAATATCCTGAATATAAAATTTGTAGAAGGATGCTGAGGCCGAAAAAATACTTATAGATATATGGTAGAAGAAGCAGTGGAGTCTATGTGCAAACGAAATAAAGATTTTTTGATAAAAATATTAAGGGAAAATACAAATCCAATTTTAATTGATTTTATTGAAAAGATTGATATAAATAAAAACAAAATTTCAATACCTCCCACCTCAATAGCTAACAAAATCATTGAGAAAATCCTACTATTTTAAAATCCCATATGTTACAAATTTTAATATTAATGAATTCTAATCTTTATAACATAAATTTAAATTTTTAAAAAAACAGTTTTAAAAAAGAAAATTAGCCCCATTCAGGAGTGATCAAAAAATCTTTATTAGTTCATGGAGATGGGAGTAATAGACATCAATCAAGTTATAGACGAACCGAGAAAGGAAATGTGTACAATGATTTATGAATATGTAAAATATGGATTTCACAAAGCTAAACTTTTGAAATTGCTTACTCCCCCCCCCCCCCCCTCCGTGAGCGAACAAAACCATTAGAAAAATCGCCATTTTTTGACCAAAAACCCACCCTCCGTGAGTGAACAAAAATTTTTTTAATAGAAAAAATTTTAATGGAAAAAAATTTTGATATATAAGTGATAATTAGTATAATGAAATCTAGAGCTAATTCTGTTTAATTTTAAACAAATTGCGTTTTAAAACATAAATTTTGCAAATTAAATTAATATTTGATTCCCAATTTTTGCAAATTAGGATTTTTTTTAAATTTCGAAAAAAATATTTTTTATAAAAAATTTATATATAAATTTTTTTAAAAAAAAAAATTAACCCCCCTCCGTGAGCGAACAAAATTTTTTTGTTCGCTCACGGAGGGGGGGGGGGGGGGGAGTTAAAAAATATTATAACTAACAAAACTAAGCTAAATATAACTAATTACAGTACCTTTTTACAAATAACTCAATAGTAAGGTTAATGCCCATACAGTTATACAAATAATTATTAAAAATGTATAAAAAACGTCACAAACACTTGCAGGCATTATTCCTATCCTGAAAATATATTGATTTTGCTAACCTTCTTTGAATTATTACAAATTTCTCTTTAATATACAAAAAATCATCAATTTCTGATAAACAAAATTTTTCAAAATTTTATGAATTATAACTCCCAGTGCAATAAAAGTATAATTATTCCTAGCTGTAGAAATTACTGTTTTCTTGATTTATTAAAATCAAATCTATTCAATTCTGCTGATAATTAATAATCAAAATATGAAAAAGACCTCATTTCAAGCAGAGATTAGTAAAAGACAAACAAGATGCAAAGTATGCAAGAAAACTATAGATATAGGGATTATAAGAATTAAAATCCACTCATATGATCATTTTGATTATTACCACTTCGAATGTTATACCCCAAAGATCAAACAGTACATTTCTAAAAGTGATTTAGGGATTAGATTAGACCAAGAAAATGCTAAAATTCTAGATGCATGGCTTGAAAACTGGAATAAAGATTATGTACCTCTAGATAAAGCTTTCCATGAGACTCCAACTTTTTCTAAACTTGTAGAAACAGCTCCTTCTAAATACAGAAGAGCATGGCTAGAAATATTTAAATTCTTGATGCAGTATGAGAAATAAAATCGCTATAGAAGACAAATCCGAGTCGCTTATTTTGTAGTAGGTAGGACCTATCGCAAGGTTCTGAATTCAAATGCCTGTGTTGAATTTTAGTAGTCCTTTAGGGCTTGTTCCTCCCTTAAGGTTTTCCTGTTCCTGCTTAGGCTTGACAGGTTTTGCTTGCCACAAAGTCTTTCCTTATTAGGACATACAGTGCGCTTTTCAGAGGGCGACTCTCTCAGGGAGTTGTATTTAGTAGGTTGTTCAGATCGGAAATTTAAAATAGGAGCCTTTCATTTTTCCATTTGTAATCTAGGCGGCAATGCAGACTATCTTTGTGTAGCCAAATCAAGGCGAAGACTAGTGGTTCAGCCGCTTATGACCGGACACTTAATAATATTAATCTTGATGCAGTAGAATTGTTTAAGATTTATTCTCATGTGAATAAAGAATTTTACCACATTTCATGGGACGAAGAATTATGGCATTTTTACTGTGTAAGAGATTATACAAATGCTGCACTGGATGATCAGAAAAAGAATTATAGAACTCAATACATAATTCTTAGAATGGAGTCATGCTTTTGGTGCCATGCACATCAATCTCAAGAAAGATTCAATAGGTGCCCATTGATAGGAAAGCCAATATGCGAAAAGTGCAAAAAACTTAAAAGATTTGAGCAGCTGCATGGTTGCAGGTCACAGTTTTCATAGTGCATTTCATCGAAAAAATAGGTCGAAAATTGTTAAATAGTGAACTTTTAGCTGAAATTCCACGGTTTTTTAGGTAAAATGTCTTACTATTAAAAATGCTTCGAACAAATTTTCCCTTAGGAAGTGTCGCACTATTAAAAATACACGGTCATTTGGCATGAGTCCAGGTGCATAAGTCACAAATCGAATCACGGTATGGGATAAATCCGAATCTTCTGCAGCTGAAATTTGGTTTAGGCTATTGAAATAAAAAAGTTGTATACAGGTATATGGTAGAAGAAGCTCTTGAAACTTTCAGAAACAGAAATAAAGAATTTCTGCTTGAAGAAATGAAGAAAATTAATTTAGACCCTACTTTGGTTGATTTTGTTGAAAATATCGATATAAAGACTGTTGATAAGCCTTGATCAGAGATATTACAAAGCTCAGGAAATCTGTATCTTCTGCCAATTCATGAGATAATTTATAATTATATACGAGACAGAAAAGCAGAAAAAAAACTCATAAATAAACTTAAATCTACATAAACTTAATTATTATTTAACAGCTTCCTATTTATAGTCTGAAAATTAATAGCGATTTGGGTTTTTGCTCTTTTAAAGAAAATACTATAATTACTACCAGTGCAAAAATCAATACAATTATACTCAGATGCATAATTACTGTCTTTTTGATTTATCAAAATAAATTAAATTTTCTATAATTAATAATCAAAAAATGAAAAGGACTTCATTCCAAGCAGAAATAAGCAAAAGAGATACAAAATGCAATACATGCAAGGAGAGCATAGATCGAGGAGTCATAAGAATTAAAATCCACTTAATGGATCATTATGATTATTATCACTTAAAATGCTATACCCCCAAAATCAAACAGTATATTTCTAAAAAAGATTTAGGGATAACCCTAGACCCAGAAAATGCTAAAATTCTAGATGAATGACTTGATAACTGGAATAAAGATTATGCCCCACTTGACAAAGCTTTCCATGAGCCTCCAACTTTTTCTAAGCTGGTAGAATCGACTCCTTCTAAATACAGAAGAGCCTGGCTAGAAATATTTAAATTTCTTGATGCAGTCGAATTGTTTAAAATTTATTCTCATGTGAATAAAGAATTTTACCTTACTTATTAATTAGATGGTTAGTCAAGGTCCTCGAGGTAAAACCCAAATAGAAAATAGGCAAGGGCTAGGCTCCCTAACATAACAGGAGTTGCTTACCTAGCATAGCTGCCCATTTCCAGCTTTGTAACACCTCACCGGATATAATTAAATATGTGTTCGAACGTAGTCGGCGTAGCCGACCGCGGAGCGCTGAGACGCTATATTTAATAATCCAAAGAATTTTACCACATTTCATGGGACGAAGAATTATGGCATTTTTACTGTGTAAGAGATTATACAAATGCTGCACTGGATGATGAGAAAAAGAATTATAGAACTCAATACATAATTCTTAGAATGGAGTCATGCTTTTGGTGCCATGCACATCAATCTCAAGAAAAATTCAATAGGTGCCCATTGATAGGAAAGCCAATATGCGAAAAGTGCAAAAAACTTATCTTTTAGCCTTTAAAAATTACAGATTTAATAATTTTGAATAAATTATTAAATATTTATAATCATTTGATTATTGAGGAGTTAAAAGATTTGAACAAATGTATAAGTCAGAAGTCGAAGCAGTCTATGGGATAAACACTAATCTTCTACAGCTGAAATTTGGAATAGGCACTTGGAACAGAAAAATTGTTTATAGATATATGGTTGATGAAGCTCTGGTTATATTCAGAAAACGAAATAAAGAATTTCTGCTTGAAGAAATGAAGAAAACTAATTTAGACCCTGCTTTGATTGATTTTGTTGAAAATATCGATATAACAACTATGGATAAATCTTGATCAGAGACATTAGAAAGCTCCGAAGATCCAGTTCATGAATTGTTTTATAACTATATAAGAGACAAAAAGTCAGAAAAAAGAGTCTTAAACAAGCTCAAATCCATAAAATAATTAAATAATCATTTTGCTTACTATTTAAGAATTACTTAAATTACAAATTCTTGCTAACAATGCTTTTTATTGCTTTTTCCCATCGAAGATTAAAAGGCGGATCAATATTGACCTCTGAAGAATTCAATAAATCTAACGGTGGGACTGGCTGGCTTTTTGTATAGTTAGGCAAGCTGTCCATTGAAGATTCAAATGAATCTATTTCTTTATTTCTCAGCTGAATCATTAGTGGATTCTCCAGAAAATTATTCGCAATTTGTATAAGTTCGCTAGTATCTTCTTCAGTACTTTGTCTAGACTGGAATTTCACACGTGATTCCCTGATTTCTTCATCCCTTGTTTGCTGTTTTCCTCTTAATGCTTCCATAGGCAGCCTTGGAGTTTCAAAGTCTTTATCAAATGGGATTTCATATAAAGAATCTTTTATAGACGCCCCTGATTTTTTAAATGTCCCTTCAAGAGATGCATTTAAAGAGATTCCCATCTGCTGACCATACATAGAGTTGTTTCGTGATTCTTCAAGTAAAACTGAAGCTGATTCCATATGTTGATGGGCTTGTGTGTCTGAAAAATCAATAGTGGTTTGAGATTCTTGCTCTTTTCAAGGCAGCTCAGTTTGGACACCGAAATTTGTTTTGGAGACTTCTTGGAATACTGAGTTTAGATTTTTGTTTAGTGGTTTTTCTTCAGTTGGCTCTTCATCTCAAACTGGGATTTTTTGGTCTTCTATTTTGCTTATATCTATCATGTTTTTATAGCTGGCAATATCTCTAAATCTCTAGATTAGATTATGATGGGTATTAAGGTACGTACTTCACACAGGTGGCATTCTGCCCGGTACAATTGAAAATTCGGTGGCTTCCACCTCTAGTTGCTCAAATCCCAACAACACCTGATTTTTAATAGTTTTATTGTCCTGTGGATCTAAACCTCCCAAGGCAATACGATTCCAGCTTGGTCCCTTCGACCGCCTACTTGCTCCACCCTTCCCTTCACTCCAGGTCGGTATCGCCTCCCTCCTTGGAGGTCCTTGAACCGAAGAGATCGTTTTGTTGTCTAGCCTGCCTTCTCCTTTTTTCAGTTCGTCCTAGAAAAATTCCAACGGTTCCTAGATTCGGGTAGACTAAAGCAGCTTGAGCAAGTAGTTCACCTTGCTCCATTTCATGTATCCCCTGGATCGGGTGCTACTGGCAAGAAGACGTCGCAAGTAACTATTAGATCAGACCACAAGTCAGCGGATTTATGTTTAAGTCCTTCTCTGCAGAATACCAGATACTGCTGAGCCAAGTCCTGCTCCAAAAAACATTTCCAGGTATGCATGGGTAGCTGTTACATGAGAAGAAAAATTGGGCATCATCTCCATTTTATGTTTATATAAATCTCTATATCAAAATAATAAATATCATTTTTAAAAAAATTATACTCCCTATGCCCAAAAAGTCACAATGGACTATTTTTTAAATAAAAAAGATTAAGAATATCATCTCTTATTTTAGAATCCACTCCTTTCAAGTACTTAGGGATTGTCCTTTGTTTTACTGTCTCTGCTGAGTTATTTTGATTATTATACATTGAATGTGAATATGTATTGATTCTAGGTGAAAATCTTTTTCGCGTTTCTGCATTTTCTTTTCTTGATGGAGACACATTTGGAGATGTGCGGAGCCTTGAGTTCTTTAAATTTGGGGAGCCATCGCTGCGGTTGCTTTGCTTTAGTTTGTCATCTCTCACTTTAAATCGAGGGGTTTCTTCTGATTTCAAAGATCCTCGGATGCTTGATTTCGGAGTTTTTTGGTTGAGGGGAGGCTTATTTGTGATTGTTGATTGTGAAGAAAATTCTCGTTTAGGGGCTGATACATATCTGCGATCAGGATTAAGTGTTTTTGGCATCACAGTAATAATTTCTTCTTTATTTGAGTATTGGCTCCCTTGAAGTTCACTATTTAACGATTCTCCATTTTCTACAAGATCTCACAACTCTTCTACTGTGTATTGTTTTCCGTTTAATTTAGAAAGTCCTAAAAGAAGCACTGCTAAAATACAATTGGGCCAGTCTTTACGGCTGTAAAGGGAAAGGAAGTTTGTTATGGCAGAGCTATTATAGATCACTTCCATTTTTTCAAATTTATCCTTAACTCCTATCCTTGAACGGATATGCTTCTTCGTCATATTAAGGATTAAAAACATTCTGAAATAAAATTATATATAAAATAAATTTAATCGAATTATTATATTTACAATTTTTCTAACTCCCCCCTTTAAATTGAACAAAAAATTCTATTCCATTTTTAAGGGGTTTTATTTTTAAAAGAAATTAAAATTAAAATTATTTTTTAACTTTTTTGTTCCAATTAAAGGGGTTAATTTTAGCAAAATGAAATTTTACCGATATTTTGTTCTAATTTAAAGGAGGGAGGGGAGTAATATAAAATGTTTTATGCACTAACCTCAAGAGACAAGTATAAATAGTAAATATAACTATCTCATCAATTTATACGATTTTAGGAAAATTTTAATGGAATCTTCAATTAAGGCTAAGGAAGTAAGAAGAAAAGAGATATAATTAAAAAACAAGTCATTTTTGCGAGAAAATAATAACACAAAGTAGGAAACTCACAAAATTTTTATTTTTAAAGGAGTTAAATTTTTATTAATAAAATAATTTAATTTTTCAGCTGTTTTATTAAAAATTTCACTATTCTACTTATCAAGATATATAAAGAATTAAAAAAATGTATAAATGAATATACGATTAGTGAAAATATTTTTAAAAAATATTATATATTATCGTTGTTAAATTTGTATTAGGATCAATTTAAATTTACCATCACATGCTACTACTAATTGTGGCATTTATTTTTTTTCAAAGCAATTTCAATTAACTGCATCTTCTGCTTAGTTTGGGATATAAATGCATCTATTGTAGATATTTTATTGTATAATTCGAGCAATTTTTGTCTCTTTGCTCCAGAATTATCGACCTGACTTTTCTTTTCAGTGAAATTAATTTCTTTTAAATGACTTTCGAGTTCATTTATTTGGGATTCATTTTTCTTAATTTGATTAATTTGACTAGGGTTCATAAGAAAAGAGTCGATTATGTCGTCCTCTTTCCAAGATTTGCCTTGATAAAGTATTAAATCTTTTGACTCTAATGAAAAATTTAACTGACTATGCATGCTTTCTATAGTTGAACTTCCCATTGGGTTTCTCCTTCTCTTTAAAGTACCATAAAACCGATTTTTTATATCAATAGCAATTTTCCCAGGTAAGAAGGTAGATATTTTTTTCCAGTTTCCTCCATACTTGTTATATAAATTATTTAATACTAATTTAGTTAAAATAAATCTCAACTCATACTATAACTATATAAAAAAGAGCTTAAAAAATTTTATATCATGTTATCTGATTTATTTGATATAGAAATAACTCAAAAATTAAGCTATCCTCCTCTTTTGATCATTTTGGTTTTTTCTCGTATATATTTGTTTTTTCATTTTTCTTTTGACAGTAAATTTCTGGTTTTGCTCTTTCTAGAGAACCATTTAAAATATGGTTTAAAGGAGTTTTATCCAGATTTTCTATTTCCTTTTCTCCAATATTTAATTCTGGGATTCTAGAAATTTCATCTTCTGAAGAATTACTTGATAGTTCTTCAAATTCTGACGAGGAGATTGATCTTGGCTCTAATTCGACCCTTTTAAGAGAGTCCAAGATTTTTTGTTCACTCTTAAAGGGTGTTATTTTTTTTATAAAGCAAAAATTAAAATTATATGCCTAATGCAATGAATAATCATAATGATTAATTTTTATCCTTTTAATATTTGACTATAATATAACAGCAATCATCAGGAATGCTTATATTGACTCTAATTAGGTTTACAAGTTTTTATTTCAGATTTTAACAATTTACTTTTAAGAAAACTATTCATATTAAATCTGATTAAATTATTTCAAAATACTGTTATAGCAATTGTTTAATTATAAATAAAATATTTATAAACCAATTATGCTATTTTTTGCGGATCTTGAAGGAGGGGAGTAATGAAAGCGATAATTGAGATATTCTTGATTCATAAGAACGAGGGGCAGATTCTTGTCATTTGAAGTCTTCTATGCATAAGGTGTTAATAATTGGGAAATTGCTGTCCCAATAATCAGAAGCATTTTCCAGTGCCGGTAGCCAATCCATCTTATCCTTCTAAAAAATGTTTATTCCACAGAGTTTTATAAAATTACAGTCGAGATTTATTTGTAAATTATGGATTAATGAATGTTAAAAATTAGCCAAAGCTTATTATTAAACAGCAGTGGAAAAAATATAATTCAAAGAATATGGAAATTAGTGATATTCTAATATTTGTATGCTAAAAAATGATCAGAAATGAGACTTAACGACTCCTAAATATATTTTTATCTCAGCCAACAAAAAAATAATAATTATAAACAAGCTGAATTGGTTGAGCTTTATAGTTAAAAAATAATCAATCTCTTATCACAAATTTAATGAAAATTTGTCCTTGAATTTGAGGTAGCGTCAATTTAGTTATTGAGGTTTCATCTGCTATCAATAATATTAAATCTAATATTAATGCGATTATTAGTTTTTTGAATAATTTATTGTTGAGCAAAATAGGTATTGACTCCTTATTTAAATTAGAATAAAATTTTTATCCAAATTAAATTTTCAAAAAATAATATATATATAAATTATAAAAATTTAATATTTATATAATTAATTTTAATTAAATAGAATTCGAATTACACTCCTATTTTAAAATAGAGCATATCAAACGTAAATTTTTGTATGTGAAGATATTAAATTAGGTACCTTAGTTTTTACAAATAAATTCTTATTTTTCTCTAAAAAATTAATTTTAGGGGTCAAGCGGAAAAAAATTCACTGAAGTTTTTTCCGCCTATATTTTTTCAGTCAAAAAGATCGAAAAAAAATAATTTTTTTTTTGAGGTAAAAAAAAAAACCTTCAAACCGAGGGCGTAAAATACGGAGGGAAAAAAACTTCATTTGTAAAAAAATATACTATCAAAAGCAGATTATATTAAATAGATTAATGATAGAATAGTAAATAAACATCAATAACCCTTTTATTATTTACTAATTAAATCTATATCACGAGCCCTAAATGAATGCAAGCATGACATGGCTTCAATTAAATTGTTTTTTTCTGCAGCAAATTTCCAAAACAGTAGGAAAAAACTTCAATAAAAAATTTAAAGCCATGGATACAGTGCTTGCTAGAGCATCAAAGTTTAGTGCTTGCTTGTCTATAGAACAAAAACACAAACAGCTAATTGGAAATATAAAGCCAGACTCAAAAGTCAGAATAAACAGCTTTAAAGTGAATAGAAAAATTTGTTTCTCAAAAATCATAGGAAAAAGCTTAACTGCAAAAAAACAGTATGAAAGCCTTCCAATAAATTTTAAATGAAGTTTTTTTGAAGGCGGAAAAAAACTTCAATTGGTTAAAAATAGGCGTAAAAAACTTCTATAATTTTTTGATTTTAGTCTTAGAAAAAACCGAAAGAAAAAAAAAATCAACCACTAATGGGTTAAGCATAACTTTAAATCATGTATTTTACCTAATAAATGGTTGACTTTATTGGTCTAATCGCTCATAAAGCCAAGATTTCTTTGAATAGCCCTACAGCTGAACCTTTAAACGATCAATTGATGGATATTGCAATCTAGGATCCATTTATAATGGAATTTATACATGCAAACTATAAATTAACCCCATTTCACATCATATTTCTACTATCAGAATACAAAAAAGCACCAAAAAAGGCTCATAATAATTCGAACCATATTGGCAATATGCTAGAAAGTCATGAACAGAGCGAGAATAACAATCGCAATTTTGCAATGCCAGCAACTGTAATTGAAGAAGAAGAATACAGAGAGTCCTGACAATATTCCCATCCTTTAATGATGACTTAATTGACGCAACTCAAGAAATACAACAGCTATCTATTGCTGCAGAAGAAGTAAACGAAAACAATACTTCATTTATATTCAATGAATACATCTGCAATTGCTAATTTTTATTAAATTTATTACAAACGAAAAGCACATAATAATTAAATAAGTAATATTTTATGTAAATAATTGTATGCTTGAAGTCTCAAATAGAAGGATAAATGAAATCTCATTAATCTACTCATTGAACAATTTAGATTATTAGATTAGATTAAAGCTGTGTATTTATAGTCCCCACTTCCAAAGCTTTTGCGTTCCGCAGCGGTTCCGCTGCGGGGTGGGCTCCCTGAAGGCACTCGAGCCCGGGCCAAAACCCCCGGTTTCTCGGTAGTGGCAGTTTTCCTCCTAATCAGGGTCATACGGATTTGCCGGGAACCACCAATTCCCAACTCGAGGCCAAGTCTACCCAGCCCTGCTACGCCTCTGGCCAGATCGCCCCTTTTGATCGGGACCCTTTTCGACTGGAGAGACTTGCGCCCTTGAGACCTGCGTCGAGCTTCGCCTCCCCCTCTTTTCGGATTATCTCCAAAAAAGAACTCAACCCCTTGCGGGATTCGGGGCTAAGCCACCAAGTAGCCTAGGCAGGTAACTCTCCCTGCCTCTTTCGGACACCGAGTCTGGGCCTCGGCGCTACTGGCAAAAAGAATGCGAAAAACTGCTGCCCAGGTCAAGCCCCAAAATCAGCGGAAATTGGGCTGGGCCCCTCGCCTCGAGGCTAACTCTTCCCTTGAGTAGCTCTCCGCATCCAAAAACCACGTCCGGTATACATAAGGACACCCACCACGGAAGGACGGGTCGCTCGTCTCCGGCCATTTTATGTATATCCTACTCATTGAACAATTTACAAACACAACTCTATGAGCTCTATTTGCTGCCTGAAAAAGATGCAGCCAGTAGTAATATTCATAACCCAAGTTTTCCTTGTCACTATAGCCATCTTTATGAAATTTAAAAATCCAAAAAGGAAATTTTAATAGAAGTTTTCAAGGAAAACCTCCACTATTAGCACAACTCAATAAAATCTCTTTTCTGCCTGAAAAAGATACAGCCAGTAATGATTTTCATAACTCGAATTTTTCCATTGTCACTATAGCCATCTTCATGAAATTTATAAATTCAAAAAAGGAAATTTTTAATAGATGTTTTCAAGCACAATTTGCAGTAGAAACACAACTCCATGAGCTCTCTTTGCTGCCTGAAAAAGATGCAGCCAGTAGTAATATTTCATAACTCTAATTTTCCCATAGTCACTACTTGATGATAGTGGAGACTGGTTGGAATCAAATATTCTAAAGTAAAAATCTGCATGTGATGAATTCTATAATTATTATAACTAAAGGAATTGCTTGAAAGGAATAAATTATAATTAATTCCCTTGAATAGCCCTGTAAGGGCAGGCATTTTTAGCCGGAATTCCTTATTTGGTTTGACCAACTAGCGAGTTGGTCCGACCCCCTCAGAAATTCCGGCTAAAAAAGCCTGCCCTTACTCGACCATCAAAGAGAAAATACTATATCTGATCCTATGCCATTTATTTAAAATTCTGATCATACTCACCATCAGAAAATTAATAAAACTATCATTTTTGATTTAAGTACTAGCCAAATTAGCTCGCCAGATCCATTTGACGAACCAAAGTATAAATTTTGAAGATAGTTCTCTTCAAGTTCTCAGAGATTTATCAGGCAGAATTCTTTATTTAGGCTGTTTGTCTCTCCCCGTGAATAAGGAATAGCAGGATTTATTATGTCCAAGATCCTCCGATAAAGCCTAGGAATGCACCTTATCGCGCTATTGAAAAGAATTTCTATATCTCGAATTATAAATCATTCCAAAATAATTTCATTAGCTTCGCCAATTGTGGGTTGATTATTTTTTTCTTTCGGTTTTTTCTAAGACTAAAATCAAAAAATTATAGAAGTTTTTTTACGCCTATTTTCCGCCTTCAAAAAACTTCATTTAAAATTTATTGGAAGTTTTTTCATACTGTTTTTTTTTGCAGTTAAGCTTTTTCCTATGATTTTTTGAAATAATTTTTTACTATTGACTTTAAAGCGGTTTATTTAATCTTTAAAGTCTGGCTTTATATTTCCAATTAGCCGTTTGTGTTTTTGTTCTATAGACAAGCAAGCACTAAACTTTAATACCCTAGCAAGCACTGTATCCATGGCTTTAAATTTTTTATTGAAGTTTTTTCCTACTGTTTTGGAAATTTGTTGATGAAAAAAACAATTTAATTGAAGCCATGTCATCCTTGCATTCATTTAGGGCTCGTGATATAGATTTAATTAGTAAATAATAAAAGGGTTATTGATGTTTATTACTATTCTGTCATTACTCTATTTAATGTATTTTGTTTTTGATAGTTTTATTTTTTACCAATGAAGTTTTTTTTTTTACCGTTGAAGTTTTTTACCTCAAAAAGAATAAAAAAAATTTTTTTTCCTATCTTTTTGACTGAAAAAAAATAGGCGGAAAAAACTTCAGTGAAGTTTTTTTCCGCTCGACCCTAAACTTTAGGATTTACCAATTTAATAGAGAGGAAGTAAGAGACATAACTGGCCTGTGAAAAGTAAAAATAAATAAGGCAACCACAAATTAAGGAATAAGCAGGGATGGTTTACTGAAAATAAATGCTTAATTTGATGTTTTGTAAATAAAATTATTAAGTTAAATAATTTCCAATAAATATGAAGTTTCATATGTGCAGCCCAAGTGCTCTTCTGATTAGTTTATTGTGTCATATTGCTTACGAATAATTTCTGTTTTTTGCAGTAACTTTTTGTATTCATTTGCATGAGCGATTCTGATGCAGCAAATAGCGAGGATTCACAAACAAACCATTACATAAATTCCTCATATTATAGTAAAAATCATTGCTACCAATAAACAATTTTCATCATCTTCACATAATTCACTTGTATTATAAAAAATCTCAAACTCTACAAGCGCGACAATCAATTTATAAAGAAAATAAACTGAACTTAATAAATTAAGCCAAAAATTTTGTTTCATAATGAATATTTTTATATAAATGTAAAATAATATACAAATCGATTGCAGCGCATACTATCGATAGAATAAAATAAATTTTCAATCAAATCGGCTTATTTGTTTTTGTTGATATTACTCCAGCTAACAAAGGTGTTTGTGTAAGAATTGTAATAATGATAGCTTCAAATGTAAAATTACCAATTAGCATTAATATAGCTATAGGCCAATAAATAAGCAGCAAAGACATGTTTTCTGTATACACTAAATTCCTGGCAGCCTCCAATTTTTCTTTATGGACGTCATCGTATTCAGCCATAGCTTATTTTTTATTCCATTTTATTTATATTTTATATGTTGTTTAATTTTAACCTAAAAAATAAATCCAACCTATATGATATTTTCTCATGCTAAAATTAATTTAATAAAGAATAAAAATTAGCAAATTTATTTAACTGGTTAGCAGATTTCTGCCTTTATGCTGAAAACTTTCATTTGGCTTCTCTTCTGGAGGCTTAAAAGGAATCTGTTGAAGCATTTCATCTAAATTAATCAATTTTTCATCAGTATGCTCCTCATCCTCATTTTTCGGAATTGTTGCAAATTGGCTTGCTCGGTATGGAAATAGCTTCTCATAAAGCATAATTAAAACCTGCTCATTAGATATAAGAAGTTCTAATATTTTTCGCTTATCTCCAGGGGTAAAATGATCTTTTGTATCTCTTTCAGTAAATTTTGATTTTTTGCCAAATTTTTGATTAAGAAGTGTTTTTGCTCGTCTCCTTAAAACTTCTTTTCTGACTTCTTCTACACATTCTAAGAATAAGCTTTCTGACTCACTTTTTTCTAAAAATACTGAGGTTTGTTGGGCTGTGATATTTTGAATTTTCTTTTTCTTATTATCTAATGTATTTTTATATATTTTTTATAATAATTTAAATTAGGGATTATATCAGCATATCAGCTAATTCTATAGAAAATTAAAAAAAATAAAATCTATGCAAGATCTATTCGTAATAATGAGGATAATGCTTTATAGCTTCATTGTATTGTTTTTCCTGGTTCAACAAATAATTTTCAATTTCTACATAAAAAGACCCATCCTTAATCGAATATTTTTGCAGTAAATCTAAAACTACAATCCCATACTTTGAAACTGGAGAATAATTTTTAATACTCGCTACTGATTCATTATGTATAGGCTCTTTTTGTGTAATAAATGACTCCTGAGGCTCTTCAATTTCATCTTTTATTATTGATTCTCCTTGCAGCAGCTTTATCTTTCTCTTCGCTGTTTTCAGCTGAGTCTCCAAGAATTTCCTATCATCTTCTAAACTTTCTGCCTTTGCTTTCCATTTATCAGCTTCTTTTTTATAAAATTGTGCGCTTTCCCCAAGCTTAACCGCTTCTTCTCTGAATCATTCCATTGATTTTTGTAGCCTATTTATTTGTTCATCTCTCTTAATCTTAAGCTCATTTTCGTCAGTTTTTTTCTTCAACTCTTTGAGCTGGGCATACAAATTATATGGATTTTACTAGAATTGGCCTATAAAAATATGCAAGAATTGTTTATATAAAATTTTTGGGAAAATAATATATACATTTGGCACTTAAAAGCGTTTAAAAAATCCTGCTCGTGACGCTGAAGAACGCCATCTATATGAGTATCTAATGTGGAGATCTGGGATTTGATTGCTGAATAATATTCGCTGATTTTATCTTGATTGTTGCTATCTTTACTTTGTTTTCCAAGCTCAGTGAGAAAGGCTCGGTCTAAAGTAAGGGATGGGAGCCGTAACGGGCTTTCGTCACCAAAAAGTCTTTTTGAACTAAGCTCGGCCATTGTTTAAATGAAAATTAATTCATGTGTTTACAGTAAACTTATGATGAAAGAACACTGATTTAATAAAATTTAAGATCTTCTTAGTTAAGGATGCTTGAAATAGATTTTTTAAATTTTTTAATTAAAATCTGCTTCAAATAAGTGGAATTATATCTTTATTTAATAGCAACTCCAACTAACAGTTTTCATCTATAATATCTATGTCAGAATAATCGAAATCATAAATAGTAATCCCATATAATCATTTATCTCACTAAATTATCAATTCAGTAATTTTATTCCCATTAAAAAAGCAATAATAAATCAATCCATCTAATACAATTTTCAGTTAGTTTTAAATGGAAAAATATTTACCCGTCAGCATAAGTGATGCTACACGAAGCAACACAAATTCTTCTTCAAAACTCAGCAGTTCCCACATACAGATACACCCAAACAAAGGAATCCAAATGCACGCCCTAATTCAAGCTCGAAAGCACCTGGATAATCAAGTTTTACTACTCCAAAACCGCATAAAACACTTAGAGACAGAGCGCTGTAGGTCTGAACGCACCATTGAGCTTGCCAAAACTATGACGAAAAAGCGGCAAGAAGTCAGAAAAAAGGCCAACGATGACAAAGATCTCCAAACGCAAAAGAAAATAAATTCTACCAAAGACTTAGATAACAAAAAGAGGATTGTTTCCGAAGAAAGGGAAAAAAGGAAAGAAAGTCTGATGCAAACAAAGCAAAAATTATTTTTGGAAAAGAAAAGAGCAAGCTCTTCAGTTAAAAATGAAAAAATGATGAACGAATCAGTGAGAAAAGAGAAGGAAGAACTCAATCAAAGTATAACAAAAAATAAGGCAGAAAGGATTTTGAGTGAGTTTAGGAAAAAAAAAGAAATTCAAGAAGAAAGAGCCAAAAAGCTTAAGCTTGAAGCTGAATTAAAATATATTAAAAGAATAGAAGACGAAACAAATTATCAAGAAAATGTAAAGCAAAAAATAAAAGAACTGGAATCTTTAGAAGAAGAACTCAAAAAAAGCCTGAAGCAAACTTTACTAAAAAAAGAAAGCGTCATGAAGCAGATGGGCTCTCATTCCTTGAACTCCACGTTTTACTCCCAAAACTGATTTTCCCATTCCCCTTTAAAGCGGCCTTATATAGCAACTCCGAACCCCGAGGAGCAATTTTTGGACGAAATTTCGATAAATTACATTGAATACGTACCTTTCGATGTCACTGATATAGCAAATGATGAAAGTTTTGTTTTAACTAATTAGTTACAATTTTATTATTAGAAGTTAGATATACTCTTATTAAAGAGCTTGACGCCCTTGAGACTATCGGCTCAAACCATATTAGACTTATGCATGAAAGCGTTTGTTACTACTTGCAAAGTATTATTTCGATCTGACCAGGACATATTTTAGCTATAAACCATTTTAGTGTCTGAAATTTAAAAAATGGTTCGGTGGCTAAATTAAAACAAGTAGTTAAAATTAGTTTGATACCAAATCTTTCAGAAAATTTTGTATTATTCTTACCAATTTTACCAAAAGACTCAACTGATGCTGTGAAAACTTTTTTTGTTGATAAAGCTCATTATATTTTGATCCAGAAAAATGGCTGATCAAGAGCATCATATTTAAATCACTAATTGAAAAATATTTTTTAATAGACGAAGAAGTGCAAAAATCTAAGACTAAACTTAAATTTTTGCAATTTCATTCTGTATCTGCATTAGTAATATTTCTTCTATATCGCATCAAACATTTGAGAAAAGCTGAAAATATTTTTCAATACAATCTGCAAATGGCCATCAGAGCAATTTCATAATAAAAGACTTATAAGATCAAAAAATTTCCCATAAGAGAAGCCAGAGGGATTAGAATCAATAAATATATCTGTGAAAATTGAGAATAAAAATTCGCCTTATCTATGCAAAATTGACATGCCAAAATGATTTATAGCTAAAAATGTCCTGGTCAGATCGAAATAATACTTTACAAGAAGTAAGTCTCATATTGGTTGAGCCGATAGCCTCAAGGGTGTCGAGCTCTCTAAAAACGGTATATAAATAATGTCGATTTATAGCGGATTTGCAACTCGATCTTTAGAGTCAACCTATAATGCCCAGATATCAAGACTAATCAGTCTTCTTCATGACCATGTTTATGCAACAATCCGATGCTGTAAACCCCACATAGTGCCATTTGACAATCAATTGTGGATTGATGATTTCTCTAAAACTTATCATACAATAGTTAAACTTGAAGACCAAAAATACCAACTTCCAAAATACTCAAAATTCACTCAAGAACTAGGAGAATATTTAAAACCAAGGTAAATTCCATTAAGAGCTTCTTTATGTTCTTCTAAGCAAACAAGCACAGCTGATACAGCTTATAAATTAATTGATGAAAAGCTCAGCTTTATTAATACATCGATTGGGCTAATAAACACAACTGACGATGATATACTGCCAAATTTGCCAAAAGGAAATGATACTGGCTGTTTTACGAGAATGGCTGATTATTCTGTGAATGCACAAAGCCGAGCGAAATCAAGAATGCATATTAAAAGAAAATCCCCACATGGAGAAAAAGATTGAAATAGGCATGCTAAAGAATTATATATGGCACCAATAACAGAAAAAAAGTCAACAAAATTAAAGCACCTGCATAAATACCAAGATGAAGCTTTAATGAGTATTTTGAAGGATCTGTCGAGACATGTATAACAATTTCATAATAAATTAAATTAATTAATTTATGATTAAATAGAAATTCTAGATATTTAAATAAAAAATATATGCAAATCTGCGTTTTTTGATTTTAAATTATTAATAAATTCTTTTATTATACAGCCTGCAAAAATATTTAAAATCTATAATTAAAACACCTCTTATTGTTAGTTTAATTTGAAAATCTTTATATAATACATATTTAATGGCAACTGCTCAGCCAATTGTCCATAGATCAAGATTTGCTGAAGAGCTTTTATCTGTCCGATTTAATCAAGACTATTCCTGTTTTTGTGTTGGAACTGACAATGGTTTCAGGATTTTCAAAAGTAACCCTCTCAAATACTGTTTCCGAAGAGGTAATTTCTAATAAGATTTTTCAGGAGGCATTGGAATCGTTGAACTTCTACATCGCTCAAATATAGTGGCACTTGTAGGTGGCGGCAAAACACCTCGGTATCCTCCAAATAAAGTGATTATATGAGATGACCATCAAATGAGGCCGATTGGAGAGCTAACATTCCGTACAGAAGTAAGAGGTGTTAAACTCCGAAAAGACCGTATTATAGTCGTTTTAGAAAACAAAATTTACGTTTATAACTTAGAAGATCTCAAAGTTCGTGATAACATACAAACTGCACCAAATCCTAAAGGCATTTGTGCTGTGTCTTATTTAGATGAAAGAATTGTACTAGCTTGTCCAGACAAAGTCAAAGGAAGTGTCAGAGTCCAAATCTACAACGAAGAAAAATCTGTATCAATCCATGCACATGGGACTGCTATTATGTGTCTTGAGCTTAATTATGATGGCACTATGCTGGCTACTGCATCTGATAAAGGAACAGTTATAAGGATTTTTAAACCAGATGACGGGAGCTTATTACAAGAGCTTAGAAGAGGTATCGATAGAGCTGAAATTTATTGTCTAAGTTTCCATCCGTCGTCAAAATGGCTTATATGCTCAAGTGATAAAGGGACAGTCCATGTATTTTCAACTGATACCACAAAACATTTAAATCCCAGGTCAGCTTTTGCATTTATGAAATATATACTTAAAGGATACTTTGAGTCTGAATGAAGCTTTGCACAGTTTAGAGTCAGAGATGCCAAAACAATCTGTGCATTTGGGGCTGTGAAAAATACGATTATTGTACTTAATGCTGATGGCTGCTATTATTTAGCTTCGTTTAACTCTGATGAAGGAGGAGAATGCCAGCTGATTCACCAAGAGCAAGTAGTAGATATCGAGTAAAATAATTTATACTGTTTTTTATTGTATTTATGGGCATTTTTAATAATAATTTATTATGCTTTATTTTAAAAATTTTAGCATATATGCATATCTATAAATATCTATTAAATTTCCACAAAAATCAAATTGACTGAATTAAAATGAATTATGGTCTCTATGACGCATATCAAAGCCAAAAAGGAAAATTCTTTGCCCCATCGCCTCCTAAAAAGCCTTCAAAATCCTTATTAAAGAAATTCAATGTAATATCCCGTAATATTGATATACATAAAGAACTTAACACAGATAAAATTTCAAATGCAAATCATCATAAATACCGACATCGAGGAACTGAAATAGCGGATTCTATTATAGCAAATCTACCTTGTGAAAAAGAAATACCGAATGATAGCTGTAGCTCAGTAAGCTCATATCGACTAAAACGAGAATCTTTAACTGGAGTTAACACTCCTGTCGATAAAAGTACATCACCGCCTATACGATTATTCATACATTTGCCTTCGTTAAAAGGCAGTAGGCCAAATACAAGCTTAAAAAGCAGAAATAGCATTATAGAAGAAAATTCAAAAGATTTAGAAAATACCAATTGGGAAGAGAAAAATAAAGACAATGATGATTACGATTTGATTAAAAATAGAGGAAAAGCTGGATATAAAAATAATTTCCATAAGCATACTGCGAGAAGTATTCTGAGTAAACAGATACCAATTATCCATTACCAATTATACAAGCCATTTTCTTCACATTTTTCATAAAGTATTTTATGAATTTATCTACTATCCTTACTCGAATTAATTATTTTTAAAATAAATTCTATAGAAATAATTTTTGAAACAGACTTTATCTTATTTATCCATTTTTGAAAAATTGCTAATTCCACCAAATTTTCTTGACGTCCATTTCGCCAAACTTAGTAAGGCAACTTGGGCATTTTCTTTTTCTTAAGGCCAAATTGTCGTCAATACATTTTTTGCAGAAAGTGTGGAAACATTTTGTAATGACCACTTCTCGGATCCTCTCGGAGCACTGAGAGCACCTGATCATTTTCTATATAGGAATTACCCTGTATCTGGTAAGATCTGTATTAAGAATTTCATCTGTTGATCTTAAGTTGTCAGTATTTATTTCTTTTTTGTGCATTTCTTCTTGCTCAATATATTTTTCTTCAGATTCTTGGAGTTTTATTTTTAATTCAAAAATATCTTTTGCGTTTTTTTCGCAATGCTGCCTGCCTTTTTCTAAATTTTGTTTGAGTTCTTTATTTAATTCTTCGATTTCCTGGTATCTTTTAATGCTCTCTTCATGTTTTTCTTGGAATTCTCTAGCTCTCCTTATAATTAAATATTTTTTAAAAAATATTTTAATAAATTTTAAAAAAAAATTAAATTAAATTGTTTTTTGTAATAATTCGTGGGTAAGTTTGTGTTCGCTTTTTCTCATCGCTGATTCAAGACTATCAATCATCGTCTTCAATTCGTTATACTGATTTTCTTTTTCTTTTACTACACTATTTAGCTGATTAATTAGCTCTTCAAGTGACTGAATCTTCATTTCATAAGCTTGTTTTTCTTTATCATGAAGAGCTTTCCATCCGCTTTCTTTCACCCTTTCATTCATTAATTGTATATAATTTTGTTCCTGCTCATTAATTTGTTGTGCAAGTGTTTTATTTTTCTTACTCTCCGTAAGCCTACAAAATAAAATAAATAAATTTTATAGACAATTTTTTATTACGAAATTTAAAAAAATTCAAATTTGTAAAAATTGGAAAACAAAAAATTAATTTAATTTGTTAAAATTATTCTTTAAAGTCAAGTTGTTTAAAAATCAGCAAAATTAGCTAGTGATTTCATTATAACACTTATCACTTATATATAAAAAATATTTTACCATAAATTATTTTTTTATTTTCTTATGAAGGGAGGGGCAAGTTAAGGGATTCTTCATAAGCGGTTCCAGTGACATCAAGCTCTTTTATTAAATTTTCATTGGTAGACTGCTCAATTTTTATTTCTTTTTTTAGCTCGTCTATTTGTGCTTTTAGCATTTGGATTTCTTTAGCTCTTCTATCTTCTCCTTCAACATTTTTAAGAGTTTCTAAAGAATCAGTGAGTTTTTTGTTGGCAGATTCCAGCCTGTATGAGAGCTCACTGTTAAGCCTCCTTAATTCTTCATTTGAGCTTTTTCTGGCTGTGCATTCTTTTTCAAGAGTCTCAATTAAATTTAAATAATGTGCTTGATTTGCAGGCTCTTTACTAGCTGATTGCAAATTTTCTATACTTTCCTAGACTAATCTTAATATAAAAATATAAATAAAAAATCATTATCTATTTAAAAATATGTATTAGTGTTCTCATTTTAGTGCCAATTTAATACAATAATTTATAATTTACTAGCCAAAGCATTTTTTTCATTTTCAATAGCATTGATTTTTTTATTAAGCTCATGTATTTGCTTCAATAAATCCTCTCTTTTTTCCTCCTCTCTTTTCCTTATTTTATAGGTTTCTCTACTGATTTTATCATCATAATCTTCTTTATATTTATAAAGATCGTCATTCGTATCCCTATATCTATCAAGCCTTTTCTTTAAAGTCCTAGCCTGGTATAATATATTTTTAAAGACTTTTGACTGTAAAAGCCGCTCTTCTGATGTTAAATCTTCATACCCTGTTTTAAATTTCGCTAAAAAATCGTCCTCAAAGCCTTTTTTAAACATGTCTCTTTCTTTGATTATTTGTTTTAGCTCTTCAGTTACCTCGACTACATCTTTGATTTCTTCACCATTATTATTTTGATTTCTGGCTCCACACTTGCAGGGGCATTTACAATTTCCATCAGTTTTCGAATTTGAGAGCCTTACATTGAGCCGTTCATTTAGGCTGCGTAAATCTTCATTTAAATTGGTTAAATTATGCCTTCTAATATAAATGAAATTTTTTTATTTTTATATAAAAAATAAATATCCACATTTATTTTAAAACATATAGAAATTTCCTGTGTTAAAGCATTTTTAGTATCATTAAGAACGCTAAGTTCTCCTTGGAGCTCATGTATCTGTGCAGAAAGATTAATGTTTTTTTGAAACAATTCTTCATTATTTACACATGTTTCATGGTGGTTTTGGCTTTTTTTCAAAGAATCAATAAGCAAGAGAAGCTGCTTAATAGAACCATGGGTGAGTTCTGAGAGCTGCTCTAAGCCTTCTTCATCTTTGAGAATAATGTCAAACGGGCTCGGCTCCATGTTTGTATCTATTTCTCCAGGCTCATTACTAAAGGCTTGGATAATAGATCGGATATTTTATAGTAAACTGAATAGGAATTTTAAAAAAATTAAAAAAAAATTAATATAGGGAAAATAGGGAGGTATATTGCTTATAAGCTATTTATCAAATACCTTTGCTCAAGATGCATTGAATTTAGATAAAAAAGAAGATATTTGATTGAATTTTGTGGATAACTGGGATTTTTCATTTTTTAGCTGGGAAATTTCAGCTCGCATATCGTGTAATCGTGCAGAAAGACGAGTAGACTGAACAGAAGGCAAAGATTCCATAAGGGAAATAGCTGCTTCACCGTCATCAGAAATTTTTTGCCGCTTAACAGGTTCCCCCAGTGGTTCAGACATATTTATATCTGAGGTAAATATATTGATTTATTTAAGATTTATGAAAACTTATAAATGTTACAAGTTAATGATAATTTGAAATATATAAGATAAAAGTAAACAAGAGAATTTATGTATGCAATATGAAAAATATTTATAAATAATTGTTTGAAGGCTTTAAACTTAAAATATTGGGATTTTTTTATTTTATTATGCTAAATTTATCAATTAAATATTTCTATTTTAGTCGAATTTGTGTGTATTTTGAAAGTCTGGTGACGATAAGATTAGTTTATTTAAGGTTTAAGAGCTCCATTTAACGCCAACTACCAAATCACTTACACTGGCTTCTGTCCATGCTTCAGGGTTCTCGCTCCGCTACTGCGTCGTGCATCACCTCGGCTTCAAGACTGAATGGTCCCTCGGCTTCGGGTCAACGTCTGTCCTTGCAGCTCTCAGGCTTAACACGGGTTGTCTACACAGAAACTTCAAAAATGGAATTTCTGGCCGATTCTTAAACTTGAAGCCCAGGGCGTAACTCCTAGTTTCACACTGGAGAGTTACCAGAATGGCCTTGTGACACCTAAAGGTATTCCAAGTTTCAACTTCCCCACAAAGAAAAATCCAGCTCTGAAAGCGGACTAGGGCTAAGCTCCGTACACTGCCCGAACTGCTTACCTAGTATTACTGCCCATTTCTGGGTTTTTCAGAGCTTACGGATATAATTATAGCTTACACCCCATTTTGGATCGGCCTTGAGCACCCCCTCCCAATGCCACCCACCCCCCTAACGGTCCCAAATATTTTAAATGTTAAAATATTAATTTGACAAGTTAACATATTTAAGGGGGACTTTTCAAATAATACTTTAACATTTAAAATTTTCAGGACCGTCAGGGGGTGGGCGACATAAGGAGGGGGTACTTAATGGCGAGCAACCATGAGGGGTGTGCTATAAATATATACTTGAGGCTGTATGGCTGAGAGGCCATACCCAAACCAAGATGCTATATTTTAATCATGAAAATCTGATGACAAATTTTAATAATATTTTGATTGAAATGGAGGCGCTTAAGCACTACAGAAAGATAATGAAAACCTGCAGGAAGTTAAAGGATTATAACTATAGAGAATATTTTCTCAGGATTTCAAGAGACAATTTTCGCGAAAAATCACTGGATTTATCGAAAATACAAAAAAATATTGAGATGCTAGAAAGACAAGCTGCAGTTCAGTCACTTTATCCTCCACAAAATTCAATTATAGAGACATTAAATATCCCTCAGAAATTAGGCATCAGAAATAGAAGTATTAATTAGCCTGAAAGTTATATAACTTAAGATTTATTATAAAAAATCTCCAATATTAGAATAAGTTTGCTATGAGGTCTCTTAACAAATATTAGCTTTGAATATACACTTTTCTAAATAAATTATAAAATAGCTGCCTTTTGAGATTTTATCTGCTGTTGAGCGATTCCAAATGACAATTTAATAATCAATATTTTGCTTTAATTATAATATTATTTTGCACAATAATCTTAATCAGGCACTGAAAATTATTGATCTATTTTGCTTTCATTATGTTTCCACCCACATCTTGTGCAGATGTCTCCGCTATTTAAAAAGGTGCATCCTTCGCATCGCCATCTTCCATCAGTATCGTCACCTATTGTATTTGGTCTATTTCCTGCTTTTTGCTGTGATTTTTGCTTCGATTTAGCACTTTTAGTTTTGGTCTGAGCTTGCTTTGTTTCTTCATTTCTGCTGTGTGCTTGAGTTCTTGAATTTTTCAGTGTGACTACTCTAGACATTTATATATATAATGTGGATTAATTACCTGAACTATCTTCAAGTCAGGCTTATTAGATTTGAAAAATAAATTTTCCTTTTTGGCTCGTCCTCCAGATTTTCATCATATATGGCAAATCAAATCAGCTTTTACTAGAAAATTTTATATATCATTATTTATTAATCAAAATAAATCTTTTATTAATTAAAAAATAAAATTAATTTATTTTGTGAAATTATTGAAGAGCTTAAGCATCCAAAATTTTATATATTTTTCCAATCTTTCCCCTCAAGCAATAAATTTTTTTTGCCTAAATCAATTAAAGAATTTCAGTCCGCCCTATTTGAAGGTTGCCATAATTAGTTCATGGATGAAAGGAATTATAAGCAAGACTTGAATAAAATTTCATAATTATATTAGTCTTACCTTCATATATTATTATAATGCTATTTCTCCAATTAAATTATTTGCGAAAATAAGCAGCTTCAAATGATTTTATAATAATTAACTAAGGGAGAGAGGGAGGGTTATTTAAAAAGAGCCGTAAATCCGACCCACCGACTTGCCCTTATGGCGAGCTTATAACAATTAACTAAGAACCTTCATATCTAACTGACTGACTTTAAATTTCTTATTTCATTTGATTTTAACCACTTAATAAAAAATGCAATCTCAAAGAAAAGTTAAAGCAGCCTCCGATGCGCTCGACCCAAAAACCAGAAAGATAAAGACTTCGATTTTACCAAAAATTTCACACCAAGCTCAATTAGATTACTTAGATATTACTAGTACAACTCAGGAGCCTTCTAATTGCGTTTTTTGCAAACGTTCAACTCCTACTTTGCTACAACTTCCCGCAAGCATTTTTATTAACATAAAGGGCCTAGCACATAAGGCATGCATTGAATCAAAAGGGTGTTTTATATGTGGAGAAAGTGGCTTGTTATATCAATGTAGTATCAGAGATTGCTCCCAATTCGTTCATAAGTGGTGCTCAATTTATCATCATTTTGCTATCTATGACTCTGAAAAAAAAAATAAAAATATTAATTAAAATTAATTTTTAATAAATAATTAATTTTTTCAGAAAATACAGAAGTAAGCATGATGTCAAAGATGATATGCTTCATTGTGACATTCATAATTCTGGATTTAAAAGAAAAGACTCTTATAAGTACCCTAACATCAGAAACCAATGCAAAAAGATTCTTTATAGCAGAATCTGGCAAAGTGACTACAAACAGAAAGATTCTCCAGCATCTCTGTGCAATGGTTACATCCTATGATACATTATTGGTGTCGAATATTTCCCGCAAGGCTTTAATCTAGCCCACCCCTCAGTGAGCATACAAATAATTTTTTTTTGCTCATGGAGGGTAAATTTTAAAATTGTTTACAATTCGAAAAATTTTTAAAGCAAATATGCATTTAATTTATAAATTTATGTTTTAAAATGCAAGCTGTTTTAAAATTAATCAGAATTAGGTAGAGATTTCATTATTATAATTATTAGTTATATGTCAAAATTTTTTTTCATAAAAAATTCATATAAAAAATTTAAAATAATTTTATTTTTTTACTTACACAGAGTGGGCATTTACCAAAATAGAGATTTTTCCAATGGTTTTGCTCACTCACAGAGGGGGGAGAGTAAGCAGCATTCCTGAATTTCCATTAATGAGTGGTGCCAGTCTTGACTATATTTCGTTCTCTTTAAAAACCAAACCTAAGCCAGCCAAAAGTCCAAGTTTCATTGATTCCTTAATAAAATATTATGATACTGAACATAAAAATGCGGAAAAAGAGTTACAGCCTATTATTCAAGAAATTCAAGATGCATTATTTTTGAAAGATAAAACAAAAAAAAATTCTGGAATTTCTGAAGAAAAAATCCATGCTGAACTAGCAAAATTAGATCTAGGCACTATTCAGCAAGATTACATGCATTATTTTGAGGAGTCTGCATTAACCTTGTCAAGCAAAGAAAATGGGTTTTCGTCATTAGGGTTGAGGAAGAATTTAGAAAAAACGCAAAATGAAGGCTGTTGGGTGTGCTCTGAAAATACTAATGAAGAGGCTGATCCGCTAATAAAATGTGTGAAATGTGGCATGGAAGTTCATATGAAATGCTATGGAATTTCTGAAAAAATTAATGACTGGGTCTGTGAGCCTTGTCTATTATTATCTCCAGATAGACGAACTTTATGCCAATGTGCTCTATGTCCTAAACCTGGAGGTGCTTTGAAGAAAACAGTTCATATTAACAATAATTCAAACCATTTTCCAAATTATTCACCATTGAAATTAAACAAAGGAAAAACTGATAATTTTGTTTGGGTTCATGTATTTTGTGCACTAAGAGTTGAAAAAGTCCATATTTCTAGCCCATCAAAATTATTACCAATTTAAATATATATGATTTAGTATTTTAAAAAAATTATTTAAAATAATATTAATTAAAAAGGAATAGAAGAAATTGATATATCAAAAATTAACAATATCTGTTATTCCTCTATCTGTGAAGTGTGCAAAACTACCAATGGAGCTTGCGTATTTTGTAGCTTCAAAGGCTGTATAAAAGCATTCCACCCTGAGTGTGGGAAGGATCATTTCGCTACAAAGCGCGGCTTTGGAAAACACAAAATTTATTGTGCGCTTCATAAGCCTTTGCAGTTAAGAAAAATGCTTGAAACAAGGCAAAAAAAAGTGACTGATGATATTTTCAAATTTTATAAAGCAATAGAAAAATGGGAACAAAATGCAAATATACTGTAAAACATTAAATTTAATGCCAAAAAAAATATTTTTATATAAAAGTTAATGGTTTTTACTTTAAAAGTCAGAATTATCTAAAACAAGAATACAGCAACACAAAGAGGCATCAAAAGAAAAAGAGAAAAAAAATTATTGGCACAGCCATCAAAAATTTTTACAACAATTGAAGACCAAAATTTGGAATTTAAAATCCAAAAATATTTGCATAAATTAAATGTGGGACAAAATAGACCATTTTTTATTCATATAAATTTGACAGCGTCGACGAGAAAATCACGTGTTGACGTTGATAGACCGCAGTATTTTACATTGATCCATCCAGAAGTAATTTTGGAAGAGTCCATTGCGATAGAAAAAAGGACGCCAGAAGAGTGCTTTAAGAGATACCAAGACACGCTTTATACAAGGATAAAAAATGATATTTTATTGAGAGGAGATCGGCTATCAATTTATTATGGCCAAAGCATTATGCCAGGCTCCCTTAAAAAAGTCAGGCCAGCTGGCAATAGAAATTCCTATAAAGGATCCCATCAAAAATCCCAAGCAAAAAAGCTAAAAAAACTCGTCCCAAAGCCTGTCATAAGCAAAGACACATATTGCTACTGCAACAAGCCTTTTTATTACCAGCTTCCATGGCTTCCTGAATGGTCACAAGAAGAATATGAAACCAAAATAAAAGAAAACGAAATGATAGAATGCCCTCAATGCGAAAGATGGTTCCATTTCGGTTGCATTGGATATGTTGGAACCCTTGAACAAGCCCAATGTGATGAAGACTGACTATGCAATGACTGCTCTCTAAAGAAGCAAAAAGCCATTGAAATGTCTACAACAGAAGAATAATTTTGAAAAATTTAAAAAAGAAATAATTAAATAAATATATGGGAAATGTATGCTGCACAGGGCGAACTCCGAGAAAATCATCATATGAATCTTGTGATGACTTCCAGAAATCAATGGAAAAAGCAAAGAATAAGCAACTTTCTAAGTCACAAATAGTGACATCATTGCTAAAGAGAACAAATCTTTTTCCAGAAAAGAAATCTAAAAGAACTGTTAAAGAAAGAACTGAAGAAGATTTATTAGAAATTTCTCCAATTATAGATGAGGAAAATAAATCAGAGAGAACGTCATCAGAGTATTCACAAGATTCTATTATATATAATAACTGAGCTCGGTATCAAGCCTTATCTATATGATATCTGTCTAAAGTTGTAATAAATTATAGATAAATCAATAAAAATAGGATATAATCGAATATGATTTAAATTCTGTAAGCGAGCTCAGCTCAGTTCAACAAAATATGATATACGAAATTCTTGAAAAATATAAAGAAAATTATGGAGAAAATCTAGAAGAGCTGGCAGATGGGATTACTGAAGTAACAGAATACACACAAGATTCTTCAGTAATCCGGACGATGATGCTCACAACATTTGCAATTTATTTATTTGAACAAGACGATTTTTCAAAAGTAACAAGGAGGATTCAAATTGATACAATTTTATTTTTCTGAATTGCTGAAGGTAGGCTGAGTGTATTATAATAAAAATAAAAATTAAAATTCTTACTCCCCCCCATCCTTGATCGAACGACTCGCCATCGTTCGATCAAGGATGGGGGTTTAAAAAAATATATATATATATATTTTTTATTTACTTTTAAATAAGAGGGTTAAGAGTATTTAATAACTATTTTTACAGCAAAAAATTGAATTAATTTCATAAAAATACCAATTTTTTAATATTTTGATTTATTAGTTACCCCTTTAAACTGTATAAATTTTAATTTGCTCCTTATTAAATTAAAAATTTTTTTTTAAAATTTTAAAAAAAATCTCTATTTTATTAGATTATTAAGTTTTTAAGCCTATGTTGATGACTAAATCACTTTGAATGGTTGATTCCGAAGCTTTCTGTCGTCTTAAAGTCTCTGAAAACAACTTCATTATGTACATCTTCACAAGCTTTTGATAACTAATATATTTTCATATATATAAAAATTGTCATGATATGAAAATCGTTCGATCAAGGATGGGGGGAGTTATGGAAAATTATTTAAAAATTATTTTTTAAATAAAATAGCATATAAGCCTGCATAAAATAGATTTAATTGAGTTTAATAGGAAATATTTCAGGTAGAACAAGGAAATAATAATGAAGGAAATTTGATTATTTCAAGTCCAAAAATGGAAGATATTCTGAGGGCTATTGAAGATTTAAGCTTTGAGTCCACCAAACAGTTTATTCCATGATATACTGAAGGTGCACTAAGCTTACTAAGGCTAAAACGAAATAAAGTCAGCCCTGAAGAGATTTTTTCAAGATTTTATAACCAAGAAAACATGCTAATTGCAGAAATTTTAATTAAGCACGGGAAAATAGGCGAAAACGTGCTTTATTTTGAGCCGTGCTACAGATACCCTGAATCTTCTGATTTTTTCGACACATATTTCTTAATGACTGATTTGGCGCTTTATTCCTTAAATATCGACCACAAATTCAAGGTCAGGGTGGCTCTAAATAAAATCACAAAAATAGGGATCGACCGAAAATATGAAGCAGTTATAGCGTCTGCACCGCTGCAGATTGCCTTTGCAAGGGTTTCCCGCAGCAACTTGGAGCTATGGCAAGCCACCTAAAGGTGGCAAGTCAACTCTAAGTTGACAAATCCTTGTAAAAGGGCACGCTTTTGTCAACTTTGAGTTGACTCATCACCTTTAGGTGGCTCGTCAGAGCTCCAAGTTGCTGCGGGAAACCCTTGCAAAGGCAATCAATAACGGTGCAAACGCTATATCATAATTGCAGGAAAATCTGCCTGCATGTGAATGCTTCCGATTTACTATAGTGAATACATTAAAAAAGCAGTACAAAAACAAGGGAATTTTGGTATAGACGTAGAATGATTTGACGACGATGCCTACTTGAACAGCCGATTTTTGAATTAATTTGCTATATTTTTAGCATTTATAGTAAATAATAAAATTAAAAATTATTTATCGTGGAGCTCTCTATATCCAGGCCACCCAGCTGGGGCACGATTTCCTTCTTCTTTCATAAAATTCAAAAGTGTTTCACAAGGGCCGTCATGTCCTCCTTTGAGTTTTTGGACATTAGTAAATCCTTCTATCGCCTTATCCCATTTTCCAGCAAAATAATATTCCAATGCCCTTGTAAATTCTCCTAGAAAAGTTTTCGGGATGTTTTCCTTCATTGCTTTTAAATCAGGGTCATCATTTCATAGTAGGTGGATTGGGTATTCTCCACTTTTAGCTTGAGACCTTAGCTTATCGCGAGCAATTCTTGCTAAAACTCTGGCTTGCTTGGCCTCTGCGCCGCTTAAAGTAACTTCTGGTACTGGTGTGAGGGCTTCTAAGTCTAAGTCACATGTAAAAAGTTCTATAGGTTCTTTGCTGCCTTTTACAGTCACCCTATCAATTTTCCTCATATTCGTTTTTGTTACATTTGAACATATGTGGAACAGCGCGTTACTTATAAGAATTGGCACTCCAAACTGCTTTGTCGCTGCTTCGAGTCTTGAAGCCATGTTTACATTTGGTGAAAGATAAGAGGCGTCGATCTTAAACTCGCTGCCTATTGCACCTTCTATAGCCCATCCTTGATGAAGCCCGAAGCCCATTTTTACAGAATATCCTGGCATACGGTCATTTAAGCCTTGGTGGTCTCGATATTTTAGCACTTTTCCGCTTTTATTTATTTCTGCGATTATTTTTATGAAGCTGATAACTGCCATATCAGCGTACTCTTTAATTAAAGGGTGTCTTCCTAAAACTCGATTTCCTGGGTTCATTGTATCAGCTTCTATGCATTCTTCTGGAAATTTCCAGCATAATAAAAAGGCGTCACCTATATTTTTATTCGCAGTCCCTGAATATTTATCAACCAGACTGTGGACTATATACGCAATTTCATTCACAAAAGCCATGACTTCGTTTTGCAGCACTTCTGTAGTGTCAGTGAAATTTCTTATACAAATTTCTATAAATAATTATTTTTTTTATTTAATTTAATTTTTTTTTAAATAAAATTCTATTTCAGCTATTTTTTATAAATAAATTAATTTTTTCAATTATTATATATCGCAAAACCCAAAAATGCAAATCGTCCGTTTCCCAGCTATCATTGGGTTTACCTCACCTCCACCTTTTTGAATATTTGTCGCAATAATTTCAGAACCAGCTTCTCCAAAGCCTAATGCTAGCAAAGCTCCGATTTTTGTAATGGTTTGTTCAAGAAAAGCAGTTTCCATTGGTTCTTGGTCTTTTTTCTTTTTGTCACTTGAGGTCAGCCCTTTCATGACTTCGTTTTTCTCTTCTTTTTGGGCAGCTTGAAGAGGGTTTTTCGCGATGTTCTGGATTTTTTTGATCATGTTTTCCAGAGGGTTTAGAAGCATTTTTTGGGCATCATCTGAAAGCAGCATTGTGGCAGCTGATAAAAGGATGCAGATATAAACAGTTCGGATGATATACTGTATTAAAAATAAATTTTACTATAAAAATAAAGAATTTTTTAGCGAAAAATTCAATTTAGTATGCAATATTTAGCCCAGCTCCTAGCCGAGATTCATTTCTTATATCAAAAACAGCATAACTTGAATAGTAATAATCGTCAGACATGTTATCCAGATACACAGTAGTTTTTTCAACGTCCCTCAAGTCATCTGGACTTATATCTGTTTCCCAGGTCTTCCTATTTGCCACATATAAATAGCATAATGGCAAATATAGTTTTTTATGTTTTTTAATATAGTTGTTTCAAGCTATCAAAAAGGAGTCATGGTCATGGACAACAGAATTCATAGCTTCTAGTCCATAAGTCCCCGATGTATTAGCGTCCACATACAGTGTGGGATAAAATAACGGTAGCATCACCATAATCGAAATAACAAGTATTATGACTCTTTTTGTAGTAATATCGTTTATACCTAATTATAATAAATAAAAGAATTCATAATGATTAACTGCTGTCTTATTTTATATATGAAAATAAAATAAGGTTACCAATAGGTGCTTTTTATTTATAGTAATTAGGTATAATTTTTTTCCGACATTGCTTTCTTGAGGGATCTCGATTTCTTCTGCCAAACTTTCGGTGTCAGAAAAATTTTGACTTGACCCTGCAGAAAAAGAATTTTTTCTGTCGTCCATTGCAAGTTAATTAAGTTTTTATAGTGGCTGGCGCCTACTCCTAGTAAAGGGATTAGTTAAATCTAGTGACATCATAGGTCATCCTATCACAATGGTGCACTATGGGCAGGCATTCCAAATACAATAATAGCCGACGGCTTTCTAACTCGGGACCTTGAAGTCGCATGCTACTCAGCTCCTGTGTGTTGTCGTATAATATCACCCTCCTCGATTAGGCTGAGAGAAAAACCCTTAGCCTTTAGGATTCTATGCGAAAATTGAACCTAAGAATAAAATAGACTGATTAAAGGATCTAAATTTCACATAGATCACTCTATTTTTAAATTATTATGATATCGTCAATTGCAGTTTGATCTTCATGGGATGTAAAAGATTGGGAGGCTGAAGCTTGGCTTCCTTCTTCAATTTCATCAAAACCACGATTTAAATTACGGGGCAAGTGGATAGCTTCTTCTCCTCTGTATTTTATATTTGTTCGCCTCAGTATTGGACGATTTTTCTTGGCCGCTTCACGAGCTTCTTTAGCGATTTTGTACAGTTTGGTGATTCTTATGAGTCGGATAACTCGGATAACTCTAATAACCCTGGCAGCTCGGGCTGCTCCTCGAGATGCTTTGCCTGCGCTTGCTATTTTTTTAGCTTTGCCATTGCCAGATCCACTACTGCTGCCACTATCAACCATTGCGTCCCAAACCCAGCCAATGTCCATGACAAGTGTCAGCGTGGAAATTAAGTCTAGCCAAAAGAAAAATCCTGGCTCTCCTTTATATTTTTGTTTTAAAAAGTAAAAAAATAAATAATTTTTTTTCTAATAGAAGATTTATATTTATCAAAATAATTAATCCTAAAATTATCATTTTAGGAGGAGTAAGAAATAGCCTTCTTTTACCAATGAAGATAAAACTATTTCTAAAGTAAAGAAAACTAGGCAAATAATAGTTAGGACATAAAACGCTATATCCGCATCTTTAGTTGTTGCAGCTAGCCTGATATCGTCTCCGAATAGAGCATAAAGAGTAATGGTTATCATAAAGATCTGCGTATATCAATGATCCAAAAGTTTGGCAATTAGTATTATCCTCCTACTAATTATTCTATAATTCAGCTCATTCAATATCTATATCTCATGAAAAAATAAAAAAATTAATAAATTTCAATAATTTTTCATATAAATAAGCATAATCTCCAATTTGATTTTGCCTCAATAGCAATATGGACTTCTGGAAGTTTGGGGTCAATATCTTGACTTCCCCTATTTGAGCGCTCTTCTACGCTTGTTTTGTGATCACTTAAACGTCTCTCGAATTCAGGCTCAACATTCATATTAATTTATGTTAAAGTAATGACACGTAAAAGTTTCAATTCTTCATCGACGTTTTTTAACTGATTTTTTAAGTTTATTTAAGCTCAACATGGAAATTGGAATTATTTGTATGGAAGTTGTAATTAATTTTAGGGAGTTATAGGATTTTATTGAGAAAAATTAGGACTTAGGTCATTAGTTTACTGGGTGATAGGTATAGGTGATTTTTATAAGTGGTCTTATAAGGGCAGAAGATTGGACTGGGAAACTCTACAGTGGCTGGACTAGCTCAAATTGGTCAAAAAGCTAAAGAAAGTTCATTTGCTAAATCTTTTTTGGCTTTACAGCTTGAATTGGCTAATCAACTGGAAAGTTTCCCTCTCCGATCTCCTGCCCTTATAGGATTATTTATAGGAAATACCTATAAAAACTTTGGAGATGGAAAAGTGTAATTTTTTGAGGGGAAATAAGGCTCATTATAATTAATTCGACAATTAATAGAATAAAAAGCGTTAGCTATATAGCAAGGAAATGGGAGATATATAAAATTTAAGTAGTAATAGTGAAGCAAAAATGAAAACGTATAAGAGATTTCCTAGAATTGCCCAATAAGGGCGTAAGGATGGCTAGCTTCCCTATCAGTTGGTCTAGCCGACTTGAAGGTGACAATTGAGCCTCTTGTGGCTCAATTGCGAACTCTCCAGGAGGTTAGACTATCTGGTGGCCAGATCGACTGAGAGAGGAGCTCTCTATCCTTATCGTAAAAATCTAGGCAATTGCCTATATAGTGTTATTTGTATAGCAGGCCAACTAATCTTATTTAGGGCCTTTAACAAACCAGATAATAATTTTGAAAATTATAGGCAGCATTGATTTAAGTATGCGATTTTATTGAAAATAAATTCTACACACAAAAAAAGCTGCATGATCTTTTAAGGCTTATAAATTAACCTTTTATAGCACTCTTAAATAAAAATGAAGCTTGGCATTGCTTAAATTTATAAGAAATTATCCGGAAAATGCAATTTATTCTCAACAATTTTATTTATTAAACCAAATCCTATACAAAAATAGTTTTATCTGCTCCAAGAACCTTTTATTATTCCTCAAATCCTAAATTCTATTTTTCTCTACAATTAAAATTTCCCATTCTCGATATTAAATTCTATTAATTATCCATCAATTCTCATTAAAATAAATGAGCAACCCTGAATCCTCAATTTTATCTCTCAATAGGGATGCTATGAGCTTACTTAACAGTCAAAATTTTGAATTAGCATTTATCAAGCTCACCAAAGCAAAAGAAATTTTATTAAGGAACAAATTTGATACAAATTTCAATCATTTATGGTCTATTACATACAATAACTTTGGCTGTTATTATAAAAGAATTAAAAAACCAAAGGAAGCACTAAATTATTTACTTTTGGCTTTAGAAAAATCTGTACCAGATTCTATAGTAAATAATGTGGGGACTCATCTAAATATTTCTTCAATTTATTCAATATTGGGACATCATGAAAAAGCGTTATCACATGCTTTAAAATCTTTAAACTTGCTGAACACTGTCAATGAAAGTATAAAAAATAAAGAAGATCTTTGAGCCACCGTGGCTGTTGCTTATCATTGTGCAGGATTAGAATATGGGCATTTATCTAGAAAAAAAGAGTCAATGCAGTTTTATAAAAAAGGCCATGAGATTGCCAAATTGCATTTAGGGGTAAAACATCAGCTGACAAAAAGCTTAAAAAAGTCTTTATTTTCAGAATTAGAAGAAAATTACAATGAAAAATTCAATAAAAAAGAAAGAAATCCTAAAGTCCTGCATAGAAGTCCGAAAGCTTCTCCAAGGCCTCCCCATCTTACTCCTTTATCTCGTCATTCAAATAGGCTTCCATTAAATTCCACATTGCCTAAGCCTAAAAAATTATTATCAAAAACCCCTGAAAATCATATAAAAAATTCCTCACTCGGATACGATACTCTTCACAATCAATCCTTAAGATGCACCCCAGACTATATTAGACCAATATTTGCAGCGCTAACTCACAAATTAAGGCACTCTTCACTTCCCCATACTCAAAACTCTTTAAATCAAAGCCAAAAATATGACTGTCTAAATTTACTAGAAAATGAGGATTTTTCTTATTCTAATTTTTCTGATTTTCCAATACAAAAGGTCTCTAAAATAAATAAAGCGAATTTCTACTGTGGAAATAATAAAGGAGAAAAAATTAAAGCAATAATTACTATACAAAGATGATGAAAAAGGTATAAAGCTTTGAAAAAAATTAAAATGAGGATTTATAATAAGAAGATAAAAGAAGCACAAATTAAAGCAAAAAAAGCCTTTATTGAGCTTGAAATTTTAAGAAAAGAAAAAGAAAATTTGGCTGCTAAATATGATAGATATGGTAAACAGCAGCTGAAGCCGATACCATTTGTCAGTAAAACTTATGAAGACTTAAGCCATCTAAAAACAATCCCTGAGTGCAGTTTCGAAGACCAAAGGGACAGCATAAATATTATCAATTCCTATATAAAAATGTGGCTTAATAGAATAAAATTTCAAAGGCTTAAAAAAAGTGCAATTATAATTCAAAAGAATTATCGGATGTACAGGCTGAAAAAGATTTATAAATCTACTTTAGCTGCGGTTAATTTTATCCAGTCATATTATAGAGGCCATAGAACTCGCAAACTTTATAAATTTTTGTTAAATTAAAAATTTATATACAAGTTTTTTTTTCATGATTGCAATTCCAATTATTATGCACTTTTAATTTGAAAACTTGGTCTATATAATTTTTAAATATTGTACCATTTAGCCTAAATTTAACGGTTTTTTTTGTCAAATGTCTCACTATCAAAAATGATGCAAACAAATTTTCCCTAGGAATTTTTCTATCATCCAGCCTTTTTTCATAATTATTTTAAAAATCATCTAAATACTTCCTCGCTAATCTTTTTTCACTCTTAAGCACAGTCTCAATATTGGTAGGAGACTCACACCCGAAATCAAGCTTATACCGGGAAAACATGTGCTTGTACGAAATATTTTCAACGCTTCCAGCTCTATTTTTTTCCCCATCATTTTGCTCAATTTCATTAAAATCGCCATATTTTAAGAAAGGTGACTCTGAATTTTTTTCTGTCCCAATATGCTTATATCTTTGATTAGGGAATTTATCAAGGAATTTTCTTCTTTTAAAACTGACGTCAACTACATTGGGTTTTATCGACTGAATATCATTTATCTGCTTTTTACGAATTTCATGGATTTTTAGCCGCGGTTTTACGCTTGTGCTTGGTCTTGGCTTAAAAAATCTGTCATTTAATAGGTATTTGTGAGGAGTCCCATCACTTTTTTTAAGCTTTTTCAATTTTAAGCTTGATTTGATGATTTTTGTAATGCTTTTTGGGAGTTTCTCTTTGGATTCTCTGATTTCAAAAATATCGTCTTTTTTGCTTGATCTTAGTGCTGAGCAAGACTCTTTTTTGCCGAAACCCATAAGATTTTTGGCTTTATCTAAAACTTTTAAAATTTTTTGGTTAATTTTTTGTTGCTGCTCTTCGTATTCTGGGTCAAATTCTTCATCTTCGCTTTCTGAAGGTTCTGAATCACTATCTTCTTGTATGTTTTCTTCTTTTATACAATTCATGATTTCTAATAATGATCTTGCATTAAATCCTTCTTTCGCTGAGTAGTCTTTTTTGCCAAATTTTTTCTTTTTTAATCTTTCAGTTTTCTTAATCTTTTTTATAATAAAATTGCATTTTTATTAATATTTTTTTATACAATTTTACCTTAAATTTAATTATTTAGGAATTTAGTTTCTTTTTCTTTTATAAATCTATTCCGAATAATTATATACTCAAGCAGCGCTTCACAAAAATTCCTTCCTAAAGTATTTAAAAGTTCTTCATTAAATGGAACAGTATTTCTTTCATTGTCTAAATATCCATAAGATGACGTCTCAATTGTATACACAAACGGCAATTTCAATTCTTTCCATATAGCAAGCCTCGCAGATTTTCTTTTTGACCAGTCTTAGTTAGTTAAATTTATAAAGTAGCTCCCGGCCAGGACCGAAGGGTCCCTTTTCTTCCGCCTTTTGGACGCCTTGCTTGCTTTCCTTGCCCTGCTCCCAGTGTGCACCTAAGTGCCACAGGCTACCACTCAGCTCCTTCCGGTCATGGGGCTTGATCATTCTATCCCGGAAGTAGGCGGATCTTTTTGACCAGTCATTTTGAAACTTACACGAAAAATACCTAAACATTTCTGTTTTTTCGCTAAAAAGCTTTGGGAGTACTTTAATGCTGATATATTTATCTGAATGAAGCGGGTAATGAGGGCCGTACATAAACATTCCTTTTTTGGTCGAATGCGCATGAAAATCGAAATAAAAAGAAATTTTTTCCTTTTTTATAGCATTTTTTAAACTGTATATAATTGGGTGCAGCCTTGGGTCAGGACTGTGAAATCGTCTATTTAGGTCTTCGCCTGTTAAGGAGCATCTTCCATTTCCTAATATAACTCCATCAGGATTTAGCATAGGCACTATTTTAAAAATTATTTTTTTCCTCAATCTTTTTGCTTCATGATGGTCACTGATAAGAAATTTTAGCAGCCCTTCCATTACTCATGACCCATGAGTTTCTCCTGGGTGGACTCTTGCAGTAAGAAAAGCAATCTCTTTTTGGTTTGCCGCCATAAAATCAGTTATTGTCAAAATCGGTACGTCAACCCCACTTAAGCTTTTGCACAAAACTTCATTTTTCACAAAATTCGATTTTTCCAGCTCTTTTACAAAATTGCATAATTTTGAATACCTGTATGGCACGGAATATGCAAAATAAAAAGCATCATTTTCTTTAAATTGATAAGAAAAAGATAAACAATAATAAATTCGTCTTTGGTTTGGCTTATTAGCTTTACTAGAAGTATAGCTTACTTTATTGCCACCTTTAAATCACCCTTTTGCAGGATTATTTATATCAAAAATGCAAGGTAAATTCCCTTGGTTATATAAGCTGCTCCTTTTCGAAAAATTTACGATGTTGAATTTAACTTCCCGATCGTTTCATTTATTTTCTACTTTAAAATAATATCATCAATTATGACCATATGAATTCGAATCTGTCCTTATATACAAATCGTATTCGTTTTCTTTTACTTTTACGACTTTATCGAGATTTCCACTCTCAAAGCATGAGGAAAAAATCAATTCATTTATATTCTTTTATAATGAAAAAGTTATGGGAGTTTTATATAAAAAATAAGGCTTAAATTAAGGAAAAAAGAATATTCAGCCCTGTTTTCATTCCTTTGAAAGGCTGGACTTTTTTGTTTGGCTCGAGCTTTTTGATAGTATTTCAGGCATGTCTTAAGGTTGGGTTTATAGTAAATTTGTAGGTTTCTGGGCTTGAGTAACATTCGTGAAGCTCAAGAGAATCCGTAGGACGAAACCCATAGAAAATTGCATTTTGTGTGGAAATTCGGTCTAATGTAAAAGACAGAGGCACTGGGCCATTCTGCAATATCGAGGTAAAAAATTTATAATGAATAAAATCATCTCTATTAATAAGTCTTTATTGTATTTTTTTTTATATATAAAAATAACTATAATAATAGGCTTTCCTATTTATTATAAATAAATATAGGTCGCCAGCTAATTATAAATTACCCAAACAGCATGTCTGCTTCCAAGCTATGCCCTGATTTTGCCAGAGGAATAAAATCAGGCAGTCGATCTTCTTTTAATTCAGGAATTTCTCTATGAGCCGGTGATATATTAGAAGGAAATATATCAGAAGTATATTCAGAAGACTCATTTTCAAAGCCAGAATCGGTGCTTAAATTTTTCATTGGAAAATTGTATTTTTGACATGGCTAACGAAGTTAAAAAATACCGAAAATATTTTATTATAAATTATCTGAAAAAAATATTTAAATAAACCTATCCTTATTTTATATAAAAATTAGGATAATTTATTGATAATATTTAAATAAAAAAGTATAATTAAATTTTTTAGATTTTTAGAAAATATTGCCAATAATAAAAATCTCTCAAACTTAAGCCCAATAAATTCAAATATTTTAATAGGCTATTAATGGGAACCTGCAATTGTGTCGGAGAAAAAAAAGAGCAAGGCAGCGTAGACGTTGAACAAAAAGCTCTCCCAACGTCTAAAAAGCAGCTGCAGCAAGCTGAAACTATCAATAATAAACCTCAAGAAATCACGTTATCTTTAGAAGTCACCCCACAGCTACCTTCATCTAACATCATAAAAGTCCAATCCTGTGTCCGTAGCTATATCTCAAGGAAAAAATATGCAGCTGCTTCTAAAAATCATACAAATGATACCATTGAAGTCAGAAATGACCACGAACTCAACGATATCCCAGAAAACCTCTCAACGCCTGAAGCTTTACAAGCTAGGGCAAGACTTGGCCCTTATAAGCTAAATAAAATGCCAACCCCAGGCGTCACATGGCGAGGGCCTACCAAATTGCCTGACGGAGCTGTATATGAAGGCGAATGAAATTCACGTGGGCAGCCTCACGGAGGAGGCATCATGTATAGCACTGATGGAGGAATTATTGAAGGACAATGAAAAAACGGCAAACCCAATGGAAAAGGCCGAAGAATTTTCCCTAATGGAGATATATATGAAGGAGAACTTGTAGATGGAAAAATGGACGGAGAAGGATCGTTATTTTGTGTTGGAAAAAGCACTTATAAAGGAAGCTGGAAAGCTGATAAAAATGACGGCTTTGGGGTAGAAATGTGGCCTGATGGGGCAAGATTTGAAGGAAATTATAAAAATGGTCTGAAAGATGGGAAAGGAAAATTCGTGTGAAGTGACGGGAGCAGCTATGAAGGAGATTTTGTAGCAAGTAATATAGAAGGGAAAGGGAAATATATTTGGATGAATGGGAGAGAGTATGATGGAGACTGGAAAGATAATAAAATGCATGGGTATGGAGTTTTTAAGTGGAGCGATGGCAGGGTGTATGAAGGAGATTATAATATGGATAAAAAAGAAGGGCGTGGGACTTTTGTATGGCCAAATGGAAAAAAATATGATGGATATTGGAAAGATGGGAAACAACATGGGGAAGGGACACTGTATAATGCAAAAGGAAAGTCTAAGAAAGGGATTTGGAAAAATGGGAAGCCAGTAGATAAAGATTAAGAATTATAAGATTATTAAAATACTATAAATTTGGTTTAAATGTTTGAGAAGGAATATTTTGTTTAAAATTAAAAAGGCGGATATGGATAAATTAAATGATATTATATAAATAATTGTTATATAAATAAGTTAATTCAATATATTAAATAAAACACATTAATCTATCCTGAAATAACAATTTTTCTTACCTCTCCTTTTAATTGAGGAAAAAAAATTATTTTTAAATTGTTCAATCCTATAGCGTAAATACTAATTTTTTATAGATAGCCTTGATCTAATTATATGGAAGAATGGAAAAAGAGTATTATATAAAATAATTGGCACTTTTGAATTAATTCTTCATAAAAATAATTAAAATTCAAAGATTATTGCATTCAATTTTTTTTAATTTTTACGATAAAAAATTTAAAATGTTTTTCTTTAATAAAAAAAAGTTTCTTTCAATTTAATCGGGCTTAAATATATTTTTTATCTGAAAACTCTATAAAAAAATTGCCGCACAGATTACTGAAATTAGTAATAAAATATAATATTCGGTGTATTTAGCCAAGAAATAAATATCAGGGCTTCATGTCAGATGACAGTGTATTTTTTTATAGTATACATTTCATCGAAGTGCATTTGGTCAAAATTTAACGGTTTTTATTCTGCCAAATATCTCGCTATCAAAAAGTTTCAGCCAATTTTAGACCAAGAAATTTACACTATCAAAAGTGCACGATCATTCGACCTTCTCCCAAATATCAGATTGCTGTCAAAGACTTCATAATAAATAATGGTGGAAAAAAATTTATTTCTTAGCCCTAACTCTCAAAAAAATCACCGCATAATTGATCATCATCGAAATAATTCCGAAAAAGATCTCAGTAAACAATTCAAGAACTATTTATCTCCTGTAAAAGGAGATTTAAGCATGATAAACTTCAACGACACCCAAGATGGCATTGACCCTCCTCCTAACGAAAATCCCAGAATAAATCTAAATCACTTTAAAAAACCAGTCAAGAGAAAAATCAAAAAACTTGAGCTTAAAAATAAAAAAAGTCCTGTAAAATATTTGGTGCCGGCTCTTGGAGATTTTAATTCAATTAATGATGATGTTGCTGAAGTTGAATTTGGAATTCTTTGTATTAATTGCCAAGAAATGATTCCTGAAAGCTTTATTGAAAGGCACTCATTTCTTTGTACAAAACTGTCAGTTTCAATTTTAAAAAGTGACGGTCTGAGTGATCTTGAGAACTTGCATATAAAAACTCAAAAAATGGAAAATTTTTTAGAAAATAAAGAAAAAGAAATATTATATAGATCTTCTGAAAGGAATATAATAGTCGTTCTGAAGCGGCTATGTAGAAGGCTAATGGATTCTAATAAGAGCCAGAACGGGATTGCAACCTTACTTTCCCTAAGATTAATTGAAATAAACAAATCTTATCCAATTTAAAAAAAAATGAAAGAAATTTTCCATAATCGCTTTTATAATCGTATTCTTTACAATATATAGGCTGATTTTCAATATTGGCATTAAATTGGGTATATAAGCTATTTCCACAGAATCTGTTATTTTTACCGATCAAAAAATCACTCAAAAATGTAAATTTGCCACAATTTTACTCCAATTTAAATAGAGCAGTTAGAAGTCATAAAATCAATTAAATCAATGCTAGAAAATTTCAAAGGCTCATTATCATTAAGAATCTACAGTGAGCGGCTCCTCACAATCTCCCAAGAGCAGTCTCAGGCCATCCAAGTTATTGAGCAAAATGAAATAGAAAGCAAAATAAAAGAAGTCACCGAGCTCAAAAAGCAAGTAAAAATTTTCAAAGAAAGGGCTGAAAGCTTACAAAAATCAATTTTTAAAAATAAACACCCAGAATTAAGGCTGAATTTAGAATTATTAGAAACCATCAACAGTGAATTTAGCAGCACTGAATCATTAAATTCAGCTAGTTCATTTCGATCAACATTTTGTGATGAAAAACAAGGAGAGCTCGATACAGTAGAAACTGAAAATAACGGACCTTCAATTGGAGACTCAAAAGATTCCCTACAAAAATATTTTTATTCTCAATGCTTAGCACTTAAAATAAAAAATAATTCAAAAGAATTAGTAAAGCTCGTCCCAGCTTCAAAATTGTATGAAAAAGCGATTCAGGAAAATATCCCTGTTGATGAGTGGGTTGATTTTATTGAGGAAGAGCTGAAGTATCCAGAAAGATGGGTTAGAGCACAGTCAAGGCGATCAAGAAGGTCGCAGCCTTTGAATGGAAATAAAAAATCATTTACATTCGAAAGCATAATAGAGGAAGAGGTATAAACTTGGGGAATAGCTCAAATGGTAATTCTAATCAATTGGTAGGCATATAGCATTTTCAACAAAATTTCTCATTTAATTGTTTAGGAATAATAAAAAATGGTTTATTTAAAATTGGCATTATTGAGTTAAAGATTTGCCTTTATTATAAGCAAAAACATATATTAAAATTATAAAAATTAATAAAAATTCTATAATAAAGTAATTTGCATATATAAAAACCAAGTCAAAAAATACAAAAATAGGCCTCACTAATCTTGTTCTTGAGTCTTAAATAACTTAATTTTATATCAATTTCCAGACTTATCTTTTAAATTTTATAAATCTTTTCCTGTTTTTTCATAATTTTAAAACCTGCTGATATATAAAATAAATGTCTTATTCATACCTATTCAAATACATCATCATTGGAGACACTGGTGTTGGGAAGTCCTGCCTGCTTCTTCAATTCACTGACAAAAGATTTCGCCACGACCACGATCTTACCATTGGGGTCGAATTTGGGTCCCGTATGATCCGTGTTGACGATAAAGATATCAAATTACAGATATGGGATACAGCCGGCCAAGAAAGCTTCAGATCAATCACCAGATCTTACTACAGAGGAGCCGCTGGAGCTTTATTAGTCTACGACATAACCCGAAGAGACTCCTTTATGCATCTCGGAAATTGGCTACAAGATGCAAGAGAAAATGGGAACAGCGACATGCTTATCACTTTGGTCGGAAATAAAACCGATTTAGAGTCTCGGCGCACTGTAAGCTTTGAAGAAGGGCAAAGATTCGCCAGAGAAAACAACCTCATGTTTTTAGAGACCTCAGCGAAAACTGCAAATAATGTAGAAAGCGCATTTTTAGACACCGCAAACGCCATTTATGGCAAGGTAAAAGAAGGCTCAATTGATATTACAAGTGAAACTTGTGGAGTAAGGATGGGGACAACTGCTCTTTCTGCAGCTCAACAGAAACCTAAAGAAAGAGGTGGATGCTGCGGATAATCTTTTAATATGGTTAAGAATTATTTTGTTGCTGATATAATTTATAAGCGTTATTCAAAGCTCCAAAAACTCTATCAGCGATGTATTTTATATGAGGAGGATCTTGCTGATGCTTGTCTGGGTGGACTATCATAATTGCTTTCATATAGGCGATTTTTACTTGTTTGGAGGTTAGAAGATCGCCTGGGCCTATAGGTTTTCATTCTGCGCCTGGCCATAAAATTCCTTGCATTGGGGAAGAAATAATGGTGATGCTGGAGAATTGGGATCTGAATCGCGCCCTATGGAGCAGGTCGGGCCTTCCTGATGAAGCTGAAAGTAGGCTTTGCCTCTCATATAGTCTGCTATAAGGGCATCCTACAGAAGGTTACTTAACCCAGGGCGCTAATCGCTAGGTTCGGTTAGTCTCGCCAGAAAATTCTTTAGTGCGGAATTTGGATTGGGTCTTATACCATTTTCACTCTAATGTATATGCATCCGGTGTAGGGACCTTTCTTGGAGCCAAAGTAGCCCAACTAGTGGGTTCCCGCTTCTGACCGTGAAATCTTTCTCATATATTAATCTTGCATTGTGGAAATTAGTGTAATTATGTTGTTTTTCTGCAAGTTTCTGCTTTCCCATCTATTAATGCTCTCCCCAAACTCTTTTTCAGCGTTCATTCTATGATTTTTCCCCTCTTCTTCAGCAGCCCATGATTTTTTGGCTGATTCTGCCTTAATTTTCATTTGTTCTTGTATGAACTTTTCTTTTCTGTCTATCAATTCCTGAGTACTCATCCCATTTGTAGGGTCATTTAAAGCGCTCATAAAATGACTTTTTGATAATTGATAATTAAAATATGGCGTCTTCGTTTAGGTATGGCCTCACGGCCATACATCCTCGACACATATTTTAATTATATCCGGGAAGGTTTTTTCTAGCCTTGAAAAGGACAGTAATGCCCATGGTAATCAATTCTGCAGGAGGCAGAGCCTGGCCCAAGTCCAACTTCGAGACTGGTTTTTAGCTCGAAGGAAAGGAGGGTTCAGATTTGGAAAGGGCAAGCCCAGTAAGGTCTACAGGTAATACCTAGACCAGTCGGGCAACTGCCTAGCATGAAACTGGGCGTTACGTCCCAGGATCTGAACTTTTCCTTTTTGCCGATAGGCTACCAGAAATCCCATTTTTTGGAATTTCGGAATGCCAACTTCGTACTACCTCAGCCTCAGGAGGCCGCATAAACCCGTAACCTGCCCACTCAACACTGGAGCTTTTTACAAGAAGCAAGGAGGAGACGGACGGAAGGAAGGTCGCAAAGCGGGTGAATCCCCCAGGGGATCCTCGGTGACTGCGTTAAAATTAAGGGCACGAGCCCGTCTGTCTAATAAGATAAGACTTTTTGATAATTCATGAGGAGGTCTTGGAGGTTCTTGGGAATGCGATCTCACATCGACTGGTTTTTGCTTTGGAGAAGGCTCTTGTGGAAAATCAATAAAATCACTGAGTTTTCGCTGAAATTGTGGAGGATCTGGCTCTCTGCTGTGATGATTTCTTGATGAAGAATTAGAAGAAGCTGCTTTATAGACCTTTCGGACTGGCTTTAAGAGACTTTTATTTTCAAATGGAGGAAGTTGCAAAGCCTTGACATAAATATAGCCTTTATATGTAGGGATTGGAGAATCGTCTTCTGGGAGATCAAGTCAAACGGTTGCTGGAGGATTTTCTTCTTGAATTATGGTGCGGAAGCGGAAAAAGAAGCGACCTGGAACTGGGAAAGATTTTCTTACGTCTTTGACTGTCACTTCATTTCCTTGAGAAATTTGAGTAGAATAGAGGTAAAGCTCTTTTTTCCCTTCGTCTTGAAGTGTGTAATGGATCATGGAGACCTTTGACATCTTCTTTATAATTTTTAGGGATTTATAATTTAGTATATTACAGTAATAAAAGGGATACAAAAAATATGAAGTTTTCTGATAGTAAAATGTGAGTTATTTTTAATATAATGATTTAAGGATATTTATAAATGAAAATTATTAAGAATTTATACTGAAAATTAGTTTATAATACTATTTTTATATCACTTCAATCTTATTATTTTATTTTTTTGTAAGTAATAATCTTTCAGCTAACCTTATAAAAATGGTGCATGTTAAGTAATTTGCATAACCTTGCTCTTTTCTCCTTGTAAAAATTTGAAATATTTAAATATTATAATAAATATAAATACCTAAGAAAAAAGCTGAACTAGATGGAACGTACAGATAATGAAAGTTTCGATGAGCTCGATATGGACACTGATGGGAGATTTTGCGATTCCCCAATGGGATCTCCTTCGTTTATAGATGTGCTATATGAAACAGATCCGCTATTTGTTTTAGTTCCTTCAGATACTTTGAAATTGGACATAGAAGATTTGCCTATTATTGAGCCAGATTCAGTGCAAAGCGATAAAGCAAGCACTGCTGTATCAGAAGGAACTTCTGAAGGCTACGATAAGCAGCCTACTAAATCATTAAGCCAAGAAAATTTATCCCAATACAAAGAAATACCAGATTTTACGATAAAAAGAATTGGGAGTCTAACTCTCGAAGAACGACATCTAAAAGTCCAAAAGTACTTGGACAAGCGCCAAAAGAGGACTTGGAATAAAAGAATAAATTATGACTGTAGAAAAAGAGTTGCTGATAAAAGAATAAGAGTTAAAGGACGGTTTGTTACTAAAGAGCAAGCTTGTTTACTGTTGGAAGAGCAAAAGCAAATGAATGCTCAAATGGAAATTGAAAATAATTCGCCTAGTCAGGTGTCACCTAATTAAATTTATTTTTTAATAAATTAAGCTGTGCTAAGTATCAGATATATATAATTACTTAAATATATCCTGGTTAAGTTTTGCTGCTATTTTTTCAGATATAAATGATTTAATATGCATCTTTCTATATAATATTCATAATTGATCTTATAAATCAACAATTATGTGTGGTTAAATAAATTATAAATATGAAATAGTTTAGTTCTAAGCAATAATTTTAATTAATATAAAAAATAGAATGGTTTAAATCATTAGATAGATTCAATTTATTAAGAAGAGTGCTTTCACAATATATATATCGCATATTTGATAATTTCATAGTAATAATCTTTGTATATAATTGTATTTTAATCACGAAATTTTTTTCTTAAAATACTAATTGAGAGATCATTATAACAAAAATGATACTTCGAGTTTAAGGAAAAGAAGCACACTATCCCATATATTTTTAACTGTATATATAATAAATTAGACTATTAAAATCAATGAAAAAATATTATAAGCTCTTTGTATAAGCTGTTTTACTATACTTTTTATCATTCCCATATAAAAGTTATTATAAATCCAAAGATGGGTTCTGAAAAAATCATTGAACTGAATTATATGTTAATGCTAAACGCCTTCATCCATGGCAGGGCTGGGAGTTCGTGCCCGTATATATTCTGCGCACTCAGTAAGGCCCTCCTAGCCGCAGGCAAGGGATTCGCACGTACTGATTTGACTTCCATGACTCCTGGAGTCTTTGTGCCTATCACTGGGTTAAAAATCCCAGTTTCTCGTTAGGCAGATGTCACCTTAGAGCCTCCTTGTTGAGGTATTTTATCACACCCCTCGGCTTTTGCTGCTCCCTGCCCTTTCCAATAATGGTCTTTGAGGCAAACCCTAAGTCCCATAATTCAGCTTCCTGGGCTAAAGAAAAGCCTAACAGGATTACAGACTTCTCTTTGCTCCCTTCACACTGGGCGGTTCCCTGCTGGTGTTGAATAAAAAGGGTCAGAATGTCGGGTGGTCTGTTATCACCATTTTTATGTATATCAACTGAATTTTATAAGAAATGAAAATCATGAAAAAGCTGTGATTGCATTCCCAAACACTTGAAATGAGCTATTATTAGAGATTATTAATGCATTCAGCATAGATCCGACTTATATTTGAATCATTTGGAATAAAATCCCAATCAAGCCAAAATCATTTACGATGATGAAGGATTCAGGAGTTTCTAGATTTATCTTACTATTACAATTGAAAGGTGAGAGGTCTTATTTTCAGTTTATTCTTAAGAATTATAAACAATTTCACTCAGAAATGAATAGAAAAGTTTTAGAACTTTACAAAACTGTTTTAATTGAAGGGTCAAGTCTGATTAAAAGTTTATATATTGATGATGATATGTTGATCCCCAATTTTAATTATTTTCTGCTTTTATTACCCTTTTTGGATAATTTAGAGTATTTAGCACTTGGATCAAGAAAAAGCAAAATTATGAGGATTTCAATGTTTTCAGTGCCAAGTTTTCTTGGAGAAAGGTCATTTACCTTAGAAAATCGCTTACCAGTGATAGACTCATTTTCGAACTTTGATCAAATTGGTTTTTTGAACACATTTGGACAAATATTAGCTACCCTTCCAAAACTAGAATACTTGGATTTTTCTTATTGTTTTTATAATGAATATGGATTTTATTTATTTTTTTGATGAAAATTAAATTTTAAGAAAAATAGATTATGCCTTTACCGATCTCAGTAGATTAGGACCACTTTAAAACTTTAGCCTTAACCTTAGTTAAATTATCGAGAAGATCCCTGTGATAAATCAAATGAGTATTTATCTCCACGCTGCTTCGTTCAGCCGCATGCCGCCGCCACACCAGACGATTAACTCCTCTCCACCTGAAGCTCGCATCTAGCCGAGAGTAAATTGGGATGGGTCACTGCCGTACGCCAGATGAGAGTTGCCTGCTCGGAAAAAAAATTTCTAGCCTACTCTCGGCAAAAAGGAAAAACTTATAGCGCAGGGCGTAATCCTAATTTCACGGCAGAGAGTTTATCCGATAGGCCTAGAAAGGTTTCAGAGCTTCCCTTTTAAAATCCAAGCTCTCTTTCTCCTCGAGGCAAAATCCAGTTCCTGAAAGCGGATTAAGGCTAGGCCCTAAAGGTATTAGGATTAGTTACCTAGCATACTGTCCGACAGACCTTGCCGTATAATTAAAATACGTGCTCGAAGCTCCATGGTCAGGCGACCCACATTTTAATTATGACCACTTTGCAGCCACTTTTCATCAATAAAAACGCTTAAAGCACTAGATTTGTCAGGAATTGCATTTAACAGAGACGATACCGAAGTACTTCTAGGCTATTTATTACCATTAGAAAATCTAAAATCAATTGAACTTGATAACTGCCTGATAAGCAATGCCATTATGGACCGTTTAATTGGTGTTTTTGGCCGTGAATCTCTATTAGAAAGGCTTAAGTTCCTATCTTTAAGAAATAATCAATATCTAGAAGCCAATAATTTCACTTTAAGCCGAGCTATAGAAACCTGCAGAACCCTTGAAGTCCTTGATCTTTCCTCATCAAGTTTATATCAAAAAGGAATGTGGAGTATCCATTATGCACTCATGACACAAATAAAATTAAAAAAGTTATATCTTGCCAATAATTATTTGCAAAATTCTGGGGATTTAATTGTTGAGTGCTTGCCAAGTTTTAAGCAGCTGACACATCTAGATATTTCGAATAATTATATAGGTACAGTATGGATTAGAAAAATTGTGGAATTATTGCCAAATTCTATGGAACTTATAGATATTGGCTACAATAACTGCAATTTAGACATTTTTATTACACTTAATGAAAAAATCCCATTCTGAAGCAATCTAAGTACTTTAAATATTGCTGGGATCATAGAAGGCTGCTCTATAGTGGGAAACGAAAATTATAGTAATTTCTTGCCAGCTGCCTCTCTAAAAGAATTCGAAATTTCTTTTGAAAATATTCATATCCCATTTTCTATCTACCAGCAGCTGTCAAAATGTCCTAAACTCCGCATCCTATCATTTAGAAATATTGGAATCACTGAGCAAGCTTTTCCACTATTTAAAGCCATGATAGAATCTTTGGAAAATCTTGAAGTAGTTTACCTTAAAGACTGCAAATGCGAAAAAAATATTTTGGAAAAATTATTTATAATTATAAGAAATCACCCTAAAATTTCGGTTGTGGGCTTTGAGGAAAACACAATGGCTGGAGATGCAAGATGGATGCTTTATCGGTATAATTTACTTAATAGAGATTTTCAGCTACACCCAAACTTTGCTGTAGTTAGAAATAATATTGATATTCCGGGCGCTAAGGATATTGAGAAATGTAAGCTTTGCAATTCAAACTGTGGGTATCCTGAGTTGTGCCAGTGGGCAAGACGAAGGGCGATACTAATATCAAGAAAATTTAGTCAAAACTATAAACTTGTTTAAATTAATTTTTATCAGATTTCTAATATACTCTGTAATTTTGAATTAAAAAATAATAAAGTGAATATTGATTATCAAAGGAAGGATTAAGCATTAGCCTCGATTTAGGACAATTTTCCTTATTAGAATAAATTCGCAATGAATATCTGATAAAAACTATAAAGATAAATTAAGGGTTGTTCATTTTTTCAATTCTTTCTTTAAGCGCTTCAATTTTACTAGGCCCTTCATCTAATTTTTGCTGCAGGCCAGCAATCTCTTGGTTTTTTTCATTAATTTCTGCTCTGATTTGTCCAATAGGTCTAAACTGACTCAGAAGCTGGCAAAACTTATAAACTCCAGCAACCCACATATACAGCCCATAGGTAGCCTTCGAAACTTTACGAATCTCTACTTCATGTCCTTCGTACTCATCAATAAATGGCTTTAAATGATCAATTCTTTGTTTCGGTACATTATGAATATCAAAAGTTACTAAAGTCTCTAAAAATTGGTTTCCTGAAAGTTTTCTGAAGGCATCCCATGATATATTACTGCTCCCGAGAAGAATTAAAATCCCTTCTGCAACCTTTTCAACTGTTTTTGGTGGCTTTGCAAAAGAACGGATTTCGTTAATGTCGTTTTTGGATAATACTGATAATTCTCTTTGAGCTGTACTTAAAGCTGCTTGGAAATTTGGTAAATAGGTGTTATATGAATTTTCTTCTTCACGTAAGCTGGCTAATTCTGCAGTTAAAACTTCGAGTTTTTGAGGAATTTCGCTAATTTCTTGTTCAATTTCGGTAAGAGCTGAGGCAGGATCTCCACTTCTTTCGATAGCTTCTAATATTCTTGAATAAGGCTCCATTTCTGATTATTGCTTATGAATTTTTTTAAAATTTTATAGTGATTAGATTATGGGCGTTTAGAGTCCCCGCTTCTCATTGGCGGCATTCTTTGAGACGCTGATCGCCTGGGTGGCTAACTCAAGCCCTAGCCGAAACCCTTGAATTCTCAGTAGTTGTATTGCCCTATTGGTTAAAAACCTTCGCCGGGCACCACCATTTCCAATTGGTATCTTTGACTACCTAGTCTCTCCACCCTGCCTAATCACGCTTGTCCGGTATCGTCCTCTTAGGAGCCCTTGAGCCAAAGAGAATACCTTGCTGTCTAACCTGCCTTCCTTTTTCTCAGGCATCCTTGAAGAAACACTCAACCGTTATAGCAGCTTGAGCAGGTAATCACCCTGCTCAATTTTGGGAAACCTATCGGCTTGGGTGCTGATGGCAAAAAGAAGTCGTGAGTAACACCCATTCGTTCAGACTACAAGCCAGCGGATTGCTACTTAAGTCCTATGATGAAAGGCACCAGATATTGCTCCTGACTCCAAAATCATGCCGACATGCATGGGTAACCGTCACATGAGAGGACGGGTAGGATGTTTTCACCACCATTTTATTTATATAATTTTATAATGAAATTCTGAGAGATACTATCAAAATTTTAGTATATTATTCGAATGATTAGTAAAATTGCAAAATATTATTGATGGCTCATATTTTCTATATCTTATTAATTCAATTTATTGCATCCTGCAAGTAATTTTAATAAATTCTTTGAATCATTAAGAATTTCAAAATTTTCTAAACCCTCTAAAAATGCTCTCTTGAGAAGAACCTTAAAGCACTCCATAATAAATTATTGTGTCTATAAAGAGCCAACTCCCCTCCTAACTCTTTCAATTTGCTCTTCTGGAAATTGACATAAATTGAGTTTATTAATGCCAGCCTGGTTTATACCTAATAAATAGCTTTTTACTGTATTGTAGAGCTGATAATTTGTACCAAATAAAGCTGCTAATCTATATTAGCAGCTCCTATTATCTGCAAATTCTATTGTGTTGCTGCTCTATTTCTGCAAGATCTGAGGCATAATCTCTGCTGTTTTCAGCAGCTTCAAATATCTTACACAAGGCTCTTACTGATTACTACTTAATTTCATGAAAAAAATTAAAATCTATAAAAAAATCCAAATATTTTTATCACAATTTAGAAATGAAAATGATTAAAAGCCAAGCTTTTATTCAATAATTATTGGTCAGGCATCCCTTCATTCACGTAGCTAAATCCTTGATAAGTCGGACTAGCTGCGCCTTGCAATCTTGAATCTTTTCCGACAGAGTCAACAGCTGGCATCTTCTTGAACTCGTCTTCAAAATTATTAAGGCCATGCTCATTGCTTAGATTAGGCAAGAATGGAGGTCTCATTTCTTTTCTCAGCAATGCTCCCCAATTGATTGATTCAAAAAATGGGTGTGACTTTATAGGCTCACTGTCGTTTGGACCACAACCTAGTCTTTGTGAAGGATCTTTTACAAATAATCTTTGTAATAAATCTTTAGCATTATTTGAAGGTTTTTTCATTAATTTTTTTTAATTTTTTAGGAAAAAAATTAAATAATTTTCTTAAATTTCTCATAACCCATTTGAAAGATAAGAAGGGAAATTGATATCCTCATGCAAAATGCTATTGAAGAGTTTTTCTCTGTCTCTTGTGTAAAATGGTGGCAGCCCTGTCAGCATCTCAAAAATCAAAGCACCCAAGCTTCACCAATCAACCGCCTTCCCATGTCCTTGTTTCGCCAAAATTTCTGGAGCAAGATACTCAGGAGTCCCACAAAAGGACTGAGCGCCTGTGTTATCGACAATATTTTCTTTTGATAATCCGAAGTCTGTTATTTTTGCATAACCTTCAGCATCAATTATATCTTTATTACAATTTTTCTTATAAATCCCCATTTACCATGCTTATTTTGCAGCCCTTAGCCTATAAATCTTAATCCTCAGCCATCAAAAAATTATTTTTTCCCTAAATTATCTATTCTTATATAAAATATTTTCAGGTTTAAGGCTAAATAAAGCTTACTCTCGGTACACGATATTAAGGGAATGAAGATGTTCTATAGCAAGAACCATACAAGCAGCATAAAAAGTTGCTCGAGGCTCATCGAAGCGTTGTGCTCGCGATAAGTGAAAGAAAAGTTCTCCTCCAGGGCAATATTCTAATACAAAATAAAGCTTTTTCGGGCTTTGAAAGGCATATTTGAGCTTTACGATGTAAGGATGATTTACCCGTTCCAGGACACTTCTTTCGGTGCGTGTGTGTTCGATTTGGTTACGACGAGCAATAAAATCTTTTCGCAGCATCTTCATAGCCAACATTTCGCCAGTGTTGTTTTTTCTTACGAGAAGAACTTTACCGTAGGACCCTTTACCGATAACACTAAGCAGGGTGAAGTCTTCTATTGAAACACTGTGGTCGACCATTTTTTACCTAACTCCCCCCCCCCTCCGTGAGCGAACACAAACCATTAGAAAAATCGCCATTTTTTGACCAAAAACCCACCCTCCGTGAGTGAACAAAAATTTTTTTAATAGAAAAAATTTTAATGGAAAAAAATTTTGATATATAAGTGATAATTAGTATAATGAAATCTAGAGCTAATTCTGTTTAATTTTAAACAAATTGCGTTTTAAAAACATAAATTTTGCAAATTAAATTAATATTTGCTTCCCAATTTTTGCAAATTAGGATTTTTTTAAATTTCGAAAAAAAAATATTTTTTATAAAATTTATATATAATTTTTTTTTAAAAAAAAAAATTAACCCCCCTCCGTGAGCGAACAAAATTTTTTTGTTCGCTCACGGAGGGGGGGGGGGGAGTAAAGTCCTCTAGTTTTAATAGTCTTGATATTTATATAGAGACTCTGATAGAAATTTTTTAATTATATTATTTTTGGATTTTAATGGGAATTTTTGATAGATTTTTAATAGAATAGGTAATTGACCTTATTTTAGTAAAATATGGTAGAAATCTTATATGGATTTTAAATAGAAAATGCCAGTTAATTACTGATTATCGCTTAACTATTCATTATTTTATCTCAATCCCTCTTAATTGGTAAGGACACATTATTTTTTTCATTTTGCAGCCCTTTAAGTGCTTCGGCTTGTACTTTTGTTACAAATCTTCCTTTAACCCGAATTCTGTCATCTGCTACCCGCTTTCTGCATGCATAAGCTATTTTTTTATTATAATTTCTTCGCTTTCTCTTTTCTAAATACTTCATAATTTTTTCTCTACGTTCTTCATAAGAAAGAGTTCCAATCTTTTTGCTTTGGGACCATATATCCTTTTAATAGTATTCTTTTTTAAAAAGAAATTATTTTAGGGTTAAAAAAAATAAATTTATATGTATCAGCACCAGACTATTGCTTAATTCTTTTATTTTAGAATAACTATATAAAAAATATGTGCTTTTATAAGTTAAAAACATATTTATTTATAAAAATAATAGTTTTCGGCTTCGGAAGCAAATTATTTTCATATTTCTTCACTTGTTTATCTTTATTATTATTTTTATTTTCTCCTTGCTCTGAACTTATCATAGAAAAATAATCAAATGGCTGCGATATAAGTCTGCGAATTTCTTGTGAATCTGGCTGCATAAAACCAGGATCGAAATTAAAAAATACGCTAGGGTCAAAGTTATCGACATCAGGATGAGGCATAAAAAGGCTTTCGCTTGCATCTTCTTTCTTAGCAATATCAGGGTTTTCAGTGTCATATTGAATGTTAGGGACAAAGAATTGTTGAAAATCAGGCGGAAGAAAGGGTTGTTCATGCCCATCGGTATCGTTTGTGTCACGATCACTAATGAACATACTTGGATCAAACATTTTACAAATTATATTTTAAGTGAGCAAGCCAAATTAGATGTGCTTGTTTTTTGGAGGATTAAGTAAGTTAGATAATCGGTTAGTTTGTGGAGTGATGGCTATTTACTTAGATGGTTGGTTATTATTACCTATTTTTCTGATCATTGAATGGATAGTATGAGTGTGTCGGGACTATGATGGAAAATATTAAGACTAATTCAATTAAAGTATTAATCATATAAAAAAGTGCAGGACAGTATCCCGAACTTCTTGCGATTGCAAGATTATATGGTTTTAGAGCAAAAGCGAATTTATTAAAATTTGCGTCAGATTCTTGGAAAACCATTTTCCTCTGACATCGTTAAATTTAAAATAAAGTAAAAAAGCTTGTTATTATTTGATTAGTGATTAGGTATAGTTTAATTTCTTTAAAAGATACTGCAAATTGATTAGTTGCTACTTTGGTGATTTTTTGATAGGGTATGAAGCAAAATATCAGTCATGGACTTATGTATAAAAATCTATAATTACTAAATAATAGAAGTTTATGCCAATTCTATTAATTATGACTAGCTATATTAATAGTCGATAAAGTGCTTTAGTTAATTAAAATTTGCATTATTTCAATGCTAAATTAAACAATCCATTACCTTGGGTATCTAGTTTTGGATAAATTTAAAATATCAATTTATATTGGTAATTTAATAAATAAACAGAAATTTGGGCCCTGAGCAATCCAATTTAACCCTTATTAAAAAATTATATTTATTATAACATAAATCGGAATAAAGAAAGCATTGCTTAATAAATTTCGTAAATCAAACTAAATAATTTTTCCAACAATATATAATAATCTTCTACTTTAAATGGATTTATATTAGGACGACTGCTTTATAATGCATAAAAAGGATTATTTTAAAGAATATTCAATATTTGATATACTAAAAAATAGATAAAGATGCTTTTTTGTATATTTGCTTTCGGTATCATTTGTAGTATATTTTTATGAATCCAGCATTTTATAGTGTTTTTTATTGTATGCTTTATTATACTCATACCTATCATAGGCTGCCTTGCTTGCGGAGCTGCGCTAGGTTTTGTATATTGAATTGGTAAACAGATGTCCCAAGAAGCATTAAATGAAAGAGAAAAACAATTAAGAGCAGTCCAGGAAGCCCAGCCTTTCATACACGAAGAGTTTATATGCCCAATTTCTAAAGAAGTTATGAGAGATCCTGTTATTACTCCATATGGGCACGTATTTGATAGGGAATCTATTGAAAACTGACTATTAACTAAACATCAATGCCCATTGACCCGAAAGCCTTTAACTCCCCCCCTCCGTGAGTGAACAAAAAAAATTTTGTTCACTCACGGGGGGGTTAATTTTTTTTTTTAAAAAAATTTATATATAAATTTTATAAAAATTTTTTTTTTTCAAAAAATCCTAATTCGCAAAAATTTGGGAAGCAAACATTAATTTAATTTATAAAAATTTATTTTTTAAAACGCAATTTGTTTAAAATTAAATAGAATTAGCTCGAGATTTCATTATACTAATTATCACTTATATATCAAGTTTTTTCCATAAATTTTTTTTTCTATTAAATTATTTTTGTTTGGAGGGGGGAATAAGAAAAAGAGATTTAAAGCCATACAGACAGCAATTTTGTAACCAGAATCATTAAATTAATAGAACAATTTTTAAATCCCTATTTTTATTGAAAATCTACTCTTTCTTAAATCATTTTCCTTTCTATAAAAATTTGAGCCTTCAAAGCTAATACCTTGAATTGATAATGCGCTTAAAGTGATTCCACAGCAGCTGTAAAACACATCAGTGATATTTTCAGTAAAAGGGAGCTTTAAAGATTTCATTAGCGTAAAAATCCTGAGAAAATTCTTCATATTTCTAATGTTTGGTGTATTTTGTTATAAAAATAAACTCTATTTATATAGAGAAATTTGATATCTCTGCCTATTATTATTTATGATAAATTGATTATCTCCTTTTCGTTCTGATTTTTATTAAGCTCAGCATTTTCTTATACCCATAGCTACCATTAAGTTCTTCTACTAGGACTATTTCTTTGACACGACTTTTCTAATTGAGAAATAGTTTATTATTATCAACAGTATATACCTTACAAAAGATGCAGCTTCTTTTGTGCTTTCTCATTTCCAGCTGGCATAAGAAATCGCACCAATTTGGGCGGCTCATATCAAATTATTAAATAGTTACAGCTACGTCCTTATCAATTTCAAAATTATGATAGCGTCAAAAGGGCCTTTCGCGTTTTTTCCAATGCTGCCTAATTCTTCAATCCATCTTAATAAGCGAAATATTTTTCGCTCACTGCTCATAGATTCATTAATTATTTTAGCCTCTTAACTTTTATATGCCAATATTTTATTCTAAAAGATAGGCATACTATTAAAATAAAGGCAATAAGTAATAAAATATTCTCTCTCTAAGAGCGAACAAAAAAAATTTTGTTCGCTCACGGAGGGGGGTTAATTGTTTTTTTTTAAAAAAAATTTATATATAAATTTTATAAAAAATATTTTTTTCGAAATTTAAAAAAATCCTAATTTGCAAAAATTGGGAAGCAAATATTAATTTAATTTGCAAAATTTATGTTTTAAAACGCAATTTGTTTAAAATTAAACAGAATTAGCTCTAGATTTCATTATACTAATTATCACTTATATATCAAAAATTTTTTTTCCATTAAAATTTTTTCTATTAAAAAAATTTTTGTTCACTCACGGAGGGTGGGTTTTTGGTCAAAAAATGGCGATTTTTCTAATGGTTTTGTTCGCTCACGGAGGGGGGGGGGGAGTAAGAGTTTTTTTTTTCATTTCAGGTTATAAGTTTAGATTAAGCATAATTGGTCATTCTCGGATGCGATTTTCTGCAAATAATCAATCAAGCTGTTTTTATATAGATATGAAAGATATTGGACAATGCCTAAAATTTTGTCTCTACCTCGAGAAGACCTGAGAACATGAATTTCACAGGTTTTAAAATAAAGAATTAACTGGGAAATCTTTACCGTTGGCTGAGCCAGAAGCTCTAAAAACGACAAACTTCTTTTGATTTTTCTTTTGCTCATCAAACTTCAACAAATTTTTATCGACCATTTTGTTTTGTGAATTTAAATTGATTTCGCAACAGAATAGTCAAGAAAATTGCCGAAATTCCCTTGAATTGGTATTAAATTTGGATATAAATAGATGAGGAATTTAGGGATTATTTAGAGAAGTTATTATTAATTTTTGTAGATAGTCTTATGAGTTTATTTTATGAAGATGGGAGAGTAATTAAAATTATTTGCAGAAAATCATAGAGAGCTCTGTATAATGGTAATATTGATTTTAATAGTTTAATTTTACAAGTTTTTAAGAAAATATTAGATATTGCATATTTATTTTATAAAAAATTTCTGGTTTTTATTCCAGAAGCTAATGCTTTCCATCTGCCTCTCTTTAGACTTTCTGATTATTTTATTTTTGTATGAATTCTCTATTTAATCATACTTTTCAGTCAAATTTGGACTTTAAAAATTTTTATCTTGAATGATTATTATTATTAGACGGTTTTCGCCCTTCTACAGGACCAATAGTTCTCAAATTCATTTACCTTTTTTCTCCTTCTTCAACTCCAACCATTTTCATTTTTACCAATATATTCCTTGCTTTTTGCTTCACCAATCCCCAACTTCTTTCAGTTTAGTAATTTCCTCTTCTCAACAACTTCATTTTTTTTAGTTTCTTCAGGCTCATCAGACTCTTCAATTTCTCCAGTTACTTTAATATTCCTTAAAATTCTTTTCTGCATGCCAATCTTTTTCTTTCTGCTCAATCGGATGCTTGAACCTATTACTTCAGCGTCTGCTACCGCAGCACAGTTATCAGCATTCGCAGCTTCCCATCTGACTTCATTCGTATCTTCTGTAGTCTCATTCCTATTCAATTCCACATACTTAGAATCCTCACTTTTTCAAGCATTTTCAACCATTTTATTGCAGCAATAGTCTTCTTTATATCTCTGTTGGTGTTCACCCTCATAAAGCTCATCTTCTGTATCTCCTTCTACATCTTCAGATTCAATTGCAGCATTAGCCAGCTTGCTTTCAGTGATATCCACACATAAAAGAGCCTGTGTTCGCATAGAACTGAAGGTCTGATTCGCTGTCCAACACCTCTTCATTCTGGTTTCACGCCCACGAAACAAATTTTCCCCATACCTCTTCTTCGAAATCTTCATCATACCCTCTATTCCATTTCTTCATAGTCTTCATCCGCAATCTCAAACTCAGAGAAGAATTCTTCTGCAGTCATCAAGTAGTTGTAATATGAGGACACTACAGATGAAGAGTCTTCACTTGGAGCATATTGCCTGTAGACAAGCGTTCTTTCAATCTCTACAGTTGCTGACGTTTGGGTTGGGAACTGAATTCTCTGGAATGGGTTTATGGCATCTGATTGGTCTGGAATTTGGACTTGGGCATACACAGTAGGTTTAATTCATGCTGATGCAGTTCTTGTAGGACTGCCAAATGGAGTGGGTGCTTGACAAGTGCTGGATTCTGAACAATAAAACATTTTCCCTTTTAAAAATTTTTCCTTTATATTTATCTTGAATGATAAATGCATTCAAATAGTTTTTATTTGGAAAATTTCGATAAATGATGAGAGATAAATCATCACAAAAAGAGATGGGAAATATAAATTAAGTGACTTGTAAAAGAATGAGGGACCAATGGCTCTTATTTGTTTTACAAAATATTTTCATATTTAAACAACCAAAATCTTATCAATTACCCTATCGAAAATTTGCCAATATGCAGGACAGCAAAGAAAGAAAACTTTAAAGATTTTCTTTAAATAAAACAATTTTATTTCTCTTTTGCAAAAAAATTAGCAAATTGAGTGAATCAATTCGAAATTTATTGTTCAAGTTAAGTATTAGCTCATATAATTATATATATAATTAAAAATCTTTTGCGATTTTATCAAAATTGCTTTATTTTACATTTACATTCTATTTTCAACTTACCTAAACGCTCTCATTATAAAGTTAACCAAAATGGCAACTAATACCACAACAGCAAGAAACTCTGGAGAGATCCCACTTACCTCCCTAATTAATTACGAAAACAATTCACGAAAACAATTTTTTGATACCTACAAAATGCATATAAATTGCTTTTGAAGTTTATTTTTAATACAATAATAGTTTCAAGATTTTTAACACTTTTAAGTGAAAATTTTATATTTTTCTTTTTATAATAAAGTTCACAAATAGTATTTAAAAAATCCATATAAATTTTATTTAAAAATATTTAAGCCATCCCATCAAGTAAAAAGCTCATACTAATTATATTAGAGAGCTAGAGACAGACTTTATATGGATCCAGTTGAAAAATACCAGGTCTACGACATATTTCCATGAGTTTTAATCCTGCACATTATTCTGGTTTTTCTAACCTCAGCCCAAGTCGGAATGGTAGTAAATTCAAGCTCCCAATACTCTTATTCACAGCTTACTCTATTTAATGAAATTTTTTTAAACCACGACGTACAAGGCAGTGACAGTTCATTAACAATGACATATCATCTTTTTAATATAGGAGATTTACTAACTTATGTTGAAAAAACAGTAGATGTATTGATAATTATACTAAATGCTCAGTATTTATCAATAAATAACATTTTTTAGTATTAGACTTCACTAGTATAATATTTAGATAGAGATATTTTGATATCAACTCACATACAGTAGATAACTACTCCCACGAGTTTTCTCATGGAAAAATCAAACCAATCCATATGTATGTAGAATATGGAGATAGATCAGAAGCTAATGATAAAGGATATAGGCAGCTATACCGCTTAACCCCTAATGATTTAGGCCCTTTTCAGCATTATAATCTTAAGGAATTCTTAGATGTCGTGGCAAGATTTGAATTTGTTTTTACATTAAAGCATTATCTGCACTCTGACGTCCCTGTCCCCTCAACTTGTTATTCCTGGAATCTTCATCAAAGATATGACTATGCCTTGCATGGCCCAATTACAGTCACCTTAGACGTTGATCGTGGAATTTGTTCAAATGGAACCTGTAACTTTTATTTAGACGATGTTTTTAAAAAATATATGTGGATTAATTTAGCTGTCTTTATTTGTGGATTTTTATCTTTTAGCTTGACTGCAAGACACTTATATAGCAGAGCGCTGCTTATGTCAACTTTTAAAAAAAACCAAAGAGGAAGCATTGCTGATGCATGGGAAAATTTAACTTTAAAAGAAAAATTCAGGTTTATTGACATGTGAATTGTGTTAAATACAATTGGGAATCTATGTCAGATTTTTGGGTCTTTAGGAGGGCTTATGGAGTCATATAATTCAATGACTACGCTAGAAGTAATTTGTGGAATTGGCTGTTTTAGTAGCTGGGTAGGAGTTCTGAGGTTTTTAAAGCCAGCTCCTACCTCTTATACAGTGGTTAACACTATAAAAAGGTCATATTCCCGGCTTCTCCCTTATATTATAGGTGTTCTCCCAGTATTTATGGCTTTTGCCTTTTTAAGTATGTGCCTATTTTGGAAAACTGGAAATTATACCAGCCCTACCAGTTCCATGTTGGTAAACTTTGCTATGCTAAACGGTGACTCTTTATACCCCTTTTTCAGTGATGCAGTCGACGCTAATTATGTTTTCGGTCAAATTTTTATGTACGCGTATCTTGTCTTTTTTATTACGTAAAAACCATTTAGATGTGTCCAAAATATTTTTGTGGCGATTTTTCAAGAGGGCTATAACTCTTTGCAGGTAAACCCAGTCAAGCGTGGAGACGAAAGTGATGATGACGATTTTTCTGATCCTTTTTCACTAGCAGGAAGCCCTATGCTTGCTACACCTTCATCTCCAAAACTAACCAAAAAGCAGACAGAGCTTCATATTGAAAAAGAAGAAAGCAGTAATTAATAATTAGAAAGAAAATCCCAAAAAGCATTTTTTTCTGATAGCCAGATACAGACAATTTTGTTTAAAATATATAATTTTGCTGATAATTATGGTAAAAATTTTCGATAAATGGCTAAAAATACAGAGCCAAAAAGCATTAAAAAAAAATTTTGGCTGGAAAATTAGTTTTGCCGCTGCTAAATGATATGACTGAAGTGTATATGGAGAGGCTTGAAAAAGCTTTAGAAGACATTAAAACACAGATTCTGACACTTGTGGAATCAGCTGAGCCGCTTCCTGGTGAAATTGTAGATCAAGAAAGGCTAAAAGACAGACTAAACGACATGCTGAGCATTGAGCTGCAAGACCATGTTGATAAAACAATTATTCCTTAATAATTTTATAATTATTATGAAATTATCTCAGCTATCGTCAATAGCAAATAAAATAGCTTCTTTGCCTAGCTCAAAATCATATATACATAAAAATGGCGTGGCGAAACCTACCTGCCCTCTTAACACCTGTAGCTGGGAGAGAATCCGGGGACCTTGTAGAAGGGAGGATAGCGTCTGGTGATGTTTATCCAGCCGGGTTTTACTTGGTCTGGTGGAGCGCAACATCGGGGTGCCGACCGCAAGCTCATCTCCAGCATCAGGTTTTACCCGAGGAGGATGGGACTTGGAAGTTGTAAAGGGATAGCCCAACAAGGCCAGAGGGCGTTCGCTTGGCCATTCGGGCATTCCCTAGCGTGAAACCGGGAGTTAGCCCCTGGCTACGAGTTTCATCTTGGCTAACAACCCTGGCCAGAAAATTCATTTTTGGAATTTTCGGAAAAGGTAAACCTCTTTCGAGGTACGGTACGGTGACCCAGTGTCTTTAGCTCTGGGTAGCAAGTGCCTGAGGGAGCAACACAATTACTGAAGGCTGTGATTCCAGACTGGCGAGAAAGGGGGTGGAGCGATACAAGGGACGTGATAAGCCGACATGACTAGCTGGGAGCTTCTCTATAATCTAATTAAGTAATTAAGTAAGCCTAGCTCAAAATCAAGAAAAATTGTGGAGATTGCCCCATCAATTGATGATTTACAAGCAGCTGTGGAGCTGCCGATAGGCGAGGATCTTAATGAGTGGTATGCGGTTCATATCCATGATTTTCATAACGAAATCTATTTGCTTTATGATTCGATTTCTGAACTTTGTACAAGTAGAACTTGTCCAACTATGTCAGCTGGGGAAAAATATGAATATTTTTGGGTTGACGCTGAAGAAACAAAGCAGCCGACAAGGGTAACTGCATATGAGTATATAACAAATGTTATACAGTAATAGATTGGCTCCTAATTAAAAAAATTAATTTTTCTTTTTTAAAAAAAAATTAAAATAGCTTGGCCATGATGACTGGTATATGTCATGGATTGAAAATTTGTTAGAAAATGAAATGTTATTTCCGACTGCAGAAAAAAAAAATTTTCCTGCAATGTTTGTGCTGATTGTGAAAACGGTTTTAAATAGACTTTTTAGGGTGTACGCTCATATATATTATTCACATTTAGATGACGTTAATGAATTGGGGCTGGAGTTTCATTTAAATACATCATTCCGCCATTTTGTGTACTTTGTTAACAGATTTAATTTGATGAAAGAAAGAGATATGGAGCCACTGAGGGAAGAAATAAGCTGCTTTATGAAGATGAAAGGGAGGAATCTGTATTCAAAATCTATTGCCTGCACGATGAGGTAAGCGTGTAAATCTGAGGGGATATAAAATGTTGATAGGTTTAGTATATAATTGCTTATTATTTATTTATTTTTACTATTTTTGTTATGTTTTAATATAAAATTGAATAATTTTCACTATGAAAATTATTTTCAGGCATTTTTCAGAGCTTGTCAAACGCAAAGATAAAGTCCTTAAAGTTTCACAGGAAACTCAAGCGTCACTTGAACAGTCTGGATTTTATGCCACAAAACCTTTATCAATTGATTATTCTAAAAATCCTGTGGCTTATAAAATTATTAACACAGAATCTCTCTCAGTTAAAGACCAAGATTTAAAATTCTCCCAAATCGATATATCGACAATGAAAAACTTATCCTGTATTATAAATAAAACTAATAGAGTTGTAATAAATTTTCTATTATATATAAAAAATGAGTTATTGGCCTGCTAGCGCAGGCTCGATTTTATTTAAAATTGAATAGAACTATCCAAGGACTATTTGCAAAGTGAACTGGGAGATATCAATATTTATGGGAAAAATGAAATTTTATTAGAAGACGTCGATCCTAAAAATTTGGGAAACAAAACGATTATTCTATGGGGCAAAAAAGCAAAGCTTAAAGCCTATGGGAAAATTGTGGAAGGAGAAGGGGAAGAGGGGGTCGGAAAAGTAGATAAACAGATATTTTATGAAGAAGAAGTAAAACATGGAGTAAAATTGACGTGGAAACATTATGGCCTTGCAGTATTAATGCTGCCGGTTGTATTTTATTTGCTGATTTATTTGCAAGTTGTCAGAGAATATTTATATGTAAACTCATTTTATACAGCTCTTGACAGAGAAAATAAAGAACTGCTGGATACTTTAAAAAATATCCCGAGAAGTGTTTATAAAGCTCAGAAAAATCTTGAAAAAATGTATCCAGATTAAGATAAAATTGAATTAAAACTATTAATTGTGATTTCAGTATTTAAAACTTATTTTTCTTACTCCCCAGTGAGCAAACAAAAAATTTGTTTGCTCGTGGAGGGGGAATTTTTATTTTTAAAAATTTATAGTAAATTTTTTTCTTCAAAATTTAAAAAAAAAAAACTAATTCGAAATAATTGGGAAACAAATATTTTATTTTAATTTGTAAAAATCTAATTTTTAAAATGCAATTTGTTAAAATTAAGCTAGAGATTTCATTATACCAATTTTCACTTATATATCAAAACATTTTTCATAAAAATGTTTTTGTTTGCTCACAGAGTGTGGAGTTAGCAATTACTCCCATCAATTTCTCTATCAATTTTTTATTGTACTCGATTTGGGCTATCAAATCATCTCGGTGATCTAATATTTTCATCAATTCACTTGTTTTTTGGTCAATATTTTGTTGTGTTTCTTTATACATCGCAAATAATTTTTCATGTGTATTTCCTAATAATTCGAATTTACCTATGTTGAAACTAATATCATTAACTTTTACAAATTCTAGCTTCGAGAAATTCATATCTGTAAATTCAGAGAAATCTGAAAGAGAAGCTGGCTTTCGGGTTTGATTATTTTGATTGTAATTATGTGAAGGTGGATCTATTTTTCTCTGATACATTTTGCTATTCCCAAGCCCTATTGATTCATCGAAATCTGCTTTATAGACCTTCGCTTTCGAATTTTCATTGAAAATTCTAAAAAATTCTTTATTTGTTTGGTTACATTCTGAAACAGGAATTTCAGCAAAAATATTCTCATCATGATATATAAATTCACTAGAATTTTCACTTATCATTCAATTTTTCGCATTTTTTATTACTTCAAATGCTTCTTTTTGTTCTTTTTGCAGTCTCTTCACGAGCATCTCTAAACTTTGATATAAAGAAACCCTTGATTTTCTTTGTAAATTCAACAAATTTTTAATTTTTATTTTTGCAAATAACGTTTGTAAAGATCTTTGTATAATATTTTCCGCTTTTTTTTTCTTTATCCCAGACTTCTATATAAAAAATACTCGATTTTTTTCAAACTCATCCTCATCTATTACAGGATTAAAAACTTTTTCAATTCTGTATGAGCGATTTCTTTTTGTGCTGCTGCCTGAATTGCTAGAATGAGACGCAGTAGAGTCCTTTGCTTTTTTAGGACTATCGGCACAGTCATAAATCATTTTTTATTGAATTAAATTATTTGTCATTTTGCAACTATTTAGTATAATATTTATACTGTAATAATTTTTCTATAAAAAAATATGGGCTGATTTTAAAATAGTAAAAATTTTGCATCAAATTATTCCAAAAAATATAAAAAAGCAATAATGAAATTTTTTATATTACAGTTATATAAGCAGTTCTTCGTCTGAGTAATTTTCATACAGTTGCAGAACCAAAATTCTTATTTTTTTCAGCCCGTCTTTGATTTTATGTATATCCTCTGTCACCATAAAAACTGGATTATTTGTCTGTTTTTCTGTATCTTTTCTTAACAATAAATTTTGAGTTACATCTTTTCGTGTTTTTATTGACATCAACACAGAATGGAGGTCAAAAATATCTTTTTTAATTTTTTCTATATCAATTGAAAAATAGACAAGCACTTCGTCTGGCTTCCCACTTAATTTTTCATAGGTCTCCAATCGATTTTTCAGCTCTGCATTTTCGCTTGTAATTAAATTTTGATATTCTTCAAGGAACTGAAACTGTTTAAGCAGCTGATAGTAATCCTCATTATTTATTGTCGTTTTTTGTTTCTCTAATGAAGGATTGTCCTGAGAATTTTCAGGCATTTTGATTTGTTTTTCTTTTTTTGCATCTTCACTTGTGATTCTCAGTTTAATGATATCGCTATTTAATTTCAAAATTTCTGATTCCAGGTCTTCAATTTTTTTGAGTTTTTCTGATTTGTTTTCAAAAGGTATGTCTAAAATATTTATTGACATTGCGGTCGCTTTGATTTCTGCAGCCACTTTTAATTGCAGCAGGCTTTTATTTTCAACCTTGAGCTTCTCAATTTCTATTTCTTTATCTGCAAGATTTTTCTTTAGTTCAAGGATTTCTAGCTTTAAGTTTTGATTTATTTGGGTGTTTTTCTTGGTATTTTTTCGTGAATTTTTAGTAATTTTAGGACTTGCAGAAGCATCAGGAAAAGTCGTTATATTTGAAATCTCAGAGTCTAGATTAACGGGGGAGGAATTTGGGGATCTGTATTTATTGGACTTTCTATTAGAGATAAGCAAAGGAAAAGAAGTATTTATATAAGAAGATTTCATATCTGTAGAAAATCCTTGACATAAAGTAATAATAGAGTCTCTTTCTGTTGGTAAAAATAATGTTGTGGGCTTCGCTATGTATTTTGGGCATAAAGGGTTTACTACTTCTCTAGACATTATTATTTACGTTAATATAATTTTGTAAAGGGATTCTGAAAAAATTATTATAAAATTCTAAAATTTTAGTAGCAAAACTTAGTTATCTTATCATTTTCACAGTTACTCTCAGGATTCCATTGAATTTCAAGTTCTCCTGCAACAATTCTTTCTAAATATCTCTCAGTGTCTTTAGCAATTCTTTCCGCCATTTCCTCTTCGTCCTCAACGAATCTTTTAAAGACTGGGAGTCTTTTAACCCTGCTATAATTATTTTTTCAAAAAAAATAAATAATAAAAAAAAATATAAAAAATAATTTACAGCAGCAAGTTAGAATTTTGATCCTGAGACATTTGGAGCATTATAAACCTGCTATAGCATCTAGGAAGTTCTTCCAAAGTCCTTATTTCATGCAGAAATAAGCACCTATGCCCATAAGTGCAAAATCCTTTAGTGTGAAATGGGTTGCATTTTTTAGACTTGTACTTGTCATTAGCTGGGACTTTGTCCATAAGCTCGCGTTTGCCATGTGCAAAATTGCATCTGTCTCCATAGTGGCAAAATCCTAACTCAACCCAATTTCTGCAGGATTCTGTCTTGTATTTTGTCCCATCGATAGGTTTCTTGACTCTAGGTTTTAGGAGGTTTGTAATGTCTTTAACTCCCCCCCCCTCCGTGAGTGAACAAAAAAATTTTGTTCACTCACAGAGGGGGGTTAATTTTTTTTTTTAAAACAATTTATATATAAATTTTATAAAAAATATTTGTTTTCGAAATTTAAAAAAAATCCTAATTCACAAAAATTGGAAAGCAAATATTAATTTAATTTATAAAATTTATGTTTTTAAAAAGCAATTCGTTTTAAAATTAAACAGAATTAGCTCTAGATTTCATTATACTAATTATCATTTGTATATTAAATTTTTTTCAATAAAAATTTTTTCTATTAAAAAAAATTTTTGTTCACTCACGGAGGGTGGGTTTTGGGGCAAAAAATAGGGATTTTTCTAATGGTTTTATTCACTCACGGAGGGGGGAGTAAGCATATTATAATTATATGATATTCCCATTGGGGTGTAAAAATATTTAAAATGGGGTATATGCAAATTTAAAGTGGCAAACCAAATTTTGTGTTGCCTTAACTCTAGCCAGATCTTGTCAGGAAAGTTATTTGGTAAGCTATCAGGGGATGATAGAAGGCACCTTTTTCATCTTTGTAAGGTATATCTTCCCATATGCAGCTTTATCTTTGCATGTATCTTTTAAGTGAAGTAAAAAATGGACTTTATATATAGGCTTGAAAGGGTTTGCAATAAATAGGAAGGGATTTATAAGCCCCGGGCTAATTTATTAAGATCTATTTGTAGTAGTTTCTCTTATATATATTTTTAGAGGATTTTCTCTCAAAAGTTATCCATTTTCAAGTAAAAATTTAGCTAGAGTTAGCGAGCTAAATGCTAGCAATTTTAGCTGAATAAATAATTAGAAACTTAATACTTTTGGATTTTAATATTAAATTTTTAAATTATAAATTTTATTCAAATTTATTTTAAATACTCCCTTAGTTTTTTATATAAAAAATCGCTTATAATAGTCAGTCTATATAAATAAAAAATCATATAAAAATTAGTGGTATGAATTCAGCTTTTCGAAGACTTGGGTTCATGGCATCTCGCAATATAAGCTCTAATCAATTTAGAGTTTGCTCCAGCATGAAACAAATAATTTACAGGTCTATTCATCAGCAGTAAGAAAAAAATCAGCAATCTTCATAAAGCGGATTTGATTAAGGTTCATTGCAATCCTTTATACAACTTATCTTGGTCTCAGTATTTAACACTGTCTAGTGAAGAAGATCTAGAACTCGAGAAAAAACGGTATATTCCTTATGATTTTAAAATAAAAAAATTCTTGCCAAGCCACAGTCATAATTAAAATTAAATAAAAAATTTCTGATTAATAGGATTATTTATTATTTCTTAAAAACGGTATAAATCTATATAGAAATAGAAGACGAAGGAATGTAATTTCTTTGTAGGACATGTATACAGAGTTCTCTCTCACCGCGAATAAGAAATAGAAGACTTTAATATTCTAATACAAAGCATTTGAATAATATTTTGCTGCTTTCTTCGCCCTTAGGCAAAATAAGAAATAATCGCTGATTTAATTGAGCTAATGGATTATTAATAAAATTAAAGGCCAAATAATGTTTTTCCTACAGCCTCAGTCAGAAAAAAGCAAGCAGTCAACCCAAAGCTGGTATAAGTTCTTAAAGTATTCTGCAATCGCTATAGCTGCAACTGGAGTGATGCGTTTGATTTCAAGAAAGCAAAAATTTTAATTTCTAAATAAAAATTTATTCCAAATTATTGTGGATTATACACATAAAAACTCCTTCATTTTTTTGTTCTTCATATTGTACTACTCCATTAAAATAAATTATTGTATTTTTATTTTTTAATAAAATCAAATTTTTTAACGAAAAATATTTATTTAAATTTGTATAAATTATTACTCGAGTTTTCTATCACATTTGATGAATTAATTGCTTCATCTACCCCTAAATGCCCATTTTTTATAAATAGCATAGGATTTGGGTATCTTTTTAGTCTTTCTACACATGACTCATCAGCATTATCGTCTCTTGTTAAATGCGCAACTTCGCTTGGCCTTGGAGTGATTTTGCTTTTCTTTCGCCTATTAAAGCAGCTAAAACAATTTGCTGGCTGCTTGGCTTCTAACTGTAAAACTGTTCTATTTACTTGGACAACTATACTTTGGTTGATATTTATATTTAAAATCCCTTTCATTCTCAATAAAGTCCCAAATTTACTGTTTTGGTCTTCTAGGTAAAACTGGTCATTTATAAGCTTGATTTTAGAATGATTGCGGCTGACTGAAATATCAGTAAGTTTTACATCACATTCATGGCCTCTGCCAATTTCTGCATAATTTTCAGGTTCTAACGTAATTATGTGGACTCCATTGCTATGTCTTAGGTCTGAGCGAAAATCTTCCAGAATAATAAAAGGCTTTGTAGGGTGTGTGAAGCCTATTAATTCATATTGCTGGCCACCAATCTGGATTATTGAGGGTAGCTTGGTCTTGCATAGCTCACATGAAAAGTCTTTTCAGTAGTATGAAATTGCTTTTGGGGTTTCTCTAGCTGTGATCCTATTTTTTAGTCATTCTTTTAAACAGTTTATATGGACGTATTTCATTGTTCCTGCACATTTGCAAGGAGCTATCAATGGGTCGAGTGGAGATGTAATTTCGCTTACTCCCCCCCCCCCCTCCGTGAGCGAACAAAAAAATTTTGTTCGCTCACGGAGGGGGGTTAATTTTTTTTTTTAAAAAAAAATTTATATATAAATTTTATAAAAAATATTTTTTTTCGAATTTAAAAAAATCCTAATTTGCAAAAATTGGGAAAGCAAATATTAATTTAATTTGCAAAAATTTATGTTTTAAAACGCACGCAATTTGTTTAAAATTAAACAGAATTAGCTCTAGATTTCATTTATACTAATTATCACTTATATATCAAAATTTTTTTCCATTAAAATTTTTTCTATTAAAAAAATTTTTGTTCACTCACGGAGGGTGGGTTTTTGGTCAAAAAATGGCGATTTTTCTAATGGTTTTGTTCGCTCACGGAGGGGGGGGGGGGGAGTTAGACAAATTCGGCATGGCATGGACTCTTCATTTTTTTCTTCCTGCATTTCATTAGTTTCTGGGTCTTCAGAGTTTGGAATCAATGATAATTTAGCTTCTTCAGAATTTGCGAGTTGGATTTGTTTTATATGTAATCGAATCCTGCCAAGTTTAATTCAGTCACCTTTTTTTAAAGGGTGGCCTTTAATCCCTTGATTTTTCACAAATTTTATAACTTGTCACATTTTTTCGTAAGGGCTGTTTGCAAGTAAAGATATTTGAAATGACCCATTATACAGTTTTAAAAGTTTTTATTTGCTTTTTATAGTCATTTTTTTTTATATTTTTTATTTAAAACTAAAGAAAATTTATATAAATAATGCTTTTAGGCTTCAAAATATTATATGCTATATTTAGATAAATAAATATTTTATTTATTTTCTTTAAAATAAATTATTATTAAAGCATTTAGACACTGCAAAAGGTATAGTTTTTTTGACATCTATCAATGCTTCTGATCCTTCTGGGAATTCGTCTGAGCCTGCCATGCTCCAAATGTAGCAAGATTGTATAGACCTGTAGAGCGAGGTAGAAGTGCTAATTTTTAAATTGGATTTTACTACGGTCTTTGATTCATAGTCAAATAAGCCATGAGTTTCTCTAAGCCAAGTGCTTGCTTTTATTCTAACTGTATAAATCTTACAACAACACTGGATCCATAATTATATAAAGCTTTACATTAAAATAATTTTATTTATAATAAACCTTAAATTAAGCTCCATTCAATAGAAATTAGCATATTTGAATCTTCATATACAAAAATACCAATTTAATTCTATGCAAGGCAATGAATATCATTTTCTAGACAAACTTAAAAATACTGACTCTAAAACTGCCTTACATTTTTTGATAAAAATGGGGTTATTTCAAGATTTATTGAGTATTTCAATAATTTTTTTAACTTAAAAGAAGCAGGTCAGAACTAAAAGTAAACAGTCTAAATCTCAAAAGAAAAAATTGAATTTAATGAAGAAATATCAAAAGAAGAAATAATCATGCTAAATCCGGATCTTATTTATATTTGTTTACGGTTTATTGCCGATCAGCTTTATTTTTTGATAAAAAATAGCAAGATGGAATAAACCACATTTCTAAAGTGAAAAGTTTGAATTTAATCATTAAAATTATGTCCAGGGTATTTATAAGCCAAAATGACGAAAATACAATAGAGATTTTAGCCTGCAAGCATAAAAGTATTAAAATTGATGAAATATTTTTGGAAAAGGACAGAATCACAAATAATGAACCAGATTTAGAAATAATCGAAATCCGCCCTTCTGTCAAAACACAAGAAGAAAATAAATTTTATGAAAAAAATAAAGAAATAAGCTTGGATTCTTTAAAGGAAGTAGAAAATATATGAAATGATGAAAGACATGAAGAAATCTGAGAAAATTCAACACTTTTATATAAAGACATCAAATGTTTGCAGCCTGGAGGGTTTATAAATGATGAAATCGTCAATTCATATTTAAAACTATTACCTCTACCTAAAAATGTTCATATATTTAACAGCTTTTTCTATGAATTTATCTCAGAAATGCTCTCTTCTTGCAACTGGAACATAAAAAAGCTCACAAGGATTCTTAGAAAGCAAGGGATTAGCAACATTTTTTCTAAAAAATATTTAATTTTCCCCATAAATCTCAATAAATCCCACTGAGTTGCAGCTCAGATAAATAACAAAGAAAAGTGTATAGAATATTATGATAGTTTTGGAGAAAATAGCTTTGAGAGAGTCTGTGAAACAATTAACGAGTCCGTTATTAGGCTTGGATGCGAAGAAATAGATTATTATGAATATAAAGCAATGAAAGTGCCTCGACAAAGCACATGCTGAGATTGCGGAATTTTTATGATGCAGACGATAAGATGTTTAATAGAAAATAGAGAATTTGACTTTGAACAAGAAAAAATTGATTTTATAAGGAAAATTACTGTTCTTGAGCTTAAAAATCAAACTCTTTATAGGCTGAATTAACTGTAAATTTTGATAATAAAGTAACAAATTATAAGTAATAAAGATGCCATAAATTAATATAAATTGCTTACCTTAGATTATGAGTATTAACTGCTTGATCTTAGGCTTATTTATATGAATTTTATGTTTTTTAGTATTAATATTTATAACTATTGGCTATATGAATTCCAATATATTAGATATTAATATTTATTTAAAAAAATTTTTAAAGTTCTCTACATCCTATTTCTAATTTGTTTTTAGACAGACAACAAGTCCAATACCGTCCTTGTATACTCCATTTGCCTGGGTGGTAATTTTCTTTCCTTAATTCAAGCTCTTGCAGTAAGCTTTCTTCTTCTTTTTCGTATTTTTCTTTTTCAGCTAGCTCTTTATCGAGCTTGTCAATTTCTTCTCTTATTTTCATAGTTCTTTCTTTTATTATTCTGCTTTTTCTTATAATATTATCATAATAAACGCCATCAGCCATTTTTCTCTTATAAATTAATTATAAATTATCATTTTTTCTTAATAGCCCAATTTCTGAAGGATACTTGAGATTTACTTTCATACAAAAATCCTTGAAAAGCTTGTAAAATTTCTTCTTCTCCAAGGGTATCCAATAGTTTATTAAAATTGCACACTTTTTTACAGAGTTCTGAACAAACCAATGGAGATAGGCAGTATCTTTCTATCTTAAGAAGCTTTTTTTTGCAGATTGGGCTTGAGCATATAAACATCTCATAGTCGCATGATTTTTGATGCTCCAACACATCATGGATTTGCCCTTCTAGAGTGCATCCATTATTGAAATTTATGCATTTCATTGTGAGCTTTTTATAATCACTCCCTAATTGATTTGCTCAAAAAATCTGAAAAATACCCAAGTATTTATATTATTTTTGAAATATTTAACTATGTATTATGATTATTTTAAATATTTATAACCAAAAAACCTTCATATTAAATAGGTAGCGCTAATTGATTATATAAAAAAATAGGCTGAATTTTAAGATGGCTCATTTAAATAAATATAGAATAATATTGCAGCGCATATTTAGATGTAGCTCTTGGCTTTATCTGATTATTGCATTGTGGGCAGGTTTCTATTTTTGCTACACACTCTGAGCAAGCTAAATTTTCACAGTTAGAGCATTCTAAAGGATCAATCACTATATGGTCACAAACGATACAAAAGAAATACTCATCAACTTTGCAAGTAAAGCGGTCTAAAGTTATCGTTGATTTTTCACTCATTTTAATTTTAAATAATAAGTTGTTAAAATAAGAAAGTGGTGCATACTTGTAAGTCAAAAGTATCTGATAATCAGCTAAATTAAATTCAATCGTAAAAATAGGTTTTTACAATCAATATTTATGATAAAATTTAATTTATTTAATTTTTTTATAATTCAGGTTCTAATAAAAACTCGTAAAAACATTATCAGGAGAAATTTTTCAATGTTTATTTGATTTAAAAGACTTAATAATTGAAAATATATGTTCTGAATATTATTATAATAAGTATTATAGATTAAATTACTCATATATAATGCTAATTTTAAAGTAAATTTTAATTATTATTTTAATTCTTTTTTTGCAATCATTAATCTTCTTACTAACTTGCTTTGAACTTTTCTTCGAATCGCCATTGGAACATTCCCATTTGGGTCATACTGATTTACATATGTAACTTTGGTTCTGTTATTCTCTAGAGGATAATATATAATGCCACCATAGGATTTTTTTTCTGACTCCCCCCCCCCTTTAAATTGGAACAAAATCTAGGTAAAATTTCTACTTTTTTGGTAAATTAACCCCCCTTTAAATTGGAACAAAATTTAATTTTATAATAAAAAATTTTATTTATATAAATCATAATTTTTATGTAAAAAGTTTTGATATAATTTAAATGTTTCTTCTTAACTAAAATTAAAAATTTAGTTATATCCTGCTCTTGTTTAAAGAATAGAGTATAAAGAGCATCTTATTTAAATAAATTTATTATCCTTAATTGTAAATTTTTAAAAAAATTTAATTTTTTTTTTTGTTTTTAAAAAATTTTCAAACAAAAATTTTTTATTTTTTTGATAAAAATGATATTTTTTATTTAAATAGCTTTGATATAAATTCAATACGAATTCTTTACAAAAATTCAAAATTTACTTATCTCTTGCTTTATTTCAAAGAATAGAGTATAAAATAACATCTTATTAAAACAAAATTAGCACTTTGATTAATAAATTTTCTAAAATTTTTTTTTTTTTATTTTTTTTATCAATAAATATAATAATTTTTGTGTAAATAGTTTTGATACCAATTAATAGTGGCGTATTAATTAATAATAAAATTTTAGTTATATCTTGCTTTGTTTTAAAGGATAAAGAGTAAATAGCATTTTATTAAACAAATTTATTAATCTAATTCGATAAATTTTTGTAATTTTTTTTTTTTATAAATTTTATATAAATTGTTTTTTTTATAAAAAATTTATAATGATTTTTTTCTAAAAACAATTTCTTAACCCCCCTTTAAATTGGAACAAAATTTTTAGTTCCAATTTAAAGGGGGGGGGGGAGTGAGAATTTTCTGTCCTTAGAAAATTTTTATTATTATGGGGCTCAGTTTTCCCTCCAGCAATTCCAAAGAAAACTTTAGCGCATAAGGTAACTTGGATTTTATGAAGTATGCGGGTTTTACTGCTTGAAAATTCCGAGAGGGGGATATCCTAAGGCGAAGAACTCGGACGAGCCAAATACAGAACTAGGCAATGTGGTTTGGTGGCCAGATGTTTGATGCAATTGTTTAGGAGCCACATTTTGGGTCACTAAAAGGTCCTGATGGAAATGCCATGATGTCGCGGTTTTGCAGTTAAAAGAACATTTTTTAATAATACCCCAAATGACACATTAAGCACTAATTAAGCAATCACTTATTTTCTAAAGGCTCAATAATATATCCACAAACATTCACTACAGCCCTAATATGATCTTTTGCCACTGGAATATTATCAATATTAACGCTTTTTTCAATAATATACGTTAGCCCATTTTCATTGAAAGTTGTGACAACAGTAAGGATTTCCCTGTTATCAATTGGCCACCTCATTTTAAGGACTTGTTTGATAAGTCTGATGTTTCCTGATTCTTGTAAGGTTTCTATGGTCTTTAATCTTGGGCTTCATTTTTTTGTATTTTGTGTATTCATAAAAAAATTATATATTTTCTTATTCGAAAATAAAAAACCAATTTCTAAAATTTTCCTTAATATGGTAGAAATAAATTATTTTGTATGATTAATAAATTTCTCTTTTGTGTGATAGAGTATACAATAGCTTGTGCTGGGGCGTTAAATTCCCCCTCAGATTTCGCTAGTGGCTTATTATCATTGGTTGTATTTGTGGTGATTGTGATTCCATCTTTTGTTTTTTCTGTAATCCACCCAGCTTTGCTGACTGTTTGTTTGACTTCTTCTAAAGCTCTTGGTAAAGTTTGTTGTGCTATTGTTATAGAAATTGCCTTTGAGTAGCGCACTAAGCGCCTGAGACTTCCCGATGAAGTCTGGGCGGTGGTTTGACCAGCTGATGTTGGTCAAACCAACATCCAAAATGACAAATTCTTCTCATATAGAAGATTTGTCAAATTGGATGCTGGTTTGACCAACATCAGCTGATCAAACCACCGCCCAGACTTCGTCGGGAAGTCTCGGGCGCTTAGCGCGCTACTCAAAGGCAATTTCTATACCCAATTGCTTTCCATATTATTAAAAACACTATCGGTATCTTTTTTTGTCCATATTTTATGTAAATAAATAAATTCTGATGAGAATCTATTAGATGCCGTATATGATTTGCATCAGATTATTTATAAATGCATTTTAAATTATTAGTACGTAGAAAATCTATACTAGCCCTGCCGATACTTGTTATATATGAATTATATTTGAATTGTAACAATCTTAAGCTTGTAATTTTCATTGGATATAAATTCATATTTTACTTATTTTCTATATCAAAATTATCCTTATATTTGTCTTATCTATAATTAGGGTGCAGTCCAATGATAGTGCCTTTTTGATAGTTTGCATTCACCGAAGTACTTTTTAGTCGAAAAATTTTTAAATAGTGTACGTTTTTTCGGTCTAAAATTCTCACTATCAAAAATGATTCAACAATTTTTCCCTAGGAGATGTCCAACTATCAAAAATCCACATTTTATTTGACATGGAGCCCTATAATTATTAACATCCCTTTACTGACAAAAAAAAATTTATTCACTCAAAATCATCCTCTACACTAATACTTTTTCCGCTAAAACAAAATTAATCAGAATTTTCTTATTTTTTATTTAAATTTTTCCTTGTTTTTTCAGCAGTCTCTTTTAATACTTGTCTTGCAGCCACAAGGTGTCTTTTTTCTTCAAGTTTCAGCTGCCTTTGTATCTTAGTTCTCTCAATTTCAGGTATCAAGAAGCTTGATACTAAATCTTTAACTATCATTTCAGGCCTATTCAGTCTATCTTCCAAAGTATCCACAATTCTATTTAACTGGAACGCCCTCAGTTCTGCTTCTTCATAAGCCTGGGTGACTGAAGCCCCTTCAACAGCCTGTCCCATAATATTTTGCAAATAGCTATCCACAGTCCCCTGGTGGGTCTGCATAATTTCTCTAAACAGCGCGTCTTCTCTAGCCCTTAAGATTTCTTCAGCTTGCCTTCTGCCAGCTTCTTCGCATTCTTTTTTCCTTCTTTCTCTTTCTGCATGCTTCACAATTGCAGTGATTTTTCTTTCCTGTTTCAGTCTGACTAATTCCTTGCTTAAATTGTCCATGGTTTCTGATATAAATTCGCCTTGTAAAGCTTCAATGGTCCCATCTAGCAATCTTTCTTTATAAGCGTTCAAAATAGCACGCTCCTGGTCTTCTTCAGTGAGTTCTTCCATTTCTCCAGTCCTTCTTAATTCTCCTATTAAGTCCAGTCTTTTTTCTTTGCCTTCAAACATAGCGTTTTGTATGGCTCTGCCTCTGAGGAGTCTTTGTAAAAGGACAACAGCGATATATCGGCGCTCTTCTGCGTCACTTTCAGTAGCTTCAAGTCTTGGAGTTTCTGGGCGATATCTTAGTTCTTGGACTGAGTGGCGGCCTGGACCTTTGCTGTCTTCAATTTCACTAGGAGCTTTGTAGAGCTCGTCAATAGCTTGTTGGGCCCTGCTTAATGCATTTCTGCGTTGGATATCTTTTCTAGTATCCTTTATTATACAAATTCCCTTTCTATTATTTTTTTATTAAAATGACTATTTTTATCCTATAAAATATATAACTTTTTTCAATTTTATTTTTTTCTTTGACTACGTTTACAACATATACATAAAAATGGCGACTGGAAAGCCAGCCTTTTTCTCAACACCTGTAGCCGGATATTCCGGGGACCTTGTGGAAGGGGAGAAGGCGCTCGGAATGTGTATCCGGCAGGGTTTTACCTTGGCACAGTGGAGCGCAATGTCGAATTTGGTCGACCGCAGCTCCTTCTGTCACCAAGGGTTTTACCTCGAGGAGGAAGGGTCTTCCAAGTTTGAAAGGGGAAGCTCAGCAGCATCAGAAGTCTTCTTCTGATCAATCGAGCAACTCCCTAGCGCGATATGGGCGTTGCGTCCCGGGCTTGGATTTCCTTTCTGGCCGACAGCCCTACCAGAAAATTTGTTTTTCAAATTTTCGGAATGGGCAACCTCGTGCTCGCAGCCTCAAGCAAGGCCGCAGAATTCCTAAATCTGCCCACTCAAGACTGGAGCAAGGTTGTAGCTTGCAAGGAGGAGACGACCAACAGAACAGGCTAGCTGTAAAATCAGAGTCCTGTAGGCGGAAGTCGCAAAGCGGAGGAACCCTCGAGGGGGTCTGGGTGACTGCGTTAACAAGTAACAGCTTAGCAGCGGATAATCTCTAATTAAGACTACGTTTACAACTGTTTCAGTAATTCTGGCTGGTAAAGATTCACTTAATTCTCTTAGCCCGACATAGGTAGTTAAGACTTCAGGCTGGACTTCATATTTGTTGGCGAGCTTGTCTAAATTTAGACCTTCTCTAGTAATTCCTGCATATACTCTGCTGCCATAGTCTGCGTATTCTTCAATAATGTCTCTTTTCACTGTCATTTGGTCAGCAACTTTCCTTTGCTTGAACATTTTTCTTAAGACTTTTATTCTTTTTCTCCCAATTTTGACTAAAGCTCGATCTTTTTGTTCAGTTTTTTTTAATTTTAATTCCTCGACCCTTTGGGCACTTCTTTCTTCATTTTCTTTTTCTCTGTCAAGTAAAGCTGTGTGTAATAAATTTAGTCTTTCATTTTGAATTCTTTTTATGTCACTTTCTCTTTTGGTCCAGTTTCATAGTTAAAATGGGAAGTCCAAAGGAGACCTGTAGCCGTTTTCCAGCAAGGGTGTACCGATATTGGTGAAAACTGCTGAAGAATCCAGGATTTAGTTCTGGAGAACTCCTGGCCTCCCACTAAAGACTCCTGGCTCCAGGCAGTAAGGAGATTAAGATAATCGGTGAGGGTGAACTCCTTGGTTGGGTTCCCGTACATTTTATTGTCCCTTGGTGAGAGAAAGAGAAGCTCTTGTAGCACAATATCCGGAGAGAGCTTTGATGAATAGGTTTTACTCCCTCTAGGAGGTTTTGTCCCGCATGGACATAGTTTGGGGCCGGTTTCGGCCTGGTCCTAGGGCAGCAAGCCAAGGTGTCCCGCTCGACATCTGTTAAGACCCAGGATTTAGGTGGTGCAATATGAAGGGCGACATAAGGATTCTTCTTAAACTAAGTCTATTTGGCCCACTCTTTGAACTCTTGCTCATCCATAAGCTTTCTTCTAAGCGCGAAGCAAGCTTCATCTGTGGAAGCTGGAAGCATTAACTCGAACCTTTTTTTCTCCCTAGCTTGCTCTATCAGCTCCATTTCAGCCATGGAGGCTGGCAGACCATTTCCATATGTGAAATATTTGAAGCCAAGAATTTCTGGGTCATCGCCAGGTTTGACAGTGTATTCTGGAGAGTATGGGTCAGTTTGGGCTTCAGATTCCCTGAAAACTGTTTGAATTCCAACTGTTTTGGTAAGTTCTATAGGCTGCTCGCTTTCAATCGACTCCTGCATTTTCCTCTCTTCAGGGATCTGCATAACAACTTCAGGAACTTGTGGGAGAAGCAGCGAAACCATAGGTCTCCTAAAGTAAATAAACCTATCCCTTCCAGTAACCATCATCTCTAATGCTTGTCTGGGATATTCATCACGAAGGACATACGTTACGCTCATTTTATTATAAAGATGCCATGAAAACGCAAGCGCAACTTTAAAAATAAAACGAAAATATTTAAAAATTATGAATTTATATAAAAATAATTAAAGCCCATCTGGGTATTTTACTTTAAACCATGGGTGCTCTAAAGCTTCTTTTGCTGTTGGTCTGAAATCTCTGTCGATTTCTAAGAGTTTTCCTACAAAATCTAAAAATACCTCGTCGTCAGTTCTGAGGCGAGCTTTTAATGATGACTTTTTAGGGACAAGCAGGTGGATTTTGGTTGTAGAAGAAGCAGGAGTAAATGACTCTTCGCGGTCTTCTTCAACTACTTTAAATAGAATTCTATCATCAGTAAAGAAATGTTTTATTAGCTTCCCAGTTCTAAATACATCTTCTGGGAACGGACCAATAATTCCCATAACCCTCGCTAATAGCCCTTGAACACTTTCATTCTGAAACAGCACATTCCCAGTAAACAACTCAGCAACAATGCAGCCAAGAGACCAAATATCGATTTTACTATCATATCTGCACCCCAAAATCACTTCTGGAGCTCTATAAGACCTTGACTGTACATACGAGCTTAAATGGTCATGCGTAAAGCAGCTGCTTCCAAAATCAATCACTTTTATTTCGCATCTTGAATATGACTTAATTAAAATATTTTCAGGCTTTAAATCACAATGAATTAAATGTAAAGAATGCACATACTCTAAGGCTGTTAAAATTTGGTGTGTCACCTTTTGCAGTCTGCCTAAATTAAAATAAATTTCTGCTTCATGCTCTCTGTTATAGCGAGAAAACTCATATAAATTGTCCCTTAGGAGCTCTGTGACAATAAATAGATGTTCTTTGTGGTAAAAATAGTCAATTACTTTTAAAAAATGGGTCGTGTCAGGGTCTGCATTGCAATTTATGAGTCTTAAAATTTTTTATTTTATTTTAGTTTGGCTTGATTTTTTTATAAAAAAAAAATTTGATTCTTATTTATTGGGATTGGTATATTTCGTCTATGCTTTGGTCGACGTAGTCTTTATTATTTTCTATCACTTTTACACAAACAAGCTGCTTTGTCAGCATATCTAAGCATTGTAAAGCTTTACTGAAGGCAGCTGAGCCCAAGTACTCTATAACTTGGTATCTTCCTGCAATGACACTATCAATAATGACAGGAAAATCTTTAGTTTCCTCAAAGCCTGTTCTTTCTCTATCATAAATGACTTTTAAATGATAGCAGTCATAAGTGACGTTTTCACATTCTAAAGGATACAAACTTTCGTCTGAAGGAGGAAAAACTAAGTCAGCTGGCAATAGTGAATTTGGGCCAGTTGGCTTATTTTTAGGTGTTTTTGGTTTTAATGGCTTTTTAGGACATGAAGCTCGCTGAGGGAAATTATATTTTTCAGCTAGCTGTTTGCTTACGTATGCTAAATCTTCTTCATTGCACTCATAAAGGTCATATCCAGGGTCGTCATCGTCTTCATATTCATCTTCAAATACCTTAATCCCTTTAATAATTATTTTTTAATTATTTTTTTTCATTTTCCTAATAATTTGCATTTTTATCCCAGAAAATTAGAAACTTCTTTACTTTTTGTTTCTTTAGGCTCCTCTTTTGCATATGAAGTCTCAAAAATTTCATCCTGCGAAGGATGGGACTTCATTTCCGTACTTTGTCCTTCATGAGCTGAATTATTGCTGCTCCCTTGCCCAAAACGAGGCAGATCTTCTTCGGAAGACTCCACATTTTTGCTGTTTTCTCCTAGGCTTGAGGACTGATTTTGGCTCTCATTTTCAAAAAATAATTGTTCAGCACATTTAACCATCTTATGGAACGCCCGCAGATTTAGCAGGGAGTCAAATCCTTTAGACATATCTTGATATTTAGTTACAGATGGGCCTGATATTATACGAGACATGAGGTTTTCCATTACGTCTTCGTTTTCTGGAGCAATTCCTGTATGTAGATCTTGGTTTTCTTTATTTTTAAGAGATGAGAGGATATGGGATAAAAGTTTTTTGGCAGATTCAGAGTCTTTAAGCTTAAGGGTTGACGAAGATAATGTTTGACGTAAAAGATAAGCAGAGCGGTGCAGCCCTTTGGTTTCGAGGTAGTTGGAAATTGCATCAAAAATTTCCATTTCTTATAAATTTAAGGTAAAAAAATATTCTTCCTTTTATTAGATTTAAAGTTCTTCATAAAATTAGAGAAAATTTTCAAGTTTTTATTACAAAATTATAAATTGGAATCCCTATATTAGTTTCAATGGAAAAATGGCGACTGATATAAAACTTTGAATTTAAAAATGAGATACTTATAGACTTAATCTTTTCTTTTCTTAATCATTTTCATTAGTCCTTCTATAAGGCCTACGAATTCCTAATAAATAAATGGAACAGAAAGTCTTTGCAGTTCAAGGGATGACCTGCACCACATGCTCAAATACCCTTTTTAAGTAAACTTTACCTTAGTGCCCTATCCAAACTCCCATCTGTCAAGCATGTCGCTGTCTGTCTTCTCAGTGAAAAGGTTCTCGTCAAAGGCAGTAATCTCAAGCCTGATGAAATCATTGATATGATCGAGAACCTTGGCTTCGAAGTAAGCAATATTTAGGGCAATGAAATCAAAGAAGCCCACATCTTAGATGGAGAAGTCACTTTTGAGCTTGTCGGAGACTACCCGTCACAAGCTTCCCAAAGTGAAATTTGTGCAGCTTTAAAAAAGAAAAATGGAATCACAGATATCGAGTTTCTCGAAAACCCAAATTTAGTCAAAATCGTATATGCCTAGATTATTTAGTCATAAAAAAATAATTTAATTATTAAAAAAATGATATTAATAAGGCAAAGTATATACAGCAGAAGCACTGAAGGCGAGAGAAATTTCTTATTTCCTTGGAGAAATAACACAAAAGAAAATAAGTGTGTATAATGAAAATACAAGAAAAGGGGATTTAATTGAAAAACAGCAGAAAACAATGAAGATGTGGATGAAGGAATTTTTGCTGAGCTTGATTTTTACAGTCCCGATTTTTGTGCTGGGGATGATTATTTCACATGTTGTGGATAGCGAAGATTTGACTTCAGGGAAGGTTGGGGATAAGCTCCCGACTTACAATTTATATCTAAATATACTGAAAACTGACTTTTTTTAAGTGTCTTTTTTTTTTAGAAAAAAAATATACTGAATGGGCATAATTATGTGGATTTTAGCCACACCTGTCCAATTTTGGTTCGGGTCAAGATTTTATAGAGGAGGCTACGAGTCTTTGAAAAATGGGGTCGCCAATATGGATGTACTAATTGCACTCGGGACATCTGCTGCATATGCCTATGGCTCATTTATGAACAGTTACTATGCATCCAATTATCAAACTGAGACCAGTATGCAATATATTGAAGCTTCTCATAGTTTTGAGACTTCAGCGCTATTAATTTCTATCATTTTATTAGGAAAATACCTTGAAAGCAGATCAAAGCATAAAACTACAGACGCCATCACAAAGCTAGCAAGCCTACAGACCTCAAGCGCAATTTTATTAGAAAATGGCTCTGAAAAAGAAGTAGATATAGCGCTATTAGAAATTGGGAATATTGTAAAAGTGTACCCAGGCGCCTCAATACCTGTAGATGGAGCTGTTATAGAAGGCGACGCATGGGTAAACGAGTCAATGATGACTGGCGAAAGCTCCCTCGTCCACAAAACCAAAGGGTCATATGTATATGGAGGGACTATGAACAACACTGGGGTCATGCATGTAGAAATCAAAAAACTTGGCAAAGACTCTGAATTGTCGAAAATTATTGAATTAGTCGAAAATGCCCAATCCACAAAACCAGCTATCCAAGCTTATGCGGACAAAATTTCTAAAGTTTTTGTACCTTGTGTGATGCTTTTTGCTATCATAACTTGAAGTATATGATTTGCCTTAGTTTACAGCGAAAACCGCGATGTCATAAATATGATGAAAGATATGGAAGAAAGCAAATTCGTTTTTGCGTTTAAATTCGGGATCTCAGTACTTGTCATTGCGTGTCCATGTGCTTTAGGACTTGCCGTTCCTACTGCTGTTATGGTCGCAACTGGCGTTGCGACTCGTTATGGAATTTTAATAAAAGATGGAGAAAGTCTAGAAAATGCTGCAAGGATAAAAACCGTGGTTTTTGATAAAACAGGGACTTTGACATATGGAAAACCAAAAGTTAAAGAGTTCAGGATGGTCTCAGAAAGTCTTAAAGAAGCAGAAGCAAAAGAGCTAATAGCGGCTGTTGAAGCAAATAGTGAGCATCCTGTAGCTAAAGCTATATGTGAGCTTACAGATAATATTAAAAAATGCCAAAATTTCAAAAATATTGATGGAGAAGGGGTCACTGGAATTGTAAATATTTTATTAATTTATCTAAAAAAATTATTAAAAAATGAATTGAAAAAAATTTTAAATTTCTATCAAATTTACCATGAAAAAATTGCATACTACAAAAAAATGTTCCATTCAAATGACACGAACCAAGAATTGTAGACAATCTGGAAGTTTGTATAGGAAATACTCGGCTTATGAACAGATTCGAGGTAGAAATTGATAGACATCTTGATGAAAGAAAAGAAAAACTTGAATATGAAGGCTGCACCGTTGTTTTTGCTGCTGTAAATAAGCAAGTTGTCAGTCTAATTGCATTAGAAGATCAAGATTTGGTAAGACCTGAAGCTCCTTCTGTAATTAAAGAGCTGAAAAGGCTTGGTTATAATGTATGAATGATCACAGGAGACAATCAAAGATGCGCAAATAAGGTCGCTGAAGCTATAGGGATTCCTTTGTCAAATGTTCTTGCAAATTGTCATCCAGTTGGCAAAAAATCAAAAGTAGAAGAACTTCAATACCAAAATTCAAACAAAAAACAAAATATTCCAAAAATAGCTATTTAATGCTCAGAATAAATACTATTTTAATGCATTTTTAAATAAAATTATATATAATTATAAGGTATAATAAAACTTACATATCAACAAATGGCATAGAAGACCCATTACTTGGCTCTGAGAAAAAAATATATGGCGGTGTATTATTTGTTGGGGATGGGATAAATGACTCTCCTTCACTTGCACAAGCTGATATTGGGATCGCTATTGGAGGAACTGATATTGCAATTGAGTCAGCTAGCATTGTGCTGCTGAAAAATGATCTCAAAGATGTCTTAATTGCCTTAGACTTGACTTCTGTAGCACTGACTCCCCCCCTTTAAATTGGAACTAAAAAATTTCGTTCCAATTTAAAGGGGTTAAGAAAATTTTTTTTAAAAAAAAAATCATTATAAAATTTTCTATAATAAAAAAAAATTTTTTAAAATTTATCGAATTAGATTAATAAATTTGTTTAATAAAATGCTATTTACTCTTTATCCTTTTAAAACAAAGCAAGATATAACTAAGATTTTATTATTAATTAATACGCCACTATTAATTGGTATCAAAACTATTTACACAAAAATTATTTATTTTTATTGATAACAAAAAAATTAAAAACAAAAATTTTACTCCCCCCCCATCCTTGATCGAACGATTGACTGTAAAAATCCCTAAAAAATTGGGGAAATTAACCCCCATCCTTGATCGAACGATTTCATATCATGCAAATTTTTTATATATATAAAAATATAATAGTTATCAAAAGCTTGGGAAGATGTAACTAATGAAGTTGTTTTCAGAGACTTTGAGACGATAGAAAGCTTCGAAATCAACCATTCAAAGTAATTTAGTCATCAACATGGGCTTAAAAACTCAATAATCTAATAAAATAGAGATTTTTTTAAAATTTAAAAACAACAAATTTTAATTTAATAAGTAACAAATTAAAATTTATACAGTTTAAAGGGGTAACTAATAAATTAAAATATAAAAAATTGGTATTTTTATGAAATTAATTCAATTTTTTGCTGTAAAAATAATTATTAAATACTCTTAACCCTCTTATTTAAAAGTAAATAAAAAAAAATTTATATATATATTTTATTTTATATATACAATTTTTTCCCAAAAAATTTTTTTTAACCCCCATCCTTGATCGAACGATGGCGAGTCGTTCGATCAAGGATGGGGGGGGGAGTTAGAAAATTTATTAATCAAAGTGCTAATTTTGTTTAAATAAGATGCTATTTATACTCTATTCTTTAAAATAAAGCAAGAGATAACTAAATTTTGAATTTTTATAAAGAATTCGTATTGAATTTATATCAAAGCTATTTAAATAAAAAATATCATTTTTATCCAAAAAAATAAAAATTTTTTTTGAAAATTTTTTTTAAAAATTTACAATTAAGGATAATAAATTTATTTAAATAAGATGCTCTTTATACTCTATTCTTTAAACAAGAGCAGGATATAACTAAATTTTTAATTTTAGTTAAGAAGAAACATTTAAATTATTATATCAAAACCTTTTACATAAAAATTATAATTTATATATATAAAATTTTTATTATAAAATTAAATTTTGTTCCAATTTAAAGGGGGGTTAATTTACCAAAAAAGTGGAAATTTTACCTATATTTTGTTCCAATTTAAAGGGGGGGGGGGAGTGAGAAGAATTAAATACAACTTTTTCTGGGCATTTATATATAATATCATAGGAATTCCTTTAGCAGCTGGAATTATATACATGTGGACTGGGGTTTATATAGATTCTATTATAGCTGCAGCCACGATGGCTTGCTCTTCTATTGCAGTCATTTTATCATCACTATGGCTTAACAGATACAAGCCGCCACAATATCATATATTTTTTATGATAAATTAACTTTAATTTTTCTTTGAAAAAAAAATAAAAAAACTCATCAGGAATTGTATAATTAGCTAATTAAGGAAAAATTTATTAAAGTTTTATTTTCTTTATGCCAGGCTCTGTTTCTTTTATTTTTCTTTTAAGTTTTTGGACTGATTCTTCATGAAATAAAGCTAATCTTGAGCTTTTTCTTGTTTTCATACCAGGCGTTGTCATAGGCACTGAATCATCAGTTTGAATGCCGATTTCATTAGTTTTTATATCTTTTTTTGGGCTTGGGGTAGGATTAATCTCACTATTTTCGCTGCTTTTTGATGTGGAAGTTGTGCTGCTGCTTTTGAAAAATGTGACATCAATTTCAAGATTTTGAGATTTTCTAGGCACGCTTTGGCTCTTTTCTAGTAAAATCCCTGATAAAGGTGAGGAGCTCATGAATTCGGGGGTCGGGGTCGACCTTGATATTGAAGATACAGACTGTGAGAATTCTTGGAGCGTTTGTGACATAAAAATATGAAATTTTTAATAATTAAAATTACTGAATTCCTGACCAAACAAAAAAATGCTGCTCGTTAACTAAAGGTTAATTTTTTTTCAAAAATTTAAACATCCATATTTGAAATAATTTTTAAAGCAAATACTAATTTAGTTTGTAAAATTTGTGTTGTAAAATGCAAGAATTTAAAATTAACAGAATTAGCTAGAGATTTCTTTATAATAATTATCACTTATATATCAAAAATAATTTTTCGAAAAAAATTTTTGTTCGTTCACGAATGGTGGGCTTTTTGGATTTTTAAAATTTTTTTTCTTCGCTCACGGAGGGGGAGTGAGTAAACGCAGCAGATCTTAAAGTCTGTCTGCCAGGGCTTAAAGATCCTTTATTTTCCCATCTCTGTGCTATGGAGGTATGAGTCCCTCTAAATTGGGTGACTGTAACTCTGGCTGTTTTATGCCTGATTTCTTCTTTAAAGTCTGGAGAATCCTTAGTATCAGCAATTTTTCTTTGATAAAAATTATTGTGATATGTTGTCCACCTAGAATTTCTTGCATTAGGGTTCTGGGTCATCTGAATATTAGGGACCATTCTGTGAGGATCCACCGCTATTTCTTGTGATTTTTCGATTTTTTTATAATTTTCCCGAAAGCTTTGAATTGTTTTTTCTAGCTCAGAATTTGCATCTGAAAAATCTTTCCCAATTTTCCAATACTCTCTGGAATTTTCTGCATACTTAGGCAGCTCACACCCATGAACCCCAAAAACAGTTTTTGAAAATTTATTCCCAAGCTCAGCTGTATCATTTTTCTTTTTTTCTAACTCCCCTATGCATTATTGAGCAAAGTTCTTTTTTTAAAAATTTATACAGAAAATTTTTTCTTCAAAATTTTTTAAAAATTGAGAAATAAAAATTAATTTTAATCTCAAATTTATGTTTCAAAATTAAATAGAATTAGCTAGAGATTTCATTATAATAATTATCATTTATATATAGAATATTTTTTTGGTAAAAAAAATTTTATATTAAAAACAGTTTTGCTGCTCACAGAGGGGGGATTAAAAACTTTAATTTTGGGTCTTCTCCATCCAAAAGCCCGCCTAAAAATTCCTGCTCCCTCATCCTCAATCTTTCATTTTCCCCGACATATCCATAATTAGCAGTTTTATTTAAAACGTCGACCTAAATGATTTTTACCATTTCTTCTTTTCTCCTCTCCTTCATCTGGCTACAAGTCCTATATTTCGGGTCATTTTGATAGCCAAATTCCACCCTTGGGGTGTCTTTTTCTTTATATAGCCCTACATAACTTCTAGCTAGGCTTCTTTCAAATTCTTTTTTCTCATTAAAAGTTTTGAATTGAGGATTATTATCGAACCAATCTGTGCTTATAATTTCATTTATAGGCAAATTATACCGGAATTTTTTTTCTCTTTTGGACTCGTATTCTCTACCTAATTCTTGGCGTTCTTGTTTTCGAGCTTCGTTTAGCTGGGATTTAGAAGCTACAATAGGTGTTGGGGACATGTTTTTTGGGTAAGTTTGGTGGACTTTCCCGAAATCTTCATTTAAGACGATTTTTCCTCGCATTTGGATAACACGATAAGGCTTGGTAGGGCCAGATCCATCTAACCCTCATAACATATTATTGGTCCATCCAGACTGCATAGCGGAAATTGCTTGGCTTTTTTCTTCTGATGATAATTTATTGGAATTTGTTTTACAAAATTGTTTGGAAATATAGTAGTCTTGAGGCCCAACTACCCCATCACCGTCAAGATCAAAAGAAATATCAGGGATAAATTCTTGTTTTCGGGCTTGAAGAAGTTGGGTACGTGTCTGGATTTCTCGTTTATTAATTCAATGGGCAGGAATTTTGGTGGTTTCTGATTTTATTGGGGAATTTTCTAGGGAATTTTTAAGAATTTCTTTGGGATAACTGTTAACTAAGTCAACTTCCATATTAAAATTAATTAATTTCTAACTCCCCTCCTTAAGTGAACAAAACCATTAGAAAAATCCCAATTTTTTGCCAAAAAAAACCCACCCTCCTTGGGCGAAACAAAATTTTTTATTTGAAAAAATTTTGATATATAAGCAATAACTAGTATAATGAAATCTCGAGCTAATTCTGTTTAATTTTAAACAAACTTTGTTTTTAAAAGATAAATTTACAAATTAAATTAATATTTGCCTTCCAATTTTCGAGAAGTGGGATTTTTTTTTTAATTCCGAAATTTTTTATTTTAAAATTTATATATAATTTAACCCATCCCGTGAGTGAACAAATTTTTTTTCACTCACGGAGAGGGGGAATAAGTGGAATTTCTTCCGTTTATAATTTTTTCTACTGGGTGCATATAAACTGCTTCAGAAAATTGCAGCAAAGGCTCTTCTCTTTCTTCAGAAATTCTGGAAATATGATTGATCCAGCTATGAATTTTCTTCAAAATTGATGGCAATTTTCATAGAAGAATCACAAAAATTAACAGTGAGAACGCTATTAAAATGGTCCCAATTAATTCAATATTTAAATCTTCATTTATCATAAAAATCAGCCCTGTTACGGCTCCATGCCAAATAGCTGTGGATTTTTGACAGTGTACATTTCATCGAAATCCATTTGGTCCAAAATTTTTGATAGTGCGACATTTGCCCGAAAAATTAGAGGTTTTTTTCGTCAAATGTCTCATTATCAAAAATTTTAGATCAATTTTCGGCCAGGTGAAATGGACACTATCAAAAAGGCAAAGTCATTTGACCTAAACCCCCTGTTACACCTTGAAAGATAAAAATAGAAAATAATATTGATGTAATGCAAGCTTTAGGAATTTTTGATCCTGTAGAGCGTTTATCGACATAGTAAACACAGAGGATTAAATATTTGTGAATAAGGTATAGCATCCCCATCACTTTAAATTACTATTGGCCTATATTTATATTTTTAAAATGGCTATTGGCTAAAATTTTTAAAAAAATTTAGGTAATTTCTATTTTTGAGACTCCTTTTCAGGCTTAGATTGGATGCCTAGAGATCTATAGTGATCTTTTGCAATGATAAGATATACTAAATATAAGATACTCTTGTATAAAAATATAACACTCCAAAAATCAATATTATTGGATATGCTACTGAGTAGCTGAGAATTATAAGCAAAGAGTTAAGGGTTGAAGCAAGCTCATAAGCAAAATCAAATGGACTAGCTTGCTGAATTAATAGCTTTTCTTCAGCTGAGTATGGCAAGCTTAACTTAATTTTTGTCATTATTACGCTGACAGGCCGAAGCAAATCGAGACCATTTGAAATAAAAGTTTGGTGGATAATAAAAACTGTAAAAAATTGTCCTGTCTGAGTTATTGCAATTGGCAAATCCCTCCTCCATTTATTCCAGAACCCATCAATAGAAATTTGCATAATAGTTTGCAAGCCTATTGCTTGGAGTATAAATACATAAAATGCCATAAAAATCAAATATTTTTCAAATCTGCTGACTGTTTCCATAGCCAAACTTGTCCTTTTCTCATGAGACACAATATAATTAATTGAATAATATATACCTAATTAATTTAATAAAAATATAATAATTTACTATTAGGAAAAAATGATAGGATAAATTAAGTAGAATAATATAACCTGCTGATAAAAAATGAGGAGAAGTGTAGGCAAATACTGGTTAAAAACGCTTTCAAAGTAGCTCCTTACTGAGAATTCTGAGATTAAATCGCTAAAAAACTTCAAAAATCCAGCAGGTGTTACCCAAACAAAAAACAGCAGCATAAAAAAGGCTAACAATAAAATCCTTTTTCCTCGAATTAATATATGATTGTAAGTCATATTTTCCCATTTGATTTCGTGAGGTGCTGGAGCTGTATGAGCAAACCATAAAATGCTGTTCAGATCATCAATATTTCTCTTAAAATGTTTTTTTACATTTTCAGCTGCACTAGGTGTCCTGCACATAATATAAGCATACCCTGTATTTCCTTTTTTTCCTTCACCCAGTTTATTTTCATATATAATTTGATATGTCTAATTATAGTGGATATAGTTGACGCCATTATCCCATTTTCAATATAAATAGGATGACGGCTTTTTCATCTTAATTAGGTATATTTTTCAACCTTTCCAGAATAATATTCAATAGCATCTACTTTTGATCTAAAAAATCGTGGTCTTATCATAGGCCTTTTCATTTTTCCTTTCTGTATAGATTTTTCAAGCTTTAAGCTATATTTTCTTAATTGTCCTTTAGCTTCATTTATCGCTAAATAAGCTTCATAGCTTTCTGTATAATTTGGGACTACATAAACTCCTAGTACATCATCTTCAAATTCTTTTTTAAATTTTTCCAATAATTTCGGCTGGATTATTTCTGGGGCAATATCTCTATTAAATCCTCTTAACTCTACCGCATAACTAAAAATTGGGATATTTGCTGGGAATGCCTTATTTGACACAGTTTTAATCACAATATATACCAATCCATACCCTAAAAATGAAAAGACTATAGAATACACAATAGGCGCCACCATACTGTAAGAGTCATTCATAACATTTGCTATGCCTTCTCTATTTAAGTTGTCTTCAGATACTCCGTTGCCTTGAAAATATATAGGGATTAAGGCTGTTGCCCCAATTGCAATCATAGTAAGTAGGACTATTATGATCTGAATGTGCAGTCCTATGTACATATAAGCTTCAATTCCACAGCGAGAATAAATATCTTGTAGAGAAGTTTCCCATACGTGCTTGACTACTTCAAGAAAAGGTGTGTCGGAATCTGAAAATACAGCATTCTTTATGGCAAGGTCAGGGTTTTCCGAATGGATGTGACGTTTTCCGAATTTTCGGTAGATTAAAAATAAGGTGAAGTAGATCATAAAGATAAGGAAATCTGCTCCGACTGTGTAAATAAGCTGATAGACACCTGGGTGCATGATCATTTTTTAGTAAATTAATAGAAATGGATTATTATAGATCTAAATAGATTTTCTATTATAGCTAAATGATTAATTTGCTGATAACCAATATAATAATGGCTATATTAAATAAAAAAAATAAAGATTAATCTTCGTTATCATTAGAATTAAGGCTTTCAGTATGTTTATCCTGTAAAGTTTCTTTTGGTCCTCTTGAAGTCATTTGCATTTTTTCTATAGGATGCATATATAATCCTGACTCCATCTTCAAAGACTCAGATTCGTTTTCGTTCTCGCTTACATATTTACCAGTTTTCCATACTAATTTCATAACTGTTGGCAATTTAAGCATAACAACTAAATATATAATAAATGATACTATAATTAGCACCCCGCCAGTCACTTGTATCCCAACGCTGTCATTTATGGTAAAAATAAAGCCAGTTAGTAATTGGAATATAAAAATGTAAGACATAATTGAATAAATATAAGCTTTCGGGATTGCAGCTCCAGTTGAACTTTTGTTAATATAAAATGTGCTGAGAAGTAGATATTTGTGGATGAGGTACTAAATAATGATTACTCTAACCCCCCCCCCCCTCCGTGAGCGAACAAAACAATTTTGTTCGCTCACGGAGGGGGGTTAATTTTTTTTTTTTAAAAAAAATTTATATATAAATTTTATAAAAAATATTTTTTTCGAAATTTAAAAAAATCCTAATTTGCAAAAATTGGGAAGCAAATATTAATTTAATTTGCAAAATTTATGTTTTAAAACGCAATTTGTTTAAAATTAAAAAACAGAATTAGCTCTAGATTTCATTATACTAATTATCACTTATATATCAAAATTTTTTTCCATTAAAAATTTTTTCTATTAAAAAAATTTTTGTTCACTCACGGAGGGTGGGTTTTTGGTCACAAAATGGCGATTTTTCTAATGGTTTTTTGTTCGCTCACGGAGGAGGGGGGGGGGAGTAAGTACAAAATAAATCAGCCCAATTACAAGAATCAGAGGATAAGCGACTGAATAGCACATTATAATAAAGAAATTGTTCAAGGTAATTGCTATTTCATAAGAAAAATCAAAATCTGGGTTATCCAAAGCCTGCATTTTTTCGAGAGGAGTTTTTGCTAATTTTTGCTTTATTTTTGAAACTATTATAACACCAGGCTGCCATAGGGCAACACCCATAGAAATTCCAGCTTGATGAATCATAAAAATTGTGAAAAATAGCCCAGTTTCAGCAATTTTATTAGGAAATAGCGTCCTTGCGCTGTCCCAGCCATCAGTCGAAACTTGGACCACAACTTGCATCCCGAAAGCTTGCAATATAAAAATATAAAAAGCAAAAAATAATAAATACTTGACCATTCTGCTTACAACTTCTGCAGCTACGTCTATGTGCTTTTCTTGCTTTACTACAAAAATAATTGCGTGATATACAACAACTGCTTGGTAAATTATCAATAATAAAGTAGGCAAATAAGTATCAAAAATCCCTTTGACGTAATCTCCAGCATCTGCATTTGAGACTGCATCATTTATGTATCTCACAAATGCTGTGGGGGTTAAGAAAACAAAGAAAATTACTATAAAAATGGCTAGTAATATTGCTCGGCGGATTTTTATTGTGGTTTGGTTATAATTCATATTTTCCCATTTCACCTCGTGAGGAGCTGGAGCTGAATCTACAGACCAAGATTTGGAATCTTTATACTCCTCTTTAACTTTTTCAGCTGCCTCTCTGCTTTTACAAACTACAAAGGCAAATCCTGTATTTTTGACGTTTCCTTCTTCAATATGCTGCTCAAATTGATCTTGGAATTTTTCAATTTCTTTTGTATAATGCTCAACCGCATTGACTTTTTTCCCACACATTTTGACCCGAATTTCTCCTTTTTTCTTATCTCTATTTATTGTTTACTGGCTTTCGACAATTTTGAAATGCTCGACTCTTTCTTTTGCTTTGTTTATTTCTTGATAAGCGATATAACTATTAGTATAATCAGAAACTACGCAGGTTTCCATAATTTCTTCTTGAAATTGGCCTGTAAAAGTTTTATGCACCTCAGGCCCGATTTCTTGAGGCTGCTTATTTTTATCAAGTCCTCCAATTTCAATAACGCGCTCATAAATGTAACTTTCCTATATAAAATTTACAGTTGGGGAAACTGACTTTAAAATAATGTAAACTAGTCAATATGCCAGACAAGAGAAAAACACAAAATAAATAATTGGAGCAATCATATATTTTTCGTCGTCTAAAACGTTTCCTATAGACTCAGCATTAGTGTCTTCTCCTGAAATTCCGCTGCCTTGAAAATATATTGGGACAAGAGCAGGGGTTATGAAGATGGACAAAACTGTTAAAAATATAATAATCTGCCGATGAAGAGAAAGGTAAACATAATCTCTTGTGCAATATATATTGATAATTTTTTTTAAAAAACAAATTTACATTTTATTTGTTTTAATTAATTGTGAAAGAATAAGCAAAAAATCCGCATTTATCTCGGATTTCTTTTGGGCTTGTGTTTCATACGTCTCTGAATAGTTTGCATTTAGGTATTTCAGATTCTGAAAAAATTGCGTTTTTTGGCTTGAAGTTTTCGACTGTATTTTCAGTGTGACGAGTTCTGTGGCGATAAGTAGCCAAAAAGAGGATAAACAGTATCGAAAAAATGATTGCATCTATAGCAAGAGTGTAAAGTATTTGGAAAATTCCCTGTTCCATTTTATTACATTAGACTAAATTCGTTTTTTTTTTGTATATTAAAACATAATTTTTTATTTTAATAGTAATTTGACAAATAATTAAGAAATAAACTCAATAAATAAAATTGAAATTTTTTGATACAAATTTCTCAATTTTTCTAAAAAATAAAAACAAATTTATTTTACGAGATTGAGCTTGACACAGCTAAAAGCAGCTTTCAACAAGATTTTTTATTTTTAATAAATATATGACGGCATTTAAAGGTTTTGGGTTGTATAATGCTATCCTTAATCAAGGCCTTCTCTTATAAAATTCTTAACTTGCTGAATATTTATAGCCTGATTGATTATACCTAATCAGAAATATATATAAAAATTTTTTTCCTTTGTTTATGCTATTTTCATATAAAATAATTTTCTCATCTTTAATTATTTTATTTTTCAGCATTCATTACAGAATTTTAGTTTTAATCTAGTTAACTATTATTTTCATTAGAAGTATTGATATTTTGTGTTTTTGATGCTAAAGTGTCTAGCAAAACTACATCTGCTTCTCCAGTCTCTTTTTCCTTTTTTTCTACAGGATGTATATATAGCACCTCGCCATGCTCAAAATTGTCAAGCTTACGCCCTTCAATTTTTTCGAATTTTTTAATAATCTTTCTCACAAACTTCATTATTATTGGCAATTTTCACAGAAAAATCAAGTACACCACAAATGCAATAATTATCAAAACCCCACCTACAATTTGTATAGGATAGTTTTTATTAATTGTAAATATCAGCCCAGTGAACAGCTGGAATATAAAAATATATGTCAAAATTGAATATAGATAGGCTTTAGGGATAGCTGAGCCAGTTGAAGATTTATTAACATAAAAAGTGCAGAGGATGAGGTATTTCTGAGTCATAAACTAAATAAAAATTACTCTTATAAAGAAATATATCAATCCAATAATAAGGATTAGGGGATAAGCGATAGAATAGCTTAAAAGAATTAGAAAGCTGTTCAATGTGACAGCTGTTTCGTAAGCAAAATCAAAGTCAGGGGAATCCAGTGCTTTTATTTTTTCATGAGGAGTTTTGGCAAGTTTTCATTTTATTTTAGAAATTATAATAAGCCCAGGCTGCAGTAGTGCAAGTCCATTTTGGATTAAAGCTTGATGGATCATAAAAATAGTAAAAAATAGCCCAGTTTCTGCTATTTTGTTAGGGAAAAGTGTTCTCCAGCCATCCCAGCCTCCAGTAGAAACCTGAACCACTGTTTGCATTCCTAAAGCTTGCAGTAAAAATACATAAATTGCCATAAAAATCAAATATTTTGTCAGTCTGCTCACAATTTCCATGGCCACATTTACTCTTTTTTCTTGTTTTACAATAAAAATTATTGAATGATACAAAATAACCCCTTGGTAAATTAACAATAATAAAGTAGGCAAATACGTAGTAAAAATTCCTTCTATGTATTTATCTATTTCCATACCTGACAATGCGTCATTTATATATCGGACAAAAGCTGTAGGGGTCAAAAAAATGAAGAAAACTACTACAAAAATAGCTAATAAAGCAATGCGGCGGCCCCTAGTAACGAGCTGGTTATAATTCATATTCTCCCATTTTATTTCGTGAGGGGCTGGAGCTGATGCAACCATTCATGTCAAGATCTCTAAATCTTTGAAATCATTTGGGAATTTATCATCGATTTTTTCTACAATCTCAGGTGTTTTACAAAAAATATAAGCAAATCCTGTGCTTTTTTGGTGTCCTTCTTCCAGATGGTCTTTATATTTTTTTTGATATTTTTCAATTTCTTGTGTATAATATCCAATAGCATCTACCTTCTGTGAGCATCAATTCACGCGAATTTTTTCTCTTTTATGGTCTCTATATAATTTCTACGAATTTTCGATGTATCGAAAATGCTCGAGTTTCTCTTTAGCTTGCTCTAGTTTTTGGTTTGCAATATAGCTTCTTGTGTAGTCAGGGACTACATAAATTCCAACGACTTCGTCATGGAATTGGCTTTTAAATTTGCCCATAACTTTAGGCTCTATTTCTTGGGGCGGCAAATTTCGGTTAAATCCTCTAACTTCGATAATATATTCAAATACAGGTTTTTTCTAATTAAATCCTACATTTATAGTTGTTCTATACTATTTAGCTTTATTTTTTTTAAATTTTTATAATAAAAAATTATAATAATTTTAATATAAATTATGGCATTTACCATAAATAAGCCTGCTCATAATTTGTGCCCAGAGATATATAGGAAATCGTTCTTAAAATTATATAGACAAGCCAATAGGCAAGAAATGAAAAAAATATATAATAAAGTATGGGCGCTATCATTAAATATTCATCATCCAAAATGTTGGCAATTCCTTCTTTATTAGTACTTTCATCAGGGAGGCCATTCCCAGAAAAATATATAGGGACTAATGAAGGAATCCCCAAAATGCAGACAATAGATAAAAATATAATTATCTGCCATAAGAGAGATAGATAAATATAAGCTAAAAGCCCACACTTTTCATGAATGTCCATAAGACCGGTTCTCCATACGATTTTTAGCAATTTTCATACGGGTGTCTCAGATTCTGAATAAATAGCATTCTTCGGCTGAGCATCTTCGGCCTTATAAGTAGTGGTATGCTTAGTTCTATAGTTATGAGATAATAAAAATAGCAAAAATAAAATTGAGAAAATAATTGTGTCAATGCCTAAAGTGTAAAGTATTTGATAGAATCCTTGATCTGCAGCAGTTGTTTTTGTATTTTTCCTCGGCAGATATTTCCTCACTCCCCCCCTTTTAACTTGGAACAAAATATAGGTAAAATTTTCATTTTTTTGTTAAATTAATCCCCCTTTAAATTGGAACAAAATTCAATTTTATGATAAAAATTTTATAGTAAAAAAGTTATGATATAAGTTAAATGTTTCTTCAACTAAAATTAAAAATTTAGTATATCTTGCTCTTTTTTAAAGAATAGAGTACAAAGAGCATCTTATTTAAAATAAATTTATTATCCTTAATTGCTAAACTTTTAAAAAAATTTTTAATTTTTTTCAGATAAAACAATATTTTCATTTGATATAAATTCAATGCAAATTCTTTACAAAAATTTAAAATTTACTTATTTCTTGCTTTATTTTAAAGAATAGAGTATAAATAACATCTTATTTAAACAAAATTAACACTTTGGTTGATAAATTTTCTAAATGTTTTTTTTAATTATTTTTTATCAATAAAAATAATAATTTTTGTGTAAATAGTTTTGATACCAATTAATAGTAGTGTATTAGTTAATAATAAAAAATTTAGTTATATCTTGCTTTGTTTTAAAGGATAAAAAGTAAATAGTCTTTTATTAAAGAAGTTTCGATTAATTTTTGAATTTATTTTTTCATAAAAAAATTATCTCAACCCCCTTTAAATTGGAACAAATTTTTTTTTTCAAATTTAAAGGCGGGGGGAGTCAGTACCATTTAGTCAATTTTTTTCTTATAAGTCATTTGAGTCAGCAAAATTCTTTAATTTTTAATAAAATTACGCTGAGGAAACGGCTGAAGAAAAAATGTCCTGAAAAAAAGTCATATAGCCCTTGATCCATTTCAGATTATTACTAATAATGCAATTAATGGTTTAATTATTTACTTTTTTAAGAAATGCATTTTGGAATCTTTCTCTGACATTTTTATCAGAAATTAATTTAAAGGAAAAGCACCTAGAAAATCTGATGGTCAAAAACATCAATTCTTTCTATTTTTTATATAAGTTGATTTATTTTAATATTTTATTTATTCTTTATGTTAATCTTAATTTATTTTAATCAATATGCTCTCTGAGAGTAATATAGATAAAATTTACGATTAAAAATTTATTTAAAGTAATAGTAAATAAAACCATACAGTCTCTACCTGCCCATTAAACCACATAATTTATTACCTTTATATCATTAATTAACTTATTATCCGATAATTACTAATTTATATTCTCACAATTAAGAAAGATATTTCTGTTCAGGCAAGCTTCCTCTTCTGCTGTGTTGTATTGACTTAAAAAGCCTTTCGTATTCCTCCATATTTTCATCCTGTGGTGCTTCTATTGACGTCTGTCTCCTATTCGGAAAATTATGTGACATCCAGAAAACTTCATTTTCTTCCAGCTGCACCAATATTTTTTCCTTTATACTAACTGACGGCCTAAACATATAAAAAGTCTGATACAAAGGCCCCACAATATTTTTAATAAACCCTATCTGTGTTTTCGCTATTTCAGTCACTTCTCTATCACAATACATCGAAACCGGTATCCCCAGTGATTTTTCCACATCGCCTTGCTCGAAAAATTCCTGAATCACCAGCGCGCACCATTTTGCATGTAAGTCCCTCTTTTTGGCAGCATGTCCTACATCAGCTACTTTTATAGTCATTTTAAATAAATCAAGCCGAAAATCAGGGTCGTTCATATCTTGGACTTCATTTATGGCCAAATATTTTGCTTTAAAATGGCTGACAATTTCAAAGTGTTTTGCTAAGTCTGTGGATAAAATCATTTCGATAATCATTTTTCTTACCAAGGACCATCTGTCAGGGTCTATTGATTTTATTATTTCTGAAGCGTTCTCTTTTAGGATTTTGAAAATTATGGAAGCGTGGTGCATCTCGAGGACACTGATGTCGTTGAATTGGATAGCTAAATCGTCCATGGTCTGGATTAGAAAACGATTACTTTTAGCTGGGTGGCCGACGTCGTGGCCTATAGAAGTTATGCTTTTGTTGATAAAAAGTAGGGCATAGAATTATTATTTTCCTTATGTTTATAAAAAAGAATATTAGGATTTTATATATATAAATATGTATATAATTCCTGCTAGGAGTTCTAAACTATTGATTTCTTCAATAATAAAAGTATTGAAAACTATGTATATATATGAGCACATTACATCAGCGGCATGACAGGAATTGTGGTAAGGATTTTGATTGCTATAGCGACTTTCTATTACTTCTAAAAAGGTAGTCAAAGTTTTTTCGGATATATTAAAAATGTCTTTTAAGCCATATTTTACTATTGCATAGTACCCACAGGTCTGAAGAGGCCGACCTCCAGAACAATCATTAACAAAAAACGTGTTAAAGTTTCATTCTCTACCGATTTGGTTTAAAACGCCTTGAAGTTCTGCAACTCCGTATATAGAGTCTAATTTTATTAAAGATTTTTGCCTTGGCGGAAGACTATAAATTGTTCCGCCTCTTTTAGATATACTATTTGAATTAATCTTATTCCCTTGCCTTTTTTGTATGCAATATTCCAAATTCTGCTAAAAAATAATATAAAAGTTTGCTCAAAATAAATTTTGTCTTGCTCATCTAAACCTTTTGTAATATTTTCTATATTTGTATAATAAATATTTGTACTTCTTCTAATTCATCCCTCTGTGAGCGAACAAAAAGTTTTGTCTGCAAGGAGGGATTAATTTTTTTTATATATAAATTTTAGAAATTTTTTGTTTGAAATTTAAACAAATCCTAATTGGAAAGCAAAATATTTATTTAACTTGTAAAATTTATGTTCTAAAATGGAATTTATTTAAAATTAAACACAATAGCTAGAGATTTCATTATACTAATTGCCAATATGTATCTTTTTTTTAAAATATTTTATGCTCTCATAGAGTGGAAATAGGGATTTTTCCAATTGTTTTTTCACTCACGGGGTGGGAGTAAGCCTCGCTAAAATTGATTTTAAGATACTCATAGAAATAACAGCTTGTTCTTTGGCTTTTAAATCTTTACTCCTTCAGAGAGAAGTAAGCTTTGCTTTAATTTTTACAGTTACGATTCCCAAGAGAGTCAATCTTTCTTCATTAATTTTTGTTTTAATAGTTATAATAAAATCGCTCTTTTTAAATCTATTTTAGATGCTTATTTACAAATATAATTTATGAAGTGAATTTTTTTTTCTGAATTTAGGAATATAAAATATATAAATAAAGAAAAATAGCCTAGTTTTATTAGAGGAATTTAGAATCTTTTATGATGCTCAAAGACTCTATTGAAGAATTTATTGCATCTACAATTTCTTCAATGGCTGTATCTGCTTGCTTTTTAGCTCCATGTATAACCCCATCAGTCCTTAAGTCAGATTCAGAAATCGCAAAACTTTGGCTTTCTTTTGCAACTTCTAAATAATGGACTTTACTATTTTTCTGTTCTTTAAGAGCCAGAATTAGGTACCCAAGCACTATTAATAGACAAAAAAACTGAAAGATCGTTAAATTTGTACTTTGGTTTCCCATCATGTTTAAAAACAAAGAAATAAATGCAAGGATACTGCTGATTATAATAAAGCTAGCTTTATTTTTCATTTTTTCTTGAGCAGCAATCGCCAATACGATAATTGCAGAAAGACTGGGGAGGTAGCCTTTGCAGTCATTTTCTTGCATAATTACTGTAAAAGTGTTAGGATCTGAGAGAATTATAGTAATTCCTGATACCAAATATATCCAATTTATCAATAATCACTTATCAAGAAGGTCAGATCCATATTTTAATTCTAGGATAAAAGCAATAGTAGATAATGCAAGACTAGCAGAAAGAATTATAACACCAAAAATAAATGCGCTTGCATTTATTTCTTGATCACTATAGCTCAGAATTATTGATAAAATGCATAAAATTAAAATTGCAGCATAAGACAAATAAAATTTGAAATTGGAGGAATTTGTATTTGGGTTTATATCTGATTGATTCAAAGTAATTTCAAGAGGAGGTCCAATTTGAGTTAGATCGCTTCCTATTTGATTTTTATGCCCTGCTAAAGCTCCGTTTCCACTAAGTTCCATAGTCTTGTATTTATATTAAATTAATGATAATTGCTATGATCTGTAATAGCAGGATGAAAAAAATTTAATGGCAAAATGCTTGTTAAAATTTATTATATGCTTTTTGCATGCAAAATATGCTAATTTCTGCGAAGTAGGATGCTAAATAAAAAAAATATAAAAAAATAATTTGAATTTGTGTCAAGCTTATCTTGAACAAATAATATGAATGAAGCTGAAAAAATCATTAAATAATATAAAACACCATTTATTTGCCTAAAACCTACTGCGATATTTAATTCTACTTAAAATTTTGTATGAATGATTCTATCGAGTATCCTATAAGTTTTCATTTATTCACTATTCCATTTTTATAAATTTTGATTATTTTAAAAAGAATTTATTTTTATTGCTCTTCAAAAATTGCTCAGGGATCATAATAAATTGCAGCAACTAGCAATAAATAAATTATCAAAAATAATCGTTTTTTACTTTTCTGTATTCCTTAAAGATTAATAAATATTTCAAAATTATTTAAACTTAATATTAAATAAATGTTCACAATTTCTCTATTTTCTCAAAAATTATTAAAATTCTATTCTTTCTTCCTCTCTTGCCTTATTCCAATTCCATTTTATATCTCGTCTAAAGGACAAGCCTTATAATAATGGCATCTCAACTATTTATTGAGAGATTCAAAGATAAAGTAAGCACCATAAACAAACTCGGGCAGTTTGAAGTCGACACCTCAAAAGCTGTCAATAAGCCTCAATTTCATTCCCAAAAATCAATCATGCAAATTTCTGCATCCAATATAGTAAAAAGCGGAATTCATTCACTATCCCCAACAAACGATTATCCCAATTTTGCTCGACCTCTTAAGTTACAAGGCCCTGAAGGACGTTCATTTTATGCGCCTCCAAGTGAAGCTGCAACTGAGCCTCATGATTTTCATTCGCTAAACCCTAAAAACAGTTATTATCCTATTCCAGCTGAAAATATCCCACATGGATATTCAGCTCAGCAGTCTCCTAGAGCTTCAGAACCCCATCAAAAACAGAAAAAAGCCGTTTCAGCTGCTCCTTTAAGAAAAACACAAGAAAACTTACGATCGACTGATTCAGATCAGCTTATTGGCCGACCAAAAAGAAGGGCTATTGATTTTACGCCATACACATTAAAAGATTATAAGAATATTAGAAATGATAAATACTATGAACTTGGAGGGCTCGGGCCAATTAATATAGGAACAGAAGAGTGGGAAAAAAAGAAAGAACTTCAAGATAAAAAAAAAGAATACGCCAAACAGGTGATGCAAGCTAATTCTTCACTATTGCCCCCTACAGTTGTAAAAAAACCTAAGGAAAAAGAGATGAGCTCTAGACAGAGGGCGATTGAATTTGCGAAAAAAATACAAAAACCACCTTTAAAGGTAAAAGCTTTGGGTCAAGAAATTAAAGAAGAAAATGAAGAGTTTGAGGATAAGACACTTTCGTGGCTCTCAAATTTAGAAAAACAGCATGAAATATATAAAAATAAAGCTCAAGAAATCAGGACTAAGATGGAGTAATATATGGTATTTTGACATAATTTAGTAAATAAATAGGAAATTTTTAGAAAATATATGGACTTATAATAATAAATATGGAATAGCTTATGGAAATTGAGTGATGATTACTCAGCCGCCCCAGTCTTACTACTGATGAGAGGCTCTATCTGACTTCATTATATTTGCTTTCCTTATCAATTTTGAATCATTACAGTGAAATTATAATTAGCTTAGAAAATCTTAATCAATCTACCATGAATTATTATAAGCTAAACAATAGTAAATTTAATATCAAGCTAAGAGATTGTCTTATTATGATGCTCTAGATTAATTATTATCAATAAACATATTTATGTTATGGCTTAATTCAGCCTAAAAAGCATATTTTAAAGATTTTCATTATACCTTTCTTTCCACTCAGCCCACGATCCATCATAAAGTGAAGCTTTCTTTCCTAATTCTTCCAATGCAAACAAATTCACACAAGCTGCCAGTCCTTGATGGCACATGCTAATCACTGCTTTTTCTTCATCTACCCTAATCCCAGCACCTTCATATAAATTTCTCAATTCTTCTTGAGTCTTCAATGTTGCATCTGCATTCATAAGATTTTTCCAAGGCACATTTTTCGCTCCTTTTATATGGTTAATTTTCAGTTTTGGGTCTTCTTTATTGAAAATCGCCGTCATTCTTGCGTCTAAAATCACACTATCAGCTGCTTTAGAGGCTGCCATAGCTTCTTCAAAAGCCTTTACTCTTGAAGCGTCTTTTGAATATCGGTAGTCATTGTCATTTTCTATTGAAGGGTCTTTATATAATTCATATTCGCCTGATTCAGTAGGATAGCTTTGGCTTAGCCAATAAGGAAGTCCTCCATCAAGGACTTTTACGTTTTGTTTACCGAATGATTTTAACACAAACCATGCACGTGTAGCTGAAAACACCCCAAGCTTGTCATAACAGATGGGAAACCAAAAATAATCCAAGGGTAAGTTACAGTTTTTTTTCCTATAAAATAATTGTAAATTTACCTTTTAATTGACAGCCCATAACAGACCACAAGGGTGTCATCGTTTTTAATACCTAGTTTTTTCATATGACTCCCCGCCCCCCTCCGTGAGCGAACAAAACCATTAGAAAAATCGCCATTTTTTTGACCAAAAAAACCCACCCTCCGTGAGTGAACAAAAATTTTTTTAATAGAAAAAATTTTAATGGAAAAAAAATTTTGATATATAAGTGATAATTAGTATAATGAAATCTAGAGCTAATTCTGTTTAATTTTAAACAAATTGCGTTTTTAAAACATAAATTTTGCAAATTAAATTAATATTTGCTTCCCAATTTTTTGCAAATTAGGATTTTTTTAAATTTCGAAAAAAATATTTTTTATAAAATTTATATATAAATTTTTTTTTAAAAAAAAAAATTAAACCCCCCTCCGTGAGCGAACAAAAATTTTTTTGTTCGCTCACGGAGGGGGGGGGAGTGAGTGAGAAATAAACTGTTGATTATTTGGCATCATTAGAGGATAAGGAGATGATCTGTCTGATATTTCAAGAAGATCGAGGAATTTTGAGCTGGTAATACGGGTTTTGTAGTGGTTAGAAAGAGGGGTGCCGTCTTTTTCAGGAATCGCATAGGTGCTGTCTAGGATATGAATTTTTGATTTTTTTTGAATTAAGGAGTTAAGGTCCTGGGCTTTGATTAACGAAGAAAATCTTCTGTACATATTTTTACTGATTTTTAAGAAATTAAATTCGGGGAAAAATAGCTGAAAAATTTTTCAGTTGTGGTAGAAATTGGCAATTTATAACGATTTTTGGGTGTTTTTAATTCAGTTTGAGATTTTTGAAGTTTTTGCCTTGATGATGTTGATTTAAATGAAGGAATTTAATTTCCAATGCAAAATGGTATACATTTCTAAGAAAGCCTATTTAAAAGATGAAACCTATCAATAGATTTAGCTATAATTAGGCTTTCATTAGCATAAGTGTAATGTTAAACGCAACCAAAACCACGCATATATAATAATTAACGCATTTTTACTGATATAGATAGTCTAAATATTGGAGCATAAGAACACCACATTTCTGTTATCACCACTACTAACCTATTTCATGGTTTTTATTATTTAATCTAAATTTTGAAACTCATAAAAGGAATATTCTGATACTATATTTTCTTTTAACTTAATACCCCTCCGTTAGCGAACAAAACATTGAAAAAATTCCCTATTTTTTGAGTAAAACACACCCTCCGTGAGTGAACAAAAAGTTTTTAATGTAAAAATTTTTTATAAAAAAATTTGATATATAAATGATAATGAGTATAATGAAAATTATGAGCTAATTCAGCTGAGATAACTTATTTTAAAAAATAAATTTACAAATTAAATAGATTTCGGCTTTCTAATTTTTTCGAAATAGGATTTTTTTAAGTTTCAAAAAAAATTTTACTATATTTTTTAAGAAAAATATTAACGCGAAAATTTTTTGGTTCGCTCATGGAGGTGATGTGGAGTTAGAATAGCTTATTTTTAAGCAAGACAAATAAATGTCTATTAATCAAAATAAGCCCAGCTTCCCTATTATAAAACCTATTTATAAAATTTCCTAATAATTATAATGAAAGAAGCTAAATTTTGGCACAAAAATACATTAGCAATTCCTCTTGCTCTATACATTCTTTCCGCAACCTTCATGATAATCTCAGTCCTGCTTCCCAATTGATCAACCTTAGAGCTAGGCGCTGAAACTTACGAAATGAGCCTATGAAAATGCAAAGGGTGCCCAAAGCTCCACAAGTCATGAAGCTGAAAATGTTTTTCTGACTATAGGTGCAATTCTAACATAGATGACGGAAATTGTATGACCTATAGCGCTGGACATGGAGCTGCCGTGACTTATTTTTCATTAGAAGCTTTAGCCTTCATTTCCAGTCTTATGCTGATTGAAAAATTATCTATAAGACTAGTTGATAAAGACTTCGGATCTTACATTTTTGTTCATTTATTAGGATTATTTGCAGCTTCTGGACAAATAATTGCAGCAATTGCATGGTTTAGCTTAAATAAAGCTGTATTTCACTCAAGTGGAGATTCCTCGTGAACCAACCCGATTTTGGTGGCTAGAAATGGACCTAAGTTTGCAATTGCAAATTCTATCTTATGCACGATAGCATATTTTAGCTTATTTGTAGTCATATGCAAACAAAAAAGGGGAATAATTATAAAAAACTTGATAAATTTAGATGCAAAGGTATTGAAAGTCAATTTCAGCTGGTGAATGAAACTGGCTTCAACGTCTAAACATTTAGCTTAAATTTAAAAAAATATATATTTAACTGAAAATTTATTGAGAGTAAATATTAAATAATATAAAATTAACATAATAAAATCGAATAAAGCGATTTTTCCCTGAAAATGTATTTTCTCCAATGAAAATTGTGGGCCTTTTCTTTTCTGCAGCTTTAGCAGCTATTATATTTGGCTTAGGATACGGAAAATGGGTCCTCCGTATTTCTTCTGATAGCTCCTGGGAAGGAGGACTTACATCATGCATAAATTGTGAAGAGAACGGAACTAATACCAACTATGACTGCTTATCAGCAGTTTATTGCTATGATAATAAACACTCGTCAACCTGTGCTTTATACAAAGACTTGCATCATGCTGGCATATATTATGAAGTCTTAGAAGGGTCAGCGTTAATAAGTTTCATATTATTTTTCCAAACTTATTTATCAATACTTAATAAGAAAGATTATGGAATTCCTGCATTGAATTATGTAATTTTTATGCCGAATTAAATAGTTAATAGCTTTTTAGAAAAAATGGCATTTTTTAAAGCAAATTGACATTAAAAAAGAATATTTAGCTGTACGCAATTTTAGTCGTTTTACTAAACTTTGCTGCATCGGTCTCATGGTTTGAAATCAGCAATGCTCGATTTACGACTAAGTGCCGAAGCCAAGCAGGACTTGACAAAAAGCCTAAAATGTGCTCAACTTTTGGACCTTACACTTTGATAGTCTCAAATATTTTCCTAGTTCCTATGGGGATTATATTTTGCATTGCATATTGGAAAAGAGAGATCCTTGGAAAATATACAGGAAAAATTAGTGATGACCATGAAATACCAAAAATTGATATTTCTTTTAATTCACATCGAAACTCGAATTCTGAAAATGAGCCTTTAGATTCAATTCCCCAAGAAAGAGATGAGGTAAAAATAAGAAATTCAATTAGCTAAATTTTATATATTAAGTATTATATAGAAATCGCTATTAAATGATAGGGTATAAGGTAGCTTTTGGCAGGGATGCTAAATAAAATCATAAAAGGAGAAAAATTCTTTGAAAAATACACTTTTTAACTCAAAATAATTTTGGGAAGTAAATTATTGTAAAAAATAGCAAAAGCATAAAGTCTTTATTTGAAATCAAGAGACAAATTAAAATTTTTATTCAAGATTGGGTTTTATTAAATCTATTGGCTAGATTGCTATTTTTCATGTATTATAAGCAATTTTTTATCGCTTTTGAAGCCGATTTATCTTAGTTGCTATTTATAATTATTCGAAATAGCAGGAATTTTTTGGCTCTTTGGATTAAATTTTATTAGTGCTATATAAAACGCATACAATTCTTTTTGCTTAAATATATAAATATTTATCTTGCAAAAAAATGCCAAACTTACTTCCATTTTAATGGACTCATTAGCCAATTCTAAGAAAATAAGAATAATTCTCTGCTAAATATTAAAGATGCTGAGTTTATTTATTAAAAACAAATTTTATCTAAAATTTCTTTGGTCTGAAATGTTAACAATTTTTAATTTTTTAAAAATTTTTATTAAAAAATTTTTTAGAACTTTAGCAATTTTAAGCAAGGCTAATAAAGATGAGAATATAAATCTTCTGGATTTACTATAAAGATTTTTGTGGTATTTCTAATTTCCATTATTTTTGGTTATCATCATGATTTAAAATGTCCTATTTTTATTAATAAAAATGTCGTAGAAAATTTAAATTATCAAAATCTAATTTGCCTATAAAATGCCTCAAAAGTATGAAAATAACTCAAAATTTTATTATAATTTGTTTACAATCTCATTAAGTGAGAGAAATAAACGAAAAAATTTTTTTCCTAAAATTCATCTTCATGAAAACCTAACAATTATCATAATTCTAAAGTTCTAACTAAGGTAAAACACAAGATCTAATGCAGCAAAACTTAAAAAATAAAATCTTTATATCTTTGTCATTTTGCAAGCAATTAAATAATTTTTACAAAAAACACGGTTTTCTTTGAAAGCGAAGAGATTTCTTACTCCCCCCCCTCCGTGAACAAAAAAATTTTGTTCACTCACGGAGAGGGGTTAATTTTTTTTTTTTAAAAAAAATTTATATATAAATTTTATAAAAAATTTTTTTTTCTCGAAATTTAAAAAAATCCTAATTCGCAAAAATTGGAAAGCAAATATTAATTTAATTTATAAAATTTATGTTTTTAAAAAGCAATTCGTTTAAAATTAAATAGAATTAGCTCTAGATTTCATTATAATAATTATCATTTGTATATCAAAAAAATTTTTGTTCACTCACGGAGGGTGGGTTTTTGGGCAAAAAATACAGATTTTTCTAATGGTTTTGTTCACTCACGGAGGGGTGGGGGAGTTAGGTTAATTTCCATTTATTGAATTTTTATCTAAATATCTAATTGAAAACTCATGATAATTTAAACAAAGCTGGATTTATAGCGCTTTAGCAGCTGTAGCCTACAGAAAAAAAAATGCCTTTAAAAACCAAAATGTGTAGTTAACATTTCAAATTAAGGGTTGTTATTAAGTAATGAATGTAATATTGGAATTCTTGTTTGTACCCACTCAGATTGACGGTTTTTATCCACTGGCGGAAGCACAGGCATAGGACCACTTGGGACTTTGATATTAGGGTTGCTTTTAAATAACTCTTCATGAATAAATAAAAGTTCAAATGGAGTTGCAATACCTTTATTCTCTGTATTTTTTAATTGAGGTTTAGTCCTCATCGCATAAATTTTTTAAATAAAAAAAATAAAAAAAATAAAAAAATATTTTTTTTAAAAAAAATCTTGTCCTCTCTTGTTTGCACAGTCTCTTTGACTTATTGTGCAAAAGTTCATGCTCGTTGAGGTTTTGCTTACAAGCAAAAGTTTTAGAGCATATAGAACACACAAAATTGCGAATTTTTAAATGAATTGCGTTAATATGTCTTCTCAAATTGTATTTTGTCTTATAGGCTTTGGTACAGTTGAGGTAGTAGCATTTGTATTGGTTTTCCATTAAATCACAGTAATTTATATTAAAATTAAGAATTCAGATTAAATGGATGAATAAATTAGAGAGTGGATAAGACTAGCAAGCATCAAATCAAATTTAAATGTTAATAAATGTCCACTGATCCCACTTACAATTTAAAAAAACATGGAACAATATAATATGACTAGTGACTCATACTTATAATAATTTCAGAGACAAAGATTTTGATAAGCTTTATTTGATTGTATTTAGGAGGAATTAAACAGAACTTAAGTTGCTTGACATCTGCTGAATGTTTAATTATTAAGGCATTTTCTATCGAAAGTAAAATGTCATTATTTGTCTTCTTAATGTATAAGTAATTCAATTCGATTAATTATTTGAATCATTTGTATTTAGAAAATCCAAAATATCATTAAATTTGCTTATGAACCATTCTAAATTATGCGGAATTTTAATGCCTAATCATGACATCAATTAATTTTCATGCAATTGTCAAAACCCAGATAAGATCATGAAAACTACTATAGGCTTACTTCTCCTACTAGAGATTAAAAGATATTAACTAAGCTATTGCTGCAAGCTTGGAAAATTTAACAAAAAGTTCAAATTAAAATCGAACTTATAGTATGGCTATGCACAAGACTGCTAAAGAAGTATGCATTTTAGGCTCAAAATAGCCAAAAATTGGAATTTCGCAGGCCCAGAGGCTCAGGAGCATCATCATTCTAAAAAAGGGTAACCGAAAAAAAAAACCACAAAAACTCACATAATCAAAAGGGACAATTTTACCAGCTCTTTTGATTATTTAGCTTAGAAAATTTAATTTTTTTTTCTCTTTGATAATTGTAAAGCTCTAGAAATTGGACAAACTAGACAAATTAATCAAATTAGAAGCTTATACTAAGCGATAAATTTAGCCTTTTTAATAGATGAAAAGCTGTATGAGATATAATTTATAAATTCAATTGAATAAATCAAACAAAAGAACTATAAATGCAAAAAAACTATAGATTTTTAGATATTTTAGATCAGCGAATTAAATAAGAGTTATCAAAGAATTTCGCAAAGTTAATTTAATTTTGAAGATAAGCCAGAAAATTTCAAAGTAATCGAGCTAAAGCTGAATTTTATTGCCAAACTTTATAAGAATTAAATTCGATGTTTCATGTCTTTTTCAAAAATATCTAAGTTTATTAGCAAATTAAATAGGTCATCTCAATTATTTATAATAAGCATTATTTGGAGCTCATTTATGTTGTTTTTCTTATTATTATTCTCCTAATATTAAGAATTATCCTTTTTCGTGCATAAATTCAGCTTCTATGAATTTCACTTAAAAAGCCTTCCTTCTTTTTCAAAATGAATAAATAAATGCAATTGTCTAAGACTTATGAGCTAAATCCCAGAGGCGAAAAATCATTTCCCTCTCTAAAGCGATCTTCAAGCAACCCAAAGCAGCGCCCTGATATTGACTTAATTGCTCCTCCAGTAAACAAAGAATACCGTGAGCTTGAGCTAATGATGCAAAACAAGAATCGAGAAATCGCAAAGCTCGAAAATATGAACAAGCAGCTTGTCATGGGCCAACAAAAGCGAGACGAAATTATCGCTTCTGCACTAGAAGAAAATCGAAAATTAAAAGAAAACATCAGATGATATCAACGTCTGTTAAATCAAACCAAGAAACAAATGAAAGCAGCCGAGATTTCTATGCCTTCAAAATCCAAACAGAATTATCAAGATTACCAACCAAAGCAAGAAAAGCGCTCAGAGAGGAAAAACACTCACAATTTAATTCAGCAGACCACAAATTATATGGAAAGCGAAGATAATATTGCAAAAAGGAAAATCATTGATAATTTATTAGATGATTATGATATAGAGTTTTCCCTTGAATTATTTAAAAAATATATAAGAATTTTACATTTGGCAATTATAGGGGAGAATTGTATACTTTTTCAGAAAAATTAAATGCGATGGATAATTCAACTAGAAATGAAATTTTTGCTTATATAAAAGACCAAAAAAAAGAATACGAAAAATTGCTAGGATTGACTATGAGATTGAAAAAGCTCATATCTGGGTCTCATCAAGTTTCAATTTCTTTAGTTTTAGATGAAGCAATAGAGACATTGGTACATGAAACCTGCGAAAATTTAATTTGTGATAGAGCTAGTGTGTTTTTAGTTGACGAACTTAATGGAGAATTATGAACAAAAGCTGCAAAAGGGACTAATAAAACTATTAGAATTCCAATGGATAAAGGAATAGTGGGATACGTAGCTATGAGCGGAAACAAGCTAAATATTGAAGACGCTTATAAAGACAGCAGATTTAATAAAGCAGTCGACATACAAACCTCGTATCGCACAAAGACTATCCTTGCAATTCCTATTAAGGATCCTTCAGGGAATATTATAGGTGTAGCAGAAGCTATAAATAAAGTTGACGGGATTTTTACACCAGATGACGAAGCTCTTTTTGAGCTCCTCTCAGCTCAGGCAGGAATTATGCTAACTACTCCAAAGTCAGAGAATTAAATTATAGGAAAAATTTTGGAGAAATTAGTTTATCTATAAGCAAGAAAAATATTTTTCAATATAAAATTATCTTTTATAAATATGAATTATTGCTATATAATTTTATTTAATATAAAACAGCCATAAATTTTATAAACAAACATATATTTTTACTGCACAGTCCTAAAAAAAGTTATAATGAATTTTAAAAGAAAATTCATTAGCTCTCAAAGGTAATCGAATTAAGAAACTCTATGAGAAATGAAATTTCTATGCTAATGCTCCACAAAATGCGGTTGGTATTAGAAACTTGTATATTAATAACTGAGGCAAATGAAATTGTAAAAGTCATGGAAATTTCTGAAGAAAGGTCAAAGGACCTTATGGGCACCGATGTCTCCAAAATATACATGGTAAAAGATGGGAATTTGATTAGATATGCAAATGGGGAAGAAGAAAAATTTAGCTGTAATATCGGGCTTGTAGGAAAATGCGCAAAAGAAAAAGTCATATTAAATATCCCTGATGCATATAATGATCCAAGCTATAATGGAATTGTAGATATTGATTCAACGCTGCCTGTGCTTTGCTTTCCTATATTAAATCATGAAGGAGACGCTATAGCAGTTTTAGAAATTTTAAATAATAGAGGGTGTTTTATTTTTTTTAAATTAATTTTATTAATTAAATTAATTTTTTATTTAAAAAAAAACAATAGAGGGGTTTATGGCAGAGCTTCATCAAATAGAGCAAAGCTTAATCAAGTGGACAATGAGATTTTCCAGTATTTTGAGAAGATTTTAGCTTTAAATTTAAATCGATTCTCTTAATTACTAGTATCTATATTTGCTCTTCTACGGACAGAAATGCCTGGTGTTCCTGATTTTGATGTTTGGAGGATCCTACTGATTGATGTACTTTCACTCATAGTCCAACTTGATGGGCTATTAAGTCTTCCTTTTGCTATCACTTTTTCATGCCCTTGGACTCTTTCAAGTTCTTTTTTATTGTTTTGTGCATGTCTTATAACAAATTTAAAATTTCATATAAAATTTCATATAAAAATTGGTATATTTATTAATAAAATTATTTATTATCTTATAACTCTTTCCATCTCCATCCCTCTTCTTCTTTTAAGCTCCTCATAGTTCCTTTTAAGCCTATTTTTCAGCATTTCGTATTCAACTTTTTGCTGCTTTGCTATTTTTTCCATGAATTTTTCGATTTTTATTTTTCTCTCAGCTTCGGCTTTTTCTATTTCTTCTTCCTCGAGTTTTTTGATTTCTTGTGTCAGGTCATGCGCCAATTTATATTGTTCTTGCTTATAACGATGATCCCCCTCAATCTTCATGTCTATTGCAACAAAAATGCAATTTTTTAATATAAGATTTTTGTATAAAAAAAATAATAATTTTCATGTCTCTTGCAACAAATTATATATAAAAAAATAATAATTTTCATATCTCTTGCAACAAATTATATATATTAAAATGGCGACACGTGTCAGCCTGCCCTCTTGGCGCAGCATTCCAGACCTTATGGCTAATGCGAACTAGGACGGACCCCAAGCCGAGAATCAGACGCAGGCTCAAGAAGTGTATATCCGGCAGGTTTTGGCTGCTTTCCTGTGGTTGGAAATAGATGCGCTCAACAACGTCCTTTTGATCCGAAGACTCATGGGTATTCCTCTAACGAGAAACTGGGTTTTTTTGCCCAGGCCACAGGGGAACAGTCTTTTTCGTGTAGCTGTCGAAGGAAGGTACATTGACACCCGATAGACTCTAAGGAGCTGATCCTTGGAATCAAGCTACTCCAGTTGCCCGTAGCAGGGACGCAGAAATCCATAAGCCGCCCACTCAAGACTGAAGCCGCAAGGCAAGGAGGAGACAGAAGGTACCGGAAGGGCACTCGTAAGAGGAATAACCCTCTGGGCTGGAATCGAAAAGCGGTAGAACCTTCTACACGGGAGGTCTTTGGTGACTGTGCCACCAATATGGCTAGTGCCTGTCTGTAATAATCCTAATCCTCTTGCAGCAAATTTTAGATTCGCATCTTAAATTTTTCTGTACTTTTAGCTAGATAAGTTTAATAAAATGGCGAGCAATGACAATAGCCGTCCAAACCTCGATGAGAAGGTCATTGGCACGCCTACAGCAGCGCTGTTTTATGGGGTTTTTGAGAAACTCACCTAGAGAGAAAAATACATTAATTCTTTTTATTATTATTAGAATCTATCTATCGCTGCATGAGCAGCATTTCTCTCTTTTTCTCAATTCTTTTTTATAAAAATTTTGTGTTGCAGTAGGCATGAAAATTTTTTCAAAAAATTTTTGTTGCAATAGGTATGAAGATTGAGGGGGGGGGGTCATCGTTACTATATTTAATTAGCTTATCTTTTTTTAAAAAAATTCTATTATTTATTTTTATTTATTTCAATAAGAATAATCGCGATTTCTTTGGCTTTCATTAAATTCAATTTTTTTGAGCACGGCTTATGTATTATTTTTATTTTTTCTTCTGCTTCTTTTTGCTTTTCTTCTAGCTCTGCGCTGTGCGTTTTTTCAAGCTCAATTAATTGAAGCTTGCATTCTTGTTTGTACTTATCGAATTCTTCTTCCCACAAGCTATTAAATTCTTGAAATTCCTCTAAATGGCCAAATTCTACCTGCTCGACTTCTTTTTTTTGCTTCTGCAGGAGTTCTTTTTCTCTTAATTTTTGTTCCTGGATCTTCAATTTTTGGATTTGCTCGACAGCTTTTTCAGCCTCCAAAAAATTCCCAGCAGCTACACTTTGCTCTTTATAAGCTTGTAGAGTGGCAATCATTTGTGTAGGATTGTCAGTAGTAATGTCATCTCTGAGGGTTAGACTGTTGGTTTGCATTTTTAATAATTTAAAATGTGAATAATGCATACAGAATATATACGCCGTATTAGTTATCATTAAATACATATTTTTTATTTGTTAGTGTTTTTAGTGTATTTTCATTATTTTTGGCTTTATTTTCATTATTTTAGCTTTATTTTCATTATAGATACTTTAATCCAATCCCTATGTTTTAAATTCAAAATTACACTTTAAAGTTAATATCTAGGACACCCACAAGTCTTTGCCTCATCTCGGCTCCAAAAAGCCAGTTTCCATTGACCTCGGAGTTCAAATGAAAAAAATTGGGGGTTGCCTCTCCAATATCATCTCTGGGGCAGAGCCACAGTCTGGAAGGTGATGCCTTGATAGTCCCAATAAGGAGAGACTATGTTTCAGGCAAGCCTGTCTAGCCTAAGCAGGAACAAGAAAATCTTAAGGATAAAATGAACTTCCTTCTTCATAGGCATCCCCTAGCGCAAATGCCTACTTCAAAATTGGTAGATGCTTCATTGGTAGTTCTCCTCTAAGTCCTTCTCCGTCAGCACCACTATTTATTTCTCTTACACCTTAAGACTTCTTCATTTTAAATTGCCCGCTTCTAGTTTCTCAATCCTAAATACCTTTCTTTATTATCATCACTCTAAAATTTCTCTTGTCTTTTCCTTATCTTTCATTCCTATCCAGACCTTATAATAATAGGTGAAAAAATTATGACAGAAGACCATTCCCCAAAGAAAACCCAACTGGAAGAATTTTTATCCAGTATCAGTGACAACTACAGCAGGTACGAAACAGACGCGACGCTTGATAATTCTCAAGCAATTTCAAACCAAAACGAGCTCGTCGACAAATCAGGTTGACTCCTCAAGAAATCTAACAACTTCCTACGAGGTTACCAGCAGCGATATTTTGTATTACGAGATAAAAGGCTAGTCTACTTCAGAAAAGAGTCCGACCCTCAGCCAGCTGGAATTATTAATTTTAATCTTATAACAGTTGACGTACAAGTATACGACCCAGAAAGGCCAAGAAAAATTTTTATCAAGCCTTTAGGCGCCAAAAGGTGTTTTGTGCTAAAATCAACTGATCCTAAAGAAATTGTTGATTGGGCTATGGCTTTACATAAACATATTACGTATTCTGATGGGAGAAAATTGGACATGACAACTATAAGTATGCAAAAGGAATTCTGGAGATTTGACAGGGTTTCAGAAGAACAGTTCCGATACCAAGCTTGTACTGGAGATTTAATACTGTTTAAAGGGAAAAGTGTTGCAGCGAAGCTGCAACGAAGCGTTTTAAGAGGCAGGTATGACCATGTTGCTTTATTACTGTGCTATTCGACTGGGGATATAGCAATTCTTGAAGCGACTGGAGATGATGGGGTTGCCATAGTTCAATGGGATGACTTTTTGAGGTATGGCTGGCATCGGCTTTATAAAAGAATTGCATTCCGCAAGCTGACTATGAACAGAACAGAAGAAACTTTGACAAAATTGCAAGGATTTATTGATAATGCTAGAGGGAAAAAGTATAAAATTTCATATAAAAAAGTATTTGGAATTGATCAAAGGAGGCAGCCTGGAACTGAAGATAATTATTTTTGCTCAGAGCTGATTGCTTCAGCTTATAAAGCCTTAGGAATTCTAGATGAAAATATTCCTTCAAGCAGGTATTGGCCAGGGGATTTCGAAAGCAAAAACTCGATACCTTTGATGGACGCTGAGCTTGGTGAAGAAATCATGGTTGATTTCGAACTGTAAGCGAGCATAAAAAATTAATAAAAATTATTGTGAATTAAAATTTTTATTTTTTTAAATACGATTCTTGATGTTTCAATTCGCTAATTAATTATTTCCTATCATAAGCAATAAATGCAAAAATTTCTTACTTCAGCCTCCTCTTTTTAGTTGAAATTTCTTTATTATAGATTTTATATTTTGTATAGAATATGACAGAAAACACTTAGTAATTTCTAATCAGCCTTGAAATCCAAACGTCCACTTGGCATCGTGACACCAACTGTCTCTACGATTATCAAGCTACCGTCACAACCAAAAATCATTTTACTCTAAATTATTCCGCAATTTTGCATAGAGCGAATAATTCCTGCATCCTGAACAGCTCAAGCTGCCACCGAAAGCTTACTGAAGACTCAAACCCCATTTTATCAATAAAAGCACGTGGGGGCGAGTTTACTATCCAGCAAGCTGGCGATTCTTTAAACGAACGCCTTTGACTAGTCATAAAATCCATTCGAAACAGCGGCATCAAAGGCTACAAAATTTGTGAAGGCGACTGGATTAGGCTAGGCCGCGTTCGTCTACAAGTAAAGCGCATCTGTACAAATCCCAAGGCAAATTTAGCGATCCCAATAGAGTCGAATATAGAAAAAGCGAATTTTCAGTATTTTGAGCCATTTCAAGGGGACGAAGTTGTATCTTGCCGCATATGCTTAAGCAATACAAATTCTAAAGAAAACCCACTGATTTCGCCTTGCCACTGTATAGGGACTATGAAGAATATTCACGTTGGCTGCCTGCAGGAGTGGCTGACTAATAAAGTTATTGTAAACAGGCTGCAAAAAGCGACTTCTTATTATTGGGGGGAACTGTCTTGTGAAATATGCAAGGCGCCATTGCCATCAAGTATTTGTATAGGAGCAGAGCGGTTTGATTTAATTGCAATCGTAAATCCCGATAAACCTTATACTAAAAATATAGGTCAGCACCTGTTATTGGTGGCCCTGGGCTTTCAGATGCTGCCCAGCTAGTGGAATTGACTGTTGCCAAGTCAGTTCCATCGGTTGGCAAGCGGCCATATAAGTTTCACTTGCCAACTGGCTTTGTTGACTTGGTAACTGACTTTGAGCAAGCAATTTCACTAGTTGGGTAGCATCGGATAGCCCATTAACACCAATAACAGGCCTTAGGCTATAGTAAATTATATAGAAAATATTATAAATAGCAATTTATTATAAATATAATTTGGTATAGCATACATATTATTGGAAGACTATAGGCCTGAAAGAAGTGAATCTCGATGTTTACATGTAGTAAGCTTAAATGACGGTGAATCTGCAAGCTTAGGTAGAGGCAATGACAGCGAAATCAAAATTTCTGACGTTTCAGTTAGCCGAAGACATTGCAAACTGAAATTCATAGATGGAAATTTTGTATTGGAAGACAGCAACAGCAAATTTGGCACTCTCGTGCTGATGAAAAAATCTTTTATTCTGCAGCCACATACAGAGGTTACTGTCCAAATCGGACGAACTATAGCCCATTTAGTATCAAAAGAGCCTTTTAGCTGCAAATCTTGCCTTTGGGCTTTTGGGATAAAAAAAGTGGTTCCAATAACCCATTGTTCCTATTTGACGCAGGCTGATATTATTGAAGACAACCCTGCCGCTTTTGGGGCTCCTACAAGCTCAGTTGTAGAAGAAACCAACGTCAGGAATTACAGTGACTCGGAAATTAAATGGAACCGAGAAGACATGGCCCATCAAGAAGTTTCGATTGCAATTGAGACAGTAAATGAAGAAGAAAAGTCCATTAGCAATGACAGGATATTAAATGAAGCTTCAATAATATAAATAAATAGGCAAAAATAATAAAAAGTATGAGGATTATTGGGATTGGGATAGATCTTTGTAAAAACATAAGGATGCATAAAATTTTGGAAAATAAAAATATAAGGGAAAGATTTTTGGAGAAGGTACTTCATCCAAATGAAAAAATCAAGGAAATTAATTCGAAATATTTAGCGTCAAGGTGGGCTATAAAAGAAGCTCTGGTAAAGGCGACTGCGTCGAGGAGGATTTTGTTTCATGAAGTGGAAATTTGTAAACAGGAGTCTGGGCAACCGTATATACGGGCTTATGGGGAGACGAAAAATCTGCTTGAAGAAATTGGGGTGGAAAATACAATGATGTCACTTTCGCATGAGGATGAGTATTCGGTTGCTGTGGTGATTGCAATTGGAAATTATACTCTGTAGACTAAATTAAGCGAAGGTGATATGCAAATAAAATTTATAATTTATGTCAAAATTGATAATCTTATTAATTTATCGCAATATATTAAGTATTATTAACCTATAAAATTTAACGACACATTTATTCAGGCTTTCGAATCTTAATATTATTTTTATCTTATTAAAATTGAATTTTGCATTATAATATTGAATTATCAAATAGCAATATTATACACAAATTGAGTTAACTTTCCTCTTTATTTTGGAACAAGTTTAGCTCCCCTTTAAATTGGAACTTTTTTTTTTCAATAATAGTTAAAAATAAAATTTTGAAAATAGCATTTATTATAATTTTTTTTAAAACACAATTAACTTTAAATTGGAACAGGATTTTTTGTTCAAATTTAAAAGGGGGGAGTAAGCTATTATTAGCTTCTAATAATTTTTTTAAAAAATCCTTTAATTTTCCGATTTTCAAAATTCCCCATTTTTCACATCTCATAACAGTCATCTAACCGTAATAATTAAATTTATACAAGTCTAATTCAAATGAAGCCTTTAATAACCCCCAAACTCTCTAATGCTGATCAAAAATTTTCAGAGAGATTTCTCCCAAACCGAGCCTCTTCTAACTTGCAGGTCAGTTTTGATTTAATCAAAGACGAAAAATTCCAACAATCCCAAGACCCAGTCGCTGACGACTCACAAGAAGGCTACACAACCCTTCTAAAAAATCAGTTCCTAGACCACTCTGCATCCAAAAATAACCGTTTCACCTACTCCCAAAACACATTAACCAAAGAAAACATGCCGTTGAATTTTTCAGGAGAAGACATTTACACCCCACTGAAATCCCAACGAAATATTCCTAAAGCTCCCTTCAAGGTCCTTGACGCCCCTTCTCTACAAGATGATTTTTATCTAAATTTATTAGATTGATCCTCGAACAACGTCCTAGGTGTAGGCTTAGGATCCTCAGTTTACCTCTGAAATGCGTCAACCTCCAAGGTCACAAAACTCTGCGATTTAGGGTCAATGGACCCAGTTACCAGCGTTTCCTGATCTCCTAATGGAAATTACATATCCATCGGCACAAATACTGGAAGTACACTACTATGGGACTCTAACCGTTTAAAATTAATCCGGTCCTTTTCAGGACACTCAAGCAGAGTTGGAGCTATGGCTTGAAGCAACAAAATTTTGTCCACAGGATCCCGCGACCGACAAATTTTACATCGTGACATCCGCTGTCCTGAAGAATTTGTTGGAAGACTTATAGGGCATAAACAAGAAGTCTGTGGGCTGAAATGGTCATTTGACGACCAGCAGCTGTCATCAGGCGGAAACGACAATAAATTAATTTTATGAAGTTTACAGTCCACGTCACCTATGGCGAAATTCAATGAACATATAGCAGCTGTAAAAGCTATAGCGTGGTCTCCACACCAACATGGACTTTTAGCAAGTGGCGGGGGAACTGCAGACAGAACGATAAGGTTTTGAAATACTTTGACCAATGAGCAGCTGCAATGTGTAGATACAGGGTCACAGGTGTGTAATTTAATGTTTTCCAAAAATAGTGATGAGATTGTGTCGACACATGGGTACTCACAGAACCAAATTATGCTATGGCAGTACCCGGGGCTAAGGAAAATTGCGACGCTGACTGGGCATACTTTTAGGGTTTTGTATTTGTGTATGTCACCAGATGGACAAACTGTAGTCACTGGGGCTGGTGATGAAACTTTGAGGTTTTGGGATTTGTTCCCTGGAAATAAAGAAAGTTGTGAAATAGGACAGAAAACAGCACTGTTTCCTTGTGCTTTTGACCTGCGATAATGTATTAATTAATATGCATAATTATTTTTGATAATAAAAATAAAAATTTCGATGAGCAATTAAGGTAAACATAGATTTGGCTGAAGAATAATTTTTAATTTTTAAGCTAATTTTTTTAATTTTGCACAGGCTCATCTTCTAACTTAGATAAATTATAACAAAATTACGCTGATCAGCTATAACCCAGAAAGTAAAATTCTTCTTACTTTACTTTTCTTACTCCTCTGAACCAAAATTCATTCCAATTAAAAGGGGGATTAATTTCAAATTTACTAAATATTTTAAAAATAGGCTACATAAATTGAATATAATCATTTTGATCTTTTATAAAAAATAATTCTATAATCATTTTGACAAAATTTTAAGGAAATTAATATAAAATCTGTCAACTCAAAGTACAAAATATTTAAATATTATGCATGTTACTTGCACTCCCTGCACAAAGCTATTTTGATACAAATTTTTACCTATAGCATTTTCCATTTAAAATTTTAAAAAATAGTTTAATTTAATAGAGGCTTAAGTCTCCAAAAATTTAAAGCATATATTTTTTATAAATTTAACGGGAAATTTAAGTTCTTTTAGCTGGACTTTAGAATTCAGATTAATCCCATCTCTGCTTACAATATCTGTACGAAACTCTCTCGAAAGAATAGTCGCCCTCATATCAAAGCTGCTCCTCGTCCCTATTGAGTATTTTCTCAAAACAGGATTTTTCAGCATTTTCAAATCCTTATTAAAATCCCTTATTTCTGGAGTCAGATTTTTTTAAATTTTTACTATTAAAAATGATAATAATTCCTATATTTACATTTTCCTCTGGAGTCAGATAATGCCTATATTTTTCATTTGTTTCTATAGGGTTTGCATCACTTCTTCTTCGATTATGAATTTGGTGTTTTTTCTCAAAATTTCCGATGCTTGATTTTCGACGTTTAAAATAGGCTCTCTCAGGGATAGGGACTAGCCTTTGGCTGAAAGGGTTTACACTAGGTTCTTCTATTGGAAAAGACTCATCGTCATCTGAGGGCTGTTTTAAGGCTTCAGTAAATGCAGCAAGATGGTTATCAAGTGTATTTAAAGCTGTTAAGACTTCTGGAGTATATTCAGGCTTCTGAAGTGGAAAAATTCATTGCGATCAGGTATTGCTCCAATCTTTAGTTTTTTTTGAGGAAACGTTGAAATTTTTGATGGTTTGTGGGTCGTAGAGAGCATTTTCGTTTTGAAATTGCATTGTTTTTATATATAGAGTGAGAAACCAATTATAACCATTTTATGGCTTTTAATCCCAAAGCGGTATTTACAAATAGTTTGGGTAGACGAATTTGTTTAATAGCAGTTGGCTTGTTAATTCCCAGTTGGCATTTTCGCTTTTTTAGTCCCTCTTTGCTTGCTGCTAAATCTCAATAAGGCTCCACTAAGGCCAAATTCCTACAAAATTTAAAGATGAATTATTTGACATTTTGAGTGAAAATGCAACGCTTTTTGTGAAATAAAAAAATTATTTATTTAGTGTAAACATAACAGCAACTATTTTAAATTAGCCTTTAAATATTTCTTCAGTTACTACCAATTTACTTTTTTCTTGAATTTCTTTTAAGTTTTCAAAATAATTCTCTATTTTTGTTATATGGGCTTTATAGAACTTGAATGGTTTGTTTAGCCTATCAATTTCTTCTTTTAGCTCATTTTTTTCAATAAGTAAATGGTTATTAATTAGCACCAAATCAGAAATCTGCATCCTCATTGTATAGAAGTTTCCTATGTTTTGCGCTGTAAGGCCGATAAATTCTGATCGGAATTTATCGGTAGGTTGCACCAAATCAATGCCTGGTCGGACCAAAAAGCGATTTGGTCCGACGAACTTGGAAAGCTCCTGGGCAAATGTCTGCGCTTTTAGCGCTATATAGAGGAAACCTCTATATCAATTTCAGCTGAAATAGATTCATTTTTTTGTTCGGCTGAGTCATTTTCTAGCCTGTATTGATAGAATCTTTTTGCGTTGGCATCTTGCTCATTTACCAAATTATTTATCATGATTTAGATTGAAATAGTGCTATTTTATTGAATAAATATTTTAAATCTTTTAAAATATAATTTAATTTTAAAAGAAATTTAAAGCCATTGTGCAAAAATTTGTATAATTTATTTTCCAAATTAATTTTTTCTTCTGACAATTGTGCTATTTTTGCATGATTTTCTTCTAATTTTATTGACAAATTTGATATGCATTGCTTTAGCTCATTTATAATTAAAATATGGCGTCTTCGTCTGGGCATGGCCTCCCGGCCATGCATACTCGACTCATATTTTAATTATATCCGGCAAGGTTTTGCATTTCAGGAACGGGCGGCAATGCTAGGTTAGCAATTCTGGTTGTGTTCAGAGCCTAGCCCAAGTCTACTTTCGGGAATGTTTTTCCTCATGGGAAAGGAGGCACGCAAGTTGGAAGGGGAAGCTCAGCCAAGTCCGTTAGGACCAATCGGGCAACTCCCTAGCGTGAAACTGGGCGTTACGTTCCAGGCTTCGTGTTTTTCCTTTTTGCCGAAAGCCTACCAGAAAATCCATTTTTTATGGATTTTCGGAATGGCAACCCATATCCTCAAGCGAAGTAGCTCAGGCATGAGCCGCCTTAGTCGGCAACACTGCTCCGGAGGCGCGTACTGGAGATCGAGGCTGACTGGCCCCAGACGGTCGGCGGGCCCTATGCGGCGAAGAAGCAGCGGGAAGCTCTGGGAGGGGTTACCCCGTGAATGGCTTTAAACACAGAACCTAATAAGTTAAGTTAAGTTAAGCTTTAGCTCATTTACTAAATCTTCATAATCAGATAAAATAGCTTTAAAGCTATGAGAATCAGATTCTAATGAATTTAAGGACACTAGCAATCTTTGAATATGATCTTCTTTTGATCTGTTTTCTTTTATGCAGTTACTAAGCTGGTTCATTAAATAAACAATTTCTAATCGCTGTGATTTATTTTCTAAGTTTTGGGATTTATCAAAAACAGTAGACTCTTCTTTTATTTTTTCCTTGATCTCTTTTTCTTTGGTCAGCTTGTTATCTATTTTTATTAAAATATCCAAAATGCAAGATATTGTAATTTCACCCCCACATCTTTGATCAAAGAATCGCCATTGTTCAACAAGTATAGAGTCAAAAAAATTATATGATTTTTTTATTTACATAAAAATGATTATATTTTTTCAAATAAAAATATTTATGCGCTCACTATAAGAGGTAGAGAGGCAATATATTAGCAGATATTATAAAATACTATTATAGGGTTTCTAAGATTTATTATTATTAAGATAGATAGTTTAATTTTAGGAGGGTAGGTGGAGGTTTAATTTTCGATCATATAAAAATCGTTAATTCAAGGACAGGTTTCATTTTCCAAATTTAAAAAAAAAATTTTAATTCAGTCCTTTGATCCAAGATAGGAAAGGTAAGAGGATATTCTTCAGGTTTATCATTTTTAACACTGCTAAAAGAAAAATTATCGAGACAATCAGGCGATTTTTGGATCAGTTCTTGAGAATTCTGTAGCAGATGCTTTGTTTTTTCTATTTCAATTCTCGCATTTTGCTTCATATAGTTAAATTTTGACAGAAAAAAATTAACATCCTGTGAAGGTAGAAATTTCTCAGCGTTTTTCAGCAATTCAATTAAATTTTTTACCATTATTTGTATATCATCTAAAGGCTGCCTTAAATACTCTTCAAAATTTTCACAATTATAATTTAGTTTGCTTTGATGATTCAATTTTAAATATTTTTCCTCAAAAATCTGCAGACTTTCATGTAAACTTGTCAGCTCTTTGCTCAACTCGATTTTTTCATTTTTCACATTCTGCAGCTCAATATTTAATTCTTTTGTAATTTGTTGGTATTTTAACAACTGAGCTGCCATCAAACTGATTTTTTTACTGTAAATTTCTTCAGTCATTTTTAGCTTTTTCTTTAAGTTTTCTGCATCATTTTCTCTCTCTTCAAGCTGGTAGCTGTTTCTTTTGGAAATTACATCAGGTGTTGAGTTGCGAATTACCTTCATCTCTTCTATAAACTTATCTTTTTCTTTTAATAAAAAATTCTGTTTTTCGAGCTGATGCTGCAAATCTGCAAGATCTTTTGTCTTTATCTGGGTAACTTTGCTTGAATTTGAACGGTGCTTTAATCGATAAGAAACAGGAGATTCTTGCTTTATTGGGCTTTCTTCTATTCTAGAATCTAAAACTCTTTTAAAAGAATGGTTTTCGTCTATATTAATTATTTCGCTGAATAATCCTGTGCTTTCGTTTTCAATATTATTTTTTTTTGAATTTTGTTTAATAAAACATAATAATTTTTCTTTTTCTTCTGAGTGCTGATTTTGCATTTTTTTAATTTCTTCATTATATTTTTCTTCCAATTCATTTTTCTCTAAATTAAGCTTTTTAATTTCTTCAGTCAGCATTTCTATTTGTTTTCTTGATTCTTTTTCATTACTCATATTTAATATCATCTTCTTTTCATTAATGCATTCTTTAATTCGGCTTATAAATTTTAATATCGGTAAGGAATCTTTATAATGTCTAGGTAAAGGTGATGCGCAGCATATAAGAATTACCTTGCTAGGATTTGTATTAGAATGATAAACATCTAGCGTATCTTTAATATAATTAATCAGCGCATTTTCTCTAATATTTTCAAAATTATCAGTCAGCATATTAGAAATCGAATTCAAAGCTCTTGCAATCGATTTATCTTCCTTCACAAACTCAGACCCCGCGAATTCCAAAAAATCAGCCCTAGAAATAGCTTGATTCCCTTGATACACTTTTAAGCTTATAATAAAATGTATTTTTCCCTTATTTTCTTTATCAGCAAACGAATTTCTATTCATAATTGCCGCTCTTATACAAGTGGCCAAATCATTCATATTAGAAATCGTCATCTCCATTCCGTTCATCAAATCAGCTAAAAAATCCCCATTAAGTGCTACAGCTGAAAATTTTACTTGCAAATATAAGTTATTTTGCTTAATTTGATTAAGCAGAGTTTCAGTACTTCTGATAATAATTCCTCGGTTATTCCCGTCATCACCTCGGAGTGTATGGCTTTTTCCAGACCCTGAGATCCCGCATGCTAAAATGCATACGTTTCTCCCGGCTATCATTTGAACAATAGATTTTTCGACTCAGTCAGAAAAAAGCTTGGATTGGGAGATATCGGAGTGGATGACGCTGTCGAATTTTAGCATTTGGGAGTCTTCTAAGAGGGTAGATCTGAGGGAATTTAATTTTATGGGATCTTTTAAATCACTTGGCCGAAGCTGTTTAAGAGGACTTTGACTGGTGATGATACTTTTGGAGTCAGGATATGGGACGATGCAGCTTTTTTCGATGGGAGAAGACCGGATTCTGCAGAGGATTGTGATATTGGGATTTGGCTGAGTCATTTAACTTTAAATGTAAAATACATATTTTAAGGTAAAATAAATTTATTATGATTTGAACTATAAAAATTGAATTTTTCATGTCTATTAACTTTATCATAAAAATTTGGTTTTTAACATTGAGATCTAGGCAGAACTATTTTCATTTTGATCACAATAAAAAATATAAATGACCTAACAATAAAAATTTTTAACCAAGATATAATTGCCTTAGAAATCTTAAATTTATAGTAATCAGAATTATTTTCAGCTAAATTCCTTATTATCTCAAGTAATCATAAAAAGAAAACTGAAAAAAAATTCAGAAGGATTTAATTAAGCAGCTTATAAATTTAAGCTGCTATGTTTTTCAATTGCTTAAATACAATTTAAAATTTAAAATCTCTTCATAATTAATGAAAAAATTTAAATTTTCTCTTTTATGCCAAGTTGCGAAAATTTGAAAATTTAGCTAAAAAATGCATGGTTCTAGAACTTTCTAAAAATTCTCTCAAAACTCGGCCAAAAAATCACAGAAAAAGTTTTTGATTAAAATTTCTTCTTACTCCCCCCCTCCGTGCGTGAACAAAAACCATTAGAAAAAATCGCTATTTTTTACCCAAAAGCCCACCCTCCGTGAGTGAACAAAAATTTTTTTTAATAGAAAAAATTTTTTATGGAAAAAAAATTTGATATATAAATGATAATTATTATAATGAAATCTAGAACTAATTCTGTTTATTTTTAAACGAATTGCTTTTTTAAAACATAAATTTTGCAAATTGAATTAAAATGCTTTCCAATTTTTGCGAATTAGGATTTTTTTTAAATTTCGAAAAAAAAATATTTTTTATAAAATTTATATATAAATTTTTTTTTAAAAAAAAAAATTAGCCCCCCTCCGTGAGTGAACAAAATTTTTTGTTCACTCACGGAGGGGGGGGGAGTTAATTAACTATATCGAAGGCAGACATTTTTATTACCAGTTATTTTGACTGGTCTGTGGGTGATTATAAATATGAGGTTGGTATTTCTTATTCTACTTATAGCAGCAGTTCAAGCCCAAAACAAGTATTCACAAAAGTGCTCGACAGATGACGACTGCGACCCTTTAAATTCATGCAACACAAAACTCGGAAAATGCTACCACAAAGACTTATGGCCGCTTGAGGGTCAAGAATGGGCTGGCACCTTTTTAGTTTTCCTAATGAGTGCCTTGTCAAACGCAGGAGGCATAGGAGGGAGCTCTATAATGATCCCTTTCTTGCTTCTCATCTTCAATTTCGAGACTCATATGGTTACTCCAATCGTACAAGTCATCATTTTAAGTGGAAGTATCGTAGCAGTTGGCATGAAAGTCAGACTCAGACACCCTACAAGGGACCGTCCTTTAATTCTCTACGACATCATAATGCTAGAAGTGGGGCCTATGTTATTCGGGAGTGCAGTTGGGGTGTTCCTTAACATCGGTTTCCCATGGTGGCTCATCTTATCAATTTTTTGTGTAATTACTCTGGGTCTGATAATCATTACTTTTATCAGAGGTTTCTTACTTTATAGAAAAGAGACCAAGGTTAAAAAGATTTCACATGTCAATGTTAATAGTCAAGACACCGTGGAAATTGACACTCTTGATGGCGACAATAAAAATGACATTATAGAGGCTGATGACTCTGAGAAAGATCCAGTCGTCTCCAGACCAGAAAATCAGCCTGACAATCAGACAAGCAAGGATTCAAATCTTATTATCGTTGAGGCAGAGACAGGCAGACCAATCAGAGACATACACACAGAGCTACAAAAAATTTACAAGTTCGAAAGCCAATGGTGGCATCCTTCAAGAGTTTTTGTAGTATTTGCAATTTTTTCTTGGGCAGTTGTAGCAGCTTTTATTAGAGGTGATAGCAACACTGACTCCTCAATTAATTTTTAAGCTATTTATTTTTAAAAATATGGACTTTTTCTTTTTTTTTTAAAAAAAAATTAAAATTTAACGGAGGAGTGAGTCAATTGCTGGCTGGGAACTTTGCACAAAGGATTTCTGGGGCTTTTTTGTCGGCTTCATGATTTCCATGGCACTGATCGGAATTAGTGTTTCCACATATCTCAATAGAAGGGATAAATTAAAGGAATCACTTGGCTACGATTTTGATACCCATGACTTGCGCTGGACTGTCAAACAGTGTGCTACCTTTATGTTTTTCTCATTTATGGCCGGCTTTTTTTCAGGGCTTGCAGGAGTTGGAGGAGCTGTCATTTTAGGGCCTGTCCAATTGGCATTTGGAGTTAGGCCAGAAGTTTCGACAGGAACTTCGTCTTGCATTGTTATTCTTACCTCCACTATGAATTTCATCTTGTTTTTGAAGGCTGGGCTTGTTACAGTAAACTACTCCCTTTGGCTTTTAGCTTTTTCAGTTACTGGTTCTGCCTTAGGTGTCTTTGTGGTGAAAAAGCTTGTAGACAAATTTGGAAGACCTTCCATTATGGTGTTCTGCTTGGGGACTGTGTACATATCTGCATTCATACTCACAGTGACTTACAATATCAGAAAAATCATCAAGGACCAGGAAGATGGCAAAACTGAGTATGATTTCAAGGACTTTTGCTAATAATCTTTAAAGTAATAATAATTCGAAAATTCTCGATTTCCTTTTAATTTTCTGCTGGCTGGGTATTTTAAAAAAATTTTGGAATTTTGGTTTGATTAAAGTTTTTCCGGCCATTCTCGTTTAAATTTTATATAGTTTAATTGTTGCGGTAGGAGCTCGAAGCTTAAAGTTAACTTCGAAATTTTGGTCTAACTTGCAAAGAAATTTTTACCAGTGATTAGTCAAAAATTCGAAATTTATGACACTTTTATTGGAATTTCTTGTAGAATTTTGGATAACTGAAGAGTTATGAGCTTTATAACTAAAAGCTTTGGTTGGAAAATTTTTAGCTGAAGGCGACATAGTCTCTACTCTCCACCATTTTTTTGTCGAATTAGATTTGATCTAGTTTCATATAATTAAAATATGGCGTCGCTCGAATTTTGGGGTCTCCCGAAATAATTCATCTCTTGTATATTTTAATTATCAGGTTTGGTTTCACATGGCAAAATTATCCTAGCTATATCAGGGAAGCAAGAGCTGGATGGTTTTTCCTACCAGACTTCTAACCTAAGGGAATTGATTTTTCCAGAAGGGTATGCGGTGGAGACTGAGCCTTTTTAGGTGCTGTTCAGACCCAAGTAAGTTCTGAGCTCAAAGAAGAGTTGTTGAAGCCCAAACCTCAAGGCTGGCATTATCAAAGTCAGAGGTGGCCACACCTTTGCCAGGCCTGAATAAAATGGCGCGAAATTGGCTCCAGAGTGGTGTTGGAAGTAGCTTTGGTCACCATCTCGTGCTGGTCATTAAAAGCGTATAGATTAATTAAGATTAGGATCTAGTTTCATATTACAAATTACGAAATTTTTAATAAATTTTATAAGGAAAACTTAATTAAGCTTTTTGTAATTGGTTTTAAAACTAATAAAAGTAAGAAAGTATTAAATTAAAACGATGAAACTATTTCCAGCAGTTTCTTACTTTAAGCAAAACTAGCCCATATATGCCTTATACATAAATTTAGCTCCTGCATTATTAATACTTGCAAAGCAAAATAGTTTCTGCGAATTTGGGCGAATTAGTATCTTGCAATCAGAAAAAATGATGGCTTAATAAAGGGCTTAAAACAAGCTTATCAGACTTGAGTTGATGAGTATAGTTTTTCATGGAGCAAAAATGCAGGGTGAGTTATATAAACTTCATAATTTATAATAAAATAAAATCTCATTATCTGAAAATTTATATAATTACTCAATTGAAATTAGGCTTTTTATTAGACTCGCCATAATTTCTCTAACAGCTCCATCTTGACATCTGACTTCAATTCTTCCAGCTGAAGCTGACTTATTTAATGTAATTTTACATAAAGCAATAAAATCTCCTTCTCCATAAATAACTACACTCCTCTGGCCATCTGGGTATGCTCTCATAATTCCATGCAAATTGCAATACTCTATCAATAGTTTCATGGATCTTATATGACTTCTTAAGCCATAGAACTTTCTGGTAATTTTTTCGCTTGATAGAGAATGCCATACATCCTGAGGGTTCTTACTGATAGAACTTTTGAATGATAATATATAGGTGATTGGAAGCTTTAAATAATTAATTTCTGAGTTATATATAAGCTTCCAAATTGGAGAGTTCTCGAAAGGGCTTGAAATAGTGTAATTAATGCAAAGCTCAAGGTTGGTATTTGCAGGGATGATAGATTTTTCGTTTTGGAATGAAAAATCTATGCCTTCACGCTCGATAAATTCCAACTCCCCATTCTGTAGGCCAGATAAACTATTGGAAAAAATATATTTCTGAGGTAGGCAAAACATTTTTTAATATAATTTATTTTTTTGAAAAAAAATATTTAGATATAGAAATAATGATTGCTATAAGAAATCTCCAGCTAATTCTATAAATTTTTAAACAGTTTGAATTCTAAAATCTAAAATTTCTAAATTAAATAAAATTTTTGCTTTGAATATTAGCAAATTTTGAAAAAATATTAGGTGTAAAAGTTTTAACCCCACCAAGCAGCAAAAAATTTGTAGCTCACGGTGGGGAATAAGCGAAAATTATTAAAATCAAGCTCAGAGTTATTATTTATCGCTAGCTTGATTTTTCCTTCTTCATGCAAGTTATAATCAACCTGAATTTTTTCATTTCTATAAAGAATTCCTGATTTTGATAATAGATTTTTTAAATAGAAATCATCATTTTGCACCTGAATGCCAAAAGATTGCGATTGTGAAGATTTTAAAGGAGTTATTGGGTTATTCAAACTATCTCTTTGGAGAATTGGAGATATATGTCTTATTGTTGGATATTTTGATTCATGAGCGATTAGATTTGAAGAAAAATCTAGAGTTCCAACGTCAATAGGCTCTTTAGGGATTGATTCAGTCTTAATTGGAGAAATATCTGGGGTTAAAGATACTGGAGACAAAGTAGAATTTGAAATATTTGATAAATCGATTTTTCCTTTATTGCTGCAAACGGAAAAAGAAAAAACAGTTTCAGTTGTGAACGATTTTTCATTCCCTTTTGCGTCTTTCAGAGCTTTTAACTCATTTTCAGCAATTTCTCTTTGGGCTGCCATGTATTGATTTATTGAAATTTGTCTTTTTACTTCTTCTTTGTCTGCCTTAATTTGAATTTCAAGCTCATTTATATGGTTTTCTAAATTTTTGTTTATTTCTTTATAATTCTCAATCACAATCTGATTTTCTTCATTTTTTGCTACACTTATTTCCAGCTCTTTAATTTTTTTGACCAATTCTTTATTTTTAAAATTTTTAATTTTATTTTCATCAATTGCACTATTCAGCTTTTCATTGATTTCATTATAATCTTCTTCTGATTTAGTAATTATAACAAGTGCATTTTCGTACTTGTCTTTTAAATTAAAATAGGCTTGTTTAAATTCTTTTCATTCAGGGTCTAACTCAAGCTCAAAATCGCCTTTTTCACCTTTAAAAGGGCTTTTGTCGAACTCAGAAAAAGAAAGTGCAGCCTTTGCCATGTCATTTTCAATTGCAGATCCTTGATAGTCAAGCTGAGGATCAACTTGAGGAGAAATTTTCGGATTTGGGTCTGAGTAATTCTTGGAAATTGGCTGGGGCAGTAAATTACTTCTGGAAATGGAAATCCTTTTGGTCTCCTTACCCCCGTGAGAAAGCAAATATTTTTTATTTTTTATTAATAGATATTATATTAATTTTCAAAATGCAAACTTTAAAAGCAAAAATAAAAATTAACTTGTCAAATTTATATTCTATAATCAACCTTTAAAATCCAAGAACTAAGTAGAGATTTCATTTAATAATTACCATTTATATATTGAAAAATATTTTTTATACTAAAAAACTCATAAAGGGGGGTTAATAGGAATCGATGATTTTTTTCAGTATCTGTAAATCTGATAAGCCTTATTGATTTCATCTGTAATCTGTGTCAACTCATTTATCAGCTGAAATTGGTCATTTTCCATACTTGTATTTACTTCCTTTTCAAACTCGTATTTTTGCTCAATTAAAAGTTTTATTTTTCTACTAACCCCCCCGTCCATGAGTGTAAAAAAACACTCTCCTTGAGAAATTTAATATAAAAATATTTTATGAAAAATATTTTGATATATAAGTGATAATTATTATGGGCTAATTCTGTTTAATTTTAAAACAGCTTGCATTTTATAACATAAATTTTTACAAATTAAATATATATTCCTTTAAAATTAAAAAAAACTTTTACTATAATATTTATATAAAATTTTTAAAAACAAAATTAACACCCCTTCCTTAAGTGAAAAAAAATTTTTGGTTCGCTCATTAGGGGAGAGTAATCAATTTTCTGTCAGGATTTGCATCCATCATTATTCTATGGACTGAAGCCAGCAAATCTTTGCATTTTTCGATATTTTGGATAATTTTAGAAGTATTTACCTCTGTTGGGACGTCTAATGGAATAAGTTCTGGAAAAGTTACGCCCATTTCTTTTATACTAATATACTATGAATAGCTCGGCAATAAGCTTTCCTAGGGTGAACCAGTAAAATTTAGCACATGAAAGTTAAAATTGATCTTTTGATGAATTAAAGAATTAGGAAAAGTAAAAATAGCGGCTCACTATAATCTTTAAGCAGAAAATTGCCCAATAAATTTCTAAGTTTTTAATAAAAATAATACTATTTGAACAATTTTCTTCTTAAGGAATATAGTGAGTGCAATTTTCACTTCTCCTAATTCATCAAAAGATCAATTCTAACTTTCATGCGCAAAAACTTTAATCCTTCACCCTAAAAAAGCTTTTTACTGGGCTATTCATAGTAAATCAGTATAGTTCTTGATAGGTTTTAAAGAATATTGAATCGTTTTTGTGTCTGTCATATCGATAAATCTGAGCCCAATCTTGAATACATTGCAAAACTAAAATAAAAAACTCTGCTGAGGCTTCTCTTTGAATATCAGAATCCGCTAAAAAAATATCCATGCCTCTTAGCATGTCAGAAGATTCCTATGTAAATATTACACATCTATACTTAGCGATTTCTTTATAAAATTTCAAGCCTTTTCCAAGAATTCTAATAAAATTAAGATTTTTTGTCTCAGAGATGGCTTCAATTATTTTGGCAGCTTGAAGCTTGTAAACAGGAAGCTGCTGAGAGTCCATAATTTTTAATAAATTTTTTAGCAGATCTCTGCATTCAGTTTTATGAGCTTTTGCATACTTATTAGCAACTTCTTGAATTAATCCTTGGTTTCCTATTGACAGAACAGCTGATTTTAATAAAATTACATCTTCTTCTTTCATTATTTTTATAGATGGAATATTAAGCTGGCTAAAATAATAACAATTTATTTCGTAAAGTTTAGAGTCTAAAAGAATTTTCTATTTCTGGTAAATCTGGAAGATAGTTATAATTGTAAATAATTAAGGCTAAAGAAATTTGGATCATACTCAAATATAATTATATTAAATTTCCATCATCTTTGCTTTTTGAATTATAAAAAATTTAGAAGCTTACATTTTGCTTTTTAAGGCTAAAATAGATTTGGTTCATAGGATGTGACTATAAGGTGGATACTAAAATAATTATTAAAATGGCAATGTTATTTCCTTCTTTTTATTAAATATAAATTATTATTGATTTTATAAACAAATTAAGTTAATTAGCAAACGCAGCCCTTTTTCAATTTTCCACATTGGAAGCAAAAAGTTGTGTGGCAAGAAGAGCATTTTACTATAGATTTATTAGTTTCATTCAAAGTCACTATTCCGCATTTAGGACAGACCTTGCCGTTGTTCATTTCAATCCAATTCAGGAATTCCTGATTTTCTTTTGCAGCATTGATTGCACATTCGCACTCTCTCTTGGTTTCTATTGCACACTTTAAGCAGTATTCAATTTTGCAAAGCGGGCACGTATACTTGCAAGCACACCCAGGGTCAAAAAAATACTGGCAATTATTCGTAAAACACTTCATAATCCCAGGTATCAGCCAATTCGGATGTGACTTAGATTTTCTCTTTTCAGGGTGCTTTTTCTCATCTTTTTTCTCTACTTTTTTCTTTTGTCTGGCTGGGTCTATAATATACTTTATCATATTTTCTGTAAGTGGAGTCCTGCACATCGGACAAATTACCCCAGATTGAGACTTTTTTATTGATTTATTCACAATTTCTATAAGGCAAGCGTTATGAAATTGATGAGAGCATTCGAGCTTTGTGTCGTCCTCTTCTAATTCTTCCATACAATATGGACACTCTTCTGGATGCTTATATAGACTGTAAATGACGTAATTATTAGCGACTTCTACGTCATCTATACATGTCAGCAGGTCTTCGAAGTCAAAATAGCCAAGGTAGGTTAAGCTCACAACTCGTGGAGAAAATAAAGATCTCACAAGGTGGAATAAGTCAGTTATTTGTATCCCGTGCCTGCGCTCGAGAAGAATTCCAATAACCATATTTATGCATTCTTGAGGGGTAACGAAGTCAGTTTTTTTAAATAGAGGAATGTTGTGGTTGTCAGAGTTATTTCTTTTATTGATTTGGCTTACTTGTACAAGTTTTTTTCTTTTGTTGTATATGCATAAAACGGTTGAGATGAGCGTCTCTAAGTGAAGCCATTTTGGATCCAAGGACCTATGGGCGTTTCTCGACTGAGAAACTGGGGGTCTCAGTCCAGGCCATAGGGGAGCAGCTTTTTTCCTGTAGCTGTTGAAGGTAGGCATTTCGACACCCGACAGACTCCAAGGATTTTTAGAGTTAAGCTACTCCAATCGTCCGCCTCACGGCCGCAGAAATCCATAAGCCATCCACTCAAGAGTGAAACCGCAGGGCAAGGAGGAGACAGAAAAGGCCGGAAGTGGCACCCACTCTTGGGGATATACCCTCTGGGCTGAAGCCGAAAAGCGTTTGAACCTTCCGTATGGGAGATCTTTAGTGACTAAGTTGCCAATATGGCAAACACCTGACTTTAATTAACCTAACCTAATTCCTTAAACTTAGGGCAATTAATCGCATTGTTTTTGCCATGCAGCGCCCACAATATGGAGAAGGTGACTTACCTGCTTAGAATGTATTGGTGATTTCCCCAATGGTAAAAGCTATTTAGTTTTTTCTTCGAGTGACTAAAGAAAGAGGGAATTAAGTTAGACAGCTGGTTGCCTCCAGCGAGGGTGTCTCTACAGTTTAAAGTAGCTCTCATAATAAGAATGATCTCTCCTGTGAGCACTCAAGGGTTGGCGTCATAAAAATAAGTTTGTGATTGAACATTAGACGCTCAGCAGAGTCTTATGGACCCTTGGTAGAGTCGCTACTGAGAAATCAGAGAGGTTTCAGCCTGGGCTTCAAGACAATCACTCTGCCAGCTTTCAGTGCACGTGTTGAATGGAGCGAATAGTGAATTAAGGATTTTAATGCCTGCCAAATTAACAGAATTTAATCTTCTTTTGATTGCAATACTTCTTTCTTGGATTCCGAATTCAAAAAACTCATAGATCTCTTGAATTGAAAGTTTTGGCTTATTTCTCATATATAAATGCTTAAATAAGAGAGATAAGGCTAAAACTCCTTTTGGCATACGCTTGCCTATCAATTTTTCTAAAAATGCTAAAAATGCTTCATATTTTTCCAAAGATTTTTGATTTATTTGGCCATTATGAAAAACTGTCCTGAATTCTCCATCGTCTACTTTTTTAATGTAATTTTGAGGATCCTGCCTATATTCTGAGGAATATACTTCATAGCCAGGAATATCATGCACAAATCCCTCTATAAAATTCAACGACGCATCGAATCCATAAACATTCAGCAGCATTTCCTGGATTCTAAATAAAAATGGCACCAGTTTGGAATTTTCAAAAAATTTTATGGTGCCTTCAATAATTTCAGAATTAATTGCAGGTGCATTTTTAGAAGCAAGCAGCAAATAATTTTCGCTTTCCTCTTCAAAGAGCAGCAATTTTATATAGTTTTTTCTTTCTGTGGTCTCTATAAGTTTATTAAAGTCAAACCTCAAATTTTTATCTTGGAATTTCTTTATAATTCTGCTTTGAGTGCAGAGTGGGTAGCCCTCTGATGAAATTTCATCAATAATTTTTGCTAAATCCCCCTCATGGGTAAGTTAACAAATAAAAAAATTAAATTTCACTTACTCCCCCCCCCCCCTCCGTGAGCGAACAAAAAAATTTTGTTCGCTCACGGAGGGGGGTAATTTTTTTTTTTAAAAAAAATTTATATATAAATTTTATAAAAAATATTTTTTTCGAAATTTAAAAAAATCCTAATTTGCAAAAATTGGGAAGCAAATATTAATTTAATTTGCAAAATTTATGTTTTAAAACGCAATTTGTTTAAAATTTAAACAGAATTAGCTCTAGATTTCATTATACTAATTATCACTTATATATCAAAATTTTTTTCCATTAAATTTTTTCTATTAAAAAAATTTTTGTTCACTCACGGAGGGTGGGTTTTTGGTCAAAAAATGGCGATTTTTCTAATGGTTTTGTTCGCTCACGGAGGGGGGGGGGGGAGTTAGTTCTAAATTAAAATCAAAAAAAATTATAAAATATATCTACTACTGCCGTATCCTTCTTTTTCACTAAAGGGACAAGTAAGTCTTTTGGCTTTGCTTTGCGAGAAGCTGTTGGAACTATAGCATGCATCTCTTTTAAGTCAGGCTTATACCAAACAATATTCAGTTTCATATCTCTTATCAGCTCACAGAGATCTTTTAAAATACTATGAGACAAAGTATTAGTTGCTATAATAACCAGTTCGAGTTTTGATACTACTTTATCTTTGATATCTTGTATCAAACTTTCCTCCATATTTGACTCATTTGGCTCTACACCTATTTCCCCTATATTTTTTCGAAAAGCATAGAACAATATGTCAGAAATATTTTTATTGATAATTGAGTTGACGTCCTGCTGAATGTTGGTTAAGTCTTCTTCTTCTCCTCCTGCTCCTGAGGAGTTTAAAAAGCATATTGGGCTTTCAAAATCTTTTATTCTGTTGGAAAAGCATTTTTCGCATAGCGATATAAGATCATAGATACTTCTTATATGGATTTTTGGGCCGCAAGATTCACATGCTGTGCATATGTCTTTGCATTGGCAAACTCGACAGAGGGATTTTTGACAGGTTAGGCAATCCTTGACAAATTTTGACTCATCGCAATTGGCACAATTCATTTTATAAGCTGAGACAAATAAATAATTATTGCGAATGTTTACTTCTTAATTGGCAAAGAAAAAAGTAATAAAATTTTTTTAAAATTGTAAGCATCTATAACCTGAGAGAGAAAATTTTATATTTATTTTAAAGGCATTTTAAGTGCTAAATACTTTAACCTAACTTTGATGAAAATCAGTTATAAATATTTTATCAACTTTGCTATCTTAGAATTTCTCTTAAGTGCCCATCAAAGAAATAAAGTTTAGTGCTTTTAGGTCTAATAAGCCGAGGAATGTAACAGAAAGTAATTTATGATATAAAGCTATGTATAAAGTTAAATTTCAATGTAAATTAAATGAGACGTTTTATATTTCAATAATTACAAAATAAATTGACCCCAAATGGGCTTTAAATTATAAAGAGAATGCTTTTAAAATAGGTTGCTTTATGATTTTATTTTTATTGATTATTATGACTTATCACTACTTGTTAAATAATTAGAAAAGATTTGATTATTCTTCCAATTATCGAGAAACAAATGTTATTTGAAATAAAATAATAAATAGGAATAGAGCAGCAGAGGTATCAATTTTATCTCTCAGAGCTTGTTTTTATATAAATTTAAAATTTTGTAACCATCTTTGACGCCAAAATATACAAGGAAAATATTAACTATGAAGCAGCATTTAATAATTTTGCATTTGCAAGACAACTCAATATGCCAACTCTATTTTAAAATAAATATATTTAAAAATTCAACTTGGATTCAGAAAAATAGGCTTTGATTTTACGTCAAAAAATAACATTTTTAGCCGATTATCTAAAATATAAAATTTGTATATAAAACTTCATATAATTAAAAAATTCTAAAAGACTAAAAAAGTAGACTGAATGAAAAGGAAGCAATAAGTTAGACTTTATAGCAATTTTATTGAATTAGATACAGATATAAAGTATGAATTCGCATGACCTCTCTGTTGCATCATAAGTATTTTTAGAGATTTTGAGATATTAAGTGCACTTAGAATGATAGCATAACCAATTATAATCTATTAGTTCAAGAAACTTAATTAAAAATAAGATATTATTTTTGCAAATATTCTAAAGCGAGCTTTTATTTTATTTTATTACATTATTATGAGAGTTTCTATGGAATTAATACGATTTTACTGAGTTTTTTAATTAATATTTATATACGAATTAAGCGACACAAATTTAACTTACTCCCCCCTCTGCTAGCTAACAAAAAACTTCGTTTGTGTCCGATGGGATTAATTTTTTAAAATTACTAAATTTATATATAAAAGATTTTTACATTTTTAAAATTATCCCAACTAAAGAGTAAAAATTAATTTAATTTTCAAAAATTATATTTCAAAATTAAACAGAATTCGCTAGAGATTTCATTACACTAATATCACTTATATATATCGAAACATTTGCTTCAAAATTTTTTATATTAAATAAATTTTTGTTCGATAAGAAAGGTGGATTTTACCCAAAAGATAGGGATTTTTCCAATGTTTTTTTTCGCTCACAGAGGGGGAGAGCTAGCAGAAAAGTATCCATAAAGGAACAAAAATGTCAGAGTGCCGAATCTGTTTAAATTCTTCAAACGACTCCGCGCTCATATCTCCGTGTATGTGCAGTGGCTCTATTAAATACGTCCATTCGCATTGCTTACAGCACTGGCTAAAAGAAAAATACCCTAATCGATACAAAACTATGCCTATTAAGACTAGGGGATGCAATACCGGATTAAAATGCGAACTTTGCAAGTATGAATTTCAGGGCAAATTAAGGTTTTTGGGGATATCAGGGATACTTAAGAAACTAAAAGAAACCCAGGCTTTGATTTACATTATTCTCAACGTTCCTGTAGTTTTGTATCTGATATATAAGTTTAACTACCTGCTACGTCATCTTTTAAATGTGTCAAAATCACATATAAATTTAATCAAACTTCAAAGCTCAGGATGCAAGAAAATATTTATGTTGACCAAGTTTTATATTAGATTCCTTTTAGGACTGCTGCCTGTGGCAGTATTCGGAGCGTCGGCTCCCACGATTGCATATAGCACTATGGTGCTCGCCAAAAATTTAATATCAGAATGCCAAGTTTTTGAGATCAAAAGTATCAGTGGGAAGATGCAAAATCAACTAAAAGCTGTAAATTAAACTCGTTATTTAAAAGATATATTAATATATATAATTCTAAATTATTTTATAAAAAAAGTTGGTAGCTGAATGTGTTTAGACTTATAAAAAAATATATAAGAAGTAACTAATGAGATTCAAAGCAGTTTTGGTGCTTAGGTAACTTTTTTTTAGATCTTGAATTTTTCTATCAACATTTTGCACTGTCAACTGGTGAATAAATGGAATTTTTCTAACTCAGAAAAATAAATTAAATTTGAAATTTAAACAAATGTCTTTATATCCTTAATTTTGACAGGATAATAAGATTCAAATTTTTTAAAAAAAGAGAAAATTTATAAAAAATAAATCCATTCGCCAAAATATAAAAATTGACAAAAAAAGACCTTCAACTATTTAATTGTAAATTTTTAAATTATAAAAAACACAGCTTTAATTTACATAAGATTTGGTTTTCATAGCTATGTAAAAATGGAAGCTTTTATGAGGCGTGCTCTCGAGCTTGCTCGGCACTCAAGCAGTCAAGGTGAAATCCCAGTTGCCTGCGTTTTCGTTCACAATGGCCAAGCTCTCGCTGAAGCATGAAATATGACAAATGAAACAAAAAATGCCACAAAGCACTGCGAAATCGTTGCAATCGACGAGATTCTTAAAACCCATCCTCCTTCTATCCTTCAAGAATGCGAATTATACGTCACTTGTGAGCCTTGCATTATGTGTGCTTCTGCTTTAGAAATAATTGGGATAAAAAAAGTGTATTTTGGGTGCTATAATGAAAGGTTTGGAGGAAATGGGTCTATACTTTCAGTGCATGAAGGGTACTTATAAAGTAGGAAATATGAAAGTGTTGGAGGATTTTTTGCAGAAGAAGCAATTAAGATTTTTAAAGATTTTTATGAGAGAGGGAACCCTTAACTTATAATAGAGAAGCTCCCTGTCGGGATCAGAAAATCCATAATCCTTTTCATAACGCTCCATTTCGTCCGCTTCGCCAACAATCATCTCACAGTATTCAAAGTCTTACTCCTACCAGATATAGACTTACACATGCCCCCTGGTAGTCAGAAAGTTTTGATCACCGGGCCTTATGCCCATGGGGTTTGGCTATTATAGGAATTCGGAAAAAAAAAGTCTGGTCGCTAGCCGGCCAAGATGAAAATTCGTCATACAGGACGAAACGCCTGGTATTGAGCTGGGGAAGCTCACGATTGACAGGGAAGAACCACACTGGTATTGTGGAGCCCATTCTAACTCCGAACTCCATCTTCCTCCGAAATAAAACCTTGACATGGATGTGAGCTTGCTGTCCACAACCCAGGTATTGTACTCAACCAAACCCATTAATGAGCATCTGACTGAATGCATTGATATAGAAATTGCCCGAGGAGGCGCTATTTTGCGCCCATCCTCGGGAAATTTCTATATCAGAAAGGGTGTAAGGCAGGGAGGCAGGGAGGCAGCTCCTCACCGCTGTGCTTTAACTTTGTGCCGGATGAACTAGCAAAGAGAATTGAGAAGTCAAACCTAGGAATCAGACTCAGGAAGAATGGACCGAGGATTGGACTGCAGACGACATTGTGTTGATAGCGAAGAGCCCTGAAGAGCTGCAGACACTATGCAACATCGGCAGCTTATGGGCATATGAGTTCTCCTTATCTATAAATATATCAAAGTCAGTTTGGGTGGACTTTAGGAAGAAGCAAACAGAACTAGCACTAACAATAGGAGGATTGAGGGTGGAAAGGGCTGACGGATTTAAATATTTAGGCAAAATTAAGGAGAAGAGGCCAGGGAAGAAGTCGGATCAGAAGATGTCACTGGAAAGAATGAAATCGGCCTGTAGGATGGTGCAAGGACTACTTTCGGGATTAAAATCTCTGCCCATAGCCAAGAAAGCAGTCATCGCAGATGCCCATATAATCTCAACAGCGCTTTATGCTAACTCCCCCCCTCCGTGAGTGAACAAAACCATTAGAAAAATCGCTATTTTTTGCCCAAAAGCCCACCCTCCGTGAGTGAACAAAAATTTTTTTAATAGAAAAAATTTTTATTGAAAAAAATTTAGATATATAAATGATAATTAGTATAATGAAATCTAGAGCTAATTCTGTTTAATTTTAAACGAATTGCTTTTTTAAAACATAAATTTTATAAATTAAATTAATATTTGCTTTCCAATTTTTGCGAATTAGGATTTTTTTAAATTTCGAAACAAAAATATTTTTTATAAAATTTATATGTAAATTTTTTTAAAAAAAAAAATTAGCCCCCCTCCGTGAGTGAACAAAATTTTTTGTTCACTCACGGAGGGGGGGAGTAAGGATTGCACACAGGAAGACTGGGATCAAAAGCTTTTGGACCTGATGGAAAGGGAGAGGATGAAAATTTGCCAGGACACTGCTGCACGCGCCAAGAGGGATCGCCCGAGAAACTTCCTTAGAGGACCTAGGCTGGATAACGATCAAAAACCACTGACGGAATCGGACACTGAATTTCAGGAAGAGAATGCTGTGCTCCAACAGCGGGATCATTAAGGAAATAGTTGCTGCAAATTGCACAGAGAGTTTGCCGTGGGAAAAGAAATGCAAGCGTATCCTGAGAGAGCTTGGACTGGATGATAACTCAACAGAAGAGGATTTTGCCTTGTTGGACAGAGTGAACTGGGAGAAAACACTATCGAGTAAAATACTGATTTGCAACCTAAAAGAAGTCTCAAGTAGAATACAGACAGAAACAGAGAAGACGATTCGAGTTTGGAGATGACTGAAGGAAGGTTCTGAATGCACCGACATGCCAATATTTATGAAATATAACTCTGAAAAACAACTAGCAATAGGTTCAATTCACAAACTAAGGGCTGGATTTAACTTTAGCAACCACAATGCGCACATGAGGCACCTTGCACTCACTGGTAAATGCGACACTTGCAGCAATGAGGAGACTGAAGAACACATAATTGAAGACTGTCCTAGGTATGAATCTCTAAGAGCGAGATTGCTGGAAGACTTAGAAGGAGCATGCTTTCCATGGAGGGAATTCAGACTAGCAGAAGTGGTACTCTACAGTCACAACTTTGAGGCGAAATTGAAAAAATGAGGAGAAGCGATGGTGGGAGAACCGATAGCAAGGGTGATGATGATGATGAACTCAACCAAACCATGTAAAAACTTGGCTGGATGCACATATTGAACGCCAAAATTCCCTTTCACAAGGTCCCAGGGTCTCCCGAGTTACAGGTATAGCTTTTTGCCTTAAGTGGCGCGGTATGGGCGCCACTTCGGCAAGCTCCTTCTTCCAGTTGGCCGAGCCAACTCAGGTTGGTTCGACCAACTGGAGAATTGACAAGTGAGGCCTTTTGGGGAGACTTGCCAATTCTAGTTGGCTCGGCCAACTGGAAGAAGGAGCTTGCCGAAGTGGCGCCCGTACCGCGCCACTCAAGGCAAAAAAAGCATATTAGGACTTTCCTCGCCATTTTTATGTATGAGAGAGGGAACCCAAATGGTAAGGAATATGCAGCACCTCCTGAAAAAAGGCACAGACCAGTTGCAGAATAATGATTTTTAATAAATAATATGAAGAGGAATAAGTTTAAGCGGCACTTAATTAAAGAATATTAATTAGAAAATAAAGTTTTCTTTTTTAAAGAGGTAAACTGTAGTCTCCATATTTCTATCATAAAAATGATTATAATAAATAATTGAATGATATTTTAATAATTGTCTTATTACTTTAAAGTTTTAGATACTAATGAAGGTATATTTAAAGAGGCGAAAGGATAAATTCTCGTTGTCGGCCATACTATGCCTAACGCACCAGATCCCATCCGAACTCTGAAGTTAAGCGGCATAAGGCGAGGTTAGTACTTGGGTGGGGGACCGCCAGGGAAGCCCTCGTGCTGACAGCTAATCTTTTTCTTTCTCAAATTCTTTTTAACTTTAAATAATCAATCTCTTTTAGCAGTCATACTATACCTGTTCATATCCTTTCCTATTTTCTAAAAATTTATTTTTAAAAATTCAAAATAAAATTTTCTTATTCATTAATCAATTTTTTAAATCTATCTTATCTCTTTTCCAAAATTATAAGTTTTATGCTTAATGATCGTTATAATTTTACTTTCTATTTAATTTAAATTCATAAATCAAGTAAAAATGGAAGATGGAATATCTGGCTTGCTTCTTACAGTAATAACAAACACAATTGTTTTTTCTATATGCCTTCTCTTTTTCTTACTATATCGATCTCTACGCTCAAAGCCTCTATTTTCTTCAGAAAGGGTTTCAGGCCCACCCTTTCCCGAAGGTCATATATCAATACTAGAAGCGATACATATAATAATTTATCATAAATAAGAACCGCTTTTAGGTTGAAAAACAAGAAATTTTTTATAGAAGCTTTTTCTTGGGCCATTCATGGTATTTTACTATAAGCTTTATTACACCTCTGATCATGAATTATCAATATACTGCAAAATGGACGGAGCTTTATATCTAGCATTAATCAGAAGAGTGGGGTATCTGCTCTTCATTTTTTCAGTCATTGGAATTATTGGGCTTATTCCAATTTATATGACTGGAAAGAAGAAAATTTCTTCAAATCAAGGAGATATTTCATATTATTCAATAGCGCATGTAAGTGGGTATGATACAGAAATGATTTTACCTGGGGTTTGTGCTCTTTTATTTTCAGTTGGATCTTATATTTTAGCATATTCTTTTTTCAAGCTTACCAAAACAAGAGAGATGTCTTTGACAGTAAATTTTATATAGCCTGAAGCCAGCAAAGAATTATATGTAAAATCTAGCACTATCCAGATTTCTAATGTCCCAAAAAGGATTTCGCCATTTAAACTGAATGGGATTATTTACAATCATATTCATACCAGATATCCTGACGAAATTTTATCAGTGAATGTAGTACCAAATTTATCTAAATTATTTTCATTGTGTCAAGAACAACAAAAATTAGAAAAAATAATAAGCCGATATAAGGTAATAGCAAGAGAGTAAACTTTATATAGAAATAACCAAAGACCAAAAATAAGGGCCAGCTGATTTTCTAGCAAAATTGACGCGATAATGCATTATGAGAGAAAAAAACAAGAAATTGAGGATTTAATTGAAATCGAAAAATATAAAGAAATTGATTCAAATTTAGGATATGGATTTATCGTTTGTAAAAATCCTGAATCTGCAGAGCTGCTATTAGAAAATTTTTCTCCAAGTATTGATTTAGGCATCGAGATGAATAAATGGAAATTTGAGCCAGCGCCCTACAACTCAGATATTATATGAGAAAACATCGGTGTCAGCAAATTTTATTCAAATTTAAAAAAATGAATTGCCAATTTTTCATTTATTTTAATTTTTTTGATTTTATTGACACCTCTTACTTTAGCAGGGCTGGCTTCAACAATTATAGAAAAAGTTGAATTTATTACTGGAATTAAGGCTTTGATCTCTTTTTCGCTGCCTTCAATTGCACTAAGCTTGTTTCAATCTTTAATCATCCCATTTGCTGTAGGAATTTTAGTCAGACAAGAGTTGCATTTATTGTTTTCAGAATCAATAGCAAGCTCTATATGGAAATTCTTGATCTTTGTAATCACCAACTTAATTATATTCCCATTACTAGGAGCAGTCACTTTAAGCATGGCTTTTGTAACTTTATCTAAAGTAGAAATTTTGGAATGGAATATAAGATTCGCTAAGAATATTATTTCTGTAGGAGAATTTTTTGTAAGTTTTGTGATTTCTATGAGTTTTGTATCAAATTTGCTTGATTTATTAGCAGTCCCTACACTTTTGACTACAAAATATAACGAATGAAAAGCAGTTACTCCAGAAGAAGAAAAAGAAGCTGCCAGAGCACCGAAGTTTGATTTTGGGCTAGAATATTCTAAAATGCTGGGCGTTTTTACTGTAACTTTGATGTTTTCTATTACAATGCCTCTGATTTTACCATTCGGCTGCCTATATATTTTTATAAAATACTGGGTAGATAAATACAATTTATTATTTGTATATAGAGTTGAAATGACTTGTATAGGAAAAGCACAGGAAGCGATTTTGATGTTTATCATGATAGCGATTGGGCTATTTCAGCTAGTGAATTCTGGGGTTTTTATGGTAAGTGGCGAAAACTGATTTTCTTATTTTGGGTGGTGCTTTGCTGTAATTTCAATGATAACTTTTTTAGCTTGTTTTTTTGTAGATGCAAAAATACTGGAATTTTTGAATAGAAAAAGAGGAAAGGAAGAAGAATCCCTTCTTTTTTATGATTTGACAGGAGATATCAACACACTTTATAAGCATCCTTGTGAAGCAATTGTAAGACATTTATAATAAATAATTTAAAATTCGTAAAGCTTTTTTATTTTTTTGAGAGCTGAGAAAAATGCATTAAACAGAAAAATAAAACACCAAAACTTAAATATAAAACAAAATGGCAGAAACGGTACAAAAAGGCATGACAATAGATTTTTTACGTGAAGTAACTGAAAAAGTAAATAAGTTAAAAACACTCAGCAACATCAAAGGGATTTCTGACTTAGAAATAAAAGTCAAGCAAATCTCTGAAAACAAAAAATCCAGCATCACCTTATCAGATATTGACAATCACGAGACAGAGCATCGAGACGATTCCAATTACGAGATTTATCCTACAGACGAGCTCTCCAAAACTCTCCGAAGATCAGCCACCAAAAACTCTTTAGAAATTAGTTTAAGCAGCTCTAATAGTTCAAAATCTTCTAGCGACCGCAGCATAAAACAAAAAAATAAATATATTTGTGGAGCAGTCAAGCAGCAGCTAAAACAACTAAAGCAAAAAACAGCAGAAAGCTTAAAATATATTAATAAAAGCAGCAAAGAAGCAGAAAACTATAAGTCTCAAGTCAGTGAGATGAAAAAATCAATACATGAGCTGCTTGAAGAAGCAAGCCAAACTAAGGAACACATCAGCAGCATGAGAGGCCACTTTGAAAGTGTTATTGACAGCATTAAAGGAGAAGAAAATAGCCCTTTCGCCAAAGATGAATGTGTAGAATTTGACGTCAGCGCTATCAAAGGAAGCGTTTATGAGCCAAGCGTATCAGAACAAATTAAACAGCTTCAGCAAAAAGCAAGCCACATACAAAGCAGACTGTTAACTAGGGAAAGCGAAGTCATGCAGAGATGTGAAGAAAATTTAGAATTAAAAGCTTTGATAGAAAAATTAAATAACGCGCTGGACGAGAAGACTGTAAAAGTGGAAAAAGAAGAAAAAACCATTGGATGCCAATGCGAAGTTTTTTAATTCTGCAGTGGCATAATTAATTTGAAATTTATAAGGATTTTTACATTTTATATAGAAATTATTTTCCATGATTTTGTTCGGAAATTGTACTCATAACCGTTCCTGACTCCTAAAATCAAAAATCTGTCATCCCGCTTCAGAGCTTCGCATGTAAAAGTGTCAGCGAATTCAATTTTATCAAGCTCTGCAATCATTTCTTTGCTGATGTCCATCATCCACATTTTGTTTTTAATTTCGCCACTTGAGCCTCCAATTATATAAATATTTCCGTCATTGATGGGAAATAGCCCAGGCTTGGACAGTGGGATTGAGATTTTTAAAGAAATTAAAATTCATTGGTTTCCGCTGTATAATTCAATAGAATTTTCACCTACACCTCCACAGACCACAATTTTAGTCCCAGACACAGTAGCACTGTGTCCGTATCTTCCAATATTTAAGTCTTCAATTTTTTCCCAGTTTCCATCAGAAAAAACTTCGCATTCTTTCATTGGAACCCTTTGTTTTCCGCCAATTACAAAAATTTCGTCATTTAAGCACACAGATGCATGGTTCATTCTTGGAAAGCTCATTTCCCTTAGTTTTGTAAATTTTTCTGAAGAAAGGGAGACTTGGATAACAGATTTTGGCCTCTTTGAGCCCCCAGTTATAATTATGTCTCCTGTCGATAGCACTGAAGCTCGGCTATTCATATCATATAAAGGATGATTCAGTCTTTTCACTGCAAGCGTCCTTGTGTTCACTGCTTTTAAGAATCCTTCCCAAACTCTAACAACGTATTGGTCAAAAATATTTAGATCGTTTCCCTCAATTGTGTCTACTCCAAATAAATCAGGAGGCTCAACTTCTTCTAGTTCTTGGAGTTTTATGATATTAGAAGAACTATTATGGTTGATTTGGTAGATTTGTGGGAGATCAAAGAAGGAATCATGCTTTAAAGAAGGGGAAGAAGGCTTGGTAGGGCTTTTCATAAAAGCAAGAGTCTTAGGAGACTGAGTGTTTACTTCATAAAGGTGAGAGTTGTTGAGACTGTCAGGTTTTCTCTCAATCCGAGAGTTGTTGAGACTGTCAGGTTTTCGCCTTGGGCTAAGCTGGAATGAAGGCTGCTTAGCAATGACTATTGAAATTTCGATTTCTAAGGTTTTAGGATTTAAAGCGATAGCTTCAATGTATTCTTGTTGACAGGTGATTGGAATTATGCCTTCTTCTCGGTGATTGTAAGAAATAATGATATCACCATCTGGGAAAAAGGACATAACTTGGGATTTTAATTCTTCATAGGTTTTTGGAGCTTTTATGAAGGTTCTTTTTTCGTTTTGGTCTAAAAATGCGATTTTACATTTTGTAAAATTGATTTTTTTGCCTTTGGAGTTGCTGGATCCCATTTATATATAATTTAAATATTTCCATATAGGCTATCATATTTATTAAAAAAATCATATTTACTTATTTTTTACCCAGCAATAGATCTGGAAGCTCCTTCATAATATAGCCACAGATCTCTGGGTCTTTTATTTTTACTAAAGCCCTCAACTTGTTTTTGAATACTCCACCTTCTTCAGAAACTCTTGAAAACAGTTTTGCAGTATTAACCAAAGCTTCCAGCATATTATAATTTTTGCTTTTTAAAGTTTCTGATAAATTTCTGCTTGGAATTATTTTAATAAGGTATTCTCTATTTTTCAATATAACCCTAACATAAAATATAATAAACTTCCATAAATTTATTATGAATTTATATACTCCAGCGGTCGACAGCTTTTATAAGTATTGAAGACTAGATCAAGCAGGGAGTGGCATTCGTTTTCATAGAACTTTTCAACGTCAATTGATCTGGTTCCCTCAAGAATATCATCAATTTCTTCAAATCTTTCTTCCCTAAGACACCTATATATTGCTCTCCTGACTTTCCAATTCAAGCATTTTTTCTTTTGGGGAGGAAAAACCGTGACTTTTTTTCCTTGAAGATTTTCTTCGAGACTTTCTTGAAGAATATTCATTTTGGATTTATTTAATGGTTTTAATTAAAAGGGGCCTTATAAATTTATTATGATTTTATTCAAGTATATTGTTTGACTTGCTCTGTTGTAGCATCTATATTCGTTTTTCTGCTAAAAAGGATTTTAGTATTATCCATGATAGTCCAGTACAGTATATTATTGCAATTTTTGGGGGTTATAAACTTTTTTTTATAATAAAATGCTTAACCTTTATGGCTTATTAATTGTTTTTAGTATGGATCTAGATAAATATCCATAAACTTTTAAAGCATCTCATAAAAATAATTATAGTTAAACATTAATTAAGTAAAAGTAAAACCTTGGTTCCCCTCACAATACCTCTTCAGTAAATCTGAGCAAAATACTTTCATGAACTGCTCATTCTGTCCCCTAAGATCTTTAAATACAAAGTAGCAGTTTTCCAAAGCTTCACGGAGATCCGAACTATTCAGCGCACTATAAGTCTCTTCTGGAATATCAAGCTGATTTTGTATAGAAAATTCAAAGCAAATTTGGCAAAATCCGAGGCTCGCTTTCAGCAAATCAACATCGTAAATCGCTTGGATTCCCAACTTCAGCCACATAGGGACATTATTTATAACCTCTTGATAAAAGCTTATAAGTCTTTCTCCTTTTTTCCTGAGGATCCTAAGCAAACATATAATTAATATGGCGGGTGGCGACAAAATATGTCCTTACCGACGACGCACCACTGTGGGCATCAAATGGCTTTATAACCTAAACCAAGGCTCAGACCCTTTGATCTAATCCTAAGCACACTGTATAGCTGCTGCATGTGGTGGATGACTTTGGGAGTCAGCTGGTTGTCATTTCAGTCCAATTATTAGTTATCCAGATGGATTTTGGGTCACAGGTCTTTTCCCTGCCAATTCCAGGACCATGGCTCTTTTTTCCTGAGTGTCACCCTTCCTCAAGGTGGCCAAGAGGAGGTATTGGGCTATCCTTTACCTTCATAGCATCTGCAAGACGTACAGCACCTAGGGGTCTTTCTAACCCATCAAAACTAAGGGACATAGTGCGAGCCCTTAGACCTGGGAGTAGACTGCTGTTGATGGGGGTTCGGGGGTAACAGATATAACCTGGCAAGCAAGATCCGGTGGCCGCAAGCGTGCGGAGACATCAAATCTGCTAAACCATAAGACTGTTTAATTTAATTTAGCAAATATTTTGATGATTGGACTTCACAGATATTGTACAGTGCAATTCCAGCTTCAGCTTTAATATCTCCTGCGTCGTTATCGAGAAGCCATATTAATAAATCAAGGATTTCGTTGCTTAAATTTGAACTCATTAGTATATCAATATATTCTCTGGGGCATGAAACGATATTTGAAATAAGCCATGCTGTTTCTCTTTGGATTTGGCTGCTCTCAGTGCTCAGAAATTGTATAGTAAATTACGTTTAATGAAGCTTTTTTTCTATAAATAAATTTGCCTAGCAAGATCTAAGCCAATTTATAGTGAAATAGTATATCAATAACTCAATAAAATTCCTATTAAAAAGATAGTCTATATAAGGATAATATAAAAACGCATTCCCAAAGATCCTCAATATCGGGATTATCAATTTCGGGTCATTTGCTGAGCTTAATATCAAGAAAAATCTTGAAATATTTTCTTCTTTAAAAATCTGCTGAAAAGCTTCTGGAGATGTGTTATTTGTAAGAAGTGACAAGAACCATAAAGCTTCTATACACTGATCAGAGTTTGGGTCTCTCTGAGTCAAGTCTAAAACTGGGAAAATCACTCCATTTTCCACAAAAAGAGAAATATCAGGATTTGACCCTCTTATCAAATTACGGGTAATCGTTAAATATCATCCAATGATAATTTACAGTCACTTTTATAGGAAAAATACTAAAATTTAGTCCTTTTTTATTTTACCCAAATTACAAAGTGTCCAGCAAGTAATCGCGCTCAAACTTGGGATTTTAAACTGTAAAAGCGCTGAAATTCCTTTCACCAAGCCACAAACCTGCCGAATCCCATTTCTCAAATCAAAAGAATCAGCTGCTAAGTTTCCTAATACCCAACAAGCCTGCTCAGCTAGCATTTTATTGACCGGGTTAATGATAAAAGCACTGATAGCTGGGATAAGCTTGGAGATCTCCATAAATCTTAAACTCACACGGTGCCTAATCCACAACGATTTTTTTTTTACCTTTTTTTTTTGCCTATTTTTTTTTGCCAATATTTTTGGGCCTATTTTCTTAGCTTATTTTGGGCCTTTTTTTGTCACTATTTATTTTGATCTATTTTTTCCTTATATATCTTTAATCTTTTTAATTCATTTGCTGTTAGGCCAAAAAAATAGGCAAAAAAAATAGGTGAAAAAGCAAGCCAAAATAAGTGAAGATTCCAAAAAGTATAAGCAAAAAAAAAAAGATGAGAAAAAAGGAGGTAAAAAAAGTCTTCATAGTGTAAGCATAGTGTGAAGGAATCCCCCATAATCAAATACGAAGGACCCAATGCTAAGTTTGTAAGGCACCAGGATACTTCAAAAGCAAGCTCTGATTGTGGATTGTTAAGCCCTGGGGTGAGTATTTCTATGATATTCGGGCACATCTGCACCAGCTTATTGAAGTCGAATTTCTGATATGAAAGCAGCTTGCGGAGGTTTTTCACTGTTGAGACCTTGCTTATATCAAGCTCATTGAGAACTTTGTCAAGCGAAAGATTGCAACTTGGCGAGGTCGTTTGTTTGAGTCTTTTATATCTGATTGATTCTTGCCGCTTTTGTTTCCGGAGCGTCACTACAGCTTGAGATCTTTGTGTAGAAAATTCATTTGCAGATTTCGCTAGTCCTGTGTCCATGAAAGTGACTTTCCGGTGCTCGAAAGTGATTTCGCGGTCCATTTGCAAATTAAATTGAATATGGGTTACTATTGGTATTTTAATAGAAAATGAATTTATTGAAATCCATTAGCGAAGAAATAAATTTAAATAATAAACGCGTTTTTGGCTAATATTAACGGTATTTTTAAAAAATTAATAATTTTGGTAGGAATTATTAGGTTATTAATATAAATAATTCCATACGCCAGTTAAAGACTTTGCAGCAGAGCTCTTCTTCAGATATCAGATCCAAGCCTTTATCAATGGCTTTGCGAGTTTTTAAGGATTATAGTGTGCAATGATGAGAGGGATGAGCACTTTGCTCATCTATCGAAGGAGTCTCGGAAATTATACTTACTCCCTTCTATCAGATTCTAGATGTTTTTGCATGTATTGAGAGAAATTATATGCCTTTGCCAAAGTTTTTTATTAAAATTCAATTTTGCAAATATTTGAAATTAAATTTACATTTGAGATGAAAAATTAAAATTATTCGAATTAGTTCGATATCTCATGATAGGATAAAACAAATATTTTTTGAAAATTTATTGCTTATATTAATTTCTGAAAAAAGTAATATTTAATCATTTAGGTCCATTTATTATTCACTAAAACAAAAAAAATAAAATTAAATATGAAAAAAGCTTGGCAATTTATTTAAGCAGGCGATTACATTTAATATTTTTATTTTTATTATTAGGATTATTCTTTATCAAGAGCTGGCAATAAAATTTTATACTTATTTACCAAGAATAGCCCACTAAGGAGTATTTTTTGGTTGGCCGGACAATTTGTATGCCATATTTTCTAGCTAACCAAATTTAAGCATGGCGAACTACTTAGTGGGCTATTCTTAGCAAAAAGGTATAATAAATAATTAAAACATTTTGATGAATTTATTATTTTTCACATACACCAAGCTAAATATATAAGCTCAAATTAGTTCTCTCTTTTTACAACCTTTAAATATTGCATATTCTTCTATATGATTCATTATTAATTTAGTATGTAAGATTTCTGTTTAAATCAGCATTTAATCCTAAGCTTAACAGAATATGCAAAATCTATTCACAATAAAATGAATTCCCATAAAGAGTACATTCAACATACTCTTAACCCGTTCCTCCAAGAAATTGTTGCAGCTCTAATTGAGACCAAACCAGAAGATCCTTCACAATTCATGACCAAATGGCTTCAAGGCCGCTTAGGGCTGCATGATCAGCCTTCAGAAAAAGAAGAACTGAGAATGCTAAGACAAGAAGTCGCAAGGCTAAAATCAACTCAAAACGTCGGGTCAGAAGGCGAAGAAAGCGAAATTTCTGAAGGAGAAGCAATAGAAGAAGACCTAGCCGAAAAAAGTAGGAGAAAATCTCACCGAAGTGCAGTTTCAGCTGAAGTCTATGGGAGCTGGAACAAAAAAGAAGACTTTGTCCCAAGAGTCATTGAAAAAATGCATGAACAAAAAGCAAGGATTGTGGAGAGACTTGGCCGAGCTTTTATGTTTACTCCATCAAATAATTTCGGCCCATTTAGAATTTTCTTGTGTTTTAAATCTTAAACGATTAATTTTTTCATCAAAATCTCAGAAAAATATGAACCATAATATGACTAGCAAGGTCAACATGGCTACTTTTATTTACTCCTCCCTTCATGAGCAAACAAAATAATTTTTGTTAATTTTTTTTATAAAAAAATTATATGGTAAATTTTTTTACGAATTTAAAAATACCAATTTAACACAAATCTTAATTTAATTTGTAAAATTTATTTTTAAAATACAATTGTTTAAAATTAACTGAATTAGTTAGAAATTTAATTATACTAATTATCATTTATATGTCTAAATTTTTGTTCGCTCATGGAGGGTGGTTTTTACCTAAAAAGGGATTTTCCAATTGTTTTGCTCTCTCACAGAAGGGAGGAGTTAGGCTATTTTTTCTTTAGGTGAGTATTTGCCCAGCTGACAAAGAGCTTTTTATCAAGCCAAATTCTACCATTGGGCTATCGGACCCCGGCCTCCTGAGGTACGACGGCTGCTAGATGGACCAGCATCAAGGCATATGAACAAGACTGAGTAGTGTAAGCAACCCGAGTCTTTGCGTGATTTAAAGTCGGCAGAGAGGCGAACGTCTAAGGCAAGATGGAAGCAATTCTGCAGCTAATCGAACTCCAACAGAGGAGATGCAAGTTAACTGGATAATCAGATCGAATATGGGCGTTCTTCCGTTGACAACACGGCAAAAAAGTGAGATAATCGCCTTGTCATAGCTAGGTGTGGTAACAACGGCCTCAAAGCCTAGCGTGGTGAGTTTTAGCTCCACCATAAAATGTTCTTATGAGCATCCTAAACCTTTTCAGCAAATCTAACATACTTTAAAAAATCATGCAAAATTATTATCACTAATTCGATATGAGGAGCTAGCGCTTTTGACGAAAGAGAAAAAGAGATTGTTGTCAATGCTATGGATGAGTGCATCTTTCGCAATGGCGACACTGTAATTAACCAAGGAGAAGACGGAAACGAGCTGTTCGTCGTCGACTCCGGCACGCTAAAATGCTACAAAAATATCCATGGTGAAAATAAATTCCTAAAAGACTATTTTCCAGGCGAAGCCTTTGGAGAGCTCGCTTTACTTTATAACGCCCCACGCGCAGCTACCATCATAGCCTCAAGTGACTGCGTCTTGTGATCTTTAGACCGCGAGTGCTTCAACCACATCGTAAAAGGTTCCGCAATTCGTAAGCGAGAGCGCTATGAAGCCTTTTTATCAAGGGTCGAAATCCTAGGCTCAATGGATCCTTATGAGAGATCCCAGCTTGCTGACGCTTTTATTTCTGCGGAATATGAAGAAGGAAGCTATGTCATTAAAGAAGGCGAACAAGGAGACGTGTTTTATATAATTGAAGAAGGTTCAGCAGTTGCAACAAAAACAATAGTCCATGGCCGGGCTCCTGAAGAGGTCAAACAATATGGCCCTGGAGACTACTTTGGAGAGCTGGCTTTGATCAGAAATGAGCCAAGGGCGGCCAATGTGATTGCGACTTCTCGCTTGAGGTGTGTGTCACTTGAAGGCATATTCATAAAATGGAATCATAGGAATAGTTCTCTCAAAAAACTTTTAGGATGGGCTCAGCTTTCCAGTAAATCTTTATCCAGCTACACCAGGATGGTCCGACACATGGTGGTCCAGCTTTCTGAATAAAAGATAGCGAGTGCAAGTCCTCATCTGTGAAGAGCAATACACAGTGAAAGGCTTGATCGGACTTGCAAGCAAGCGGTGAAGTGATAATGAAGATGAATGAGGCCTTCGGGCCTACCAGGAGCACTTCTATAATCTTAATTAAGTTAAGTTATAACACACCTGCTATAAAGGGTGATCAGAAATGGCTTGTGATTTCACCAACTGGAGTCGAAAGGGTGGCCCAGGCATGCATAAATCGGCATGTTGAAGTGGAATAGCACGTAAAAAATTAATTTAGCAAGTAAGCGTCACTTGACAGACACTCTTTTAAAAGAATGCTCGGACCTCTTGAAGAAATCTTGAAGAGAAATGCAAAACACTACGAAGAGATAATCGCCATGAAGAGATAAAAATAATTCTTACTCCCAACCTCTGTGAGTGAACAAAACCATTGGAAAAATCGCTATTTTTTGCCCAAAAACCCACCCTCCGTTAGTGAATAAAAATATTTTTAATCAAAAAAATTTTTTATGAAAAAAAAACTGATATATAAGTGATAATTAGTATAATGAAAAATCTCGAGCTAATGTGTTTAATTTTAAACAAATTGCGTTTTAAAACATAAATTTTATAAATTAAATTAATCTTTGCTTTCCAATTTTTGTAAATTATGATTTTTTTTAAAAATTTCGAAAAAAAAAATATTTTTATAAAATTTATATATAAATTTTTCTAAAAAATCAAATTAGCACCTCTCCGTAAGTGAACAAAATTTGTTTGTCCACTCACAGAGGGGGGGAGTTAGTTAATTTTCTGAAATTTATATAACTGGAATTAAGTTGGATAATACCCCTTTTGAAATTATTATTTTCAAGCGAAATGGATAAAAAGGCTGAAGCAAACCAAAGCATGCAATCCCTGCCTATAAGATCGTATCTTGACCAAACTGTGGTACCTGTGCTACTTCAAGGACTTTCAGAGCTAGCCAAGGAAAGACCGGCAAACCCTATTGAATGGCTCGGACATTACCTATTGAAAAGTTCTGAACGGCAGTAATAGCATAACAATTCTTACTTTAAGAAGTTTTTGCATATCTTTAAATAATTCTTGTTTTTATCTGAATGATCTGCATAAACTGTAAGGAGTTTCTTATCTCTTCAAAGGAGTTACTGGCATTTGATTATTTCAAGCTGAAAATAGTAATTGAATATTTAGCAGATAATAAAATCTTGGTTTTTGAGGCAGAAATTCTGCCTTTATGTCTTTGCTTGCTCTGCATTTTAGCTGCTTTAGAATTTTTCAAAACTAGGATTAGCATTAAATTGCAGTTTTAATATAAATAAATCTATTAGCTAATAATTAGGCAAGCCAAATAGCCTTAGTTCTTAGTTAAGAATATAGAAAAGCTCCCTGTGATACTAAGAGAGGTTTCATTTCCATTTTCCTTTGCGGCTGCCTGCCCTCTGCCTATTGGCTATGCTCCTCCACAAATGGGCTCCCACACTAGCTAGAGTGTAGCTGGATGGATCACCGAGTCAACTTCCGTAATATTCTAAAAACATATTTCCTTGGCGACGTATTTACCAAGACGGAACTTGAAGCCAGGGCAAAAATATCGGTATCGCACTAAGAAATTGCCAGATTGATCCTAAGGTTTCTACTGTCGCTTTACACCCAAGTATTCATGCCCCTAGGTAAAACCTTGATCTGAAATGAGCTGCGTCAGCTTAGTCAGACTTTGCGCTTCACAAAGCCAAATAAGACCCTGCCGGATACAAATCACCGAATTCATCCTCCCCTCAACATAATCCTTAGGCTTACCCCAGCTGCAGGTGCTAAGAGTTTGGTTAGTTCGCCACACCAATTTAATTTACATGCAAGCCAAAAGGCCAATCGTCAATATCCATCCGCCACTTGTTGTCCTGTTCTTCATTTTCGCATAAACATGGGCCACTCCCGAGTAGTCATCCCCTTCAATACAAGAAGGCCACAGCGGATAACTGCTGCAAGCCGTAAAATAGCAATAATAAGTCGTCCCAGGCGACAGATTGCCAATATAAAAATTCATAGGAGTGTTTTCATACGTATCTATACAATGATAAATCGTCGAGTTAGTGTTATTAGTAGTCAAACCTACAAGGACCTGTGAAGCCAATGTTGCAGGAGACTTGCTTGTCGCACACATAAAGCAAGTAATCCCATCTGTGTCTGTTGTCGCTGTAAAGAAGGCAGAAGTATCAGTGACTCCCAAGGTGGATGGGGCAATGCTCCATTGAGGAATTTCATCAGAAGTAATTGCAAAACTGGAAAACGTAGGAGCTGAGCCTACTAAAGACTGAACTGCAGCTTTGGCGAGGGATGACTGAGAATTCATCTGAAGGATCATTGCAGAGGTGTATTGGGGTTTGGACCTATCAAAAAGCACTGTATAATTAAACAGTGTCCCAGGTTTATATTTGCTGGTTGTCACAATTTGATCGTAAAGCCATAGAGGATTGATACCCATATACTGAGCCAAAATCAGTCGAATCCCATCAGCGTATTTTGATGCTATATTTCCTGAAAAATAAACAGTGAATTTATAGATAGTAGGAAGCGAGCTTGTAGTAAAGTTTTTAGAAGCCGCCTGGAGTAAGGTTGTATTTATTACTCTGTTATCAATATAAGTAGTCAGAGTATAACTAGTTCCTCCAAACAGCCAGTCAAAATCTAGCGTTATAGGGTTGTTTTGGTATATAGGGACTGCTTCGTAATAAGGAGTTTCGCAGTGGTCTGCGTATTTTCTTCGCATAAATGCGACAATATCGTCATCCACATTATTCATAGGATTTACTTCAGTATTAGAATAGTCTCGTTTTAATTGTTCATTTAGCGATGGATTATTATCAGAATAAATCAAATCAGAAGTAATTGTTTTTAGCTCGTCAAAAGTAGGAATTGGCGTCTGTGCACATGATAGGTACCAGTAAAGCAGACCTGTTTGGGAAGGGCCTACAGTAACTACAGCTTCAGTCCCACTGATTACTTTGGCTGTGAGGGTGGCGATAGGAGAAGATCCAGATGATCCAGACGTAATTTTCAGTGTTTTTGATTCAGGCTGCAAGAATATGGCTGCATCAGTTCCTGTCAACGTGAAAACCAGTTTTGGTGATTTCTGTGAGGTATCATAACTTTTATCAACTTTAATTTCAAAATATAAAGTCTGGATATCAGGGAGGAATGCTAAAGAAGTCGGATAGACAGATATACCAGTTGAGCTTTCAAAGGCAAGGCTAACAGAAATATCGGTAGCAGGGGCTGCTGGAATTGAGACCTTTATTGGGATACTTGTGTAACCTATATATAGCATTGGGATAGTATCAACAGAGATCATATACATTTTGGAGATCCCATCAGTCACTTCTACTAATAGATTATAAGGTGCGACATATTGGCTATTTTCAATACCGTCTTGTACAACCTCAGCTGTGCTCCAATCTACATAATAAAGTCCTGCTGCTGTTGCACTTGAAGCTGATACTCTGAAATTGATTTCATTAACCATCTGATAAATAGTAAATTCGTGTATCGACGAAGTCAGCTTTATCCCGCCATTATCCAATGTCTGTGCATTTATTGTAGGTGTCAAAACTACTTTTTGAGATACGCATGGCCAGCTTCCAGTGCTTATCACTAAATCACTGCTTTGTGACCCTGAATATACCACAACTCTATTAGTCATTAGCATTGGGCTGTAGTTATTGATGCTCAAAGGATAATAACTCCTGGTGAACCCTAAATAAGCTGAATTCAGTAATCCGTAGCTTTTGCCAATAATGCTTAAATTTGTGTTATCGTAGACCAAAACTTCAAATCTTGTCGTCCAGAAGTCATAGTCTGAAAAAGTGGTATAGTCAGTCATATCTCAGTAGCTTGAGGTAACTCTTGGAAGACCATATTCGGGGTTAGGAATGGAGGATAAAGTGACTGAAATTCGGTAATTCGATTTTATTTGTTGGGAGGTAGACGAGGGGATTTCGACTTCAAAATAATTGTAGCTTGCTTGACAGCTGGTAGTTGGGTTCCAGGAAACAGCTTTGGTAGAATCTGTGTCTGTTGTGCCGGATTCGTCATAGTATACACAGCTGCAGGTAGCTGCCTGGCTTCCTCTAGAGTAATATAGCGAATATTGGTCTGGGAAGTTGATATAGAAGGAATATTGAGATGTAAAAGTCCCTGAAGTATAGAAATCAAAGGTGTAGTCTGTGGTTTCTAATAACTCACTATCTGCTACACTTACTCCTTTTAAGGTCAAAACAGAAGGAACGTCACTTATAGTAACTTTTCCATAAGAAGATGTATAAGACTTCACGCTCTCACTTGAGCTCATATGGTAAACAATAAAATTGCTTGTGTCTCCTTTTGATGGATTTCTTATATACCACACAAGTATGGATAAAGATGTCCCTGCAGTAACGCTTGAAGTTATACCTGAAATAACCAAAATCCAGTGACTTGCTGAGCATGAAATACTACTACCCAAAGCAGAAGAACTGCATGATAAGTAGTACGTTTGGCCATGTGATGATAACGAATTCAAAGCATCTCCTATAAATGGGTCATAAGTATTTGGAAAAACTATCCAAAATGAGTCTCCAGAATCTATGTTGCTGCCTGAAGAAAAAGTAAAATTGTATCTAGATTTCTCATTTGCATGGGGAAAATTGACAGAAATTGGTGTGGAGTCAGGAGTTATGGTTGTGGGAGCGTTGTCGTTGATTGTGAGAGGGGTAGAGCTGGAATCAGTAGTTAGGGTTACTCCGTTCCAAAGAGAAGTAATGGAAAAGCCGTTGGTAGTTGTTCCATTTATGCTGGGCAAATCCATTGCGCCGTCTAAATATACAGAAATATAGCCTCCTGAAGAGTAGTCGCTGGACAGAGTTAATTGTACAGCAGAATTTTGCAGTTGGCATGATGAATACTTTAAGCTGCTCCAGCAGTAGTTTGCAATAGAGCCGCTTGTGTAAAGTCAGCTTCCTATTCCGTTTGTGATCTTGATAACCCCACCTGCTGGGATATTCACACTTAAAGAAAAGTCCAGCTCAATATCAACTGCTTTTAGTCCAGCTTGGTTAGGAAAAGCATATGGCTTGATACTAGAAGTTCCCACATCCTGAGCTGTGCTCAAAGAACATGTCTGAGTAAACGATGTCACCAAGTCAATGATTTTCCCAATGTAATCATAAGTCTTAATAGAAGACAAATAAGCCGAACTTGTTCCAGACGAAGGCGGTAGCAACCCATTTAAATATACCGCCACGCTCGTAGACGCTGAAATATCTGCAAAATTTGTAATTGTCAGTGTATTTGAGCTTATTGCACAGCTTATAGACAGTCCACTAGCAGCATTCGGTCCTTGTACATTGCATGACGATAAGCTGCTGTCAGCCACAAAATTCGAGCTCAGTACAATTTCTATTTTTCCTCCCTGTGGTACAAGATTTACTGTGCTAAAATTGATGGTCATCGTCACACTTACAGCTCCTGGGCCTCTTAGCTGGTAACTATCAGGCGAAAATGAATAAGTTGCTATAGTCGCACTGTTAACAGAAACCCCTGTAATAGAAGAACTGGTCACTCCCAGACAAGCAGAGCCTACCGAAGTGGGGTCAGCCTGAAAAGCATAAAATGCGACGTTATTTTCAGAAGCTGAAGAAGCGCCTAAAGCTGAGTGGATATTAGTAAGGTCAAGCTGGGTAGCAGAATTGCTTATTTGGAAACTTCCAGTTTGGGTCCCTATGACAACTCCAGCCTTAAATCTTTGGTCTGTTGAGGAAATATAAATGTAGTTAGTCGGATTGATCCCACTGACTGCCATTGTGGTAGAAGAAGAAACTTGGAAGCCTTGAGGGATGACGATGCCTATGTATTTATCAACATTTGCCAGAGAGGTAGCTAGCTGAAAAGACATGCTGAAATCTTGGTTAACTGTTTTAGTATAAGAGGTAAGAGTAGTCGCTGTAGTAAAAGTTGTCCCTGCGGAATAAGTCACAGTTGCTGAATTCGAATACACATAATACACAAGTGTGGGGTTACTTGAAAGGGTATAGCTTAGCTGGTTTGTCACAGTATAAGTCGTTGCTGTCACTCCTTTAGGAATATAAAGAGTTGCTACATCATTTATATTAAATGAGCCAAGATTGGTGATTGTTAGCACCACATTTGAGCTGCTGTCTGAAGAAAGGACAACTGAAGCATTAGGCACTTCGCTAGAATAGAAAGGCACTGATGAGCCTGAAGATAAGCCAATCCCCAGATCTGACATGCCAGAAAATGTAATTTGGTATACCAGATTGGTGGTAGAAAAGTCCATGTTGATTTGTAAAGCTGTAAAATAAGCAATCAGAGGGATGCCTGGAATGTTGCTGAGACACATAGGAACTGTGTATATATCTGTAGAAGAAGCTGTGATTTGGGTGACTGATAAATAAAATGGCATTCGGATCTAGAGAAATTAGCTCTCCCTCATGGAATTTTATTTTTGGGATTGGGTTTTCTCTCGAGAACTTCTGCACAGCAATAGCGGTTTAACTTTTGGGATAGCCAAAGGAACTGCTCCTCAGTGCATTCAAGAGGCTCAGGGTTTTACCTCTCAGCACATCTCCACGGGGAGATGACTCTTAGGCGAAACACGCGCAGGAGCTGAGTCATCGGCAACGCACCGGGTGAGACGTCTAGACACCTTAAACGCCAGATATTAAGTTAAGTTAAGCAATTTGGGTGACTGAGAACTGCCAACTTCCAATATAAGTGCTTGCACTTCCTGTGGTCGTCGTTTTCGCCTTTGCCCAGCATTCATAATAAGTCGCCAAGTTTGACGCAACAAGGGGATAAGCAGTCTGGCCGCTTCCACTGACGACCATTGAGTAATAATTAGCACTTGGCGGGCTCACTATAGAAATATATATATGGGAGCTGTAAACTGTTATACTTTGAGATACTGATTGACTGACGACGTCCTCTGAAATGGCCTGAGTCGACCCACTATAATCATAAACCGTCGCATCCTGAGCAGCAAAAATTTGTGTATATGAAATCCCCATAATGGTCAGAGGACAGTATATGTCTATTGTAGTAGACGTATCCCAACTATTGGCAGGGCTAAATGTGTAGAATAAGTACCTGCCATTCCCAGCACCACCTACCCAGTAACCAGTCTGTGGGTCATCCATCAGCTGAGAATTTGGGCTTGCAGAGAACTCAAAAGTAGAGAAAATTGTATTTGACGTGCTATATGTAAAGGTTATCCCAGCGCTAGAAATATCAATTTGTCTACCTGCGGAATTTTTCGTGACGATTGAGGATACTCCAGGAGTCCCAGATAAGAATTTTACAAGCATATAAACGTAAAATGTTTGGGCACTGATTTGAGAGGTAGATGTAGTTATAGTTAAAACGGTCGCAGAGGTAACGGTACAAGAAAGTCCGCTTACGTAAGGAGTGACGTAGCACTTCTGGCCACTTGAATTAGTCCCATCTGTTTCTGACCATCAGTTTTTGGTGGAATCTACGTTTGCCATTGTAACTATTGCGCTTCCTCCAGCTGTTATTGAGTGACTTGTCGTAAAGCTGAGTACCATATAGAGAGACATAGACTGTACTACATCGGTTAGACTTATAGAGCTATTTGGGCTCCAGCTTACCAGCTTCAAGGTTCCAGGACTGAGACCAGTAGGTCCTGAACTTGCTGTATATTGAGCTATTATAGCATTAGTCCCCCATCTGACTATATTTATTTTCCACTTAAAATCTGACGACTGATATGCTACGCTAGGAAGCGTAAACTTCGAAATCTTCAAAATCACTCCATGAGAGGCAGAACCAAGCAGAACGTCCTGAGCTAGCCCATAAATTGTGATTGTTTTTGAGCTATCGAGTGCACATGGGAGGTTTCCATCATTATTCGGCCCAAATAAAACGCTGTTTCAGGAGGTTGAGTTCTGGGAAAGACATGAAACGGTAGAGGATGGAGTCCAAGTTGAGTCAGGGGTGATCACTATTAGATCATGTTTCCATAGATCTTGGGAGATTGTGAAGCTGAATATCAAGTTATCTGTTGACTCAATAGTAGGACTTGACGCTCCAGAATCAAGTTTCACCGTCAGCGATGTTGATGCGGTGACTGCACTTACAATCGCGACACAGCCAAAGACTTTATTTATATCAATAATTTGGCCACCTGCCCAGTTTCTCGTCTGTATAGCAAAAGGCCCATAAGCTCCAGCTGTGCTTGGGAGTTTTACATTTGTAACTTGGACTGAGGAATCATGGGATCCATAATAGGATGCCGAAGAAATTGTTACAGTTTGGCCTCCTGATAAAGATATTGAAGAAGGAAAAGTAATTTCAATAATCCCGTTCGAAATATCATTAGAGAGCCTAAAATTGAATGTAAAAGTCGCTGTAGCGCTAGTTGTTACTGTGTCAAGAACTATAGGATTTATGCTTCAGTTTTCTTTTCACCATGTTATTCTTCCAGGGTCAAAGTAGGTACTTCTTTGGCCCACGTCCATTGATTGAGAGGAACACACAACAATAAGGCTAATGCAAAGAAGCAACTGTGGGGGAGAAGCCTTAAAAAGATAAGGGAAATTCATATTATAAACAAGAAGTTATAATTAATAGGTTTTATTAATCAGAACTAGATTAGCTTGCTAATTTTCCCGCTATAATAAATAATGTCTGAAGTCCTAGCAATTCAAATTGAAAGTTCAAGAAAAAGAAAGAAGCCCAACCTTTGTACTGGCAGCAAAAAAGCACGAAAAATTGCCCCGAAGCTGAATGATGATAATTTAATTGAAACTTTAAATTCACTTACTTCCCCAAATAGAACAAAATATTTTTAATTTTCTATTTTTTGGGATAATTTAATCCCAGAATTGGCACAAAATTTTATTTCTTATAGATGAAAATAATAATTCTATTTACCCAATTCATCTTTTTCGGGTTACCTATTTAAACAAAATTGGCACTTTAAATTGGTAGATTTTATGTTTTTTATTTTTATAACGATTAAAAATTAATTTTTTACTATATAAAATTTGCTTCCAAAATAAAATTAAATCTACTGTTATATTGGACTAGATATATTGTTCCAATTTAAGGAGAGTTATGCAAAAATCTGAGCTAGCAGACCAAGCTCCAAAAATACCCAAGCCAATTTCTACTCAAATACCAGCGCTGTCTGAAGGGACTGCGAATTTGTTGAAAAGCTTACAGATAACGAGTCATAAGCCAGCAGTCAGGCCAACTGAAGAGATTTTAAACTCTAAGCCTATGAAAGAACTTTATGGGCATTTATTAGAGCCACAGCTGCCGCTGCATTATAAAAAAGTGTTGACTATGTTTGAAAGAACTGATTATACAATGAATTATGCAAAGCATAGAAAAGCAGTAACTTCATTTGAAAACATAAAGAAAGGGATTGAAGAAGTCTATCACTCTAATTATGATATTGAAATTTTGCAAAAAATATTATTCATTGATAGTAGCCTTTATAAAGTTTTTTGGGCTAAGGATTTGGCGAAGGAGTATAAGCTGTTTTTAGAGTTTCCGGCAGAGCTGGAGAAAGAAAAAGGGCAGATTACTAATGAAAAATTAGAGGAAAGGAAAAAGATTGTTAGTTAAGATTATAGAAAAGCAATTGTGATACTTTGATTGTATATTTATCTTCACCTTGCTTCGCATAACCATCGGCCTATAGGCTATGCTCCTCCAGAAATTGGCTCCCAGACTATAGTGGATGGGTCACCGTGCTGTGCGCCTTACTTGGGTTACCATTCTAGAAAATTTGAAAGATCCAATTTCCTGGCCGAGGTGTCGCCCAAGATGGAATTCGTTGCGCATAGCGCAACTCCAAGTATAAAGCTAGTAAATTGCTAGATTGGTCCTAAGGACTTTCTGCCCTTTTCCAACCCTAATCATCCATGCTCCCGAGAGTAAAATCCTTGATCTGAATGGGCTGCGGTCGACGGTGCGCTCCGCCAAACAATTAAAACCTGACCGATACACACCACTGAGCGCCATCCTTCCTTCCACAAGGTCCCTGGACTTACCCCAGCTGCAGATTTTAAGAGGGAGAGAGTTGGTTCGCAACGACATTTTAATGTATGGAAAAGATTGTTTAGAAAAAACTTCTGGATTTGGTGAAAAGCTACCATTTGGACTTTCTGCAGTCTGCAAATGAAGTGTGGGAGTCTGAGAGCTCTTGGCATCCAAATTTTGATATTTCCAAGGTCTCTGATGTCCCACTGTTTAAATTGCCTGAAAAGCCAATAGATAATTCAGAATCCTCAATATCAGATTTTCTTAAAAAACAGTTCGAAATTAATGAAAAAAACCGAAAAATTGACACTGGCCCAGAAATTGTCGACGCAAACGACGTGATCCCTGGCCTAACTCCTGAGCTGACCGCAAAAATCAGAATGAAAGAAAAGCTGCTTAAAGAAAGGCTCAAAAACCTGCAGCCAACACAGAACATTTCCCTTCATGCCAAGGTGGAAAGGATGACTACTCTCTGTGAGATGCTAAAAGCCATTTATCTCAGCCAAAAAACTCCAAGCATATTTTACAGCTGCCTGGTAAAGAAAATCAAAGGCACAGGCAAAATCTCGACAGATTCAATGATTATAGAAAAAGACCTAAACGACGCAATCGAGCTTTTCCCTTCTTGACTTAAGCTGATAGACACCAGTGTTGGGAAGGTAGTCCGAATGAACCGTCAATTAGAAATGCCACTGACAACAATTAAAAAAGAAGTGAATGCTAAATTTAACTAATTTTATGGCTCTTACATCTGTTTTTATATTAAATTTTAAAAATCAGATTAATAGAAAATAATAATTTACAGTAGATCCAAATGCCTGCTTCAAATATTCCATTCGTATTTTGGAATAAAAAGAGTAAAGACCTCAGGCATGTCATTACCTGCGCAATCCAGCACGGCAACCTTATAATAACAGGCTCAGATTCCGGAGAAATTTGCTTGTGGGCTTTATCAGATGATGGTTATATTCCTGACATTATTTGTTCACCTGGCAAGGATATCGAATGCAAAGCGCTTACAACCGCTTTGCCTCCAAGCCCTGAACTGATTAGCAGCGAAAAATGAATAGTTTCTTTGCATTCGGACGGCCGAGTCAGAAGTTGGGATTCAAAAGACGGCAGATGTATGAGTGCTTCTCAGGTCGGGATGCTGCCTGAGCTGTCTAGTCTTCATTTATTAATCACGATCCAACAGAGATTTTTGGCTGTCAGCGGAGAAGTAAAAAACATTTTTTTGATGGACGCTTGATCAATGCAGCCGATTGCATGTTTTAGCATGCTGTGCATGATTGTGAGCATTAAAAGCTGCAACTTCTGAAGGACTAATCATATTATTGGGCTAGATTGTGAAGGCAGCATGGAGATCTGGCCTATTCCTGATCTGAAAGATTACTGTTTTCATAAAGACGAACTCCCTGGGATCGATATTTTCCAGTCCAAATCGTTAAGCTTTTCTAAAGGCGAATGCCCTATTTCACTTGCGATATCTGATTTCAGTGGACTTTTAGCGGTCATTTATGAGAGCTCAGTATCTTTATTTCACAAATCCTGATTTAAAAAAGGAAATAGCCCACCCAAACTGGAATTCGAAAGTCCAGTAATAGGCGCAGAGTTTTTAGAAGGGAGCTTTTATGTGTTATTTAAAGATGGAAAAGTCAGGAGGTACGAAATTACAGAAATTCTCTATGGGATAGGGGTAAGAGACAGCATGCAGCTTAGTCAAAGAAACTCAATGAGTAAATCAGGCGCTGAGCCTTCATTAAATTATATTGATTATGAGCTCTGCAAACTAGACTGCACAATAAAACATTTAGCTTTTTGTGAAAATTTTATTCTTTCTTGAACCAACCAGACAATATTTACAACGCCCTGTTTGAGCGAACGAAACCATTCGGAAAATCCCTATTTTTTTGGGGCAAATCACCATCCGAGCAAGCCAAAAAGTAAATATATGATATATAAGTGATAATTATTATTATAAATCTCTAGCTCATTTTATTCAGCTTGCATTCTAAAAATAGTTTTTAAATTAAAATTGAGAATTAGGATCGCTCTCTATCTGAGGGATGGAGTTAGGGTTAATTTGCATGAATTTAAGGAGCATTCAATTTTGAACCACATGGAAATTTTCTTTAGCTTAAATCTTGGGGACTCAGATAAATTCGCTGACAGCAAAATAGGCTCACTATTAAAAGAAGATGAAACCATCACAATCAATTAAATTTGGTATGATAAGCCTGGGCACGGTTTCCCTGAGAGCTGTCGAAATCCTAACGCCTGAAGCCGAAGGACCATTCTGCCTTGAAGCCGATTGGAGCACAGCAACGGTGTTGCAGGGAGCCCCAAAGCAGGGACAGAAGCCAGTGCAGGTGATGTGTTAGTGAGCGTTAAACAAGATTCTTAAACCTTAATATTTTTATTCGCATCGAATCATTACAATCAGCACAATTTGTTTAACCAATAATTGGCCTTATTATCTAGTAGGGACTTCATCAGGAAATATGATTCTGTGTCCTTTTCAGCCAAGATTAAAGCCTCAGATATATAGCTACCATCAAGCTTCGATAACCTGTATTCATCTAATTAATAACAGACTCATTTCTTGTAGCAGCGACAATATTATGTGTATATGAGACTTTGAAATCGAAGGGGCAGTTTTTGCGAGAAAAAAGACAGAAAACAGGAAAATGTCATCTCTAATGAGCAGAAAATCTATATCAAGTGAGGACAACTATAAAGAAGGTAAAAAGCACGAGCCTTTTCAAGTCATTGAAACTTATAGGAGTCCTGTCAAAAGAGCTTTGCAAGTAGGGATTTTAAAAGACACAGACTCAAATGAAGACAAATTCGCAAGCACACTAAACTACTGGGAAACCACCTTAATTGCCCAGTGTCAAGACGGCAGTATCTTACTTATCTCACTAACCAGAAAAGGAGTTCTCAGCTATTTCCAAGCTATCGAATCAGTCATATTAGACGCTAAGCTTAACGTGATGCTCAACTACTTATTAGTCTCATGTGCTGACGAAAAGATCTATGTATTTGACATGACCGCTCAATGTCTAGAACGAATCATCGTAGGAGAACAAACAGGAAAAGTTTTAAGAGCAACCCTCCCAAACTTCGCAGAATATAATGCAATGGACGACCTTGAGCACGCAGTTGACGATAATCATTTAATTCTCCTTTATAACCTTCGTCAGCAATTTATTGCAAACTCGGATATGCCGCTTTCTATAGACCATGTTTCAATAGGTCTATGTGACTATACAACACTTCATGTAAATTCTAATGCTTTTATTGGAGAAATCAAGTTCCCAACTGGCCCTCCAATTGAGCTGGATTATATTGTAAGCTTGCTTGCCTGCTGGATTGAAAAGTGCGAGTCTCACGATTCATTAGTGGAAAATGTCAAAGGGTGCATATCTATGCAGGAGCCTGCAATTATAGGAAATATTGGAGTTGCTGGAGTTGAGAACAGCATTTCCTTTACCTTTCCGAGGAAGCGGGATAAGTATGAAGTTTCTGAAGTAATCTCTGGGCTCCTGCTAGCTTCAAGCCTAGGGATCATAAATGCTCTGCCTAGCTTAAATAAAGACTGCAAGGCAGAAATAAAGAAAACCATTGTTTCTCACATTTATTCCCACCCAGCCTTCAAAAAGCCTGACCTGTCTGTCTTAATTTTGCAATATTTCCACGGAAACCATGCAGCAGGGTATATTTTAAGCAAGTATTTGCCATTCATTGACAATAATCAAAAGCTTTTAATATTGCGCACAGCAGCCTGCGTAGTTGAAAAAAAGCTAGAAGGCTCCAAAAAGGCAGCTCATGAAAAAACCCACGAAATCGGCAAAATTGAAGCTCTATGCATATGTCTTCTGGGCTTCTTGACAGGCGATTTAAGGAACATCAGTGAAGAAATATTTGAATCGATTTTATTAGCCTTACGAAATATGCTAAAAACTGGGCTTCCTCACTATGTGTCTATAGCGTCAAAAATAATTGGCCAACAGATTTCTGTATGAAAAGAAACCTTAAATAACGAGCAGATTTCAGAAATTTGTAGAGAAATGCTCGTTAATGGCTCTAATAAGCGTGATGGGCTTCAAAATGTGTTTTATAGAGCTCTTGTAAGGATTGCAGTGGACGATATGAGCTTTTATACGCAATTTTTGTCAAATGAAATTGAAAAATTAAATAAAGGCTCTGATTATCCGAATTCCTGCCTTAATTCTTTATCAATGCTGATAGACAAAAAGTATGAAGAAGTCGCTGTTTTTCTCCCAAGTATCGTTGAAATTTTAATGAAAGCCTTGAACCCTGTAAATCTTGATCTTAGGAAATATTGCGTCAGGCAGGCTGGAAAAACTCTCAAAAAATTAATTACGCTCCCTATGGTTGCATTTTGCCAAGAAAAACAGAAATTAGCGGTTGGGACCCTGGATAAGCTGATTGTATGCTATGATATGAAGTCGACATCCCAATGGAAAGTATATCAAGGGCATGAAGGCGCGGTTTGTGCAATTCAGTTTAGCAGTGATGGGAATTTTTTGGCATCTTATAGTTCTGATGACTGCAGTGTGAGGATCTGGAAAGCAAGCAAAGGGCTATTCAGTGGGTTTGGGAACATCGGGAAAGCCAAAGAAGTGATAAATCTGCCTAAAATAAAAAGCATCAAGCCAACATATAGGGAATATTTGAAATTAATCACCATTGGATGGGGCGAAAACAATAAAACAGTCCTAGTCACCAGAGAGGATGGCGAAAGATACTCCTTCATAGTCCATATATAATCTCACATACAAAAATTGCTAAATAACTTCACCATTAATGCTATTAAATATTTTGTCCGATCCAAAAGGGCCGTCCATAGTTTTCAGATAAATTTTGAAATTGAAGGCAGCCATTAAGGCTACCCAGCTGAGGAATGACCAGAGCAAGCTTATTCATATTAACAAGATTAACAAGAATAATAAAGGATTCCGAGAATAATTATCTCTCCCATTAATAAGAGCAAACCATTAGGCTTTTTTATGAAAAAAAATTATTATGGGATAATCGTTTATTTTTACTTAAATATAAATCTAAACAAATTTCTTAAAAAACTTATACCCTAATAATAGCTACAAAAAGATCGCAATTAAATAGAAGAGAGTAAGTAATTTATGCCCGAGTTAGTTAGCGAGAATAAGAAGATGAAGATCTTCTTCTGGAGCGAGATCTATTCAAGTTAGAATGTGCTCTTAAAAACTTGTATATTTGAATTACCTTGAACTTGACTCTGATCTGTCTCTCCTGCTGTGCCTTGGAGGAGTGCGGCTATGTGCAATTTACCTTCTAGATCTTCTCCGGTACCTTGGGGAGCTGGACCTTCTTCTTCTCCATCTATCTCTTCGCCTCATTTCATCAGGCTACATTACAATTACTCCTTTCCGGCCTTCGCGAGCAAAAACAATTTTAAGCGTGCTGCCTTGGAGCTCGGTCCCATCTGTTTTTTCAAGAGCTGCCTTGGCATCATCGTACTTGTTAAACTCGACAAAACAGAAGCCACGAGGACGCTGGGTGTAGTAATCGCGAGGGATATAGACATCTCGCACCTCGCCGTACTTGGAAAAGTGGTTGCGGATGTCTTCCGAACGGGTGTGAGGATCCTGTGTGAAAATTACGATATTCCGGACTAAGAGAGACACCCTGCGAGGAGGGGTGCGAGATCTCCGTGGGGAATGAGGGGAAGGAGAACGAGAATCATGGCGAGAATGAGGACTACTGCTGCCTGAGGAGGCCATTTATTATTATCGTCGTAAATTTCAGAATTCGCAGTGGGATGATAAAAAAGTGAAAATATTTTCTTAATTAAACCATGATTTTGAATAAGAAAAAATAATGGATAGGATTTTTGAAGGGCTTTCTGGAAAATTTAATTTAATTGGAAATCATTGGGAAGATATTTATTAAAGTAAAAGTAATTTACTTGATATTTTATTTTTGCGAATTATTTAGCCATTATTTATAGATTCCAGTTTTGAATCGACTAAGTGTCATTACTAATCTTTTTCATACTTTCTTTTTAGTCTTTAAGGTCAACAATTCTTTTTTATGCAATAAATCTTAAAATATCTTACTCCGCCATCAAAATATCGAAAAAAAATTATTTTATGGTAAACTAACTCCCCTTAAATTGGGACAAGCTTTTTTGATTTTTTTTAAGGAAAAAACAATAATATAGGCGAAACCTTTGATGCCAATTTAAACCTCATAATCAAATATTACCTATAGCTTGATTCTATTTTAAATAGTAAAATATTATTTAAAAATTTAAAAGTTTAAATCGATAAATTTTAATTATTTTTGATGAATAATATTATTAGCTAGCTAAATGTATATTTCTCATTTCAAATTTCTAATAATTCTAAATTTAAAGAGAGGTTTAGGCAATTTTCACTTATCACTAGATTTTTAGCAATATAGATTTCCCATATTATTTTCGAATTTATTTATACTCTAATAAATAATAGTCCTATTTCAACACAAAAAAATTAACTTATTATTATCAGTAGACCCACACAATAACACAAAAGATCATAATGAAAGCTATCTATCATAAAAACCAAGGATTTGAAAAGATATCAATTTTTCAGAAAATTATCAGACAAGTATCACTTATTAAATAATTTACAATGAATATATTCAATTGCAATATAAATTATTTAATAAAATATGGATTCTATCACAAGCTCGATAATCGCCATCGCCCTTATTCTGGCATTTTCAGTAATCAGTATGTAGTTTGCCGGTGGGAACTTACTATACTAATTGACCAAGAATAACCCACTAAGGAGCCATTCTTGGTCTGCCAGAAAAAATTTTGATAAAAAGATCCTAATCTGCCATTGCCACTGAGTTTTGGTGTTTCCAAAATTTTTTGGGCAAGCCAAATGCAATAAAAAAATTGTTCTTTTGCGATGATGCATTTGGCTTGTCAAAAAAATTTGGAAACACCAAAACTCAGTGGTAATGGCAGATTAGGATCTTTTTGGCCATTACCACTGAGTTTTGATGTTGCCAAATTTTTTTGACAAGCCAAATGCATCATCGCAAAAGAACAATTTTTTTTATTGCATTTGGCTTGCCCAAAAAATTTGGAAACACCAAAACTCAGTGTAATGGCAGATTAGGATCTTTTTGTCAAAATTTTTTCTGGCAGACCAAGAATGGCTCCATAGTGGGCTATTCTTGGTCAATTAGTATATCTTATTTAAATCAGGGATTCAGTGTAAAATCCTTTCGTTTCAAAGGATTTATTTCAAAAATCCCAATTCCTCCTTTGGTGATTTTAAAGTAGCTTGGAATGATATTAGGTGGAATAATAGCAGGCAACTTGCTTCACAGAGAAATATCTCTCCTTGATCCTGCTTGGGCATTGCAAATCAGAAATATTTCGATTGCTGTGATCTTATTGAAAGCAGGCTTAGGGCTAGATGTCCAAAAGTTAAAAGCTTCAAGTGGAGGCATTCTTCGTCTTTCCATAGTCCCGCAAGCTTTCGAAGCCTTAATAATTGCTCTATTATAGCCCTTACAATAATTATTTATTTTTTTTTAGCAGGAAAATTGCTTTAGCCTATAAAAAACTAGACTATTGATTGCTAAAAAATGCAGATATTAATGAGAGTGGTATATCATTTCTCATTTTTGACTTATCTTGGTCTTTTGGCTTTGCTATGGGCTTTATGATCGCTGCTGTATCTCCAGCTGTGCTTATTCCTTGCCTAAGCGAATTAATTCGTGATGGGTATGGGCTGGGATCTGGAATCCCAAGCATTCTGATGGCTGCAAACAGTCTGGACAATGTCATTGCCATTGCTTGTAATTCCTAATTAGTATTTGGAGTGCTAATAAATATTGGGCTCGGAGGCTCAGGAGATTCTCTTATTTTTGGAAGTAACAATACAGCATATTATGCGTCAATTGGGCCTTTGATTGCTGTTGGCGGCATAATTGCGGGGATTATTTTGGGGATATTTTTTTTTCTTTTAACGAAATTAAATGACTGGGTAAAAGGAATTATCATTGCACTGGTATCATATGGACTTGTATATGCTGCGTCTTACTTAAATATTTCTGGTTTAGGGTACCTCGGAGTCGTAATAAGCTCAACTTTTGCCGCAGTAAAATGGGGAAAAGACTCAACTGCAAAAGTAGCTCGAGTTATAACACTGATATGGAAAGTATTCCAATATGCATTATTTGGACTGGTAGGAACTACCTTTTACTTCCCTCAATTATCAGGTGACACTGTCGGTGAATGTTGTGCAATAATAATTATAGGCTCGTTTGTAAGAATTGTTACTGCTTACTATTCAGTTAGCTGGAGCAAGCTCGCAAATAAAGAAAAAGCATTTGTAGGGATCGCGTGGCTGCCTAAGGCGACAATTCAAGCGGCATTAGGAGGAGTTTTATTAGCAAAGGCTGAAAGTGATGATAAATATGATAAATATAAAGAGGATGGACTTATTATACTGACTGGATCTGTGTTCAGTATTCTTCTGACAGCCCCTATAGGGAGTATTTTGCTGACTCTGTTTGGACCAAAGCTGCTTCAAAAGTCTGTAAATGAGTCCAAAACTAATAAAGAAGCTTTTTCCCCTTTGCAAGGCTCTAAAGCAATTCAAAAAATTGCTCCAAAACCCAAAGGAAGAAGGTTGAGTGATGATCTTAGCGAAGATCTCGAGTATGCCAGGTATTATATGAGCTCAGAAGATATGGTAAGATCGGATATTGAGTCAATGAGAAGGAATAGTTTGTAGATCAAGATTTATAGTTAAATCTTAATTAGCTAGCTTATAAAAAATTCAGAATTAAAATAATTGCACTTTGAAAAAATTCAAAAATCAGCGTATATACATAAAATAAGCCAAAAAGAAATAAATAAATCACCTACTTTTTTTGTTCAATTTCAAGTGGAGGAGGAAGGCTTTTTCTTTAATTCTAAGATTGATCAGATATTTTATTTCGTCACCTAAATGTTAAATTATTATTGGAACGCTTAAACATACCTTTCAAATCCATTGCTTAAATGAAAATTGTTATAAGGAGAGAGTGAAAATTATTCGATTTTTAAATAATTGTTGGGAACCATTATTGAAATATATTTAAATGTTTAAAGCTTCTCTTCTTTGTTTCATCCCTTTGCAATAACTTATCTTATTAATTTTCAATAAATTATATTTAAAATCGAAAAGCATAAGAGCTCAAAATAGCTAAGAGTTTTTTATTTCAAGCGATTTATAATAGAGTTAATCTTAATAATAGGCTTAAGTAAACTCACAGTGTCATAATAATTTAATCAGATTTTAGATCATATCAAAAATTTTTTTGTTGTCTTTTCTCATTAGGTGGGGAATGAATTTATAAATTTTTTAATAATCTGAACAATTAACTTATCAATTATAAAAGTCAACTAGAGCTCCATAAATGGCGATGCTTAGAATCTTATTGAGATTGAGTTTTATAGCAAATTTTATTTTCAATATAGCTCAATCGATAGAAGTTATTATTTATAGAAGTATAAAATTCAATATAACAGAAAATTTTCAAGTTAACTATTATTACACTAGAACTCTTCAAGAAACAAATAACGCTCTAAAAAACTTAGACGATCCCAAAATTCTGTTTGATTTTTCACCAAGTATCATTGAGCATTACCAGCTATCATCTTTATGTGAAGAACTTGGAGTTATTCACTTTGTGACTGATGGTTCTTTGGATTATTTTAGTAATCTGGCATTTTCATTATCAACGTCATATAAAAATTATCTCAGTTCTATTGTGTCACTTTTAAAATATTTCAACTGGTCTCAAGGCCTAATTTTTAACTCTTATAGTTATGAATTTATTGAAGAATCTTTATTTGCTTATTCCTCTTCTTTTAAAAAAATTAGGGTGAGTTCAGATTCTAGTATTGAAGATGCGGTCCAAAAGATCGCTGCTCCATCAGGAGCTCAGTTATATTATATTTTTACAGATAATGACAATTCCTTATCAATCCAGACATCACTTTTGTCCACAAAATTAATTCATACTGGAGATGGAATTTTAATAGGAAAAGACAGTTACTTTGAAGCGATAATAGAAGGCGCACTAATCATAGCTGAAGAAGGCCAAGAATGATCATATTCTCAAGAAGATTATTTATCTAATTCAGTTTCCTTTATCATGTCTTTACTTCTTTCAAAAGAAATCTCAATTATGACTAATTACCAACTTGCAAATATTCTGCACTCAGTCTGCGAGCATAGATTTTGTAAATCAAGCTTCTCATTAGTTAACATTTGAAATGGAGAGAGGATAATTGTAGGCTCACTTAATTCGAGTCATATTTCAATAGAAAAGAAAATATTTTTTCCAGGAAATTCTACAAGTATTCCTATTTCAACAAAGAAGGTGCTAAATTTAAGCATAAATGGAGGGCCATCAAACCCAGCTCCTTCCCCTCCTAATTATGATGTCCCGCTATATGCTAGAGGCTCATTTATGGCAGTCTCTATGATTAATCGAGATTCTGAAATTTTAGAAAATTTTGAATTAAACTTATTTGATTTTGACTGCGGAGCAACTTCTTATATAGAGGCTGCCTTTGAGTAGCGCTCTAAGCGCCCGAGACTTCCCGACGAAGTCTGGGCGGTGGTTTGACCAGCTGATGTTGGTCAAACCAACATCCAAAATGACAAATTCTTCTCATACTGAAGGTTTGTCAAATTGGATGCTGGCTTGACCAACATCAGCTGGTCAAACCACCGCCCAGACTTCGTCGGGAAGTCTCGGGCGCTTAGAGCGCTACTCAAAGGCAGCCTCTATAATGCAATAGCTGGGGCTGCGTGCTTTACCAAAGATATTGATCATTTTGGGTTAGCCCATATATCTTCTTATTCATCAAGTGTGGTAATATCTCAATTGAAAACTTTTAAAAGCTTGAATATTACTATCCCAATCGTTGGCTCTACTTCTTCAGCTATAAGTTTGAATTCAACTGCCATTTACCCATCATTTATAAGAGTAGCACTTACTGATGCGTTTTTGGCTTCAGAAATTCCTACGTTGCTCCGAGCTTTAGGCTGGAAAAAATGTGCAGTCCTATACCAAAATGAAGCATGAGGCCAATCGGCCTATTCAAAAGTCAAAGAAGTCGCTGAGCAAGGGGGCGTTGAAATTTTAAATGACCCCGAATATAGGGTTATCCCACCTGGGCTTACCAGAGATCAGGTCGCTAGCTATACACATATTTTGCAAGGGATTCTTGAGACGAAAGCAAGACTTGTTTTAGCATTTATGTATTCCAACTTAATGAGTTATGTATTTGAAAAGTTTTATGATTTAGGCGCAAGGAAAGGCGACCTTGTTATTGTATCTACCCTTGCAACAGCACCAGCTGATATTGGTTTTAATGACAGCTTATTATATAAGCGTCTTGAAATCGGTGTTCCTATGATGGTTTTCCAAGGCTCAGTTTGAGTTGGGGAGTTTGGCCAGAAAGTGTATAATAACCTTCAAAAGACCTATATGACTACCCCAAGAACTTTTGCATGCAATTTCTTTGACTCAGCCTGGTTTATTGCCTCAGCTTTAGATTGGATGATTAATCGAGGACAGGACTATACAGATGCTTCAAAATTAAATAACACCATTAGAAGCATAGGCATCACTGGATGTTTAGGAAAAATAAGAATGGTCAAAGGAACAAATGATAGAGAAATGACGACAATGGATATCAGCAGTAATGATATTGTGAATGGAACAATCCAAATATATCGCGTAGGGACTTTTAGCCCCTATGGAACTCATTATCTTGCTATTAATCAACCTGTCATATATGGTGATAATTCAACTACAAAGCCCTCTGACTTAAGACTTATAGATGGAAGCTGCCCTTTTCCTGATAAAGATATCAGAACTTTTTCAGATGGTAGAATTGTTGTATTTGCTATTTGTTTTGCACTTGGCACTATTACTGCAGTCATTACATTTTTTATATGAAAAAAATGGTGGAATGTGAAAATAGAAAATTTGACTGTAAAACAAGAAATTTCTATCCAGGACTTTGTGGTTGGAGCTACGATTGCGGTTGAGTTCTTTCAGTTTGCTTCAATGGGGCCTGATTATAGGCCAATAAATACTTTTCTAGCAGAAATTGGAGATCTGCTTTCATTGAATTTGAGCAGTGCGATTGTTTTTGAAAATAATCTTTACTGAATTTTCTTTGACATTATACTAGCTTTATGCTTTTTCTGGATAGTTCTATGTTTTATTATATTATTCAGGCTTGATGAAAAATTGAGCTCACTCTTCTTATTTAGATTTTTAGGACAATTAGGAGATTGATTTATGCCGGTTTTGGGGAATTTATGCTTTATTCCTTTCGTTTCAATTCTCTTAGATATCTTTGTTTGTGATCAATCAATTGGAAACAATTTTTCCGACAGTTTCTTGGCAAAAGATTGCAATCAATTTTGCTGGCAAGGCAGCCACATAATCTACGTAATTTTATCTATTCTTGCTTTACTAACTTATGAACCTCTAGCTGTATTTTGCAGACCACTTTGGCAGGAATTTCAGTCCCAACTGCACGTTAAAACTTCACCAACGTTTTTGATGGTAAAAACAGGTGTACAAATATCACTCATTGTTATGAATAAAACAGTTAAAAGAGCCCAAGCCACTGCTCATGGGTTTCTATTTGTTCTTATACTGGCTCTATATGATATTTTCATATTCAAGAAATATCCCTACAACTATCCTCGATTTAGTTGGTGGCAGTTTATAAGCATCATTGGGGTGGCTTGGCTTTCATTTTTATCAACGATGAACCTTTTGATTGGAGACAATGAAGCCTTTTATTGAGTTGTTCTTGTCTTTTTGGGTTGAATTAATTTGTGTGGAATCGGCTTATATGTGCAATGAAAGAAGTATCCCAGCTTGCTTTTCAGACCGAAGGGAAATGATCAGTCTATTTTATTTGATTTTGCTTTTAGATTTGGGAAGGCTGCGGAAAAGTCAATTATAAGGTTAAACTCATCAAAAAAAAGAACTAATCCTCCTGAATCGCAGAGGTCTTTTGTGATGCCAGTTCATAATAAAGAAAATGGATAACTGTAGGAGTGCCCAGTTTTAAAAGTAATGTAAATAGTAAAATTAAAAATAATTGTTTTTAATCGATTGGTAAGTCCTAGACTTTACTGATAATTTCAGACACATCAAAAGAATTTAGATTTCTGAAAGTGTTACTTGAATGAATTATTGATAAATTTGATGATTCATCAGAAAGATAAAAAATTTCTGGTCATCACGCAAGATTCCATTCTCCCTCCTTCAAATCCCTACTTATTTGGCATGTATAAACAGCAAGAGCTATGATCAGGATTATTCACCACATTATTTCAAAGCATAAAGAAATTTTGAACGCTTATTTGGATTGCAACAAACTTGGCAAATGTTTACAAAAAATGGCAAAAGTTTTTTCAATCATGCTTAGATAAGGCAAAAATGACTGATTTGCCGATTCCTCTAAGCCTCAAGCAGCTAAAATTGAATTTTCATTAAATCATTCAATAGTAGATCACTTTCAATCTGGCCTGCACTTTATATGTATTTTTCAATGATTCAATACATTTAGTTGTTGATGGATGAGCTTTTCCTAGTGCTTTTTCTTTTATTTCGATAGATTTTTTGTAAGCTTCAATAGCTTCTGGAATTTGTTTCGATTATTATGTGCAATTCCTATATATTTATATATTTTAGCTATACGTGGATGAAAATCTCCCAGTTTTTCAGCTTTTAACTTAAGTTCTTTTTCAAATAATTCTAAACACTCAGCATACTTTTTTTGGATATAATATACGAGCAATATAATTTCATAGCAATCATTTAATAAAGAATCATCTATATTGTTAAATTTTTCTAGGGTGTTAGGGTGTTAGGGTGTTAGGGTGTTAGGGTGTTAGGGTGTTAGGGTGTTAGGGTGTTAGGGTGTTAGGGTGTTAGGGTGTTAGGGTGTTAGGGTGTTAGGGTGTTAGGGTGTTAGGGTGTTAGGGTGTTAGGGTGTTAGGGTGTTAGGGTGTTAGGGTGTTAGGGTGTTAGGGTGTTAGGGTGTTAGGGTGTTAGGGTGTTAGGGTGTTAGGGTGTTAGGGTGTTAGGGTGTTAGGGTGTTAGGGTGTTAGGGTGTTAGGGTGTTAGGGTGTTAGGGTGTTAGGGTGTTAGGGTGTTAGGGTGTTAGGGTGTTAGGGTGTTAGGGTGTTAGGGTGTTAGGGTGTTAGGGTGTTAGGGTGTTAGGGTGTTAGGGTGTTAGGGTGTTAGGGTGTTAGGGTGTTAGGGTGTTAGGGTGTTAGGGTGTTAGGGTGTTAGGGTGTTAGGGTGTTAGGGTGTTAGGGTGTTAGGGTGTTAGGGTGTTAGGGTGTTAGGGTGTTAGGGTGTTAGGGTGTTAGGGTGTTAGGGTGTTAGGGTGTTAGGGTGTTAGGGTGTTAGGGTGTTAGGGTGTTAGGGTGTTAGGGTGTTAGGGTGTTAGGGTGTTAGGGTGTTAGGGTGTTAGGGTGTTAGGGTGTTAGGGTGTTAGGGTGTTAGGGTGTTAGGGTGTTAGGGTGTTAGGGTGTTAGGGTGTTAGGGTGTTAGGGTGTTAGGGTGTTAGGGTGTTAGGGTGTTAGGGTGTTAGGGTGTTAGGGTGTTAGGGTGTTAGGGTGTTAGGGTGTTAGGGGTGTTAGGGTGTTAGGGTGTTAGGGTGTTAGGGTGTTAGGGTGTTAGGGTGTTAGGGTGTTAGGGTGTTAGGGTGTTAGGGTGTTAGGGTGTTAGGGTGTTAGGGTGTTAGGGTGTTAGGGTGTTAGGGTGTTAGGGTGTTAGGGTGTTAGGGTGTTAGGGTGTTAGGGTGTTAGGGTGTTAGGGTGTTAGGGTGTTAGGGTGTTAGGGTGTTAGGGTGTGTTAGGGTGTTAGGGTGTTAGGGGTGTTAGGGTGTTAGGGTGTTAGGGTGTTAGGGTGTTAGGGTGTTAGGGTGTTAGGGTGTTAGGGTGGTGTTAGGGTGTTAGGGTGTTAGGGTGTTAGGGTGTTAGGGTGTTAGGGTGTTAGGGGTGTTAGGGTGTTAGGGTGTTAGGGTGTTAGGGTGTTGGGTGTTAGGGTGTTAGGGTGTTAGGGTGTTAGGGTGTTAGGGTGTTAGGGGTGTTAGGGTGTTAGGGTGTTAGGGTGTTAGGGTGTTAGGGTGTTAGGGTGTTAGGGTGTTAGGGGTGTTAGGGTGTTAGGGTGTTAGGGTGTTAGGGTGTTAGGGTGTTGGGTGTTAGGGTGTTAGGGTGTTGGGTGTTAGGGTGTTTAGGGTGTTAGGGTGTTAGGGTGTTAGGGTGTTAGGGTGTTAGGGTGTTAGGGTGTTAGGGTGTTAGGGGTGTTAGGGTGTTGGGTGTTAGGGTGTTAGGGTGTTAGGGTGTTAGGGTGTTGGGTGTTGGGTGTTAGGGTGTTAGGGTGTTAGGGTGTTAGGGTGTTAGGGTGTTGGGTGTTAGGGTGTGGGTGTAGGGTGTTAGGGTGTTAGGGTGTTAGGGTGTTAGGGTGTTAGGGTGTTAGGGTGTTAGGGTGTTAGGGTGTTAGGGTGTTAGGGTGTTAGGGTGTTAGGGTGTTTGGGTGTTAGGGTGTTAGGGTGTTAGGGTGTTAGGGTGTTAGGGTGTTAGGGTGTTAGGGTGTTAGGGTGTTAGGGTGTTAGGGTGTTAGGGTGTTGGGTGTAGGGTGTTAGGGTGTTAGGGTGTTGGGTGTTGGGTGTTAGGGTGTTGGGTGTTAGGGTGTTAGGGTGTTAGGGTGTTAGGGTGTTAGGGTGTTGGGTGTGGGTGTTAGGGTGTTAGGGTGTTAGGGTGTTAGGGTGTTAGGGTGTTGGGTGTGTTAGGGTGTTGGGTGTTAGGGTGTTAGGGTGTTGGGTGTTAGGGTGTTAGGGTGTTAGGGTGTTTGGGTGTTGTGGGTGTTAGGGTGTTAGGGTGTTGGGTGTTAGGGTGTTAGGGGTGTTAGGGTGTTAGGGTGTTAGGGTGTTAGGGTGTTGGGTGTTTGGGTGTTAGGGTGTTGGGTGTTAGGGTGTTAGGGTGTTAGGGTGTTAGGGTGTTAGGGTGTTAGGGTGTTGGGTGTTAGGGTGTTAGGGTGTTGGGTGTTGGGTGTTAGGGTGTTAGGGTGTTAGGGTGTTGGTGTTAGGGTGTTAGGGGTGTTAGGGTGTTGGGTGTAGGGTGTTGGGTGTTAGGGTGTTAGGGTGTTAGGGTGTTGGGTGTAGGGTGTTAGGGTGTTGGGTAGGGTGTTAGGGTGTTAGGGTGTTAGGGTGTTAGGGTGTTAGGGGTGTTAGGGTGTTAGGGTGTTAGGGTGTTAGGGTGTTAGGGTGTTAGGGTGTTAGGGTGTTAGGGTGTTAGGGTGTTAGGGTGTTAGGGTGTTAGGGTGTTGGGTGTTGGGTGTTAGGGTGTTAGGGTGTTAGGGTGTTAGGGTGTTAGGGTGTTAGGGTGTTAGGGTGTTAGGGTGTTAGGGTGTTAGGGTGTTAGGGTGTTAGGGTGTTAGGGTGTTAGGGTGTTAGGGTGTTAGGGTGTTAGGGTGTTAGGGTGTGTGGGTGTTAGGGTGTTAGGGTGTTAGGGTGTTAGGGTGTTAGGGGTGGGTGTTAGGGTGTTAGGGTGTTAGGGTGTTAGGGTGTTAGGGTGTTGGGTGTAGGGTGTTAGGGTGTAGGGTGTTGGGTGTTAGGGTGTTAGGGTGTTAGGGTGTTAGGGGTTAGGGTGTTAGGGTGTTAGGGGTGGGTGTTAGGGTGTTAGGGTGTTAGGGTGTTAGGGTGTTAGGGTGTTAGGGTGTTAGGGTGTTAGGGTGGTTGGGTGTAGGGTGTTAGGGTGTTAGGGTGTGGTGTTAGGGTGTTAGGGTGTTGGGTGTTAGGGGTGTTAGGGTGTTAGGGTGTTAGGGTGTTAGGGTGTTAGGGTGTTAGGGTGTTAGGGTGTTAGGGGTTGGGTGTAGGGTGTTAGGGTGTTAGGGTGTTAGGGTGTTAGGGTGTTAGGGTGTTAGGGTGTTAGGGTGTTAGGGTGTTAGGGGTTAGGGTGTTAGGGTGTTAGGGTGTTAGGGTGTTTAGGGTGTGTTAGGGTGTTA